TGAAGTTGAATGTAGTGGCACCGGAGAACGACTTAGTGACGTACGCATTCCAGTGGCGTCCTGGAATAGTGTAGACAAACTTAGGATCCACGGTAACAGTTTTACGTCCACTGATGGTAACAGTTACTGTTCTTGGGGGAGCAGTAATGGTGACTGGGGGTGCTGTCTGCGGGAACGTCCATGTGTAGGTGCCTGCACTATGAATCTTTCCTTGTGAAGAGCAACGTGCACTGGCAGTGACCGTTGATGTAGGAGCTCGTCGCGAAATCCAAGTCTCGTACCATTCAGCGCACTTCTCATAAGCCTTTCCGGCAGCGTCAACACCAGACCGACATTCGACAACATCGAGAAGCTGAGCGCGGCTACCATCTTCGAGGTCTTCGCACTTCTTGCACAAGCCGCTCCCTTCCCATCCGGGAATTGCCAGGGGTCCGCACTCGTTGAAGGGTGCAATGGCACGCTTAGTGACTGTCTCGTAGAGGGTGACGGAACTGCTCTCAGGCTTTTTCCTCGCAAGCCAATCAACCCAGTGTCGTCCGTTTGTGGGTACTGATGTGATTGTCGTAAGTGTCTCACGGTGCTCGGATACTCTGAATGGCTGAGTAACGTCAGTCACTGTTGATTTCTGAGTGGTTGTTCCATCCCAAGCACATGGAACAACGGTAGAGACATATGGGTAGGTGGTAAAAGGATAGATTGTCGAGCATTTGCCCTTGACGCAAGCAGTTGTAGCGGAGCAGGTCGATACTGGCTGGTATTGAGAAGTCACCGTGATAGCCGGCCACGCTGGATTAGTGGCCTCTTTGCAAGGTTGAATCGTGGTCAGTGGTTCGCCAAAGGCAACATCTGCCAATAGCAAGGTCAGAGCAGCCTTCTTGGCTGCCGAGCCTTGTAAATGCATCTTAAGTTAAAGAGTGACTTCGGGTCAGAAACAAAAACACTAAACAAAAGCAATGTCAAAAGAGTGACTGTGGTGAGCGATTAATGCGTTAGAGGAGCTAAAGGAAAACCTCTGGGGACGACATCCTCATCCCATTGTCTTATACGTTCTACAAGCCCCGTACCGTTAAGGGTCTCGTAGAAAACAATCATAATTGATGTTTGGCAGATTCCAACTCGCGGAGATGAAGGTCAAACATTGCCACCCATGGTTGGTCGAGCTAATACTTAGAATAAGCTCGAGCTCTGATTACCCAGTGTCCGAACATCAGATTCATTCTAAACAAGCTGTTGTCAATAACATAGAGCGGAGAGAGTCATAGACAGGGCTATGACAACGCGTAGACGTCCAGACTTACTCCCGGAGGGTTCCGTTCTTGCAAGTTGCAGGCCTTCAGCAGAGATTGCCTTGACAGATCCACTGATGTTAGCATAGCTACCTCACTTTTTGTCAAAGCTGCCACGGCACTCGCGTGTGGACACTGCTCGACCAACGGATCCCATCCCGTACGACAGAATTTGTCGATTGATTTCTCTACCCTCCAAATGGCCGCAATCAAGGTTAAACGTTGCTTTCAACGTTAATTTCCTTGATTCTCCAACTCGTACGCCTCTGCTTGGTCAATCGAGGAATCATGTTCTCGTTGGAGTGTCAGAGGCAAGCATATCAATTTTGACCTAATCGAAACGGTGAAAAATTCGCAGGGAGTACCCCCATATGAGTCAGGGCGGCCACAAGCCCAGATGGTAATTCCAAGCCATGGGCAGAATCAGTGTGGAAATTGACGGTCAATCGATAACGGGATGACAGGCGTATGCCAGTTTCTGAGCGATAAACAACTGGATTCAGCGTGTGTACAAACGCATGTGATGTTGATCCAAAGACGTTGAACCATAAATTAACGTGCAAGGACCCTTATAAATAAGTCTGAAGCACGTCAAATCGCAAGTCAGAGATATAGTTTCGAAAAAGGGGAGAGATGGGTGGCAACTCAACCTAAGATCATCATACCGCGCCAAGGCACTAGCCCATCTCGGCCTAGTTTGTCGAAATGGTCCTCTGTGTCAACTCCTTTTATTGACTAGGAGTATCTGTATGCGTCACGTTTATTTTGCAACCTTCGTCCACAAATCTTAACCTAATCTCTTGCAACCTTCGTCCTGAGTACATAACCTAATCTCCACGGCACCAAGCACGAGCCGCAATGCTGCGTGAGATATCTGGTCAATGTTGATTGTCAATGCGCAGACTTTAACCTGATCACTTTCTCTCAACACTCCTCGAGCCACATACAAGCACTCCGGGCTCTCAGAACATAGGACCGAAATTCGGGATCATGATCAATGCACTCCGTGGAACAGTCTCACCCACCCAATTCCTAGCATCTTGAGACCAGTGGATCGAGATTCACCCTGGACACACCCGCAAGCTGCTGATTTTCTGCCTTAAGATGGGGATTAGATTCCCCCTTTTTTGAGCATTACATCCACGTTGGCTTGTGCGACTGTCAGCGAGACCATGGATGGTGCTATCTGTTTGGTTACGGATATTTCCTTCCTCCTATCCGTGGTACCAGAACCACTCACCAAAAGTCGATAACAGATTCAAGCACCGAGATTGCTGGATGTCGCTGTCATAAAGTGCAGCTTCCTTTGTACTCAGTACTGATCAAAGCTGATGTCCCGTCCGGATTTTACCTGCACAGACCATAACAAATGTTCAGCACATTATCAGTCGAACGATAAGTAGCCCCAAATTCCTCATCGCTGGTGTATTATTCTATCGTGAAGTCATTTTGTCGGGTCAGGACACCAACCACTCATGAATTCTTCTTCTTTTGTCTTTTGGAAAGCTCCGAGCAGCAGTCTTCGCCCCAGGTGCGATAGTATCCTCGTTCAGCTGAAGGCTTGAAGAAGGGGTCTGGTGCCTTTATACGGAACATCTCTTCTGGTGGGCATGGATGGATCTCCTGTTCTGCATTGAGCAGCCAGAGCCAGATACATGGCCTCATTTCAGACACCACCCAAACTTGATCCTTGGCGGCTTGCTGCAAGTACTAATTTCTATGCAGATAACACCGTTTTACAATGTTATTAACTAATGACGACTCCATTCTCTGAGATTCACATCTCCAGCGTTCGGTGGTCGGAAATACGTCTGTAAGCTTGCAATATCGCCCCACTCACTGGCATCTCGAATAGCTACATTCAGATCTTCGTAAGTCCTCCTCACTAGCCAAATTCGGTGTGTTCTCTGTCCATAGCAATCTTCAATCTACGGCTATCCCACTCATTCTGTCATAGGCAGACATCATTGTTACCTTCAAAACGTGGTTTATGTCCGCGGCTCGTCTCACGCACAAGAGCGAAGTTTTGCTTCACCCGAATGCATTCACGCTCTTTGGATGGTCCAAGCCGAAGCAGTAAGTTTTGGTAAAACGTGCTGATTAGAGTACAGTTGAGAGTTTCAAAGTTGCTCGTGATGCATCATGGTCAGGAATTTATGAATGTAGCAGGTCAATGCAGGACTTGACGGGATCGCGGAGATATCCAGTATCCTGAAACCCAAATACCCAATTAGCCTTTCATTACTGCATCAGCCTTCATCGCACCGACCTTCTCACGTGGCTAAGGAGACGCCGGGATGCCTCTTCAAGTTAGAAGTCTCATGTCACATAGTTGACAGCCGCAGGTGGCCATCGTCATGCCTCGGTTGAGCAAGACGGTAAATTCAACACCAATTACTGTCACTGCTGTCAGCGTTGGGCCATGGCCACCCCCTCTGCATTTACCGAATCATGTGCTGAAGGAATCCTTCATTGGTCCGAAGTCCCTCGCGCCTGGATTGGACGACGTGTCTAACTTCATCATTGGCCACTCAGATGCTACGCATGTCTCTTCTGCTCGTGTTTCTGGATACTCAATCTGCTTTGAGACTTCAGCTCAAAATTGGCACGTTGGACCATGAGTCTTTCCAAACATCGTCTGGTATCGCCAAAGAGATTTGAGATACTCGCTTGTACTCGAGTGTCGAATGCTAAAGGGCGCCACGGGCTTCAGTTGAGCAACGTCCATTCGAATCACTCGCATCACTTGGTCATTGCGCTCAAAGCATTAGATAACTGTCATAAACTCAGTCTCCCGATCTCACTCCTTTTGGTTAAGAGAAATAAGGGAAACAAGTTGAGGGTCTGTTATTACCCATGATAAATAATTGTTTCCTCCAAAGCGGGTTCTAAGAGAAAATCCACATACAAATAATGCTCTCAGTATTCAATATACAGAGGATGAACATATAGACTGTTTGCCTCTATTGCTGCATATCATAGCTTGGTTGCACATTGGCGGCATAACATTTGAGTAGGGCATGCGTCAGCCTCGCCTAAACGCTACCAACGAGGCGACGAGTTGTGACTAAAGCGAGTTCCTAGCTACATCTTCCCCGCTTTCGGCCCAATCAAGTGCGCGAAGAATACCCCAACTAGCCAAAGGCTACAGTCGTTCGTCCTGATCAATAAATTTGGGGAAGAAAACTTTGGGTGCTCGTAGTCCATCGGCATGGAGGTTGCGCCAACTTGCCCCAACATCGAAACTTAAGTTTATTACCCCACGACCAAGGTTTGAGCTACCCAGCCTACGACAGTCGCTTTTGTAGAGAAGCATGTGGAGTGTCTACGGCCCAAAAGCCAAGGTGTACTTAGTTAACGGGCATGGAAATGGTTCTTAAGCAATCCGTAGCACGTAGTAGGACAGGTGAACAGTCGACACTGAAGCTCTTCCGGATCAAGTCTACATGAACATGGAAAATATCAGTCTGTCCAAATATGCTTTGGCGAACCCTCTCGTTACGTTCGCCGTACTGGGCTTTCTTTTCGTGATAGGCTGGAAAATCAAGCAGAATATCAAAGCCCGGAAATACAAGCTACCCCCGCGTGTTCCTGGTATCCCGATATTTGGAAATACCTTTCAGCTTCCGCCGTTGAAGCAGGGAGTATGGGGCATCGAGACGGCGAAGAAATATGGTGAAATGTGAGCAGGGTTGGAACTGACGATCTAACTAGATGCGGTTTGCTTACACTAAATCAGGTTCACCTGCAGCATTGGGGGGAAGACGTGGGTGTTTCTGAATTCTTCGAGAGTGGTAAACGATCTGATGGAGAAGCGGTCAGCGATCTACTCGTCGCGCCAGTACATGCCTATGGCATCAGGGATATTGTCGGGCAATAATCGAGTTCTGCTCATGCCGTACGGGGAGAGGTGGCGGATGCTTCGTCGCATCATGCACGCCATTCTGAACAAGCAAAACGCACCTGTTTTTGCGCCCTTCCAAGACGTCGAGTCAAAACACCTGCTGTATGATTTCCTCCACACTCCTGAACTGTGGTATTCGGCTACGCAACGGTTTGCAAACTCGGTGATCATGAGCGTCGTGTTCGGGAAGCGGATGGAGTTGGAAGACCCCAAAATCCGAGAGTTGTTCGACACCTCCAACGCCATTGTCGAGGCCATCCAGCCCTCGGCGAATCTTGTAGACTCGTTGACATTCTTGGAGTACCTGCCGAAACCTCTGCAGTGGTGGCGACCCAGGGGCGAGGCGATGTTCGCGAAAACGGTCAAGGTGTATCAGCGGGAGGTGGAAGATGTGGAGAGGAAGATGAAGGACGGGACTGCAAAGGATTGCTTTGCGACGCGATTTCTCAAATCCCCAGAGACAAAGGACTATGGGCGGACTCAAACCTTGTTCGCGCTTGGATCTCTCATGGAAGCAGGCAGTGACACATCTCGCATGACCCTCAGCCAAGTCGTTGCGGCCGCGGTACTTGACAAACGATGGGTCGATACGGCGCAACAGGCTTTGGACAAGGTATGCGGTAGCAATGCAGAGCGCTTGCCGACATTTGATGATCGAAAAGACCTTCCATACATTACTGCGGCAGTCAAAGAGGCATTTCGATGGCGGCCGTTTGCCGAGATAGGGGTACCTCATGTCTTGATCCAGGACGATGAGTATGAAGGGTACAAGTTCCCTGCTGGGACATTGTTCACGTGGAACGCGACAGCTATCGCCCTAGATCCACGGGAATACGAACAACCCGAAAGGTTCTGGCCCGAACGGTTCTTGAACGCTGACCTCGATCATGTCTTGAGAGGACATTGGAGCTTCGGTCCTGGTAAGTCTCCAGGCAGTGCTTTCGATGTCGTGACCTACTCGGTAGACACTAACTTCTGCAGGGCGCAGAGTATGTTCGGGCTACAATGTCGGGGAGTCAAATGTCTGGATTATGGTCGCTCGCTTGTTATATTGTTTCAACTTCGAGGGCATTCCGGTGAGCAGATTTTCTCTTACAAACAACATGAAGGCTAACAATGATAGGGAAAATCTTTCAATGAGTTCGACGTGAATTGGGGAGAGCACCGCTGGGCCCCGTTCGAGGTGGCTATTAAAGTGAGAAGTCCGAAGCATGCTGCCTTGGTTGAGCGAGAAGGCAGAGTGGCAGTAGACACGAAATATTGAATATATATTCGCTTATCCTCATAAATTTTATGTAATCAAGAATACCACCCAAAACTCCAACCCACATTACACTCATCAACCTAGGAAAGACATCACGCCTGTAGTTGATATGGTCCCGGTCCCCTGCAACACATAACTAGATGATTACTAGTAGGCAAGTATCCAGCAGATCTCAACGCGACTGTGCAGCGAACACCACACCAGTGGGCATATACATTTGTTTGCCCTGATCTCCTTCAGATGAGTACTGAGATCGTTCGGGGCGGAATAGGCCCGAGGGGCTCTCGGCCTCAGACCCCACCTCCACATATCCATCATGTCTCTGAAAGAACATCTCGATTGCGGAGGCTCCCCACCTCTGGGTGTAGAGCAGTAACTATCATCGATTCGTAGGCCGTGGGGTCGAAGCATAGAGGCCGCATCGAGCTCTTCGGGCCTTCAGATACGACCGAGTTGTCACGCTGCCATATGGGCGACCCTTAACCTCCAGACCAGGTATCTGGCAGACTTTTGGGACGAATTCAGAAGTTGGAGAAACGGCAGTCGGGCTTCCATCCTGGAACATACCAGTGCTCGAAACGATCACTTTTCCCAAACTACTTACATAGTTAGTATGTATACGTATGTACTGAGTGTTTCCCAGTCTCTCAGTCGCCTCAGAAAAATCAATTAATCACCGAGCATATATCAGCCCACCCACGTCTACGCCCACAGTGGATAAGTTTTCTCTGTGTGGGGCCGTTCGAGACCTCAAGTTCATCGGCGATATAGAAGTGCTCTTATATTATCCTTGGTCATCGTTAAGCACAGAATTCATCATCAGTCGACGAAACCCTGCGCTTCTACCGACATTCCCACTTGTTGATTTACCACGACGAACGACATCGAACACCAAGTATAGTTCCCCAATAGCTCAATCGAGCTCAACTGCACGATGGGGAAGAAAACACCAGTCTCTAATGTAGGGCATCGATTCATTTCTTCCACAGGCGGTGATATTGACCGTCAATAGGTTATAATAGTCGGTGCCGGACCTTCGGGATTGCTCCTGGGCATCCTGCTTGGAAAAGCCGGCGTAAAGGTAACGCTCGTGGAAGCAGCGGCGGAGTTGGACAAAAATCCCCGAGCGGCGCACTATGCACCTTCAGCCGTATACGAGTTGAACCGGGCTGGGGTTCTGGAAGATGTCAAGGCCAAGGGCATTCACCCTGATGCTGTTTGTTGGCGGAATCCTGACGGGTCGTTCATCGCCGGCATCAAAAGTCGGTTCGATATCGAGTTTCCAATGGTCTGTCTTCCACTAGATCAGCTCGACGAATTGCTTCTGGAGCATTTCCTGCGGCTCCCAACTGCGGAGGTCCTCTGGCTGCATAAGGTGGTTTCAATCGACCAAGACGATGATCAAGCCCGAGTGCATATTGAGGCGCCCAGCGGAAAGATTACCTTGTCAGCGGATTATATTGTTGGATGCGATGGAGCAAACAGTCAGATAAGGAGATCGCTTTTTGGAGACCTTAACTACCCTGGAGAGACCTTGACGAAACAAATCATTGCAACCAATGTAAGAGAAAGGTGATCTTGCTTCGAATAGGGCACTGACGTATACCCTAGGTTTATTATGACTTTAAGCAATTTGGATACTGGGATTCCAACTTTATCATTGACGAAAATGATTGGTATATGGCAGCACGGCTGACGGACAGTGGACTGTGGAGAGTGACTTACGGAGATGTCTGGGGCCTGTCCAATGAAGAATATCTTGCCCGTCAACCAGAACGGTTCGCCAAAATCCTACCTGGAAATCCAAAGCCTGGCGACTACAAGCTTGCAAGTGCTAGCCCGTACAAACTGCATCAAAGATGTGCAGAGTCCTTCCGAGTGGGCAGATTCCTTCTGGCAGCTGATGCAGCACATCTGTGCAACCCCTTGTAAGTCGTCCGATCCCATGAATTTCTGAATGAGGACCTAACATGATGATAAGTGGTGGGCTTGGATTAACAGGTGGAATCGCGGACGTGGGAAGTCTCTACGACGCGCTCATCGCCTTGAAGGAAGGCAAGGCCGACGACAGCATTCTGGACAAGTACAGCGAAGTGAGAATAAAAAAATGGCAAGACATCATCGATCCCATGTCGCGAGCAAACTTTCGGCGTGTGTGTCTAGATGAAGCTGAATCGGAGAGAAACGAATTCTGGAAGCTATGTGAGAAAATGGAAAAGGACGACGAGCTCTCGCGCCAGATGGCACAGGTTAGTCAAACATCTCCAACATAACGGTCCCATATGCTAACATCTGATCAAGGGGACCAATGTGCTCCGAGAGGACTTCAGAGAGTACTTGACTGCACAGTGACGAGATGGACCTTGGCCCAGGCAGGTTGTTGTAATGAATAGCGCTCTCTGTACGTCCAAAACCGGAAATGTTGATCTACCGATTGTCCCGTAGTGTGATTAAGCATATACCACGATAAAGTATCGAGTCATGTAGTATCGTGTTGACAAGGAGGGTCTACCTCAGCAAAGTCAACCACTCCCTGACCTCAAGGCTTGAGCTGACGATAGTAAGGCATAACTATATGAAGGTCCACCAGACCCACAGACTTGTTGTCCGTCTTATGCTCGCAACGACCGACGAAATTCTTACCGTGCATAGCGAATAATCCAGAAAGCTGGAGTCGGATGATTTTTGTCTTATCCCTGGTAACTAGTTAGACTTGATGTTGGATTGGTCGGAAATGGTTGCCGTCCTCATCACTAGTCGGAAAGATCTGTCCGTGGGACATGGTCTGTAGAGAAGCCCCCCAGCGTGGACAGGCCTCCACAAACAGGATAATTACATGCAGATGGAAATGCGGAGATGGATCAGCGACACTTCTGATTGAAAGACACCGCAAGTCTTAGAGTCTTAGTCGCATAGAAATGACAGGAGCAGCGATATGTATGGTTGTTGATAAGCGTTGCTTGAACAGTTTAGGTGTGATGGGCGTTATCGTCATAGGTCTCCTAGTCCCCTTGGCAGGTGCAATCCTCCCCTCAATCAAGCTTAGCGATTCCAGGTTGCCTGGACTGGTTCAAGGCAGGAAACTTGAACGTGGCTGCAATTGCGAAATCCCCATCGCAACTTCTCCACGATATCTTGAACTTTGCTGTTATTGTGTCAGCTCGTCATCTACACCGATCAGTTCTAGTGTTCGAACTGTCCGGTATCTGGACCAGTGTGTTGATGTAGCATTCGACAATACTCAAGAACCAAGTGAACCTCGAGAACGACCCTGTTCAGTCTTATCGGTTTTTGTTCTGGAGGGTTGGCTGGGCTCGACTCCAAATCCAATGTCACCGCTGCTTCCTTGACTAGATAGCCATTGATCGCGGACCCATTACCTCACATCGGCATTTACTACCTATATTTACTATCCTGCCTCTACCTTCGACTCCAACGGACCACCAGCTCGAGAGTCACCTGCCGAACAAGAACATTACTTCCTGCTCATTCCTCCTCGGCCGAAACTACGTATACGAAGGAACCGTACTTCGTCATTGTGGGCTGCACCTCCACCTGCGGCGGGTAGGACAAGATGGCGGACTTCACATTGATTCCCAGTGGGAGTGGGAATGGCTATACTGGGATGTTGACGAGAAGCATTGTATTTTCCGGGGCTCTACTTTTCTTCCTTGCAGGTTTGAGCATATCCTTCGTTACGCACCAAACAAATCGATGCTAATGGATGTATCTAGCCTCGGGAATGACGATTGCGTCAATCATCATACCGGATTGGATTGCATACGAAGGCAGTACAGTGAGTCAACTGAAGCACATGTCCTCAATAGGTTGCTGATAGCATCCAGGCGCACGATTCAATACATCAGACATACGGGCTCCACCAGAGATGCTCGAACACGAATATATCTCCAGCCTCTGATCCTTATATCTTGTCTTCTATGAAATGCGTCCAATTCCCGCGCTATTCAGACTGCCACGGCGAAAATCGATACTTCTGCAGCATGTGGAGGTCTGTTGGATTCTTGATGTCTTTTGCGGTGGTGTTGGAGGGCATGACGATTGCAGCATTCGCCATACTTTTGGTGGGTGGTAAACAAAAGCGTGAACAAGGCTGGGGCGCCCTCACAATTCTAGTGTCGCTGGCAGCAGCAGTTCAAGCCATTGGTATGGCTCTGATGGTATGTATTTCGCTTCTGGTGATGAGTATAGCACAACTAATGTTTCATTCAGGCTTACTTGTTCGAGAATGACGAACGGTTCTTCACTGGCTGGTATCTCGACAAGAGTTGGACAATGTGCACGGTTTCCTGGAGCATCCAGGCTCTCTGTGCAATTTGTATCGCTCTCGCCGCGGTGGTCTTGCCCAGTGAAGGCGGGTATGAGCTTATACCCGACCATGCTTGAGTTGTTTTTGTTCTCATGGAGTCTATGAATGCCTATTCGATGTGATAGAATGGGAGTTGGTTTGGTCGGTGTTTGATTACCTTCAAGGAATCTACCTTGTCTTTGGAGCCACTCTCGATTGGCAGATTTGAGTCATGCACATAGCAAGCCATTGAGCGCAAACAGATGGGATGATACACGAGTTCTGAAGGATATAACGAGGTTCATGCCAAAGGCGATCAGTCTATAGTAATTTCAGGCTGCAGCTTTAACAGCTAGTCATAGGGAAGTGAGTTCGGCATGGATCAACATAACTGTCCGATGACATAGCTTACCCAGCTTACCACATTGCGCATGTGTTGCGAAATTCAAAAACGACTCCGGTTTGCTGGCTAGAATCGTATTGACAGAAACCACCACGTAGTGTACGAATTATAGCTCTTTGACTACTAGTATTTGAGAACTTGGCGGGAGGTCGCGAAATCGCAAGACAGGCGATTCCGGCCACGGTCGTATGTCGTATCTCAAAACGGCATCCTAAGGACTCTGCGGAGCCAATTGGCAATAAAGCCCAGGCTATTGCTCGGTTGACGAATGCGATTTGCTGGCATGTGTAAATCCGCGTGGCTATTTGGATACATTGCCTTGTAAATTCCCGCAAGCAGAGCCTCGGTCGATCCTAAGTAATGTCACACAGCTCCGGAAATCACTTACCTCAGTGGTGACGACTCCGTCGAGCTGGGTATGTGTTACGAAAGTACGAGTAGTGCGTGTTCGTTGTATGTTTACCTAGGTACCTACCTGGTAGGTAGGCATGATTCTTCAGGCCACTTCGTGGACTTGGAACTGTTCCACTCTTCCGTGTTTGCTCCCCTCAGCTTCTGAGTCGGCCAGCTGCATTGTCGCTTAGCAGCTGAACCGTGTCCCGTAAGTTCGTAACACACGCACTTGGGCTTGCGACCCGAAGACCTAACAAAGTATAATATAATGTCTGCACCGACCATCTTGACTCAATGGTTGTCTCTGCGTCAACCATACTATTGATCTATGGCCTCGCCTTCGCGTACTGAGTTTATGCATGCTCATTGATAGTCGAAACCAAAATTACATAGATGCATTTACACAATTTATGAATGAGGTTATTTGGTCCTCTCCTCGTCACCAGCTGTAATTTGTTCTCTCTACTTTCTCGCGACACATCCTAAAGTCTTCCTTCCTTCGAAATAAATACTCGTTGTCGAATGACCCGACACTCACGATGACCACTCCAATTCCACAACCACCACCATATCCCTTTATTGGCAATATCAGAGACCTCGATCCTCAGAATGCCATTCTGAGTCTTGGTAAACTGGCCAAGCAATATGGTACGAACGTCCCTTCCTGGCAATAACTTGATCAATTCTCAGCAGCTAGGTTAACGTTCTAATGGATAGGTCCAATCTTCAAACTGTCATTCTTTGGTAATACAAGGCTATTCGTCAATTCAGTCGAACTTTTGAATGAGCTTTGCGACGAGAAAAGATTCACCAAGTCCGTTTCCGGCGCATTGGATCAGATTCGTAACGGTGTTGGCGACGGCCTTTTCACAGCATACCATGGAGAGCACAATTGGGAAGTTGCTCACCGGACGTTGGTGCCAGCCTTCGGACCGATTGGCATACACGATATGTGTACGTTTCGATCGTTCCACAGATAGATCAATATATGAGCGCTAACATGACCCCAAGACGATGAAATGTACGACCTCGCCACCCAGTTGGTCGCAAAGTGGGCTCGTGGAGGTCCTGAAGCAAGAATAAATGTCACAGATGATTACACGCGACTCACACTTGATTCGATTGCTCTTTGTGCAATGGGTAAGAGATTCAATTCGTTCTACTCGGAAGAAATGCATCCATTCGTGGGTGCTATGGTACGGTTCTTGGTGGAATCTGGCATGAGACCACGAAAGACGAGACTCGAATCCTTCATCTGGAGGGAACCCGAGCGACAATATTTCAAAGATATCGAGTACATGAAAGGCGTGTGCAAAGAGCTGATTGAGCACCGACGGGCCAACCCTGTGGAGAAGAAAGATCTGCTCAACGCGATGCTGTTTGGACGAGATCCGAAAACCAAAGAAAGATTGACCGACGAAAGTGTCGTGAACAACATGATCACTTTTCTGATTGCCGGCCACGAAACAACGTCTGGAATGCTCTCCTTTATCACATATTACCTGATCAAAAATCCCAATGTATGCGACAAAGCGCGTAAAGAAGTCGACACCGTCGTGGGAACAGGCCCTGTGACTGTTGACCATATCACAAAACTGCCCTACTTGGAAGCAATCATGAGAGAAACCCTCCGCCTGAATCCCACAGCACCAGGTTTCTCCATCACCACCCTTCCGGGAAATGGAGATGAGGTGATTGGTGGAGGAAAATATCACATCCCTAATGGAACCACTATTTTCTGCAACCTGCCTGCTGTAGGTCGCGATAAAACGGTGTTTGGAGAGGATGCCGATGAGTTCAGACCAGAACGGATGTACGGCGAGAACTTCACAAAACTACCACCCAACGCTTGGAAGGTTCGTTGTCCACTTGCGGTTTTGCCTTGGCAGAAAACCCTTGAGATTCTATGCTGACAATTTCTTTCCTAGCCTTTTGGAAACGGCGCGAGGGGCTGCATTGGAAGACCGTTTGCATGGCAAGAGGCCCTCCTCGCCCTGGCATTGGTATTGCAGAATTTCGACCTTAGGCCCGCCGACCCATCGTATGAGCTGCAAATCAAAAGCACATTGACAATCAAGCCTGGAGATTTCTATATCCACGCTTCTCCACGTGATGGGGTAGAGGTACTCAATATTGAGAGGAAATTGTATGAAGGTGTGCATGCTTCACAATCGCGCCAAGCAGCACGCACGACCAAAGCAGAGAAGCCAGCTTCTGGAAAGCCTCTGTTAGTTCTGTACGGTTCAAATTCGGGCACATGCGAGGGCCTCGCGCAGAAGCTTGGGCAAAGCGCTGGTGGGCATGGATACGCACCCACTGTCATTCCTCTTGACGATGGTATCGAAGCAATTCGCAAGGACGTCCCCGTCGTCATTGTGACGGCGAGTTACGAGGGCAATCCTCCTGACAACGCAGATGCTTTTGTGAGTTGGCTGAAGGGCGTTGACAAGGAGAAGATACAGGACGTGAAATTTGCCGTATTTGGTTGTGGTCACCATGACTGGGTTGCTACATATCAGAAAGTCCCCAAGCTTATTGAGAATGAATTGCTTGCCAGAGGTGGCAGTCGGATCACCGAGCGAGGAGAGTCCGATGTGGCTCAAGGAAGGGTGTTCGACGACTTCGATACCTGGCAAGACGAGTACCTCTGGCGGGTGCTTGCGGCTGACAGTGGAACACAATCTCAGACAACTGAACCTCTCAACATGGAAATGGACAGCAATGCTAGAGCTTCACACCTGCGACATGACGTGCAGAATGCACGAGTACTGAAGAACGACTCGTTGACTCCAGCTGGCGTGCCTGAAAAAAGAGTTACGGAGTTCGAATTGCCCAAGGGAATGTCATACGAAGCAGGAGACTACCTCGCATTGCTACCCGTGAGCAATGTGTCGACCATCGCAAGAGTGCTGAGAAGGTTCGGTCTCGCGTGGGATGCCACCATGACGCTCCACAAAGGGGCGCACACCACCATCCCTACCGAAATACCCATGTCCGTTACGACGGTACTGGGCAGCTACGTCGAGCTGAACAGTCCAGCAAGCCGCAAGAACATTGCAACTCTCAGCAAGTACGCCCAGGGAGACAAAAGCATTGATGAGAAAGTCCTGGATCACGCTCACCCGCCATCGATACTCCAGCTCCTGGAAAAACACACGGACATCAAACTCCCCTTCCCGGTCTTCCTCGCCATGCTCAATCCCATGCGCATCCGGCAGTACTCGATCTCGTCATCCCCGCTCCTGGACGCCACAAAAGCTCGCATCGTCTACTCCGTTGTCGACGCAGACCCCGCCCATCTCGGCATAGCCACAAACTACCTGAAAGCCCAATCGGCGGGCTCGACCGTCCAAGTCATGATCAAGAAATCGCACGCGTCGTTCCATCTCCCCACAGACCTCAAGACCCCGATCCTGATGCTCTGCGCGGGCACGGGCCTGGCTCCCTTCCTGGGCTTCATCGAAGAGCGAGCCGCGCGCATCGCCGCCGCCTCCAACAACAACAACAGGGACGAAATCGGCGAGGCCGTCATCTTCATCGGCTGCCGCGACCCGGACCAAGACCGCGTGTATGCGCAGCAACTCGACCAGTGGCAACGCGACGGCGTCGTCAAAGTGTACTACGCGTTTAGTCGGCGGGCGGAAGAGTCGGCCGGCTGCAAGTACGCGCAGGACCGGCTGTGGCATGAGCGTGCCGAGGCGAGCAGGCTGTTCGCTGGCGGTGCCCGAGCTTATATCTGTGGCAGTAGTGCGTTGGGTAAAGGGATTGCAGAGGTGGTGGCTAAAATTGCGGTCGCTGAGGCTAAGGAGAAGAAAGGGAAGGATATGAGCCTGGAGGAGGGCCTGATGTGGTGGGAGGGCCTCAGGGGTGAGAGGTATGCTGTTGATGTTTTTGATTAGTTGGTCCGATCGATCGATCAATGTATGTTGTATGGCATAGCTTCGCTTTATGGGCGTCTGTCCCTGATTGGGAGGGGATTTGAGGTACATCTGGTTTAAAATTGTACCACGATGGAGAATATGATACGCTTATGTTGTTTTTCGAGAGAATTTGCACACGCAATTGAAAGGGATGAAGATGCTAGGTAGAACATTAGATTGTACAAGTCTTCTCTGTTCGTAATTATACAAACCAGTCCGCTCCACTGGGAATCTACCACAAGAGGTGTTGACGCTGCATGGTAACCGGACGATCAGGTAACTGGACCCAGATTTTCTTCTGCAGCCGTTTCTTGATCTCTTTGGCCTCCTTCTCGGCTGCGATTCTCGTCTTGGTCTTCTCCTCCTTCAACACCACTGTCATGCCTGTGTGAGGTGGCCTCATGATGTTCATCCGGCCTCGGGCACGGTAGTCTGGTAATCGGCCGTAGGAGCCACGGTTCGTCCACGCCTCCGACACGTAGATTTCCGTGGGGTCCGGTGTCACGCCTTTCCGTTTGGTCTTTATGGGGGTCTGGCCGGGGAGTGGTTTCGACACGCTGGGATCTTTGACCAGCGCTTTTGATTGAGCTTCCGTGCGGTCTTCCTTCAGGCCCATGCCTTTCGACGTGATTGCTTCGGCTCGGGCGATGAGGAGATGCTCGCGAACATCCTTGGCAACTTTCTTCTTGGAGAAGCGCATTTGTAGAATGGCTTCGTCTAAGGACTTCCCGGCGATCTGCCGCGTAAGAGGGGCAAGTTTCTTCATCGATGTCTTGAAGAAGTGTGAACGGGAAGTATGTGTCCTTTCTGTGCGGGCGATTTCCATCTCTCTGGTCAATTGACCTTCGCGCTGAATGTGTCGGATGACCATTTTCCGTTGCCATCGCGAACGCGCAACGGGCTTTGGATTGAGGGCTTGGGCCATGTTTGTTGCGCTGCGTTCTGACAAAGGAACCTCCTTCTCGGCTTCGTGCTTCTGCTCTCTTTCGGCAGGAGTGAGTTTGGCGTTGAGATCGGACGTTAGGTGTCGGTAGAACATCGAGCTGCGTGCCAATCCACCCTGGTTGAAGTTTGCACTGGCATCTTCTTGCTCGTCCTTCATCTGTGCCTGTACCTTGGCTTGGACCTTTTTTAGTTTATCTGCTGTAGCTGTCGGGCTGGGAGCTAAAGCTGTACTTGTTGATTTGGATTTGGTGTCAGGCTGCTCCCCGGCATGCTGAGGTCGAGTGGAATGGAACGATCTGATTGTGGAGATGGACAAGGAGGACGACAAAGAAGTGGAGGGTTTGCCTGGCAGTTGTTAGCTATGCAAGGCGTATGGAGAGATGGACGAGGGTGGTGCTACCTCTGCAGATGTGCCGAAGCACAGCCTGCTGTGACATTGTATTGTCTCAGGCCTGTGGTGGTGGTGGTGTGGAAATTGTTATAACGTGTAAGTCAATTCAACTTTGAAAGCACACACTACTTACTGCATATGAGACTTTGACTTTCCTTCGCTGCAAGTGCTCGTACGGCATGCGTCCGGAGAATAGATGGGCCGATGACACACGTGATGCTCGACCCACCGGAACTAGTCTCCGCTTCAAAAGCAGCAACACTCCCAGTCACTAAAAGCGAAGGCTACTAACCATTACTAGTTAGTCGGTACTAGCTGCTTCTGTGGTCCCTCGTCCTCAAGTCGCAAGTTGCGAACTTCTTCTCGCATGTTGTTGATCATCTGAAGAATCTTGACCCCATCTGTGAAGGAACTCTGACTTGAATACATTCCAACGTCATTGGGGTTCCAAAAACCACGACAGTCCTCTTCGGATCCATTCCCACTACCTTTCAAACAAATACGGCCGAATCTGTTCGCAGCGCCTACTTTTCAACATCAACAAGGCCGTCTCCAAAGTTCTACACCAGCATCCAGCACAATATCCTGTTCTCTGCATACATATCGAGTCGTCGCCTGTGCATCTAAACAGGCGTTTTATAGCCTGTTTTTGCGACAAGGGAGCATGGCCTCAAGTCCTGCTCAAATCCAAGTTGGACCTGAGGAGGTCGCATGCATTCAAACATCAAATTATTGATCTCGAACCCCAGTCTACACGATCTGGTAGATCCCAGACAGCATGGATATCAATTCACTTTTATCACCCTCTGACACTCCTCGCGCCTCATCTCTCACTCCATCTTCGGTCAACCATTCTCAATCAGCTTTTAAACCGGTCCAACGAACTCGTTCAGGCACCCCCTCCGGTTCCGCTCAACCCACCCTCACTGTCAATTCTCCTCTGTCCCGATCGATCCAACCGCCGTCCAGCATCCCTGCCCATGTCAGAAGTCCTTCACAACAACCTTCCCACTCTTCCCCGCTCATCAGTCCTGTTCCTACAGGTACTGCGACACATATCACCGGTTCTTCATCAACCCAGAGTATGGACAATCTACCAGACCTCACTTCCTTACAAAACGCTAGATCCACTCCTCCGGTATTGAAGAGTCGGGATTCTTCAGATAGCCAGCTCTCCTCCTCGGCTGGACCAGCCGCTCCCCATCTCCTCTCGGCCACCTCGAACCCTCGAACTTCTTTTGACATTGCCATGGTCGAAACCCCCAAGCAGGCTCTGAGGCTTGACTATTCTGACACTTCGCTCCAGCCTGAGTCACAACAACGTCTTGCCGTGTTGGTCGCTTACATTCAAGAAACCCCTTCTTCATACGATGGCCATAAGGAAATCATCAAGATTCTGCATCAAGGTTTCGTAGACCACATTTACCCTTCATCTAGCCCTGGCGCACGACGTGATCCTAGATCTTACGACCTTCTGCCTGAATTGCGTCATGCTCGTGAAACTTTGGACAAACTGTTCGCGGTTGGTGAGGACCAGTGGCTTGACTGGCTACAGGACGAAAGCATACTCGCTCACACTGCCGAAGAGAGGGTTGCAGTTGTCGACAAGTGCCGTCGGGCTGTCAGTGAAGAATATGGAAGTACCAGCCTTTGGGTCAATTATGGGGAGTGGGTACTGCATTGCTACAAATGGGCTCAAGATACTTCGGCAGACTCTCAGGGAGACATCGTCGACACGGAACGAATAGTTGGCCGTGAAGTCTTTGATTGGAATCTTGTCCTGGAAACATGGGCCGAAGGCATTCTACGTACTCAACTGGACTTGAGCCACAGCCATGAGGTTTGGGACAAGTACATGACCATTCGTTTTGGCGAAACTGGCCAAAAACTTTCCCCAAGTGAGGCAGAGGCAGCTCTGGACCTGTTCCAGTCACGATTACGTGTGCCCCACTCTACCTGGGAGCAGACTTTCTCATCCTTCTCCAGCTTTGTGTCTGCCAATTGTCCAGACACTCAATACGAAGAAATGATGGCCTCAACACTTCGAGCATCGATTACTGCAAAGAAAATATGGTCCGAACGAGAGGTTCTGGAATCTTCCCTTGAGACTGCCAGGGCTAATGGTGACCAAACTGCTGAGTACCAGGCGTTCTTAAGATATATCGAATGGGAAATTGCTGAGGAGGATAGAGCCAAGAAGTACCGAAGACCCAGAGGGAAGCGTGACAACGCAAGTGCTCTGGCTAATGCCCCTGACATGATCAACCCATTATATTACCGAGCGGAGCTCCGATTTCCCTCAGTCCTCACAATCTGGGAAGACCATATAGAGTATCTTTCCCCCAAGTCAAGTGATCGATTGCTCGAGGTACTTGCCAGAGCAACCAAACACTGCCCTTGGTCAGGTTCTCTGTGGAAGCAGTATTTGCTTACCTCAGAACTAGCCGAGGATACTTTTGACGAAACGGAAAGCATAAAGCATAAAGCTACCAGTACAGGTCTCCTGGATGCTGCTGGCACGCAGGAGGCTTTGGTCGTCTACGATGCGTGGTGTGGCTATCTGTTGCGGCGCACCAGGAAGCCTGATTCGACGGAGGAAGATTCTGACGTTGCTGAAATGGGCATCAGATCCTCAATAGAGGCAGTGCACAGCCTCGCCTCCAAGTTAGGATTGTCCTCCGATTTTGATCCCTCCTTCAGTCTACAGCGAAAGTATGTCGAGTATCTCAAATCGCAACATCGATTCGACAATGCGCGCGCCCAGTTTGATGATTCGGTCACAGACTATGGCAAGCACTATAAGTTTTGGCTACGTTTTTACGAATTCGAGCTTCAGAAAAATGTCCTCATGGCCATTTCCCACCCTAACAGTGCAGATCGCTTGGCTGCAGTCTCATCAGCACCGTTTGCTGTTGGTGTCCTGAAACAAGGTCTAGAACATCCGGGGCTTGATCACCCCGAGCCGCTGATCGAGGCGTTACTCAATCACTGTGAGGATTATGAAGACGCCGATGAGCTACAAAGCGCAATGTCTCTAGTACGCAAAGTGCAGAAGACCTTGACCGCGAAAAGACACCAAGAAGCTCTGGAAGCAAATCAACATGAACTTGAAGCGCAACAGATGGCTTTAGAGGTCGCTCAGAATGCTCACGAAACTACCAACGGAATTCAGAATGAAAAGCGAAAGCGTGAGGATGAGAATGACAGGGTCGAAGATCCTGCCAAACGGTATAAAAGTGATGAGACCATAATCAACACCAATGAAGTGTCAAGTGTTCGAGAAGAGGAATTATCACTCAAGCGTGATCGCGAGAATTCCAGTGTTTGGGTACGAAACGTACCACTCAACACCCCCGAAACAAAAATTCGCCAATACTTCAGCAACTGTGGTACAGTCAAGCATTTGAAAATACTCCAGGATGAAGACAACGCGATTATTGTGGAGTTTGAGGACTCCGAGGCGGCGCAATTTGCCCTTTCCAGGGATGGTCGACCATTTGAGGGCGCAGAGTTGTCAATTGTTCTCAGCACCAAATCAACTCTCTATGTCACGAATTATATTGCTTCAGCCGACGAAGCCTATATTCGGAACATTATGCGACCATATGGTGAGATTATCGGTGTTCGCTTCCCTTCTTTGCAAAAGAATAAGAGACGACGATTCTGTTATGTCGATTTCAAAGAACAAAGCCAGGCGGAGGCTGCTACAGAGCTCGATAACAGAGAGATTGATGGTCTCAAGATTATTGTAAAGGTATCAGATCCCGCCCGGCGACATGCCAGGGCTGAGAATGATGAGACGAAAACTCTCTTCGTTGGACATCTACCCTTCAAGGCCACTTCGAAGGATGTTGAGAAAATTTTTGCGGCGTATGGGAAAGTGGAACAAATCAAGGTTCCTCAGGATCCGAAATCAAAATCAAAGAACCGTGGAATTGCATTCGTGACATTTGCGGATTCTGAGGAAGCTCACTCTGCCCTTGCATTGGATCAGACCGAATTGCTGGGTCGGAAGATCACAGTCAACATTGCTGCCGACAATAAACCAGGGGCGAACCCTAGTGTCTCTGGTAGGTCCAAGTCTCCTTCAGCTCAGCCTGATCCAGAGTCAAAGGCTATGTCGGCATCCGAAGACCACAATGCTCTGGTCACGAATCTAGAGGAGCGGCACCAGCGGACGGTGACCATTTCTGACGTTCCCGATACAGTGAACGAAAGCCGTATCAAAGCGCTAGCTGAAAAGTTCGGTCCGACGCGAAAGGTAGTCCTCAAAACGAACCATCAAGGAGCTATCATAGAGTTTGAAAAGGTGGTCGATGCTGGGCGAGCTGCGATTGGACTTGATGGCCATGAAATCGATCCTGGCCGGTACATTCGAGTCACAACCCAGAAAGAAATGTTCCAACAGAAGCCAGAGCTGAAGCAAGAGCAATTCCTACAGCGTCCTGCTGTTAATCGTCCGACAATGAAGGGTCCAGTCAAACGTCCGCCTCAACCCGGGGCTCGAAAGGGTGGAAACCTTGGCCAAAGGTCGGCGACAATCTTCCAAGCCAACACTGGAAGCAATGAGCAGAATGGGACGAAGAAGACCAATGATGATTTCAGGTCTCTGATTAATAAATCTTAGAAGAAGACAATGTAATACTTTTATTGTGTGGAAAGCTGCGTTTCTTTAATCCAGGGGCAAGATCAGGAAGGTCCAAGGCACTACTTAGTACTCAGCTACCAAGTCATGCAGACTACTACTAGATACTAGCACTAAGTATCGGTAGCCTAGAAAAATGAAAGTCGTTAAGACGCTAAACTTAGAAAGGTGAAACTATGTCTTCTTTCAAGGTTAAGTTTCTAACTATTTCGACTACTACTCGTAGTACAACTATCTAGGTAATTAGGAAGCCTAGTATTATATACATGCTTAGTACTGAGTAGTATTCAATATACTTAGTACTGAGTATATACTTAAGGAATACTTTGGGAAATTCTAGCACTTACTTAAATATATTAAGTACTTAGTAATTATACTAGTACCTATATTAGTAAATACTTGATAGAGTAGAGCACTACTTTAATATAGTGAGGTACTTGATATCTAGTACTAAGTAGATGTACTAAGTAGTACGTACTAGACTAAGTATAGATTGGAAAAAAGGTTAGAATACTATGTCTAAGTAAGTAGTTAGCTAGTAGTATAATTTAGTTCAACTACAAATGCAAATATAAATTTAAGTAGTAACTCGAGACTATATCTAGTAACTATTTATGACTAAGTACTATGTACTACTACTAAGTAATGACTAAGTCTCGAATCCCGAGTTATAATCGAAGTAATCTAGTAAGTTAGACTTTAAGTAGAATACTACTTACTTAGTAGTTGATAAGTACTTAGTACTATAAAGAACAGCCTCGGGCGACGTAAGTACTTAACTAAGTAGCAGTGTCTCGTTTGAGTGCTAGGTACTTTAGAGATTTGGAATTGTACGATCCACGAGATCATCTCCTCGGATATAGGGAGAGGCCTCTGACCGATTTTTCCCACGCTCTCTCCGAATTCTAAACCCGGAGAAGGTTCATCTCGGAAAGGAGATTACAAAAAGGAAGCTGCTCAAATCGGTTGTTCACTATAGCCACCCACCGTAATTACTGTAAGTACTAGTTACTTACCTCGTACTAACTAAGTACTAAGTATTCTACTCACATAAAGGACCAATTTGAGGTTTTCGAATTGACGACAACCCAATACCACTTAGTAGGAAGCACTACTTTACTTGGCCATTGGCAGGGTCGAAGCACGTTTTGCAACTGGTCTCGACACTTCCAGCAAGTGCAGAACCACATCTCTGATGAGGATCGGGGGAAGTTGGGCCTAAACGTGCTGCTGTCGCTCTGTGTCGTCCGTCAGTGACTGCAACTGCAACATAGCTTCTCTTGTCCATGACAGTGAGGAAGACTGATAAATGTGGTATGCAAGGCCCAAGCGCCCAAGCTTATGTATCCCTTCTGGCCCGACAACGAACGAAATTGTCGTGGACATTGGCCTCAGGCGCTGGAAGTACGACTAATCGCTTAGCGTCTAGGCCTATCCAGGTCGAACAGAGTACGCGGCAGGTCGGTCTGGCAGTATTCCTTCTCTTGGAGGTCGAGAAGAGCACGCTGTCTGTATGGGTCCACCAATTCCAGAGTCATGACCACGCATGTCATGGTATGCGGACTCCATAAGGATCCTTCAGGGCAAGTTACATATGCTCGCCGTTTCAGTCATTGGGAGGTCCGTATAGCAGAGAGAGGAATTCACGGTCTTTCCGTAGTGATGGACTTTGTACCGCCAAATCCTCGATATAGCGAAGCATGTCAGAGCACAGAACATCTGAGCGATCCGGGAGTGTTTTGACCAATCTCTCGTTCCCGGATTCTCTCAGTGCATATGAGATGAGAAGAGTTCCGAAAAAAGAACGGCATACAAAATACTTCAGAGGGGAGAAGCTACTCATCCTCTGACATGAACCTGTCGCGATCGGCCAATCCGAGGCGTTTTGGAGTGCTTCAGAGCAAAAGTTCAACTCTTGGTCTGAAATTGAAGATGGGTTGGCCAGTGCCTTGTACAGGAAAGGTCGGCCAACATGATAAATCGCCGAACGGTATCTGGTCTGCAGTAACGACATGGCAACAGCCTCAGCCGGACAGCTGAAAGTGTGTTGATGATTGTTGAACTGCAACGCCGGCGGCAGATTTGCACGCCACTGCTCAAGTTGATGCCGGAGCTCATTTGCAACGAGAACGGACGGATTGAAATGATACATCTCATCTCGTATTCTGACGAGAATAATGCGATGGGCTATCTGAGCCAGAAAATGATAATGGTAGTATGACTCATCGCCTCGTAGGGCCTGCTGCTGCCTTTTCGCATTGGGATAAACCATAAACGTCGGGAGTGGAACTATGTTCTCAAGCTCCCTCAGGCGACTTCTTGGTAAGTCCATTTCTTGGACGATGACGGTCTCCATAAGTAAAGATGACCAGAAGACACGAGCCTGCATGTCTACCGTCCATTCATCAGAACGGTGGCGAATGTGATGCCAAAATATCAGGCAGTTGGTGCTGGCACGATCTGTCATCATCCACTGGTTGAGCGGCAGCATAGCTTGCGAGAAGAAAAGTGCTGCTGTTAGATAATACTGGGATATCCGTATATCTTTGGCAGATGAGCAGAGACCAATCCTGCGCCTTGATTCATCGAACAGTTGTTGACCTGGTACATCCTGGTTCAGTAGAATCTGCACGACTCCCGTGGAAGGAAGGCTGTCCTCGCTGGGGTAACCTCCCTCATCATATGCCTTTGATCCTAGACAACCTAAAGCCATGACACTAAGGACTAGGCAAGATTCGATATCGTAGCTAAAGCCTTCTGCAACGACTGTTGAAAGGGTGTCAAGAAAGAAATGATCACGATCGATCAGTGGGAAGACTCGATTAAAAGTGACAAAGTATGCATTACACAACCCTTTGACGGTGGAGAGGCTTAATGTAGCAAGCCAATCTTTCGAGAAAGTCTCATTCTGGGTCTGCTCCACATAAGAAGGGCCATCTAGTTCGACGTCTGATAGATATATGTTTGATCCTTCTGCACCGGTGGCAAAAGAACGGGATAATGAGATGGAATGAAGTCCAGGCCAGTGAATAGCTTGATGGGCACTGAATGACAATTTCGACTGCGTATGGGGCGAGCCTGTCGAGCTGATGGCTTTCTGTATATCAACGTGTGGAGGGGGCGACAGAAACTGTGCGATATCGCCTTGAGAAGGTGTTAGTACCGGAGCGATCGTCGCTTGTTCCGTCTTAGACGTTTGGTCTGGGTCTTTTTCCGGCATCGAAAGCTGGTTAATCTTGCTGTCAATACGTTTTAGACGATTAAGAATCATGTTAAAGGACGCTTCATTTCTGCTGCTCTTAGTCATATGGCGTGATGTAACATATGATTTATCCTGACTTACTTGGTCGGCTTCCGCTCCATGTAAACACACTGGATGCGATGGCTTTTACACAAGCTGCACGGTAATTCTTGGTCGCACCTAGTCTTTCGTGCCCTGCAAGCTTCGCATGCCTACTTCATATCGTTAAGGTCAGTGAGTAACTGAGAAGGTTTCGGGAGGCTCACCTGTCTTGCAATGGCATTTCGTGGCCGTTTAGTAGGTCTATTGTCAAGGTCACCGTCATCCGAAGATGAGGGATCATCATCGTCATCATCAGCTCTTCTAGACATTGATGCATCCATTACTTGTCCGCTTCAATACGACTCTGGATACCTGATCTGATGGCCTAGAAATTCAACGAGGTAGTCAAAATGTGAGGGGAAAGTTGAGGGCACGAAATTTCAGGCCTCTTAAGGTTATATACAGTAGTACTGGTTCCTGCCCCACTGACTGAGCTGGGCGGTTAGTCATAGTTAACTAACCTTTTTCGCTAACTCGGGTGACCAAACTTGACCCACAGTCCCCAGATTATTCCTTCCACCCCTCGTCAACCCCAGGTCTGCCAAATGGCTAAAAAAGGTACTCGATACATCATTCGAGAAGTACTCCATTTCTCGTTAAACCACAAGATTCAGCTTGCTGCTCCAGAGGCTATTAAAGAGTCTAGATGCTAAATAGTTTATGATTGCTGAGATTTGAGCCTACGTATATATCAGGTAGTTTTAAAGCATCTATCAGCAGATTCTTCCTCTTTGAGATCATTGATTTGGTAACGGAAACCCCCCAATGCCAACCAGCATGGCGCCTACCTTGCCCATGAACTCAACTAGATCTTGACCAAGCCACTCGGGAAGTAGATCAGTCCTTGTTTGTTCCATCTCACGCAGTATATTCCCAGCAACCTAGCAACCCGTAGTCAGTCAGTCACCATACAACGACATATTAGATCGGATATACCAAGCAGCAAGCGCCACGCTTGGAAGGGTCGACAGAAATCTCAACAATCGTGCGAGCCACATTTCCAGGTGTGTTACGCTCGAGTCCTGCCATAGACCACTCTTTGGAGATATGCTTGGTTAGCTGCGTATCTGTAAAATTAGGTGCAATGCCATTGATCCGAACCCCCACTTTATTCGCCGCCGTTTGAGATCCGCGTAGTAGTCCGGTGATTCCATGTTTGGACGAAATATATGCTGCAGCACCTGTTCCCCCGAAGTATCCTGAGGTTGAGGTCACCAACACTATTGAACCAACGGAGCCATCGGAGAACTGAGGCTCATTCTGGTTCATATAAAACAGCGCAAGTCGTAAAGCTACTTCTTGTGAGTTCTTGTCGGCTTGAACGATTTCTGAACCTACTGTTCAGCGTTCCCTTGAGATTGATGTCGATGACTTTGTATGCTTCGGTAGGTTCCTTGAGATCTCCATTTTCATCCAGGACTTCGTTCTCCAGTACTGGTGATGTTTCCATTATCCCTGCATTGGCAACCACAATATCTATTCGCCCAAATCTTTCTCTTGTTGTCCTAAACAAAGTACTCATCTGAGGCCAATCGAGAATATTTACAGGTACAAATATCGCTCTTTCTGGATCTGTGAGTGATGCTACAATAGCTTCAGCAGAATTTCGCATTTTCTCAAGGTCTGCAAGAACCACATTTGCACCGTGATGAAAGTAGAGTCTTGCAGTCTCGGCACCAATGCCGCCGGCTGCACCTGTTACAACAACTGTCTTACCCTCAAGCTCTCCCATGTTTGCATCGGTGTGAAGAATAGATTTCATAGTGAACTGCGAAGTGACATGGACTTGGAACAATGGAGGTGGTGCTCGTGGTCATCAGGAATGCAGTTGAGAGATGCATCGAAGTGGGCTCAGTGTCAATGGCGATTTCAAAACGTTGTTCTTTCCTCTCAGAACCCCAACGGGGCCAACAGCGAAGCATCATCCATCAAGGTGGGTAGGATTGAGCGGGATCCATTATTTGGCAGGGTTCGGGGGAGCTAAAATTGAGTCCGATTCCTTGAAACTTCTCTGACTCGTTGATGACAACCTCGCTCAACAGCCGAGCCTGGCAGTAGGGCCCGCGTACGCCAAGGATGGTTTGATGGACGAAAATGTTTCTACCACGCCAACTACCTCTCAGCTCACTTTATTCGGGAGCTCTTGTCTTGGCTTCGTGGTGATATGAATCCCCTTTCCCCGGAATTTCTGCTTTTCTGGTGGCAACGCGAGTAGCTAGCTGACTTGTCAACTTGCAATCGACCGAGGCGCTCTGGTATTATTTTTGCATTAGCCGCGACGTTTTGCTTCCTGGCGGTTCAAATGATAAGTACTCAGGAGATCCTTTCATATTAGGAATTTATGTTGCTAGTATCGAAACCACTCATAGTTTTCAAACCATTTGACGATGGCCGACGATATGATAACAGAGAAAGCTTTTATACCTAGCAATGAAGAGCAGGTCGAAGACACTAAGGTCCCGGATGCAGTGTCGTACACGAGAGAAGAAGAGAGAAGGTGGTGCTGACCTGTTGGCTGTCTATGATGGCGTTATTCTCTAACAATGCCCCATTTCAGAATCGTACGCAAGGTTGATGCCAGGCTGATGCCCACAACGGCAGTGATTTATTTACTTTGCTACCTAGACCGTGGCAACATTGGTAAGTGACAGTCAATAGGAGTGAGACAGCTATCCAGGCCTGACGAAAGTTACCATAAGGCAATGCCAAAATCCTCAACGCCAACGTGGGAGATGCTATGCCACAGACCAATAATATGACCAACTATCAATTCACCATTGCTTTGATGGTCTTCATTGTGGCATATTGTGTATTTGAGGCTCCTTCCAACTTGGCATTGAAAATCCTTACACCCAACAGGTAAGTTAGCACAAAACTCAAGGGGAAATCGTGTTAATCCTGAAATCTAATGTATAGGTGGCTCGGATTCCTTACTTTCTCATTTGGTGCTATCTGCTGTGGTATCGCGGGAACAACAAATTTCGCAGGAGTTACAGCACTCAGATTCTTCCTCGGTGCCGCCGAAGCAGGTATATTTCCTGGAATGATATTTTTCATGTCGTTTTGGTACAAGCCAGAGGAAAGAGCTACGCGAATTGCAATATTCCTTTGTAGTTCAACACTTGCAGGGGCTTTTGGTGGGTCAGAAAGCCATGAACTCCCGATATTAATGATATTCCAGCAGCTAATGATGATTATAGTGCCATTGCGTACGGTGTTGGGCATGTGAATCGTACAGCAGGCCTTGTGGCATGGCGCTGGCTCTTTATCATTGAAGGCATACCGTCCGGTGCGTGACACAATCCCAGACTACTTTTACTGTGCGCAATCGTGGGATTTCTAACCAGTTTGATAGTGATCGTGGGGATCTTAGTGTTTTTCTTCATGCCAAACTACCCTGAAAACGCTTCCTGGCTCACAGAAGCAGAGAAGGCTATACAACGACAGCGTCTTTCTGCTGGAAACAATTCGCATGGGTGAGCGGATATCTTCTTACTGAACGGATTTGAGATTAACAGAATATAGTGAAGCTAAAATCAACTGGAAGGATGCAAAGGCTACTCTCAAAGACATCAGACTTTGGGTACACTATTCCACCTATCTCGCAGCGGGAAGTGGAGCTACCTCCTTATCGTTGTTCTCATCCATCATTGTTGCTGGTCTCGGATATCGCGACCTTCAGGCACAGCTATTTACCGTCCCTCCATATGCTGTTACATACGTAGTTACGCTCGGAGTGGCCCTCTGGTCCGACAAGTTGCATATGCGTGGACTATTCGCTTGTGCCGGATTCAGCACAGCCGCAGTCTCCTTCATTATCCTCGGTAAGTTCATGATAATGTCAGCACTAATTATGTGGCGTTGCAGCATTTACTGACTGGTATCTACAGCTGCTATACCTGGAACTCATTATGGCGTACGGTACGCCTTCTTGATCATAGCCACCAGCGGCTGTTTCTCTGCACTACCACCTTTATGTGCATGGGTCGGAGATAACGTTCGCACCACCACTGGGGGCTCTTTGGCCACTGCTTTGAACATTGCATCCAGCGGTCCTGGACAGATTATTGGCGTCTGGATATACCGTGCACAAGACGCTCCGCTATATAAGCTGGGTCACGGTGTCAACGCAGGCTTTCAGTTTCTTGGGGCCTCCATCACTCTAGGGTTGTATCTGTATTACAAGAAATTAAACAGAGGGCTTTCTGGCACTGATTCATTGAAGTGGGTTGCCTGATAAGAGTTTTGGGTGGGTGAGAAAACATGGGTGGCAGGAAGTGAGGGATATGGGATTTCATGATCCTGTCGAATAGCTAATTACGAGGAGGAACCCGAACACAGATAACTCTCATGGCTATCGATCTATGAAAATGTTTGTAGACTCGAGTATTTGAAAAGCAATGGGAAGGGTATGCTGCTTGGCCGAAGTACTAAGTATTTTCGTAGCAATGAGTGGGAGGCTATGGCAATGAGGTTATGACTCTTGCTCAAATCTTCCTTCAGAGGGGTTTAGGAAACTAGTTTACCGTCATCTGCTGGGAGAAATATTACGAAGGACTACCGACGTTCGTCGAGAATTCTTGATTCAATTTAAGTGCCAACACATTTGGTTGATGCTTCCTAGTTGTACGGCCGCCACCGATATCTTGGTCATCGATATTATGGCTATGATACCTTACCCTGCTTATGGCTTGTGATGGGTTGAGCGTCTCTGACGTCTAAAGCTTAGATTACAACGCATTGCTACAGAATAATAAAGGGGATCATTTGAGCAGGTAAACGAGGAGGTCGGTGTGTTTTCGATGGCGTTCTAAGTGTAACTTGTGGTATGTATCGCTACGTTGCGCCGCCTTTCAGTGCAAGGCACAAGATGACAGCAATGAAGCGTCCATTCCACTTCACATACAGGTCCCCTGACTTCATGTTTAGTGGTCTTGACTTTACAATATGGTCTTCGGAGAAGATTCGTTGGCTCAAGGTCGATGGCAACATTATAGATTCGACCGACCCTGAAGACCCTTTGAAATTCGGGTGACCTCCACAAGAGTTGAATGGACAACTTCCAGCTTCTCGAGACCCCTGGCATCCCAAAGAAACTTGAAATTGTTCTTGATCGCATCGCCTTCTCTTGCTTCAAGACTTCCCTTGGGCAGATCCCAACTGACTAGGAGCACATATGCCTTTCCCTGCCTGATGGTCCCGGGGATGTCAATCATCTCCCTAACCCAGCCTCCAACTGAAGAATTGTAGGACGCCACATTTTCGAGAGTCGCAACAAATCTTTGTGCTTGGCTTTCAACTTCATGCTTATCTACTTCCGAATATGTGTCTGGAAACCACATCGTTATGATCTGAGTGGTTCTTGATCGAGCATCGCAGGGAGTTTCTGCTTTACCATAAGGGACAAAATCAGCATGATATGCCCGTGCCCCGGTGTCTAGAATTCCACCAAATTCCTTAAGGAATGGCTCGTAGACACTAGTTGATAATCAGCTCAAAACGCTTAATGATATTCTGAGACCTAACGCTGACGCCATGAACCTCGTATGCGATTCAATGTTATCCCAATCAACAAACCACATTAACAGGGGGTTGTCCTCATATCGACGACCCCATCGTACTCGATGCGCTCCTGGTTGAGATAGAATTACTTCAACGGCGCTGTCATGAATTTGGCTTGCGATACTGTTTGTATCTTCAGGGTTGCAACTCTGTTGCAGGGGTAGCAAAGCGATTTCGGTGACAACCATTTTCTTGCCACTACGGAGGTACTCTGCTCGTTGAAGTTTTGGAAGAGCTTATCATCAATCCCACAAAGCGGAATAAGAAAAAGCAAGTAATCAGGTCACTATCACCTTTAGAGCCGGCTCATGTAAATTATTTGCGTTTCGTAGAAGATGATTTTTGACCAATACTACGGACTGAGCCTGAGATGTAGATGGGCACAAACACAAGCTCTAGCCAAAAATTGCTCTTTCCGTACCCAAGACTACACATTCCACAATTTGCAAAGACTTTAGATCTGGTAATACAGTGGCAACACAAAGACGCAAGGCTGTTCGGGTGGCTTTTTGGCTGGATTAGATGTGGGGAGAATTGAAACCCCCTCCAGATAGCTATGGAGGCCCGAGGAGCCCCAACTTGAATGTGTATCGGGGACACTAATCAGAAGTCCGACAAACTCTCCCTTCCATTCCACCAGTAAGGCCCATTACACTTTGCTTGCTCTGAGACACGGTGCATCGCCCCTGAACTTCATATCTTTGCTGTGCCGAATTTTGCCTGTCTGCAATTCTATTGTGGCTTCCTGTCGATCACCTTCCTCTACAATTTCCGGCACGCCAGAACCAACTCAGTTCTTTTGTTGATATGCCAAAGCGTCAACTAGTAGTGCTCTAATAAGTTTGAGACCGCCTGCAACAATCCCTCTTCTCATCGACAGTTCGACGAACCATGGTCACTGCAGCTGAACGCCCCTCGGTTGTTGTACCGGTCTCATGTCTGGTTGAGACCAACTCCGCCACGCCAAATGCACCCTTTTTCACTCCTGCACATGCTACAAACCCCGGTGTCCCAGTGACTCCCGGCCCGAGTACACCAACGTTGTTCACTTCTCTCAAAATTCGATCAAAGTGTCTCAGGAATCGAATAGTTGTATCGCCAATGTGCCAGTACTCGGCTGCTGCCAGTGGATCGGAAGTAGGCAAGCTCACAGACTGGCATGTAGCTACATTGGGGCACTATGCCCTTAAAGGCGCCGCTCTTGTTTTTACCGAAGCTACAGGCGTAACGCCAAATGGTCGCATCACACCCCATTGCCCAGGACTTTGGAAAGATGAACAAGTCATCAGCTTCAGGCGTGTTTCGAACTTCATCAAGTCGCAAGGAGCTCTGTCAGGGATACAGCTAGCACACGCTGGGAGAAAGTCAAGCACGTTACCGCCGTGGATTGGGGCTCAAGTGAACAGGCCTTCTTTGCGAGCAACAGAACAAGCTGGTGGTTGGCCCGAGGATGTTGTAGGTCCGATGGGTGGGCCAGAATACTCTTGGGATGGAAAAGGTCTGTCTGAGGATGGTGGCTTTAATTGTCCACGTCAGCTCAGCGTTTCTGAGATACAAGATATTGTCAAGGCATTCGGTGAAAGCGCTCGGAGGGCCGTTGAAGCTGGATTCGATGTTATTGAAATTCATGGTGCTCACGGCTATCTTATCCACCAATTCCTGAGTCCTATTACAAATCGAAGATGTGACCAATATGGAGGCAGCTTCGAGAATCGAACACGCCTACTAATCGAGATTATTCAGACGGTACGAAACAATATGTTATCGGGTATGCCACTATTTCTCCGCTTAAGTTCTACGGAGTGGATGGAGGAGACAGAACTAGGTCGAAAATACGGTACCTGGGATGTCGAAAGCACTATGCAACTCGTCCGCCGCTTGCCATCTCTGGACGTTGACCTGGTTGATGTTAGTAGCGGGGGCAACCATTTTCTACAACGGATTGAGATGACATCATCTAAGGATTACCAAACAAAAATTGCAAGTCAGATACGCAAGATGTTGAGAAGAGATGGTCTAAACCTTCTTATTGGCGCCGTAGGATTGATCACCGAGGCTGAACAAGCCAGAGACGTCGTCGAAGAAAGACCCGATAGCAGTATCGAGAGAGAGTCGAACGATGGTGAGCTTCTGGTTGAAGCCAAAGGGGTCAGAGAAGCGATGGCTGACATCATACTTGTGGGACGTCAATTTCTGAGAGAGCCTGAATGGGTACTCAAGGTCGCTTGGAAGCTGGGAGTTGATGTTGGCTGGCCTAATCAATTCTGGAAAGTGCGGTTTAGATAGCTCTAAAGCCTTCCATAGCGAAGGGTTTATTCTTTAAAGGAGGGAAGACTAAATTATTCTTCTTGATTGAAACACTAGGCAGCCGTAGTTGTTTGACTATTCGAAATATGTGGCACAGTTTGGCTCAATATGAAGCAAAGTTTATAGGATGTTAGCCCTTTCTCGACAAGGGTCAAAGAGTGCCGTATGCAGAAACAAGTTAACACAATTTTCTTAATCTGCGTACGATCTTGAAGAATCAATCTAGTCGCTTAGCGCATATTTGAAGTCTTCGAGAAACCTCCAATGCACCTTTTCCCGCCACCCTTTTGCCTTCCAGTCATTCACTTCAGCAGGAAACATGTCTACAACGCCCTTGATACTAGAATCGTGTGCATAAATGAACAAAACATTTTCATCTGCGTCCGGCGATTGAGTTTTGCTGATGGTGTCTATGGCCTGTGGGATGTCCGTGCCAAAAGTCGGTTCAAAGAACGGTTGATCAGGCCGCCTCCCTCGCCTCTCTTGCAAGGCTTCAAACTTCGCACCTGGGCAGAACCCGCCCCTAAATTGACTGAAAGCATCGAGATGAATTTCCTTTGGCAGACTTGCGTATTGAGAAGGACGTATTGCACCTCCATGATGGCACAAATCTCCACCCATCATGATAAATGTGTTCGTGGTGGTACGTGCAAGACCTGCCAAGTGACCGATTGCGTGACCTGGAGTGTCGAGTAGGTAGAATGAACCATTATCGAACAGATCAAAGGCACGAAATTCACCAATATGAAGGGCATTCTTCGATTCTTCGAATGTAATCTCTTGGAGTTTTCGACCCCTGAATGATGATATGTGAGAGGGAACCAACGATATTGCGAAGCACAATAGCTCCTGAGAGTGGAACTTACTCAAAATCGCTCTCCCTCACTGGGGAGTCTTCATTTGCGGGATAACCGGGGAGAAAATTCTCCTTGAACCCAGGACCAACAATCAATCGTGTGGAAGTCGGAAACTTGGATGGATCACCAATGTGATCCCAGTGCCAATGGCTTGATGAACCCGATTCATGTCAGCAGGCCATAGACGTATCAAAATTACGAGGTTGAGGAGGCCAATTCGTAAGTGCATGGCCGCTTACCTCCAAATAATATCAGTGATCTGAGCCGGATCAATCCCCTCCTCGGCCAAAATTTCTGAAACGTGTTTCTCTGATGAGATCTGCCAGCTCCAGCCGTCCAGGTGCACATTTTTCATAACCCAAGGTGAAAAGTCCTGCCAGTTGGGTGGCACACCAAGATCAAAGAGTGCCTTGCGACCATTTGTGCTCTCAACGAGAAAAGACCATCCAGGGATTTCTGGCATTAGGTGCATACCAGGCATCGGTGGTCCCATGATGTGATGTGTCTCCAGAGTCTTGATACTGGTAGTCGTGTCGATTATCCGGACGCGGGCCACCTCACCTTCCGGCACACTGAATGCTCTGTTGTCAGACATGCTTGCAGAACCGAAAGCTGGCGTGGGCTGTCGCAAAGATCCAGTTGTAGCTTGGATACAGCGAATCTCCAATCGTTTGTCGGATTAAATAGTATTCCCCGACGAACCGCGAGCCGTCTTCCATCACAAGTCGGGGGCACTAATACCAACTCCGATGTGAATATGTTGGAGAAGGATTTCGCAATTGGGGGACGAGGCAGATGATTAGGTTCAGCAGAGTGTCTGTCCACACGAACTCCATAATTGCTGTCGTCACACGTACCGAGAAAGTCTGGGGCAAGTGTCTTGTGCCTGACAGGGCAGAACTGGGGTTCAAGATCATTATTGCCGCCTCGATTAGTGAGCTTTTTCAGTATAATTCGGAATATCAGCAACAAGATTCCTTACCTGAAAAATGAAATCCACAAGATTCTGGGAAAAGGTCCTATTTGGACAGCACACTCTGGACCTCTGAAAAGACAAACACCAAGTATTTACCATCCTTCCAAAATCGGGACAGACTGTACACTATCACAAACAGAAAACATGCGTACAGTAAAAGACGAAGCGCTCGATGTGCTGGCTTCCATAGGATCCATCGAAACAGAATACCCGCCCGCTCCATACAGGCCATTGGATCAATATCACTCGAAGCCTAGCAAGATTAGAGTCGCTGGAGCGGGTGCCGGTGCGACGGGAATATGCCTTGCATACAAACTGGAGCGGTTACTAGATCCTGGAACATGGGAACTTACACTCTTTGAGAAGAACCAACACTTCGGAGGTACTTGGTTTGAGAATACGTACCCAGGTGTGGCATGTGACATTCCTGCACCCATGTACACCTATTCGTTTGATCCAAATCCGAACTGGTCACACTACTTTGCTTACGGATCGGAAATTCAAAATTACTTCGAGGACTTCGCGAAACGACATGGTATGGAGGTGCTCAGTATAGGCATCGGACGCGTGACTGATCTACTCCCCAGGTGTACAAAAGTATATGAAGTTGAATACTAAAGTGGTCGAAATCAACTGGGATGGAAATCAGGGAATATGGAACATGTAGGGATATTCGCGCATTATAGAACCCTAGCTGACACTCCCAGCGTGCTTCAGGACCAAGTGACCAAGGAAACGTGGAGTGACTGGGCTCATGTCTTTGTCAATGGCACAGGACTTCTCAATACCTGGAAGTGGCCTGAAATCAATGGCTTGTTCAACTTCAAGGGTTCACTGATGCACTCGGCGAAATGGAATCACGAAGTAGACTTTGCCAATAAGACTGTTGGAGTCATTGGGACTGGCAGTACCTCTGTCCAAATCCTGCCACAGTTGCAGAAAATTGCAAAGCAGGTGAAGGTATTCATGAGAAGCCCGACTTGGATTAGTCCTCCGTTTGGTGGAAGTAAGATCTCACGTCAAACTCTATGATTACATCTATGCTAAAAGCGTTCTATAGCCGCTCTAGCAACCTTACGAAAAGGCGCAGAGGTGAGTCTCAGCACAAGGCAATACAAATTCACAGAAGAGGACAAGCAGCGTTTCCGAGACGATCCAGAATATTTTTTGGAGTTCCGTAGAGAAATCGAAGCGGAGATAAACATCATGTTTGAGATGTACATGCAAGGTTCTGATGTATCGAAAAACTTCAAGAAGCTCATCGCCGAGGAAATGAAGAGACGTATTGGTCCAGGGCAAGAGAAGCTCCTCGATTTTATCATACCAAAATGGTCGCCTGGCTGTCGAAGAGTGTCACCTGCAGATGGATATTTGGAGGCGCTAGTATCACCCAATGTTGAGCCTGTCTATGGAGAAATCGACTATATTTCGAAGAAAGGAATAGTTGTGGACGGCCAAGAACATGAGATGGACATACTAGTTTGCGCAACGGGCTTCCAACCTGCGTTCAAACCCCCTTTCAAGGTTTGCTATTCTTCATTTGGGTGAAAATGAGCTAACACATGGCCTCTCAGGTCTTCAACGGAAAGAAAACACTTGCCGATGATTGGGGTCAAGGTTGTAATATGTATTTGGGTATTGCTGCGCCCAGATTTCCGAACTATTTCACTATCGCCGTGAGTCTGGTCCTCTTTGATCGGCAGACTAAAATGAGGCTAATGAATGACTAAAGGGTCCTGGCTCTACATGGAGCAATGGAAGCCTCATACCTGGAATTGAGACCTCCATCGAGTATATTATAAAGCTGATGAAGAGGATCCAGAAAGAAGGTGTCTTGTCCTTATCTGTAAAACAAGATGCAACCGACGATCTGTATCAACACTTCGATGAAATTCACAAACGCACTGTCTGGCAAGAGGAATGCCGAAGTTGGTACAAAGATGGAAAACGAAAGAATAGAATTTACTTGTGGCCCGGACCTGTTGGTTTACACTGAAGACATGCTCAATGGAAAAAGACTGACAATTTCCAGACAATTCACTACTTGAAAACGATCAAGGAACCGCGGATGGAGGATTATGACTTCAAGTATAGATATGGCAACAGATTTGCGTTCTTGGGAAACGGGACAGTGAGGGCAATGATGACAAAGGATATTACAGGCTTGAGCCCTTATGTGCGGAACGCCGATACTGAGTGGGACATTGAATAGTTACTTCCTCGGGTTTGGGCAAATGTATGTTGTGATGTCTTACTGCAAAACCGATGTGTTAAGTAAATACAATAAAGAATCAAGTTCCAGCAGGATTTTACCAGTCGATTGCATGTTGCCTTGAAACGATTGAGCGTCTAGTTTCAAGCAGCGTACTCTGATCTTAAGTGATAGGTGGAAAACCACAGTATATACAGCTGTAGACTTTGTTCGCGCATAATCTAATTGATCTATATCTCATCACTGAGTACCATTACAGCTTTGCGCGTGGTTTCTCGCCAGAGGGACCAAAGTCTGGAATGTCTTTCATTTCAGTGCCATACGCTTGTCGTATAACGTATTGGACTTGGTGGAGGGTACTCTCAGCTAGAAATGGACTGTCATTGACACCCATAATCTTCTCCCAGTCATTTAAGAAACTCTCAGGCGTTTGAGCCTTCAGACCCGGAAACGAAGCCAGTGTCTCCCGTGCAGCCCGGTTGGCCCCCACGGTGAAAACCTCACCAGAGCACGGACACTCTTCGGCACAGAGAGCAATAGTGAATGGCACACAGCCCTAGTAGTTTTGCAACTCAGTATCTGAAACGAAGAAGAAAATATCGTCCATGAACATACCTCCGTTGGAAAATAAGTGTGAGTGACAAACTTGGTGCCTTCTGAAAGATCACCCATTCTCGATGCCCCTGATGGCATGGTGCAATTGATCTTGATGCCGTCTCGTTCGGACCATCGTCCAAGCTGTCTAGTCATGGCAAATACTGCCGCCTTGGACGCTGCATACGCGCAATCGCCACCTGACCCCAGCCCATACATTGCGTTCGATGAGGAGTTGATAATGCGCCCAAACTTCTGTTTCGCCATGATCGGATATACTGCGCTGGTGAGCATTGCCGCTCCGAGGACCGAAATTTCTAGGACGCGCATGAAGGCAGAGGGATCCACGTCGTTGTGAGGGGACATTTTACCCAGAATTCCTGCGTTGTTGACTAGGATATCGACTGTCCCGAAATGCTTTACTGCCGTATCCACGATGTCCTTGTAGTCTTTGGACACATCGCCCCCATGAGCTACTGCAATTCCTCCTTTGGCCGTGATTTCATCGACAACAGCTTGTGCAACCGCAATGGTCCCTGACTGTCCTTCCAAGTTGCCGCCGTAGTCATTCACCAAGACTCTGGCCCCTCTTTGAGCGAGAGCCAACGCATAAAGTCGACCAAGCCCTAGACCTCCGCCAGTAACGATCGCCACCCTGCCGACCACAGACATTGAGAGTGACTGTTGATTGGAAAATGTGAGGGGCGACAAGAGAAAGTATACGACCTGTAATTGTGCGAGTAAGTCTTCGAGTACAGTACTTCGACCAGCCAACGTGATTCGTATGTAGTAGGTTAAACGACTTCCTGCCCGAAGCAGGTATGAGCCTTGACTATGAAACAGTGAATAGACTAATTTTCCAGTCTCTGATTAAACCAGCGAGAAATGTAAGCCACGGAACATTCAAATGAGATATCTCCACTTGCGATGGCCGTCAAGAATATCCTATGATCGTTGAGGCTTGAATCTCAAGCTGATCCTTTCGGGTTCCTCATGGATGCAATCCCACACCTCCCAATGGAGAACCATTCATAATCGCACCCAATCATTCTTGATTTTCTGCATGGCTAAGATTCTCGGGGAGGCTAGAGGAGAATCCTAAAGCGTAATCAGCGAGTAAGAGACTGGATGGAAGGGACTAGTTAGGCTACTTGGTTTCGTATCCTAAGCGAGTAGAGAGATTTACTGAATGCACAATCACGATCTAATCTCATTTGGGTTTTAGGTGTCCCCACAAGTTGTGGATAGTCTCTGTTTCTTAGCACTTTTCACTAAATCCAGTCGGATGTGCACGGTCTTGGAACGGCCATACTGGTGTTCGAGTCAACCTAGACAGTCCCCGAAGATATTTTACCCCGAGTTCCTCACACCCAATGCTATGGGGAGTCTGCAAGCTGGCAGCATAATTGCACATCTTGAATTGAAACATGTCTTTGTGTTCACATCCTCATTACAACGGGGAGAAACCTCACTGGCCAGGCAATCTGAGGCTAGAGGAAGTCTTGGTTGCCACTTCTAGTAGGTGCTTAAGTGTCAGATCGGTCATTCTGGGTTGAGTGATTGTCGAAGCCGGTAGCTTATGGGCCGCATGTGTATTGAGGTTGGCTTCTCAAAGTTTCACATACTACAGTCGTAGAAGGCAGAACGAAAATAAGACTGTAATATTCTTGGATCCCCATCAAAGAGAGTGTCATAAAAATGCACCTTCCGAGATGCTCATCTCAAATAGTCCGACCCAGCCTCTCGAGCCGCAACATCAAATATTGGTTTCGCAGCAAACCAGCCCGCCCTGGGCGTACCATTACTTTTATACGTGAAAGAAGCGTCCTGATCATCGATCTTGATTGTGTAAATCCCTCGACCGCCAGCTGCAGCATCAGCGAGAAGCTGGGTATGGCAACACTTCTCAAGACTAATAAACCAATAGATGGTCGCTTCAATAGTCTCTCCGCAAGTCAAAAGTCCATGGTTCTGCAGTAGACATGCTTTCCTGCTGCCAATGGCTTTAGCGATATTCAGGCCCTCCTCTTCGGCTAGCACAATGCCCTTAAATTGTTTGTAGACCGAATGATCCTGGTAGAATGCACATGCATCCTGTGTAATGATATCTATTTCGCGGCCAAGGGCGCAGAATGAACGACCATAGATGCTGTGCGAGTGTGCAGCACAGTTGACCTCGGGACGAGCTGTATGGATGGCGTGGTGGATCATGTATGCTGCTTGATTGAGTAGACGATTGGGCCCTCCATCGATAACTGTTCCGTGAGGATCAACAAGTATGAGATCGGAACTCTTCATCTCACTGAATGACAGGCCAAATGGGTTGACCCAGAAATGGTTCGGCATCACCGGATCACGGAGTGTGATGTGGCCAGCAACACCTTCATCGAAGCCATATTTTGCAAAGAGACGGAATGCGAGCGCTAGGCGCCCTTTCAAATATATCCTTTCCTCATGTCTGTCTGTGAACTTTGGCGGGCCAGGAAACTGAAGGATTTCTGAGAATTTTTTGGCGCATGAATCTGGAGATGTTTGAATAGGAGGACTCTCCAACGAAGTACCAAAAGTTCGGCTCTCCGTGTAGGTTCCTATAGTCGTATTGACAGCCATATTGCTGAGAAGACTTAAATTCAAAAGAGCTATGTCAGGCATGAACCAGGATGGTCACAAAGATGACCCATAAGGACTTCGTTGAGCCCTTAAATCATACTTCCGGTCATCCTGATGTCGACCCCGGTGTGTACAGGATTTCCCTGCCTAAAAAATTGCCGAGACGGAGTTTTAGCTGACCCCGAAATGTTGGGAAAGAGTGCCCACAAGCTCGAAGAGACATCATGTCTTAGTCCGAGGGTTGTAAGTTCGACGGGTCCATACAAATCGAATAGGAAATGCATGCTCAAATTGCCACTCAAGTTGGGGTTGACTAGAATTCGTCGCTTCGTGACCAAGGATTCTTTAGACCAGAGCCTTGTACCATCTAGGTGACTGGCCAGCTGAACGAGACGTCGTTTATTGACAAAATAGAAACAAGGATCGAGGTGATCCTAATTTAATCGTCGTTTCATGTAGTTAATCAATATTTCATAAATGTATTCATGAATTTATTCTAGATAACATATGTTACTATACCGAACCACCAATATGCTTAGCGTACCACTCGTAACTCATGCTAATCCACCCTGCCCGCGAGTGGTGGACTTTTCAAAACCTTCAAGCACAAAACCTTAGGGCGTCATTCCTCCATCAATCGTATAGACTGCCCCTGTCGTAAAGGATGCATCATCGCTGAGCAAGAATGCAATCAACTTGGCGACTTCCTCAGGCTTTCCCATTCGATCAATTGGAGACATTCCACTGCCACTGACAGCACCACCTGCTTCCTTAGCTATGTCGAGCATTTTTGTATCAATAGCTCCACTTAAGAACACGTCAGTCAAAGATTGCTTCACGCAGAACATAGCATTGCCACTCACGGCGCAATGGCGTTGACTCTCACTCCGCGATGGCCGTTTTCAGCCGCGGCGACCCTGGTCATTCCAATGACAGCATGCTTACTGGCGGCATAAGACAAAGCCTTGGGTATTCCCATCTTTCCCGAAACACTTGCAGCGTTTACGATTGACCCGCCGTCCTCGATGTGTCGTAGTTGAGCACGTTGACAAGCCATCAGCCCCTTTACATTAATCGCCATAACTGCATCGAAGTCATCGTCGGAGACATCGTGTGCAGGTTTGAGTCCAAATTCACGTCCGACTGTGCCCGCTAGATTCACTGCCCCAGATAGTCTGGAAAAGTGCTTGATAGTGGATGCGATCCAGCTGTTCACTTGATCGGAACTTGAGACGTCGACCTTTGTTGCAATCACATCGATTTTAAACTTGATTCGAAGCTCATCTGCGATTTGGTTAAGAGCTTCTGTATCCATATCGGCTAAAGATAGGCTGGCGCCTTTAGACGCAAGATGGGCCGCCGTCGCTGAGCCGATGCCCCCTGCTGCCCCGGTGATGGCGATAATCTTTCCTTCGAGAGTCGCCATGGAATATTAGGGACGAAGTCTTGTGCAGAGGATCATCACCTAGATTTGAGATAGCTGCGGTGATTTTTTTTTCATTTCTAGTACAGATACGGGAGGGCGCCTGCTCTCTGCAGAAGCCACCGCATTCCCCATTTCGAGATTACGATCTCAAGTCCTTGAACCCCCATACGGCACAGACCTCCAGGTTCCGGTGGGGTATTGTCCTAAGATGGGGAATCATTTTTGACTTGGCCACCAGACAGCCCATAAATTCCCCCACTACGAAATGACATTTGTAAATCATGAATTGACGGGAGTCTCGCAAACAAAACCAGTGGGAACGTATTCTGCCGAGGCTTCAGAATACACCCGCGAATATCAGACCGTGGCTATCGCAAAAGAGATTTTTGAGGAGAAACGACAAGGGAAGCCAAGACAAGGGTCTCGACCCTTCCAGCCTGGGTCGGAGGATGTACTGGTGGCCCCGATGCGCTTTAGGAGAAAACAATCATCCTCCCCGAGCCCACTCGTCATGTCATTAAGCTTCCAGAAGCGACTTTAAGCCTCTCAGAAGCGAGCGAACCATGAGCATTGGTCTGTCCGGGGTATCACCCCGTGGGGTGGATGTGGACTGATATAAGTCCTAGACGACGGCGCAAGGTCACTCGATCATGTCCAGGCGGCAAGACATTCAATTGTTACCAGACACCAGACCCAGAGATCACCATGGCATACACACTTGAGGAAGGTGCGAAACGCCAGCAGACATTCACGCCTTTCATAATCTTCATGCTACTCATTCTCGGCACTGGGTCGATCAGCTATGGATACACTGCTGCAATTATTGGCACGACCCTTGGTATGCATTTTCTCACGTCCTCAGCCATGTCGACCGTATACTAACGCACAGCTCCAGGCCAACCATCGTTTATTGCATATTTCGGACTAGCTACACGGTCCAATGCTAGTGCCCTCATAGGGTCAATGAACGGAGTATTCCAAGCTGGAGGCGTGATTGGTACGCTTTTGCTGCCATTGATAGCCGACAGATATGGACGCAAGATCGCCTGCATTGTGGTAAGTCCAATGTCTAGTTATACGAGAGATACGACCATTGTGTCGCTGATATTGTCATTTGAAGCCATCGATCATTATCATAATATCACAGGCACTACTCGCTGGTTCCGTGAACCTTGCCATGTTCATTGTCTTCCGTCTGTTTGCAGGCTTCGGATGCTACGCAACTGCTGCGATCGTCCCGATCATGATGAGTGAGATTGTGCCTCCCCGATTTCGCGGCGCGTGCGTGGATGTCATGGGTGTTGGGCTCAACATCGGTTATGCCGCCTCAGGATGGTTGGGCTATGGCTTCTCCTTCTGGGACGGCGAGGGGAGTGCGAATGCTTGGAGAGTGCCTCTGGCCATCGGGGTTTTCTTTCCACTGCTTTTTCTTGCGGGCATGCCATTTCTGCCTGAGAGCCCAAGGTGGCTTTGCATGAAAGGTCGCGAACAGGAGGCAGAAGAGGCCCTCAAGAGGCTGCACAGACATTCTTCGGACCCGGCCGGCGACCTAGCTCGTGCCGAGTTCTTTCAGATCCGAGAACAAATTGAGCTGGATAGCCAGCTAGACAATTCCTGGTATCGACTCTTCAGCAAGCCTTCATACCGGAAACGAGCCGGTCTTGCGATGTTGACCATGTTTACGACGCAGACATCCGGTGTTCTTCTGATCACTAGTAAGTGGACCCCTTTCAAAGCTCAGGCACTTTGCAACACTAACCGTGGTCTTTGTAGACTATGCACCCCTGATCTTCTCAACTCTGGGTTTGGACGCACATGGGCAGCTCTTGATCCTCGCACTCCTAGTCACGATCGGTATCGTGGAAAACGCGCTCGCCATGCTGTTGGTCGATCGGTTCCCACGGCCCAAATATATGGCGGTCGGCATGCTGGGCTGCGTGGCCGCGTTCGCAGCCGAAGCAGGCCTGGTCGCTCAATACGCAGGCACCAACAACAGCAATGCACTGAGAGCCGGCATTGCGATGATGTTTGTCTTCGGCGTGTTCTACAGCTTCGCCGTCGACGGGCCCCAGTTCTGCTACATCACCGAGATCTTCCCTACACACCTGCGAGCCAAAGGCGTAAGTCTCGGTATTGCCACGTTCTCCTTGACCAACATCGTCTGGCTCCAAGCTGCACCGACCGCCTTTGCGGATATCGGATGGAAGTTCTACCTCTGTCTCGTCGTCCCGAGCTTCTTCCTGGCGCTGGTCATGTGGTTCTTCTATCCGGATACACGTGGCAAGCCGCTTGAGGAGATCGCTGCTATATTTGGGGATGATGACGAAGTCGCTGTTCGCCAGGCTGATGTCGAGATCGACACCGCTACTCATGAAATTCATGCCAAGGGTGCAAGGGTTGGTGTGGAGATTGAGGATTCCTCAGTCGGCACCTATGCTGGCGAGAAATAGTGGCCAGTTACGGCTGTGTTGAGGATTGTACATACTTGACCGGAGAATTTGAAGTCACGACACCCGGACACTGCCCTAAGAGGACCATATCAGTGTGCTCGAGTTTCAGTGTGAGCAGAATTGTCTGATGTTTCGAATCCTATGGAGACGACGACACTACTCTTATGAACCGTCAATCATTGCTCGTGCCTAGAGTGATATCTTGTCCGTAGTCTCGATTTTCTCGGGAAACTTCAGGTCGTTCTGTCTCCTAACTTCGTCCATGACTTCCATGATCAATACAGACTCGTCGAGACTTTCGAACCTTCCTTCTTTCCGACCTTCAACGATGGCCCTTGCGGCTTCATCGGCCTCCCAGAACATGCCGTGGCCTTCGCCCTCCGCGTTTCTGCCACCTGCAAAGCCATTATACCAGCCGCTTCCTTTACCAGGCCCAGGCTGGGCCCATTCTTTGTCCTCCGTCGTCCCGTCAGTCAAAATAAGTCTTGTCTTCGTCGGACGGAATATTGGCGGCCACACTTGGATCTCGCCTTTGGAGCCCATGATTCGTACTGCAGGGCCGGACGTGCCCTTGCCATCTGTGTCATTCGAGGCGCGAAAACCCGTCGTCGCTATGCCGTGGGCGTCCCCGCCTTGGTCGGCAGATCGGGGGAAGACGAGCAAAATGCTCGTTCGTTCATCCACACCTGTTGGCGGATACTTGGTCACGGCTGAGACAACAGAAGGTGGTTGCGCACTGCCAGTTGATTGAGTTGTATATAAAGTCTGAAATATCCACGTTAGAGAGTAAATCCCCAGATCTAGCAGAGCGCCGCCTGCAAGATCTGGATTGACCATGCGATGTTTGGTGTTGGGCCAAGTGGCTTCAGGGTCATTTGTTCTTGTATTGTCTGCGAAGACACGACTGACGTGTCCAATCTTGCCACTTGCTATGAGTTCGCGAACGTAAATTGACAAAGGGAAGTAACGAGTCCAGACAGCTTCCATAAGGAACAGATTCTTCTCGCGGGCGATCGCGACAAGTCTCTTGGCCTGAGCAGCATTGACTGTGAATGCTTTCTCGCAAAGAACATTTTTTCCAGCTTCCAAGGCACGCAGAGCGTTTTGGTAATGATGTGAGTGCGGAGTGGCGATATAGACAATATCGATGTTATCGTCTTGCAGCAATTCTTCGTATGACCCATACGCTTTGGCGGATGATGGCGCAGAAACACTTCGCAGAAATTCTTCAGCGCGGGATTTGCTTGAGCTACTGGCGGCAGCAACTACTGTGTGGGCAACATCGTGAACATCACGTGTCTTTGGATCCACCAGCAAGTCTTTTGTGAATGTCTCTGCAATGAGACCGGTGGCGAGGATTCCCCAGCGCATGGTGGTTGAAGCCATTGTGATGATTTTGTGATCCAAGAAACTGGTGGCAACTTGCAAGAGAACGAAGATTGTAGATGAGAATTTTAAACTTGCAAGTCTGGCGCTATGATGCAATTGGACCGAGTCGCTAGTTGCAAATTCGGAGTTGGAAAAATCCGGGCGTACGTGAGGAGAACCAGTTCTGAATGCAACATCACAAAACTCGAACGTATCTGTTGAAGGATGCATGTAGACCTCCAGTATTGCTTGCATAAGTCGCAAGAAGAAACGTGTCGTTGCGTTGTTATGGATGAGCTGATGATAGCCAGGAAAGCTGCATGACATCCAGTCGACAGTGTTTCCCAAGATTGCATCACTTATTTGAGCTTTCGTCAAAGGTTGGTGCTTGTTGAGTGAAAATATAGGCTTTAACTTGCAACTGCAGGGCTTAGAATTTGGAGCATTCCCCTAGTCATTGATGCTTGCTGTGCACGATCGACCTCTTCCCAGACTCGTCCGCGAAGTTTGGCGACCTGGGTGGCCAGCTGCTCGCTTTCCACAAGATGCTTAGAGTACAGGTCCATAATATTCATGGAGACTTCGACGCACAGTGGCACACAATCGGTGTCTGTGATGTGCTTGAAAACCCAGAGAATAACCGGCTGGAGGCTGCCTTCAGTGCGATCCTCTAGAGCTGTTCGTAAGGCTGATCGATGTCGGAGGGTATTGAGAACGGTGATAACTGTCAACTTCTCCAGCTTGAGGGCAATATCGAGCGCTTCTCCATATCGCCCTTTGTGCAGAGCAAGTTCCCAAGGACTTTTCTTCTTTTGCTTGGGCCTCGCGTTGCCTTCTATGATAATTCCAGCATCTTCACCCGAATGATCTCGTCCTCTTAACCGCTTTTCAATCCCTCGAGGACGCTTTTTGGCCTGTTTCTTGTCATACTCTTCGAGCTTTCCAGCAATAAGAGCGTCCATCTGTTTTTGGCGTTCTTTTTCTTTGACTTTTTGTTCACCTGATAACCTTGTTTTGATACTGAGCTGGCCAGTGGACATGCCTACCACAACATGCTTGTCCTCCCGAGTACTGCCTGCCGCTACCACAGCAAGGGATAGGATGGGTGAGGGATATTTCGAGCCAGCAACTACATTCCAACCGGAGGTCTCGAAGACCTTCATGTGCCCATCGAGACCACCACTGACAAGTCTTGAGCCATTGGATGCCAAAGCCAAAGAGGTAACAGTTTTCTGATGATTTTTGATCATGTGTAGGGGCCGACCGGCGATTATATCGAGGACAGCAATCTGGTTATCTGCCGCAGCCAAAATAGCAGTTCCAGAAGGCATACAAAGAACACTTTCAACCGAGGCGATGTGCTTGAATGTCATGACTGCAGCAGACGGGGTCCTAGGGTCCCATAAACGTACTGTTTGATCATAGCTCCCAGACACCAGTAGATTGCTTGACTGTCCAGGCAAGAAAGCACCGGTACGAACATAGTCCTGATGACCACGGAACGTCTCGACACTTGCTTCACTGGGAAGATCCCACAGCCGCACGGTTCGGTCGTCACCACAGCTCATCAGGGCAGTGCTTTCTTTCGAACTCCAGCAGACAGTATGAACTGGCTGCTTCTGCTCTTTCCATGTTTTCAGAATGGCTCTTGAGTTAACGTCGAACACTTGAATAGCGCCAGTCTCATCGCCGGCTGCTAACACTCGTCCGTCATATCGTACCTCGCCGCTGTAGGCTGTGTCGTCAAACCTGGTGATGGTCTTGACCAGCTTTCTCGTCTTGACGGAGTAAAGCTGCACTCTGGTTCCGGTGGTGACGGCGAACAGTTCAGATGAGGTCTGGGTTGTAGGTGATCGCTGTGGTTGTGAAATGTGCACAACACCATGTTTTGTCGGGGAAGCAATGTTAACTGGTGACTTGAAGGTGCGCCAATAAGTCTGTTCTGGGGTGAGGGAGGAGGGTTGAGCAGGCAGCTTGACCTGCGCAATTGGCTGAACGTCAGCAGCCATGTTGTCTGTCAAGAAGCATGTACAAGTGGTGACGAGTACTGGGCGTGGGCACCAAGTTTGTGCAGACGGAGGCTGTTGGTGAACAATCGAGAACTGAACTTGAGGGTGCAGTTGTAATTTTTCTTTGAGATCTTATCTTATCGCATCGGCTGCCTAACCCCATTAGGTTTACCCGGTGGTCATGGCGGGCTTCAGCCTTTTGTCCTCCAGCCATCACTGCTGAACAACCTCTGGTCATCAAGGGCACCTCGTTTTTCACCAATTCAGTTAAAATGAGGACAAATGTGATACTGTCTTGGATGGACCGTAGCACCCGAAGAGTACTCCGCTTGGGAAATGTATTCCCCTAGAAGGAGGCAGAAAAGAGCCGTATTCAGAACACGGGCCCACTTGTCACAGCGGCTGCTTCGGACAACTTTAAAAGGAAAGCATAGGTACAATACATCTTGCTCCTCTACTGCAAGGCGCCGAGGTTCCATCTCCCTTCACTCGTGGGTCCTGTGTCGACGGGAAGCTGTTACAACTTCACGGAATGCGTGGTAGTACAGCGTGAATGTTCAAACAACTCGAACTTGAATTGGGATTTCAAGGGTTGAAAGACTCACAATCGGAAAAACTCGTCCGGTTGACTGCTGGCTTGGATGGCCTCAAAGAGTGGCTGCCTCCTACCTTCTTTTCCATGTTCAAGTTCTTTCCCTCCTGCCCAGGACGCTTGTTTCAACTCTCCATCGTTCCTTCCTTTGCCCCTCGTTCATAGTAATTGAAGACTTACGGCACCTGCCAACACAAAAAACCATCTTTTCATTCGAAACGTCATCGATACAGCCAGCATCATGTTGTTCAGGTAAGCGCTTTCCCCGAGTCACTGATGGGTCTTGCCTGCTGCTGTCAAGGAAGCACCAGATGGCGTCTTCAAAGACCTGTCTCTTTCTCCCTCTCCTGTCCTCTCCTCTTCTGCCCAATTTCATCCACACTTCTCACTGCTGTACAACTGCCTTTCTGGCCTTGCAAGAGCTTACAATCCACTCTTTAACAGTTCATTCCTTTTTCTTCATCTCCCTATCTTTGCCAGTATGGCTTTCTCTCAACTCATTCGTATGCCCATCACTCGCCATGCCCAACAAGCTGCCAATGGAACCAAATCGCTTGTCTCCCTGATGCACAAATATGGCATGACCCCAACTATGGGAGGCAGATATCAACGAGATCATAATCGTGCCTTGGTCATTCGTCGTGATGATGGTACCTCGGTTCCAGTGTATGAACTGCTTGGACTAGAATATGATCTTAATGGCTAACAACCTCAACAGGCCAGCTGAAGACTGGCAAAATGATATCTACTACACTTCTGAATGCTCCATTGGCACACCAGGACAGAAATTCAACCTTGTGGGTTCCAGATCTGAGAGATGACTTGCATCCACATGTTAACCACAAGATTAGATTTTCGACTCTGGTTCAGCTGATTTCTGGGTAAGCAATGTTCCAAAACTCGATCACGACAACTGTTGACCATATTCTAGGTCTGGTCCACTCTCCTTTCAGACGATATCTTGGCCATCGGTCGAGCTGAAGGTACTGCCATCTTCGACCCTGCTCAATCATCCACCTTCCAAGATGTTCCTGATTCAAAATGGAGAATCAGATATGGAGATCAATCTTCAGCGGGAGGAAAGGTGGGCACAGACAATGTCCTGATTGGAAATATCATGGTCGAAAATCAGACCATTGAGTTGGCTGATCGGATGTCTGACTCGCTGGTTCAGCAGAATGGTACTCATGGACTCTTGGGCCTCGCCTTCAGTGTCCTCAATACCGTTGTGCCAATTCCAGCAAACACTCCGTTGGACAACATGATTGCCCAAAAGGACATCCCCGTCGATCAATCATTGTTCACAGTGTATCTCGGATCTTACAAAGATGTCAATGATCCTGACAAGGGCCAATCGTTCTACACCTTTGGAGCTATTGACGAGTCCGTGGTGCAGGCAACCGGGCAACAAATCACTTACGTCCCGGTTGACAACACTCGTGGATTCTGGGAGGTCAACAATCCATCGTTCGCTGTCAATGGCCATGTGTTCGGCTTAACTGGAAACACGGCAATCATGGACACCGGCACAACATTGATGCTTGTCAGTGATCAAGTGTGTGGGGCCATCTACAACACAATTCCTGGTGCGATATATTCCCGAGATCACCAGGGTTGGCTTATTCCCCAGAGTGTCACTCTTGAACAGCTTCCTGAGCTCTCCTTTTCACTGGGTGACAAGCAATTTGTTATTGAGAAAGAACATATCCGTTATGGAACAGCCAAACAAACCGATAACGGAATGGTATATGGAGGTATTCAATCTCGTGGTTCCCTGCCATTCGATATCTGGGGTGACACCTTCTTCAAGTGTGTTTATGCCGTAAGTGAACCTTTTGAGACTCACCATGTATCATACTGATGCGTTTAGGTCTTCGATGCCGGCAAAATGCAGTTCGGTGCAGTTCAACGCGTCGACCCGACCCAGACAACGCAAACTTGAATCACCATGTTCCCGAGTCACCAGTTCAGGTGACAACATGTAGCTCATCAGGCTGTGACAGTGCGTGGAGGATGGATTTAATCATGTCATGGGTGCAAGACTCGCAATCGACCAAAGACATGCCCCAACCGAGAAGAGCTTCGGCTTTCTCCTACATAGCAAACCGCCACCAATAATATTCTTTCAGGCACCAAAATGATTTCGTATAATGTGCTTACTTGATCGCTTTTGATTTTAAAATCACGTATTGAGGTAGATGGGTCATTACTTTTGCAAAGGCAGGTGGTGGGCGAACATATTCACAGCATGTGTAGCGTTGAGGCAGTTGCTCTTTCCTCGAAACAACTCGAATGACCAACACATAGTCCCGCGCCACAATCATTCTTCACTTCACTCTTGGGCTATCATTCTTGCAACAAGTCTCGGCCTTGATTTCTTTCACTCTTTAACTCCTCACAACTCTCGATGAAGCGAAAGACAATTTTCTGGAGTCGGGCATTGGCCCTAATTGCCCTCTGCTGCTTCTTGATGGTCCAAAATCTGTACCATGAACCCTTGCTCGCGAGTTTCGTCGCCATCCAGGACACGTTAAGAAATGGGACCAGCACCTCAAGCACTGTGTCCAATCCAGCCTCGGATACGTTGAGATCGCTACATTCGTCCTCAACCCCAACTCCACCTGTGACCCACGAAGACGGGCAAGTCTTTCTGCCTGATTCCAAAGAAAATTCAATGTCAACTTTGGGACACAAGAGTCAAATTCAACTATCTTACCAGGACTGCAGCACCAAGCAGTGGAACAATTCCTTGGTCAAAAGCGCAAGTGCCATTGTAGACAACGTTATGAATGACAAGGAGAATTCGGTGGACGCCCTTGGCTGCCCGGCCGCAAATTTCTCCAGATATGCATATCTCGCTCAAACAACACCACACGAGTCAAGACCCAAGTACTTCTTTGCACTCGACCTCTTTCAATCAATCCAAATCCTCGAGCAATTGCTGCTCTCTATCGTCGAGGCCATCAAAATTCTTGGGCCGGAGAATTGTGTTTTGTCAATTGTTGAAGGGAGGTCTACTGACGGAACGTTTGAAACTCTTCAGACCCTGCAAAAAGAAATCGAGAAAATTGGGGTTCAGTACCGATTACAATGCGTTGACATAGAACCAACGAGCCCAGATGGCGACCGAATACTCGCACTAGCTCTGCTCCGAAATTCAGCACTACTCCCCTTACTTGCACATCCGAAGGACTATGCTCCTGAGACAAGAATCATTTTCCTCAACGATGTCGCCCTATGTGCCGAGGACATCTTGGAACTGATACATCAGGGCGCTGTGCTCAATGCTGATGTGACTTGTGCTTTTGACTGGTGGGAAGAGTTTTTCTATGATATCTGGATCGGCCGTACAATGGTTGGTGATCTCTTCTTCGAAATTCCGCAAAGTCATTCATGGGATTTCGCCCGTAACTTATTCTGGAACCATGAACCAAGCCGCAAAAGCTATAAGGAAGGTCGACCTTTTCAAGTTTTCTCCTGTTGGAATGGTGCACTAACAATCACTGGGAAGCCTTTCATGGAGGGCAAAATCAAATTCAGGTCAAGTATGGAAGGGGAATGTCGTCTGGGAGAACCAGTCCATCTGGCAAAGGATCTCTGGAATCTCGGATATGGAAAAATAGCAGTCGTACCCAGTGTCAATGTTGCGTATACACTGGACAATACTGTTCGGGTTAAAGAAGACCACGGAACTGTTTCGCACTGGGTTGAGCGAGAAGAAGGAAACGCTCACAAGATTGATTGGATTAAACATCCACCACCACAAATCAAGTGCTTCGTTGATTGGAGTCACCCATCGTGGGAACCATGGAATGCAGGTCTAAATCAATCGACGGGATCGGAAATTGGGTGATCTGACACACTGGCATTTCAGGTGATTCGGCGAGACTTTGGAGGCACGACTTTCCGGTGCTAGAGGGACCGACAGACGAAATAAATGAGGAAAAGTGGACGTACAATGCACTTTTTGGGCCATGTGACTTCGCACGGAAGCCTATGTACCATAGTGTTCATGGAAAAGTCAACAGACTGAGGTTGAAAATTGTTAACATGGAGTCCAGCAAATTGACGTGACGTTGGGACTTCGATATGCCAAATAGTCTTGGCAATTTGTATGGAAAAAAAGAATAGGAATCTCGGGGTTCGAACTATATGCTCCTTTTAACGTATCAAAGGATCCTACATCCAGAGGAGATAATCCAAAAACAAAAATTTGCAAACGTCCTCCAAGATGAGTTTACGTATAATATGTCCAAAGATTGATAAATGGAGTATTTTGGGCGTAGCCACGGCCATCTCTGGTAAAAGGCAAGAAATGGATTCTGCAATAGCTCGTCCCACTCCAACTAGTCTTGGCGGGAGAGTAAATATATATACCTCATTTTCAGTGAATGGTCATGTGATCGTGCGGGGTTTTGGTTTCTGGATTTCCGTTCCCCCGCATTACGTTTGGATACCTACCTAAGTACCTTATTGTTTATCCGGGAGACCTCGACGGCATTGAAGGTTGGACCTTCAGTTATTGCTCCTCCCAGAATAAGAACGAAAAGTCGATATCTTCTTGTTGTTAGGCTTTTAAACTCATTTTTCATTTCGTCGTTGCAATAATATCATTCAATGAGCAAGATGGCAGCCACCCAGGCAGCGTGCATTTTCTGCAAGATTGTCAAAGGTACGTGCCCGGACGGTGGAATGAAGCTTCCGAATCAGCGACGAAGCAAGAAGGAGGGATGGCCCTGAGAGAAAAGAAAGAAACTGTCGAAATCAAATCTCCGGGATGCACAGAGTGGATGTAACTGGAGCGTCAAACGCGTTCGAAGACTTTTGAGGGCTAGAAACGCTAATGGGATGGGATGGTCACAGGTGACATTCCGTCGTTCAAACTGTTCGAGTCCGACAAAGTCCTTGCATTCCTCGATATTCAACCGTTGAGTAAAGGCCATGCTGTACGTTCTAACCTCCGCCCCACTTCTCTTCTCTGGGCCCATGCACACAAGAGCAACTCCACCTATTCATTTACTCATTCACTCATTTACCATAGCTCGTAATCCCCAAACACCACGGCGCCAAGCTAACCGACATACCGGACGACGCACTGACGGAGATCCTGCCGGTGGTGAAGAAGCTCGCGGCCGCGAGCGGCGCCGTGGATTACAACGTGCTGCAGAACAACGGGCGCATCGCGCACCAGGAGGTCGACCACGTGCACTTCCACATGATCCCGAAGCCGAATGAGACTGAGGGCTTGGGTGTCGGCTGGCCCGCGGGCAAAACTGACTTCGATGCCCTCAAGAAGTTGCATGAGGATCTGAAGGCGAAGTTTTAGGGTTGTTGGACGATAGGGTACGGGGTCTATGATTGGTGAATCAGGCTGAGCCTGAGGTTCAGGACAGCATTGGGGAGGAGCATCAGGTGTGAGTACATAAAATTTCCGTGTGGCATGTTGAATGGTGCGCGACCGGTACAGCTTTAAAAACACAGAGAGAGGTTGAAGAAAAGTGAAAGACTATTACTATGCTCAAGATGATACAAACTGTCTCGACTTCTCATCTCCCAATTTTCTTAACCTGCTGAAATGCACTCCATACTATCAATACCCACCTGCATGCGCTGCCTTTTCCTTACTCCTCCTGCGAAGGTCCTTCCTTTCCCATGCCTTCACGTATCTGTCTGGACACTGGGAAAGGCAGCGTGATTTACCACGAAATCCCGTCCTGGGATCCTGTATCGGCTTCTCGTGGTAAGGAACAGAGGCTTTTGTTGCACTTATTGATGCAGTCAAAAATGCGGCCGAGCAGCCAGTCAGTCGCCTTCACTGGACTCATCTGGTCACCCATCCTCCAGGCCAGTTACTTCATCTTTTCTTCGACTCATGGTAACGGCGAGCAGCGCATACGCTCCAATCCAGACCAAGGCAAATGTCCAAATACCACTCCAGTCCCGCCTGTTCACGTCCTCCTGGCTGCTCCCTCAACCTTAGCAGCAGCACCACCGAACCCCCTACGCAACGCCGATCTCAGACTGACGATAGTCGAGACGCTCGAGAAGGACGATGCGTCATCCGCTGCAGCCATGGCTTTGACCTTGGCTCTTAGCTTGGCCTCTTCCTCCTTCTGCTGCTGTTTGCGTTTCTGCTGCTCTTGTTGCTTCAGCATCGTCTGGTATGCGTGTTCCGTCGCCCTTGGGTCTGGGCCCATCAGGATGTTCACGCTGCCTTGGTAAGACATTGTTGCTTTTGCTTGGTGGTGGATTTGGGGGACGTTGGTGAGGTGGACGGTAAGTGGGTGGGTGCGTGGTCGTGTTGAGGGTCTGGGAGTATCACTGGTGCTGGGGAGATGGAGAAGATGCTTGGGTTTTATTGTGGGAGTGTTAGGATTTGGATGTCTCGGGGACCTACCTTGAAACCATGGTCTTTATATAATCACAGCACAGCCGACATCAATTGAACGGCTACCTACCTCATCATCGACGATCGTCAAGTTAAGTCATCACCATCAGCGCAGCATCATAGGCAATTGACCACCCACATACGCCATGCTTAGTGGTCCCTGAACATTGGCGGCGGGAATGCCCTAGAATGGAACTCCCGCTATAACTCAGCAGCATACGCGACAGTGGTGGTTCCATAATCACTCGCGGCGGGATTTCCCCATGATACAATCCCGCCTCAACCCACCGGGTATATGCCAGACTGGTGCGAGAAACCTTCTCACGGCGGGATAACTTCCCCTATACTGAACTTCTGCCTAGCACCCACCGGCTACGGCGTGTCGGCCATCACCTGAGCAACATGATAACCGGATATACTGTACGCTGATAGTGTAAAATCCCCTTAAGACGCCCAGGAGCTGCGGCCGATGCGGCCGACGTATCTGGCTTTTCGCTTCAAGGGGTAAAAACGCATCAGATCTCGAGATAGACGACGAAAGAACGCTTCCACTGGGACGTTTTATTGGTTGGAGAAACGAGAACGAAGAGTCGAAGGTATTCGGTGACTCATTACGCTGAGACCAATCATTGTTGGGCTTTCTTGGTCAGTAGTGTGTCTTGGATGGCTTGGTATTGATGTTTGTCGCCTAAGACCCTTGTTGCTGCCTGGCGGACTGCAGTAGACGGATCGCCGCGAGTTAAAAACTGACTCTGAACGTGCTGGGGTAAATTGACAGAGCGAACTTCGGATTTCCTTATCTCTTGGTGCGTGAATATGATTCATGATGTCGCCGTTCTGTAGCAATGACTCGAGTTCACGATTCTAGATGTTCACTTTAGTCAGCATCTCGAGTTTGCTTACCATTCAACCTCGCCAAGATGAGTAGAAGCTGATTGTACCTCACCCCGTCTGAGGACGAGGCTGGTGCTAACCTGTACTCATACCTGAGGCTTTAATTCCGGATAGCCAGTGTCTCGCTTGTCCCCAGCCTTCGCGCCCGACTTTCCCTCCCAGACACCAGTTTGCTCGCACTCAATCAAACATCGACTTCGTTCAGCCTCGCGGTGGAGGGCTTTAGGCGCGACTACTGTCTCGGTCTTGTTCATTGAAGTCAAGTAAGCTACTCTCATCAAGTGTCAAACTAATTTTGCTTATGAGAATACTTAGTATCGTCCTAATGTTTTGTGGATCGATAGGACAGGCGAATCTTGTCCCAGCAAGATAAGCTGAAAGGAATGTCGGAATCAAGACCGTACCAGCTCACCAGCTCATTTATTGCATTGCTTTCAAAGCCTAGCCGTTTCGGCCAAGTCTGTTGCATCAGGTCAACCAAAATCGTTGATTCCTTTAGCATATGCCAGTCTACATCTGCTCTTATGCAATAAACCCACCTAGGAATGACCATGTAGCACTGTACACAGAGTTGAGTCGTGCAAGCGCTGTGAAAATTGATCGGGCAGCAGAAGCACATCCATTCGTGTTCCTAAGCGAATAGAATTCCGCCTTTTGATGCAAGCTGCCGCACTGGCAGCCGAGCCTCATCACAGCCACACTCTTTTGCGCCAGGGCAGACAAGGTAAAATCCCAGCCTGATAAAGCCAGAATTTCCTTTCTTCTAGCTGCATTCTGCCATGACTCTCGGTAGACCTGGAAATGGCTGCTCGTACTAATGCAATCAACGCCGCGTTCGAGACTGCGGTTCGAGACTTCAAGGCGGCCCTGGGAGACGAGAAGCTCTTCGAGGCTATCTCGAAGACGAAATGCATTAAGGACGTCTACGATGCCACAGACGCACTACAGAAAGAACAGGCGGCAAGTGGGCGTCTTCGGCACCTAGCCAAGATTCAGCCTTACTTAGAAGGGCTCAGAAGTTACGCCAGTGTGATAGAGGTCTTTGTTCAGACCAAACAAGATGTTTTATCCTTGATCTGGGGTCCCATAAAGCTCCTCCTGCAATGGACCAATAACATGAAGCAGACATTCGATGCCATCGTTGATGCACTTGCAGACATAGGTCTTTTACTACCAGAATTCCAAGAGGTCAGCAAGCTCCTCACCCACAATGAGCACATCAAAGATGTGTTGGTTTTCTTCTTCCGAGACATCTTAGATTTCTATCTCATTGTTCTGAAGTTCTTCCGCAAAACATGTAAGTTTGCATCAGGCCTCGAAATTAGCAAGAAAACTTATGCTTGTATTGTTCAGATTTGAAATTGATTTTCGAATCCATGTGGCCAAAGCAACGAGAAAAGATCAATATTGTGAGGGCTCAAATTCAAAGGCACACACTCCTCTTGAGGCGGGAGGTTGGCCTAGAACATATCCAGGAGGCGCACAATGCTCAGCTACAAGCTCTGGCTCACTATGAGAAAACTGAAAAGTCTTTCCGGCGGCAGGAGTACACGTCTCTAAAGATCAGCATAAGCCATAGAGCCTATGAGGGCACACTTGATTCATTCCAACCTCGGGTCTATCAGGAAACTGGGCGATGGTTGCTGAAAGATCCATTATTCATCAAATGGCTGGACATGTCAGACGCTTCCGTGAAAGTTCTATGGTTGCAGGGGATACCTGGCGCAGGTGCGTGTGAAAAGTACCAAAGGACTCTTGTTCTGGTAGCAGACGTGGCTAATGGAATAGTTAGGGAAAACATTTCTATCCAGCATCATTGTCCACAGGGCCATAGAAGTCGAGCAGACGCGTACGATCTATGCATTCCTTAGCTACAGATTCCGCGACACCTCATCAGCTGTCTCGATTCTCCATTCACTACTCTTCCAGCTGGCATCTGGCCATGATGACTTGGAGGATATACTTTGTCAAGCAAGCACCGAAGTCCAGAAGCGCAGTGTTGATGCAACTGCCAATCTCCTGAGAACCCTTCTCGGTTGTGCTGGGCCAACCTATATTTTGATTGATGGCATGGACGAAATCGAAGAGACAGAGCGTTCACGATTCCTGAAGCAGGTCCTTGAAGTATCCAGAGCCTGCCAGGAAGTGAAGATCCTCATAAGTAGCAGGGCTGAGGCAGATATTGCGGATCTTCTCAAAGATCAAGTGTCGATTCGTGTCGACTCCCGAAACGCTGGGAGTATTCATACATTCGTAAAACGACGTACAGAGGAGTGGTTTGACAAATGTGAGTTCTTGCCAGAAGCTCGTGATGAGATTCAGGGTCTATTGGCGCCACTCGCCTCCAAGGCAAAAGGTATTCCTCAATCTCTGCGCTGGGTTACACGTAACGACTAAACTTTTGGAAGGTATGTTCCTTTACGCCGAAGTGGTCTTGAGCAGCATGGATTCTTTGGACGACATAGGAGAGATTCGAGAGGAACTCAAAGTTCTGCCAGAGAGCCTAGACGCTGCGTAAGTCCTGAATGACCATTCTAACTCTCAATATTTTCTAATATGCTCCAAAGCTACTCTAGGATTCTGGACCGGATCAACCGCTTGAGTGCTCCACTAAGGGACAAAGTTCGAAACATCCTTGGATGGGTTGGATGCGTTCCAGTACCATTGATGATTCAAGAAATTGAGCAGGCTCTTGTCGTCAGCCGCGAGGGCGTCCAGGGAAATGCGAAAGTGATTTCTGTCCTGAATATGCCCAGGGTCTGCGGTCCGATTGTTGAAGTAGTCGATGGATATGTGCAGTTCGTCCACTTCACTGTCAAGGAGTAAGTACTACACAAGCACTACTGAACACGCTGCTAAGAACGAGATCATAGATACTTTTTCAGTCCAAGTATCAATGGATCCTTGAGTTTCATGGAGGCCACATTAAGCCTCGCAACGTGTTGCATCACATATCTTTGCCAAACGCATCACGACTACAATATTCCGGATGCAGACCTCGAATACAACATACTCTCTGGAGCCTATCGACTCCACGATTTCGCAGTACTCATGTGGCCCGAGCTTCTCAAGCGTTATAATCACTTGGTTGGACAGGGCTCTGTATGCGACAAGCTCGTCGACGTTCTTGAAACGCTTCGGTGCGAAAGAGCCAATGAAACGTACGAAGAGAGCGCTGGGTCATCTACTCCGTCATATCTAGAGCGTCTTAAGACAACATCCCCAGCTCTCCATGATATCATCTGCAAAGCTGTCCACTTCCGTGAACTATCCTTGAAAAGCAATTTTGACAAAGAAAAAGGTGGGTTGAACGTACACATTGCCTGACTATCAATTTATCTAATCTATGTAGGCCACTCGTGGATAGGTTTCGATCCACTAACAACATCCGCCAGTTCCGTTCGTATATATCATGGGTTTAACAATCTATTATGTCGAAACAAGAGTCATGAAAGTTCTAGTTGTCACTGCGAGGTCATTAGACGGCACTACGGTCAAAGACCCTTCAGATGCGGTTTCCTAGGTTGCACACTTCATCGTCATGGGTTTGATTCGTGGTCCCTTCGAAGGTCACATATGAAGCATCACGATCGACCCTGGAAGTGCACTATCCAGGGTTGTGACTACGCAGAAGGCGGCTTCATATCACGAAAAATGCGAGATGAACACTACCGGGAGCACCTAGCAATCGAAATCCAAGAGATCCCCGGCGTGGAGGATCCGGAAAAGGATGAAATTCAACCGCTTCTCTTTGACCTAGTCAAGGCCGACAAAGTTGACGCTGTCAGGGCTCTTCAAAAGCAGTTTCTGGCTCTTCCTCGGGGGGATGAAGATGCGCTAAGAAAACATGCGGCTTCCTTTGGATCCACAGCAATGATTGACTTGATCATGTCATTCCAGAAGACAAATTACCTGGCCGATTTCTTGAGAGCTGCGGTACAGGCTGGAAATAACGACATCTTCAAGCACTTACTGGCGCGAAGACAAGATCATGGTACTGTCATGTACCCCAGTGAGTATCCGTGGATCTTGATGGACATACTGGCATCCGACTCAGAGGATCTTTTCGAAGCGTGGGAAAATTATGTTGATATCGATATGACGACTTGCGACGACCATATGCGAAAAAAAAGGCTTAAGTACTATAGCGGGCAAAAGTTGATTGGAGCTACCGCTGGACATCCCGGCAGGGAAAACTGCCTGCTTTCTATCTGGGAGAGGATCGGGCTCCTGAAGTCCTCAAATCGCACGTCTCTTGGTAGCGCTTTAGTAAACGTGGCGGCAACGACATGTTCGGTCAAGCTCGCAAGACATCTCGTCAGTTATGGAGCAGAGGTGGACTACAGACTTAGTGACAGGTATTTGACACCACTTCATCATGCTGCGCGGCAAGATTCTGCGGCGGCCGCGGAAATGATGCAGTATCTTCTCTTACAGGGAGCAGATCCCGAGCTAGATGCCGGACGCAGTGGTCTGGGAATTCGAGATGAGAAGGGTGCCAAGGCAATTTCAAAGTGGCTGGGAATGACTTGGGACGAGGTCGTTGCAAAAGCCAAAGAGGAAAGGAGTGAGATAAAAGAGCAGAGCGTGCAAAGCTGGCAGCCAGGATCAAGTACGTAGAAAGCGTTCGTGTGTAATGGCCAAGATGTTTATTCATCAGAGATTTGACCTAGAATCCGGACACGGAAATTTATGCTACGATAGAAAAGAAATTTCCACCCTTCTCCACGCCTTCCATTCTAACTTTGTCAAACCAAGAATGATATAAGTTTCTGGCTTGGTCGTTAGTCTCATTAAATCGTTCAACAGTGATGCAAGGCGACAACTAACCTCCCACTGACTGTTTTGATCTTTGTCTGGAGAGAAAAGCTCCGAGTTCATCGACTGGTTGATGAGTTGCAGTTTGTCGTTTTGGATCCGTTGAATGTACTAGACAGGGTCAGTACATCGATTTGAAACCAAGAGATCGCACATAAAATTACTGATTCAATAGAGGCGTCCATGATGTATCTTGTGACCACAACTTCGCGTTCTTGTCCGATTCTGTGCACCCTGTCCACAGCCTGTGCCTCTACCATCGGATTCCATTGAGGCTCGATCAGGTGTACGTGGTTGGCCACAGTGAGATCAACTCTACCACGATCACGATATGTAAGCTCTGGCAGGACAATGTGAATACGTGGGTGGTTAACTCACCCTTCCCCAGCACTACCAATGGAGGCAAGCATGATAGTACAGGCTGAGTCGTCATTGAAATCTTTAAAGGCCTTCTTCCTGTTTTCAAGGGTTGTCTTGCCGTCAATGCGTTGCGAGTGAAAGCCATCTTTCTGGAGTGCCTGTTGAATCAAGTCAAGCATTTTGGTCCAGCAACTGAAGATGACACTAGTAATAATCAGTCAAGCGTCTTACCAGCGTTCACAAACAACAAGGATCACAAACCTCTTCACGGGCTTGGATGGCCCCTGGCAATGGGAGATTGCCTGTTCAGAACGAAGGTTGCGCAACAGAGCTTCAATTTTGGCCGAAGGGGACAGGCAAACATCTCTTGGGCTAGCAAACCTTGAATGGTCGTACGAACTGGATGATGTTGCTGCACATGTAGGGCATGATCCCTCCTCGTCAAGTGCAATCTCTTTCTGTGAAGCACAATTTGGACAGGTCCAGTGCTCACAGTAAGATTCATAGACATTGGGATCAAGTAAGTCCGCTTCGTCAAAGTCGATTTCACAGATGCAACATTTCCTTCTGTAATTTCGAATAGCTTGCCAGTCAATTGAAGTGCCATCTCGTGCTTTCCACGCGTCCCAAGCAGCTTGAGGTAGAAGTACCTCTCCATGATCACAAATGAGCCGCAAGAAGGTGATCAGGGGAAGTAGTTTCCCTTCTTTACGTCGGCCTGCTTCCAGCGAGCCCAGCTTTCTTGCTGATATGTCTTCGGCAGCTTTTGCACATTGGTCTCTGAAGAAAATGTACAGGTCTTGATCTTTTTTGTTAAATCTGACTCGTTCGACTCTCTCGGTCCGGTTTGGTAGCTCGCACGAATTGCCAAGTGTTATCTTTGTGCGTCGAAGACAAGTAGCTCTGATAAGATCTTTGAGTCTCTGCAAGCTGTTTACTCTTCCTTCCTTCAGAGGAGAAGCAACCCAAAAATCAAATCTGGACTTCTCCGTCAATTGGGGAATGGTAAGAAAAGCCAGTAATGCGCCATAGTCATCGAGAGAATTCTGAATCGGTGTCCCAGTCAAACACCAACGACGTTGTGAATTGATTGCACATGCAGCTTTGAAAGTCTGAGAAGACCGATTTCGAATATGGTGTGCTGAATTTCAAATCAGCAACAAGATCTAGTAACCGTTATTTAGGGCTGTGTTGCTGACCTTCGTCTAGAACAACGCGGTGCCATTCGGTTGAACACAGGGCACCATTGGCATCCCAGTCGGACCTGAGCGTCTCATAGGTTGTCAGGATGAGGTCACTGTTCTTGAGAACAGAAGACAGGCGCCGACGACTGGACCCATGATATACGGCTGCTTGCAACTGGCCAGGATGAACATGCCTAACGATCAATCAGACCTTACAACCTGCCTGGCATCGTAAGTTAACGCACCTGTTGATCTGGTCGAGCCAACCCGGTATCGCTTAAATGATCAGCTAAACAAAATCGTAAAGCACTGATGAATACTGCACATACTAGATTTTGGCGTGACAACCAAGGTAGCGGGAGACACCTTTGTTTTTACCTGACTAGTGTTGGTAGTCAGTGTGTCCAGGGACGAGCAGATAAGGGCCAACAGGCTCAATGTTTTTCCAAGCCCCATTTCCTCGATCAAATGTCAGCGCAACCAGTTCAACACAAGGGACCCAAATTTGACAAACTCACGTCAGCAAGCACCCCGCCCTTTACCAGTCTGGGCGATATCTCACGGTCACCAGTTATCCTATGACGATACCTGCATCATACTTGTCAGGGTCTTCATGGTCCGTTTTCTCGACAGCATCCACAACTGACTTATCTGGACTCCCGGGCTGAGGACTCAATTCCCAGATCGACGGAAAGATAGCGTTCTCAACGACTCCACACTCTTTCTCCACCATCATGGACAGAGCTGTAAGTTGGTGGCTGTATTCTGTCAGTAGTCTGTACTTCAGGGGCCACTGGTGCTCACTCTTTCAAAGTCGATCGGAGGCGTTGGCTAGCCCTAATCTGTGAAGGGACTCCAAAGTCACTTGTAGAATCGAAAACTCGCAATAGTTTACCCTTCTCCACTTCGCCTAGCGTTTCGGACGCTGTCTTGATGCGAGTATCAGAGGATATCGACAAATCCTCCAACGCTGGCAGCTGGCATCCAGGACGGACCAGGTAGTGTGGATTGCAGTATTCAACATCTGGCTCGCATTCTGTTGTCGATGGATGTTGAAAGTACAAGCCCGCGTCTGAGAGCAGCTCGCCAACGGCAGATTTCTCAGTCTTAAGTCCATGAACAATGATGCGTACAGAGCACTGATGGCTCATGAAAGAGTTCTTATTGTTTTTAACTGTAGTTCGACTAGAATTGGATGGTGATGTAATCAATGTTGCGCTAAATTTGATGAGGAATTTGTCAAGTAGTGTGCAGAGGGCTGGCAGCGCTATGAGGCCTGCGTATTTGTTTGAGTCTTGGAAGTAAAGCTTGAGGATATCTCCGGAGGGCTTTATCTTTACAGGAACTGCGCAGGCGCCCTGACCACCGTTGAAGGAGGATAGTGCATCTGCCATAATCTTCCATTGGTCAGCTTGAATTAGGGGGGTGATAATGCGATTTCCTTACAACTCCGAAGCAAGTATCGTATTGACCCGTGAAACTTCTTCTCTGAATGCAAGCTGAACCTGAAGTGCCAAGTCAGTCGTTAGATTTTATGCCTGATTAGGCACCCTGAACAAAGCATACCGATCGACTGACCTGAATAAGTTGATTCGTGGCGAGCAACCGGGCTGACAGGCTTGGGTGCAATAAATCCCGGAGCCTGACTTGTCAGCTCCCGTGCCTTTCCAAATATTTCATCTCCTTCCACTTTCGGTGGATAATCGCTAGCGATTTGCTGAGGCATACTAGCAGAGTTCTCCCAGCAGTTCCCTGATACCGAACCTTCATTTTTGATCACCGTTGCATAGTCTTCCGTTACTGTAGCTTCTTGCTGGCTCCAATCATCACCAAGAAATTGAAAATTTAGCTCCCAATCTTGCAGCGTGGTACGTTGGACTGGGTGTCCGTTGGTGAAATTCTCCATGCTGAGTCCAAGTTCTGGGGCAGGTGCTTCCAGTTGGCTACTTTGAACTAGCACAGGCGTAGCCGATGAATCATGTGTAGGGTACCCTGGGTCGAGATCAGCCCAATCTGAATACAATGGCATTTCAACGACGTTCTGTGGTAAGTCAAAGTCAAAGTCGGCCAGATATGGTGCAAATGCCGACTCGTGCAAAATGTCACTCTGAGCCTTCCACATTGGAGGAGCATAGGTGGAGGTTGCGGTATCTCCAAGGTCGTGATTAAATCCGTAAGGCTGGATGCATTGTCGCTTCGAATCTGTGTAGATTTCATGGCTGTCCTCAACGAAGGGTCTCTTGGAACTCGGAGTCCTCTCCTCTTGCTCCATCTTGGGTTGAAGTCAGGATAGGCTGGTAGAAACAATGGTAAAAATCCAAACGAGATGATTCTTGTTTTGACCTCGTAGCAAGGCAGAAAACTTTGCATGAACGGTGCATGAATGGTAAAGTGGCAGCAGGCTGGGCTCAAGTCAGCACAGCCACCCTGGAGTGCACAAACCCTTGCCCAGAGCGCCATGCCCCATTGGCCATTTTTGACCCCAGGGTCAACACATTCGTATCATGACTTTCGACAGAGGAATGGCTCTGATTGTTTTGTAATTGGAATCTAAAGCTGCTTCAGCGACTACGTAGAGTCAAGAAAGGAACGAGTGCGTTGGGGTGGAAGGATGTACTCCTAAGAAAAGCGTATCTAGGTGGGGCTGGTGCTTAGTTTAAGAAATACTTTCTTCATATGGCGCTCTGGTCCGCCGAATGTTGTCGAAAAGCTACCTACTTCCGCTCGCTTCCCCTTCCCAAGCCACTTTTACAAGCCAATGAAAGTAAGGTAGTATAGTTTCCTACACTGACTTCAAGGGCGCTGATTTCTGGAGAAATCAGTGTACGGCTAGAACACCGTATGAAATCTGCAATTGAGAACCAAAAGGCTTCACCATCCTATCTCAATATCCGGCGATACCCCACCAAATTTCATGAGGCTGAGCAAGGCTGTTTATTGAGACTGAAACCAGACGTGCTATCAAGTCTTAAGAGCTCAGTACCGATTCCACGTATTTAAAATTTACGACTGTCCTCTGTCAACATGATGTCAATGCGAGAGACAATCAAACTCGCACGCAACAGTAATGTCAAATTCTTCCATCTCTGTCCACTTCCTCTTCTTCGTGAGCGCTTGCTCCCCGTCGTACTCATTCTTCTGAATCACTCTCCTCGTTACTCAGTCCACGATAGTGTTAAGTAGCTAGCTACTCCTGTTCCCACCACTTCTCACAGCACGAACCATGGATTTTAGAGCAGATAGAAGAGCCTAACTTCAAGACATCAATCTTGTGCAACCTCAGAATACATACTTAGGTGGTAACTTCCTCGAAACAGAGCAAAGCTTGATAAATAAAGAGGTGCCACTGTAACCACTTCAAGACCACCGACCGACTTTCCTACAGGGTCCTCGACGAGGTAGCCCTAACTAATTAGCAATGCAATGCAACGCATGACTAAACATCCACAGCCTCGTGAGGGGGTTGAGGGCCGGGAGAGTCTTTATCCCCCCACCGCGAGGCTGCCACACAATTCAGAGCGGGGCCGATTCGGGCTTAGAAATACTTTAAGTAGATGCACGGAAGTATAATGACGGTCGTGGGAAAACTCTAAGTTATGCTGGATTAAGAATATAGTATATAAGAGGCCATTGATTCCCTCATGGAGATGGGGTTTTCCTTCGACTCTCCCCCGTACAAACGATTTTGAGGGTCGATTTCGCAATATCTTCGTAGACTGAAATTCTCCTGTACGACAGAGGCTGAACGAGGAACTGCACTGGCTTTCAGGTTCTTTTAAGAAAGACCGAGAAGTATCACACGATTGTCAGGACCATGGCTCCGATCAAGGTCGGGTTTATTGGGGCATCGGCCGGTTCAGGGTAAGCATTCAAACTGGGGACGTTCCAGTGCCACAAGGTCCATTCTGTCCTCATGCTGCACAACATCATGCTTTCACTCGATAGATCCCGCTCCACCATTTGCGCAAATTGCAACATATGCTTACCAGCCTCTTTGTCAGGTCATGGGCGGCCAAGGCCCACATCCCATATCTCGTGCAGACACCCAACTACACCATCACCGCCATGCAGAACAGCAGCCAAGCATCGGCAGAAAGGGCCATTCAGGACCATAAAATCCCAGGCGAAATTGCTACGTATGGAGATCCGGAATCCCTCGCCGCAGATCCCAATGTCGACTTGGTGGCAGTGTCGGTCAAAGTGCCTTTGCATTCCAGACTGCTCCGCCCAGCACTGGAGGCGGGAAAAGACGTCTTCGTCGAGTGGCCCCTGGCTGCCAATCTCAAGGAGGCCGAGGAGCTGACTGCGCTCGCCAAGAGCAAGAGTGTCAAGACCATCGTCGGTCTACAGGCTCGCCAGGACTCGAGCATCCGCAAGGCGCGGGAGATGGTGCAGAGTGGCGAGCTAGGCCAAATCATCAGCACGACGATGAAAGGCGCCGGAGGAATTTTTAATGCGTCTCTCGGCACGAGTTATGAATACCTTCTCCCAATCGAGAATGGTGCAAATATGGTGACGATCCCGGCTGGACACGCCATAGATGCTCTCTGCTATGTGGTCGGCGAGTTCCGAGATCTGCAGGCAACATTGGCGAATAACATACCAAAGATCCAGATCGTTGACGGTGAGGGAAATATTTTGAGGACGGTCGACAAAACCAGTCATGATTGGATGAGTGTGAGTGGGAACCTGGTGAACGGAGGCGTGGCCAATGTCGTGTATGAAGGAGGGAGCTCCCTGACGGGGAAGAGCTTCTGCTGGGAGATCGTCGGTACCAAAGGTGCTCTCGTCCTGGAAGGTCCTCATGGACATGTGCAGATGTTTCACCCGACATTGAAGATTGTGAGAGCGGGAGACAAGGAGGCGAAGCTCGAGGAAATCAAGGTGGAAATTTCGTCCAAGCCGATGGACTTCACCTTTAATACTGGCAAGGCATGGGATGCTTTTGTCGGTCAAGGAGATGGAAGTTGGACCACCTTTGAGGACGCCGTGGTCAGACACAAGATGATCGATGCCATTTACCGTAGTAATGAGAGTGGGAGGCGAGAGAGTTACATCTGAGGGTGCTTCGTCGACATCCATAGTTTTGTCCTTTTTTCCTCCTGCGCTCTTCAATGTGATCATTGTCCTCATGGTGAAGGTTTTTGACACCATTTTGATCATCAAAATCGTATGAGGCCATCTCTTGTCGAGGGCATGGAGATCACTTTTTTGTTCTCGGAGGCTTCAGTCTTGTAATCTTTGCAGAGCAAAGTCTATCATGATCCGTGCGACTGAGTCCAGTTGAAGAGGTGGATTCTGTAGATGTACTCGAGTTCGATGATAAGTTTGTCAAATTTGGTCTCTGTGCGTTCTGTGTCGTAACTTGTGTCTTTGCTTTGCCTATCGTATTTGTGAAGTCTGATTTTGCGAGATTCTCTTGAAGGCTATTAATGAATAGCAAAGTTGCTTGTTGGTGGGTTAGCTCCGTGGATTCAGCATTGGAAGCCATGTTGGGAAATCGGAGAGAGCAAGATTCATGCAGCGATATATAGGTTTTGTTGTTGGTAAAAGGCTCAATCATCAGGGAATATTGGCCACATCATTTGGCATTGGCGAGGAATGTAGCACTAAGGTAGCCTGAAGCGCGCCAATGTCTTTTTAAGAATATCTTCAGAGTACAAGACAGCAAGATTGAAGACCTCCAATATGTCGGATAGGCCAGCTCACGTGGGAGAAGACAAAAGGAGAGAATAAGAAGGGGACGAACTCACCACCAACTTACAAAGCAGGAAACTGGCCACGACCGTACGACGCCCCCACAGTAATCAGTGGATGTCTATTTCAAGAGAAAACATCTGGCCAATCCCGGTGGAATCAGATTGGGTAAAGCTTACGGAAAGATGATCGACACATGGATCATATCCGTACTCATACACCGCTCACTTCGACCCGCGCAGGAGACCATGGTGTTTGACTTGAGGGGTGGTTGCATTGCCAATTAACTGCGGACATTGGAAGACCGGATGAGATGGACGGAAGCATTAGACACACGCAGAGCGACGTAAGCTTGCATTGTGTCGAAATGTGTAGAAGGTTAAGCTGCCCGTGGTAGGATTTTATGCATAGGTGGTTCCATTAGAAATCTCCAGATTCGCCTATCCGTAATATTTTCCGGTGTCCAACAATGGTCTGATTGGCAGAGAAAAGGTCTAGACTGGTCCATTGAAAAGATCGGCAGCAACGTGCCGGATAGTACGAGTACGAGTACTTGATAGTCTGAGTCCAAGACAATCCAAAAGCTGTGACTTGCTTTCAAGTTTATGTCAAGCAACAGCCAGTTTGGGCAGGTAGGTTGAGGGATTGAACTGGTCTATCCGGTCAGCAGTAATGATGAAATTCTCTTTTGCATTGATTAGATGGAAGCCAGTTGGGAAAAGAGTGATATGGGAGTACTCAGCGCCCTTGAAATTGAGGTCGCTACGTTAACGACGTACACACAGGCACCCACAGGCCAGTGGAGTTTCCACTTACGTAGGTGGACATCTGATGGGACCCGTCTCGGAGACATTAGCCGAATGTTCCACTTGGTAGGACATGTTCAAACGGTGGTTAGGATTTGTTGCAGATTCTCATCAAGGGTAATTTAGGATCCTAGAGGCTGATATCCAGACTCCAGAAAGATAGCTTCCTCTTCGTGATGCCCCGGCACGGAAGATCTCGTACGGAAGCCGGATATATTTGGTTGTTGACACTGGCACAACAGGTAGTTTTTGAACAGCTCCGTGCAACTGGTTCTAACCAAGACACACATCACAATCCGTTAAGTCGGTGGATATCTATATTTTATCTGAACAGAAGATATGGGGTTTAATCTACATCGTCGGCACTTGTCGTGGTTGTCGCAGCCACTGGCGGCAATGCTGTCGTAGCTGGCTGTACCTTCTCATTAATTCCCTCTCCAGGTGGCGGAGGGTAGAAATTGATTTTCCCATCTGGCGAGATCATGTTCGTACGGTCATAGTAGGTCCTCGCTCGGATATGCTTGTCGAGTTTCCAATAGTTCTCGTTTAACGCCCTGGCGATTGAGTTCCGCTCTTCTTTAAGTTTGTCCGCTTCGGGACCAGTGCCTTTGGCAGTCCATTCGTACGTCTTTTTCTGGTAATTCTGTACCTCAATATTTCGTTCTTGTTCGAGGGCTTTGCGTGGAGCTTCTTCTTTCATTGCGTCGTTTTCACCAGGAACGGGCTCTGCGTAGTGATACTCCCAGTCTTCAACGCCTCCTAATTCTTTTATGATTTGGGATTTGGGAATAAATGCCTCCAAATCTTCCACACTTGAGGTAAAATGTACCTTGGCGGCCACAACTGGGTCGAGCCAACCTCGAATTATCTTCCATATGCCTTGAAAGAGCCATGGCGCCTTGTGTACCAGCACTGCGCCCAAGGACTCGGGGTAGTTGGCTTCGAAAATCTTGATCATAAACTTGACCGGGGTGTAATCCATGTTTGCCATTGTGAAGTGAGTCATGTCGAATACTATGCACTATGGGAAAGTCAGTGACCGGGAAAGAAGGGATTTGAATGCAATTGGTAACTTACAGCAGTCTCAACCGGAGGCCTCAGTGCCAATCTGGCCGTTTCAATGACATAGACCGTATAACGTTCCAAACTTCGCTCGGACTGTTCTCCACCTCTGTGCAACCGACATCGAACGAAGCACAATGGACGGCCTTCCTTGTCGGTCCCGTGCAGAAAACTCTTGCCCAGCCTCAACTGGGTTAGAAAGTCCTCACCCTCTTTTTTGACAGCCGGATCGCTCGATTTGGAATCTTCCAGAGCGCCTCCCTCACCTTTCAAAACTACATCATCGTCTACGTGCTGTTCTTGACTTCTCCATCTCATGGTGGAAACCAGCATGACCAAGGCCTTGTCAACGTCCCATTTCCGCGCCCGGAGAAACCTCAACAACAGGCCATCGGGGTGATCAGCCTTGACCATGCCCCAGAACGCAGCGCGTAACGATTCGGGGCTTTGAGTGGCCAAGATTTCTTGATATTCCTTGACTTGGCCGTATTTATCGTCGGCATCTGCATGTGCGCTTGGGTCCTTGTTGGGAGTGACTGCGCCGTTGCTAGAATCTTTATCTTCATGTTTTCTGAACAGACCTAACCGCTTTTTGGGCTTCTTCTTGTCTTTGGTCTCAACTTCGGAACTCGCATCTTCAGTCAGAGGGGTGTCTGTTCCGCTAACATGGTAGGGATTTTCCACGCCAAAGACCTTCAGCACGGCATTCCAAAATTCGCGCAACTTGGCTTCTTGTTCCGGCGATAGATTTCCCACGTGTCCTGGAGGGATAGGCATATCTGTGTAGAAGGGATCGGTGGTATTGTTTGTGGACTTGGGGAGGCGGATCTGAGGGGTGGGCTGAGAGGTGTCGTGTGCCTCAGATGGATTGTTGCGCACAAATTGATTAATGATCAATGCACTGCCACATGCTAGGGCGAAGAATAGTAGGTATGAAGATGTCGAGGCTTGTAAGGGTTGGTATGTGGCGACTGATTTCCTAGGTGAAAATGGAGTGTGACTATGATGATATCTTTGAAAAAGTCGAGGTGAGGGTGGGGATGTTCGGTGCAATGGTTGGAAGCGAAGGGCGAAGGAGGGGAGGTGTTTGGGAGAAGAGAGTGGTGTTGGATATTTGAGTAGAACCTCAAGCGGACGGCGACAAGTGCAGGGTCGCATGTATAATGATGTATGAATGGTCCCAAGTCGGTATGTATGAGACGAATGCAATGTCAGCGATGAAAAGGATCTGTATGCGAGATGTGTTGTGTCGGGCCGCCTAACGAGAAGCCGAAGACTCCGTGCGGTGCCAGCCTGAGTGGGCAGCTCAGCTCAGCAAAGTCGGAGATTGGGTTTCTGGAGTCGATGTGGCTGGATGCCGCAGCCTGTTCAAGGAATATGTCATCATGGCATTATGTCAGTCAGTAGTAGTTCCCTGGGTACCTCGTACTTGGCGGGGGCAGAGGAAGAGGTGGGAGTGATATCCGGATTATGTTCTGTGTCGGAAATATGCAGTTACCGATGAACAAACTAAGGTATATAGAAGGCACTTCTTTCAATACAGGGAAAAAAGTTATCCCGATAATGATATTCCGTCTCTTCGTGGTCTAAGTCTCTAAGTCGTGCAGTCCATGGTATTTGAATTAGCAGAATCAGATACCCAGCGCCCTTTGCTATGACATAATCTAAACACTCTCCTCAATTGTCTATTCATTCATCCTTGTTCACAACTTGTCGCAAAAAGTTGTTTGAGAAACGGGTGACTTGCTCATAGACAGTATCAAATCCGTTGTTGGCCCCGTAATAAGGATCGCCGACTTGTTCAGGCTTCTTACTACCAGCAAACTCACCAAAGAGCATCAGTTGAGCTTTGCTCTTCTGTCCTCTGCCTTCCACCTTTCGTTGCACTCTCTGTAGGTCCCTCAAATTCTGCTGATCCATGGCGAATATGTAATCAAACTCATCAAAGTCCTCTCCCCGTACCTGTCGAGCACCATGGTCATAATCGGTGATATTGTGCTTCCGCAGTATGGCCATGGTTCGGTCATCAGGAGGATCAAGAGTATGATATGCCCCTGTGCCCGCCGAGTCCACCTGACCAATTCTGGAGTTGGATTTGGTCAGTGAACGAAAAACACCTTCTGCCATGGTAGACCGACCTGCAACCTTGATTAGTTGACGCGTGTACCATATATCGGCCAGGAATTCGTACAGATGTTGCCTAGACAAACGAAGAGAACTGATATTTTGTCTTTGGAGTCTGCCATAGTGGGGTTGACGAGGGGCGCAGTGACTCGGTTATGGAGTGGATTGCGTGGCTGATGGAGAGAGACTTGGACAGTGTACAAGGATTACTGGTTTGCTGATACTTGGTGTGTGTTAATTTCCAAGGCTGGTGGACTCTCGGAAGGTGGTGATGGTTGTCCAAGTCGATTCAAGAAAAATCAATCAAGGGTCAAGACACCAAAACGGTGGATGCTAAGAGATCCTTGATTGGGAGATCTTGGTCGGATAACGATAAAGAATCAATGTCTGGGTCCGGGGTAAAAAGCTGAAACACTGTGGCAGTCCAAATTCAACTCGCACCGCCACACTCAACTTTTACGATGAGAAGTCAAGAGAGCGAAGACACGTGCCCGGGTTGACCGAGTCGCATCAATCTTTGACGAAGAACTCCTCGATGCTTTTTTCGCTCTTCAGTCGCAATTACAAAAATCCTTGCCCTCATCTTACGCCGTCCTGCAGATCCGATGGCAAAAGTGTGTTTCGAAATAGAACTGCTGCGCGTCAGACTCTCAGGCGTGGTGCATCAAGGCTTAGGCCTCGAGGGCGCCAATGAGTAGCCTAGACAGGGGATACCTAGGTAGTTACCTAGGTACCTAGGCGTCATGCTAATTCTCCTAGTGCCCAGTTATACCTTCCAGGCATCTGGCCAAGAAAATTAGTGAGTCCACTAAGTGAACGTTAGGCTGAACGTGCCCTGTGGCTGCCCGGGTGGGTGCCCTGTATTGCCGCAGTGACGCCCCTCGAGCCACCTAATCAAATACCTGGAAACTAATGTTCATGGGGAAAGCTGACCAGGTTCGCCAGGGGATCGAAACACGAAGCAGTACGAGTACTCCGTAGACACAGTCTGAACAGAGCATTATTGCACTTTCAGCTTTACGAGTACTCGATATCCTAAATCCATTACCCTCCCATCCCATTCCTCCTCGTCGTCATCTGTGGTGCTTGTCTTCTATTCCAAGTACCAAGTACTCCGCACAGGTTTCTAATACCACCAAGACTGTTGACTCCCCTGTCCTGAAATCCGCCTCGAACCCCCCAAAAACAGTCGCAGGTAAACAGTCGACTCCACACGTCCGCGATCATCATCACTGCAGTCGCTTTATTATTATCTTCCTCTTGCGCGGCCTAAAGTGTGATATCCATATTCATTCGACACCCATACCAAACACTCCTCATACACATTCCATCCTTCCGCGAACGGACCACCCTCCAGCCTGGTCGCAATAGCCATGGCTTACGACCGACTCGGTATACTCTTCTCTCCTAACCACAATCCCTTCGATACCCTACTGACACTCCTCGTTTAGGGAGTCCTAATAGGGACGGCCTCCAATACGATTCCAGGTCTCCCTCGCCTGGACGGCCCCTACAGCCCTATATCCACCCAGGAGATTCATTTACCAGACAACAGCCACTTCACTTGGAGATGCCCATGGCATCCAGTGACCGATTAGCCATGCAACCCACCTACTCGGTCGAGAATATCAACACTTCTCATGGTCACAATGCTGCATATGAACAACAATCACCCCATGCCGCGAGGAATGACTACATAGTATCGCCCGAAGACCATCATGACAACTACTACACTCAACCATACGACCCCAGACCCCAAGGCGATTACGCTCTCGATCCCTATCCCACCCCAGACCAGGGTTACCGAAACGACAATGATCAAGTCCCCATACTCCAGCCTGACAGTGCCTATGGTCCTGACCCTCACTCTCAACCCGGAATGGGTGAGTATGATGGTTACCATGACGATCGACCGACCCCGTCTCCCGCTCCTATACGCAGGTGGAAAACTGTTAGAGAAGTTGAACTGTTCGATGGAAACTTGGTCCTTGATTGCCCGGTCCCACCTACAATACTGAACAATCTTCCCAATGGCAAACCTCTGGAGAGAAATGAATTTACCCACATGAGATATTCTGCGGCCACCTGTGACCCCAAAGACTTCTACGAAGATCGCTTCACCTTACGCCAACGTCTCTTTGCAAAACCTCGACAGACCGAGCTGTTCATCGTCGTCACCATGTATAACGAGGACGAGTTTCTATTTACGCGAACGATGATGGGCGTTTTCAAAAACATTGAGTACATGTGTAATCGACCAAATAGCAAGACTTGGGACAAAGAAGCCTGGAAGAAAATAGTGGTGTGTATCGTCAGTGACGGCCGTGCCAAAATCAATGAACGAACCAAAGCTGTTCTGGCTGGTCTCGGTGTATATCAAGACGGCATTGCAAAGCAACAAGTCAATGGCGAGGATGTCACTGCGCATATCTACGAATACACAACGCACGTTGGCTTAGACTTGAAGGGCACTCAAGTTCATCTGAAACCAAGAGGCGCCACACCAGTCCAATTACTCTTCTGTCTGAAGGAGAAAAATCAGAAGAAGATCAACTCCCATAGATGGTTTTTCCAGGCTTTTGGCCGTGTACTCGACCCCAACATCTGTGTCCTGCTCGATGCCGGAACAAAACCAGGCAAAGACTCCATCTACCAACTCTGGAAAGCTTTCGATCTCGAACCTATGTGTGGTGGTGCTTGTGGCGAAATCAAGGTCATGTTGGACCACGGTAAGAAGCTTTACAACCCACTAGTGGCCACCCAGAACTTCGAATACAAAATGTCCAATATCCTCGACAAGCCTCTCGAATCGGCTTTTGGTTTCATTTCGGTCTTGCCGGGCGCCTTCTCTGCCTATCGGTATATCGCTCTGCAAAACGACAAGAACGGTGATGGCCCTCTTGACAAATATTTCAAGGGTGAAACTATGCATGCTGATGCTGGAGTCTTCACCGCAAATATGTATCTCGCAGAAGATCGTATTCTATGTTTCGAGCTTGTCAGTAAACGCAATTGTCGATGGATTCTGCAATACGTCAAATCTGCAACTGGAGAAACCGACGTTCCCGATGGCATTGCAGAATTCGTCCTTCAGCGAAGACGTTGGCTCAACGGTTCTTTCTTCGCTGCTGTGTATGCTGTGGTTCATGTCTATCAACTCTGGCGAAGTGACCACAGTGCGATTCGGAAATTCATGTTCCTGATTGAGTTCATTTATCAGACCATCAACATGCTTTTCGCTTGGTTCGCCATTGGTAATTTCTTCTTGGTCTTCCGCCTCCTGACGGGCTCACTCGGTACCGCAGATACGCTTGGTTCGGCCGGAAACATCCTAGGTATCATCTTCGAATTTGTCTATCTTGGGACACTGCTCTACTGTTTTATCCTATCGCTTGGCAACCGACCCCAAGGCTCTAAGAAATCCTACCTGATGATGGTGATCTTCTGGTCAATTTTGATGGTCTGGCTCACATTCGCGTCCATCTTTCTGACTGTCAAAGCCATTCAGAAAGAAGTTAGTGAACCCAACTTTTCATTCTCCACCATTTTCAACAACAGCACGTTCTTCGGCCTAATTGTCTCGCTGGCAAGTACATATGTCTTGTGGTTTGTGGCAAGCTTTTTGTTCTTCGACCCCTGGCATATGTTCACTTGCTTCATACAATACATCGTCCTTACTCCGACTTATATCAATGTTTTGAACATCTATGCCTTTTGCAACACCCATGATATCACATGGGGAACCAAAGGAGATGATAAGGCTGAAAAACTACAGAGCGTCACTATAAAACCTGGTGGCAAGGTGGAAGTCATGATTCCACAAGACGATGGTGATCTCAACGCACAATATGAAGCGGAATTGAAAAAGTTTGCAACAAAAGCACCCAAAGAGGTCAGGGTTTTAACTGCAGCTGACAAACAGGAAGACTATTATAAGTCGTTTCGAAGTAATGTGGTGACCGTCTGGATGTTGACCAATTTTATTTTGGTTGCTGCTGTTTTAAATATCGCTGGCTTCCAAAGAATCAATCCGGAGGATTCTAATTCGCAGAACTCAACCATCTATCTGACTATCATTCTGTGGTCTGTTGCTGGGTTGTCACTCTTCAGATTCCTCGGAGCTTGTTGGTTCTTGATCGTGAGAATGGTAAGTCAACAATATCTTCGACTCCCTGATACAAAGTTTACTGACATTACTAGTTCCGTGGTGTATGATGAAAGTGCCAAGAATTTCTTCTGGACGTATAACGAGTACACGAGCGCTTTTCTACCGGGAGCGATAAAGATGCATACGTCTGGCGTTTCTGGCGTCCATAATTCTTCATCGAGATCACCACCAGGGTTGTCATGGATTGGCTGGCTTTGGCGTATTTTGGATTCGGATCGATACCCATGATTTATACCGCCAACAAGACGAGGGAGATGAGTGCATTGGAAAGTTGTCGCTTGTCCGAGTGGAAATGTGTATTTGAGACTTCCGTCGCCCGGCCCCAACATGTATAGAACAAAATAACAATAATCAAGGTCGCCGAAGTCAACATGTACACGCTGTTCCACAACATCCGCTTGAGTGTTTACTTCTTTACTGCCAAACCGCCTTGATAGTAAGACAGTCAACTACAAAGTGGTATCTATAACCTACTAAAGGTCTTATCTCCACCCACCCACCCACCATACCATCACAGCTTCGAGTAAACGCAAAGTGCAATGCCCGTACAAACAAACGTCATCCCAATCCACGTATCCCTCGTAATCAACTTCCCCTCCGCGAACCACTCACCCAAGACGGTAAACAGGAATGCCAACGAATTCGTAATCGGCACCGTCAGCGACAACTCTACCACCACACAAAACGCACACTCGGTCAGCCAACATTCAGCCACCAAAACAAAAACACCCTACCCCTCCTGGAGCGAAGGAGAGGAAATCGAGAACAGAGAAGAGAAAGAAAACTCACCGGCCTGCCCGACCAGCAGGAAAAACCAGATACTGCCGGTGAGGTTGAGCAGCAGCGGGACGGCGTAGGCCGGCGAGCGCAACAGGCCCAGCACCGTGTAGAATGCCTTGGCGACGAAGCGGCCGAGCCACGAACGCGACGGGTCCGTGATCGAGGCGTGTGTCGGTGCCGTGTAGTTCACGGCGGCTTTGCGGATGAAGGGCGTCGTGAAGCCCCAGCAGATCCCGACCAGCAGGAACGAGACGATGTAGTTTAAGGGTGAGGGTGTCGGCGTGCTGGGCGTGGGTGGGTTGGTCGGGTCGATCGGTCTTGGTGTTGGGGTTGACATCTTTCGAAAACCAATAGAGTCGATTGGAGGAGGAGTGATGGAAGTGAGAGTTCAGGTTCAGGGGAACAAGGCTGGGGGTTCTTGATGGTTGAAGCTTCGGGGTGATGTCGATGCCAAGACGATGGCTCACGTGATATCGGGACAGGCACGTGATCCCAGCATGAATGCGAAGTTATGCAGTAAGAATTATGCACACTCGCCGTCGATATGGGGCCTGGTGCCTCGAAACTATTCAGGGCGCTCGATAAGGCGCCTACTATCGAAATGTCACGTTGGTCGGACGAATAGCGCTTGATTGTATGGCCGAGATCACTGCAAGATCGAATATGCTAATTGCTGACTTTGCAGGGTGAATACCTATCACCATCTTTGTCCTCCAGGTAAGCATCTCTAAACTTAATTTGCAATCATTCCCTTACTGTGGAGTAACTTTATACAGAGTTGCGTCCTACGGGCAATTAAATATATATATTGTACATGATATATTATCTATTCAATCACGTTTTATCTGCGTACCGTGGCCGTCGGGAAAGCTCGACAGAGACTTTTATTAATAAGACACGCCCAGAAAGAAAATCGCCCCCACAATTATGGGCTGGCTCTTTGGCCTTCTTATCTGCAAGCCTGTGAACCGCGTTTAAGGCCTCCCAACTGTTACTGACTGGCATCCCCGGGCTGCTGTTCGGCAACACGATGGCATTCGGGGCTCGGATTTGGCACCCTTCCATGCCCTCATGCCGGAATTGATCCTAGCTCCATGAAAGCCATCCAGCTAGGGGACTAGGTGGATGTCGAGGGCTGAGGCAGTGAGGACACCCTCAACTCCTTCCAGGCGGCCAGCTTGCGGGGACCAAGAGTGACTTTTTGCCCCAGGTCGACTTGGGAAGCCTTTAACTGACGAAAGAGTTTATTCTCGATGCTCACTACTTGCTGATCGCTGTGCACCTCTCTTAGAATCGCAATTGCTGGTTGAACTTGCATGAAGCCCGACCCTGGTTCCCGTTTGGAATCTTCTGGCCTTGTCCTGGATCTGCAGCGCATATCAATTAGTCAATCATTCGATCGGCAGCGCTCTTCCAAATCCCATCCATTGCACTGCACGTTTCGAACGCCATTGTGGCACGCGGCAACGTTTTAATTCTTTACCACTAATTTATCAATTCTCGGTGGAAGACCTGTTCTTTGTTCAATCTTGATGGATTGACATATGGTCTCAATCTTCTTTGTTGATTTTCTCGATGGTCTCCACTGAATGGTATATGCCAGTGGAGGATGATGCACTGGTCCAGCTTCAATTCGGTAGAGTGCCCTCATTTGCTCTAACCACAACCGCTCCACCCAGATTGAAACGGCATGCCCCTAAAGTTCGAAGTGGGTGTGTAACATGCAAGTATGTTTCGATCCATTCGCATAAGACTTGACTTGATTACTGACGCGATCGTCTGCTTTGCAAAAGAGCTCGCCGGGTGAAATGTGACGAGACCAAACCGAATTGTAAGAGGTGCACATCGACTGGCAGGCGCTGTGATGGCTACAATTTACCGAAGCCTTTACTTTTCGAGATCGGTCAGGACAAAGATGAGCGATGGAGCTTTCACTATTACCGAGATCGCACGGCCTCTCAGATCAACAGTGTTGCAGACCAGGCGTTCTGGAATCGATTAGTCATTCAGGTTGGCTACTCACGAGACATAGTCAGGCACGCGTTGGTCGCAATAGGATCTTATCACGAAGGTGTCGACCATCTAGATGAAGGCCGACGGTCCGATAAACATAAATTCGCATTACAACAATATAACAAGTCGATCAACGGTATACTGAAATCATCGGCAGACTCCGATATCGAGGAGATCCTTTTGTCTGTCATCCTCTTCACATTCTTCGAGAACGTACGCGGAGAGTGGGCTTCTGCCCTGGCTCATCTCCAAGCTGGACTGAAGATTTATTCCAATTGGAAAGCGGCTCATCCAGCCCACCTTCCACCGACCGAGGTATCGACCAGAGTCGATACAAATATTGCGCCTGTACTCACACAATTACAGCTTTTTGTGACAAGTCTTTTGCAAATGATTCCCGCGAAGAAAAGTCGTTACTCAACATATATGCCCGACCGGTTTGATGACCTCCGAACTGCTCGTTATTATTTCCACGAAGTACTTCATGCAGTATGTGCGAAGTTGCAATCCAACCATGACGAATTTCAGTGGCCCAAATCTGATGAGGCCACCCTGGACCACGGAAGAAGACTGTTATATCGATGGTACGACATTTGGCAGGAATTCCTCACAAGCGCACAGCGTACTTGTTCGTGTTTCACTCCCAGTTCAACCGCACATTTCGAACTCGGGATGTATCACATGCAGATGCAATATTGGATCGCGATCATCAGGCTGGAATGCAAACCATTCCGAGAAGAGACGTCATTCGATGCCCACAATGACAAATTCCAAATCATCCTCGATATTGGGAGTAAATTTTGCGACCTATACATGGACAGGACTTTGACGGACACGGCCAAGGGATGTGTTGGCTTCGAGCCACACTACATTCCGGTCATCGGTATGACAACTCTACGATGTCGTGATCCGGTTATCCGGAGAGAAGCTATTGCTCTGATCAGGAGATGGCAAAGACCGGAAGCGAAATGTGAGACTCATGCAATTGCCGATGTCTCTGAAGAAATCATGCTTCTTGAAGAGGCAAGTGCCGGGGTTTCAAACCCAAGCGCCCATGAAATTCCCAATGACGCACGCTTTCATCTCCTTGGTTGCAATCCATTTCGATGGAATGAAGCAACACAGAAATTCGAATTGTAAGTTCTCAACCCTGAAAGACAGATCTCCTTGACTGACCTTTACTCAGAGTATACGCCATAGAGGAATGCGATCTAATCAAGTTCCGTCTCATCCGGTCTGGAATCGATCCAGCAGAGCAAGAAATCGAAATTCATTGGCTCGACCGCCGCAAGCAACCAGACTCCAAACCACTACACGAGCTGCCACTCCCTCACGACGTGACCGGATTTTTCCCACAGACGATCGATGGACCAGCGATGAATTCCAAGCTGTGGTCGACTTTAGGGGGCAAGAAAGTGGCAATGTTCCTTGAGCGCGCCAGCATTTCCCACATCTGTCAGTGCCAGAATTGCGCCTCGCAGAACGAGCTGTTGACCACCCCTGAACCTCGAGTTGTGCCCGTTGCTGCGACTGTTGACGGCGTGGATCAACCCACCACACTCGGGGAACCTTCATACATAACGCCAAATGCGCAGTATATTCCGCTTGCATCGCCCAAGGCCGAGTCTGCTCGCTTTGCGTACGTGACTTGATGGTGATATGGTGCCAGTGTCATGTGTGCGGCGAGAATAAGAGCTCACTACTCATCCTGGGACAACCCACTGCCTTTGCCATCGAGAGTCAAGTTGCCATTGAGACGGTATCCCAGCACTATCGACCAGAACAATTGTCCGAGGGTGCCGCATCGCAGATAATTTCCTGGTGTTGGGCCTTCCAATGAGGAATATGTCTAAAATGACGTTACCATGTCAGACTCCCACGAAGCACCAAGGGAGACAAAAAGTACGAGTAAATGATCAACACGAGCGACGAGCCGATGGTATGTTACCATTAGGTGGGCAGGTCGCTTGTTCGAAACGGAGCGAAGAAAATGATATACTTCTCGAGCATGACAGAGATTCGACAGCCAGGAATGTTCGTGAGCTCTTCTGAAGCTCCTCTACCGCGAGAAACGAGCCCGAAAACGCAGTATTTGTTTCCGAGTTTGAAGTAAATCATTGGTGAGAGACATGAGACAATGGCAAGATAAATGATGGGTTTATGAAGGTAGTGATATCCAACGGTATGGAAACGTGGCAGAGCTATGCGCCTGGAAGTTCTGTGCCCGTCATGTAATTTGTAACAATAGCAAAATTATCTGTATCGAGGACGCCTTGATGTCTCAAGGCGCACACAAAAAGATATCCTGAATCCCGTTGACCTGTGACCGACACGTGATATCACGTGTGTCTGTGTATGTAAGTCATCGCTTATTCCGCCAATTACAGAGCACGAACCTCGGAGCGCAGGTTGTCTGTAGCTCGACCAACACTGACCACCACCAAGAACTCACGTCTTCCTCTCAGACCGCACGCTGCGAGTCACAAGTAATACTGCATTTCTCTCTCCTGACCACAGCATCATCAATCGTGGCTGAATGCAATTTGCCTATGATCAGCAACGATGATGCGGTGCGCGACTAACAACATCGTTATGTCGTCCCAGCCACATGAATTTTGCTCACCCGTGGGAGTCGCGAGTTTCGCAACGACGAGGCTGGGAAATTGGACCATCCAAACAAATCACAGGACCATGGCTGTGCCTAATCTGCATGTAGGCCTCGATCAAATCATAAGGTAGGGGCACACTTGTTCGTGACACTGCTTCTGTCCCTTCTCTTTGTTCTGTCTTATGAGCTTTACATCACCATCTTAATCTACAAGCAACCAAATCGAACTCACCTCTGACGACGTTCTCCTCTTGATCACTACAACCGGACAATACGAACCATCTGAGCATACAGACCTATATACATATACATATACACAGACACAAAATGCCTACAATCCTCACGGCCCAAGGCTGGGTGAAGGTTGCCGAATCTCCCACGAAACGACGAACTGTCGCCATCGATCCAGCAGAAAACCTCAAAGGTCCCCTCGCATACTTCAGCTGCAAACGCACACCTCCCAAAGTCTTCCCAGGCGTACTGCATCTACCGACTGGTGGGAAAGGAACAGGCGCAGTCAAAGGGCCAAGAGAAGCATTTCCATACGATCTCAATGCCAGCCCGGAGAAATTGCGTGCCCAAGGCCGACTGAAGCACAACAGCCAGATCGATAAAGTCAAGATTGGCGGCAAGAACCGAACGGTCTCAGCACCCATGCCAGTAATGCATATGGACGACTGCGACGACGCACACGCATACTACAGCGACGAGGACGGCGCAGCGGAAGCTGGAGCCGTTGTGCCTCCTCCAAGAAGCTCACGACGCAGAGAATCTCCTGTCCGATCATCTTCACCATCACCCTCATCCGCAGCCATAGCGGCAGCAAGAGCCGCAACAAACAATCCCCGTTCCAGCCGACACACGGACGATGATTCAAAGCCTCACAGCAGACACCACCACCATAAATCCCGCCATCATCATCACCACGACGACGCGTCTAGCGTCTCCTCCCGCTCGACGGCGTCCTCGACCTCTTCCTATCACTCACATCACTCCCACGAGCGTGCGAGACCTGTCCAGGCCGCCCCGCAGCCGATCATCATGTATGCCACTGCGCCGCCGCCCATGCCGAGCTCGTATTATAATAACCCATATGATTCAGGCCCGAGGCATGCACATGCACGTGCGCCGCCGAGCACTGGCGGCAGCAGTGCTAGGAGCATGAGTTATAGTTGGTATAACGCTACCACGCCGCTAAATCTGTGAACATTGGATTTAGTTTGGGTTGGACTTGAAAGATTTGCCCTTCACACTCGCGCGTATGCTCGTATAGGCTGTTGAAATTTCATTTATGTTATCGTTGGTATCAGGAAGTGTTGCGATTCTGCTATATATGTATGTCTATTTGTTCCACAGATTGAGCGGACTTTAGCTGGACAGCAGCAACTGGCTTGTTGAGCGAGGCATCTAGGTAGTTACTGTTCGTAATTTCACACAGGGAAATTTTCAACATCATGATATATTCATCATTCTCCTTTCCATCGATTCAATCTGAAACTTCCCCAGTCTTCCTCCAAACTTGAAGCACAGGTTGTCGCTTGTTTCTGCATTCTCAAATACCTATTGAGATATGGCGCGGAGACGTATTGGACATCGATTCGACTGCGCAACGGGACGATGGAATCGGAGGAAAGTGCACAACCAACAGGTTCCATTGTCTCTCTGCTCATGAAATAAACGTCATGCGACTAGTGCCAAATAGAAAAACGATTAGGCTTTCATTGTTGTAGCTATGTACCATACTGAATATCCGGGCCCTACATGAATCTCGCCTATTGCCAATATATACCTGACTCGATTCAACATAGCAAAAGATCGCATGAACCTGGAAATCTCTCGTATAATAAGGCCCAATAATTTCCATATCGTAAACCTGGTAAAGAGGTGCTGTCTATCCCCCGTAGTCGTCTTCGTCGTCCTGAAACCCTACACGGGATATATCTTGAAGCAAAGAAAACCCACATCACCACATATATCCAATCCATAAAAAGGGAAAATCCACCCAACCAATCCTACTCCTACTCTTAATCATCCACAATGACAACCCTCTCCCGCCTCGTTTGCTTCGTCCTGACCGTCCTCCCCTCCCTGAGCACCGCAGGCTGCGGACGGACAAAATACCTCTGGGTCTTGGTAATGACGACCTTTGTGTCACGGCGATTGCCGCCGCCGAGGAACGTGAGGTTCGCGTCCGGGCGATCCGGGTACGGATCGATGGCGACGACGCGCCTGCGCCGCTTTCTGTGCGAGTGGTGCGACGACGTCTCCGAGTCGGAGTCGCGACCCCCGCCGCGCCCGCCGGTGAAGATGCGGAAACAGCAGATCAGCAGGAGCACCAGCAGCAGGAACCCGAAGAATGCGCCGATCACGATCCCGCCGATCACGCCCGCCGCCAGCCCGTCGTCTTCGTGGTGGATCCATTGTGTTACGGCCGCGGCGGCGCTGGACTTGGTGGTGGTGGTGATGACGATTGGTGGTGGGGGAGAGGACGTGGTGACACATGCGCAGTGAGACGTCGTGATGGTCTTGAATGTTGTCCAGTAGTCTGTCGTGGTTGTGGTTGGGAGTGGGAATGGCCCATACGGATCTCCTGAGGTGCCCTGGCCAGGGTCGGCCTTGCGGGGTTCTATTGACATGTTTGTATGATGGATAGGTGTTATTGGGATGTGTTTCTGTGGTTTCGAGGGTGCACTGAGTAATGCTATGAGAGCAGTGAGAACGAACGGGTTTCATTCATCGCTGAATATGCCTGGTGAGAATAGATACAGATCTGGCGAAGTCGCAGGAGAACCTGCGCAATGCATATGCATTATGTCTTGCGTCTTGCAGGGCAGCTAGCTGTATTGCCCAGATGCGCTTCGAGTTCATGACGAATGCATCCAAAGTCCACACCTCCCGCGCTCCAGCCACATGATTTCTGGTGGCATTCGGCTGATATAAAACTGCGGGCGCGGCGCGAAAGTTGGAAGGCTGGTAGATGGTAAATTCAGCTCGATGAGGGGTAAGACTTAGGGACTGGGAGCCTGATTTCTCGTTAACCAATCGGTTGGTTGCGTGGCTTTCTCCAGATACTTCTAGGCGCGCGATGGTGGATGCTTCTTGGTGTTCGCGGGCCAGCAGTTCGTAGGGCTTAGGTGGGGCGTCGTACGTCGATCACTAGAGACATTGAAACTCCAATTCCTTTATCTGGATTCTTAAGTGTTCTCGAGAGATAAACTTCTGTGGGGCGGCAGGCCAAACAAAATGTATCAGAACAAACCTGAATGGTTCAGTGCACCTAGAGACGTGCTTCCGGACTCGACCATTACTCCAGGGAGGCTTATTGTCGACCCACGGACCCCTGAAGGACCACCATATCTGGATGCAGCCTTGCCTGTCCCCGTCACAGATTTGAGGATCACCAACTATCCGTATAAGAACAAGAAGGAAGATGAAAAGGGTGGATCGTTTGGTCTCTTCGCATCTTTCATGTCAGCTTTCGGGGTGGGCGGAGACCTGAGTGGAAACCTCAAGAGTGGTAGATCCCTCGACATTGAGGTAGATCGACTACAGACAGTTATGTTCGATCCTTCGGCTGAATACCTTGAACAAACATTGAATGCGCCAAAGAATCTAGCGTACTTGAGAGATCAGCGATTCAAGAGGTCGTTGTACCTTGTAACAGGCGTCAAAACCGCCTATGGGGCAAAACTAACCAGGTCGAGATCGGGACAGAAAGGAGGGGAGGCAAAGATTGGAATTAGTCCCAATGTTCCAGGCCTCGAAGTTGGGCCAACTTTGTCCTTTACACAGACTTCCCAAGTCACCGAGACCATCCAAGGTCCGACTGATTTCGTGTTTGCTTATCGCCTCAACAAGTTGCATTATTCACGAACAAGGAGCAAATACGTCCAGCAAAAATTCACCAGTGGGGCACTGTACTCGGACGAAGTGGATCTCGACAACCATGAAGATGAGGAAGAAGCAGCCGAATCGGAGGGTGAAGAATTTGCGGAGGTTATGGGTGGGTTAGAAGATGATGATGCAGGTCGAGCAGAGTTCAAGGTTTCCGGGGAGACTGTTTTTGATGAGGAGGATGGAGAACCTTGCATCATCATATTGCCAGAAGGATCGAAACAGAGTTGATGAATCGGAAAACGGCGGTTGTCAGCAACTCTTTTCGCATTCCTGGTCGTGCTCAAGATGAAGTGTGTCAACTGTGTGCTACCACAGAGTGAATTGGGAGACAAGGACATAAGCTCTCTGCCAGGGAATGATTCTTATTTGCTTCAATTCCAGACAGTGGACATGGTATTTCACAAACCAAACGTCTAGAAAAATGTCCGAAGTTCGGTCTGAAACCGGTACCAGACTGCATCATATTCGTACTTGTTCGTCGAGAACAAATGCCAGGGCTTGATATACCTGAAGTTTCCATCTTCGGTTTTAGGGCTCGTGGCCAGCAGCAGTCTCTTCATGCCTTGAAAGGTGGCTACCGAGTCGATATGATCGAATTTCTTACCTTTCATTTTGGGCAAGCGGGAAAAGTCAATCAGTAGTGCAGCAGTTGCAGCAGCAATCGGTGTCGCCATCGAGGTCCCGGTCTTTCCAACCATTGTATGTTGTTTCCCTGTCGTCAAAACATTCTCGCCTAAAGTCGCAAAGTTATGAGTCGCGGATTGCTTGGGAGGATTACCTTTCCATGAGTTGCCCAAGGCATCAGTAGCGTGAATGCAAAAGACTTTGGAGTCATCTCTCGCGGGCCATGCTCTGGTGATATCTTCGTTGGCCCCGTCATTGGAAGCAGCAGCAAATAATAACACATCATTCATGGCGGCCAGCTTCAATGCCTGATCCATCTTGAATATGACCGAGGGAAATCCGAATGACATTGAGATGATATCAACCTCCCAGCTCTTTACCGCATGTTCGATTGCTGGCGCAACTTGATCTGGAACCACATCTTTGGTCTCTCTGAAGACTCTAGCAACATAGATGTCAGCCTCTGGTGCGACTTGCATCAAAAGCAGAGCGGTGCTGGTTCCATGCCCACTTGTGTCTTCGTTCGCTTTGTTTTCAAGACCTTTGATGTCACAATAGAAACCTTTGATGCGTTCCTTCCTAGCATTGATCTCTGGATGTTTCATGCTGACACCCGTGTCAAGTACTGCGATTCGTACCCGGCGCTTGTTTTTGCGAGAGCCTTCGCCTTCCTCATAATCGACGTTATTGCGACATTTTGTCACAAGAAATTCATGCGTTTTGCGTAATCTATTCTCTCCCCAGACGGCCACTTGTTTGTGAGCTTCATTGAAACCTTTGTCTTTGAGATTGTCAATTTTTGTCAGTGTGCCTTTAGAGTCCTCAACGTCAAATGTTTTCCCGTACACAACCTTTCTGGTCGTCCCCGAATCTGAATTCCTTCGAGGAACAGACGGAGTACCAGAGCTTGGCTTCGCTTCGTTCGCCTCGGATTTCCGTGGCTTGCCACCCACACTAGAGGACCTGGGTTTCTCAGGAACCTGCAAGTGCCCAGTGGATGATGGTTTATCTGCGACATAAATTTAGCATCACTTTGTGGCGAACATCAACAAACTTACTATTTTGTGCAGCTTGAGAGCCACCTTTAGCGGGCTCCGGTTTTGGCGATGTGTTGCCTTTGCCTCCTTTGTTATCGATCTGTGATGATGACTTGTCACTCGAAGATCCATTGGAGGGTCTTGGTTTGTCATCCTCTCGAGAAGGCGATCGAGATCCGTTAGGAGTAGTATTTCCCCTTCCTTTGGGATCCTTCTCCGCGGTAGCCGGGACAACTATATTGCTAGGAAGTCCTGGGGTTTTCTCAACAGTCACAAATGGTGACGAGGGTTTCTTTCCTGCTTGGGTCTTGTCGACTTCTGTGGTTGACGCATTAGTCGAGGGAGGTGGCAGTGCGGCTTTTGCTTGCAATGCCTCGGCACGCTTTTTGACCGCTTGATCGTATTTGTTCTTTATTTTGGTAGTATAGTCATTTGAGCCTAACAGATTCTGCGATATCTTCCAAGCTCGCTCAAACTCACCACCGGCTCTGCCAAATCTGCGCTTACTGTAGAATCCTTGTGCATATTCGCATTTGCATCCAATAGCAGACTTGGCCACGTTTCCATAACGAAAATTCCACCTGCCTTCCGTCTTCACTTGAGCACATTTGTCAAGAATGTCATTAAACAATTTGAGGGCATCAGTCTGTCGGTCATCGTCGAACAGATTTTGCGCAAGGAATTGTTCAATGTGTAGTGTGTTGATATCGGTAGGCCCTACTTGCGCGAGGGCAGCTTCGAAGGCCGCAGCGGCGTACCAACGCGAAGCACTGTAATTAGCTGCAGTGTCTTCTTGACGAGCCAGTCGGTCGACTTCAGTTATCCAAACGAAAGGCGTTGCAGGGTCTCTATGTGGCAGCTTCTTATTCGCTGGTTTGGCAATGACAATGGAGAAAGGCTTCGACAATTGAATGTCTCCATCTTTGACTTGGGGATTTGCACTCATAGTTTGTGTAGATGTCTCACCGCTGGAGACACATCCGCTAATAAGAGTTTGCTTCTTGCCTGAAGAGCGGTTCTTTGGCTGTGAGCACGATCTGTGATGAATTGATATCGAGCAAAGGCCAAATGGTGTCAGCAAGGCTGAGAACTGAGAAGCTTCTGGTCAAATAGCAAGCTGAGGGGGCCTTAACTTTGTCAGTTAGTATCGTACGAGTCAGTGGTGGCTGTCTCTGCAAGGTTCACTTACTCGGACTCGTATTTGGGGAAAGCGGCCAACAAGATACAACATCATCCCTCCTTGATGTCGTGTAACCTGCAGCCGATATACCAGTCAGGCTCATCCCATCATGCTAACTACCTGCAATCCTGATGCATTGCCACGTATGCAAAAATGGGCTTCTTTCAGCCCGTGCCCAGTGCCAGTATATGTAAGTAAGTGGGCGGCTTCGAGAAGTTCCCAAAGATCCATTCTTGCCCACGAAATATCTATTGATCGCAACCATGGCCATTGAGTACATGGGGTAAGGCTTTCATTCTACCCTGAATCGAGTTATAAGACTGACTTTCTCAGCTTCGTCGAATCGGCCCCAGTCAGTTTCAAGATTGGGCCAGCCAAAAAGAAGTGCTATATTCACAATGCGCTTCTCGAGCAACATTTCAAACCACTCTGGGATTTTCGTAACAATGCCAATCGTGAAGAGCAAACTGAGGTGCTTAGTAACATTGAAGAAGAGACTTTCGTGCGCTTTGTTGAATTTGCGTACACTGGCAGTTATTCTGTTCCACAACCTGTACCATTCCTTGCCATGAATGGATCCGAGAGCCTTAAGGTCTCTGAGAATCGAGAGCCCTCCAAGGATTTCGAGCTTGACTCCGAGGAAGCTGGGATTGTACCACCTCCCGAAGACGTTTCTTTAGGGGATATGGTGGAAGAACCGCCCTATGAGGAGTCACCTGCAGCAGCTATCGACTCAGCTGTTGACCAACAATGGGGTACATGGGGTGTGAAGAAGAAAAAGAAGCTGCGAAAACAGCCTCCAAAATTTGATCCGTGGCAAGAGCCGTCAACAGAGCCAGTTCTAGATGATGGGCCAGCTGCCGAAGATGCTCCTGAAGAATTTGACTTACAGCAGTTTGAACGAGATTCAGGTCCATACCGTGAGAATGGTGCTGTTAAAGACCGGCAGAACAAGAAGGCGACCTTGTGGAAGTCATTCATATGCGAAGCTAAAACCAGAGTACTTCCACCTTGGGAGCCTGCGGTCTCAACTGACGACAACCTGGATTTTGCGCCTGTCCTTCTGTCGCATGCAAAGCTCTATGCCTTTTCAAATCAGTTTGAGATTGAAAGTCTGCGACAGCTTGCTCTTGAGAGGCTTCGCCTGACCTTGGCACGGTTTGGCCTGGTTGTGGAACATATAAATGCCATTACTCAGCTTCTGAAGTATGCATACACTGTCGGAGATGCCATTATCAGTGCCTCAGAAGGTGGTCATGCTGAACTTCGAGAGATGGTCATTGATTATGTGATCTGTCACGTGGAGAGCCTTGTTCAAGATCAAATGTTCTTGGACTTTCTTCAGGAGCCAGGCTTGTTGTCTAGGGATCTTGTGCTCAAGTTACTCTTGCGCTTGAATTGAGGCTGCCGAGGTCAGTCGAATTGAACTGTGAGAGGAGAAGGGTGTGCGATGTCTTCGGCTCTTATGCATGTTGTGAGTCGCCCTTCTTTATGTCCTTGATGACACGAGAGAACAAACACACAGTGCTTTGGATGGCCTCCTCATAATCTTGGCTACTAATGCATACCACTTGAGTTCAAGTACTCAAGATTGAGCTTCATTCACATAATACTAGTGTCACTCTTCACTATCGATGCCTTATAATTCAATGACTTCACGTGGTTTCAATCACAACTGGTGAATTAAAACCATAAAAACTCTTCCTTTATCTTCTTTTCCTTTTCATTCCTCGCCCTTTCTTTACCAAATACCAAGATTTCATCCCTGCTCAAGACTGACCTCTGCTGGTTTTTTGTTGTCAAGATGAGTATCCCCTACGAAAGGTATGTCATCTTCTGAATCAGTAGCCGTGCAAGTACTAACAAAGACGAAGCTTCATCCGCTCCAAACCATTCAAATTTTATATCGGGCCCGAGATGACTCCCTTTTACATTCATCGCTCACTTGTGTCACAATTGTCCAAGACCCTGAAGACTTTGGTCACTGGTCCTATGAAGGAGGCCAAGCTCAGAACCGCCTACCTTCCTGATGTTGACCCAGCCACTTTCACTCGCTTTGTTGAGTTCGCATACACTGACGGCTACTCGCTTCCACAACCAATCAAGACCGACAGGGAATCAACTGTTCATGCCACTACAGCCCCAGGATCTGCTGATGCCGATGCAGCCACTGGATCTACTGATCGAGTTTCCAATGTTACTCGCGAAAGAAGTCAAGAGGATGTGGATGAATTCCGTGCTGCGAACCCTTCTTGGCCATTGGTAGCTGAGCCAAGCGCAAAAGAGACGGGAATGTGGCAAAATTTCTGCCTTGATTGGGTCGACCCAAATTGGTTATGCCCTCCTCAAAATATGGATGATGACTCGCTGGACTTCTCATCTGTTTTCCTTTCGTATGCTCAGCTCTAAGTATTCGGAGATAAGTATAACATACCTTCTCTCCGCAACGATGCGCTTGTGGGACTCAATCGCCAACTGGTAAACTTCAGACTTTACAAGAGCAGAATTGGTGACATCCTGGGACTACTCAAATACGCATATGAAAACACGGCCGAGTTTGATGACAAGAGTGACGATCTCAGAGATCTGGTCACGGGCTATGTGGCTTGCCATCTATCCACGATTGGCACCACTACGGAATTTCTCACGATGCTGGAGGAGCGAGGTAGAATGGCACGAGATATCATGTTGAAGACCGCCCCTGGAGAAATCTCAAACGGGCCGGAGATGGGTGATGCGTCTCTGGGCGACTCTTTTGTCGAGCATTCGGCATAAAGCTATCCCAGACTCACGACTAGTTCGCCATGGGTCGAGCTAGGAAAAGCCTGGTTGGGATGAACTAGTCTAGAGGATGACCACCGTATCATGTAGGCAGCCTGGGTAACAAAAATATTTCTCAACACGAGAGCATGGGCTATCAGGCCTCATTCGAAGTTGGCAAAAGCATTGGAGAAAATGAATATGTGCTCATGCTTTTTAACGTGCACATTGTCTAAGTGAAGATTAAAGTTGATGGAAAGCACCTCGCTGGAGGAAGTGGGCCTGGTTGAGATCACTCTTTCTTCAGTAATCGAATCTTGAGCCACTGAGAACAATCCGAATTCGCACCACAGCATGGCTTCATAGCAACGGTGCTTCAGAGATCTCAGAATGCAAAAGGATTTTTGGAACAATAATTTACGAATCTGAGCCTTTTCGAAATCTCAGTGATTGGTACTACCAAGCTAATTCGGCACTAGTCTGATACGCTATTCAAGTCACACTGTTCAAGTTGTACATTCCCTGAGTCTTCCTACCAATGCCAGGAGGGTTCAACTGCACCGAACAATGTCGTCTCACAGGATTGAGTTGATGTAGATAGTTTTGCGTTACTCAGTTTGCGATCTCAAAAGTGAGTATTTAGCTCTCACACCAGGAGAAACTTCCAGTCGTTTTCGATCATGACGTCCATCCAGAATACTTCGCCCTGCTCATAGCCGTTTTGTGCCCATGTCTTGAGTATGAGTTCTTCCACCATCTCAAGCGACTTATAAGGCAATATCTCTCGAATCGCACCAAGCCGCTTGAGAACCGTTGCGCGTGCTTCACTGATGTGTTCTGCTGTAAGGTGTTCATTCAGGTCAAACGATTCTTGGTGAGGATAATCTTCTTCCTCGAATATGCGAAGACCGGTATATGAGTTTTGAGACATAGCCGCACATATTGGAGATGCGGACATCGCTGCCACCAATGCTCCAAAGTCGGAATCATCAGTTGCGATACTTGCGCACAGATCCATCGAGACCAGATTCTGCCTCAGTTCACCTGCAATGATGATTAACAGTATCTGTTCAATACTGCGAGTCCCCGACCGCGGGGAGTTCTGGCTAAGGAGTTCGAGGGCATAGCATGCCAACATCGTCACCCAGGAGAGCCTTGCTAATTCCGACTGCCCACTGTCAATGGAACTGGCTGCCAGTCCAAGTCTGTTATCAAGGAGATCAGGAAATGCTCGGTACAACAATATCAAGGCCGATAATCGATGAATCTCTGCAATATTGAATAGATCTGCTACCGGTGTGTCAGGGTCTGAGACGTCGACGTAATTATCTTCATCTGGTAGGATCAGCGACAAAGCTTCCTTTTCCAGTCTCTGAGCTTGTTGCAGGACTTGGAGATCAGTTTGCAGAGTCCTCACACTGATGAAGCATTTCTTCCGACTCCTCATTCTTTGCTTGTGAAGTAAGCGGCCAACCTGTCCAAGAAGGATTTGCGGTTCTGGAGATACTCCAATGAGAGGGTGCGGAATCCGCTTGCCCATGCGTGTATGGAAGTTGTCACCGCAGATCACAACCGAAGGAGGTTCCAGGACATGATGCTCGGATGTGTCGGTGATGAAAGCCAGACCCATCCACCAGTACGTCAAGGCGTAGAGGGAGAATTCCTGGTGCCCTCCCCGCGGAGGAGGGCTTGTGCGATCTGGGTAGGCGTAGTGATATAGACGAACAGCCCCATTGTAATGAAAAATGCTCGGTGAGTTCGAGCCGTCCCAATTGGAGCTGAGACCAAACATGATGACGGCGAGCAGAGCATCTTCAATTTTGGTTCGGTTTGAATGGTCCAATTGCGCAACCTCGTTCTGAAGCCTGTGCAGGATCTCCGCCTGCGCATTTCGGACGATGATGGTCCCGTCGGTCTTGGATGCACTTGAACGAAGAAACGCGGCGGTGATAAATCGGAACAAGGAGAAGAATAGTAAGGATTCCTTCACCCGTGAAATCGCGAGCTTCCGAAAGGAGTTACAATCCGAGTCGAAAGCACTCAGGACTTTGCAGATCTTTTGCGTAAAGTATTCGACTTGTACCTGTGGATTGCTAAGAATTGTGTCGGGTGGCTGCCAGATATCCTGGGTAACTGTGATGGGCGATTGGTGATAGGAGTTTGACATGTTCAACTCGGGGTTGTTTGATGGTACTGACCCAGACGAGTTCAGTATTAAAGCCCCTGGAGAAATATCATCCTGTAAGCCAAATTGAAAGGGCTCATGACAGAATATCTCGTTCTCCTTATCGTCTAGATTGCCATTTGCATATTTATTTAGCAATTGCTCATCAGGGACACCATGGTCAAGAACGTCTATGATTAGAAATGGACCGGCGTTGGACACAGGTGGACTAGTGTTGTTGACCTCCGCATCATCATGAGAAGGTCTTGGAACGGACGTCGTTTTCCTCGAGACGGACTTCTTCCGGATCTGAAGTTCGGAGTGCTTCTCATGTTTACTTGACCATTTCCAACGCGGCCCATATCCAGGACATTCGAGGTGTTTCCGAACACATTGATTGCAGTTTGGCTTCGCCTCGTCACATTTTATCTGGATCGTGAGTCAGTTTTGGATTTTCAGGGCGGCCCGTGGCATACCCTTCGCTGTTTGCAGGTGCTGCAGCCAGATCTAGATTTCACATTTCTCGGCGATACAGACATGCTCAATCGGTAGTCATCTAGGCCAGGTGGAGATGAATCTGTTATACTAGTGCCAACACCTTGAGAGTAATGGACGCATCATGCATCGGGCCAGAATTGACCAGGGTCCCTAATCAGTGACATCAATAGATCAAGACATCGAAATGTAACCAGGTAGATGGAGGAAGGAGGTTTAAAGGAAGGCCAAGCAGATAAGTCGTGAGAAATCCGCCTATGATAGCCAGGGTTCATCTGTGGTAATCGTATCGTTATCATTGGGTCCGAGATGCCTGGGGAAAAATGCAAATGTGGGGGTGGCGACCCCAACCCGTAATGCGTTTTGATGCCCGAGGCACTCAAATACGAGGCAAAGCTATCCGTAAGGTTTAAGAGTTGGCCAGGCCTCGATGGACTCAAGGCCTTCGGTATTCGACTACATAGCACAGCACGCACCGTGACTAGTTGATCGCTTTCTTGAAGAACTTGTATTGGCCCACCGAACCTTAGATTGAGTAGAGGCAGAGTTTACCCAACATCAACTACTCTGGACAAACTATCGACTCGCACGCATTCATTACCAGTCACAGTCTTTGCCAGATGTGGTACAGACTTCCTTGCAGAATAATTCCTCTTCAGCGACGTCAGTGTCATCTGGTGACCGCTTCCCAGGGGTGATGTCGTGACCTGAAAGTCTCTCCTTCTCTCGGTGCTGGGTGAGCAGACTCTTCACCAGAGACTTGAAATGCAACACGCCCTTCTCGTTGTGAGGATGCAAAGGCCCAGACACGTAGGCCCCAGCATTGATGTTCTTCTGGGCGTTCGTGCAAAGGTACTTGTCCTCCTTCTCCACTTGCTTGAAGAATGCGTCCATTTCTTCGAAATCATCATCGCTACTGTTGGTGTTGCGATACACCTCGTACTGCATCGACACTTGGTGCTCACTAATAGGAACGACTCTCATTAAATAGAAATAGTGATCCCTAGCGAATCATTAAAAGTGTCCGGGTAATATCCGCCTTATCACAGATTCACGATACTCACGTCATTGTCACAGAAGCATTAGGGAAGAGAAATGTTGGAGCCACGTTACCACTTGGATCGTCAACGCCCTCTTTGCTCTCTGCATAGTGTTCGATAAAGCCCCGGTCTAACCTGACATCGTAGCTCTCAAGATTGGTGACTTTGGCGATGCCAGGGTGTGCAACCGAGCAGTGGTAGCACTAAAACGTAACCTATTAGTGAACATGTTTGTGTGTAAGGATAAGAGAAGTCTTACTTCGTTGTAGTTGTCAATCAAGGTCTTCCAATTGTAATCTCCCTCCATATTCCACGAGTGATCGAAGCGATAGTTCCTCATGTCGAAGACACCTAATCGTTCTTGCTTGTCCACTGATTGGGATGATTCATCCCACCTCACTTCAGGGACTTGTGCGGCATCAAGGTTGACCCAGATGAAACCTCTTCTATCCACTTTGAGATGAACTCGAAAAAGTCCGTAATGAGATTTATCGAAGTCCTCGACAGTGTCAAACTTAGGCGCTTTGGCTAAGTTTCCATTCAATCCATAAGACCATCCTGACACACCTTAGTGTCTGGGCCTCCTCAGAAAATCAGTTCTACTTACCATGGTATTTGCAAGCCAAGATACTTGCCGTGCCTTCTTCTTGAAGTACTACAGGGAATGCGCGATGACGGCAAACATTCAGGAAGGCATTTAAGCTTCCTTGACGATCTCGAATGATGAAAAATGGATAGCCGGCAATGGTATATTTTGCATAATCACCCGATTTGACGAAACGAAGCTCGTGGGTCACAAGTAACCACCTTTTTGAAAAGATTGCACGTCGCTCCAACTCGTAGATCCCTCGTGTGGAATACCAGGATGCTGGCAAAGTAGTTTCAATTTTGGTCTTGTGTCCGTTCATTGTTATAATGGAACTTGGGTACTGCAGATTCTGTTGCTTGCGAAAATCCGCTCAGATACTTTCGGCGTTAAATCGAGCGTCGGAGTTCAAGTCACGCAGGATCTGATAGTCATAGCTGTCGCTTTAAAGCATTTTCAACATGTTGTCACCTACCTTGGGAGGTCAGTCTTCTTGGGTGTTGGAGATAACCTCCTGGTCCATAACCGCGGAAAACTGACCCTGTACATTCTTACCAGTATCGGAAGTACAGTGCATCACCAGCAGCAATGGAATGGGATCAGCAATTCCTGGCGCTTGGTTGGGCTACATAATATGGTCATCAGCGAGTTGATGTGGGATCGAGGTGATTGACAACTCTCCAAGTTGCGGAATTCTACAGCTTTGAAGTTCCGCGTCATACAATGGGACTAGCTACATTCGGCGAAGAAGTGCGATTGGTTTACTCGACGCTCCTTGTCCGTGGTCCATGCCGTGTCTGGAGGGAGTTAGTATGAGTACTCGCCTCTCTCAATGGAGAAGACCCATATCGCAAGTGTCTTGCATTGGTTATAATTCTGCGTGAATGGAGTCCAATAATCTTGGAGGCAAAATCATATTGCTCTGATCACAGTCTAGCCATTAATCTACTTCCACACTTCCACGCAATGCCATAATCGCTCGTGGAGAAAGCGATAGTGCTTCCCTTATGGATGACGAACGTATCTCCTGGCTTGAGAGTTGTTTCGGCGCCCTCGTCTGCATCACGAAGGCTGATAGTCCCTTCATGAGCATTAGTATCTATGAGAACCGTCAGAGGAGATGGAATCCACCTTCAATAACTACTCCAACCTCGTCGTATTCGTACTTAGGAGGTGTCGCAGGCTCTCCTTCCTCTAGGCGGAACCATGATCCAACTATAGGATTGTCGACTTTATTGTCTCTGGTTCCTAGCAGATCGGCTGCGTAGAACGTCAGTAGTTGTCCTTCTGGATATCGGACGTCAAACTCACTGAAGTATACGTTCTCTGGTGCTCCTTCAAGCTTCGGGACCTTGAATTTCTCCGTGACCGACTTAACTTCGAAAACCATGATGGAAAAGTGTAACCCAGTCGAAATGCCTAAGCTTGTGTGCAATTGACGAGAGGCCTTCACTGACCTCGGTTGGGTTCTTATCTCATTCGAGATCAACTGAAATCCCAATACGGAGATTTCGTGCGGTTACAATCTCGCACAATTCATTTCCGCGAACCAGGTACCCACAATTTGTTCCGCTGGGCATTCCGTGGGCGGATCCTCCACATTGTGAGCAGTGCAATGGATGGGGAATTTAATGACTTGCGATCAATTTGAACCTGGAGAATTCTGGTGGAAGATCGAATATTATCCAAGAAGCATTGGACTTTTCTCTACAAAAGTGATTCATAGGGCAGAATTTGCCACCTTGCTTCAACATCATGTCGACGTCCCGTGAAGGTTATTTGTGGACCAAGACCACAACCTCGCAGGGCCTCACCACCGACTCAGTGGTCTTGAGTGCGACGAATATCAAGTCAGAATATGATGCGATTGTCATCGGGGCTGGGTTTGCCGGACTATTGGCAGCTCGAGAACTTTCGCGAAATCATGGTCTGCAAGTACTCCTAGTTGAGGGCCGGGATCGCATTGGAGGCCGAACCTGGACAGCGAAGGCATTAGGGGAAGAATTTGAGATGGGTGGCACATGGGTATGAATATCGCTTTCCCAGATAACTCAAAACGAATTCTGACCTCCTCCAGGTGCATTGGAATCAGCCACACTGTTACAGAGAGCTGTACAAGTACAACCTCCATAAGAACTTTAAAACTTCGGCAGGCACGTTAGCTGCACAGAAAACGTACTACAGATCTGCTCAAGGGGCTGTACAAGAAGTCGATCCCGTCGAGTTTGGTAACATCACGCAAGCAGTCGCGGAGAGCTTCTTCACAATTGATGGCCACTCGAGTAGAGAGCTAATGCCATATCCTCATGATCCATTTAGAGAGCCCGCTCTGTGGAAGAAGTACGATCATCTTAGCGTACGACAGCGTCTTGATCAACTAGATCTCCCGAGCCTCCATAAAGAATACTTCGAAACTACAGCAGCTTCATTCGGGAGTGCACCAGGGAAAGACATCGGCTTCGTCGAGGCCCTCCGCTGGTATGCCCTAGGTGCTCATAATCTAGCCCAGACTTACGAGCTGGCTGGCGTATTCAAGCTTGGTAAAGGTGGCATGACCTCCTTTGCACGTGCCTTACATCAAGATGCTAAGTGCGATACCCTGATGAACACTGTTGTTACCGATATCTCCCACCATCAGTCTGGAGCAAGAATCACAACTGCGAAGGGTCAGACTTTAGCGGCAAAGGCAGTCGTGTGTACCGTTCCCCTGAACTGTCTCAGTGACGTCAAGTTCTCACCTTCACTCCACCCTATCAAACAAGAGGCCATCTCCCACGGACATATCAACAAGGGAGCCAAAATCCACTTCAAGCTAGCCGAGACTGAGCCAGGCTGGTTTGCCGCATGTAACGGCGATGACGATTCGTCCTTCTGCTTCTCTTTTTCCGACCACAATGGCAATTCTACGGCTGAGCCTCAGGGCACCTATTCCATCGGCTTTGGTTATAATGGCTATCTTGAGGATCCGAAGAACAGCGAAGTCATTATCAGGGAGTTCAACAGGAATGTTCGCCCAGGTACCAACGTCGAAGCGTATCTTACACACGATTGGATGAATGATCCTCTCGCAAAAGGTGTTTGGAGCTGCTGGGGGCCGGGTGCGATGAGCAAGTACACCAAAGCGCTTCAAGAATCGCATGGCAATGTGTTCTTCGCAAGTGCCGATTGGGCTGATGGCTGGAGAGGATTTATTGATGGCGCATTGGAGAGTGGCCTAAAGACGGCGAACGAGGTAGTTAAGCACTTAGATGCCCGACTTCAGTCAAAATTGTAAGCTCAATCGCCATTCTCCATACAGATGAGGTACTTCTCGATCTTGTGCACAGCGGTCTACGTGTCACCACCACGTGGCAGGCGGATTATGATTTGAGCAGGTAATTCATAGTACTGCAGAGGTCTTACATCAGTAATGGCATTTGTTGCACTGACTTTTGGGAAACGGTGTTGGCGAAATTTTTCTCTCTGATCAGAGAGATTTGCTAACAGATCCCTGCCAGGTGTCCAATTCCCAGTAGATAATGTCCGCGTAGATAAGATTATTCTAGTGTAAAAGAAGGAGCTAAAAATTTTAAGATGAGAGGGCAAAGTTCCATCAAGGGCAGGCTAATCTTTCTGCTCGAAACAGTCAACATTGTCAGCTCTGGCCAGATCTGGTGCTCACAACAAAAGGACAGTATGGTGCGAAGCGCACTCCCTCTCACCAAGATCCTAAGCCTGCTGACTAGCATCCTTCCGCGGAGCTGCCTGGCCTTGAACCTCCACCATTGGGCCAAAATAGGCCTTTTTCCCATGCCAGAACCAGTAAGCAGCACTCAGAGCCAAAACTCCGCTGAGAACAATAGATGCGTAGTTGAAGTTTTGCGCAGTGACAGGTTGATAGGGTGGGAAAAGGAGGAATACGCAGCAGAAGACCGTGTAAAGGATCGACACGACATTTATAGTAGCTCCCCATTTACCCAGCTTAAAAGGTCCATATAATATCGTTGCAGGCCTGCAAGTACGCCGCCACAGAATCGCCACGGTGGGTATGAGATAAGAAAGGTATAGGCCGACCACTGACAGGGATAGGATGGCGTTGAACGCAGTGGTGGCTGCGATGTTTAGGAGTCCAAGCAGCATAAGGAAGAAAATAGTGAGTGCTATCGCGACAGTGGGAATTCCTCTCTTCTCGTCCACACGAGATATAATCCCTGAGAATGGAAAGGCGTTATCTCGAGCTAGTGACCAGAGAGTCCGGGCTGCAGACGCAACAAGCGGAATAGTAGCAAGCGTCGCCATAAGAATAATCGCTGTTGACATAGCAGTTGCTGCTCCATTGCTTCCTGTGACGTTGAGGAAGACTTGAATGATTGGGAAGCCAGTGTTGGTTTGGAAGACTGAAGCAATGTCTCCCATGCAGAAGAGAACCGCAAGTATGAAGGTGAATCCCAGAATCCCATTCAGTATGAGAGAGCCGATCATGGCACGAGGGACACCAGTTGCGGGGTTGGGCATTTCCTCGCTCAGATGCGTTGCAGCATCATACCCGACCATTACGTAGGCTGAGCTCAGCATACCAACGCACCATGCTACACCATTGTTGGACCAGCCAGATTCATTCTCAAATTGGGTGAAGACAAACGATGCACTATTCTTCGTTGGTGAGACAGCAAGAATAACGACGAAAAGAATAATGAAGAGAACCACGTGAAGGGTCATCGACGCGTTCTGTAGTTGAGGCAGGATGCGAATACCGAAAATGTTGATGAGGAGAGCGATTGTGAGGACCGCCCAGTACAGTAGTGTTCCGTGCCAGCGCTGGGGGACGTATGTTGGGTCATTGAGGATGATCAAGCCTTGAATCATGGTCCCAGCAAGAAAAGGAGCACTTGCGGCAACAGACTGCCATCCAAACATTGTGAGCCACCCTGTAGCCCAACTCAAAGGACGAGCGATCGCAGAGGGTGCGAGTTGGGCTGTAAAGTGGTATTGCCCGCCTGCGGTAGGTATCCTGGCGGAGTCAGCTCATCTTCCTACAATTCCAGTAGGAAGAACTGCTCACATTGAGGCAGCCTCTGATAGAGACAGACCAGTGGCAATTGTACCAATGAAAGCCACTAATAAATCGTTAGAACATATATGCAAGGTCGGGGTAAGGTCGCTGGCGCCGAACAGATGAATCCATATACCAGCGAAACTGGCCCGCCCGAAATCAGGCCTGCCGCCATTGTGCTACAGAATGCTTCCCATGTTGCCATGAGTGAAATGCATGCAGCTAGCATTGATACCCAGTTGAAGTTCTTCGCCAACTAGTACAAGTTAACGAGATTATGAATGTTCTCAATGAGTATGTTAGTAATACTTACGGCAGGCGTGGAGTGTCCACCACCAGCCTCTTGTTGCTCTGCATCTCCTTTGGAGGACATAATCGACATATTGCTGGTTTCAGCCGTCTTTGAATGTGAATGATTAATGGCTTCCATCATAACCGGCTTCGCAGGAGAATTAGGGTTGGAAAGACGCCCATAACGGCAGCAGCGAACGTTGTTATTATATCTCACCAAGAGATTAAGATCAACTGAACTAGAGAATACTCCAGATTGGCGATGTGGGCCATCCCCGAGTAGCAAGGAACGTACTTTACGAGCTCCAGAATGATATCTGGGGGACATACTCCTCTTCTCTCGAGGAAAGGTCTCAGACAATTCATCGATAGACCCCATCCATGTCAAGGTCTTCCTAATTAGGCGATAAAGTGCAGCGGAAGAGTTCCGAGGTTGGGAATTGCGCTTGAGCTCGACCTCTCCTGGACATGCCAGGGGGTAACAAACTCTTATCGCAAGCAAGTCAGATACATCAAGACGGATTTGATTTGTAGGCTTCAGCTGAAAATTATCACCAATCTGAGATAAGAGCCATTTTGATCTCGCGTATCAGCAAGACATGGGAACAATGCGTAGGAGGTGATAAGACTTGCGTGACAAGTGTTCAGGGGTTCCAGCAGGCTTGGACTAAAGCCTGCAGGAGGATCGTCACCAATATATACGATATCACAGACTGAGTGCTGTGAGATGTTGTTGAACATGAGTAAGGGCCGCGCAGCATCCATGCCCATGGGATAGATTGTGCAGCCAGAAACACCATGCTCCGTAAGGAGTACATCAACGGCGGTGCCCACAACATCCCCTACCTCCCAGTACAGCTGATCATCGTGGTTTGGTTCTCGAATATCAGGAAGGTCAAGAAAAGGTGTCTGGGTAGGGTGCCTCTTCCATCAGCGACTTTCACGATGACTGTTGGGCAATATTTGTTGAGATCTAAAGAGCTACGTCATAGGATTCTGATCGGATAAGCGCTATTTACGGATGGTATTCTCCCTCCAGCGCTGGCAGCCTTCATACCTACAACGAATACACCAAAAAATCAAGTTTGCTACAAGTCGAGTTCTGGAACGTGTGGTTCTACCCTTGACAATATTGCTCAGATCGCCCGCCATTAACAGCAGTTGCGAGACATGCCCCTTTTGCAGCTAGTCAAACATGATTATTTCACCTATCATCGCTATGGAGAGAGATGAAACCAGCTTAGATGGCACCGATTGGTATCATGATCTTCCGCAATTCCTGCTGCTCATAACCAATACTGTAGAGTTTAAGTGTTGGTAGTGTGCAACCCATCGCTACTAAGTTTGAGATACTCCGATGAAGATGTCGATACTGTAGAAGTATTGAGAGCACCTGTCAACTCCTCCGACTCGACGACTACATCAACGCGAGAACGTAAATAACGACCATTGTCGAGTGTGTGCAGGACAACGTAACCGTGAAAACAGCTGCGTCAATGGAGGAATATGATCATGATTATCGTGCAAGTACGCTCCAACATTATCAGGACAGTCATTTCGAGGTCCCGTCTGAAAAGTCTTTGGGGAAGGCAATGAAGGGAGAGACAGCGCTTGGGAGAATTGGCTCGTTGGGGGTGTTCCAGTGTCGGCCCCAGGGAGCCTACTATGCACATCGAACGATTTTGCTAGGCAGGGTGCCCTGATAAGGGCTGGCTCTGCTCCTTCATACTCTAACAGGAGCAGGGGCAAAGCCAGAATGATTTTAGCGACCGCGGGGTTCGGCCAAGAATTAAGCTCAGCAATATCCGGTACCGGGAATTCCACGCTGGAGTTGACTTCGGACTTCTCTTACATAGAACCCGAATGTCAGCCGAGGTCACGGTTTGGTCTACTAAAAGCTTTACCTCTAGTCTAGCTTTTATTCCTTTCTTTCGATCTTCGATGATCCGAGTTAGGCCATTTCGACCAACTTTACCTACACAGGATGTTGTCTCTACTATCGCGCTTGGCTCGACCGGCATGTAGTAAAAGAGGTGGCTGTAAGGTGGCTCTGGTCAGCCATCGGATACCGCAATGTGGTTATGCCAATGTGACATCGTCACTTCCCAGTACTCCAATGAGTCGCTTCGAACAGGATAGATATATCAACTATGAAGAATTGGACTCCAACATTGACAGAGTCAGGGCGAAGTAAGTCTTCGCTATTAAGGTATTGCTGCGATGACTGATGTTTTTCAGGCTGGGACGGCCTTTGACATATGCAGAAAAGGTCTTGTACAGTCATCTGGATGAGCCAGATTCTATGAAAATCGAGCGCGGGGTGTCCAACCTTGAGCTACGTCCTAGCCGCGTGGCTTGTCAAGATGCTACATCACAGATGGCTTTGTTACAATTTATGACGGCGGGCCTCGATAAAGTTGCAGTACCAACAACAATTCACGCCGACCATCTGGTGACAGGCCGGAAAGGAAGCAAACTGGACTTGGCTGAATCGATAAAGACAAACAAAGAGGTCTTTGATTTCCTTGAAAAAGCTTCACAGAAGTATGGGATCGGTTATTGGGGCCCCGGGGCTGGAATCATTCATCAAGTTATCCTCGAGAACTACGCCTACCCTGGTGGTCTGATGATCGGCGCCGATTCTCATACTCCTAATGCTGGTGGCCTTGGGATGGCTGCTGTTGGAATAGGCGGAGCTGACGCCGTGGATGTGATGTCGGGCCAAACGTGGAGTTTGGCAGCGCCCAAAATTATAGGGATTCAGCTTACTGGCAAGCTTTCTCCTTGGTTGTCTCCCAAAGGCTAGTTTCTCTCTTTCTGGAGTCTCAGATTCGACCACGGCGCGGCTAACTTTTCGACTAGATATTATCTTGTGTGTGACTGATATCCTCACTGTGAAAGGCGGTACAGGAAGTGTGCTGGAATATTTTGGCCCTGGGGTCGATACTTTATCATGCACTGGTATGGCTTCAATATCGAATATGGGAGCCGAGAGTGGCGCGACCACGTCCATATTTCCCTATACTCAAGCGATGGGGTCATACCTCGCTGCTACTGGAAGAAGTTATATACGAGATAGGGTACAATCGCGACTCCACAATCTTCGTGCGGACGACAATGCAGAGTACGACCAACTCATAACCATTGACTTGTCAAAGCTAGAACCTCGAATCAATGGACCATTCACCCCGGATTTGTCAACACCGGTATCTCAGTTCGGAAAATTCGTAAACGAGAATCAATGGCCGGAACTGTCAGCAGGCTTGATCGGGTCATGCACGAATTCATCCTTCGAGGATATGAGCCGGGCAGCAAGCCTTGCGAAGCAAGCTTTGGATGCAGGAATCAAGCCTAAAATACCGTTCTTGGTTAGTGTGGGTAGTGAGCAGACTCGACTCACCCTTGAGGAAGCGGGTGTCATCGACACTCTGAGGAATTCAGGAGCAACTTTGCTGGCAAACGCATGTGGTCCTTGCTCAGGCTCATGGGCTCGAGAAGATGTCGAAAAGGTGAGTGATTTTCAACTCCGAGTTCATCAGCTTTCACTAATAAATACTGTAGGGTACCTCTAACTCTGTGATCTCCTCGTACAATCGAAATTTCACCAGCCGACTGGATGGTAACAAGGAAACAAAGATCTTTATTGCATCACCTGAGATGGTTGTAGCAAAGACGTTTGCTGGCAATCTGAAATTCAATCCTCTCGAAGACAGTATCACAGCTCCTAATGGCAAGGCCTTCAGATTCGAGCCACCTTCTGGAGCCAGTCTCCCTGATCAATACGTAACTGCAGATGGCGTTTACAAAGCACCTTCACAGAACGCTCATCTTGGAGAGATATCCATTGATCCAGAGTCTGAACGTTTGCAGCGGCTTACACCATTTCCTGCATGGAGTGGCAAGGACTTTGAAGACCTCCCGATCCTTGTCAAAGTCAAAGGCAAATGCACAACTGATCACATCACACCAGCCGGACCTTGGTTTAGGTTTCGAGGACACCTCGAGAACGTCTCTGCAAACACCTTGATAGGTGCTACGAATGCAGAGAACGAGCAGGTTAATTCTGTCTGGAATCCTTTCACACAGAGATATCAAGCCATCGCAAAAACAGCAAGAGAATTTAAGGCGCATGGCCAGCAGTGGGTTATCATTGGCGATACAAATTACGGAGAAGGGTCATCAAGAGAGCATGCAGCTTTGCAGCCACGATATCTCAATGGAGTGGCAGTGATTGCAAAAAGTTTGGCACGCATCCATGAGACAAACTTGAAGAAGCAAGGTCTGCTGGCACTTACGTTTGCAGAAGAATCGGATTATGACCGCATCCAATCTCGAGATCGCATCAGTCTCGTTGGACTAGAAGAATTTGCTCCTGGCAAGCAGATCATATTGCGAGTACGACAAGAGAATGGAGCGGAATGGTTATCCAAGTTGAATCATTCATACACACCCGCACAGATCGAATACTTCAGACATGGCAGTGCTCTAAATTATATGGGTTACTGCACTAAAGAAGCAAGGAAAGCCGCGGAACTTTGATGCTCATTATTCGCAGAGAGTTGAGCGTGGAATCCTTTCAATATCAATCTCAAAGACATAGACAAGAAAAATTAATAGACGTATCATCACTCGGCAGCCAGAGCCGTTTGAACAGTTAGCTGATTGTGTGAGCTTTAGCTGATTGTGTGAGCTTTAGCTGATTGTGTGAGCTTTAGCTGATTGTGTGAGCTTTGACTGAAAGTAATGCCCTTTCCATTGGTCAATCTGCCTTTCAAATTAGCGTGGCGTCCCTCAGAGGTTAAAACATACCACAGCAATGAGTTTCGTCCATTTCACCTGTCATGAACATGCTAGCTCGGCAAATTGGGCGTTATAACCATTCTCTGCTACAGATCGTATGGCGACATCGGGAATGCGATGTCGGCCTTTGAGCCTCGTGCGGAGGTCATCGATTGGTAATTCTCTACCCAGTCCGTGATCTCTGCCTATGAACAAGGCTGGCATCATCATCCTACTTATGGTATAGATGTCACACAATTCTCAAAAATTTCGTCTAGAGAATTTTCATATCAACAGGGAAGTCTTAGCAGGATTCACTTGGACTGATTACCTACAAAGTTGCTCGCCCGGTCCAGGAGAATGAAGGAGCTATTGATATCGGCTGGACCTATGGTCTCTGTGATTGAGTCACCCATTCCAAGCCCGAGTCCTGGACAAGTCATCATCAAAGTTGTTGTTTGTGGTGCAAACCCTAAAGATTGGTCAAGGCCTGAGCGGTATGGCGGCAATGTAAACCAAGGAGATGACATTGCTGGCACCGTGTACTCCATTGGAGATGATGTAGTTGAATTCAAGGTCAGTTAAATTTACCATTCGACCTTCCCCTAGCCGCGACGAAAGTTCTGTGTCTTGAGCTATCAATCATATATACATATTAAAGACGGGTCTGTTGACATCACGATCTCCCATGCTTATAATTTCTGGAATAGGTCGGTGATAAGGTTGCAGCCTTCCATGAGATGGGCACACCCGGTGGTGGGTACGCACAATATTCAGTGGCGTGGGCGTATACAAGCTTTCACATTCCTAAAGGCATCTCCTTCGAAGGTGAGACTCCGCGATCTATGGTACAGCTCACAAAGAAGTCGCTAGTGCTAACACCTCTCAGAAGCCGCAACTATTCCGTGAGTACCTTTCAAATTGGCTCTACCGCGAATGAGATTTTCGACTTGCTGTGATGGGATTTGCTGCTTGCGTCTTCAAGAATACCATTGCTGATATTACAGAAGTCTGGCGTGCATGACTGCTGCAATGGCTCTTTTCTCACGCTTGCCGCTCCCACAGCCATGGTCGCCTGTTTCACATCCATTACCATTAATCATAAACGGTGCTTCATCCTCCGTGGGGTGCTATGCCATCCAACTGGCACTGCGTGCCAACATTCACCCTTTAATCCTCATCGCGGGACAAGGCGCCACACATGTTGAGACCCTGATCGACCGATCTAAAGGGGACACCATTGTTGACTATCGAGGTGGACCACAAGCGATTGTGTCAGGTATCAGAGATGCACTAAGAACTACCGGTCTTGGGGATAATTCCTGTCAGTACGCATTTGATGTAATCAGTAGCAATGGCAGCTGGAAGCCACTTCTCGAGGTCATAAAGTCCCATCGAGAAAATGCAGCTATCACTTTACTACGTCCCTTACCAGCAGACACTTTTCCCCAAGGTGTTCAACATTCGCGAACTGGTGTTGGTGGATGTCATTCACAACTAGACACACGAGATTGGGATCCAGATCTAGCATACGTGTTCTTCAGGTTGTTTGCCCGAGGCTTGCAGGACGGATGGTTGCGTGGCCATCCTTGGGAAGTGCGAGCTGGAGGTTTGGATGCTGTGGAAGCAGCATTGAAGGACTTGAAAGAAGGGAAGAATAGTGCGAAGAAGTACGTTTTCCGCATCGCCGAGACTAGTGGGTTGCAAGATTCATAGACATGGGAGAGAAGCAAGCTCTCGACATTTATTCGGAAAAGTTTCCTTTGTCCACTGTGGATGTAGTAATTTCTGATGGCATCCCCTTTCATGCTTGTGTACTGATCAATTCGCAGTTGGCAATACCCGTGCTCATTTTATCTTCTTTTTGTCATTACGTCGATCATTGTCCTCTCAAATTCTGCAATCCAACCTTCGAAGTTCAGTGCCCAGAATATCGCAAGGGAATGAAACCAAGGCATCAATTACACCTCTTCTAAGACTCAAATGTACAAGTTACCAGGATCCACAAAAGCCATGAAATCCAGGATGTTTTCATACGCCGTAAAGACTATACCCCCGCTCAACTTATTCGTGGTAATGGTCAGCATCAACTGGGAATATGAACTTTGGGAAGGTCAACAGGAAGACCGAATATTACTTACAGTCAGTCTCACCAGCCTGGGTACAGTGCCAGACCAGAGTGTCAATAACCCTTCTGTTTTCACAATTTTGACACCTGCATCCAAGCTACTACGGTAGTGTGTGCTTGCTTGAAGGCTTTGCATTCTGGTCTTGACTACGTCGAGCGGCTGCGTTGTATAGACAGTTATCAGGCCTGCAAGTCCGCCGATCGTGAATGTGGCCATTGGACCAGGCTTCTGACCAGGGGGTAAGGTCTCTTGCCAGAGGTCACGTATAGTCGAATAGCTGGTGAAACGAACGGCTGAATTCGCAGCTTGCTTTGCTGTCGTTGGCACTAGCCCCCGAAGAATGCCTCGTGCTCCACTTTCACGAAATATGAGAGTGGCCGCATGCGCAGTGCTTCGCATTCTAGGCGTTGCTGATTTCGCATCCTCGATACTGTGTAGTCATAAATCAGTATTTTCATCATTGAAGTCGTGATGGCATGCGTAACGGGCTTACAGTGCTGTCTTAATGCTCTCTGATGGCGTTACTGCAAGAAGACTTTCAACGCACCCGGCTCCTAGACCTGCCAGTATGGAACCAGATGTGGACAAGTGGCCATTGCTGTCCTTGAATATGTCCCTCATGTGTTCGTAAGAGGCGAATCCTGTTGATGCAGTAACATTCAAATTAACTTCCGACTGCCGGTACCAACTCGCAAGCACACAATACAGATTGAAAAGCCTTCAAAACTTACGGACTGCAACCTTCGCTGAATTGCCAGCAATAGCGCTCGTACACCCAGCGTACCACTTCGAACCAAATGGCGGCCAAGGGAGTTTTGCAGAAGTGGCTAGTCTTCTGTTTAGCTGAGAATGTGTCTTCGCAACTTGGTTCAAAGGGATCAGCATTAAATATCATGAAGTGCGTGTAGAATGTCTTTTACTCACATTCAGCAGGATACGTAATGGCTACATTCACCAGTTCCGGTCAGACTTTCTTTCGACCACGGGAAGGACTGCCTTACCAACTTCAACTGCACCAGCAGTACAGCCGGCCAGTATTGACCGGCCAGGGGATGGTTTCTGCATGGTCTGAAGGCTTTCTCCCTAAAGGAACGATCCACTTGCGAAGGCGAGTTCAAGGAGCGATACTGTTCGCTTGACTTGCTCACAAAGTCCAATGTGCGCGATGTGGTCAAAAGTGCTGGCTAGGTTTCTGTGTCCTGCGTGAAATTTACCACATCTTGTGCCTCGTTGTGGATGGCTGAGCACTGGGTATGAGCTCTTGTTGTAGTAATTGTGACCTTGTCTGGCACGTTAGAACAAGGCTAAACCCCCTTTCGTTCAAATGCCGGAAACTTAGCTTACTCCCGCCATCGGAAATTGTTATGAGTGGTCGACGATATCGGAAGGGATCTCAATGGCAAATCGACCACCGACCGCTTGTGACTGGCGCAATTGACAGCCAGATCAAGTGGCCATGCAAAAGAATAATTTGTGCACAGCGCCGATGTGAGAGCTGATCAAGTCACCATACAGGGACCCCAACACGTCAAGTGATCCACCAAGTATATTATTATAGTGACTGAGGAAAACGGATGAGATCTTCCGGGGCTGAATTGGTAGTCCAGTGCGTTACCGGGCTGCATTAACCGCCATCATGGCACGTCTATTTTGCGATTGCGTCAAAAGCTATGTGAGGATGCTGTGACTCCATAGAACAGTTCGGTTGGTTTCAGCGGTCGTTGGGCAGAGAAGATCCACTGTAGACACAATATCGTAGTCTCCACGTCTTTTTGGTCTCTGGTAAGTATATCATTGAATAACAGCATTTAGTCGGTCCGGGGTTTCTTGTAGGCGCCTCTCAGCTGTGAGAGGATGGCCACGATCAAAATCTTTGACCAGAACTTGTACGACCAGAATAACCCCAGAGAAAAGACACCATCTGCACAGCCACGGTTGCAGCAGCGCTTGTGCCTAAGCGTCCTGCCGGCAGGCATATAAATGCAACATCGTGTCAGCCTATTCTGCCTAGCTGTACTGAGCAACATGTACAATCCGCTCATACTCTTCATCCAGAATCGCCATCGCCGCCGCAAGCTCAATATGGAGGGCGCAGATCCAACCGACCGTAATATCTTCCAGACGAGTGCGGCAGGGAGGGATCTTGCACATATCTGGGTGGCAGATACTTGCTGCGATATACTCGAGCGAGGGACACCAGCGCAATGATCCGAGTCTTGGGATATCAAACTCCCTAAGCTGCTTTGCTCGTCAGGCTGTGGAATTATCTCAATTGTAAGCCACTACGGTGGGCAAGAAGCCTCCTATGCGCAATCTAGTTACTGCTTATGAGCATGATGAAAGTGCCTGGGTCAAGCTTGTCTCTATTGGCCGCTAAAGGGCCCCTTGGCTTTTTACAGAAGTTATGGCATTGCTGGGGCTTAAGTGCTTCTTCCATTTTCAATTTTTTAATCTTACTCATTTATCCTCCTTTGATGCCACAGCCATCTCATAAGAACATTGGCAGCCATGGCAATGGTGGGGGAGATCGTTCCGAGCCTGGGCGCCTGAGGTTTTTGACAGTAACTAGTGACTGTTCTTCTCCAACCACAGGTGACTTGTCCAAGATGGCTAAATTACCAATCATCCAGTTCTATCCATCCCACATACTTTTGGGTTTAGCATAGGGTTCTTGACTAGAGCTCCAGTGGAGCAATACAAAAGTCAGGCAAACGATCAATGGCCTACGAAAGAAAGAATGGCTTTGGGTGCTGGACGTGCCGTCTGCGCCGAAAGAAGTGCGATGGGGCGAAACCAAAATGCCGAAACTGTATCGCGCTGGAAATCACCTGTCACAACGAAGTCGTCAAACCAGCATGGATGGATGGAGGAACTCGACAGAAGGAGATGACTTCGTCGATCAAGACTCAAATTAAGCGACGTGCAGAAACTAGACGAGAGAGACCAGTCGTCCAAGTCACGACGGTGGAGACTGGTGACAGCAACTTCATCCTTGAATCAGGCCAAGGCCTCATATTTCAAGATACTCAGCAAAATCAATCACAGACCAGCGATTTGTTTGGAGCCAATTCACGCCTCGAGGAAGGAACCGTTGAAAGAATGCAGTGGATGGGATCCGTGCTCAGCTTCCTAGACGAGTATGAGGAAGTTCACGACCATCTTCCCATACTGTCTCGTGGCCGAGATTTCGAAATCGATTTCATGATGAAGTATATGGACTATGTATTTCCACATTTATTTCCGTTCTACCAGCCCTGCCTTCAAGAAACTGGTCGGAGCTGGGTGCTGGCACTTTTGAGAAGGAGCAGGGTAGCATTTCATTCAGCAATGAGTCTGAGTGCGTTCTTCTTCATCGCGGCGCTAATTGATGTATATCCTGGACAGCACGATTATTGCAAGAGCATGCTCTGGGAGAAGGTCGGTCGGCAAGCAGATATATGTTTCGAGTTGATCCAACATGACATACAGGAGCTGAGCTTGCGTGGTCCGCAGGCAACAGTACTGGAGAAAGCTAGATTGATGCAGAGCATTACCCAGTTCCTGATATTCGAAGTGGCCCTGAGCAGGTCCGTCAACTGGAACTCACATCTAACCCCAGCTCTGGGACTGTTTGAAGATATCTGGCAGAGCACTACCCTAGATGCGTCAGGCTCCAAATTACTTGCCGTTTTGGATGCAATGACTACCAATCTCCGCTTCGGCCTCGATCATGGCGGGTACGTCTGGAGCCCAGAACAAGCTGGGCTGCGTTTCTTCATTGGTTTCTTGATTTACATCGATGTGATTGCTAGCACTTCGCTCGGGCAACCGGCTCGCTTGATTGAACATCATGGAGATCTCCTTGCTCAACCAGACAACAGTGAGGCGGATTTTGGATTCATCCCCATCCGATTGTCAAGCCTCATCGGCTGTCAGAATTGGGTGTTGGTCACGATCAGCCAGATCAACCTCCTGGACATCTGGAAGAAGGACAAGAAGAAGATTAGTAGTCTGTCCATAATGGAACTTGTCAACCGTGCTTCTGGGCTGGTCAGAACATTGGATGAGGGGATTGCTCGTATCGAGAAGTCTGCCCCCGGTCCGCAAAAGGACCACCGTCTCATTTTCCGATCGTATGTCGCTGGTCACGCTCACACATGTGCGAGTCTTTCGATGGCCCATACTAGAATCTGGGCTCACGCTGCCCACATATATCTTGCGGTGGTTGTTTCTGGCTGGCAGCCATCCAATGTAGAAATTCGATACAGTGTGTCGAAAATCCTCGAGCTGTTGCGGACGGTCGATTTGTCAACTCACCTACGTACATTGGTCTGGCCACTCTGTGTTGCAGGCTGTATCTCCGAGGCTGGTCGCAACGAGCAGGAGTTTCGAAGTCTGCTATCGGGTATGGATGAGCTTAGCATGATAGGCGCACTAGGCGAAGCGCAAAAGGTCATGGAGAAAGTATGGGACGAACGACGGAATCTGGATCATGAGATATGGGATTTTGCAATGTGTTTCCGGATTCTGGGTGAACCTGTCTTATTGGTCTAGGAGTAGTCAAATCACCATTAAGGTCCAGTCCAATAGCAGCATTCATCCAGAGAGCGGTTTCCTTCAGTGCGGTTATCTTGTCCCAAGAGACCTTGCACCCATGCAGCTTCAAGGCATTTGCGACTCAATTTTTCACTCTGGAGTAGGGCTGAATCTTACTTGCCGGCCCAAGCACCAACTATATCTCGGACCTTGCTTGTCTTGATATCCGGAAAGGCTTTGTTCAGCGTCTTGTCTTCCGGGAAATCAAACAGACCCTTGGTGACATACAGCCCAAATTTCGCAAAGTATTCCTGGAACATGGGCTTTGGCCAGAAGGGATAGATATAACGGTGGGAAGGTAATTCAGTCATCTCGCCTTTCGCGAGTTTTTCGGGACTGTCGTATGCCACAGTAAATTTCGAACCTGAGTATCATCCCAGCTGTTAGTGGCTTGATGGCAGTAAAAAGATGGACCAAGAATCTACTGACCTCTCACTTCCTCAGCGATGCTCAACAGCTCGTTCCAGGTAGTTTTATCCCCATAGCAGTACAGAGCCTCATCCCATTTTGGAAGGTCCAGCGCAGCAACGACAAATTTTGCCACATCTTTCGTATATGTAAAAGACATGATATCTTCACCCGTGCCCGGGATGGCTGCTGCCTTGTTGGCCACATCAATGCCGAACGCAACTGGAGTCATATGACTCTCAACATGGGGCATCCCGAAATAGTCCAAGAAGTAACCATTGTGGATTCTCGTCCATTCGAGGTCTGTCTTCCGTAATTCATTCATAACAGCCTCGCGGAATTCATGCTGAGGCAGCTGCAAATCCCTGTTTGGAAGGATAGTTAGCACATTCCCAAGGATGTCTGAATAGCCTGCATCGCCACCTACTTCTCCGTTGGAGCCCTTGTGCCGTACTCGCTTGCAATGAAGCGTTTGGTTGGGCTAGAATTTGCTGCTGCTCTCGCCAAATTTGTCTCCGACTCGCCTTCAACAGCGCTGCGGACACTGAGGGCGGAGATTACTGTGTCGACGTTGTTTGATTCCAGGACGTTAGAAATTGACTTGACATTGCTGTAGTCCACATGGAAAATGGGTACACCTAGATTTTGGGCTTTAGATTCCTAGGGCAGACGTCAGTGATAAGGAGCGAAAGCCCTGGAGACATATTTTGGTAACTGCCTACCTTCCGCACTAGGACAATAACTGTATGCTTTGAGCTCTCCTTAAAAGCATCCAGGATGGTACGGCCAAGGTTGCCGGCTCCCCCTGCGATTGCGACAGTAGGCATATTGAATATAGGAGTTATAAGATGATGAGATGCAGAAAGTTCAATATCCTGAAAGTTGGCTGCTTGATAATAATGAAGATATTCAGATGCTCGATGATGTTCTTTGCGATTTCACCGACTCCTCTTGCTTCGATCAGTCGATTGATTTATATCCCTTGTGATCACATTCTCCTGGAGACATTCTGTCGGAGAACGGAACATCTTTCAATGATTTATGGGGCGATATGTTTCCAAGACGTAGCAATAGTCTCAATTCCATCATCAACAGCCATTGTCTTCCAGGATTTTCCGGGTCGTCCCTTTCCTTACTGAAACCCCGCGCGCGCTGATGCCCTTACCATCCCCAAACTGGGAGGAACTAATCCTCTTATAATCACCGCGCGGTGAATCGAAAATGGTTTACCCTATTTCCAACCTGTCGACGTCATGGTCAACCAATTAAACATCCTCCTCTCCTTCGAATTAGGCTACTTCAGGCCGTCCATTGAGATATATGATTACCAAGTGTTGTCGAGGATATCGCTGAAGCCTGTAACAGATCGAACCGGCGGAATTGTATCATTCCATGCCGGCCAGTGTTATATACTGGCTTCTCTATCGGAAGTTGAGATGTCTTCGTCACCAGCAGAAAGAATACTTGTTAGACCCCACAACAAATTAAGAAGAGCATTTTCCAGGTTCAGATAATGTCTAAGAGAACAGCACTCGTGACTGGTTGTTCCGATGATGGTATGGGGAGCGCCTTGGCGATAGCTTTACACTCAGCTGGTTTCCGTGTCATTGCATCAGCACGAGATGTGAACAAACTATCTGAAGTCAGAAGCCGTGGCATCGAAACTGTCGCCTTGGACGTCCAATCAGAAAAATCGATCCAGGAAGCGGTACTGCAAGTCTCAGATCTGACCGGAGGGTCTCTGGACGTACTCATCAACAATGCTGGGATAGGTTACTCGGCACCCCTGTCAGACACCTCGATCACAAAATCCAAAGAGATTTTCGATGTTAACGTGTGGGGACTTCTTTCCACTACACAATTGTTTCTGCCACTATTGCTGCAGTCAAAGAAGAACCCCATGGTTGTCAACAACACCTCGATTGACTCAGTGATCTCAGCACCATTTTCAGGAGTGTACAACGCCTCCAAAGCCGCGGCAGCAATGATAACGGGCAATCTTCGTCTTGAACTTTCCTCTTTTGGTATCAAGGTTATAGACTTGAAGGCTGGCGGTGTCAAGACCAAATTTTGGGTCAATGCCAATCAAGTGGAACCCAAACTACCACCAAACTCACTCTACACGGCTGCCAGCACTTCGATCGAAAAGTGCATGAGGGGAGAACAATATGACGCCAATGCTGTTGACAGGCATACATGGGCCAAAGCGGTTGCGAGCGATATTTCGAAGAGTAGTCCTCCACTCAAGATCTGGCGAGGTGATTCAGCTTTCCTGATCTGGATTGGAACGTTTCTTCCAATGACTGCATTTGACAGTACATTGAAGAAAATGACGGGATTAGCCGAGCTGGAAAAGCAGATACGCGTTCAAGGGAAGGACAAGATCGTGGCTGATTCGGGATTCGTAAACAAGGCATTGCACCGGGCTGGGCTTGTGGCGTCGAGCTCATGAGGCACGACTACCTTGAACTGTTTGATATTCACAGTAACATGGGCGAAATGTCTCACAAGATAGGAGTATTTGTTGCATTGGTGATAAATATTTTGTATGATCAGGAGTCCAGCATCCCTAGTATAGGAGAATTGGACAAGATTTCATGGTGTTGGTCTGGATTCTATTCACCATCAGAGGAAATTTGAGCAGTATCAGATCTGTTCTCTTACGGCATAGAAAAACACCCTACAAGATCGCTCATGAGTATTTCAATTCATGATAATCATTTCTCCATACCTATGTAGGTGACGCGAGGATAACAACCGCCCTCCCAAATACAAAGTCCAAGACACCAGGAGTGATAGACAACTCCAAAAAGAATGTCCACCATTTGTAGATGATACATGTAAGTACCCAATGAGTCCAGTTGACGCATCGGCTCATGATATATGCTCAGTGATCAGGCGGCTGCGCCAACAACTGGACATCTTGCTCCCTGCGCTGCGTCTGCCACACTTGGGTGAGCATGCACTTTACCCTTATGATGAATCAATTGAGCATTGGTTACAGGGCAAACGTCGCCGTCCTTTGCATTCTCGGTCGATGGGTGGTTCGGGGGAAGAACGCTGGAAACAGTCCCAACAACTGGGCAAATCGCTTCGTCCATGGCCTGTTGTTCAGGTCGGCTAACAATCTTGGTAAGGGCTGGGCACTGTTCAGCGTTGGAGAGATCCGAGGTATTGTCGAAGATGCCAGGATGTTTGTGAAGATTGTGGTGGTGGTCTGTGGATGCTTTGGTGACTGGGCAGACTAGACCGGCCTGGTTCATATCAAACTCGGGGTGTTTGGGAGGCAAGAAGGTGTTGGTGGTGCCCACGACCGGGCAGACTTCCTCGTTGTTGACCATTGTTGAGAGATAGACTAGTATTCGAGATGGTTTATCAGATCAATAACTGACTTTGGGTCGGGCAGAAAGAATGGAAACAAACAAGAGGTTGAGAGAGACGCAGCGCTATTGAACGTTGGAAGGAGCATCGTGACCATAACAAAGATGCACGGCCAGTCAGAACTCCCCAATGACGTAGGGCCCTCTGACAGACGTACGCCAGTCCCAATTGGGCATATCGAAAACCCAATCATCGCCGGGCTGTTGATAATCAGATGTCAGCCTGATGATCCACGTGACGTCTCCTGGGCTGGGGTGTCATGCCGCTTTATTCTTGTCTTAGGCAGAGCTGTTAGAGCGATTACTAGCGCCAACTTAGGGAATTCTTCTATATAGACAAAGCTTCCTCTGGTAGCTGACTAGATAGTAGCGTGTACTAGCCACTACCTGAATGTCTCCTATGAAACTTCCCCTTTCAAGCCTCGTCCTTTGAGAGGAGTTCCCCCCATTTACAGCTTGGCGCTTGATCTTTGAGACTGAGCAAATTTCCGAGCATCTTTGATACTGCTCTGACCGTCCCAACCTGAGATCAAGTCTTCTACCACAGCAAGTTCGTCCTGACCCCAGATGATTTCACTGCTCAGGCTCCATGCTTGGTCTCCCTGTCCAATCTTCCTTCGAAATATCCTGTAGCTTGGGACCCCACATAGGCCTGTATCCTTGGCTTCCTTCGTCAGAGCCCTCAATTGTTCCTTGATTGCTGGTTTATTGGCCTCCGAAATGATTTTTGTGGCGTCATACCCAGCTTCAGAAATGACAGAATGGAGGACTTGCTCAGAAGCCACATCCTTGTTTTGTTCCCAGCATGCTCTGACTAATATGCTGTTAGCTGTTCGGGTACACACCAAGGAATGTTTGGGAAACCCACAGAGTATGTCAACAAGTCTTGGCTCAACGAGAACGGCTCTCAATACCGTCGGTGTACGAATGGGAAAGACATCCGCCCATTTGAAGTCGATGTTCTTGTCTGGGCGTCCATTCTGGCGGTTGATGTCGTTCCACCACTTGACCCAGTCTCCCTGATCGAGGCCCACGTACTTACGCTTAAATTCAGATATAGCTCCCATGGGCAAATTTGGAGCGCCGATCCTGTATGCCAGTTAGCGGAAATCTCACCACGTAGGACAGTGATACAAACTCTCTGAACAAAATACCTAGCAAAAATGGCTTCATCTCGATCTCCAATCTTGAACCAAAAATTCTCTGTAGTCTTGCAAGCTGTGTCCATCCTAGGAATGCCCAAGGACTGCTGAAGTCATACCAGAACTGGAGCTTCACTTCCTCACCCTGCGGTATCTCCCTTTGGTAATGGGGCACATACCGCGGAACCAGTGCCTCCAGCGCTTGTTCTTGACCTGCACCTTCCATCGCAAACAATGCTTTCTCCACGAAATGCAGCCGGTCCTGACCCCAATACAGTCTTCCTTCTTCCTGTATCCAGAAGCCAGGAACACCAAAAGCACCCCTCTGCAGCGCCAAATCCGTCGACTCCTCAAGCTGTTTCCTCTGCTTCTCACCTTCGAACCCACCATTCCCGAGTAAGTCTAAAAGCTTTTCTTTTGTTCCCCGAGCCAACTTTTTACAATCTTTCACCAAGCCGTTCAATTCGGCTGTATCACTCACGTCCTTCTGTTCAACCCAGTAGGCCTGATACAGTTTCCCAGTCAAAGTGACCCTTTCTTGGCCTTCCACGCAATACAGTAAACGCAATGCCTTTGTTGTCTTTATCGGATGCTTCGGATTTGACTGGTAGTCCACGCCCAGGCGGCGAATTGTGCGTCCAAAGCCAACACCTGAGACTTCACGTTTAGTGGGGTTGAATACATCAGACGCGGACCCGCCGGCACCCTGTGGAGCTGAAGTAGCGCGATAGATCGCCCCAAGGAGGACAGGCCTGTAGTTGATCGTAAGAGTCGGATGGCGACGCTGCAGACCAGGTAGTAGTGTGGACGCAATATAAGCGTATGGACATGAGATGTCGTAGTGAAAGTCGAGGTGTAAACCTGGAGCCATGATGATGAATGGGTACCTTCTTAAAGTTGTCGTGAGGGAAAGTTGAACGTAGCTAAGTGCGTTTGACGAGTACAGACGTCCAGTTCGCGACAGAAACGCGTCGAGCTTTTGAATGGCGATTTTTTTCCTTCCCAAGCAAGTCCAGGGCAAGTTGATTATTGAAGCTGTAGCAAACCGAGGCTCCACACGCCTGAGTTTGAAATCACCGGCTATACTGTATCTGAAAGATGGAAGATCCCTTCGAGAAGCTGTGCTGTGATAGATTGATGTCGAGTCTACAGGAGCAAGGCCTAATTTCTTCGTTTGAGCCGAGGCAGGCCGAGGCTATCTTGCCCCCATCGGCTTACCCAATTACAGGTCACATTGGAGTGTTTTCCCCTCCAACATTGCGTTGTTAGCGGCACTCCAAAGCCTTATCCTTACCCCGGAGCATTCGAAACCACCATAATACTTGCTCACCCAACCACGAGGCTGACGGTTGAGGCCCATGGGGCTTTCTGCTTTGGATGGTGACCAATGTCGAGAGTGCGGGGCCGTTTCCCCCTCAAATTCAAACGGTCTCCATACGTTCTGTGCCACAATCTGCCAATCCAGTAGAGGAGCCCTCAGAACCATTGATAAAAGAATGGGTGAATAAGCACATTAAAGATAGTAACGTCTGAGTAGCTAAATCTTCTTCAGGGTATTGGACTTGTCAAAGATACAGCGAAGGAGATTCTGCAAATTTGGACCTCTCTCGATGCTTCCAACACTGCCCCGGTATTCGAGTCAGGGATTCATACCTAACTGCCATATCAAAGCCGCTGTTATCAACCCTATCGAGCACAACCAGAAATAGATACAATCATATATACACAGAACTGTGGCGGTAATTTCATGTAGGTCGCTGACCATGAAACAAGTCGCTCCACAAACGTGCGCCTTCCGAAATCCGAGGCTGCTGAACGAGGAACCTTTGCACGCTAGTTAATCGAAAGCTGTCAGGCTACCCACGATACTGCACACTTTATGATTTCCCTTCACCTGTCCATTAGGTAGTGTGATATCCACCCAAATGCACCAGCTTGCCGTAAGGACGCCGTTGCGGCACGGCCCCTCCCGGATCTCGATCTCGATGAGCTCAAGTGAGGTCTCCCTGGCGGAAAGAGGAAGAGCAACCAAGGCCTAAGCGACAGGCCGGTCTTTTGTTCGTCGTCAAACCGCGGATGGATGTGGTCCAGACACCTTTCCGGGTTGGACTGTGTCTTCAGGTGCCAATTGAGGTATCCTCTAATCATGCCGAAGAGGCTTATGGACCTGGTGCATGGTTTGTGGGCTCGAAATCTTGTTGCGCTTCTCTCTCCATATCGCTAGTCAACACGCCTATTCGACGTGACTCAGCTATAGCATACTTGCAGTAACGTGTTGCAAGTTCAGGCTTTCCGCTTCGCAAACACCATCGCCATCGTCGTTGCGCCATGTTCCACCAATGGACTACATTCTGCTGTGAGATCTGATAGTCGTCTAGCGCACATGCCCAGATCGCCAACTGTGCATCGATACTCTGCTCCCTGCGCAGGTGCTTTAGCATTCTGGTCAGTGGGAAGTCTTTTCCCTGCTTCTCAAGTGTCACTTTCGCCATGAACCGCGCAAAGCCGATAAAAATCTTCTCTCGAATGTTACCCCAGACTATTGAACTGATGCAATATGTTATGCGTGAGACTATTACAACGGGTCCTTGAATGTCCTCAGACAGCAGCTGAGCTGCGTCACTGAAGGAGCCACAAGCCAGGGAGACTTCACCTGCACGCCAATGCGCCAGACCCTCATTGAGTGCGACAAATATCCCATCAGGAGAGAATGATAACCCCAAAAGCGACTCCTCTCGTTCTCTCGCTATCACTGCCCTCATCGATCGTAAAAACATATCGAGATTGGCAGGCCCATCCGGGAGAGATAGACTTGGTGGTGGAGAAGTAGCTGCACGAGTCTTTGCGTTTCGTGAAGCGAGCATACCAGCTCTTCTGACCACATTGGGTCGCTGCGTGGAGGAGTGCTTATTCTTCTGCAATCGACCAAGATCGACCACCATGGTCAGGCCATCACGATCGAGGGTACCAGACTTGACGCGAGACTTGGCGTATCGAACGAGTTTATCATGTCGCACGTGCGAAATATCTGTCGTGGCTGGTTCGTCGTGAAGTAGCTTGCCCAGGACTTTCTCCTTCTCATCAGCTTTGATGTGCTTCGAGAGATTCCATGATTTAAGGCGCTTTTTGTACATTTGCTCACTGCCAACAATCAATAAAGTGTCCTGGCTTGTGATTGGGTGTTTCAGCTACTTACGTGGCACGAAGACCATGATCTTCTTCAACCCTTTGCATAACATCTCGAAGAGTCATATCTAGATCTATGTATAGACGCTCTATCACTGGCCGAAGATTGGCCCATGCTGTGGGAGAGTGAGGCCGCCGCCTTTTTGGGCGAGCTGCACTCGACGCTGCAGATGCCGGGTCCTGATGGTCGACATTGGCGGTTTTGGGACGAGGCATAGCTTCCACAGTCGGTGGCTATGGAGGAACGGATATTTAAGGTATTGGGTTGCTGTCTGCGCAGAGCTCTACAGCATTGCTCCGTGCCTCACGTTCGTAGATTCTCATCGCAAGTACCCAGATGAGCCACGAGACCGTTGAATATCGTAGTCAAGTACTTAGATGATGAGATATGACCGCCAGTAGTTTGCGCATAAGTTCTTCGCGTGATATAGGGTCCTAAGCCTGTTGCTTCTTCTGTTATAGACAGACAGTTGATGGAATGAAACCCTTATCAGATGGAGGAAAAGAAATAATTACGATTTCTGATGGTGGCAGTCCTCGTTTGCGGGGTAAACGTTCGATGCCTAACTAGTTACTTAAGTTAGTTCCAGCTGTAATGAAGATTGGCTGGCTTAGAGCCCTTAGCCCTGTAGAACCGTTGGCGAGCTTTATCTCGTTAAGGAGGTCCTGCGGCTCTGCGTTCCTCGTAAGCATGAAAGAGATGCTGAGAGATTTCCTTGCTCAGCCACCCATCAGCCCAGATGGAGGGGGCTGACTCACCCTCGATGCCCTAGGTCCAGACCCGGGGCCCCTCGGGCCTTGCTCCCCGAACGCCAGCCTCCAAGCACCCAAGCCAACTAACTAACTAGACTTCTTGAACTGAGCATCGATCAATTTTCCTTGCAATTTTCGGGCTTGCATGATTGACAAGACGAAGACCCATTGCAAATAAATCAGTTTGCCGACACTTTCCCAGATCGGTTTCCAAGGCCCATATGGATCATTTGCATGCGCTGAGCTGTCTGTAGCTTTGACGCATGCCTCAAGGAGACAGAGTGCTATGCTCAGCAAGGTATACAAACTGAATGTTGGCCCAGCTATGACAGTCCCAGGTCCAATTGCTAGCAGTCTCAACAGTGACTCCGAAGACATAAATATTCCGCGCAAGGTATCAATGTAAGTCCCACTGGTTTCTCCTGAATGGATGAAAGACAGCAGTCCTATTGCTGCTGCCTGGACTCCCATACCGATTGCCCCAAATGCTACCAAATGAAGCGGGAATGTTTTGAGGTCTCCTGATCCTAAGCCTATTCCGAACAATATCGTGAGAAGGTTGTGAGTGACGATTAATGGACCAATCTGAGCTCTGTTTGCAGCTCCACGGGCAGTCTCGACAATGCATGATTGTGATTCTGCACAGTTGTTGTACCGACCTGCAGCCAAAAGAATGAGCGAAGCGAGATAGGGGAGAATCGAAGTCGCTCCACAAACAAGTAGCCCACGCAGTGCCAACATCTGCTCATTCCTCGACGAGCGAAACGCTCCGGTTGAAGTGGCAATCGCGATACCTGCCCACAGGACAACAGCCAATACAAGGTAGGCAAGAGCGAGATTCAGCCCAGTAGCTGAAGGTGCAAGAGCTAGTGGTAGACTAGCAGTGAGGCTCGCATGCATTACCATGGCGGCGCTTATGCAGGATGTTCGTTCATATATCCAGACCAACAGGATCCTGTACGCTGGCAGCACCATGGCGTAAAAGAGGAGCTGCGGGAGAAAAGCAGTAGCAGAAAATGCTCTAGGCTCGTCCAGTTCGGCACTTCCCCAGACTGCTACAAGTAGGTGCCATGCACCCCACGCAATGCCGACCCTAAGACCCGTTCCAAGGATCCGGTGTCTGGATTTCAGTTCATGCACGGCAAACGCAGTCCAGCCAAGTTCCTCGAAGAAGCCGGCGGCAAACGCGTATGTGAAAGCGATGACTCCCCTTTTGACCTTGTCTTCCGAAGTAAAGATGACAGGCATGTATATTGGGTCTGCGCATGACAGAATCACCAGCACGGTAGTGATGGTCACTGGAGCAAGCAGTAATGCTATCACCCACCAGCGTACTCCGTTTCGCATTCGGGGCACCAGCCCCACGAGAAGCATCTGAAGTCCTGTCCATCCGTGGAGGATGAAAATCATCGATACGCCGGTGGCACTAGGACCCGTGAGCATCGCCAGAACAACCCAAGGAAGGGACATTTCGATATCCCTGGGAGTACCGGGAAATCCATGACGGCCAACAACAGCAAAGATACTTCCCCAGGAGATGATGAATGTGGACAAGAAAAAAGTCGCTATAGGATGTCTGTGAATGATGTGACTTTGAGAGACTATGATATTTGTGACTTTAAACTTCTAAGAGTTGAAGTCTTCAGCATGCATGCTGTCACAAAACAACGGGCTGGGATTTACCTTGGGCTCCATGATTTAGTGACTCTCCGTTGTGGACGTGGTGCTAGGATCCCGAGATGTGAGCCTGAAGCGTTGCGAGTCTCTCGAGCACCAAATGATGATGAGCTGTGCGTAATTTGCCAGAATATATCACACCTATTTCCATCGCTAAAGTATCCAGCAGAACCGAGATACGGCGCAAGCAACACATATAAGTAGTCCTGACTTAGTTGATTGCCCGCAAGTTTTCAGCTCACATGATCAGGCTGAGGTGGCCTGATAACCGTTCCACGAGTGACTCCCGCAGGAATATTGCCAACGCCTCCAGTAATATGATAACGGTACTCGATGCGGGATCAAGGCGCAAAGTGCTCATAAAAAGAACGAGTAAGGGAAAAAAAGGATTTCTACATTTGAACACAAAAGGTTACTAGCATTGAAAACCGAAGCATAGTTCATCTTAAAAATTAGCAATTATACATTCACAGCTGGGCTATATTCGGAGAACTAGCTTCGTCTGAACACAATCAGTCGGTGTGGACAAACGCGATAGGTCGGCCACACTATTAGGACATTCCTGGTGATTCATGCCAACTAAAGCTTTCACAAAAGTGACACGATCATGGTCAGCGATGTAACCAGGAGTCCCATGCCCATGCTTCCGATGAGCCGGCCCGCACCATTGGTAGGAGTAGAGCTGGCGGCGGTCGTTCCACTTCCTGTTTGACTGGCGACTCCCAGAGAGAAAGTCGCAGAGCCAGCGTTTGTCGATGCGCCAGATCCTGAGTCTGTAGGGGTCGCACCGGAGTCTGATGTTGCGGCCGCAGCAGTAACGATGAGAGTATTTGTTGATGTGCAGCCAGGTAGTTCGGTGCCAGACGGGATCGCAGTAATTGATTCCTCGGTGGCATTGAGTTTCGCCTGAGCTATCGCGACCAGATTGTTCTCCAGATCGTAAACGAAATACCCAGTTCGCATAAATGAATCACCCAGAATGATTGACTCGCCTTGTCCCGCTGTAGTCACGAGAAGGGCGCAAGCAGGCGTGCCATTCTCGAAAGTAGAACCGTCCGCCGGGCTGATCATTGCAGACAGCGGGACAGTGATGTTGGGTCCACCTTCACCACCAAATGAGTACACTACAGACGCATTTGACTGTGCATACGAGCAGGGAACAGCGCCGTCGACCGCGCCTAGGCCTTCGGTCATTTGCGTAACCACGTCCTCCGGAAGCCATTGTGCGACAGTGCCAGAGTCCAAGAGAGCGGGCACGGCAAAGTCACCCTTTGTGAGAGAGTGGGGACCAACGTCATCAATGAAAGAGATACCGGTCAGGGCAACATTAAACTCGGCATACTCTCCTTTGGCGTTTGGGAGAACTTGCAAAGCCACAAGGTCGCCTTCATATTTTGCTGTGTCAATTCCTCCAAAGACGACAGATCCATCTCCTGACTCTTGGTCATTCAGCCAGAGACTGTATGAAAGCCTGTCGATATCTTTGTTTTCGACCATTGCACCCACAATAGTTGGTGCGGACAAATTCGCAGCTGAAGCGGCGGCGAAGGAGTTGCTGTTGGCTTGATAGCCCACCCCGACCAGGCCATGGCCATCGTTGAAGGCGTCGTCGTTCCATTGCCAATAAACGTTGCCAGACCGAGGGTCATCTGACCAGGCTTGATTTTCGATTCTCCAATCGTGACTTCATCTGTAAAATAGTCGCCAGCGTCATTGGTACCATCTCCATAAGCAATTTGAAAGGCTTCTGGAATAGTTACTTCGAAAGTCGAGGATGCTTCGAGATCGAAGGCACCACCGGGGCAGCCACCCTCCTGAACCTGGCAAGCAGTAGTGTTGCTTGCAGGAACCCAGAGATCGCTAGAACCAGTGTCGAGTTGGAGACGAAATGGCTGAGGTGGAGTGCCAATGCTCAGGTCAAGCCAGTAAACCTTGAGCAAGAGTTAGCCACGTCACTGATGGGTGACTGACAAGGCTGGAACAACTTACGGATCCTTGAATTGCCAGAGTAATGTTTTCATCTAGATCGTTTACTGGAATTTGCCGTTTTGCCAGTAGCGGCTTGGTGACATACTCCTTGTTGTAGTTGACTTTCACATATCCTGCGGCAGCAACATGAACCAGCGTAGCCCAGGCCGAGGCGTAAAATATGAGAGAATGCATCACAACGGCACTTGATGACTAAGGTTACTTGCAACTGGAGTCAGGACAGCTTCACAGAGTGAGACCCAAACATTCTTTGATCTCATATTAATAAAAAAGAATGAAATTACCTCTCCACCATCGTGGCCAGAGATTCAGCCGCGAAGGATCGAACGAGTACCACAGGATTTCTTCAGCTGATTAGGCGACCAGCCGAATTCTAGCCCTACAGCCACTCGCCAGCGGTGGCAAATACGGGGTTTGGGGCCAGGAGCAATAGAGTTAATCCTGACAAGCTCCAGCTTCGTTTTCAAGCTCCAGGGCTTGTTTGGACGGGACGGATTTTTGCCAATTGGCTAGACCCTGTGGCTCCTGCTAACCCTGTCTGAACGGAGTGCAGCACCAAGAATCCTTCGAGCTCCTGCGGGCTTGTGGTAGCCTGCTTCTGGGAAAGATTTCTATTAGTACATTGTCACACATGGCTGTGCCGTTCTCTGAAACGTAAATGTCCAATCTCTATTTTAAGCAACCAAAAATTTCTATGCCACTTGAATCTTGATAGGTTGATTGTTGACTAGTCATCTTCGTTCTGCTAACGCAAAGGATCGTGTGATGATGCGGTACTACACAAGAGTTGACTTGGATAGAATGCTTATTGGCCCCCAACTAGACCTCTAGAGATCGGGAGCCTCTCTACACCGAAGCTCTAGGCACTAGTTACTTACCTAAGTCAAAGATGACCGGCCGAATGCCTGACTAACTCACTAACTAACTAAAAGTGGCGTGACGGGCACCCAAGAGATGGACTACGCACGCTATAGTCCAACACGGATGTTGGGAACTATCTCGAGCAAGTATTACATGGCATATCTAAAAGTCTCCCAGCGTTCGAAGTCCGTCTTATCACTAAACCCGGTCGTCTCGCTGGTGCCTCCCTCCCTTTGCTGCTCTGCCACGAGTCTATCGCGGCGAGCGTTTTCACGGCGATACCAGAGCAGTTGAAGCCCAGGCAGGACGATCATGAGAGCGTAGCATCCCACTTCACGAAGCGCGTTAGTCTCAGAGATACTTATATTCGACTTTGTATCAGGACTTACTGAGCATACGGAAGGCCAAATCGTAATCTGGCGCCTGGCTCTCAAGGAAGAACTCTGGGGATAGTGTTAGCAAATTTCTCCAGCACGAAGTGCTATTGACAGAAGTCTTACGGGGTCCAGCAATCAGTCCAGCAGCCCATCCAGCAAAAATCAGGCCGTTCGCTGTTGATTTTTTGGTATTGCCAGCGTAGTTGGACGCCATGAGTCCGGCACTGAGGGTGAAGGACATGGAATGACTAGGGAAATTGTTAGCCTTAGTAGTGTCGGTCTGCTGGAATAGGTGGCCCTACGTATATGTTAGGTAGTAACCTGCCAATCTCCCTGCAGTGTTGGACTTGGGTAATGTGTGAAGCAGGCAGGCGCCGATCAACGGAGGGACCGATACTAGAATGGCGAGCTTCAGCCGAATATTATCGTGATGTGAGGCAATATATGAGAGACTGAGGAATGTTCCTAGCTGAATCACAGCAGCTGGGCAGGTTGAGATGATGGTGGTGTTGATGGCGCTAAAGCCAAAGCCTTTGACGATTTGGCTGGAGAACTTGACTGATGTCAGCATGATTAATTCGCACGAGATACAAGTAGTTCTCACTTGACTTGCGAACGTTGAGGGCATGGTGTTGCCACTGGGAAAGGTGTAAGCATGCATCTAGCAACACAGCCAGTATCATTGAGACTTACGCTGCAATCATGAAAAAGAACACGGTTTGGGGGTCTCGAAGAGCTTCCCAGAATTGTGGCCACTTCCACTCATTGTCCACAGAGACAGTCTGGTTGTCCTTCACACGTGCAAGCGCAATTTCCTTCTCCCTGGCATTCAACCAGCGTGCATTTGACTGGTTATCAGGCAGGAGATATACAAGAATAAGGCCAAAAGCGAATGAAAATGCTCCGAAGAATAAGAAGAATATCTTCCAGGTTGCAATCTTGCTGTGAACTATAGATTTCGTCAGTTCATTACCTGTTGTCTCCACCTGGTGAATACCAACTCGATCCCAATGCATATGAGAGTAGTCCACCGATAAAGTTACCAATCTAGTCATAAGATATTAGTTACCGTAGCCATTGGTGAACACTTCACATCGCCACGGCCAGTAACAGTGACTTACAGGAGTGCCACTCAACCAGAAAGCAGTCCTAAACGCCTGCTCGCGTCTCGTCCACCAGTTTCCGGTAACGATAACAAAAACGGGACCAATGATGCTCTCCACGAGACCGAGAAAGAATCGAGCAGCCATGATTCCTGCAAAATTGGAGCACAAAGCTTATGGACAGTCAGTATGAACCTTCGACATGGATGGGTTGATGCAATGAAAAAATTCCATACGTGTAAGGAGCACAATCGAAGACCATGTGAGTACCGCCGTCGCGATCAATTTGCCGGCATGAAGTGGAAACCGTTGAACAAGCTTTGCCCACATCATAGCACCAATCATATAGCCAATGTAAAAGATGCTGCTTTGTCAGGTGTTTTCCACACTGGTAGAACTGAATTGGGTATCTTACCTTCCAAGCCAACTGTAGTCAGACCCTTCCAACTTCAAGGCTTTCTTGAGGCCAAAGATTGATGAGTAGTTCAACAAGGTCTTATCCAAGAACTAGGATCCATTGACATTCATTAGCTTATGATTACTTATGACGTGGTGTCCTGGAAACCCACTGAGAAGATGTAACAGCCGCATAGCAGAGGGAGAACGATCAAATCGATCTTCCTCTTGACTTGCTTTGCTTCTTGGTCGGTATACTCCAGTTCTTCAGTGCGCACCGACATTTTGCTGTTCTTGTCAACATAGGAGCTGATACCAGATTCGACATGGTCATCAACGGGCGATTTGATGTCTTTGTCCATCTCTGAAGCTGGGTGTTGCTGGTTTTGACCTGTAGTTATGGACATGGTGGGCTTCAGAAAAACTTGAATAGTTCATGTGAGCTTTGTCCGCCTTGCAGACGTCCTTTTTCATGAGAGCACATGCTCACGCCTTTATGGTTCATGCTGTGACTAGGCGAACTTCAAGCTATTGAGAGTCGCAGAGATGATTTGTGTTGTCGGTTCGAGATCCGAGGGTCGCAGAACTTATCGGATGTTCTCATTCGACAGGCCGCGGCCCCGACATCTCCCAGACCTCTCTATTGCCGCCGACACTGTTTACCGACAAGATCACGTGACTATGTCGGCTTCTGGGAACAGCGACTGATGCGCCTACTTAATGGGTGCATACAGGTGTACAATGAGAGAGACTCAATTCGATCATTAGGAGGAGTTCCAAGACTGATCTTGCCTATTATGACCATCAACTCAGTAGCGAGCCAACCACAGCTTATCGCTTGTCCAGTATCAACACACCTGGTGGAGACAACCACCTCGAAGGCTGTGATATTGGAGCCCTACCATGTTGACCTCCTCCCGGAATATGGCTATGTAAGCAGGGAGTACTTGATCAAGGGGATAGCTGCAGGCGAGGCTTATTGTACTCGTCTACTACTCCGGTGTCCCGGTGATACAACCAAATTCTCGGGATTTGTTGTGGAAGAGCCTTCTCATCTCTGGGGAGGGACAAGTATCTGGCGGCATATCAACCGCTGGCTTATGCGAAGTGGTGAGTGTCCTTAGGAAGAACAATGATGTATTCAACTCTGACAATACTTCAAGGCCATGCCTGGCTTGAGGTTGACTCTCAGTCTCCTGTAGCTGTGGGCAAGATTAAAAATGCCGATCCAGAGCGATACAAGGATATACAATTCATACCAGCGCCATTAGCTAAAGAGTTCATGGAAACGATTCCTTTCACCCCAGATGCCACAAAGGAATCTCTTCGTGAAGCATACGCATCGTTCAGTTCTCGGTGGTGGCCGGCAACGAAGCAATCCCCAGAGATTCTTGCTGCAGCTTCTCACTTGCTCCGGGTTGGGGAGATAGGCATTAGAGCGAAGACGGTTGTGCTGAGCGGATTGTCCCAAACAGGTGGAGTGACAAGGAGATTCATCACGCATTCCTCCCACCTTCGCTTACCTGACGGAAGCTTACCATTCGAAGCATTGGTACCTTGCCAGAGCGGTGGGAAGGCACTGCCAGACGTGCCCGGAGTAAAGATCGTGGAACTTCTTGGCGAATCAGAGTTCCAAACGGTCCGATTGCCTTGTGGTGTAGGTGGACAAATGATTGGTATTTCTCACAGAAGACCCGACAGCGAGTCATTTAGACTGTATGAGGTTGCTGGTATGGCTCATAGAGAGTCACGGTACGCTTCGGCATTAGACTCGGAGCGTTGGTCAATTGCGAACCTTCACGGTGCTGACTGGAGCACGTTCTCGAACTCGTTTATCTATCATGCTGTCTTTGACGCCGTTGAGCGCTGGACAAGCAAGCAGGCATATTCTCCTCCACCAAGTGCTGTCTTGGAGACGAAGGAGTGCAGTGACACCATTGTTCGGGACGAACACGGTAATGCAGTCGGTGGTGTACGGACTCTCCACTCTGACGTACCGCTGGCCCGCCTTGTTGCAGCAACTCCAAAGGGGAGACCGAATTGGTATTGTGGTAAGTCTATTCTCCCACATGCATCCATAATCGACTAGGACACTTACCGAGTGAATAGGATCAGAGTGGCCTTTCGAGCCGCAAAAGATGCAGAAACTATACGGTTCTGTTCTCAACTACCGTAGGCTTGCAGGAGTCGCGATCTGTGACCAGATCAAGGCAGGGTTTCTCTTGCCCGAGGATGCTGAAATACTTCGTAGAGAGACTGTCGAAACAGTGGACTTTTGAGCTGGATTTATCTGATCAGTAATGTAGAATTTGAATCTCGTTTGAAATAGTGGTCGTGGATTTCGAGTGGACCCCCAGTGAGGTGCCATTACGGCATCAGCCACATGTTCGATCGGTTTTCCTAAATTATGAACTCGCCAGTCGTTTCACTCATGACAATTTGTACATCCGTAACACCACCACTCGCTTGCCTATCGGTGATTGCTTGCATAAGTTCACGTGCCTTGCGGACATAAGATCCCCACTTTTCAGCTCCTTTGAAGCGCTCGACAACCCAGTCACGTCGAATGGGATCGTTTGAACAAATGCCGGCCAGGAAGAGTGCGGAGGGTAGGATGGAAGACGGTGATGAGGCACGAGTAGGGTCGTGATGAATCCTCAGCTGCCCATAAAGAATAGCTGAGACGGATTTCTCAGTGTCACATAGCGGTAATGGCTGTCAAAGTTAGTATTGCTCCTTTCTCCATAGTCTTGGACGCAGATAGAGGTTGCCAGCTGCACTCACATATACTCTGTGAAGATACAGTAAAGAAGAATGCAGCGCTAGAGACGCTGCTAGATGTCCATAGCTGGTAGGATCGAGCACATTATAACTTTCGGTTGTGGCTGGGTTGTCAATATTGTTCTCTCCCATTTGGCCATCCCATTCGCTTATCTCGCGCTTGATGTCCTTGTAGAGTGCCTTGATTTCCTCTGTGCGCACGAGATCTGCGGTTGCAAACTCATCTTGAAACTGTTTGTGTAGTCGCACATCCAGGTCTGCAACTCGCATGCGGAAGGTGTCAGCACGAAGGAGACTGCTGATACCCAAAATTGATGGAGTTTGCCGGGCCTCCCTATCGAAAACGGAGGACAGACATGGGAGCTGGCGGAGGCGTTTAATGAGTGCACCGCCCCCCAAGCGGTAGTGTGAAGCTCGTGCATCAAGGATCGCGAGTCGGATGACGACCCGCCTTACCAATCCATCAGGGTTCTTCATGGCTTCTTCGACTTCAGGCCGAGAGATAAGCTCAATAGCACGGCTCACCAAATCGAGAAATTTCTCCATCCTTTCACCTGTGACATGTACTCGTTTTACACGCACAAAAAGCGCCGATAGAAGGCCATCTATCTCGACCGGTTCATTCCCTTGATGAGAGTTATATGCATTTTCTGCGAGTTTCTCATATTCGGTCGCGGCGTCAAGATAAGACGGGTCTTCCATGGCTAGGTGAGATGCAGAGAAGGACAATATTGCGTAGTAGAGTGGCATGAAGAAAAGAGACATCGAAAATGCGGAGACGAATAGATTGTTCGTGTCTCGAGGGCGATCTTCGACTTTGGCATATCCTTTCATGACCGATAGATAATGCTGAATGAGACGGCGGTCGCCTTCCTTCATTGAGAGGCTGTGAGCATTGTTGGCAGCAAAACCGTCGTCAGCCGATCCTGTCACATCTAATGTGACGTTGACATCCAACTGCTGCGATTCTTTTGATGCTGCATTCGGGCGCTCCGCGACTAGCTTCGCCATCTGACCCAAATGAAGTAGACCAGGGTCAATAGTCGGGACTGGAATGAAATCTAAGCTTTCACCTGCCGCGTCTAGGTCCATCGGACCAAAAGCTGAGTATTCGTCGAAATCGAAAGGTAGATTGGCGAATATATCAAAAGTATCATCTGGAACATGGGCAATCTGATGATATTCCTGGTTCAAAGACGTCCGTTCCGCAAGTGTCGAATTCTCTGCGGAAGTGCTGAACTGTGTGGATCGTTGTGTAAACAACTCAGTATCTGGATCGTGACCTGGATGCAAGGAGATATCATCTCGGTTGGGGCTTGCACGGCGTCTGCGTTGACCTATCGTTCGCCTAATCTTGGGCGGCGGAGAATAATGCTCATCTGGTCCTGGGGCGTACCAACGGCAGTCCAATTTTAACCTGGAGCAATTGACGCATGCTGAAGGCTTATCGTGCTCGTCATGGAATACGTTTTGCTGATTACTGCATTTCACTTTGCGTGATCGGCACGTGTAACAGCCTAGGCCCCTTGTCTCAGCTCGGTGGTGCAGCGGGAGCAATGTCAAAGAGGTTTCATACCTGTACGTGATCGAGTGTGGTTCTTTGACCCCAAGGCTGGATTTGTAGGAGTCATATGAAATGAAGCAATGGATCTGTGATAGCAGAATTCTTCGTAGTGTCCGTCTTTGAAGGAAGATAAAGGGTGTTGACGAATTACATATCAACCTAACTAAGTAGTAGTTAGCTAACTCACGGGTTTACTTGAACCTTGGCGAGCACCAATCTCCAGCCCGACGCATACATTCGTAAGCCTTTCGTCTAGGCTTTTCTCATGCGCTGTACCACCATCACTGATGTTACTGGCAGAGTAAGACCGAATACAGCGGAGGAGATTCCAACACGTATGGCATGGATTGCTGTGCCAGCCACCCTTCTTTTATGCACCTGATCTGACAGCTCCCACAGCTGGAGTGGATGCAGCGCGCTCCAAGGCGGCTTCTAAACATTCCATCTGACTCAAACTTGTTTCATATCACGAATAGGATGATTACACCTCTCGCCATCGGGGTGTAGGTCAAAGAGTGAGTTACGGATATAAGATGTGAGGCCATCCTGACCAGTGAAAGTAAGTCAATCTAGCCAAAGAATAGCAGATGTATTCAATTTTCAACTTTTAGGCTGCATGATGGCTTTGCAATACTAAAACTAGCAAGAATCGAGTACACTCCAATGGAACCAAACGGTGTCCAGACTCAGGACGCCTGCTCGAAGGAAGACCTGATGGCAAAAAGCATCCCCCGCCATTGCCAATCCACTGGGTAAACATCATGTGGGATCCAGATCAACATATCCAACTCAGATTCCGACACAATGCTCACAAAATTCAAGCATTCATATTGATGAGCACAGTCTTCGGCTCCGTGAAAGCCCTGAGGCCATACTCACCCATCTCCCTGCCCAGACCAGACTGCTTCCTCCCACCAAACGGAGTCTGCATATGGATATAACTAACGCAATTGACGCCGACGACCCCTGAATCCAAGAGACTCGAAACCCTCAGTGCACGGGTGACATCGCGAGTGAAGACCCCCGACATAAGGCCATACTCACTATCATTCGCCATACGGAGCACCTCGTCCTCCGTCTCGAACGTCTTGATGATCGAGACGGGCCCGAAGATCTCCTTCTTGTAGATCTCCGCTTCCGGCTTTGGATTCAGAAATACCGTCGGTTCCATATAGCAGCCTGCCTCGCCGTGCTGGACGCCGCCGACAACGAGCTCGGCCTCGTCCTTCCCGCGTTGAATCATGGCTTTGACGCGCTCGAACTGCCCTTCATCCACCAGTGGCCCCAGTTTGACACTCATGTCCTGCGGATCCCCTAAATCGTCCGCCGCGGCCTTCAGACGCGCGACGTATTTCTCAATGAACTGGTCCGCGATATTCTTGTGCACGTACAGCCGACTCGCCGCGACGCAGACCTGTCCGGATCGCGCGAGGATCGCATTGACCGTCCAGGTGAGCGCATTCTCGAGATTCGCATCGTCGAAGACGATCGCAGGACTCTTGCCACCAAGCTCGAGCGTCACTCGCTTGAGATTACTCTGCGCGGCGGCGACCTGGATCTTCTTGCCCGTCGGGATGCTGCCGGTGAAGCTGACCTTGCGGATGCGCATGTGCCGGGCCAAGATGGCGCCGGTGTCGCCGGCTCCAGTCACGACTTGAATCACGCCTTTGGGAAAGCCCGCTTGTTCGAACAGCGGGGCGAGGGCGAGTGTGCCAAAGGGGGTTTTCTCAGAGGGTTTCGCGATCAACACATTGCCGGTCACGAGAGCCGCGGCTGCTTTACCCAGGAATGTTGCGGCGGGTGCGTTAAAGGGACAGATGGCGGCGCATACACCCAGGGGCTCGTGTCTAACGAGTTTCACAAACCCTGAGTTACAATCGTTAGTAGGTAAGGGAAAGAATTGACGACTGAGTGGGATCCCCTAGTTAGGTCCCCAGCCTTACCGTCATCAGCGGGGAAATAGTCCCCTTTCTGTTTGTCCGTCCAACCCGCATAGTACAACAAGCCATTTTTAATATAGGTCTTCTCCCGGGTAGGTATCAGCGAGACCGGATTACCCGAGGTGAGGGAATCCAATGTGAGGATCGGAATCAATTGCTCCTCTAGAATGGCCGCCAGCCTGTTGAAGCATTCCGTCTTCTGGAGCGCTGTGAAACTCCTCCACGGCCCGTTGAAAGCTTCTTCGGCATACTTGACTGCGAGGTCGATGTCCTCCTCTCCGGCGATTGGAATACCATCTAGAACCACACTGTTGTCTTTGGGGTTCTTGAGCGAATATGTTGCTTTGGAAATCGCATCGACGTATTCTCCATTGAGGTAGATCTTGTTGAATTTGTCGGGTGACAGATCAATGTTGACGTACTCACCCATTTTGTTAGCCGTATGATAGCCAGTCAGGTTTGATCAACTTTAAGATGAATATATGTCTTAATTATATCTTTCTAAAATTGTCGTATGTATATATGGACATCTCAATGCCTTCGGACAATGCCAAGTCAGATACTTCCCCGCCTTTCTCGTACCGATTCAGCTGAGATTCGTATTGGGGCTTTTGGCTCTCTCAGACACGAAGAAAGGCAATTCCTAGCCCGTAAACAGCAGAGTTCCAACCTCGTATTCAGCCGCTGATTGGGTCAGCTAAATCATCAACATTGCTTCCTCTGGCCAGTATACGAAGGGTGGCCAGAAAAGCCGACAACCTTGTGGGCAACGGAAGTAATGGTTCCCCCGGTCACCGTACCCATGATCTCATAGCCTTCATACGTTTCAAATGCCATAGCATATGTCTGAGACGCGCGCCATGCCTCTTTTGGTCGGACGTTCTAGTCACGATCTCTTCGCAAGGCTTCGTTCTCCCGATATCGGAGCACACCTGGCCATGGGAGGACGGTCTCTGCTGAGACTCGACTTTTTGAGCGACCGTGGGGCTAAGCTCATGTTCACCATGAACGTCTTACGTATCGTCTGCCTGTCGTTTCGCACAAAGTGAGATCCAAAGGAACCCTGGTGGGAGCTGATGATCAGAAGAATCACTCTGATTTTGGGCAGCCTTTTTAGCACCGGGCGACGTCGTCGTGAAACAAGGAAGGTAGAATAGAAGTATCTGGGCGTATTTATGCAATGATAGCTCATGTCACCATGAGCTACACCTGGTGGACCCTCGTCATTCAATCGTCAATCACAGGCGCGAACTTTGACCTCTTTCTCAACGCAAGGCCATACTTCATAAATATAAATGGCACGGGGACCAATGCTGCGCTAACAGCCCCGAGAATGGACATGGCAGGGCCTACTCCTAGTGTATGAAACATCGGTCGAGAAGCCATGGGTAGGCCGGCTGCCATGATACTGCGAAGAAAGGTATTCGCAGCCGTGGCGCTGGCGGCGTAGAGGCCATAGACATCGACAAGGTAATTTATACCTGTTGATGGGGGCATTCATTAGTCTTTGAGGAAGTATAAATTGGGCTTGATAAAAAAAAACTTACATTGCTGGAAGATGGTATTGAACCCAGCCCCAATGAAAACCGCTGCGAGAGCAGGATGAACCCACGAGTATCTTGGGTCGGCGGTCCATCCGAACCAGAAGAGCCCAACCACCATTAAGACAGAGCCTATGGCCAAAGGTGGGAGTCTCGCCTCGGGAACAGGTTTGCCGTTCGCCGCACGACATTTTCGAATGTAGCGCGGCTGGTTGCCCAGATTAATGACGATGGCGAGATTCACACCCACGAACAAGCCGAGGAACGGCAATGATCCGACAACAGGAGAATATCCCCGTTGCTCCTCGAAGACAATGGGGAAGACCGTGAGAGTGAGGTAGAGAATGGTGTAGACGAATGAAGCGTAGAAGGCGATGCAAGTGACCATCGGTTCGAAGATCAGCATGTTGAGCGGGCGGGAGAGCTGTTTGGTGATGATGGACTTGATATCTATCTTGATTCGTTCCTGAGGGTGATAGAGTTTCTGGTTCCCCGTCTGTTTGCGAAGTCGTTGCGCTTTCCACTTCAACACCACAGGCGGGTACATCTCCGGCATGCAGAAATAGGTCAATACCACGATGGCGGCGTTCAGGATCGCCGTAATATATTCTGTCCAGCGCCAGCCGAGATGTGGATTTACCAGAATGGCGGCACCAAAGACCGGTCCGAGTGTAGGTCCACCTACCACGGCCACAGCATAGAAAGTCACGGCAGTTCCACGCGCTTCTCGAGACCAGATGTCTCCCAGGGCAGCATTGACATTGCTGACGGCGGCCGAGCCAAATAAGCCGCTGAAGAACCGGTTGAGGAAGATTGACTGAGCATTGCGACTGGTGGCCGCGCCAATGGAAAAGAACGCCAAGCAGCACATAGCTGGGAGCATCGAGATTCTCCTCCCCCAGACTTCCGAGACTGGTGCCCAAACAAGAGGACCTAGGGCAAAACCGACACTGTAAGGAACAGGTAAGCACAAAGTAGAAGCTTCCGTCATCGGAACCATAGTCTTACATGTAAAGGGACACATTGAGGACCACGACATTTTGGCTGACCCCGACATATTCAGCGATAGTCTTGCTAGCAGGTGAAATGATGCTGGACGCCAAACTAGCAGCGAAAGCCAGCAAACTGAGCTGAACGGTAACCCATATCTTAAACGAGGTCGACCAGTTCTGTGGGTTCTCTTGGTCGTTATCGTCGTCCCATCCTACGACGATTTCGTCTTTTTCGTCCTCCTCATTCACCTTCACTGCTTGTTCTTCATCTTGAGGCCTAGGTCGAAGTAGTACAGGCGTTTCAACCTTCACAGGGGTCGTGTCGAAGCCCATGGCAATGTACAAGCCATACTTCGACCTCAGAAATCATTGCAAGAAGGAGTCAAAAGAAGCGTTTGAGAACGTTTGAGGTGGATTGAAGATCTTTGTACGTTGAATGCAACCGATCAGCGGAGCATCGTACAATAGAAATGGTGCGATTTTCAGTGGATCTGTTGTCGGCTTTTCACCGCTGATGCCGCTTAGCCGGGTGATATTTAGGTTCGAGAACGACGTAGGCGATGCCTCTGGAAGTGTGCCGGTAGGTAACGCTGTAAAAGGCTCGTCATATCAGATCTTTCGATCGTACTCGATTCTAGGTATTAGTTCATTGATATCGAAGAGTGCATCGCGGTGCTCGACGTGTAAGGTCCATCGCTAATCACTATCCAACAGGCCCAGGCACGTGTATTTCCGCAGCAGTAGATCCCTTGTTCTGTCTATTTGCTCCCCCAGCTAGTTAGCTTAGGTAAGAAGCACGGAATTTTCGTTTGTCGTACGCGGAAATGTCGAGTTGTCGGCTGAGGGCTCAAAGGTACACATCCGCCTCAGGTTTGACGAACTCCAATCTTCGATTCTCAAACAAATCCTCATCAAAAATCTTTGGTATCGGAGCAAGTCGGGTGCGTTGTAGAAACCTTCTCGAACGTTGAAATTGAGTAGACTCGAGACTAAATTGGCAACCTCAAAGCTTTGAGAGCAGCGTCAGAGCAGATCGGAAATGCAGAGCAGTAGTCATATCATGTGGAGGAACGTGAAACCTTACTCGGAATACGACCGTGAGCAGTAAGCACCACAGTCGTGCGATGTCGCAAGTAATCAACCTTTTTAGGGAAAATGTTTAAAAGGTACAGCAGGACGCAATCGCAACCTTATTACATTAAGGACTTGGTCCTCATCGGGCAGACGCCTAGCAGCCTACTCAATTTTCAACTTGGAAGAGATATTAGTTTCACCGACTACCCCTGTTCTTACATGGCATTCGTACTCAAGTAACCGTACTCAGACCATGTGTTGATTTCCAGAATCCCACATTGACAAGACTGCAGGCATTTGCAGGCCTCGAAATACGTTACAACCAGCGTGTCCGATAACCTCATGATCCAATTTTTTATTTCCCCTCCTCCGTAGCTCCCTTGATACTTTTTTCTCGTGCGAGTGTGACTCTGGCACGAGCCGAGTCTATCTCAACTGGAGACATCTGCCCAAATTGTACACTGCCGTATCTTTCCTGGTAACGCTCGAAAATGTTGGATCCTTCGAAAAACAAACTTGAGGCGAGGGGAGTATTCTTCGCAGTCTCGATGCCTTCTTCCGCCCCGTCCGTCCAAGTATTAGCTGCCACGACATCTATCGAAGCCAAACCGGGCCTGCTGTAGAGGTAAGGCTCTCGGATTTGTGGCGATGAGCTCAGAGAGGCGGATCCAGGGACGGCTGGAGGTGCTGTTGCCAAGGAAACATTTGATTCTCTGGATGTGTCGCGCGACATAGGTTGTGACATGTAGCCAGAGGGGAAATCTCTTGTATCTAATCGATCCCCCATATCATGCCTGGCAGGAAGTCGTGCATTCGTGAAGACATGAGGCACTTGTGTCCTCCGTGTGATGGAAATATTTTCTTCGAATTGAAGAGGGGGAACAATTCTAGCAGTCGCCTGGTTGACAATAACGGTCTGCACCAGTCTTGGGGAGGATGATGGTTGTCTGCTGTGCCTGCGTGTAATTTCTGAACTATCAAAATTAGGCATGGATTGGCTCGGGTGAAATTCCGTTGCTAATGGTGACAAGCTCAAATTTGGAGACTTTATGGACAGTGGTTGTCTTGTTTCGTCGGAACCTGATCTGTCCAGCGACTGCGGTCGACTCGGGGACTTTATCCTTCCACCTCTCGATGCCGGAGGACTAGCTCGGTGAACAGCTGCTAAAGCCGCAGACGCTTCAGAGGAACCAGTTGACGTTGGTCTTGCAAGTCGACTATCATTCGTGCCGCTGGTGAAAGATGATGCTCTGGAACGAGTCTGTGCCTGGTCTTGGGACAACGTTGGAGGCACCAGTGCAGGTTTCCACTCACCCAGATCTTTCGGTTTCTTCGTAAGGGATGGCCGACCTTGAAAAATAGCTTGTAATACCGACGATCTTCGAGAGGCTGTCTCAGTCGGAGTAGTCAGAGATTCGCTTGGACGTCGCGTTGAGTTCCCCGACGGTATCAGGACTCTGGAATTGCCCATACCAGATTGAGACCACCGGTCTGTCCAGCTACTATCTGAATCTTCGTCATGAAAGTCTCGCTCTTGATGCATCTGTGTAGGTGATTCGGTATGACCCTCGGTATGGCCCTCTAGTGTCCATGTTGAAGTGCGAGTGAGACCACTATCACTTTCTGGGCTGTCAGATGATGTACTGTTTGCACGTTCAAAGACTGAAGCCTGAACCCGATGATGAATACTATCCACTGAGTGTGAAGGGGAGCGACTTTGAATCTCTTTCTTGATTGTACGGATTGTATCGTGCAGTTGATGACGAATCTTCCGAAGAGCCGGTGATGCATCCTGAGCGGATTTGGGAAAGTGTGACCACATTCTGGTAGTATGTGTTTCGTAGTCACGATAATCGCGTACCAGTCCACGTCCTTCTGCAGAGCGAATCTTCTCGTCTGCTACAAGGTATGAATGACAGAGAAATCTTGAAGCAATCCCAAGCCATGACCAATATTGATTTGGCTGATCTGCGTAACGAAATTTCAACTCATCGCGGAGGACACCCTGTACAACTGTGTGTATGCGTAGAATATCAATACTGTACGTGATAGAGTTCTGAGACGAATCTTCTGCTTTTCCGTTTGGCTGGTCGAGCATGCTTTTGATACTGCTGGAATCATCCCGTACCAGCTGAAGTTGCATTTGACGATTTGACCCGACGGTACTTGTTGTTGAAGCGCGATGCCGATACAGTTCTGGTGACACAGAGCGATTGGGAGACGCCACTGAGTATTCCAGAAGTGTTCGTTCCACAAGTCCATAGCGTATAAGAACTGCTATTGTGTTATCGAGCTCTTTTTTCATACTTCCAATGCTCTCCACTGATCGGATCTCAATACCCATCTCTTGCAATGCTGGGATGCCAAAGCGTAACAGTGCCACTGGTATGGAATGGGCAAAAAACCCGAGAATAGTGACTAGGTTGATCGCTTCTGGATGCAAATGATCCCGGAGAGCTGCCATGATGTCCAGAAATGGATCGGCCAAACGATGGTCAGATACCCCTGGAGAATACTTTTCCAAAGAGGTTCCCCGAGCAATGAGCATATGAGATGCGGCATGTATCGCAAGAGGGAGACACTCGTAATGCTTGACCAATTGAGCGGCTTTCTTTGCTTGAACGGCAGTTGGTTCCTTGATGCCCAAGTTTTTGTACAAAATGGAGCAAGCATCGTGCTGGGACAATGGAAAGACCTTGATCCCAGTGGGATTCAGAAGCCGCTGCCGTTTCGCGAGTGTTCGATCAACTGAGGTGTATATTATGCTGTTGCCAGATTTGTCTGGGATAAAAGGAACAAATGCCTGAATGTCATCATCGTTATCCGTCGTGACGCCATCAAAAACAAGAAGCCAGCCTTCTTGAGTTTCAAACCACTTCCTTATCGAGTCAACAAATTTGGAAGATTCGTCCCAAGCAGAGCTTCGAGGGTGGTCGATTCCTAAGATCGCAACGGCTTGGGAAATTTCCCAATAACTCTTTGATCTTGACTCGTGAGTTTTGCAGTCGACCCAGAAACAGCCAGCAGGATAGTTGTTCCGGTGACGCCATAAATACTCTCTTGCGATCTGACTCTTACCAGAACCTGGTGAGCCCCATAATAAAACAGCACAAGTCCCAATAACCCTCCTTTTTTGATTGGCCAATTTCTGTTCCAACTGATCCAGTTCTAGTTGAAAGCCATAAAACATTGAATTCGGTCGAAATCCCACAGGAGCGACAAGTAAGAGACCAGTTGAGAGTGCCAAATTCTGCTTTTCTGTCGTTTGAATCGATCCAATGGAGCTATCTGTGACAGAAAATGAGTCAGCGTTAACACACTTAATCTTTATCACTGACCAAAGGCGGGTTTATCTCCGCGGTGCAGTGACAAAGTCTTCCTCTTCAACTTCTTCGACCTCATACTGAGGTGAAGGAGGTCCAGGAAGTTGCTTGGGAGGTGAATGCGCACTCAATGAACTTGGTTGATTGTTTGAATTAGGAGGCAATGGGGTGGCATTGCCAGAAGTTCCTGCGCTCATCTGAAAAATGCTATCTGGTCCCTCTCAGCATGTTTGTTCTACTGAACAACCATCATACCTACTCACCACCCAGTAATTCCCGTGCCGCTGCTTGACGTTCAAATTCAGAGACCCTTTTCTCTTCTTCCCATCTAGATCGAATCCGTGATTGAGATTCTTCTGCGTATCTGAGACAAATAAGCGAGGCTGACTTGCTGAAAGGAGTGAAATATTACCTCTGAACTGCTTCAGCAACGACATCATAACCAGGACTTGATTCGTCCTCGAATTTGCACATATGACTAGAATCGTCAGATAGAGTCTGAGACATTGAGAGCATTCGTACCTATGATCCTTTTCAATGCCCATTCGATCCACGCCTTCAATTACTGGTGCCGCCGAGTCTTCCTCAACGACGAATTCTCTCGTCCCCTTGAGGTCTGTAGGCTTTGACTCATGGAAAAAGTATATATGGAAACGACCAATGATCTCGATAAACAATCTGTTGATGTTCTGCAAAGTTTCGTTGTTCGTCTTCAAGGCTTTCACCAACTGGGGTGAAGAATCGAAGAATTTCTTTGGCAGGGCGACGGAGCAGATCTTTTCCAAGAGAGAACCCCATTTTGCCAGATCGGATCCGTTGTGCGGTGTTCCGAGAAACAAAATGCCATAGGTGGAAACATATATAGATCTCAGTCGTTCGGTGTGTTGGTGATGCCGAATGCTATTACAGTAGATCAAACATCTTTTGACTACCAACCCTCCGAGAGAGTGGCAGATGAAGATGATAGGCCTCTCTTGCGCTTTCCTCAACTGGTCCCTGTTAGTGTATCCATTCTTGTATCCCTCCACGTGCGGGCTTCGATCGACTGTGCCACTTACCGATCTGTTGGCTACCAACCGGCTTGCCAGATGTTCCGCATGATTGTGTATCTTGTCTTTGGACACTCCATCTGTGAATGCTGTCACATTGGCATCGTAACCATAGGTCAGGATTCGGGGTCTTTGATCTTCGAGAGCAGCGGGGAGGAGGTCGGCTGGCCAAAAGACATCGGGTTTGGTGGTGGACCAAGTATTGAGAGGATGGCCATTCAATCCGTGGACGAAGACAACATCCACAAGAGGATTGGTTGCGGAGTAGACTTCTGTGAGGCCATACTGCTGGATTGGCTTAGCAGCAGAGGTACTCATCCTTCCAGCTTTCTCTTTGCGACGGGGATGGGCTCATGGAGGAGATGCAAGGGTTTCAGAGAGCATGAAAGCGGATGGGAAGAAGGATTTGTAGCGAACAACCACAATCAACAGCCTCATTGGCACCAGGCGCAGAGAACTAAGGGAGGTTGCATTTTGTCTCGCAAGCGGTGAAAACGACCAGTCACGGATACAGTCACAAGGCAGGTGCAGGTGATTTGACCTGGAGGGTCTGCCTGTGAGTGGACTTTTTTTTTTGAAACAAAGCCTGAGGAAAGGACGACGTGTCGCCAGGCCAGTCGCTAGGCAAGAACCGAATGATGCGTGGACATCTCGAGCGGTGGCTTGAATCCTTTTCCCACTTCGCGGGGCATAGTGCCTCCGCCCGGGCCAAGAAGCAAGGACCAGGGGGGCTCTGCGCCTGGAGCCGAGCCCAAGCAGCCAGGGCTGTACCGCGAAATGCGGAAGGGGCAGCGTCCTTAGCCCCCGAACCTTGAAAGGGTCTGGGGGCGGTTTTGATTAGTTTGGTGCCTAGCGGAAGATCTGGGGGCAGTTGTGTGCCACGGAATATGCTTCACACGCACGAGTACTTCGCTATGAAGACAGAGTAATGACACATTTCGAGTGTCTTCTCCAACTCTATGGAACAAGATTTTTGTCACCAGACCAGGAAGTATGCCACACCCTCTGAAGATTCTTGGTCAGATGTCCACCGTGGACCTCGTAAAATGAATCTAGGCAACCGGCTTCTCGACGACATTCGAGTGCACAATGGTGCGCAGTGCCTGAAGATCATCTTCCGTCACCTACCCTTGAACGCAGGTTTCCTCTTTTCAGCAAAAGCCTTCAAGGCTTCGACACGATCTTCGGTGTTCAGAATCACCTCGTATGCCTCGTTTTCAGCAGCCTCGCCCCGTTGCCACCCGTTAACAGCTCGCATAGCCTGAGTGAGGGCAATAGGACCGCCTTCACAAATATCGTGAGCCAACTGTATACTGGCATCTAGAACCTTTGTTCTAGCTTTGCCTTCTTCTTTGATTTCCTCAGGAAGTACCTCAACCAATCTGTTACACAGACCTAGGAAATATGCCTCGGGTCCAGAAACCCTTCGCCCTGTAATGATCATGTCTCTTGCACGATTGACTCCGATGAGTGCAGGTAATCTGTAAGTACCTCCAGCTCCAGGAATGATGGCCAGCTTGGTCTCAGGTTGGCCCACCACGGCGTTGGATCCAAAGACACGTAATGTCGTACAGAGACCCAGTTCTAAACCGCCTCCCAAAGCGACAGACGAGATGGCTGTGATGGTGGGTATAGGTAGATTTGACAGGTCTGTAAATGTGTTTCTCATGTTCTTCAAGAAGTCTCTAGTCCTACCGAATAGTGAGCCAGTCCATCCGTGATCTATGCGGCTTTTTGTCAAGCATACTCTTCCTGTGTCATGCCCTTTCTTTCTCTCAAATCCGCGCCGGCGCAAAAGGCTTTGTCTGTGTTTGAAGCGATAATCAAAGCTCTAGTCCCACCCTTGCCACCCTCTGCTTTTATCTCATCCACATGGCGTCTCAAGTCCGCGATCAGCCTTCGTGAGAGGGCATTTCGAGCTTCTGGTCTGTCCAGGAGGAGAATCCTGATATTACCCGAATGAGGAGCAGGTTGATGCTGAACCTTTATCGGAGAGGACTCAGCAGCAGCGGCGAAGGTTCGACATTGGATGGCCGAAACTCGCAGAGTCGTGAAGCTCTTCCTAAGCACAGATGGCCGCATATTGAACACAGTGCAAGTAGAAAAAAAGTCAAGTCAACAGAACATAGATTTCGATGTCGCAGCTTTCAAAGGATGGGACGCGGTTAGCAACGGGATCGTGAAGACCGAGGCTACTCCGCATCAACTGTATTCGATTTGGGGAAATCACTTTGAGTGTGCTCTGGCCAAGGGCATGGGGGCTTTGGAGGGAGTCCGGGTGGCCCGAAACGCTTATAGGGTACCTTGCAAGGCACCTAACCATGTGGAGGGAGATTCCCTAAATTAGGCGCTCAACAGAACAGAGATGGAAACTCGGGCCATCTAAACAATCATTCTACAACAAGACAGTCAAGAAATATACTACCAGATACTTAGTATTCTGTCTTCCGAAATTGGCAAACCTGGATTTCAAACTCAAAGAACCCACAAGAGAAAGCCAGAGCACTCACCATGAATCCTCTGTTGCACGACACAATCCTCGACCTAGAAGACCAAACATGGAAAGCACTATCTCATTCGGGGGCAGCATTGCTTCCATTTCTCAGTCAAGACTGCATCATGTTCTTCCCACTGGGATTGAATGTCTCAGCGAGGTCGGCACCTAACCTCGACGACGTCCTGAAGAGCGAAGCATTCGTTCCTTGGAGGCGTTACCGTCTCCAGGAGGTCGAAGTCACGGCACTGGGCACTGAGTCGGCACTCATCAGTTATCGAGTGCACGCGACGAGACAACACGTTACACCCGATGACGACGAGCGGCAGGATGAGTTCCGGGCGCTCATTTCGACTACGTGGAGGAAGGATCCGGAGGCTGGAAGGTGGTTGATGTGTTTTCATCAACAGACGCCTTATGAGGGTGAACTGGCTCTGGAATGATGTATGCTGGTTTTACTATATATTTTATACTGCTACATGTTTGGGTTTCTTGGTCATTACCACTTCAGAATGTTGATGCCTACCTATGGGTACTACCTATGTATCATGATAGACTTCATGGCACCTATGTCCTGCACCGATGGCAGCAGACATGTGAAGATCGCGATCACAGTCCTCATCTCACTCAAGCCGGCGGATCTCTCCATGTAAACTGACATCATCTCCCAGCGGATTTAATAACCGAGCCTCTGGAAATCGAGTGGCGTCAGTGGGCGAGGATCTAACCAGATTAAAGGTATCAGAAGTGTGGGGAGACCGCAATGCTTGGAAAATGATGGCATTCTCAAAGTATCGGCGCATTGTGACGTCGACTAGGGAACCATCCAATCCTCCAGATGATACAAAACTCAATCTTCTCCTCTCTCCGAGTCTTAAAGCTCTACTTTCAACCTCCAAGCTCCCAAAACACCAATTTTCCAATCTCGAGGCATCCATCAAGCTCAACCATATACTCTCCACATCAACAACCCCATCGTAAACACACCTCTATCAACCCCTACTCCACACATCCACAATGTCTTTCCTCTCAAGAACAACACCAATCCTCCGCACAGCGGTCCGATCATCCACCACCTATTCAGCACCCAGATTCTTCTCTGTCGCAACCGTACACCAAAAGTCGGCGACAGAGACAGTCAAGGACGGCTTAAAGGCTGTAGACCGCACCATCTCCGATGCTGCCGTAGCTGGTATTGACAAAGGAGGTACGTCACAACAATAACTTCCGCCGAATATCCTTCAAGCTCCAAAACCCCAGTCTAACATATTCTCCCTTCACAGTCGAAGTCAAGGAAGCAGTAGCAGGCACCGCCAGCAAAGAGACCGGCAAGGCTCAAGGCACAGCACAAGAAGTCGCCGGCGAAGCAAAGGGCAAAGCTGCCGAGCTAAAGGGCCAGGCTAAAGGAAAGGTCGAGGAGATCAAGGGCAAGATCTAGTGATTGATTCCCACTTTCCTCTTGCAGAGTTATTTGGCATCGATGTATGCATTACCAATTCCACCCGGCGCCTAAAACAGGGCAAAGCAGGCGCTGCATGTACAGTTGTATGAAAGAAACCAGAGATGCTTTATCTGGTCCGAGGACCTATGTACAGTAATCATTAGAAAATGAACAAACAAACCCATACCAATGAGATTGGCTTGTTGCACTATGTGTCAATATTTTCATGAATTCATAATGGACGAATGCTCCGAAGAGAGCACTTTTCATACCTCGGCCATTTTCCTCTCGCATGTGCATGTCATCTCAAATACCTCAGTCACCTGACTCAACAGTCGACTCAACCAGCTTCATCCCCCTTCAACATCGGACTCTGCACCAACCGCCCATCGAAATGCTTACGATAGACCTCACCCTCCTCATTCTTCAACCCATATTTCGACGGGTCCCTCTTCTGCAAGAAATGCTTGACCCGCCCATCCCTCGACACCTGGTTCTCCTTGAAATGGTCCGCCCGATCGTTCAAAAAACGACTCGTCTCCTCCGTGAACGCTCTGGCCTTCTCCTCCATGGCGCCGGAATACTGTCCCGCACGTGTCGCCTGAAGCACGCCCGAGAGGACTGCGAGGATGATGACGAACGAGGCGAACGCGTTCGGATGAACGTAGGTCCCCGCGTACGCTTGCTTGTCCGGGTTGTCGCGCCGGCGGTACCATCGTTCCCAGTCCTCCCAGGTCGCATTCTGAAAAATCGTCGAGTCGTGCTCTGGCCCGAAGCCGTACGCTTTGCCCTCGGCGTTCGTGTAGCCTTTGGTATGTCTGTCTGCATTTCGTACTCGTGTGCCCCATCCTGCGCCCGATGCGTCGAACGCTCGTCGCTTGACAGGGTCGGATAATATCTCGTGCGCCTGAACCACCAGTCTGTATCTTTCTAGCCTCTCTATATGACTAAGTTCCGTAGCATGTCCACTCCCACTCGTGTCCGGGTGGTAGATCTTGACCAATTCCAGGAACTTATGTTTGGAATATGCTCCGTTCTTTGCGAGGTCGAAGATCTCATACGGAGTAGGTGTGAAGGGAGTCGCCCGACAAGGCCAGTTCATGTTATCTCTAAACTCATATGGCTGAGATTTGACGTCGGCATATGTCCTCGACTGCGGAGGGCTTGGACCCTGGGATTTGAGGCGTTTGCGGGGAGATGCATTTGAATGATTGCAGGAACAGCACTGCCAGGCGTTGTAGGCGGCTGGCAGCTTTGCCTTCTTCAGCAGCGTAGACGACATGCCATGTGAGTATCGAGGTCAGGCCCAATTGTACAGACAGCTTGATATGCGGGCACCTTGAAGGATCTGGTACCTGAGAACTCGATGTCTCGTGAGCACATTATCATCGACGTCAATCCCACCGAACAGGGACTAGTGGGGTCCGGAATGGAGAAACATACTTCCGTTGGGGTAACAACCGACTTCACAAAAAAGTAGTTGAACATTCACTTCTGAATACCTCACGAACACTACAGGGCCCTAGACCGGTCGTCGATCTCTGAACATGCCTCGATCCCGCTCACGATCAAGGTCGTCCTCTGGGGCTCCACCGCGAGATCGATTCTCCGATCGACCACAACCCAGATCTAGCAGCGACGACTACCGGTCCAAGAAACGAGAGCGATCTCGAAGTCGAAGCCGAAGTCGAGATCGAGGACCACCACGGAAGAGAAGATCAAGAAGTCCCCAGCCAGGGCGACCAGACAGACGGCGATCAAGAAGCGTCGACCGCGATGGCGAGAGCCACAGACGTAGAGACCGAGACCGAGCCCACGACAGGCCGCGGGAAAGAGATGCCCAAAGGGACAGGGAGAGAGACAGGCGGCGAGACCGAGATCAAGATGGAGACAGAGACAGAGTCAGGGCCAGAAATCGAGAAGGCCGGAGACAACGCTCGCGCTCACCCCGCAGAGACTCACCGGGGGGGTTCCAACGGTCGAAACGCCCACTTCCCTCACAAAACGACGCCTTCAAAGGCGACGACCCAGACTCAAACGCCAAGCCCGCGATCGTGAAAGAAAAGCCCAACTACCGACCATCCGGCCTCCTCGCCGCCGCGGCCAACACCGTGAAGACGCACAACGGCGGAGACGTGGTGCTGAAATACCACGAACCGAAGGAAGGGCGGCTACCGCCGGCGTCGAAGCAGTGGCGGCTGTATGTCTTCAAGGGCGACGAGATCCTCGAGACGCTGGATCTGTACACGCAGTCGTGCTGGTTGTTTGGGCGGGAGGCGTCCGTGTGTGACTGTTTGATCGAGCATCCGAGCTGTTCGTCCCAGCATGCGGTGATCCAGTTTCGACATACCGAGGAGAGGAACGAGTATGGGGATAAGACTGGAAGGGTGAAGCCTTATGTGATGGATCTCAATAGCCGGAATGGTACGAAACTTAATGGCGCGGCGGTTGAGGAACAAAGGTACTATGAAGTCATGGATAAGGATGTCCTTACGTTTGGGCATTCGACGAGGGAATATGTGGTGCAGCTGCCGAAGCCGTGATATTCATACCAATATGGTGTCAGAGTTCCGTCTGTTCTTGACATATGCCATCTCGACGTATTGTCTGATTTGCGCACTGTCAGGATGATTGTTCAGCCATCTTGTCGAAGAAAATTGTCTGGCCAGGATCTCGGAGACAGGATTCCAATCGTCTCTTAAGCAATGTAATAAACCATGTGTGCATTGCTATGGACCTCACGGCACACGGCTCGGCCAGTGGGCTATGAATTGGTGAACAACCATCCGCCTCCTCCATGGACTTCGACTCGGTATTATCCGGGATACCGCTAGCATTTGTAGCAATTGACGATGAGGAATGCTGGTTCGAGTAAAAATTTATTAATAGTTGAGGGTCAGTATCACCCGCATGGAGTGGATTTCGGTCACTGAACATGCTGATTGCTATATGAAGTACATATATTGACTATCAGAAATTGGCAGTCAAGTCAGATGTGCTTGATAGCTAAGCGGCCGAATCGTTTCGCTTTCAGTACATGCTCATAAACTCCGCCTGCTCCCGGCTGTACCTCTGACCATATTGAGAGACAGTCCTGCGCCAGTCGACAGTAGGGTCAAATTGCACATCTTTTCTACCATGCTCGACATCATTCACCAGCCTACAAAGGGCACAGTGGTCCGCTTTGAGATTTATAACACGTGAGGCCGGTAGGCTTTCCATGATGGTGACCCTGTCTAGTAATTCAAAGTAATCCGAAGTGTTATTCTGTTGCCTGGTTCTCTTGACTGCGGCATTCCGGATCGCGGCATTCGACCAATCTACTCCATGGGAAGAGGACAACGACGCCGTGCGACGAGCTCGTACGGCTTCGCAGAGGACTTGCCACGTTGCATCAAACCTCGGCATTGTCTTGGAAGGGTTCGAATAAACGGCAATGTCCAATAACTTCTCAAGATCTTCCAGAGAGCGTCCTCTCGAGCCAGTGATACTGTCCATAGCATATTGTGTCTTCAAGTGCACAACTGCCAATACAATATCCAGCATCTTTCTGTCCACAAAGTCACGCAGATAAGTCATAGTCCATCGACGTCTCAGTAGCCGCCGGCATGTGTACGGGCATCTTGAGACATGGGACAATATGCAAGGCCAGTTCAGTGCCTCTTGGGGGCGTTCGATCCTTTTTAGTTCCAAGAAACCTTCATTTGGCAAGAAATTGAACGGGACAGATATCAGTGCAAAATGCAGTACATCTCGAAAGGCGCGCCACGATAAAGATAGGTTCTCCTGCTCAAGATTCCGAAAATATGTTTCGGTAGAAAAAGAGACCTCTTCAGATGAGGCAAGGCCGGCATGGAACTTGATTCGGCTGCAGGTGGCCGCAATCTCCCATTCATTCCATATATTGAAAGCCTTGCGAGCATCAACGACCTGCTCAGCATGAGCAGCCGTAAGAACTTCAATCAACAGTACCCCCCAAACATCGTTCTTGTATTTCTCTCTCATCGCTGGGTGAAGGTGCGTGGATAGCCATACAGTCTTACGAAGATGGGCTGCCAGCGAGAGGTGAACCAGCCTGAGAAAATGCTCATCATCCCGAAACATGCTCTTTTCACTACTGAAGTCAATCAAAGTAGGCAGAAATGCGGCGACTCTCGCTTTCATATTTCTCGGCTCGAAGTTGCCACTCAAGAACTTGTCAAGCCCATGACGCCTCTGGACAAATCGAATGGCTTGTAGCAGGACTTTAGTCTCATTGTAAAACTGGTATGGAGCCTCGCCAACAAGTAATAGAGTGACTGCTGCGTCATGCTTGAGATGTTGAGGTATTCTCTCAAGGATACGGTCATAGAGCGTACCGAGGTCGGGCTGAAGCGATTCGAGGCATTCGACCAGACCGTCCGCGGTTGCTTGATCCTCGCATGGCTGTAGCAATTCCTCCATAGCTAACTTGACCCACAAAATCATCCCTTCGCTCTTTGCGACAATTGTTTTACAGAGATTTTCAGTAAACAAATGTTCGAGCTCTGGCTCATAGGTCGCAGCCTGATCAACTCGTCTTTGGATGTACATAAACATGCTTTGGTCGTTGTGTTCTTGCAGCACCAAAGATGGCCAGTCTTTAAATGCCCTCAGCACTTCAGGCTCCGGGCGACTTGCAACACACATTTTGATGCCAGTCCGATGACGCAAGAGGTCTAAACTCTTGCACAGCTCCCACAGGCTACCTGAATATTCATCCAGCCCGTCAATGAAGGCGCAAATCTTCATATCGCTTTGTGAAATCAAGTCGGAAAAGGTATCGATACACTGTTCTAAATCTGATGTCGTCAGACGCTGTATCGTTGTATTCTCCAGTAGTAAGTCTTTGATCTTCTGGCTGATACCTCCTAGTTGACGGGCGAACAATCTGATCATCCCGACTGGGTCATTCGCAGGACTGCTTCCAGCTCTGAAGTCGAAGAAGTAGTGTACAACTTGCCACGATTGTCCATTTGAACACAGTTCATCTCATCTTCCTACTGTCAGAAAGAAATCTCATCAATGTGCTCTTACCACTAGCAGGTTTCCCAACAACTAGAAAGGCAGGCGAATCCGAGGCTCGTAGCCATTTGAAGAAATCTGTTGCTTCTAGCCACCGAAAACACTCCGTGCCAATATCATGCAAAGACAGATGTGCGCGCTTGGAATCAGAATTTGGAAAGTCCAAAGTGTCAAGGACAGATTGTGAAGTATCGCCTTTATCGGCCTGACTGCTCCTCTCTTGTGTGAGGTGACTCAGCACAATGCTCTCATCGACCAGTAGAAACTCGTCATTGAGGAAAGTATTGCCGTTGTCACGAATGCGAATCCATTTTACAGTCGACATCATTTCTCTGGCAAACCCGGCGGCGGTGAGGGCAGCATACTCCTGCCATGTGTCATTCTTGTATGAATCTGCGTAGTCACAAATACCCCGGATGACAATGCATGGAAAATCGTCCATCAATCCTGCTGCCTCCATCTCGATGCATTTGGCGTTGAAGTCTTTGCCTAATTGATCACGAACGACAGCATTTTTCATGAGCTCATTGCCGGAGAAAATGACCCCATAGTGGATTTTTGGGCCTTCGTCCTGGCGATGTATTCGGCTCACGATCCCATTTTGGCATCTACCGCAGCTCTCACCCTCTTCATGGCCGTCTGGGTGGTTACCAATGTAACCACAGTACAGCACGTCTTGACTCGGACCAGGATGCACATAGCCTTCTAAAATTAGCTTCGGAAATCGCTTTGTTGCAGTAGAAAGAATATTACGAATCTGATTTCCATGAAGGCGGTGTTGCGACTGAAGAGTGGAGAGGGCGGTCAACAAGAGCGTAGGTGGTGGCCGTAAAAGTCCTTTACGCTCGAACTTGCCGCCTCCCAGGTTTTTTCGTAGGTCATGTTGTACGACACCGCCGTGCGTACCATCGGGTTGACTGACCACTACATCACCTAAACAAATATCCCCATCGCTGCCAGGGCCAGGTATCCCTCCTCCGATGCCTATCACAAGACCAATTTGAATGCTCGTAAAGGTTCTGCGCATGTTACTAGCCACTGTGGCAGCAGAGACCGTGCCATACCTACCCAAAGGTAGGCATGCAATCACTACGTTGTGACCACAGCATCTCCCCAGCACATAGGTATTGTCACCGAGAGGCGACAGGTCTCTGAACATCTCATGTTCTTCATCAAGTATGGCGCGTGCAGCCGTGAGCTCTTTTGGGAGGGGACAGATCCATCCGACAAGGTACTCGTGAACTGCGAAAGCGGGCCTGGCGTAGAATGACTGAGACATTGGGAGAATGACTTGACGAGGCTGCTGAGGCTGGCAGGGAAAGGGAGGGGCCAGTCCTCTGGAATTTGTGGATCACAAAGTCCCGTTGGCATGACTTTGATCGTATGCGTCTGAAAGCCTGGAGATGAGGATAGCGGCATAAAGAGAAGCAACACGACTTTTTCAGTGCGCAGTCAGGCTGGGCTCTGGATGCAGCCCCTCAATGGGGCTAACTTGTGTACATTGGCCATCGAGCCAGGAGCGAATGAGTAGCACTCGTTTCGCGCCAGCATGTGGCTGAGAGATCCAGCCTGCTATTGGTTGCTCGACGCCTGGTCAGCTCATAAGAAGAAGAAATACTTCTCTTCCATGTCATTACCTTTTTCCATTTTTCGATCTCGAATGTACAGGGCTCGAGGTGTTGGTGATCTTGGAGGGTGCACGGAAGGTGCCATTAAGTTGGATACTGTAGGTGGAAAAAGCTCGGTGGCAACCGTCGCTTAGCGCCATCGCTCCTTCTTCAAGTTCGGACCCTTTGATGTGCAGGAGTTATTGGAATATTCAGGTAGCAAGTACAGTTGACTTTTAAATGCTAGGAGGTATGATCAGGCATAGACTTTTCATTTCTTAGTTCTTCTTCCTTCTTACTTTCTAGTTGAGTGACCGCGAGGCATGACTCTATTATCCGCACTGTAGATTCGATCTCCTGTATTCAACCAGGTTCGTGACTTGGGTAAGTCTCTATTCCACGAGACACGTCGAGCTCTCGCTCTTGCCCTCTGCACTCGCCATCAATCTTGCACCCGGCCAGCTGCCTCTTGCCTTCTTTCTTGCACATCGTGTCTCCCATTCTGAGAAGAGAACCTACACCACAAACTCTCTTATGTAGCCCATTCTCTCAAACGGGCCTATGCTCGCACCCCATATCTGTACCCATATCCATATTCCATATCCATATCCGCATTTATTCCTGGCCGCTCTTCAGCTAGCGTACACGTAAAATTCTGAAAGATGTCTCAAAAATGAAAACCTGATACTGATGTGACTCAAAGGACGACCGGCCGGTAGTGATGTGATGGTATCATAACGTCAAAACAAACGATAAAAAAATCAAAAGATTGGCTGTGAGCATACCACAGCTTGTGCCGTGGCAAAAGACAAAACAAAAGACATAAACTGAAGATCAAAAGTGTCGTCGGAGAGAAAACTCCAGCAAGTTTGCCCGCTGGAAAGTCCCAGTACAACTGCAAAGATGCTGCTTCAGACAATGATCATCGCACACAAATGAGCACCTCAACTCTGAGTTCGCTGAACCATGAAATGCGTGGCGTGATGTGCATGATATAAATCAGAATGCTGTGCTTGCGCTTCTTCTTCTTCTTCTTCTTCTTCTTCTTCTTCTTCTTCTTCTTCTTCTTCTTCTTCTTCTTCTTCTCTAAGTTAGAATCCACTCAGAACCACGCTTGACAAATTTGTCGAGCATTAATGTCAAATCCGCCATGACAAAGCGGATGATATAGAAGGCGAAGAACTCTGCCGCGTTCTTTACACCTAGTTCGAGACCCACTTGGGTCTTGCTGCTGCATTTCAGACCTGGATCTTCGACTTGACGGGCAATTCCATCTAGAACCTGGGCAGCATCAAAAAGTCGTGCTAAGCTCGACATATAACTAGCATGTAAGGGTACAATATTGCTTAGCATGCTTGGAGTAGGAGGTGGAGCAATCTTGCGGCTAGCGTGAGATCGAGATGATGGAACAGACGAAGACGACGTCATCGGTAAGGATTGCAGATTTGACCCAGACGAGCTGTCCTTCTGTCCGCCTTGATTGCCAATTGCAGGTGTACTCGACTTGGAGCGCAACTTTCTCCAGCTCGAAGCCAAAGTTTTGGCAGCTGTGTGGTTTGGCTTATTCGCTACTGGATCTTGTTCCTCCCCAATGCCTTTGAAAAGACTTGATGAACCTGAGAGTCCAACGTCATTGCCGATCTTCTTCTGTAGGGTATTCCGAACCTGATCAAGGACCATCTCAAAAGATTGTAGCTCGTCCAAGACTGCATCTGCGTCAAATGTATCCACCTTGGCAACCTTCAACAAAGCTGCCGTCAGAAGATCACACTGAAAGACCTTATCTTCAAGGGCCTTCAGCTTGATATTCCGCACTCGCCAGATATCGCGTGGGATGAATAGCCGCGTTGTAAGGTATCCTCCTCTTGGGTGAGCCAGTGTCTGATAAAGACACCGCATCAACCAAAAAGGTCTCAACAAGGAAGATTCAGGACAAGGTTCAAGTGGAAGAGGTGCAGGACCAGAGATATCACCGACGGGGCTCCCAGGGACTTCAGTTGAGACACCGGGGCCGGTATGGTCTTCGAACAAATAGTATCCACCTGCTTGCAGCAAATGTGGTCCGAACGCACCACTGCCTGGCGTGGGCAGAGCTGCCGACGGCAGAGGAGGGACGATCTTTTTGCTATCCCCAGTGAAGCTCGCACTCAAAGGTGTAACGGGAGATTCACCGGTTGTATCTGTAGTTGCAACAGACAGATTCCGCATTCGTAAACTAGACGATGACAGATTCTTTTTCACTGCTGGTGGGGGCATGATCTTTCCTGGAAATTGTTTCCCAGGAGACGGTGGCTGGTGGTTTGTATCATCAATACTACCCTGAGATCCTCCTTGTGTCAAGGCAGGGGTTACTGGAGATTCGCTAACAGCAGAGTCCGCTGATGGTACGGATGTCATAGGCGTGATTGGAAGCATGCCGCCTGATAAGAAAGACAGTGAGCTGTCCAAGGGTGCTGTCTGTGGCAGCCTCAGCTGATCACTCTGTGCATCCTGTGTCGATTTGGATTGTGCTGGTGCTGTTGGCTTCGGAGGCAAAGTCGTTGAGTTGCGCCGAGCAAAAGTTTCTATCTTAAGCTGACTGCTACTTTGACCCGAAAATCTCCTTTCTCGGATCCCCAAACCAGCATATTTTTCGATACTGACGGGTCGACTATCAGCCTTTGGTATTGGTAATGTAGGTGCGGGTGGTAGAGCAACTGTTGGGGGCGCAGTGATTGGTGAATTCTTGGCAGGTGGTATAGGGCGAGGAGATTGTTCAGGTGCAGGTTCATATATTTCGGCAAGAGTACTTAGCGTAGAAACGTTTGTGTTTGTTGTAGAAGGTATAGAATCGGACCAGGTTCTGCCAGACGTATTACTCGAATCCGACTGTCGGGGAAGTGCCGATTTGGATTTGTTGTCGAAGGAGAAATCATCAAAGACATAACCTCTGGTCATCTCTTCCAACAATCTTTCTTCTTCCTCTGACGAGTTGCCCTCGTCATATTCTTGTGTTAGTTCCAGGTTAGAGAGCAGACTTCGAGGAAGAGTGGATGTCTCAACCTGCGGGAGCTGAGGTAAACTGAAATCAGGCGGAAAGTCGTCACTCTTGTCAGGTCTCGGTGTGGATTCATCTGCAATGTTGTCATCCCATGCAGCATCAACAGCAGCGTTGAGGGCGGCATCAAATTCGGCTTCGATCTCATCGACCAAATTATGACCATCGGGGATGATTCCAAAGTCAATTGAAGACAATCGAGATGATCTGGTCGACGACTCTCCATCCTCAAATGTATCCAGCCATGAGGTAGACTCGGTTGTACTATCCTCGCGGGATTGAATAACCCGGGTTGTAACATCCGCTGGCCTTTGAGTGGCAAGAGGTGTATCAGTGTCCCTATCAGCGACTGGACTCAATGGTCTGCGAGGAGACAGAGGTGGAGGCATATACTGCGACTCCATTGGCACGGACAGACTAGGTATCTGTATCCTATGGCGTGCGTTCTGTTCCGGTAGGTATGATTCTCCGCCGAACAGTTCAGGCAGTAATGATTCTTGCCGAGGCGGGATTTGTACTGTCTCCAGGACTCCGGCAGTATCTTGCTCATTGCCGTCACTGGAGAAGAAGGACTGGTTGGTATCATCAAAGGGCGGATCTTCTGGTAGAGCTTTCTCCATGAGGCCAGAGAAGGTATCATCGAGATCGTGCAACTCTGCTATTCGATTCGAATAGGTACTTCTAATAGCGGACAGCTTCTTCCGGTCATCGAGATCTGAACTCCGAACCAACACCTGCTGAAGAAGCTCACAAGCTTCGTGGTATGCTTCGATAGCACCATCGATATTCTGGGCATTATCTAACAGCACGGCTGAATTGGCTTTGGCAAGAGCCTTGGACAACATGGTTTTTTGAGTTGGGCTTCGATGGCTTCTCCCCCGTGTTGGAGCATTGGAGGCAGCGAGCGACTCATCCGAAGTACCAGGTCGGTTTTCTCGAGTGCTGGGGCGCACAGTCTGTGAGGCTGGTTGGGAAGCGAAGGTATCGTCTCTGCTTATTGATGAAATACCCGATCTCATGTAATGTACTGACATAGCCACAGGTTCACCATTCTTGCCCATCTTCCGGGTCTGCCATGTATCACCACCAAAGTATTCTCCTGCACTCGTATTGAACATCGAAGTTGGGGTCAAGGGCGAGACCCCACCGGGGCTGGCATCGCGGCCATTTTGTCCACGACCAGGTGGCAGAAGTCCAGACGCCGAGTTGAGCTTGCGGTGAGGGCTTTGACTATCTGCTCTGGAGAACTGGGAGAAGTGGTTTCGATCTGGGGGTGGCAGACCCGCCACTAAAGATGGACCTATACTCATTCGTCTGGACGTATTTGCGCGAGTCCGAATGGCTTCTGTATCGATAGCAGACACACTAGAGGAAGTTGAATGCGACCAACGGTTGATATTGAGGTTCGGGTTCGGGTTTAATGTCTTGGTCTCGTATTGATTGTCGGGTCGACTTGTCGACCTACTTCTGTCGTGTCGCGTATAGCTGGTATTTTGGAGGAACCGATCAGGACTACTGGGCCTTTGATTTAATGCATTTCGGGGTGTCGATCTTACCGACACAGAAGAAGATTTCTTCACCACCTGTGCCGACGACGAGGTGGAGCTAGACCTTGCGGCTCTCCTATTGTAAGTACTGTTCAGGCCGATGGGTGGGCTCATTCTTCTGGAGGAGTCGATGACGCTGATTGGCACAGTCCAAGACGGGGATTAGGCCTGTCGAAGGGACCGCACCTCGACGTCCTGGAAGACGCAAGATCCAGGCAGTACTCGGTACAAAGGATAGTGGTGCGAACTGAGGGTACACTGCAGATGACGATAGATGACTGCAGATGGAAGAGAGAGGCTTCAACGGTGATGCAGTCTTGCCGCTAATGGCTGTACCTGCAGATGTCTTGGATCAGTCGTACAAGTGATTGGCGAATGGATGTCAGCAGGCGAAATGCAGGACCGGGCTGAATTGAAATGCAAATCAGCGTCAGCTGGGGTGCGGCTGATGGAGATATGCAGCGTCGGCGTTTAAGCCTGATCAACAGATACCGAGGATGAGAGAATCACCCGGTGCTGCGTGACGAATTCGATTTGTAGAGGGGGGACAGTATAGGGACGTGGACGACGTGTTCCTGCGCATCAAAGATGAACTTGAAACTCCATTGGTACCAGAGCATGATTTGATTGAAATCAGCCTGACATCGTGGCAACCATGGGTCTTTTAGTATCCTAGCTCATGCCGTTGGTTCTTTATTATACTTTGAGTGGTGTTTTCGTGGATGCTCGATGCTCAGGAAGTGCTAAATGTTGACAGACTGCGATGATTGTGCAACGAGTCGACGTGGAGGCTCACGCTCGATTAGGATCGCTTAGAGTGCGACAGACCTCAGCAGTGGCCAGGGATGTTCTCGAGCAAGTAAGGGTCAAACGTTTTTGTCCAGGTAGCACCCCTTGAGTGGAAGGAGTGATTGCAGACTTGAGGGTGATATCGAGCGGTAGAGGAGAGTTCGAAGATGGAACTGCGAGAGATCTGGGTTTCGCAGACCTGTAGCTGCAAATGCAAGTCGTCGAGGGGTTCCAGGCGCGGTCAATTGTGTCGACTAAACAGGGTACGGAGTACGGAGAATGGAACGAAGGAGGTGCCAGTAGTCGGTGAGCAGGGTCTCCGAGAATGGAAAGGGAATATCTTAGGAGCTGAGGTCAGGCAGACAATAGCCTGAGGGTGAAACGGGGGCGGAGTAGGGTTGGTGAAAGTGAAGAATGAATCAAGCAAGTCAACACCGTCAACTGGGTATTACTTGGGAGGTGGTTGACTATCAATGTCGAGTCGTGTCGAGTCCGCGTCGTGTTGTGAGGGTGGTGTAGATGTGAGATGGTTATTATTTGCTCATATCACGACAATAATGAGTCGAGTGCTCGTGCAAAGCCGGCAGGTGCAGGTGCAGGTGCATCGTCGGTGGGCTGCTGCCGCCGCAAGCACTGGGCAGTATCAACCAGTCCCTACTACCTAGACTATCCGTCCGAGGGCTACGAGCCTACGACTCCCGTCCCCCGCCGTGCCTTTGGCGCCCGAACCAGTGCCTGAGCGAGCACTATGAGCCTTTAACGCTGGTGGTACGGGTACCTGAGAGCATACGCAAGGTGGCCTGTGGGCGCCAGGAGAAAAGACCGCCTCCATGCCGAGAAGGTGTCTAGCATGGATTCTAGGCAGCGACGCTATCCCCTATCAAGCCGACATCCAAGCCACCAGAAAACCAGCAACCCCTGATCACCTCTCCAACAACACTTCCACCGTCCACCCCTTGGTATGGTTTCTTCTTGTTCGTGCACATCTTCTCGTGTTCTGTGTGCCATGCCATGTGTGCCCGAATATCCATTCTCGTAAATCTACACGTCTTCTCAACATCTAGCGTGATCATCAATTTGACGCCTCTTGGAGAAACCCCAATCAATTAGCTATATCGTAACTTGGGACGCGTCGCCTTTCGAAATCAGACATCTCACACTCAACCTTACCTCTTACGCGAATCCAACGGGAACTCGGTAACCGTGTAGTCGTTCTGCTCTAACTTCAGGCTCCCAAGTGCCGAAACTCTCCAGGTCCAGCGCTTCGTGATTCTCATCCACGGCGACCGACTTTTCTAGCTATTTAATTGTGAGGAGACGCCGTCTTCGCTCTTACCTGTTAATCTTGTTCCACAGGACCTTATCATTGAAAGACTATGGGAGTGGTGGTTTGCCCAGGTCTTGGTGCTGCTCGTTGTCTCCCTGATACGGCTGGCTACATGCATCATTTTCGCCCACCCTCGTACCTGACTTCGTTTCTCCTGAGGGGAAAAGCCCCTGGATCCCTGCCAAAACGAGTTGAAGGCCCATGTCCTCCTGCAGCCTCTTCCGCAGGGGATCTTCTCGGGTTATGTAAGAAGCTCCCCCAGGACCCAAAACCACTCGTAATTCCGGCATGGCTCATAGGGCAGAAGGCAAAAACGGATCGAAGATTGTAAACCATATATCCGCCTCTGTAGATCCGTGTTCGTGTTCGCACGCCCGTCCCTAGAAGCAAAAGTAGAATCATTCATTTTCAATAGTCTCAATCAGAATCACGAATACGAGAAGAAACCACGTCTTCACCAAGTTTCCAGTACTTCGTAAGTGATGACAAGTCTCCCCGGGCCCATGAAACAATAGCTCAACCAACAGCGCGTCGCGTCGCTCCTCTTTTTCTCGTATAAAGGGCATTCCACTTCCTCGTGGCCAAAACAACACGGGCCACATACTCTGGGGTCTTTCGTCGCTGTCCCGAAGCTGCCTACCTGGTCATGATCAGAAAGTGATCCGTGACCCGTCTCTTTTGACAGATTTGAAGGGCGGCAGTAGCCACCGTGTCGATGGACCGTGAAGATCTAACGGGAAAGGTCAATAATGGGGTGGTCAGCGCAACCGATCTCTGAATCTTCAATTAGTATTCATGTGTGGGTGTTGCCAAGATAGCAAGTCGTCCGCATCTAATCTGCATGTCGCCATTGTCGCACTACAACCATGCCTACATCCCTCTCCGTACCTCGACAGATAGCGTATACCAAATGCGAATACCCAAGACAATGAACGCATGACAAATAGAGTTTGGTGGAAAACAGGGTCTTCGGGTTCTTCGAGTTCTAGAAGTTGGGACGAGGCGGACCCTTTTTCGGCCCTGAACCATGGCACAGCATACCGATGCTCCCTCGCACCCATAGCACCAGGACTTTGCGTCACGTAGAGATCTGTCGTGTGACACTTCTAGGACATACAGATATGCGTCGTAGTGGGCATGTACATATCTGCAAACTATCCGAAAATGAAAAGTGCCTATCAAACCAGTGACAACGCATCTACTTACACCCCTTCGTTGGCGTGCAACAGAGAATATATTGATTCAATAAACATCTGCTTTGTTTGTTGCACATGGGACTCGATGATTGTGTACGAGTAGTTGGGCCTCTTATCGGGTTTCCCCCAACGAACAATCAAACTAGTGGTCCCTAGCCTCCAGTTCTTGATGTTTGCCTGCTCCATACTAGATAGTGGACACGAGTTCTCGTCACGGTCCCCAAATCACTAGTATCGACACCAAGTCCAACCATCGGGTTTCGATGACCTAGTTACAACCGTGAGTCGTGACTCCAAACTCCCTGACATCCGCCCATGCCAAGTATGTAGATACCTAGGTACCTAACCTATGTACATCCCCTATCACCCCTCCATCCACCAGTGACTCAGTGAGGGCATGCATCAATGCCCACTCCTCAAGTCCGCGAAACTACTATCAGGGGTTCTTTCCTTGGTCGGAGTCCTAAACCCACTCGGGGTTTCGGGACGACTCTTGTTATCCCTATCCTGCATGTTGAGGCTAACATTCTCCCGGAACGCGACATATTGACTGTCGGCGTAGCCCAGCACGCCGATGATGTCGGAGCTGCGCAGGCCTTTGATGCGCGCGACCTCGGCCGACGAGTAATTGACGACGGCGCGCCCGATCTCCTCGCCGCGCGACACCAGCTGCATGGCCGTGGAGCTGGAGTCGCCCGTGGGCGAGAGCGAGCCCAGTGGCAGCTTGTCAACAACCACCAGCCGCACCGCTTCCTGCTGGGCGAATGTTCCTTCCACGTTGACGATGCCCACGGGGAGGAGGCCCGCTTTGTTGATCAGTGCGTTCGACGCGCCTCGGTCGATGTAGATGGTCCCGTGCGGCGCCAGGCCGTGCAGGATCCAGAAGGCGCGGTTGCGGATGGGTGAGGCCGAGGGGATGAAGCGTGTGTGTAGAGGTGCGGGTGTTGGTGGCTGTGGACTGCCTGTGTCTGGGTCTATAGGTGGGTGGAGGTGGCGGATGATGGCGGCGATGTTGCCTGGTTTGGAGGATTTGGTGATGATGGTTGAGGTCCCTGCCGCGGTGGCGAGGCGTGCAGCGACGATTTTGGTCGCCATGCCACCTGTGCCTAGTGCTGAGCCGGCAGAGGAGACATCGGCTTGGAGGGTGTCGATATCCTCGACTATCTCGATCGGTTTCGCGTCGGGGAATTTTCGTGGGTTCCTTTCGTAGAGTGCTTCGACGTCGGTCATCAGGAAGAGATAGTCGGCGTGGACCATTGCGGAGGTGATGGCTGAAAGTGTGTCGTTGTCTCCGAACTTGATTTCTGAGACGGCGAGGGTGTCGTTCTCGTTGACAATGGGTATCACACCAAACGAGAGCGTTTCTGCCAGTGTATTCTGAGCATTCAGATATTGCACTCTGTCGGCAATATCATTTCTTGTGAGTAATATCTGAGCAACAGGCTGATTCATGTGTGCGAACAGTGAGTCCCATATCGACATCAGTCTCGATTGACCGATAGCAGCAAGAGCCTTTGAAGGGAGTTCCCTGTTAGTCTCCAGTCCCTTTTCCACTGGCTGGAACCTGATCATACCTGAATCTGAGCAAGATGTTTCGGCTTCTTGGCCATGTTCATCCTCTGCAGTCCAACGCCAATCGCCCCGGACGAGACAATGACCACCCTATGGCCATCGCGACGTAATTTGATAGCCGTCTCGACTATCAACGACAAAATAGACAAGATCGGCTCATGGGTCGTCTCATCAACGATTGAAGAAGTTCCTATCACGATAGTAAGCCTTGCTGGCCGCAACCTGCAGATCAATGGCATCGTGTACCGATTTTTATGACAATAGTCAAATGCTTGACGGGCCTCATCTTTGCTCTTCTCTGTGATAGTTATAGGACTGAGCGACCAGTACTAAACGCTGCCGTGATTCATGCAATGAGGTCAACAATCCTCTCATTTTTGGAGATTTCCAAGAATCCAAAAGAATATTCTCGGGCGAGTTTTATGCACGCCCTTCGAGAGACTCAAGCGTTCATGACTCGACTCAAGGTATGAGGAGCTGAAGGGTTTGGCACCGGGTTATATATCCTCTTGACCGCTCTTGTCGAGAGTTGTCAATAGTTAGGTAACTATGCTAGTTTTGACCTTTTCAAGATATTGGATCCTTGTTGACTCTCCACGAATTAAACCATCGATCGACTTTTTGATGTTGGAGTCATGCACCGCGGGGCTTGGCACTGAAAGACACGTCTAGCAACAGCCAAAGGATTCATGAGATGACCAGTAGTAAGATCTGAATGATTGGGGTCAGTGTAGAGTTGGTATATTCAGCTGCTATGTCACTCGTCAAGCCATGAAACCATCGGCCGTCCCTTATCCTCTACAACTGCCTCATCGACGAAATTTACTTGAGATTAAAGCGGCGTCATTTTCGATCCGAATAGCCAACTAGCATCATTTTCACCAAAGTCCTCATCCGGCTTCGTCCAGTATAAACGGAATTTCCACCTCGTTACCTGCACTCAAATCTTTGTGTCCATCCATCCTCTTCGCCACTTCACCTCCACATATATCCATCATGGCGGAAGCCAACTCGTCCAACCCCAACACCAGCACCAGCACCAGCAGCGACACCACTACCACGCCGGCCCAACATGGCTGGAACGGCAGCGCCTTCCTCCCCAGCGACAGCTGGCTGAACCGGACGAAGAACTTCTACCGAATGGCAACGAGCCAGATGAGCGCGGCGGGCGCAGAGCAATACTGGTGGGACAGTGACCAACGGACCAGCGGGTTCGACTGCGCACGGTGCGAGAAGAACCGGGACGAACTGCTGAAAACCTCCCCGATCATCGTCTACATGCGCCACAACATCGCACAGCTCGGCGGAAACCTCGGCGCACACAATATCCGGTGCAGAACGTGTCCGGAGAAGGCGGAGGGCGGGTTCGACCACGAGTACGGCATTAGGATCTGTGCGAATTACGTGGGCACCAAGAAGAAACTCGAGGATGTCATGGCTCATGAGATGGTGCATGCTTATGACCATCTCCGGTTTAAGACGAATTTGGACCGCGATTCCGATTTGCGGCACTCGGCATGCTCTGAGGTGAGATCCTGATGACTGTGTTTTGTGGTAAGCTTCTCGGAATGCTGATTTGATGCGTCTGGACAGATCCGAGCCAGCAATTTGAGCGGAGAGTGTCGATGGGCCAACGAATTCTTCAAGAATGGTTTCATGAAATTGACCAACCATCATCAAGAGTGTGTTCGACGTAGGGCTGTCCTCTCGGTCATGGCCCGTCCCAATTGTAAAGACGATGTCGAGGCAGTCAAAGTGGTGAACGAGGTATGGGACAGTTGTTTCACAGACACTCGACCATTCGACGAGATATATCGATGAGAGCGATGTTCTCATTTTAAAATAATCTACATCTAGACAGCGTGGCGTTGGCGGCGTTTTATCCTCTTGGGGCCCATCTCGAGGGGGCATCCGATATGTGACAACAATGATCCAGAACTCCTTTCTTCCAAAGATCCTACTCTTTGATATCTCCAAACTCCGGCATAATGCAATTTCATGAATCAAAGGCAGAAGCCGACTTGAATCAATCTTTCCATCGGTTCATAAACTTTTGCGCCGGGGCGTCTGATGGTGGAGGGTTCGCCGGAATCTGTGTCATGTTAGTGATTGCCAGTCATACATGGAAATGAAAAGATTACCGTAGGTTCTATACTGACTGTCGAAAAGGTCAATGGGGCCGTGTTGGTGGTGATGGCATTCGGAGTGCCAGCAATCTTTTTGTAGACTGTATATGCACTGGTGGGATATTGTGGTGAAGCGTTCTTTGCAGTGATCTTGGTTTGAGCCATGGGTGGCATAGGAGCATATCGTATCGTACCACTCTGCATGGTATAAGGAGTATTGTAGATAGGGTCATCGGCAGCTGGAGCTGGGGCGACAGGGTTGGCAGCAGGTTGACCGGCGACTATGTTATTGACATCGGCCGGGCCTGCAGTACCAGTGACTGTCCTCAGACCTGTGATGACGGAGGCGGGAAAGGTACCAGTCATGCTGGACAAGGTAAATCGATCGGAATAGTTGATCACCGTGCCTCCTGTCGCGGCCGAAATAAATTTTAAAAAGTAGGCGTTCGCAGTTGTTCCTCCCCATCCAGCGGTAAGAGGAACAGTGACTTTATTTCCATCTGCAAAATCACCCGTGGTCACTAGAGTTGCTAGTTGTATCTGGTGGCTGTCAGCAATATGGCCTCGTGAGGGGTGTTCAGGTTGAGGTGCGCACAAAATTGGCATCGGTGTTTCCTCCTGCACATAAAAAGACCTGATATGAAGCAAGATCTGCGAGTTTGGGGGTCTTGCCAGAGTCCTTCCATGCTATCTCCAGACTTAGACCAGTAATGGTGTCGCCGGGCGCAGGTGAAGTGACTGAGACATCTGCGAAGGTAAAGGAGAAGAGGCTGGCGGTTGCGAGGATGAAGAAGGGTCGTAAAATCATGGTGCGAGTATATAACTTTGAGAAGAGGGAGGAGAAAGAATGGAGTTGTCGTCAGGAGGTCGTGGTGATCAAGGATAACTGCAGTCTTGTAAATCTGACGAGGCTCATGCTGAGGCGTTCCTTACTCCGTATGCAGTTGCTTGGAATAGTATCAAGACGCAAAAACGGTGCAAGTACCTCCGTTATGTGATGCCAAGTCCAGCTAGATCATATGACACTAACCAGATTCATCAAGATGCCATCATGGACTTCCCGAAGCTAGCAAAATCTCTCTATAGGGACTACCTAGGTACCGCACTACTCGTACCTACATGTTCGACAAGTGCCTCAGATCGTCTTCTAGTGCCTACTTTCTTAGATAATATTCTACTAAGCTGCTATGCAACTTCCAACAGCCTGGGCACTTACGCCCGAGCTTTCAAGCTTTAAACGGTCATTCCACAGTTTCCAGGCGATCCAAGGAAGGTGCCCAACAGATATGTAGTTCCGCGAGCGAACACGAGATGCTGACCCCCTGTACGTTATAAAATAACAGCCCATGAGCTTTATCAGAGGGTTCATCTCTGTAATTGGAGTTGCTGCTGCCTCACTTGACTTACTTGAGAGGTTTCCTGCCCAGATATGGTGGATGACTACACTTTGGAAAACTTCGTTGATCTTTCGAAATCTTTTGCCGATTTGCTCTCCACTTTCTTCCCTCATGCTGATGATCCACGCTCTGATGAATATCTTGACACATTCGCAGAGGATGCGAAACTGGTCTTTGGCCCAACACCAGCCGTGGGCAAGGAAACTATTCGTGCAGGGCGTTAAAGTTCGCTGAATGCGGAAGCTGGCCCTTGCTGGCCCAGCGACATCGGCTAGGCGAGGTCTTTTTGCGTACTAGTGGTGTCAGCGAGTCGCCCTCGGACAAGCAGGAGGTTGTCTCCAATGAGCAGTCTCTTACTGGCTTAAATTAGGTGTACAGGTTGATGGTAGCTAGGTTAACTGGGTCGTCTTCAAGGACCAGGGCTAGGGTGATTGGCGGGCGGTATTTTATCAAGTATACTTAAGCACGTCTGAACTTTTTGACGCTATCAACGAGATGATGGTTCATGGTCAGGGAGACGGGCAGTCAAACATGTGAAGCTAGTATCCAGAGAGGGCTTCTCATCTGTTGTGTAATGCTCATGTCTCTCTGCGCATGAACTTAGCGTCCGGCAAGGTGCCCTCTCCCTAGGCACCTGAAATGAGCATGCAACATCGAAGGGTATGCACTAGAACAGTGACCCTGAAAGCAGCCGTAAAACTATTTGCGCGAAGTAGACAAACTTCCTAGAGTCGTCCCAGCCGTGCTCAAACCAGCAACCTCATATACGGCGAGTGTAGTATGAGAACATGGCCTAAAGGAGATCTTTGAAAGTGAAGAGCGTGACAAAGGTGGACTCAGCACCAGCCTAGAGATCATCGCGTCGCCTTGCAAAATAGTAATTCCGCTCTATCAAGACTCTGATTTTGTATCGAAGAGAATTCCTATATGGTAATGCTAGACATAGTAGATTTATCCTCCTTCAATCCTCGTTCAAAGATCCTCTCAGACCTTTTCCCTCTCAAACGCCGACCCTCGCTTACTTGAGTCATTTTGGGATGGATTTGCCTCCTTTGCTACCTTGATCATGTCCCGTCTCCATAACAGTGCCACATGGATAAGGGGTAACAGTCCAACAAGTCCCGCGTTTAATCGACGCACCCAGGAGCTGAAATATTGACCGGAATCGGTTAGCGACGAATCGCCCCTGGTCGCTCGGGTATTCTGAACTCAAGTCTTTGGGGAGTCTAGGGAGCTCATCAACGCTCACAGCAAAGCTCTCAATACCAATGATGATGACAAGGATCATGGTAATGTGAAGAACGGTGGTCCGCAAGTATGGGATGGCGCACGCTGAATACATGTTTTTGTCGTGGAAATTCAGAAACTGCCAGACTGTGACGGTCGGAATGAGCCGCCTTCGATGATGATAACTCTAGCACGCCCCATAAGACTGGATCGATGACCTCGCAACCACCAAAGATACTATAGTTGTCGAGATCGTTATACTTCCTAGGCAAGTCCTTGTATTGTATGTTGTGGTGTGGGCGAGAGTCCGGGAATCAGAGTCTACCAAACCATGGCATTCTTGCACTATGTCCTACTGGCGTTGATAGCGGCCATTACGGCCTACCGCCTATTTATCTACCCGGCTTTTCTCTCGCCGTTGGCCAAAATACCCACTGCGCACTGGTCTTGCAGCTTCAGCAATATATGGATTCTCTGGTCGCGATGGAGGCAATGCGAGAACAGGAAGGTCTACGGAGGGCATATGGCCAAGGGCCCGGTGCTCCGACTGGGGCCGAACCTTTTGAGCGTGAATTGCTTCGAGGGAGGTTTGAAGACGATCTATCAGGGAGCTTTCCCCAAGCCTTCCTGGTACTACCATGGGTTCGCGGTATACGGGTCAGTATATCACCATTCAGTCAAGCGCATGCGCGTGCTAGCTGATGCTCTAACCACATTCTGTTACAGGGTTGGCAACTTGTTCACCATCCAGGATAATGAAACTCATTCGATCCACAAACGTATGATTTCTCATACATTCTCCAAATCATTTGTTATGGCTTCCGAAACGGCCCATGTGGCTATGAGAGACGTCCTCTTCAACAAAGTCCTTCCGCTCATGCACACAGCTGCATCCACCGGGAGGCCAATAGAAATAATCGAGTTCAATTACTCCTATTTCTTGGACACTTTTGTCCAGTGGCAGTTCGGACGCTCTCTGCGAAGTAATCTTGTGGAGGATGAGCAGGAAAGGAGGATGTATCTAGACGGATTTTTCGGAATTTCGCATTACACGTTCTGGCAGTATTACTTCCCCAAGCTCTCGAGTGGGCTACGTAAAGTTGGAATCTATCTTATCCCCCAATGGGTGGACATTGGCTTCCAGAAGGTGGAAGATTGGAACCTCGACAAATGTGACCGCGCACAACAGCTCCTAGCTTCTGGTGAGGCGATCGCGCCAGAGGACTATCCGGTCGTTTTTGAGCAGATGCTCAAAGGAGCAAGTAACCTCAATTCCAAGCCGAAAGATTATCCAAGGCGTCTGGAAATTGCGAGCGATATGTTCTCATTGAATTCAGGTGCTTTCGAAACGAGCGGGAACAGCTCAACTTACATATTCTACGAACTGAGCAGACATCCGGAATGGCAGGCGCGGCTCTGCGAGGAGCTGCTGAACCTCAAGCCGTCAATGAAACATGTCGAAGAACGGGATATTCAACTGGAGGATATTCCACGACCTCATGATATAGACGAGCTACCGATCCTCCACGCCGTTGTCATGGAGACTCTACGACTATGGCCATCCGTTCCAGGTGGCCAGCCTCGGGTCGTTCCCACGTCTTGCACACTCGGAGGGTTCGACAACATTCCATCGGGAACAGTCGTGCAGTCGTATGCTTCGGTCCTGCACCGGACGCCAGAAGTCTTTCCCGAGCCGCACGTGTGGAAGCCTGAGCGGTGGCTCGAAGCCACCTCCGACCAAAGAGCTCTGATGAACCGCTGGTTCTGGGGGTTCGGTAGTGGCGGTCGAGGCTGCATTGGCAAGAATTTTGCCATGAACTGTGAGTAATCTCCCTGTGAAAGAAAAACTCCTGGTCTTTTAATTGTCCCTCAGAGGCACACATCTGACTGCTTCTTTTCACTCCAGCTATCAAATATCTCCTCGCGGCTGTGTACGCAAACTTCACCACCAAGATCCACGACCATGGAGATATGACCCCGGTTGACAACTACTTGGCAGGGCCGAAAGGAACCAGACTGGAAATTACATTTCATTTAGTGAAATGAGGTGTATTGGAGGCCAATGATGCTTTGATTCCTGAGAACGACCTGCAGAGTCCAAATCTAGAAAGCAAGTTTGTACAAGTGTGACTGCGTGGAGAGGACAGAGCTTCGGCGCCTGGAACGGTGTCGCAGATCCATACAAGCAATGTGAAAAGCCAATGATTTGTTCTACTTTATCTGAAGATACATGATAGCCACTGAACAAAGTATCGTTCGTTCCACTGCAATACACAGCCTTTGCAGAGATTCCATGGCACAAGTCGCTTCCGAAAGACTTTCTACCAAGTCAACCTCCAGTCAAGCGTGCCGTCCCATCGCCTTCCGAACATCGAAGCCCTGGATTTGACCTTTTTGGAATCGATCCACCATTTCACCAAAAGTGCACCACTCGACGCCTTCGAACTGATTGAGCCACTCTATGATACGTCGATGCATCTGCAAGACCTGTGGTTTCCCGCTGATCTGTGGATGGATACTTAGGGGGAATACAAACTCGTCGTACTCGGCATAGCAATACTCGAAGTGGTCCTTCCACATCCTCTCGAGCACATGAGGGTCTACGAAGCCATCGCTGCCGCCGTCGCCGGCGGCGAACGGAGGCCAGTCGTCAAGATGCCAGTTCGCGGGCACGGTAACGAGGGAGGATAGCTCTGGTACGGCCATGGGCGTCATCCAGTCAGCAGCCAAGCAGTCTTCGTATTTGTACGTTGTGGACTTAGCGACGTAGGACGAATAGGGGGTTCTGTAAAGCATACAATCATGGTGCATGAATGAATGGTCGTACGCGATGTCAAATTCCTCCAGTAGATGTACCGTCCGCATCGATGTCGTCCAGGCAGGTGCTGTCCAGCCAAGACGCCCCTTGACTCCCAGAGTCGACAGTACCGCAATAGACTTGGCCAATACGTCGCGTTCTTGTTGCTCGGACAGCTGGGACACGTACTCATGGCTGTAACCGTGGAGACCTCTGGCCATGGTAGCAGATGACTTAGCATTCATTAAGCACGCAAAAGAATTGCGTTCGGGAAAATTTTTAATGGTCCGGGACATAATCGAGTCATACTTACATTTCATGCTTGTCATCCAAGATCTTCAACATCTGGGATGGAAAGGTCTCCGCCGTGTGAGCTGGAACATACCACGAGGCCTTGATACCGTACTTTGCGAACAGCTTCAGCAATCGGTCGACCCCGATTGTGGCTCCGAATATGCCTCGGGAAATCTCGACAGGATCCGCTGGGGAGCCATCTTTGGTGTCAATCCTTTGTACAGGTCAATACAGTTTTGATAGATTTTGACGAGGCAAAACAGTCAGAAGGACGAAGGGAGACTTACCAGCCTGCTACAGCATCAAGATCAATGCCATATCCTACGAGGACTTTCTTCATGTTGTGAAAACTTTGATACAAATTACCGCTTTCTCTACTTCTTCATCTATCAGAGTTCTGGATTTTCTATTGACTTAGGAGGCACAAGATGTTTTGAGCTGGATTCAATCAGTGAATCATTCGCATGATGGAAACCCTCGTCTGCTTGTCCAAAAAGTATTGGTCGGACGGAGTGGAGAGATCTAGAACCAACACTATTTGGCTTCATGGAGTCTCCATGGTTGTGCGCTAGTTACTAAAGAACTGAGAAGCTTATCAGCCTGCCTATTCGAGAAATTCGACGCGCAAACAGGGACGAACTTTGGTCAAGGTTTGGTTCGCTTACGACTCTGCCACAGATGCTCGACACAATTTTAAACATCACTGCGTATGCGTAAATTGCTGGAACTTGTCTTAGAGCATCCGTACATACTGTCCAACAGCCGCTATGGATGCGCCAACAGCCATTGAATGTAACGATCCTCCTTCAGCCTAACATAGTAGTCAGGTCGCAAATTTCGCCTATCCAGTATGCTCGAAATCACCTGCACGGGCTCACCTGTAGAGATTGGTCGTCAGCATGGTGAGGCGGCATCCCAGCAGGTGGCTGGAAGCCTTGCCTTCTACAGGCGGCTGTTTGAGAAGTACACAGGCAAGCCGTGGGACGAAGTGCACTCAGTGGCAAAGGGGTTTGCGACACACATCGCCCAGACATGGTCGGCATACTACGAAGAAATGGAGGGAGTTGCATGGGGGTCTGGTCAAAGCACGCTCGACATCGTCGCCCTCAATGTCAGGTCCGAGATTATGTTTGGGCTCATGAACGACCAAACAAGCCGCGCCCGGACTGATGGCTGCACGACGGTCGTCTTGAAGCCCACGTCGACTAAGTGCTTCATGGGTCAAAACTGGGATTGGATGGAAGAGCAGAAGGAGAATTTGCTTCTTCTGACCATAATCTCTGAAGGTTCGCTGCCCAAGATCACCATGGTCACAGAGGCTGGGATCATTGGGAAGATTGGGTTGAACTCGGCGGGTGTTGGGGTTTGCCTGAACGCAATCCGGGCTCGTGGCCTGGATGAAACGCGGTTGCCTGTCCATCTGGCGTTGAGAATGGCTTTGAACGCGCAATCGGCGAGGGAAGCTGCCCATGCGTTGGAATGCTACGGGGTCGGAGGAGCAGCTCACATCATGATTGCCGACGCCCACGACGCCATTGGACTCGAGTTTACCTCGAGTGATGCCGTTCGACTGAGTCCTGACGCAAAAGGCCGCATTGTGCATTCAAATCACATGATACGGAGCCACCGGGATTTGGACGAATCAACGGAGGCAGACTCTTTCGCTCGCTTAGACAGGATACAGGTGTTGACGGAAGCTATTTTCCATTCTCCTGAATTCAGGGCGGGATTTAGCCTCGTCGACTTTGCGCAGGTCTTTGACGACCATGAAGGATATCCTGTGTCTATCTGTCGTGCACAGGAAGCGCCCAGCGAGGATGCTTCGCTGTTCACGATTGTGATGGATTTACAGCAGAAGTCGGCAGTGGTCACCGTAGGCCGGCCATGTTGCGCCGAGAGCAAACATGTAATCAACTTCGACTGACACTAAGAGTGTACGGTGTTCATCAATACATACCAAGTTTAAAGAAAAGCAATCTAGTCCTGTACATTATGCCCCGTTGTTCCTGTGAGTACATTGTTAGCTGCATTCGTCTCACTCCTATCTGATTTTATTTGAGGTGCTCAGCGAGGAGGTCGTAGTATTAATGCTCTCCGCGAGAGTATCGCGACCTCATTTTTGGACTAGACAGCGCCGTCGCTGCCAGGTGCCTCTCTCGCATGGTTCCGTGAATGCCACAGCCGATGCTTCTCAGGTTTCTTTGAAACTGGTTACCTACACTTGCTATTGGTGGTACCTAATGGGCTGGGTCCCGTTCAAAGAAATTGGCCTGCCTCTCATTATGATACTCGGCGGCTCAGCTTATCTGCGTCGGTGAGCAGCGAAGACATACGCTCCCAATTGATCATAGAGTTTGATTGTCACACTGAAGACTAATGAACTAAACGCGAGTACGGCTAGTTCAAGGAGAGAAAGAGAAACACGGCTTCAAATCCGCAAGACCAATTACCCAAGCAAGGAGCCGCTGGTCACATGCCATCGACAACATTACAGCTGGCATGTTGCCTCATTCCTCGCCTCCGTAGGGCTTCCACCACTAGTTTTCATACGCCGCTTGAACCTGGATCTCCACTAAGCACTTTGGCGGGAACAAAGCTGCCACACAGATTGCTGCCCACGCCGGCTTGTTCTTGCCCAGGTATTTCCGTGCCACTGCCGCGATTTCGAGTTGCTCGTCCTGCGACAGGACTCCCACATGGAAAGAAGTGATATTATACACGCCTTCCCATAGCTCGGTCACGCTGAGATGGGGTGATGCTGCGGCCAGGGACTTCTGGATGTTATGCATGGCGATGTCGAACTGTTGTGAGTGGCCGCCGCCGAATTGCTGGCCGTCTGTGCCGTTGGGCGTGAATGGCGAATAATCACTGGCTTCGCCGATCTGGCCCGAGGTCGCGACTATGCGTGCATTTTTGCCGTGAAATGAAACCGCAGAGCTGATGTTGAATACATCTCCCAGGGACGCGTATCCAGGATAGTCGTGGTTCTTGACGAATGCCATACTTCATGCGTCGGGTCGCGAGGAGGAATGTCGCGAACTGGGTATTCGGTCAACTTTCACTTGTAAGACTTGCGGCTTAGGTTTCATCGGACTCTTCACCTTCGCAAAACTCATCCTATATAGATGCTAGCCCTCTAGAGCATTCATCGATGCCATGGGGGTGTCGCACCCGTGGGGCTTTACGAGTCGAGGTGGCACAACCACGGGAGCGACCAATCGCTGCGGCTGATAAGGAGCCTGTGAACTCGGAGCGCCCTAACCGTATCTGGGCAATAGATGAGCTGGCCCAGCAGACCCTCCCCAGGATTGAGCGATGTAAAGCTGACAAGGTCTCGCTCGATAGAGTTCGTGATTCCGCCGACCAACATGATTCGGGCGAGGCACGCGAAAGACAAGGCGTCGCGATAGTTCAATTCCCAACCTCAGCCGTTCCCGCTCAGAATGATTGATACAAGTGAGCGGCCTGCCCGTTGTGGTGCTCTGGGGCCTCAACTTCTGTCCACCATTTCAGACAGTGATAGCAATCAACGGCGCTGAAACCATGTCACCAGTCGCATCTCCAATCGAGCAGAATGGTTTGTCCACCGACGAAATTCAGCTTCGCGCACAGGGCCATGTCGGTGAACTACCGCGTCAATTTGGGGCCTTTGCTACGCTCTCCCTCGCCTTTAGCATCACAAACTCTTGGATCGGTTACTCTGCAGTTTTCGCCTACCCATTGTTCGCGGGAGGTGGCCCGACCGTTTTCTTTGGCCTTATCGTCGCGACCATAGCCTGCTGCTTCATCACCGCCGGGCTGGCGGAACTAGCATCAGCATTTCCCTCAAGCGGTGGCCAATATCAGTAAGCCCCAGCCACACGCAGCGGCAGCTCTTGATTCCCTTATTGATGGAATCCAGCTTCGCCTTTATGGTCTCCTCGTCCGAGTATCGATCGGCTGTGGCATTCACGGTCGGCTGGCTGAGTGTCATCGCTTGGTGTTTGACAGCCGCTTCGGCGGCCATTTTCTGTGCACAGGTCGTCACGAACATCGCTTCTTTTCTCCATCCCGAATACGTATGGACACAGTGGCAGGTGTATCTTATCTACGTCCTCCTCTGCATTGTTGCTGTCGTTATTGTCGTTTGGCTGCCTCGCCAGATTCCCAAATTGGAAGTCGTCTTCTTTCTTTCGTCCATAGTTGGATTTGTCGTCTTCACCATCACCGTCTTGTCAAGAAGCAAGCAGAAGCAGAGCAGTTCCAAAGTATTCACCGATTGGTATAATCAGACTGGATGGGGCGACGGCACAGCTTTTCTACTGGCTGTAGGAACCTGCATGTACACCTATCTGGCAGTGGATTCGTGAGTTTCTCCTTTGTCGTCTAACCCCCTTGGAAACTGTTCATAGACTAATCTTCTCAATTCATCAGAGTTACGCACGTGGCGGAAGAAATGCCCAATCCAGGGAAAAGGGTTCCTCAAGCGATGTGCTTGACCATGCTTATTGGAATGATCACCGCCTTCACATGGACCATCGCCTTTATGTTCTCCTCCAGTGATTTGGATGAAGTGTCCGTGTCAGCCTTGCCAATATTGACGGTCTACCATCAAGCCTTGGGATCTGAAGCCGGCGCAGCATTTTTCGCTGCCTGGCTCCTGTTTGCCTGTAAGTCCCCCTTCCCCCACGAAACGCAATTATGCATAACATTGCGCATAAACAACACCTGCTGAACAAGAGCTATCTAGATTACGGCGCTACCATCAGTTGCTTCGTCTCTGCCGGCCGCCAGACGTGGGCGTTTGCAAGAGACAACGGATTGCCTTACAGCAAAATCTTCGCAGAAACGCATCCGAACTTACAGGTGCCTGCAAATGCGACCTACGCTACGCTTGTCTTCTGCATCCTCTACGGGCTTATCTATATCGGATCCACCACTGCATTCAACAGTTTCATCAGCCTGTCCATCTTGGGGCTGAACGTCACCTATGCGATTCCTCAGGCAGTGGTGCTGCTTCGTGGCCGCGACAAGTGTCTGCCAAACCGCCAATTTGACCTAGGACCCATCTTCGGGCCGTTCTGCAATGCCTTTTCTGTACTCTGGATGACTCTTTTCGCAGTCTTGTTCTGCTTCCCCGTATTTTTACCTGTCACGGCGCAAAATATGAACTACCTGAGTGTTGTGCTCGTTGGCGTCTGCTTGGTCATTCTTGCCCTCTGGTGGGGTGGGAAAAGAAAGTCCTTCACAGGGCCGCATGTTGATATCGCGGGGTTGGAGGTGCTGTCTGCAGTCAATACGTCCGAGCCCGAGACTGCAGAGAAACCCTTGTAAAGTAACAGATGACATAGACAGGGTCTGAGATCTACTTCATAGTGGGTGGCTGGTTAGTTCCTGGAATCTCAAAGTGGTTACAATCTCTCGTGTATGGTCAAGACTCGAATGCGCATGTGTAGTGTCATGGGACCCGATAATGAAGAGCTCACTAGGCTTCCCTGCGTTCTGGGAAACTTAGGAACAATGTCATAGAGCTACGTACTTGTCACATTAGAGTTTCTTGAATATTCTTGAATGGAGATTGAATTTTACCCATATTTCACCCATATTCCCCCCTCGTCTCCGCTGAGCTTGAGATCATGGTCCCTCGGGGTAACAGGAGGTCAGATCGAGTGCTGAACCATACGAGGCCAGACAGACGGACAGACCCCAGCATCATGCAATGCTCGACGTAAATATTGGCCCAATACGGTAATGGTGGGTGCCGAGGCGAGACCAAAGCTTACTCAATTGCCGGCCGTTTCGAGCTTGTACGCCTCCCACCACCTACCACGTGTGTGCTGTACCGTGGTCACTCACGACAAGCCTTTCCTGTTATCGAATCTTCCGAAATGGCCAACTGTGCTGTACGGGGCCCGACAAGGATCTTGATCGCTGCTCAGCGCTGCTATGGTGAGCCCGCCTGTCCTGAGTGGGAAGGAATACAGCTGCGTGCTTTAATTTCAAACCCAAGAAGATATTAACTATCACGACGATCATAAAAGTGATATTCTGCAGACTTCAAAAGTAGTTTTGTGGATTTGTCCCCCTTTAAAAATCGAGGAACCACAGAGAAGCGCGACACAACACAGCTATAACAAATCCAAAAGAAATGGATGGCACATTGATCTTTGACTACATAGTCTGCGGTGGAGGAACTTCAGGATGTGTCGTTGCTTCAACGCTGGCATCCAACTTAAACGTCTCTGTCCTGCTCGTCGAAGCAGGGCGAGATGCAACGGCACCATCTGACGTTCTCATCCCAGGCAAATATGTCCATCAACTCTCGGCCGATCCGGAAGGCCTGTGGCAGTTGCCGACCGTGCCACAGAAAGAACTTGGAGGGCGCTCGATATTATTCTTGCGTGGAAAGCAACTCGGTGGGAGCAGTGCCATTAACTATATGGCTCTAGCTCGTGGACCAGCGGCTGATTACGACGAGTGGGCTCGTTTGACTGAGGATGACAGCTGGGCATGGAAGAACATCTTGCCACTAATGAAGCAGCTGGAGGATTTCCGACCCTCGCGGCCGTGTGGATTTGAGCAATACGCAGATCCGGATCTGTCGTGCCACGGCGCTGGAGGTCCTATAAAAGTCGGATTTGGTGATGTAATGACCCCAGGGGTAGATACGTTTATTCAAGCATGTGGGGAGACTGGTATCCCACTCTGCAAGGATAACAACGCCGGCGACCCTGTTGGGGTTAGTTTAGCACAGTTCAACACTGGCGGTGGCATTCGGTCGTATGCGGCGAACGCCTTTCTCGACCAGCAGAAGCAGGAGAGCCTACCAAATTTGAAGATCCTCACGAATACAGATGTGGATCAGGTGATGTTTGATAACAAGAAGGCCAAAGGCGTGAAGCTGCACAATAAAGTCGACAGTACAACACTCGAAGCGTTTTGCCGGAAGGAAGTTATCATCTGTCAGGGGACTTTCGGTTCTCCCCAATTGCTGATGTTGTCGGGAGTCGGGCGGAAGCATGAACTGGAACAGCTAGGCATTCAATCTGTGCTTGACAACCCTGAGGTCGGCCAAAACATGTTGGACCACAGCATCCTCACGATCGAATACCAGGTCAGAGATAGCTCCCCAGCGCATAATCAGATCTTCGCCAATCCCAAGCTGTTGGCAGAGGCCGACGCCCAATATGCCAAGGACAGGACGGGGCCTCATAACACCTTTGGAACGAGCGGATCTGTAGCGTTTCCTAAAATTCAAGATCTTTTTCAAAGCTCCGAATTTGAGACGCTCGATGAAAAGACGAAGAACTTCATGCTCGAGAAAACGAGGCCGTCCGCTGAAATATGGCTAGGTTCGGGTCCGGCAGCTTTCGAGACGGGCTCACCTCAAGAGACTTACATGACCCACGAGTTGCTGCTGCAGAATAACCTTTCGAGGGGAACAGTTTCATTGCAGTCTGCCAATCCGAGAGACCTCCCTCGTATAGATCCTCGGTTTTTGCAACACCCATACGACAAGAGGATTGCGATAGAGACTGTCAGAAAGGCGATCGCGATTGGTCGGACACGTGCCTATCGCTCGAATATTCAGCGAATGGTGCACGGTCCGAATGGCGATGATGATGAAAGTATTCTGAGATTTGTGCGGACAAACCTAGGTCAAGGATACCATAGTCTGGGGACATGTCGGATGGGCCCATTGCGCAACAGCCAAGCTGTCGTTGATCGTTATTTCCGAGTCATTGGAGTGGAAGGTCTGAGGGTGGCGGACCTGTCGGTCTGCCCGATACTCACTTCGAACCACACACAGATAAATGCTTATCTGATTGGCCAGCGGTGTGCCAATACTATTTTGCATGATGGTGAGTTAGGTAAGCCGTTGGAACTAGTGTAATGCAATGATATGCCGTTTCGTCACACCGGAATCATAGAACCCAGGCCCTCGGACGATAGAAGCGTGAGATAGTCGGGACGGGTCTCCGAGCCCCACACCTTTTCCAGTATGGTCATCACCGAGTCAACATTCTTGAATCCTCCACTTCGTTGCATGAGATGTGCTCTGTCGCGAAGCCATTGTCTGCGTCTCTCGTCGGTGAGTTCCAAACCTGCATGGAACAGTGGCCACAAGAGATTATCTGCCCAACCAGTCAAGGCCGGTATTGATTTAGCATGGTGGAAAATGCTTTGTGTCAGCCATGATATCTCGTCTTCGTCGGCAGTCAAGTTGAATAGCCTTATGATGTACAGGGCTATTGCATGTCGATAGGCCTCTGTAAGATGCAGCCAATCCTCCCCACGTTCATTATAGAGAGGTAGCATGAAGAGTCGCTGCTTCAATTGAAAGGCTTGGGCCTGGTCCTCAACGGAAGGATTTTTGCTATCTCCCAGCGACTTGTGTAATTCCACGGTCATTGCCACAATCTCAAATTGACCCGGTGGACAAGGGAACACGTCGTAGCTCCATTCGATTGAAGGTCCTCTGAGGCGTAAGACATCAGCACATGTAAACTTGGGCTTTCTCTGGCCGGAGGCCGCGGACATGATATCCAGACAAGCGATATATTGCTCGACAAAGCAATCAGGTGTCATGTGGTCTCCGCGTAAGTCAATCAGTCTGCGGGCCGCTGAGAAATGGGCGTCAAAATTCGAGTATCCGCCAAGGCACAAGTCGGTAAGGGTGAGCATGAGGATGGTCGCAAGCTTGCCATCATCAGCGACACTCGGCTCCATCCACAGCTGCTCCTGGAATCTTCTCATCGCTTTCCCTTTGAAGCGCAGCGCTTGTACGTGAAAGCCAGGATCAAGCAACCGTACATTAAAGTGGCAGGCGGCCAAGGCCGCGCAAGCATACAGTAGTGCTGGGTTGTGAACGGCAAGTGGAAGAATGTACTGACTGTAGGGGTTGCGCATTGTCTTATTATCGATGCAAAGCCGTGGTGCGACCTCCAAGATGTGATAGTTGAGTAAATGCTTTAGTTCCCAAGGAATATTGTAGAGATCCAAGCTTTGCGATAAGGTTGATCCCAGCATGCCATGTTTGTGATAAGGCTGGACCACACCCTCGCCGTCGCCATTGCTATGTCTCGATGATGTACCGGCAGCCTCAATAGTGCCTCCAGTATCTTCGATGGTTAGCAGGAAGTTCTCGGGCAGAAAACTATCTGTGGTGCCAGAATAATGTTCAGCAAAATCAGTATGCTCCGTTGGAGTGGACATTGAGAGCGAAAACATCGAAAATGCATCCATTGTGTTTATGTCGGCGGTGTCAAGTAGGTTCTGGACCGTGTCCGGTTGATCAATATCAGTAGCATAAGTCTCATCAACCGGTGCCAAGTCGTCGGTGGAAGAAGCTTCGATGGTTGTATCAAGAGGCAGGGTTGGCAATGTCCGTTTCCTTCTTGATATGGTTGTGGCCTGCATGTCTTCCATAGAAGATTGGCCCGCCAGCTTCCCACGACTTGCGAAACCGGACCATTTAAGAACGTATCCTTCACATTGAATGCCTTTGACCACACAAGTTTGGCAATTGGGGAGTTCTCGCGTACACTTGCGTCCTCTACGCCGACAGGTCTTGCAGGCGGCACCGTGCAGTCTTGTTTTCATCTTGCTCCTTAGAACCAGTATGTGGATGGTGCGCTGTTGAGGCGGTGCGATGTATCACAGGGATGCCCAACAGCAGATTCATCTCTTGTTCTAGAGCAGGCCCATGAAATGGGGGTCGTGATAAACACTGTCGAGATAAGGTTAGACCTTCAAAGCGGAGCATACCTGTTCCGGTCAAAGCGGTTTATTCATTTGCCAGACAGTTCAATCTGACGTCAACAAGGCTGGTGCTAGCCGATTGAGACTAGCTTTGGATCACTTTGGGTCTGTGGTATCTAGAACGCCACCTAGAACGACAGCATCGGTATTCTAGGCTGCGGGAACTAAACTGTCAGTCAAAGTTCAAAATTGATCCTGTATGAACTTCGTCTCATTTGAGAAGCGGACAAGCGTATCAGAAGTTGTTGGTAGCAATGGCTAGGTACGAGAGTCTCTAGATGTGCTGCAGAAAGATCCAAGAGGCCACCGGAGATTGGTAGATTGCACTGACTTTCATTTCTGGAATCAGACACAGACTTCGAGCACATCAAGACCGGTGCTGAGGACTACTCGCAGCCAGCTCGCGGCTTTCGCAGTTAAATATGTCCACACCAGGTTCCGCAAATTATGGACACGGAAGAAAAGCAAAAACTTTGTGCAATGATTCAGGGATGTCCATTTGGTTGCTTTAACCCATGAAGATGTCAGGAATAGGTGAATCTAGACTTGCTGTCACCGAGGTGGTGAAAGTCAGGTGGAGTGTTGGTATATTTGTAGGGAGTAGAGGTATTGAGAGACGTGCGTAATTTGCACATTTCGACCTGTGAAAGTGGAAAACTATTTACAGGAGACGTACGTTGACCTCAGGTAAGGCTGTGGCGTGAAGGGGTCGATCATGTGATAGTGGGCTAGGGCGGCGAGGGATCGTGAGCGCCGCCCTAGAACGAAGATAGAGGGGAATCACCTGCGCCGAAGTACAGACAAGACAGACAAGGATAGAGTCAACTTTTGCCAGATCACCATCGAAAGCAACTTTTTGTTTGTTCAACAAGAACAATATCTCGCCATGGGCTGGTCATCGCCCGATAGCATCCTCACGAGGCTCTTCTCTGGCGACCCTTTGATCATCGCCATCGCACTCCTCATCACATTCGGTCTACCAGTCTGTTTACATCTCTATTTCTACACTCAGGCAAATCGAACGAAGTCCACCCCAACCTTCCTCCTCCTAGGGCCCAGTGGTGCCGGCAAGACATCTTTCGTGTCTTTGGTACTTATCTACCCGCTACATTATGGTGTCCGTCACTAACGCTGTCAGATACAAAAACAATCCTCCAATCCTGAAGAAAAGGAATCCGAACCATCCCCAACTCGGACTTCCCAAGTCAAGACAAATGTCAGCTTACTTCTTCCGGGCACGATTCCTCTCGGATCCAACAAGTATCGTTCTCAAAACGATGCGTCCTTGAAAGACAAACATCCGACTCCTTACAGCATAATCGACACTCCGGGGCATGGGAAGTTGAGACTCGAACATGCCTTGTCGCAACTCAATAATCCTGCTTTGCGCGGGGTAATCTTTGTGGTGGATTCCAGTGTTCTTGATTCCAGTGACTCTTCTGCTTCTCGGGACACCGCCGCATACCTGCACGATACGTTGCTTGCGCTACAGAGGAGACTATCAGACAAAGGGTCAAAGAAGCCCAAAGCCGCGCTTCCCGTGCTGATTGCAGCGAACAAGCAGGACCTGTTCACGGCTCTACCAACTGGCGCAGTTAAAGATCGTCTACAGTCTGAGATTGAGCGGGTTCGAGTATCGAGAAGCAAGGGACTTAGTGCGGTAGGTCAGGACACAGATGAGGACGAAGGAGACGATGTTCTTGGAGGTGGAGGAGAAGATAAATTCACATTCAAACTGCTGGAAGAAGAATATGATACCAAAATCGATGTTATTGGCGGCGCAGTCAAAGGTGAAGAAGCTGGCAAGGGTGTGCAGAGATGGCTAGAATGGATAGGTGGCTGTCTGTGATCATCACGATTGACGCACAGATTCATCATCATATTATGCCGCGACTGAAAATATCTTGAGGATCTTGACGCTGGTCTTGACCTTGATATCTTGGATCGTCCTGCGCACTAGGTGGAAGATCGTTGTAGGGATCGTAATCGGTCGGAATACCGCCCACCCCTTGCTTCAAATATAACAACAATCTGTACGCGCTGCTGCCATTGAGATAATACCGGTGCAGCTTTTTGCTCCTCAGAAAGCCCAGTCTTTCATACAGCTTCATCGCCGCCGTGTTGGTTTCCTCGGTTTCGAGTGCGATCTCATCGGCGTCTTTCTCGATCATCAGATCAATCGCTTTACTGACCAACGTCGTGGCGAGTCCTTTTCCTCGAAACGCCTCATTGGTGGCCAGCATGGCAATATAACCCCTCAAGGGTCCACCTCGATGTGATTCCAGCTTGCAAATGACGACGGCCGCGAGCTTGTTGTTATCCGTGGTGTCGACCGCCATAAAGCACAGCTCGGCCCATTGGTAGAGGAAGTATCGGTAGACATAGATGCTGTAGGGTTCCGAGAGGTCTTTGGAGATCAGCTCGCGGATCTGAGGGAGGTATTCGGCTTCCTTCTCGAGCGAGTACTGCACATATTCTATGCCGGGTGGGGTGCACTGGAAGTGCGCGCTGGGTGAGATGGACTCGGAGGTGGTCAGGTCACTCGATGAGAGAGGAGCAGCTGCGACATCACTGCTCATCTTCTTTTCTTTACCGAAGGTCGCATGGGTATGGGCCCATTCTCGAAGTGGTAAAGGTCGTTCCGATGGTTCGGAGAGGGGCTGGATCGTGCCTGAAGATCGTTTTTTTTGGGAGAAGGAAATGAGAAAAGGCCTATGACGAAATGGGATGTATCTGCAGACTCAGGCTGCATGTGAAATTTGTAAGGGAAATTGTTCAGAGTACAAAGCCCTCGGCCATCAGGTTACATAGTACTTTTAATAACGATCCGTGGTCCGGATCTAACCTCTCTGGATATTTATACTTTTATCCCAACTCGAATCTTGATTCACACACGTTCAAAAGATTGTGGGCTCCCGCGTGATCCCTAACCATTTTACATGTTGAGGAACACCGCCCACAGGCACCAACATGTCTGCACTTCGACGTCGTCTCGTAAACCTGGTGAACGACACGCCTTCAACCGCGGATAGCCGGGAAAGTACTCCGGATGCTGGTGAAGAAGTCAAACTCATATCAACCAAGAAACTTGAAAAACTCAGCAAACGCAAAACCAGTAAGAAGAGATCCGGCTTTATCTTTGGCCTGGGTGGTTTGTTGGGGTTGCTACTCGCGCTTCTTTTCGCCGAATCTCAAGATGTGATCAAGCTCGAAGGCTTGCTTGATGTCAATCTTGATAGTTTGATGGATGTCATCCCGGCAGGGATCATCAAAGATGTCAAAGATCTTTCCAAGGCTGAACGTGAGGCGGTCAACTATGACTCGTTCTCGGTAGGCCTCTATCTTCAGTCTCAAGGTGTCTCGGCACATCACCCAGTTATCATGATTCCAGGTGTTATTTCTACAGGTCTTGAATCATGGTCCACAGGTGCGTCTTCCAGGCAGTACTTTCGAAAGAGACTCTGGGGCTCTTGGTCCATGATGAGAGCCTTGGTGTTGGATCAAGCTGCCTGGAAAAAGCACATCATGCTTGACAAGGACACGGGTTTGGACCCACCGGGCATCAAATTACGAGCAGCTCAAGGGTTTGACGCCACTGACTTCTTCATTACCGGATACTGGATCTGGAACAAAATACTAGAAAATCTGGCCACCATTGGCTATGATCCTACCAATGCCTATACGGCGGCCTATGACTGGAGATTATCCTATCAGAATTTGGAGGTTCGTGATCAATATTTTTCCAGATTGAAGAACTACATCGAAGTAGCCCATAAGACCAGTGGCAAGAAGGCTGTTCTGGTCTCTCATTCCATGGGCAGCCAAGTCTTCTTCTTCTTTATGAAGTGGGTTGAGCATAAAGATCATGGTAATGGAGGTCCAAAATGGGTGAATGATCACATTGATTCATGGATCAATATTTCCGGCTGCATGCTGGGGACAGCAAAGGATATCCCAGCTGTACTCTCTGGGGAGATGAAAGACACAGCTCAACTGAATGCATTTGCTGTTTATGGGTTAGAGAGGTTCCTGTCCAAGGAAGAGAGAGCAGAAATCTTCCGAGCCATGCCTGGGATATCTTCTATGTTACCAAAGGGGGGTGATGCGGTCTGGGGCAACAGCTCCTGGGCACCAGACGATCTACCACCACCGGAACAGAACATTACCAATGGTGTTTTCCTGTCTTTCAAGCTCAAGACAAACTCGACAGAAACGCCGATCAAAAATCTTACCATGGCCGAGTCCTTCGACTACCTCATGGATCATTCCGAGGACTGGTACCGTGACCAAGTCAAACACGCCTACTCGCACGGCGTCGCACACACGAAAGTAGATGTTGAGAAGAATGAAAATGTCCCTCGGACCTGGCTGAATCCATTAGAAGCCCGGCTCCCCGTCGCGCCCAAACTGAAGATCTACTGCTTCTACGGAATTGGGAAGCCCACGGAACGAGCATATTTCTACAAGGAGACCGAGAACCCGTTGCACGGCAACATCAACATCACCATCGACACGTCCATCACGTCTCCCGGTGCGCGTGTACAAGCACTCGGCTCGGTTGATCGAGGAGTGGTGTTTGGGGAGGGAGACGGGACAGTAAATCTCGTGTCGACGGGCTACATGTGCTCGAAAGGTTGGAAGGATATCAAACGGTATAACCCTGGAGGAGTCAAGGTCAAGACCTACGAAATGCCCCATGAACCTGACAGATTCAGTCCTCGAGGCGGGCCGAATACCGGTGATCATGTCGATATCTTGGGGAGAAGCAGTCTGAATGATTTGATTCTCCGTGTGGCAGGTGGCAAGGGTGATCAGATCGAAGAGAACTATCAGAGTCGAATCAAGGAGATCAGTGAAAGGGTACAGATTTTTGATCATGAGTACTGAAGATGAGATATATGATGATGACTACTCTGAAGAGTGACAGGGTTGGAGGTTTCAGGTTGGAAGGATCCAACTTTCTCATCTCCTTCTAGATCTGCTGGAATGAACTTATGGGTCGGCGAATGGACGTTTGGGCAAGACATCGAGATACCCTATAAATGGCGTACATATAGAATTGAGTCTCTACTTTAATGATAGAATATAAGCGGAGGACTACTACGAAACTTTTGTCTCTCTTCGACATTATTGAACAGCCACATGCACAGTTGAACAGGCCTTGCTAACTCCTGTGGGAAGAGGCCCCTGGCCCCTGGGTTTTGAGCCGGGCACTGTCTGCTTACCTACCTAGGTAGTTACTTCGCGGGCTCTTCAGCGCTAGCCGAAGCACGGATAGAGCCTAACCAGTCGATTGTTTTAGGCCCGTGACCCTTATCACTCAAGCCCCCTCGGCCCCATTCTGTCCCCCGAGATTCAACTACATGACACCTGGGCAGTACGGCATGTGGGTTAAGCCTGCAGTGTCACTTTTCCGAGTTCTTCACATGCAATCTTTTGACATAATTGTGCGTCGACTGTGGCTCAGCTGTGGTCTTCGTTGTCACTTCGAATCTCACTCGAAACCAGTTTCTGTGTAGGTCGCCAACACATTCCTTGGTCCAGGAAGTGGCTGACGCGCACGACAACGTCTTACGATAGTCAACGGATGCAACGTCAAACAGTTGTACAATCACAAGCACAGATGGATACTCAGGTTTGTACACGCAACTCATCATCGCCATAAACCACTTTAAGTAAAAGCAACGCGTATTGTTACCTCGCGCAGGCCACTCCTGCCCGGAACATCTACCGCCCCGCCACGATCTGGCCCCAAAGTTGGAGGAAGATTCAAAGGATTTTCCGCCCGCAATCCTACCGCTGAACAACATCGGTGGACTCTGCTGTGCCCTCCCTCTCAAAACCTTCGTTGTACTCTTTTAAAACTCTCCTCCATTATCTATCACCGTGAATGCCTTTGGAGGTATCTATACTTGAGGCCAAAAGAATCTCTGGATAATTCTCCTTGAAATACAGAACCCAACCACACCGCTCCCATAACTTGACCTTCAGTAAACACCCACGATACCCTCTCGGTGTCAAGGTTCGATTTCTTTTCTCACGACCTCACGCCGTGAGGTAGTGTTCTCACGTACTGCCACTGACCCAGGAGAGCCAAAATCTTACTCGACCGGTCAGTTTTCCGATACTCAATCCACGAATTCTCGACCCCGCCAGTCACTTCAGATTCCCCACCACCAGCCCCGACAAAGAAACCACCATGGCCAAAGCCGCGTCCATCATTCCCTTGATCGTCCTCATCCTTTTCGTTGGATTTATCGCCGCAGTAGGTTTTGTCGCATACTCGATTGCGCACGACGTTGGTCACAAGACAAGGCAAAAGCTGGAGCGCAAGAATGTTTCTTTTAGTCGAGATGGCATGAAGGTCGGCGTAAAGGAGGTATCAGTTGAACAGCAAGAAGACAAGACACAGAGGTATGGAGACATTGCCTGTACAACTGGGCAATTTTTGAGGACCGCACTGACTAGTTGTCTCCTGGCTTGACAGTGTACTCATGAAAGTGTGGAATTCCGCATCTTGGTCGTCCTATGACCCCAAGGTGGTCTGGTCGAAGGGGTCATCTGCCGCGGCGAGCACTCCTCCGGCTGCTGACAGACGCAATCCGTAAGTTCTTCATGCCTGCGACGTCAGGAATTCTTTCCCCGGATGGTCACAAGTCCGTCGACCACGAAACCTTCTAACTTACATTTGTCCGCGCAAATAGATTCGTTCGACAATCGTCCGGTTCAAAGGAAGCGCCGAACCTCTCTCGACATAGCTCGAGTTCAAGCAACCTCACGAGAACGGTTTCCGGGAAGGCGAAATGATTCCCACAACGGGATGTCTGATAGTTTGGATTGTCGGGATCGTCCCGTAGCATCTGAAGTCTGTACCGGGGATTGCGAATGGTCAGGCGGAGACACACGACAGCCCGTGTGATGTCCTTGCGCCACTGCTTCACAATGAACATCATGGCGTGCCTGAGCTGATTTCGGGAAGCCCAACATCTATATCACATGATGTCTTGCGGCGTTGAGAATCTTGAACACCAGGGACACATATCTCCTTCAAAGAGCATTTGATACTGGGGAGTGAAGGGCACAACAGCATGAGACATTGACCAGATACGATGAGGATTATGACAACGACCACGATGATGAAATATTCTCCAGCGAGAAACCCATGAACAGAATCAACTGCTTTGAAACGAAAATGAAGATAAAAATAAACATGAACAGGCAAGAAGACAAGGCAAGACTTGACCTTTTCAATGACATATGGATGCCAAGTGACGACTGCGCGTACTTATTCATGTGTACTTGTCTTGAGTTGTGTACATATGTACAACAAAAGTACACCTCCAACTCGTGAAGCAATCTAGATTTTAGAATAAATCAAAGATCGCCTTGACGACTTAGATATGTGCCTTCGTTACCCCTTCCGAAAGCACAGTCTTACTCCGTGCGGCTCAATACGGAAAGGAAATATCATCTCGTCGAGTAACTAGGTAGGATCTACCCAGGCTGCACCCACATGCGCGTGCGCGTGCGCACGGAAGAACCATTTTGGTACTGTAGGTATGTACACATATAGGTAGGTCTGTCTGGGCAAGCTGGCGGATATAAGATCCTGCCTTGTTGGTCGCGAATTGTTAGAAGTCATCCGCGTACTCGTACGTGTTCGCTTCACTTGACGGGGGTTCGATCAATTCTCCGCATCCATGTCTGGAAAGCGTACGGATACACGTAAAGGCACGGATGTTCCTCACCTCATTGTTAAGTCTAGGTAGGCACTATGCCGAGGGCAAAGCATCGCGTTTTCCTAATCGAGGAGACTACATACAGCCTCGCCTCGCCTCGCCTCGTCTTGACCCTTGTGTTGACCTACGTGGGTGTGGAGGTACGAGGTACGGATGTAGAAAAAGGTCGAGTGAAGATGCCAGCACGCGATGTAGAGCTCGATGCGGAAAGCCGAGAGACTTACCAGTTGAGACTTGACTTGATTACTTGAGATGCTCTCCCGGTAGTGGGGTCAGTTCTCAGTCTACAGAAGTTGGGTCCCGGGATAGAGCTGAGCTTGAGGGACAGATGAAGCAATCAACCAGGGCAGGCGGTGGGCGCCAAACCATCCAATCAGGATTTCGTGATAGAGTTTCATGCACGATGACAAAAGTCCTGGGATGATGAGGTGCAGTGCAGGTCAACCTCGGATGAGATGCGAGCTTGCGGCAGATTACGAGGTTTACGAGGATTTATTTTCAGACGAAACGTGAAGGGGGCGGTCTGGTACGGAGCGGGAGGGCTTGCTGAGTCAACGGCATGTGACTGGATGTTCGGCTTCGGGCGGGATGCATAAAGAGAAAATTTGCATAACGAAAGGAAAATCTCTCGCGTGCTGGGAAGCCGGTCCCACTCCACTTTGCGGCTCAATCATCGGTTGTGCGAATTGCATGATCACCGATGCGGCGATAGATGTCCAGGGTGGAAAATGATCGGAAACAGCCGCGGTGATCCTAATCAGAAGTTGCTGAGTTCTGGACCATCGAGACTGGAAAGAAGAAATAGGGGAGATTGTGAGATTTGATGAGTGGGCAGAAGAAAGAGTTTTTCCGAGATGTTGAAATTGAAAGTGGTCAGGATAAGGATAGGCGTGGACAGGGCTGGCTGTTAGGGGGTGGGTTGATGGGAAATTGGCTGACTGTGAGGTGTCGCTTTCACAAAGGCTTTTTATGCAAAAGGTGTGGCTGAACCGATCAAAGATTAGGGCCAGCCACAAGAAAACCACACCGGTGTATCAGATTGAAGTCGTTTGGGGATAAGCGAACGAGGCTGGATCAGGAAGCAAGAGGTTGCGAATACGGATACGGACATTGATCATCGTTAGCTAGTGAGACCATCAAAGTTATGTCTGTGTATCACAACGTTTTCAACGGCTGAGACGGTGACATTCTCAGCTGGCATCATCTCTCCAAGAACAAACATCTATGATGCTGCCGAGAAACGGCAACTGTGAGTGCTTAGCCAGTCACGGAGAATAAAAGTCAAGAATTGGCGGATAGAGGCAAAAGAAATCCTGCGTGGAAATCTACATCATGGTGACGTCGAAGTGACAGATTTTGCCCTTCGGTTTCGCGTGTTCCTAGAGGTTAATTTGGATGCGCTGCTAATAGTACTAACAACAATCATAACAATAGATTGGGCCGTGAACACTTGAACTCTGAATTTGAGGGTTATTTATTATTTATTGAATATGTGAATTGGATCGCTCGTGGCATTAGAAGAACAGAACTCGTGGCCGAAGCCGAAGAGTGTGGCTATGTCTGGCCTGGACTGTGAATAATCCACGCCGATGGCGAAGCGATTTGCTTTGTTCAGCTGCCCTGGGCATGCCGGACCAGGTCCAGGGTACCTGGAAAGTACCTGGAAGTACTCCCAGTGACGAGGAATTCTCGTGGATTGTTCGGCTTTGTTTAACTATTTTCTAGTTATCCATAGGTACCTAACTACCTAGGTACAAAGTGTCTGTGTCTGTGTTGGCATTGCTGCTCGCAGACTCCGTAACAGAAACAACTGCTTCATCGCTAGCCGTGGAATCCTACGAGCACGGTTGATAACGAGTCGTTCATCATCTGGGAATCTTCACATCAGGCTTACCATCATTCTCCAATTCGTTCAAGCCCAACCGAACCGAAGAAGCCGTCCCACCGATCCACCAGTGATGATGATTGTGCACATGGATTTGTGCAGTGCAAAGTTGAAGCTAACCTCTCTTTTTCTCTAGCGCTTCCGCCAACATCCACTCCAAAGTCCAAACCACTTTCTTTCTCCTCTGCCTGCTCACCTAAGCCCTGTCCTGGTCCGAGTACTGCTACTGCCTTTGGCTTGTGCTTGTGCTCGTCTGACTTGCTGCCTGCCTCCTGCTCTTTCCATGTTCATGTTCACGTTGACCTTCATGCTCACACTCACGCTCACACTCTCTCTTTCCCTTTCCAACTCACCCACCACCTATCCCACCTGCCAATAACCGGCCTGTTCGGATCACTCAACACCTTCTTCTCGCCATCCTCCTCGTCGACTCCCTCTCTCCTCTCTCCACCGTCGCCATCCCTATAGCACCACTCGGAGCCATTCCAATACTATTTCCACGCCACTAATTCGCATACCTTCAATATCCCACTGCGCACAACTCGACGGCGATGCAGTCAAACCTTCCGTCCTGGAAGGACTCTCCCTTCTCCAAGAAGCACATCCAACTACCCTGGCGCTCAATACAGTTGTTGGTGCCGCACCGACTACGCCGCAGGTTGCGGTCCAAACTGAGGAATCGGGGGTCGCCTGCGTCCTCCATATCTGCTCTGCAGACCTCGTTTTCTCCTGCAGATACTCTCAGGTCGCTGCAAAACCACAAATGGACCGTCTATGACTTTCAATGGCTGTTCCTCGCCATTGTAGGCATTTTCTCTTTGTCCATCATCGAGTCACCCGGTCCTCTCGTCAAAATTGCTGTCGCTACTACCCTCCTCACTTCCATGATCTTTCCCATAACAAGACAATTCTTTCGACCCTTTATGCCCATTGCAGCATATTTAATATGGTTCTATGCATGCAGGTAAGCTATTGGCCTCTCGGCATCGTTTTTACTGGGCCTAAGCTGACCGATTGACCAGATTCATCCCCTCCGAATGGCGACCACCTATCTGGGTCAAAGTCCTACCTGCCCTTGAGAACATTCTCTATGGCGCCAACCTATCCAATATCCTCTCCGCACACAAAAGTACCGCCCTTGACTTGTTGGCATGGTTTCCTTACGGTCTGGGTCATTTCGGAGCTCCCTTTGTTTGCTCCGCCATCATGTTCGTCTACGCCCCCCCTACCACCGTCACGGTCTTTGGTTTCAGCTTCGGATACATGAATTTGATCGGTGTTATTACCCAAGTCTTATTCCCTTGTTCTCCGCCGTGGTACGAAAACATGTATGGCTTGGCTCCTGCGAATTACTCGATGAAGGGTTCCCCAGCTGGCCTGGCCCGCATCGATGCTTTGCTCGGTTTCGACATGTATACCTCCGGTTTTACAGCATCTCCGATGGTCTTCGGTGCATTCCCATCCCTTCATGCCGCCACCTCTACCCTCGAGGCTCTTTTCATGAGCCATTGCTTCCCTAAGCTTACCCCTCTGTTCGCCTTTTATGCCATGTGGTTATGGTGGGCCACAATGTACCTCTCTCATCATTACGCTGTGGATCTCGTTGCCGGAAGCATGTTGGCCGGTATCATCTTCTATTTCGCGAAGTCCAAGTTCCTTCCCCGACTACAACCGGATAAGAATTACCGCTGGGATTACGACTTCATCGAGGTTGGCGAGCACCACAATGACTATGAGTATGGACTAGCTGGGCTCGATGGTGATGTCCCTGATAGCGATGAATGGACCATCGGCTCATCCTCCTCAATTTCTTCCGGCTCATTAAGTCCCACAGAAGAAAATCAAAATCTCTGGACTGAAGCCTACTCTAACCACGAGAGATAAGCATTCCCATACACAAGTCTCCTACCTAAAGATCCGAAATCCTACAACCTACACCCTATACTTCCTCCCTCCCTAGCATTACCGACCTGGCGTTCTTCACACGACCCGTCTTATGCTTTACGGATCAGATTTGCATGTGAGCGACATTTTGAAATTTTTGCAAATAGAATCACGACCATTGTACCAAACTGCACAGCGGACCACGACCTACATTTCTCCGGCAAGTGTCGAGAAAATCATAACATACGAGCTGCTTTAATTCATCATTCTGGACTTCAATGTTCCATTATGCCCGTCGGAAGTGTACTCGAAGACGGGATGGCATTTTTCGATTCCGTGACACACACATAGTTTCTGGGGTGACTTTCCATTCTTACCATCGAGGGGGGTAACCCTTGGCATAACAATGACCTATTGGTACGACGCTAGGATTCCTGGATGCAGGTGGAACAAATTATCGTTCGAGTGGTTACACGGAGATCATCCACGAGTTGTTTTTGGTGGTTTACTCTCAAAAGATTATGATCATCCAGCGGCTACTGCTTACCGCTTGGATTGAGATCAGTTGCATTCGCTTTGCAAGAACTGTTGTACAAATATCGACAATTTAAGGACCGATATGCCATTCGCTTGGTCTAGTCATTCAGCGGGAGTTTTGACGGGACATGAAATTATTCTTGTCCCCAAGTATCAGCATGGTGTACGTTGGCTTGGATTGTTACACGAGCACGTTGTGCCCAGCGACGTCGAGTTAGTTCGATTCACAACCGAAGGGGGGAGCTGCATACGAAAATGCCGTTTGAGAAGCGTTGCCACGAGGCACAGCCAATGGCTTCAATGTACGAGGCATGCAAACGGCCACATTGCTGCCAATTCCTCCTTTGAAGCTTCCACCCCCTATCATGTTTCCTAGGCCGCCTGGCCTGGTCTGGTCAATCATGCTCCATTTTATCCAACGACGGCCAATATCGATACCGGCTTCGGAGAGTCGATTTGATACCTAGGCGGCTGAATAGCCAAGGATGAATCGACGGGACGAAGTGGTCGATCATTATTCGTTGAAACTTGTGCATAGCATTACTGGTTCGGCGTTGCTATCATGGGAAAGTCAACATGCTTGCATCAGTCGGTCTCTCTCGCGTCTCGTCCCACATGGACTGTTTGGTGACGTTGACTGCGGTTTATGATAATTTAATACCTAATCCTAATGACCCCTTCAAACTAAGTATCAGTCTTAATCTTCTTGTGCAATTGTTTTGCCCTGCCCATTACCACGAAAGCCTCGGTGCACCGAGTCACCGTGTGTGGGCCAACTGACAGGCAGGGCATGTAAGGAAACAGGAGAAAACGACACGTGACTTCACCACCACGTTAACAAATGCCCATTAATAAGCAGCACCGCTTGCGCAGACACCAAACAACGCCCACGCCCTTTCCTGAAGCCTTCCTGCGTTTTGATATTCTTCAAGATCTGTCATGGAATAGTTTTGACCAGTCTCCATGTTAGCAATTTCTTGGGCGATGATGCCATTGATCGAAGGATGTCGAGAGCGTAGATTGAACATGCGCGCGCCCTTGCTCAACGTGACTATACCAATTTAATCATCTGGAGACGATGTATTATGAACATATGATACACTCCCCGCTAGATCATTCAGATGATTAAAGGTGAGTCAAATCTTCAGGAGGTGCAACATGATCAATTGTGATCCCCCTCTCCGAAGCCCCTACGAACTCTCTCCCCATTATGGCCGTCCACGCCAATGGCTATGTTGCGCCGGCACAGAATGCCCCTTATTTCACCCCAGAGCAATCACCTGCATCTGGTACATCGATGGAGAGTGAGCACATTCCAAAACTCTTCCAGCCACTGACCATCCGTGGCGTCACTTTCCCCAATCGACTCTTCCTTTCTCCTCTGTGCCAGTACTCCAGCCAAGACGGCTATGCAACTGACTGGCACTTGACCCATCTTGGGGGGATCCTGCAGCGTGGACCAGGACTCACGTTTGTAGAATCCGCCGCCGTGCAAAAAGAGGGGAGGACCAGTCCACAGGATCTGGGTCTCTGGGAAGATGGCCACATCGAGGCATTGGCCCGGATCGTGACGTTCGCGCACAGCCAGAACCAAAAGATCGCGATCCAGCTGAGCCATGGAGGCCGCAAGTCCAGTACGACGGCCCCATTCCTGGCCAAAGGAACTGACGACACGGCAGCGGAGGATGCAGGAGGTTGGCCGGACCAAGTCTTCGCGCCGTCCGCGATCCCGTTCGACCAAGGCTATCCGCAGCCCCAGGAGCTCACGAGCACACAGATCCAGCGATTCAAGCTCGATTTCCTCGCGGCCGTCAAGCGCGCCGTCAAGGCCGGCTTCGACGTCGTCGAAGTCCACGCCGCGCACGGCTATCTCCTGCACGAGTTCCTCAGTCCCGTCAGCAACAGGCGGACCGACGAGTACGGCGGTTCGTTCGAGAACCGCACCAGACTGCTCGTCGAGATCGTGGATTCAATCCGTGCCGAGATCCCAGCTGAGACGCCGTTGTTCGTCCGTCTGAGTGCCACGGATTGGCTCGAAGCCCACGTCGACGAGTTTCCTGAGAGCTGGACCGTGGCGGAGAGTGTCAAGCTCGCGCGAGTGCTCGTGGAGCATGGCGTGGATCTTCTGGATGTGAGTGCCGCGGGCCTGCATCCCAAACAGGCCACCAGCATCAAGAAGGGTCCGGCGTATCAGGCTCCGTTTGCCCTGGAGATCAAGAAAGCACTCGGTAGCTCGTTGTTGGTGTCTGCCGTGGGAGGCATCTATGATGGCAAGCTGGCGGAACAGCTGCTCCAGGATGGACTCGATGTGGTCATGGCCGGAAGATGGTTTCGTAAGTGTTGGCCCCCATGGATTTTATACTTGCTTCCCCTTGGAGTATCTAGCATACATTTGAAGGCTAACGCTTTTTGACTGGACAGAGAAGAACCCTGGATTGGTATACAGTTTTGCGGACGATTTGAATCACGACGTCAAGATGGCGAATCAGATAGGCTGGGCTTTCAAGGGACGGGGTAAGAAGACGAGGGAACATGTCGATCAAGATTGAAAACTGGTGGAACAACCAATCAGTCATTTACATAGCAGCGTTTGGTTTTCAGACGCAGGCGCCACCCTACGAATAGTCGACTCAAATTGCTGTCCTCGTCGAACTAGTCAAGTCTTGTGTTCGTGGAGCATCAAGAAAACGCTTTCCGTGCTCATCACCTAGCTGACCAATGTATTGAGAATAGGGAATTGGCCCTGGTAATGGACAGAGATACACATCGAGCGTTGAAAATTGACTCGCGTGAGCTGAAGGTGAGCACAGCCCGAGGGAGGCACTAAATACCCCCGCCCCGATCGGCGAGGCACGAGCCGCTATCCCCCACCTTACCTTGGCAGCAATACCCATCTCTCGGATAATGGGCAACGGGACGAGGTAGAGGATGTACCAAGTGAGGTCCCGGCAAGCAAGGCACGACAATGGCGCATGGCCTCATGGCGCCTACGCGTTGTCTATCTCCACTGAAGACGATTTGCTGCTACTAAACCTCTACATGTCTCTGGCACGAGAGTGCCAACCATCACTGCATGCGACCGAGACCTTTCTTCAGCCTGATTGAGCCGAAAACTGAGGGGTTACATGGTCGTTGAATCCTCTATGCCCGTGTCACCCTTCATACTGTGGCAGGCATACTAGCGGAGATAATGTCCACCCCCTTCAGGCCGGAGAAAAATCCAGATACCCACAACATTTGGCCATCATCTTCTCCCCAAACCCAACCTGCCATCCGTCCTCCTCGCGATCGCAGTGACTTTAGGATCATCCTCATCTGTGCCTTGCCACTGGAAGCCGAGAGTGTTCAGGCGACGTTTGATCATTGTTGGGACGATGAAGGCAAAAGATATGGAAAAGCCAGCGGGGATCCTAACGAGTACACGACCGGTATGATCGGTGAACATAATGTGGTGCTTGCTCATATGCCTGGCATGGGGACTACCAGCGCTGCAGCTGTGTCCGCCGCACGTGTGAGCTTCCCTAGTATTGTGCTGGCTATTGTGGTCGGCATTTGTGGAGCTGCACCTTTTGGAAATAATCACCAGGAGATCTTGCTTGGTGACGTTGTCATCAGTAAGGCCCTGGTTCAGTATGATTTTGGGAGGCAACATCCCGGTGGTTTTGAGAGGAAGACGGACGTTCAAGCATCAATTGGACGACCAAGTCCGGAACTTCGAGCCATCCAGGCTAGACTTGCGACAACCCAGCATAAGCAACGAATGCGGAGGAATCTCACTCGATACCTCCAGGAGATTCAGCAGACTTTGCCCGGTACAGTCTGCCCTGGTCGAGAGTACGATGTTCTCTACCGATCGTCTTATATTCACCAGCATCACCCGTCTGCAAATTGTCAGAAGTGCAGCGAGGTGGGGGAAATCTGTGAAGTAGCTCTCCATGCTAATTGTGATGACCTGGGATGTCAGGCCAACATGCGTGAGGAACGCAAGCGTATGGCCGGCCCCTCGACGATAGACCCGGAGATTCACTTTGGCATCGTAGCTTCAGGGAATGCAGTTATAAGGTCAGGGGAATACCGTGACCAGCTAGTGAAAGCAGAAGGCGTGATTGGGTTCGAGATGGAAGGTGTAGGCGTTTGGGACTATTTTCCGACTATCATCATCAAGGGCGTCTGCGACTATGCTGATAGTCACAAACAAAAAGGATGGCAGTCATATGCTGCAGCTGCGGCAGCTGCGTGCACGAAAGCTTTCTTGAAAGAGTGGGATGCTGCAAGTACTGTGAAAGAGAGGGACGTGGCAAGTACGCCTACTAACCCAGGTCTGCTATTTCCCATTCTCCATTTTCACCTGTTTATTTCACCCCCAGTATCAGCGACTAATTAATGTGTATTCCTTAAGGTCACCAGAAGTTCCATTGGCTGGTTCCCTTCGAACGAAATCGAGATTTCGTGGATCGCACAAGTATCATGGACGAGCTGCTTCACCTAATTCCTCCTGAGATGGAAATGGATTGCTGTCAGCGAACAGTCATCGAAGGCCTCGGGGGCACTGGAAAGACTCAGATCGCTCTCGAGGCTGCATTTCGCATTCGAGATCAATATCCTTCCTGTTCGATCTTTTGGGTTCCGACTGTGGACATGACCAGCTTGGAGAACGCTTATCGTGAGATCGGCAGAAAACTTCTGGTGCCAGGGCTCGAAGAGAGCGGAGCCGATGTAAAATTTCTTGTGAAAAACGCAATGAGCGACGGGGGCTGTGGTACTTGGCTGCTGATTGTCGACAATGCAGATGATGTAGAGCTCCTCTTTCGCAGCAATTCGCTCGGTGATTACCTTCCATCCAGTCCTCTTGGATCCATTTTATTTACCACTCGAAATCATGAAGTTGCCGCCGAACTCGACATCCCCAGCCGAAATGTTATTGCAGCAGGGGAATTGAGTGACACTGAAGCCATCCAGCTATTACAGACAAACCTAAAGAAGACACAATTGGGCGACAACAAAAGTACGAAAGCCCTGCTTAAACTACTAACCAATCTTCCGTTAGCCATCAAACAGGCATCTGCATATATGGCAAGGACGAGCATGTCGGTCAACAAGTATCTGCTACATTGCCAGGCTGGAGATGAGAGACTGATTAGGCTACTCAGCCATCAGACTGAATATAAAGGCCGTTACAAAGGCATGAATAGTGCAATCGCCTCGACGTGGCTCATATCTTTTACCCAAGTCCAACGGGATAAGCCATTGGCTGCCAGAATTCTCCGAGGAATCTGTTTCTTTGTCGAGAAAGATATCCCATACTCGCTCTGCCTAGACAGAAAGGACGAGCTAGAGTTTGACGAAGCCATTGGCGTACTAAAAGCATACGCGTTTGTTAGTGAAAGGGAGGACGGGTATTCATTCGACATACATCGGCTGGTACAGCTGGCGATGCGGAGCTGGCTGCAGGAAGAGAAAGAGCAAGAGTATTGGATGAAACAAACAGTACAACAGCTCTCAAAAAGATGCCCGTATCCGACTCAGGCCAACAAGAACTTGTGGCAACGGTACCTACCGCACATCTTGAGTGCACTCCAATTCTACGAGAAAAAGATAGGAGACCTCCTTGGCATCGAAGTTCTCGTCGGTGTAGCCCAATTTTATGGCATTGTAGGAAACTATGCAGAGCAAGAATCGATATGTCGACATTTTCTGCAAATGGGCAAGACACCCCAAGAATCCAACTCAGAAGTGCTACTGGACGTTAAGCATTTGCTTGGGCAAGCTCTCTTGGACCAAGGGAAGTATGTTGAGGCCCGACAGATATTTGGCGAGACGGTAGATCAAGAAAGAAGTTTGTTTGGAGAGGAGGATCGGAAAACTCTTTCAAGCACAATACGCTTTGCCGAGGCACTTCACTTCTGTGGAGAGCCTGTTGAGGCGGAGAAAATACTTCGCAAGACCCTCAGTCGATGTGAAGCACTCTTCGGAAAGTCAGATTCGTACACACTGAGGTGTATGAGACGTCTCGGGGAGCAATTGTATTTTCAAAGGCGGTACGAAGAATCGGAAAAGATGATCCGAGACGCTTTGAGCCAAGTTGGAAGCGTACCGAGAGACGATCTGTCAGGCCTGAGCGTGACCAGGACCCTACTACAGCTTGGTCAATCACTCGAGGGTCTAAGGCGGTTTGAGGAAGCGGAAAAGCTGTTTCGTGAGGGCGTTGACCGGTATGAAATGGTGTTGGGTGAAAGGCATCCAGAAACATTGACCGCTAAGCTAAGTCTCGCGCAAGTATGTCGCGACCAGGGAAAGTATCGTGAGGCGGAACAGCTGTATCGGAATCAAATACCCCTGTTGAGAGACTTGTATGGTGATGAGCATCGAAGGACGCTGAGGGCTATATCTGGCCTGGCAGGAACTCTGAGAGAGTTAGAGGAATATCAGGAGTCAGCGGACCTGTATCGTGAGGAGTTACGGCTTTGCAAGATGATATATGGAGAGAACCACAAAGCAAAGCCGTGGGCAAGGCATGGTCTCATCTATGTGCTCAAGAAGCAGGCCAAACTTGAAGAGGCGGAACAGATATATTCAGAGATGGATGCGGACACGAGGACGGCGTATGACCACAGGTTTTCGAGGTCGTCAGGCAGTTGATAAGAGGAAATTTGATAATGTGTTCCGTGTTCACGTCCTTGGCAGAGCATTACCCAGAGCTGGACGGGCAGGTCTTCACACTGCTTCATTGACATAGAGCTTTTCCACAAGCACTGTGCAAAGAGGTCCCCGAGTGGGCAGCAGCGATGCGACACTCGGGATACTAGCTCTATTGTGTTTCATGGTTTCAATATCTTGAAACTGCTAATCTAGTCGCTACGGATAGAGCTGTGCATCTAGTGTGATGAGATCGACTTCCTTACCACATTTATTCCAACCGCCTTAGCACACCATCTAAGCCCATCCTCGCCAAACAACTCCGATTAATGTCTTTGACAGAATTACAGCCACAGAGCGCCATACACCGACGGAAATCATCATACAGGATCTCCAACATCTTCTCCACCCCAGCCTGGCCATTATACGCGAGGGCCCAGAACGCCGGACGGCCGACCCAGACATAATCAGCGCCGAGAGCAAGTGCGATGAAGACGTCGGTACCTTTTCGGATGCCACCATCGAGATGAATGGGGATACGCCCTTTCGCTGCATCGGCACACTCGATCAATGCATCAATCGTCGCGGGCACACCATCCAACTGTCTGCCGCCATGGTTGCTCACGAGGATCCCATCACAGCCATGTTGGATCGCGAGCTCCGTATCTTCCGCCGTCAAGACGCCCTTGATCCAGATCTGCATTTTGGTCTTACTCCGCAGCCACGCGATATCACGCACCCAGCTGTGTGAGTCGTCATTGAACGCCATAAAACCCGTATCGTGCTTCGTCGTGCGGATGTCCTCCGTCGTGCGCTCGAGGATAGGCCAGTCTAACCCCTCGGGCGTGCGGAAATCGTGGCGCCATTCGTTGTATCGCACCCCCAAGACCGGGGAGTCGCCTGTCAGGTAGATGGCCTTGCAGCCCGCTGCTTCGGCACGTTCAATGATGCGCTCCTGCAAGACGCGGTCGCGCATCATGTACATCTGCTGACCGTGGGAGATGCTTTCTTTTTCGACATCGCCGTTTTTGGCTCTGGCCGCGGCGGTGACGTTCTCGATCGAGTAGTTCGCGAAACTCGACACGATCATGTTCACGTTCATGGCGGCCGCGGCGCGACTTGTGGCGAGTTCGCCTTCCTTGTGTGCCAGGCCGTGAAGACCTGCTGGTGCGATGCCGAGTGGGAACTTGACTTTATGGTCCAGGCAGACGGTCGAGGTGTCGAGTTTCGAGACATCCACCATGACTCGCGCCCGGAGACGGTATTTTCCAAAGGCGCTTGAGTTCTCTGCGATCGTCGTCTGGTATGTCGAGCCATCGTTGATGAAGTCTAGATGCAAAGAAGGGGAAGGGGTTAATAGTGCATATCATGTGGATGCATTCATGATGCTTTGAGTTTGTCTGAGAAACGATAGTGCTTGGGTAAATCAACTTACCTCGGATGACAACGGGGAACTTCTCGTCCGCAATCTTCTTGATATCTTCCATGCATAGAATCATTTCGTCTTCGCCTTGCACCGGGATGGGAATCGGTGCACCTGCCATTGTGCTTTCAAGGCCGATGCTGTCAAGATAGAAGATATGCCGCTCAGTACAAACGGGGGTCTTCAGCCTTCCGCAAGTAGGTTAACTCTATGTGCTTTTTTCGACAATTTGAAAAGGTTCACGTCACTGGAAACCGTGTCGTCGCTCCTTGTGCACTTGTCCTTTGCTGTCAAGGATAAAGATCCCCAGTGAGTGCGCTGACTTGTATCTTGACTTCGGCAACATGCAATATCTAAAGCGCAAAGACTGTTTGTTATTGTTGTAGGGCACAAATCGATAAATAAGATGGATAGTAAAGTTAAATATCAAGGGCCCACCAGACAACCTGTTCAAACCGAAATGCTAAAAGCACATTATCTTCTTTCAAGCGAGCAGATCCATCAATATATCAGAAATTACAACCCTTATCTCTGAGCAATAAACTCCACGAATCCAAAGTGGCAGTCAAAGGAATCACATTCGGTAAAACAACAGCAGTATCGGTGAGGCTTCCATCCAATGGATGAGAAAGGTCACGAAAGCGAACCGACCTAATTTAGAGTTAGGCCAAAAGCCCAGAGCGGAGAAAAGAAAGCTTTGTTGCACCACGCCCTTTCGAGTACATGGTGTCGTTATTGGGAGACGAGGTGGAGGCTGGGATCTCCGAATTAAGCTGGACAAATTCAGATTCACGGGGAAAGAGGCCTCTTGGAGAATTGAAAGGGTTCTAGATCAGGCCACTGATTGAGTTGCCGAAGCTGATGACTATTGTTGTAGATCAGAGGGAATACCTCCCTACGTACCTAAGTTACCTGTGGCACGTTTCGCTGGCGTACTCAGCGATTGAGCCGGGTATCTGAGTTTCCGATGTCAAGGCTATATACACTTCAGTCATGTTATGCATTGTGGCTGATATCAAGCAGTTGAAATATAGTCGAGAACTTGATCTGGAATATAGTCCTGTCCCACGATAACCTACGAGGCTGTCCAGGTTGAGCTGGTCTACATCATCCTACTGGTTAGTAGGTGCTGCTCCTGCCAGTTGTGAAGGCCCTGTTCTCAGACGCGGTGATTTGCGCTTGCTCCTCTGATGTCTGTGGCAATAGGGTACTCATCTCGGCAGAAGAGACCGAGGGGTCTTCAGCAGTGGCCGGTCCGTTGCCCTTCGTGCCCTTTTCAGGTGCAGTGGTTTTCTCAAATGCATGGCTGCCGTCTCTAGCCACAACCATGACTCTCGGTCCTGTAAAATTCTTCTCTCGATACTCGGCGAAGGCAATCTCGATACCGCCGGGTGATGACTTTGGGTGTCCAATGCTCGAACTTCTGTCAACTTCGAATAAAGCAGCGACAAGTCCAGCAATACTGAGACGAGCCTGGACATCCCGTGTTGCACGCGGCTGACTCGCAACAGCCACAACGGCCAGCAGGACCCCAAGCACTGCGTACAAGAGATTGAGTACGATCAAGGTGAAGAATGGAGCTTTTGGCAATCGCGTCACCAGCAAATGCTCACGCGTTCGTTCGGCGATATTCAACGACGGCTGTGTAATACCAACCACCATGCTCATTGCAGTTTCGCTGAACCGCTGGGCGAAGAAATCTGAAAGTCCTTGCGAAGTATTCACTTGTTGTGCTCCACTGATCCAGGCTGATTCGAGGGCATTTCGAGAGTAAGCTTGAACATTTCCTAGAGCCCAACGAATATTGGCTGTCAAGGTGTCGTTTGACGCCGTGTATGTTCCATTAACAACAGTACCATTGACAGTATTGTAAACGAAGTCATAAACTGTACTGACGCACGAGAGGATGAAAGCATAGTTCTGAGAATCGCTTGAAATTGCCTCTGGATCGCTGGCTAAAAGGTCGGTAGTGGCTAGCAAAGCACCAGTCGTAAAGTAGAAGGGATTGCGCATCGTGGTGTTGCCACCATTTGTACCTATTGGGTTAACGTAGTTGTCCTTTTCAAACAGCTGGAGGAAAAAGCCGGTACTACTCGTACCTCTAGAACCTCCGCCTTGGTTTGCGTCGAATGTAGTGCCAGTATTGTTTAACATGTTGCCAGATAAAGTAGGACTGCAGTTGTAAGCTATACTTGGTGTAACCATATTTGCGTTACACACTTCATAGGTGCAGTAGGATGTCCACTCCAGGTTACATTCTTGACTGACAGGTTTGCAAGTTGTGCTCATGGCGTAAGTGTTTGCTTGGAAATCAAGGCTTGAATCACGCCGAGCAGCGGTGACATACGCAAGTGAAGTATTCCGCAGATTGCAACTTAGTACTGAGTTCACGGTCGACAGATTCGTCAGAGTTCTCGCAGTTTCAGACGCGCTTGGGAAAAATACTGTGTTGCCAGGTGGACCAAGGGAGCCAATACACTGAGCAGAGTCGTCAATCTCAGACTGCGTGGTTGAATTCCAACAAAAAGGGTCAAGAACGCGCCCATATGAGAAGGCAGGCTGAGCACTAATTGATGATAGAGTATCGTATGGAACGGTAGACGTGGTGATGTGAAGCCATGTATCAACAGCAAGAATTCCAAAACTGTATGATGCTTCACATCAGCGTCCGCGCAACGAAAAAGAGTGGTCCAAACATACCTCAGAACGATGGAAGCGAGTAAAGCGGTCGCAGTTGTCCACAAGAGCTTAGTCTGCTTGATGGGTTTCCGCCATAAACAGTAATCTAACCACGACCACAAAGATCCCAAGCTACCTCCCAGAAGGCCGATTATCAGCTTGAATTGATATGTGGTTGGTAATTCGTTGGAGACCCCCAAGTCCGATTTTCTCGTATAGGATCTCGCGAGTGGATATGACACAAGAGTCATGACAAATGTAGTGGTGAATGAAGTTACAGTACTGGTCCATGATGAGACCGTGATGAGTCGTGTAGCACTGTATCTAACATAGTATGCGGACTGGTCGTATGATTCAGGTCGTCCAAAAATGTCGTCCGAGGTCAGTGGATCCTCTGATACCAAATAGCCGTAGACCAGACCGATGAATATGGCAGTCAAAACAATCATCGGTAGACTAACACAGACAAGAGACCAGATGATTTCTCGAAGCGCACCCGTGGTCCCCTGTAGAGACGCATTTGCATTATCATCTGCTCGGGAAGTATGCTTCAAGGCTGGAATTGTCGCCATCTGAGGAAACTTTGACCGAGCTGAGGGGGGAACATTGTGACTGGTCTGAGGAAGCATGCCGTTCGCTTTCGCTGTTAATGGTGATGTATCTTGGGGCTCCATCTTTGATTGTAGATTACAGCAAGATTAGCTGTTTGGACTTAGAGGACCAGGAAGTTACCCATTAACTGCTTGCAAACATCATAGAGATCCATGGTAGGAAAGAAACCCCAGAGTCAGGGTCGGTGAACAGAAGAAACCAGGCTGTGAGAACAACTGAGGAGCAATTTCTGGATTTTGCTTAGTCGAAAAGGCCTCGGCCGCTTTGTCTTAGCATTGAGAACTCGTTGCGCAACATATGCGGGCAGTTGCGATACTAGACGGAGAGGACTAGGCCTAGACTTATTCCTATGAAAGATAGGCGTTCAAGTTTGAAGGCATTGGTCGTGCGAGTCGCCCGTGGCCCGCCTAGGGCTTTTGGAGTTAGAATGGCGCTTAGTGTCAAAGTAGTTTGGTACAATAGTGTGGGCATCCGATGATTCTGGAGGACGTTGAACCAAGCTCTCAGATGCTTTTGCAGAAACGAAGGCAGCATGGATTCGAAGGCACGTTGAAGAAGAAGAAGAGACCTTCCTGCCACCTAGACAGGCACTCACCTTCGATAGCACCCACCGCGCCCGAATGATCAAGACGCGTTTGACAACCATAGTGGACTTCACTTGCTTTGTCTTGGTCTGCAATGGCATCCTCAGTGCAGACATTTGCAATGAAGCTTGCACGTAATGACTACTTAGGTAGATTATATTTTTGAGAAGTGCAGAGACTTCCGAGAGAAAGCAATTCCTCTAGTGCGAGTCAAACAGTTCAAGAAAGCACCCGAGCCTCGAGGCGTGTCCCAGACGCCAAGCAAGCCGGAGGAAACGGATAAACAAAAGGCCTGAAAGAATCCAAAGTTGGTGAGGCTGAAGTTCCACAGTTGCGCCACGAGCTACGTCACTGTCCGGGCCTCACCAGCCTGCGTCGATCACCTAAAGTATTTTTGGCTTAGAGCCGCAAAACGCTTACGACGACTGTTGCTTCAAACCTTCGGTTTTGTACGACAATCGCATGCAATGGTGGCTCGATGACTTCAAGTCGCTTAGTGGTGGCTGAACGACCTTCTAAGGCCGTTTCAGTGACATATACGATGGAGATTCCAAGTTTTCTTTTGGGGCTCACTTAACGCATACGTATGTGCACGCCGCAGGCAGGGCCACTATGACTGTCCAAATCTACCTCCTAGGTATGGCTCTAGCGATAGTAGCTCTCAGCGCACCCCTCGGAATGCGATGCGACGCGATGCGCGACTTTCAATTCATAGTGTTGGCTCTCGATGTTCTTTGCCTGTTTACACTTTCGGCTCTTCCCACAAGAGGGCAGAGCTTGTGGAGCCGTGCTTTCCCGAGCTGAGAATGCCATTATTGAACATACGAGTAAATAGTTCCGTCTGAGGCACCTGAGCAGTCTAGCTAGGTTAAACTTTGACCAATTCCCTGGATTCATTCACAGCGATTTCGTAATCGAGAGAAGGTTCAGCTAAAGACCTCGCTCGTATATGAAGAGGAGCGTTGCAGACACCATCTCTCCAAATCCTTCTCTCTGTTTGCTTCACTACCTATATTAACAAAAACAAACAACTTCAACAAACTACCACTAGATTTTCCTCGCATACACACCACCATACTCAAACAATAATCAAACACTCTAACTCCCTCACAACCGCCAACATGAGCAAACCACCATCATCAACCGTAAGTCCTTTTACCATGTTATCTCATCTCATCTCACCCCCACACACCTACTACTCCATCCGTACTAACACCCCATCTCCAGAGCGACGTCCTCTTGTATTTCCTCGCGCTCTTCCTGCCACCACTAGCGGTATTCCTCAAAACAGGGTGCGACTCGAATTTCTTCATCAACATTCTGCTGTCGATCCTGGGCTGGCTGCCGGGCGTCATCCGTAAGTACCTGCTAGTCCATAGTCTCCTCCTTCCCTTCCGAAATACGAGATTGTGGGTTTTTCGCTGACCTTTGTATGTGTCGTGTTCGACATAGATGCCTGGTGGGTGATCTCCAAGTTTGAGCGTCCCGCTCCCGTCGTCGTGCAGAGGGTATAAATGTAATTGGGTTCCTCCCTGACCTCGACACCGCAAGTGTTGTCGTCGGCGTTACTGGGTTTGCAGGGCGTCTTTGATGTATTATTATTCAGAGCTTTCCCTGCTAGTGCACATGGATTTGGATTATGATACCAGGCGTTCATGGGCGATGGCCTTCTCATTAAGAGTCGTGATCCCGGCTTGCAAGACAGTCATGTAATATCTGTGTATTAGGAATATAAAGATTCGTGGTTTCAACGATTTATCACTTCTCTACTATCATTTTCACTGGCCTTTGAAGGGACTTGGAGAAGAGAAAATCATCTCAAATGGTGTTTGAATTTCTGTCTAGTGATTGGACGTCGGAGATGGAACCATCATGGCCATCAAAGACCAACTGCGCCAGGAAATCCAACTCGGACCTCGCAAGTATTAAACACAGGAACCAAATCGTCTTGAACAATCCGATCACGCATGAGGCGTGAAAAGAACGGCTGTACTCCGTACAACGAATTGAAAACAAAATTCGCTCTGACAATCGCTTCTATGGTCGTTTCTCATTTCCCGCTCAATATTCGCTTGGTTTCAAATCCGCTCATTCCTGATCCATCAAGAATCACTGTCTGTACCTTTCCCACACTGAACGTCGTCAGCCACGTTCCTGGAACATCATTTGCAAGGATTTTGATGCACATATGAATCTCTTCCTCCGCAATCGGAACGGACAAACTGCTTCTGATATCGTGGATGACCTGGTTCATGCCGAAAGATATCTTGCTCCGGGCTTGGCTGGGATTCTCATATAGTGAGGATCCGAGAGTGGCTCCAAGCTTCTGTTGCTGCTTCATTCGCAAGATGTCGACCACATCATCAACACGCCCGATGGCCCTGGATCGCAATATTGATTCTGTCGTCGGGGCAGTTTTGGAAGAGTTGGCCAGCTGTTTAGCTTTGACTCGGTCGAATAGTGAGAGTGTACGAGCCTTCAGTGCTTCGGAAGATGTTACGGTTTCTGCTTCGGGTTTTTCAATGTTTTGAGTTGCGGTTTGTACTGTTGAAACAGTCTTGTTGCTTGCATGTGTCCCTAGAATATGACTCCGAGCCAAGGATGCTTTTTCTCTCCGGACTTGCGTCTGCACACCCATCTGGATCTCAAGTCGTGGAAGAAGCGAGATGTCATCAGACAGCCAGCTGTTCGCCTTGCCCTGCTGACCAGTGAAACTCTTCTCGAGCTCTGTTTCATACAAATCTTGCAGTTTTTGCTCCTCGTACGAGTGTTGCCCCAAGACTTGACTACCACAGAATTCAAGATGGTATCGAACATTATTTCCCAGTCCAGCCAAGTTGAGTTTAAATGGGCTGTTCTTGAACCTCAACGTCTGCGAAGTGACATCAGGCTCGGAACCAATCTCATATATCGCCAGCATGCGTTGGATGTCCTCTCGTGAGACAGTGTCCTTCTTCCATATGCGGGTGATTGTGCCAAGGAAGGATGCCAAATCTGCTGGCGCGGTTGGACCGTTATGAGCAACGTGTATTGTGAAGGCCTTGAGAAAAGATCTGTGCAAACTTTTCAGATCTTGTAGCACAGGAGGCAGCTCCGGTTGATTTGATGCATGGCCAGAACACTTTCCGGTAAGAGATAGCCCGGCGAATTTAAGGGGGGTTGATATGTCAACATCGATTGCATCTTCTTCGGATTTTTGCGAAGTACTGGAGCTCTGTTGGAACAATTTGGCCTTCAGTAATGATCAGTATGGATGCTTCCTCAATACGTATCAATCAATGTACCTTCTTCCCACTTGCAGTACCTGGACACAAATTCTCTGCTTCTGGTTCATCATCGTCCTCAACCACCGGTCGTTTTCGTTTCGGCAGTTTTTTGTGTGGCTGTGGAACTTCTACCAACGGTGTGATCAACCGTTCACATGCGCGAGCTTTGGCGCTCAACTGTGGTTGCGTGGATTTGGTGACCTTGATGAAAGCTCGAAGTGGTGCCTGCCGTTTCGCAACACGGTTGCCTCGAGTGGAAGGTGCCATGGTTATTTGGGGAAGGAGCGACCACTAGTGTGCAGCAGGGTTGATACAATATATCCTGGAGTTCGGAGTTTGTTCGTAGTCTACAATAGTCCAACAGTAGTTCACGCGAACATCCAGCAGACAGTCAAATAATTGCCAGCAATTGGTGTTGGTGTGAATTGCAGTTTGGTGGGTAGAATCCGACTTAAGTCAATCCGAGGAAGGGGCGACGCGCCTTGGTTTTTGACACGACCGCGTCGCACTAAGCCTGATTAGGCTAAATTGATTCCCCAGCCTCGTCTCAAGCCTCTCGTGTGGTATGACGCACTTGGTAGTAATAATTTGCACATTATGGATACAGGTAGGTACGGATATCCTCCATCCTACATGCGGCGTATCCATACATATTTCGTACAGTGCCGTCCAACGCCTTCGCTAATAAACAATACAATGAGATGACGACTAGTCTTTCTCAGGAATCAATACCTGGTCCACCCTCAATCGTAAATCCGAGTTATCCTCAACCTGATCATCTTCACTGTCATGTTCTCGTTCTTTCCCCTTATCGACCTTTTCTTCTTTCTGCTCCTTATTTTGATTGAGCTGTTGAAAAACTTTGACGCGCATGGGAGATTTTTCTGGTTTAATCTCTGCATCTGATGATATGCCTCGAATCTCCTTGACCGGATCGTCATCGGGCCGCGGTTTTGGAGCAGGCTCGTCAAAAATTGTCGAAATAGCTTGAATTGCCATGCTCTCATCATCCACGGTCTTTAAAATATCCTTTCTGTCACTCCAGTATTCCAATCCGGAAATCTGGGCATTGGCAGCTTCAACAGCTGCCAGGAGATTATCAATTCTTCGACTTTCTGTATCGTCCTCGGGTTTGTCATCGTCTTTGTGTTTCTGACGATGCTGGCGAGCTTCATTCGCGGTCTCCTTGAGAAAGGACAACAGTTGTCGCCTTGAGTTCTGGAAGACAAGAAAGGACATGATGTCTTGAATATGATCCTTGAGGTATGCGAGTTCTTCTCCACCCTGATCCACGAATTTCTTGACCACTTCTACCTTCTCTCGGTCAATTGTGGCGAAGCGGAGAGCTTTGAGTAGACTGGCAATGTCCTTGACATCTTCAGGTGGCTGCTCCAAGTCGAGAGTACTTTGAAAGCTCATGTAGCTAGTGGGTCGGGCGGTTTTACCTGGCCCATCGACCGCACTTACTGGGCTCCGATCTCTCTTGGAATGAATGGTGAAATAATCACCAGTTAAGTGATGAGCAGCACCCAATGAACCAGGCCTGCGCGTACCATGATCAGGGTCCTTCTTTGATCTTTTCCTCAACCAACGGCGTTGTCTCACAAAAGAATGAAACCAGGGATGGGTTCCGTGCCAGGCGAATTTTCGACCAAAAGCAAACGAGTATTGCCAGCCTTCTTCGTCAACGTCGTGACTCATATCCACGTACCAAGATTTCCAGGTCCATTCCCAGCTAGGGTCTGGGACTTGAGCATTAGTGATATTGACGGGCGAGTCTTTGTAGTCCTTGTTCACCCACGGGCTTGGATCGATTGGCATAAGTGAGGAATGTGAGTAAAGAGGGATACCACAGAAGAAGGCACCACGTTGATTCTCGTAAAGAATATCGTACTCGTAGACACGATCTTTGTGCTTCTTTGATCCTGGAGATTTGCGAACCGACTTCTGTCGACCTCGGGCGGTAGATTCGCCCTGTGCGAAATCAACAGTTTGGGTTTCTGCTCGAGTTTCCGGCGGAGATTGTCCGTTCTTTGGAGCTGAAGCCGTGGCAGTGTCGGTGGATGGCTTTGTGCCATCATCCTCAGTCACAATACTGCTTGTCTTGGAGGACAGACGATCTTCTTGCCATTTTGCATATTTTCTCCGTACAAGGTGGTCTTTCAGAGAAGATTTTGTAGGTTTTTTTGCTAGTTGTCGCCAACTTGGACTTGGAGAAGCTGATCTTTGGTCTGCTTGGTCTGAGGATGTAGTGGCATCGATTAAAGAGATCTCATGATCGTAAGGATCGGGGGCACCATCGACGGTAGAGACGCGTGTGGCAATGTGGGCGACATTGTTGGACATGCCTTGAGAAATAGTTCAGGAGGATGTTTAAGGGGGGATTGGTAGTTAGGTTTCAAGTCGAGCGAGTTTAAAACATGATCAGGAAGACTCTATTTATTCGCTGGCGCTGACGCGGCTCGAGGCTTGAGAGGGCCAGTCTTGGGAATAGAATGTGATGGAGTATTCGAGGGACTTTTGTGAGGTTATGTTGTTAATATGAAGGATATGTGCAAGACGACACTGAAGAGAATGTAAAAGAGAGTTTAGAGGTCGGGACAATAGGTTGTTCTGGATCTTGACGGCCACAACGTTGAAAAAGCAAGAATCATGTTCGGAGTTGAATTGCAGGCTGCAGGCAAGCTGCAGGCAATGCTAGGCATAGAACAGGCGTGAGCTTGCGGGGAAGCAAACATGGCAAAGATGTGACGGGAATGGGCAAGTGCAGCCACGACCGAGACTAAAACCTATGGCAACAATAATGCTGTCATACTACCAAGTACGAATGATGTCACAGCTTTTCACCACTGGCACTCCCACCCCCAACCTTCAAGTCCAACCCTCCAGCTTCCACCAGTCATGCAACAGTACAAAGCAAAGCAAAGCACGGCAACTGCGTTTCTCAATCATACCACACCTTTCCTCACTACCATCCTGACAACCACAACCTGGCTTCCTGAACATCCTGGTGTTTGTTTGTTCCCAAAATTGATCGATTCTCCTCCAGAAATCCTCCCTTCCTCAATCACTTCAAACACACCCCACTCATCATGTCGAGACGAGGATTGACCGTTGGTGGTCTTGCTGTGGCCGGTGGTGTTGGCTACTATCTTTACTCGGCTGGCGGTGATCCGAAGGTTGCCCAGAAACAATTCGAAGGCAAGAACTCCCCAGCACGGTGACACGTCGGCCTTGCTAACTGATACCGTAGCCGATGCTCACAAGGTCTCAGCACAGGTGAAGAGTGAGATCCCCGGTCGAGAGAAGGAGGCCGAGAAGAAGGGCGAAGTTCTCGCACAACAAGCTGGCCAGAAATTTGACCGAGCGGTAATTTCACCTTCAACTGTCAATTGATAGCAACACCTACTAACTCGAGGTAGTCTGCTGATGCAAAATCCAAACTCGCCGAAGCCGAAGCCAAAGCAAAGGAGGTCCGGGACAAGACTGGAAAGGAACTCAACAGCGCCATCGACAAGTTCGACAAGACTGTGGAAGACAAAGCCGCAAAGGCAAAGAGTGGCATCAGTGGCTGGTTCAAGTAGAGCTGTTGCATGCTATGCGCTCTTGATTGCGGTGGATGTAAATGTAATGCCGATGGCGTTGGTCCCTCACATATGTGTATAATCTTGGTCTCAGCCTTCAAGGGTCAATTTGTATCCAGTCCATGCTCCGCATCTTCATAGTTGAGAGAAATGAGATCCTCCCTCTAAGAAATGTATGACAATTGACTTCTGACCCACGTAGAACCCCTCCCAACGGAAGGTATGATTTGCAGGCGATGGATCTCCGACAATATTCGGTCAATTATTTATCCATTCCCCCTCATGATCGATGATAATGCAGTGGGTTCGGAATGAACTTGATGTTTCACCATTTCTCAGCTTATTGCCCCAGTCATTTCGCCTCGTCATGACCTATCATAGATTCTTGTTGAGCTCGCAACGGTCCGAGTCTTATCGGCTCGTTCCAAGCCCAAGCAATTGCATCAGTTCTGACCAGAGCGGCTTCGTACAATCACCAGGTCTAACGGCGGCTGTTCTCTTGAACGGCTTCTTACCCAGGCACGCTATTACGCGTCTCGCATGAAGAAACCCACTGCCAAGGTGGAAAGTAGTGATTTGCTTGGAGGGGCAGCTTCACAATCATCTGGTGCCAAGGAATACTGGTAGAACTCGCATGACTGTGGACCATCAACTGCTTCACTTACCAGGCCGGTTTCATAGATTCACTCGTCAAGTCGATACACAGGAGCCGCACTCGCTTCGTGATAATCCAAACCGATTTGATGCGTTGGCCTTCCGACTGTACTACGGGCGAATGAGGCCTCAACGCACAGTCACACGCATGAACTGATCGTGCTTGCCGTTGCTGTGTTCGATTTCACACCCGCCTTCCTCAAAAGGTGACCCTGGCCTTAAAAAGGTCCTGGTGGGTTTTTTTCTCTTCTGCACCTCTAGTTCCCATCTTCGTGTTGAGTCTCCAGTGATCAATTCATCCGTCATCCATCAAGATGGCGTCGTTTTTCAAGAAACTCAAGGATGAAGTCAAAGAACTTCTGAATGATGACGATGACAAGGACAAGGACAAGAAAAAGAAAGATGATGAGCACACCAAATGTGGGAACTTCCCAGGAACCCTTATATTCCTTCATCCTCAAGAGAAGCTGACGCGTCCTATTGTTTAGCGCAATCTACCGATCCCAACTTGAACAAGCCTTCTGATCCTTACCCTCAACAGCCTCAGTATGGCCAACCACAATACTCACAAGGTCAGCCGCAAGACCATTACTCGTACGGTCAACCACAACAACAGCCTTACGGTCAATATGGGGGTGGCCCTCCTCCTCAAGCGGGATATGGCCAACCTCCATCGGGTCCACAACTTCCACCCGGCTGGATCTCACAGTGGGATCCGAACAGCCAACGTTACTATTTTCTCGAGCAAGCCACTGGTCGCACTCAATGGGAACCTCCTGCGCCCGCATGGGGTCCTGGAAGCCCACCCCCGGGTCCACCTGGAGGAGCACCGGGCTTTTACCAGAATTATGGCCAAGCCATGCCAGCCGTTCCACCTGTCGCCGGTCACGATGATCATGCGAGAGCCTTCTATGGTGTCGATCCTCCTAAGGACAAGGATAAGAAGGATAAGAAGGACAAGAAGGACAAGGATTCAGGAACAGGCAAGCTAGTAGCTGCTGGTGTTGGTGGCGCTGCACTTGGAGGTCTTGCAGCTTTGGCTTTGTCAGATGACAGTGACGATGGTATGAACCCACTAAAGCATCAATCTAAAGCTAAGATTTGAGATGCAATAAAGACTAACCTGGCCACAGACCACAAGGCTGCCGCCCCCTACGCTCCACCGCCATCAGGAGGCGGCTACGGAGGTTATGGAGGTTATGGCGCGCCCCCTCCAGCTGCTGCCCCACCGACAGAGCCCCCACTCGAATACAATCCAGAATTGTCGTCAAGTCAGCGTTCGTCGTTGCAAGAAGCACGCGAAGACCTCGAGGAGGCCAGAGCAAATGCTGCAGATTCCGACGCCTCGAGTAGTGACCTTGAAGAGCTCCGCGAGGCTGAAGAAGAATATGCCAGTGAAGTTGAAAGCGCGCATTCTGAGCTTGAGGATTGATAACCTTTTCTGCTGGGAGGGCGGATTTTTCAACCCTAGCTTCGAGCTTCAGTGGCAGGACAGGATTTGATATAAGTTCGGGTTTTCCTACCTACACTGCTGCCGTTTTCCCACGGATAGCTTCAACAATTCCTCTTCCGTTTGCAGGAATAGGAGTGAAGAGGTTTCTAGAGCTCTCACCTTACCCAATGGGTCTTGCTGTAGATGTGCTCAGCAGATAGAATTCAGAGAGCACTTCAATCACTGGCCGATGATCCCCTTTCCTTGTTGTCAAGTCTGAGTCAAATCGCCTTAATCATGAGCACTTTCTTCCCCTCTTCCTTCCACTCTCTGGCTTCCCAACCCTGTTTCAGCAGAATCGCATACATCTTGCCAAACGTAGCTGGAAAAGTCGCCACACTGAGGCCATTCACACCCTTCGAGCGAGCATGATGTTGCACTCGACTCATTAGCGCCGCAAACACACCACTTCCCCGAGCCCTCTCCGAAACACCCGCAAGCCAGACATGTAGCGTCGGAAACGGCAAAGCAGGCTCGGTCTTGACAACCGCAAACACGAAGCCGACGACTTCTCGAGCTTGAGTTTGAACTTGAACTTGTCCTCCCCGCTTTGGCATTCCATCCGCGCTTGCAGGATCTATTGATTCATCAGGTGCAGTGGATCCGTAGACGAGGATTGAATCCTTTTGCCTCAAGCGAGCGCACCATTCGTCCAGCGATGAATGGTGTGTCGGCTCTGAGGCGGTCGTGTTGAAGATCCGGTTCGATAGTCGGAGCACTGGTTCGAGTGATGTGCGCGGAGAGGATGCGTCTAGTGTGTGCAGGGTGAAGGGTGGTGGTGGTCGTCGTGCTTCAGTCCCGATGGTCATGTTGTGGGTGAGTATCAACAAGCTAGCTATTTGGTATGGTGCTCTTTCTGGCCTCGGTTGTGAGCGAAGTAGGCACTATCCATCGCTTCAAAATATGAAGACGCTATTGGTACCGTAATTCCTATGTGATCGGACTATGGATCATTCCGGGACGACTCAAGTGTTTGTAGTCTGAAGCTTGAAATTGCCGAAGTTGGAACTTGGGTAAAATTTGACTTCACGGCAGTCTTGCCTCGTTGGGATGAGAGCCTTGCTGCCGTAGCCCTACCTTGCGGTTATGAGGTTACAACTGCCCTTGGAAACATGTTCAATAGCCGTTGAAAACACGTTCATTAGCCGTCATTGATTTCTCAATCCGTTGTTATCGTAGAATAATCCGATGCGCGCATCGCTGTCTGTGATGAAACGAGATGAATACGGAACACGAAATGGGAGGGACGAGTTGTTGCACCAAGGACGCTCGTCTATCCGTGGTTATCGATAGACTAAACCCCTCTCTGAAAGTGGGGAGGATTAACTAGGGTTTTTCTCCGCCTGGTTTGGACCATTCGGCGTTAGATTGCCTGCAGTGATTCATGAGATCATTTGACGTTTTTCGTCTTGTGCTCTGGACAGACCGCTGACTTTCAGTTCGCAACAACATTCAAGAGGGACTTCTCCTAGCAATCTCGCCAAACCTGCTAAGCCTTGTGAGAGAGTGATAGTGCGGATAGCGGGGGATCATACTCCAAACGGGCTAAGCAGCCACCATCGGATCATTCTAGCCTGACACGGTATGATAGCCGGATCTTCAACGGTGAAGCTACTACGAGATACTTCAGAGCTATCGACACAAATGAGACGCGCTACTCTTTTCGTTCAAGTCCTCTGATCATTTAGGAAAATATTCTCACTCTGTTAGCTTTGTCTCCTTACCCGAGTCCGCGTAAGCTTTGCTAACGTTGACCAATGGAGTAATGACACACCGGGATGTTTTACTGGAGACGAATATGGTTGGCACGCTTGATTCGTCAATTTGCCCTACCTACCCCAGGTCCAGGTTTGCAGCCGATGGTCTTATCGGAAAATACCCTCACTGTCTGGCCAATGGACATTTTTAAGCCAACGGGATCACTCATATCCGGGTATGAAGTAGATTTTGACTTCCTTGGCCGTTCAGTCCCAGACAAGAAACTCGACACCACAGATCCTTGCAATTCGAAATATTGGGACTACCAACGACCAGGGCAATTACCCGGGACGAACTGTTGACGTTATTGAACAAAGTAAAAACCATCGCTTAGGGACGAGGCCACCCGATTCGGATGGCATACCGAGGATGCTGGCTGATGATCATATCTGCCAGGGACCAGGCAGCTTGTTCACGATGAGATATTCGCGATATAAAAGAACCCGGTAGAGGTCTACTATCCATATTTTTGTAAGTTCTTCAGGCTCAACATCTGACTTCGACCGTCCTTTTTCTTTTCAGTTACCACACATTCGTTCGTCATCATGACACGCACCACTCCTGTAGTATTGCTTGCCTCTGTGGCACTTCCACTCGCTTTCGCCGCCAACACCGGCAGCTTTGATGTCTTGACTTTTAATGTTGCTGGCTTGCCTTCCATTCTTTCCGGAAATGATGTGCCAGGTGATAAAGAGACAAATTCACGGGGTATTGGGTCCAAGTTCGCTGAATATGACTACGATGTCATTCATGTACAAGAGGTGTGTACAGACAAGACAGCTGCAAGAGCTTCTACAAATACTAACAGTCTGAAGGACTTCAACTATCATGCATACATCTACGAAACAGACGACCACCCATATCGGACGGCAACATCTGGTGGAGTTCCGTTCGGCAGTGGTCTGAACACGCTTTCCAACTTCAATTGGATCTCATATGACCGCATCAAATGGGATTCTTGCTATCTCAACGACGGCGACTGCTTAACGCCCAAAGGATTTACCGCCATGCGAGCGCAAATCGATGAGGGGGTCTACATCGACTTTTACAACCTCCATGCTGATGCTGGGTATGCTTTCCCTGGGGAAGCCCTGCAATCCATGCTATAGCTTATGCTGACTTCTCCGTGCCAGCTCCGAATCAGGCGATGTCCTTGCACGCCAAGCAGGTATCGTCCAGCTGATCAACTACATCGAAGCCAATTCAATTGGAAACGCCGTCGTCGTCTTCGGTGACACGAATGATCGGTACACAAATGCAGAAGTGCCCGTTTCCATGCTTACCACCCAGCTCGGGTTCAAGGACACTTGGGTGGAGCTCATCAAGGGTGGAGTTACGCCGATATCAGGAGCTCCAGCCGATCCATGTGGCAAGCCAGCGGCTTCCAATCAATGCGAGATCGTTGACAAAGTGCTGTAAGTTTTTCGCTCGAAGATATTAATTGGCAAAGCCTGACTTGTAATTGTCCAGATACCGCGGCAGCCGCGCCATAAGTCTGTCGGCCTCAGGCTGGAATTATGAAACCTCCAAGTTCTTACAGCCAGATGGCAATATTTTGTCGGACCACAATCCAATCACGGTGGACTTTTCTTGGTCACGGTCAAACACGATCAGATTGAGCGATCTATCTGGTGGGCCTCACGGGTATGTGTTCCTCATGCTATGCACTCGAAAAGACTGCTGGAGCCTCTTCCTGGTCCATTCATTGCTAATCTTTAATTTGCTCTGATATAGTAACTGGTTCAACGACCTGGACTCAATCCCCAGCTCTTCCAGCGGCACCAACAAGCCGTCCAAAATCTCCTTCCGAGGCGCCAACCGCCTCGACAGCGTCAGCCTGACCCTCACGTCCGGCACGACATACACGCACGGCGGTACAGGCGGCAGCCTCGTGGAGCTCACGCTCGAAGCCTCCGAGTACTGGACACAGGCGAAGCTCTGCCGGGGACAGAAGAATGACCACACGCGAAACTTCTACATCCTCGCGACCACGAGTTCGGGACGCACGCTGAGCTCCGGCACGTCGACCGGCGATTGCAGTTCCTTCGCTGCACCTGATGGATGGCAGATTGTTGGATTTCAGGGACGCGATGGTGATGAGTTGGATCTTCTGGGCTTTATCTACGCCCCGCAGTGAACGTTCAGTCCTGTCGTTCGGCTTCAATGTTTTCTTTTTGTACTTGACGCCCAGACCTCGTAACTCACAGAATAAGTTAATGGAGATTACCAATAATCAGTTTTTTCGAACTATATCGAGACTATGTTAAACACTCGGGATCTTCGTCTCTGCCATGCAATAATTTACTGTTAATAAGGAGGTGAAAACCAGGGGGGTTAAGTACACCATTCAAGGGCGAGCCCCTTGCCGCTGTAGCCTTGTTAGAATCGTTGCTCGGAAAGTAGCGGAAAGGTCAGAATAAACCGCTTCAATCTGCCGCACTGTTTGATTTAGATACACCTCAAATTGTCGTCTCCCAAAGACATCTTTCCGAATCTCCGATCGCGCGTTGGCGACTCACATACGACACTATCCATGGTGACCACTACCAAGCAGATTGTCTCGTAATTCAACACGCTTCCACCTTCCCACATGATCATATCAACAACAATAATTCTGATATCACCTAAAACTCACCCCTTGGCAGGCCTCATCCAAACCGTCAAATTTGGCTTTTGATAGTTCGGCCCAAAGACGTCTCGCCACGGCAAATGATCCGCTCGTGGACTGTGAAAAACCAAGTCAGCATCACCAATCAATGCCCATCACTAGAAACAAAACAGCAACACGTGCAAAACCACATACCTCTCATCCGCCAACTCCAGATCAAACTTCCTATAAGTATGTGCAAAAACCATACGCAGCTCGGCCCAGCCAAGATTGAAACCAAGACACATTCTGGCGCCTTTGCTGAATGGGACAAGATACTTCTCGAGTTCCTTGGCTTGCTCGCCCTGCCAGCGCTCGGGCTTGAAGACGTCTGGCTCCGGGAAGATAGATTCATCGTGGTGCACGAACCACGAGCTTGTGCTCACAACAGTCTGAGTTAATATCGTCAGTAGTTGATATAAGCTCACGAGTGTTTCCCCCAGTTATGGGACGGAATCCTCCTTACCCCGGCAGGCACCTTGTTGCCATCGACCACCGCACCACCCGCAGGGATGATTCGCGGCAATCCACTTGGAATGCCCGGCCCAATGCGGAGCGACTCCTTGATTACGGCGTTCAAGAACGGCATCTCTTCGAGAACGCTGAGCTTCGGCTCCCTCCCCGGCACCAGATCTGGCCAGTACTCCCTCAGCTCGTCCTGGAGCTTCTGCACCAAGTCTGGCCGTTTGAGGAGGTAGAATGTCCCGACCATGATGACGTTGGCGGTCGTGTCGCCGCCGCCGAACATCAGTGCTTGGCTCTCCTCGTACAGCGATTTGGCACTCGCCGGGCCTCGTGACTTGTGCGATTTCGGGTCCAGGAGGATGTGGTAGATCGTTGTCTTGTGTGGTAGCGTCTCTAGTGTCTCCGGGTCGTTCACGTGTCGGTCGATTTGCTTCTTCAGGAGCTAGAAATCTCATTTCAGTGTTGTATCAGAGGGATGATGTTGTCCCGGACGGATACACATTGTAGGGATACGTACCACCTGCATGTTGATGAGACCCGCCGTCTCTGGGGCTGACTTCTTAGCCATCTCCGGCGGCATGCCCATGATTAGTTTCCTGATGATTTTGAAATGGAAGAACACGGGGACCAGGGCAGTCGAGTTGTGCATGGCCTCTATCAGTGGATCATGGAAGTCGGGTTCGTCAACGGCGTTTCCTGATTGCCCAAAGCAGAGGTATGTGATCACATCCATCGTCACGCAGCGGAAGGCGAAAAGGAGGTCTGAAGGCTTCCCAGCCGCGTTTTGCCGAGTCAGCGCTGCGCAGAAATTGTTCACCTGAAGAGGGTCTCAGCAAGATACCAAATATGATCGCTGAAAGTCCGTTTTGGGAGTTTGACCTTCATGAGTATGAGATGCTCTGCCTCTTCGACTGCCTTTGGCGAAAAGATCTTCGAGAGTACATCACGGCGTTCTTTTGCCTCCAAGTGAGAGACATATCCGAATGATGACTCGTCTTCACCGAAGGAGTGATATAGTGCAGCATCCTTATCCCACCGATTTTTGGTGTTATAGATATCAAAGAACGCATCGGTGCTTTGGAAATGAAGCTAACTCAATGTCAACCAGGGTTTCCAGACACATTTTGACAGTTGGCAACCGGCAATCGGGACGTACCTCATGAGGCTGTATTCGAACAACGGGACCTAAAGGAAACAACAAGAGACGCCATTGGCACGACAACTCATTCTCTCGCGAACAGTGGAATTTCTCTTACCATAGATCTTATGCAGGTCGATCAAGTGATGTGTGAAAGATCCTGTGCATTGATAGTATGCTTTCCAAAGGCTCGTGGCAGCCGCGAGGCGGGGTCCAGGAAAGGCCGACAACGGATGTAGAAATAGTCGATAGACCGCTCTCAACACAATGTACAACGCACCATAGGCGACCACTGAGGCCAGAATGGAGATCGCTGGCCTATCACGGATAGAGGTTATTGTAAGATAATCCATGGTTGCTGGCCAGCTTCCTTGACAATTTCGGAACTTGTGATATCCTTGAATTTATCACGCGAGTACATACACCAGTGTGTCTTCGAAGAGGGGTATATCAAGGTCACAGAAGCCATGCCTACCCCCTTCTTGATGTGTTGGTTGGCATTGTTGGTCAGGGAAGACCAGTGCATTTGATTGGTGTCGTTAATCGTCCGAGGGTGCCGTTCACTACACTGTATTGAATAATGACAGGGTTCTCTTTGCATTGATGCATTCCGGGTGACCTGGTAGTTATCCCCCGAATGAATTTGAGCAAACCAAAACACCCCTGTCGATTATGCGGGCGGGCGGCCAGTCCCTTCAAGGCCATTGCGGAAGCTAATCAACTCTAAAATATGCAGCTAAAGACCGGATGGGCTATTGAATTGAGCATCCGGACAAGGATCGCAACTCGTTGCATTTGTCCCTGTTTGTCGATATGCATCAAAGTCGTCTGGGCACAGATCGTGGGACTTTGGTAGGTGGATGTGGAAGCGAAAGGGCCATTCAAGCTTGTGTGTGGAAATATTTTCCGGGGGCTGAGGTTTCCTCAATCGTTGTTGACCGGGTTCATGGAGATCAAAGTCCGAATTAATGTTTTTAGAGCAGAATATCGTTGCGTTCATCAGACATGTTTAATCGGCGATGACTTACAGGTATTGTGTTCATATTGGAGTGGAAGAGTTATATTATTTCGATTCTGGTGGCTTCTGGCCATAACAGCATGAAATCAGCTGGTATGTATGAACATCTTTGGATCGTAAAAGCTTTCGGGTCTTTGCGATATGTACCCGAACTTCATCAGCCGTCCACTATCAAAGTCAGCCTTCAGTACGGTGAGGGAACTGGTTCAGGACGCACTCCATGATAGGTTGTGAACAAAAACATTAGCCAGCCTTCCATCCCCTGCTCCCAGTTGACGCGGTTGTACAAGCCGATTTCCTTCAGCTTTCGATCCTTCGGCCACGGGCCAATTGGCCACTTGAACTTCTGGTAAGTCACATTTATGAAGCCGGCAGCTTCCATGAGTTCTTTAGTTTGGTCCACAATTCGCAAAGTCTTCCCAAATTTGTCGCCAGCAGTAAGGCTGAGTTCACCCCAATGCTCCAAGGTTGTTCCTTTTATAGTATCGTCATCACTGTAAGGGACAACACCTACCTCAGTCTGCTCAAACCAACCTCCTGGCTTAAGATGGTCCTTCACTTGCTGGTATAATTTACTATAGTCAGATACGCTGCCATACAAGGCGCGTGCATGAATGAAATCGAAGCTCTCTTTCGTGTATGTCCATTCTAGCTCGAAATCGTCAACTTCGAATTGAAGATTTGGAGGAATGACTGTCGGTTGAATGGGCGATAGGTCGTTTCCGGTCACAGTCGCCGAGGGATGCTCATCCGCGAACTGGATAGGCCATATGCCAGTCCCTGTGCCGATATCCAGCACACGTTGCGGCGTAGGTCCGATGGGAGCGAGGAAGAGTTTCCCGTCAAACGTGAGTCGAAAGATGTGGTGTGATATATCAAGAGAGTCCTGATGTGTCTCGTCGTTCGGACCCCTTTCATTCAACGTGTCAATAGCACTGAATCCGTGGCATAGATAAATCATGAGCCAGTTGAAGAAACCTACCAATATTTCCCCGCTTGGTAGGAGTTGTATCTTCGACCATTGTTGTACGTATACTCTCTGACAGCCGATTGAAGCGTCGCAGTCTCTGAAGCAATGTCATCTCCACCGTATGCCGAATCTAGACCATCATCATCTTCAACTAGGATCTGAGCAGTTTGGGCTGCCATTGCGGGTGGTGAATGCTTCGAATACGTAGGAAAGAGGCGAGGTTGATCAGAACTTGGCTATCGTAATACCTTCACTTCTTTTTGTCGGCATTCTTCGCATAGTTCATTTGCAATAAATGTGGACTCGCCACGAATTGCACATCAGCAGATCCTGCTCAATGCCGGCGTTGCTAGATTGAAACCCACTCGAGCGTGGAGGCCGGTTGGGTTAGAGGCGGCCTTCATGGTGTGTAGCTCAAGTGGCTCCACTACTGCAAGCTGTGGGAGGCACAGGGGTGCTAAGAGGTAGAGAAACCCGTTGTGGTGCAGTCAGGCATTTGAGCAGATGGCTTACCAGCGAGTAAGCACCGTCGGACATGATGCCAGCAGTGGTGGTAAGGAGCTAATGCAGACTGCAGCACACCTCCCATGCAAGAAGCAACTGTGCCTTCGTAAGATCTGGTACGAAACGCCACTAGGAAGGCAGCCTACTCGTACGGAAAAGCCTTTTGTCGAAGACACGAGAGCTTCATGACTCAGGCTTATCTCAGATCTCGAGCATGCATGACACGGCGTGCACCTCCCGATGCTTGCGAAAAATCTAGAGAGATGCTCTGTTCAATAATGTGGGAGGTTGGAGTTACCCCGTGGCTTGAGACTTCTTCAACTGGGTGAATACCCGAGATCTCTCCACGTGGTTGGTCTGGGGTGCCTTTTGACTTCTCAGTCCCGAGAACCCCTCAATCACCTAGGTGGAATGGTTACTACCTTGGTCATCAGGCACGACCAACAGGCTTGAATTTGTCGATCTGGGCGTGCATTTTCGGAAACTTCTTGTCTATCCATCAACTTTGCTTTTTAGTCCTTATCGATCGCGCAAAGGTACCAATATAGAGGAGTAACATCATTCTTTCGAGGGGCCCCCAGAGTATGTTTGTAGTTCCCCCGTGGCTAGTTACTGGAATAAGTGGCACTCATCAACATGGTGGTTCTCGCTCGCACAGGTTCATTGTGATGCTGCATTCGAGATAACTCGATTTATGCGAAGTTTGGATCCTATGCACCTGGACGACCTTCACAGGACTATCAGAAGTGTTCACAGTCATTGCAAAACTCGTACACCCTTGGTTGACTTGACAGATTCTCTAAATGTGCAAATTTGATGACTAACTTGGTAGTTTGAGTTGGACTGAGGCATAGTGCTTTGCAAGGATAAACATTGAGGGTTTTAGTGGTACAATGTCACAAGACATAAATTTCGTCAAAGTCGAGGCTGCTCGACCGTCATTACATGTCCGCCACCAGGATATGCTTTGAGCCCGACCTTCCTACTAGCGACACCGATTCGGCTCTCTTCGAACATATCTTTAGTGTCGTCTACACGACGGACTCGCTTCTCAATTGTGTCTTCGAGTGCCATGGCAGATAACCCTTCAACGCTTAGCCGAGCAACCATATCGCGGGAGTCGCGGGAATTGGCCATCCATGCTCGAATAGCAAGCACGACTCCGAAGATGATGTACAGTAAGTTGCTGACGATGAGGAAACTGAATGCAAGGGCACTCATCTCAGTTACCAATAGGCTTTCGGTCGTAGCTTCGACAGTGTTCTTTCTTGGTGACATCACGCTCGCAATCAAGGTCAGAGCGTCGACCGAGTGAGAGTTAGAAAAGCTGCGGGCCATGCCGTTGGCACTGTCTGACAAGCTTGCAAGGCTCTGACTCTGTGAAAGACTAGGCATACCCTCGGCCTGCATGCCGTGAGCGAGTTCAATCATGCTGCCGTTGCTGGTAGGAGTATATGTGAAACTGTTTATCGATCCATTTACCCAGGTATATATTACATCGTAAGATGTGACGGTGCAATTCAGGCTGTATGCGATGAGCGAGCCACCTAGTGAGAAGACATCGGCATCTGCACTGAGACTCTCACCTGCAGCACCATTCTGCACTGGAATCAAACCGGCTGTTGCCAGGTGAATTGGGTTGATCAACTTAGAATCTGGCAATGCTAGATCACCAGAGGAGCCACTGTTGGTAGGACTCCCTCCGATTGAGTTGTAGATCTGAGCCATCTCCGAATCCGAAAAGTATGCGTACTGGAAATTTCTGTCGAGTTTGACATTAAAGTCAGGTGTTGTAGAGTCTGTCTGGGTCCAAACAACGGAATCTTTCGCAACATCTGGGCTAGCGCCTAAAACGCCACGGAAGTTCTCGGTGCAGTTGAACACAACGTAGGAGTCTTCAGGGGAGGTATCTTCAGACATTCGGACTTGGCATTGCTTCGTCGAAGGAATGCACTGAGTGGAAACGCCAACGGTGGAAGCACTATACTCAACCCCCACCGATGCGTTCGTGGCCTGAGGCATCAGCACCATCAGATCTCCCTGCTGTAAGTCGTCTGCCGTGACTTTCCATATAGTGTTGGAGATGGATACATTTCGTCCCAGGGAAATGATCTCACCAGAGTCTCGTGCAATGAAATTTGCGCCCACGGTTGCATCTGCAACTACTGTGCAAGGTAAGCCTTGGTTCAGACTCCTGTCAAAGTCAATACATTCTGGAGATATTCCACGCCCAAACGAAAGGAGAGGCTCTTCTCTGATCGTGTTTCGGTTGTAAGATACAGTGGATGTGAAAGTGTGGATTGCAGTGTCGGCACAGAATATGAGAGCGGCAAGTACCGCACTCATAGACAAGACACAAGCCGATCTGCTCAACAGGACTGGCTGCTCTGCTTTCACTTTGTTTATCCGATACAAGAAATATTTCCGTAGCTCATCGAGCGATCCTGCCGAGAGCCCGACCAACATGCTGAGCTGATGAGGAGTCGGGAGTTGTTGAACATCCCCAACCCTGGTTAGAAATGCAAGGTTGCACGCCGTTGGGATATGCCACAATGCCATCAAGCTGCCCAATAGCATAGGGGCGAGAGTGCTGCTCCATGATGCTATGAATGCAAGTCGGGTAGCAGAGAAGTCAATCAGAATGATCAGCCCATCTTTACGTCCATCAGACTCGACGAGGAACGGATGGGGAGGAGTCTTGGGTAAGCGATACTTGAGGACAAATCCCAAGACTGCCACCGTGAAACCCAGTATTGGTACTGTAACGATGAAAGTGGTCCAGCACAACGCCAAATTGCTGAATTTTGGTTCTTGCTTCGTCTGTATTAATGAATTGAATGACGACCTTCGAGAGAGGTATATCGCTTTCTCGGGAACAGGCAAAGCCTTGTTGATGTCTAACTCGTCAAATTTCAATGTCCCGGCTCGACCGTGCTTAGATGGATTATGAAAGGCAAAATTAGAAATCCTCCGTGATGTCCGCCGACTTCTGCGTGGTGGGAATGGAATCTCGGTTTCGACTTCGAGGACGCCCATTTTGGTCGGGCTGATTTACCCCGAAAGCTCCTGCTTCAACACATAGGGTATGGGTGAAGCTGTGTAACGGGAAACGAAACTCTTACATACTCGTAGTAAAGTGCAGTTTCCATTGCATGCGAGATCGTATTGTGTAGTCTGCGACATCAGAAGCGGTTCACTCAAAACATGTCGGTCTGCAATATTGTCGTTTACAGCCCCAATTTGATTGGACGTCCCATAGATCTGGTAACTCCAACCGCCAAAGAAGGGCGCGTATGCCGGCCACGCTTCAGACCTACACAGGTCTTGCAGCTGGAAGATACCGGGCCTATCATGATAAAGTGCAAAAGCAATAGTCAGAGTGATGGAGACAACGTAGCTGCTTCAGCAAGCCTGGTTTCCTACTGGGGGTGGCTGAATAAACCCTGGGTCAATCTGTCCAGGGGTATGGCTAACCTTTGGCGCGAAAATCGAGGTTGGATATCGGACCTCTACCAAGCAGCGAGAGAGTCGTCACTTCATTCTTACAGCACGTACCTGTCATCACGATGTGACGATAATATAGGCGATCAGGAACAGAAAGATGGCGAGCAATGAGCACTAGTGCAAAGATCGATACGCGTGATGCAGATAGAAGCGCAATGGGTGTGAACAACTAAAATTGAGACAGAAGATTCGGAGAAATGTTGTTCCGTTTCTTCATCAAATTTCAAATGACGACACCGCCCCCAGCAAACAATTGAGCCGTGAGTTTCAAGTTGGACGTTCGCAACTCGCCATCTGATCCATTCAATATCGCAACAATGTCCGCATCATTGGCTCCTGAATGCAATGAGGTGAAAGAGTGAGTTTGAATCGTATAGTAATTGAACAAGACCTGATCCATCCCAGAAAATATGACACCTGTTTCTTGAAATGGTATTCCGAGAGTAGGTAATTCCAGGCACCATCAGCATGTCTCAACATCTGTCCAAGGCTCATTGATCTCAACAGAATATATTCGAGGCAACTCATCAACCGACGAATGCGAACCTCTATTTAGGCAATACAAGAGCTGTCTGACTGTGAGTCAACTTGTCATCGATTGTCCCCAGCTTGTTTGACCGGAGTACAGAAAGCTCTCAAGGAGCGAGGTATCGACAGCATGTTATCTGATGCTCGAGAGAGCACCAATGAAACTGATGCAGAGCATCTGCGGCGATGATCACAGTGGCATTTGAGGTGCCCTGGACTTCTGGGATAGGTCATCGTTGAACGACCAGATCACTCCTCAATACCCACTTTTCGCCACTCTTGACCTCTTTACCTTCATGGAGCAGGCAATCATCACCATGCTTGTGGAGCAGAGCCATTCCAGCCTCCAGACCTACGACAATCGGATCTGGTGTAGCTAAACCTTTGCCTGGAGACTCTGGATAGAAAGCCGTCTCCCCACCCTGACAGGTTGTAAGATAGATGAGAAGAGTCCAGGTTGTTCTGGCAGGGATTTTATTCTCGCCAAATTGTAATTTATTACTTTCATCATAATGCTTGTCAAAGAATTGGCCTGGCCGATACCTGTAGACTCGTATATTGGGATTCAGGCCCAAGACCTTGCCACTAAAAGTTCGTTCATCTTCGAACGAAGATACGAGTCGTTGCAAACCACTTTGTTCCCACAGAGCGGTTGCAAACAAAGGGTCTTCAATCTGGAAGCGGTCGTTGACTCTGGTCGCCTCACCCCGTTTAGGTTTTCCGGGGGTGGTTGTCAATGGTAGAGAAGACAAGAAGGACACGAAGGTCTTGCACAGATTGGAAGTGAACAAGTTCCGGATGACCAGGATCTGATCGTCTGCCACCGTCTCGATAGAGAGATGTTCAGCAGGCACGAGAGGGCTTAAAGGCGGCCAGTTAGGTGGTGGGGAAGGTGCTGCCTGTGAGACTGAGGACTTTTGCTTCCCTCGAGGTGCCATAGCAACTCGAAGGGCAGGCCGGCTTGATTTCACTTGAAAAGCTGCCAGTGGTAGTGGTGCCCAACTTTGAACATTATTATTACCTATTCAACTCCCAATGGCGAGCAACAGCCAGCAGATCTTGCATGTGAGTTGTACAAGTCCCTCCACTCGCACCTGCTACGAGAACTAGCTCCCTTGAGAAATTGTCACCCGATTGGTGGTGGCTGCCTTAGAAGACTCCATAAATCAAAGGGAAAGGGAAAGAGCGACTGGTGACTCTTGAGTTTGGTGGGTGAGTCGTGCCTGCCGCTCGCCGCCTTTAGATGATCCGCTCCGGGACTTCGAGAACTTCTTGATTTGATCTTTTTGCCCTCTGCTTGCAATGCACTGTCAACACTCACCAACTGAACCACAACTCTCCTGCGCGTCGCCTCCCTATATTCGCAGACCTCCGAATGTCGTCGCAGGCAATTGCGGCGCCAGCAAGAGGTCTGCCGGATCTGCCTTCTCCAGTCGACATCCATTCTCCCTCATGGTCTGACCGCGACATCCAACTCAATCTCTCCCCCGTCCACGACTCGGGCGCATCCAACAACAATGACCTGAACCTGACCCACGACTCTTCCGAACCTCGCAAACCTCGCCCTTCTTGGACTGCCATGGATGTTCAACAGCGCAACCAGGCCGTCGGTAACTTACTGGCTGCCTTGATGCCAGTCGGACCAACCCAGACCGCAACTACTGGACTGCCTTCAAATCCACTCTCCCCGACAAACGAGAAGAAGGAAAACGAGCAAACTTCACTACAAAAGGAGGAACACGACTCTCCCGCTCGGCCCCCGCCAGAAGAGACCATCGTCTCACCTCTAGTGCCCACTCCCGATCTTTCACTTCCACCTCTACCTCCCCTCGACAACAACGACTTCATCGATTCGAGTATGGCCCATCCATTTCAGCCAGTGATTCCTCAAGATGGTCAGGAATATCAAACACCCTTCACACACCTTGCCGACCCACCAGGGGACGTCTCTATATTTCCGCAAATGCAAGACCCGTTCCCTGGCGCATCACAAGAAGTGGTCCCGGAACGTAGAGAAATTGAAGCCTTTGCGAAAATTGAATTTGAGGATGGAAACTACTATATCACTACCTACGCCTGCGAGCTGGGCAGAGATGCCTTTGCCTATCGAGCGGCTCTGATCCGCGCTGAAGAATCACGACAAGCCGAACAGAATCCGACACAGAGTTCAAGCGGAAGGAGGTCGGAGGGAGTTCCCAGGCCGGAGAACTCTCAGGTTCAAGGCAGTGTTGTCAGTGAAGCTGGAGGCTTCGGAGGTGTTGACGAAAGGCCAGGCATGAATGGCGGTGGTCAAGATGGTGCAGGCCAAGTTCACTCCCATTCTTCAGAGCCCTCCGCTGGCAGTGTTGTCAAACCTCAGGAAGTTCTCATTAACCCTCCTCTGATCCCATTCGACTACCATAAGATGGCAGAGCTACAGGCTCAAGCAGAGAACGAAAACACTCTGGAAAATGATAATGAACAGCCCGCTCCCGTCACCGCAGATCATATCCCGGACGCTCACAACTGTCCTTTGATCCCCATTCATGCCATGCGGAATTTCCAGAAATCAGAAGTTGAGAACCACAGGAGTATCTCACGTCGGCACGTCAAGATCCAGTGGGACTTTGACAAGGATTGCTTCATGTTAAAAGTGCTCGGAAGGAATGGTGCTTTCTTGGACGATCAGTATGTCCCGCGTGCTGCTGTTAAACGTCTTCGTGACGGGTCCAGAATTCAAATCTCCAATGTGTGGATGACATTTCGCCTGCCAAATCAAAAGGCTTCTCCAATCAGTGACGAGTCGGAACATGAAGACAAGGACATGGCATCACCAGCGTTGAGAAGCACTTCCTTGACTTCAAATGAGCAGGATAGGAGTTTATCTCCTTCACGATCTGGAAAAACCAGGACCAAGATCACGTTGAACACTGGTCCAAGGCCTGCTACTCTAATCCCAGATCTTTCAATAGGTCCCGATGGTCAACCTTTTCCTCCACGAAAACGAGGTCCAGGCCGTCCTCCAAAGGATGGGATAATGTCCACTAGAGAACGACGTGAGAGAGAGAAAGCACTCAAACTTGCTGAGGCCAAGGCAGCAAACGGAGGTACCACACCACCACCAAACCTAAAGGGTAAATTTCCCAAACCGCCTATCAAGGAGGAGATACCCAAAGAGGAGCCTAAGGGAGAGAGAAGGAAGTATAAAAAGCGGAAACGACCTGGTGAGGAGGGTGATATTGTCCAATCTATCGAAGGAGGTGGTGAATTGGAAGTGCCTAGTGAAGCAGAGAAGCCACCAGTGAAAAAGGCTCGTGCCTCAAAATCGCCTTCTCCAGATTACCCTCCTGCGGACAGCCTTACAGAGGAACAGCTTGCTCGGCCGTCTGAGCCATATGCAAGACTGATTTACGATATTTTGCTCGACATTCATCCAAAGGCTCTTCCTCTGAAGCAGATTTATCGAGCACTAAAGCTCAAATTCCCCTTCTTTGTCCATAGGGTCGACTCTGAAGGGTGGCAGAGCAGTGTTCGCCACAATCTCAACCAGGAGTGGAACAAATTGTTCGAAAAGGGTGAGAAAGAAGGTAAAGGGTTTGCTTGGAAAGCCATACCTGGAGCTTTACAGCCCCAAGCTGAAAGAAGGCGTGCTGCTCAACAAGCGGCTGCTGCGAAGCCGAAACCTGCGCCAGCACCACGTCAACATCCTCAAGGGCCGCCCCCTCCACTTAACTGGCAGAACAGTACACCTTATTCCCAACCAAATGGTATGCCTCCACGAGGTCCTCCCCCGCCTTTTTTTGTCCAAGGTCCACATGGTCCTGTTCCCCCTCCACCAAATGGAATGCCGTGGCCTCATCCACCGCCTCCAGGTTCGGTGCCACCACCAGGGTCTGCACATGGCCATCCGGCTCCCGGAGCTTCCAATCCAATGTATCCCCCAATCCAGTCCGGACATCCTCCGTATCAACCTCAGCAAAATCCACAGCAAGTAGCCCAACAGACTGGACCTCCGCGATCGCTACCTGCGGCCAGCCAAACGCCAGGTTCCTCGGCTATTCCTCCATCTGGCTCGGTAGCTCCGCCTTCCAGCTCATCGGCCTCGCGCAACATGCCGTGTACAGTGGACGGTTTGATAGTGATCAAGAGATTTGAAACGACCATGTATGAACAAGTTGGCGATGCTGAAAAGATTGCGAGATGGCAGAAGATCTTCAATTCTGTAAAGCGCCGGCTGCTGCACGGTGCACCTCAGTCACTAATGCCAGAGGGCGACACGAGAGAAGAAGACACCATCATGAGTCATGTGAGGACATTCATTGAACGCTTCAAAAATCCTGCTTTCGTTGGTTTCTCCATTGATCCGGGAAGTTCTACTGCATCGCCCGCTCCTAATGCATCGGCTACTGGTGTTGTCCCAACATCACAACCTGCACCAACTCCACAGCCAGCTCCGAAGGAACCTGTCGTGGGCTCCCAACCACCTACACAGTCGCCAGTGGCAACTCCAACAGAACCAAAAAGCGAAGCGACAAACACTCTCCAGGACGCTATGACGAAGACAGACGAGCCTGCAAAAGGCATTGCCACAGAAGGCATTGGCAAAGAATCAGTCGAAGCTCAGGGTGTTGATGACAGGAGCAAAGGCCAACCGCCTGCTCCAACCACATCTACCACTTGAACTCGATGATTACACAATCTCGAGTGCGCTTTTCAAGCTCTCATGGTTCGGATTTCTGATGCTCAATCGCCAGAAACAAGGAGCAAGGCGTTAGGTGAACGTGGGTAAAAAATTCCTTCTTATATTATTTCGACTACGGATATACTCTTAAGCACGCGATACACGTACCCATGACGGAACTGAAGTTGATGAGCATATGTTTTTTGACGAAGGCGGCGATTGAAGAGAATTGGGATGAATGGTTGGAGGATTCCATTGGGTCGACTTGGTTGCCGTCCATCAGTGGCATCGCACCTGTGCCTGCGGATCGATTTACAAACTTGAGCCTCAGACATTCAAGCAGTCTGTGCTTGCTTGCATGCACATGTTACTTGCACAGCTGACACATGGGCAGTGTGTTCGTATATCTCACAATCAGGGTTGTGCAGCTATACATGCATACCTAAACAAGCACATTGGTAAATCATACGATAGAGCTAGAAAAATATTGGACCCAAAATCGCCTGCAAGCCTCTCTGATTCGCACCAAATATTCGTAATTCGTTCATCTCTTGACCCAGTATGCTAGTCTCGTAGCCCAGCTATATATATCTCACTGTGCTGACAATACAGCTCGTCAAACAACAGTCACCACCATTACACTCTGGCCTCCGCTTCAGCCTCCGCCTCGGCCACCAGCCGATCAACAATCAGCCTCGCGACATTGCGGCCTGCCAGCGCCGACGTCTCCATGGTGGAGATAAAGCTCTCAATGCCACTGGTATACCACAGGCGCGAGGAGCCGTCAAACCTGTCCGGCTGATCCGCAAACGGCAGCGTGAAGTTCTCGAACCGCGCCGTCGGCGTCTCGTGCGGATACGCCGCCCATGTCTTCTCGTAGGACCACGTGATGGACGTGTTGGGTAGGGATGATATTGGATCCGACTCCGAGTCCGAGTCTGCTGCTGAGGAGTGGTGGTGGTGGTGGGTGCTAGTATAGGGGATGTCGAAGAGCTTGGCGAGGAATGTCGCGGTCAGAGGCGCCGCCGAGAAGATCTTGTACAGGTATTGCGGGGTCGGCGAGACCGGGTTGGTATAGAGAGTGCGGAGCGTGCTGATGCTCCAGAACCCCGGGGGTCCGACGGCTTCGCGGCCGTGTTTGGAGCTGAGGTCGTCGTTGAGGGATTCGCTCAGTGTCGTCAGCACGGAGGACGGGACTTCCGCAGGCGTGTCGAGCCCGAAGAATGATGGTGAGAGCCGGTGTGGTGATGTGAAGAGCGTGACGTATTTGTCGTTGTATGCGATTTCCTGGGGTGGAGTGGCTAGCGGTGGGGAGAATGCGATGGACGCGAACTGGTAGGGCGCGGCGAGGATGATGGTGTCGAAGGACTCGTTCTCTGTCCCTGGGAGGTCGTGGAAGAGTGGGTTGGATGTTTGGACTGTGAATCTGCCTGTTTCGCTGTCCTTGACGATGTCCGTCAACGTCGTGTTCAGCCAGATCCGGTGTGCGGACGTCTTGGCCATCTCGGCGAAGATCTGCCAGTTGCCGCCCTCGACGGCCACGGCCCCTTCGATCGCCATGCAGACTAATGTCTCGAGACCGTGGATGCTGCCCAGGTTGGATGCATAGTTGACCCGTGTGCTCGCTTGGATAATCTCCCGGGTAAAGAGGTCTCCCACGCCGAGCTGACTGAGGAGGTCTCGGCCTGTGGTATTTGTGTAGTCCACTAAGCCCGAGCGGTGGACCACGTCTTGCAGTGAAGTGAAAGGGAACCACGGCTCGTTGTAGAACTCGAGGAACTTGCCCACGGCGGTTTTCGTGGCACGTTGGGTTTTGATGGGTGCGAGGCCGTACTTCCACAGTAGTTTTGCAATGTCCCACCAACCACGCCACGAGGACTTGTTCCCGCCGTCTTCGTCGTCTTCATCGCTCTCGGCCTTGTAGACGAAGTCCGTGCCGTCCCAGATTCCCAAGTCATATTTTGCATCATCTGCGGCCTGGTAGATCTTTGCAGCGGTGCTGAGACCGAAGTCTCGCGTAGCGTTGTATAGGATATGGTTGATCTTCACGAAGATACTTGCTCCTAGTTCAACGGGATAGTTCTTGTCATCAAAGGCATTGACCGTAGTTGTCCGCCCACCGATGTAGGTATTGGAGTCAAAGATGGTGATCTCGACGGCAGTGTCGTATCCGGCGGACTCGAAGAATTGGTTCAAGAAGTAGGCAGCGGAGGAACCGCCAGCGCCAGCGCCGACGATAGCTATCCTCTTGGCCTTGGCTTTGGGATGGGTGTCATGGAGGGGACTTTGGGTGTCATCTGCAAAGGTGATACTGGGCAGGCATGATACAAGCAATGCTGAGAGAAAGACGATACTGTGCAACATGGCTAGAGTGCTTACCTTTGGATCAAGGTAGCAGGGTCGCTTTAATTCTATAACATCATCACAATCATGGTGTGGAATGAAGAGGATTCAAGCTGAGTAGTTGCTGGTGGTAAGCTGCATCATGAGGATCGATGCGCCAGTCCCTGAGCGGCAAGTTAACCGCGCTCAGCCTCGCGAGGCTGCGTCCTCTTGGGGAGATAGGAGGAGGTGAAAGTGGACTGATGTATCTCGATCCGAATTGCCTATTTAGTCTACTGGAGGAGAACCATCGTCACAGCTCTTTGAACTCAGTGCGGGTTGGACGCTGTCAGTGGCATAGTCGTGGCTCATATCGTAGTCCGCCCCTGACTTCATACATGGAGCATCACGTCAAACAAGAGTCTCGTACTTCTGTTTCCATAGCTAGAGCAGTCCTCCAGATACTTTGTCTTTACACAGTTTGGAAAGAGCATCTACATTCTGTGCATCATCTCCGTCTTTGAATCCCGGCATCAGCGCCAGCCACTGGTAGACACTCTCCCGCAACTCTTTGGGGAGCCGAGCTGGAGTCCCCAAAACCTCTGTGAAGCCATCTACCACTTTCTGCGCAATGTGATTTATCAAGGACTGCCCAGAAGTGGTTTCCTTTCCTTCATTCAAGGATCTGGCGAGACTCTCCTTGTATTCCACCATCGAATTGGCTGTCACGCCAACAGTTCTTGGCCAGTTCGAACTCATCAAGTTCCATGAGTCCCCCTTTCCACCTTGATCGCCAGATCCTCGGAAATCTGTTCGTAAGATCACAGCAGGGATATCCGCCATCTTGGCGACCATGTACTCGACAACTGTGCCGGCATCCAATTCACTGCCATCGTAGGTGAAAAGAGCCAAGTCGCAGGATAAAAGTGCACGAAGATCTTTATCTCTGATTGCGTGTGGTGAGAGATCCCGTTGCTCCAAGTCTTGTGGAAGAACGGGGATGAATTTTCCAGACGAAAGCTCCGAGATAGCTTTGGATAGTAGAACGTTGGTATGTAACTCTGCGACGGTGAAAAGTGGTCCAGCATGGTAGTAGGTGTATTGCTTTGGAGGGTTGCCTTGCTTCAAGGCCGTATGTGTATGGAGAACTGGGGCTGAGCTACTTTCCGACGCCATGGCTACTGACGTCTAACGAAAATATTTGTGTTGTCACAAGCACACTTGGACGTTGTGGAACAATTGAGAAGCAAATGCACTAGAAGGGGAAATTGGCAAGGCTGAGATTGGTTGAGGTGCTCCACACACTTCACGGGGGATTCCGAGCTCTCCTACAATTTAGTAGGCGGCGATGGCCGCCTGGGGGCCCCTCAGGTCAACCTGGCACCTATAAGGCACCCTCTACCATCGATTGTAACTTTGCATCTTGGCTTGCGCACATTTCCATCATTCAACCGTCGCGGCTTCTTCCTATTGTGAATGCCAGGGAAGGTGTCAATGAAATGATGAAGATCTCTCGCTGTGCCTGTGGATGTGTGCTATGAATGCCGGCCCGTTCTAGAGTCATTGTTGAGGTGAGCCATAGCACTCGATTGAATGGTGTTCCACGCATGAATTACCCCGGTTCTGAGTTGTGCATTCGCTCAACCGGACAGACACTCTTCTTCGATGAGCACTCGGGGGAACCTCGTGTCTAGGGATGAGCAAACTAGTAAGTACATAGAGAGGCTTCGCTCTCTGACAAGTGTTTTTATCCAAATTCGAACCCTTGAGGTTCAGATCTTGCATCATTTTCTTGTTGATTGCTTTGCCCAGTGCCCGCGTCAGCCATCCTGACAAGCACCCTTGCCTTCGCTTAGAAGTCCAAGGCTACTCGGTTCTATTCGAGCGCCTAGCCTGGCTTGCAAGGCAACAACTCTCCACCTACTGGATCTGGCGTTTTCGCCCCTGACAAAGGTTCCTCAATATAGAGCTAACGAGCACCTCATTTACCGCCAGCCTTACTTCGTGCTGCCCAGTTTCAATAACAGCCGTTTGGTATCTTTATCTTTTTTTCTGGTATTGGAAGGAACGTGGACAAATCAACACCTGCAAATAAACCTCCTAACGTCTCGGAGACTAGCTGCGAGCCGCCGCGATGTCTACTCTCAACCTCATTCAAGGCCATAGGCCATCTTGTTTCGAGGTAGTCAACTACTGGAGGCTGGAGTGATGCAGAGTTTCCAACTCATCTAGTCTTGGCTGCTTGCGCCCGATGCAAGTCTGGCGTTCGCATGGCCATTATCCACATGCATCCACCAATCCAGCTCATTGTTCAGAATTTATTGATTTTGACTCCAAGGCGGCTGAACTTCTCCATGCTTCGCTCTGTTTGCACTGCGTGGGACCGAAGCATACATAACAGGCGCCTCGTTGCTGGAATTTTGTATGTCGCGCCTTTGTCAACTCGAATTTGACCCTTACAATCATTCGGCCATTCCCCTGACGACTAACTTTATTGGCAGCACATATTTCCGTACTAAGGGGTTCACCTCTGTACGATTGATTATTCCCCATCCGCCGCGGCTGGTTGTGTAAACTTGCACGCCGCAACACTTTGGGCAGCCTTGAAGGCCACAATTCACAGCACGTCGTGTCAAGTCCGGCGAGAAGAGATGTTGTCGGTAGGGATCTTATCAATCTTCCCTTTTCTGCTCTCTCTGCAAATGGCCCTCGCGCAAGTTCCCGAAGTCTCCCCCAATGGCCATGTCAGCATATGGTACCCAGTGCCCCTGAGCAATGGCTCACTCCTTTCGTTAAATGCAATCGATACCCTTGTAATGTCGTATGATACCCAGTGGCAAGCCGCAAATGCCAGTATGTGGTGTCTTACAACCCAGACGCAAAACGCCGACACTGATCTATACACCGGTCAAAGTCTTGGATCTGATCGTTCGTTATCTCATTCGTCTCTACATTCACTATCCCTCTAACAGAACCACCAGTTGAATCCACAGGCAACTATATAATCCACGATCTCAACAGCCAGATTGGTGGCACAGAGTTCCCACTGCCATGTCATTTCGCATTTGTTGACCCCAGCAACGAAACAGATACCTATGCGGGTGGATCATTCATAATGGTCAGCACAACCGGCATTGCATCGACGTGGTCACTGAAGGATCACGCGGCTACGCAAGTTAGCGGCTCCTTAACATCAACTTCGATTGGCGTGATTGCGACTTCCCTCTCAACCTCCGCGGGGACAATGCCATACACAGCTCAGTCTTCTGCATCGTCAACATCATCATCTCCTGAGCCTGCAAGTTCTGCGCCAAACTCATCGTCAAAGCCATCATCCAAGAGCCTCAGTTCCGGTGCCATTGCGGGCATCGTCTTGGGGGTGGTCTTCGGAATTGCCGGAATTGCAGCCTTAGTTTGGTGGATCATGCGCAAACGCAGGCAGGCCCGGAAGAGCAACAACGCTGCGGTTTCAAAGCTGGAATCTCCTTTCGAAAGCTCTGCACCAGAGGTGACAAATGAAGTTCACGGACGGTATTGGAGCCAGGCTTCGGAGCTTGGGAGTGACGTTACTAAGGAGCATGTCGCCGAGTCAGAGACAAAGCCGTCCCAAAAAATTGGACCGCATGAGATGGCGGCGCCTGAGGCTCCGACTGTGGTGCTTGATACACAAGTCAGGGAAGTTGCAAACAGCGATAGGTGGGCTTCGGAACAAAGTGATGACACACCCGGAAGGCAGCATCGTTAATCTCGAAAGCATGAAAATTGTGGTAGATATCGGGCTGGGTGGGGTGAGGTGAAGTCGCAAACAAGGCTTGAAATTAAGGTACTGAGTGCTCAATCAACAATTGAATTGTGGATCCCGTTTGCTGTGTGTTTCTGATATACCTCGAAACGCCTCTGGTTCACCAAAAATGACTCTGCCAATAGGTGGATATTAACTGTATCGGACCACAGACTATAACTCACATTCGCAATGCTATACTAGAGGTGGGTTCTCCAAAGCAACAGTGTGAACATCATCCTACGTATTAGCTGATGGAGTTGTGGTGTCACGGTTAGAACAAAGAGTTCGAACCCACCAAGCTCTTTGAACCTCGGTATGAATATGGGACGCCTGGATCATGCAAGTTGGACAACACGACTTTGGCTGCCTCATCGGATATAATTCTTTAACTCCTGAAGGTTCTTGAGTAACCAGCTTGCATGGCTTGTCTACTTGAGCTTCTTCAAGCTTGTTACCAATCCGGACAATCAAGATCGCTTCGAGAATTAGGCAAGATACCTTGCTCATTATTGGTCAGTAGGACACCGGATGGGAGAGTAAACCGTTCCAGAGGTCTCGGCTGCCTACCCTCTACATCCGAGAATGATTAAGAATACGCAAGTACGGCATCAATGCTGCCGAGGTCAATCAGTCTTTGCTATATATGATTGAGATTTCTCACGGGTCTGCATGTAATCGTCTTGAAGACCAGTCAAAACAAGAAAACCAGAATGGCCCCTCTAAGTAAAGAGAACCTTGACGACCTTGCGATCATAGATCCGGAGATCGATGCTGTGGGAGCCTTGTCCCAAAGTCCCTCAAATCTAACCCGACTAACAATCCCCAGGCACTCAAGTCGGGCAAATTGCCCATTCCTCCAATCGACTATGCCGACCCAGTGAAAGCTATATCTCAACTTCGTGCTCTGGAGGGGTATTTCCCCATTCCACCAGCGATAGAAGCCGTCTCCGAATCTACTGCAAAGTACACAACGCGTGATGGCCAGGAACTAAATCTCTTCGTTTTCCAGCCTGCTCAAAGCTCTGACAAACCCAAACCCTTGATCATATTCTATCATGGTGGTGGGGGCTCACTGGGGACTGCGTATAGCGCGGCACCATGGGCTCGCAGTATTGTGCTTCAACACGATGTCGTCGTCATAAGCCCACAATACCGCCTTGCACCAGAACATCCCTTTCCAACAGGACCAAGCGACGCCTGGGATTCCTTCGCCTACATCACCGCCAACGCATCTACATTCGCCGCCGACCCACGCGCTGGACTCATCGTTGGTGGACCCAGCAATGGTTCTTCACTGACCAGTATAATCGCACTTCGTGCCCAAAACGAGCCCGCAATTCCAAAGATCACTGGCCTTTATTTTGCGGCTCCTGGTCTGGTCAGTTCCCCTGACACCGTTCCAGCAGAGTACAGAGAATTATACCTCTCCAAAACCGATCCACGATGCCTAAATGCTCCTATTCTCAACGCAGAGATGAAAGCCGTCTTCAACGCTGTGTATGGTGCCCCAGAAAACGACCCTTTATATCGAGCATTCAATGTCCAGCCGTTCTCCCAGCATGCAGGTATTGCACCAAAGGTATACTTCCAGGTCTGTGGTATGGATATCCTGCGCGATGACTCCTTTGTTTATGCGGATATCTTGGATGGATTGGGGGTGCAGACGAAAGTTGATGTATACAAAGGAACACCACATGTGTTCTGGGGTATCTTCTCTTGGATTGAACAGGCGAAAGTCTGGAAGGAGGATACCGGGAAAGGCATAGGTTGGTTGCTTGCGCGAGATCCATCCACTAGAGGGTCAGGTGGGGACGATGGCGCCCAGCGGGCAACCCTCTGAAACTCTAGATCGTGATAATTGTTGGCGTGTATCTAAAATGCCACCGTCACGTTATATCTATCCGAGGCCTCATATGACAGGGTGATTCTGAAAGCATGCAAACAAAGTGGCGCTGTGACAGGCTCTCCTACAGGAGAAACGCTCCACCGTCACTCCTTATGACCGTCCCTGTAACATTCTTATCCTTCATCACATACAAGAAACTCTCCACCACATCCTCGACACTCCCGATCTTGCCCGTTGTCGATCTAGCGTGCATAGCTCCAATAGCTCTCTGCGCAGCCTCGCGACTGCCCAGAATCGACTCCCACAACTCCGTCTCCACTCCACCGGGACTGATCAAATTGACACGCACAGGCTTCAACTCAAGTGCGAGTGCCCGAATCATCCCATGCAGCCCTGCTGCGTACGATGCAACCACCGTCCAATTCAGATTCGGCTTCTCTGCCACTGAACCCGACGTGATGGTGATTGAACTCGCCGGTCCGGGATTCAGATGTTTCACGCCGTGCTTGGAGATAAAGTACGGAGCCAGGAAGCGTACGACGCCTGCTTTCCGCATAAATGCAACATCTATGTCTGCGATCGGCTTCGGGGAAAGTGGTTCACCGGCGGTGAAGACAATATGGTCGAGTTTGCCATCGATCTTTGCGAATAGTGCAGCGACATTTTCTTCCAGGCTGGCTTCGTCGCCGAGGTTGCAGACAATGCCGGTAATGTGGGTTTCAGTGTCTGGGTATGATGCTTTCAGGCGTGAGATGGCTGTGTCGACTTTTTGGGAGCTGGATGACGATATGTATACATGTGCGGCATTGTATTCGATGCTCGCTTCTGCAACGCCGAAACCGAGGCCAGAGGTGCCGCCGACCACAAGAATGGCGGTACCGGCCAATTTTGATGTATACTTTTGCTGTGGTGACATCCCGAATACTGCCTAGCTGTGAATCTGAGTTATACACAGCGAAGCATAGAACGTGGTGAATGTTGGTTTAATGTGGTGGTCAAACGGGAATATTTGGATCCTACCGCTAACACTATGTTGACATCATCATGAGGTGTGTCGTAATAAGTAGTTTCTTGAGAAGTGGAATAACAGTTGAACTAAGGCCTATCTCCGAATGGTAAATTGTGCCATATGAAACTGTACCCAGCTCGATATGCTTCGTGCTGAGTAATGAGGAGAGGCATAAAACGAACTCAGGGCTAACTAGATGGTGCTCCGCGGTAAGAGACGTTGACACTATCTTCACTTAGTCACCGGGATTGGGATTGGAGTGGAGATAAAGACGGGACCATTGCCGCCAGGAGCGGCCGCACCTTGCGGGCGTTTGGACCTTTGTAACACTTTCCAATACCGACGTCCTCACAGGTAGGAAGGAGAGACTAAGGGGGATGGGCCACAAACCTTTTGTGAGTAGATGCCGGTTGGGTGGCGGTCAGCCTTCTATCACCCAGGATAGCATCTACTTTTTGAGAGGTGCATTTGGATCTTTTGCTTGGCTCAAGACCCTTGGGCATGCCAAGCAACATGGGGAGTGACATGGTCCAGATGAGATTTTTGACTTGTTTATAGAATACTGAAAGGCTGAAGTCGATGTTAAGCTAACTTGTTTACACCTAATGCCACTTTCTCTTGCCAGGTCAAGGCCGATCAGAGGACGTTCGACCTTCCTGCCATGGTGGTTGTTCCCCCGGGAGCTGGAGGGCCTTCAGACCCATCAGTTCCGACGCTACAGTCCTGATGGACATCCTCATGGACTACGATCCTACAAAATCTTGGTCTTCTTCCGGATGAACAAGACCGGACAAACCTGTGTCATCCCGGGAAGCTACCCCGGAGTGCATCCTTCATAATGCTTTGAGTTTCAGCGGATTTACGTACTTGTCCCGCTGTTTGCATGTGCGAACTGAGGGACAATTGCAATTAAGGGCCAAGTTAAACTCTGTCCACGCCGGAGATTGAGCCAATCAGCGACCTGGCAGCTCCGTGACGATGAGTGACGACAGTCAATGCATCGAAGCTGAAGTCTCCATGGAAAGCTTCTTGAGCGATGTGCGATAAATATATCTGTGACCTCCTGCCTCCGAATCTCTAGTTACATCCAACAGAGCTGTTTCTATCTTACACACTCACAATGTCTAATGAATCTGACCGCAAACCTGTTGCGGACCAGGCCGAGTCCGATGCCTGGTTCCCGTCGCCTTTCTCCCTCACACAATATGTCCCTCCCAAGACCGACTTCGACGGTGCCGACTATCCAAATGCATACACTGGAGGTAAATGGAAAATCCTCTTGATTGCAACGCAGGAGCGGTACTTACGGATGGCTGGTGGCGAGTTCTTCTCGACCGGAAACCACCCAGTCGAAATGCTTCTACCAGTACTTCATCTGGATGCTGCCGGTTTTGACATTGACGTTGCGACCGTGTCGGGCAACCCAGTCAAATTCGAGATGTGGGCATTCCCCAAGGAGGATGACGCAGTGAAGAACATCTTCGAAAAGTATAAGGAGAAGCTCCGCCAGCCCTTGAAACTTGAAGACGTATGGAAGGACGGCTTCACCAAGGACACTCCCTACATCGGCGTCTTCATCCCCGGCGGTCACGGTGTACTAAACGACGTTCCATTCTCACCAATCGTTGGCAAAGTCCTCCGCTGGGCGGATGCTAATCAGCGCTACTTCATCACGCTCTGCCACGGACCAGCGAGCATGTTAGCTGCCAATATCGGGAAACCCGAAGGCAGCAAGTTCATCTACGATGGATACAAGATCGACGTCTTCCCGGACTCTCTCGACAAGGGGGCTAATATTGACATTGGCTACATTCCAGGCAAGATGTCCTGGCTCGTGGGTGAGGAACTTCGCAAGCTGGGTGTGATCCCAATCAATGAGAAGATCACGGGCGAAACTCACCAAGATCGCTATGTTCTCACAGGTGACTCGCCTCTGGCATCCAACAATCTTGGGAAACTCGCAGCCAAGGTTCTTCTGGATGATGTCGCCAAGCGTTCATGAAGAAGACTTGGAATACCCCTTGGGAAATTTGTATGTCTTGATTGATGTGCTTCGGGAGGTGACCTTGGCAAAGGAGCCGCTTCTCAGATTGTTCTATGTGCTGCCGGTCTCAGACCATCAAGCTGCTAACTAGTATGCTTGCTAGGGTCATCATCTCTCATTCAAATGAGGTTAGCTCACATGATCTACCCACTGGACGGAAATGACGATCATCCTTACTCTAGGATCTTTCATCCATTTATGTAGCAAGGTAATGCACACACAGTTATCCTGTTGTTTCTTACATGTAGATTTAGTGAGTGTCAAGAAAAACCAGACAGCCAGTCATCGTTGCCATTGTCTGCCCATAGCCACAACTGGCCGACGTCGTCCAGTGGACCCGTCGAAGCGAAATCAATCCCGTCCGTGCCAGGCCCTATCGTAAGGCTGATATCTGCCGGAGCTGACGCTGCTGGATTGCCGAATGGCTCCATGACGTTGTTAAACATGGCTGTACGTGCGTTAGTAGTGCCTTAAAGATAGAATAGACCTGGAACATAGATCAAGACTGTGCATGGATTCAGATGGGTATGAGGTGCAGACTCACTCGCTTGAGCTTGACTGTGAAACATGATTTCTTCCGGAGCAATCAAAGATGCTTGGGGGTTGACATGTGCTTCCAGAGCCCTGAGTAACATTAAGCTCTGAGTTGCAAATCGATAATTCTCGCTGGGGAAATTCTCAAAGAAAGTGATGATATTGCGCAACGACTCGGTCCAGCTCTCTCGCTCCTGGTGACTTGTCTCGTTGGCGAGTAATTTACAGAGTACGATGCCAGCCGTAAATGAGCATAGACCGGCATGGATCGAAGCATGTGATGATCGACAAATATGTCTCGTCGTATCCAAGGTCGAAATGTTGGCCGTCCGGGTTGCGGATTGGGATAGTTTGCGGATGTTCTCTGCTCGCTGTGGTGCGCTCCCTTGCGCATCCATTGGAAACACTGCTTGTCTGAAAAGTACCATCTGAAGATTGTCGTAAGCAAGCTGGAGACAGAGGGTTTGCATCTGCAAAAGTATCGGACGGTCACTGAATGCATGGGTACGACCATCGTATTTCAGTGCACTCGGTACAGACTTGTACCACTCAGTCAACTCGCCGTGGACATCCATTACAGTTCGACCTTGAGCTGTCTGCCTCCTTCGGCCGAGGAAAGAGCCCATAATTCTGTACAAGCGAGCTTTGAACTGATGATACGTGACAGAAGTCACGATGCCCGAGGACTGAGGTGCCGAGAATATCTGAGCTCTGTCGTCATCAGTCTCTGGCACATTGCAGTCCGACTCATCTATGCCGCATGGTAGCCCAAATGCCACAGCTGCGTATCTTTTGAGGTTGATCAGAAATTGATCACAACGAAATGGCAGACACATACTTGTCAGCAATTTCCAAAGCCCACCAAACTTTGCAGGATTCTGCGGTGCTACCACGAGGCTGTCGATGCAAACCGATAGCTTGGGCACACCTAATCCCACTTCCAAAGATTGCAAAGCCAAGATAGGGAGAGCCATTGAACAGATGAAAGCTCCCCAGCAAAATAGCGATCTGGACTGCTTCCAATGTTGGATTGGCCATGATTCGGGCATATGATAGATCGATCACTTGAATCATCGTAGAACGTGTAGAGCTACTGACCGGCAAGCTGGACGAAGTCTCAGGATTGACCCAAAGGTAATGTGATCCCAGTCCCCAGACCAGAGACATCAAGAAACAAAAGTTACGATCGGTTGTCTTCATATGCTCTGTGGCAAGAGCGAGACGTGATCTTTCCTTGAACAACACTTCATCGACTACCTGTGATGCTTGTCAGTCAAACCCGGGATCTGAGTTGGGGATTATCAACCATCATGAACCAATTGATTGAGGCAAAGTAGCTGTCAGACAGCATGTCAAGGACTGGGGTAGCCGGAAGGGTGTATGTCAGTTTATCGCGCCAGCGGAAGCTGGTAGTATTGTCGGGCGCGCAATGCCTCGCTCCTGGTATTGCATCTATGCTTTGAAAAGGATGCTGGCGAGACTCGAAATGAAGTAGCTGTTATTAATTAGGGTTTCATGTCGCTTCATCATAGAAAGAATCTCAACCTGTTTCCCCAAATCAATGATGCTATTCTCCTCGAGCACCACAGGTCTTTGTGCGGTCGACTGTGCGATGAAGACTGGCAGATTGCGTCGCCCTGGCACACCGACAGCAATGCAGTCGTGACCTGCCTGGAGGCATTGGCGACATGGCTTGCTCTTGTCACACTGTGCAACGGATCAGCTCAGGCACCATACTGGAAATGACGTGTCGAACTTTCAATTTTCTACTTCTGCACCTTTCACAGGCGCTTCGTCGCATCCTTCTCGATAACAAAAACCTCAAAGGATAACGAGAGAGCAAAAATAAGAGGTGATGTCAATGATGCAAGGGCGAGTTAGAGTAGTTATTGATAATTGGGGTACCGCTACAGTCTTCAGGCACATCACCATCTGGCACGCTGCAGCTTAGGCATGTATACAGCGGAAATTCCCGCACGAGGTGCCCAAGGGTTGAACGCACTTCAACTATGACAATCCTTGAGTAAATCTCATAGTCACCAATGATAGTTATATGCCTGTGCAGGATAACAATCCAAGGATGTAGAACAACTGCAAAATGAGCATTAAAGCGTGGCACTGACTATACCATTTGTGATGCTGTCATAGGTTATGAAGTCGAATGCTGCGACCAGAAAAGGTCGACTCCATCATCCAAATCATATTCTCCTCACCATCATACTCTCCCGCGGATCTATCTCATCTAAGGCGCTCAGCCGACTGACTAGGGACCGACAAAGGCTTGAACCATTGTATAGGTTGTCACTTACCATAAGAAGTGCATCGTAGATTTCAAGAGCATAGTCATGAATACTATGTCATGATTCGTATGAAGATATGGTATGCAAGTATTCCATAAATATCTGGCACTTTCATCATGGCATCTCCGTGAGGCCGTCTCGCAAATACGCCCCATCCATATTGCTGAGAGGCATTTCCGATCGCCAACCAGCCGGCGCAGGTTCTTGAGGAATTATCATATCAACCCAGGACTGATGCCACATCTCAGCGTCTTCAATTCGAGTACGCCCATTCAGTGCGAACACAGTAGAATCGGGTGTTGCTGGGACGAAGCCTGAGCTTCACTTGCTACCACAGAATATGCAAGGTCATTGTGATAAGTTCTCCTTGTAAGGGGGAGAACCCATGTTGGACGGCGAGACATTTCCTCGTGCCTTGTTAGTAATCATGGGTTAGAGCTTACAACCAGGCAGGCGGCTCTCATATTCAAGTGCGTGGCCGATACGATAGTTCTGGACGATGTCAAGTCTGTGCTCGATCAATTATCCGTTCGAGCGAGCACCAGCATGAATAACATCGACCTTGAACAGAACCCGGGCACGCAATTGGAGTTGCCGCGAGAGCCACAGAGAACTGGACGACGTAGCCAAGATTATGACCCAGAAGATAGTGATACCATTCGCGGTATGACAGATGAGCGGTCCAAGTTGTTGTCTCCAGGGAATAAAGCGCATGAAGCAGGTGAGCACCTGGAGAACATTCAGACCGTTGTACCTCAGACCGGCCACTACACGACCAAAGAATGATTCGATGAGATCGACCTCTTTTGATTCCGTCTCAAACGATGCAACAAGGCAATATTGGCCAACATTTTGTGTCTTCTACTTTGAGACATTTCGCGACTCTGGGATTGTGCAATCAGATACCTCCCTCCCTGAAGTGAGCTGTTTTGGCAATGGTTGTGGGCTGGAGGGAGTAAATAATCCTCCACTGGTGTTTGTTTTGCGTGCAACGAGTAGTCCAACTCATTAAGTTACCACCCAAGAACTTAGTAGCATCCGTGGTTATGTTAAGATCGATCGTTGCTGATCCAAGGATTTCAGAAGGACTGGATGCACACACCGTTTGATCTTAGAAATTCCTTGCCTATCATGGACCCATGGCTTTGTCGAGATGCGGCTTGGCAAAATGGGCTTATTTTACCTCCATCCAGTTAAGGAAGCATCTAGGAAATAGCGGTTTTTCGATTTTCGCCGTAGTAGTAATAGGGTTCGGTCCAATCTTCGAATTGACTAACAACTACGAGGTACGAGTCACTTTTTCTTGGTAGAAACTCTGTGTCAACGGCCTCCATGCTCGAGGTGCTTGTGATTATCCCATTATTGGCTTTATCGCTGATTTCGAGTTTACGCCTTAGCGGAACGGCGGTCAAGGACTTCCAGAGTCAAAACTCTTCATATCTTCTGTTCCTATTCCTCCAGTCCACAGATGACACACTTCGCTTAGACGACAAATTTTCAACAACGCGAATCATGGGAGAGTGGTGGCTGGGGCCCCATGCAAGCTATGCCCCATCTGGTGGTCATCCCCAGCTTCCACCCCGTCGATGCTGCTTGAACTTGCGGGGAAAGGACTCTTCTTGGGAATCGAAGGTCGAATGACCACTGATGCCTGAGCTTGGGAGGAGGAGTATTCGTACCCCTAAGGCACTAAACCATCTTCTTCCATGTCAAGGAGACCATACAAGACGGGTAACCGTAAACACCTCCCAACGACCAAGCCTTATCCGCATTTCGTCGTGGATGTCATCAACTTTAGCCCCCTCCACCACAATGCGGATAGCTCCACATTCACCTGACTTCGAAGGATCAATACGGCTACATTTGCAAGTGAGCCTATGAAGGCTCCGCCAGATCCTGGGGCCCGCCCCAGGTGTGTTGGTAGGTCGAGCATTGGACAATCTACTTGCGGGGTTGACTTGTCTAGTTCCAACGGCCCAATCGTGCCTGACGATCGAATCCTGATTCCTCCAAAAGTGTCTGAGCAGTTTACCATTGGCCGCGTTCCGAGACTCTCACCATACATCGCAAGTCTCTTTGAAGCCTGGCGCATGTGCCACGCGACGATTTCCAGGATCTGGCGAGAGAGACACAAATGGTGTTATTTTTGTGACCGATGACTTTTGCTTGTTATTGTTCGTCGCGGTCTCGGCAGTTGACCGGGGCCACTCGCTGAGATGCATTCTTGCACGCAAACTTCTTTTCCTGCTCCCTGGTACACTCTAGACCCTACAAGGTAGGTCAGTCTAGTCTCGCTGAACAGGAGAGCCCCACGTTGATGACCACAAGTTGTCACCTGTTGTGGTGAGGCTTGCAATCGAATAAAAGACAAGAGGGAAGTGGAAGCCCAGGTGGCCTTGAGTCTTCTCGCGCTTCTCCAGCTCCTCTTCTCGAGTCCTCCATACAGTGAACCTCGAAAATATTCAAGAACGGTACCACTGCTTGCGATTGTATCTTTACCGGCAGTTTTGTTCTTCCTATTCGAGACCAGTTCCTTGACAATTTGCTCTCACCATGTCGTCGCTCGAACACCAACGCACGCCTCCGTCGGAAGCAGACATGATTTCAGGCGAGAAATCCGGCCTTTCACACACCGTGTCTGCGGGTGCTATCTCAATCAGCCCAGAACTTTTTGAAAAGGTATGTCATACTCTGTCAATCCTGGACAAACCGATTCACAGACTCGAACAAGCACTGACACCTTGTAGTTATACCTGACACCCAAGGTTCCTCATGCCGGCGACAACATCAAGCGATTTGCTAACCCAACACCTCTTGGATTTGTCGGGTATGCTTCGTCAAACTATCCAACTGTTGGTGAGCTCATGCTAACTTCGGCGCAGCTTCGTCATTTCGACCATGACATTTTCGATGGTCATGATGGGCTGGGGTGGAGCTGCTGGCCTCTCGCCTGTTGTGTATGTTTTCTCCCACTGCTGTCCTTGCTCATCGTAGGAAAAGCAGTGAACCACCTTTCTTCACGAACTGACATTTTCCCAGTGGAATATTCTTCTTCGTCGGCCCGGTCCTCCTGATTCTAACCACAATCTTCGAATGGATCATGGGCAACTTCTTCCCCATGATGGTCTGCGGGCTCTTCGCAGTGTTTTGGTTGTCCTTCGGCATGCTGCAGCTTCCGACACTGGGTCTGGCCGCACCGTACTCGACCGACGGCACCGACGCAATCGCTGGAAGTGCTACAAAGAGCTACAACGCCGTCATCGCCCTGTACCTACTTGTCTGGGGATTCGCGCTCTTCACATTCTGGATCTTCACTCTCAAGACCAACACCGTCTTCGCCTTGATCTTCTTGTTTGTCACCCTTGGCGCCTGGGTCCTCTCTGGCGCGTACTGGAAAGTCAGCACCGGTGATTACGACCAGGCGCGAAAATTGCAGAAGGTGAGTTTCCTAATCCACATACACACACAGTCTCCCTGCTCCTATTACTGCTTCGCGATCATTTTCGCTAACCAAGTCTGTCCGAGAAAAGGCGGGTGGAGCGTTGTTATTCATAGTCGGTTGCCTGGGTTGGTACATGACGTTCGTCATGATGGCGGCCGAGATGCGACTCGCCATCACCCTTCCCGTCGGTGATCTCAGCCACTTCTGGCCCCGAACCGATGTTGAAATGGGCAAGGCTGAAAAGGAGTCTTAAGCACCGACAGCAGTAATGCCTTGGAATCATGTAATTCGACCCTGGATTAGCGATAATGTTACCTCAACGAAGCAGAGTATGTGGGTAGCGATGTACTGGGGAGCCGATATCTAATGGTCCTGTCTGTTAAGTCGGGGGGCACTGATAAGCGGACAATAATATCGAGTGGCTCAAGATTGTAAAGATAACAGCGAAACGCCCTACCGAGCACTGTTTGCAGAATATTATAAAGCATATTTCTACACGCAGGGGAAAGTGGTGTTTCCAACAGGCAAGCCCGAATATTCCACTTCATCCGTAGACTGAGGTTGAACCCAAATCTGTGTTCCCCGAACCATCCTTCCAACCCCGCCTCCACCATTCGAAACGAAAAAAAAAATAGCATCGGTATCTTCCTCCCAGTCGAATACAACAGCACAAAAAGACAAAAATGAGAGGAGTGGGGTTCGAACCCACGCTTCCTTTCGGAAAGCAGAGGTTCGCATCGTCTACATCTTCCGATGTTGATTTTACTTAAATCTGCCGCCTTAAACCACTGATAATTTGTGTCAGTGCTGGGAAACAAAAGGTAAGTTTTTGCAGGTCTTACCTCGGCCATCCTCCCTCAAGATGTGAATCTGTGGGTGAAAATTCGAGGACTTTTGCGAAGATACAATATATTACACCATGCTCATCCGTAGAGCTTTCCGGGGATCATGACGCCTAGAGAGGAATTACTCTAGGCGTTAGTCAACGCCCGAATGGCCATCAAAGAAAAATCTAGGTACGTTGTTCACAACATTCAGTAGAGTGAATTCGGCATCCAAAAGATTCATCATTAAATGGTCATGATGGCCAACTACTAATTTCATATTCGATGTCTTTCATGGGTATCATATCGCATCAGGTCACCGACAAATAACGACCGCCTCACCAATCTCGCGACTCTTCAACTGCTCCAGCAATTCCTTCTCGCTGATCTCCAGCTCCGTACAAATCTCATCGAAGCAGTGCGTGCCATCCAGGAATTCGATCAGGCGCGCGTTCATGAATTGGAAATCTGGAACTTCCCCTCCTTTCCCATTCGATTGATGGTGGTTGTGATGGTTCTTCCGTCGACCGAGTAAGGGCGCTTCCGAGAAGTGTCGTTCACTGGACATACTGCGAGTGAGGAACTGGGTATTCTCGTGGTCGTGAGTATGTTCATCCAGCGCACCTCCTCTGTAGCCGTCTGCGGCCCCAATCGTACCCTTCTGAGTTCTGATAGCGTAGCGATGCACTCTGTAGAGAAAGCCTTTGATGACTCCGAAAGTGATGAAGCGGCGCATGTCGATGTTGGCCAGCATGTTGGCATTGCGAGCGTACCACTCTCGCACAGTAAAGCCCTGCCGCAGACATGCGAATAGTTGCACGATGCCCACACCATCGATAGCGTCTCCTTTCCCAGTCAACGGCCAGATCTCGTCGTCCTGAAGCCCAATGGTCGTGCTCGTCAGCCCACTCGTCCTCCGCTCCGACGCGCTCCCGTCCACGATTGCTTCTTCCTGTCCACCCGGCGCAAACGCCATGTTCACGTACCTAGCACATTCCTTCTGCATCTCCGTATCTTTGGCGATCATGTGCGCGAACTCGGCTGTCACCGCATAAATGTTGTTGAAGCTGAAGATGTCCAGAAGCAGGACACAGCCGTAGTACAGGAAGTGTTTGATGCATTTCTTGGTGAGCTTTATGTCGGCGTCGGCCAGGGTGGCGATACGCTTGACGCTGTTGATCCCGTTAATGAACGGGATGATGCGCAACATGGTCAAGTCCCAGTTCTCGTCGATCATGGTGTCGATCCGCACAGTGAATAGCGGAACATGCCATGGCTTCACGCTGGCCGGATTGGGTAACGTTGGAAATAACTTGATGTTGAGTGTATTGAGCTCGTCGATCGGGATCATGCACTCGCAGTAGTTGTTCAGATCTTCCATGAGCATTTCGCACAGACTGTATATCTTGCCCGTATTGCAAGGGGAGTCATCGTCAGAGAGGAAATGGGATTGCTCTTCTAGACTGCGCATCAGATGCGCCAGCTTCTTGACTACCGATTTATACGAGGGGACATCGATGGTGGAGGGGTCGCCCAGCACGAGCGCGAAGTTGAAGATGAATTCATTGCGCGGGTAGTGGGAGGATGTGAGGCATATGGGATGAGAGAGTATTAGCGTCGAGGGTGTATGTTGGGTTAACGGCGGTGGGGAAAGTGAGATGAGGTTCCCACAGAGTGATTGACGAGGTATAAGGAATTGGGCGATGGTCGAGAAGTTGAGGAGGGCACTGGAAGTATTGTTTGAGCTGTTGTTGGTCTGGAGGCCGCCCGTTGCAGGAGGAACCTCGGCGCCGGTTAAGATGGAGCCCTCTGGTACTTGATGTACCACTTTCCGGCCTATGTTGACGGATCGTCAGTCTCCAAGCAAGTGGATAGCAAGATTTAGTTGTGCTCAAACCTTGATGTGGATCAAACTTGCTGTAGAAAATGGCCTTGATGGTCATGATCGCAAGGAGAAGAAACGTTAGGCGCAAGTTGAGAGAACCGATGAGGGGTTGGGAACTTGAATTAGGAGAAGACGCGCACTGACGCGTTCGGAACGGTCTGTCAAAGCCGCGAAGTTTCTCCGTGCCCTTAACTCAGTAGACTATCGAACGTATGACTTGGGCCTGTGAACGAAGACACTCAGAGCATGTGCATATACTAGACGTGACTGATCTTCTCAGCCTGACACTGTTTGATCAAGACATCATAAGAAATACAATTCCTCAAATTTGAAGACACTAAATATTTGCCGCCTGTCAAGGAAATGATCTCAAAAAAATCCAACTCGGCCGGGTATCTAAAACTCCAATTCATAATGACTTGTATCTTTCATGCCCTCTGCCTGTCATAACCAACCTCACCGGGCTCAAAAGCCGTGGTTGACGCGATAGTCACCTGCTGCGCCGGTTCCTTCTGGTTTAGTTGACTGTATTGGACCTGCGACAACGGCATACCCTTGACCTGGGAACCTTCATCGACAATTCTAACATTACGTCGACCGACACGATCGACCCAGGGGTTCGTAGGCGAGTACAGGTCTCCCTCCTGCGGGAACAGGAATGCGGCGAACATCCGCCCAGGTGAAAGACTCCACATGAAATGGCGTAATCGCGCAATGCTTCCTCGTCCTGATATCGTGGCGATACCGGCTGCGGTAACGATGACAATGGTCAGGACGAGTACCAGAAAGGCCGGGATCCCATAGACCCAGTGGTATTGCAGACGGCGCACGTAGACTTGTACGGGAACAACGTCGTTCACATCGCTACTAGTGCTGCCGCTTGCATCGCTCTGACGTTTGGCTAGGTTCGGTGGCATATAGTCTTGTGGGGTGAGCCAGCTTCTCGTGCCTGTGAAGTAATTTGCGGCAACATCTGTCCAGATTAAGTTCGTAATGTGTGCCGCACTTGTGGTGTTGGACGAGAGAGTGAGCCACTTCTGGAGCAAAGCCAAATTGGTGGTGCCTGCATAGTCAGCCATGTTACTTGAAGTTGAACCATAAACCGTGCTCCAGATCTGCGGCGGGCCTTCTACACCAGGATTGAAATCGGTACCAGGGATATTTGGGCTCAACTCCAGATCCCAAACTGTTGCGCTTGAAGCCGGCACATACATATGCGGAGATCGAATAGTTGTCAGATTGATGCTGTTCTGTTTCTCTGGCGCTATCAAACCATAGAACGGGTCAAGATCTCGCAGCTTCATGTTTGGTGTTTCTACTCCCCATATTGGCAGCGAGGTCTCGTTGGGATATGTCTTATCAGTGATAGATAGAACTTTGATGCTATCCAGGGTGTTGGTGTTGGATGAATTGTAGATAAAACGTACTGACTTGATCGACACCTTGGTAGCACTTGCACAGGAATATATGGGCCGCGTCCACCAAGAGCCTGGCTCAACGATGCTGTTGGTCGAGCCGTCAACTCGTTTTGCCGGGCCAAGTAACAAGCCACACCTCACATCTAGGTTCGTATTGTTTGCGAAGTCGCCGCTCATTGCAGCAGTGCATGTTGGCGCAACATCAGTCCAATTATTGGTCGTCATGTTGAAAGGATTGGACCAATAGAGATCATCATAAGAACTGTTGGATACAGCGATCGTTCCGTTGGAATACTCAAAACCCGAAGGGATTCCTGTAATGAGCCCATTGAAGCCCGAGAAAGTAAGTTTGTCCTTGTATTCCACGCCAAAGGAGTTGTTGGCTGGAAAGCGTTGTCCAAGTTTTGAGTTCATGTAGGCGGTTCGGTTGGTCCCAGGTTTCGTGACGTTGAGGTAGTACATATTCAAAACATTCATCCACCATCCGGCTCTATAGGCTCTTGCTTCCAGGCTCGGGTCGCCGTGCTCGAGTAACTGGGTCTGCAAATCAACAAACCAATCGTCAAGGTATGGACTTGTCTTGTTGATATTGTAAAACCCGCCTTGGTCCACAAGGTAGCCATCAGGATCATCGAGCGTCTCGGTGTAGTTGTCAGTGGGTACAGCCACCTGGGTTTCCCATGTAAGATTGGTATTGACGCAAAAAGTCTCAGGTTCGTGAAAAAGAATGTCTTCATCCCATTGGGCTCCATACGTAAGTCCTCCAGGAGCGGTATGCTTTCGGAACCCCACTCCCCCTTTCTCCATATTGACGATCAATCCATCTATCAGATAAATCGAATCGTCCAAGATCCTAGACCCCATGGGCCGGAAACTGTCAACAAGGTAGGAAGTCCCGTTCGGGCTGTATTTATCTTTGTATTCATACTGTCTCGCTTGAATGTCGAAATAGCTCGATACGCTTCTCGACTGGAGGGCCAAGCCACTTTGGTAAAGTTCAACCAGCGCCGTTGGTATTCGTCGGTCAAATGCCTCATCATCGAATGAAGCCGTCGTCTCATTCATCGTAATCACATAGTTGGTGCCGGGGCACTGTACCGGGTATGCGCCCCAGCATTGACGGGAGAAGCCCAAATCAGATCTTGGAGGAGTGCCATAACCCATGGAGGTGACATCGAGAAGGTCCATAAAAGTGGTTGGTTGCATCTGCTTGGTCAGGACCAACCCTTCGTAGAGACCCATGGGGGTGACAATGGCAGCGACAGATATAAGGAACAGAGTCAAGGGCTTCAACCAGGTAACGAAATTGATCAGTGGCGGATTACCACGAGAAGTGGCTTGGTCGGATCGGAGGATTACAGGCCATAGTGAACTCGAAAATGCTCTGGAAACCACCGACCATGTGACTGCCGGGTGTTCATCTCTGAGAAATGCGACGAGAAGTAAGACCATTGCATTTGGCACAATCAAGGTAACGATAGTGACTGCGATGGCTATCATACCAGACGCCACGCCCACACTGATTTCCATGTTACCCAGCATCGTGGCGTTGCAGGTGGGCGAACAAGAGCGATTGAGCAGTAGGGATTCATGTTGGAGGCGAGAGCAGAAGAGTACCTATATCAATACCCGACCGGCCTATCTTTCACTACTGACCTAGGAGCACTTAACTCAACCCAGTCGTAATGCGAGTACGAGCAGAAGATTCTCCCGTTAGTGTTTGAGCAATTCATGGGGCGGGTCCTAGACACAAAGGTAGCCAACAGGGCAATTGAGAATCTGCCTCATCTGAACCTTACAGGGTCTATCCTGTCTTTCCCACTTTGCGTCCCAGTGCCTGGCATTTGACTTGTGAAATCGTTACGCCATGTGGTACTACCAAGACTTCTTAGTGCAGGTGCGGCACGGTAGATACCTGGATGGCTGCTTGGGAGCTTGAACCAGAGACTGCAAAACAAAATCAACCTCGGCGCTTCCTGTGTATGCGCGACCTGGTGTTGCGCCCTATACAACGCCTCGATTAGTTTGCGACAAGTCGATGAGATATACCAGTCTCGATTCGAAAGATCAACGGTTGATCAAGGTAAAACGTGTGGGGAGACGAACCTGGGTCTTTTTCCCTTGTCGTGCTCCAGGGTACCGATCCCGGGAGCCTCAATTCTGGGGGCCAAAAGATGTGATTGGGCTTGTTTCACTACCTCCCAGATTCCCGAATTGAGGCTCGTTAGGCACCTTAGTGCTTGTTTTAGGCGCAAGGACCGAACCCTGACGATCACCTATCGGCCAATCCAATAAGGAGCCTCAGGAGTGTACATGGTGCAAAATGTTGCGTGCTTGACCGACTGCTCCCATTAATATTGATGCCTCCACCCCTCCTGGTCACACCAGCCTGTCTCTCAGCATGTCATGGGACCAATAACTGGCGATTGGGCACCGCATGCACACAAAATTTCCGACTTTCAGCGGGGGTCGTGGCCATGTCTGTTCGCCTTGGCCTAGATTGTCTGAGCTTGCCACGGAGGTTGATGCAATACCTCGTACTCTCTCTGTACAAAACATTTACCTTGTCTCTACAAGCCACAAACCGCCATATCTCTTTGGGGAGGGATCGTATCCTGCCCCTCCTGGACTTATGGTTCAACGGCTGTGACAATATCAATGGCAATGTTTTCACCTCGTCTGTCGGGACGGGGATTTCAATCTAGGGACCCTTGGAGAAGACCAATGGTCTTGGTTGCGGTTTTCAACTCAACGGCCAGTGGTTGCTCTGATGAAGTACATGGGAGCAGACTAGCCCACCATGCCTGGTCGAATCATGCTGCCGACCATACCATTAGCCAGGACTAGAAAGCATCGTCCTCATCGCAAGCAAGTTTTGGTTTCGTTCTTTGGCAATGTTGATAGGTAGCACTGTTTTTCTGCACCTCATACTCTGACAGTGCTTGCGCTTTTCAATTTGAGCTTTACCCAGCTCATACCAGATTGGGAGAAAGGTCGCGCCATCTTTGGATCACAACTGCCCGCTCTGGTTCGGCCGAGGCTTTCATCTGCTCAATCCCTTCAGTGTAGTGTGCCGCAAGAGCGTAGCTTACAGCCTCTGAGTCCATCTTGCTCCTAATGTTCTCGTAAAGGGCACGGAAGGCATACCTAGTCACCGACACCCCTTTTCGAGGGAAGAGAATGCCCCCCACGCCTGTTTTCAAGCCTAGCCCAAACCCTTTCCAGCCGCCTCTTTTGGCGCCTTTGTATGGCTTCTTCACGACGTTGCCCCATGCTTTGACGAGTTCAACGGGTGTATTGATCGCATCGGAAGCCACAGTGCCAACTAAGGTCATGACGGGGTTTGCGCGGCTCACGTTGGCCGATCTGATTAGCTCCTCCGGAGTCCATTTGCAGGGCTGGTAGAGCTTCAATCGATTCAAGTCGAGGATGCCCTCCTCACTCAAAACCGTGGCGGCGAATGCACTCAAATGAACATCTTCCTCTCCGTCTTTCGTTTTGACCCTCCACACCGCGGTTCGATTCGGCGTAAGCTGACAACGTAGGCGATCGATCTTTATCTGCTTATGAAAGCTGGCGGCACCAGCTTCAGTACCCCTCTCTGCCTCTATCCTTTCTCCAAGCTCTCTTGCACGCTGCAAAGTCTCCGGTTTTATTGCGCTCAGTATTGCCTCGGCAAGCCCTTCCGATGTGAGCTTCTTGTATGGTATAGGTTCTGGTCCGGCGCCAGCACGTGCCACCATGGCGCCCCAGAAGGGCTGGTCCCCAAAGAATGGAACAATGACGGTAGGCCGGCCCAGCGCAATTCCTGCAGCTGTAGTCCCAGCACCACCATGGTGCACTACGCATGAAACGTGTTTGAACAGCCAATCGTGTGGGCAATTCCCAAGCATGAACACACCAGGAGGGGTTTCGAGGTCATCACCTCCAATACCACCCCATCCTTTAGATACTAATGCTCGTTGACCCGTTTTCCTGACCGCCTCGAATATCATGCTCGTCATAGCATTTGGATCATCGACAACTATCGACCCGAATCCAATGTAAACCGGAGGTGTTCCTGCGGCTAAGAACTCTGCAAGATCTGCTGGAGGATGGTAGTTTGTGGCCAGAGAGAGGAAATAAAAGCCTGCAATGTCGATATGTTGACCCCAGTCTTTTGGTTTGGGAATGAGTGCTGGTGACCTGCAACCCAGTCAGTGGTTATGCCCAGCAGCAGCGCTTGCATTCATCTACAATACAAGCACTTTCAGTCTCGTACTTACCAGCAGTATGTGTAGGGAATCCGAAGTCTTTCAATCATTGTCACTGCTGCTGGTTGCGAAAGCTCCGGCAGGCTCAGGACATCTCTTCTGAACTTGTTGATGATGTCCCCCAGACCTTGCCATGTCATCATCTCGACAATTGTGTAGCTACTTTCGTTTGTGGCACCTGGGCCATTGCCGCCGGATCTGATGTTCGCGATAGGCTGAGGAAACTCGCGCGTTGGTGACCATGGCATACTAAGTAAGCAGTCAATCATCAGTAAGAGTGCAAACAGCCGGGAAAGAGGTGGAGAAGTCATTACGTGAACATGAGATGCAATGGAATCCCTAGTCTCTCCGCACAATGAATGTGCGCGAAGCTGGGTGGATTGGCAATGATGGCGTTCGCGATGAATGGTGCCTTCTTCATGGTGCCGATTTCCTGGTCGAGATCGACCTCGTCAATGTTTTCGAAACACGACTTCCAACATCCACGAATAATTTCAGCCATGGCTTTCCGCCGTTTGCCTATGTCGCCTGCTTTGACTGACTTCATGCTCGGGATGAGGCTGGGGTTGTTGACCATGAATGCCATCAATTCGGCCGGGTCACCCCCAATGTCGAAGAATTCCAAGCCGTTCTCCTCGACGAATTTCTTGAAAACTCCATGTGTCGCCAGCCGAATGCGATGTCCATAGTTGTTCTTCAAGACTTGGCCAAGTGCAACGAATGGCTGAACATCTCCTCTTGAACCGACAATTTGAATGACGATGTTCAGTGGAGGAACGGCCAGAGCCTTCCCGTCCTCATACTGTGGAGGCTCCTCGGGCTCTTCCTGCACGGCATTCAGACGGATCTGTTCGAGCTGGTCTACAAGTCTTGCATCACGTTTGCTTATATCGATGTCCACGCGTCCGTCGTCTAGACCACGTCAGACTAATCAATGTTTGAGCCGGAGTGGGGAAGGGTACGCGACTTACCGCCTACGCGAAGCTGAGTGCTGATATTATCACCTTGAATATTGACTGTGCCAGAAGAACCGCTCTGTGAAGACGCTCCATCGTCGGGGATATGCTCCCTATTTACCGCCGAGTAGGCTGGAAGTTGGTCTGAAGACATGAGTGCCTCAACCAAGGGTTCGTATTTTATGCCAAATAAAAGGCATCCAGTGAGATATAAGCAAATAATGTATCCGGGTATTGTCAAGCAAAAGTTTCGACAGATGTTTCTGATCCTGAATCTAATGTTGAATGCCCACCCAAAGGAATATTTTCATGCCAATGATGTATCACGTAATTGTATGTTGGTGAGGAATGTCGTGGACTTGTGGCCTGTTTTAGCCTTAAAGCCCCAGTTCGGTGGCTCGAAGCCTGGTTGGCGCTGATCTTTAGCCACCGGCCGTCGTTGATGTCAAGGACCAAAAGCCTTGTCCGCAGCACCAAATGGGGGGCCTTGAAGTCTGCACGATGCACGCATGCTGGGGGTGCGATATCAAAGGATTCAGAGGGGAATTAACACCCATTCGACTGGGTGCGCCCCTGCTCCGTTGCAAAGCTCGCCAATTACCTACTCAACTAAATACGATGGCTGTGTGATTGTTTTGGTGAAGAGCGAGCATCCACCGAACGAGTTGGGGCTAGTGAGCACATAGACATGAACATCAGCCTTGGGCTTTCGTCAGTCGAACAGATCTGGCAAGCTAATTTCATCCCTCAATTGGCTGATCAAGGCATGCCAATGCCTAAGCGGTCCCCCCCAAAAATATACCTTGGGCTAACAAAGCTCCCCATTCAAGGTCCCCTGTGGACGCCCATAAGCTTAAATCACGGCTGAGGTGATGCAACCGCAATGCCAACTGAGTCCAGTGCCTCAAGTGAGAACGGACCATCGACTTTCAGAGCTAGAATATGCAGGACCTAGACCTGTTTCAACATGATTTTCGAATCAGTTATCCAATTGATTTGTCAAAAGAGTTGATTTCAATCATCGATTCGGACTTATTTTTATAACCAACCCAGGATGCTAAAATATCGGCATGTCAATAACCCGTTAGCAAGAGGGTTTCGCCCAGGGGATAGATATATAAAACGATAAACCCATAGGCAGTGAAAGACCATTGCATGATTGTGAGATAGCATGTGAATTCGCTGGATCTAACAATTACTACCTATGCCTAGCTTTAACATCGCTCTTTAAATCAAAAGAAATTCAACAGCGTTTCATCGTTGTACCTCATCCTCAATAGATATAGGTGAACTCGTCGTTCTTCCGATCTGTGAGATCCAAGAAGGCATTCTCGCCAAGTCTCTGTCCACCATCAGTTTCGTCCATAGCAACATATTTGTCCTCCATGGAATGATCCTTGATGACGGCAGCTTTGCCGTTCTTGACGCGCTTCCTTGACTGGAGCTTGTTGAGGAAGACCAGGTTGGCGAATTGGATGAGAACAACAGCGACCAGGGTGACAAAAATTGCGAGCACTTTCTGCAGGCCAGGATGGTAAGACGGGGCATCTTTCTTGCTGAAGAGCAAAGGTCCAATGATGTTTCCGGCGGACGAGCCGGCGTTGTAGAGTGACATGATGACGGATTTCTTGGTGCTTCCGCCAGTATTCCCGACAATCCACGACACGATGATTGGGTTGCCACCGAAGATGAAAGCGAGGAGGTAGTAGCAGACAATGAGAGGTGCTGTGTGGCTGGGTCCTCGTGGAAGCTTGTAGAGCGCGGCAAGACCTGCGATGACAGGAAGCATCAAACCTGCCAGCACTGCAAATTTCAGTTTGGCCTTTTGAGCAGCGTATGAGGCGATGAAGATGGCGATCAATTGCATGGCACCGAATGGCATATTGAGGAGCGAAGTTTTGTACTTGTCGAAACCGATGCCCTGCAGGATCAGGGGACCAAATGTGTTTGTGACGGATGCACCGACGTTCAGAAGGAGAGCCATTCCGAGCCAGAGATACGTCTTTGGTTCCAGAGCAACTTCGAGGACGTGCGCCATTTTGAACTCGCGGCTACCTGTACCAGTCTGATTCGCACGGAGTCGCTCAATGGCCTGTGCCTTTTCGTGTTCGGTCAAAAAGCGAGCCGAGGGGATATCGTTGTCGAGGAACCAGTACACAACCGGGGCTGAGACAATCGTAACCAAACCCACAAAGAGGAAGATAATTTGCCATTCTTTCAAAAGATCGGATTTGATGTGTCCCAATCCGTACGACAGAGCAGAGGCAACAATTGTTGCGAGGCCGTTGGTTCCGTACCAAGCTGCCACTCGAATTGGCTGCTCAGCTCGTCGATACCACTGGCTAGTGATGACGCTGAAAAGTGGAAGACAGCCAGCTTCGAAGAGGCCAAGGAAGAATCGTGCGGCGAGAAGAGAGCCGTTGTTATGGGCAGCGGCCATGCAAGCCTGTGCAATGCCCCATCCCAGGCAGAGTGACGGCATCAAGATCCGGTGAGGAACCTTGACAATCAAGTAGGAAGAGAAAGGCTGCCATGCGAGCTGAGCGATTGGGGCAATGGAGCCAACAAGAGAATACTGATTGCCGGTAAGGTGAGTGTCCTCCTGAAGGCCGAAGAGGGCTCCATAGCCCAGGACGGTCTTGTCTAAGATTTGGAGAAAATACACCCAGACCAGAATGGAGAGGATGACCTTATCGGTCTTGCGTCGAATTCTTTTATTCTGCGGGCACGATTAGTTTTGTAGGACTAAATAGCATGGAAAGATACTCACATCCTCTTCGGTCAACTCTACACGTTCATCGCCGATAATTGCAAGTGCTCTGTCAGCATGCTTGACAGATTCTCTTCGCTGCTGAATGTGGTCTTTTGAAAGGCGACCAGACTCAACATCTTCGGAGTGAGCCAAATGACCGGCTTTGTCATCCAAGTTAGCCATGATGGACGCGTAGAGTGATGGCTATGTGTTTACAAAAGAGGCTGATGCTCATGAGGGACAACCAGAACTGGAGGCTGCGAGCAGAAATATATATGAATATGCACAGCAACAAAGTCGGCAATGAACAAAGATGGGGGAAGTGTGGTGAAGCTTGAGGAGCGTGGAGAGAAAAAACCTGGAGCAGCTGATTTAGCTGCCTACTCGTGAGAGGGACCAGGGTGGGATCTGGGCACTGTCATTCATTCCATGAGCGCGAGCACTAGCCGACAATTATTTGCAGGAGTCAACTTGAAGACCGTCGTTGATCCTGCCCGTTGAAGTCAAAGCCTACCTCGTACGATCCTTGTACTCCGTAATCATCTGCCCGTCACGGTGGTTGACAACAACTAATCGTAAGCGTCGGCTGAACGAAATGAAGTCACGCCAGCCTTTTTTTGGTTGCTGGCTAGGTTTCCGGAATCGCGAAGCCATTTACCCCGCATGGCTTGGCTATCGGCAATTGAAACTGGTACCGACTTATTCTGCATGTGATCTCACTGACGTGTCGAAGCACAATCAATACATGCCTCGAGGAGCACAGTAGCCGGATCTTGGATACTACCGGAAGCTGTGAAGACGGCACTGGACCGGAAGCCATCCCGAGCATGAACCACATCCTAGAATTGCCTTTCGAAGCAAATGAATCCTTTGCGTGGTAACGTGGGATACTTTGGGGTTGTGGGGGTGATCCCACACGACCCCCACAGATGATGGTAATCGCACGGAGCAGCCATCATCATCCTCGTAAGACCTCACTTCTACTCTCCACAAGGGAACACACTTACTCATACGGCCTGCCCGTCTAATCCGGGGCAGATTTGGAACCTTATTCGAAGCTTGTTTCCGATTGTCGAAATATCAGCGTGGTCAGCTGAGATCAATTGCCGCATCTCAGATGCCGACCGTTTGAGCCTGTTGTTCAATAACTTGGTGCTCATGTACCGACCTCGGCTCCATTGTTAGAAAACCGTAGGGCAATTGGATTGCCGAAGAACGGTTCAATTGCCGTGTATTCTGCCAGGCTGTGGCATAGGGAGACGTCGCATGCATCTCCTGGCAAGCTGTGGAGCAGGCGTGTTGTCTGTCGCGAGACCTAGGCCGAAATCGCCAGGCTGCATCTCTAGTTCAATATTGGCAGGCTTATTGAAAGCAGGTCAGATATGAAGAGATAGTGAAGACGGAGTGGCACGGTGGAAAACTCGTCTGGGGCCTTGTTCCGCGCATGTAGTTCGTTATCAAATGACCCTCGTGGCTGACAGGATGGAACTTTGCCAAAGTTGCCACTGTTCTTAGAAAGTATTTCATCATCACAAGGTGCAGAGACGTCCTGGTCGGAGGTGGATGAGCATCGAGCTGCCTCCCAATATCCGTTCACTCGACCCTTTCACAGCCCCGTGAAAATGAGAATCGCCAATGAGATATGGTGAAATTGATATCAAAACTCCGCGGCTTGACTTCTGACCTAGAAGCGAAGTATAAAAACGTTGGTCTCAAATGGTTTATCGAAAGTCTGGATTTAGTCGCCGTCCTCGCCTAGCTCCTCCATGGACTTTTTGTGGGTCAAACATGTCGATATAACCAAGGAGAGCCTTCATCTGATTTCCAGCCTTCGCCCCATTCCACTTCCTCTGCAGCCTCGTCTTCCTTGCTCAAGCTCTGTGCCCACACATCCCAATCAAACACTCCAGGGCCATATGTCCAGTCACCTGGTTGTCGAGCTTTGACTTTGATACCTGCCCTGTCCTTGAACATTACAATGCCCCCCTCGACCTCTCTCAATGGGTTCCCATCGCCTTCACCACCCCTGCCGACGGGCCCGGAATCGTACCCAGCTTTCTTGTAGAAGCCTTCCTTCCCATCTGCAACGACAACGCTGCATGATATGCCCTCTTTCTGGGCCTGCTCCATCCCCCAAGATACGAGTGCACGACCGTGACCGAGACCCTGATATTCTGGATGAACGGCAAGACTCTCGAGGAGCCACGACTCGGCTCGTGGGCCTGTCCATATATGATCAAGGTAATGGTAGGATTGTTCGATAGTTGGTTCATAGATGGGTGACGAGGCGCGGTTTGGTGAGAACAATGAAGCTAGTCGCATGACAAGAGATGCCAATGGCTTCAAAAGACGCCCTAGTGAAGTACGATATTAGTTTAGGCTAAAGGGACAACATCAACGGACAAGTAAGCAAATACGAAACCGGTAGAATTATGAAAATCATCACAGCTGCGGTCGACGAAGGAAGAGGGAAGGTAGCATTGGTGATTTACGAGGGTCGGAAGGATAGAGGCAACTTCATGCTCTGATGGAGCCTGCGCGTTACGTGCGCTTTCTCGTGACTGTCGAAGTCTATCTTCAAAAGCCAAGAGCCTTGGACTTTGGTCCTGCTTGAACGATTCCCCGACAAGGTCTCGGAGAGCATTCATCGTCGAGTCCAACAGTGAGAAGACTACAGCTCAGTACAGGAAGAGTACCAATTTGACCGACTGGGGAGTCGCGACCGGTGCACAAATGAAGGTGACAACTCGAGAGAAGAAAACCTTCCGTCCATGCAGAGAAGTGATAAAGAGGTAGGGCATAGTATTCCCTAAGAGTGATATGTACTCACTTGGATCCCACCATCGACGTTCCCAGCCCGCATCATAGTTGGCCTGTCGGGTAGCAACTCGACTCCAATGAGCCAATCCTGTCACGACTTCTCTGCTGATATTCTTGCCGTTGGTGACCTCGCTGACAGTATTTGTTGCAATCAGAAAGACATGACTCCGATCCCACCAGTCCACGGCGAACCGACGATACCAGTATTTGTCAAAGTCGAATGGGTAAGCAACCCGATGTGGGTGTATCAAACGTCCGAAGAGGACATCGTCCCAGAATGCTAAGGAGCATAGCCTTGCAGCTGCAGGTAAGTCCGCAAATCCCGCGCGACGGATGGCGAACGCCTGTTGCAAGGGAGACGGAGGCATGATTGTTGGCTTGCGAAAACAAAAGAAGAAATAAACCTTGGGCAATGCCTTGTTGTTGACTGGTGGGTCAAAGTCTGGACTGACTAATGGCTGACCTTCGGAAAGGGGTAGTGCAGTCTGTGCAGGGGTAGCTGTACCCAAGCCGAGCAGATAGCAAAACCACTGGTCCGAAGATTTGATATCTGAGTTATGGATATATGACTCAAGCTCGCTCGCTCACTAGATCAATCCTGAATTGTTGCGTGATATTTCATTTTAGAAAAAGAAACTTCTGTCGCAGATATCGAACCTCTTGGGGCTGTACCTAGTTCGCTAGTTGCGCCTAGCGTATTTACGAAAGTACTAGATCCATGCAAATCAAAGGAACTTGCCAAGCGTAGCAAATGTTTGATCGTACAGAGTAGGTACTACTGAAAATCCGGTAGTTGATAGCTTCGCGGCCAGGGGGACAGGGATTGCCCCTGAGGTCAGAGTTGCTTTGGTTTCTATCTTGCTTGGAGAAATACTGTCTCGTCACAAAACCGTGAAAGAGAATATGCTTCCGATCACATTCCTGCAACCACCTAGGTACCAAGGAAAGTACCTGGATAGATTTGATACAGGGTAACAGTGTGACAAGCAAACTAGTCCCGGCTTTATCCAAGGAGCGCAATCATTTTCCAGTATCCTGGCCACCTCCTCGTACTCGAGACTCGTACTCGTAACAATTCAGTTGACCAGGCTCCTACTAGTACGGATACTTGGGCAACAGCCGCCGACGCGAACCTTTGTGCCTCCTGTGTTAGTCAAACAAGAGCCCCTTTCTTGAAGACGGCGAACGGCGCTGATCTCTTATCTACCGGCAGAGGGAACACGAACGAACGCTGCTAGATCTGGGTACAACCTCCAGATTCCAGACGCCTCATACAGCTGCTCGATGGCCCGACCACAAGGATAGGCCGTTGAAGTAGCCCTACCGTTCTGGAACCTTGCAACGCTCATGCCATTCCCAGTAAATTCTGATACTAGTAGTGCATTAAGAATCACTCACTGGGACAGATATCACACCCATTTCTTCTGTTCCCATAAGAGTGCGAAGCTGCTTATGGATTACAGGCTGTTGTCTGCCAGATCCTTCTCATCCGAACATATACCCAAATGATCATTTGGATCTTGTTCGTGCTAGTACGAAGTACCGCACATCTTATTGCCATTGTGTTTGAGATGGAGCGCTCATACCCATGCCTGCCGCGTAGAACTCACCCTGTCCTGGCAACTGCCTGCCTAGTTTCAGTCTGCTCTACAGGTTAAAGACAAATCCATTTTGCATGGTACCTGCATACCCGTGCGAATACGCGTCGTGCTAGAAAGAGGGGGTTCCTCCTGGATTGAGCGGTCCTTGAACGTGCCGCGCGGAATTTTGTAGTCTAGGGAATCCGGCGCAGAATATTGTGGCCAGGTTCAAAGTTTCTCATATCCTTCGTGAATGGTGCCAGCCAGCTATGTGTACAAGTTATGCAAACCCACCGCAGGTCTACACCATAACCGTGAGTGCTCCAAAGCTTCCCGTTTGTTCCTTTCTTATCATATACACGTGAATGTCCTAGTATATCATCTACATTGATCGGTAGACCTCAAAGCTCAAAAACGCCGTGGTGTATCCTCCCTTGAATTTTGGGATTCAAGTTCTGCCATTATTGGTCTCATAGTGAATCTTCCACTGAACATCTTTGCGAATAATGTGATCTTGGCTTCCTGCACTGGTGATTGACTCTTGATCCCTCGCGTGTGGGTGATTCTTTCCATCGTCTTGCATCTGCTGTGGCAGTGCTGTTGGTCTTTCAATGTCGTTATATGACCCGGTTCCAGATCTTGATTTTGAGGTTCCATTTGGCCGTATGGATCCAAGCTCATACCCAGTGCCACGACCGTTTCGACCCGATCCGTAAGCATTTGTGAGCGATGGGTCGAGCTGAATTCCAAAGCCGCTGCTGAAGCTCTTGACGAAGGACTTCAGGTTCGGGATGGTTGCCGCAATAAGAGACCAGCTCAGCTGGACTTGCTGCAAAACCAATACTGGAACGAGGGCAATACCCGGGTTACTGGAGATCGTGTAGTCCGAGACGTATTTGAGATGGACAATTGAAATGGCTGCAACACTGGGATGATGTCAGCCGATGCCGCTTTGCAAGTTCGCATCAATACTTACGGTAATCTGAAAGCAAATGCAAGAACAACTTGGCATTTCAGCGCGAATAGAAGTTGAACAGGCCAGACGATCATGATTGACACAATCACGAGAATGCACTCGGTTGCCACGTCAAAAGCTGTGATCAATTGCCATCGCAAAAACTTCGCCGATGTCAGTATTGGGGAATATTTCAGGATGATTACAACTTACCTGATGCGAACATTGGGCTTGGTCGGCTAGGATGAAGTCGCTGACCGTGCACTGGACTGAAACCGCCACAATTGACAAGAGAGCCCAAAGTCCTACGACCGCAAGAATCGTCACAGCCAATATATACAGCGACCTTGACCTCGTTTCACTCTGTGATTTTGGGCCGCTTAGGTTGAACAGCCTCATCATGAGGAATAATGTCGAGGCTTTTGCAAATGCTGCTGATAGCATGAACAAAATTTGGGCAGCAAAGGCAGACTTTGAACATCGTCAGTATAAAGTTGAAAGACCATGACATGTATAACTGTACCCTGCTGGCCTCTGCAAGTTCGCTGCGGCTCAATAGCTCTTCTGATTGTCCTAATCCATGATCTAGGCCAACTATTGTCGCCGCGACCTCACCGACATGGAAAATCTGCAGAATGACGTTAGTACAAAGTTATGGACATAAACCTTGCATTGGTATGGTCATACCACAGCAGCGACTGCAAGGTAGTCGTCCATCCCAAACATCTTCCATCTCAGGTGTGCCCTTAACGCCAAGGTCATGATGGAGTAGACCAAGCATAGTAAAGAAGCGATCCAGAGAGACCCAGCATGATTGTCCGGTGTGACTCGTGCAAAGCGATTTTCATCTGCCACAGTCGCCATCGCAAGTTCGTGTTTGCGGTAAGACTTGCAAGAAAGAAATGGCCCAGTGTCCAAGATGGGAGGTATGTGAATAATATCGGTGCTCTTCCAACGTTCTTTTGTTGGTTTGGATGCTTACTCTCTGCTGAAGTACGCCACCGAGCAATGCCTGTTATCAATGACGGGCCTGTACCTGAGCCATTATTGAAGTTTAGCCCCAGTTCGCGGCAGAGGTCTACCAGCAATTACACAGCTCCCCTATGTACCGAAACCTTATCAGGTCCCGTCACTTGTCTAGAAGTGGGTCCAGGCAGGGTGGCTGTTGACTGACACACTTGGCGAGATACGAGTAGTCCAAGCATGCCTATCCATCATCTGGACCAAGTAAGGGACGAAAGCTGACAACAATTTGAAGCTTTGAGACTCTGGAGACTTGGAGCCCGGGGTTGGACTCACATGCACCTGTGACCAGTTTTACGGATAACCTTGGTTAGGAAGTTGACATGTCGATCAAATCCAATTCACCGCTGGTTTTAACCTGTATGTGTCTGCGAATTTTGACTTCATGGCAAGCAAGCGAAGTTGTGACACTCCTTCGCATGTGGTGTTCTCACAGGCAGTGCTTGTGTTTGCGGCAGAGGAGCGAGCTTGCGTCTCCGAGGTTCTTGGGGGGTGCGGTCGGCCTACCTTGCCCGGCGTATTTTTGCGATGCATTTCCGGCGCTAGCTTGAGGAGTCTGGTGCATGTTAGTGGAGCATCGGGAGCAATTCATGGCGAATATTGAGACGATCAATTGTGGACCGTGGGTAGGGATGGCTCATGCTCGTTGCGTTCAATGTGTCAGATCGTGGTCTCTACTCACGGATGCGCGTAGCTTTCCATCTGGGACAACCTCAGCAGTTTCCATACGGAGAACAAGTGACGGCACTGAGGGACACACTGTTCAGACCAGCCTTGACCTAGCTCCCGCTGTGGGTGATTCACTACTTCGTGCGACTACTGGTCTAGAGATCTCGCAATCTAGATCCAGAGAGGTTTGAACAACTCACGTCCGGGCCGGAAGCTCTCACGACTGACGACCCTGGAGTCAGGAGAGCGTGGGAGAAGAGTGAGGACACGGGTCAGTGCCCCCTCCCCATTCGCAGCGCGATTCAGGAGAACTTCAACTTAGGTTCATGAGGACAGGGAAAGTGCCTGAGAAGTCGAAGTCTAACCGTGATGGTAAAGCTTAACTATGTGCTTGACAATCTACCAATCAGTTGTTTGGAAACCGAGTCCAATTTTAATAGCTGTTGACTTTGAATAAATACAATGATAGAGGTTGAAGAACTTCTGTGAAAGCTTCGCTTGGAAATTGTTTCCGCGAGAGAAGAGGTGGGTGGGCGGTGGTATGAGAGAGCTTCCCTCATTCTATATCGGTAGACGTAAATTGAGAGAGGTGGCCTGTGAAAGATTTAACGTTCGGGCAATGCCCAGTCGGAGCCGCGGAGAGATCGTCCCTTCAACCAAGTCGAAGCCTAAAACTTCAAAAGGATGGCGGATGGGGCCTAGGACATTTGCCCGTTGGGTCCACCATCCACCGATCGCTTCGGCTCTCATCGCTTGCGATCTCTCCCTCTTCCCCCTCGGTCGCCTGGACACTCCACCAGCAGATGAATTGTTACTCCGTAAGGATAGTTAGTGTCCTTGATTGAGGGACTACCCGCCAACGCATCAACGACATAGCAGTGTCCACAGTTCCAACAATCGTGAGCGGTCCACTCACGGATCATTGAGTACACCCATGGTGTCGTGAATGTTGCAGATAAGGACGTTTTACCCAACGCATCCAAGACTGCGAACCTAAGGAGAAGCACAAGCACAAGCACAGACTCGAAAGTCGAGACCTCTCTTAGTGGGGGGTCAGCCAACATTGACCCATCTTGCTTCTTGAGCAGGGAGATAACAACCAGGGCCAGGGCCAGGTACTCAGTATTCTTCACCATCCCACGCGCCCGCTCTTCAATGTCGCTCCCGTGATGGTGGAGGACGCCCTTGATCCATGCAGCCAGTCTCTGTGTAGGAGGAACCCCGTACATTGCAGGAGCAGCATTAGTGTATCCCTCCCGAGTGTATACTCGCTTGCTATTCAGATTACCAGGTTAGCTCAGTCTAACTACCAAGCCATCTTGATGCACAAAGAAATAAGGTGCCGGGATCCTGACGCGCGTGTGGAGCTCTAAAGTCAAGTGCCGTCTGGCGCTCCAAACCCCCGGCCAGCATGTCATCGGTCACCAACCAACAGGAGTTCTTGACCTCTCACCCTCAAGTTTTGGCTTTTGGTGTCGCCTGTGGGGACAGCCTTCATCCCAAGCCCTCTCCTGGACTGCCATCTTCCTCATTGGACTCAGACCATTTCAGACATTTCCTGGACCAACGAATGTGACTGATTGTGCTGCGAGTTGGTAGAGTGGCGTGCTTAAGCCCACGATGCCCAGGAATGGGCGTCTTTAGTCTTTCCACCTGTTTCACGCCGGGTTTAGGTGGATTGCGACGACTATCAATGACTGCGAGCCTTTTTGAGAATAGTGAATTGCTCTCACTGCTTCGTCGTGCAATTGCTCAACGTGAGCATCTCGGCGAGCATAGCATCCGTTCCTTGGAAGCGCGGCGTGAGAGCCGTTCATGCAAGACAGGACCTCGTAGGTACGAGCAGGATGTACATGGTACCTGCCCCCCTGGCAGCATTCGACGCAAGCGAATCTTGCACAAAGGTAGCTAAGCCTGTGAATACACTTCGGATCTACTAGACAGCTTTCCAACACATGGACTTTGCTTGACACATGGCAACTAACCTTTTTCCTTTGAACTTCATATCCCCCGAGGTTACCCTGGGATCCCCAGAAAGAGGTTACGCTTTTACCCCTTCCCTGCTCGATTTCTCTCGTCAATCTCTCTCTTTGCCTCTTCAAACTTAGCATTCTCCCCAGCAAACACCCTCACCATGACCGAACAGAAGGAGAGCGGGATGGTCACATCCCAAATTGATCTGGAAGCGACAAATGCAAACATTTCCGCTGAGAAAAAGGGCACCAGCGATGACCAACGGGACATGTTTCGTCTGGGCAAGGCCCAAGAGCTTAGAGTCAGTAGTATCATATCGTCTCATCTTTGGACACGCAGACCTGACTGACCTTGTGTAGCGAAACTTTCGCTTCGTTTCGATATTCGGCTTCTCTATGATTTTGATGAACAGTTGGGAAACAATACTCGGGTGCGTAACCGTGCGCAACAAAGAAGACCCATGACACAAAAACTCATCTAAGCAGAACGTCAATAATCGGTCTTATCAATGGCGGTACCGCAGGCATGATCTGGATGTTCCTGGTTGCATGGATTGGTTTTCTGGCCGTCAATATCTCCATGGCTGAGATGGGTTCAATGTAAGAGATATTTGCAGGCGCTGCCTCACTATCAGCCATTTTTGCTAACCGGGACGCACTAGGGCACCGACTGCTGGCGGTCAATACCATTGGGTATCCGAGTTCGCCCCCAGGCGGTTCCAAAAATTTATGAGCTTCATCGTTGGTAAGAACTCATTGACCTGCGGAGATGCGCCTCTGACCCAGGATCAGGATGGTTTTGCGTGCTCGGATGGCAGACGGGCGCTGCGAACACCGCTTTCCTAGCCGGTACCCAAATTCAGGGTCTCGTCATCCTCAACAATCCCGACTACATTCCAGAGAAATGGCACGGAACCCTCCTTACCTTCGCAGTGGCGACATTCTCCGTCTTTTTCAACACCTTCCTCGTAAAACGACTCCCTTTGGTTGAAGGCATCGTGTTGATTCTGCACATCTTTGGCTTTTTCGGGGTCTTGATCACTCTTTGGGTTTTGGGACCACGAGGAAAGGCGTCGGAAGTATTCACCACATTTAACAACTATGGCGGTTGGAGTAGCGATGGTCTCTCTGCCGTTGTGGGTGTCTTGGCTGTCATGATTCCACTGCTCGGTGCAGATGGCGCCGTGCATATGTCAGAGGAACTTCGAGATGCGTCCAAAGTCCTACCGCGCAGCATGATTTTGACAACTATCATCAATGGGAGTATGGGATGGATCATCCTGATCAGTTTTTGCTTCACCCTCGGAAACATTGATGATGTCATCAGCTCCCCAACCGGCCAGCCATATATTGCAGTATTCTACACCGTCACAGAGTCTTACGTTGGCGCCTCGGTGCTGTCAGCTCTCATCATCATCCTTGCAATTTTCTGCCATTTGAGTAAGAGTTCATTGCTTACTTCGACGCACCCCATGCACTAACTGTGAAACTAGGTATCACCGCCACCGCGAGCCGACAGCTGTGGTCTTTTGCTCGAGATCAAGGCATTCCAGGATCATCATGGTTTGCTTATGTATGTACTCATCTTCACTCTCCGTGACTATTCGCGGCGAGCCTGGATCATTCACTAATGAGGGTGCAGGTACGACCAGGGTGGGACGTTCCAATGAACAGTATCATCGTCTCCTGGGTGGTGTCTTGCCTCCTTTCAATTATTAACATAGGCTCGACGATTGCGCTCAACAACATCACATCTCTATCCCTTGTGGCTATTCTGTCCAGCTATATCACTTCGATTGGATGCGTCCTCTGGAAGAGAATTTCTGGACAGGAGCTACTTCCTGCCAAATTCAGACTTCCGGCGGGCGTTGGGCTAGGACTCAATGCATTTAGCTTGGTGTTCCTGACCTTCGCATTTATTTTCGCGTTCTTCCCTGGAAACCCGAATCCCACCGTAGCTCAGATGAACTGGGCATCTCTGATCTATGGAGCAGTATTGATTTTCGCAATTATTGATTACTTTCTCCGAGCTCGACACGTCTATGATGGCCCTGTGGAATATGTACGCAAACTCATCTAAGGACTGCGACTGATCACAAAGCCGTTCGCACGCCATTCGTCACCACGAGCGATGCAAGGACTGCGACTGATCACAAAGCCGTTCGCACGCCATTCGTCACCACGAGCGATGCAGAAAGCAGGATCTTCCGATTGGCGCAAATCTGGGAATGTTTATCCCCAAAAGTCTGACCATCATATGTATCGAAGTATAGCAGAGACTTGCTCAAACCAACCGCCTCTGAGGGTTTGGAAATTCATAGACACCGACCTTAGAATGGTGCAGATACCAGCATGATTTATGTATGTATCGTACAAAGAACTACCACATCCCACGTCAATCCGACATTTCGGTATCTAAATTGCGTTCCCGTCTCGTGAGAGTCACTGAAAAAATAGACTAATTGGCAGACACCGGATCATTGGTTTGTAATATTACAATCGGACTTCGGACAGCGCGACAATATCGACACACAGAACCCTGCTCTCCGAGGTTGAGAATCGCCTTATCAGGCTGTAGCTTCTGTGACCAAGGCTGCCAACCAACCACAGCCTCGGTGTTTTTCGATCTCGATTGTGTCTTTCCATCTTTCAGTATTTGTTCTTTCGATCTGGTAGGCCATGTGCAGTTGCCCATTTGGGGCCAACTGACGGGTATGTTCCACTTGTACCCCGCGAATATCGTGTTGTAATCTTGGTATACCGAGGGAGAGCCAATGACAAATCTTTTGTGATACCGGATCATTGAACACGAGGTCGTGATCGTGTTACGACATTCTGGCCACACCGAAAACGAAAAAACTCAGTGAGACACAGCCCTGTCTTCGTACATTACATCTCCACAGAACTGGGACATGCGGAGCAAATTATGGGGAGCTGAAATGCGGATGTCTGATTGACACGAGTTGATCTTTCATGGGCCATGGGGTTTACAAAAGGTCACTCAGAGACTCCAGGTTTCCCTTTGGATAGCACTTTCTTCTCTACACGCTAGAGTACCTGCACAGAATCGCCATTTCTCCATCAAGACGATTTGATCGAAAAGCAACCACGCATCTTCACTCCAATGGCACCACACGCTGAGGACGGGGTCAACGGTTCCAGTGGTGCAAGCAGCCTCGACTTCACCACTTTCTCAAACATCATCGATGGGAAACTGTCGTCGACAAGCCAAACCCGCCATGGAATCAACCCTGCAACGGACAAGCCTAATCCAGAAGTACCTGTCTCGACCCCAGAGGATGTCGATCGAGCCGTAGAAGCGGCGAAGAAGGCGGCGAAGAGCTGGGCAAACACGAGCTACGCGGACAGGAGAAAAGCAGTGTTAGCCTTTGCAGATGGCCTGGAGAAGGAAAAGGATGCCTTTGCACAATTCCTGACAAAGGAACAGGGAAAGCCAGTCAGTATAATGATCTCCTTCATGTACTCGTGAATGATAGCATGTTATATCCGGATAATTGTTGACGTGTCCTCATACCAGCTTCATTGGGCATATTTCGAGCTGGATTTTGCCTTGTCCGCCATTCGAACTATGGCAGGCCTCGAGCTGCCCACAGATGTCGTTGCCGATGAGGAGGGACGCAAGATCATCGTGAGGTATACACCCCTTGGCACTGTTGTCGGCATTGTTCCGTGGAACTACCCGATCCTCCTATGCGTTACCAAAATTGCTCCGGCCGTTGTCACGGGAAATCCCATCATTATCAAGCCTTCCCCCTTTACACCATATGGTGGGCTTAAACTGGTTGAGTTAGCCCAACGATACTTCCCCGCGGGTGTGGTACAGGGATTAAGTGGTGATGATAACCTTGGTCCATGGTTGACGTCGCATCCTGGTCCTGCAAAGATCAGCTTTACCGGATCCTCTGCTACAGGCAAGAAGGTCATGGCGAGCGCAAGCAAGACTTTGAAGCGCGTCACGCTCGAGCTGGGAGGAAATGATCCGGCAATTATACTCGAAGACGTAAACATCAAGGAAGTAGCAGCGAAGGTTGCCACTCTTGCCTTCTTGAACTCTGGTCAGATATGTCTCGCTCTGAAACGTATCTTTGTCCACGAAAAGATCTTCGATGAGTTCCGTGACGCAATGGTGGAACACACCAAGACTCTAAAGCTTGGTGAAGCTCATGAGGAAGGTGTGTTCCTCGGACCAATTCAGAATTCGATGCAATATGAGAGGGTCAAGGGATTTTTCGGCGAGATCGAAAAAGAGAAATTGAATGTGGCGGTGGGAGGCAAGAACCCTGATGGTCCTGGATATTTCATTGTAAGTCGTCGTCCTGGGAAAATTCTTATAAATTTGGTACTGATTTTTGACTTCTTCAGACTCCCACAATCATCGATCGACCAAAGGAAGATTCCCGACTGGTCGTGGAAGAGCCTTTCGGTAATTCCTGTTCTTACCTTTTACACGATTCAACTAACAAGTGAATAGGTCCTATTGTCCCACTCTTGAGCTTCAGCACCGACGAGGAAGCCATCACCAAAGCGAATAACACAAACTACGGTCTTGGAGCCTCTGTGTGGTCGAGTAATCTAGACCGGGCTACCAAGATCGCCGAGCAACTTGAAGCTGGCAATATCTGGATCAATACGCACTTTGAGCTGGACATCAGAGCCCCTTATGGAGGGCACAAGGAGAGCGGCATCGGGATAGAATTCGGAATTGGTGGCCTGAAGTCGTATTGCAACAGCCAGACTGTGTATCTGAAGAAGTGAAGGATCAGAGAACGGCAGATTATGGGCGCCGTAGCATTCGTTAATGAACATTCTATCCTTGAGCAAGAATATCTTTGAAAGCCGGTTGGTCGTAGACGTCTTCGACGTGATTTAGTCTCGGGGAAACTGTTTGTCCGTAGTTTCCCCCCACCCCACAGCCCAGATTCTTGTGTGGAATCAGGTGACTGCGGGGAAGCTCAGAACTAATCTTAGTGGCTGGTCAAGGCGGCAGGCGAAGACCGAGTTGCCGGCTCATGCACCGACATTGTCTTCGTGATCCCAACGTCGAGCAACGCGCTTCTCACAATTATCCACGCCACAATATCATTCAGTATCAATGCTTTTGCCTTAGTGGTCGCAGAGTAGACCTACCAATCTAACAGCCTCGCGCCCCATACCCTCTGGCGTTCTGTCTCGTGAAATCATTGGCACATTCTCAGGTCATTGTCAGGCATCATTTTCTGCTAACATAAAAGCTTGCCCATCCAAGCTCTCCGGGACAAAGACCCATTAATATCATACGAACCCAACATGTTGCACGAAGGGCCTGGAACATAAGACATGTCTGAACCTAAGCGCCAGAGGATCGATGAACCTCTAGGTACGGAGACCATGGATACCGAGGCCGACTCCAATCCTAAAGCCACTACCGATGGTAAACAACGCTCAAACAAGAATGAACCTCGACGACGATTTGAATGTACTTATTCCGGCTGCGGCCGACATTACTCGCGCGCGGAACACTTATATAGACATCAGCTCAATCGTAAGCTTGCGATTCATTCAATATGAGCTCCACCAGATACTGACAGTCGCATAGATAATCCCAAAGAGATCTTCAAGTGTGACTTTCCAGGATGCTCAAGGACTTTTGTGAGGCAGGATCTATGTATTCGACATCGCGAACGACATGAGAACCGTGGAAAGCCACTCTCGGGGCAGAATGCTGCCAGTAGAGAGCCAATATCTCCACGCTCGTCAATGAGTGAAGGCAATGTCAATAGCCCTGGCTCCCCCATTTCTAACATTTTTGCAACACCGAAACAGCTTTCCGAAGGCTTACAATCTTCTCTGATGCATCGCTCATCTTTCTCAGATCCAAGTCTCAAGCCACAGAATCTTCAATCAACTGTGCAGCAGTCTGGGCAAGGCAGCATTACATCGACCAACAGTAATCCCCCAAATCTGCCTGCAATGCGACGGGCGTCATATATTGGCTCTGAACCTCGCGCATCGAGGCAACCTCCGGCATTTAGCTTCCCAGAGATGCCATCTGATGCAACACTATCTCTCCAACGATCACATAGTCTCACGGAAAATTCTTTTGACAACCTCGATCCGAACATCCTGAGCAATGGCATCACGATCACAGGCGACTCTCGAAACCACTCGGCACATAATGCAACGCAAGACAAGCCAGTCGCTCCATTCTCGGTCCCTACATTGAGTGACCAAGCTTTCAACGATTCTCCTGTGTCTATTCGAGATGAGTTCACTGCCTGGCTCTTTGAGGATGCTGGAGGACTCCAGACGGCCGCCTTTTCCATGGGCGTTCAAGGAGGCCTAGGCTTTCCCAATGCTGGAGATGCATTCAGCAGTACTATTTACCCCAATTACTTCACAGAAAATCCAATGGATCAGAGCTACCCTGAGATTATGCAAGTTCGTCCTCGAGAATCAATCAGCAAGGTCCTCGACATTTCCAGTGACAGTGATTTGTTATCGTACGCCAAACGGAAATCGCTGCTGAATTTGATGGAACTCACCTTCAACGATGGAGAAAACCACTTTGTCAGAAAATTGAGAGAAGAAGTCTTTCGAGGCAATCTCGACGCTGAAGATCATGCATTGAGCCTTCGTTCAATGCAACACTATATTGGCTCGTATTGGTACCATTTTCATGCACAGATGCCGATTTTGCATCAGCCAACCTTCTCTGCTGAGAATACTCATGACTATCTACTACTAGCTGTAATGGCTATTGGTGCAGCTTATCTCAATAGAGCTCATGGTCGCCAAGTGACTGATGCCGCTGCACGACTGGCCACATTCATAGCCTGGCATCTACGGTGGCAAGTCTTTATGCACAATGATTTTCACCCCCCTGCAAAGCTTTGGGTGTTCCAGACTCTCCTACTTCTGGAGATATACGAGAAACTGAACGCCACGCGGATGCTACATGAACGTTCACACATTCATTATGCTACTACAATAAACCTCATGAGGCGGGGAACAGCACTGATAGAGACAGGTAATCAGGAGGCCTGGCGCACACCAACGACTCCAGAAGAATGGTGGAGTCGGTGGATAACTGCAGAGGCTACTCGTAGAGCGGCGTTTGCTGCCTTTTATCTTGATGCCGTTAACGCAACCATGTTCGGACATGCCGCCATGATGGTCGTTCATGAGATCCGACTACCTCTACCTTGTGATGACGCACTTTGGTCAGCAACGTCAGCGGCCGAGGTGGGTCGTGTCGAAGCTAGTCTGCACGCAAATGGAGTCAAAACAACCACGTTTCTTGATGGGCTCAAAAAGACGTTAACCGGGAGGAAAGTTCGTACCAATAATTTTGGAAGAATGATACTGGCTGCTGGCTTACTCTCGGTGTCGTGGCATATGCATCAGAGAGACTTACAGGTCTCCACTCTTGGTGTCAGTCAATCGATGGGAGCCCCAGATGGCTGGAGAACCCCGTTGACCAAGGCCTTTGAATCCTGGAAGAAAGATTTCGATGAGAACTTGGAGCATATGCGCAAGGCATCTCTTCCTTGGCAAAAGCACGATTCTGTTTCAGGAGAAGAAGATATGGCAAAATCGGCAAACGTTCTTCACCATCTGAGCCATATGTCGATGCATGTTGACATTATGGACTGTCAGATCTTTGCTGGGTCAAAACGGCTTTTTGGAAGAACAGTCTCAAATGCCGATTATGAAAGAGTAAAGTGTAAGATATTCGACTGGGCAAAAGGCCAAAGCGCCAACGTTGGTGTCTTCCATGCACTTCAGCTGTTGAGATCGGTGATCCCTCCAACTAAGGATGGCTCGAAGAAGCTGTATAATGCCCGAGATGATCATCTTGTCATTAGGCCATGGGCGTCGTACTTTGCTGCCCTTGTGGTTTGGTCGTATGGATTTGCCTTGGATGGCGTTCTGAGGCCATTTCCAAGTCTAATTCAAGCAACACCAAGTCCAGGCGCAGTCCCGACGATGTCGCACAGCCCAAGCCAATCGATGCTCAATATGGCACACGACGGCAGCGAGCTCCAGCTCGATGCCGTCGTGAAAGATGCGCAAGTCTTCCTATCAACGGTGGGTGCTGTCAAAACCCCACAAGCTCTTGACGCAATAAAAGATGGCCGCAACAATGTGGTGGGGGTCCTTGCGATCTTAGAGACAGCATTTCGTGATTCAAGATGGGAGCTTCTACATGAGGCTGCGGATCTTCTTCGGAATGCGATAATGTTGTTAAGAGGAGCGAGCCGCATCTGAGACGGCTGGTGTTACGGTTCTGGAGCACATCCGTCTTATTTTCCGGCGGAAGGATATGCCGAATCGTTGAGATCAATGCAAGTTTCACTTCTTTGGCATGCCTGCGGTTGCGATTGACTTTCTGTTCCAAACAAAATCATGTTTGAGCGCGAATTGCTTCATTGACCCAGCTGTATACCGAGAACGGGCTCAACATAAACAAATCGTACATAGACAGAGTGACGCCAGATATTTTTCCGTGTACTGAGTTACGCCAATTCGTGTACCGTCGATCCGTGTACCGTCGATCCGTGTACCGTCGATCCGTGTGCCGTCTACCGGTTTTCTTGGTCGCAAAGACTGAGGTTATGGATCACATTTCAGATTGGAAATGTCACACCGCTCCTCCGTACCGCAAAAAGCAAGGACTCAACAAGCATGCATGCCTCTTTCAGGCAAGCCGAGGATGAAATATAATGACGCCAATGCATTGGTGGGCATCGAAGGAAGTGTCTGGTGGTTGGCCGGGGAGAGTGCAACCCAGTTGAAGATTTTATGGGGTAAAAAGCGGAGGAGAGCAAGCCTGAGGCGTCCTAATTGATCGCTGATACGCCCCCAGCAGGAGGGGAACAGGTCGGCATACCCCCACGCCACACACTTCATTCACTCCAAGATCTCCTCGTGGGGAGTCGATTTCGTCGTTTCGCCAGCCGGAGAAGTCCCTACCGAAGCTCCTTTTTGCCTCTCCCCCAAAACAGCCGCACACGGTGTCACGCGATCCTCGAATTCGTACTCCGTAGTTTATGGATTTTGCTCAGCTGGGTGACAAGCGCGACTCACGGAGAAAAAGGGCGTCATCTGCTAATGATTTAGTCATGTCCAACCGGAGCTGACGATTGTTGTCTTCAAACTAATACGAAAGCATATGTGCGTTTTTATTTTCATTTATATCGAAAGACAACTTGAGTATACTGGGTCAAATGGCTACTGATCAATTAAAGTCATTGAATGGCGTCACCAATGGGTCGACTCCTCATGCTCCTGGCGCCACAGGACCGAAGATCAAAAGTGTAGAATATTTCCGAGTCAAGCCCAGGTGGCTGTTCGTCAAGATTACAGATGACCATGGCAACTATGGCTGGGGAGAAGCCACTCTTGAAGGACATACCAAAGCGGTAGAGGGGGCGTTGGACGAGATAATTGAGCGTATCATCGGATACGAAGCGGAGTATGCCTCTCCTCACATTCAGCTTGTTTGGTGACGGGAAAACTGATTTCTCCCTTTCCACAGTGATATCGAACATATTTGGCAGACAGTATGGCGGTTAGGATTCTATCGCGGAGGGCCAGTCTTCATGTCTGCTCTCTCGGGGATTGATATTGCCCTTTGGGATCTTAAAGGTTGGTAGAATCAGGGGAGAAAAAGGGTAGACCTCAGCTCATTGATTTCTAATAGGACGAAAACTAAAGGTCCCGGTCTATCAACTTCTTGGTGGAAAAGTTCGCAACAAGGTCCAAGTCTATGCCTGGATCGGTGGTGACAGACCTTCAGATATCGAAACTGCCGCCAAAGCTCGTATTGCACAAGGATTGAAGTGTATCAAGATGAATGCCACTGAGGATGTCAACTGGCTGGACTCGCCGTCTGTACTTGACTCAACTGTCGAGCGACTGAAGATTGTGAAGTCGCTGGGTCTAGATGCTGGTCTGGATTTCCACGGACGCCTGCATAAACCTATGGCCAAACAACTCGCCAAAGCCCTGGAGCCGTATCGTCCGCTCTTCATCGAAGAACCCCTCCTTGCGGAACACCCAGAAGCATACAAACAGCTGAGCGACAGCACAACCATCCCAATTGCCCAGGGTGAACGGCTGTACACTCGTTGGGACATTAAGCGATTCCTGGAAGATGCTTCTATCGACATTCTCCAGCCCGACATTGCGCACGCCGGAGGTATTTCCGAAACGAAGCGGATTGCCAATATGGCTGAAGCCTACGATGTGGCTATTGCACCACATTGTCCCCTCGGGCCCATCGCGCTGGCGGCAAGTATGCAAATCGCCTTGAACATTCCCAACTTTGTGATCCAGGAAATGTCGTTGGGAATGCACTACAACGTCGAAGCTGGAGAAGAGGATCTGAATACATATCTCGTGGATCAAAGTGTCTTCGCGATCGATAACGGATATGTCAAAGCGCTTACAGGGCCGGGCTTGGGTATCGAGATCGACGAGGAGGTTGTCAGACGGATTTCCAAGACGACAGAGCCGTGGCAGTGTAAAGAATTTTATGGCGAAGACGGCAGTATCAGGGAATGGTAAGCTCCATGGGAACTTGTCATCTGTGAGGCCAGGTACTGTGGCCGCTTCTCTACTCAGTAGTCTTTCACGCTCGCCTAGAGATTACGGTGCCAAACCAACATTCTGTACATACAACCTCCCCTTGTTGCTATGGACAGGCCCTTTTGCTCATACTGGCGGAGTCGAGCGATTGCTACAGCAATCATGACTAGACAATCAAAATTTTATGCCCATGTCCATGACGCTCCAGATTTCGTCTCAGAACACTTGTAGACGTTCGCCTAACCTTGATCTGGCATCACCGAGACCGTACCTTACATAGCAAGATCGTGCTCTCCACGGAAAGTGGGAAACCGTCACCATTCCACCCCACGATGCCTTTAGGTGCGAGTTTCCATCGCATAAGCCTACACCCCAACGAAAGGCGGACGGATATCACCCTCCAGAGCTTCCACATGAGCCAAGGTCTGAGACCACAACCGGTGCCCCTGGAAGGATGACGCTTAACTCGCGGATGCTTAGAGGGCCGTGGGGGCAAAAAAGATTGTCCTTAAGCCTCTCAGCCATAAAGCTAGCTTGGCAGTTAAGCAAAACTCGCCGGAGATTTCCACGTGCCGAATAAATAATTTGGGCTTCCATGCCGAAGGGCCTGGAGCAGTCCCCCACTACTTTCCATGGTTAACTCTCCACAATCTCCATCTTCTCATGATGACGAACTGGATTGCGTGGGACACTTCGAGATTCGAATGCCCTCGAGTGCCTATGGATTTCTAACTAAGAGTGGGAGGGCCGTCCGCCGGGAAATGCACCGATGGTTGTCCCTCAAGGCTCGGTGCTCAACCCGCCGAAAGCTGCTAACTAATGAGAAAGCCTACCTAAACAGACGCAGACAACCTCAACGACGCGGTGGTTTTGGGGAAGAGTCAACCTCTGCGATATACTTCGCTGTCACAGCTCTGTTTGCATAACCTTGATTCCTTGCAGACTACACAGTACGCAATAGCTCTCCACGCGGGGTTATCAAGGAAAACCCACCTCCCCGAGGTTTTGGACCACAGGCAAACTAGTTAATGTATCACTTTTGTGGTGAGCATTACCTTTGAAAGTAAACGTGGCGTATGTACACACCGTCGACCGAGTCAGCCAGTTGCTGTTGTCAACCTTGGTCGCTTGATTGCTTTGGTGGCAATAGTATCATCAAGTGCTCATCCTCATGGTTGATGCGGTTTGTGGTGCCCTAGAATTTACACTAAAGTCGAATGGGCTTCTCTAACAGAGGATCTTTCATACTTACATCACTAATCGTCTTGGTAGGTACCGAATAGCTGTAGGATCATCAGCAATATTCTCGGAGGGCGTTGTATCCTGTCCTTGAAGACAAAAACATCGACGATCGCGTCCAGCCTTGTGGTGTTCAGCTTGAGCCTGCTCGGGGGTGTCCGCCAAGATGTCGGTCTCGTTCCTTAACATGTTCTCCCTTGGGGGTAGGACTGCGGTCATCACAGGTGGCACAAGAGGCATTGGTGCAGCCATGGCCATTGCATTGGCGGAAGCAGGCTCGGACATCATTTTGGTTCAGGTAAGGCAATTTGAGCCTCGTGCTAAGCCTAGCATTCATGCATATTTCCACAAGGCAAGCTCTGATATTGCCACTCCAGAGGGACACGAGCAACACAAAGACCAAAGCCTCCATCGAGGCACTTTCTCGCAAAGCGACCATCTACACAGCGGATCTAAGCTCACAGGACGAAGTGTCTGGTCTATCGAAAAGGATTCTCGACGACGGCCATGATGTATCAATCTTGGTTACTTGTGCCGGGATCCAACGACGACATCCATCCCACGAATTCCCCCTCAGCGACTGGAGCGAAGTACTCCAAGTGAACCTTACCACCGTCTTCACGCTCTGCCGAGATTTCGGTGCTTACATGCTCAAGCGACCGGGCCCCCACCGTGGCTCAATCATCAACGTTGCCAGCCTTGTGTCCTTCCAGGGCGGGCTGACCGTTCCTGCGTACGCGAGTGCAAAGGGTGGGGTTGCCCAGTTGACCAAGGCACTGAGCAACGAGTGGGCCAGTCAGGGAATCAACGTCAACGCTATCGCGCCGGGGTATATTCAGACGGACATGAACGAGGCTCTGATCAAGAATGAGACCCGTGCCAGGCAGATCCTCGAGAGAATTCCCATGGGGAGGTGGGGTGACCCCGAGGATTTCAAGGGCCCCGTCGTTTGGTTGGCGAGCAGGGCTAGTGCGTATGTGAGTGGGGAGATTGTTACTGTTGATGGGGGTTGGATGGGGAGGTGAAGCAGAGAACATCGAGTACTCGTGGCTGGAATCGGCTGCACTTTTCTTTCGTGACTCGTTCTGGTGGATGGGTTTCTATAGCTCATGTGCAATCAAGACCGGACCTGAGGGCTACATAATCATCTCCCCGGGGATAGCTTTGAGTTGATCCATATGTAGATTGCTTTTTGAATGCGTTTTCGACTGGCTTTCGGAGAGGACAACATTTTTGTCTATGTACAGAGTAGAGACCTGCGAGCCCCGAGTAAGGAGCAATTGGCTATCACATTCATGTGGCTTGTGGAGTAGTCTACAGTGTATATCTAAACCCAGCCATTTTCTGTGCTTCGGTGGGACCGCTCTTACCCACATCCTCACCACGGTCCATCTTTGCATTCTCGCGACGCAGATAAACACGGATAACTGTTGCAACGAGAATGGCCAGTACCGCAGCGGCCAGATTGACTGCAAAGGCTACGATGTATCGAGGGGCAGAGCGGTATAGGTAGGACGTCCAGATGTTGGGGGTATTCGATACTGCGTTGATTGCAGCGATTGCAGCCGCTCGTTTGACAGCAGGTTGATTGAGACTGCCCGCAATCCACGAAAGAACCACAATCGAAGCCGAGTAGAACGAGGCGGGCATCAGCATCATTGCAACGTACCGTCCAGCGACATTGAGTGTGGATACGGCGATGATATTGGCCACCACGGTGATGGCGAGGGGGCAGACGATGTGGAGGTAGCGTTCTTGCGTTCGATCCGAGTGGAAGCCATTAATCAACATGCAGATGACGCAGAGCATGAAAGGAGGCGCAGTGAGGCCGTAGGTCTTATTTCTCGAATACCCAAGGCCACCGACCACGGATGGGAAGAAATTGGTAACGGCAGCGGAAATGTAAATCGATGTCAGGAGCGTCATGAAAAGCCACATCTTTGGGTCCATCGCAGCCAATTTGAGACCCTGTTGGCCACTGACCTCCTTGGAATTATCTTGCTGACCTAGATCAGACTCGAAATTCCAGATGACCCACTCCCTCTCTTTATTGGAGAAGCCCTTGAGTGTCTTGATGGAATTGGGCAAGATGAATGCGAAGACCAAGGCCAGGAAAATGGTGAGAACTCCCTCAATCAAAAAAAGCTATTTGCATATCAGAAAGAGCTAGGCAAGATGACGTGCTGATTCTTCTTACCCATCGCCAGCCTTCAAGACCCCTTTCGTTGTCCAGTTTCAGAATTCCAATGGCGAACAGGCCACCAAAAGCGTTACCAAGTTGCGAGCCCGAGTACAGGATAGCTGTCCTAAAGGCGAACTGCTTGCGAGAATAGAACATTGATAGATAGTACAAGGCTCCAGGGAAGAAGACAGCCTGTAAAGATGTTAGCCAAGGTTGATAGTCCGAGTCGTAGATAAACTCCATACTTCGACGAAGCCGAGAAAGAATCGACAAGCAAGGAGGCCGCCGAAATTATGGATGACAGCCATGAGACCAGAAATCAGACCCCAAAGCGCCATAGCCGAACAAATGTAGATTGCTGGGTAGCGTATCTTTCCTAGAATGATATTTGATGGAACTTGCATCAAAATATATCCTGCGAAGAGAATGCTGGGCATAAATCGTCAGTATACTCGGTCAAAAGCTACTCCTGAGGATGTTTATGCCTACCTGACAGACGTCTGATATTGGACAGCCGACAGATTGAGGTCCACGCTGATGTCTGCCAACTTCGCACTCGCAATATTCTGCAACAATCAATACTGGTCCAGACTTATGGAATATCACTAAACTCACCTGGCGATCGAGGTAATTCATGATGTACCTAATCGGTACCGTTAGCTGCAGTCCAGGTGTAGGGACAATTCACGATGGTTGATAATAAGGAGCGAGGCATGAGAAAGTATTGGATTTCAGATTTCTCACATGATGGTAATTGACGGAAGAATGAAACAGTCCAATTTGAAAGTTGCCTTTCGCCCAATCTGCTGAAGCTCCTCATCCGAAAGTCCTATAAGAATTTCGGGCAAGACCATATGAGAATGCTCCATACGGACCTTCTCAGCGCCGACACCTTCGACCCGAGAGGAGGCATGACTCGGCCGTCTGGCCTCATCCGCGACGGAAGGCTTCTCCTCCATGCTTTGAAATGTTGAGTCACAGATGGGTGAGTGTGTTGAGCCAACAAGATCGTGGCGAGAACGAATGACTAGTGAAGGAAGGAACCTGCTTCATATAAAAAGACAGCTAGTTGAGCGGCCCTGCTCTAGTCCGACTACGTCGAACTGGACTCGCTACGAGATGCTGGAGAATTCTATGGCCGTTAGGAGCAATGCTATCCACCCCACGGGGATCAGGCACCTATTCTGCCAGCAAGACCGGTATCAAAGGGGTAGGATCAGCCCATCATATGGGGGTTATGGATAACATCAATAGCTCTCACCCCACTATATCTGCGTGGTGGACTTTGCGGTAAATTGCATCGCTAAGTATGATCTGATGTTTAGCCAGGATACCAGGTATATTTCTTGGTGAGCCTCCACATGGTCCAGCAGTTAGCTGTGATAATGTTAGCGCTATTGAACCAGCTCATCGGGTGATCCCGGATTATTTTTAACGATGGGTAGCGGTATACATATACCAGTCAGCGTTTGAGAACGGTACGGTTCACATTGCTGGATGGTGAGCAACCAAACCGATGATTTGGTGCTTCGTTTCACAGTTGTAGATGTTTGGACGAGTTAAGCTTTCAAGCCACAAAACTTGGGGGAGCTCAGAAAGTGTCACACAGTCCAGGGTTGATGTCATAGGCGTTCCAGGCGATCAACAGGCCCCGAGCGTCTCCGTGGCATTTCTCCGTACTCCCTTAACTAGTGGAATACCGTCGAGTTGCAGCTTCCAGCCTCGCATCCTAAACATTTTATGGGGGAATACCGCGACCAGTACAAGAAATCTTCTAGGAGCGTCTATTCTGCTACAGCTTGTGCATAGCCGGGTTTTTGCCCTGGGTGGTGTTCAACTCTCTTTCTTTTTTGTGTCCTGTACCCCTTAGATAGCACGGTCATCCCAAACATCATCAACTCATTCGAGAATTTATCGCCAACATTAAGGTATAGAGAACGTCTAGTGTCGGTGTTGGAACCCCTAGCTGCTTGCCCTTCTTAAAAGGAGTTCCTAGAATCACTTCGACTTCCATCAGCCTCCCTGCTTTGCAATCGACTTGCATGCTGCTTCCAATTGTAGGCATAGCAAGAATCCTATCGATCAAGATATCGATCAAGTCGTACTCGAGAGGCACTTCGGCCTTTCTAGCAACATCGATGACTTCTCGCATCAGTTGTTTCGTCATTGGAGTCGAGTTTTCAGAGGATTTCAACCAAGCGTGAGTGTCCAACATTGTGAGTGTAGTGAGAGAATTCCAGGCAACATTCCATACGACTTTCTCCCAACGCTGAATTTGGATGTTGTCAGAAATTGAAAATGGAGTCTTGCCCTCTGACAAAATGGCCGTGAATTCATCGAGCTTTGTCTTCTCGAATTCTGCCGATAGGGCTTTATTGGGAAAAATGCCTATCTCAGTATTTTCTGATGCCCGGTGTTCAACGATACCTGGTTCACTTTGACCAGCACCAACCCATACCTAACAAACAGTCAGAAATGGATCTCATACTAGTTAAAAGTGGCGTATCCTACCACACAGCTCAAGATTGGGCTATTTGGGAATGCTTCTCGAAATGGGTCTTCATTGCCGACTCCGTTCTGTGCAATGACTATCGTTGTCTTGCTATCATCAACAGCCGGCGCAATTCGCCCAGGGACAGCTGCAGGATCGGTAGCCTTATTTGCGAGGACGATATAGTCATACGTCTCACCAGCCTCGGCCGGTGTTCTCACGACTTTTCCATCGACATCAGCAGGAGCTGTCAATGATTTTGGGTCTTTGTTACCTTTAGCTGGCTTGAAATGATGCTTTCCGTGATTGTAGCTCGTGATCTGGATACCCTAGTGCCAGCGATCCACTTATGAGTCTTTTGGGGTCTGCCTCCTAGCAGTTTCCAAGAGGGAGCATACATTTTTCTGGACAGCCTCGAAATTGGATCGGGCAACGACAGTCAGACGGACATTTTTGCTCCTTTGTAATATAAAAGCGTAAAAAGATCCGATGCTGTGATAGTCTCAGTGTCTGAAAAATTCGGGCTAGATCCACAACTCTTCAAGAGAGGGAGGCCGACTTACGCTCCTAAACCATACAGCATCACTTTGATCTCTCGAGCCATCCTGGAGTACTTCGAGCGTGCTCGTTACTCTTACACAGATATCAAGATCAATTCGTGCCAAGAAAGAAGACCAAGCGTCGTAAAGTTGATGAAGCAGAAAATCGGATCACGAGACCATGCTGATATAAAGACGATATGCGAATGCCGAGCCCCGCGCCTTTCAATGACAATATGACGGAGTACGGAGCACCAGATATTTGACTCTTCTCAGTACAAGTGACAGTATCTTGTCCTCGGTAGATAGCCGGCAGGCATTGATTAACGACCAAGATCAAGAGTAGTGCAAGCACGTTAATTCGGGCGTGGGGGTCTGGATTACCTAGCTTAGGATGGAGTCTGAGGAAATAGCACCGAAAGAAGTTTCCCCAGCGGCCCCACTGAGAATTCTTTCTGCTCGGGGGTGGAGATGCACGCCTGCTGTCGATCTTGAACCTTCTATGTTGACAGATCTGCACCAGGTCCGAATACTAGGGCAGTGCTGACGTGATTGTCGAATATCAAAACCTCTACAAGAATCCAAACTGGTGAGAGGTTTGGCAAGGAGGTTCCAGTGGGATGCTTTGAATTCTGAATCAGGGGACCGTCTTTAGACCAGCCCGTGGATTAAGCTGAAGATGCTTTTAATGTGAGATCGCCCGCAACCTTGAAAATTGTCCAGTAGTTTGATCTATTCTCCAGAGTTAAATGCAGACACTAACCCCGGAATTAAGCCAAGCATCACGATACTTGTGGTCAAGAGTGCTGGCACTGGAGTAGAAATTGGACCGTTTGCTGAAGCATTCAGACGACGTTTCTCGACTATTCTTCACTTCAGACCAACTTGACTACCACGGGCAGCTTGAGAAGAGTTGTTTTGACTCGAGGCCCCAACGTTCTCTTGACTGATTTGCTTGAGTCTGCCAGATATCAACATGCACAGGATTGATGGCGAAAGGCGTTTATTTCCATCTCTGAGATCATCGTTGGCAGGCCCACCTCCTAGTATATGAACAATCTGGTCTTTAGCTGTCTCTATGGACTAAACACGGAATCATCCAGCGGCTCAGGCTAGAATTCGTAATCGACAATGGGCCAGCACTTGGTTGCTTAAAAGGCATTGATCTGCATTGTTAAACACTGGTTCTCCTGCAAGCCTTGACCGTAAGGGACTGTGAAGCAGCAGCTTCCAGGCGGTTGCCAAGGCGGGATGAATACCTGGGGATGCCTAGAGGAAGTTGTGAGGCTTTCTTTCCATTACCATGCCCCTCTTGAGGCCAGCCGAATTGCCCATCGGTGCCAATCTTTCCTGAAATATAACTTTCACGCTCCTTTTGCGCAAGTATCGATTCCACGGATGCCTACAATACATACATGGTTACGTATGACGTCCGGTAGTAGCTGATCATAGCTCGAGCGCAGCTTGGTGTAATAAAGTACGAGCCCACGAAGTACTACTTCGTATCTATTTTGATGGGCCGTGCCTTGTGCGTTACCTAAGTACCCTGCTCGCTCCACCAGGAGCTCGAAGGCCAATGCTCCTGCAACTCGAACCCCGCAATCGTTCCTTTCCAACTGTTCTGGCTTGCTTCAAACTGCTTCTCAGCTAGACTTCAGGCTGTTCCCCTGTTCCCATGCAACTTACTTCCTCAATCAGACTCAGCCGACCATTATTGAGCAGGTCATGAAGAGCATTGTTCTGTTGGATATCACTATCCTCACCACTTTTACTCATCTTGCCAGGCTAGGCTCAAGCGATTCGATCCAAGAACAAAATAGCCCCTCCACCCCAGGGAAATCGATTGGTAAGATCTGGGGTCGCCTGTGGTTAGTTAGTGCCCTTTGTGCATCCCTGGCATAAAGTGTTTGGCAAGAAACTATTTTCCGACCATTAATTTCACCCTCATCTTCAACCTACGATTCGCGACTTATTTGAATCAACAACACTCTCAACAATTATCGAACAAAATCGTAAACTTCCCAGCCCAGGACGAATACATTCCCTGGTGACCTGATCGATGACGCTAGCAAGCAAGCGGAGCTCGACTTCAGAGGTTGGGAAAAGAACAATTTCCATGGTTTAACTCCCCACACTCAACACATATGACGGCCATCCTGCTTCAGACGCCAGTACTGCGATCTGGTGATGATCATCAAATCATGAATCCAACTCATGCACACTCTCGGCATGAGAGATTCAACTGTCCATCATGTGATAAGTCTTTCGTCAGGAAAGCCCACATGCTTCGCCATCAACAACAGCGTTAGAGAAAGTCCCGTATAACTCTAAACCGCAAGATGTCTAATCATACTCTAGATGTGGCGCAGAGACCATTCACCTGCACATTTTGTTCAAAATGTTTCAAGCGAAGGTGCGTTCTGAAATCACGACTCCAATAGCCGTGGTTGACCGAATTTGCCAGCGATGTACTTCGAGCACATCAATTTCGATGCAAGGAACGGGGTGAAGCACCTGTTCCGGACGGCCAAAGCAAAGGCCGGAAAAGATCTTCTTGCATGTCTTGCGTCAAGCTGAGGACACGATGCAACCAAGAGAGCCCCTGTGCTCGTTGTCAGGAATTGGGGAAGGAGTGCATCAGGTGTACGTATTTGTTCCTGCTTTAACATGCAACCAACTCCTAATTTGATGTAGCGACAAGTCTGTCCATACTGCAAGATCAATCTCGACCAATGAGCCGCGACGCCATTCCCATTCAGCACTTACTCAACCCAGACGGGATCGTTGGCTCATTCCCAATTCGAGATAATCAAACTTCTCCATATCTCGAAGAGGAGGAAGGCACAGTTGTCGAGCCCGAAAATTGTTCAGAAACGTCGCATTGGAGCGAAGATTATGATCGAAGCGATGTCTTCGCTGGCGGCGCCATGCCTGGTTATGACGGTGTCAATTTCGATTCATTCTTTGGAGGATTCGAGACGCTGACCTTTGGCACCTACCCACTCAACGCCGATCTTGGAGACTTGACCAGTACCGCAGGGTTGTTTCCTAGCTCGGCTTTAGACCTCGAGCCTCGCGCGTTTGAGATCAGGCAAATCCTGATAAATACAACGGCCAGCCTTGCCAATCAATATCCCGAAAATCAAAGCATGAGTCCAGAGATCTACTCCGCCATAGAACTGATCACGCATGTGGAACTCGACCATTGTATATCGCTTTTCTTTGGCAATTATTACCGACATTGTCCAATATTGCATCGTCCTTCATTTCAACCCGCACTGGTTCCCATACATCTCCTTATCGCCATCTCTGCGTTAGGTGCGATGTATTCTTCCGATCCACGCAAAGTTGCATCCTGGAAGACCTTGTTGGACGTCATTGAAGCCTACATATTTAACTGCTCAGGATTCAGAGAGGAGTATATCGGGAGTATCAACCTAGCAGAGGCTCCAGATGAGGACACCCTCTACTATCAGTTTCAGATGTTTCAAGGTGCCTACCTGATGATTATAGTTCAGTACTTCTCGGGGAATCTGGCAGGCCGCCGCAGGGCGAGGAGGGAGCGTTATATGAGGACCCTAAATGTATGTGACGAGCCCAATCTGTGATGAGATTTCATTGACTTTTGACCAGATTGCGAGAGCATTTCGTTTACCGACTGCTCAGCACAGAAACTACACAATCACCGACGAATTGTCCTTCCAACGTTGGATACGAAACGAAAGCCGTATTCGGTAAGTTTGTGATCAAACCCCTGGTACCACAGCAGTAATTGTAGGTGCTAACCTTTGTGATCCAGGACGATGAATGTTCTCCTTGCATTGGATGCTGCTATGTGCATGTTCAACAATGTCCCACCAAGAATTCACTACTGTGAAGTCGATCTCCAGTTGCCTTGTCAAGCGCAATATTTCGAGCTTTCGAGTTATAGTAACATGTTACAAAAGGCTTTATTTCCACCGCCACGTCCGAAATTGATCGAGGCTTTTCAGAGATTCTTCCAGCCTCAGTCGGAAATCAAACTCTTATTCCAGTCTGAATCCATGTGCTGTTGGGATATGTTGTACTTGATACATGGTCTGTCGATCCCTAACCCTTCTTATTTGTAATGTGCGGCTGAGTACCGCAATGTGTTGAACAAGCTACTAACCTGTCATTGACTTTGCAGTACTATTCACCCATTGCTGGCAACATCTGGTCGGAGATCCCCTAAATAGGACATCATCAACCTCCTTGTATGGCGCGAGCACCGATCCTGCATTCATCCCGATAAAACTCGCCCTCGCGAATTGGAAGATAGTTTGGGACGACGTCCGTGCCGAGGTCACGAGGTCAATGGTACATGAGTCCGGTTTCGAAACCTCGGCTGACAGTTATTGGACATTGACAAAACTCATTGTGCAGAAATTGGAACGAAAACCATACTCGACACAAGGTGCCGATGGTAATGGTGAGGCGAACGGCACCGATGACATAAGTGAGTCAGGGACGGGTAATCTCCTTGACTTCATGCCACTGGAGGCAGACTGTGATAGTCATGGTGCTCATCTGAGGAAGATTTTGGGACGATAAAACCACCGTTTACGCACATCACTGACATTTTGAAATTGATTCGTGTGGATACTTCCCCTTAACCCCTCAAGCTGCTTACCCTCTCAAAGCACGGATTGAGCAGCAGGCAGATCCCACGCCTTTTCACGCCCATCTGCACAGACAGGAGAGCCATTTCCTCTCGATTACCCTATAACGGGTCAGGATTGTGAGGAGCGCCTTTACAATCAATAGATCAGATCCTCCGGCATTAATGACTGGCACGCTACAAAACAACATCCGGAGTAAATACAGGTTCCCCCCTTCTCGATAGCGAAAACCCCCTGCGAAGGAACACTTGTGAGGTTTAACTTGAACCGGATGAGTCGAAGTCTAGCAGGAATCACCACCTTCCTCGGAGTTCTGAGCATATATGATTGGAAATATGGACACGACTGGAGGAACAGACCACAGGATTTCTTCCAAAACGGCGTGGTCACGGCAATCTGATATTCTCTAACGATCTAAGCTCTCGCTTGCTCTTATGGCGTCCTTACGATGCTTGCCCATACCTATACGTATACCTATCTACTTAGGTTAATCAAGAATGTATAACCATGAAACAGCACACCAAATATACGATTACTTCAAGTCCCACCCTACATTCATCTCAGGGCGATCTGTTTACCAAAGTTCGATAAGCTAGAATCTCGAGCCCTCAACACAACGCAGCATCCTCTTCTGCCTGCGTAGGTATCCTGAGAAAAGGCACAATGCATCCAAGCACCTCGCTCTGCAGATGTGCAGAGATCCAACCTCGGATCACGGCCCCGAACGACAAGAGGATCAGCAGTAAGTTAGTAAACGTAGAGACCCCACACACTAAATCCAGCGGGTTGACCCCCAGTGTCCACTTGGTTAAGACGCTCCGCGGCACCCACACGACGGAACACACCCTCGTGTTAAGTCACTGCTGGTCATGCATCTCCTCTTCAAAGCGGCAGGTGAAGACGAGAACTTCTGCGAGTGGACTGCTTTTGCCTATGTGCGGCATTGCAGCATGGCCTTTGCTTTACTTTTACGTTTGCCACGCTGAGGACGCATGGCGAGGCGTGTGGGGCCGGGGTCGGGTCGGGTTGGTGGTCACGAGAACGAATGTTCTGGGGGGGCAAGAAGGAAGAGAGAGTCCGGATATTAACTGGCCTTTCGGTGGCCTCAGCCTGCCAATCATGGTGGGTGTTAGTTGGTACAGGTGAGGGGGGAAGAGGCACAGTGGCCACCAACATATCTAATGGGCCGCACATCTGGGAAGTGAATACGAATGCCATGGACAGCGTTTTACGAGAATCGCCGTGGCGAGGCACGCTGCAAGGAATCTTGGATGTCATTGACACGTTTGATGATGCAAGCATGGACGCTGTGTGCGTCTGGCATTCCAACAAATCTCTATACACCGAAGCTACCGAGGTCGAGCAGCTATAGATATTGTGTCTGGGAGTATACAGAGTGCTGGGAAAACCGGATTACTCGATCCATGGACATCATTGACATTGACCTTGACCTTGGATTTGGGGGTTCCTCCTCTTCCTCGTACGATCTGCCATCGCCTCAGGCAGGTGTCGGGCCCGTGGCTCTCTGCATCTGGCCTCATGTTCCGTCTCATCTCCTGCTTCCATTGCCACGAGGTCGTGGACTTGCCTTCTTTCCTTCCTCGTTCCTCTCTGCTCACATCACTGTCGTTTGCTTGACCTTCTCTGCAGATAACGTTGACCGGAAGTCGTATGTCTCAAAGCAAGCTCAAGTGGTTGGTGGACCTGTCCAACTATGTTAGGAAACATGTTGAGTGCTTGGGCGACTTGTGTGGGACACTGGCTCTGTCAAGGATTGGAGTTTAGTCTATTGGAATCCTGGACATGACTTGGTCTAAATGTTAAGTGCGCTTGCCGTTTCGGAGAGAAGGTGGGGGACTATTACCATCACCACACATTCTTTCTTTTTTTGGGGGGGCGTCAACGAAAAAGGAATGACTTCGCATGGGGCATTTGAACAAAACACAAAAAGGCACCGTGTCAGGTGTCTTCATCTTCCTGTATGTCTTCATTCATCTCCGTCGTCTCTCAACGACCACGGCACGGCGGTGTTCCTCAGGACGTTTAGTTCCAGTGCTACCGTGGCCGTGAGAGGAGGATTTCTTCTCCTGTTCTCGTCTCATTCGAGCTCGATATTCACGTTCATCTTCTGAAGAATCATCGCTGTCTTGGCTATCACACTCACTAGAGCTAGATGACCATGAACCACAGCGTTTCCCGCCGCAGTCAATCTTGACGCGTTGTCCTGATTTTGTCACACCGTAGCGTTCGCAGCGGCATGAGTGATTGGACACGCTTGACAAGCTGGATGGCGATGAACGACTGAAGGCTGTACCTGAGCTTGAACTGTCATCAGAGAGATCAGATGGTGAGGCCGATGAGCCGCCAGAGCTGATGCGGTAACCAGAAAAGCGTTCTTCGAGGTCATCAATGGGGGATGTATCGTAATCTGCTTCTCGTAGTCCACGACTGGCGAATGCTTTGGTTGGTTTTGGGTGCTGGATCTTTCCGGGACTCAAGGCACGACCGGTTGGAATATCACGGGAGTGTCTGTTCGAGAGATTCTGGGTGTTGACTGTGGGGCGAGAGGCCTTTCTGTCACCAGCGGGAACATCGATCACGTTGAGTTTGCGGCCAGTGGTTTTCTCAGTGACAAATTCTTTGGCGGGATCATGAGAGACGTGGTATCCATCGACAATGTAATAATACCAATATCGGCTGCCAAGTTTGAGTGCATTGGATCCTTGAAAGCGGAATGTGCCCTTCCAGCTTCCTGGTTTGGCGGATGCGTCCTTGACAGCGGACAATGGTAGTTGCGATTTGTAACCATCCCAGGAACCGAGTAAGTGTACGGTCCGAACGTTGGGAGAGGTGCGAAGGGTGAAAGAGAGTTGAACGGCTGGGGAAGACATTGTATTTTAATGCTTGAAGGATTCCCGTTGACTGGTGTGTGTGTTTTCGAGTTGATTACTAGTTGTAGTTGTCGTAAAAGTAAGAAAATGCTTGTCGTAGAGACTGTAGTGCGTTATTATCGTCAATTATGCTGAAGAGCTGGGTAAGTGGCGAATATGATCGTCAAGAATAAATGATATATGATGCAAAGAAGTCGATCGAATCAAGCTGAGGCTCAGTTATGACTCGATTCCCCGGGGAGTTGATCGTGAAGCGATTGGCCGGTGGGACCAAAAGTTGATCTTAGCTGTAGGCAGAGCTTCCTCAACAGATAGTTGAGATATCTAGGAAGATTTTGAAAGGTGCTAGTATTATGATGCTGAGATTGACCTGCATTCACGACGAAGGGTGGCCTGGGTCGTAGAGTTGGAACCGAGGTTCGAAACGGGTATGAAAAGCAACAAAAAGTATCGAGCTTGAAAGGACTAGTTGTTGAGCGAGCACAGCAAGGCTGGTTGTGTGCGGGTATTGAGCTATTAGTTTGTGGAAAGAATGATCGTTGACCGGCAACGATGATGGTTTCCTCGGAATGATTATCAAAATTCTTTTGTAAGTCGTAGAGTCGTTGTCTGCAAAACAGGTGATGTTCTTGAAGCAAGATGACGAGCACAGCTCGATAGCAAGACAACAAGAGATGGTGATATTGATATTATTGGTGTTTTGAATTGACGTTGATGATAATTATCAATAGTGTACCAGACACTATCTTCGCAGAGGTTAAGGACGCAAAAGAATCTCGGGAATAGCTCGTTACCGCACAACCAGAATTAACAAGACTTGCTTGTGTGAAGAGAGGAAAGAAATCATGACAACGGTCGGGCTGGGGATGGCATATTTAGATGGAACAAACCTGGTGGAGCACCAAAAGAGGTATGCATGATCATGTCTGGCTGCATAGGCCGTGGAGTCAAGTGGTGGAAGGCCAAAGGAGCGGGTTGGCCAGATGCACATGGACTGGGTGATACGGTGCTGCAGGACAGTTTGTTTGTAGAGACCAGATAGGTCGATTTGAAAGAGGGGACAAATAGATCGGGCGCGTAGAGAGAATGAGAAAGGAAAAGCCGGCAAAGAAATGTGGGAGCCGACCTTTCGACCTGAAAGACTGGGCGCTTATGGAGGCTTTGATTGGTGTGATGAAATTCCTCCTATCGAACAACCACCTTGGAACCTCGATGACCAACAGGTCGACCAATGGTTTACAATTGACATGATGCTAAGAATAGAGAATCGCTCGGCGGTCGCTTGTTCATGATTGTCAGTCATCTATCTCGGCCCATCATCATCTGCACTCAAGCGCTCTCAAACTCCAACTTCTGCGTGATAGTCAAAACGGCTTTCATCGACACTGGTCAAACTGGCCACTTCGGATCCATGCCGCATCAGACTATTGCTTCTTCGCGGCTCGCATCAATATTGGTTTAGACAAAAACGATGAGAATAGGCACGGACCGAGCGACCTGTCCCGTAGTGGAGGCATCCTTGAAGGATCAAGGATCCATTGCATTTGAAAATGTGAACCGACTCTGATTGATGGTGTAAACACTGGTCACAACATGAGCTACTATCATACACAGTCCATACAATTTTGTGATAAACCAAGGACTGCGCCTTGGCCTTGCCTTTCCATACCACAGCGCATCTGCATGCTCCAATACATTCTAGAGGATAAAGACCGGCCTATCCTAGATTCAATAATACCACCTCACCTTCAATCATGTGCAATCACATGTAACCATCCCGTCTAGAACCATTCCTTTGCGAGCCATCTGTTGAAGAACTCTAAGCTAGCTTCTGGCTGGTCAAGAGGGACCATATGACCAGCTGCATGAATCCGCATGAAAGTAAAGTTTCCAGACGACTTGACATCTCCAATCTTTCTTCCTTTCTTGCTATCGTCTATGCGGAGATCCTTGGTAGCAGCAGCCTTGAATTCCTTGTGACCAGGATACTCAAGAGCGTCGGCCCATGCCTTGTTGCCTAGCCAATTACAGATGAAATCTGCGTCACCCGCATAGATCAAGACTGGGAACTTCTCAATAAGCCCTGGCACTAGTCGATGGAATGGTTGCATCCAGTCACCTTGGAAGAGGAAATTCCGGTTGATATCGAAGTTGCAAGAATCGTAGCTATCAACCTCAACACCAAGAGCCTTCATGACACTTTTCTCGTTGAGCCACTTGCTAATCCAGCCAAGTTCGGGGTAGCACAAGTTGCTGGAATCCTTGCATTTTCCACGAACATCATAGACGTTTTGACCAGTCCGCTGATAAGGTGCAAGGAGAGCATTGTTGCAGTAGATGCTGGCAGGGACACATGACCAGACGCTTTCGCTATCGTAGCAGTTCTGGATCAAAGACTGACATCTAGGCAAGGCGTTGTCCATTGCTTGGCATGACTGCTTGTCAAGCACGGCAGGCCAGCCACCGTCACCACAAGCCATAGGGCGATAGTATTCATATTGAGTCAATCCATCGGTGAGACCATTTCCAATCAACACCGACTTGAGATTGATGTTGGTCTTCTTGTGCGAGCTGATTTCAGAAGCAAACACAGGGATATAGTGCCCAGCATATGATTCTCCGGCAATGTGGAAATCCTGGGTTGCGTATTCTGGGAATTGCTCGAAGAAGAGGGTGAGCAGGGCGTAAACGTCCTTTCCAGCGGCCACGGTGTTGGAGACGCTGGAGCTCGAGTACGAATAGCCCACGTTGACAGGTTGGTCTAGAAAGATGACGCTAGCGTTGGCATTCCAAGAGTACGGATTGTACACCAATTCGAGGTTCTCGTTGATGCGAGACGGACCAAGTTCGAGGAACAGCCCGGTAAGTGACGAGCAGCCGGGGCCACCATTCAACCATAGGACGACGGGGTCATTCTTCGGGTCGTTCCTCGATTCGAAGAACCAATAAAAGAGATGTTTATCGTTTTCATCGTCATCCAGATAACCCGAATATTGCTTGACATCTGGGTCAACGCCCAGAGCACTAGGGTCAACCGATTTGACACGAAGGCTGTAAGTATCAAGTTTGCCGTCGATACGGCGTTCTTTCTCGCCATCGGCATTCTCAACCCAAACATTCTGGATATCTTCCCCTCGCACGATGTGATCCCATTCGTGATCGGGTTTACGGGTATGCTTCTTCGGTGCAGAGAAAAAGCTAGCGGCAGACATATCTTCTGGATACAATGCAGCCACTTCGTCCCAAATGGCGGCAGTCTCTGCGGTAAGACCCTTTAGAGCATCCTTCAGGTTGTGGAGTTGCTTGTCAATAACATTCTTGGCCTCTTTCGGGAAGGTCTTGGGAAATTGGAGAGGTTGTTGCTGTGGTGCGATGGCAGCCGTGGCCACACCAGCCAGCAAAGCTGTGGAAAGGGCCTTCATGATGGGGTGATGGTGCAGATTCCCGTTGCTATACCAGTCAAGGCAGCAGCGATAAGAGTGGTTGAGGATTAGTGGGGGCTCGCCCTGGGAGGAACAATAGATGGAAGATGATCAGTTTCAAGCTGAGATACAACTTGACAATATGGATTGATGATATTGAAGCAGTATGTAGAGGAAAGGAAGTAGAAGGAAGAAGAAGGACGATTGAGGACCTGAACTCGTAAACGGAGATGCCTGCTTGCTACAGCAACAGAACAGCGGCCATGGTCATCGGGAAGTCGGCGGTTTCAGTTATCGGGGCAGAGTCAGATACCAGGAAAGTGATGATGTAATTCACGTGATACGCCTTCCCACAGTCCACGTGACGGGGCAGTGCCAAGACTCGCATGCCACTACCGCTATTCCAATTACAGACTAGATCATTTTCGACTCCCACAATTCGCAGTCCCAAATCGTTGCAAGAACTTCTGAGGGCTTTTGACATCGCAACACCACATTCGTCGACAATATAGACAAAAGAGAGACTTGCCCATCATGTGTAAGTCTATAAGCCTGGCTGAGGACCGCGATGTCCGATTCAGAGTTTTCGAAAACGACTCATGAACGATATCGCGCCTCACTACAATCAAATGTCGAATTGAAACTTGGTTCGCTAACTTTTGAACACAGCTCTCGTCAGCGGAGAGAAGTCGAACTGTACGGATTATCGAGTCCCACCGTCCATCATTCCGGTACTAACTATGAGACCACAGTCCAGTTCATCCTCCGTCTCCTCAATACCAATGTCGACGGAAAGCAGAAGATCATGTACGCCTTGACCCGCATCAAGGGTGTCGGTCGTCGTTACTCCAACTTGGTTTGCAAGAAGGCCGATGTTGATTTGAACAAGCGGTATGGGTTGAAATTGAAGGGAATTGAAGGGAAAGACGCTGATGATCGAATACAGTGCCGGAGAAATCACCACCGAAGAACTCGAACGAATTGTCACCATTATCCAAAACCCCACACAATACAAAATCCCAGAGTGGTTTCTCAACAGACAACGCGACATCATTGATGGCAAGAACACCCAGGTGTTGGCAAACGGTATGGAGAGTAAGCTACGTGAAGATTTGGAGCGCCTGAAGAAGATCCGAGCCCATCGTGGTCTACGACACTACTGGGGTCTCCGTGTCAGAGGTCAACATTCCAAGACCACTGGCCGAAGAGGTCGCACTGTTGGTGTCAGCAAGAAGAAGGGTTAAACGATTGCTTTCTTCCTTGGTGATGGTGGTGTTGGGGTTTTCGATGGATCACCAAAATAGTCCCAGGTCCTGCATAGCGATTGAAAGTCAAAAATCGATGTGGCTGAGGCTTGGATGATGAACGGTGATACGATTCCACAAATACTGATGGGAGTCGACATTTAGAAGGCTTCCCGGGCAATGCATGGCGAAAGATCAAAATCATTACTTTTTCACCATTTTTCATTCATCACCTCGCGGGTTCACGTACGTTTCGTAACGATTCCTGTTCTTTCTTCCTGAGTGTCTTATTGCAGTCTGTAAAGCGGGGAACAGATAACAGCTTTCAATCATCTCCACACAAGTTGTCAGAAGATGAACGAAGAAGGCTGGATTGACTGAGGCTTGGAAGGGAATCCACGCAGAATATGGTAAGTTGCAGTGTTTACTGATCGTCAGTCTGGCACAAACACATTCGTGTGGCCATTCAATCTCTTCCAAGACACGGGTCACACAACAAGACATTCCCGGATTCAAGTTGGCTGGGAGTCCCGCCGAGCAGGACTGTTAAGCCTGCCATGTGCTACACCAAATCCATTACTTTGCAGCGCTTTGGCCTTCATGCTCAGATATGTCTCGGAGCCGCACCACGACATGGGAACCCGGCTTATGACAATGAATTCCCAGGAGGATTTTCGCTCCCAGATACACCTTGGTCCCCAATCAAGTTTCCTATTGACCCTGGCGTGACATGCATCACCATTGACCTGTGTAGCCTGAACCACATTTCTTTTTAAGTTTCAATCCCTTCTTTTCTCCGAAGCACTCCCATGATTTCATCTGGCGCGACCTGAGAAGCAGCGGGAATCGGAATGCAAGGGGATTCCTCCACTCGCATCATTCTTCCTACCCAAGCCACGGGGATTCAGTTGCTAACTCAGCCAACATTCATGCACTGTTTCAGTCGCAGATCATTTGATGTAGCATTCTGGAAAGAACGCGAATGACGTTTGACAAGCAGCAAGCTGGCTGGACATGATTGATGCCAAGAGACACAATTGAGTCGTCGTTTGTCTTTCTCTTCACATACACGCGGGAAGCAATCACCAGCAGAGGATCCCTCCCTTGCATGTTTGTGATTCACGTTGCTGGTAATGTCCCCGAACAATGAACAATGCAGGTGAGCAACAGAATGGCGATCACTTTTGCAATTTGCTGCAAGCGCAACACATAAATGAGAAGGTCGCTCCTTCCCTTCTTCACGGTCCTCCCTTCTCTCTTTCTGCTCCTCAAATTCTTCTCACGTACTTCTGATATCAACATTGTTGTCCAATTTTCAACCGAGCTCTTACTGTGAGACCAAAAGTTGCTCCTCCTCGCTACACTGGTTGCGTCCTCCTCACACGGCTAGACCCTGAGCAGAGATCGTTCAGCAATCCCAAGTCGCCAACATGCTTGTCTCATCCACTCTTTTTCTGCTGACAATAACTCACATGTGCTGCCATGTTGCATCAGCTTTCTCTGCAAATTTCGAAATCTCTAATATCATCTCTTCTTCGCCTTTCCAGGCAGATCCAACATCCCAACAAAGCACTCTTGTCTCATGTAAGCCTTCCGAGATAGGCATCCATGCCTGACGGTCCAATACTGACATTATTCCAAGTCGACTTCAGAGATCAAGATACCCCAGAGGTTGGCGCCAACCGCTGTGGTATCGAATGGGCAGTTGGGCTATCACCTCCTGTCCTGTGGCAAGACACCTGTGATAATAGCACCTTTGGTGTTCGGGTAACGTCATGGCACGGTGTGCAAAACTTCTCTCTTGATCTCAAGCATACCTACATTGATGACAAGTGAGATCTTCTTGTGCGGACCAGTTTCCTTGGATCATGACTGACCTAATCTACACAGGGTCGGCGAATATCCATACAACGTGGTCACCAAATTCGCGCCGGTGAATCTCACATTCCTTGGCACGAAGCGCTATCATTGCGACTTGTCTCAAGCTGAATGTGAGAGTGACACTGGAGCCATCATCGTGTTCAATGTGACAAGGTCTATTGCTTAATGTCGTGATGGTGGTTGATGTCTCTTTTGGCCGGAAAATCGTAATGAATAACGATATTACTTGCTACGAGATGAGCAGCACCGATCAGAAGGGAAATGTTATACGGTGGTTCAAAAAAATTCCTGGACGAGGCGAGGCGAGGGAAGAGAAGGACATACGCCATCATGCAGAGACATAATCCAGCAAGGCTGAGATGATGCCTCTGGGATATTCCCGACTTTGATGTGACAAATGAGCGAATGTGAAATGTGGAAAGGATGGCAGTCAAAGACGTCTGCTCAGTAGTGTCATGAGTCTCCTAATATAGATAATACCCCTAATGCCAATGCGATTGATAACAATGACGAACAAGCTCCGCTAAATACTTTGTGTCCTGGCAGAAGATTATGGCAAGCACCCGTTATAATCCTATCACACAGAAATTTCAATATCAACTCGACCAGATTTCTAGAACCATGTTTCCAAGTTCTTAATTCTATAATTTATATACCCCCCTCCACTCACATCAACCAGCAACATCCTCGACAGTAGTACTCCCATCGGCGGCCACCGTGCCCTCGGCCCTCTTGACATCAGAGCCCTTCTCCGGCTCTACGCCAGAGCCAGCAACGGCATTCTCGCCCTCAACACCAAACAGCCCGCTGATAGCCTTCAAGGTGGTATTGCCGCCGGAGAAAATAACGCCGACATCCCAAACACCACCCCCGCCCCCCTCCGATCCCTCCTCGATCTCCATCCCCGCCTGCCTCGCGGCGACCAAATCCCTGAACCCGTTGTTGAACAACAACACGGCAAGCGGCACAGCCGCACTGGGCTCGACGACGACTTTGACGCGCTCGAAGACCAGGCGCATCGCCATTTTGATGTCGGCCTCGCTGACGCTGTAGATGGCCTCGACCTTGCGGGTGTCGCTGATGACGGCCCAGTTGGCGACGCCGACGGGCGTGCGCAGGCCGTCGGCGATGGTCAGCGTCTTGACGTGCTCGATGCGCCGGCCCTGCAGCACGCCGCGCCGCCCGTCGTCCGCGCCCTCGAAGCTCGGCTCCGCCCCGAACACCAGCGTCGCGCCCTGGTCGCTGAACCACGTCGCCGTCCCGCCCAGCAGGCCTCCGCCGCCCAAGGGCGCGATCACCGCGTTCAGACTCCTTTTGCTGCCTCTCCCTTCTTCGGATGCCGACGGGGGGTTTTGTCGTTGTCGTTGCTCCTGCTGCTCGACTTGTTCGTAGAACTGCTCCTCCAGCTCGAGCGCCGCGGTGCCCTGGCCGAGCATGATGTCTGGGTGGTCGTAGGGCGGGACGAGGATGGCGCCGTGCTCGGCGATGATGGTCTTGGTCACGGCTTCACGTTCCGTGCTCGTCGAGCCGCTGAAGATCACGTTGCCCGTGTATAAGCGTGTGCCGGCGATTTTCGACGGCGTGCTGATTTTCGGCATTACGATGTACGACGAGATGTTGAACGTTGACGCCGCCAGTGCGAGGGCTTGTGCGTGGTTGCCTGTTGGAGAAGAGACGGTGTTGGTCAGTACTAGTTGGGTATATGGGCTTGATGTTGCAGTAGAGGAGACCATTGGAAGTGGATTGGCCTGCCTGCCTGCCTGCCGCCACGCTTTGGAAAACCTAGGGGTAGAAGTCGTAGGGTTGTGAGGGCTTTGTCTCAACAATCAGGCTTGAGGTTGTTGTTCACTCGCTGCCCAGGTACAATTATGTGCCTTCTCCAGCACAGCAGGGTAAGAGACCGGTCACAGCAGCGTGACAAGAATGGCATGCCAACAGCCCGCTTCAGTCCTCAACCACATCCTAACAGCCCGCTTCAGTCCTCAACCACATCCTAACCTCAGGACCGGACAGGGCAGTGTCACCCTCCTTGATGAAACCCTGCAATCCAACCGAGAAGGACACAAGAGAAAAACAAATCACTCACCACTAGAATGCGTGACGACCCCGCGACGCCTCACCTCCTCAAGCCCCAATTCCTCAATCAACCTCGAGACGGCGTGAAAAGCGCCTCTCGCCTTAAACGCGCCGATCTTCTGCTGATTCTCGCATTTCATCCAGATGCGGAACTGCGGGATGCCTGGCAGGGCGGATGAAGCAGGGAACGGCGGCGGGTTGTCGGAGACGTAGACGCTTGGGTCAGGCGACGAGGCGATGCGGTTCAAGGATGTCGAGGTGATCAGTGGTGTGCGGTGGATGTAGGGTTTTATCTTTGCGTGGGCGCTTCGGATCGACGATGGGATCAGGGGCGGGGAGGTTGTTGGGTCCGCCATGGTTTGAGTAAAAGGGTGGGTTGGGTTGGGCGTGTATATGAGGTATGTACCTATGTACGATGCTGTTGGATGGATGTTTCTTGGTGTGTTGAACGGTAGGCACTCTAAGTGGTGAGAGCCCAAGTTGTGCAATAATCAGAATTCTGTTGATGATGGCTTCCTCAGTATAAATATAACTCGAGATGTGGGGTTGAGCTAGGGCTGTTGGTAGAGAAATAGCTGGTTGGTGGTGAAAGATAATTCAAGATGTCGAGACCGATATAATATACTTGGAATCACTCACAAAACTTGTCGTGGAAAGCGTATGGCGTGATGTTCCAATACAAGAGGGTATGGATGTGATGGCTCAATTATTTGTTCAGAACAGACCGCACTCCACACGCATTGCCTCGCTATCCTTTATAGATGTTGGACGAGGGTCAATGTCAACCTCAATAGCGACAAAATAACTAGAAGGAGTGATCTAAAGAAAACTCAGGAACAATGTAAAGCCGAGAACGGAGTCACATATAGAATTGTACATGTAGAGGATTTGCACGACGGCATGGCACTGACTAGTCCAAGTGATGTGTGGGAGATAAGGTTCCTCTGGGTTACATATGACTACTACTAGGCATGTACAGTCGATCTACGAAGTACAATGGCACAAGGCGCGGTTGTCGATCCACATACTTCCTCACTGAGCCAAATGGAAAGGAAAAGATGATGCCTCTCAAGTGCTGGAATGTTCTTTATGGGGACCTGAGAAGATTCGAACTGCACTGCTAGTGGAGGTAAAACATTGACTGGGCATTGCTGCACTATCTTTTTTGTTTTTAATACTACCAAAAAAACTCGAGGACCATTTTTTCATTCACTTGATACAAATTCGAAAATGGCACCGTACTCATCCGATCCGTTTTGAGTTATATCAGAACGCCTGCCCCATTTGATCTGAATCGGGATATTCAGTATCACTGATATCATGTTGTAGCAGTTGTTTACTGGTTCTCGGGGCGGAGAGAGCTATGGAGACGAAAGTCAGCAACGTTATACAAACGCATCACGAGGGAATGATTTCAAAACTTACCGGACAGCCTTTCCAGCACGCCAGATCTCCAAATTGCGGATCTCCTCGAGTTCGGCCTCGTACTTCTCTCTGTAATCAGGCTGGCTGTTGTACTCCAGACTGCGGGTGGTTTCCTTTCCGGCCTTGACACTGTCATAGAGGTCGTTGAACACAGGCTTCAAGGTGTCCTTGAATCGGGTGGACCAATCGATGGCACCACGACGAGCGGTGGTGGAGCACGCGGCGTACATCCAATCCATACCATTGGCACCGATCAATGGGTAGAGAGATTGAGTGGCTTCTTCAACAGTCTCGTTGAATGCCTCGGAGGGAGAGTGGCCGCGCTCTCGGAGAACCTCGTATTGAGCGAGGAACATGCCGTGGATACCACCCATCAAGCAACCTCGCTCTCCGTAGAGATCCGAGTAGACCTCCTTCTCGAATGTGGTCTTGTAGAGGTAGCCACTGCCGACAGCGACACCGAGGGCGACGGCCTTCTCTTCAGCCTTGCCGGTGACGTCTTGGAAGACAGCGACGGACGAGTTGATGCCTCGGCCTTCACGGAAGAGACTTCGTACAGTTCGGCCAGAGCCTTTGGGTGCGACGAGGATGACATCGATGTCAGTGGGAACATCGACCTTGGTGAGGTCTTTGAAGACGGGGGAGAAACCGTGGGAGAAGTAGAGAGTCTTTAGCAACAAAATATTAGCATACTGGATCCGAGGAACACAATCAAATCGTGCTTACCTTTCCCTTGGTCAATTGAGGCTTGATGGCGGGCCAGGTCTCACTCTGGGCAGCATCACTGAGCAAGTTCATGACGATGGTACCCTTGGAGATGGCTTCATCGACCTCGAACAAGTTCTTGCCGGGTACCCAGCCATCTTGTTCTGCTTCTTTCCACGAGGCACCGTTCTTTCGGACACCAATGATGACATTGAGGCCGTTGTCACGGAGATTGAGACCTTGACCATGACCTTGCGAACCATAGCCGATCAGTGCGAGGGTGTCATCCTTGAAGTATTCCTGAGTAGAAAATTAGATCTTGTGTTGGAGATGTAGTCAACCATCAGATGGGAGTCATACAAGGAGCTTCTCACGAGGCCAATCCTCACGCTCTAGCACACCGTTAGTCATATTCCATGTCCTGTTTGAAGCATTCGACACTCACCAAAAACCTGCTCCTTTGTGCCAGCGAAGTCGATGGTCTTGACACCTCGCTTCTGTTGCTGCACGGAGGGAGCTGTGAAAGCAGTGCGAGAAGCTGCTGCAACGGCCGGTCTGGCTGCGATGGCAGAGACAAAAGATCTCTTCTGCACAGTGGCAGGTGTGGTGATCTTCTGCTTGGATGCAGTGCGCAGGGTTCTCACAAAGGTCTTGGAGGCCATTTTTGAGGTGATGGAGTGGAGAGTGTGTGTATTTTTGCAGTGAGCAGGAAGAGTCAGAAATCAGAAGAGTAGGACTTGTATTTAGCACAAGATACTACAGATGAATATTATTTTCCTGGGGAAATTTTGCTGCAGGTCGAGGAGCTTCTTCCACCTCCGAATCTGTGCTGCCCTGGCGACTCACGTTTGGGCCTGGGTTCCGAATTGCGGGCTGGGTGGATAAGCTCGATAGTGGGCTTTTGCTGATTGAGAGTCAGACTGGTAGGCGGTCTCGGACTTTTTGATTACTCCCCGAAGATTGACGCGAGCACGTGCTCAGTCATGTGATCTAAGTTAAGCATAGAGCACGGCACGAGCACCTGTTGGCAAGACAGATACCGTGGTGCAAGACATTTCAGCAATACTTTCTTAGGCTGACAAGACCAATGGTAATACGCGGAATATTGCGAAAGAACCCTTCGTGTTGATTGAATATGATAGAAAGTCAACATCACCTTCTATCTGCCAGAACCAAATAAACTCCTCCCATGACTCCAACCCGCAATGCTGAAATGCTCAGGTTTATCGTGTAATCATTTCCCTCCTTTCCATCTCCCGCCTTCGCTCTCGTTCTCGCTCTCGCGCCAAAACTATAACCATCAATGCTTATCACCGTAGGACGCGATCGTAACTCTGCCCTCGAACGGCCCCTCCGCCCATGGCTGTTCGGGCGTTTCTTCGGAACCCTTCTCGGTTAGTTCTGAGGTCCTCAGCGGCTTCCTTGTTGAGGGGATCAGATGCATTGGGTTCGAGGAAGAGGAACTATCATTCATGATCAGTTATCTAGATAGGCGATAATGGTAGGTTGGAGAAACTCACCTGCATGCCGACAATTACCGCGTTGAGGTTCAACACTGGCTTCCAGTCTTCTCGGAGGATATTCAGGCAGACGTTGCCCTCTAGGTCGATATTGGGATGATAGATCTTTTGTGTACACTTGACCTTAGGAGGGTCGTGTGGGAAGTTCTGATTGATGGCGAAACTGAACACAAAGCTGCCTCCCTTGTACATGCCCTCGTCTGGCTCGATCGTCAGGGTGAAATTCAGGATGTCATCAGCATCGGGGAATGTGGTTTTCATGGTAGTCCCCAAAGAGAGTTCACTCAGATCTGTTGGCATGGTGAGTATTCCTCGGTGTTCCCTTGGTGAATCATGTCTTTGTATTGCCCACCTTTTTGAACTCTCAACTGCGCAGCTGTGACCTTTTTCTTCTTTTGTGTGCCTCCAGATGCTTGCTCATCCTTCTGCTGCTGCTGTTTCTATTCCTTTGTCAGTTTTCTCCCACTTCGCATTCTTTTGACTTGTAATCCTACCATAGACCATATTTTCATCATCTTGGCGGTGGTTTGTCGCTATACGAGGGACAACTTAGGTCGAAGACAATGGTTGAGATCTTATGAGGATGATGAAGAGAATTGTATTGGTTGTCAGAGTGGCAATGAGGTTTGGAAAAGATTCGGGCGCAGCCTGATGTCGTGCTTCTTCCGACTTTACGGGGATTGGTGATCTTTGATCTATTTCCGCGGTCTATCTTGTCAAGTATATGTCACAGCAACAATCAAAGCGATGGACTGATCCCGTATGCGGTGTGGAATGTTCAGAGGATGTAAAGCCGGCGCGTGTCAAATTACAGAGAGAGGTAGACGTTGCTTTGGAAATTGATCTTTGACTTGAGGCCCAATCTTGAATGATGCAGTTGCCCGCATGACGCTCACTTGACGCCGCTTTTAATGCTTTCGGGCTCATGAACACCCAAAAATCCGCTTCTCGAGACCGAGGCTGATACGGGACATTTGGAGCGAAAGAAATCTTGAAATTGAGCAATACTTCAAGTCATAGTAATTGCATACACCAGACAAGATAGTGCCTATCCTATGTCCCTTGGGGCCAATTTTCTAACATCCAAAAACTCCATCATTCCATCGCAGGATGGCCATCCCTGGGCTATGCTACCAACAATGCTCAATATAAACAAACTATCGTCTTGCGAAGCAGCACAGCAAGCCTGTTCTTCCAAGGAACCAACAGCACCCAATGAACCGAATAAGTGACAAGGCACCTGTGGTGTAAAGTAGAAGCCGGAAAAAGGTTTCGCTTCGGTCACTGTTTTGATTCTGGAAATTGTGTTAGTAGACGGTGGTCAAACGGTCCAGGCAATGACTTACGCTAAAACCAAACTCGGTGAGATTTTTGCTCGTGATTCCAATTGCGAGGAGACCATTGGAAAAGATCCATGTTGCGACTAGGCGAGTTCGGAAGTTCTTGTACGAGTCTTCCAGGTTCTTTTCGTCCTTTTCCACTGGTGGCACGAACGGCGCCAGCGCTCGGCGGACAGTAGCTTCAAATTGGCTGTCAATGTCGGCTTGGGGTTTGTCGACCTCTTCAACCACAGCAACTTTGCCCTTTTCGTCTTTGTTCGTCTTTGCTGATGGTAACGCTTCAGCCTTATCCGAACCCTTGGTACCCCACGACACATCATGCCAATTGCTGAAGGCGTAGATCATGAGAATATTGATGAAGGATGGCATGATCAAAAGATACTGAAAGAAAGACGTGAACATGTGCCACGGGTCAAGGTACATGAATGACGCGATAAAGTAGAGCCCAAATGTGGCAGCCAATGCGATAATGACGATACCTGGTCCGCTCGAACCGAAGAAACTGCTGATGAACTTGCTGGTGCCTTGGTCTGTTATGACATCGGTCTTGCCGCCAGTAAACGCCTGTACAACGAGATACATCGACAGCACTATGACATAGAGCTGGATCACACCAAATACCACAAATGAGATCATATAGGCAATCTTCGAACCCTTTGGTCGATTGCCGAGGGCCAGGATAAATTGCAGCAGGAGGAACCCGAGGTACAGGTACTGGAGGATGGTGTTTACGATTGGCGTGGCATCTTCGCCAAAAGGCCAAGATGTGTTGCCATTCTTCTCCGAAGGGATTCCGACCAAGTCCATCAAGATTTTGGTGGTAAGCCAGAAAGCAGCGAGAGAGAACCATGATAAGATGACCGAAACAATGTTGTAGAGCATTTGGATGTGGAAAAAGAACATGCGGATGATGTTGTGGCCAGACTTGTACATCCGCGAGAAGTGCATGAGAGAGTAGATGGAGGCCGCAAATGAACCGTTCAGCCACCGTCGACGTTGACCGATGAATTCGGCTGCGCCTTCAGGAACATCGGTTTCACCTCGGGAGGCTTTGACGTAACTGAGATGCCATTTGGAGCCTGCTTTTGCAACCAATTCGAAGCACAAGATACGATCTTCGGCCAAAAACATGTTCTTCTTGAAAATGTTCATGCCCTCGATACCCTTCTTTCCCAGTCTTGCCGAGAGGGTGTGGTCACCGTGGAAATATTGTTCAAGTGGGCGACCCATGATTGCCCTGAAGCGGTAGGCAGAAAAGGCACCAGGCAACACACTGACATAACCAAAGGAGCTTTCAAGGGGTTTGTCCAGAATATTACTGATCTTGTACTCGAAATTTTGCGCAGCGACCAGTGGGTTAAGTAATTTGCGACCGAAGGGGCCACCGCTACCCAACATGGCATGGATTTCACCACAGGCGCCACCCAGATCTTTGTCGTTGTAAAAGGCCTCCCAGAGGGCAAGTAAGGACTTGGGTCCAGGTTTTGTGCCCGCATCGAGCAGAATGCACACTTCAGGATTGAGAATGCGGCCGAAGGCGTTGAACAGCCATCGATGAGAGTTGATCTTTTTGCTATTCTTTTGCTTGAGACAGAAGATCATCTGTACGGGAGGTAGAGAAGTTGCATCATTATCATTGGGCCGGATCAATTGCTGGTTAGCGGTGACTGACAATTGTGTGGTATATTCGAAGATGTGCACCACGGTATCTTTGCCATCTACATCTTTCTTCATGACACCGTCTTGGTAGATACCGACGGTGGCCAACAGATCCAGAGTGTTCTTGTCACAAGGATCAATACCGTCAAAGACAAGACAGACGACAATTTTCTGCCAGGCGGGACCTCCCTTGTTCCAGAACTCGGACTTTTTGAGGTTGACAATGTCTCGAATATTCTGCATGACACCGTGCATTGTACGTGCGGTCAGAACCTTGTCTTCGTTGTAGTACGTGATTGCAATCAGCAATTCGGTATGTCTGTTGTACATTGCAGGCCGCAGATTGTAGCCATTTTTGAGAGTGAAGTCGTCAGGATCGCACGTAGCAGCAGTGTATCGCATGTGAGTAAACTCCTCACTGCCGCCTTCGAGATCATTGCGGTACTTGGCTTGCACAGCATTCTGAATGGCGCTGGGGACGGGGTAATCAATGCTGAGCACGCTGCCTTGGACCAACTTGACTTTTCTGGTAGCATATCTCTTGATGGTGCCATATCCTGGTGCCTGTCGTTGTCTCCATGCTTCGGTGGAATCTGACCGATCAAAGGGTTCTTGTGGAGGGCCTGTGGGGAAACCAGCCTGAGAGTTGCTCATCCCATAACCTCCGTCGTAAGGAGTGTTTTGTTGCTGAGCTCCGCCATACTGGGTCATCGGAGCTCTGGAGGCATCTCCACCGACATAAGATTCATTAAGGGTATAGACAGACTCTTGTCCCGGAGTCAAGGGCCGAGTACGAGGAGGGTTGTCATACTGCGGTTGATGTGAAGCATTTTGGTGCAACAGCGAGTGTTCAGCCTCGTCATCTGAGTGACGGCTTCCGAGATATCCCTGAGAGTCACGAAGTCAGCGGATGGGCTCAGGTGAACGGCCTTGGATATAGCAAACTTACGTTTCCACCTCCGATATCACCGAGTTGATGACCTTGATCATACCCTCCACCATAGGGGTTTGCCATTTTGTGTGCGATGGCTACACACGAGCGAGAGCGGTTGGTAGTGTTGACGTTTAATCAGATATGGAGGGTGGGACGAATTATGGAGTGGACAGTGATTTGAAGTTGTGACGAAGAGCTGACAGCCGCCAGGGCTTTTGGAGGATGGGTCAATAGATCTTGTACAGCCAGGAACGAGGAAAGATTGAGCGCCGAGTGTCAAGAGTAAAAATGAAGGGTTTCAGGGTTCGAGGCAGGATTGTAAAGAAAGATGACAAGCAAAGAGAAGTAGAACAAAGAAAGCAGTTGGGAGTCCGATCTTGTGTGGCCGTCAGAACTGCACGGATTGGGATGAGGAGCAGTGGCACAGCAGACTTCAGGTCAGTGGTAGACTGGTAGCAGCCCAGACAAGGAAACAGGAGAGACAGCGATGTTTCAAATTCTTTGGATCCCTGCGTGAAGCGTGACCCAGCGATCCAGTGAGATGGGGTCAGGCGGATTTTCAACGACGGAGGGAGCAAGTCTCCAAAGAAAAAGGGTGGCGTCCTTCTCCATCTTCAGCTCCATGCGTCCAATGCAGTGCCAATGCAGCCAAAGACGCTGACGACAATCCCTCGCTAGTGACCGCCAATCGCTGTGTGCCCTGGTCAATATCTGCTCGTGTAAAGACTCGGGCCAGGCTGTGCTGGAAGATGGAAGTTGGAAGCATAGATCACTCATCAAACTTGGCTGCACGGCAACAAAGATGATGGGCTTCAGCCCCGGAAACCGGAAACCGAATGAAGAAGCTCGAGAGCTGTGAAGGGCCTTTTGGATGCCACCTACGAGAACAGAATTTAGATGCTTATTTCAGCCCTGGCATGCAAGGCAAGGCATCAGCTGAGCGCCTGAACGACAAATTCTTGCCCATGCCCGGAGTATAATCATTGGTCATCTAGACCGACTGAGGCTTTATTTCACTAATGCTACTTCAACGGTTCGGTGTTTGTATAGAGACATATATACTTTGAACCAGTCTCCATCCTCGGAGACATCTGATACATAGTTCTGGAAACCCCCTGAATATATGGGGATGAAACAACGTGTTGGTGGGAGTGAATGGGTCTTAGAGTGCATTTGGCTTGACCGCTTAGGCGGCTACAAGCGCTGCGGGCGGCATTAACTCACTGCCCTTGGGCCCTGGACGCCTTTCCTTTCCCGGTCGACAGTGGCCGAAGACCCTTGGGAATGTCCGTACTCGGTTCTCCGTAGGCACTCTTAGGTACTAGTGCTTGAAGTACTCGTATTCTTGGTCCAGCTACGCATACATTAGAAGACTGCCAGTTTTTGAAGTATTATTGAATTCTATCTGATGAGCATCAATCGTTGGAACCTCCAGCTGCTGAAAGTCATGTCACGGCCGACAAAGGAAAATACTGACTGACTTCGAGACCTGAGATTTCCTCTGTAATATCACCGATAGTTACTAGTCCGAAATCAGAGGAGTGGCAGCCAGCGCCACACTGGAAACTGGTCTCATTCCATATTTAGATGTTCTACGGCATACACATGCCACTCAAGCTGCTGTGCACTTTGGCTGTGCAACTTACTCGCCACACCAGCTGAGGCAGTGGCACGGAAACGTGTTCTTTGATGCACTGCATGCGAGCACTCGTAGATAAACATCCTCGACGCCATTGCTGCGTATTATCTCCAACAGATCCCTAGGTACTGGACAGTGAGAGTAGATTCGTTGGTTCGTTGCAGGCCACTTTCGCTCGTGGCTAGAGGTATATGGGCAAGTCGTGGTATTGTCCAAGCAGCTTGAGGCCACCAACCACTAGCATATTAAAGATCAGATGCAAGAACCCGCAGAACTTGACTTGCGCATCTAAGTGACATATTTCAATGGTGACTGAGAATAAAAGTTTGCTCCTCGTTGTGCATGGTGTCTCATTACGCAATTCTTCATGTCGAGAGACGCGTCAAAAGAAAAGAATGTCGGCCTCGGTATTTCCGCTTCACGGCTCACACTCGAGTGGAATGATGATATACAGCTCTTACTCGTAAGAATCAAACTCACCAAGAATGCCCATACAGGTAATCAGTTGGCTTGCGAAGAAAATGTCTCTGAACAAAGAAATCTCGCTTGATTGTGTGGTGACCAGACGAACGCAGATAAACCATTCAGGAGATTGAGGCAAGAATCGCTGGGTGCGTAACAGGCAAGCTCCGGCGTGTTTGAAGGATGGACAAGCATTCAGGTGGCGTGCTTAGGGTGACCGGCCCCGCCTACTAGCCCCTACTATCGCTGTCTGCTCTTGTCTTCCGGGCACTCCAGAGCATTTCTATTCGGTCCCGCCCGACTACGACTAAGATCCACGACACGCTGTCCAGGTTCCTCTGGCTGAGTGTCACCCCTTCATTTCCCACACCCCCTCCACCAAGTCCACCAAGCTCTGTTGCCGGAGCTCATTCGTGCATGTTGGCCCTGCACCTTCCAGGCACATCCCAACGCCCATTTGCTCGCTCGCTTCTCCTGCGTGTTCCTCCCTCCTCAACCTGCACTGCACCTTCCAAGCCCTCGATTCCATCTCATCCACCATCCACCACCATCTCTCGAGCCTCTCCAGATCTACCAGGAACCCGTTGCTGATCATCACCTCTTCTTCTTCCTCCACCACCTTCAATCCCTTTACCAACTACTATTCGGTCATTTCCAAGCCCTTCTTGATTTCTGAGTCGACTGTTGTCCTTGGTCGTTGACCGAGACATTGGTTGCTGGTCCACATTCGTTCGCTTCATCCTTTCGACTTCCATCACTTTCATTCAACAACATCAGAAACTTCGTTACGTTTTTAACCATTTGATCGCTATTTCTCCCTTCACATCTTCCTTTCTTGAGTTGACCTCGATTATCGCCACTTCGCTACTATTTCACCGTCGCTTTGGTCCGAGCCTCAACTTCCGTGGATACCCTTTCGACTCGACCTTTTACCAGTGCTTACAAGACAACTCCATTCCGACCCCGACGAGAATATTTCACAACATCCTGCGTCGCCGGACTTCTCGTGGCTAAAGATAAAGGCGGATTGAATTTGGACGCGAAATCACCACCTTGGGCCAATTAGGCCCCAAGTCCGCCATTATGCCCTCAGAAACATCATGTATGCAAACCCTCTCCTTTGCACCTTGGATTTGCTGACCAGAACCGATAGCTTACGACCCGACAAGACATCTATTCCGCCGCTGCGTGCAGTGCCCTCCTGATCCACCGGCTTGCCCTGCTTGTGCTGCGGACGAGACCTGTTCACTGAAAGCCGAGTCATGCGATTCTTGTGCTTCGACGACTTGTGTTAGACTTGGCTCCTTGCCCGGTCAGGCAGCACCAGAGAAAAAGACCGCAGTTGGTCCTATCGTTGGGGGAGTTGTAGCCGGTGTTGTTGTATTGGCGATCATTTCATACCTGCTTTGGCGATTCTGTTTGAGAAAGAAACCTCGCGTCGATACCTGGGATCCGCCAGAGAAACGAGATCAATCAACCTTGAATCGGTCTGCTCGACAATCTACAAGGACTCAATCAATCGCATCTACCGTCTTCACGCGAGCTTCCAATGTCATTCAAATCGCCTACATTCCCGGTGTTACCGTTCGATCACCACCTGAGTCACCTGGTCTCATTCCACCAGTACCTTCGCTCCCCGGCACTCGAACAAATGCGTCCACCCCACAGATGGAGCAACACTTTTTCATGCCTGGAGATTTGAGAGACTCGACATGGTCGGATGCATCATTCGATCCACGCATAAGCATCGCACCAAGTCTGGCTCGCGAAAGTGTCGCGGGTACCATTTATCAGAGTGATGCTATTGTTCCTCCAATCCCTGCTCAGCATGCTTTCCGAGCTCAAGCAAATGTGGTCAGTGTCAAATCTGGAGCGAACACCCCTTCAAGTTCCTCAACACCGAATACGCGGACACCACAAATCCCACAATTAGCCAAACTTGGAAGCAGCAACAGCTCCATTGTAGCCAGGAATGTAGTGGCTCGTCCCATCGAAGTCAAGAAAGTCGGTTCGGGAACCAGAGTGCCTACACTAGGAAACCTAGCCAAAGAAGCTGTGCGAAAGACCGGCACCTCAGACAGCAGTTCCGAGAAGAAGACGCCTGTATTCTGGGAGGAGAAAGAAGTGGTTTTCAGTTCCACCGCGACCACTCCTAACTCCACATCGGACTCCATGCCCGTCTCTCCTGTGACCATTCCAAGACCGGCGTTCGCAAACCATACAGCTCGATCCTCGGGAGTTAGCTCTATTGCTCCTTTCCAGGGCTCTCCACCAGCCATGCCAACACACAGGCACACCAATAGCAACGGCGCGAATCTCAACGCCATGATTGAAGATGCTATTAATCGGGCGAGAGATCCTCAACATATGGGTGTCTCTACCAGTGTCTCACGACCTGAGCTGGTCAAACAAGACTCTGGCCCATTTTCGGATGCAAATGAGCTTAAAGAGAATATCCGATGATGTACTTTATAGAACTTTTCATGTTTTGATCACTTAGGATATGCCTAGATGCATTGTGATGATCTATTGGATTGATTTAGATGATATAGCCCATGCTAGCGAAACATAAAATTCGAGTGTTGTGACTCAAAGCATTCGCGCAAAACCCTTAAAGTGAACTACTTGGCTTGCCTGCTTGATCGATTGATCTCAAGATGTTTCGCAACTGAATTGCACCACGATCACGCCCCTGCAGCTGGGCAGCCTTATTAATCAAAGTCCATGTCTCCGACGGAGCAGTTCATCAATTTCACATGTGCTGCGGGTGAAAGCAGATCTAGTCATGCGAATTTTATTGGCGCGTATTCCATGACTCGGACGCGTCTCCATTAACTATGTCGCGTCTCCCAGAAAGCCATTTCCCCTCCAGAAGCCTCCAACACTTCTGTCAGAAACCACACCAGTAGCCAGTCTCGAGATGGGTATCAAGATGGCAGAATCATCATCATCACCGGCTACTTCGCCTGCCAGGGACGATGATATCGTACTTCCAGATGCTCCTGCGAATCACGCTACCAATCCTCCTCAACCAGGCGTTGCACTCGAGGATCTTTTCGGTGAAGACGATGAAGCATTGGAGGCCGAACTCGAGTTCACCAGTTCACATGCACTACCTTCCTCACCTCCGCAGACAGCGCCAAACTCCTCCTCAGAAACGGTTGCAGACGCACAGCAAGAATCCTACTCAGATTCGGCCCTAATGAAACAGTTCTACTCACGATTCTTTCCCTTTCGATCCCTCTTTCAGTGGCTCAATCACTCACCAAGGCCTGGTCCGGACTTCAGTAACAGAGAGTTTGCTCTTACACTTCACAATGATGCCTACCTACGGTATCAATCATATCCCAATTCTGACATGTTGAGGAAAGATATAATTCGACAGAATCCTTCACGTTTCGAAATCGGTCCGGTCTACACCACCAACCCAAGAGATCGAAAGACTTTACGTAAGAGCTCAATGTTTCGTCCACTGAGTAAAGAGATTGTATTCGATATTGATCTGACGGATTACGACGACATTCGAAGTTGTTGCGAGAAGGCAAATATCTGCTCAAAGTGTTGGGCCTTTGCAACCATGGCTATCAAAGTAGTAGATGTCGCTTTAAGAGACGACTTCGGCTTCGAACACATCATTTGGATCTATTCTGGAAGACGTGGTGTTCACGCATGGATCAGTGACAAAGAGGCCAGGGAACTTGACGACGACAAGCGGAAAGCGATTACCGGGTACTTCGAAGTTTTAAAGGGAGGAGCGCAGAGTGGAAAACGAGTGAATCTCAAGAGACCATTACATCCTCACATCGTTCGAAGCCTCGATATACTGAAACCCTACTTTCAACAAGTTCTCGCAGACCAGGAGCCGTTCATTTCTCAAGCTGGTCAGGCTCGACTTCTACAATTGATTCCCGACAAGTCTCTCACCGATGCTTTGGCCAGGAAATGGGCCAGTAGTCCAGATCGCCCAAGTGCTCGCAAATGGGCTGATATCGACTCGCTCGCAGCTACTGGTGTCAGTAAAAGTCTTGATACCAAAGCCTTGATGGAAGCGAAACAGGATATTCTCCTAGAATACACCTATCCCAGACTTGATGTTGAGGTCGGGAAGAAACGCATTCATCTGTTGAAGAGTCCTTTTGTTGTGCATCCTGGTACAGGCAGGGTCTGCGTACCGATCACAGCTGGGGGTGATATGAAACGAGCAGACTCATTTGATCCGTTTACTGTTCCCAAAGTGACGGATCTCTTCCGAGAGATGGATCAATTCGCCAGCACTTCGGAGGGCCAGGAGCAACATGAAAATGGGTTCGTTGAGGATGGTGTCACTATGAGGAAGCTGAATGACTGGGAGAAGACCAGCCTCAAGCCATATGTTGAATTGTTTGATGGCTTTGTCAAAACCCTACTGAAGAGTGAAATGACGAGGGTGAAGCGAGAGAGAGACGAAGATGGAGTAACGGGGACCGACGGAATGGAGTTTTGAAGATTTGACAATATGCTTCTTACGAGAACGTTAATCCATACATGCATGGCGCACAGGACTGGGGACCAAGCTGTATTTCCAACCAAGAAATGATTAACCACATCTCAAATCCTGTCCCATTCTTAAATACATTCATAGCGACGCCCGTGCCGGCAGGGGGTCCGGAGCATCCAACTTGAACACCCTCTTCGCATTCCCGCCCATGAAATCCGCGACGACCTGACTCCTCATCCTGCCCTTCCCCTCGGCCTCGACCAAATGTTTCTGCACACTCTCGACACACGCAGTCCAAGTCAGCTGCGGAAAATTCGTCCCAAACAGCACCTTCCTCCTCCCCGTGGTATTGGCAAAAGTAATCAACTCCCCGGGGTAATACTTGGGCAGATAGGCACTGGTATCGATATACACATTCTCATGCTTCCAGGCCACGGCCACCATCTCCGCCGTCCAGGGATAGCCAATGTGGCCGGCGACGATCTTGAGGCGTGGAAACTTCAGCGCAATGCTGTCAATATACGGGATCGGCCGGCCGGGCTCGCTCGGGCACAGCGGCCCCGTGTGTCCCACCTGCGTGCAGAAGGGGACGTCGAGCTCGACGCACCTGACGAACAGCGGCCAGTAGTGCGCGTCCGTCGGCGGCAGGTCCCACAGCCAGGGCACGATGCGCAGGCCCTTGAAGCCCTCGTGGACGACGTAGTGCGTGAGTTCTGCGACCGCGGCGACCGGGTCATGCAGGTCCACCGACGCCAGCCCGAAGATTCGCGTCGGGTATGCTCGTGTGTACCGTGCGACGTCGGCGTTGGAGAATATCACCTTGCCTGGTCGCCGCCATGACGCCAGCAGGATCTGAGATACCCCGGCCGCGTCCATCTGGGATATCAGCCCCGAGGGGCTGGGTTGCTGGCTGGTTAGCGCCGCGTCGACGTGGCTTTGCTGGAAGAGCCGTGCCACTTCGGGGAGCTGTGATTGGTGGTGAATATGTATGCTTTTGATGGAATTGTTACTGGGGTTCTGTTGGTGTTGGGTGGCTATTATTGCCTTAAAGGGACAGCTGATTCTCAAGTTTCGTCTTACGAGAGAGGGTCTAAAGCTCAAGAGCAATGGGGGACTGGGACTGTACGACTTACATCCTTGGTGCTTGTTGGATTGGCCCATACGTCGACAATAGGCATGTTCTTGTTCATCTTGACGGATGATATTGGCTTCCCGCCAAGGCCCCTCCTGGTTCTCTGACTTACTGACGGAAAGTTGGATATAAAGAGTGAAAGTAAAGCGATTGATACGAGACGTTTACAGACCTTGTAGTTCACAGTAAAGATTGCAAATCTTGGGCGTGGTGGTATCACGAGCCTCGGATGACATCAAAGGCGCTTTGGTTAGTTCGCAAAGGCTTGAGCCGAGGCATCTTCGACGACGATGTTTAACCAATTTGGAAATCGTTCAATTTTCTCGACCTCACAATAGACTCGCTTTCAAAGGGTAGACGGCTTTGAGTTGGGGGAAGGACATGGAAGACGACCTGTTCATATTATGTATCATAGTTTCTACACGCATAGTCCCGTCTTGATGAGAATACTGCTTCAACCACTCTGCGAGTCATTCTTCACAAGTGCATGTTGCAAGTGATGGATATTTGCTCCAGCGGAGGCCATATGTACTTATGCACCCACGTATTTGTATAAATAGATTGCTGATCCGGAATGCGGACGATAAAAGTTGCCGGCGGGCCGCACATCCTATCTCCTGGATTATGGACACCATGGTCGCGGAGTACACATGGCGTAACTCCGCTTGGTCATCCACCCATTGTCGCCATGAGGTGGCCATCAGAGACAGGTGTTGCCGTGGAACTGTTCTTCATAAAATATCCATATGTCAAGGATCTAAATTCAGACTTGCTTGTTTCAGCCATTTCTCAAATCAGTTGGCGTTGAATGTGAGCCTTTCACTGCTGCCTGTGGTGGATGTTTCAGTAATATTGATTTATACTTCACAATCTGGATCCTCGGTTTTCTCGAATAGTCTCTATCAGCGGACGTCCGGACGTTCACATGAGCAGCCTCGTCCGCACGAATCTTTACAGTTGAGACCATACACTAAATCTCAGGATAAACATCTGTGGACTTTGGCCCGTCATGGAACAGCTCCGTGAGCTGTCCAAAGGCAATGTAGTCCAGGTAAAGAGCCATCGAACGCTTCCGGGCAGATCCGAGATTTTCAACTGGGATGGCACTGACAATAGAGTTCCACTAGAGTTGTGATTTATGTCGGGTCAAGAAGAGGCGATGTGATCTGAAGGAAGGCGTCAAACGCTGCTCTTCATGCACAAAGTCCAAGTCCGTGTGTCAGATTACCCATGTGACGAAACCGCGGGAGAAGAAAAAGAAGTACGTCCTGCTTCGAGGGTCGTCCCGAAAAGTGCCAGACTGATGAAAGCCTAGGAAGCAGATTGAGGGCCTTGAGGGCCGTCTCAAAAGTCTCGAAGACCTCATCCGGACGTCTCTGGCACCTGCACAAGCCGCGACGAAAACGATTGAGGAGTCGGATGGGCGAACTCAGCCCTCAGTGACACCATCTGTACCGTCGGTAGAGGGCTTTTCGTTCAACAACCCCTTGGCTGCTAGGTCGGAGCTAGGAGTTGATTCCTCTCTGTCAACTTCTACAGCATTGTCTAGCTCAGAACCGCAGGTCGACTATTGGTCCGAGAGCGCTGACCAACAGATGCAACTGAATCAACACGACCCTCCCCCGACTAATATTGACTTGCAGCCCACGACGAGGGTCCGCGATAACAATAAGAAGTGTTCGCTACCGCCGGCGGAGGGAGCATTTTTCTTGCTTCAAGAATACCTTGAAGATTTTAACGCTGCAACACCTCTGTTCGATCGAGTCACCATAAGTACCCTGTTTGAAGACTGCTATAATGGTAGATCTGTGGTGTCGGTGATTTCTTGGGTGGCCTTGAAATTGGTTTTAGCCATTGCTCATCGTCTGCGGGCTATGAGCCCACTTGGAGTCAAGCAGGACTCGGAGAATGCGGAACTATATCTCGAGGAATGTGTTGTGGAGCTGCATATCCTGATGATGGAACGGCCGAGCCTATTACTATGCCAGTGCTATATCGGCATGGCGGTGGTGATCTCAACGTAAGTCCAACGAGCTTGCCACATTGCCGAGTGGTCCAGCTGTTTTTCTCGGAAAGCCCCTCAAAAAGCTCGGGCATGCCCTGGGAGTTTAGTGAAGGGAAATGCTGACCAAAGCACATTTGAAGGTCATCGAACCCAAAGCCAGCCGCCATGTTCGTGTCAATGGCACTTCGCGTTGCTCAGGATCTCCGAATCAACGACTCTTCCTTGAACAGCCCAATATCACCCAGGGAAAGATTGCAGCAACAACGAGTCTTCTGGGTTGCATATTCTATGGATGCCGATTGGAGTCTGAGGGCTGGAAGAACCCCAAGCTTGAGCCCAAACCTCATCACGATCGACCTGCCTGCTAGCGAGGATCCAGACGGAGCAGGAGAGATCTGTGCAATTGGTGGAGAGTTTCGGATAAACGTGTTTCGACTGCGAGCAGAGCTCGCCCTTATTCAAGCCGAGATTATGGAAAAGCTGCAGTCGCCGGATGTTTCCAAGAAGCCCGCATTTGACGGAGATATTATGTGGCACACTCTAGCCCTGAAATTGGATGGCTGGCGAAAGCAATGGCCTGGAAATTTGACCGTCGAACAGTTACAGCAATACCTTCATCGGTCAGATCTGGTCCATATGATTGCCGTTGAAGCAGCTATCTTCAGCACACTTTATCTCCTTGTGGCGTACCTTGCCCCAGACACGCGCACAAAGACAAGACCATTTTCCCCAGAAGGACTTCTCGAACAACTCACAAGGCCACAAGCTCAGTCCACTTATCATGATGCCAAACGTTTCGCCGGCCTTCTGGCATCTGTGCCCGGTGAGGATGTCGCAATCAAATGGTAAGCAAAATCGAGCTGGATAATAGCATCGCTACATTACTGACTTCATAACAAAGGCAAACGATGGAAGCAATAGCCGCTGCTATAACAGTAATTCTCTCATACATCGTCAACAGACCAGACGGCGAAAATTCAAAATCCGATCTTAGGTTTGCTCGGCCTGGAATGTACACTCTCAATCAGCTTTGCAGCATAAGTAAAGATAGCGATTTTGCTGCACTCAAGACCATCTGTGTCGATTTGTACTTGAGAGCGGAGAGAGCTCTTCAATAACCAAGATCTGTCGCCATTGCATTATCAGATGCTCGGAAGCTCAAGAGTCAATTATCCCTTCCCTACTGGCAAAGATGACTAAGGGACCGTCAAGAAAAAGTGGGAGTCAGTTCTCGAGCTGGCTGAGTCATTGAAACTTTTGATTACTGCAACAGATCACGGATAACTACGATGTACGAGCGCCATGATGTGCATGGTCTCTAAAAAGTTCGCTGTACATACCAGCCTCAGGTCGAGTTCATCACGTTCCAGCCTCGAGCTCACACAAAAAGTCTCAAATGAACCCCATCATTCTGGATGCATTTCACAAAAATGAATCGGAGATGCTGGCTACACGGACAGCCAGTAGTATTGAGCCCTTAGGTGGGTTATCAAGCACACATGTTCAGACACCCATTGCCAGTTCGGCTCTAATTCCGCCACATGGTCTGAACGACGGGCGTGCAGGATCCGAGGATTGAAGGTGTCCTACGTACGAATGCTCCAGCACCTCGAGGACCAACGAGTTTACCCTCTGCAAACATCAACTGGCCTCTCAGAAACGTGTATCTCGGCCAATTTCGAAATTCAAACCCCTCATACGGGGTGTAATCAATGGCGTGGTGCAGCATCTCATTGGACAGCCGGAATGGCTCGAATTCATCTTGTGGGTACCAGATCGTGATATCAGCGTCCATGCCTGGCGCTATGGCTCCCTTCCGTGTCAGGCCGTAGAGCTTGGCTGGATTGGAGGATGTCAACTCCACGAACTTCTGAGGCGACATGCGCCCGCTCAGCACTCCTCCTGTAAAGAGGAGAGGTAGTCGAGTTTCTAGACCCGGTAACCCGTTGGGGATGTACTTGAACTTCCCGTGAGGGCCGTGGTCACAAAATCCTTTCATCTTGCCGTTTGGATGATCATACTTCGTCGGCGCATGGTCCGAAGAGATGGTGGTAAACGTCCCGTTCTGCACGCCCTGCCAAATGGCATCGAGATCCGTGGAGGTCTCCCTCAACGGCGGTGAGCACACAAACTTGGCACCTTCAAACCCAGTCTGGTTCATCTTCTCGGCCAACAGAAAGAGATAGTGAGGGCAGGTCTCTCCATGCACGACCATACCCCGCGTCTGTGCTTTGCGAATTACTTTGGTCGCCAGGGCACTTGAAACATGAACAAGCAAGACTGGTGCACTCATTAATTCCGCCAATGCCACGACACGGTTCTACCACAGGTGAATTAGCTTAGTTCACAGACTCTCGGTGAGAAATCCTCACCGTGGCCTCGCCTTCCACCAACGGAGGTCGAGAGGTTCCGTGATGGTGCGGTTGAACCATGTCATTCGCTTCAAGCTGCTCGGTCAGATATTCCACAACGTCCGCATTCTCAGCATGGACCATGGTGGTGATACCAATGCCCCGCGCTGCGTTCAGGACACCGAGAATCTGGTAGTCGCTTAACTTGGCCGATTCGTACGTCATGAAGATCTTGATACTCGACAGCCCATGGTGAGTGATCAATTGTGGAAGGTCCTCCTTCAACACTGTCTGGGTAGGATTGGTCACGATGACGTGAAAGGAGTAGTCACAGTAGGCCTTGCCTTGTGCCAACTTGTGATACTCCTTGATCACGGGTTTTAGGCTTTCATCGTCCCGGTACTGGTTTGCGAAGCTCATAATGGTCGTTGTCCCTCCAGCAATTGCACTTCGCGATCCGGACTCATAATCGTCACCTGCAAAGTTGTATTCCGCAGGAATGTTGCCATCAGTCACCTGAGTTTTCTGTTCCTGCCCCGGACCGGGATCGTAGAACTGAGATAGATGACAGTGAGAGTCGACACCACCTGGAGTCACAAAAGCTCCTCCGGCATCGACCTCTTCTGTCCCTGCCCTGGCCGGCAAGTTCTTTCCCAGGACCACAATCGTACCATCCTGAAATCGTGATCAGAACTGGAAATGATCTACCAAAAGCTGGGGTCGGACTACCTTGATCCCAATATCACATTCATTAAGGACATCCGATGCTGAGACTACCGTCCCATTGCGAATGACCAGATCCAAGCCCATGACTATCTTGAGATCGCCAAAACAAGTACAACAATGAGACAACTCTGGCCTTCATTGACGAACTCGAGACCGCCATTCCTCCCCTCCATGAACCAAGAAGAGTAGAGGTATTGAGACGATTAAGCGAAGGTGGTTGGGTGGGTCACCTTTGCACTGGATCTGGCAAACTAGCGATCCGCGCTCTACTCCGAGACTGACTTAGGCACGGGTGCATTGATATCGCCCGCGGGCGGATAAGTTCAAACAACCAACTGATTTGTCGATGTGTATTCTACATCAGCAAAAACGCAGTGCCCGAAGTCGTCGAATCCGTCACATGCCCACTAGCGGGATATCTTCTGGCTTGTTTGTGTTGTCCAACTACAAAATCGAGTCACGATGAACAGGACCACCAGTAATTGGTACTGGACACGCGAAACAAAGGCTTCGTGGCTACAAGAATCACTCAAAAATGACAGATACATCTTGTACATTTATTCCGGCTGCGGATATTGATAAGACCTTTCGAACCACCACGGTCGGTATGGAAACCACGACTTTATACCAAACACTTTGCCAACTGTACTGATACACGGGCAGATCTGTCGTCGTCAAGACTCTTGGGCAAAGTCATCGGCCAGTCAGATGAATGGTTCGCGGAAGCCAGCAACTTGATCAATCCGAAGCCGCCGGTCTCCGGAAATGGCAAAGTCGTCTTCACTGGCGGCTGGTATGATGGCTGGGAAACGCGAAGGCACAACAAACAAGAATTCGACTATGCGATCATCAGACTGGGCCCCGAAATGATTGCATCTGGGGGCGGCTTCATCTGGGGAGTTGAGGTTGATACAGCCTTCTTCAACGGTAATGAAGCACCCGCTATTAGTGTGCAAGGATTTGCACCTGCCAATGCGCCGACATCCGAGGCGGAACAACAGGCTCTGGATGACAAGGTGTTGGGCTGGGGCCATGGAAGGGGCGAATGGCACGTGATTTTGGGCAAGCAATCGTGCGGTCCCAGTCGCCGACAAGCATGGAAACTACAGACTCCCACAGTGCGTCCATTCACACATTTCAGGCTGAACATGTACCCTGATGGTGGCATCGCGCGTGTGCGCCTCTATGGGCGCCCGGCTTCTCCTACGGTATCGACCCCGACCAATATAGGCGAAGCTCCGGGCATATCACGGGGATTGGACCTCGCAGCGATGACGAACGCTGGGCGGTGCATTGCATGTAGCAATGAGCATTACTCCAGCCCCAACAACCTTCTCCTCCCCGGGCGTGGTGTCGACATGAGCGACGGATGGGAAACACGGCGCAGTCGTGAGCCAGAACACACAGACTGGGCGATCGTGAAGCTGGGGACAGCAGGTCTGGTGAAGAGTGTTGTCGTAGATACGGCACATTTCAGGGGCAACTTCCCGGACAAGTGCCAGGTCTGGGGCATCGACTGGACCGGCAAGGAAGGAGAGCCAACTGGCATGACGGACGAGGAAGGTTGGACGGATCTCACGGGCGGTGTTCAGGACTGCAGAGCCCATGAAGAGCACGTCTTTGACTGTGAGGATAAAGTCCAAGGTGGAGCGCTGAGCCACGTGAAGCTGGTCATCGTGCCCGACGGCGGTGTCAAGAGGCTCCGAGTCTATGGCGTTCCTCTTGCCAGCTGAGAGCACTCAACCACGCCAGGGGTCCACATCAAATGACATTAGTATAATATCAGAGGTCCCTCCAGCATTTAGGTTATGAGACGGGGGGTTTCTTGACAAGCGGAGCAAAATCCACTATGTCTGTAGCTATCTAGGAAGTGGCATAGCCAATATAACATGCGTGACGTTGTCAACATAGTGTTCTTGTATCATCATCTGATCCGACTTGGGGGCGAGTAGGTTAAGATCTCTACCCTCTTCGCTCCTTATTAAGATGGACAAAGCTATCAGACCTGGTCGTAACAGAGGTACTGAGATGTCCAGGTATGTTTGGCAAAGTCTCTTCATCCGTTGAGAAAGCCTGTGAAAGGACGTCGGCCAGCAAGCCAGCAGCCAGCCAACGGCCCTCCGCCTCTCCTTCAGTGGGGGGTCTCCCTAGGGGCGCCTAAGTTTGGCTACTGTCGCCCGCGGTGAACTCTTGCTCGCCCGCATTTTGCCACCCCCTCCCTCAACATCAATCACAAGTCCGACCAAATCCTTGTTGGCAAGACGGTAATTCATGTAGCCAGGTACAGAGTTAGGTTGGATTGAGAATAAGGTACACTGTTGCTATATACAACCACATCGTTCCAATCAATCAGTCGCAGATATGCCTTCGGCAGTCCTGGATCAGACACTCGATGGAAGTCGAAAGAAGTAAGTTGCCACTTCCAACAAGCCATGACGACCAAGATCAAAATGACCGACGTTTCCAAGGCTGCCATTTCTCGACCAGAGGTTTGCGCAGATCAAGCGGTCGTTAGTCTCATCGCAGCACAAAGTCAAGGTCATAGCCTCGTATGAACGCCTGTGTAAAATCTTGGAGGTAGAAGCGGATCACATTGCCCGAAGCGGTCCAGCTATCGTGCCAGAGATCGAGTTCGACGATGTGTGTAAAAATGGTCAGCATCGCAAGCCTCTGTTCTCTTCTGGAGAACCATGGGTGCTAACAGAATTAGGTGGAGCGCTGCCAGAAGGCTTTGTTGACCTCGTGCGAGATCGTGGATGCCTCATACTTCGCAATGTTGTGTCCGAAGACCAGGCCACAACCTGGGAGGGCGACTTGAAGGAGTACACAAAACGTAATAACACTGCCGGGGGATATCCGAAGAACGACCCTCAAACGTGGAACCTGTGGTGGACACCACCGCAGGTCCAAATTCGGAGCCATGAGCGCGTCATGTTGGCCATGGACTGCGTGAGCAAGCTTTGGCATGTCACAGACGACTCCTTGCCCATCGATCTGGCAAGCCAGGTCGTCTACCCCGACCGCTTCCGCATCCGACATCCCTCCAAGGATGCCGAATTCACGTTACCGGCGCATCTGGACAGTGGCGGGATCGAACGCTGGGAATGCCCAGTCAACCGATCCAACTTCCAGGCCATTTTTGAAGGCAACTGGGATACATGGGATGGCTGGGCGGCCGATCGGCGCTATGAAGCACAAAGTGACCTGTATGACAATGGAGCTGCATGTTCGTGTTGGCGAAGCCTGCAGGGCTGGTTGTCGCTGTCTCACACATCGACGGGAGAAGGCACACTCCGCTTGTTACCCAGTCTGAAGGCGTCTGTGGCATATATGATGCTGCGGCCGCTGTTCGCCTTAGACGAAACCTTCGACGACACCCAACCCACTTTCCCTGGTGCAACTCCGGGAAACACTCAATTCTTCCCAACCCAAGAGCTCCATCCACATCTACTCTTGGAAAAATCCATGATAGGGATCCCTCCCGTCCGCCCAGGAGACTATGTCTTTTGGCACTGCGATCTTGTGCATGAGGTGGACAAATTCCACCCTGGCACACGGGACTCGAGTGTCGTGTACAATGCTTGCACCCCGTTGACTCCGTACAACATCAAGTCCCTAGCCAGCGTGAGGGAAGCGTTCCAGAAGGCAGCAGTCCCAAAGGACTTTGTTTGCTACGACAATGTACTGGAGGAGGAGAGCCAGCATGAAGGTCACGGCGCCAGGCGGGAGAATGTCTTGTCTCGCCGGGGACTGCAAGGGTTGGGCTTAGAGCCTTTCGATGACCTCGAAGAGGGTCTTACCGATGGCCAGAGAACGGTACGGCGACTGGCGAATGAAGTTCTTGCACAATGTTAGTGTCCTAGCCTTTTCAAATCCAATCTAGTAACATGCAGTGCATGTCTCTCAAAGACTCGACCTCATAAATGTCACAATTTTTAAATACGTAGGCAAGTCGGATTGACTGACATCAACCCATAATAAGGCTACGATAAGCAGGGTTACTGGGCCCCTCGGGCGGTGTTCGGCTGCAAGCGCAATGGTCTAACCCCTGGGGCTTCTTACCTACCGTTTGTGGGTCGAGGGTCTCTCCGCCCCTGATAAATACTCATTCCCCTGCCGCTTATCCATCCCCGATACCAGGCGTGCCTGCTTGGTCTTCCGCATTCCTCTTTCCCTTCCTCACTTGTTCCAACTCGTGAAAATGAGTCGACCATACTCCAGAGCTCAATCTCGTGGAAACAAGCTAGGATATTACCGGTCATCTCAAGCTTGTGGTATGTAGGAACATACCAGTTGTGTGCAACCTTCGAATACAGTTTGATCACTAACCCCAAGAACAGACCATTGTCGGAAGCGCAAAATCAGATGTTTGGTGTCAAACGCCGGCGCCGGCGCCTGCGCTCAGTGTGGGAAACTGGGACGGCGATGTATCATCGCCACCGTTGACCGCGTAGCGGAGATCACGAGAAATGCGGATACTTCAAATGCGAGGTCTCACGCTGAAATCGAAGACACAGTCGGCAACAGGCTGTATTCTGTCAACCCTCATACTCCGGAACAGTCATTGACGAGCGGTCAACGAGCAGACAATGAGGCTATTCCAATACCATACTTCGATATGTTCAACACTGATCAATGCAGGGCCAGCCCCTCGTCTGGCTCAGTCCATGGTCCCCATGGAACCCAAGCAGACGATAGTTTCACGAATTTCGACCCAATGAGAGCGCAATGCCAGTCGTGGATGAATAATAATGGCTCATTAACGTGGAATAATTTCTGCGCTGAAGAGCAAGAACTATTTCTTCCGTTCACTCTTGACGACTTCGACCCGTTTAGTGACCACACCGGAAGCAAACATCTATGGAACCGTTCCCTCGTCGCGGTCGACTGGCCATACCAGCTATCTGCGGATCATCTTTGTCAGCTATCAACGCCACAGGTCGATTGCCCTTCTGAAATCATATTCCGGCGTCCTCAACATCGGGAGCCCATCCCTGACGACACACTACAGCTCAATTGGACTTCGAGTCCGGATCGGGATGTATCTGAGAGCTGACGATTTGTACCCAGCTACCCTTGATCATGGCCTGCTAGATAAGGCGCTATTTCGAAATCTTCTTATCAAATTTCAGTACCGTACGAAGCAATGCTTCTACTCCGAGTGTGCTGCAAGGAATTCAGCAACAGTCTTTTAAACAATCTTTGAGGAGATACTTACCAGTGCTCTTGGGTTGACCACTCGGAGGGATGATGAGAAACGCCGCCCTTGGAGGGAATAAAGATCATCGATGTGGGACAGTGATGCGAGGTGTTGACGCTGTCATGTCCTGCTCCGGCAGGGAGAGTTTCGTACCCATCTTTGCCAACCAGTTCCTCAGCTACCTCTGTAACCGTCTCGATACAGAGTGGATTAAAGCGTACACCTCGACTGGCCCAGGTATCCTCAAAGGTGGCTTGGCAACCTTCTTGTTCTGCGAATTCCGCGCAGATCTCTTTCGTTCTTTTCACCATCAGATCCCTGGTGTCGTTGTCGATGTGTTCAAGATCGACACTGAACCGAACCTTGCCCGGAACTGTCCCCGGGCTCGACGGCTCTGACTTGAAGACACCTACGGTGCTCATACCTTGAACCTCACGCGCCATGGCGTTGATCTGTGGAATCATTCTGGTTGCTGCGAGGAGCGCATCATTTCGCCTATCCATTGGCGTGGTGCCACAGTGCTGAGAATGTCCATGAACGGTGATATATGTCCAGCCCATCGCCTGAACACCATTGACGACTCCCAGAGTTTTGTTTTTGTCTTCCAAAACAGGGCCTTGTTCGATGTGGAGTTCGAAGTGGGCAGCTAGAGGGTTGGTCTTGTAACTTGCGCCCTCATTTCCCAAGTACCCAATTCTTTTCAGCGCGGCTTGAAATGTCGTGCCCTCGACATCTTGTATGGAGTAAGCCTCGTCCATGTCAATCATTCCTCCCCAGACGCTGCTGCCCAACATTCCACTATTGAAGCGGGCGCCTTCTTCATTGGTCCAGTTGACCACAGCAATCGGGGCCTGAGTGACAACATCGTTCTCATGTAGCACCTTCATGACCTCGATTCCTCCGAGAACCCCGAGTATGCCATCGAATCTGCCCCCTGCCGGTTGGGTATCGAGATGCGATCCCATTGCGATGGGAGGAAGCGCCATGTTGGCCCCAGGTCGAACGGCGAACATGTTTCCCACCTGGTCCACCTTCACCTTGCAGCCAACCGCGGTCAGCGTCTCTGCAAACCACGAGCGAACCTTCTGGTCATCGTCTGTCAGAGTGAGCCGTTTCACGCCACCATCGTGACTATCGCCCCATTGCGCAGTGTGATGAATCGAGTCCCACAGGCGCTGACTGTTCACTTTTACCGAAGGTGATGCAAATTGGCGCGCAGATGTGTATCCCGCTCCTCGACTAAGAAAGATTGCCTGCTGCCAAACTTGAGCCCTGCCTCGTGAGGACACAGCCGCCCGGAACTGGGAGCTACAATTCTTGAAGACGAGATGGCTGGACATGACGGCGAGGCAGGAAGTGAACCCAAAAAATGCCACAGATGGGGATCCGACTCTGTGGGTGAACAGAATTGACGATCAAGTAGCGCTGCTATTTATTATTACAGTTTGTTTAGCAAAGACCGGCCAAGGGAGCAGTTTTCAACAGCGCCAAAACAGACCGGTGATTTCCATTGTTACTCGAACAGAACCACTGCGCTTAATTAACACTTCCAAAACTTGGGTCACGAAAAATGTGCTGTGTGGGGATAGCTCGCTGGCTCGAACTCAACGATGCTCTCGACAACCCTCCATAGAAGTCAAAGACCACGGTTTATTTGCACTGTATGCAAAGTGATTCGCTACAGATACAGTGCCGGTAGAGCATGAACATGTTGGTCCAGACACATCCCCAGATTATCATGCATCATCTTGCGATATCCAGGGTTGCTCGTGCAAGACACGATCTCGCCCCGCGGCCGTTTTTGGGTGCACAATCGGCCTTTTGTGGTCTGCCGCCCAATCGACCATTCGTTTTACGTACGCGAATATCGTCAAGGATTGGCCTTCCACAGCAAACCACCAATTATTTAGTGCCAAGTTCCTGACTAGATCCAGGGCCACTCGTATGATCTTTACGAGAACGTGGTATCACTCGACTCGAGCAACCTTGTCTAGAGTCCATCATTCGTACAGGGGACGAAAGAAAAGGTGACACAATATCCATTTATCACCCTAGTGCTGCCCTCAATGAATGAGCAAGGACTTGTGATTGCATTTCTAGTACTAAACGTGACACTGGTAAACAGCCTAGATATCCACAAGTGCGATGTCATGAAATATGGTGTCTTGGAAGTGCAATGACAAGTAAAAGCCCGCAGAGCCTGCTGATGGTGCACGTAGCACTTGTCAAGGCGGCGTGGGAGCCACAGCGACGTTGAATGCCGCTCTGCATATGGCAGAAGTGGTCCTAGCCCCAGACAGATCGTCGGCTTCTCCGGGGTCGATGTCGTCCACCAATTCATCGTCCCTTCCAAAAAGCTCTGAAATGATCAAATTCAGGCGCCGAAGCGGCAGGCGAGCAAATTCGAAATCTCGCTCGTCCTCGGCGAGTTTGCCCAGGTAGCCACGGTATTCCAAGAGGGTGCCACGACGCGTCTCAAGTTCTTCATCGTTTGTGCTTCTCAAAACCATGGTGATGAGGTGAGAACCAATCGTCATTAGGTTGCCCCTGTTGTAGCTCAACCACATCCGGCTCTGCGGTGGACGGTTCTCCAGGATGTCGCGCATCATCTCGAAGACTCGGTTCATCATACTCGCCATCGGATCGCTGTTGCTGTCGAGCCCAGCCTCGCCTGGAAACGTCGCAGCGTGAGCTCTACGCACGAGGGTTTCCACAGCGCAGCCAGCTAACGCGGCCGTGTACGCGCTTGCGGTCCTGGCTTCTGGAAGTCGCAGATACCCGTTCGTCTCTCGCCAGTTTTGCAGTCGGCCCATGAAATCCTGGGCCAGCGAGGCGCTCTGCTCGATATCCATCTCCTCGACATTGGATCGAATACTGTAGAAGCTGTCCAGCACTTCGGAGAGTACCTCTGATAGTTCGCACAAAGTAATGAAAATCTTGCCTTGGACGACTTCATCTACAGAAAGCATGCCATCCGCGTTCGCAAAATCGCTTAGCGTCAAAGGCTGGACTGCCCAGTCTCCCTTTCTGATATGCGATGGGCGCCCCAACCAGTGAGCCATCCATTTGTCGTGCACGTATACGCTCCACCACAAAACTCGACGTAGCTTTCTTTCCTGTAGCGAAATTTTCCATTTCTCAGGGTCAACATGAAGTCCAATATCTTGTGCAATGGCAACGGCGAGCGTGGTCATTGCCCAATGACCTGGATGATTCGACTCTCGAATAATAAGAGGTGGAAGCTGTAAGTACAATAACATAGCCTGGAGAACGTTCAAGTTAGGGGTTCGGATCTCGACAGTCAGAATCGAATAAATATAGGGTCGTAGCCGTGATGCGTTTGGGCAGATGAGGTGGCGCAAGGCGGGAGATTTCTCCCAAAAGTAGCAGGCATGGCTGTAGACGACCGCGAGCAGTGAACACGGTATCTGCTTCTGAGTGCGACGGGCGATAAATTCCTCCTTTCTCTCCAGGATTGGGTAAGAAGGGTGAACAAATGTATAGTACACGTTGATCAACTCATCCTGATAAGGGCTAAAGACTCGCTCAATGTCGTCGTAGTTGTACATATCAGCACTGCAATCTAGCAGTTGATTAGAGTAAAGCTGGAACGTAAGTCAACAAGTCAGAGACGATTAGAACATAATGTGGCGCATTTTTCTCTCACCGTCAGGTAGGCCGCGCCCCTTAAGCGAGGGTCAACTCTCCAGACCCTCCACCGATGGTCACCAAACATGTCTGAGTCGTCAAAGGCCAGATGTCGTAGGAGGTGCGGGTTCTGGTCGCCACTGAGACCGGACAAGAGGCATGTCCACCCTGGCATTGAAGTTGTGCTCTTGACTGCAGGTTCCTGGCGTAGCGGTGAACCAGACGTCGAGCGCGACCGGAAAAGCTGATCAGACTGAATTGGATCATCACCTGGGCTCATGTTTGAGACCTCCATCGGCCGTGGCTGTGGGCGACGTTGAGGTTTGGAGAGGAATGTGCAATCATTCCCTCGGTGCTTGCACAAGGCGCACGCAGAGTTCTCATCCTCACGCTGGCAAGCGATACGTCGACGGCGACATGCATCACATCTGCAAATATGAGTGTTTGTTCCTCTGTGCAGACACAACGATGGGGGACGTTACGGCGGCTTCTTCTTGGACCTGTATGGTCGTGATCTCCCCTCGTCTCTCCGGTTCGATTCGCCTGGAGGTGGTTGCCTCTCGACAGATATGCTTCTGGCATAGGAGCCTGCGTGGCTAGCCATTTGGATACTTGAAATTTAGGAGTGCAAAGTTGACCGCGGGTCGATATCGCTGCTTGAGGATGCTTGCTTGTTGAGCGTCGAAATCACGACAGCCCGGACGTTGGCGTCTTGGCAATGAATTGGCCGCCACCCCACAGTTCTTGGGGACATGGGTCATTCGTAATCTGTACTTTATATTGAGCCGATCAAGCAGAGCACAAGAAACTATGGTCTATCCGGAGATCGAGAGTACTAATGTCGTCCGGTCTTTGAGGCATGGAGTGGGAGACCAAAGGCTCGAGGCGACGCCAGCAGTTGGCTGCCCAGATCCCAGACGAGTGGAAGTTGCCTGTCCCATTCCAGTCTGATAGTCTCGTAAATGTCAAGGGCATCCCCGCGGAGAGTGGCATCCTCGGTCCTCTGGATATCGAGATTACTGAATCTTCCGCCGACGAGATACTGGCGAATGTCAGGAAATCACAATGGAGCTGTGAAAGGGTCATGTTGGCCTTTTGCAAGCGAGCCACGATTGCTCACCAGCTGGTGAACTGTGTTACGAATTTTCTCATTGAAGAGGCTCTGGAAACAGCTCGGGAGCACGACAAGTATCTTGCAGATACAGGTCAGGTCAGAGGCCCGCTGCATGGTCTACCTATTTCTGTGAAGGTGAGTTCTTCCAAGTTCGCGTGTTCCGATCTAGATCAGGTTTGACGTTGAGAAGGACTGTCTCGATGTGGCCGGACATGAAACGACATCTGGTCTGGTGTCCAGAATTGGGTTTGTTGCAAAAGAGGACGCTCTCGTGATCCGCTGCCTCCGACAAGCAGGAGCCATCCCATTTGTCAAAACCAATCTCGCCCAAGCAACGCTCTTGGTTGAATCGACAAACAATGTCTTTGGGCTTGTTACAAATCCTTCAAATCGTCAATTGACCGCGGGTGGATCCTCTGGAGGTGAAGGTGCCTTGATCGCACTATTTGGCTCTCCTTTGGGTGTTTGCACGGACGGAGGCGGTTCGGTTCGGCTTCCTGCATCGTGGAATGGAGTATATGGATTCAAACCTTCTGCCACCCGGATTCCAAGCCTGGGATCTCGTGGAGTGGGCTACTCGGATAGCAATTTGGGTTGCACAGGAGTAATTGCCAACCATATCGAGACCCTCAGTCTCTTCATGAGCTCGGCTCTCAGCGCATGCCCGTGGAACAATGACGCCGACTGTGTGCCAATTCCTTGGAACTCGAGAATAGGTATCAGCAGGAAATTAAGACTCGGCCTGCTGTTTGACGATGGCATCACACACCTCACTCCACCCGTGCTCCGCGTTTTGAAAGAAAGTCAAGAAAAATTAGCAGCAGCAGGACATGATGTGATAGTCCTGGACTGGTCTGATCTTCATTTGCGTGGTGCTCGTATCATCTTTACTATGTACACACAAGAGGGTGGTGTCGGGGTCAGAGAAGCATTGGATATCTCTGGCGAGCCTCCTGTACCTCGACTTGCCACCGGTTGGTCAGAGAGACCATTGACACCCATTGAGATATGGAAAAATCATCGAGCCAGGAAGCAACTTCGTCTAGATTACTTGAGAAGGTGGAAGCAACTCGACCTGGACGCTATAATCACGGCCCCGTCGCCTCATCCAGCACCTCCTCATGAACAATACATGTTAGTCTGGGGCGGTCTTGGGATAGATTTTTCATACTAATGTCTTCACAGAACCACAGCCCTTTCCGCCATCTACAACTTACTCGACTACCCTTGCTGTATCGTTCCGGCTGGCGAAGTCAATCTCGAGAAAGATGTTGCAGATGAAGCTTGGTACGCTCGGGCACCTTACGACAAGATACCAAATTTTCCCTACGACTTCGGCGACGAGGAATTGAAGAGCTTATGTAGGTGTCGCTAGTCCACGCATTCGTCTCCCAAGCTTATTGACCGTCACGCAGATAAAGGGCCTGAAGTCTTTGCCAATAGCCCTCTCGCGCTGCAGATAGTAGGATTACCATGGCAGGAGGAATTGTGCTTACTTATATCGCAACGCATTGACGATATAATCCACCACAGATAGTGCGCCTAGTGCACTGTAGGAACAAGAGCTATATCAAATTTGTCTGGTGCATTTGTTAGGCTCAATACTCGTGGCCATAAAATATCTGATACACTAAAGTAGCTTCCAAGCAATCCTGATGAAGAGACATAAAAGATTGAAGGCAATTGAAGGATTACAACATTCGAGAACATAAGGGAATGGCTAGACAGAATGCTATGTACCACCTACGGCACTTGCAACCAGTTTCGTCGTTGGCTCCCACCCAATTTCCAGCCCGCGCTTCCTCCACGATCCTGAAATATAGACACCAGTGCACGTTTCTTCTAGTCTGTAGTGGAGGATGCGACAACGTACTTGTTGTCTGACGCTTTTGCGTATGCCTCTCTTTCCACATCCGCTGTTTCGCTTTGGCTGCGCACGACCTCAATCCCGGCTATCTCGACGTCGTTGGTATCGGCATTTTCCTCCCACTTGAGTTCCTTTACATTTTTGACGTTCTGGTGTGGGTAGACGAGATTAACAAGATAATAGACAACGCCTCCCGAAGTGAAGGAGAGGAACCAGGCTAGATACCCGATTTTCTCACCCGCAGCTGGGACGGTGGCTCCCACTTTGTTCACAAAGCCGACAAAGCAGAGACCGACCGAAAAGATATAGGCAATGTAAGCCTGAACGTTCCAACCTCCAGTGTACCAGTAATTGGGGTTCTTCGAGTTGCCGATGTAGATGGACGAGACGAAGATATTGCCTCGGCTGATGAGGTAGTACTCCACCAGCATGATCGACACAGCTGGACCCATGAAGATGCCGTAAGCACCCATGAAATTGAAGAAGGTCTCTGCCGAGACATAGATTTTCCAAGGGCAGATGCACCACGCCAAAAGGTGGACAATGATATAGCCTCGTGTCATTGTCAGATGTTTGGGCCAGAGCATAGAGATGTCAGCACCAAATGGAATCATGTTCGAGGAGATGTTCTGAGCAAAGACCAGGTAGAACCAACAGCAGGCGAGCAGGAAGACCCCAAAGCGAACTCCTGAGGTCCAGTTTTCCTCGAGGATGAGCGTCATCACATCCCATGGTTTCCAGATAGTTTCTCCTGTAGCGCTCTGCAAGGCTGAGGTTCCTAGTATGCCAAGCACGGCAGCCAAAGGGTTGTAAATGAAGTTGCAGAACAAGGTTGCCGGAATGACTGAGTTGGGTTTGGCAGCCCATCGAGCCACGTCCGGAACGGACTCAATATATGCCGCACCGTTGCTGATCGAGCTCGCCATGGCATATACGACCAGCCACGCAGTAGTACTTGTGTCCATTTTGACAGAACCGGCGTTCTCGGCCAGCCCGAGCTTGCCGCCCGATTTGGCGATGCAGTAGATGAACAACCCGAAGACAGCAGGGAAACTCGCGAAGCAGGCACCTGTGAAGAAGTTGCGGAGTTGGTACGGTCGGCGAAACAAAAAGGGGGTGTAGAGCATCCAGACCAGAAAGTAGCAGAGGAAGTCCTTGGTGGTGTACCCGATGCTCTCTGGAACGTGGTTGGGGATGTCCGTGTACGCATGGCCAAAGACGCATCTCATCATTATGTTCAAGTAACTGGCGCCTTCATACGTCTTGGTGGCGTACCAAACAGCGGCCAGGATCGATCGAACGGCGACCTGGTATGTGCTTCCCCACATGCCATAGACGGAACGTGCAATGGCAGGGAAGCCCAGGTGGTAGCGAGCAGCTGCCTTGGAGTTGAGGGCCTGAACGACACCCGAGATGCTTTGAGTGATATAGGCGATGGCGATGGCAGCCTGCCAGCCCAGACCAACCCCGATCACGGCTGAACCACCTTGCCAGTTGTTGAAACCTGTGCCGACAAAATAGAGGAGGTAGTTCCACCAGTGCCAGGTTCTTTTGTGGGGAGGAGTGGGATCAAGATCTTGGTTGGACCAGATTCTGATATCCTCTCCGTCTCCCCTACCCTTCTCGACCTGGAGGTCCTTTTTGACCTGCACGGCCCAGTTCTTGTAGTAGGTCTGAGTTCGGTTTTTCAGAGCCATGATGGAGGAAGTCTACCCTTTGGTGTCTGACAGGCGAGGGACGATCTGACTGCATCGTTTCGGGAATCAGGCAAGGGCGTCAAAATATATAACAGTCGCGACTCTTGAGAACGTTCGGTGTCTCTCTGGGCGAGAGCTTACGACGATTTGGGCAAGACGGCAGTGTATCTCTGGTTCCACCTACACAAGTGGTGTGATTGGTTGAGTCGTGCAGTCTTGATAAGGAAGGCGGCCGAATTCTTGGCCGCGGGCAGACTCAAATCACTTTTACGTGTTCGATCACCGCCCGCGGTACAAGGTCAAGTCGCCTGCAGAAGGCGACGGACTCGTCCCACTGTGAATCGGATATCCCTCACAACCTACCATAAGCTCAGTTGATTTGACGAGGCTTAATTTCCTCGATTACTGGACACTTACACTTCCATAAATTGACTATTTCGTGATAACGTAACAACAGGACGGCGTCATCATCTACCTCGTGAAAGCGTGAGCAAAGGGTGACACTCTCTACCATGGCTGTCCGCACCAAGATTGGCCTCTTGGAAATCGGTCAAAGTCAGAATATACCGGATCAGGATTTCCTTGCGCTCAAAGATGAGATGGATTTTGTCACCATTGCACCGCTGGATGCATACAACGATCAAGAATTGGCCGCACAGTTTCAACCTTTGCTGGGTGAACTTCCAATAAGCTCCTGCACACGAACTGGGCAACGAGTCTTGGTGTCTAGCTCAGCGTTGGTGCCAGAGCTGCAAAAGGGGGTTCAGGAGGGTGTCAATATAGGATGTGCAGCATTGCTGCTGACGTGTACGGGGCAATTCGATTTGGGCAACACGACGATACCTGTCATAATGCCGGGAGATCTTCTCCGCGATCGAGTTCAGCAGTATCAGAGTCAGATTGAAAGGACCGCAGTCTTGGTTCCCGTCGATGAGCAGCAAGAGCTGTTGCGGCACCGTTGGAGACTGCGACTTCCTTCCACCATCCAAATACATTCATTTACTCTTTCGCCGCAGTCCTCATTGCTCGAGTGTCACAATATGGGTCAGCACCTGCTCCAGTTAGGGGTTGACACGGTCATCATGGATTGTTTGGGGTATTCTCTTGCGCAAAAAAAGGCTATCTACGAGGTGATTCCCAGAGTCTTCAACGCAAAAGAGGCCGCGATGGAGTTCATACAGTCCAGCTTGAGAAGGGTTGCAGTATGACAGTGAAGTGGGAGTCATTCCTGCAGGCGGAGTCTTTGATGGTGAATTAACGATAACCGATAATGCATTAACACTCTCTAGGAGTAGCTGGCAGGACGACGACGCACATTGACGATGTTGGGACCCCGGAAGGAGCCGTTTCCAGGGTTGTTGTTGGCGGTTCAGTCGCTGGGTCACAGTGAACCAGCGCTCTCCAGAAAGCCAATTCCGTAATTGCATATCGCCAACCTGATGCACACAATGCAGCCGAGATTTCCAGGCTAGGATCTCATTTTCGCTTTTTGATTGTCACAACGTACGCTGCTGCGTCGGCAAATCCAACAGGAAAGCGGGCATTAACCCGGCCACTAAATGCATGAGCAACTCCAGCACAGGCGTAAGAAACACCCTGCAAGCCTGTCCAGATAAGGATGTTCTGAGGACATTGGAATGCTCAGCCCTCACCGAGACGACCATGCAAGGCGGGACATAGATCAATGGTCGACCGGCTTCATTAGGATGCGTGGTCGATGCTAGTTGCACAAGAAAATAGCTTGTCTGCTGAATGATCAGGCACCATCTCCAGCTCTCTATGATAGGCGTAACCGACGAAAAGAATGTTGACGCAGGTTTGGAACTGTATGTGATTCAGGTTGAGGTGGTCAAAGATACCGAATAAGTTTGCGACGATGACTGCGTTACATATTGGACCAAGCAAAAGATATCGATCTGAAAGATCAAAAAAGTTCCGGATTCCACAGTTCCATACGGACAAAAGTCATTCTTGGGCTACATTAGAATCAATGGGTCCATGAGTTGAGCATTCAAGTTGCGAACGAGTGCCTTACCAACCTTGAGCCTCTCGGCTTTGCTCATGGCTCTGGTTCGAACTACAGTCATGGTGCCTAATCTCTGGCTTCTAGAGATGACCATTGTCGTCGAATCATGCTTGTGTCTTTCAACTGCTGTACTGTGAGCGGCTAACGAAGATACCCAGGTACTCTACCTAGGTCGGTAAGAAAGAGTTCGAGGCGTGTCCGAAGTAGTAGTAAACCTCATTCCTTGGCATCATTAGGAGGATTTCTCAGCAATAACTTTTATCCGTATCTTAAGTACCGCGGTAATGCCGAACGGCTGATGCCCCGCAAAATCGTCAAAGGACTTCGTAGATACGACTTCAGTTACTAAGTATCCATACCCTTGTGATCATGAAAGGATGCAACATTTACCGCCTATGTGACGTTGGCTTGGACCATGATGCAGTATAACTTCAAAACAACCCTTGATGCATAATGTCGTCAAACGTTGCTTCCAGCGAAGAAACCCTGGCCAAGAAAGGAAAGCACGTTACTACCGCCTGCTCAAATTGCAGACGCCGAAAGATCAAGTGTGATGGCACTATTCCGAGATGCTCAAATTGTGTCCTGTACGACCAGGAATGTGTCTACAATCATGGACAAGACAAACGCAAGATAGCACCCAAAGAACGCCTGCAAGCTTTGACAGCTTACTGTCAACAGTTGGAAACCTTGCTTGTTGAAAGTGGCATTGGCTTACCAAGTCCACCACCAATGCATCATCAAATGAGCGTTGATAACTCTAATCCATCAGTACTGCCATTTCCCAAGAGGAGTCCTTCCGACCTAGAGGGAAGTCTTCCAAAGTACGAGCCCGAGCACGATGGAATGACATGGCCACGTAGGTTTGACATATCTCGTTGTTGTTGCCTAGCTAACCCAAAGTCAATCAGAAAATACATCGAGCACGACGTTTCCCGAAGATACTTTTGTATCGTACGAATCTTCCCCAGACCAGATCACCATTCCCAACCAAACTAGCAATACCAGCACCAATGGTGACTCAGAAGCGTTGATGGACCAGCTTTCCGGTCGGATAGGCTCTCTACAGCTGGCAGAAGATGGCCAACTTCGATTTTATGGTGCAACTTCCAATTTACATATCCTGCATAATGGTCCCATGTCCTTATCAAGATCCAAGTTTCGCTCTGCCTCAGAGGATGGTGCCAATCTTCTTATTGGTGGTGGCGTCGGTCACCAGGTCAGTGAGGAGCTCGAGGATCATTTGCTGAAACTCTATCTGTGTTGGGAAGATCCAAGTATCCATGTTGTGGATGAGCGTGTATTCTGGCGTGAACGACAGAGATGCAAGGCAACGAATTCCACAAGTTCTGTGTACTCAGAAGTTTTGACCAACGCAATGTGGGTGAAGATTTGAGACTACAAAGGCGCACTTTCAGACTACTGACTTATCACCTTTTTACCATTACAGGTGTTCCATCGGCGCGACGTTGACAGGTCGGCACTGTCCAGAACTGCCAGAAAACCTTCCGGACTTTTTTGCAACCCGTGCCAAACTATTACTCGAGCTAGAAATGGATGCTCCCACGATCTCCACCGTCCAATCACTTGTCATATTGAGTGCCATAGAAGCTGCTTTGACAAGAGATGCTCGTGGATGGCTGAACAGTGGTATGTTCATCTTCTTCGCACCTGGAAAGTATCTAACGTTGCGCTAGGCATGGCCGTAAGGCTAGCTGTCGATCTCGGCTTACATCTTGATCCACAGCCATATGTCAATGCCGGGATGATTGAAGAGGAGGAGGCAGCTGTCCGCAAAGTGGTCTGGGGTGGCGTTTTTGTCCACGATCGGTATGTAATTACTCCCTTCGCTGAAGATCTAGTTTGGTGACTTATTCAACATCAGAATGTGGAGTTTGTACGTTGGACGACCAGTTGGTTTGGACGACAAGAACATCACAGTTTCCTTTTGCGAGATTGACCCCAATTCGCCACAAGCACACAAGTACTGGTCCCCCTATATCGACGAAAGTGAAGGCCTCGATATGATCAGCATGCTAGATCCGATCGATGAGATAGCGATCTGGAATGTCAAGCTGTGTGCTAACATGACTATCATTCGTGAGACACTGTAAGTATTATCAAACTCGTATGCCGGATTATGCGTTGACCTTGGCAGATATCCCGATGGTTTGGCCGATCCCAAGAGCCCAAGACAGCTCTATGATTTTGCCAGTGCTATGCGACTCACTCTCTCACAGTGGCAGATGGATCTTCCACTGAATCTGCACGTGGATGAGTTCGACAGTAATACTGTCTACCTTCCCCATGTTCTCCAAATTCAGTAAGCTTATCGTTTGCGATACGAAAAATTTGTCACTTACAAAGATCAGTATGCAGTACCATTGCATTCTAGTTATTACAACACGACCATTTTTTGCATCTGCAAAGAAGCTCATTGGTCTTTCACCATCTGAAATAGCTGCGACCCGAGATACCTGCACCAATTCAGCCAATGCGGTGGCACGACTTCTACAAACATACCGTCGTTTGTACGGACTCAGGAGGATAAATGTTCAGGCAGTTCATCTCATATTTACGGTAACCCTCATACACGTGTTCACAGCCTGTGGGGCTACGGATCAAGCCCGCAGTGATATCGCGTGGAAGAATTTGGAAATATGCAGTCAAGCACTCAGTGAAATAGGACTAGTGTACAGGAATGCGGCAAGAGCACATGAAGTGATTATGGGGATGAAAAGTGAACTTCTACGGCGGTCAAGATCCAAGGCGAAACGACATAATCCTTGGAGCGAAAATATCGATTCAGGATCTTACATGCAGAAGAAACGCAAAGAAAGCAATCAAGATGAGCATTATATACGGAGGAAATCTGCCTCCACCGACACGAATGTTTCTGCATTTGATCCGGGCATGTCTGAAACTGGACAGGCATTTAACTTCATGGATTCAAGTTTCGATGACTTCTCACTTGACACTTTATTTTGGAGTGGCTATAACAACTTGGATTTCCCTCAGTTCCCGACTCAGGAGGCACAAATCAATCTTCACGATCCAGACAATGCTTGAAAGAGGCCGCTAAAGATGGCCAGAGTGCAAGCCACCAGTGACAAAAATGTCACTTCCTGTTGTGAATGCCGCAGCATCACTCAGCAAATATCCAACAAGTGTCTTAAGGTCCTGCCTTTTCCCGATACGTTGCAAAGGTGTCGCGGAATTGAAAGCAGAAATGATCTCTGGATTAGTGACCGCCAGTCCTTTGGTCATCTCTGTTTCGATGAACCCTGGCGACACCGAGTTTACACGAATGCCTAAGGGTCCGAGTTCCACTGCAAGTTGCTGGCAGAGAGATTTGATGGCGCCTTTCGAAGCGCCATAAATCCCTAGCTTCTGGGTGGGTAGAGCCGCACTTGCGGAGATCGAGGCTATGAGTACAATGCTTCCACCCGTTTTCTGATCACGCATACGCTTCGCAGCCAATTGAGCCGCGAAGTAGCTCCCCAAAACCTATAGGGTCATTAATTAGGGGTTCGGGATCGTCAAATCGTCTTTTAACTTGACTCACGTTGACCTCGAGGATTTTCGTACCTTCTTCCCATGTGGTATCGAGGAATGGCTTATCAAGGACAATACCGGCTGCGGTGACACTGGGCTTTATCAGCATCCTGGAATTTGAGATTATCAGGGGCGCTTACCAATTGTCTATTCGCCCCAAATCTTGGATGATTTGATCGAAAGCTGTTGTCAAGCTTCCCATATCGGTCACATTGGTTCTAATCAAGGTCGGCTGGTCAACATTTGTTCTGCATTCGAGATATTCTGAGGGGCCCATCTGCCTACCGATAATACTTCGCCCGAACGGTGAATTCGTCAGGAATGCTCAAAAACTCATCATGCGGATGCTCAAGCATGTCAAGGACTGCTATGTCGCTTCCCAGTTCGGCCGCGGCTCGAGCCAATGACAGGCCAATTCCTCGTCCGCCCCCTGTTACGGTCAAATTTGGAAACATTTGGGTTGGTGTGCATTGCATACCAGTGATCACAGTTACTCTCCCATTTAAAGACAGCAAGTTCTGTATCGATCTCTCCTTCGACTTATCAGTGCAATCTGCCTGGGTCATTGGAATGGTCTTCTCAGCCTAAGGGCGCCGACGGGCTTGACTTGAATCGTATTGGTATTGGGAAGAGGCACGTAATACCGGACCAAGCTGAAGGGTGTACTTGGAAATTGTGAGAAGTTGCCCACTCTGTACCTGTCAACACTTTGATTCCGAGGAGGTCAGTGCATGCACACTGAGTGTACACTTCAAGTGTAAGAGTTGAGAATCAAGCCACATCCAATCCACTAAACTTGGTGACCTACCCCATAGTCCTCTACAACGAAGATGTTGGCTGCCCACATATTCCCCGCAAGGTCATCATGGACATGTCATTCTCCACACGACCTCCATCGTTGACATCCGCGGAAATTGGAACCCGCTCTACTGGATCGTTTCCCTATATCGGATCAACACGATTAATTATCGTCCACGGCTCTGGATTGTACGGCGGGCGTTTCATCTATCCCGGGTGATCTTTCCTGGCAGTTCCCATGTTTCAAGCACATCTAAGGCCCAGATCGAACACTTCGGCACCTATCCCCAAGAACGGATGAGAGATTATGAACCAAGCAATGGAGACATAGTTTCTTAATTAAGCTTAAGCAAGGAGGCAAACAATCGGATCATCCTGCGTATCATGCTGCTACTCATGGCTTATTCTCTCGCTTGGACTGCTGAGCCCGTATCTGATGAAAACCAGAAAAACCAGCTTTGACTACACAACACTAGTCATGTAGCGGTCTTCTGCGCTCAAATGAGCAGACTTCACATAGCCCACGTTACCGGAGGAAGCTCGTCGCGTCGTCGTCCCTGTATATCATAACTAGAGCCAGAATAGTGGCCACTGTCTTGGGCCACTGAGCGGGAAGTTGTACATCGAAGCTGATGACGACAAGATTGCATAGTTGCTACGGATTTACTCTCCATCTGCGAGTTATCTCACAACAACTACGGTGTCCTTCTCCAAATTGGCAGACATAGCAGTTGTGTCGATCTTTGAAGCGAATGGCAGTGGGATTTCCACCCAGCGTTCAACCCTGAACAGAGCGAAGTCGAAGGTTATTGTTCCCACGGGTTCTCCCATCACGACTGTCTCTCAAACAGTGAACTTACCATACAACATGACAGAGCAAGCAAGCAAGCCCGGCTCCGATAAAGACACACGTCAAGCATGAGTTTCAACATCTTCTGTGCGCAGAGATCAAGAAACATGTCCACAGACCAAGAGCTTCCTACTTACGCTATAAGTAATGCATGCGACACAAGAAAACAATCTCAATGAGATACTAAACAGAGTCAAACTCAACTTTTTTTCTATTGATAAAAAGAAGATACTCTTGGCTATTGACCATTTGGGACACCGACTCGTGGTTCTGGATCAAGGCTCAGTGGTCATCGATTTCCACGTGAGATCAATTCCCCCGGGAATTGAAACCCGCATGGAATGTCCCCGTAGTGTATGCGGGGGAGGAGAAATCTTGTGGACACAACCACCCCTCGCTGCCAATCATTTGGTTCCTGACATAATCTTCTACCCATCTCGTTTCCTCTTTGCGGGGTACGACCCGTATCTTGAAGCGAGGTATCTGTACTCGTGCCTTGACATAAAGCCTCGCATTCGGTATCTGATCCAAGTTTCCTCTACCTACTCATCACATCGAGTGTCCTGGCTTTTCACACATCTCAGTGACCACGCTAAAGATTCTTCACCATGAATCTCAGAAACGTCAAAGGTAGATTACTCTACCGCATAATGAGTATATGTTGTTCCTTGGTACGTCGCAGAGCTATGAGCTGGATCCACGCTCTGTACAGTCACATATACTCGTAACTGACACGAAATCCAGTCATTCTGTATGTATGGATACGATGCTGGTGTCTTAGGCGGTGTCCAGACAACCAAGCCCTTCCTCGACGCCATCGGTCACCCGACAGGAACATATGTCATCCCCATGATTGCGTCTTCATACACACTTGCCGCTGCCGTCTGCTCTCTTGCAGTTACAATGCTCGGTATGCCTCTTGGTCGACGCGGCTGCATCTTGATGGGCGACGGCTTGACCATCATCGGCGCCGCGATCCAAGCCTCAGCCATGTCGGTCCCACACATTATCGTCGGACGCATAATTACTGGCTTCGGCATAGGCTTTATTAGCTGTTCTGTTCCGACTTACATGGCAGAAATGAGTATAGACGAGAAGGAGCGTGGGCCCGAGGTGGCGCTCCAGTGTGTGTGGCTCATCTCTGGTGTTGCGCTAGCATACTGGGTCGATTTCGGATTCACGCGGCTCACCAGCCAGGTGTCTTGGCGGTTCCCCATTGCTTTTCAAGCCATCTTCGCAATCATTTCGCTCTGCGGTCTGCTCTTTTTGCCAGACACCCCTCGATGGTATTACGCCAAAGGAAGGACGGCCGAAGGGGACGATGTGGTGTCGCGTCTTCACGACCGGCCGCTGGACGATCCACAGGTTCAAGCGATGCGGAACGAGATTCTCGCGGCAATCAAGCTGGAGGAACAGGATGAGAACAAGTTCAACCCACTTGATTTGATCTGGGACAGAAGCGATTTGAGAGCTGGAAGGCGCATCAGAATTTCATTCATGATACTGTCGCTACAGCAAATGATGGGTCAGTATTTCCTTCACTAGCGCTGAGAGGTTATATACTCCAGACCAAGGCTAACATCCAGGTGGGACCATCAGGCATCAATCTGTCCGTGTATTACTCGACGGTGATTTTCGACAAAGTCGGCCTATCCCCGTTCCTGTCGCAACTCCTCGCCGCAGTGATGAACACAGGGTTCGCAGCCGGCACGTTCCCACTCCCGTGGACGATCGAGCGAGTCGGGCGGCGCAACGTGCTGATCTGGTCCGCGGCCGTCCTGACCGTGTGCATGATCATCTTCGTCGCAATGATCGGGCTCCCGAACCCCACACAAGCCACGCAATGGGTCGCCGTGGGCGCCATCGTCGTGTACAACTTCGCGTTCGGCTATGGGTGGATCGGCGTGCCCTGGCTGTACGGGCCGGAGATCGCGCCCCTGAAGCTCCGCCACCTGGGCGGCGCGGCCGGCGCGTTCGGCGAGTGGCTGTTCAGCTTCATCACCGTGTTCGCGGGCGGCATCGCGCTGCAGAACGTCGGCTGGAAGATCTGGCTGTGGATGCTGCTCAGCTGCGCCGCGGCCATTCCGTTCGTCTACTTTCTGTGTCCCGAGACGACGGGCAAGACCCTTGAGGAAATCGATCTCATCTTCGCTAAGGACGAGATTCGCGATAGTGCCTTGGCCGCCGGCACCGTCAGGGACCGCTTCAACCACATGCGTGCCGTCAAGGATGTCGGCTATGAAGAGAAAGAGGCCGTTTGATTCGGAATCCCACGCCGTATGTTGATAGTGGGGATAGGTTTAGATCCCGGGCTTGTCCAGGGCAGGGTGGCAACCCTTCGTCTGGGCATTGTGGGGACCCAGCCATCACAGGCCAAGAAAACTCGAGGCTCCTCTCTCTCCCTGGCAGACTCAGCCTTGTCGACTAGTTAAGCATGCCCCTTTTCTCCTGCAGCCCCTTATGTTCGCTAGAATTTTACACATGCATACATATATTTCGAATGAGCCTGTGATTTGAGCCGTCGATCCATACATGGCTTTCTGAGCACGTGGAAATGTAGATATCCATCGGCAGGAACGCCCCCTGACCACAGCACAACCTTGGCCCTGTTCGCCACTCCTCCCTTGTCGCTCGTCACACATACCAGACTCAGGCTGAGACGGGCACAAGACACATGATCTTCCTCCAGCGATTCAATACCATGCCACCCCGTTCGGTTCCGTTTCCTGCGCTATCTATCGCTAGCCTAGTTGTAAATAGACCTAGCCCAAGTTAGTTCCAAGAGCACAGCCCACGAACGGCAGGGCTCGTCAACTTACCCGACACCTTAGGTATCTATCCTACGCAGCCTTGTGTTCATCCATCGTCCATCCCATCTATACCCAACCCAACTCACATGACGTCTCCGAGGGGCTTTCTTGTCTGTACACTATGAGCTGCTCAATAACGCTGAGAATTCCTTCGGACTTTCATGGCAAGAGTCCAACGGTATATCATTGTCTCTGGAGGATTGATGTTCCTTTGTTCCTTTTCTTCAGTGCACGGAGCAGGCTTTGGATCTGGTGTCTCATAGACAATTTCACATGACGAGCCTCATTTTGAACAAAGCAGGTAGGTTTCTGCTGTAAATAAACTGGAATCTCACGGATACATTTACATGGAGAGAAATGCTTGTTGAGCCACAGATCTAAAAAACCCCATACTCTTTGAATCTCAAGAGCGATGTCAAGGCTGATCAGGGGCGTAGGTTTGATGTTGTGGCGGTGCCCAGATGATGAAGTATGTATAGATACATCCCCGGTGTCTTATTGCTAGTCATTGTAGGACTAGGTAATTTCGTCCTCCACGAAGAAGGAAAACAAGGACGTAGTCAAAGCCGGTCTCTCTCACCCTCTTTTCTCGGCATGTTCCGCTCTTGGTCACTCACAGCTCAGGCACTATCCGTAATATCGTCGATATTCAATTTCCCCATCTTCCTGGGAGGCACTCTGTGGTGGAAAAGATAGTCAATCTCTTGAAAGGTTCTGTCTTTCAGCTCCGGGATGTAGAAATAGCTCCAGATCGTGCCGAGAAGCGAGGCACCGCCAAAGACGAAGCCGACCTTTCCTCTGAGGTTCGCTTTGTCAGGGTTGACCTTGAGAGCGAGAGAAGTCAACTCAGAGGTCCAAGAAGGGGTTCTGGTGGGGTTTTCAGATGATGAAGACTTACCATGTATGGCACCACGATGTTCATCAACGTGCCGAAGACGGCTTGACAAGCCGTAGCAAGACCGATGGTTTTAGCTCTGAGAGCTGGGGTCGAGACTTCTCCAAGAAGTGCGAATGCAATTACTCCAATGGTAATCTGGTAAATCAGCGCATACACTACCGTGCACGATGCCTGAACCCAACGAGCTGCTGATGTATGGACGACGTCCAGTATCCCCATCAGAACCATCACGATCGTCATGCCAATCATACCCCAAACGAACAGCTTTCGACGTCCCACAGTGTTTATCACACTCCAAGAGATCACGACACCAACAACTCCACATGCCGTAACTCCAACGCCGAGATCAAAAGCGTGGTTCAGTGGAATGCCAGCGAGTTCGAAAAAGTACGTCGAAAAGCCGAGCGCGAAGACGATGCCTGAGAGATGCTGGCAGGCGAACACTCCGACCGAAATCGTTGTGCGGATGAGGTTGGTGCCACGGAAACACTGAATCCAATTTCCTGATCGTGATAATTCGCTGTCTTCTTCGATGGTCCTGATAATCATAGCCAGTCTGGGGCCAACGTCAACATCTTTGCCATGCAAGCGTTCAAGACTGAGCTTCGCATCTTCAATGCGGTTCTGGCGAACGTAATGCCATGGTGATTCTGGGGCGAATGGAAGCCCAACGGCCAGGATTGCTGAAATATCGTCAATACACAGAACATGCTACAGACGAAGAGTAAAACAAACCAACGAAGAGGAATTGCACAGCAAAGGGTCCTCGGAAGGCCCAGTTGTCCTCACGACCTCCAAACCCCTTGATAACCGCATTTGACAACAGCTGGCCAATGACGATTGCAAAGTTGATGCCACCAGTTACCATACCACGAATGACAACTGGAGCCACTTCAGAACAGTAAAGTGGGCCAATGGTTAAATAGAATCCCAGTCCGATACCGAGGATGAGTTTTCCAATCAAGAAAGCTGGGCGAGAGGTCGCGAAGAGTTCACCAAAGATTCCGCCGGTGACAACAACCAGCCCTACGAGGAGGGAGCCTTTCCTGCCGATTCTATCCGACACCCAGGAACAGGCGAAGCCTCCAAAGAACTGACCAACGCTTGAAATACTGTTGAACCCAGCCAGCCAACTAGCAGGAATGACTGGTCCATCTTCAGAAATGTAACTGACAAGGATGAGTAGGTGCTTTCTCAAAGGTCATTCCGACTGAGGCATGCTTACCCGAAAGTTCGTCGAAATTGGGGCACCCCAACCATGCCACCATTAACTTGTGCATCGAAGCCCCTGGTCAAAAGTCGGTCAGCTCGATGACTCCCACAACGAGGGGATGATTCTGGCATACCAGCCAATGGCACTGAAAGCAAAGAAGATACACCAAAAGACAACTTTCTTGTTCTGGGTCAAGGCACCCCATACTGAGAGATTGTGTTCCTCTGCAGCAGCTATTTGTGCCTGCTCGATTTTGGGAGGGACATCGTCTATGACAGAGCTGATAGCCTTGTTTTCGCTGTGGTGATCAACAGGTTTCTCCATGGGGTATCCTTGTCCAATTGTACTGAAAGCCAACAAGCTAGAGAAGCTTTACAAAGCTGGATGATTGTGAAAAGAATGGTCAATGTCGAACATCAGGTCCTATTTAACTCATTTTGATGTTCTCCTGATTTTGTTCCATGCATATTCTAGAAACGAACGTCAACAGTCTTGGTGATGAAAGGCATGATGCTCCAGCTGGGGATGCAGAGTGAAGCTAACCCGGCATTCCGCAATACCTTTGAAGGGGAATTTGTTGCGGAGGTTGGGGATGTTTAGGGAACCTTGGGTTGCATTGACCAAAAAATGGGCGCCGACCCCGGCCGTTAATGACATTACCAGTTGTGGCATCAGGGTGTTTCGAAGCCTAGAAGTAGAATTAGGCCTAGAAGGGACAAGTGGTGTTGCACCCACAGCTTTCTGAGCTTGTGCATTCGACATCGGTCAGGCCATGATTAACGGGGGCGGTTCCAGTCAGATTTCTGGAATGAAAGAAAGTCTCTGTTGCTCGTTCTGAACGTGGCTTGCAGAATCATGTTTGTGACCTTGATTCCACAGCTCACATTTGGTGCTTGTTTCGTGCCGATTGATTGAATCATCTCCCCCGCACTTGTGGATGGCCTCCAGTTGCAATAGGCACCCAACAAGCTAACTTGCAAATGACAGCTCCCCCAGAACTCCGCCCATAGTTTAAAGAAGTCCGGTAATCCGCCCCCCATCATCAGTCAATCTGACCAACTTCCCCAGATTCTTATGTTTGATCTGGTGGAGAATCCGGGTGAACAACGTAACGAGCATGGAAAGCTCGCTTCGAAACATCCTTCATGCCAACGAGATAGATTTCGAGCCTCAGATTCGCTCCCATTCCCATTTGCCGGTCTCTGGCAACGCGAACACGGCAAAGTTCGACACATTAGAGGCTGACAATGCCTTGCCAGAATCCAAGAAGCGAGCAGCCACGCGGATCAAGTCGTCTTATCCGCGGAAAAGAGCTATACAAGCATGTCAGAAGTGTCGTGTCCGGAGGACCAAGTGTAATAACGAAAGACCATCATGTTCAAGCTGTTTAGCTATTGGTGCGGAATGCACCTACACCGAAGGGGACCACTCTAGGTATGTACTTTGCGGCACATCTTCGGTTTCATATCTCAATGAGAGACCATTGGGAGACCATTTTCCCTGACTTGAATAGCTTCGACTCTGCGAGTCTTGCGATCCTGGATAAGTTGAATACGATTGAAGAGCTCTTACGAAGAGGTGGTGATCCTGATCAGGGTACCTCGGCTCCCGCCAGCAACCTTGGAGATGAAAATCGAGGAGCCTTATCCCGGCTCAAGACCTTGAACTCGCCTAGTCTGGAAAGGACAAAGGATCCAACTCCTTGTCATATGAACATTGAAGGGATCTTGGCATGGAGTGTCTTTGACGATCTCAACCCGAACCTTGATCTGAAGTCGCTGCTCAACACTCCAGAAGATGGATCTCAGGCGGGCTTATTTATGGCGACTGAATTCGATGAGCATTTCGCGGAAGAAACCCTGGTTGCACGCTTTATGGATAATGTATTCATCTATAATCCTGTGCTTGAAGAGGCGAAGATTCATAAGTATATGCGTGACGCTCGCTTCAATGGTATAGGGTGGGATGCACAATCGTGCTTATTGGTGAGTGTTGATGTGTCTCAGAAAGTTCTGGTGTTCTGATGTTCTGCAAAGCTTCTCATATACGCTCATGGATCGGCAGTAAGTGCTTTTGATGGTGGTCACCAACCAAATGCATCGTCATTCCGGAGCAGTCTGCAGTTCAAACAATCTCAATCTTTTTTCAACGCAGCACAGAAACGGATGGGCCTCTTGCTGTGTAGGACTGGCGTGCTCGAAGCACAATGTTTTTTCCTTGCTGGGGTGTATTTGATGGCGACCTTGCGACCCATGGAAGCTTGGAAAATGTTTGTGCAGGCGCTCGCTTGCTGTCAAGCATTTTATACTGGCAAAGGTTCACCTGGTGCCGAGCAGGAAGGGGAACAACGACTCAGGGAGAGCATATATTGGACGTGTTTCAAATCCGAGCTGTAAGTCTGGTACACCTGGATCCGAAGAGCGAGAACTGACATCTGACCTTCCTTTAGCGAACTTCGGCTTGAGCTCAACGTATCGGAAACCTCAATCTGGGATCTGACGTATCCTGCATTCTTCCCTTCCCCACCGGAAGGTCTTCGATCCCAACGAGAAATTGTGTGGTACTTCTACCTTGCTGAGATAGCCCTTCGACGACTCGGGAACCGCATTCTGAATTACAACTATGATACGAAACCATCAAGTTCGCTGTCAGCGGTGGTGGAAACAGTGCTCGGCTTTGAGCAGCAAGCAGCGGACTGGATCCGGTCGCTTCCTCAATCGCTTGAGCTCGAATCACCATCAGTGGGTGAAGAAAGCGAACTGCACCACTCGTTGAAGTTCATCCTGAAGGGGCACCTTCTGGATTGTTATGAGATGATGTATTGGCCTTTCGTGGTTGCTGCTGTGAACCCCGACACTGCGGACCGGACGGCAACATTGCCAGCGGCGACGATGGATGCCTTAGTGCACAAGGCATTGGCGATATGTGTGGAACGGATTGATAAAAATGAGCAAGGCTTTTTCTACCGGCACCATGGAACTTGGTTAATGTTGAGATCATGTACACGGAGCGCATTTATTCTTCTGGGGGCAGCTCGCACGGAGAAGCTGACCCTTTTGATGCCTGAGGGATGGCGTCAGGCCGTGGGCAAAGTGATCGAAATGCTCCGGTTTTGGAGACGAGAAAGTAAGGATGTGGAGGATAGATTGCAGCTGATTGAGGCACTGTTGGATGGACTAACCTTCCATCGTTGATAGAGTTACAGTACTTGCACAGACTCGGATTTCAAACCATCTGGGAAGGGCGAAACCTGACAAACGTGATCGTGACTTCCAAATGGCAACACGCCCTTCAAAAGTGGAAGGAGCAGACCGTGAAACAGGTTGTAGAGGAAGGTACGACCTTGATACTTCTCTCCAGATCACGGGACCATTGTCTATGCCTTCATCATCAAAGATATCTTCGCATAGGGTGTCAACTTTTGCTTCTCATTGAGATCATATACAAAGCCCTAAGCTTCTAGTTCTTCCACAGCTCGACTTAAGTCTGCAGATTCAATCCATACTCTTCATGCACCTGATCTTACAACCGTCACTTCGACTCTTCCTTCCCGCCCTCAGTCTCGGGCTTATCATGAAACGTCAGGCTGATGGAATTGACACAATGCCGCTCGTCCGTTGGGGTATTGTAGCCCTCGCCCTTAAAGACATGGCCTAAATGGCCACCACACTTACTGCAGACGATCTCCGTCCGCTCCATGCCGAATGAGCTGTCTGTGTGTCTGGTGACGGCTCCCGGAATGCTGTCGAAGTACGCAGGCCAGCCGCAGCCTGATTTGAACTTGTGGTCTGCCGTGTAGAGAGGTGCATTGCATCCGGCGCAGTTGTATGTGCCGCTGGTCGGCTGGTGTTTGTCGTATTTGCCAGTGAAGGGGGCTTCCGTGCCCTTTTCACGGAGGATGCGGAATTGTTCTGTTGAGGAAGATTGCGTTAGCTAAGTTGAAAGTTGGCGATGTTTGCATGCATCGTAACAGGATGAGGGCGAACTAGTCGCCCTCCAACATTGACGTACCTGGATTCAACACTGTGCGCCACTCATCCTTGGTTCGCTCATCTGGGTATGACATTTTTCCCGAAGAAGAGGAGGATGTGCCGAAGAAAGAACTCAGGAATGGGATCGAGGGCATAGATTTCAAGACTGTGGCGGCGCGGTGGTTGTAGTGGAACGGATTACCGACTGTACCCCGCGTTACCTGAGGGAATAGACGTGCTGTGGTGTTACTGAAAGTGTAGAGCGTGCGGACGAAGGTTGGGAATGATGGAAAGCGCATATGGGATGGGAGATTGTGGTCGGAGGCCTATATAAGAATCGGTGCTGATTTGATTGAGGACAGTCTAAATGTTTGCCGAAGAAATGAATGGAAATCTTAGACCCTCAGTATTTGAGATAGACGAATACGCACGCATTGCGTATCAGACAGAATTGGAGGCGGCGCAGAGGGCGATGATGTAATTGACTCTAGCGAGAGATTCCGTCATCATGATTGGAGGCAAGATGCAAATTCGGGGAAATACTGATTCCATAATCAACCGGTGCTTTCAGTGCGCCTACAGGGCTGATGAGTCCCTAGGTGACTCTCAAGCCGCAAGGCTGAGCATCGGTCATTTGGAATACATGTCCTAGCACACTTAGACATCTATTGGACTCAATCCAAGCCTTCAAGTCCTTATTTTCCAAGTCGCTATCCTTGCTTTGTCTCAGACTAACATCCTATGCTCTGCTCAACAACTGAGCCCTCAAGGTATCCGTACCGTCTCCGAACACCGGGCGGAAGAGTTCGAGGATGTCGTGCACCGGGTACTCATCAACATTGCTGCTCTCCAGCATTGTGATCAAGCGGCTCCAGATCAGTTTATCGCTCACCGGCTCTATCCATGTGTTCCAGTAACCCACCACCTCCGAGCCATCGAGCGCATGCGAGGCATGCTCTACATGGCCTTGCACTCGGTTTCTGACCAAGTCCAACAGCCTCGGACTGGGCAGATGTGAGGCAGCACCATTTGCGATGAGCAAAGACAACGCGGTGAAGTAGGCGTCCCTCATCCGCACGCGACCGAGATTGCTCTCAGTCTGGATCAAGTTTGACCACTCCATCACAAAGAACAAAAACTGTGTCCAGACCGTGGAATGGTTATGCGGCTGATTGGGGTCACCACCCTGACTTAGTACCGACTGTAGGATTTCCATATCAGGCCACACGTTGCCAATTCCCAAATCAGATGTGCGTCCCATGAATCTTGGTCGAAGTACATAGTCCAAGATCGGGCGACCCTTTTTCTTCTCGATTGCACTTCTTGTTAAATGCGCCCGAATATATGAGGTCAACTGGAAATCAATCGCCAATGTCAGAAATGAACTTTTCTCCACATGCCAGGTGTTAAGGGACGTGCTAATATACCAAGCGACAATGTCGAATTCATTGTGCTGTACAATGCTTTCAATAAAAGGTTGCAGGAGGCCTGCCACTGTCGCAGAGGAGTCGAGTGCTCGGAATTCAGGTAGAGATATGGTGCTGAGTACATAGCTTGCTAAGCTGGCCGCAAACATCCCTGCTGGTCCCTTGACGCCCAAGGCCTTGATCTCCACAAGTCGAGCGCTGCGAACGAAAGTTCTGGCGTCAAACCTACCCCCGGTATAGTGGTGGAGTAATTTCTGGCTTTCCGGAGACAAGAGAAAATCTCGGCATGACCGGTGTAAGAATTCGACATAAAAACAAAACGCACGATGGATGTTACTACCTCCAAAAGCCGACTGGTGGTCCATAGTCTCAAGCAGTTCCATTTGAGCGTTCTTGCGCATTGCAAAAGAAGCCAATTCAAATTGAGACTTTTCTTGGTGGAAGTCGTCCCAGAGGTCAAAGCCTTGGTTGAATACCTCATACCGGCATTCCACTAACCCCATACAGCGACTATTGAGCCGCCTGGCAGTCGACGCGAGGCGATATTGAACCTCTTCGCTGTCGTTCAGGTCGAGTTTGCTGAAATCGTAGGTGTTTTCGATAGCAAATGCGGCCTGCGTTTCGTCGGTGAAGGATAAATCCATCAAGTAAAGAGGATGTAGGGTGCCAAAGTCTGTCTCTTCATAGAGAGCGATTTGAAGGATCATCGATGCTTCTCGTCGATGATTTGACGGTATAGAGTTCATCATGCGTTGGAAGTATTCATTCAGATCGGCGGGAATGACATCCAGTTTTCTCGAAAGTCGAACAATATTGTCACCATCACGAAGTCCCGCACGAAGCTCTTCCACAACAAGTCGAACCCAGAGAAAGACCCCTGAAGATTTCCGTGAGATGTCTTGGACCAGTTGAGTCGCTCCTTCCGAGTCCCGACGGATGATGAACTGGAACCTCGGATGGCTCTGCAGTCTTTCCTGGACATAATGAACAATATCCTTTTGCGTGAAGTCTTCAAGACGTAACTGAGCGCAAGCCCCAAAAATATCGCGGAAGATATTCCATGGTCTACTCGACACACATATTTTCACCATTGGGTGTTTGGCCAGTGCTAGTAGCAGATCGATGAGTCGTTCAAGGTTGCCTTCACGTCCATCATCAATCTCATCCAAGCCATCAATCAATAGTAGAATCTTAGCAGATTTGCTGGCCGTTGATATTACACTCTTCAGAGTATCAATTAATTCCATTTCTGTCCATTCCATTGAGCTACTGTCATATCCAACTAACAGTGCAGTCGTCCATCTCTTGGTCTGAACAACTTCTGGAATGTGCTCTGGGGCCTGCTCAAACATCTGCGCACATATTGAGCGTAAGAATCCTGCTAGAGACTTTTGTAATGTAGTTCCTGAGTTCCAGAAAAAGTGCCGAGCCCGCAGCATGGATCCGTTGTCCGCTCCTGCGCCGAGCTGGGTGTCTGTAAGATTTTGATCTAGCCAACGCATCAACGTGCTTTTGCCGGACCCCGGTTTACCATGAACCCAGTATATACTCGCAGTCTCGTTTTCGGAAGATAACCAGGTGGGAAAATTACTCCATGTGTGGGGGGAGGGACCACGCTGTTTCGCAAAAATCCACTCGCATGTGTCCTGATGGGCGATTTGTACATGATCCCGCCGATCATTCATCAGTGGGAAATGAAGACTATCAATAATCTTCTGTTGAGCAATTAGTGTTTGGCGCTGGGCTGAAAGACTTTGAAGATCGTATTGTTGCAACATAATAGTATTGAGACTGGCGGCCAGATCGTTCAGAGCAACCTGATGTGCCGAAAGGAACTGAGACGCGTTCTCATGGAAGGAGTCGATCGAAAGATACTCGAGCTTGTCTGCAAGAAGCTGGATGTCATCCTGTATGGTATTTGATGCTACGGAGACAGCCTCAAGAATTTTGGTTTGGACCTCGGTCGTCGATCGAGTGATCTCACTTTGTCCAGCCGATGTCGCCTGTCTCGAGCTGATTACAGCCAGGTCATTAGTACTTTGACTGAAAGTCGTGGGAGGCGCTGTACTTCATATAAATGAGAAATGAAAGGTTCAAATTGTCCCGAGCTTGAGAAAGGCTTTTGTTTATTGAGTCGAGCCGATCCTTGTACCAGAGGGACCTGACACTCAAGCGCAGGGCCTCAAGCATTGCATGTTTTGTGCCATCGACCTTCAACCGATCGAGGAGCTTGATAAACTCGGTGGATAATTTCAGACATTGATCATTGGCTGAAATCAGTACAGCCTCAGCCTTATCCTGAATCTTGGTCTGAGTGCTATTTGAAGCAGCCACCGTGGCTTGCAGATCTGCGTTGAGGATAAGCAATGACTGAGCAATATTTCGAAGTTCTGCATGTTCAGCGGTCGCCCCGTCGGCAGCGCTTCTATACTCCGCTGCGGTCTTTAGGACTCTAGTCCCGACCTCTATTATCTGAAGCACATTGCAGGCGACTGAGAAAGCACTCAGCGGCTCGAGAACCATGGTGGGGGATGCCACCTGACTAGGTGGCTCACTGGTCGAGAGGCTGTTGATAACGCCAGAGTATGCGGCTTGCTTCGATTCCGCATTCTATTGGCATTTTAACCAAGACACTGGGCTATGCGCCTTCGCATTGCAGTTCCGCAAGAGAAAATGAGACTTGGAGAGGAAGTCGCGAGAGGATGCGAATGATACCGTATGCTGATTAGGTTGGGGGCCAGTGTGCCCACAACCTGAGGTTATTGGTTGGTGGTTACTAGTTAGAGCGTGGAGGAAGGGCGCCTCGGGCCCTCGGGCCTTGCGCCTGCCTACTTGGTAGCTGGTCACGATGGGGGACTGACGCGTGCTCTGAGATGTTTCGATAAGAAATATGGACGGTTTAAGCAAACACACGTTGCTATTTTCCATAACTCAAACCCACTGAATCCCCAACCAGGCTGAACGCCATACCAAACATTGCGCGCTAAAATACTATCGACTAATCCCCTTGATGAACATCAATACATTGACTAATCCTTTTGAAATTCAGGCAGAGAGTATGGTTTTTGACCCCGTAAGAAGTGGCAATAAACATACAGACATTTCGGGTTGTTCTTGAACTCTTGTCTGACCCTGGCCGAGAAGACGGTCGTTTCCTCCTTGCTCCAGCCGAGGACTCGCGTGAAGTACGCCATCGAGACACCCTCCACCGAGTCCATCATCTGAGCTTGCAGGAAGATGCCAATCTCTCGAAGCTTCTGGTCCTTGGGCCATTTGCCGATCGGCACTTTGTAGACCTCGTGCTGGACGTTCACGAATGGGACCTTCAAAAACGCGGCTTTCATCTGGGCGGCGCAGTTTAACTGTTTGCCGAACTTGGAGCTGGCTTCATCGAGCATGGTTTGCCACTGTACGATGTAGCTGTCTGGCGTCAACTCTTCGGCTTGACCCTGGAACCAGACATCAAATTCCTGAGCTTCATACCAACCGCCAGGTGCGAGATTGTCGTAAGCTTGTTGATAAAGCCGTTGCCAGTTTCCTATGCTTCCCACCATGTTCCTTTGGTGGATGAAATCATATGGCTTCCCACCCGCCTGAGCCCATTGACTTTCGACATCGTCGATGATGAATCTGCAATTTGGAGCAGTCCAGGAGGGTTGAATGGGGCTCAGGTCATTGCCGAGGACGTCGGATGCAGGATGATCGTCCGCGAAATCGAGCGCCCAAATTCCAGTACCGGTTCCGATGTCTAGAACCTGTCGTGGGTTGGAGATGGGTGATTTGTAAAGTGCTCCCCCGAGGATCAGTCGGAATATATGATGTAACATATCTAACCGATCCTGTTCTTGTTCATCATTGGGTAGAGCGTATGATCCTTCATGGTACTTGTGATACCTCCTACCGTTCTGTATATCCAATGATAAGCAACATATTTGGATACTCACAACGAGATGCAAGACTTACCTCGTAAACATAGTTAAACACGCTTGATGCAAGTGATGTAGAGGTACTGCTTTGATCACTTCCCCGGAAAGCCGAATCAAGATCATCTTCAACCTCTATTTCAAGATGTTGTTCGGTGGCGTCGAGGTTTTGCGTCACCGTGCCTGGTGAAGTTTCGCTAACAATGCCGTGGTCCTGATTTGGACTGGGATGATCGCTCTCATCCGCCATCTCGCTGAGGAGATGGCACGTGATTGGTCTTCTGACGCCCACTTCAGTATGTCAATTTGCTTTGGCGCATGAAGTGGTCTCGATTTTTTGTTGGATATTGATGTGCGTAGACGTAGAATGAACTGTGACTTTTGGAACGATGGGGTTCCTTTTGCGAAGGACGGTTTAAAATCGAAAACTTAGTTAGAGGGAACCTTGGAGGAGATCGGGGCGGCAAGTTAACCGTTGACTCTGGTTCAGTTGAGTCTGCGGAGCAGACAGTTAATTCTTAGGCGCTGCGGCTGGGGCTCGCCGCGGAGTAACTAGACGTTTAGTCAAGCGGGCCACGGGCCTCGTTTAGGGCTAACACGGCCCCACCGATACAGGCTTCAGATTAGTGGTCAGCTAGCCCTCGGCCCAGAACGGTCATCTGGACGTCTTCGCCACGGGTTGCAGTCTTCAAAGTTGATAGCGAGGTCAGACTAGACATGACCCCAGCAAGGAATGCGAGCCATCATTGAGACGCCACATCTCCGCCATGTGGATAAGTCGACTCTCGAAGGTGTCTGGATCATGTCCACAAAGTCTAGATGTTTGTCACACTCACCGTGGAAGCTGCGAGGTCCCTAGTCGAATAATGATGCACCTTGGCCAATTCTACTTGACAGCACACCAAGTTGTCTGCATTCAAAAGCCCCACCATGGTTCGCATTTCTGGCTCTTGAGTTTGGCCCTGGGAAAACACAACGTAGCTATGCCCTGGAAACACACACCCTGAGGCCTTGACTCTCTTTCCGATTGAGTGGGGTAATACCGTCACCAACAATTTCGATGTCTCGCTCAAATTGTGTATCATAGAGCTCCAGGTAGGCTCGATCATCGTCCATTCTCACTTCCTTGCTACCATAGAGTCTGAAAATCAATGCCAAAGCAACGTATAATTCTGCGTATGCCAGATCCATCCCGATGCACTGCCTTGAACCACGAGCAAATGGGACAAGATACTTGTCGAGGCCTGGATTGTCAAGCCAGCGCTGAGGATTGAAGACACCGGGCTTGTCGAATACTTCAGGGTCTGTGTGTATCAGCATTCCGGTCATTGAAATGGGTGTTCCAGGTGGTAGGACGTAATCTTTGCCTTTCATCATGACTCTGTCCGTGAAGATGATGGGTTTTTCGGGATCAATCCGCTGTAATCTCGAACTGACCCCATTACTCAATCTGAGAGCTTCCTTGATACACGACCGGAGGAAGGGCAGTTGCTCAAGAGTGGCCAAAGGTGGCAGGCGGTTGGGATCGGGTATGGCTGTCCTAAGCTCATCACGAAGTCTTTTGAGTGTGTCTGGTTGTGTCAGGAAGCAGTAAGTGGCATACGATAATGCTGAGGCCGTAGTCAAGGTCCCTGCAATGACGGTGACTTGACCATCTTGCCATAACCGAGAAGGCGACTTCTCTGATTCCGGAAGATCACTGTTGAGTATCTCATGAAAGATGGTCTTCTGCCGCGCATCTTTGTACATGGTGTCTCCGCGATGATTTTGGATGATCTCAATCTGAGCTTTGATATCCTGAAGTTTCACGGTAAGCGCAATAGCTCTTTGCACAAGGATAGGACACACGCACTCTTTGAAGTTTGACATATGATGCCATGTCTGGATTCATCATAACGGCCGCCGAGTCAGGTAGTGATTGCATAAGGCCGAGAATCCAGGGCATCTGTTTGGTAAGGTGTCCCATAGTGCTGCCCACCACAGAAGCATCATGAAAACTTGGGTCAAAGTCCTTTGCTTCCACTCGGTTATCATTGCGCCCCAAAGCGTACATTTCCGCGATGTCTTGATCATGTTAGTGCCCAACGTGCGTTCGCTCCGACAAGAACTGACCATTTGTCAAAGCAGCATATGCCATCGACAACTTGAAATGCTCGCCGCTTTGTTTGAACTCTTCGAACCGTGACAACAGCCTATGCGCAACGCCCTCAATCAATGGCTGGAGACTCCGAACCTTGCCCTTTGAAAAGAAGGGATTGAGAGCATTGCGTCGCATGCGATGAACATCGTGCTTCACAGTGGCGAAGGCCGAGTCCGGGATCCCGAATTGATTGCAGAACCATGCCCATTTGTCTCGTTTCTGTGTCGAGCCCGTGTAGATGACATCGTAGAAATCGGCATCTGCGATATGGACCTCTTCTGGGTTGATGCGTATTACAGGGCCGTATTTCTTATGCAGCTCCTTGATCTTGAATGTGTATTGTCCTGTCAAGACCACATCGTAGTAGAATTCATACCTGAGACAAATTGGAATCAGTCTATGAAGCCTCCTTCTGTGAAACTCGGTCCTCTACTTTTTGCACAGCTCCTTTTCTTGAGTAGTACGTACCAGAAAGTGAGCTTTGCCAAGGTTGGCCCTGGTATATGAGCCACGGGACTGAGAGTCAACCTATAAACGGCAAGATAGGCCAGATAGGCCAGAACCAGAATGCCGGTGCCTAGAAATGTTGACAGCTGAAACATTGTGTAACCTGAGAAAGATTCATTAGTTTAGTTTGATAAGAATGCTTTCAGGAAACATCGAACCGTAGTCACTTGTTCCTGCAGACCACTGAAGACGAGACGGAGGGGTTCGAAGCTTTATCTGTGCCTCTACTATCTTCGTCGCAACTGCGAATTAACTAGTTTGATGGAGCCTGTGGTGGAAGCTTCAAGGATTGAGGGGGGACACTGGCAGCCAGGATCCTCCGGCTTCCAATCGCTCCCTTGGGTTTTGTCACCCACTGGACCGGACCGATCTCTAGTTAGGCTACTCGGTGGATATCGCGGCATCACCAACACGCCACCAAACCAACTATTCTTCACCTGGACTGCGGTGAACAGTGGGAGCCACTTATGAAGTACCAAGATATTTTCTTGAGTTGTGTGTTTGAAGAGAACCGAACTGTCGATTGTCCTTGACCTTTTTCCCTACACCTGAGCTACAACTTGTATTCGATTTGGACACCACTAATGTCCCTGAAACAAAGCAATATGGTTGCTACGTTTAGACGAAGGTGACATCTCTCAAATGGTACTCCTTGCTTTTGATGCATGATAATCTGTAAGGCATCTTCAACTCTACATTCACTGTCGGTGATTCATCAAGGTATAGTTGCGGAAGGAGAATATCACTTGCTCATTTCGTTCTTACATACAACCGCCGTGACAACTCGATAGAAACACTTCCAGCGCCTTAAGCTAATCCCCATTCTCTCATAGAATGACAGACGCTTCTTTCACAAAGGTCAAGAGCTCCCCGGGCTCACAAGGTTGGGATACATAGCGGTTCTCTCTTCGTTTGTAAATCAAAATATCCCTCCTCTCTAGCTATAGCTTATAGCCTGTAAAGTTAAAGGTGAGAACGTTAGAGGAGTTCTTCCTCAGTCCCACCTTCGACATAAATTCGTCAAAGTCTTTCTCTTCAATATTGAGGCTTTTTATATGGCCTTGTTCGATCTCAACTAGGATCGGAAGACCAAAAGCCTCATTGTGATTCTCCCACACACTCTCAATGTAGTCTACCAGTGTGTCTTGGAAATCCGCTGGCGGATATTTTGCTGTGAGGCGCTCGAGGCGCCAATCTTGCGAGTTGGCCGAGGCGTCGTCCGATATGGAGAACTCCGATAGGTATTGGTGTCGAATATCTGTCCACATGGGCTTTTCCTCTTGCAAGATCTCATCTGCGTATTCTGATTCTCGACGAAATAATTCCTTGATCGCGATCTCTAGGTCTTGCTGTCGTTGAGAGATATCGTTATTTGACCGATCATCATCGTCATTGATAAAGCCCCAAGCAAAACACTCTTCCAAGCTTGGTCCACCACTTGTCCCTGTTAGCATCTTTGACCTCAGACACTCCAAACTGGCTTGGAGCATAAACTCGGATGCAATTCTCGCCCAACCTGCATTAGGTTCTCCGGCGATACTAGCCATCTCTGCTGAAATTTCCATAAATCTGGGAAGCAGACCAAACAGTGTACCCATCAGGTCATCGTGCAAGACACCTCCTTGTGGTTCTTGACTGTCCCATGAGCCGTAGATCTGGCACTCAATGATGTGAGTAAGACTATTTTGTGACGGCGTGGGAACTGCTCCTGGCTGTTGAACTTGGGCACGTCTCAATTTTGCCCACCTTTGGCGCCTCGTACGATTCTCTGAAGCTTCCTTCTTCAAATCGCGAACATGGCTTTCCGTTAAATCTTCTGCAGAGCCAGCGGTAACAAGGACGAGCAACTCGAGTATTTTAATGTTGAACAATAATTCCTTAGTCTTGATATATTTGGAATGAGCCGTGTTGAACAGGCGTAAAACAGTCTCAAAGATCAAAATTTGCCTGGTGGAATCAGTCTTTTGGTGCCCTGTCTCCGCCTGCAGTGCTTCCAGTCGTGCTTTCGTGGCTTGATAAAGCGTGTATTCCAAGATCATGAGATCAACATCGAGTTGCAGGCCCGAATCGACACATCGAGTGTCCGCCATAGTACGCTCACAAGGCAGTCGAGTGTTATCTAAGAATCATGATCGAGGACGAGTCGAAATTGAAGAGAGAGCACCAGCTTGAATATTCATACGGACGTGCACTTGGCGCATGCCAGAACAACGACGGCAGTTGTGCTCTGTTCGTAGAGCACAAGTTCTAGCCGTCCAAAAAGTGAAAACTATACGGATAGCAATTAAGTTTTGAGTTGGCGCTTAACCAGACCGGGTTGTGAATACTGAAACTGACTGAAACATTGTTAAAAGGTAGGTTTTAACTACTCCGTCGACACCACCGCTTCGGTACTTTGTTCCCCGTCGGGGGAATTTTCAACAAAGTGACAGGGTTGATCAAGTGGAGTACGACACATCTCATTGTAGACAGATACTTCTTTGTAAAGTAGTAAACACAAATTCATCTTTGTAACCCGGCAGTACTCTCCCGCGCCCAGAGTGCACCGCCGTCTTTGTCTCATAAACTTCATCAGCAGCAAAAGCTTCTATCAAGTCTACTCCTACTAGAATATGTCTCATCGCTTCTTGCCTTTCCCTCCCTTGACCGCTTTAGTCTGTGCCAGTGGAGCCGCATGTTTGGTTTTGTCGAGGTGTTTGAAAAGCTGAGACTTCGAAGGAAACTCAGCTTTGCAAGCAAGGCACTGGAACTCGCCAGGACCTGTTGTAGGTTGCTGCACTGACTGCTGTGCAGCTTTCTTGGCTCGTTTCTGTTTGGCTTTACCAATTTTTGGGTGGGACGAACCTTCAGTGTCCGAGGTTACAGGGGTACCCTCGAGACTAAGGTCTTCGAGTGAAGCTGGAAGTTGGTCGGTCACTTCAGCGGTCAAGCGTTGCTCAATATCTGACCTGGAGGCATAGTCATCATCTTTGGAGGGTTCCGAGTCCTCAGCATCCTCTGCAGGAGAGTCTGATGTTCCATTTGTCCGTCTATGTGATTCACTCGTCGCATCGACGTTGGCGTACGAATCAGAATCGAGATCATCTTGAACAAAGGACGCTTCCTGATCGCCGTCCTCGACATTTTCGTCGTCCTGAGCACTGCTTTCGAGGTTCGAGTCTTCCTTCGGCTTCTCAAGGTTAAGCTCTCGTCCTTCAGCACGCATTTCCCTCTGTAATTGCTTCAATTGCTTAATGTGCTTTTTGCTCTTTTCATGGGCGTTGAATTGGGCTTCGCTCTTGAAAGTCTTGTCACAAACAACACAATCATACTCGTGATCCTCTAGGTCAGATTCGCTGGAGAAACCACCTTCGTGTTCATCTTTGGTGTTCGACTTGGCCCACTCTGGCACAACGGCCGCATCCTGTTCTTGCAATTTGGCCTGGCGGGCCGCCCGAGACCTTGCAGCTTGTGCCGCTGTTGCGTCACGTAGCGCTTTTTGGCGTTCTGCCTCAGATTTCTGGTTATTTTGAACCCTAGGATCGCGCTTTCGCACAAACGCAACAAGCGACCGCACCGCCTCGTTGTATTCTTGCACCGCATCGTCCCGTAATTTCTTGTTCTCTTTCTCCATTAACCGTCGGATTCGGCGGTCGGGAGCATCTGATAATTTGTATTGATCCCTCCACGAATAACTCTTTTTGCTGCCGAATCCGTTCCACACAGCATAGAAGGGTCGAACCACGTCTTCATATTCATCATTGTCCATGCCAAAGTCGGGATATTCCACCCCTTCCTGGTCCTCCCATTGGCACGCGATGTCCTCCTCTTTGGCAAGTTGCTTGAAGAAATCGTTCAAGCCACCAAAGAAGCCGCTAGGAGAGTTGTTAAATTCCACTCGCCCATTAAACTTCATCATCAATTTCATAACCTCTTCAGCAGTCGTCAGGCGGGTGTTGTATGAGAACTCATCCCCGCCCGGTCCAGTCGGCTGATCTCCGCGAAGGAGAACGTCTTTGTGTGAATCATACCACGCTCTTTCTTGTGGGTCGGACAGGACTTCGTATGCAGATTGGATTTCGGCAAACAGTCTCGTTGTGCTCTCGACGTTGCCGTAATTACGATCCGGGTGCAACTCTAGAGCCTTTCGGCGGTAGGCTTTCTTGATCTCGTCCTCGGTCGCTGTCCTTTCTACGCCAAGTAGCTCATAATAGTCTGTCTTCGCAGGCGATTCCTCCTGCTCCGTATTGCTCGTGGATTGACGTTGGCCCATTGCGAAAATAGGGCTGGCTTGGGTCAAAATCAGCCAAAGTCAGTAGGTAACAGAATTAATGTCATCTCAAATCACAGCCTTGCATTGAGTTCTATCCAAGTGACTGGTATAACTCAGTTGTGACTTGTGGGTGGCACAGGCAACTTGAATGTTCTGAACGCTGGCAGGCACATTACAGTGCGATCACGTGGAAATATATCTCCACGTGAGTAGCCAGCTGAGTCATCCGACGCGGGAAAAACTTTGCGAAAATCCTTCAATTCAGAGTTTGCGCCACAAATCCCCCGTGGAGGGTGGTGGCAATCTGATTTGCTTGCATGCTCCAAGCTTTTTCCAGTAACTAAAGTACAAGAAAGAAAACTCTCAGATCTTGTTTGCCAATAACGCCCATCTCGATGAATGGTGAACCGTGGATATAGATTCCGCAGGCGAGTGCATCCCCTGTCATCACCCTGCTGAGTACAAAAGGCGTTCGAGTTGCGAAAACCCCTCAAATTACCGATTAACTAGATGCTTCTTACTTGCTGGGTGGCAAAAGGCCACATGACCTCGCGCCTGTAACACATGTTTGAACACAGTTCCGATACTCAAACGCAACTTCGCTTCACCTCAATTACCATCAACCCGATTTAACAAATCTAGCCACATTATGATACAACCATGAAATTCGGACAGGATTTCCAAGCCGCCCTGGCCCGGGATGAATATCCACAACAATGGATTGATTCCGCAATTTCTTACAAGAAGCTCAAAAAGTGCATCAAGCGTGTTCAAGAAGAGCTTCAAAGCCTCGGTCTAGACAAGGGCATTCTCGACGAGCTCTGGCAACATGTCGACATTGGACCCAACAACGGGGAAGTGTCAGCCGCAGATACGCGACTTCATTACTCTATGGATGGGGCTAGCGAGGTCAAATTCACCCCCAAGTTGACCATTGCGATTGATCCAACTGATGGATCACCCGTTGATGCCTGGTTGAGTTCGAATACTCGAAGGGTTCTTCGAGAATTAGCGAAGTCTTCCCATACAACTAGTGATTCGTCAAGCTCTCGAAGCAATTCTGTAGTGGGTCGCTCGGAGGTTCGTGGCTCACTTAGCCACGATAAAGCCGAACCTAGAGCTGATCTTCCAGCGGATCCAGATTGTCCAAGTGAGATTCAGCAGAATGAAAGAGCTCAACATTTGGAAACAATTGAAGTTCCTCTCACATCTGACTCCGAATTCTTTCAGATTCTCCGCAGAGAACTCGCAGACCTGGATAGCCTGCAGCAGTCTGAACGGGAGCGCATGGAAAAGGAAATCATCAAACTCGGTCATGAGCTTCGAGATCTGAAATCCAACAAATCCAAAAAGTCGAGGCAGGAGATTGAAGTGTGGAGACGTATTTTCGAGCTTTACTCCGATGCTGAAGTGTTTTTGTCCTCTCATGAGGCCGATGCTGGATCGCGGGACTACACACATGCCCAACAACACTTCCAGCATTTCAGCAAAGCGCTCCAGGCACAACAGAATGGAGTGTTGAAACTAAGCAAGCCGGTTGCAGAGTCTTTGGGCCGTTTTCTGAACATTAATATCAAGCTACTTCGATTGATGAAGTTTCAGGATATTAATCGAACAGCGTTGGCCAAGATTATGAAGAAATTCGACAAGAGAACAGCATTGCATGCGCAGTCTTCTATACAAAGTTCCCTCATTACAACCCCTTATCTGGCGCAAAACTTGGCACGAGCGACCTGTTTCACGATCTCCGAGGAAATACTGACTGTTATACCCCAATTGAATGACTATCTCTGTCCGATATGCTTTTCAATATCGTGGAAGCCAGTCAGACTACGTTGCAATCATATCTTTTGCATTCGCTGCATGATTGTGCTTCAGCGACAAGAGAAAACACACTGTCCGCTGTGTCGCGAGGAAGTCGTGATGGAAGCCAATGCAGGTAAGTCAAATCTCGGCCCTACTGCATGAACGATCCTGACTCGATGCAGATGATGTTGATAGGGAGATGATGAAATTTCTGAAGTCCAACTTCAGGGCAGATGTAAAGCAGAAACAAAAAGATAATGAGCTAGCGGCTGGCATCGATCGATGGGGTGCACAGTACGAATCGTCACAGAAATGCATCATCATGTAGTCTTTATCAAGACTTCGAATATAGTGAAAAGAGGCCGAACAGTACTCCTGCTGCAAGGACGAGAGAACTCAAGAGGTTGCCTCGATATGATACTCCTAGTCCACCTGTCAAGTGCGCGAATATTGTCGTCATTGGCTAAGACTCAGGATTCTGAGGATTTGCACACGACCCCTTTGGTGTGGACGCGTGGGTTTCTTTCCTGTGATGGACCCATTCCAGACTCCCGCAATTCCTCTCTCTCCCGGTGAAAGACAAGTACTCACACCTTTTAGATCTACTGAAGTTGTACTCGACGATCAAAAAGGCATGATTCGATGAGCTGCGTGAGTAATTGGTTCCTGAGTGACTTCATGCTCCCTCCCACCCCCGCTTTTTCTGCATTGGTTCCCATTGGGGCAATCCCACCCCCACAATCCCACCTCCACAGAGCAGCAGCCAGGCTTGTTACAGGATACGAATGCTTCAAGCGTTGAGAATAGGTACAATTGATTGCATATATAATGGTGGTCATGCTCTCATCATCTGGACAACAATCGATGTAGATTAACGAAGGCAATCATGGCACAACTGTACGCTCTTCTACTCATTGGGCTCGTTATAGTTGCAAGTGTTCGCTTGCTATCTATTGGCCGTCGACCGAAAAACTATCCCCCTGGGCCACCTACCATACCTATCCTTGGAAATTTACACCAGGTATTACATGATACTCGTTTTCAGATGTTCTTGAACGCTAACACAGACTCTAGATGCCATCCCGGGATGCCCATCTCCAGTTCGAGAAATGGGCAAGAGAATATGGCCCCGTGTACAGCCTTATTCTAGGGACAAAAGTCCTTATCGTGCTATCCAGTGATGCTGCAGTCAAGGAGCTCCTAGATAGAAGGAGTGGCATATACTCAGATAGGCAAGATATGTACATTGGTCAGACTTTGTGCAGTGGCGATCTGAGGCTTCTGATGATGGTAGGTGAATTCATCATTGCGTACGCTTCAAATACTGACAGAAGTACAGAGGTACAGTCCTAGATGGCGAGGAGTAAGTATATTCGCGATTTTGTCACTATGACTAGTTGATTAATAACCTCCTAGTTTCGAAAGATGGTGCACTCGCTCCTCAACGTTACAGCGGCAAAATCATATGTTCGGTATCAAACGCTAGAGAACAAACAAATGCTATATCAATTTCTGGAGCAGCCACAGGATTTCTTGAAGCACATTCGACGATATTCCAATGCTCTTACAACGACGATGGTCTTTGGTTGGCGCACGCCTACCTATGAAGACCCAAGTATGAAACAGCTTTTTGAAGGATTTGCAGAGTTTGCCGAAATAAACCAGACTGGGCCTGCCGCTCTGATTGATTTCTATCCGATCCTGCGAAGGCTGCCAGACTTTCTTCTACCAACGCGTAAGAAGGCGAAAGACCTACACCAAACCGAGAAAGAGTTGTATCTCAAGCATTGGCTCAATGCGAAAGATGCAATCAAAAACGAGAAGATCCGACCCTGCTTCTGCCAGGGGATGGCGGAGGCACAGAAGATAGAGAACTTTTCAGACGACCAAGCTGCATATATCTCTGGTACACTCCTAGAGGCTGGGTCGGACACGACATCAAGCACTCTCTATGCCTTCGTCTTAGCAATGCTTCTCTATCCTGATGTACAAAAGAAAGCTCAAGAAGAGATTGACAAAGTCACGGGCGATCGTTTACCTAACATGGACGATGAGTCGCAATTACAGTATATCCGCGCCTGTATCAAGGAAACACTCAGGTGGATGCCAACCACCATCCTAGGGGCTGTACCGCATGCTGTCACTAAAGATGACGAGTATATGGGATATCTCATTCCCAAAGGAGCAGGAGTCATGAATAATGTCTGGGCAATCCACATGGACCCACAACGCCATCCAAATCCACGTCGTTTCGAGCCCGAAAGATACAGTCATGACACTTTGAGCCTCTACGATTCCGCCGTCAATCCTGACGGCACCAAGCGAGACGTGTTCACCTTTGGTGCTGGCCGACGTATCTGCCCTGGTATGCATGTGGCTGAACGCAGCTTGTTCTTAGGTATGGCTCGGATACTGTGGGCTTTCAATATCAGCCCAGCCTTGGACAGCGCAGGCAACAAGATCATACCGGACCAAGACAAGCTTACGCAAGGCTTCGTCTGCATGCCAGAAGAATTCCCAGCCACGATCACGGCCAGATCCGGGGGGAGAGCAGAGGTTGTGAGGAGGGAATGGCAAGATGCAGAAGCCGAATCCCTGGATCCACAGTCTAAGCAGTGGGTCGGATAGACTGTCCTTGAGCCTGACAGTTACCGTTTCAGCCACGGTGTGTTGAGAGACTGGCGTAGTTCCTGATGTAATGAAAAATGAGTTTTCAAAATGTACACAAACACTAACTACGTACCAAAGCCCTTCTATGTCCTTCTAGCTTACCAGCTCAAGATATGACGATCAGCGACCAGAAGCGCGAGGGATAATATTTACGAAAATATGCCACGAGCCATCTGCTCATGCTGCATTACCATTGATCAGTAATTATTACCGTGACCCTAGTCACTTGAAAGACACATGTAACATGGCGAGGCATATTATAATGCGGCCTTTGCTCCCCCCGGACCCCGCATCAAGAAAAGCTTAAGCTTGAAGTAGACGATATCAAGAAGCCTGGGACAAACCAGTCAAGACGAGAACTCGCATATCGAATTCTACCACGTTTAGTGACTCTCGAACATCGAGACTGTAATGATGCCCTCGTTGTCGATGACCGTCGCCGACGACCCTATACCTGAATCATCGCTATTGCCTCGGCAGTAGTTTATAACCATGAATACCTGTGGAATATGCCACAAATCCTACAAACGTCCCGAGCACCTGAGACGACACCTTCTTTCGCACAGTACTTGGCGACCTTATGTGTGCGCGACCTGCGGAAGCAGTTTTCAGCGATCAGATGTCCTTAGAAGACATCAACAGACTTGTGATGGCTCACAAACTACTTCGCCTGGGGATTTGGAACCACCGGCAAAGAAACAAATATTATCTCGCTCAACTCTAGCATTGGAATCCGCGTCCACTGACTTCGAACCGACTACCTCAACATCCCTTGATGCGTTGCCACTTCCAGACAATCAGACCGGTTTTCAGCTAGAGCAGATTGCCAATTGGGCTTCTTCTGGCGATCTGAATCACGATGATGATGTACCTACGGATTTGTGGCGGGATTTCTTAAATTCGAGCCCGGTATCTGAAGATCACACTGATGCTAATGACCCTTTGGGGAGGCCGAGTTGTTCCTTAGGATTTCTGGACAACTTCACTACTCGGTCAGGGTTAGCACAGTCTTTCGATTGTGGCAGCTCTGAGCAACGCCAGAGGGCTCTTTTGCTATACTCTTCCATGCCATTCGCTGAGAATGCAGGTATCGTTCTTGATGGTGCATCAAAGAGCTCTTCATCCGAACCGAACAATACTACAAAGGTTTCAATTGTTCGTCATAATTCATCGGCATCGATGAGTGTCCCTCAGTGGCTGTCCGACCCGATGTCGTTGAAATCGCACGAAATACTTGCCTCAATCAAAGACATCGTAGTTCACAAGGGTGGGCGGAGGACGATAACGCTTGACTGGTCACCGACCATACAAGATGCCTGCGCAAACTTTTTCTCACCGTCGAACATCCGAAGATACCTTGGACTCTACTGGGTATTATGGCACCCGAATGTCAATATCATGCATAAACCAACCTTCAATTCCTCAACGTCCAAGCCCTTCCTCCTCGCTGCAATGTGTTTGATAGGGGCGTGCATGTCGCCCGATCCTGCAGATTCTAGCGGCGCAAAGCTGTGGTTCAACTGTGTGGAAGAGCTTGTGTTCAACAGCGAGGATTTCTGCGACGACGCAGAGGCCCCAACCTGTCGCGACACCGGAGAGGTCAAGTGGCGACACGAGAAGCTCAGAGCTCTTCAGGCTGCATACATGGTCCTTCTTTACCAGACGTGGGAAGGGACAGACTCCAGCAAGCGTCGAATCCGCCGGCTGCGCTTCAGTATGCTCATCGCTGCAATCAGAGATGTGGGCATTGTAAACGCCAGGCACGCTAACTACAGCGACCTTACACTGGCCAACTTCTCTTTCAGTCAGTTTGCGGCGATGGAACAGCTGATTCGTGTGATTTTGTGGGTGTTCTTGGTTGACACTGCCTTTGTCATATTCAACAACCTCCCTCCTCGAATGGTGATCAAGGAAATGAAGATGAGCCTTGCTTGCCCTGAGATATGTTTTCAGGCGTTGACATCAGAAGATTGCTTCCTTGCATTGCAGAGGGAGGATGCAATACACGCTTTCCGACCTGACCAGGCACTAGAATTTGCTTCTGCCTTTGAAATGCTCTACCAGAGCTCAATGAACGACGCTACGACTATGATGCTTGCTGACCTTGGACCCCTCAATCTTTTCGCCATGACTTCTACGTTGCATGCTTTAGTGTTCCATCACCAAAGCACCTTCAGCTGCCATGGCTCTCTGGAAAGCGTCAAAACTGTCCTACGTAACTGGAGTAGTGTGTGGCAGGCTTACATCCAGCACATCTCCATTGATCAACGCCATTCTCCGATTCCACTAGATTCTCAGGATCTCGAAATTGAGGAAATGTGGAAGCGGGTTGGTTTTATGCGTCATGCTGAGGAATATTGGCTTCTTGCGAAACTCATGGTCGACAATCTTACGCGTAATGCACAAGCCACTGTTCACCCAAGCCAAGGAGTTTCTGGCCTTGAGATACCTACAGTCAGCATTGTCAAAGCTCGCTCCGCGAATCCCTTGCTTAACGAATACGATGAAACAAGCATGGAGCAGGTGAACGCCCTAATAGCGGATTTCCAGAGAGTCGGCCTTTGAGTCTTTCCGCTAGCAGAAAACTCGCCAGGATACGTTGAAAGAAATGCATTACTTCTTGTGCAATCAATCTTTAGTCAAGAGACTGATACAACCGTTTTCCTAAGAGCCTTTCCCTTCAGCAGCATCACGAACCGCCTGAATATTTATCTTCTTCATGGCTGAGAACGCCTTCATGGACCTCGCCGACTTCTCAGGATCACCTGTACTGAAGATCTCGGGCAACAGTTTCGGCACCACCTGCCAGCTGACCCCAAACTTGTCCTTCAACCAGCCGCACATCTGGGTCTTAGGATCCCCTCCTTCGCTCAACTTGTCCCAGTAATGGTCGACCTCCTCCTGCGTGTCACACATGATCTGAAAGCTGACAGACTCGTTGAACTGGATAGACGACGGCTTTGAATTCAGCGCGGTGAATTCCTTGCCGTTCAAAGTGAAGTTGACGGTCAGCACGGAGCCCGGTTTGTGTGATGGGTTGGGGTTTCCATCGCCCAAGTCTGGGAAGCGTGCGATGGCCTTGATCTTGGAGTTGGGGAAAATGGAGACGTAGAAGTTTGCTGCGTCTTCAGACTCGGTGCCGAAGAAGAGGCAGTTGACGATTTCGTTTGAGACCGAACCCATTGTTTTGTGGGTTGTTTTCTTGTTTTGATATTTCTGCAAGGTATATTCAATATTAACAGAGTATGAATGCAGGAAGATTTTGTGCTGTGGGCGGTATTTGCTCTTGGAATATCTCAGAGTACAGTATCATGTTGACCCCTATTTATACTTCGATAGACCGCCACGGATGGAAAGCCTCTTACGTTCGTATCCATGTGCAAGCCCCTCACAACCAGGCAGCACCTGCGCCAAGCGTGCAATTCTACAGCAAAATGTCTGTTTTGGCTTTTACTTGAATACGAGGCACTGGGATCAGCCCGTCAGGTCAAGGTCTACGATTGGCTGGATCCCGGTTTCTGCCTGAAATAACGCCCTTGGAGAGAGACAATCCAGCTCCAAAGCTGCAGATGACAATAATCCCATAGTCTATTTTTTCAACGCGCTCACCGTCGATCCATCAGGAGTCCCAGTCTTCAATTCCAACCCGGCTCGCTTCTCCCAGCTCTTCAGTAATTCGGTATGGTCTGCATCGGGTTTCACAATCGCCGCCGCTTCCTTGAAATACCTCAAAATCAGATCGGGCATGTCGGTGTCAAATTGCAGTTTTTCGAACACCTCCTTAGAGATACCGACGTCCTTGATTAACAAAGCAAGCTGGAAACCTGATGCATATCGTCTTGGCAAGGCATCTGAGGCGTAGCTGTCCGATGTGGAGAAATTGCGACCGGTGCCTACATTCAGCACGTCGATCATTTGGACTGGATCGAGGCCGAACTTCTGCCCCGTCACCAGAGCGTCAGAAAGCGCAATGATCGAGGCTGCACTGGTATAATTGTTCAGGGTTTTCATCACATGCCCTGATCCGAGCTTGCCCATGTGGAATACATATTTTGCCATGGCTTGCAGAACTGGTAAGACCTTGTCAATGGCTTCCTGAGAGTCTGATCCGACCATAAGTGTCGCGTCGCCAGTATCTGTGTCATGGAGATGAGCCTGTGTGACTGGCGAGTCGACTAGTAGGAAGCCTTGGGCTTCCAAATCTTTTCCAAGACTTTGCGTGTCAAATGGCGATGATGAAGATGTATCGACGATTATAGTTCCTGTGAATGCAACCTCAGATTTGCGCCATTAAAGAGGTTACCATTTTCCAATTCTTACCAGGCTTGAGTCCTTTAGCAATGCCATCCTCTCCTAATATTACTTCCCGCACAACCTTACCCTGCGGCAACATTGTGACAACGACATCGCAGTCCTTGAAGCCTGATGGCCCCTTTTCCGCGATTGTCGTATTGGGATTCTCCGCGGCAAATTTCTGCTCCCGTGCAGCATCAGCATCGCGCACGACTAGCCTAAAGCCCGCTCGTGGTATATTGGAGGCCATGGAAGCGCCAGCATTGCCGAGGCCAATGTAGCCCACTGTTTTGACCGACATGGCGGGTTGAGGCTGATGGACGGATGCGAGTAGTTCTCAATCGTTGGTATGTAGCACTCGAACTCAAAACTAGCCGCTATGTGGATGAATTAACGATGGATAGCAAAAGAACTTGTTTCGCACTGTGATCAAGGCCGATAAAGTTCAACTTCATCATTTTCTCCTGTCCCAGAATTTCAGGGCTTTTGATACCTGGAGGCGTAGAACAACTTGGCGTGGACACGAATCTCCAACCTGGAGATCTGTATGAGGTGACTACTCCACATGTTCATCATTGCATGAACTCAGAAGGCGGGGAACGGAACAGAGCGGGAGCATCATGAAGCTGGGACTTCGGCAGATGTTTGTAGAGCAGAATTGGGTGTGAACGCATCGATGCAACGATTGTAAATGATAGCATTCGAGATGAGCTGAAGATGTGGTAGACAGACTTAGACGACATGATCCTCAAGTGACACGAGTTTCCTTCTTCGCTATTGACTGTGATAGTCAGGACAGCTGGAAAATCTATTTTGGTATTTGCATAAGTTCGATGATGGAGTAAAGATTTGAACCGAACGGCCTTCCAGTTAGTTATTTGGTAAGTCCAAGCTCTAGACTCTGGGAGCCCAAAGTCTCAATCAGCCTTCGCCTCCTAAGCCGCCTCGGGCGTCACCCACAGGTGCCTAAAGGAAAAGTAAACGTTGGGGGTCATTCCGGGCAGTCTAGCGACCCCAAACAAGTGGGTTTGTCCGACAGGAATATGCCCACCCCTTGCTCCCACCTCCGCACGAGGCTTCCCCTTTTTTACAGCAGACCAGACCTGTGCTCCCACCAAGCCAATCTTCCTCGGTAGCCGGCAGATGCTCAACATCTGCATGTGGCCCGCCGCCAAATTTTGGGGATGTAAAGGGAAGCTCGCAGTGAGTCAATGTGATTGGGAAGCTTTCGTACGCCGAGCCGTCTATCAGAGCATTCTTTGTGGGTATTATCCATTGGAGGTATCACATCAAGCTGTGCACATATGATTATCAGACACGATTCTGCATCCGTCCTACAGCCTCAGCCAAAACGAGGTCCTTCGACATTATCATTCGTGTCAGCCAAAGACGGTTACCATGGGGTCTGTGGGAGTAGAGGCACCTCTGAAAGGTAAGTCATAACTTCACTGCCTTATCAAAAATGCATGGGATCTAACGCCAAATAGTCATCATCGTCGGTGCTGGACTTGGAGGATGTGCGACCGCTTTGGCGATGCACAGCGCCGGTTTCGAGGTGGTTGTGTACGAAAAAGTCCGGAATTTCCTGAGACTAGGAGACTCGTTAGGACTGGGAGAGAATGCTCTCAAGTTGTTGGATCGATGGTCGCCGAGTCTGCGTGCACGGCTGGTTGAGATCGGTAATAAATCCGAAATGATGCAGATCCGTCGATGGCATGATGGCAAGATTCTGGCTCAGCAGCCGCTCATGGATATGGCTGGCTTCATTGGCCATCGTGGGGACTACCATACAGGATTCTTGAATGCGGTCGCTGAAAAGGGTATCCCAGTTCACATGGGAACTGATGTGGGTAGATCATTTTATTCCCAGTTTTAGGTTTTGGTCCACGCTGATGTTTTCAGGTAATTGACTACGATGACAGTGCTCCTTCCGTGACACTAGCCAACGGAGAAGTAAAACACGCTGATATTGTCATTGCTGCGGACGGTAGGTGGCTTCAACCTTTCGAACCTCACTCCGAAATCTCATTATGTGAACAGGTATTAAATCACGGGCGAGAGAAATGGTACTCGGGTTCGACGACAAACCCAAGTCGTCAGGTTATGCATGTTTCCGAGCCTTTTTCAAAGGCGCCCACTTGAGGGGCGATCCGTTGACTGCCGAGTTTGTGGAGAAGGAATGCGTGAACATCTGGATTGGGAAGGACCGACATCTCGTGCAGAACACGCTTCGCGATGGCGAGGAATTCAACTGGATCATCACTCACAAGGACACAGAAGATATCAAGGAGTCGTGGTTCCAGCCAGGCGACATGAATGCGGTACGAGAGCTCGTCGCCGATTGTGATCCTAGAATCGCAGCCATAGTCAGCAAGACGGAGGAATGCCTGGATTGGAAGATCTGCTATCGAGACCCTATTCCGACCTGGGTGAGTGCGAACCATAAGGTCGCTCTGGTGGGAGACTGCTGTCATCCACATCTGCCGACAAGCGCTCAAGGGGCAAGCCAGGCGACGGAGAGCGCAGCGGTACTCGCTCAATGTCTGCTGTTGGCTGGGAAGGACAATGTGCCACTGGCAGTAAGTATAACGTGGCTAATATTCGGTGCTATCTACTAACAGTCAGTGTGCTAGACCCGAGTATACGAGAAAATCCGGTTCCCAAGAGTCCGACGAGCCCAGACAAATGGCGAGGACGTTCGAGATAGATGGCATTCTGCTCTTGATAAAGTTGAAGATGGCGAGGAAATTGATCCTAAATCGATCTTCATCAGAGTGAGCTCACCTGCGCATGTGAAACTACATTTGTGATGTTCTAACGGTTTCATAGAACGCTGTTCTCTACGACTATGACGCGGAAAGCGATACTCGAAAGCAGTGGCCGCAGCTTTCGGCACTCGTCACGGAAGAGTTGCGCACTGGAAAGATCACGCCTTTATGCTGATACTGAATACCAAGTACTTATAGTAAATATTGAATTTAGATGCAAAGACTTCAAACATCTCATATCAGGTTCATCTATGTCGCACACGTAGGGGAATTGTGTTTTCATGGTTCGTGTTGGTCGTGCAACAGTATCGCTGGATATAAGAGCTCCGTTCGCTCGATGAAAGGTACTATTCTCTTTAAATACTTTGAATTGCAGAAGCTATTAGCTATCTGAATGATATCCTTCTACAGTTTTGGTGCCACTCCGTCCTTCAGCATATCTCTCTGATCCCCCTTCAGAATTTCCCAACCCTTGCCTCTGAATCTTTGGCCCCAGATGCCGTTCCTTCCTGGCGCCAGAATGCTATTCGGGTCCAGAGCATCTTTAATGGATTCGTTGAACCTTCGTAGAGCGCCATTATTCCAGCTGTACGTCTCAGCCACCTGGTCCGCAAACAAAAGATGCGTTCTGTATTCGCCATATCCCAGCTTTGCAGACTCATTGATCATTTCTCGCATCAGTCCGGTGGCGCGGCGCTTCTCGTCTTCGTCCGCACGATTGTACACTATGTTCGAGATGTAATGACCCTCACGTGAAGCGATGCAGATCGTTGGTAAAACATCAAATCCCCATTTTGTGTGCAGCTTCGTAATGACACTGTGAATCGCTTTGGCATCCTTTCCTTTGGTGGGAGAAATTGGCGAGAAGAAGAGGTGAGCAGCGTTGGGTACCCAGTTCAGCCAGTCGAGTTCTCGGAGTACTGGTACACCGCTGCAAACCTGAGCTCGCGAGTGGATGTAGTGATCCGGTGGAAGATCATTTGGAAGCATAAACTTCGAACCTTGAATTTTCCCGAAAGCCTCTTGGATGATCTTCAACTGTGAATTGATGGTGGCTTGATCTCCATACTGTGTACCATAAAACACCCAAGATACATCACCACACGGCAATTTACTTGCGGCTTCCCGGATGACTTCTCTAGGCATCTTCCCTTTGCCTTTGTACCAGGTGGAGCGTGGTTTGCCTGTTACTGCGAGTTCCTGAATGACATGTCGCAACTGTGGGATGTTGCCCAGGATTCTTTTCTGTGCGAGTGGCCGTATAGCTTCAACAATGTGCTCAAAGTCTTCTTCATGCTTGAAAGTAATCATATAAGACTGGTGCCCAGTTTCGGGCATGAGCCAAAATCCCATCTGTGTGACTATACCATAATTACTTTGGCTGAAGATGCCGTCGATATATGGCCCGTAGGCTGCCTGGAAAGATTGCCAGGTGGGGTTATCGGCTCCATCTTTACCAGGCATTGCTCCCATGCCTGTTCGAAGAAGTTCCCCTGTCGGAAGTACGAGCTCCATTCCACAATGGTTGGCAAAGTGATCTCCATAGGGCGTATAGCCAACTCCTCGATCGATAGCATTGCCAAGAACACTACCACCGCCCAGGTCCGGACAGTCGATCCACAATGGTAATTTGCGTTTCTGTATCTCCTCATAGAGAGCGAAGTACGAGACACCAGGTTGGACGAGGCATGATGCATTATCAGCATCAATATTCAAGATTTTGTTCATTCTTCGCCCAAGGTCGATGATGACTGAGCCTCTCACCCTACAACCAGCGCCACCGTATCTGTCATTCAATTAGTCACTCTCAGAGGTAACTAAGAGGAGAAGGATGAGATACCCTATATTTCGTCCCATACTGATTGGATAAACGGGTATTTTGTGCTTATTTGCCCAGTGAACAATGAGTTGGACCTCAGCAGTGTCTGCCGGGTATACTGCTGCACTCGAGGTCAAATCTTCCTGATCAGCAATATGATAGGCGTCATGAGTGTTCCTGCAGCGTAATTCAGTCTACAAAAGTAGTCATCGGGAAAAATGAAGTTACTCACGGATGCTGCATGTACCATCCATCGACAAGTGGCTTATCGTTGATCTCAACATTTTCGCGGCCAAGAGAGGATTTCAACTCGTTGATGGCGCGTTCAAATTGCTCCTTTCCGATACCTGGCGGTAAGGAGACCGTCTTTCGTACTGAGCTTTCCCTGACTGTCCGCTGAGAGTCCAATCTTGACTTTGCAGCCACAGCCTCATTCGCCAGCCGGGTCGGCACGCCACTGTAGACGCTGTTGAGGTTAGGGATGACAGCCCCGGTCGTCGATGTTGGTGTCGACATTTCCCTGTTAGATCGAGCGGAATTCTCAATTGACTCCTTCCGAAGACAATAGGCACCGATAAAGTCAAAGATCAGGTGGATTGGCGTCCCTGGAATTTTGGTCCACAACACGAGTACGAACTTTGACAATGAGGCTTCAAGACTCGTAGGCCAGTCTGAGTGACAATGATGTTTACCAGGCCATTGAAAGATCTTTAGACATTTGGCCTCAAGATAACTCAATGAGAAAGGGAGCCCAGAATCAACACGTAAGTCTAGCAAGACCGAAGCGCAATTGTGGGGAGCGCCACACAATCCGAGCGATGGGTATTCTCCCCAGTGCCATGTCCCGCCCATTGGCTTCGGTACTTGAACTATTAGGGTTCGTGGGGTCGTGAAATGAGGGGTTAATCCTGTCCGAAAGTTTTTATCACCCAGTTTCCTCTTGGCCATGCGGTTGATCACGAGGTAATATCCATGGTATTTTCGTACAAATGCATCACAGACAAAAAGCCCAAAGTGTGCCTTGGGTTTTAGTACTCGATGCTTCGAGATGCACTGAGTGCCGCAGAAGTCTTCTCAGAGCAGCCTGATCGGGGTGAATGTGCCACTTAGGAAAGTGAACTATAACCAAATCCTAATCTCTAGTTAGGACGGCAGCTTTTGCTCCAATCTGATCATAGACTTGCTGAACCAGGATGATACAACTCTGAACTTGGTGGATAAAGATGAGCATGTTGTGTTGGCCTTGATGGCTGGATGGAGCCACGCACAAGCGGAGCATTTTCCAGACGGGATGTATGGCGGGCCATCCACTGTAAAATCCCTTTAGGCCATGCTGAACATGATATTATGTTTCTGCATAATCAAATGAAGACCGAATGGACCGAATGCACGCTCATCTTTGTCCTCCCAAAGAAGGCGAAGCAGACTCGCCGCTTGAGAAACCTGCATGACGTCGATTTCAGTGTGTTCTAGTCTCTTCATCAATTCAAGGCGTTCTCGTGGTGAGGTGATGCATGAACCTGTGATCATCAAGGGCCACAACAGAACTGTCGCGAATGGAGAGGCATTCACGATTGGCATCGCATCCGTGATGACCTCAATATGCCCTTGCAACTCGGTAATGACTTTTGGGTTGCTAACGACTGAACCGCACATTGAAGTCTTCACAAACATCAAGAGAGCCTGTCGGTATATTTCGCCCGTGGTGACATGTGCATCTGCGTACTCGATCATTTCCGGATCGACTGGTGGCGAACTCCACAAGAGAAGAGTCGAGACAAGCTCATCATACTCTTGTTGAGTCTCTGTGCTACAGATATAGGACTGTTCTTCCTCAGCCAGCCGATTCATGGCAAATATGCAAATCTTTGGTATCGTTTCAAAAAGACCCTGCCCACAACTAAGAAATATCCCAAAAGTTTCATACTCTCTCAGCAGTTCGAAAGATGTGATGAACGGATCGAGAGGGATAGTTCGGGCCTCATTGCGCCCATACGGAGTTATGTTGTTTGTCAGAACGAGGTAGGTATATACCTCTAAAACAAAGCCTTTCATACTTTTGTGGCTACTATTCATGCTGGCATTCGATTGGCGTAACAAGTTGAGTATAAGCTGGCGACTTGCTCGTAGGTGGGGAAAGATGCCACCATGCGGCTCACCTGAGACGGCCTGAGCAAGAAGCATTAACGTATGTGCGAAAAAGTTGAGGTCGGCAGTCCAAGGAGTGTCATTTCACTTACCTCGACATGGCAGAGCACGACAAGAATCACCAAGAGTCTCAAGCTTCGCTCGCTGCACGGCTGCTTCGCCTCGTCGGCAAATGCTTTGCGAAGTCCTCTGAGGAGCAAGGAGTAATGCTTGCGAGTGGCCAATTGAACATCAAGATTGTCTTTCTGTTGGTAGCTGAGGTGAGTTCCACTCAGCGACATGACAGCATGCATTAGAAGATCATCGGAATATGCTAGTGGCAACACTTGGGTAATGAAAGGATTCCGCGTTCGGATCTTAGGCACAAGAAAGCACGCAGTGTCCTCCAAGTAATGCTGAAGCAAGAGCACTGAGTGGGGTGTCAATAGTGTTGGTCGTTCATCACTCATGAAGGATGCCGTGAGAGACCGCCATAGAGTCAAAGACCTATCAGCGGTGTCCTCGGTGATAGATTCTTCACAAACAGTGCTCTCGAAGGTGACCTCCGGTGATGGCGGCAGATCTTGCTCCACTGTTATAGGCCTCTTTAGATCAACGGCAAATACCAGAAGCTGAGCAGGAGTTTGGCGACGTCCTGAAGCTGGCAGCTTTGTCTTCATAGCCTTCGCTTCCGCGGTTCCACTCTTTGCTTTCAAGACTCCATCCTTGTTCACGACAAGTTCCGGCCAGTCACACCGGAGGAAGTTCCGCGTGCATCCAGTGCAGTTGGGTTTTCGTTCATCGCACTTCTTCCGTCGCCCACGGCAGGTCAAACATCCTGTCTTGACGCGAAACGAGGTTGTCATTTGGGATCAGTGATTTTTAGTCGCCCGAGATATTGGTGCTCATCAAGCTACTATTCCAAATAGCTTCGAGGAGCCATGTGCTGCGCTTTGAAGATTTCATTAAAACCAAGTAGCGCGCCTGAGGATCCGGGAGTAAGCCTACGAGCGTAAAGGCAGACACATTTTTGAGGTTGAGAAAACCGCGAATCGCGCTGACACACTGCCGGCTTTAATACTGTGGTTTAACTGGGAGGAGGAGCCCACTGGGCAAACGCGCAGATCCGCCAAGTTTAAGAAGCCGTGCATGTTAGTGGCGGCATGAGGCCGATTGGCACGAATTTCCAAGGGTCCTTAGGCACCAGCTTGGCTGTCGATTATCAGTACCTTGCCTACCTAGGTAACTAAAGGACAGGAGCGAAACCTGGAGGCCTGACACGCTGTGAAGAAAGCAGCAAGAAAATAACAAGTGCACCGCGCTTAGTTAGAGACATGCTTCGTTCTTCGTATCGTGGTAGTATGAATCTCGACCGTGCTTGACAACTTTGACGAACATGTGTCTCAATCACACATTGATGATATTAAGAGCACACTCAGCTGCCATGAAGGAATACTCACATCCAAAAATTCAACCACAGCGGCGAAAGACCATTCGACAGTGTGGATTAAAGGGAAAGGACTTAAAGTCGTCTTTCGCTAGGAATCTTTCGAGCTCACGTTCTATAAACCGACAAAAATGGCTCCTCGTGACGACAAACCTTTGATCGAATTTCATGATGCTTCACGCATGCCTGATCCCCAATTCTACTCTCATTCAGTGAGCCTGAGCCAGGCGAGCAAATTAGTCTTTACCTCGGGCGTCATAGCTGTCCGGCCAGATGGCACGTTCCCAGAGACACTTGAGGAGCAAGCCAGGACTGTGTACGAAAACTTGAAAGATGTTCTGAAAAACTCGGGTGCGACTCCTCGAGATTTGATCAAAGTCACCTTCTACCCAGTGGATTGGTCGTTCGACCAAGCTGAGGCGTTGTTCAAGCCTTTCTTCGAGTTTATCACAGATGATTATGGCATAACATATCGACCGATCACAACTTTGATCCCAGTCACCCAGCTGGCTTTTCCAGGACCAAAGCTGGAAATCGAGGTTGTAGCTGCCATAGGTGGTCATGCTACTCCTTATGTCAACCCTGCAATCCAGAAGTTCAAGCGTCCGGTGCCTCCATTAAAAGTAGACGTGGTGGTAGTGGGTGGAGGATTCAGTGGGATTCAAGCAGCCTGGGATTTGCATAAGGCCGGGTTGACATCCATCGTCCTTGAAGCGAAACATCGAATTGGAGGCCGAAGTCGCACGGCACCACTTCGCAGTGGTCCAGGCTTGATCGAGCTAGGAGCCACGTGGATCAACCAGAAGACACAGCCAAAGGCGTATGCCACTGCTAAGCGACTCAACTTGGATATGGTGGAGCAGTATGTTGAAGGAGATGAAATATGGCAATTGGGTGATGGCACGATATTGAGAACCGCTCCCGGAAGTGTATGTGATATAATGACGAACTGCGTTCGTTCGACTGACAAATCATAGGAAGCGGCTGATTTGGTGGTAACCGTCAACGGAGCATTGTACCAAGCATTTGAGAGCGACATGGAGGCAATAAATATTCACAACCCTACCCAGGTCTCGGCCAGCCTCGACACATCCTTGGATGCGTGGGGAGACAAGAAAGGACTTACCGACGAGACGTCCCGAGACGCGTTGAGATTCTTCAGTGGCGCGGTCGTGGGTCGAGAACCCCAGGAGGTTGGGAGTCATTATTTCCTCGACTATGTCAAGTCAGGTGGTGGCTTTCTCAGTCTTGCAACTGAAGGCCCAGATGGGGCACAGTCTTTGAAAATCAAGCAAGGTACTTCTCAACCAAAATAGGTGAGAATACCAGAGAATTGACCATACTAGGAACTTCGGCCATCACAGACGGTCTTGCAAACGAGTTGCCTCCAGGCTCGGTTTTCGTCAACAGCGCGGTAGACAGTATCCATCAGACCCAAGATGGCGCCCTCGTCGAGACTGCAACCGGCAACCGGATCTTTGCACGAAAGGTTGTTATTGCGATCCCTACAAACACTTATAGCAATATCAATTTCTCTCCACCACTGCCCCCAGCAAAACGTGCGCTGGTATCCCGGACCAAGCCAGGCGTGTACGCGAAGATGATCTTGACGTACACCACAGCATGGTGGAAGGATGCTGGTCTTCAGGGCAAGTTTACCAGCATGAAAGGCCCTATCTGCTTTTCGTGGGACATCTCAGACGATTCAAAGAAGCAATATTCGTTGGCACTTTTCATTGCCGGAAGTGTTGCTGCTAAATGGAGTGAGCTTGATGAACTGCAGCGACAGGAATCGGTGATCGATCATCTAGCAGAATTGGTCGGCCCTGAGAATTCTAATGCTGCTCGCGATGTCCTGGAGGTGAACTACATCAACTGGACAGAGGAAGCTTACCTAGGCGGCGCACCGACTTCGTCCATAGGTCCAGGACTGTTATCGAAGTATGGAGACGCTTTGAGGAAACCATTCCACCATATCCACTTTGCAGGCGGAGAAACGGCGTATGAGTGGAAGGGCTACTTGGAAGGAGCGTTGTTGGCTGGTTCACGAGCTGCCAGTGAGGTCGTTTCGCTGACGAGAGAAGCGAGGAAAAAACCTGCTCCATCAGCACACCTATGATGGAGGAATCAGGGTGAGAGCATGTGCATAATTAAGCAGAATCCACGTAGGGAAAAATACACTCATTTCGCCGAGCCAAAGCAATACCGATATCTGTGTCGCGTTTTGTACCTCCTCTTCAATATACTCGTCCTTAATGGTGCGCGATAATCTGGTGCGTAAAGTCTAGATCAGAGAACGGAAGATCAGCCATCCGTATCGCGGTGATGGAAGGGGGAAGAACGGTATTCATTATCCTTGTAGGGTTTGCTATGCTCTGTCTCAAGCGCTCGTGGGCTAGTGTCTGATGTTACTGGCACTGCGAAAAGAACACTTGTGACAGGAATACTCTACAATATCCAGGCCTACCAGGGTTGACACGAGCGTTGCATAGCGGGGTACTGGGTGTTTTTTTCCCAGGCTCGCTCAGCTTGAGAGTCATTCTGAATACCTTACTTTTGTCAACTCGAAGTTGTGACACAAGGCAACATCAATATCCCCGCTAACCTCATTGTTGCTTGAGATAGTTGAGCCTTGATACCAACGCAATGGTCCAGATTATCTTCTTGAGCACGGTCGACAAATTGACAAGTCCCCATTGTCGTTCCGTGGGCATGCTAGTTCATCTTGGGCATCTGGTTGGAAGCGGGATGTCGAAGAACGGACCAGACACATCAGCAACAGCAACGACCACGAAGTCTTCGAGCCCAAAGGGTATCCGTCAACACCAGATGCAAGAGGTCACCGAGGCAGGCGGTTAATCCCCTCTCCGATTATTGGTGTGTATTTCGTAGACAAAGAACGAAGGCATAAGCTCTCTTTCCTATTTTGAATATTGTATTTTCGATAGTAGTGACTGAAGAGTGTCAGCTAGAATGCGGGGGATTAACGCGGTTGCAAGCTGGCGTGGTTTCCAACCACCAATGGTCGACCAATCTCTTTCAGCCTTTCGACTAAGCCCCGAACTCAGACCAACTCGATAGGCTCTGCGCAGGTTCGATTGCCATCTCCTGGACCCACCGAACCTGGGTGATAAGCGCGTTTACCTCGCCCCCAAAGGCGATATCTCAACTTCCGATATGGATATGCTGTTCGTGTCGATAAGGTTGTCCTTGGTAGTTGGGGTCATTGATACCTAGGCACGATATGGACGCAGATGTGCGGGTGTTGGCATTCGACAAGACAGATATATGGTGGCATGCTTCGCCGGGTTTCGTGGGTTCAATGCCCAAGTTGGAACGTATGATTCAACAGCCGATCGATAGACCATGTCTGAATCCGCTGCGCACGAGAAACAAGAGAAATATTCATCGAGTAGGTCTTTTTATTGCACGCACGCATTACATTCCCAAAAGATGTCGACAATCAAACCCCAGTTGCCGCTGCTTGATGGATCCAGTACTAACCACACTCTCGCACAGGATCGGCCGTAATGGCGGATATCAGCTCGAAGAATGACCATGGGGAGCTCGAGCACTCCACCTCTATTGCTGATGGAGAGGTTGCCGGCCTCCACCTTTCGAAAGCTCCAGTGAAGGCGAACATCGGACCACTTTCGCTTGTGGCTCTCGGTTTCAATATCTGCAATAGTTGGGCTGGCGTTTCGGCTTCCCTCCAGATCGTCCTCTTGCAAGGTGGCCCCGTTGGACTGCTTTATGGCATGTTTGTCAGCACAGTGTCTACCCTTGCAGATGCACTAACGCTCGCGGAGCTGGCTTCTGTGTATCCGACCGCGGGAGGGCAATATCACTTCGTTTCCATTCTCTGTCCGGAGAGTATCAATCTCTTCACCTCCTACTTCTGTGGTATCTTCAGCATTTTCAGCTGGATAGCCATAGGGGCCGCTGTTCTGATCATCCCCGCTGAGCAGATCACCACACTAGCCGTGGCATACAATCCAAACTATGAGCCGCAGGACTGGCACAAGTTCCTCATGTACCAGGCGATGCTGCTGCTCGTCCTCACGTCCAATATCTTTGTGCTTAAGCGGTCACCGAGATTTCACGATGTCGGGTTCGCCACCACTATCATCCTCTTCCTGGTAACGTCCATCACACTTCTGGTCAGGTCCAAGCCAAAGGCAGAAAGTTCATTTGTATGGACGACTTTTATCAATCAGACTGGTTGGAGTGATGGATTATGCTTCTTCAGTGGCCTGTTGACCACGTGTTTCCAGTATGCTGGACTGGATGGCGCCCTGCATCTCGCTGAAGAATGCCAGAACCCGCAGAAGACTGTGCCCCGAGCTATAATGGCTGCAGTCACTATCGGGTTTTGCACGGCATTTCCCTTCAGCATAATCGTCCTTTATAGTGTAGCAGACATTGACTCAATTCTCGGTACATCAGGGTAAGCCCCCCGTGTTCAAGTTGAGGAATTTCCACTGACGCCATCTTCCCTACCAGATACATCACACTCGAAGTTTATAGGCAAGGGATGCAGTCCTTGGATGCAGCCGCTGTTTTCACGGGTATAGGAGTGTTGATCGCCTGGTTTGTGCTGAACGCCGTATTGCAAACTTCATCTCGGATAACATGGTCATTTGCAAGAGACAACGCCCTCACCTTCTCAAAGCATCTGGTAAAGATCCATCCGAAAGCCGAGGTACCCATCTATGCGATCCTTCTGAACTATGCGATCTTGGTAATCTGCGGGTGCATTTTCCTGGCGTCGAAGACTGGTAATAATCCCTCGTCCCTGGAGCCTCCCTCTTTTTGAGTTGGAGACTGACATATAACAGCATTCAATGCCATCCTCAGTTCTTGTGTGGTACTACAGAAGATCTCCTTCATCATGCCAGCGGGACTTCTCCTTTATCGCAGGCGCTCATTGACGTATCTTCCCGACAAACGCGCGTTCCGACTCCCGGCTATTGTTGGTTGGACGGCCAACACAGCGGTCGTGGTTTTCGGCCTCATCTTCACCATTATCTTCTGCATCCCGCCCTTCAGACCAGTCACACCAAGTACTATGAGTAAGTTCATTTCCCCTTTGGCGCTGAAGTTCTGGTTCGGGGCCTCTAAGTGGGATAATAGTGTGGCTGACACTCTGGTAACCAATAGATTACTCGTCCGTGATGATCGGTATTGCATTTGTTCTCGTGCTGATCAATTGGTTTGTGCATGGGAAGAAGCACTATCATGGACCGCGGATTGAATTCCATGGTCCGACGCATCTCGTTCAAAAGTAGGCACCCACTTTAGGCACCAAACGTCGATGGAAGTGCTTTTGTGGCAAGGGGTAAGTCAAAGGCCGATCACGGTTGCTACCACAGAAGATCTATCGCAAGTTTGAAACAGCTCGAAATTTGGTTGGATAGCTCCTTGCATTTCTAGGCTGGAGACCAGACTTGGTATTTCTATCTGATATATCTTATTGTTGAAAATCATACAGGTTCAACTAAAAACCATAACTGTTGAACGTAGGGTATCTATGTTAAGATGTTGAAATGACCGTAAAAACTCATGCAAATGATCTTTTCCAAGGTAATAGCGCTCAGAAAAGGCCATCGATCTCGCCAGACTCGGGGTCGACATCAACGTTGAGATAGCCGGGCGCGGTTGGGAGACCCGGAATCGTCTGGATATCGGCAGCTAGTGCGTAGAGATATCCAGCTCCCACGGCAAGTCTGACATCCCGGATTGGGATGGTGAAACCCGTTGGGGCGCCCTTGAGCGCCGGGTCGTGACTGAGCGAATACTGAGTCTTTGCAATGCAGATTGGGAGATTTCCGAAGCCTTGCTTAGTGTACATATCCACCTTCTTCTGTGCGAGTTCGCTGAATTCGACTTTGGCGGCGCCATACATGTCCTTGCCGATTTTCTCGATTCTTTCTTGTGCAGTACCTTCCAGATCGTACAAATACTTGAAGTTCTTGGGTTTAGTTGATGCATCGATAACTGCCTTGGCCAGATCAACCGCACCAGCACCACCTTCAGCCCAGTGGTTTGCTGGGACAGCAGCTTCTGCTCCGGCCGACAGGGCTTCTTCTTCAATGACCCTCATTTCTGCCTCAGTATCAGTTTCGAATTTATTGATGGCTACTACCACAGGGATGCCATATGATTTAGCGTTGGCGATATGCTTCTTCAAGTTGACACAACCGGCGCGAAGCATCTCAACGTTCTCTGTGCGGTAAGCTTCGGGTAATGCACCTCCAACGCTAATCTCAGGTCCTCCACCATGGACTTTCAGTGCACGAATGGTCGCAACGACCACAACAACATCGGGGACGAGCCCAGAGGCACGGCACTTGATATTGAAGAATCTTTCCCCACCCATGGTGAAGTCAAAGCCGGCCTCTGTCACAACGAATCCAGCCTTCGCATCGTGATCTTCATCCGCTTCAGTTCCAGCAAGCTTCAAAGCCAACTTATCAGCCAGTACCGAGCTATTTCCGATACTGATATTTGCGAAAGGCCCAGCGTGGACGAAGACTGGAGTTCCTTCCAAGCTCTGCATCAAGTTGGGTTTGATGGCATCCCTCATGAGTGCAGTGAGAGCACCACCTACGCCGATATCATCACAGGTGACAGGATCTCCTGATCTAGATGATCCAATGACCATGCTTCCAAGACGTTCACGGAGATCCTTTAGACCACTGGCCAAGGCAAGGATCGCCATACACTCACTTGCAACGGAAATATCGAAGCCTGTCTGTCTCGTATGGCCTTTCTCTGTGGGGGCCTGACCAATTGTAATGCCCCTCAAATGTCTGTCATTGACATCGAGCACTCGCCTCCAAGTGATGGTATCTGGATCAATATCAAGTCGAGCGAAGCGACGAATCTCATCTTCAGTCAGATCGTCAGGGTTGGTCTTGTCGATGCCCAGCTTCTTCAATCTTCGAAACATGATGGGAAGAAACTCTCGCTTTCCTTTCTTGGAAGGAACTAAACGCTTGTAGAGAGGACCGTCTTTTTGAGTGGATTCATGAAACATCCGCGTGTCAATTGCAGCTGCGAGCAGATTGTTTGCCGCTGTGATGGCATGAACATCGCCAGTCAGATGAAGGTTGAACTCATCCATGGGAATGACTTGACTGTAGCCACCGCCAGCGGCACCACCTTTGATACCAAATGTGGGACCCATACTGGGCTGCCTCACATTGGCAAAACTTATCCTCCCAAGATGCGCACCCAGTGCTTGAGTCAAGCCCATGGTGGTGGTAGATTTCCCCTCACCTAAAGGCGTCGGCGTGATGCCACTGACGAGGATATACTTGCCATTCTTCCGGTGTTCAAGCCTAGACAGTAAGGAGAGATCTACCTTAGCCTTGTGGGCACCATGAGACTCTAGTTCGTGAGGTGCGATGCCTATATCACTGGCAATATGAGTAATTAACCTAGGTTGTTGTGATCGAGCCACAGCGATGTCGGACGGGACTGGGGTTTGTAGCTTGATGGGCAGAGGAAGGATACGACGGCTCTTCAATCGTTCAAAATATGACGAAGCTGAGTCGATAACATTCTGCATCAGCATGGCCACAGTCATTGGGCCCACTCCACCAGGGACTGGGGTGATTTGGGAAGCGACCTCTGCTGCTGAATCAAATTCAACGTCACCAACAAGACGTTGGCCTGATTGTTTCGTGCTGTCAGGAATGTAATTTGTGCCCACATCAATGACAACTGCACCGGGTTTCAGCCAGTCTCCCTTTACAAAGCCTGGTGAGCCAATAGCCGCAACCACAATGTCTGCCTGCCTGATGACATCTGGTAAGTTCTTTGTCTTGGAGTGGCAGACTGTAACTGTTGCATCGGCATTCTTCAGAAGGTAGCTGACTGGACTTCCAACGATATCACTTCGTCCGAGAACTACGGCGGTTTTGCCTGCCACCTCTACGCCACTTTCTTGGAGGAGAACCATAACACCTTTGGGTGTGCAGGGGACAAAGAATGGCTTGCCACCACGCTTGGCCAGCTCACCGATGTTGGTTGCTCCGAAGCCGTCGACATCTTTCTCATCAAGAACAGCAGATGTGATGGTGTGTTCTGAAAGGTGCTTTGGGATTGGCAATTGAATGAGAATGCCATGAACAGAGGGGTCATTGTTGAACTGGGTGATCTGTTGAAGCAGCTCCGGCTCCGAAATTGAAGAAGGCAGATGAATAAGAGCACAATCAATGCCGGCTTCCTCAGCCGCCTTTAACTTCATGCGTACATATGTCGTTGAGTCTGGGCGATCACCAACCTGGATGATCTTCAAGGATGGTCGATAGCGTGGGTTTGCCTTTTGCTTCTGAGCAACCTCGACACCCAGACGCTCACGTATTTTCTGGGCAATGACCTTGCCATCGATCTTGGTAGCACCCATAGTTCTTGTGGCTTTGGTTGAATAGGTCTGAGACGGTGGATTGACTGCGGTTCCACCAACGCAGTTCTTCTGGGATCTCTGGGCCAATACCGTAGAAGAGGAACACCTCAAAGAAGTACTCGAAGAGTTGATGGATCTGAGTGAGGGACTCCGGGGTAAGCAACGCGTGGAGCCTGGTCTTATGAATGGTGGATGGCGCGCCAAAGGAAGGGAAGATTCAAAGGGAAATATCGGAGGAGTGGGAGAAAGTTTGGAGAAAAATCGATGGCCTGCTGCACATGCACCGGACCTGCGAGACTGAGTCTGAAATGATTTGCTGAGCATTCTCACGACTTGAACCTCCGAAATCGATAGGAACTAGCATGGAATCCCGGCCTCGATGTCGGAAGCATTGTATACAGGTCGGTTAAAGGTTGACACGGAGGTTCGAGCTCTTCATTGACCTCAGACTTCCCCTCTACCAAAAGTGACCAAAGCACTGTCATAGAAATTGCCCGCGAGTCATAATATACGATGTGGGCAAGATTCTGACTCGTGTCTCCGCAGCCTTGGCATGAATTTTCCCACATCGCCGCCCTCTTCACCACGAATCATCCTCCGAGTCACTCCCATCTCTCTTCATCAGCACATCTTTCGAGGACACAGAAACAATTCTCACGAATATTCGAGCCTTTGAGAATCCATAGCGCTCACAGGAGCCACCTCGTACGACAATGAGACCCATTCTTCTCCAAGGCCATGTAAGACACCTTTGGAAAATTGCAATCTCTGGCCAGGACTGACTCTGGACATTAGGAACGGTCGCTGAATCAAATCAAATACAACCGAGAGGGAGATCTGCTCTTCTCGGTAGCGAAAGATAAGGTCGTGTGCGCCTGGTTCACCAGCAACGGAGAGAGACTTGGAACATACACTGGACATCAGGGTGCCATCTGGACAGTGGATGTTTCCCCAGACAGCACTCTTCTCGCAACTGGGGCAGCAGACAATGCCATCAAGCTGTGGAATGTTCACACTGGAGAATGTGTCAAGACCTGGGAATTTGCCACTGCGGTGAAGACTGTCCAATTCAGTGAGGACGGCAAACAGTTGGCGGCGGTGACCGAGCAGCGAATGGGACACTTGGGCACAATTGTCGTCTATGATATCCGATATGGCGATGACCTCACCGAACAAGCCAACGAGCACAGTTTCCGGATTGTTTGTGAGGAGAGCAAGGCCACTGCGGCAGGGTGGAGTTATCTCGACAAGTACATCATCTCCACACACGACAATGGAACTGTAACTCAGTGGGATGGCAAGGTACAGCAAACGGTCTTTGATTAATTTGACCTCACGCTGATTCTGTTTCTACTAGACTGGCGAATACCTGATGAGTATCGAAGCTCACGAATACGACACCACCATCAATGATCTCCAATTTTCGCCCGATCGAACATATTTCATCACTGCTGGAAAGGATAAGAGTGCAAAGGTAGGTCATTATCGATTACCGCGTATTATTCACACATCTACTAACTTCGTCAAAGCTCATCTCGTCCCGAGATCTCAGCATTATGAAGACATATGTCGCTGACACGCCTCTGAACACTGCCTCCATCACTTCCAAAAAGGACTTTGTTATTCTTGGAGGTGGACAAGCTGCTATGGATGTCACCACAACATCGGCTCGACAAGGTAAATTCGAGGCTCGGTTCTACCACAAGATTTTCGAAGATGAGATTGGTCGTGTCCGTGGTCATTTTGGTCCCCTCAATACCATCGCTGTTCATCCCCAAGGCACAGCCTATGCTAGTGGTGGTGAAGATGGATATGTGAGGATGCACCACTTTGACAAGCCCTACCTTGATTTCATGTATGAAGTTGAGAGAGAGCAAGCACGAAAATGATTGTCACCATTCTACGATACCCCTTGAAAATGAGAAATGAAGTATTATGTATTATGTGTATTTGCCGCTGCCATCAGTAAGGCAGGAGGTGGATCAACAATCCCATATGCTCAATGTTTCAGGGGTCGAGCCTTGAGCACCTGTGGATTTCAGCAACTTATCGAGGGCGTGCCCCGCGACACCAAAATTACAATTCCGTCCAAGTGACGTCGCTTCAGCCCTGGTCCTATATATGTCAGATTCACTACAGATGGCGCTAAGGAGGGGAAATGGGTGGCAGCTCGGCTTTCTCTGTGCACCAATTCTTTCAACTCACAAAACAATCTTTCACTTACCGCAGTTGATCGCGACGGTGAAAGAACTCGTCAGCACACGATCATAACCATCACTAACTCGCAGCCGATCTAGGGCATCCGACCAACCACTACAAAGACTTCAACATGAAGGGAGCTACCTTTTTGATGTCTATTCTCATTCCTGTCATCGCTCTTTGTTCCATCCTGGTCTGGATCGGGGTCAAGATGGAGAGACACCTTGCACAAGAACACAACATGGTGCAACCAGTGAGAAACTGCATTGTGTGCAAGACTATGACACTGAAGAGACAGACTGTGGTAAAGATTGGCCGATCTATAGGACGAATGAGAATGAACCGGTACGGATTTGGCAAAGCCATGACAGCAAATTATGAACTACCAATGTACCAAGAGTCTGGGGTTTTGACCGCTCACGGTCGGAGATTTCGCCGCAAACCAAAGCGTCCAGATCTACAATTCCTTGCAATTCCCTACGATTTCCGTCACAAGATCTACCTCTCTCTGCTTGCCTCTGTGGTCTCAGTTGATTGCATGCCAACCTGGATCTTGAAACCGAACCGACTATTTCTCACACTCGCCAGCCTCTTTCGGACATGCCGTCAGACTCGCGAAGAATTTGCACCTCTCTTGTATCGCAACATATTGTTCTCCATCTACCTCGAGTCCTCTTCCCACAGACTTTACCGAGAACTTCGTCTCCCTGCGATTCACGGACTGAGAGAAATTCACCTCACAATCGACACTGGAAGCTTGACTAACACACATTATGAGACGTTAAGAGTGGCCACGAATCTCCGAGAGCTATACCTCACGTTCAAGCACATGGACACGTACTTTTCCTGCCTCGCCGCCCTCGGCTTCTTGCTCGGTGTATCGCATTTGGACGCCCGACACAACCTTCGTCTCTTCCAAGTCATGGTTGATAGCCAGATATTTTACCCAATCACAAACGTTCGATTCTTCCACGAGGTTCTCTTCGCCGCGAATGGCCATTGGCACGCGACAGATGACTGGGGTACGCCCACAATTGTATCGACACACTTCAAGCGTGACCGTCGTAGACGTTCACGGTTTTGCATCAGGGTGAACCAGAAAGGCTACGAGTCAAGTTTGGACCAGCGTTGTGGGGGCCTTGCCGTTGGCAACCTCATGTGGGAGTTCCCAAAAGTGCCAATGGAGAGGCTTAGCCCTCAAAACACCTGGATCCAATAGGTACCTGGTGTACACAAAGGAGAAGGAAGCTGGCGGCACCAGCGTTCAAGGGGTAGATAGCCAAATGAGATGCTTAGTCAGAAACACGCTCGCCTGAAACTTCTTTCTTTTGTCTCTGACGTTCGAATCGAGTCTAATTACTCCGTATGGTTGGTCACCCCAAAGCTCCCTCCCCCACATTATCATCAACGCCCTTTCGAATCACAGAGCCCCGTGTTTGTCATCGTATCTCGTTGGCTTACTCGTTGTCTTAGGCATCTTGGTGCTTTGACCAGCTGATCCTCTTGGTCTTGAGCGCGGCTCTATCTAGCCGTGGAGCTTTCCTCAAGTAAATCTTCGACTCTCATCCAACGTCCTCTCCTCCAACAATCTTCCTTGCCCATCTCACAACGTCCCTCTGAGAGAGATTCTGACTAAGATCTGACATAAGTTTACCCAGACCGCCCGATGAGTCGATGACTCAAAAAGCCCATCGTCGTATTTGAATTGCGGAGAACTGGATCTGCCTAACTGAGCGAGCCTATGAAAAGTCCACAACCTTGTGGATAGCTTCGACCCTGCTTGAATCATTTTGTCATTTTTTTTCTCTCAATAAATACTACACAGAGAGTAATAATTTCTGCCTGGTGGCGATTTTGTGCGCCCTTTGCTACGCAGGACAGGCATTACATCTTTCGGTTTTCTATGATTGCTGCACTTAGATTTTCTCACAAGATACCCTTTGCTTGAGCTCGGAAATATTGACTGCGTCTCATGCTACACGCCTCATTGTTACTCATTTTATGGGAATTCAAGCAACTCGTCAATCAAACCTATAACTAATTATTGTTTATACGGCACTGTGTGATCAGAACCCAATACCGGCACGAAGAGATACATGCGCCAGGCCACCAGCCGCAGTTTGGGTGGTTCAAGTCTTTCTTGACTCCGAACAACTCACTTCCTCCACGAGCTGGCGTAAGCAGACCGAGCTTCTTAAATCTGCTGTTGAGTTCAACGCGCAAAAATGGCAGCAACAAAGACCGACTTCTCAACGCCAGACATACCAATGTCAGAAGCAATCTGGTACGTGTCAGCATGCACGAGGATCAACGCGCCAGCATCACTGGTCTTCCGCACGCTTCGGAACACGGAGACATGGAAAGACTGGAATCGATGGGTTCCACGTGTCAACATCACCGATCAGCCGGACGACGAGGACGACGCAACATTAGCCGAGATCGAAGAACTCGTGCGCAACACTTCCATCGCCGTGAACTTCGACTCAGACATCACCGACGGCGCGGCCCCGGTTCCACTTGTGCATGATCCGCCGCGCAGAGGTAGCTTGGGGTGGGCAGCGATGTCGGCGCAGGCGGGTGGTGCGAACTTCGGCACTGCTCCCGAACCGGCACGCAAGTCACACGAGCGGCCGAGAAGCTCAGAAGGCTTGGTCGTACCGCCGGTCACGAGACAGCGATTGGCTTCGAACGCCAGTAAAGTATCGTCAGAGACACCGCGTAATAATTCCACGAACGGAACACACTCGGGAGCTGCGAAGTTTCAAGCCGCACAGGAGGCCAGAAGAGCATCCGTGGCATCAGGCAAATCCGGCAATGAGGCAGCACCAACAACTACGAACGTCGGGACGGATACGAAAAGCACAGGTGTCATGCTCGATCTCCCAGGCAGCACCCCAGTACTCATGCCAGCACCGCGCAACACGGGCGCGACGAAACTAGCACTCTCACAGGACTCGCGGCGCAAGAGCACAGCCAGCACATTCGCAGAGAAGAAACGACTGCACGTGAACGCACTGTACGGGGAGCCGAGCGTGCGTATCCAAGACGGCACGAAGATGACATTCTACGTGAAAATCAAGCTGCCGAGTAGCCAGGAGATGCGCGAATTGAACGTCGCAGTCACGGAGGTGTCGCGCCCGGACGATCCTCTCGATGACAGCACCGCCGCAATGCTGCAACGCACGCAGACCCACACCGTGAGCAAATCGGGGGTATACAGGCTGGTGTGGTCCATGGAGAGTAAATACAATCCGCCCCGCTCGTACCCCAAGTTTCTGCTGCAGACGCAGCGGGTTCATGAGATCAGGCCGATCGTTACGGGCGATGGCAAGGAGATGTGTGAGTATTGGGATTGGGAGGCGCAGAAGGGCATGTTGGCGAAGCGCCAGAAGAAGGAGCATTTTAATTACTACGAGCAGCGGATGGTGGAGTGGGGTAGGAGATTGGGAGAGTTCTGCGAGAGTATGGGTGGTGCGGTGGAGCGGAGAGATTTTGTGTCGCCTTCGTAATGATTGAGAGATCGTCATGTGTGGAGCAGAGGGGGTGGGATTTCGAGACCTGGGACGGGAGGAGCGGAGAGGATACTACGAAGCGGAATGAATAATGATAATCAGCGGAAATCAGGTTGGAGACGACGGAAAGAGTATCGGCAGCCTCATTTTCAAGTTGGGTGTGCGCCGCGAGGCTGGATCCACCAGGCTGAGAATAGCACCAAGTTGGAAATTCGACCACAGCTTAGCAACCGCTGTAACATTCACCCAGTTCAAACAGCGAACACACGCCGAACGGCAACATGTCCGAGTCTCGATGCCGGACAAGTATTGTCGAAGACTGTCAAGACGACCAACCATATCCGGCAAAACAAACTACCGGAAACTTCGACGTCCGCATCAGCTCCACGAAAACTCACAAATGCACACCGAGATAAAGATCCGGGGAAAGTGCGGGGAAGGAGGGTCATGGATGCACATCAATAAAGATGACCGGAATGTTACGGGCGAGGATAATCTTCGATGGGGGAGAGGATCGGAATCAGGCTGACAGGACATTTGCTTTCGAACTACGATACCAACCGGGGTCACGCGAGACGAGGCGAAGCGAAAAGGATCCTTTTCCTGGAGTCTGGCGCTGACAATTGCGAGGGAAACGACTAATTGACAGAAGTGTTATGACGCGGCATTTGGCTTGTGGACACTGGTTTAATGACACAGCAAGAACAGAGGTGAGAATGCGACGATCATATTTTAGCGCTGAGCAGGAGGAGATGAACCACAGAACTTGATCAATATGACCAGACATATATACACATCTAGGCCATCTAATATTCACCCATAATAGCGACGCGTTCCCTGAAATAAGATCAAATCGGTGCGATTTTTCTTTGTCTAACTAATCATATCACGCCGACGAAGCCCTCCAGGGCATCAATCCCATCCGGAACTTGTGGACGTACGACCTTCTCAACCCATTCCTTGCTCAAGCCCAAAGTGACCGCTTCTTTGATACCTCTGTTCATTCGACCGATATAGTTCTCTCGGATAGCGCCCTCTGTTATTCGGTATTCGTCCACATATACTAGGACCCTTGCCCACCGTAAATCTTGCTGCTGGTCCCTCCATCCCTTAATCTTCCACTCCACAATCTCCGCGTTCACATAGACTTTATTGTGATGTCCAGTGCCTTGCTCGTTGGGTCTCGCCATGACTAGCAGACTTTGGAAACCACGGCCGTCGCTGCTGATCTCGTTCGAAGACTCCTTCGACGGCTCAGCTTCAGGTGCTGACCAGTCAACATGCTCATAGCGATCGAGCGTCTCCTCGTCCTCGATGCTCATATTGTACAGAACGCCCCATACTTCATCGCCTCCGCTGGCATCAACTTTGGGTCCATCCTCAGCCTCGAGTCTACCTACGTTCCCAGTATAAGCGACATTAGCACATCCACGCTCACAAATGAACCATTTCCATCCATGTAGCCGTGCGATGGCAATGGGCTGTCCTGATCGTTCTGGCGTACTTGTGCACCGGATTGTCATCTGAGTTGGGGATAAGTTGCTACCATAGGCGAAATAGAGTGTGCCTGGACCATGATCTTCAGCACTCAGAGAGGCGGCGGTAAGTGGGCGGTGCTTGAACGATCCAGGACTGGACATCCTGCTCTACCACTGTTATTCCCTGAAGTCACCTCCCTGGCACCCTTATATCTACCTTGGTAGTGGTCTTTTTTTTAAGGGGAGGGCGAGATATCTAAAGAGGAGGGCATAGCTACACGGAAGGCACACAGTCATGGAATAGGGAAGGTCTGCTCTGGACCGTCCTCACCTTACAGTGATGCAACGCAGCATCGAACATCTAGCCTGACTGGGCATCAGGCCCCAGTGACGTGATTTTAAAGCAGTTGATGCCTTCTCCTCAAGCTGCCAAATACCGAAGTGGATTTGCAATGTATTACAAGAGAATGATGAAAAAACACGCGCAAATACTTAGGTACATCTATGAGTTATATTCGGACCTCAGTATTGAAAGACAGGGATAGGGTAGACAGCAAGCAGTTAACTTGCGCTTAAAAGCCTTGTGGACAATAGCCTTAGTTAGTGGATGAACTCAAGCCATGACTTGATAGGGCCTCTTGGGCCGCGGGCGTGGGGCCATCCGGACTATCTCCATGCTTCAAGACCTTCTACTGCTCAAACTGATGAATTGAGTTGCGCTTGCCATGCTTTCCACGCTAGCCACGCCTGTAAAGAGCTTGCAATTGTCGATATGACGGCGAAAACAGTACACAGTAATGTGAGAAGCAGGATGACCACAGCTGTCCAGAAAGTTGACCACAGTTGAGGATTTCGTCGGTCTCTCCATAATTGGGTTATGCTCACGGGCGGCGACTGGTAGATCTCCTCATACACGTCGAGTAAACGAACCTTCCAATGTGGGAAATCAAGAAGATGCATTCTCCGGCCATGCTGGGGGGCTGCAATAATCTCGTGGAATGTTTGTCCCTCTCGTTTCAGGAAGGCTTTGGTGTGCTGATCCCAGAACGGGAACAAGAGGTCCAAAGTCTGAATCGTTTCTCTGATGACACTCAGAGGTATTGGGCACCTATAAAAGTGATAAACGTTAACGAACTCCAGGCTTTGGTCATGTTGTCCCGGGTGTGGTTTTAACTGACTTTCGGCCCGAAGGAGAGCCGGCCTCCGCTAGCAATGCACAAAGTGTTCTCTTATGGGGGAAAATCCATAGGACCTTTTGCTTATCCCAACGTTCGAGGCGCAGGTGATCCTCGAGGCTGGTTGTCCAACTGATCTTGAGGTCACAGATCTCAACCATATTTGCAACAGTAAACTGGGGATTCAGTCGTCGCTCTCTCGCACCCAGATCCCACTCCTCCACCGGGAACAGACTTCCTAGGAAGTGCTCGAGACTCTGGTCATCCTCCCAGTGAACTTCCGGAATAGATGTGCCAGATCCAGCCTCTCGCACGTTGATTTGGAGCCATAATCTCAACGTTGTATCAATTGATCGGTCGAGCTCCCAATCATTTACATTAAGGAGATCCATTTGTGACTTCAACATTGCACGTGCCTCGCGCCTATCACGATGTGCGTTGTCGCCAAGCATCAGAGCGAAGGTGAGCAACTCATCATGCGTCTGAGGAATTATCCCTGGTATTTGATCGGCCCCTGGTGGTAAGCTGGCCTTCAGCCACGAAAGCTCATTTTCATAAAAATCAAAGTAGTCTTGAAATGCCTCCAGACCTCCTTTCATCTCGAACGTCTCGCCGAAAAATGCCCTACCAATCCTGCCTTTTGTCTCAGCGTCGAGGGGCTGGGCAAGCGTTCCTGTCATAATTGATATTGCTCCTGGTGTGTCTGCCATTAGGACATAAAAGACCTTTTCGGCAATGCCTTTTGAGCAGGCTTCGTGCTTTATGGACGTCTGCCCACGCCTTTGGGGCGTCAGGCTAGACACAGCCCGTCACCAACAAAACTCCATGCACTTCATGCATTGCTTGTTCAAGAGGCCAATCAGCCTCGCAATTGCAGACTGTTCACCTCTGCATGCGCCCCGCGCACATGTGCCCCAATTATTTGCAGGAAGAAAAGTGATTGACCTGATTTGTGGCTCCAAACCATTCCCTGCTGCTGTCGTGACCGCTTAATGCCACTCTAAGCTCCCTGGCGAGTACCATGCATTACCGAGGACTGCCGGATACGATTCTGCGCGAGGCGATATGATAGGAGACATCGATTGAATTGAATTGCGATGGCCGTGTTGCTGCGCCTTCTTCTTCAGCCGAAGGCATACAGAAGGAGATCGTCTCCTCTGATATTCTCCTGACAGGTTTTGTCTCATCACGACCAGCATTAAGTAACAACTAAAGAGTCATATCACTGCAGAAGTTTCCAATTCCCGTCTGGAGATGGTTCAACGAAACCCACTAATCAATCGAGTATGGCACGGGATCATTGGCGATTTCTTCTCCCCTAAGTGGCGCAGAGACGCATCTTCTGCAGGAGATGTCGAGTCCTTGGCTGTGGAAACCGATGTCAAGTGCACCGTATGGTCAAACTCTCCAACTGCATCTGAAAAAGCCTCTTCCTGCGTCCCTGGAATGACGTCTTCGACTACCTCGACATCCTTCGAAGTAACGGGGGACGAGAGTTCGTCCAAAAAACCGCCCACCACAGAAGCTACATGCCATGGCGTTAACCATACCACTTCGCCCAACGCTCCACAAGCTTTCCTCGTTCAAGACACCTGGTTAAGGCCTTACATTGGTCCGGGAAAGAGGAAACCCGGCGAAGCTGAGCTCATTGAAGGAATCAGAAAAGAGTTGTCTTTGAGATGCAGAAGCACATCGGGCAGCTCTTTCAGCATCGAGATTTATGAGGCAGGACTCCGGCCCGAACTACTGGCTTTGTCGGTCCTTGTCTGGTGTGAAGGAGACGTTAACAGAAAGAAAGCACAGAAATATTTCCGAGAGGACCCCCGGGTTAAAAAGGAGCTTGCTTCGCACGGTCTCAAATACTATGTTCTGGAAAAGGCTCCAGCTTTGTCGGCTATGCCGCCTGCCATTCGCCGCCAGCTGCTGTGCCAGGTCGAGGGCATCTTCATATCGATCACAGAGAAGATCGAAACAACGTGCGGCCTTGATCTCGAATTGCCTGATGGAAAGAGATGTAAAGTCGGAGGTCTGATAACTGTCGATGGCTACCCATACCTTCAAGTCACTCGACACGGCTTTGATGCAAATCTGAGTCCTATAGACTCCACCAAGAATCTTGCAGCAAAGAATAAAACCATCATCGACGATGGTCCAGACGACAACCGGTCTGTGTATGAGAAGGCTATAAGTACGCTTCTAAGGGTGTTGTCAACCAGCTTACCGAGCCTCGAGACACCTACGAATCGACAAGTGAATACCACTTCACCCAACCTGAAAATTCATGGCTTAAAGGTCTTATGTCCCACGAAGCCGGTCATCGACGAGCATGTCTCAGGAGAGGTAAATGATCGGGCTGACTTCGACATTGCTCTCCTGGATCTGGCGGAGCTACCTGCAGGGATACTCCAATTGTTGCTTAAACCTAATCTGCTTGGCAAAGAGGCCATTCACGGGGTGCTACGAGAAGATTTCCACAACTGTGGGGCTGTTCCCGTCCGGTTGACTGGGAGTCAGCCTCTCTCAGGTCTACTTACGAATGCTCGTTCATGCTTGCAAGTGGGAACATCCGTCTTTGACGTCAAATTGATTACACTGGAAAAGAAAATCCGTAAGTACACGTCCTTCACATAAGTTGCCACAGCTAACCAATGACAAGCTCTAGGCTGGTCAGGAACGTGGGTCGTGGCTAACGGCAAATTATGTGGGTTCGTCGTCGCTGCGAGGACCGACTTGCCATGGGTCTATATGATTCCCATGCACGCTGCACTAGAAAATCTTAAAACTGGTCTCAGCACGGATGCGGTATATGTGCCAGATGCGTCAGAAGTGCTGCAACTGAGGAAGGAATTCATCGGTAAACGAACTGAAGCCTTGACCCAGGAAGGTGGAAATACACCAGTCGGTTTCTCGAAAACACATTCGGACCTCGTCCGCAACGCATCACGCCTCCTATCACAACATGTCAAGTTTCGTCCTCCTCCTAGATATGACATTAGTCGGATGTATCGTAAGGCTTATAATCGGCTTGTGGCTGATGATCGACTTCTAAGTCGGAGGGGACTATCAAGAGAGAGAAGCAGAGTATGGAAGGCCATTGGCTAAGCACGGCACCACACTCCAGAGATTATGTGAATCCCACACTCTACTAGTAGGGATTACCTGAATGTGACATCGGCACTAGTCCCAAAGCAATCGTTGACGAGTAGGACTGGCGAAACCTCATGGAATTACCTAGATAGTGAGGAGCAATACAAACTCAATCCACTACACCTACCGATGAGGGTTAACCAATCCAGAGGGATCTCCGAGTGATATACTTAGTAGGATTCCACAATTTCCGTCGATTTCTATGAGGTTTAGTAAAGGAGATGAACACCCTTCACTAGGAGGAGAAATCCAAACACCTTGAAACATCCATTTGAGACTCACTTGCTCCCAAAATCAATCTTCTGGCAACAGCCACAGGCTCTACAGCGCGCTGACTAGGCAATTAGATGGATATGGACGACGGCCATCACAGTTAGCATTACTGAGGGAGTTGATGGTGCACCAGATTGAATGGTTTTTCTTTTGATCGCGACGTTTGGGAAGGGGTCTTTTTCTTCCTGTGTCATATCATACATACATGTTACCCCTCTGGCGATCATCTTGTACATACATATATGTTTCCATAATCTGGTTGTCCGCATAAATAGAGGTACATACTCGAACAAATTCCTCTGCTCTCCCGTGGAGCAGAAACCATGAGATCTCTTTTGATCCAGGATCAAGCAAGTCTCCTTCCACCGTATCTTGTACACCCGTAGATCCTTCCTCCAGTCAAGATAATTAATTAGTACATGAACAGATCTTCTCACAACCTCCCCGCCTCCACTCCGTTAACACCCCCAGCAACCCTCTCCACAAGACGCACACACTCCTCAGCATCAACCCTCTCCTCGGGTCTCCTCCTCACCGCAGACTCAAGCACCCTCTCAACGACGCCCCCGCGCGGAACCCTCAGCCCACCATCCCCATTCCTGACGAGACCGAGGACACCCCAGCCCTGTGTCGCCATAGCCTGCCGTTGGAACACGCTGCCGGGATAGACGAGCAGCTGGCCGGTGGCGGCGACGAGCAGCGTCACGGCGAGGCTGAAGACGTCGGTGGCGCGCGTGGCTGTCGAGCTTGGGTCGCGCAGCACGCTCGACGACAGCAGTTCCGGCGCCGTGTATTCGCGCGTTATGGCCGAGAGCGTGTTGGGTGTTAGTGGTGGGTGCGGTGTTTGTGGGGTGGGGAGGAGTTGGGATGACGAGAAGTCGGTTAGGATTGGCGCGTAGGGGAATGAGGATTCGGGGTCGGGTTGGTTGTTGGATGATGATGGTACTGGTGATAGTAGGACGTTGCCGGGTTTGAGGTCGCCGTGGACGACGCCGGCTTCGGTGTGGAGCCACGCGAGTGCTGTGGTGAGTTTGTGTGCGAGGTCTAGCCAGCAAGTCGTCGATCCGAGGACTGGCTCTGTCGATGTCCAGTTTGATGCTTGCTCGGAGGCGCGCTTCCGGATGTGGTCTTCCAGGGAGTAGGGTATTGCTCCCAGCACCAGTGTCGAGTGGTCGATCACGCCATAGAAGGGTACAACGAATCGTTCACTGTCTGGGAGGGTCTGTAAGTAGCCCAGGGTTTTGGCTTCGCTGCGCAGGATCTCGGTTGCGTCGCGACGGTTGGGCTTCTTGACAGCGACCAGGATGGGATTTGTTTGAATAGGTGAATGCGGTGGTGTGATAGTGCGGCTCAGTCCTCCATGGCCGAATTGGGTTGTGGGGCTGTTCTGTTGTTTCTTGTGTGTTGTGGCTTTCAGCACGATGCTCCAGGCTCCGGAGCCGAAATAGGCATCGCGGCCTCGGTCGTCTTTCAAAATTTCGATCTTGAATGGGCACTCTAGAGCTTCAGAGGCTGGTGGTGGTTGGCGACTGGTCGTGGAGAGGATGTCCGTATGCAGGGGCTCAAGGTGTCCGTGTCGTAATTTCTGATCGGTCGATAGGGTTTGAGATTGTGGTGTGGGTGAGTAAGTGGCAATGTCTGTGTTGGTTGGTGAGAGTCGGCTATCTCGTGGTGATGTCGGTGGGGTGAGATGTGATGTTGAATGGTACGTCTGTTGCTTGATAGGAGTATTCATGGCGGTAGAGCTGCTCAAATTGGGAGTTGGTGGAGGTGTGCTCAAGGCACGATTGACCAAAGACGGCCGGCGGGGAGTAGACATTGTCAAGAAATGACTCTCGTCCAATGTTTGAGCCAGTGGGTGGGGCGATTTTCTGAAGCTGTTGGTGTCAAACAGAGTGATATGGTGATGAACGTGGCAGTTACAGCAATTGTCATATGAAAGAGTCAAAGGTGAGATGGACAGCGGAGGATTTGATCAAATCCATTTTCTCTCTCGCACTTTTGTCGTGCGGTGGGCAGGCAATATTTTATTGCTGTCCCATGAAACCGGGACTGATAACAAGTCTTGATTGGTGAGTGCGGCGGAAGATGCCTTTTGAGCCTTATCAATGAGGCTGTGATGGTGACTCTGATATCGAGGGGTGGCAGTATAGAGGTCCGACACCAGGCAAGTATCACAGATCGAAGTCAAATGCAAAATGCACTTTAATAGCTCTGGCAGTAATGGCTTCTGAGTGTGGTGACCAGGCTGCCAAACACGCCGTACTGGTGACCTTAGGAATGTGGTCGTTGAATGGAAGAGCGCAAAAAAAAAACCACTCCACCCGCTTTCACCTCGAAGGCGCAACAGAACCCTGAAAATCGCGAAAGGACAGCAACGACAGTACCTTTTTCAACGGAAAAGGAAGACAAGAACGAAAATCTGGGGAAGTGAGTGAGGTAGAAGTAGCTATTTTACAACTGGACAGGAAAAGAGCGGAAGGTCGAGGAAGTGGATGAGACGGGAGGGAAGACAGGTTAACTTGGGGAGGGGCGTGATGGCCAAACCGGCGAGGGACCGTTGAGTCACCCACTACTGGCATGATAAGATGAAGCGACGGGATAACTAGATTGGAGTAATAGTAGTATCTGCCTATCGGTACTAGTGAGAGGTAGTATCTACTTCGTACGACCGGGGAGATGGAAATGGGGATGGGATGCTCTAAGGAAGGGCAGGTAGTAGCCTAGCAAAAAAAAGTGAAGTACGAGGTAACCTTTCTCTCATTATTGCCGGCCGACGAGATCGTGACGTGACATCAATCAATCAACTGAACGAGCCGCATCCGCACCCGCACCACTGGGGAGAAAGTGAAAAGAAAACGATAGTAACTTCTTAGGTCTGGATTGGGTTTCCCCGCCAAGGGGAAGGAGGGAAGGGGGGTTTCGAATTAGATAATCTTGCTGCAGACAGGCAGTCTGAGCCTGAGCCTGTCACTTGTCAGCAACTTGAACAAGCAACTGCAATGGGCGGATAAGTGCCGGTTGCCAAAAGCTTCAGGGCGTATGGGTGCACGGAGTGGCTGTTCGTGCCGGTGGGATTGGTTCGCGGTAAGAACCCAGGATCCTTGACCAGTTCCAAAATCTTAATATGGATGGCGGCAAAGGATGGGATCCCGGATACGTGACGCCCTTGATTGATCACGCGTGGGTTAGAATTGAAATAGTTACGGAGGGCTCGGTACATCCACGAGATCAACTTGAAGTGTGAAGACGTCGAGGCTCCAAAGCCCAAGGCCCAAGGCTCAACGCTCAAGCACGTTCCTGATAAGTTATCGACGCCATGTGCCTTCATATCTCGGCAAAGCAATTAGACTTTGATAGTCTTGGACTAACGAAGCCAGCCACGACTATGCTGATCCTCGACAGGATTACGAGTACAGTTCACCAGCCACCTCGACATCAAGTCTCCATCATCCATCATCCATGACCAAATCTATTGCGATAACAGAGCCTGATCCCGAGTACAGACAACTCATACTAATTCTTATACGTCAAGCACAGGCACGACTCCGGTCCATTCACCACGTGCCCTTTCCTCCCAATAGCCCTCTTTACCAGCCTTGAGCCTCCAGATGACTTCGCCCCCCATCTCCACCGGTGTAAACCACCGCGCTTTCCACGTCTCGCCCGCTTCTTCCATTTCTCTTCGTCTGGCTCGCTGTGCTTCCTCCAATTGATTCTTGAGTGATTCGGCTTCATCGTGATCCCCCCTTTCCAGAGCTTGCTGGTCCGGTCGGAGCCGGCTATCCGTCTCCGGGAGTCGATTCCTCTCCACATCCGTGATCTCATTCAACTGCGCTGCAAAAAGTGGCATACCGTAGTGTTTCGGTGCTTGGTCCACCAGAGCTCCTGCCGACCATATATTCGACTGTCCAATCTTGCCGGGCTCCTTCAACTGGAGTGCAGTCGTCCATGTCCCGTGGAGATTGATTGCTAGATCCTGCCCGTTTGCATCAATGGTTTGAGTCTCGACTTCTTCACTGCGGCCCGAGAACATTCCTTTGGCCTTGAATGAGGCTACAGCCTTGGCTCCTGTCGTCTCGTTAAAAACCGTCATGGTTCCCACCGGCTCAACGTATTTCTCGCCTGCGATAATGTTGCGTAAAAAGCATGTGGCTGCTGACCACGAAAACACTTCCCCTGTACTGTGTAGAACAAGGCGTGCTTTCCCTTCGGTAATAATTTCCGACGATTTGCCCCAAAACTTTTGCGACGGCATAGGTGATTGTGTGAATGTCCAGTCCTTGGACTCGGCGTGGAATGCAAGCTGAACAGGTCGGTGTGATACCTTTTCTGCAATGAACCGAAATCCTCGATCTTCGCGCACTAATTCATACGTCTCCCCAAGCATGGGATTGAATGGTTTTCGAATAGACCTTTCCTTGACACGTGCCCCCGAGAGAGCAGACAGAGCAAAGGCCGTTACATACATCAATCGTTCAAAGGTGTCGCCGCTCTTAACTGCACTATCCAGTAATTGTGAGTATTCCAATTGCTCCGCGGCTTTTTGAAGAAGGGACAGCGGCTCGTTGGCCGAAACTGGCATCGAAATGGTCGACAGATCCTTGCCCACATTCTTCCTCAAGAATCCAATTAGACTTGGTGGCATAATGGTTGGGGCAGCGACAGTCTTCCGCCTTGAGACAATCTCCATGGGCAGGGGAGTCAATGTTTTGGCACGAGGTGGAAGATACGACGAGAGACTGCCGGATCTTCTCTTGCCCGCATCCAGTGAATCTTCACCAATATCACTGCTGGTGGCAGAATCCTCATCTCCTCCAACCGCTTCATCATAACTCTCTTCTCGATCAGAATCACTGTGTATGTTGAGCAGTCCCTTGTCATCTTCGGCATCAAAGTATTCCTGCGACTCAACAGACTGCAGGCTCATCCTTGACACCGCAGATCTAGGCGGAGCAGTACGTCGGATCTTGTTCTCCGTTACCAAACTGGAGAATTCCGAAACCACCGAGTCCAAATCGTGCAAGAGAGCCTTGCAATGATCGTACATGCTTTCCTCATGGTGCATATGAGGCCGAGTGGTTGAGTTGGCCGGTGCAGCTGGAATTCCGTTTCTCAGGAGATTCTCCACTCCAGGTATAGGGACGGCCAATTGCGCCGAAACGCTACGTTTGAAAATACTGGCTTGGGTGGCACTGGAACTGGGTTTTCGTTTCCAGAAGGGTCGCTTGTCATCCTGTCTGAAATAATCTTCACTCGGGCCATCAGTGGGAGTGGTACTCTGAGATGCTGGTCCTAGTCTCGGTGACGCCGAGGGAGCGGGAGTAGACAACGTGTCTATGCATAGGCGACGCACTGCATCTCGAGTGCCTGATATCCTGCTTAATAAGGTTTCAAGCCGAGCCCATTCTTGGTCGTTCACCGCTGATGGTCGGTCTGCCATTCCTCCATTCCCAGTCTCAATATGTAGACCATCTGCTGGAGTGGATGATTCAAGCATCAAACGTGTAGCAGTAGCCAAGGCCGTCTTCCAAGCCTCGAAATCTCCGACATTGTTGGCTTTGAGGTGCCAGATCTCCGCGCCCGAATCGATCGAAATCTCACGAGACTTTGAATTGGCGGCAATCGCAGCCAGAGAAAGTGGAATGGCGCCTCGGAGAGCTGAGGAATTACGATCGTGGTAGTACGAGAGTGTGGAAGATGTATAGTCCAAGCAGAAGAAGCGACGGGCATAACCCTGATGCTTCTTCCTTCTCCGTTTCTGTAAGACACCGGTGTGAATCGAGGCCGAATCCTCACCAGCTCTAGCACCCTCAGAAACAGCAGCAATGCTTGCCGGGACGGAATGGCTCAGTGAAGCTTGTCTCAGGGAGTCGACCGATTCTTTGTCTCGAGCCTTGAGCTTAGGGCTTCTCTTGAACATGGGCGCATTTCCCGCCGCTATGGCCATGGCAGAAGCCATTGCTTGAGAATGGTGCATCTGGGCACCGAACTGGATCTGCGACTGACATGCCGTAGGATATGTGAAGAGAAAGACAGTGGCGGTTTTGGAGATGTTTTTGGAAAACGTGTTGTCAAATACCAGAGCATAGTTTCCGCCCTGACCTAAGGGGACTTCATAAATGCCCTGGGAGACCTTATCGGCTTCACATTTGCCTACCCAGCGAACTTGTTTCAGGCCAATACTGGTCAGCTTCTCGATGGCGGTGGAATTAGCCTCGCTTTTGTCTTCATCCGCAGCCGCAGGGTTGGGCGAGGGTGGTGGGAGAAGGGAGATTTGTGAAGCATGGAGGACGGATTGAGGGCCAGGGTGCTTGAAGAGGCCGAAGTTGATGGACTTTTTGTGAGGTTGGACAGTCCACGAAATAGTCTGTTCTTGCTTGACATTGACCCAGCGGACCAGGTAGTTCTTTGATTTGTCGAACAGTGGTCAGCTAAAACTTCTTCACACAGTTGAGGGTACATGTGGCATCAACATACTCGTGAATGCACCTCGATCTGCTCAAGGCCCGCCATTATATCCAAGTTGGGGGTTTTGGGAAGTTCTCAATACATAGTATGTTGAGGGAGTCAATTGTCGAGTGCTCGGTAGTGAATATCGAATTGACTGTGTCAAAGAAATGCGCCACAGGGGACGAGTATCCAGGTACCGTTGTTCAGGTTGCGGTCCTCGTACTTGAGGGTGGTTGGTGGCAGTGGGCAGCGGTGCCTGGTGGAAGTCGCAGCGGACTTTCCGGACCGAGATAACAAGAGGATCAAAGTCATAAACCGGTGAATATGCTGGCCGTGATAGTAGAGAGCGTGCTAAGATCTTAGCAAACGTCAGCGTCACTTCTCGTGTCGTGTAGTGTGAACCTGGAAGTGGATGAGGGACGTGTAAATGCCAACTGGCCAAGTAGAGGTACTCGTACTCCTGGTTATTTTTATGCAAGGCGGGGGCGGAAACCCTTCCAAATAATAGCCGAGAGCATGGTCTGCTTCCAATGCTTCGAGTAAGTGTCGCCGCTTTTCATTTTGATTACTCGTACAGTGCCCTTGCAGTAGTAAGAATATCTCGTGGTCTATCTACCTGGTGCCCAGGTAGTAGTGACGATGGAGGCTACCTGGTCAAATGCCCTCCTGAATCCTTCGTTGGTACGAAGATAAAATCGTCACCAGCGATTAATCCTCTGGTAGATCATCATAATAATACATCTCCTCCCTTGCAGTAGACCACCAAAAGCCACTATGAAATCCTGTCTATCTTGCGTCCGATATTGACTTCTTCGGCCGCTTGCTCCGTACTGTCTCTTCCTTGGGCTCCTTCTTGCGTTTCGTGCCTCGCGAACTTCCACCTTTGGGACGATAGCCACCATCATTGTCACGTTCACGTTTGCGTTTGCCTCTCGCAGATCCTCCTTGGTCGACAGCAATTCCATCATCGTCGTACAACTCCGGTTCTTGTTTCAAGGCTTCTTTGCCCGCCGACTTTCGAGTTGAAGTTCGCGATCCTGTTGCTCTTGATGGCTTTTCGGGTTCGTTGTCTTGTAGGAAAACCTGTGGCTGGTGTCTCCTCAACCAGTTGTATACTGAGACGGAGTTCTTGAGCTGCATCTCACGTTCCCGCTCAATGGTTCGTTCCGCAGTACGGCTGCCCAGATTCCCCGCCGCATGTTGCCGTGGGTTGGCATAGGTTCGATCGAAATATCCATCCAAAGATTGCAGGTACTGATCCTCCTCTTTGATGGAAATGTATCCAATAGGACGGTCCTTGCTTGATTCCGATCTTTCAGCTTGAGGGAGTAGCGGTCCTACAGTCGCCAGTAACGAAGTGTATGATTGACTGGGAGCAAAATCTTCGGATTGCAATAGGGACTGTTCGATGGCCTTAAACTCGCCAGGAGTGATTTGTTTGTTTTGTAGCTGATGTCGCGCTTTGAGTAGCCGGGAATGCCCTTCTTCTGCATCGATGGTTTCCTGTGCGACCGAGGTAGACGAGCCCACATGCCCAGGAGGTTTCAAATCGTAGCGTAGAGTTTTGGGAACCTGCGGTCGGGAGTTGAGATCGAGAAGCAATTGAAGTAATTGACTACATGTTCCGGTTAGTGAGGTCGAAATGGCATACTGATGGGAGGGTGCCTACTCTGTCTGCTCTGCAAGGCGTTGTGCGATGTCCTGAATTCTTTGCTCTTCCTTGAATAAAGTGTTGCTCTCTCTCATTTTCTCTTCAAAAGTGACCATGATTTTGCGATATTTTCGTCTGCAGCCAATGGTAAGTAATCTTCAAAGACTTCGAGGTGGCCTGGTGCTACCTGTAAGACTTTCGCGATCCCGAAGGTTGGTCTGGAACAGTTGGCGGCTCCATCACAGGCGCGTCAGAGGTGTCTGCTATGGACATGACGGGGACGATGGTGTGGATGTATTGCGGATGATTTATGGCATGGGAGGTCTCTGTAGGAACTTGAGAAATAGATGTTGACTACAGATGAAGGGGACAGCAGGAGAGGGCGGGCTGCGCGTTAGAGTAGGTTGCTGGAAACAGGTGACAGGTGGAATTCTGACGATCGGATACCATTCCCGCTTAACTCCCGAGGCCCCCGATTTCTGCCCTACCTCCAAGAAAAATAAAAAAAACGTTTACGATGACCATTTCACCACCGAGTCCGAAATTATATTGTTCATGAGATAGGCGAAGGCAACCAGTGGGTAATCAAAAAGAAGTCTAAGGACTTGAAACTCTCCAACATGAGTGTCACAGAACCAGCAAGTGGCCAAGAGCCAAAGTCAAGGAAAAGAAATCTCGAGGCTGCTGAAATTGAGATCGATGTTGATGCTCCTGAGCCACCTTCCAAAAAGTCTCTGCGGAAAGCAAAAAAGTCGTCGGCTGGGAAGACTTCAGACGAGACACCATCAAACAATAAGCCCTTAGCTACACCACCCAAGGATTCAAAAGACGCCAAAACAGACAATAAACGCTCAGACTATGGTATCTGGATCGGGAATTTGTCTTTTGGTACCACTAAAGACGACTTGATGAAGTTCTTCACCAGTGAATCCACCAATACCATCTCCCAAAACCAGGTCACAAGAATACATCTACCTCTAGGTCAGCCGAAGTTTGGAAAGCCTGCCAACAAAGGCTTTGCCTATGTAGACTTCATTGATGCCTCAACCCTTAAGTCAGCTCTAGAGTTCAGTGAAGCTTTACTGGGTGGACGGAGGGTTCTCATCAAGGATGCTAGAAATTTCGAGGGAAGGCCGGAACCAAAGAAGGATGAAAAAGTCTTGCAGGGCAAGGCACCTAGCAAACGGGTCTTCATCGGTAACCTGGATTTTGATACTACCGCTGAAGATCTCGAAGCTCATTTTGGCCGATGTGGAACCATCTTAAACACTCATATAGCTACATTTGAGGACAGTGGAAAGTGCAAGGGTTTCGCCTGGATCGAGTTCGAACAACTCTCGTCCGCAGAAACTGCCATGCGAGGCTGGATGGAAGCTCGAGGAGCAGAATCAGCACAAACCAGAAAACAGGGCAATGGTCAACGGAGAATCTGGCTGCACAGTTTGAAGGGAAGAAAGCTGAGAATGGAGTTTGCTGAGGACAAAGCCACTCGATATCAAAAGCGATTTGGCAAAGGAAGTGCTTCGGCTGCTGAAGGCGGCGACGCTGCAACCCAAGAACAGGAAGCCCCAATTGAGGAAGTCGACGAAAAGCCTCGGCGAACGACAACGAAGAAGCCCCAGAAACAAAATTCATACGGGACCAAGTATGCGGACGAGACGGTTCAGAGGCTTACTGGAGCGATTGTAGAAGGAAAGGGTCAAAAGGTTGTGTTCGACTGATTGATTTGCATAAGTCTGTCCATTACAACACCAGGCGGCTACCAAACAGTCCGCTATCACCAATGGCGTTGATGTGGCCTGTATTTCCGTACCTAGGTAATGATTATTTTCACATCCTGGATCACTCGGCGCAGAGGGCCACATAGGTACGAGTACCTTGGGTGGTGTGTAACTGATAGTCAGGCGGTGGCGTGGAGAGGCCGGGGCTTGGCGTGATGAATCACACGTGACACGAGAATCCAAAATCTGGGGCAGTTCCATCCTTCGCTTCGTTTCGCATCGATGGTATTCCCAAGACTTGGAGTTGGACTCGAGACTACAACTCCATCTACTCATCTACTCAGTCTCTTCGACATTATTACGCTTCTCTGCCCTTCATTAAATCATCCCACTTTAGTCCTGTTGATTTCTTGTTCCCACTCTACCACGAAATGACCGCATAGCTTTGCTTCTCCATCCTATACCACCCGCTGGCATCTGAAGCCCTTTGATTCTTCATCGAGCGGAGACTCGGTCTTTGAAAATCGAGGATGATTTCATCCCCGCCCGTTTAATACTCCTCTCTCACACGGTCCACACCATTCCCTTGGTTGTCGGAACCATGCCTGCTCCCCGAAGAAAGAATCTCATTGCTAGTAGACGCAGGCGACAAGACGATGGTGAAGAAGATGATTCTGTTGTCGGTGACTTTGACGATGACTCACTGAGTGAAGCCTCTGCAATCAGCAATGGCGATGGCCCGGATGCTGTGGGCAGTGATTCCAGTGATGACGGACAAGAATTGGTGAGGCATGATCAACAATCTGCGACAAATGTTGCCAAACACGAGCATGACGAATTGAAGCACCCGGTCCTAGCACCTGAAAATCAATCCGCGGTAAATGGCAATTTCAAACCGTCGGCAGAGACTCAAGCTCTACTGCATGGAGTCAAAAGCTCTGCAGAGTCACAGTCCATTGAGGAGATTCATTTCAATGATCTGCCCCCATCGAATGAGAGTGCTCCAGCACCAAGTCAAGTAGCTGTGCCAACTGCTCCCCGAAATGAGACCTTCGCGCAAAGAGCTCGCCGAGAACATCAAGAATACATTCAACAACGGAATGCCAACCCGGCCTTTGTTCCCACAAGAGGTGGATTCTTCCTTCACGACGATCGAAATGCCGGTGCCAATGGTCCTTCAAGAGCTACTATACGTGGACGGGGGCGCGGCTATAGCTCGGTGTTACAAGCAGGGTAAGTTGCTTGACATTTATTTGGATATGTGCCGCATTTACTGACGGAGTGCAGACGAGGTGCCAGTTTCAACGAACCCACGGACAAGCCTTGGGCGCATGACCTACATGAACGGCACGAAGCTGCACCCAAGCCAGACCCCAATGCAGTCAGGAGTCTTGGTGACCATGTAGAAGAAAAGGATAGTAAATCACCTGCTCCTGGAGCACCCAACAGATCTTTCTCTTTTGTTACCGTGCGGGGAAATGTCACAGTTCAAATCTCGATTCCTGGCATGGAGCAAAAGAAGTTGGTTTCCAGTGTGGTCAAAAGGCAACATACCCTCCTTCCACAGCATCGACCACCTTTGAGAAGGGATAAGCCTGTCAGAGTCTCCATTCCAGACGAGGCACCACGATACATTTTCCCGAGCACCGAAAGGTCTTTCATTTTCATTCCTCGGGCACTGCGACCGAATCAGCAATATGCTCGTGGACGTGGAAGGGGGAGTTTCCACGGAAGTCGTCGGCCAAGTATGTATGGAAGTGCATACACTCCAAGCATTGCTATGAGTCGAAAATCGTCGCTCGGTGGCTCAACCGTTATGCGAGACGGAGTTCGATCACCAGCCGAATCGGTCATGTCTCGTATGGGTATTCCTGGTGTGGAGGTCCCTCGGCCGATTGTGAGGATGCCATCAGCTGTACCTACGCCGACCTTATCTCGCACTGGCTATCCTTTGATGAATGGCAACGCTAACTTGGGCATGTCACCGAGCCACATTTTTGCCCCTACAGCTTACGGAAGCCATTCTACGGCGATTCCCATGCATCAGCCTCGGCCTCAGAAGACGGTGTCTGTCGCCGATATCGAGTCACCAAGGACATTCCCTTACAAGGCACCTCTCCAACAGCTTGAGCAACCGTTCCATCATCAAGTACCTCCACATATGGAGGAGAGACCAGCTCAACAACAGACGATGATTACAGCCGCTGGACCTACACCTCTGTCGCAAATTCCCGAAGGTGCCGTCTATGCTCCAGGATTTCAGCCATACCCTGCGATGGGTGGGCCTCCATACTTTGGACCCAGCTATGGCAGTGGGCCTGTGTTCTATCCACCTGTTGCCGATGGCACAGCGTATGGTGTCCCTATGGGCGGAGGTTCGGCTCTGGCACCTAACTTTGTACCTGGATCTCAAGCTCACCATGGGGGTTACCTCGGGGCTTCGACACTTATGGAGAGCGGAATACCACCGAACATGGTAGCTCACGAATCCAACGGGATGGTCTACTACTACAATCCACCCATGTTCGCACCTGGATCACAAGGCGGATTTCCCGTGGCTGCCAATGGACACATGGTGCCAATGAACAATGGTATCCCTGGACAGCAGCAGCCATTCTACTACTCTTCGATGCCCACTGGCATGTTCTATCCAGGACAGACCGGTTGATCAGTATCTTGTTCGACCACCGTTTGCGTAATAATGTTTTTGTCCCAGGGTTGATTAGCGGGGCATGGGGCTTCGTGTGCATTTTTGTGGAGCGAGCGGGTTTTGTGTTTTGTGGAATTCCCTTTGGTGTTGTGGAGTAATTCATGGTTTGAGAATCCTTCTTGAAATGGATCGGTTCGAGATATCCTTGTTTATATTCTTTATGTATATTATCTTGCAGTCACAAAAGGAAAAACATTCATCGATGACTGTCGGATTGAGTATCACAAAAGTCTTCAGAGACCAGTGTCATGCAGTGTTCAGAGGGGGAGAGAGAAGGTAACAGGTTACTTGGAGGGCCCATCAGCTGTAAGGGTTGGAGGAGTTTAGTGCCCAAGGCTGATTTATTGTACGGTGGCAGCGGCAGAAACAGTGACAGATTGATTATTAGAGCCTGGGACAAGGCTGGATTTGGCAGATGGTGGATAGAACTATGGACGGCTATTAGCTTGCCAGGCAATAAAATGAAAGCATAGCTGTTCAGTTCCACCTCTGAGCTATGGCTACAGAACAGAGGACAGACTGGAAGTCAATAACAGTAACTTTGAACCCGCACGCCTTGTCTGGCTGCTTTGTAAGACCATGCGTGATAGAATAACCGGTGAGAAGCAAGACTGCCTCGTCTAAGCGGTCAGAAAAGAGGACGAGTGTTTGATGGTGCCTGGATGGCCGGCCACTGCCACTTGGATTATCACTGAACCACTGACACTCGCATTATCGCATGTCACGTGGACCTGGGACTTCCCCGCCCCGCCTGGAACCTTGAATTCGTCATTATCATTCGTGCTCTCACCACCGACCACTGGCAGGGCAGCTGCGTTCCGTAACTCTTCCGGTGCAGTGATGGTGACTGGTGACTGCCTAAACTCCTCCTCTTCCAACTCGACTTGAACCTCGCATCTCCGTCTAACTCACCTCCACCTCCACCATCACTCATCTCTTCACCCATCTTCCTTCCCTTCCTCTTCGTCATCACTACTGGTTCATAGTGATCTTCGGTGAAGTGCCTGTGGTGCTCACTGCCTTATGACTCTTTATTCTTGATTGACTTGTTATCGAGGATACCTTTCTTTGCATCTTGCCCGCTCTTTGGCTCTCCAACTTCTCGACACCGCCTAGCCACCACCTGGATCACCAATCATGGCCACTCCTCATCCGAACCACGCACATCCTGGCCCTGTCGGCCCTGATACCTTGATCACTGTCAAGGTCATCATCGATGGTACCAATCGAAGATTCAAACTCGCTCTGCGTGATCTCGGTGCCAACACCCTCCCTCTCAAGGTACGATTAACACGATAACCCGTCAGCCTAACCGCTTCTCCAAATCCCAGCACCACTACATTACAACCACCCCCCTCGGGTTGTCTCTATCTCACAGATTCTCAAGCTGACTCTTGCTTCTTGTAGCTCCGTCTTCTACTCGCCATTCCTGCCGAACACGAAGTTCGATTCGACCGCTTCTCCGACTCGGCCGGAACCTACGTTACACTTGATAGCAACAATCCTGCCATCTACAAGCAGCTATACCGAGCAGCAAAGGCAAAATTGAAGTTGCGATTGAAGGCTACAATCACCAAGCCTGTCAAGATGGAGAAGACCGAGGAAGAGCCCATCGACAACAATGAAACAACCCCAACGAACGCCTTGTATACCTTGCCAGCCAACAATTCGACCAAGCCTATGCACAGTTTCTTGGATACTGTCCTATCACAACCCTTGAACAACGGACCTGCACCATGCTTCAAATCATTCCAGCAGACATGCTCATATTCTCCGAGATGTGCTATTCCAGGGGCCTTCCATCCATCCGCGAGCACCGAAGTACCAGCCAAAGTTCCTCAAGCCCCGACCGGAGACCTTTTCAGTCTTCCCACTCTACCTTCATTGAACGACTTCCCCTTGACCACCTACAGCATCGACTGCAATCACTGTGGAAAGTCCGTGCCCAATGAACATTACCATTGTAGCATTTGTGAAAATGGAGATTTCGATCTTTGCAAGGCTTGTGTTGACAACGGTGTTTACTGTGATGGCGATGAACACTGGCTCATCAAGAGAACCATCAAGAGTGGCGTGGTGGTCCCCAGTGTCACAGAGACTCTGCCTCCAAAGAAATTGGCAAAGGCTGCCACCGCCGCTTCAGAGGAAGTCGCAACCCCAACTGATCAAGAGATTGATGAGGATGAGCGCACCTGCAACTGCTGCATCAACCGTAAGTCCCAAATCGTACTCTCAGCTTTCATTCTCTAACAATCTGGACAGAACTGAATGCTCGTGAATTTGTCACCTGCAACGATTGCCCGGATTTCGACCTTTGCTTGAACTGCTTCGCCGAAGGTGAGCATGGACACGATCCTTCACATGCATTCCACGAGACTATCGAAAACTCGGTGGACGTCAAGATCAAGGCTCTGTGTGCGCCAGGCCGTGGTGTCAATCATGCAGCTATTTGCGATGGTTGTGACAAGGTAAGCAACTGGACTCGGCTGAAGACCATATTACTGACAGACACCATAGGGTATCGTTGGAGTGCGTCACAAGTGCTTGAGCTGCCCAGACTTCGACTACTGCTCCGAATGCGTTGGATTTGCCTATGCATGGCACCCCGGCCATCGGTTCGCGGCTTTGTATCGTCCGCTTGCGAACCTGGACGTTGCCAAGGAGATCCATCGTGGCATCTATTGCGATGGGCCCTTGTGTAAGACATACAAGAAGTACATCCGCGGCGATCGTTACAAGTGTGCCATCTGCCACGATACTGATCTGTGCGCCAACTGCGAGGCCCTTCCCAACGGGCACAATGCCACTCATCCATTGATCAAGATGAAGAAGTACCTCAGTCAATTCTCCATCACCACCAAAGAGGTCACTGGATCAGGCCAGGAAGTTTCCCTTGGTGACAAGCCTCTTGCCAAGCATGCCGCTACAGAAACGACCAGGTGCACGTCCGCCAACGCTGCCACTCAAGTTCAAACCGTGGCCGAGGTCAAACCTGCTGAAAGTGCACCCGTGGTAGCTGAAATACCAAAGGCAGACACATCCACCCCCAACAAGCTGAACGTAACTGATTTGCAAGCCTGGTATGTATCAGACTCGACTCCAGATGGGACCAAGATTCCACCCAACCATCTCGTCTCACAGTCATGGACTCTGCGTAACCCAGGACCAGAGGCTTGGCCTGCTGGATGTGCTGTCTACTACATTGGAGGAGATGATATGCGCAACCTGGACAATGTGCACCCATCCAGTGTCAGTAACATGGTTCTCGCCAACCGAAGCAATGTTCTTGCACAAAGTCTCGAGCCAGGCCAAACTGCCGTCTTCACGGTGATGGTCAAATCGAAGCGTCATGAGGGACGGTCCATCTCGTACTGGCGCCTCAAGACTCCCGGAGGCGTTCCGTTCGGACACAAGCTTTGGATCGACATCCAAATCCAAAGTGTTCCTGTTGAGCTGCCCATTCGATCGGCACTACTACCTCCGTCACCTGCCAGTGTTGAGACTGAAGTCGAGGTCAAGGAAGAAGAGCAATCCCAGTCCAGCTCGATTATGATTTTCCCCAAGCTTGACAAGGAGTCTCCTGTTTCGAGCACTCACAACATCAGTGCCGTTGACACTGAAGAGTCTCCTGCTGCAGTGATGGAGCCTGCCATGAAGACTGAGGAGCAAGAGCTTTTGGAAGACGTCGAGAGTCTTGAACTAGAGGAGTCTGAGAGTGAAGACGAAGCCTTCCTCACGGACGAAGAATACGATATTCTTGATGCGGACGATGAGGACTTTCTTATCGGCGGCAAGTGAGATGAATCGATCCCATGAGCTCTATGGGCCTATGTATTGAGTATTGGACCTTGTCCAGATGGCAATCCTTCAGTGGAAATTCCACCTCCACAGAACCACTGGAGTGGGTCAACAGGCAAAACTCACGTGGAGGAATCTTGGATTAGTTTGACCTACGGGCGTGATTAGGAACGGGAAGGCCGGGGAAATGGTTCTTGTTTCTTATGATAACTCAATCGAATACGTTTTGACGTGAACCGTACTCGTAGATGCTGATCCTATAGAGACCGCGACTTTTTTTGTCGACTAATGTCAGATGGGGGTTGCAGTACCTAGGTACTCACCCATGGGCAGGCACTTTTAGAGACTCGGGGTAGAGTGGCACCCAAAATGATCTGCTGACTTGGGAGTGATGACTGGCCTTTGGGCCACATCCTCGGCCGCTGATCACGCGTGAGAGCGTGATTGACCTAAACGACTAGAGCATGAGGACGTATAGGGTTGTCAATAGTGGATGGTACTTGTGCAGTCTTAGTATGATCGGCCAAGTGCTGTCTCCCAAAGTCTATCCACTGCAGGTGAAGGGTCTTTTGCAGACATGAACTGCGGGTGCTCCATTTAGTTGACTCCAGCAATTCCATTTACGCCAGTTACTCCAGATCTGGTGCGGGATGACATGGTGGCTAGCGGGCAGACCAAAGCACATGCGTTGGCAAGAAACTCTGCGTGAGCCACTGACGACGGGAGAGAGGGACCGAGGACCTCGCCCGAAGGTTTTCCCCCACCCACCATCTCTAGCCTTGGACTGCCTAACTGAACAACCTAAAACGTCGTACCAAATAGGCTGTCACCCACTACAATTCGACTGCAGTTTACTGGCATTACCTCCATCTCACTCCCCACAGATTCCAACTATTGGTGCCTGCAGGCAACTTCACTCAACCTGGGCCGTTCATCAATCAACGTTCGTCTCCATTCACCGCTCCATCGCTTCACTTCACTTCACTGCCCATTCTTCTTGAATCATTCAATCTTTCTATTCAAGAGGACCTCACCCCCACCAGAGTCACAATTTTTCGCCTCCTTGACAGTACTTAGGGAGCCAGTTCAATCAATCAACCCACATGGAATTTCGACGACTTTCACATCTTCCACATCGAGCCTCACTACCCAAAGGGTGACATCACATTCGATTGCGTTGAATTAATTTCGACGGAAAATTTCCTGGAGAGGGACACGATTTCCAATAGAAGAATTGAAGCATTTTAAACCCCATACGACCACCACACCTATACGTCTGGAAAGTTCTCTTCAAGATGCATGAAGATTTACGTCGACGTGCCTTGGAAAGCGGCAAGACCGTTTCCAACAAGGCCAAATCCAAGCCCACCTCTCGTGGCAATTCCAAACCCAACTCTGCAGCAAATTCACGCGCCGCCTCACGCATTCAAAGCAGGGATGTTTCCGATGATGAGGATGGAGGCAATGGTAATCTTAGCGACGACACCAACCAAAGGTCCGTTTCCTCTCTCTTGCCTGCACACAAAAAACCTCAGACTGACCATTGATTTCCTCTACAGCATAAACTCTATCGATCAACTCCTCGAGAGCGATGACTTCAACGAACAATCCACAGAGGTCCTTCGACAAGAACTTCAAGACGCAATCACAAACATATTGGAGCGCAAAGGCAGCAGCAGCGGTTCCCGAGAAGGTGCTTTTAGCATATATGTCAAGTGCCTCACATCACATTACCTTGCCGAAGGTCTCTACGGCCGAGTCAGCGATTTGCTCGCAGCATTCAGTCGCAGCGTAAAGACGGAGACTACAGAGAAAGAAACCACACTTGCACTACGAGCCATTGCCCTGACTGCGATTACCTATGAAGACGACAATCTTTACGATTCCGTATCTGCCCTGTTGAAACGCTCAATCTCCGACTCGCAGTCAACCACAATCAAAGCCGCTGCGATCTATTCACTTGCCATTTGCATTTCTTTCGGTGGAGCTGGTGAGGAAGAAATGCTCGATGTCCTGACATTCCTGCTTGAAATTGCTCAGAGTGATGGGTCCTTCATTGGAGCCGATGACAACCCCGAAGTGGTTGCTGCAGCATTACACACATACGGCTTCCTCGCTACCCAAGTCGAAGACGTCGAACACGAGTCCGAAGATGCTGTGGCGGCTTTTCTTGACCAACTTGATTCCGATGACGTCAGAGTCCAGGTGGCGGCGGGGGAGAACATCGCACTTCTATACGAGAAAAGTTATACCCCAAGAGAAGACGATGACACAAGTTCATCAGAAGATGAAGCCGACGATGGTTCATCCGATGATTACGACAGTGGTCTTGTCAAACGATACAATGCTTACCACAACACCAATGAAATCTCTGAAAAAGTCAATGCTCTTGCCTCGTTGAGTTCCAAGTCCATGGGCCGTCGGGACAAGAGGATGCTGCATCAATCATTCGCCAGCATTGCACAGACAATCGACAATCCCAAGAATGGCTTGCAATCAAACAATGCCTCCAAAATGGTGGTGCGCATCCACCGGGAAGGAGAAATGCGTGTCGACAAATGGTGGAAGTTTATGAGACTCAACGCCATTCGACGACTCCTGGCTGGAGGTTTCGTCAACCATTATTTCGAAGGAAACAAGCAGGTCCTTGATGCCCTGCCCATGATTATGCGTGCGACAGGTGACTCTGGCATCCGAAGTCCCAGGAAGGGTGCTGCCACAAAAGCCACAAAGGGCAAATACCGCGATAATCGACGCTTCGTGTCTGGAGATCACCTTACAGCATAAGCTTTATTCATTTTCGGGTCGGTAAAGATATTACATGGAGAGGAAGGGGCGATGAAGAACTTATTGCCATGATCCATCATCTAAGCATTTTCCCCCAAATGGCTTGTCTCAGATAGAACAGCCTATACCACACCATCCCAGCGCTCGATCAAAGTATCAATTGTTTTCTGGATTCCCAGGGGCGACGGATTGGGCAAGCAGGTTATCAGGGTGTGTCCGGGTCGTGATACCCTTTCCTCGCCTGCTTTTCATGGAGCTGAGGGGAAAGACGTGAACAGACCGGGTCTCATCTGAGCCAGTGTCTGCCCTGCGTCGACCCTTACGTGGAGTTCTCATTGAATCGTTCAGCGCGAGCATGCATGCGACGGCGAAAGCGGGCGTCCACGCGAGGGTGGCTTAAAAGTTCCAGTCATCTCATATACTTACCCATACTTGATGGGATAGATAGAATTTCTCACCTAACTACTCACTCAGTTAGTCGAATTCATTCAATCAATACTGTGTTCAGATACGAGACTTGGGAACTTTTGATGATGTTGTGTGGGTGGTGACTCGTTTCAGTGACTCGGAGGGAGTGATTTCTGTCGTCAGGATAGCACTCATCACATGTATGCACAAGATGGCTGAGTTCGAAGTGCTTGAAGTGCTCGCGGTGTGTGAGCAGGTCACATGGCAGCTCTCTTGATTACCTGCCTAAGGTCAAGTAGTTGGGTATCAGCGATTTCGCACGTCCTGCCGCGAACTCCACATGCCATACACATCAGCCCAAGGGACTCAATACTCGTGGTCTAGGCCATCAGATATGCTACCAGACGATTGAGTTCTGCCACAACGGAAACAGCGCAGTCACATAGCCAGGTAGGCTACGCATTGGTCTAGATAGAGAGATGAATAGGTAGATACCTGGGTGTCCAAAAACTCAAAGGAACAAAGTCCAAGCTAGCTTCGGATCATGAAAGTCAGTCAGTCAGTCAGTGAGCGTTGCCAGGCTTCGAATGACCCCTATCCTGGGGCTGTTCGACAATCGGAGTCCGGCAGGGACTGGAACGAGTAGGTATAGGATAACTAGGGTAAGTATGTGTTTATGTATATATGTGTCGACCGAGAGAATCACAGGGATAACGTGAATGAATCAGACGCTGGAGACATTCGCAATGGGTGCCGCATTATGGGTCTTTGGACTCCAGATTGAGGATTGAGGGCTGCCAGTGCGTCTTGAGTCTGGACAGGGTTTATTCAATGATAGCCAGAGTGAAATCGGACGTCAGTATGCATGGTAGTAGGTACTAGTAGTGTTGAAGAAGTGATTGGTTGGACCTCCTGGAGGCTTTTCCATGACTGGCACTCCTTCTCATGTGAAATGATAGGCACGAGTATCAAAACAGAGATGATTGCGTCCGCGACCTCCGCAGAGACTCAGACGGGGCTGAGTTGAATGACACTGGTGCTCTGTATACGATTGCTCCAATGTCGCTGCAATGCCTCTTCTTGCATTGGTGAGCCAGTACTACTTGATAGTTGGTTTGGCTCTTGATCATGCGTTGTCAGTCGGCCGCGATCACTGACCTGCAGTAGCGTACGCTTCGAATGTGGCGTGGCTTAGAAGAGCTTTTTCAGTCAGATTTGACTCAGCTAATTTTTCGTGCTCACGCCTCTTTAGGCAGGTTCTCGGTTCCTGGTTACTTATGTCACTCTACTTACCTAGGTAAAGTACCTCTCGGAGAAGTTGCAACCTTGCATGTCCACAGAAGTACCGGCCAAGATGAAGACCGAGGTAAGTACTTCGTAGTACCTCAGGCCAGAAGGCATGATGTAGCAGGTAGTCAGCAGAATCAGTTTCACACCTTTTGCTTGTTGCGGAAGTCCTTGCGAATTAGATGAGGCCGGATGGATGAGAAGTTTTTGGTTTTTTCCTGGGCTATGTTGATAGAGTTGGCAACGGGACGATATCATGCCCGAAGGTTTAATCTGGAAGCATCCGGATGTGCCGAAGCTTAGATTGGACTCTGATATTGGACTTAGTATTCTATGCAACTTCCGGCATGCTCTGTCGTCCGTAAGAAATTCATGTAGAATAGAAAATCCTCAATTCATTCGGATACGGAACTACAGAACTTCCAGAAATACGATGATGTGTTGTGGTTGATGTGTTAAAACGCGTATCTAACGTGTCCTGGGTGATTTTGATTGAGGCGTTGCCGAGGCGTCAATGGTGGGAAAAAAGCAGGGGAAGGCAGATCCGTGAGATGCGTGCATAAAAACAACGCCACAATCATGACCTGCAGACCAGTGAGGCGAGGTAGGAGATCAACTGATAATAATAGCTGATTAGTTAAACAGTCCAGTCCTCGATAGTGTGATTGACAATAACTCCAGCATGCTTTTGTACGTTCATAACGATGCGGTGATACGCGGAGTCGAGAACGATGCACAATTGTTCAGATGCTCCTGCTGAACGGCGAGACGGAATACCATTCTTCCTTCTGAAATTGAGCTTCTAGACTCCTTATAATATCTATGGAGCAAATGTCGTGAATTCGCAACGGCGAAGATCTTTGTATCCATACGGAAGACCAGGGGCTATTTATTGTGGGTTTCGCAAAGGAGAGGCTCAAGGGGAAATCAGATTACCATGCCAGTGGATTGGGGCTGAAAGGGTTAGGCATACCATTTCCACCCCTATCCCTTATGGAGTCACTTGTGAAATCTTGGTGAGACTGCCCAGATCTAGTTTCATCTCGCGATTGTTCCAAAGTCAGATTGTTGCCTCTTTGGAGGGGTTTTTCATTTACGTTGCAGTGCAATCTTGATTCCTCAACGGCCGGAAAAGGTCGCGTGCGGAATTACGTAGAATGGCACATCATTGCACATTTGAAGGGCACAGCTGCATGCAAAAGACGAACCTTGAAATAGGCCCAGGCACCAACAGGGGGACTAATTGCATCATGGCTTGGGGATCAAAAGCCGCCCGAGGTGAGTCCACGGGGAGCCTAGGGAGCCTAGAGAGCCTAGGGGCAGAGTAATTGCTTACTTGAGCGGTCTAACCAACCCACTGCGGTATAGCCCCGTTGCTTCTTAGGTCTTAGTGCTCGCACTCTAAACGAAGCGATCAGCCACCATGCTAATTAACTCGTTCCCCCATAAGGACTGGACTGATACCTAGGTAGCCCTTCGGCATCCATCTCCAGGAGGTTTCCAGCCCATAGGAGTACGAGAGAGGCTGCCACACAGCCCTGTACCGCCTGACCAGGTTTCGGGTTTTCATTCTTCGAGTGCTTTTCTCGGGGGCCTTCGCTTGCTGTGCAATTCTTTGTCCTCGACTGCTTTTTTCGTTCCCTCAAGTTTCTCCCTTCCTCACTCATCATACATCATTTGACCTTGTTCAACCAGTTCACAATCCTTCTAAAAAAGTTCTTACTTCTTACGTCCAAGAGTACTGCCTGCTCTTTTCTGTTACCTCTCACTCTTTCCCACTTTTTTTCCTTCTGGACCTGGTTTCATTCCTCCTTCATCCTCCTCCATCTCACCAAGACTCCGAGTCTCCAGTAATCTCTTCCATCAACCCATACAGAAAACTCACTGGTCCTGTTTCAATATTTATTTAAACTTTGTAACCCTGTCATTCATTCTTTTGACATATCCACGAAGGGAAAAGAGGTTTCCCGACGTCCCAAACATTTGCACCAACATTATTGACGTCTGCACGTGACCATCTTCTCAATCGGACACGCGACACCTCACACGACCATCCAAATCATCAAAACTTCCACTATTCATCAATGATACGTCGACTACAATAATATTATCCATATTACTCAACCATGGATATCCTACCATCCAATGTCACCGACCCTTCAACTCCCCATAAGCCCAACATGGGTGGCGCTCAATTCGCCTCTCATGTATGGATGGAGCCTATTGTACGTGGCTAACTCAATGACCTTGTCTAATACCCTATCCCACGATGCTAATTCTCTAATAGATCGTGGTCTCAATAATGATTGCATCTCTTACGTTCAATAGACGACACGGATACCGAATCTTCGAAAACTCACGAGGTCGCTCACAAACCCGATCGTTCCTGTCACGTGATAACTCCAATGATTCATCCCCGTCAGGCTCATTCATCGATACCGAACCACCCAATGGATCAGAGCAGGACTCTCTGACCGGTACCAACAACAAGTATCCCGCCAAGCAGCGCAACTGCTGTGGTATGTCAGTCAAAACTCCCAATTCGTCCCGATTCGCCGATCACTGGCATAGTCGCGTCCTTCAGAAATTCCCCTTCTTGATTGAGATGTTTTACTGGGTCCTCAATTTGGCATTTTACGCCGTTACGAAAGCATTGGCGCAATTGCTTTTCTCCAAGAATGATGGTTTGTGGCAATTGGCGCAAGATCATGGTGTTTTAATCCTGGATATCGAGCATAAGTCCTGGTTGAGTTTTATCTTCTTCATCCGAGAGGTCGACTTCCAGCAATTCTTCCTGAATGGCCATCTGACCGCCATGACCTTCTTGAATCGGATATACTCCCTCGTCCATATCCCAGGGACTGTCGCGTACGTTTTGATCCTTGCCTATTATTTCCCTTAGTGTCTTGAATACTGATGGACTGCCCTTCTAGCTTTCTCTCTTGGTATTATTATGCCGCTCCTAATCACGCGACCTTCGCTGTTGCCCGACGAACTATGACTCTGGGTAATTTCGCCGCCTTCTTCATCTTCTCCTTCTTCCCATGTATGCCACCTCGATTACTTCCCAAGGAGTATGGATTTCATGACACCGTGCGTCAATCGAACTCGGAGTCCGTCTGGGTGGGAGGAAATTATGTCAACCAACTGGCTGCAATGCCTAGTTTACATTTCACCTACGCTTTTTGCATCGGATCCACCTTTTTGTATCACTCCGGATTCGGCCGACGCCTTCAGAGAAACGAAAACAGAAAATCCATGTTCACTCAAATTGCATTCCTCGTTGCAGGTGTCTGTTACCCATTGCTGGTCCTAAGCGTTATCGTTGCAACGGCAAATCATTACTGGCTGGATGCTGTTGTTGCCATGTGCACAACCACGCTTTCGTTCTTCGCGAACAAAGTTTGGTTCTTCTTACTGCCCGCTGAAGACGTTCTCTGCTGGGTTCTGAGGGTCGAGAAACCCGTCCCTACGACCGGTGATCGTCTACTAAGGCAGAAGGAGAACTCGTACCGCATTGTGAAGGATTCAGACGAACCTTGAAGATTTCTGGCATCGCATTTGAGCGTTGAATTTTTTCACTTACAAGACATTTGCACATGGTCAATCTAGGGCAAGGGGCATGGGAATCGGATTTTGGGACATAAGATATGGGAAAACCGCACAATGTTTGGATAGAACGAGAGCGGAACAATGATCGCCGAGACCAGGCAATCTGGAAGAGGACCAATCTGGAAGACTTTGAGCATATATTTATCCAAGAGATCGGAAACGGTCAATTTGGAAACGGCAACCTCGAGGGACGCCCGCAGATAGTGTACTACAGTGCATGTCTCCTCGACATGCAAGTTTACTTGGTTTCCGGGGTCCGAAAGAAACCTAAAACGACAGTCTACTTCTCCTCAAGTCCAAGATACAATATATATACAATATCTACCTCTATCCGCACTCTTCACCTTCCTCTAAGATGAGATCTTCCACTCCATGCATGAGAGGATCGACCTAGGTCTATATATTGTGAGGGTATCGATGACGGGGGATCTCTATTCATCTTTCCAGAGCTTTTCTAGCGGTCATACCAGAGACAGCACGCAGTCGACCTCATTGGATACCGTGCACGCAGTATTAGGCCCGTCCCTTCAATGTGTGTGGACGAAAGAGTCGCGCACCACGATGTCGAAATCAGCAATCTTTGAATAGGTCTGCAGATGAGTCCAGACGTTCTCTGTTTATATTCAAATAGTATACTCAAGACAATACCCAAGCCATTCTTGCAATACAAGATCATCCTACGCGTTTCCATCGTGTCTTGCCTCGGCGTTTGATAGGTGAACCGTGGGATTCACCAATTCGTATATGATCTATGAGGGTTGAATATTTGTGTCCTCCAGCGTTGAGCTGCGCATACCTAGGTATGCTACGTTTGGAGCATGCTCCAAGACGAAGACGAAGGCTCAAACCCCGAAAAAACCATGGTGATAGCACTATATCTGTCCAGCCCTGGGAGGCAAGACTAGTCACGGCTGATTATGCTTAACCATTCATTGAAAATCTCATCCAATAAAACGCGCAGGCCACCGCCCACTTGTCAACAGATTCTGGCTACGATGATGCCGGTGTATGATCCTTGGCGTATTGAGCCGCAGGCGCCTCAGTATATTCGATCTTACGAGCAGTATTCAATGGCCGACACTGACCTATGAGCAGTGAATAAGTCCAACTTCGCGCTTCTCCGTCCGCCATGCAAAGAGGCGGGGTACGAAGCTTTCTGGGTTGCAGTACCGGCGACGGAAATTCCCTAGGTCGACCACGGCTGGCGGAGATGTGCAGGGAGTAATTAGATATCTCTCGATGGCGTGAGTAGGTCGACTGGTAGACTTTGGAGATAGGCAGCATCTAGAAGAGTGTCTGGCATTGATGTCGACCTAGAAACTTCACTTGTCCAAGTAAGGTATTTACTCATTCATTCGAGGGGCATTTCACCGAGATATCTGGCCTCACGATACTATCTAGAGGAGACTGCTTGCTGGGAGCGGACTGTGGGAAGCAGCGGTTAGAGAGTTTTCTCCTGAGAGGTTTAACAGCAAGCACGATCGCATTCTCTCCACGGAGGTACAGATACAGGTACGGAGCTGTTCTACTAGACATTCAGCATTGGGTCTGTCGGCCTTGCAATGGAAGGGGCTTTGCGCTGTGGCCATCGACTATGGCCTCGCATGCCCAGCCGAGCAGCGAAGGCCACCATCTCTGGCCGCTTGACATGGCAGACACCAGTAATGGCACAAAGACGCAGCTTCAGCACTCGGCCTCTCCAAGCCAGCAGCGCACAAGCAGCACAAACGCCCACGAACGACGCCGAAGCAAGCCTCATGACCGGGTCACCGATCACCTCCACCACCGGCACCACCCCCGCCAGCACCGCCAGCACCGAAAGCGGCGTCCTCTACGCCAACATCACCGACACGCCGCCGCGCATCGTCGGCAGCCAGGGCATGTACCTGTACACGGAGGACGGGCGGGAGATCCTGGACGCCACGGGCGGCGCGGCCGTCGTGTCGATCGGGCACAACCACCCGCGCGTCAAGTCAGCCATCATGCGCCAACTCGACCAGGTCGCGTATTCCTGGGCGCCGCTGTTCACGACGCACGCGGCCGAGAAGCTGGCCGACGTGCTCGTCGAGTCCACCGGCGGACATATGTCCAAGGTTTTTGTCGTGAGTTCTGGTGAGTGTGTTTCCTTCAGGCGATGGTGGTGATAAGAGATAAAGCACCGAGCGGTTTGCCGAGCCGATCAAGTCGACCCTGTCTTTTCAGTGGGATCTCGCTGCGTGAGAACCTACATTGCTCATGTTAATTTACGGGTGGATAGGGACGGAAGCTGTCGAGGCTGCGTTGAAGATCGCACGACAATATTTCCTCGAGCTTCCCGAGAAGCAGCCGAAGCGAACTCGTTTCATTGCCCGTCGGCAGTCGTACCATGGGAATACCTTGGGGTCCTTATCTGTTGGCGGACATGTTGCCCGGAAGCAGATTTACAACCCTATCCTCAGCACCAACACTTCACACGTTTCTCCCTGTTACGCGTACAGGGGCAAGAAAGATGCCGAGACTGATGAGGAGTATGTGTCGAGACTGGCCCAGGAAATTGATGATGAGTTTCAAGCGGTCGGTCCGGACACGGTGTGTGCGTTTATTGCGGAGACAGTGGCTGGCACAGTAAGTCCCAAACCGTGATCACATCCCCCATGGGAAAATGTTCACCATTTCTGATTTCGGATTGTTTCTCGGCTGGTAGACTCTTGGTTCGGTACCCGCGACACCCGGATACTTCCAAGCCATGAAGGAAGTCTGCGACAGGCACGGCGCGCTGTTCATTCTTGACGAAGTCATGTCCGGGATGGGTCGAACTGGCACCCTGCACGCCTGGGAGCAGGAGGGGGTCATTCCCGACCTGCAAACAGTTGCCAAGGGGCTCGGTGCAGGATATGCGTCAGTCGGAGCCCTGCTCATCAACAAGCGAGTCGTGGAATCCCTCAGACAAGGTACCGGCATCTTTTCGCACAGCCAGACTTACCAAGCCCACCCGGTCGCCTGTGCAGCTGCCCTCGAGGTGCAGCAGGTGATTCGAGACGAGAATCTGCTGCAGAATGCTCGTGAGATGGGTGCCTACCTGGAGAAGACCTTGAAGGAGCGCATTGGCTATCATAAGAATGTCGGAGACATCCGGGGACGTGGGCTCTTCTGGGGTGTAAGTGTTTCTCCTCACCCTGTCTTTCATTCGTTGACGAATACTATTTTATGTTATTTGGTGATGGCAGGTGCTAACTAACGCTTCTTCTTCAGGTCGAATTCGTTTCCGACAAGCCAACGAAAGAACCATTCCCCGCCGAGCGGAAGATCGGACCACTGTTGTCCAAAACTGCAGTGGCTCAGTACTCGCTCAGTCTGATACCCATGACAGGAATGGCGGATGGCTTTAGTGGTGATGGTGTTCAGCTCGCGCCGCCATATAATGTCACAAGAGCCCAAATTGACACACTTGTCGACAGGTTGGATAAGGTCATCAGGCAGGTCTTGGACTGAGAATGCGAAGTCGCATGTTCTTACCCTCGCACGATCAATACTATCGCTGGTGCCGTTCACTTCTGTGCGACCGTCTTACCGATCATCGAGAGCATTTTAGAGCGGTACTGTGGCACATGGTTCTGATGAATTTCTCGAGCACAGGGCAGAAATTTAGATCGGCAAAAGCATTGGTTCGTTAGACCTTGGCAAGCCATGCTATTTAAAAGCCTCCGGCGCTGCTTTGGGCAATTGGACGTATCAGATTGAATCTGGAAGGGAAATTTCAAGGCATTGAAAGCAGGCAAAAACCCTATAGTCTGGGGCCCGCCGTAGCATGACGCCTCTTGCGTCTCATGCAGATAAAGATAGTAGACTGACAAAGACAAGCACAGAAAAGGTGCATTTGGTATAACCGTCAAATGCACTGAGTCATTCGCCTCGCGATGACGCAAGGCTGAGAAACTGGGTATTGAAAGCCCGATAAGACACGTCCGATTGCCGTCGCAATTGACAAATCCGGGACTCAGGGTCATGAACAGGTTCAGATATCCTCGTAGTGATCTAGTGATCTGGCAGTTGGTGGTAATGTGTTCGGAGTCGTCGCTATTACATAGCAACATACCGATTCTGTCACTGCTCCTCGTAGAATGTCCAGAAGGGGTTACATATCAAACAGTGCTGTGTTGAAAGGTACTCCGTACGGTACTCAAATTGCCGGTGGCTGGTGATGGATCGTAGGCACGACTCATCAGAGGCCGACGGCTGGCTGAAGTGTCAGGGTGCCTAACATGGCCGACCAGAGAAGAAGTCCTTACCTGCATTGATCAGTATCGGAATGATTTTGGCCCGGCACATCCTCCGGATCTTAATCCAGAGCCCACTACTCAGTAATCGGCACACCAAACTTGATGTCCTGGAGAGCGGTCAATCATAGCTATTAGCTCACCCATGCCCGGAACGATAACGAACGGTGCTCAGGGCAGAGATAAGCTAGCCGGCTTGCTGTCGAGCAGGGGGTAGGCGAGCTTGATTCAACGCACATGGCTCATCCTGCATAATACTCGCAAGGAATAGAATTAGCATCTCTCGTACTGATTCCGTACCGTACGACATTCGAGGTTGCAGCGTACTCGTACGTCTTTACTGACCACCTGGGTAGCCATTCCAGAACATGGATCTTGCAGCTGCGGATCAGCTAGTAACCGTTTTCAATCGTTGCGAAGGGGACGTCGGAAGGCTCGTGGGAGGCCTAAGGACGAATCGTTCGAGAGCAAAGCTCACTCACTTCATTTTCGTGAAAAAGGGCCAGACCTTCTCGTACCAGCGGCCACATGGTTATCCTAGCGGTGAAGGTTGCTGAGCCTGGAACTACGAGATACTTGTGGTTGGTGAAAGTGCTGTTGCTTGTTCAGGAGGTCCTCGGCTCAGTCACTCTGTTCTTCAAGCATGGCTGGCTGTCTAGAAGCACAGGGTATGGATTGCCAACTTAGCAGCGGTTTCAAGTGAACTGATGACAGCCTTATGGGGGCCACTTTTCGTATTCATGCTTCGGGGGTGAACCAACTTAATTCCAAGACCATTCATAATTCCAACATGACTCGACGCGAACGAACTCACAAAGCGGGAACCAGGCATGATTGTTGGTCCGTTGGCCGACCGAGCAATTGTTGTCGTAATCACATTTGACAAGCGCCCTGCAAGCAAGGTATGGTTTGCGGGTTCAAATGTACCTAGCGCGGTACCGAGTACATATCACCGAACACATTTGAGTGGAAACCCCACTCAGTACCCAGGATGGTAAAAGCTTCTCAGATGGAATGGAGAGGTTCTTGACTCAGAACTTTAAATCCTTGTCGGAATTCGCATTTGCTGCAGGCTAGGTCCGGCGATAGGCCGTAAATCCACAAAAGTGAGACTCGGTGGAATGAGCCGCATTTGCTCGCACTTTTTGGGAATGCCAACTCCTTGGATTTTGATGCCTTGGAGTGAAGGTTCTACTATCGAGTGCATGTCCAAGCAAGCCTCGAACAATTCGTTCGTCGAAGGATTGGATCAGCCCTTGAATTTCCTTCCACTGTATTTGTAAAGGGGATGCAGTTGGGCACTGCTTTAGTCTGCTATATCAATGTATTGATAAACTCAGTGGGCTCCCGTTGGATATCAGATATAGATATGCGTGTAAAAACAAAGATAGGGTATCAACTATAGTACAATCGTTCTGTTTCGTATCATGGACCTCGAAATCACTTTGATCGAGGACATTGCCTTCTCAAATCCTCTTTTGTGTGAGCTTTGGTGTGACGGGATGGAACTGATGCGCCTGTCCATTCGGGCAACGAAATGTGGCAGGTACAGATCCTAGAATCAAACCAAAAGCGTCAAATCAGAGCCATGTCAACGAAACGTCTTTTGCTTGGCGGTGCGAGCTTTCAACTTGAGAAGCTGGACCGATGCTCTTTGTATTCTACTCGAAATGGAGGTGGGACAAGCTGGTCTTCCCAAGTATGGCACAACTCAAGCGTTGGTAAGACTGGATGTTGCTGTCTGTTCGGGTGAAATTGGTAGGAGCTTTTCTTCTACCTTTAAGGTAGCTTGGATGGCCAGACTTTGATTGTAGACGTTGTAGTTCGAGATTCCAGAAAGGCTTCCGTGATAAGTTTCACCACGGCCTCGAACGTCGGATCATTGCTTTTTGCCAGACATTGTTCCAAGTTATCAGGAGATCATCACTCCAAAGGAACTTCTTCAGGACTTTTGAGAGGGATTCCCATCGAGCCATCTCATTGGGGTACTGGACAAATGCATGGTCAAGGATCACAAAAGCTGTTGGCGAGTACTCAAATATTGCATGTGCACCAGCCGCCGCGATGGAAATCCACACCAGACAATCTTTATAGGATTTATCAATCAGTGTTTTCCGTATCGCTCGTTTCTCAACGCTAGTCAACATGTCTTCGAGATCTTGGAGTGAATCAATGTAGTCTTCTGCGTTACGCCGATCTTGAAAATGCAAGGTGTAGCAGCAGGCAATAAGTCCGTGACATAGAAAGCGTTCTACCAGAGTGACACCCAACACAGAGAGACATCGAAGATCAGCAATCGAGTGAAGGAAACTCCCCCTCGACTCTGGTGATGTGCGTTGACCGTTGATGGGGCTCGATATGGTTCCGTCCTTGACGAGACTGGAAATATTGGCTAGGATGTCGATCATTTGCACGGACAATTCTCCAGCCATTGCCATATCGTTGAAGGTAGGGGAAACCTTTGAAAGTGCTTCACAAACTTTCGTATTGAAAGGAGGGGACGCATACATTGGCAGCTCGTTGCGGATAGGAGATTCGATTGACAATTGGGCGAGTCCTGCTGTGGCTTCAATTTGATCTTTCACGAACTTCCACAATTGATCATATCTGTCTGGATTAGTACTGGAATTGATTCGTATCGACAAACACTCCTGCTCACCCTTTGATTGTGTTGAGAATAAGCTGTCCCCAAGGTGTATCACCGCGAATATCAGGTCGTCTTAATCTGATATTTTCCATAGCCTCCACATGCTTTTTAGCTCCCTCGTGAACTCCTAGCATATACTGGGCATTAGTTAGTGGGATATGGGAGATGTCAAGCTAAAGTACATACATCTACCGTTGACAAGGCTGCAATGGTCAATATCGTCGTATCGTCAGCGCAAGTCTCCTCTGATGTGAGTCTGAGTGCAAGTGCGGCAAAAGCACTGGTTCGATGGTGCATCAGAGCCTTGTCCTGATGGCATGGTATTCCCTCTGCCATGAGCCATGATGTACGAGCGATGCATAGCATGGATTCGAAGAGAGCAGCATGTTGAAGAGAATAGGGAAACACTAGCGACTGATATGGACTTGGATGACCTTCGATATGCAAAGCAGTCCCGTGCTCGACTGCCCAGGTCTGAAAATCTGTTGGAATCAGTATGGCAGCAGGAAGATTTTAATGTGTTAGACAAGTCTTACAATATTTGGTCATTCGTGGGACAATACCCTGATATGGAATCGGATAGGCGGATGGCGGTTCTGCACTGAAAATATTGACTGAGTATCTGGGCAGCCTTGCAGGTCTTCTGATCATCGCTGCTTCATCAGGAGAATGCTTCCTTTTCTTTCGTGAATTAGAATGACCCTCCTCAGGGAAGATGTTTGAGGTCAAAAGGTTGAGCGCCGGTGCTTTTAGTTGGATCACGCTGTGAGGCAGCTGCGTCGCATTACCGAGAAAAGCTGAGTTGTTGTAACCCGGCGTCGCTCTCAAGCTTGGACCTCGACTTTCGGTATAGACGGCATCGGATGCGATCAATGATCGGGATACAAGATCTTGGATCTTTATCGATCTTGACATGTCGTCGACCTGCCCCTCAACACCCCAACATGTCTTTGATGAAGTTGATCAATTCTCAGTAGAGGGGCCACATTTGCTTAACAGTGATCCATAATGAGTTACGAATTGAAAATGAATAAGAGCAATCAACAATGGAGCAAAATTAGGGCCTTGTGTTAGGTCAGCTAGAGTGCTTAGAATCAAGGTATCAGATTGTCCGGCTCAAATCAGGAAACCTGAGATGGAAAAGCGGCAAGAGTTGGTCGCGTTACCTGTGAAGCGCATACGAGGGTTCGTAAAGAGGAGTTGAATTACCCCTAGGAGCTTGTGCACGAGTTGGTGGCTTGCAGGTTGACTTTGACAGCCGCCATACAAGTGGACGTTCGGTACGAAGCGAGGTGGGTTGGTACTGGGATGAAATAGTTTGTAACCTGATGGACGGAGTACCGAGTCCTCTGGCCGGCCAGGTTGGTGATGACCCGGCGACGTGGGCTGGTCCTCGCATGAAATAGTCGGTTTGGAACCTGACCGCCAAGAGTTGAAAGTGATGAAATCGGTTAGGAATTAAAATAGAAGCCAGCACAAGCATTGAACGGTTGAAAGTCGAGACGAAGCTGACACTCGCTTGCCTGGGAAGGGGAATCAACTGCGCGGGGAGTCTGCTTAGGCCGACTTGTGTCCCCCATACCCGGCCGTTCCAAACGGGTCGTGGACCCGTGATAAAGGCCTCGGTGACTTTTTTAGATAACTGAAGCCATCTAAAATGCCATCCGCCATTGAACTTGTGAGTTTCCCGCGGGCACCAAATCCTACTATTGGCTGCGGCCAATAAGCTTGCCCTGTCACATTGCTACTCAGAGCAATCCAGAGCAATTCGCGCTAGCAAATATCAATCACCGGCAATGCATTATCGGATCATGGCATGCACACTGACTAGCGTTTTCATGTACGAGTGTAATATTCGACACAATTTCCCAAGGTTTCGGAGTTGGATTTCCCCCACTATGCTCAGGACCTTCTGATGCGAGTTAGCTGTTGATATTTGATAGCAGGCCATGTGACAATAGGCAATTGCTGGCGAGATGCGAAATATCGCACTTTCCGACGAGAGGTTCAGAAGATGGTAGAGCAACGAGAATGGCGATGCATGGTGTTTTCCATTCTTGCCGCATTCGCATATGTACCTTGGCACCTTGCTGCTGTACGAAACTTGTACCGGCTGATTTGTCGGTGAGGCGAAAGGACAGGCGCTCCGTAGGAAGTATGTAGGTAGCTCGACTGTGACTTGGGTATTGTGCATTTATCCATGGGTCGTGAATTGGCTGCAGAAGCTTATCGAAGATTTGTGTGGTGCTCATGACTGTGGATATTGTGGGTAACCTGCGTATTCGGCGTATCTGGAATGTGCGAGTTGCGGAAGACCAATTCTCAAACACTCGACGGCCTGAAATGATTCCACAGATGCATCTTGCAGGACTGAGGTATGCAAACTCAGGCTCACTCGACTAGCTGTTGGTCGAGATGTTGATCCTGCTGCTATAGAAGGCGATGAGCGAGACACGGTAGAAATAAACTATGGACAACTAATCACTGATGGTGGGTGAGGGTCAGAGGGAAAAGATAGTGAGATGAGACAAGAAAGGACACGTTGGAAGTCAAGACTGGCGGGTAGATTGTCATCGTATTCAACAGAGAGCATTCTGTTGGGAAAGTGTACCTAGAGCCACGGGGGATTCCTAGGGATGGGAAGCCGATGAAGAAAGTCGTAAAACCCTAGGGATAGTCGATCGATTGTTCGAAAGGCAGCCAGCCTGACACCGGCTTTGCAATCGGAATAATACACGGAATTTGTAGTAGAAGGAACGCCTCGAGAGTGCTTGTCACAACTTGTGCCAGTTGGCAAGAGCGATCAGGCGGCCCGAACCATCCACATCCAAGACTTCCATACGCTTTGATCAAAATCCATCATGATGGATCATTTCTTCTCCTGGGCGAGCTCTCCTGCATTATCTTTCGTGGGCGATTCTTCAGGCGATTCTTTCTTAATCTCGATAATCTGCCTCGTTAGTGCGGTGGCTTTCCGTGCTTCTCACGAGAACGTACGTTATTGCCTGAGAATGTTAGCTTTGATGTCGCGACTGGACCCACTGACAGCTCGACATACAGCTCGCACAGTGGCCCCAGTCACCATCCTTGGTGACATCCACATTACCACCGCATTCTGGACATTTTGGCATGGTTCGGAGAGATGAAACTGGTGTTGGGGGTGTAGATTGGCAAGTCTTGAATCGAAACAAGTGAATGGGTGATTATTTTTCTCGTACCGTTGCCACGAACCGCTGTGATTAGTGAGTGGGATCCAATGATAGAATTATGCCTTATCTGTGTACTTGTCACCGGCCAGTGTAGGGAGTATTGGGATACTGATGATCAAGTGAAGATGGAAGTACCACTCGGATCCAGACTGGGGGGCTGGTGACGTCAACCAATGCTTTCTCATAGTCGAAATTTGTTTACGAAGGCTTGGCTTAACCACATAGGACGGTACAGCATCTCTTTCAAAGCATTCCAAAAGAACAGTCTGATACATTCCAGCTTTGCGAATTGATTAATTAATCATCTCTATTTCCAACGCCGGCCAATCGTACTTCCATACACTCCGAGCGACTGATTGTGCGGTGGGGCCTTCGACTTCTCTGTTGAGGAGCCTTTGTCAAGCGTTTCGTTCAAACTATTCCATACCTCACCTACCGTAGCCCTGTCTCGTGGCAAGGCTGAGTACTGGAGTCCATACATCTCGTTCCTCCCAAGAGGCGGAACGAAGCGCCCAGTAAGTAGCCTAAACATGACTTTAGGGGATAGGTAGTGACGCCGAATGCGAGCCCAAAGCTGAAAATACTGCTCGAAAATCTGTCGTATGGAGAGTGGTGTGGACGATAGATTGATATAAGCCACCGTCATTTGGCTCGACCCCGTATCGCTATCTTCGCTCTCTTCATCATCTTCATCTTCGTCATCATGACTTGCTTCTGTCTCCTCGTTGGTGTCCTTCGGCGCCTGCTTATCTTGCCGAGGACCTTCAATTGCCTGCGTCTCTAACAACTGAAAATGAAGTCCTCCTGGCAACCTTTTGCTATCTTTTACTCTGAGCATCAGTGCGAACAACGGAAAATGATTCAAGAATGCCAAGCACGCATCTAAAGTCGCCTTTAGAGATATGATGGACATTCTTGCAAAGGCAAACGTCAAATAGAAAACCAGAACTGTAGGGAGCAGAAAGAATAACAGTGTGAACAGAATCGTGCCAAGGAGCAGCTGATCCAAATCATAGTCGCAGTTATCAATCCGGTTTCGCAGGACGTTGCGTTTCTTTCCCCGAAAAAGATGGAATAAACTGATGATGATAGTGAGCTGCCAGTTGAAGATTCGAGCACTAGCCACATAAAAGGAGTAGATGTGAATTGTCATCAGACTCAGTAGATCGGAGAGTATTGCTATTGGCATACTTGCGCCGGCGAAAGATGAGAAGCCGATCAAATACACTATCATTGGAAGCCGTGGGAGTATGACCAAAAGTAAGGTGGATGACCAATACTCAATGACCCACAAGAATAGATCGCCGAGGAATGCAGCCAGCTCGGTGTTCAACTTGAGCCCACCAGGGTATGACATAAGCCAGCGAATCATTCGTTTAAGACCTTCAATCATATATTGGTCCAGCACATCGCTGATAAATTGTGCACTGGCTGTAGCATTGTCATTAATAAAACTCCCAAGGGCGATTCCAATGATGACATCATTTGCAACTAGCCAAAGTGAGTTGTAGAATCGGATATAATCACTGTTGGTAGTTGGAAACGACGACCAGGTTGCATGTCGTTTTTGAAGCAGCGAATATTGTGTTGGATAGTATGAGAACTGCTGTAGCCGTAGGTGAACTTGTTGGCAACCAGCAGATATATCCTTGAGAGCAAAACCACCATTGGGGGCCAAAGGTGCCCCTCTGGTTCGTCGTAGTGCCTGAAATGGTAAACGCCATTCTAGAATCTGAAGGATGGCCTCGGCCAAAACTCGATGGATGATAATAGCAATCTTGAATAGCCAAAGTAGACTTGGATAGGCATAAGTCATAAAAAGAGTCCAGATGGTCCATGCTGCGAAGGCGTAAAGCGATTGAGCGGATTCCACAACCCTTTCGCTTACAGACAAGCTTCGCTTTCTACGTGGTCCAACGAGTGGACTGTTCTTCTGGAGGAGATCTGCCACCTCTTGAGCACAATTGATCTGACGGAGGATGCTATGCAATGCCAGGTCTTTTTTCGTCGCCGAATGTCGAACCACTGTGTGAAAGCGGAGTTTTGTGACCAAATCTGAGAGAGACTTGCGCTTCTCCTGCTCTTCAACCTCAACTTCGTCGCCCGTGGATGATATGTCGACTTCTGCGGTCGATGATGAACCGAGTGTAAGAGATATGGGTTCCAGCGACATGTATTGCAATTGTGCTGGATTTGGAGGGTCGAAGAGGACGATCTGAACCGACAAACCCACTTCTGCAGGGCAGTAGAGGTATGGCCTACTACTGGTTGGGAGTATAAAGGCACTCAAATTCGCGGGATCGAATGTCTCTGGCGATTCTGAATGGTTAAGAGTGCCCAGAACATGCATGGTCGACTGATTGCATAACTGAAAAATTCGCGCAACAGGATACACGCTGTTCCGGAAAAGTGTACCCATTCTCAGGGCTGTTTCAACACTGCGCACCTAAGAAAACAGTCAGATCTTGAATCACATCTGTCAAACAGAGAGTGTAGTATACCTCCACATCTTCCAGGATGGTGATGACAAACAAATCCAACGACGAATTCCTCCATCCAACTATCACACCGGGTGTGGTTGACCGAGTGAGATTGCTTGGCCAGAAGATTCGTAGCATGCCATCATTGTTATCGACCATTTTAACATGTTTCCGCAGGCCTAGAAAGATCCTCGCCGTCGGAGTTGCTCTCGGGCGGATATACCGTGTATCTCAGACCTTGGGTGCTTTAAAAAACTCAGCCACGATCTTGTGTTCACACATGGCAAACTCACCACCACCGACTCATGCGCTGCAATTCGGTCAAGAGGGATCGCAATCAGGACGAAGATGAGGGAAATTACGGCAAACGCCTTTGTCGCTCGAGTCTGCGTTGTAGTTAGTTTTGTACCAACAACACTCGTATTGACACGTACAATCACGCCGTGATCCCAAGCGAATACGGAAAGCTCGTAAAGTCGAGTCACCAGATCCCACCGTGCAGTAATATATCCGGCAACAAAGATGCCAATAGTCAGGGAAGAGAAAGGGTGCATTCAAGCGACTTGATTGGGCGAGTGCGACAAATCCCGGGAATTGCGGCGTAGTGCCTAAATTCTGTCTTTGCTCATCATAGTGTAGGACTCTTGACCTTGTGAGACGAGATGGTCAAGTAAGAACAAGCGCTCCTCATCAAGCGCATGGTGATCTGGGCACTACCTCGATTTCTCAATATTGAGATTTGCACCTGAGGCCACTATAGTATGACGTATCCACTCCGGTGCGACACACTTCGCGGACACGCTGGCCGCCACACTGGGTACCATATCCAGGATCATGTCCAGCCGTTCTAGGTCTAAAGTCTATGAGTCTATCTGAAGAGAGCATGGCACCTCACTGTAGTGTTACAATAATACGGGGTGCTGTGGTCCGAATTGACACCGTTGTACCACAGGCGGTTCTCCTTCTAGTGTGTCTCAAGGCTGAACCCCATGGCCCTGCCAGGCCGGTGTCTGAGAGCCAGGCATGCAGTGTCCCAAGATGATGAGGATCCACAATCTGTTTCAAAATGTTGCATCGAGGCAGCCTTGTGGATTTCTTATAGATTTCAGGCCAGATGTAGATAATGCCATTGTTTCCACATCGCCGGCTACATTGGAAATCTGATGTCTCGCCATGAGCGGCTCACCTCCTGGTCATAAAGAAATGTTGGTATGATTCCAACTCGTGCGGGCCGTAACAAAGCACGATACTAGCCGTTTCCCAGGACAGTCTGTGTTTGTATTCTCGTGATGCGGTGCGGTTTGCTGTTCACGATCAGGTCGCTATCATTGAACTCCAAAATCAACGCTAAAGCAGCAGACAGTTCTGTAGGGCGGCGAGGATGCTATGCAAGGATGGCTTAGCGTAGGCGCCATTGATGTTAGCCTCGGGAACAGCCGGTAGTGGAGAGGAATCCAACGTCCTCCATATTTCTCTCCTCACCTGCATCACTTTTGTCCTTGGGTGTCTGTGCGACAATAGAGACTATGATTTGACAACAAGGTCCTGAATCTGTACAACTTGTGCAGATAGTATGGGTGAAAACGTTTCCAAGGTTTGACATATGTTTATGGACATATCACCGATGAGATCTGCGAGACTTGCAGCTAGCCGAGCTTGAAGCCCAGCCACTCCGATTTGGGGCCAAGTGAGGCTGATATCTGTCTGACAATTTGAAGAGTATAAAATCCAGGTAGGCGCCGCATCTATCAAACGCCTGCGTTGCAAAATCTACAAACACATGGAAAAGAACTGCCACAGGTGATGAACGAGGTGGCACATCGTTTGAAACTTGATTTGCCGTCGCTCCAGTGATTTCCAGTTCCGCCGGGAGCTCGCATCGCTGTGGAAGACGGCGGAAGATCATTCCCTCGTGCGCGCAGCCGCGATCTGGAAGCGCACCTGCCTGATCTTTCACTGCTTGTGAGGCTATTGTTCCAAGATCGCACTAGTGCGACAGGTCGATCTTTTTCTTCCATCTCAACTACAAAAGCACCTCTCGCACCCCTTCGCCTCTTAACCCAAACATCGTCACTCTTACCAACAATCAACTCTTCTACAAGTTCATTCATCTTCTTCTGTGTCGCTTCTTTTGGACCAGAGCCTTATAGAACTTGGATACCCAACACTCTTACTCATTACCTGCTACAAGGCAAATTTTTCCCCTTGCATCATTTCATCATGAAGATCACCGCTTTCTTCAGCGTCTTGATCGCCTCCATCTGGTCTGCCACTCTTGGTAAGTCTCAAGCGTATCCGTGTGATGACGCGACGCACTAACAAAGCTCACAGTCCTTGGACTTGATGCTGCTGATCGTGAGAACCTGATTGCTGCCCTCATTGGTAAGTCTCCAAACCCCTTCCCACATTGATTATGATTCACAAGATTAACATGATTCACAGCTCGAGACATTCCTCATGGTGCTGCCTTGGACTTGGTCAATCTCTTCCCTCGCCGTAAGTTCGACATTCTTCATGCCTGACAGTTGCTGATATCATTCCAGATGAGGTAACCACTGTCACTGTCACCCAATGTGAGACTGGCTACACCAGCATTCCTACTCCTTCAATCTCCACCACCGATATCCCTTTCACCAGCATCGAGTCTACAACCCAGACCACCAGCACTGCTACCATTCCTGTGACCACCGAAACTGCGTCTGTCAACACCGAGACCACCGCTTCCGTGGGCTCTAGCAGCACTCCCGCCACTCTCACCACTGGTTCTAGCTCGGTTCCTTTGACCTCAAGTTCTGTGCCTGGCAGCTCTCTCCCCGTCACTTCTTCCACTGGCACCACCACTCATACCACCAGTTCTACTGCTACGACTCATACCACCGCCACAACTTCCACTGCGTCCACCCCTCCCGCTGTCCCCAACGCTGGAACTTCCAAGCATACCAACGCGGGCCTTCTGGGTCTGATGGCCGTGTTGGCTCTGGCTTAAGTACAGAAAAGTCAACCCGATACCCCGACACTCACTGCAGTTATGTCTGCGAAGATTAGTCAACATGACTGGGCGTGTCAAGAATTCAACTTCACCTCTCATAACACATTAGCTTTTTGTTTTCACAACACATCCCAACAGAGTTTTCCCACATCACAAGAGAGACAAAATAAATGCCACAAGCTCATTCATGCTAATGGTATCTTGGATGCATGGAGGAATCGAGGACATAATTGTGTAATTGTCAATCCGGGCAATAATTGAACGGTCTTCTTGACAGTTCACTCTGCTTCAAAGCGGGTGGGACCTTGGAATCGACCAAAAAGCTAGCTAGCTCAATAATTCAAGTTTCAAAAACCAGTTTCCATTGTGGAGCCAGATCCTTCTCTTCCTCATCATTGTAGTAGTAGTCTATACACGCGAAGCCTTCTTCCCCTAAGTGATCTTGATTGCCCGCTCAACCCTCTCAAACTTCCATGGCTTTCCTTGCGCAATATTCTTCGATCACAAGTACAATCAATTTACCACTATCTCATCTATATTTGTTTTGTCTCTCAGCGTCAGCGTCAGATCACTTCACTTTTGTCTCACGTGACCAAAATTCACCTCTTTCTTCATAGACTTTCATGTGCATCGTTGATGACAATCGAGTGCTATTCGGATTGCCGATTGAAACCGAAATCGCACCTCTGTTGTACGTACCACTTTACATGATGGACAGAGGACAAAGAAAGGAATGAGCAGCAATAAGTTATTTTTCAAAATCATTGTTTCGAGTAATACTGTAGTCTTGAATCATACATATTGGGGGTTTCCTGAGTTCGGGTGACAAGTTCCAAGTTCTGACCATTGCCAGGGTCCTAGAGACACGCTCTGTTATGAGACATGAAACAAAAACACGATTTGTCCAACCGCGCCAAGACTAGAAGACGTGCAAAGAGTCCGGTAAGCCGGATCCTCAACACTAATGGGGAGCAGTATCCGTAAACTTGCTCCTCGCGCGCAGTTTCTTCCCAAACACGAAGAGACCATAATGGCCAATCAGCCCTAGAAAAGACAAGCCCGCGAGGACGGTCACGCCACGGTCAATGCCGAGCTTGACATACATGGGGCGGGTGCACTGCACGAAGCCGGCGGCGAGCAGCGAGCGCGTGAGGTCGTTGGCGGCGAACAGCGAAGCCACGTAGCGCGGATATGTGGGTGGGAGCCAGCAGATGATGCTCTGGAAGACGACGAAGGAGAAAGCGGCCCAGATGGCAATGCCGATGGTCGGGGCGACCCAGTGGATGTCCGGGCGCGCGGTCCACGCGAAGATCAGCAGGCCGATCGGCACACCCCACACGCCGACGAGCCCGGCTTTCAGCCACGCTTCGGGTTCGATGGGCTTGCCTGTCTCGGCTTCGATTTGGCGCGCTTGTGGAATGAAGTAGTAGCGGAGGTAGAGGGCGTAGAAAACGACGCCGATGGCGCAGCCGACGCTCAGTGTCGTGAAGATCAAGCTCATTCCGCCGATTGCCATGCCGTATGTGCCCATGTAGACGATGGGGAAGGCCTCGAAGAAGGAGTAGTATGTCGCATAGACGATGGCGCAGTACACACATGCGTAGGTGATGGCGGGGTCTTTGATGGCGATTTCGATGGGTTTGCACAATGCTTGGATCAGGGTGGTTCCGAAGTTCAGGGGCTTGAGCTCTGAGGCGGCCAGGTAGGACGGGTTTTGGGTCTTTGCGCGGAGCCGTTTGGCACGTCGGAGGAGAATGGTCGGTGCCCAGGTTTCAGGGAGGAATGGAAGTAGAACCAGTACGATGCCGGCCATGATGACCATTTCCCACAGGCCCCATCGCCAGTTGTCGACGATGGCGTAGGCTGCGAGAGTCGGCCCAAATGAAGGTCCGCAGTACATCGCTCCCACCCACCAGATGTAGCCATAGGGGGCGCTGTACATGTCGTAAATGTCCTCGATGGATGCTGCTCCGCTGGCGAGGGCGGGACTTCCAAAGAAGCCTTGCAGAAACCGGAGCACCACAATAGCAGGAAAGTTATCGACGACCGCGAGCACCAGGGAGGTGACGAAGAAAAGAACAAAGGATAGAAGGTAAGGTGGATTCCGCCCGCTGAAGGGAATTTCACTGATGGGAGAAAAAATCATGGGGCCAATGCCGTCTAGAAGAATCAGGGACCATTAGTAAGGGATGGCAAGAGCCAAGGGGTTCTGGAGGGCTGGAGGGCTGGAGGGCTGGAGGGCTGGACTTACATCCGACGATGTACATGGACAATCCGAGACTCGCAACGTCCTGTGAGACATGATATCTAGTCATCACAACCTCGGCAGTGGGCGCGATGATGGAAGCTCCACAGTAAACGACGAAAGTGTAGAGCACGATGATAAGCAATGTCCAATTCTTCTTGCGGCTGGACCAGTTGCGAGGATTCTCAGGATCATTCTCATACCAGGTGACAATGCTGGCATCGGACAACCCATTCGCCGAAAGACGACGTGATATCTCACTTTGCGGCACATCAGCAACAGCAGAGGTCTTGGATGATGTCTTCTTCAGAGTCAAGGCCTCTTCTTCGAGTGGCGAGTCGCTCTTGATAGTCGTGAATTTGGGAGCTTGGAAATCGTCGGCTTCTTCTGGATACGAAAGCCATCTGTAATATCCCAGTGTTCGTAATACCTGGCCGGCAGGCGTATCTCGAATTGCTTGAAGCCGACAAGGCATGGCGAGGCTCGATGTGCGAAAATGTCGTGGTCAAAGTGATATGGGACGAAAGCGACGAGAATGATAAGTTTCCACAAACACAAAGGCATGCAGATATGGTAAATATTGATAGTGGGATTAAAGTCTGTCACTGCGAGATCTTCACTGAAGATATGTCCATGGTACTGTAGCGTCACTGGCTCACCACGGCACGTACTTCTAGAAGGCGTTTGTACCAAGTTCAAGGCTAGCTGTCCCGTCCCACATGGGAAAGGCTGAGGTCAACAAGCCCTCGAATCATGGCGTCCATTTGGTGGCTGCATCAAACTTGACCTAGCGGCTGAGATGCAGATACTGACAACAGATCTTTTTACGGAAGAACTGTTTGTCATGGGCTAGACTTGGGCAGCCAGGACCCGTTGAGTAGAGCGTTAGCCAGAGCTCTCATAAAGTTAGGGGACGCAGATGACATGTTTGGAGGCGGTGCCTCATGTTATGCATTGGGAGCGTCTGACCCACTTCTCCGTCAGAACAGTTTCCTTTCTTGGTAGACATATTCGGTTGGCATGTGCGATGGACTAGTGATAAGCCTTGACACCGAATCTCCTCTCGGGAACAAGCTGTAGATTTGCGCGGGAAGATTACGAGCTCTAGGTTTAGCCAAGCGACGGGGCAGAGGCGTGTACTGAAAGGGCCGGCGGGTTGATGGTGGCGTGCTGAACATCCCTGCAAACCAGCTGAGCCGCGAAAGCCAGACTGATCGGTGTACAGTTTATGCCAATGAGATATCAGGGTCTGCCAGAACCTCTGTAGGTTGTATATTTCTATCTCATGCTTAACAATACGCTGTGAGTAATGAGAGCGCTCGTCGCTGTTGTAAACGTCCTGCTTTGGCAAGTGGTGCTGGACAGAGTCGACGGAATGATTAGATTATATGCCAATTGGTCCAATTGGCTACTCCCTCACTACTTCTCATCCAACACTCTACCTGCCCCTTCTGCTACATCACTTCCACTTTGTAGGTCGTGGGTCTGCCACACCTCTGACCAAAACCCTTCTTTCCACAGGCGTAATATCTCGAAACCCACTTCAATCGCAATGAGCACTATAATTGTCCACTCAAGAAATAAACCATGTTTCTCGCTCAACCTCTCCCGTAATACGGTTGCTATTTCTCCTGCGTAGGTCATCTTCTCGTTGAGTACCTTGATCCTAATGCCAACATCAAGGGCACGGCCAACCTGGTCATAATAGTTTTCCAGATTTAGTTCGTGCCGTGAATCCCAGAATAAATCAGGAAGAGAGTCAGTAAGTTCTGAGTAGAGGTTCAGTTGCGCACGTAACAGTAACAGTTGTCCTGTTTTCCGCAAGATGAAAGGGCGCGAGAGTTTGAATGGAAGTCGAGAGCCTTTAGACAGTAGGGCTGGAATGTCGGCTGTTGAGGTCAGATAGGTGGAGAGGTTGGTTTCAAGAACGGCAAGCTTCGTGCTTCTCGCAAACCCTGAAGAAAATGCTATCTTGGTCAACACGGTATCAACACTCTGATATCCTGGAACGGGTTGGTGGCCTGTATCGGTTGCAGTTGAGTCGGTGGTCTTTGTGCCAAGAATTATGGTGTCCCCACGAATGGTGCTTTGCTCTCGCGTCGGATCTTCAATATAGTCCAAGTCTTCTGTCTCAACGGGCTCGTTGTGGGGATTTTGAGCAGCTGGAAGAAGGGTTCTCGTTGCAAAGTACGAGGTGAAACCCTCCGGAAGTGCCCATGTTACCAGGGTTCCAGAGGGGAATATAAATATGTCGCCCACATCGGTAGCCGAGAGGTCTCGCGCGGAAGGGTTGGTTGAACGATATATAGAAGAGATGGGAACTTGCACATGAATAACTTGCTGTGAGAGACCTGTCCCGAGAGGATCTGGCTCGAAACCTTTGCTACGTAATATCTCAACCACTTTGGCCAAGTCGTATTGTTCGGCAACAGCATAGGCAGTCACAAGTTTCGCAACGACGAGCTCCTCTTGGTTGCGACCACCTGTATGTTCTAAGACCCCAGCTTTTGTTCTCTGAGCCTCAAGTCCAACTCTTCGAAGCGAAGTCTTGGTTCCAGGGGTGCGGGCAGTCTTACGCTTCGAGGCTAGGACGGAACCAGCATTGTCCGATGCGACATCCTTTGAAGTGTCTGTACCATTGGCTTTTGTGGTTGATAGTGAGGGATTTGAAGAAAAGAAATCACGGCGACGAGGCCGTTGGAAGATTGGAGAGGCGTGAAGTGGTCGAAAGGTCGGCTGTTTTAACACACCAAGGGCTGTCCTTCGAGAATTATTGCAGGTAAAGCTGTTGATCCCCGGAAGTGATAACCGGAAAGAAGCTGGCCGCATCGAGGGCAGGTTTCTTTTGCAGTCTCCGGAGGGTAATTAGTGATGGTTGTGATTCTACTGGGAGGTCCTTGAGGGTGTTATCCATCCGAACAAAAAAAGCAGCGTCGGAAAATCTGCGGAGGAAAATGCAAGGCTGAGTTCCGGCAAGGCTGTGTAGCTCCGCACGACTCTTGGCGATCGTCACTGCTGCAGTTCATCGCAACTGCGACTTCCTCGTGTGAACATTGTTTCTTTCTTGATATCAAGACACATAATACTGCTATCACCTCTTGCGACCCACAGTCACCAGAGATACACTAAGACCGGCAGGTAGCTCCAAAAGCATGCCTCTACCTTTTGGCCACGGATAATGCCACCTTCTTGACACAAGCAGAACGAATGGCTGCTGGTGATGGCTCCCAGGAGCCTGCCAACAACAACCCGACCCCCAATGCCTCCAATCCTCCACCAGATCGCCCTCAGCCCCCATCAGTCAGGGATGAGTCCGAAGAAGACGACGAGGACGGCGATGATGGAGAGGAAGAGGAAGAGGAACCCAGACTCAAATATGCGAACCTGACCAGGAATCTCAGCCCATTGTATCGCAATGGCGATGCCACCAGCGCTTTCCTCGTATCCGGAGACAAAATGATCGTTGGTACTCATAATGGCAATATCCACGTCTTTAGTCTACCCTCATTCGCTCCTTTGCGCGTCTACCATGCCCATACCGCTAGCATCTCCACTATCTCCATCTCTCCCTTTCCAGTTCCTCTGCCTGGTTTCCGCTCAGAACAGACATCTAGACTGGTAGCAGACACCCTATCACAGAGGGATGCTTCTCCCTCCAGCTCTCCGGCCCCGAAGGGAAAGCAACAACAACTCGGCCCGGTTCCAAACACCCCATCCAATCAGATCTATATTGCAACATCCTCTATCGACGGCAACGTTTGCATTGCATCTTTGGTCGACCCAAAGGATGTCCAGCTTCGGAATTTTGGCAGGCCAGTACAGACGGTGGCACTTTCACCGGAATACAAATCCGAACGGAGCTACTTATCAGGAGGGCAGGCCGGTAGTCTGATACTGACCACCGGTGGGCAAGCTGGCAGAAGTGCAAACGCGACCACAACTGGAGCTGCGGCTACGGCGTCGAGCTGGCTTGGATCTATTGGTCTTGGTGCAAATACTGGAACAGACAAAGTCCTTCATGGCGGAGAGGGCATCATCAGCACAATCAAATGGTCGCTCTCGGGGAAATATGTCCTCTGGGTCAATGAACAAGGCATTAAAATCATGAGATCGAATCTGAAGCTTGAAAGTGGGGAAGCTGGTTTCGAATGGAAGAGATTGAGCCATATCGACCGCCCAAACCGACCTGGTTGGGAAGACATGGCTGGTGTGTGGAAAGCACGCGTTGAGTGGATTGATCGCGACAATATTGAAGTTGATGATGACTCTCCAATTTCCACCATCATGGTTTCTTCGAATGGTGCAGCATCGACTTCTGGAAACAAAAAACAAAAATTGGAAGAAGTCTTGGTAGGTTGGGGAGATTCGGCCTGGATTATAAAAGTAACTCCAGGTATGTCGGAGAATGGTGGTCAAAGCAAAATTGGAAGTGCGGTGGTTGCAACGATGTGAGTTATTCCTTCTCGCCCAGTGGATCGACTAACAATGCCCAGTATACGATTTGATGACTGTACAATATCTGGAATTTCTTTATATACCCCAACTCTGCTCGTAATACTTGCATATATGGAAAGAAAGGACAAGCAAACGAAAACAGCTAGCCTTGACAACGGCAAGAAGACTCGGAGAAGACATAATGCATTAGAGCCGGAGTTACGCTTGATTGACATTAATACGAAAGAAGAAATCGATACCGATACCCTAACAGTGAGTAGATATGAAACTCTCTCAGCTTCCGACTACCATTTGGGCTTTCTACCACCTGTCCGCATATCTGCTGCGGCTGCACAAAGAGGCTATTTGGGAGCGATCGGTTCCGGCATTGGTACCGTGAGCTCCAGTCTATATACAGGAGTCGAGACTGTAGGTCAGGGGATGTGGGACGCCACAATGTACGGGCCTCGGATGCTAGGTGCTAATCGCATGTTCAGTGGTGCTGAGAGTGTCAGAAGCGGCATGAGTGGTCCTGAAAAGGGTACTTCTAAGGACCGCAACTATCTTACTGGATGGCTTCCAGGCTTCGGTTCGAGTGATTCAAATCAAAGAGAGGATGTCAACAATCTGGCCACCGCACAGAGTATGAAGATTTTCATTTACAGTCCATACGACTGCATCGTCGCAATCCGACGAAATCTACATGATCGCATGCAGTGGCTCACCGGTATGAAAAAGTATCAACAGGCATGGGAATTGATTGACCAGCATCCCGAAGCAGGGGGAGTGGCCTCGGAAGCTTCAGAAGCTTCTACACCACCCACCCCTTCTAAGGCGAGTTCAGTCTCAAAATCGGCGAGTGCGGCCCCCACAAGCGCAATCCAGGCTCGACAACAGGCAACGCTGGCCGAGTTTTTTGCTGACTCGGCATCAATCACTAGCTCCGCGCAGGCCAAACCGAGGGGGAAGTACTCCGCTGCAGAGAAAGAAAAGCGGAAGATTGGCGAACTTTGGCTGAAGCAACTGGTTGATGCCAACAACTGGAGCGAGGCGGCTGAGGTGGCTGCCAAAGTTTTGAACACCACAAGTCGATGGGAGCACTGGATTTGGGTATTCGTCAAGAGTCACAAGTTTGACGAGATCTCATCACATGTTCCCACTCTAGAGTTGACGCCGCCTCTTCCCTCATCTATTTTCGAGATCATTCTCGGGCATTATGTCGAGACCAATCGAGTGCGGTTCAAAGAACTATTGGACCAGTGGCCATCGGACCTCTTTGATATCAGTAGCATCACCACCGCAATCGACGATCAACTTCAGTTGGACACCACCCCCAAAGGCTCCGAAGATTGGCGAATGCTGCAAGAAGGTCTAGCCAAATTGTTCTTGGCCGATGGTCATTACAATGAAGCTTTGAAATGCTACATACAATTGCAGGATGCAGATACCGCCCTGTCATTAATCAAAGACCACCATCTTGTTGAAGCTGTTGCAGATGATATTCCAAGCTTCGTACAGCTCCGAGTACCCTCCAGCCAACTGAAGTCCATCCCTTTGAAAGAGTTAGATGAACTTGCGGCAGATCCTATCAGTGTTTTGGCAGACGAGGCAACTCATGGTGTCGTGGAACCAGATGAAATCGTCACGCAACTGAACACCCCTCTTCTGAAGCCTTTTCTATATTTCTACCTCCGTGCATTATGGACGGGCGAGAGTGAAATAGACGCTTCAAAAGGACCACGAGTTGGACATTCAGCAGCGGCGAACGCAATTGCAGCAGACGCCGGAAAGCAGCTGGTTGAACAGTTCAGCGACATTGCGATTGATCTATTCGCAGAATATGACCGAACTCTCTTGATGGAATTTTTGCAAACTTCAACAGCCTATACTTTCGACAAGGCTGTCAAAGTTTGTGAGAAAAGACACTTTATTGAGGAATCGGTCTACCTTCTGAGTAAGACGGGGCAAATGAAGAAGGCTTTGTTTTTGATCATTGATGAGCTCAAAGACGTTTCTAAGGCCATCTCGTTTGCCAAGGAGCAAGACGATAGAGGCTTATGGGACGACCTACTTGAATATAGTATGTCACGACCAAGGTTCATATCAGGGCTACTCGCGGAAGTTGGAACATCCATCGATCCAATCACATTGGTCAAGAGGATCCCCTCAGGACTGGAAGTCGAAGGCTTGAAAGATGGTCTGAAGAAAATGATCCGTGAATACGATCTACAGGACAGCATCAGCTCTGGTGTTGCAAGAGTATTGAGCAGTGAGGTTGCCGTTGGCATGGATACACTAAGACGAGGAAGAAGAAAAGGGATCAAGTTCGACATTGGCTCAATACCTCAGCCGAGGAGAACTCATGGTCTGGATCCAGAATCTGCGAGGGCACAAACAGAGAAGGATTATGACAGTCTTGAACCTGAGCTGCAACCCGGTCACTGCGCCTCTTGCCATCGTGCGTTTCACGCGGACGAAGGCGAGACACTTGTGGGATTTGCTTGTGGTCATCTCTATCACGTATCACATTTACTGCATGGACCAGATTCGGAAGGTGACGAGGCTACCCTGCCTTCCGGTGGAAGGGACACCGAAGAAGACGCCGACACCAACGAGCGCTTCTATAGGTCTGTCGGGTCCAAAGTCACCAACGCAAGATTACTCAGGGATAAGATCCAGACAGTAGGGGGTTGTGCCATATGTAAAGAAAAAAGAGAGCGGGTTCACGTGGTTGGCGGCAATTGAATTTTACCAACCAGGCAGTCTCTACGCAATACCTGGGTGTTTTGCGACTTGTGCCGTGTCCAATCTGGCAATCGTATAGCAACATGACCGGGGGCTGCAATCCAAGGTCGTCCATCTGAGACCAAGATCGAGATCTTAACAAATTTGTGCTCTAATAATATCATTTAAAGCAGCGTGGTATCCGTAATTTCATCGCAGGTCAGAGGTTCTGAATATGAGCACATGCTCCTTTGAGCTCTTCCTCAAACAGCCTCCCCTCCCCTGTCCTTCTATCACCAATCCAACAACTCAATTCCCGGTGGTCATCCCCGGCTACTGTATCCCTCCCCCAGGTTGTGAACGTGTGATTGCCCTAGCCTGACAAATATTTATCGAGCGCGGCCTCTAGCCCCGGCCCCTTAACTGCCCATTCCGGAACCATTTTACGGATACGCATCTCCTACCGGCCACGACGTACTTGTAGTGGGGTTCTATTGCCGGTGGCCGCCAACCAGAGACCAGTAGGTTGGGTGATAGGCTATGATGCCAGTTATGGGGCGGGAATAGCTATGTTCGACGAATGTTTTGATACATTCCTGCAAGAGCAGTCAGTGACTCGGTGTTCCTGGCTCTGGAGTTTCTGGAGATCCTGGTATGTGTCAAGGTCTTTAGCTACCAGGCGTCCGTGGTTCTGAAGGGACTCTGGGGTGGTAGGGTGCGTGGAGTTCTGGACGAAGGACGCATTTAAGGTATATGCATGCCTCCATATCTGAAGTTTGCTTGTCTCGGAGCAGGGAACAGTGGTCTTTGACAGCAGTCTCTTCAATATCTCATTGTTCAGTGGGCTGAAGTCATTCTTTGTTGTCCACCATCTTTCTCCGTTTGCTTTGTTGGTCTGGCTTCACGATCTGCTCTCATGTCATTCTATGTCCACTTTCACCCACGAAACGGCTGTTTACCATACAGAGTTGCTCGACCAGTCAATAATATCCAACTCACATGAAAAATATCTGCACCAGGTATCTAGGTAGTGTCCTGTGTTCTGGTCTGAGCAAGATTATGCAGTATCAGCGAATGGCGTGGTACTTCTATATAGGTTCAATAGCTAGCTCCTATAGGTACTATTATGTATTTTTAGATAAAGCTACTCTATATAGTATGGATAGAGTATAAAGGATAGATTTCGATATATCTAAAAGAATAGAGATAGATTATTTCTAAAAGAAATAAGAACCTAAAGGCTAAAGCAATAGGAGCTTAAAGTATAAGACTTTTGTTGAGAGTTTTTCGCTATTTAGCAATCGACTTATCGTTACAAAATATTACAATCTTCGCCGTTCGACTTGGGCATTTCATGGATGGGCGGCCATTGACATCTGGCGTTATTCGTGCTTCGACCCTAACATCCTGTTCTCATGTCTGACATGAACTAAACTCCAACCAAAACAATGATATCTACGTCATCTGTGCCATGTCAATCCTTAGACATTTCCCAGCGCTTGTATCATATCTCGGGACTTTCTGCTTCCCAAACCAACTTTCCATATGTCATAGCTTGCCGTTATCGTTATGCTGCGCAGTGTGAGACACAAGGTCATCAATCTCGTATCTATTGACGATCGTTGATTTCTGATTCCTCCATTGTTCTTCGAAATATCCACGCTTGGGCAAGTACAAAGTGAACACGCACGACATGCCTTCAAGAGTGATCTCTGCCTTGAACTCTGATTGGAAATACGACGTGCCATCTGGTCCTTCACGGCGACGAAGCTTGATCGATCTGTGATCTGCATCGATTCCCAACGCCGAAGATTCGGAAACTGCAATAGTACCTTTTTCGATATCATCGCTCAGGTTCTGGTCTAGTCTCTCAGGGATCGTGGAGTCAGTGATCCGGACAATCTGTAAGCCGGTTTTCAAGGGAAATTTTGGTTTTCAATCCGAATCATGCCCTCGTAGTGAAATCGGGTTTCCGGTGAAATCACATCACCTTTTCTGACAAGCCATATTGGGGTTTGCAGCGAAGCAGGACCGTTGTTTGCTGACGGTTTATCGTTGTTGGGCACTATTGCGGCGCCTTCCTCAGCGATAAATCCACAAGAATAGCGCGCGAACAGTTGTTGTGGCAAACCATCATTCAGCATTGAGACGAATCCCCCATAGCACACTGAAGAACATTTGTCTGGATTGATGGTCAAGATTGGGTTACTGAGCGTAGATTGCATATGCTGTTGCACAAACTTCGGGTTGGCCCCTCGCCCGGTCAGGATGATGGGAATCTCCCCGGTGCTCTCTAAGACAACAGATGAATGGCTGGAAAGCCGAAGGAGTTGTTGGTTGACCTGGGTAATGATATCACGAAGCCAGTCCTCGAAGATCATTTGCATTGTGTCGGTGTCGTACTCCGAACTGAGATGAACCTTGCTCAATATTTCGCCAAACTCCTTTGGAGTATTCGCGACTGAGTAAATGAAGTGCTTGCGACAGCCAAATGTTGATGGATCAAAGTCTTGCTTCGCGAACTCAAACTCCGTGCGTATCGTTTCAAGAAGTTTATCTTCGGTCATTTCATTATTCGAAAAGAAATCTGACCATTCATCACCCAACAAGCGACGAATATGGCTGGCAGCAGTGTCATTAAGGGAATTAGAACCACTCATGCATGCTTTGACTTCGAAGACTTCTCGGATGTCCAGGGTTGGCTGCATCGAAACAACCTGTATCACGGCAATGTCGGTAGTCCCGCCTCCGATGTCAACTACCATGCAATGTTTACCGCGCAATTTCAGTCGAGGTTCAGTGGCCAAAGGTGCTGAAAGCAAATTTTTGGAGTGCAGGACAGAATAGATGGCAGCAGACTTTGCCTCAGAAAGAATTCTCGTGTTCTCTGGAAAGCCAGCTCTTTCACATAGACACCGCAGCAAATCAAGAGAATCTTCGCCATGCGCAGTAGTACTGTCGACTGCAACTCTAGCTCGTTTCGAAGAAAGTACTTGATCGACTTGCGTATCTGTAAAATTTGCCTCCTGCATGATCTCTTTCTTTACCAGTTGCAGTTGATTCCTCAGAAGTTGGACCATAATATCGCAGGTCGAATTAACTTCTACCTCTGACAACTCTCCTGTGAGTGCGTCGGAAACACATGTCGAAATAGACGAATCGATGGCCTTCAAAGCGGTGTTGTGGAGCTCTTGGGCTCTTGAGTACCAAGAGCTTTTAGCCGTTGAAGCCAGCAATGGGCTACCTTCGGGGATGAGACTCTGTTTAACAGAGCGGAATGGGCGGGCTCCTTTTTCGATGACTGCTGCTTCGGCCGCATTGCCAAATTCCAGAATGAAGTGTTTGCCATTGAACTCCTGATGGGGTGCGCCCAGGGACAGAGCAACAACGGCGTCTTCTCTTCCTAGCGTGTAGTCGGTTTCAGCCTTTTTCATCATGTCCTTGAGCAGTAAAAAGGCGGCTTTCTGTTCCCCGGGGACTAACCTCCAACATCTTGACACATTGGAATAACACAAATCAATTGAAATTAGGAGATTGTGGGAGCCATTCGGGTCGAAAAGATCTTGATAGCCATCATTCACCGGTTTTACAATCTCGCGTCGGTTTCTCAGGTTTCTTTGCGGTCTCCTGGTATTTGTTGCTGTATTACTAATAGCCATGGCTCTGGCTTCGCGAGGGGGAGATTGAGTCAAAGAGATAGGAGAACCGGTAATCTGATGTTGAGTGCTTGCAAGCAACAGATTTCTTTTTCGGAAGGCATCGAAGTGCAGATAAATACATGTCAAGCCTCGCGTGCGACTGCCTTCACCGAACACATCATGGTGCTCAGTAGACTGCCTGTGATAGCTGCTTATTGCCTTGAAGGAACTGCCTGTGATAGAATTGTTACTGCCTATGCTGGTACTGTCACTCTTGTCCCTCTTCTTGCGCATAATGCTGCACTTTGTTTGGATACCATGGCGTGTTTTGGTCGACAAAATTGAAGACGCTCCATCTCTGATAAACTCGAAATGTGTCAATAATACATCTTCAATGAAGTAAACTAGGATGCGATCGATTGCGGTGAGGAATACACCGCAGCAGGAAACCCCATTCGATTGCGTTGACGGTGAAAAATTTGCGAGCAAGATCGAAGTCTTGTATAGCACAGACGATACTTCCAATAACACGAACCCTCATCTGTTCGTACATTTGTGAAGTGCAAGTTGTGGGTACTTAGTGTTCTTTGTTCGAGCACATGCCGCATTCCAGTTCCTCAGCCGGTTGTCCTGGAAATATTCGGACAACTGTTTGACAAACAAGATCCAACAAACATTCCTTTTGATCCCATGTTGTTTAGATAGATTGAACTTAAAGCTCATGGCTTCTCATCCTTAACGCATGCCCCACTCCAGACACTGCGCTTGAAGTGCTTCATCAAGAACATAGTTTCCCTCAATTGTCGATGATTTTGGTCGCCCAGAACCATGTTCCAAAAATTAGCTGGCCTCCGGAAGCGGTGAACAAACTTCTTGAATTTGTTGATGAGAATAAAGGCGAGGATGGGGTTCTGATCCGAGGTGCCGTGATGACCTTCAGTTCATGGGCAGAACGACTCCGTGAGCAGTATGCTCAGGTCCCAGCTTTCGGCCGTCGTCTTCAGGCCAAGAACGTCGAAAGCAAGCTCAAGTCGCTCTGGACAACGTACAAGGCTGGAAAGTATGGCAAGAAAGCCCCACTCAAACACTTCTACATGCTCGGCACTGGAGCTCTGGACATGGAGAAACTCAAAAAACAGCAAGAAAAGTATCTCATATCGCAAGAAGATAGTATTTATGTCGAAGGCTTATCAGGGTAAGAACTTCTACTGTTTTAGCCAAGATTGCGAGGAAATAACAATCAAGTTTCTGATTAGTGAAAAAAGAGCAGACAGGCGCAGAGGCGCATCCCCCATGGGCCCCCCAAGACCCCGGTCGACCCACCTTTCGTTCTGCCGCCGAAAAATGGAAGGCCACGATGTATCGGAGTCTTGACCTGCTCGTGGACGAAATCCTCAAGGTTTACAAAATGCCGCACGAGCAACCTGCCTATCTCGATAACAAGTTGCAATACCCTTCAGACCTGAGTTTCCTCCTCTGTCGAATTTTCAGATGTAGGAAATCGGAGACTATACACGATCGGTTGTCCAGCATAATCCAGCAACGACCTGTCGGTCAGGCATGCGTGCTTAAGTCATTAATTGGCTACACTGTGAATCTTTGGTGTTTATATCCAACACTAGAGCACAAGGGCTTTTTTAAAGACCTCAAGGACCCTGAACTAGACGACTTCATAGACCAGTGTATTTCTTTCGAAGTCTTGGATGGTCAATAGCTAACTGTTACAGTGTATGGGCCAAATATTCTGAGCATTGTGCCGCCCGGGCGCCGCGCGAATCCCGTCTGGGCTCTCGAAAAGCTGCATGCGACGAGAGTCAGCGAATCGCGTCGAATGGCGAATGAGATGGTGCAGTACCTACCCTTTTTCGTTCCCGATATGTCCACTGCCGTGTGGGACACACTCATGGGCGAGGCTTTGATCTCTCTTCCGTTGACTACTGGTCCTACTGAGGAATACCGCCGCCAGTTTACATGGGCAGATCTGTCTGACGCCGCCGTCAAAATCGCCGGAAGTAGGCTCAAACGTCTTCTGGAGAGCTTATATCGTGATGCTCTAGACTTCAGATTTGAAACTTACATGGATAACTCCGTGGAATATAAGTTCAATTTCCCAACATTCACGGATGTGTACCAGAATGAACAGCACATTGCGGCAACGACTGACGAGGAATTCCCACATGGCCACGTGCTGTTGGGATATTGGCCAATGATCAGAAAAAGATATCGTGATAAACCTGGGCCCTTCGAAGGCGAGTGGAAAAAGCATTCCGATGGAGTGGCGATTTTCATGGACCCGTCGACAAAGGACCTTCCCCAAGGCGCCTTCAACCATGGCTAGTACTGTCAAAGGTGCATCCAAGGAGGTAACATAGGCTTTCGATGGTGGAGAAAATGGTTAAGGTGGTACATCGTGCACTTTCTGGGCAGGGTTTGGCCGCGATCTGCTTTACAGGAGGGAGGATTGACGAAGGAATGTGATGAATAATAGCTTGGCAGATAAAGGGGGTTTGTTGGCGTCAGGAGTTGGCACTAAATTGTTTGAAATTGAGTCTCAAGGATGACGATACCATCTTTCCAAATGTATGTCTTAGTAATGCCATTCCATCAGCAACAATCATTTTCACTTCGTTTCCATGCAGGTCGTTGTTGAAGCAAGTATTCCTCCAAGCTCGTACACCTTTGATGGATCCATGGAAAAGGGTACGCTGACTATCCTTGCGCGCTTGCTTTCCTTTCAGCCATGAACGCTCTCACACCCTCAATGCGATTCACAAAAAACATCCGTTTCTTATCATCCTTCCAGACCAAGACGCCAATCTCATCTGCGTAGCGACAAGGAGCCTCGTATTCGGCATGATTTTGAAAGTTTTTCAGTAGAAATCCATACGTTGTTGTCATCCGATCCCGCTCGAGCTGCCAGAGATGAATTTGATCGAGAATGGTTGGCGGGAGCACGGGTATAACGCGACCCTGATCGGTGCCACGAGCCTGCAACTGTGCTTGCTCTGCCTGAGCTCTCCGTCGCATCTGCGGGTGGGCGTGTGATGTAAGATAAGATATGATTTGCTCGGCCGTGATTCCTGCCTGCACCGCACGCTGAACAGAAGCTTTGCTCATCTTACCTGTCACCAGGTTTGGATGTCGAGAGCGTAGATTGACGAATAGTTGCAGAAGGGCAATTTGAAGCGGAGAAGATGTATATGCGTAGACTCGATAGTTTGTCTCCACAATGATGAAGCCTTTTGTCGAGGTATCAGGAGATGACGACAAAGAGGAGCCAACTGCTGAATTCACGGCTGAATTGGCAGCTGCAAGTGAAAGATTTGAATCGGAGGTCAATGTGGCCGCAAGTCGTGTCGGATAGAAATAGTCCGCCGGAGTTCCATCTGTGTCAAGTGGCTGGTAAACAATGCCAAGAGAGATGAGATCTGAGAGACAGCGTAATTGGGTGTCATTGAGGGTAGCAGTCGAATATGCGAGACCAAGTTCGAGGGATGAGACAAGGAATAGGAAGGAAAGCACATCGACTTTGTCCATCTCAAATACCTCAGCATTGTCGACATAAAGGAAAAGGAGAGCCCATATTTGGGTGTTGATATCCTGGAGGACAAAAGCAAAGCCTTCTTTGGTAATGCTAGCCACTTGGCCACGACTATATGTTCCATTGGTCTCAATAAGATGACCTGCCCTCAGTAGTTCAATGACGCCTGGGGATGGATCAATAGCAATCTGATCAGAATCAATGGCAGTCGAAGACGAGCCAACCATGTAGCCCAGGATACCTTCCCATCTTTGACGAGAATATTCGTCAAGTTCGGTGATGGCCACCCTCTTCTTCTCAGGTACTCGGGCTGGCTGTCCGAACGATCCGAGCTCTCCAGCCCCAGTCAAAGCGCTTCGTAACGATCTTGCAAATTCAGCTGTCAATGCGAAAGCCCTGGAAGAGTTTGATGTGACATCTTTGAGTATGTGATAGCGGCGGAGCAAGTCTACTGCATATTCGCGTTCACCTCGACTTGCGTCCTTCACGAGTAACTCGAGATTCTTGACGGGCATCGGTTTCGGCATGTACAGTAACATCATGACAAAGGACTTCGCGAGACTCGATAACCGCTTTCTGAAGATGGCCAGCGCGGAAGAAGGGCTTTTGTATAGTCGATAAAACTGGACACCAGGCAGGGTCTCGAGGTACTCCCACGAGTGAAGACTCGTAGTTGCCATTTTGGCGTGGTGTTCACAGTATTATTGGGTATGCCAATTTTCCCTCTGTTTCTTAATCATTTTCGTGTATAGAAAAGGAACGAAGATACCAGACTCTACCACAGGTAAATATGAATGTGATAGATAAAGATGTCGTTTCCATCGAAGGCCAACGTGAAGTCTGTAAGTTGATGATTAGGTAAGGGAGAAATAATGATGCGCCAAGACTTCAAATCGTTCGGATGAATATATCTCCTGCTCCGTGAACCTGACTGCTGTCCCTTGTTGAATTGATTTCTTACAAATAACAAAATGAGGAATGAAAGACCGTGTTAGATCTAGATTCGCGAGGGATTGATCGTAGCGGGCCAAAAAAAGCGTGTTAACTGTCGTGGTAAATCGATCGAATGGAGACCTTTGGTCGCCTTCGGGCCTGACTGCTTAACTCCGATAAAGGCATCATGACTGGGAGAAGTGATGGACCTTGAGTCATTTATTACCAGGCAGCACTTGGAATCTTACTCTTACTATCCATTCGAAAAACACATCAACGAGCGACCAATTGCATAGATCCTGTACAACATTGAACTCATCAAGCATGGCCAACTAGCGCCTTTTTGATAGACTCGCCCAACAGGCTCTCAATCATGGGAGCAGCAACCACCCTTGTTTCAGATGCTCAGGAGTCAGCGGCTCCTCGAAAAAGACGTAGCCATCGCAAGTCCAGGAACGGCTGTCGCAATTGTAGGCTTCGACGCGTGAAGTGCGATGAGCTAAGGCCCCGTTGCAACAAATGTCTGGAGTACGGGATTTCTTGCAACTACAGCCCAGGGGTTCCTGATCTCGAACCCCTTCAAGGTACGACAAATGTCACAACGATGACGACTGCGCTAGGTCCGTCTCCTCTATCGCACAAACGGTTAGCTATAGACATGATTGCGGCATCCCTCCAGGAAGATCGTGGCTATCAAGCAAAGTTTTTGGATGTTCTACGATTCCAAGATTACAATATGGATTTACTGGAGAAATTTCAGACGAGAACTGTTTTCTGTTTAGGCACCACGATAGCCACACATATCTTTCAAAAGGAGGTAGCGAGGCTTGCATGCTCCCATCGCTTCCTCATGCATCTCGTCCAAGCAGTTACCGCTTGCCATGATCGCTATCTGGCAGGATCCAGTTATGCAGAGCCTGATCCACTTGAGAGCTACAATCTCAATTCCGGACTCGTCTTATACCAGCAAAAACTGAGCCAGCCTCTGCGGCCCACAGATCGAGATGCTTTATTTGTTGCTGCAAGTCTGACGGGCATTGCCAGTTTCGCTACTTTTCAAGCCCGGACGGTCGAAGATGGATGGCCATTGAGAGATGGTGATCTGAATTGGTTACGCCTAAGCAGTGGCAAGCACGCCGTGGTTGAGCTAATAGACCCCTCGGGAAAGGAGAGTATGTGGAAACCGCTCATTGAAAATGTCGCGAAAGAATACTGGGCACATGATGTGAATGAGGAGCGCTGCACAGTGTTCGACCATCTTTGCAGCCCTCGCGAAACATTGATCTCGACAATTGAGAATCCTTACCATGAGACTATTGATAAGCTGGCAACTATTCTTGCTCTTGAGTGCAATGAGAAAAATTGGATAAGGTTACTCTGCTTCCTCATGCATGCAACGCCTGGTTATACGAGCCTTCTACAGCAGAAAGACCCATGGGCATTGATGATGCTTGCATACTGGTACGCTAAGGTCTGCCAGGCTCGATGGTGGCTCGCACGGCGCGGGATTTTAGAGGGATTAGCAATATGCCTCTACATCGAGAGAAACTGTCTGGAGGACCAGAAACTTCAAGAAGCTGTTACTTGGCCGAAGCAGATCCTAGAGAGCCTGATGGCCATCGAGCAAATAGAATATAGCTAAGACAAGTTCCTGCAACTATTCGATTCTTTGGTGTCTTACAGTGGGTTGGATGTAGAATGAGGCCTGCAAACCTTGGAAGTGTTTGTTGATGTTCTGCTGCTCTAGTATTTTAGGTAGCTAGTTAGGTAGCTAGATTCTTAGGCTGGTTCACCCATCGGCAAACCTTCCTACCCCCGGGTGCTATCCCTCTCCTACTACCTACCTACACGCCGGAGATATCTACCTAGCAAGCTCACAAGATAAAACGCCGAAATTCTCCATTTTCAAGCATTCCTCTCAATCAGCGATTGTTGCTCAAGTCAGGGCGGAAAAGAAAAGCAGAATCGAGCTTAAAACTTAGCCGAAAGGTTGGAGAGCTTCGTGGCAGCGTCAGCATTGAGCTTTCACTCCGTCGCCAGACGTTTACTAGCAGAGAATCTGACAGCCATGTCGGCACTAAAATTTGTGCGCTCTGTATGTACCTGATGGTTCCAGGATGTTCACGTGTGGAGAACTGAATGCATGCAACATAGGTATGGGAGTCATTTAGAGCAACTTCCGGACTCGAGCCAAGGTGAGGAAACTAGACATCCATGTTACCTGCCTTAACTAATGTACTGCAGATTAATTGACAGTGTAAGTAATGGATGACCAGCGGCACTGGGTTCATCGCATTTCAATTGTGAAACTTGAGGTGACCTGTCACACGCAGATGCGAATAACTGCGGCAGAGCCTGGGAAGGTCAACTTCGAGCTTCCGATTGAGAAACATCACTTGAACCGCCTGGGAATTCTCCATGGGGCGACTCTGGCTACAATGGTTGACACGAGTGGCTCGCTAGCGGTTGCGTCTCGTGGTCTATACTCCACGGGCGTCTCTACAGACCTAAGTGTCACTTATCTGAACGCAGGCGGAAAGCTTGGTGATCTGGTCAAAGGTGAGGTTATCTGCGATAAATGTAAGTGCCACGATCTGTTCCAGATTCCTAGGATTCGTCTGTGTTGACGCACCAACAGTTGGCAAGACTCTTGCATATACGACGGTGAAGTTTATGAACAAGAACGACGAGATAGTGGCTCGTGGTAGTCATACCAAATTTGTCGCGCTGGCATGGAAGGACGAGAAGAACATCACCGATGAATTAAAGCCCACTGTCAATGAGTCGAAAGCCAGCGAGGCCACCCGTACCAGCTTTTGATTGAGATGCCGTCCCGTGTCTTGCCACATCGTCATACATAGACTGTACATATATTTGTGAAGATGGTACTTTCAATAAGCAGATTCTTGAGTATCTGATTCTCGGCTAAGTATACTCCGCTAAAACATTTCGGGGTAGTTCATTGCATCTGGTAGCATCAAATGTAGAACCATATGCCACAATATCCAACGAGAATGCCAATTGAAATAACGACCAGATCCCTCACCGCGGGATACGACGACTTACCTCTCTTCTCAAAAGTTCACAAGATGATGCTGTGCGCACCCATAACTGAACCAGCCTGCGGCGGCACATGGAATTCAACGACGCTTTGGAAGTCAAGACGTTGCCAGCTTCAAAATAAATCGAGCTCTTATCCAATACATCCTTGAGGCAGCAGCCAAATGCAAGATTTTGGTCGCTGAAAAAATGGATTGGCTTGAGGAAAGCTGAGATTCACCGTGCTTATGAATAGCTCAACTGTAGTGGTCTGCACCGGAACTGGTGACGTAGAAGGAGCTTCAAGCAGAGTTTCAGTAGTGACATGCGACGGATTGGCATTGATTTTCAGAATTCCATGTGGTAACCATAGTATTGTCGCCCAGCCAGTTGTTACGTCGCCATTCCAACTTGGCAAGCCATTTTCCTGAACGCCCAGCCGGGTGGACACCTGTGTTCACCCTGCTATATCTGATCCTGATCCTTGGCAGCCTTGGATAGCCTTCTGGGCAACCATTGGCAACCTTAAAGGAAACAATTCATGTGCAATGATCTCATGGTTAGTTTCAAGGTTCAAACCGCCCCTTATACTTCAAGTGAAGATGAAACTGGAAGGGACATTTTCCTCGTGCTTTGTTGTTGTCGATTCAACTGCAACGGGGCTCTGGCCTTCAAGTGAGCAAAACAAGTCGAAGCATCTATCACCCAGGATACAATGGCTGAAGATGGAGGAACATACTTGACACAAAAAGAGATTGACGAGTTTGTGGCAGAACTCGACAAGGATCAAGATGGTTGCATTTCATACCAAGAGTTGGAACACAAGTTGGACGCCGTTTACAAGGAGCTGCAACCAAACGCAAAATCGTACAACCTGCATCACGAGTCAAGAAATGAAGCACGACATGAGTTCTTGCGAGGGGTCATGGGCACAGAGAAAGAGTCCATTCCAGCAGAGGACTTTAAGAAGACGGTAGCTTCCTGGAAAATCGCCTCGCTGGAACAGGAGAAACAAGCTGCCAAAGACGAAAATGACTATTTGAAGGGCATCTCCTGGCCTCGACGGTTGCGAGCCATCTGGGAAGTCGAAGGGCCCGAGTACCTGTTCCTGTTTATCGTGGTTTCATTGCAGATTGGACTCGGCGTGTGGCAATGTGTCAAATATTCCACCGGGCCAGAATATCAAGCTGCTCTGGGCTGGGGTGCTGGAATGGCAAAAGCCTGCGCAGGCGCGCTGTATCCAACCTTGTTCTTCATGCTTCTAAGTATGTCGAGATGGTTTTCCACCATGATGCGGAAGTCGTACTATATTTCTCGAGCCATCAATTGGGACTTGAGCCAATCTTTTCACGTCAAGGTCTCGTGCGTTGCGATTGCGCTAGCGACATTGCATGCTATCGGCCATCTTTCGGGTTCATTCGTGTACGGCAGCCGCCCAAACCGCCAAGAGGCAGTGGCGGCGCTGCTAGGTCCAGATGCGGTTCCACGGCCTTATATCGCATATGTTCGTTCCACACCAGGATGGACAGGGCTGACGGCACTGAGCCTGTTTTATGTCCTGGCACTCCTCAGCATGCCATATATTCGCAAATGGTCGTACGAGATTTTCCAGATCGGCCACTTGTTGATGTTTCCAATTATTGGTCTTCTCATGGCCCATGGGACAGCGGGTCTGTTGCAGTTTCCAGTACTTGGATTAGTGCTCGCTTTTCCAACAATCTTCGTTCTTGGAGAACGATTGATGCGGATTTTCAACGGCTTTCACAAACTTCCTGCCTCGCTCGAGGTCCTTGATGAAGATACTGTGAGAATCAGCTGCACCATCCCCAAACGCCGTATACGGAGATATAAAGCTGGACAATACGTGTTTCTGCAGGTTCCACAAATATCCATGTTCCAATGGCACCCTTTCACGATCTCGACCTGTATCGGCCGACAAATGGAGCTCCATATCAAGACCGATGGCGATTGGACGGGAAAACTTCGAGACCTAAAGGACTTGAAATTCGTGGGCATCGATGGCCCTTTTGGAGCCCCGGCCCAGAGATTTTACGACTTTGACCAGACTGTGATTGTAGGCGCAGGAATAGGCGTGACGCCATTTTCGGGGATTTTGAATGATCTTCAAGAAAGAGAAGATCATCATTGGAATCAACGTCGAGACTCGACCTCAACAAATGAGTCTAATGAAATCACAGAACCAAATACACAGCCCACACAAAGCGCTCATCAAAGCAGTACCATAGCTAGAATTGGAGAGAAGTCATTCGATCTGGAAAAGTATCGTCGAGTCGATTTCCACTGGGTGGTACGAGACAAGAACTACCTGCTCTGGTTTTCCGATCTCCTCAACAGAATTTCGTCAGAGTCACCAACACGCAATCCCAACCTCGACATTCGAATTCATAACCATCTGACAAAGAAAAGGAAAGATCTTTCGACTCACGTTTATCGATGCTTGCTGGAGAAACACCGGACCGAAGCTCAACCTATTTCACCATTGACTGGTCTGATAGCGCCCACGCATTTTGGGAGACCAGATTTTCCCAAAATTATGAGCGATCATTACGAAGAGATGGTGAAGCTGTTCGCAAGAGACAAGACGAGGAAGCGAAAGGTGGGCGTTTTCTTCTGCGGTGCCCCTGTAATCGGTCATGCATTGGCGGATCTGTGCCATCAAATGACACTGAGAGGTCGGGAAGATGGAACTGAAGTAGAGTATCATTTCATGATTGAAGTCTTTGGATAGAGATAGATTTAATTCCGAGATAATCTGGATCATGGACACGAAGCCAATATGAGCTTTAAAACAGCGTGTTTATTTTCCACCTGAATACAACAGCACCATACGGCCGCAGAAAAGGTTAGCCTGTTTTGACGCGTGAAAGCCTCCGCAGTAACCAGAAATTATTTCCCTTCTACCCCGAGGTTGAGCCACGATCCCCTCCAGGCCCTCAGATACACAGTCGCCGCGATCATTCTGATCCAGCGGGCAAGCTGATCAACAGTAGAGTCGGCCATGCGCACATCTTGAGGCTAACAACCTGCAATGCCTCGAACCTCCAAGGCCTCTGCCCGTGCGCCGCCACTACTTCCCTCCAAGATATTTGTCCTCGATAACGGTGGCTACAGCATAAAGGCTGGCTTCGCGCCTTCTAAGTCGCTCACAGACACCGAGATCCTCTCCAACTGTCACAACATCCCCAACGCCCTGGTTCGCACCCGGGAGAAGAAAACCTATGTTGGGGCTCGATCTGAGGAAATAGCACAGTGGAGTGAAGCACTATTTCGTCGTCCAGTCGAGAATGGCCAGGTTGTTAGCTGGGAAGCCCAGAAAGAGATATGGGATCAATCATTCTTCGACGAGCGGACGGCTGGACAAGATACTCTGATAAAGAGCCCAGACGAGACCACCTTGATCTTTACAGAACCTCCCAACTCGATGGCTGCCTTACAAAAGAACGCCGATGAGATCATCATGGAAGAATGGGGTTTTGGGGGTTATTCTAGGGTCATTGGTAGGTACGGCCACGTTTTCCTTTCATCCCTGAATTCGACTTGCTCATACCTCGTAGGTCCGTCTCTCAATGCATACAACGACCTGCATCCGATATTTGAAACCAGTTCGGACTCGGCGATGAGCTCCATTGATCAGCTACCTATGGAATGTCTCCTGCTCTTGGACTGTGGCTACAGTCACACCACTGTAACTCCACTATTCAATGGACGACCACTACACCGTGCCATCCGACGTCTCGACTTTGGCGGAAAACATCTGACGAACCTATTGAAAGAGACGATCTCAATACGCCATTTTGATCTACACCAAGACACAAAAATTGTCAACGACATCAAAGAAGACGTCTGCTTCGTTAGTGAAGACTTCAAAGCCGATCTCGAGAAGACTTGGAGGGGCAACAAAAGCCGCGAGAAATCTATTGCCTCAAAGGACAAAGATGGGGATTTTAATATGAGCGCGAAACCTGGTGATGATGAAATTCGGATTGATTACGTTCTGCCTGATGGAGTTCATCTTCTCCGCGGCTTCTCCCGACCCCACAATGCAAAGCTTGCTGCTCAAAAACGCAAGCAAGCTGCCCTCTCCGGCGCGGCTTTGCACGAGTCTGAGATCGCCATGACGCTTGGGAATGAACGCCTCTCTATACCCGAGATTCTCTTCTCGCCCTCGGACATTGGATCGAAACAGCCAGGGCTTCCGGACATCGTGCTGCAGTCTCTCAGTGTTCTGCCCCCTCTGGTGCAAGCTACAATGCTAAGTAATGTACTTGTAGTGGGTGGAAGTGCTAAACTTCCGGGCCTAGTCGCGCGCCTCGAAGCTGAGTTACGCAGCCGCATCAGAAGTGAATGGCAAATCCGGGTGAGGGCAATGCAAGATCCGATCACATCCACGTGGTTGGGTGGTGCCAGAATGGCAAGCAAGTTCCCCAGCGTTGTACGGGAATACGGTGTTACCCGAGAGGAATACCTTGAGCACGGAAGTGCTTGGACATCACGACGCTTCCTAAATGGAGGTTCTGGGAAAGGCCCCTGACTTCCTGGTAAAGAAGAAGCGTGACGGCACACCAATTTTTATTGAGCAACAAGGTGCAGCACGACGGCAACGTCGGTAACGACCACCAATCTCGAGAAACACAGCTCTTTCCCCCCCTGCAAGCATCACCGACTACTATAGCTCGGCAAATGATACCCCTCGTATGCCGGTGCCGGCGGCCACATACTGTCCGCCCAACGACGCTCTCCACCACCACCGCTTCCAGATCGCGAATGCGGTCTCACACTGCCTCCCCTAGGTGAATAGTACAATCGATTCCGGCGGTGTGCGCACCAACAACACAAGACCATGCCCAGGAAGATCACCGCGCCGATCGATCCAAGGACAGCCCCTGTTTGGGCGTTCGTGGCTTCTCGCTTCGTCACGTCCAGGAGCTTCACCTCTCGATGCGCCGTCCCCGCGTATTGCGTATTCGGATTGGCGACGTGTTGAAAGATTCTCGGAGGATTCTCGAGACCGGCCATGATTTGGCCACGCAGCTGACAAGCCTATTACGTCGTTGAGTGAGGAGATCGGGTAGGCTGAACCGGGGATCATGCAGTTCTTACCGTGGCGAACCATCCATTCAACAGCATGCAGATCAGCGTAATCTGGCATTGCCGTCCGAGGCAAAGTCTCTGGGTTGGGCTTCGGTTGCGGTTGAATATCATGTAACCTCAGTCAAGATTGAGTCTGTGGACTCTGGCGGGTCAAGTTGAGGTTTGCAGGCTGGGAAGATCACACGGACAGGTAGGCGGATGCTCGGTGTCCTATCACCACTACTGCCGAGTTTTGTCTATCTTGCACCAGGCGCAGCGTCAACGGGGAAGTCAACGGTATATTGAACAGGTACAAAGTTCTGATTCATCATGTGAACATACGGTATGACACATCCTCGTTTGACAGGGATCGTGACAAACGGCCACATGCTACCTAGGGAGTGGTTCTAGGATCAATGTTCAACAATATGGATCCGTGGGATTTTGCCGTGTCTGGCAACCACCTGTTATCTAGAGACTGGTTTTAGGACTCTTGATACTGATATGCTGTTGGGTGGGAATGAGTTGGGTCTCACTCGTCAATCCATTCTGTCTCAAATTCACATTTTCCATAAGCTCTTCCCTCCTCGGCATTGACTATGACTTTCCAGTCGCTGATATCTTCCCACTTTGAATCGTCTGGACCGTGTTTGGTGCGGTGAATCCACCAGATGACGCGAATTTCGAAGAGCAGTGCCACAATGAAGAAGGTACCACAAATGCCGATCACGAACCCAAGAGCAAACATTCCTAGGTTGTCAAACCCAGTTCTAAAGCCTTGAACTGATCCAGGTTCTATCACACGGCACGCGTAAATGATGACGTTGCCCAATGGGCCATCGAGTGTCTGAGTAGGTGTCGCCATGATCTCTGGGCGTATGAAATTGGTTGAGGAATGCTGCACTGAGGAGAGTTGGCCCGCCATTGCAAAAGTCTTGAAGTATTGGAATGCACCGATGAGGATCTAAGCTGGGTAATCCCCAACAGCTGACTATCTTGTCAACAGGAAGCCTCCGAGACTGGTATTCCACTCACAGAGAGCCACTGCGTCGAATGATGCCGATTCACAGAGCCTCTAAAGATCAGTCGTAAGGCGTACTGAAGAAATCACCAAAGTGACATGGATTTTTCAGGTGCTGCCTGTTCTTCCCCTTTGCTCTTCTCAGCCCTATCCCGATTCTGGGCCTTTCAAAGTGGCAAGACTGTGACAGTCTCGCCCTGCAATCTGTGATCCCCCTCTCTTATAAGCTGAGATCTTGTCCGACGGCGGGATCTGGATGGCCAAAGGCAATAGAAGATGCTGCCTAACATGCAACCAACGACAAATCCGGCAACGATGTACGCTGCAATGATTCCTGTGTTAGTGGCACGAGTATCGTCTGGGGTTGATTGGGAACTCGTGGAAGAGCGACTTGTGGAGTTAAGATCAGGAGAACCCAATACCATTGTTGTTTACGTTGGGTTGTGGCTCGCTTGTAGGAGGCATCACATGGGGTCAGAGGAGGGACGGGTCTGAGCGTTTAAGATACACTCTTAAGTGTCGTCGGAAACAAACGGTACTGGTTGATGTCTGGATTGAAGTTAAGCACGGCGAAAGTGGGATGAAGATGTGAAGTTGTGGTGAAATGATTGAGATTGAGAAACAGGGACTTGGATTCCAGCAAAGTGACTACTGTTCCTGCTTTGTTTTGGTTCACTCACAACGAGTGGAAGGTGCTTCTAGTGAGTCGCGACTGCTCCTTTACGAGCTGCGAGTCTTCAACGCGAGAAACAACCACCACCCACAAGCGCAGTCCCTTCCTTTAATGCAGCTGAGCGTGACTCAGTAAGCCCCAGGTAATATGGTCATGCTGTCCAAGGACATGTGCCGGCTTGTGAAGACGAACAGTGTCCAAGGGCAAGATCAGGCGGAGGTGATCTTATAATCCAGGCCTGACAAAGTGGAGCACCACTTGACATTGCTTAGGTGTCAAACATGTTCATTCATCCGCCGCTGTGATCTAGCCCTTATTCTGCCAACCAAGAGAGTCCCAAAGAGAAAAACTAATGGCCCAATCACACAGCCCAGGACGAATCCACCAGCGATGAAGGCGACATATCCATTGGAATAGGACTCGGTTTGTTCGATGATGTGTGTGGTATTGTAAGAAGTCAAATATTGAGCTGTAGAATTGGCTTCTGCAGAAGATGGATGGATATATGACGATCCAGGCCTTAGTAGGATCCGCATGCTGAGTGCTTTAGAAGTAGAAAAGGATACGAGAGGGCAAGGTTTTGTGGTAAAGGGGCACTGGTTCTGTCTGAGTCGGGGTCTAGGTCAAGGTGCGAAGGGTGCAGAAAGAACTCTGAGATATCGGATCATGTAGAGAGAGAGAAGAATGAGCATCGAACAAGACTTTATTGCTGTCTCTCAAATCCCTGTTGGGTCACCAATGGATGTTCTGTTCACGCTGTGCTGTCACCGAGCTTCTAAGACGACTGTATGTTTGCTCGCCACAGGTGAAGTATTGGATTCACTGGACCAAATGCGCGCAGCCTGGGCCACCGATAAGCAGTCCGCTTGTTCCTCAAATGTACAAAGGAGACGTTCGCATTTTGCCTTTTCTTATGAGCCCTCGCGAAAAGCCGTTGTGAGTGGGCTCTGCGACTGGGGGCCATTTCAGTTTACCATGCTGAGATTGTGAGTACCATAGCTGGATTCCATCCATCGGATGACGAAAAGTCTATTGGAGAATCACTACCATTGTCAATTACATGACCTACACTCATTGTAGGTTCAGGGTTATTTCCAATGCTAGTATTTCTTTTCTTTCTAAGATCGAGCACATTGTGTAGGAGAGAAACATCGCTCAAAAGAATTGGGTCTGCGCAGGGCCTTGTATGTCGAGCGACGACAGATGGGCTTGGGTACCATCAGGGAGGGAATGGAGATGGATTGCGTATGGTGGAAGTGGAATGTGGGAGACCTCGTAGATTGCTCACGACATGGCATTCAGTCTTCCTTGAGAGCACCCGTCTGCATGGAGTGTTGTCTACCAGATGCCTCCTTCGCCAGAGGTATAAGGCAGCAGTAAGGATCTTTGAGCATCCCTCTTATGGCTTCTGAAGGCTATCTTTGACCCGATTGTCGAATACTGATCCTCGTACCTTTCCCCGCATGGAGTAAAGGCTCTCAACCCGTCTCTGATGACGAAGCAGATGTTACCGCAATGGATACACATAGAAATCAGAAGCCATTGTGTGACTCATTGCTCTAGTAATTTCGACAGCGCTCATGCGGCAATCCATCTCTGATAGGCCACAGCGTACAATGAGAAATTTCTGGAAGAAAGAAAAGGGAAATGGTGACCAAGTAATGGCGTATTTAAACTCAAAGTTCTGACTCTGCTTGCTGCGCTTTGATAGGCTGATCATACGAGTCAAGCTTTGGATTGTGATTGACAAGGAGGACGCTAAAGTGCTTGTTCCAGCATGTCGAGGAGTTCTTTCTCCGAAATTCTGCTCCAAAGCTTCCTCCGACTCGGAGTTGATCCGGATGACCTAAGATCACTTCTTCTTGTATAGCTGGGTGGACATTTCTCATGCCAGAGTAGCGAATTTGCCCGGACTTGGAGGGTTCTCATCATATGGTCTGTATTTCAACGATTGCGCAGAGATAAGCAGTACCATTAGGGTTGAAGTAGAAAATGGTCATTCAGTCAACGACCGTTGAGTGGTGACCTCTGATTGATTTGGGGAAGATATTAGAACTTCCGATTTCCCAAAACGTCGAAAATTACGAGCGAGCCTTAGACAAATCTGGTTACCTCTTCATACCATCTTGGCTTTTCGAGCGAGAGTTCGTTTCGAGCGAGCTTCGGTCTGAGTCATATTGGAGGAAATATGACGATGGCCCGAGTGGACATATGCAACCTACCGAGTACGCATATGGGTCCCCCACTGGAATGAACTTAATCGCACTACGACCGATGGCTGCCTGGCTGCCTCACATGGAGGTCAGATAGAGCAATCCCTATAGCAAGGCGACTACATAAGTCGGTTAGATGCCTGATTTCTCAGTCTTCTCTCTCTCCATCTCACTGACATCCCAGTTGCGATATTCAGCAGTCTTCTATCAGCCGTCAAGCAATCATAACATTGATTTTATATAAAATACACCCCATCAACTACCACGATGGCACCTGACTCAAAGACAAACACCTTTTCTGATACCGCGTCGATTGCCACATCATCCGACTCTATCAGAGATGAGAAGGAACGTAATCAGCAAGCCGGCCAACCCAAAGAATCGTTGACCAGGAAGGTCATCAACGGTGAGTCTTGACCTCGATTGAAAAGTTACCCGCAGGGGCTCAACAAGCGGTATGCTAATTGGTTCCGGTAGCCATCAAAAAGATCGAACCTCCTGAGCCACGGATTCCAGAAGGTAAACATGAACATCTTCCAGCTTGGGCTCGGTAGATTTCACTCACGTCGCCTGACAAATTTCTATACTCATGGCACAAACGTGAGCAATCTTGGGACTCTTGAGTCGTCAATCTACTGCAGAAAACTGGAAGATTGCGTGGGCTTCCAAGATCTGATGCCACAAAACGGCGGCTGGATGCAGCGTCAATATCAGAATAGTGTGCGTGTGGTGCTCAGTGCGTTCTCTTGTGGACAGGAAAATCGAAACCTAGGATATCTACTGAGCAGTCTTATGCACAGGTGGTGATGCCCGGAGAGGATTACCACCAACAAGCTTTACCGCTCTTTCACGAGGCTTGCTGTTGGGGGAATAGGATCATTCGCCCCCTGTTCGACGTGGCGGAGGTTGAAACAATACCGCCGAAGCGAGCATGGCCTTGTGTGCGCATGATAGGTGAGGCGATGGGATTGTTGAAGTTTAAGATGCAAACTCGGAACAACTGCGCAAGCCGGCTGCACCTTGGACCGAGGGCTGAGCGGTGTTCGCAACGCCGCTGGCAGTTGACAGTTCGGTCCCGAGCTGGTTATGGGCAGCCATATCGGTAAAAAAGTCAGTGTGATTCCTACATTGTAAGGGGGCAAATAGGCGATATAGAATATAGGTACCCGGGTATATATATAGCCTTATCGACAATTTCACGCTTCTGACAAAAACTACTCGTAGCTTGATGTAAAGTCTGCTTGTTTATCGCTGGTACTTAATATATTGGACGAAATTTGAGTGAGATAACGGACATGGTGTTGTGTACACCCAGCCGACGCGGGATGATTCTCGGCTTTAGCCACGAGCACTCGTTCCCGCGGATGATATGACCCGGAGTTGAGTCAGGTAGTCAGAGTACGGGTGGGATCAAGAGCAGCGCGACTCGCGAGCTCAGGGTATCACTAATCTGCAGCTCGGGTCGAGGCAAACTGATTGCCAGTCTCGACTCGTTAAGCATCCTGCTCTCCTACAATGCAATCTATCAGGCCATAGGAATGTTGATAACATCATCTGAGTGCTCTCCGGAATGTATGCCGAGCACCATTAGCGGTGAGTCTGATTCCTGTCGTAGCCGCCGTACTGTAGAAGAAACGCCTGAGGCCCCTGGAACCTGTACGGAAGGGGGATGCGGACTTGCCCCATTTGGGTCCCTTTCGCCCTAGATCACCACCGAAGTCAACCCCCAATTCCGTCGATTTCTAGGGGCTTTCTAAGCTCGGCTTCTGGCTAAGTATTCCGAGACTGGGCGCTTGGCTTTTAACTCCACCACGGCACTTGGCCGACCGTCGCTGAATGTACGAGGTACTTTACCGGTCGCACTTCCATCATTCCCTCTTCACATCAGGTTCTGCGACCCTGACCGCTTACCTTGCGCTAATCATGAACTTATCATCAGCGCCTTTGACGCGGTCTCAAGTCGCCAACATCAGCGAAGCCGCAAAGAAAGTTGAGGTCGTCCAACCTGTAGCCAAGGTAGTAGAGGTCGATGCCGACGCTGAGGACGAGGATGAAATTACCCAGGAAGAGGATGAAGAAGCCGACGCTCAAGACGACGATCTAGAGGATGACGATGAAGTCGACAAGTCAGTTCTTCATGGAACCGTCCCTTGTTCTGTTCATCGCTAACAATATGTCTGCCAGTTTTACCACTTCCGAAATCGTCACTGTCTACGTCGGCCCCAAGCGGAAGCGCTTCTTCCTCCACCGGGAACTGATCTGCGAACGATCCCCATTCATGGAAAAATGTCTGAAAAAGGGCCATTTTGATGAGGGCTACAAGAACGAATTATACCTGCCAGAGGATGATCCGAAAGCCTTTTCCATCATCGTCGACTGGATTTACCGAAGCCGGATCCCACAACGAACTGACCCTCTATTCGATGTATCAGACATGTCCGCGGCATATTGCATGGCTGACAAGTTCGTCATGGAGGAACTACAGAACAGCATCATGGACGGCATCCGAGCCAGTCTCAGTAGGAAAGAGGGAGAATTGTGCAAGACACCACATTTCTCGGCGCTGGCGCTTACACATGTTTCCGGACCTCCGAAGTCGCCGCTCAAGCGATTTTTGGTCGAACATATGGTGCATCATATGATGAAACACCCGAGATGGTATCATGAATTGAAGCGCAATGAGCCCTCCCGTGTGGATGTGGAAGACTTGTTCAAGATTCCCGATCTGGTTTTCTATATCATGAAGAAAATCTGGCAATTCCAGGCTGAGCCATGGAAAGACCCTGCCACTTGGGATAAGTGCTGCTATCATGTGCACGCTACAACACAATGCCAGGCCAAAGTGGTTCCAGTTCCCGCCAAGCCAATGCTCAAGCACGGCGTGGGCATGGGTCCCTCTTCCAGCTTACACGGTCACAACATGCGACCTGGTCATGGGCCGTGGCCTGGAAGTTCTCTTGGTGGTGTATGGAATCCAGGTGTTGGCTGGTAGTCTGGGCATGGGCAGTTCTGCTGTAACATGTTCGCTCCAGGCCTCGCCACTCAAGAAGGGATATTCACTTACAGAGCTACTGATCTTTTCGGTGTGATCTCGACCCTTCCATGCTGTTGTGGATTCATTTCTCTCTGAGTCCACATATTTCCGTTAACTAACTCGGTTAGGATTGTCGTTGCCACTTTTCTTGTTTTCTCGCTTAACCGATCGCAAATGGTTTCAGCACATGGCGCATCAGAAATGGATTCTTGCTATGTTGGCCAAACTTTCGGATGTCGGGTACATCGTGTGGGTGCATGAGATCTGGCGTTATTTCATTGGGCATTGAGCGAGCATTTTATGACGTTCTTGGATACCTCTCCTACCATCCGAGTCTAGTTATTTGTCTATCTACATTACGATTGTGCTTGGATAGAAAATTACCTACCCAATTATGAATCCTTGAGTAAGCCTCAAGTACATTTCTTCTTCTTCTGCGGTAGTCGGAAGCAATAGTTGTCGTGCGCCGACCTCACTTTGGCGAGGTTCTCACGTCTGAGGTCCCTCTGCCTCCATTTCAAGCCCGAATGATGCCAGTATGATTTCTCTCCGACTAGATCAAGAGGTTGAGAAATCAAATCCAGCTCTGCACCTGATATTGATAGCCGCCATGATGATCCAGACAGATAGTCTTTTTCCATGAAATCCTCCTTGCCCTCCGCTAATAAAGATGTCTATCCTCGATGGACGTACCACACTTCATTTCCTGGTTCTAGTCTGTCGGACTCCCGGCCCCGTTCTAGCTTAACGAACCCTTATTGTTTTGATTCATGCCGAACTGACCATTGTTGAGTCGGCGTGATTGTTGATGGTTTGGCACCACTCAGTAATGACCAAGATGGCTTGTACGTTGAGGCCACAGTTTGTTTATGACAGGCGAGCCGAGAACTCATACACGGACAAAGTAGTCCATTGTTACCACAACTTTATCCTACTCGAAAGGCAACTGCCAGTCCTAGCAATGGCCTTTTGCGAGACATATCGTGGTCATTCACCACGTCTATCAGGCTAGAGCGATACAGCCTTGCGGCAGGATGATGCGTGGGGCTGTTGATTTTGACACCGGGGTTCACTCTTATCAGTGAAACGCTGCCCTTATCGCACCCTATCAATAAAGAAGATGCCGATACGAGCTTCGGTTCGTTCCGAATGCGTCAAGCATCCAATCAAAAAAATATAGTGCCAAGAAATCAACACCATGCCTATCCCAGACAAGTGCGTCACTAGAATGGAGACACTTGACTAATTCTCGCAATAGCAGAACCCACTAACAAGATACGCGACCTGGCTAGACCGCGAATCTCCTAGTACGTCGCATCGCGTGCGGACGGAGTGAGGAGCTGGCATAAGGTCGACATCTTCGACTTCAGCTTCAGCTTCAGCCGGTCGTGGTACGGTGAACACGCAACCGTGTGGTCATAACCTCAATGTAATAGCAGTGACAAGAAATCGCCTACAGACAGAATTCCAGCCTGACATCTCAGCCTTGCATTGCTTCGCCTCTTCTCGAGCTGCTAGGAAAAGGCTTCTGCAATTTGTTCCGGTTTGGTGGTCGGGAACAGGTCCACGCCTTGGTCGACACGATATCACAGTTGGGAAGAACCGCAACTCCGTCAGCAGAGACATCTGCCACGCTGTACGAACATTGCTGTCAAAATGTCAAACGAGCGTACTCCCCTGTTGTGGAATTATCCAAGTTCAAGCAGCAATTCCAATGCCATCGCTAAGGCTAACGAGAACAACTCCATTGGTGACTTACACTCGCAATTTTGTATGCTTGTCGGTGTCCCAAGTACAAGCATAGATGCGCCCAAGCGAGTCAAATCACCGCCACCAAAGTCTCTGTACGGGCGTGCGAGTCGGCAACTCGCCTCTCAACGCATGACCTATTATGCGACAGCGTCACTCTCAAACACCTTGCTTCTAACCCAGGTAGTGCTTGGTGCCGCACTGACCGGACTCGGCGCATCTGAAAGCTCGCACATTCTGATCACCGTGTTTGGAGCGCTGAACACGATTATTGCCGGGGTGGTGGCATACTTGAAGTCCCGAGGACAGCCAATGCGTTCTAGAATGTACAGAGACGACCTGGAAAGGGTGGTTGACGAGATTGAGAATTCCGAAATTATGTGGCTCGGGATCAGCCGTGGCGTTCACGGCTATGATGAGATTGACACTGATGAAAATCGTGTCACCATAAGATCCGAGATCGCAAGGCTTACTAGGCTATATGATCGAGCTGTCAGGAATAACTCATTGAACAATCCGGACATGTATATGGCAGGAGCAGGATTTGACGGATCTAACACGGCAATGCGTTCTCGACCACAACAGCAGCCTGCCCCTGTTCCCATCGTCGCTGGGCCTGCCGCTCCAACTGTTACAGCACCTCCGGTTGATACACCGAGCGTTCCACCGGCAGTTGGCGCGGTGCCTGTGTCCACAGCCCCTGACCCGGACGAAAGCCCTGCAAGCGCACCACCAAAGCCGAAGAAGGAAGAGGACTCGAAGAAGGAAGAAGTGTCTTCCAAGAAGGACGAGAGCAAAGACGACAACGCTAGCACCGGAGAATCTGCTGCTGATGGTGGTGGGAACGAAGCCGCGAAAGATAAGGACAAGAAACCTGAGCCAGGGACCGCCACTGACGCAGACTCATCGACTACACCTGCCCCCAATACCGATGCAACCAGCAGCAAAGACGCTCCAGCGCCAACTAAACCAGCAGCACCAGCCTTCGATCCCGATGCTTCGCCTGCATCGTCTCCCGATGTGCCGAAGAGGAAGAAAGATAGCACCAGTCCAACTCCATGAAGTCGGCGTTTCCCATAACGGAGGACAACTCTACATTTCACATTATCTACCAGCCGGATCGAGTTTATGGCTTGACAAATGACTCCTGTCAAGAATCCAATGCGGTCGAGGATCTCAACATTTATCCATATTTACAGTTTCAGCAAGCCAGCAAGCCAGCACGATTTGATATTTTGACATTTGGATCTTTCCCGCACAGTGCTTTTCTTGGTGAGATACACCAATTCATCAGAACGGTTTAGTAAAGCTTAATTCACGATATGATTGAAAATACATCATCTACATGGGTCGGAAATTTTGATTTGTGCAAAATTTTGAATTCGATTTCGCGTTCTCTACGGTGCAGGGACTCGAGTCATCATCACCTCAAGAGGACATTGAAAGCATATTCTCAAGGTTGCATTCTGATGGTACAACCAGCCTGCTAGTTTATCATCTGTCTATTTGTGAAGGTAGGTTTCTCCTAGGAAAGAACTTAGATTCAGCCAGCGTTCATTCCAGGTCATCCGCCCTGTCACTCATCATACAGGACCCTGAACTATAGTCTTCTTTTGACCCGTCGTCTCATCAGAAAATTGCTTCCCGATCACACAAGCACAGCCAGGATGCCATGGTTTCCATGAATCAATGGTCGCAGTAGATATACTGGTACTTCCGGGTCAGTTTCTTATGGTCGGTAAGGACGCCCATGGCGACACGGGGGCTTGCGATTCTGCCAGCTATAGGTGAATCAACGACGAGCTGGCCCCAAACCTTCTGAAGACCGCCGTAACTCACACTGGCCTGCTGACCCTCATCAGGTGTAAAAGCTACCCGAGTGTGCTTCGTCTTGCCATTAGTCCAGGGATCACTATACCCGCCCCTACAGTCCGTGGCAACAAGATCCATTTTGACTTCCACCTTGACGTCCCATTGTTTGCGCTGGGCCTGCCGTTCACTCAAGAACTCCTTGAACTTGAGACATTCGCCCGATTCGCCTCTTGCCGCGTGATTTTTGTCCTTCCAGCTGAGTTCCACTGCTTTGCTTTCACCGCACTGTGGGTTGGTCCATTCGGGTTCGATGTTGATGATAAGCATGTCCTGCTCGCGCGTCATGAGGTTGTTCGACGAAGTCTCTGGTCCAGGAACAACAAGAGCTTGGCCGAGTCCTAGCAGCGCCGTGCCAATAACGGCGAGATTGATGGTATGATATCGCATTGTGAATGTGAATATGAATGTGAGTATGAATAATATGGAGATATCGAAGTATTGGAAACAACTGTATTTTATGTTTTCAGGTATTATCGTTAGATGACGGTGAAAGCTCGTCTCCCTAGAGAGGAAAAGACTGTACTTATGATCCTCGAAATCGTCCCTTTGTTCTTATCGAATTCCTCAACTGACGACAATCGAGGATCATTGTTGAAGATGGCGACTGAATGGCAGGGAAACAATGGCCACAGCTTATTCTTGACTTTTCCTTTCAAGCTCATACCTCAGTAACAATCAAGTGAATCAATTGAGTGGCCCCTGCTCGGAGCTAGATGATTACTAGTCCATTTTTAGAGACTTGTCTTTCACCACATTGTCTGCCAATGGAGATACCAACAACTCAGGAGTTGGTGGGCAATCGAGTTCAGGACCTGTAACTCAAAGAAGCTCAGCAATTAGGATGACTGGATTGTCCCCAAGATCTTTCAAATATTTTAGAATCTGAGGGACAGCACGACTATTCGCCTCAAGAAGAGAGACCCGTGACCTGATATACCAGGAGGCCTTGTCAACATAGTACAAATGGGGAACAATCATTGCCAAATGTTAAAACATCGAGTATGGCTTCACCACAGAGTAGACTGAGAATCGTTGAAGAAAGAAGTATCAACCAGCCTCTCCTACGTCGGGTGTTGGGTTCGCAGGTAAGGCAAGACCGCTGTTTGAGTTAGAAAAAGCAAAAGGAGATCATACTTGCTCGCTAGGGCCTCCTGCACGCAGAGAATCTCGTGAGAGAACAGGCTGGCACAATGGAGTTGAGAAATGCAGCTCACGATCCTTCCTGAATCGATCGGTAGCCAAAACTGCATAGACAGGCCATCGAGAACATCGGTCCATGGACATCCGCAAAGGCTTGCTAATAAATGACGACGAGGCATTTCGGGAACACACAATAGCCCAAGTAGCTGCTCCATAGCGTACCCCAGAATTCAACAAAGCCGGACAAAACAACCCCTTGTCTCCACCGGGTTTTATAGTCCAATATCCGGTTTAGGAGGAAACAATTACGCATGGCGAAGAGTGCGGCGCTTTCTAAGAGCAGAGTATCATCAGGCGTTTTGACCAGGTGCTTGATTTGTGAAGGTAGAATATTTAGGCAAGGCATGTGAGGCACCAGAACCCTTGAAACTTGGCTGACGTAGCAAAAAAGGGGCACTCCGTAACGCATACCGCAAACGGATATTCCTTGACGCCGATATCCCCGCGCCCTCCTCAGGCTGGCCATGTCAAGCGTGGTCACAACATATTGCCCAGGTCCACTACCATTGTCGAGCACATCTGAAGCATCGGCGAGGAAAGAGATGCTTGTTCATAAGCAAGGAGATGCACCGTGTTATAAAATGGCGGATGGCCCTTGGACAAGGACTTCATTTCCCAGTTTGCAATCTTCAAACGTGTCTTCCTTATTTAGCAAACCCCAAAGCAACCTGACAAGATGTCGGCAATTTCCACCTTCAAGACCGTCCTCATATTTGGCGGGACGTCTGGTATCGGCGAGTCGTTCGCTCGTCGTTTTCACGCCATGGGCAAGAAGGTCATCGTGACGGGTCGACGAGAAGCCAGATTAGCAGCCTTAGCCAAAGAACTGCCAGGCGTTGAAACCTACGTGCTGGACAACGCCGACATTTCCAAGCTGCCCACTCATGCCGAGGCCTTGATCAAGAAGTTTCCTGACATCGACACCGTCTGGGTCAACTCGGGCCTCGCATACGTCGGCCACTTCCGATCACTGGACGGACACTCGGACGAGAAAGTCGTCACGGAGCTCAACACCAACCTGGTCGCGCCCATCATCCTGTCGCGGTATTTCGTCCCACACCTGCTGAGTCTGGATAGGCCAGGGAGCTTCCTCGTCACGGGATCGGGACTCGGGTTCGTGCCCATGGGTCTGTTATCCGTGTATTGTGCGAGCAAGGCTGCGGTGCACTCGTTCCTCGTCGGCCTTCGCGAGAGCCTCAAGGACACGAATGTCAATGTCATCGAGGTCGTGGCTCCATATGTGAAGACGGACTTCGACAAGGATTATCCCATGGAGCACCTTGCCACACCGATGGAGTTGGGCGACTACACGGATCAGACGTTGGCGATTTTCGAGTCGACGCCGGCCGCTGACCTCAAGGAGGCTGGTGTCGGGTTCGGCGCTATGGGTGCCTCAGCTTGGAGAGAGGCTTTCGGCCGTTTCTTGACGGGGAGAGGAAGCACTGGTTGATACGTGCTATTTCCAAGCGGACGACGGGCAGCCAGCGTTGAAATTTCACTTCAATAGGTGACAGATGGTACATTACTGCAGAAGTGCACGATTAAGAGTTCATTTGCATTCATTGGTATCTCAAAAGTTCCCCCCCCGCGTGCTATTACAAACTGCCTTCCACAGTGAATGTGTGGCCTCAATAGATTCTGGGATTGTCAATGATGTAGCCCCAAAATGTCATCCACGATTGTGATTTCCAAATTTTCCCTAATGCAATCGCTCCACAATCAGTAATTGCACCAAGCACTGACACATGTTGCGAGTATTTAATATTTCTATTTCAGTCATCATCACCATCATCATTCCAGGGCCGATCTGACGGAAGTAGAAGTGGATATGTCAGAGAACGTCTTGGCTGCCTTGAATTCAGTCGCATAGGGCCGGATGGAGGTGATGAGGGATGACTGGATTTCTGCACATCGCTAAACTGCTCGCCTTGGCCCTGAAGCAGACTGCTGGTGTGTTCAATTGATATGCTGAGGTTTTTGATTGCTCGAGCTGGCTTAGGTGTGCGAGGAGGAGAGGAAGGTGGCGATTGTGTTGGTTCAGTTGGAAGTACGAGGCTCGGAGTTCGGTTGGATGAGATTCGACAGGATAATGGGTTATGTCCTGCTACGCTGCTCTCTGTCGGCATAGTTGTGGTTGCTACCTCGTAGAAAGACTGTGGTTGACGATTGGCAACGAATGCCATCTCACACTCTTCACCTCGTAATACAGCCTGGTGATAGATGTAGACATCGGCAAGGGCACGAGCGGCTCTTTCAAGTCTGTCCAATACCTCAGGCTTTTGAAGATAAGCGTCCGTTTTGGTTGCAATGACACTTGGCCTGTCTGAGCTCGTGGCAGCTTGCCAATCATCAAGTTTGATCGTGTCAATTCCTGTGTCCGCACTGAACCGTTCAAGGAAAAGTTGTTCCGGATTGTTGTCTGCGATATACCACAGTCTGGAGGTCGGACCTTCTGACTCTGTGGCCATCTTGCTCAGATCTGCCATCAAGCCCAGAGCAGACACGATGCCATTAGGTATAAACTTCGTCCAGAAGGGTCGACGTTGCTTCTGCGAATTCAAGTCGAATTTGCTGCAAGTACCCGTTCCGATATTGATCATCACAAGTGTTCGGTCACTGGTCAAGTTGTGATTCTGCTTATAGTGTAACCATGCAGCCCAAGAAGGATTGTTCGTCTCTCCATAACCGCCATCGACAAATTGACGTCCTTGGATCGTCATTGGCTTGAAATATGAAGGGGCTGCTGACGTGGCACGGGCTGCGTACCGTAACTGCAGATCGGAATTCATCATGTTCAACTGATAAGGACCACAGCATTCATTTGTGCAGAAAAACCGTGTTTCGAGAGAGGGTATTTCGTGCGAAAGAACAGAGCTAGAAGATGTTAGCTCTTCTGCTTTCCATACCTGATAAGGCATTGGGACTTACCCTTGCATTGTGTTGTTCTGTGAGCTTTGACGTATAGCCAATTCAGGTGGGAGGCTTTTACGTGACAACAATCCTTCTACTGCAGTCTGAAGCCGGGACGCTGAGTACTTGGAGATGTCTGAGCCAAAGAGTCTTCGCCAAAGAGGTCGTTCCTTTTGGAAGATCTGTTTCGATAGACTTTGATATTGCTCCAGGCACTCCTTAACTGCCATGTCAAGCTTGACTAGCATCAAGGCAATCAGTCTGCCATAGTTAGTCTCCGTATGCAAAAACAATGGATGGATATCACATACCCCCCAGTGCTTGTTCCGACGGCGAAGTCAAAGATGTCCTGCGGGTCGAGTATTGGATGGTCATCTGCTAGAATTCCTCTGTCCACCAGGTGCTGTGTCACAAGTTCAAGAAGGCGTTCTAAGATCAACAAGGATGAAATGCCACGGACACCACCTCCATCTGTATGAAGTTAGTGTCAAAGCCTAACAATGACGGACTGGTACTAGGATTCATACCTAGGGACACCATCGCAACGGGCCGGGACATAGTCTGCATGTTGAGAATGGGAAGGCTATTCTCGCTGTAGCTACAGATGTCTTTGGTAGTCGGCAAGGCTGCGATGGCAATAAACTTTAGTTCGACTTGATGAGATCTCGGGTCCGGGTTCACAAGCGAATATCAGTCTTAAAAGAACAAAAGATACCACTGACCAGAACTCACCAATGTGTCATGGGAGATTGTGGGGGTGCCCATCTCCACGTTCCTTGACATAATTGAAAGTACCTAATGGCAGGCGGGAGTTTCCAAATATCCCATTGCGAGAGAATTTGGTACCCAGAAGTTCCGACATTCATAAATTACTAGGGGCATGACATATGTGGGGGCGAGGGAGGGGGGGGCGGGCGAAGCCAGGCGACCTCGAGAATTTGGAGGCTTTCCTAAGAAATGGAAGTGCGAACCAAGATCTCCGGCGACAACTGTTGTTGTTAACAAAAGTTCCGCTTGATCAAGTTGTTGCCAAGAGGCATCAGGCTGAATGAAAGGGGCTGTGCTGCTACAGCACAGCTGTTCCCAAGAGATGCGGAGAGACCCCGATACTGACCGTAGGCATCCATGCGCAAGGCTGTGCATAGGGAATGCACACTCGCGCAAAGGTGATTTTAAGAGTCCCTCAGGCGCCTAGACACCGGATTGTGTCACCTGTTCGAATCACGACAGGTTCATGACCCTATGTGGTGGCGCAAGAGTCGAGGCTCAGGTGGCTCAGCCTGTTGTTGGTTTCAGAGTCATAAGGTCCAGATTGCGCATTTTTGAAACGCTACTGTGTGGTCATGAGTTCACAATCTCCCTCAGTAAAAGAGCGAAGGTGGACAACTTGGTCTCTGAGAATCAAGAATAGTGCAAGAAAGACTTGTCAATGGATGAACAACGACCTCTGAGAATACTAACCTTGGGTGAGCGGAAATCAAACGACATGAAGCTTTCACATTGGTGTGTGTATACTGATCGTCTTCAGATGGAGGAGGCCTTCAAGCATTGGCAACTTTGACCACACTCAAGGAAGTGTGTAAAGCCATCGCAAAGCAAAATGGGGTTTCCAGACCACCAGCGCCTCACGAACTGTTCGATGTCATTGGTGGTATTGGTACCGGCGGGTAAGTTTTCACTTGTTGACCAGCCATTGCATTTCCTGATGGACACCATAGATGGATAGCACTGCTACTTGGACGATATCGATTAGACATCGCCACCTGCATGGCTGCATACATGGACATAGCGAGGGGTGTTGAGCTTGCGACAAATGAAATAACCTCCACCAAGAGAAAACGTCTGTTCAAACTTGATCAAGATCAACTTACCAATGTTGTTGAGGTTGTTCTCAAACAATATGGTTTGAATCCGTCATTGTTTTGCTCTGACAGTGAAGAGAGAGAGCGTGTCGAGGACAGCTCGAGTCGTTGCAAGCATGCGTGGGTGGCTTCTAATCCTGGGATTTCAATTGCTGACAGAAATAGATTTGCTGCTGGAGTGGTACAACGGACAAATCAAGAAAACACAGTTTTCCAATTGTTCAGGTCATATGTGGTCCATGGCTCAAGACAGCATCATCTCCTCCCTGGGCCTTATCCCGCAAGATGTCGAACATCGGAGGCTTTTGCGGCCTCTGGTGCAGCCAAATTCTTCTCGCAGCCGTACAGAGTTGGTAAGACAGTCTTCTTTGACGATGCCTTCCCGCAGTCTCATCCGATCACGTTGATGGCACTCGATGAGGCCTTTGGAATATTTGGGCCAGATGTCCCTATTTCGGTCTTGCTGAATATTGGACCTGGGATACCTTCGGAAAGGGACAGACGGGAGCTCGAGGCGAACTCAATCAGCTCGATAACGCGGCTGGCCAGGAAATTCTCTTGGCCATCAACGAATCGGGGGTTCTCCCTGGTGGGAAAGCTCTTGACTAATACTTCGAGAGAGCAAGACTCACGCTCACCCGATGGTTTTGAAGATGCCGCCAACAGGACCTCCAGTGGAATGGTATTGAAGCTAGAAAACCAAAGGCGTGATGACATCAAAAATAGGCTTCAGCAGCTGTATGGACAGTCAGGTGCTGAGAAATATCATCATCTTGGGCCTGACTATTCAGTGGATAAATCATCACTGAACGACGTGCACACAATGTGCAGTCAAAAGCCTCTCTCGACAGAATTTCGGCTAGCAATGCAGGCTGGGGCTGAGTCGGTGGTGAAACAGCACTGGATAGGAGGAGCAGCATAGGTGCAGTGATGTTGATTTGGAGCTGGCGGCGGTATCTCAGGCAAATACCCAGAGTCATCCCACCAGAGTATCATTGGCCATTCTTGAACTGTCGTAGCATCAAATAGTTGGTCGAGGCAAAACTTTGAAAGGTGACTCGTGGAGTCGTCGTCAGCATTCGACACGGAGCTCTGAGGTTGAGGTTACCGAAGAAATGGGTGAACAGGCCATATTTAGCTCTTCCCAGGGAGCTCCAGCCTCCAGCTCAAGTTAGGGCCTTCAGGGAGCCCACTAAGCAAGGGCTCCTGCCAGTTAGGGTGGTGCAAGGACGCCCAGGCACCGAATTCAGCGAAGACCAAGCAAATACCAAGCATATTAGGACCCGTGGGCCGCACGATAGGTGGCTGTTGATCCCTGTAACTTTGCTGGTTCCCCCGCAGCCAGTGCCAATAAGACGGCCTGATGCCCCTCGGCGCCACTAGACCTGAAGCTGCAACCAGAAGCCAGCTCACGTTGTCTGCTTCATCATCATGTCACCAGTTACCTATTCGACTTTCCGAACGTTCCTTGATTGAGCGTCATGGTTGCTCCTCACACGCTTGGGTCACCCAATCAGCCATACCGAGTGTGAAGAACTCACATGAAATCCTATCCCCGCCTGGCGCCGTAGCAAGCTGTTTTTGCAGAAGGAAAAAAAACACCGCAGCTTCCATCCTCATCCTGCCCTGGTTAACCTCCAGCTCCTCCTGCCTTGGCCTCACCTCTGCCTCGACTCTTGCCGTTCCCCTTGCTTTTTTCCTCAGGTATAAATTCCACCTAGTTTCCCATTGCTGGCGGTGTCTCTGCCTGGTTAAATCTCTCTTCTCTTTCACTCGATACGTGCCGTTCTTTGAGACCCAATCAACCCCGCCGTTGTCCACCTTCCCACCTCAAGATGGTCCACCTCCAGAGTATTTCCAAAGACCCTCACGGAAGCGCAGAATTTGACCATCCAATCCGTCGTACCTCTATTGTGCCTGGGCTAGAACACATCTCATTGGAGCCCCCTGGAGAGGATGAATTCTCCACCTCGGTTTATGGCTCTCGCTTTGCCGCACAAGATCTTCCATCAAAGGAAATGCCCGAAAGAGAAATGCCCAAGGAGATTGCTTACCGCATGATCAAAGATGAGCTCAGTTTAGATGGAAACCCCATGCTCAAGTGAGTCAACCGGGCTTCCTCGTGGGCCCACAGCTAATTGACCTGCAACCAAGCCTAGCAAGTTTCGTGACAACATTCATGGTAAGCGTATCCCCGGGTCTGGTAAGGAGGCCCTGCTGATCCGTGGAACAGGAAGACGAAGCTGAGAAACTCATGGCCGATGCCTTCTCGAAGAATTTCATCGATTATGAAGAGTATCCTCAATCTGCCGAAATCCAGAACCGCTGTGTCAACATGATTGCCCGTTTGTTCAATGCACCAGACGGAAAAGATGGAGACAACGCTATGGGCACATCCACAATTGGATCCAGTGAAGCCATCATGCTCGCTGTTCTGGCAATGAAGAAGAGATGGGCCAACAAGCGTAAGGCTGAAGGCAAAGACTTTTCCAGACCCAACATTGTCATGAACAGCGCAGTGCAGGTTTGCTGGGAGAAGGCGGCTCGTTACTTCGACGTTGAGGAGAAGTACGTCTACTGCACACAAGACCGCTATGTCATTGATCCAGAAGAGGCTGTCAACTTGGTCGATGAGAACACCATCGGCATCTGCACCATTCTGGGTCTGACATACACGGGCGAATATGAAGACACGGCCATGATCAACGACCTGTTGATTGAGAAGAACATCGATTGCCCTATCCACGTCGACGCTGCCTCGGGTGGCTTTGTGGCACCCTTTGTCGATCCCAGCCTCAAGTGGGATTTCAGGCTCGAGAAGGTTGTCAGCATCAACGTTTCAGGCCATAAATATGGCTTGGTATATCCCGGCGTTGGTTGGGTGGTATGGCGATCTCCAGAATTCCTCCCCAAAGAACTGGTCTTCAATATCAACTACCTGGGTGCTGATCAGGCCTCTTTTACCCTGAATTTCAGCAAGGGCGCTAGTCACGTCATCGGTCAGTATTATCAAATGATCCGTCTCGGTAAACGGGGTTACCGAAGTATCATGCTTAACCTTACCCGGACATCGGATTATCTGGCAGCACAACTGCGCGCCCTGGGCTTCATCATCATGTCTCCAGGTGGTGGTCGCTCCCTACCAGTGGTCGCCTTCCGCCTTGATCCAGACGATGAACATCTCTATGATGAATTTGCTATTGCCCATCAACTTCGAGAACGCGGATGGGTTGTTCCAGCTTACACCATGGCTCCTCACAGTGAATCCTTGAAACTAATGCGTGTCGTCGTTCGTGAGGACTTCAGCAAACAACGTTGCGACAGCCTGGTCACGGATATCAAAATGGCTCTGCAGACTCTGGGTGAAATGGACCGCAAGACGATGGAACGCTATCAAGAGTAAGTCTTATCCTACCCCCTTCCATTCTTCAGAGTGGTGATTTCAGCAACATTTACCAACCTACATATGGAATCGATAGGCACGTGCAAGGTCACACCAAACTCGGTAAAGTCGCTCGTGAAGCTCGCCGGAAGCACGAAGCTCATTACAAAGATGAGAAGCATTCTCTCCAAGGCAAGCACGGCAAGAGCCATCCTATATGCTAAGGCTCATGTCTGCGATATGACCTCTGGAATGGAAAGAGGTATGTCATCAACGAAAGCATCACTTGCACTAGGACCTGAGATAGCTGGGCAACTGGGCATGAGGCCGTTTGGGTAGGCGGGGGCTTCGTCGACCTGCTCTGAGTAACATAATTCATGATCGGTACACGAAAGTCCATGATCCATAACACGGATGATTTTGCAGATAAACATATCATTGAAAGACACAAAGTGAACTAACAATTATTATACACATACCCCTTACCATTCGGTAAACTTTCTGCGGTATCCCTCGCATGTTGCTCGACAGCGCAGGCGAGGAAGATCCGGTTCACAGAACCATGATCGTAATGACCATACGGAGACCTCGGTCTCTTACGTAAGATCTTCTTCCATTTGAACATGTTTCAAAAGCTTGGACTTTGCTGCATTTGAGACGTGTATCTATCCACTGTAACCGACCAAACAAGTTGGTACTAGCATGTAGTCAACGCGATGACAAAATCTTGAGACGCTGTACTCTCAAGTGAACTGGCGTCTGAATGCTTCTCATTTCTTTCCCCGACAGCCTTAGTTATCAGACCTAGGAATACTCGGTACCACCACCAGGATTTTGGAATCGAGAGCCCCTGGGCCGCCAAGACCGGGGTGACCTGTCAAAGCCGAACTTAAGTTGAAGCACAGAGGCAAGAAGCATCGGGGCTGGGAAGTGTCAGCTCGGCAACCCTTCACCCAGGTCCAACTACCGTCGCCTTTTTGCTGCGAGAGCTGTCAGATCTTCTGGCACACTTCTAGCCTCCTGAATATCTTACCGGAACAACCGGGAGGAGAGCTTTCGGTCGCAAAGAAGTCGTTTTCCTCTCGAAGACTAGAGTCTGATAAAGAGATTTTCGGGTCATGAGAAGATTCGTAGTCAACGAATTACCGTCTGAGCAAGACGCAGCTCGTATGTTTGAGAATCTCAAAAAGTCCATATGATGGTCAAAAGTTGGCCGAAACACTCTGACGTGGATGGGCCCTTACCAACGCGTTATGAATGCAAGAGAAGGATCCCTCCTGTTGGGTCATCATCCCTGGCCTGGGCTTGACATTCGCCTTCGCACGGTGATACGACCGAGTTGGTCACTTCGTGGCCAGACACACGACCTCCTCCGTACGCCTGTTGCCACATTCGGAACGTGCGTTCCCTCAACCCCTGTTGTCAGTGCTCAAATGGGATATCCTGACAGCTTAGGCATTGTCCCGACAGTCGTCTGATGTGCAATCAGGTCTTAACCGATTGCTACCCAGGAAGACTTTAACAAGTAAGTCGCGCTTCCTCACCATCAGTGCTTCTGCCATGAAGCAAGTAAATCGTCAATGCGTGACGCGAGGCGTCATGGTCTGGCATATCCCTCAATGTCTGGGCCGAGCGACCATGAGACTACGGACATGGAGTTTTCAAGGCTCTCATATAGACCACACAGGGGCTCATCCTCTGCCTTCACAGCGAAATTAGTGTTTTTCGACCGTTTGTTGTTGATCTTGTCGATGCAATAACATTGACTCTGTCAAAGAAGGTGTTGGTGAGGAGAGCGCACGGATGTCTGAATATCGTGGTTCTCTTCTAGAGATACTGACTATCGCTCTGGCTGGTGTATCTGTGGTGGTCGTTATTCTCCGTGCTGTTGCAAGACACCGGATTGCTCGAGTCTGCGATTCAACCGATATCCTCCTGCCATTGGCATTGGTATGTCAAGAACTGAACGGATCATTGTTTCACTGCCTGTGAATGCTAATGGCTTCAGGTTATCCTACTTGGCCAATCGGTTTTTATTCGTCTAGCGATCTCAATTGGCTTAGGAAGACATAGCTCGACACTCAGTGAAAATGAATCAGTGACTCTTCAAAAGGTAAGAGCCACGGCTATGCAAACCTATACACCCGTTGATCAACATTCTAGTTCATTTATGCCAGCAACCTTCTTTTTCAATTGCTTTTATCGCTCTGCCAAGTCGTCATCCTTCTCCTCATCAAGAGTGTCGAGCCTCAACGTCCGATCCGAGTAGGCTGCAATGTCGTCCTCGTATTTATTGGAGTGTATACATTGGGTTCTTCGACGATATTGGCATTTCAATGCTCTCTTCCAGAGCCTTGGTTGATTGCCACCGCAAAATGCCTCAATCGAGTGAGTTGAAACAGGTTATTTGGACAAAGCACACAATGGCTAATACCTATCTTCCAGCAATTGTTCTTCACTATATTCAAACTCACGAGCATAACCATTGACTTCGTCACTCTTATTCTGCCGATCGTGATGATCTGCAGACTGAAGACAACTCGGGACAAGAAGATCTTTCTCTGTATTCTCTTTGGCGCTCGAATCTGCTTGCCTCTCATAACGATCCCGCAACTATGGAAGATACCTTCACTTTTAGCTTCTGATGATATGAGTTGGGATATAGTGCCATTCCAGACATGGGCACAAGTCATCATGAATGTCAGCTTGATCACAGCCTGTCTGCCTTCCTTGGGACGTATGATGTGGGAGCTGTGGGCATTGGGATCAGGATTGCGTACCACTTGGGGCTCAAAAGACGTCGAAGGTCGTGACTTTGGACATGAGCTGGGACTGGAGAAAGGCTCAGGTCAGTCCAAAGAAAAGGCACCATCAGACACCAGGATCCAGGTGCAGGTGCGCAGGGTCAACAGTTTTGATTCCGGCACCACAATTGTCATCGCTCGACAAAAAACCCTACCTGCTTTACCGAGACGAACTACCTCTCGATTCCGACCTGTTCGAAAGCAGGACCACCATTATCGACGTCCAGTCTCAACAGAACCTGTCCATACCAACCCGGAATACATCCCGAGTATGCATTTCGCAGCTTTGGGTATTCCTTCGCCTAATACGATTACTCACCGAGCTCAGCTTGAGGAGGCTGTCAACAAACAGCCCGATTTCCCATTTCCCTCACAAGCCCTAATAGCAACTCATCGACATCACGACGAATCACTTCCTCCATACGCGCATTACACGCCTTCACCTCACCAACAACCTACTTTACCCCGGATCTCTGGCTCAGATTACAACGAAGACGCATCGTCGATCGACATCGACAGCTACTACCTCATGAACAACACCGCACCTTACGACGCCAGTCGCACGGAAATAGTCCTGCAGTCCATGATTGATGAGCTCAAGAGCCAGAATAATTCCATTTATTCCTGTCCACATCGGGCTGAGAGTTCAATCTATTCTGAACAGAGGCTGCACAATTCGGTGTATTCTGCACAGATTAGAAATGAAGGCGGATGGATTTAAGATTCCCTTGTCATTGAGATGGGATGCTAGCAATGGCGGCGATCTTGCTTTCTGCTTTCTACGTGTTATGCTTGACGATTGGATGATTTGTACGGATGGATGAAAACATGTTTATATGCCGGCCATTTAGGAGCAAATCTATAGCGATGAATGACGATTGCTTGACACGTACGCACCGCTCACAGTTTGAATGCTGAGAGCTACCTACCCGACGCGGCGACTGGTTTTTCGGCTGATCTCTGCTAATCTGTCGGTATCTGATGTGAAGGAGAGTCCGTAGAGAGATCTTGTGGATGGCAGCGGCCAATTCACTTCCCCCCCGGCTTACCTCGCTTCCGATTCTCGGGCACGACGGGCACCGATATTTTGGATCCTCGCATGGTCGCACCCACACACACACACACACACACACAAGCAATTAGTCTTCTCATGGTCTGAACTTGAAGGTCGTTTTCAGTTTGTTCAATATGCCGCGCTACCCACCAGGTACGAGGGACAAGCACCCGATTCAGGTTACGAATGCTGCCAAGAAACGTGCAGTTCGCTGAACGGCCCCTTTGGAGCGTAACTTGCCGGTGTCGATAGTTTGTCATGGTATGGATAGCTTCAATCTTTCGTGCCTCCAGAGTTCAGGTACACCCGTACCGTGTCCGGAGCTCCGGACGGAGTGCTGCACTACTCAGGGATGGCTTCGTCGGGACATAGTTTTACGACTCGCGTTAGCGTCCCTAATTGGAGGAATCGTCGATCACTACTCTCTCTTCAAAATTTTCCAGGTCCATGGGTCTGTGCTAGGTTGCTTAGCTGGGCCACTGGCCAATACTCGTGTTTGCCAAACTTGATCTTGGTCCCCACAAGACCAGTGGGACGGTGAATTCTGCCTGCTTGGTGCCCCCAGAGTTGAGAGACCAACAAGTGCCGCGAATTGTCGCTAGTTGAATACGAGTAACCACTATCACAAATCTGTGGCTGCAAAGCCTCTTTTAGGGCTCTAAAGGTGTCGTTGCATTTGGTCAGGCTACGAATACGGATTCAGACAAAACCCAACTTCCAAGGTTGGTGAGGTTTCTGTGACTGCCTGCAAACCTAAGGTGGGTGCTTAAGAAGGAGCAAGCTGATTGCCAATGGTGTGCGGAAACAGCGTATGCTGCATTTCCGGTGAGGAAGATGTCACGGTCATTGATGGTGCATTGCTGGCGGCTCTTGTGTCCATCGAGTTGGCAAGACCGTTTTGTGGAAAGACACTTATCACCCTCTTGTCCACAGTTCGAGATAATTTTTGTGGGGGACCACAGAAGCTCAGAATTCAAACCCACCAAGTTTGGCCGTCCGGAAGCAATTACTCCGATCCTTCCTGGCAGGCACTTCGAGTAATTGGGCGAGGATCGCCCGCTAATCCAACCAGAACGCCTCTCCAGGGGTGGCTCTCGCTTCTTGCTGCAGGCTGTTCGAATCGAGAAACCCTGCCCCATGTTCTGGCAAGAAAACAGAGCCTGATCCAATTTACAGGAAACAGTGGGTATGATGGTCAATATGACAGCTGCCACTACCTGCCAATTCAACTTCTCCAGAACAATCGATGATCGTTCCTGTTGTTTATTGACAAAGTGCAGCTCAAGATCATATCAAGCCCATAACCTCCGACTAAATATTCACAGGATCCAGCTTTGACTTTCGCTTCCCACATGTGCGATGGGACTCGCCACGAGGTCCAGCTCGGAGGTGTGGCTCGATTTTGAAGCTTATTCAACGCACACCAGCTTGCTAGGGTTCCTTTGCATAATCAACTGCATTCTCCCAGGTGTAGTGGAGATGACAGCTTCGACCAGATTTCTTTGACTCAACTTGCATTAACTCGTACTCGTACCCTAAAGTTTGACACCAATCGCACGAGTCGTGCTGCTCTGGAGCAATCTTTTCAGAACTCGCCTCCACCTGCTCTTCTGCGATTGTCCACATCGACCCCATCAAAAATTTAATTAGCAATGATCTGAGATCGCAATGCAATCATATCACCGATCACCTTTATTCTATTTTTTTCAATTACATGGTACTTCGGTAGTCAATCTTGATACAGGCTAAAAGCTGATTCGTCTTGTCTCAGCTCTGAGCATCAACGTGGTACAGGCAGGGCTTGCCGCAATCTCAGTCGCGAGGTTGTTTGTTCGAATAACCGAATGATTGGCGGCCCCTTAGTTCTCACTTCCCGCTACCACCAAGTCTTGATGATCGGACACGCTGTATCTTCAAACAACCAAAGCAGGTGCAAAGTATAATCATGGTCCAGGCTGCCCAAGCTCAATCCAGGTGCCTTGGTGGAAACCTATTTCAGAGTCCAAGGGCTGGAGGGGCCTTCCAGAAGGCTCGCAATGCCAATTGCGAAGCAGGAGACTCAAAGTTTCTGCACGAAAGAAGTTCCTCATGTCAAAATCTCGGGTTGCAATGCTGGAACTAGTACAGAGTATATCGTGTGGGGCAGGGCCCATCACACCCGATTGAGCTATTCGTCCTTCGCGTCCTTCATGGTCAGAGCATGAACCTCCATGATCATCATTGAACACACGAAAACCCCCCGATAAGACACCGTTTGAGTTGACAAACTTGTCTAACCAATGCATCTAGTGCAACGGATCGACCACGACCAATCTCTAGCGGGCGCGGAACTGCAGAATCCAGTAGGGTAGTACTGCACCAAGACAACGGTTGAAATGTACTCCATATCCCCAGGAGGCCTGAAACAAGACTTGCGTCCGTATCCATGCACTTGAAGAATGAGTATACATGCCAAGCCCAGTTCAGAAATCTGAAAGGGGATATCGACGAGCGCTGTGGATGTTAGTGGAGGACAATCTCGATTTTAGAGACTTGCCCAGTGTTGGGGCCGGCTGAAGATTCTATCGATTGGCGTCTGATGTTGCAATACGAACCCAAACGGAGATTCTTCAGGAATTGCCATACTCGTCCAAGAGTGGATAGCCAGACACATTTCTGGGCCAAATCTTCAGGCTTGAAATCCTTCACGTTACACAATTGCCAGCCTGAACCAGCTTCAAGGTTCCACGAAGTCTCGCGGCGGCTGGTCAATGCTCAGCTTTAGTGGGAATAGACTTCCTGCTAAGATCAATCGCACTAGTCTCCCACCTCCATCTTTGGCGGCGATGACCTTTTCCAAAGTGCTGAAGATTCAGGGGAGAGTTAGCGGCCACGTCGGCTCTCTTCCGTTTCGAAGATCCATCAGGCTCTACCCCTGTAACTCTCGTGGTTAGCGGTGGGGCTCCACTTTTAGTCCCTTCCCCGGCCCGTCATGCATGGTCAACGACACCAACAAAGTCTTTGTAACAGTCTTACTGCTTTGAGCCTCGAATCTACTTCCCAGTGCTCGTTGGCGCGGGAAACCCAAGAAGAGAGCTACAATTATTCACGCCGTTTCTCGCTGGTCCCGAGCTCCAGAGCCTCTGGGCTCATCTGGATGCTCAATGTATGGTTTTGGGTCTCCTTTCCGTGCAATTAGGCAACTGGAGACAGGAGCTTTTGACCACAAATCGCATCACATTGGTGAAAATGGGCAAGTTCGAGACCTAGTTTTAACGAGGCCGAACTATCATCGATACCCTTAGTTGCGTTCGACAGTCAACACCCCTCCCCCATGCAGTACTCCGCCACTAATTGACCGGGAGGGTTGCACATGAAATCCATAACAATAATAATAGTTATCAGGGGAGGTAGATCCTCCATGCTTCCCTGAACTCGCTTTCTCCCTTTTGCAACTCTTCAAGACTCGTAGTACACAGCCGCTCTGAACCATTTAAGGAAGGTTCCTGAGATCATATTACCTTCATTGCTACAAACCCGCCTTTGACACGTCGCCATCATGGCACCAAAGAAGGAATCTCTTCTCGACCTTTGCACCAAGGCGACTAACCTTGGGAACACCGTTTCTGTGCGCCTTCTTGAGTATCTGAGTACGGTCAAGCATCATCCCCATGGATTCCGCGAACTGGCCACAGATTTCCTTGACATCTCGCGTATTCTGTGGTCTATCGAAGCGGGGTTGCTCGAGTCATCACGAACGCACAATCAACTTCCCAATGACATGGTGAAGGAATTGGACAAAAAGTTTCGCGGCACCAATGACGATTTCATGGTCCTTAATCAGCTCCTGCTTAAGCTTCTCGAATATGAGAAGAAAAAAGGATTCGGTAAGCTCTCCAAGGGATGGCATATGATGTTTGTCGACACCGACATCCATAAGATGAGAGAATCCCTCGAGAAGAGCCGAGATGCTCTCAGAATGAGCGCCTTGGTCTTCAGATGGTCCCTCGGCGATGAGAGAGTGGACTCATCCGTTGGTATTGGCTACACTGGCCTCGCTGCGGCTTTGGAGCGGATGAACTCGAACAGGCCCAGCGTGGTGATCCCGGCACCATCGGAACACACAGCACCTCAGTCAATAACAGCTTCCCATGTCTCAGACATACCCGACCGTCTCCCACCTCTCCCAACCCTTCCACCCACAGAAAAAATCTCCACCTACAGCCTCTTTCCTAAGACGGAGTATGGTCGAGACGAGATGTCGCAGGAACCGCATGCGATTTCGACACAGCAAGATCGCCACAGCGTGAAAGCCGCATCAAGCATCAGGTCAAGCAGGATCACAACTCATTCTGCTGGGCGAGACACCGGACGCGATACCGGACGCGATACCGGACGCGATACAGGAAGAGACTATTCTACTATCTCCAAGAGTGGAATGTCAGCAAATGAAGTTATGATCCCTGAAGATCATGTCTCCATCAGAGACGCCGACTCCTTCACACAAATCGAGGACATGATCCACGACATTGAACTTGATGACAAGCACTCCAGCCAGGGTACCACCATCAGACCAGATCCCAGCAGCGTTCCAAGGTGGACACCCAAACAGCACTCTGGTGCTCATTCATCTGCTTTGAGGACGTCACTTGTGAATGCCGTTCAGCAAAGGAAACACAAGATGATCGAGCAGCTTCTTGACTGTGGCGTGTCGCCAGAAAGTGGAGGAGAGCTGAATCTGCTAAGAGAGGCTGTTTTGACAAGGGACATCGAAAGCGTACGCCTTTTGTTGTTATTCGGAGCTGACCCTAACGGCCTCGACCGGAACAAGCTCACTCCTCTCTATACCGCCACGGAGATGACATTCATCGATAGCGCAAGACTCTTGATCAAGTATGGCGCAGACCCGAACCTTCCGGCTGGTCCAGATGGAGAATCACCCCTGGCGTCCGCAATCACGGACAACAAGGCTGAGTTCGCAAGACTCTATCTCACTTATGGCGGAGATTCTGGCCAGATGACATCCGACGGCAATACTCTATTGATCAAAACAATCAACAAAACTGCACCTAAGGATCTTACGGAGCTTTTACTTAACTACGGCAGCGACCCCAATGCTAAAAGTGCCGAAGGTGTCACTCCTCTCTTCGAGGCCATTCAAGCTCGCCGCCTTGACACCCTTACTCTTCTCCTGGATCACGGAGCAAATCCCAACTTGCCAGGACCCAAACATCCCCTTTGGCCATCGACTTATCAATCCAAGATCCTCCAGCTTTTGCTCTCTCGCGGTGCTGACCCCAAGAAAGCACCTGGATGTCTGGAACTCGCCGCCAGTCTCAATAACATCGAATCCGTCAAAATTCTCCTGGCAGCTGGTGTTGATCCTAACACAAAGAAAGATGGAATCTATACCGCACTTTGTTCTTCTATCCGCGACAATCGTCCTGATCTCGTCACCCTCCTATTGGAGAAGGGAGCTGATCCCAACTGCATGAGTGCCGAGTACCCGGCATGGAAATGTGTGACCCATGACCGACCGCAATTCATGCCTCAGCTTGTGGCTGCAGGTGCTGATCTACATAAACCGAAAGGCATTATTGAGAAAGCAGTTGCTCACAACAATAAGACCGCACTGATGTATCTTCTCGAGCAGAAGGTCAGTCCCAACGACAGAAGCCCCGAAGGCAACACCCCATTAACCACCGCCATTCGCGATGACCGTGCGGAGATGCTCGACGTTCTTTTGGCCCATGGTGCAGATCCATCCATCAGAGGTCAAGATTGGCCTATTTGCATGGCTGTCAAGCGTCCAACAATCCTCAAGAAGCTCCTTCCAGAACTACACAATCCTCGTTCCGTCAAGGGTGTGATGGAAATGGCAGTCGTTGCGAACCAACTTGAGAGTATCAAGCTGTTGATCAATGCCGGAATCAGTGTCGAGGACAAGAACGGCGGTGTCTTCTCACCCCTTACAACCGCCATCAGAGAGGATCGAAAGGAAATTGTTCGCTACCTGCTCGACGAGGCGGGTGCTGACATCAATGCACCGGGAGAGCATTTACCCATTGTCAAAGCCATCCGCCGATATCGTGGTGGTGACTTGGACATCATGGAGATGCTGCTCGACCGCGGCGTCGATATCAACAAAATGTACCGAGGATGGAATTCCGTCCTCCAGGCCGTCGAGAGCGGAAATGCAAAGATCCTGCATCTCCTGAATGAAAGAGGCGGCGGCATCAACCTGCAGGTCGTTGATCAGGATTCGGGCAAGACCGCACAGGAGATCATGGCCGAAGCTGGATGGGAAGAGGCATATAGCTCCCTCCTAGAAAACTAAAATGCAGGATTCTCGAGCAAGGAAAAGGGGATTTCATAAGTCCCTTGATCTCCTCAGCCACAAACACCATTCGAAAGCCAAACAACAACTCGGACGGAACGGACAGCTCGACGCACCGAATTTGATTTTCCTTTATCTCGACGACTAATACCAGCCATTACTCATTGTGTGCTACATGTTTTCCCTATGTACAATTATTTCCACCCAGTCACTCCAGCAAGGATCGAACAAACACAACCATTCGATAGAAAGGTCTGCAGGTCTTTACTGCATGCAAACCACACGCGAGCCATTTTTGTAATTACGAAACCCACGAGGGAGGCATTTTCTGAAATCATCCAATACCCCTTTCTTTGTCATTTTGCGTCGGTGGGGAACATTATTCCCCTTACTTTTACCATCCATCTTGGATCGATCGCCCTCATCATACGCTTGAGGAAGGTTCGAGAGAGATAAATTTTCTGTGGTCTTTTTATGTTTGTATGTTTTCCATGCCTGTACATCATCATCTACTATACATATATGCTTTGGTCAGATCAGGAGCAGCAGAAAGAAGTCCGGAAGCAGCAGAGTACGATTTCAAGTCATCATCAGTCAGCAAAGACAAGACGGGCGAGGAAATGCAGCAGCGAAGTCTTTGAACTAGCAAAGAATAGGACAGAGGCCCGGGAAATAGGGTATACAGAGACCTACAGCGTTGCCAGTTATTTCTTTCCATAACAGAAAATTTTGATCTACCAGCATTTGAAAACCCCCAAAAGTTTGACTTGTCATGTTTGTTTCCTTTTTCCCGCATCATTCCAATTTGAGTCCACTGGTAGGTGGCGTGATAGATAGATAGATGCAGAATAGACGATGAGCACAAGGCTGAGAGGCTTTCTTCTCATCGACCAATCGTGGACAGTCACCTCACATTTGATCCAGCACAGTACAGTAACAGTACAGATACTCAGAATATCCAGATCGATGGATATGGAGACGAAAGTGAAAGCAAGACAGTCGTCCGATGTCACTCTAGTTAGTTAGTATCCACATCTCGCCGATTTGTACGCGACTCGTACCGGGGAGGGCGCGGCCATCATCAAGGCAAGGCAAGCAGCATCTACCCTCTCGACGGAGAAAATATTCTTTTTTGGGGTATCTCAATACTTAGGATTCGTGAACTTCTTGCTCATTCTCCGCGCTCAGCAGAAGACCAACTGAGTCTTCCCAATGAGACCAGCAACCCAGTCCGCTTCTCTTGCGCACTTGATTTGCCCGTGTCATGCTGCTGACGGTCACGCGTATGATGCTGCAGCCAGTCGAGATGGCCTTGCTCCTCTCTCATTTGGGGATGATCGTTCCCGTCATGATGTCTGTCCCGATCCGTTCGTTCGGATGGCAGGAGCCGTACAATACTATGTCTGGGTTTTCATTGATTGATTGACGAGTAAGTAGGTCATAGATTGGTAACTTGCCACGCTGGAGCAGTGTCGCTGATCTTCTTCCAGCCTATGGATCAGCTGGCTGGGTTATCGTTTTCGTGACTTGGCAGTGCTCAAACATCTTGTCATCGAAAACATACGTGTAGCAGGGAGGATGGCGAACAGTCTCATTTGGGTAGGCTTGCTTCTAGCACTCCTCCGAGTGCTTCGAAGTTGTTGAGCATTTCACGGCGAGCAAATGGATTGATTGGGCTTCGGAGGGTTTAGCTGGTAAACATGATTAGGATAATTACAGTCTGGATAGTACCGAATGCCATTTGGGTAGGATGGTTGCGGTATGTGCATCTGGTTGCGAGTAACAGGCTGCTGCTGCTGCTGCTGCACCAAAGACAGTGGTGGTCACGAGAGCTAGGTCACTTGCTGAGCGAAAGTCTCAAAAGTGGCGCAAGGGTGGTGGCCGCATCTTCCTGACTGACTTCACAGTTGAGGCAGGACTGCTGTGGTCACTTAGAGCTCTCCCACTGTCAGTGATGATGATGAATAATGAGACGCAGATGGGTTCGCCGGGCCAGGGCACGGGCCGTGGAGGAAGTGGTAGTTAACAGTCTTCCTCGGTGGCAATATCACATTGAATGAGACGCTGCAATGTAGAACGATGGATAGTCTGTCAACACTCCAAGGGATGGTAGACAGAATCGAGTGGCACAAGACGGAAGTCCCAATATCAAGCGGAACGAGGGCATCCTGGTAGGCGACCTTCCCTCGGAACAATCACAGCTCAGTGATGAGTAGAAGCTGGGTCATGGATCAAGTCTATCAGGTCCGCGATTGCACAGTTGCACAATTGTGCTTTCCAAACGTACAGCTTGTGATTTTGATCATTTGCATCTTCTTGCCACCAGCAGGCCTGTTGGCATTTCCTTACCTGGTCCCTGGCTCGATGTTGAGAGCACAGCTGGTTCTAAGGAACGAGCACAGAAGAGCCACCGACCGAATCTAAGGCACAGAAGCCAATGCCATTGTGACAAACAGCTCCAACCCTACTCAGTCATGCTTCAAAGGATGAACCCTGTTAACGCGTTCTGCACAAGGACCTGTAACTTGAAGGTCGAGTTTTCTCAAGCCGTAATTACAACTTGATACAGAGACAGCCACCTAGGAGCCGGAGTCTGCCTGGCAATCTGCCTTTCATCAACCCGGCTGTCGTCGCCTATCAAGCTCGATTGTCCAGCTGGCCGAGGATTGTGCTGATACATTCGAACGATTGGGCATCACACGGGAAGCCACCGTGAATTCGGCGGCTCTTCCGAAACGACGAATGCACAGCCTATCGATCGTCCATGTCGCGTACAATATCGTGGTAGGCAGCATATGCACCAATCTGATAGCCGTCCCGGGATAAAGTTGGGTCAAAAGGAAGCAAAAGAGAGGCAAGGGTTCACTTGCTGGAAGTCAGGCAACTCTGGTCGAGTATTTTTGCAGATCTGAAAGGGCCGGTCCAGTCCCCATCAAGCTAACTAGCTGGTGAAGAGTATTCAAACCTAGAGGACCAGATCGAAGGACTGTTTGAGGAGCCACGCAATATTCGCCTCACACTTATGCAGGCTCATCTTGGAGGAGGTATCGATTGAGATTCGCCAGAGCGTCAGGTCGCTTAGACGGCTAGTGCGCGTCTAAGTTTGAGTAAAGGACTGCTCATCTCACCGCAGAGGTCCAGGGCGACTTACTTGTAATTCCACGAATGAGGTATTGGCGGGCTTGTTCTCGAGCTTTGTTTCAGCAAATCGACGAGCTCGGAACCTGCAGGACAAGCGTGGGAATGTAGCTCGTACCTGGATTTAGCTGGCTTGAGAGAAGCAGTCTGAGACAATATCCGTACATGCAGGCAGGCGGGGAAGCAGCATCAACATGCAGGTAAACCAAGCTGGGACTGGCTCAATTGCAACGAGAAAAGAAAGCTTTAACCGTTACTGATATTGCACAGCCACCCAACGGTGCTCTTCAAACTTGGCTATGATGAGCCGGACACGCCCGGGTCCAAACCGTTTGTGGTCCTGAATAGCCAAACGCTCCTCCGGTAATAGCCGATGAGAAGGTAGGACCATTGTCGATCTCGTCGAAGCGATGCGCCTATGACGTAGTTATAGTCGACGACATCCTACCACTTGGTAAGAAATGCAACTGCCGAGTACGACAACCAGCTGCAGCTTGCAATTGCTTATTGTATTCTAGCTTGAATCCTCTGGCGACGATGTTGCTAGCGGTGTACGAGTAGTGCTGGTCTCACTTCGTGATTAGCACAACGATGACAAACTTGGCCGATCGTACCAGAGGTGTTGTTCTGAACGACAATGATCAAGAGGGAGGGAGGGATTAGCCCAACGATGGTAAGTTTCACGATGTCACTTGAGATGCAGATAAGGCTATATGTCACATAACAGTAGGCAAGCGAGCGGAGGTTTGGTGGAAATTAATTAGATTTGCAATATCTCAGATATATCTCAAATGTGCGACTGCTTGTATTCAGCGTTGACAATTATATCGACATTTGGGTTAGTAGCGTGATCCTACAGACTGCCACACCTATCTCTAGCAGACAACAAGATATCGAGTTGCGAGTTCCTAGTGACAACGAATCGCTGAACTTACCTTTTCGTGCAACAGTCTTCGCACGTACGATGTCGTCTCACTTAAAAAGACACTTCTTGACATGCTGTTGCAAAGCAATCATGGCACGGTCAGTTAGGTCTTTACGAACTGTGTACGGCGCTGTTTTCACGCCATTGTTCCTCTCCATACGGTCACTCAGATTTTCAGCGAGCTCAAAAGCATCGAACATGAGTTCTTCAGTACCTTTCAAATAGCAGTAGTCGGAGTTAAGCTTGCTCAAGATAGAGGAGATGGTATCCTTGGAAGGCTTGAGTGTTCCTTCTTTGAGACCTTGTCGGAATTCTTTGAGTGCATGATTTGACTGGGCGAGTTCAATCGAGATGACTCGCTTTGCAAGGAGATCCTTGATATGCTGAAGATGGCACCAGACATCATTGTACATTCGGCGAGAAAAGTGAGGTCCTATGGTGGCACGGAGCTTACTGAACATGTCGCTGAAATGTTTGTGCCGATGTTCGGCGCGAGCCAATAAAGACTCAAATGTGAGGATCTCAATATCCGCCTCGTGGAAAGCATGACCGTGCGCCTTTGCTTCCTTAGGATACCTCGGTGAGGCTTCTTCTCGAGGGTGGTCATACTGCCCTCGTTCTCGTGCTTGAGGTTCTTTTCTATTCTTGTCAGTATGATGAGGGTAGTCCGCAGTATGCGCGTTGAACCTTCCAAAGTTCTGAGCCTCGAAGTAGTCATCGTCAAAGAACGAATTGTCCGTAGAGGAAGGGCCATTTTCGAAGAAGGAGTCGGCGCGAGCTCGTCGTTGCGCAAAATCAGGATCAGGTCGAGGCTGTCGCTCTTTGAAGAAAGACTTACCCTGTCGCGCCTCGGCACGGCGTTCTTCCTCGCGCTGCCTACGTTGAGCTGCGGATTCTTTTCTTGGTTGATCAGCTCGTCCTGATGGGGGTTGTCCGGGCTTGGTCTTGAAATCTGGTTCGAAATCTGTTCCAAAGGCGGCTTCTGCTTTCTTCGCCTCTCTAAACGAGGCCGCTTGTTGTTTGCTGTCATACGCCTTTCTCAGTACAGGATCTCTCAGGGTTTCATAAGCTTCTTGGATTTTCACGAACATTTCTTGTTTCCCGCCCTTATCTGGATGATGGATTAGGACGAGTTTGCTGTAGGACTTTTTGATTTCGGCTGAGGTTGCGGTTTTATTTACACCAAGAGTTGTATAGTGACACCGATCTCGAGTTTGGTCTGCCATTTCGTTAGTGCTGGGCTTTCGATCGCTAAATCTCGCCCAAGGAAGGATTGATGGTTTCCCTTTGTGTGAACGAAAGATAGTGTTTTCGAAACCAACTTGCTGTTATGGCAAATAGTCAAAGACTGGGGTGGAGGAAGAATAGGATACTCCATCGCATTACTTCCGGTGTCATCGTATATAAGCATGTTGCAAACAGCACAAGATCGCATCTCCATATGGCTTTGTTTCAGAGACAAAGAAAATGACAGCAATTCAAGGAAATAATGATTCAGAAAGAAAAGAAAAAACCAGCAAAGAAACAGCATGGGGCAAAGACGGACAAGGCTCAACAAAGCCTTACGAGACATGAAGAGTCAATCAACCTGAGAAAGCAGTACTCAAGAAATGAAGAAGGCTGAGACGAGGCTTTCGTGAAAATGTGAGGCTGGGCACCACTGCGCAGTGGTGCTTTCGCAGCTCGAGCACCATCACTTTAGTCCGAGCTTGAGCTTGATGACGTGTGAAAATGTCAATGATAGCGAATTCTTCGGACCATGTCAGGAGTCCAACATGATAGACCCATCATTCATGCAGAGGGGATGTCGCTGGCTGCTTTTCGGATGGTCCTTCTGATGGCACAAAGCCGGCCATTTTTCGAGGGGGGAAGTTGGGTCTGGCAAAAGACCCTGAGGGTTGCGCCATATAGCACGTGACTAGTGTGGCGCACGTAACTTGTGGCGCAACATTTAGCGAGAGGGGAAAAATAGGAGAAAGCTCAAGTGTCGCGTCATAGGTCGTATCTCGTACTCCACCGCAGAAGTTGCCAAAAGAACCGAAATCATTGAGATTCCGAGATCGACGTTTTTTCAACTCTTTCGATCCTAACCTCGTACCACCAAAGTTCACACGATGCCATCATTGATCAGCATCACAGTAACCCAAAATGCGTTACGCGAAGTGAAAACGTGTCTTAGACTCGAGTTTGCTTGATTTTTTTAGGCATCTTGACTAGCTGGGGGCAAGCCACGCAGTGGCTGCCGCGTGCTCACACACACCTCGGAAAAGGCAATTCTGAAGAGTCAAGACCCTGAGAGAAAGAGGGTGTGGGAAAGAAAACCCCGCGATGTGGTGGCTGTGAAGTGAGTTCAGTGACCTCCATGAACCCTTGTGGCTGACCTCTATAATCCTAATGAAACGATGATGCCCGACTACTTGTCTGAGCACCTGTGGCATTTCGAGGCAATCAATAATGTCAACCACTCCCCAATCATTTCGGTATGTGTAATCCGAGTTTGCCGTCATCGTGCATAAACAATGGCTGTATTCATACCCCGTCATGCTGCCGGACATTGCGCCTGAAAATAGCCCACAGTCCGAACGAACGGGGTAAACTCGCTGCCAATCTACATACCTTGATCGTCGGTCGCTTCCATTCAATAGCCACAGTGCCGGTCTGGAGCCAAGCCCAAATCAGTCTGTCGGTTCTAACGTGCCGGACCTCAAGAGATTTTTTTTATCCGTCAACGGCTATCTCGTTCTCTGTATGGTCGAAATTTGATCACTATTTGGGCGATCCGTGCTCGTAGTCCGTCAGCGCTGCATCTTTAGTTTCGAGTTACGCTAAATTTGTCCTCACGATCGCCCGTCGCTATCTACAGACATGTTTTGTTGTCACGAGTTTTTTTTTAAGCTTTCCGAAGCCCCTCCTGCTTTGCTCCAGGCCCAGAACTGCGATGTCAGGTACGAATGCCTAAGCACCTTTCTTACCAGGTGAACATGCAGAACGACGGAGAGCAGTGAGGCTGACGTGGCCCCATCCGTGCCACACAACCTCTCACCTCTTGTTCGCTGCGTTGCTATTCTTACAATCATTCGTCTGGAGGCGACCTGTTCCGAACAGCATCTGGACCGATCGACAAACCTCCTCTAGACCATGTATTCCTGAGGGCACCGACAATTGGCCTGGTTCCGGCCAACCCAACTGGAACTGTTAGCCTCATGTATGTTCCAGGCTCCGTTCACTCCGGCGACACTACCGAGTACATACTCTCAAAAGGGCTTCATAGCGGAACTTTGGCTGTGTGGAGTCAGCTGATGGAATGCCATCATCCATCTCTGCTAGTAGTTTACTAGTACCCCGAAATCATCGAAGCTCGCGTACATGTCTCGTCTCCAGACGTAGCCCTATCCCACATTCACAGTGAAGCCCCCGTTAGTCTTCAGTCTTGACCTCCAATCCCGCTACTGTCTGGTATGGATAGTTGGCTCGCCAAGAGTACGAAGCAGTGGGAAATGACATGTGTGGGGCTCTTGATTCGATCTACGGATATGTATCTGTGCTTTCTCGAAACCAGGAGTTCAGTTTAGACCAAAAAGAAAATCGACCGAAGTTTCCGAGCATGTTTATTGGTGCTAAAGACTATCTATCCCCCTCCCTGTATAGACATGAGAAGGTTTCGATGGTTCCTGCAGAACCCTAGTTCTGGCTAGTTCGCAAATGAACCCCATTCTCCGTCATCCCAGGGGATGTGAATAACCCTTGTTTTGACTTTCCATAAACATATCTGCTCCTATCGAAACAGCGCTCCGGAAAGCTGCCTCATAGAGACAATACTGCATTTGCCACTCGTGACACCACTGCTTCGTGTATCGCTTCCGGGCCCCCCCACCGCCCTCCTCCAAGACTGAACGCATGGGCGGACAAATAGCCCAAAAGCAACAATGCTAAGAAAAGTTGTGTGCGTGGTATTGGATTGTGATAATCAGAAATTAGCTAAGCGAAAAACATGAGTATTTCCTGGCGACCCCACAAGGAGGGCCCCGTATGGTATCATTTCAGACAATAGTCCGACACAATTGGGTATCTCGAAAAGTCGTGTATCTCATCAAATGAAAAATAATGGTCGGACCTAGATCCGGGACTCGTGTATCATCCCGTCATAACGGTCATCCTTTGTTTGCTGAAGTGAAGAGTGAAGAAAAAGTAAAAATATGCAGTAGCAGTCGCCAGTTGCCCAAAAGAATCTAACCAAGGAGACAAATCGTTCCATGGCCGCCCCCCTCCTTTCTGAGCGGTGTCTTAGACTGTACATCGCCCGAATTGCCACAGTAAGCCCTGTAGCAGTGCATCGGGGTCTCAGCAGGGGCATCGGGCCCAATGGGGTATCATATAGTATAGTGAAAACAGTCGCAAAATGACACCACCAGCAGCCACGAGTGGAGGCCTCTTTTAATCCGTCGTCGTGTTCGTTAGGAAAGGGAAAAAACCTCAGAACCCAAAGGCCTGGTATCATGCAATTTGCGAGTCGCTGTCCGTAGCTCCTCACCCCGACAATTAATTAGTATTCAATAATTCAGCCACATCTCCAAGGGATCTGAGATGACAATTTCCGAGGGGAGGATGTCACCATCAACCATGACTTCCATGGCTGCTGGCTGCATGAATTCTTGTTTTACTGGATGGTCATGTTGTACTGGTGACAACTCCACAATCATGTCTTGCCCTTCTGGTAATTCTCGCACCACGTCTTCATCAACGATGATGTGCAGACCACGGGAGTTAACATGTGTCACTTGCGTGACGCGGTGAGGATCAATCTCGAATTTTTGGGATATACTGTTGACAAGATCCCTGACCGTTCGGTTCATCAGGTAAACCGCGCGATAGTATTCTTTGGCGGAGTCTTTTTGTCGCACGTAGAAGCAAGCAACTAAGAAATGATTAGCTTCACCTTTCAACTTGTTTTCTCGTGACTCACCTGGTTTGATGGGCCTCTCCACTGGGGGTTGATAGCTGCTATCGACATCCACGGCGAAAAGGTCAGGTTTGGCCTCCACCTCCGTTTTGGCGATCTTGACGGGTCGGGAAGAAGAAGAAGCCATTGCTGTGGGTCCTGGATCACTCTCGCTTTCTTGCTCTTCTAATATGGTCGATTTCCGGATTTCGGAAAACTTGCGCTTAGGAGTGTTCTGGGACGCGGAACTTGGAGATGGTGACACGGCATTTGAATTAGGAGAATCGGACGCGCTTTGTCTTGATTCCCAAGTTGTCGTGCGTACAAGCTCTTTCATCTCTGGGTCGTCTCCTGATAGCTTGACGGGATGGAGATCTGGATCATCTTCGGGGTCGCCACGTAGGAATAAAACGCTCACGGGTTGTGTCGAGGAGAACATGTCTTGCATGCTCACAAGCTTCATCTGAAGGTCCTCTTCCGCCGAGACTTTAGTGCCTTCTGCTTCAGAGTCAACCGACCAAGTTCGTTTATGCTTAACAACCTTTCCAGGCCGAGACGAAGAAGTTCGAGCTATTGAACCACTTCTCCTCCTCTTGCCGGAATTCCCAAGTCCTGCTTCGGCTTGTGCAATCTGCTGCTTGAGTTTTTCAATTGTTTTCTTGACATGAGCCACGTCATTCGAGAGTTTGCGTTCTGCTCCATGGTCTCTGAACAGCTTGACCTTTGAGAAACAAACCTCTGGTTCATTGGAAGACATGTTGTCGACAGTCACAAGTTCCGTCTTGGCGCATAATCGAACTGGAATACCCTTGACTCCCTTAGAGTGGCTGAAGTCTGTGGAAAGGAAGTTGAATCGAATGGAAATAGAGCAGTCAGGACCCGCATTGACCGAGTTTGGGTACCAGGTCACCGCAAATCCATCAAAAGAAGCCTTTTCGAGTTGAATCTGGGACTTTCGAAGTTCATCGTCTCCTCCCTGGTTTGGATCAACGTACTCGACAGCAAGTAGTCTTCCACCTCGTTGATGTGCTTCGTTCGATCCACGACCCTCTTTCCAGAGCTGCCAACAAGCACCTGGTCGCGCTCTTTGTTGTTCGTCTTCGAATGACACACGGACATAGGTACGATATTTCAGAGGCGCATTGGATTGAGGCACGGGAGGGTTAGTGTCAAATATTGACATCGTATAGGCTTGACCTTTGTTCAAATAAGTGATCGGAATCTCATCCGAATGCCGTGTCATGGCGGTGGGCGCATTCAATGTCGTATGAAAACGGAATCTGTTGCTATAGTCAGTCACGGCGGGTCGCGCAAAATCAGGGAGAACGTACTTCTCTCCCAAAAGCGGGTTCTGCAGACCAATGGCCCCGGTGCTGGAAGGCTGGACACTCTGGCCCATTGAGGATGGTACCATGCCCATATCGACATGAGTTGGGGTGGTTTTATGGGGAGAATCGTGCATTTCGACATAGCCAGAGTCTTGATGCTGGAGAAAGGTTTGAGGGGCAAACGTTTGAGCCTGCTGGTGCTGAATTTGATGGTGCTGTTGATGTTGATTGAAATGGTCCTGAAAAGGGTGTGGCTGGTGTAAAAATTGAGGAGCGAAATGCTGGAATTGCGCGAGGGAGTCATGAGCGTGCATGCCGTGTATGGAGTGAGGCAATGATAGAGGCGTATTCATGCCCATCCCAGGCGTATGGAGGTCTCCTGCCTGAGGGTGATATAACGTGCCGAATCCACCTGGAGTGGGCGTGTAGTAACCAGGCGGTTGGTTGGCAAAGGCCGAGAAAGCGAATGAGTTGGGATCCATGAGTGAAGGTGTAAATCTCCAGCCGTCGGCAAATGGTCTGGGTGTCGCATCTTGGTCCTTGACCTCTGCTTGCGCACCAAAAGGCCTGGTGAAGTAGTCAGCATTCTGATAAGCAGCAGGCTCTGGGCCGGCAACATCTGCTTGGGTAGACGACATGGCTCTTGGTGAGTGCCATACAAGACTAGCAGCAGAGAGGGAAGACGGATGGGTTGAAGTAATGTGATCCAAGACATACCGTTGGGAGTCGACAGGGTCATCTACAATGGCCTCGCTTAAAACCGACGATCGGCGAGTAGGCGCTTCGATTGAAGGCGGAACAGCTGAGGAAGTTCCAGGCCCCACGTTGGGAAAGTTCTGTCGAAAGGACGCGTACAACTCCTCGTCGGGTTTCTGGGTATTACGCCTGTTGACGAACATGGTGGTGTCAGTATAGCTAGGGTAGTGGTTGCGGCCGGGAGTGGTAAAGGTGAAACGCATTCAGATCAAGGTGTAAAGACGGACCTGTTACGAAACATTTGCGACAGTTGCAGCGTCTCAGGCTGTGGCTTGGTAGTGGACGAGGTCAAATGAGAGACATGTGTGCTGGAAGGGGCAGAGCAAGAGAGCCGGGTTCGAGCCTCACGCGTCTGTCAGTGGTGGATAAATATCGTATTGTCCTGTCGAAGAGAGCCAGCAGGAGGACAAGCGATGAGGTTCAGATGTGAAAGTTGCTGCGCCTTCCTTATTGCGTGCCTGGGATGGAGCGAGCGGTCGAGAGACTTAAGATGGTTTGGTTCTCAAGGGCCAAAGATCCGATTGCACGAAGGGGGAAGAGATAGAACTCTAGACCGAGGCGCAAGGGACGTTATGATGCGTTGGATGCAGGAGAGAAAAATAGACAAAGGATCGACACCAAGGTCTACGAATGAACAAAGTGTCGAAGTCCAGAGTCCAGAGGGCGTCAGTGAGAGCAGAGGTTGTGTCAAAGACCGGGATGTGTGAAGTAGTGGCCTCGGTGCACATCAGACATGGGTTAGTTGAATTAGCATCAATTGGGGGCCATGGATCAAGGATGGTGAAGCAAGAGTGGATGAAGGACGGAGATGGGTGGACATGCGCGATCGGGCTGGTGATGAAGGTGATTTGCGACGGCGGAAAGTAAGGCAGTCCTGGTCTGGTGCGGTGCGGTGCAGTGTCTGTGGACGGTGGTAATGGTAATGGTGATTCTTACGGTTTACGAGCCGGACTTGACCAGGGTCAGAGTGTGGGAGCACTTCATGTCCTGAGGACCAAGTTAGCATCCAACGATATAGCAGACGGATACCTAGCCCTAGGTGTTGACTACTACGAGGTACTACGACCTAGGTGAGCCAACGCCCGTGAGACTCGTGGAACTAGAAGGAAAGAGACTTTCGTCAGAGTGCAGGGGTCCTGGTTAGTCGGGGCTTCTCGAGGCCTGGGACCTCCATGGCAGGCCCCATTCTTGCGGCACAAACGCCTCACGGTGCAAGCCACTCCTCATGCCCAGCAATTAGCCCACGTACGCCTAGAGCCCCATTGGCTGTCCGGGTGTTGGGCCGGTGTAGGCGCCACAGTCTGCCACCCAACTCACCCACAACGGCAACGGGCAGAGGGGCGGTTGAAAGTTGAAACAGAGCACAACTCTCCCGGGAAATCTCATCACGACCGAGTGCGGATACCAGACACAGATGAAGGAGCCTGCGTGGCGTGTGAGGCACAAGACTCAAAGAGTGACATGCACAGTGTGGCTGCTTCATCCACAGGTCCTCTGACTGGCCGCTCTCTCCTCTTCCGACGCAGCAGGGTATCCTGTCCACTTGAGCATCTCCCGTCCGGTCTGCTCTGTTCCTGTCTGTTCACTTCCCCGTTTCATTCAAGTTGGCTGTTCGATACTGGGCTTATCCTTGCAGTGATCACCGCAGGCACCCATGGCAAGTCAATTGGCCTTGGTGGCCATCCTAATTCGAACAGCCGTCACTCTCATGATCGGCAGTGCACAGCCACGCCTAGACAGAATGGGTTATGCACATAAACTCTCACTGACAATCATGCGAGGGTCTGTGGCTGTTGGTGGCGACCCGTGTGGCACCCGAACCACAATTAATTAACGGCTTGACAAGAGCTCGTAGCGAGGCCATCGCTGGGTAACGGCATCACTGAGCACTGAGGAGTACGTGTCCATGAGGATCCTCTCCCGATGAACACAGACGGCGACGGCCGCCGGTGACTCACTGGTGGCTTGTGCTGGCGGTTGAACCATCTCATTGGAGATGACGTGGGGTAGAGGATTGATCGACAATCAGAAAATAACATGGAGCCAAGCGATTGATCACCAACGATGGCAAGTAAAACACGTGTGGACGATCATTACCTCAACAATGGCAATGGCTTCACTGAGTCAAATCATCTTACCGATACTCCGTAAAGTGCATCACAATAACGAAGAAACGCATCGACGTTCGCTTCAGAATTATGGATTTAGGCTTGCATGCAATCTGTGACGGGTGTTTCAAGTGTTGGCCGGAAGCCCCCATGCGTAATGGACCAAGCCGCATGGAAGAAAAACGAAATCTGATGTGTGAGCTGTAAAGGGCATTTTTTCACAGATGCAATCCCACTGGCAGAGATCACAGTGGTGAATTGTGGGCACTTGGAACCCAAAAGTCAAGCCACCGGCAAATGTTGCTTTGACACCACTGGAAGACGGATCGGAGACTCTCGCGTCGTTTAGAGCAAAGAGTCAGTCAGTGGACTGAAAAACTGCGGAGGCTCTCGTTCTGAGTTGTACCTCACCCGGAAGTAGCTTCCAGGGCCACAGTGTTGTTGGGTTCGGCTTGCAATCTACACCGTATCAGGCGCTTCTCAGCCCCTAAAGCCATCCGGAGTTCTCTTGAGTACGGGCAAGAGGCGCGCCAGCCAACGCACGAGAAAATGGCAGCTGACACCATCGTACTGAATACTATCTCCAGTGTCGGCCATCCCAGACCCAAATGCTGCCGGGAGCGGCGCTGTCCAGTGTACCATGACGGACCAGAATCATCTTCTTACCCTGCTTGAAATCCACTTATCTATATCTGGCTGCCTCCGAGACTTGAAGTATCAGTGAATGACTCCTACCGCATGCCACACCGCACAATCCCTCATGGGGTCTCGTCACCTGGAGGGAATCTGATGCCGTGCCTGAAATTACATCATGGGCCAGCTTCATCAGCCAACCAACGTGGCTACACAACCTGAAACACCAGGGCGAGTGCGACTCTCCAGGTCAAGTGACCCTACCCATCTTACTTCAATACGGACAATCTTGTTAACGAATTTGGTGGCCACTTGGGGGTGCAGCTATCTCCAAGATGATTCTTTCGTCACTATCTGACCATGTTCATCGCATACGCCAATCAGTCATCCGGAAAGTGGCATCAGACAGTATCAGCACTCAATCCGCAATTCCAAGGACCAACACAAGCGCCCTTTCCCAATCTGTGTATCCGTACGAGGACGGAGTAACCTAGAGCCTGTCCTCGGTTGGCGGCGCTGTGTTGTAAAGCGGAGGAATTTGTCTTTCGCACTTGCATTACCCTGGTTCTTCGTCCGGTGACCACCAAGGCCAATTATCAAGCAAATCCTTTCTCACCACTGATCTGTAGACAGGAGCAACCGCTGCGGAGCAGGAGGCATTTTGTTTGACCCTTTTCAAATCGACATGATCTCAGAGCAACGTCAGGTTTGTGCTGAACCGTAGGCTAACCCCGGCAATCTCGATTCGATGTTTTGGAACGTGGATGGAACAGATTTTACCACCGCAACCGCCTGTTGTGTCCATTGGGGACGCCACGGGTGGGAGCACACTCCTTGAGTTCCGATGGCTAAGGCTTGAACGCGGTTAAGCGAAACGACTTGTGGGACATTGGCATGGCCTCCACTTGACTCCTCCTCTGGGCGGGAAGTCCTCGGGCCCGCCTGTGCAACTCTCTAACAATAAGCGAGGAACTATGCAAATTGGAGCCTCCTCCATCTCGATTCACTTCCATATCGCATTCTACATGGGCATCGTACTTGATCTCGATAACAATCTTTCTCCCATAGCAATATCCTCTACTAGCAAGATATAATCATAACCTTCGAATTAGGCACTCTCCACAAACACTGCACCGGGAGCCCCTGTTTGAAATTAAAGAGGCCGTCAGTGGAGAGCCTTCTAATATGCCAGGGACCAGGGTCTTCGTCCCATGGTAAATGAGGTACCTGCAAAGTTGTGACCAGCTGGGGAGACATTTACCCATTCGTCGAGCTCCATTCTTGGAAATCTTACTGTTCTGACTCAGTGTCGCTCCGAGTGCTCGATGATTACAGCAAGAGAGTTTATGCATTCTGACTACATCTTGCAATCGGGATCGAGAGTGGAAACGGGAATTCTGCACAGTGCGGCTATTATTGTCGTTCAGATTTTCGCAGCTATGTCAATTCCACAATCCAAACTGCAACACATCCAGCGACCTTGGAAAAAGTCTAGAGCAGTCTGTGGCTGAAATATCCATTGCCCTGCATGCGCCACAGGGGTACGCCACACTTCTACCGTGGCGAACATAAGATCTTCGATTTCTTTTCCACTATGAGTCAAGATCGCCGTTATCAGCCACACTGTGGCTCGAGCTTTCTGTGGCTTACGTGTGTGAAAAACGACCGATACTTCCGCTTGTGCCGAAGAATCCCACACCTGCCAAAATGGTTATGTGGAGACGCTCACACCTCAGAATTTGCTGATCTTTGCGATCCTCAGACCTCTCACTCATGTATTGGGCAGGAGCAATGGCAGCGGAAACGTAAGTACAATCGGGACAATTCGCCTTGAGTCGTTGCGCAGAAAAGAGGGGTGATGCTTGGGCAATTAGACGCGAAACTCGAAATCCCCACATGGAGATACGAGGACAGGATGCAAAAATACAGTTTGTCCCCTTGAGAATCGCCGTCCTCAGCTTGCTCCGTTACTCAAGAATCCGAGCTAGACTCTTATGGCATTCATATCCTGCATCAACTCTGTGGAGCAGTAGCTTCGCCCAAGTGAGCACGGACGAACGAGCACTCTACCTATTTTCTAAGGTTTTGGACGGTCAATGTGAGGAGAATGCGTACATTCTATCATACATGATCTCCACGGGACATTGGGCACACACACCAAAGGATCATGAGACCCTATCGTACTACTCTTGGATGAGGGACAAGAGGATTCGAGCATACCACACACGGAGTCATGCATACACGTACGCATTTTTCACCTTTCGCCCCTGGCGCGTTGGCATTGGAAGCAATCGGTAATTCCGAGCGCTCAGAGCCTGAAGCAGGGGCCACAGGCCCAGACCCAACGTCGGCTCGTGAACTCGTGTCTGGCGCCAACGGGGAGGCTATGTATATTTAGCATTGTCTTAGCACAGCATCAACATGGTTGGCTCAGGGCCACCCGTACTTTTGATAGTGAATCTTCTCCGTCACGACAAACCAGTCGCCTGTTCTGTGTCTTGTCGCTCTGGCTTATTGGGTAATTGCAATGCCACGTGTGCGTGGACAGACGTCGAGTCGCTTCTATGCTCAAGAGAACATCATAGGTTGTGTGGCAAACGCCTTGATGGAAGCCTATCACTCCCTCAGCGGTAGGTGAATTCGATCGGCAGTCTGTGAATGTCGTTCATGATCAATCGTTGGGTCTTTCTAATTCCGTGTGGTTCAGGCAATTGGCCCTGGACTGCCTTGAGTGTCACACGTTTCGTCTCGACTTGCGTGAAGAACGTGAATCTCATACGCTTTGATTCACATTCATCTCCCTGACGCGACTCACGGGAAACCCCCGTTTCTGAGGCCTTCTTGCTTCGTGAAGTGACGAAATGCAAAGGACATGTCACAGAGGTAACTCTCGAAAAGATCCTTCTTCGACGTTGACCTCCTCGCCCGGACTCCCTCTCCTTCCTGGGGCACAGGTGAATCTGATGCAATCCTCAATGATGAATATCGATCTCTGTGTTGAGACGTCAAAAGAGAAGGACACATTGGCTTGGACTGACCTACCTTTTGAGGTCTACATACGGGGCATGTATAGAGGTACACACATCATCATGATATGTGGATGAGCAAATATCACGTCACGAGCATGGCACAGGTCAGCGATACACATGTAGATAGATGGGAAAAGAGTTGCCCCTAGTTCAGAGCCAGCCATCATGATAGTTGAATATATAAACAACTGTGGCACTGTTCGCGGGCCGGCCAGCACGTCTATGCGCCCTCCACGATATAGGACTGCTCGGACCAAGTGACGGGAAGGACCTCTGTGCCAGGACCACCACGTATCATTCCCAACAGCGAGTCGTCGCATCATATTATCTACTGATTGCCATTCGCATGCATGGAGGGCTGGACCAAGCCAAGCTCGAGCCCTCTAGGTGGTACACATGCGACTCATCACCGCCCTCCCATCCCACACGCATAGAATACTCGCAAGGCACCGCCACGAGGTGAGAAAAGAGTGATCCCACGCATACACAAACACATATGTAGACCACAACCAAACGGCCGCTGTGATATCAAGAAGAACACTCCCTCCCTTTAGAGGAGACTCATATAAGCAAGCAGGAGGAAAGCAGTGAAGACAATTCCAACAAGGCACAATGTACCTACAGATGCTGTTTGAACTTTGAACGATTGACCAATAATCCACCTGACGTGCCCAGGTCCTCCGTCCCAAATTCTGGCAGTAGCATGTTGAGATCTACGAGCATGTTTAAAGAGCTGCAACTGCACCTATCAATCAACCCAGGACCGCTGTGCTGCTGCGCACGCCTCTGGGAGACACGAGCCTCCTGATCCCGAACCTCGATTCACCGGGCTCGGTGACGTGGACCGTACCGACAGACCCGGCCAGGCAGATACTTACTGATCGCGCGTCGCAAAGTCGGCTGTTCCCGCTCAGGAAAGATGCACCTCAGCTAACGATGGCAAAGTGGCCTCTCGTGGTGGTGTCGGTGGTTGTAGCATGTAGCCTCTGCTGAGAGATCTCCAGGTTTGCAGCACAAGACGCAGAAGCTGGCTTCGCCCACCATGGAGAGCGAAAGGTGTGGGCGGCGGCGGCGACGGCGACGGTGAACGTGGCGATATACATGTGCCAGTGAGATACCAGTGGCCACGACGTCAGTGAAGTCACGGTGTCTGGCGAACAGGATATGGTCTGGATATTCCCATTGTTCATCATCGAAATTGCTGAATACCCACCACAGCAGGCTTTTGCGCAATTAACTAGGGATCATGCTCTTATCCAGATTCTAGCTAGGTAGTGCGTAAGTTTGCCATCACCAATCGCCTCTCCTGTCGCCAGGACTGGGCACAAGGTCAGATGGGCCATGTCATCGCTGCACTGTGTGGGAAGACAATCCCTTGGTGTCATGCTGCTGCGATCTGACCATGGATAATGACTGTGAACACCCGAGCGTGGCTGCCGACTCGCCGTTGCTTTAGAGATTCTACCCCGGCCAACGACATCCATCACCACTGAGTGATTATGCAGATAGACGTAGCTTGCGAATGAGATGGGAACTCTCGGTGGGCGGCTTGTGCTCTTCGGTCTTTCGTACGACGCTGAGAGCATGGTCACCACAGGGGAAACGCAAGCCATCCGACCATCGTCGATTGCATGTCGTGAGTCCTGACCATCTTGGTCATCCCGGTGCGCCAGTGCTCGCTTCGCCCCAAGTTATGGAGATTCAGAGAGTGTACCAGGGAGATGAACCCTGCCAGTTATCCACTCACCCCCTATTTCCGACCAACTTGGGGCAGTCGACATGTACATGAATCTGAATAAGGATGTGGATGGGATACCCAGTTAAAGGGTGTGGCCACATATGAAGGAAGGTACTTCCCTTGGTCAGGCATTCACTCATCGCGTCGACAGGGCATGGCTGATGTTGATGTCGACACATGATCTGAGGACGTGAGGCCGAATTCGCCAAACTTCTCCATCCAAACTCCCTCCTGGATGACTTTTGGTAGCTCGATCTCCTCAACAGGCAGATGTGTGGAATGGATGTCCTCCCTCAATATAGCGAATATAGCGATGCAAAACCGAACGCGCGAATGAGGTGGCTGATACCACCAGTTGTATTGATTTTTCGCATAACTGGCCTTTCTCATTATTAGAATTATCGTTCTCAGCTTCGAGAGTGCATTATCCGCACTCCGTCACTTTGTCTATAAATGCCGTTCTCACTGTCTGTATACTTCGTAACCGCAGGCTATAGTGCAGATAGCTCTAGGTATATGTTATATTTACATGCCTTGCTGTCATGTACTGGAGACAATGTTCTGATCTTCATGTTGAACTCCCTTACCGCAGAGGTTGTCTCCATAACCCCGAATCCGTTAGCCCATTCGTATGCGGTGGCCATCATCTGCCACCCAGTGGCAGGAAAAATGAAACCCTGTATGGTGTTGTTTTGCGCAACACTGGTTGCACATCGTTTCGCGCTTTTGTTGTAGACATCTCGAAAGCCTCAAAACCATAGTCCTGAAGACCACTCCCAAATCATGTACATCAATCAAGTCGCCAATAGCCGCCAACTCTGCTTATCAAAATTATATTACCGTGAGATGATAATCTGGAATCCATCTATCCATGCAGCAGATGTGCCTGATATTCCTGCAATGCTATACCCGCGTGGAGCCATCAACGTGTGCCTGGCGGAAAACAAGTTAGTCCATGAACCTGGGGATGATGGTATGCCACGAACCCAGAGCCTCCAACCGGGTTCCCAAAGACGCCGGATCGCCGCCCAGTGCTTGTCAGGATTTCAATGCCATCAATCCAGAGACCAGCGCGTACATAAAAACCGAGGATTGTTTCGCCGCGCCGAGTGTCTTCTAAGAGTTAGTCAAATTGCGAGACTCAGAGCGTGGAAGACCCTACCAAGCAAAAACTCATCCCCCCCTGGTTTGCCACCGCGTTTTCCAAGTAATTGGGTATGTCCATCCTCAAAACAGAATTCAATCCCATCCAGAGCGTAGCCGTGATATACTTTCACAGATGTCAAGAGTTTTGACTGAAAATATGTGCTTTCCAGAATGAGATCCTCAGCTTTCGAGCCTTCAAGCTGCGAGAAGCCCAACTTCTTGCTCTTGAAACCAAGACGAGAATCAAACGACTTGCCAAGTCCCATGACATTGTTCACTGCGTTCATCGTAAGGCCTTCATCTCGTTTTGGTGCCTGTCGAATAGGAGGAAGTGCGACAACATTCTTCTTGGAAAGCAAATCTTCTAGGTTTTCAATTTTCTCACTTCTGGAACTGCCACAGAAAATCTGTAACGTAAGTTTCGCCTTTCTTTTGTCCTCGGGTAGCCGACCACGTATCTCACTCTCGGTCAGAGTTACTTGCCGTGGAAGGCTGTTGTATCGTGGGTCGTTGCTATTGAAATCAATCCACTGTCGGCACAAGTCATCTCCATCAGTCCAGATTTCGACAAATGACACTCCGGTTGAGGCAGAGACAATGAGTCTGCCATTGTCGATTGGGAAGTACTGAATACCGTCATCTTGAGAGAGTGGCTCGTCGCTTGGGAGCTTGAAACAGGGATGATGTCTGAATCGCAGGACGTCCAGTCGATGCCACGTACACTCGTCCTCTTGTCGACATATTTTGAGCCCCTGAGACTGTGTTCTCGTCGCATACGGTTCTCGAACCAAGAAAGTCCGATTCAGTCTGACGTAGTCTCGAAGCATGACTCCATTCTCTTGGTGAGGACAGCCGAATAAATGACCAACTTCATGCATGTGAGCACCAATGCCAATATTGGCGGCCTCCCAGCTACTGCCGGATTCGTTACAATCATTAGCCACGAACTTGGTATCAGTCCGAGTGCAGTCTGTGAAAGCAGGGACTACCTCCTCGATGCAAGCTGGGTAGCTCTGGAGGGCATGAGAGCCGAAAATGGCCAAACCTAGATCGTCGCTGCCGCCTCCAAGTGCGGCATGCGCGGTAACAGTGCCGATCTCTGGGTCCCAGTGAGAATCCAAGAGAAGACACGCGACATATTGCTTCTGTCCAGGTTTGATGTTGAAATATTTCTTGATCGCATCTGAGGCGATTGAGAAGAGCTCACCCTTCTGAGATGCGGGACCATGCTGTTGTGCATAGTCCAGGTTTCGCAACTCGGCCGTGGTCTTTTCTGTTCGTACCAGGTGAACCCTTGCTTCATTCTTCATTCTTCCCATTTCCCAGTCACGTATTGACAGGGTACCTGTCTGCCATTCCTCTTCAAAACGGAAGCATCTCCGGCCAAACTTGTTTCTGTACATCTGCTCGGCTGTAAATGCTTGCCACAGATGAGCAGCCATCCTAAATTTGCGGATAGCGATGCTGAGGTCGTTGCCCTCATTCTGGACTCTTTGTGGCACGGCATCAAACGTGCAGGGAGAATCCTTACCCGCCAGTACCACCAACTGCAAGGGCGGGGTGTTGCTCAATGGAAGATAGTTCAACATGATGTAGGAAGAATGCAACGTAGGATTGGCGGGGTTGGTTGTTGAGCTTAGCTTTGGGGAGGTAAAGTCGAACCGTAACCTGTTCCAACCAGGGGAGAGAAAAACTAAAGCCTTGAAATATGAATCAGAAACGGGCCAATTCGTCGGCGGGAAAGCGTGGCCGTCTTTGTCGTGGTGAACGGTGAGATTCCCATCCAGCAACTTGGATTGAGGGTCGCCGATCTCTCCATTTATGAGAAGGACCTTTTGATAAACCTTAACAAGTGTCAGTGACCCAAGCTATTGCAACGTATCGCTCTTGCATACCACTGAATTGTCTAGTATAGATGTAATCTTGGGTGCATATGCAGAACTGGGAAGTGGACTCCGCATTGTGAGGTTCGACCCGGAGGGGGACAGCGTCTTGGAAAAGCGATCAGTCTCTGGACAACAAATTCGGGTGCCGGGAATATGTCTTACTATCATACTGTTCCGGCTTGAGTTGGGAACGGCTACGTTGGGGCGCTGAGGGATTGGGGGAGGAATGTCGCCATTGCTCTTTGCAGCAGTAGCGACATTGGATGCTGAGCCATTGCCATGGTATGTCGAGGGGGGAGTGGCACTCCCTTGGGCGGAATTGAGTGTAGATGATGATTTGGCAGTCGTCACTGTACTATTGGTCTCGGTCGAAGAATCGGAGGTACGAAAACTCGCTCTTGATCGTCTGCGGAGCTCTTTGAAGAATGGCATGACGGAGGGAGGGCTCTTATCGCCGAGGGAGAGGATATCTCATCGAATGCCAGGTGTATAGAGTTGAAGCAAAAGGTGCGACGTGAAAGTCGCAGTTTTGGTGAGGTAAGAATTGCGAGCACATGCATGTGCAGGGTAGCTTTTCCGGTGTGTGAACAAGGATGCAACAGCACCAAACCCAGTGGAAGATTGAAAACGAGCGACAGCGAGTTAGACCAAGGCGTAGATAAGACTGCCTTGGGCACACAAGTCGACGATAGCAGCGCTGAGGGTTCAGTGAGAAGGAACAGAAGTCATGGCAAGCAACATTGGGAGTTGCAGCAAGTGGCCAGTGCAAACTCCACCAGCGGTAATCGCAGCCCAGGTGAGTGGAATGGGATGGGGCGGGCACTGCAGGCGCAACGACGGCCAGAAAAAACTGGGCCGAGCAGCAAAATCAAGGACAGGTGCTCAGGTACGGGTACTCCGACTCTTACCTGCACCGGGACTCAGGTAGTATTGACTCGTAGTGGTTGTTAGCGAGACGAGTGACCAAGTATCAGCCAAGGTACCCATATGGGTACGGATACTGATTCAAGATGCGAGTAGTACTCGTAGTCCGTGGGATGTCCTGGCGGGCGGAAACTACTGCTAGGACCTCGAGTCTACTCCTTCCTTCCGATAGTTGGCATGCTGCAGCAAGAGATTGTACTCGTAATTCGTCAACCCACTGGTGGCAGCAAGCCGCATCATCTAACCACGGAATATTGCTTGGCAGTAACCTGTGAGCTACTTGGGAGGAGTGATTGCATTTCCAGGGGACCGAGCACGGAACAGTCAGGCCGAGTCCAACGACTCAACAGTGCAAGGGGCGGATATAGTACCAAGGAGTCGCATAATGGTGACGACGAGAACAGGAGAGAGGCTGGCTTCACCAAATGTCATGCAGCATGGGCATATCGTTGAGATCTCAAAATGCCATGCTTTGCTCATCTTCTGAATTGGGGGATTTACTGTTTAATTTCATAGCGGTGCCAGTTAAAGATTGGCGCTACGTGAGCCGGTGGGTTTTAGTTTCGCCGATGGGGGCATTAGCCGTGAGCCATGGGTTTCTGGCGACAAAGATGACGTCTTGGGGTGGAGGTAGCGAACATGTGGTTCCATCGGCCGCTGATAGATGAGATTCGATTGGTGTGGGCTATCAGAGTGGGATTGGGCGTAGATATGGGTGGGAAAGGAAATGAGACAGCTGCCAGCCTGCCACATTGTCCTTTGGTCAGACACCGCATGCGAGCTTTGGTTGAAAGAACCACAAGGCTGAAAGACGAAGAATTCTACGTCTGATGGAATCAAATTCTAGCATTTCCAATTAAGCATTTGCCGTCTTCAAGTTTGACCCCAGGTCGGTGTTTGTGACACCTTTCTCCGTCGTACGGAGGCTCACAAAGATATTTATCATCTTTACCATGGCAAGAGACCACTCCGTCGGAGGCCTAGTTGCCCTGATTTGTGGGCTATCTTCATTTTACCTCGCGCGGAGGATATCGATATTGCTGGTGTTCGTGCCTTTCGGGATTTGAGATGTCGAAATAAGTTGATGCCCAGGTTGATACAAAAGAGTCGATAGGTCGAGGATACCTAGACACCCAACCCGTGGATGGCCTTAATAGTAGATGGGACACATGGGTGGCCAAGGGGCATTGACACGGGTTCAAACAGTCTTCTGAGCATGCCCAAGTACCCAACAGACGGGGGATTCATGTCAAGAATCTCTGGAGCAACAACAATAATCAGGAGTTCCAAATTACTCTCCATCACAGGCTTGAGCACTTCCTCAAGTATCTATAAATCACATGATATTCCCTTGACTCCTTGTGAGCTGAGCCGTACGAGGTATGCGGTACAGATATTGAATATAAACCGAGATTATATCTCGTACTTTTTGAGACAACGTCCATTGGTGAAGATATGTACAGGGTTCCTGACTTGCTGGCCAACGGTCTAATTAGGACCATTGGAGTCAACCGGTGACTACTAACTAGCGGGTGGTCTTCCTCAGCTTTGCCGAGGGACTCTATTCCTGTTGTGGCAGGCAGTTTTGCCAACCCCAGATCCTGTATCCCATGCTTACTTGGAGACCAAGAAAAAAGATACGAAGTAGGTCATGCCATCTACAGACCTACAGTACTCGGTATGTTTCACACATTGCAGACGGCCTATGTAGGAGTAGCAGATCGTAAACGTGTTCTTGATGGCCGTCCTTGCCGTAGCCCGTTAGGCGAAGAGGGCGGTTCCTTGCTTTGAAGAAGCAGGTGGATTGAGCAGGCGCCAGATCGGGTGACAATGCAGCAGCAGGTCAATTGAAGGCGTTATTGGATGATGGATTGACGTGGGTTTGAGAGGGATTCAGCCGTCAAGAGGTCTGTGGTTGGAGCGAAGGCGATGGAGTGCATGCGACCACTGCAGCGGCCAATCTCCAACCACCAGTGAGTTACTCGACAGCGGCCAGGCACTCCCAGGTCAGCAATCCATCGAGACTCACAGCATCTGGTGCAATTGGCCTTGACATGAGACTCCAGCCACGGCGGGCCTTAGACTGCATGGTGGACCTTTCGCTTTCCAAAGTCTGCTTCGGCTGTACCATCATTGTTCTGTCAGTGGTCCAGTGCCTATCCGTACCTACCTAGGCCTACCAGCCATAGGCAGTCAAGCCATCCCTACGAGGTACCGTAGTGAGTACCCCGTAGGCGGCATGCCACTGCCACTTCCACTGCCACTCCCGTCCATTCACCACCACCACCACCGCCGTCTATCCTCCAACTCACCCTCTTCACCTCGTAATTGTTTAATCTATTGCTCTTCACTCTAGCATCGACCTTCGTTACTGATCCTCACTCCATACTTCCTCTTCCTCTTCCTCTGTCAATCATCCACCATGCATTCTCACTAAGTTCCTTACCCCGTGCCACGAAACATCGTAGCACCACTGGTTGCCCTGTCCAGGGAGCCCGCCCCACGTCCTGGATCCAGCTTGCCAGGTACGAGCCGCAACTTACAAGCTCTGGTCTTTCCTAGTCCTGCGCTTTGACGTTCCGGGGCAACACCACATATTTGACACTTCCTTTTCTACCGTCCCTTCTCTCCTTCTTAATACCTGTTCCTGCAGACCCGTCTCTAAATGTTGGTCTCGCACGGTATCTGCACAAACATGGCTTCTCACCAGCAGCACCCTTTTGCTGCTGCACAGGTGGCCGAGAAAGTCATGAGGAGGGTCGAAATTGCAAAGGTAAATCCCTCTCTTCCATCGAGGAGCCCACCTTACAATTTCTTCACGGCTTTTGCACACATGACACTCGCATGCTAACTTTGAAATTTTACCCCTGTGCAGGTTGCTCGAAATCTTCAAGACTGTCTAGCCTTTGCAAGCTTCAAGGCCCAGAATGGCTGGCAAGATCGAACCCTCTCTACCATCGAGCCCGAGTTCACCGAAAAGCTCAAGAGAAAGAGACCGTTCCTTGACGATGACCTCCCCTCTGATGGCTCGTCTACATCCGACGACGATTTTGTCTCCACCTCCTCCATGGGAAACAATCGATTCTCAAAACTTGCAAATGCCACCTTCAAGGTCCCTGAGCACCCCTTTGGTTCGAGGAAGAGAGTCCGAGCCAATTCCATTGGTCTAGAAAGACCTTCCGAGACCGTGACCTGGAAGCAAAACCATCGTCTCTCACATTCCTCACCCGTGCTGGGCCGGTCACAGTCCTTCCAAGATCATGGAATGTTCCAAGCGGACACGCCGACTCTTCCTCGTTCGACACATGACGACTCTCCTATGTTTGACGTTCACTCAGACGACGATGATCATGACCTGCCCATGCCTTCTTTTGCCCACGAACCGTCCAGCAGTATTCTATCTTCTTCACCACCACGAACACCACCACCGACCAAGCGTCTTCTCAATGTTCATCCTAAACAAGCTGGAGCTGACCTGCTCCTATACCTTGCCAATTCACCTTCACGTTCACCAGCGGTCAATCTTCACCACTCTCTCCTCGATACCCCTTCTACTCCCCCAGCCCAGCACACACACCTACCCTCTTCGGTCATGACCACACCTGGTGCTAGTCTGGGATTGTTCAATGGAGCTTTACAAACCCCTGGCCAGAACTTCAACCTTGCCGATTTTTGCAATGTGACCCCTTCTCCCGGCCCTGCTCAATGGGGGGGACGAACACCACTCGCAAAGACTCCGAGTCGATTTGCACGAAGATCTCTCAACTTTGATACACTGCAACCACCATCTGGTAGCCCAACACTGCAACGCAAAGGCTCTACCAATCACGGCCTTGCCCTGGAATTAGGCGAAGAACTTATCCCAAGATCATGATAAAACTCTGTCAGCTCATAAAGCCCATCTCTCACCATTCGATCGATGGAACCTCGTTACGATAAACTAAAACACAAAAGGTACACGAAAGCTGTGCCTACGACCTACTCGCAAATGTCACGAATAGCATACAAGTTTCTTTTTTCCCTCGTCCCACACAACGAATGCATGCAATGATCAACACGGAGTACCTTTGTTTTGACTTGGTAAACTCAGCAGACAGGAAATCGAGGCGCTGGGAAGGAGGCATTTCAGCTTGTTGATTGATTGCTGTTTCTGTCTCCGGGGGCAGCGAGCGATTCATTTCACCTATTAGGTCTGCTGGAACTGGTTTCCAACAATCATCTGGAAACAAACAAGGTACAGAAAAGGACGGTGGATGGATGTCCTTGAGAATTGCGTGCTTGACACCAAATGTGGTATCCTTTGTCTTCCCAGTGTCTAAAAATGCAACACGGTCTGTTGCCTCGCACTCTCGTCAAGACTCACGTCTTCGAGTTGTTGCACAAATTAATTGTCTGTCAACATCAGTAAGTAGCTCAGTTAGTCGCCCCTAAGGCAAGTAGTTAGTTCACAATTCCAATTGACAAAATAACATAACACTTCAAGTCCGAGCTCCGCTCCTCTGTGAATCAATGTCTTCATGATTGAAGTCTACAGCTACCGCTACAGAAGACTCCAGCGGATCCAAGTTCGTGCCACGAAGCCTCGATCTCTCACTATCATATGTACAACATGTTATCATCCATGTACTGTAACCGCCGTCCATTGATGCCTTCCTACAAATCATTGGACAACCGAGAGGGGCCTGGGGCTGAAGAATGCTGGCTTGTAGCAATATCCGTATCCGTGCTCGACATGGCACTCCAGTTTCTCGGAGACTAACCTCCCAAGTTAGCCTCAAGTGTCTGAAGGCGCACTCTAGCTCCCTCGACAATCAAGTTTTGACCAGGTCTCAAACCCGCTCTCGGAAACGGTCACGGCTAACGCGCAAGGCAGGCAGAGACGCATCAGAGTCACGACGAGAATTAGCAATTAATAGGTGTTCTTGTGGAGATGATATGCAACCGACGACTAATCCGTACGGTAATATGATCGTCGATCTGGCGTGGACGAAGAGGCTCGAAGTACGGGATACTACTTGGGTAGTTTAGTAGTGCACGCCCTCGCTTTCACCTTGAGCACGCACCGCCCTCGTCATGCCATGTCATGCTAGCCTAGTTCCGTCGAGCAATGGTGCCACAGCAGTCAAAATGAAAGTGGAAGTGGAAGTGGTTGCATGCTCTCTCCTCTCTCCCCTCTCCCTCTCCCTCTTTTTCAAAGGTTTCCTCTGGCCCACACAACTCATGGTCACTCACGGACCAGTGCGCTTCGCTTATGCAATATGCACATCGCAAATGCTCCTTGACGTACGCCTTGCATGATTAGATACCTACATTCTCAAGCTTTTTCTACACAGTCACACTCGTGTCAAGTACACTACGACCGGGCAATGCAGGTCGCATTCGGCTGGAATCTATTTGCGCTCGGCGTCTGGTTCGAATAGCTGGCTAGCTCGCCGCCCCCGCACTGCCAGTCTCTCGTTTGCGTGCTTGCTCGCTTGGTCAAACATGCAGGTATGCACAATGTATTATTCTGTAGTTTGTTCCCTGCCGCGCACGATGCCGGCCGTGCCACGCAACAGCAGCCTGTGCCCTGTTTTTTTAATGCATTTCTCTACCTTAGTCTGTTACGTTTAAGGGCAAAGTTCTAGGAAATTGCATCCGGCCCGTCTCTCGATTTGGCTGGCCCCCGTTCCCGAGCTTTCTGGAGTCTGAACTGCTCTGGTAGTATCTTTGCCTCGGCTTGTCCAGCTACTCGTACATAGGAACGATTTCGTTGTCTGCTGGGCGAGGGGCGTTGGATCACGAATACGATGTTCTAGATCGCCCGGGATTGCTTTTGAGTTGGTTTGAAGTATAAGGGCTGATGCAATTAACAATCCGGGCTAGACACGAGGATCTCGTGATTGAGTCAGAGGTCATCACGCGATGGTTCGCCGTTCTCGCGTGCCATGTAGCGCTAAGGGTAAAGCGTCGTTGATGTCAATGTGCATTTGCAGTGCAATCGCTACGACGGGATCAGTATCAATAGTACGAGGATCTCTACGTAAATTGAGCGCGATAAGGTCCTTCAGCTCACCTCAAATTCAGCTGGTCGATCTGACTCAGTCGGTGTCTCCGCCTGCCCCTCCTCCGAGCGGGTAGTGGCGAGATATAATCATCAACAGGATTGCTATTTTGGATACGCGCCGCCGTGAGATGCGAACTTCGCATTCATCATCAGCTAGCCATGTTGGTCAACTAGTGCATGCGTGAAGCTCGTGGGGAGTCGCTCTGCGAAACCCGAGGGGCTGAACACGCCTCTGAGGGGTCATTTATTTGTTGCCGGGACCGCCGATCAATTCTTGGTGTTATACGTAACGCGTCGGAATAGTTTTCCCTTCCCACGGGGTCCAAACGGGACTCACATGAGCAGATAGATATACTACGAGACCACAACGGAGTACCAATGTATGAGGCAAGGAAAGTTTCATCCAGATTCTTCTCAGCCTTCTAAAACAGTACGATGTACATGGCATTGAAGAATCCGAGAGTTAGAAGATTGATGACGGAAATTTCCCAGCCGAAGAAAAAAAGTTGTTTTCCACTTAACGCGTGTTGACGCGACTTAGCGTAACACGCTAGTACTAGTGCATAACGGAACCGGGGTTTTCGCGATCTCAGGCGGATCACGGAGATGTGGGTGGATCCCGTTCGTGTTGGACAAATCACTTCCCTTGAACCCGGGATTGGTCGACCGGGCTTGAAGTTGGAGATATGAGGTGTTCTTCATTTCAGGGTTGACAGCACTCACAGAAGCCGTGGAGTTGTCGATCAACGATGTTGGCCATAGCCATAGGGTTGGCATCTAGAAGTGTGGTGCTCAAGGCAAGGGCATTCCAGACCGATGGTGGAGATTGACCTCACCTTGCAAGTTGCTTGGAAACAGCCGGCATTCCTCCGGAACGAGACTGGGGTAGCTTCAGAGCAAATATCCATACTTCGGCACCAGTGCTGCACCATCATTATCGAGCGTGGAATGGAGTTCACAATGGTCGGCGGTTGTCCAGCAACAGCGACATACAATGTTTCCTACTGGATTATTTCCTGGCAACCCTCTCCTCCCATTGGACACCAACCCATTCTTCTCGGAAAGCCACTTTTCCTGCATCACCGCAGTTGTTTGCACATGTCCCAAGGATGATTGTGCCCCATTCCATCCCATCCTCTAAATCCATAGCCTCGTCTTTCTCGAGTTCGTAGATCAAACCAGGAACAAGTTGCAGTTCAAACACTCTCTGGGCTCCGCAGCTTTCACAACGAGGCATACCCCTGATAGCTCCAGATTTCCCGTGAGGAACAACAAATCGAGTTGCTACATTATCTGCACCCGAGTAGAGTAGTGGTTCACCCTTGAACTCGTAACGTAGCACTTGTTCGGGGTTTTGAGCCACCCTGTCAGAGAATTTTTGAAACGTCTTATCGAGCGATGATTCAAATGTGTCTTTGTCAAGACCTCCACCACTGTCTTCTGTGTCGTACTTCGCTTTAGATGCTTCGGCACTGGCGTTTGCATCCGTCTCTTTCTCTAAATCCTCAGGATATGCATCAAGGTGGAACGAGGTGAAAGGTGGAGGAAAATCTGAGGCTTCCGGCCATGGCTCGGTCGTATTCTGGTTCCCGGATTCTGGTCTGGACTCGATCCCAATCTTCAATTTGGAGGCAAACGATTCGACTGGTGGCTGGGAATCATCGACAGGTGTTTGTGGAGGTTTCGATGCAAGCGTTGAGGGTGATGCGATGGTGGCGAAGGGGTTTATAGAACCAGAGAGCGTTCCACCACCGCCCAAGGCAAAGGGATTGACGCCATTTGGCTGTGAGCGAGGACTTGTCCCTCCAAACAATGCAGTTCCCAGATCGGGTTGTGGCTCTTCTTGCGGTATCTCTGTGCTCTTGGTCTCTTTCTTCTCTCTTGCTTCGGGCTTCTTGACTTCTCGAAAGGCTCGGATACTCCCAAATTTCTTGGAGCAGGACTTCTTCCGACAGCAAAGAAGATGCAGACGCCGTTCGTCATGGGGGAAAAATTGTTGCAGGTCTGCATTCAACTGTAGCAAAAGAGACATATAACCATCACAGACTTTGCATTTGGCAAGGGCAGCAGGCGGAGGGCTTTGGGCGTCGAGCCAGGTGGGGTGGCCTCCAAGATGACTGATGTCGTCGCCGGTGGGTTCTGTAGTGGCATAACCCAAGGTGACATTTGTGGTAGAGTAGTCAGCTCCTTCATCAGATGAGTCGCTATCGTAGTTAGGCATGGTTGTTAACGATATTAAAGATATTGATTAATCCTTGGTGGTACTCTTGTCACCTTTTTTTTCTGACCCGCAGGAACGGATAAAAAATGATACGAACCCAGATTAAGCTATGGTGACTAGTAAAGAAGGCGTTACCGTAAATGGCTAGAGCGGATATTCTATTCCGCATGGCACCTGCCTCAACTTTCAATGACGTTTGCCTCGGCCCCACACCTTCCTATTTCTTGCTTTTCTTTCCGTCGTCCATTCAATTCAACCGCGGCCCGAATGGGTCTCGCAGTCCTTTACCACGTCTGTGACCCGGTCTTCGATTTTCAACCATCATAATACCAGATATACCCTGTCATCTGCATGTGCCATTTAAAGTCCGCCCTTGGTAAGTAATTCCCGTCTATGACTTCGGTCCTTGGATCACACTTTGATCACCATAGCTCGTGAGACCAATTACGGTGAATAAAACCTTTATTGATATACCTCCACGACTACTCCGCGCGGGGAACCTGGTAACCGAAACGTCCGCTTTGACTCGGCACCGGTAGTGACTATTCTAATCATCCACCGAATTTATAGGCCTGGGGCATCCATTCTTCCAGGCGAAAGTGCTGAGCACTCAGCTGCACTATTTATTGTTTTCGCTTTGTTCCATACAATACCACATACCATATACCACAGCAACAACGAACATCATGGCAACTCACAAGGCTTCCAGCGTCACTATCGACGAGTACAAGTTCCCCAGGGGCAGCAAGCAATTCGGAACCTTAGTCTGTGGTGTCTTGATGGCACTTTCAACCAAACGAAAATACATTGAGCCTGGTTCGCTCCTCCACGACCAAGTCCTCGCCAGAGGGGGAGCCAAAACCATTCAGTACTCCAAATACGTCCAGAATTTTTTGTTCTACTTTCTCTTCGGGGCTCATGGCATTGAGACCGTCCACTTCGCACTGACGAAGTTGAAACGACACAACGTCAAATTTTTGAGTTTCGTATGGCTCAAATGGGTTGTCACCGCCTTCGTGGGCGGAACCTTTGCCATCCAGCACTTTGATGAGGTGGTTGAGGCCAAGGAAATCAAGACCATCAAAGAAATCTAGACATATACTACGGAGCGTGTTATTGGAAGGAAAAGACAATTTTCTGGCTGTACGATGATGTGTTTTTAAGATATCACCCGAAGCACCCTTATGGCTACTCGGGGAGATCATATGTCTTGTGCATGATTCGCCGCACACGCGGCGGAGTATTGCCATTGTTGTGAAACGAATGTATCATTTGGAATTAGCCCGTAGCCTATTGCCTAACCAGTATTCCACGGGTGTGTCTAACAAAACGAGCCTACACACGTTCGTCCAATCATTTGACCGAGTTTTAACCCCTGGCATATATTACTATTATGAATTGTGTGAAGTTGTACCCATCTCCGTAGTCGATCCATTTTTCAATCATGAGATGAAATATTCAAAAGGTGAACTGCATCAGTCCTGGATTGAGCACCAGTGGCAAGAGGGCGTGTGACGCTGTCAACCCGCCAGGAAAGTCAGTACGATGAACCAAACACCAGTGACTAGGGTTGCATTGCTTACCGATAACCGTCGCCAGCGGCCAGATCGCCGTAAAGAAGTTGATCTGCCAATCATAAGGCACGAGTGCACCCAGAGGTCCAACACCAGTCAGCACAATCATGCCGAGACTCATGACCGCACAGAAGACGAATGTGCCACGAAACTTGCGCATGATGAAGGGTATCTCCCTGAAGAAACTCGTGTCGGTGGCTTCTTTGCTGGTCGCGCCCCACGACATGTCCACGCTGAAGAGATGGCTGAGAATTGCTTGCGCCACGTGAAGACTAATGCCGCCCAGGAACACGGTCAACAGCGGGATCCACTTGAAATTCTCCCACAAGGCTGAGAGCAAGCTTGCTTCTTCAACCCGGTAGCGTAGGACGGCGAGTGCGAAGTTTCCCAGAGCGGTGAAAACTAGGATGATCGAGAAGTAGACCTTGAAGCTGTCGATGTAGTAATGGTCTAGAAAACCGTTGAACCAGCCGATGATGCAATAATTGAGGAGGGTAAGTATCCAGGCTGAGCCAATGGCATAATAGGTGCCGATGTACGCCATTATCGTTAGTTTGGATGGAAGTGGCATACCGCTCATAATGAAGTTGCGGAACAAGGGCGTAAATGGACCTTTGGTGGGCCAGTAGATAAACGGATGGAAAATCAATTCACTACAGCCATAGGCGTACTTCTCCCACCTTGCCAGTTCGTCATAGACGGTCAAGGACACGCCTTCCTTGAACCCTTGACCGGCATAAGCTGCGAGACGAAGAGTGTACCCATTAGTTTGTAAACGAAGTGCCATATCGAAGTCTTCGGAGACTGTCGACTCTGACCAGTATTTTTCTTTAACAACACCGTCGTTGACGTCGACTTCAAGGTATGCGACATCTTGTACAGCACTCCAGCGCAAGAATGCGTTGTGTCCGACAAAAGGTGCGACATCTCCATTCGACACTGCATATTGTATGGCAGTGTATACAAGATTCGTGAAGAAGGTAATGCCCTTCTCGAACCAGTTGTCTGTAACGTTCATAACACCAGAAGAGAACTGGATGATGGCAACTTGCGGCGAAGCTTCCATCTCGCTCACAGCATCCAAGAGACAGTCGACTGGGACACGTGTATCGGAATCAATGAGTAAGATATAATCACCGACTCTGACATCGCCACCGGCCCATGTAAGCCCTTTATCGATGTCAAGAATGTTTCCATGAGCTTGCCAATAGTTGAATAGCTCTTTCTCACGGTCCCAGTCATCGGACCGGTCTGTTTTCGCCATGATATCCTCAATGCGGTTGCTGACAGATAGGGCATAGTTCATGTTGGAAGCTTTTTTGAACTTGCCAGTCCGAATGTAGTGTTTACTGGGGTCTGCTGGGAATGGCTCACGATGTCCTGGTCTTGCCACCCAGCCAATATTGTGCTCATCATAGTACTGTCGTCTCTCCAGTGCCTCATGGGAACTAATCAGCCTCATGCCGTCATCGTTGATGAATATGTTGGCAGAACCGCCTTGCATCTCATACGTCGAAATTGCATCCTTGACAGACTTGATCGTGGGATCGATTACCGCCCAGAGGCCCTCCTTATAGACAGGACACTGAATAGTGACGTGCGGTAGTGTTGCTGAAGTTGACAGACGGATTGGCGGCTGTCCGGAATAGAATCGGGTGTTTTCGTCCATCTGACTGATCGGACCAACAACTTGAGCAATACAGCCAGCAATGGATTGCATGAAAAAAAGGGCTAACCAGCATTGCAAAGGAACGACTGCAAGAAATGCCAACCGAAGCCATGCCTTGTCCACCTTGATCTCAATGGCAATTTCACGCCAACCGCTCCCAATTGCACTGATAAGAAGAATAAGAGTAATTGCAGCGAGAATTGGCTGAATAAGAACCACCCTGCGTGGTGATTGGGCGAACTTTCCACTCTCGTTATAGACGTCATCTGGTAGATTGACATTGGACTGGCTGGGCATTGCACTTCCGGGAACAGAAGATTCATCCTCTTCAAGGTTTTCCTTCCATATCATTTGGATAAGTTGATCTTCGATATTCTGAACTCTTTGAAGGATGTGATTTGGATCGTCGTCCCAGACAATAAGGGTAGCCGAATCCCGGATAAAAGCTGCGAAATGGTGCTTTTGGCAGTGTGGTAGTTGCGAAATATCAGGGAGGACTTGCAACCGAAGACCAGATGGAAGAGGTACGTAGATCAGGGTGTTGTCTTTGAGAAAGAGCTGAATGATGCGTGTGTTGACCGTCATAGCACACTGCATGAAGTTAGCGGATTTGGACAGCAACAAGTGGCAACATCACTTCCCTTAACGTTGAGTTTCAGTACAGCCTCGAAAACCCCTTCCGGATTCGACCGTAGGTCCTCCGGGCAGCATTTGTAGTCGCCTTTTGCTCTTTTTAACATGACGCCCTCTCCCTCAGCATTAGTTGACCACATCTTCTCAACTTGCTGGTGATGAAGCCAGTTGCACATGATGTCCATCTTGAGATCTCGCAATTCAAGGACCGAGCTGTTACGAAAGTCGCCATCCGGATATATGGAGGATCGCACATTTGGAAGTAAGAGGGTGGAACTCGTGCCCTGAGGTACTGGTGATGAGTTCTCAGAACGTGCTCTTTCATCTGAGCCCCGTGTTGTCGGTCGACTAGGTGAGAAAAGAGAGGCTGAAGTTGGAGGCATAATTCTCAAGGACGCTGTACCCGGCATACGCTCGAGCTCTCCTTCTGTGGAAGACTCGCCTGGTAATAAGACAGATAAAACAGCGGAGTATGCGAGTGGTTAGGAGAGAGAAAAAGCATGAGGGAAAAACCTGCCGGCAGGGACAATCATGTACCTAGGTATATACCTGGTCAGGAATCATATGCTGAGACATTGTGGCACCGCGTTGGTCCACTTGCAAAGGCTCAACAGCGACTGTTTCTGTAAGATTGCTGAGTTGATCACCTTCGCTTGTAGCAGATTTCGTAGAGATAGACAAGTGGAAATCGCGGGTCTCACAAGCATTTTGTTGCTTGAGATGTCCACTTGATCGACGTTTGGTGTGAAGTAGTTGCTTTTCTGAACAGTATAGGCATAATCATGTGCCCAAATAGTGAAGGGCACAGCGGCCTCCCGTAGTTATCAGCACCGACAGGTGACTTCATATTTTTGGATTTTTGGATTTGTCCTTGCATTAGTACTAGAAGTCCTTGGAAAAGAACCTGCTGCTTCATTCATGTTTAATGTGCACGGTTTGGTTGGAAGGGCCCTCTGGATAGATTTGTCAATTAAGCAGTTCCACTTCTATCCCCCTTTAAACCTTGGAAACAAGGTGAGAAAGGTGCTCAATGAGGGTAAAGTAGACGATTGTCTGCCTACCAAACTTTTTGCTGTTCAAATCCCAGTTTGGACATTTTGAATTTCTTTTTTTGGCGTCCACTTTCTTGTGGGTGTACACGCCAGCGAACCTACAAGACAGTCAAATCAAGAGGTCACAGCACCAACACTTTGGTCCAATGGTTTTTAAGCCCAACCACAATGCCCACATCTACCTCTTTTCCATCGTGTTACGATGGGCCCTGAACTGCTTTTGAACAAGTCTCTGTTCTTCGACAATGGAGGTGTAATCTTCCACTCGCAGCGCCCCAGCGCTCCAGATCAGGATTGCCTGGAGAGCCATGCCTTTCCCAGAGCCCTGCTCAGCTGTATTCTTGTTGTCGCTCCGAGAGCCGTGATTCCTCGTGTACCCAATCACATTTACCCATGCCCCTGGACAGAGAACCTGGGCATCTATGGTTTCAAGGACGAGGTTGACATCAACCCATACCTGGTGCTTAGAATGGAAAGTCTTTGGGAATGTTTGTTCCAGAAGGAGCCGACCTGTTGTGATGTCGTACTGGACGACACTATCGAAAGAATCAATGAGAACGTAGGAAGCAATTTGCGTCAAATCTTACCAACCAAGACACCTCACTTTAGTGCCAGAAGGGAGCGGCGGGATCTCTGAGACATGGATGAACCGGCTGGGCGCAGGCGGATTTGTGGCACTACTCATGACATTTGTGGAAGCATCAGCAATGGTCTTGCCGCAGAAGATCAAGTGTGATTTCGCATCTCAGGGCAATCCAGAACAGTGTGCCAGGCATTCTGAGACCACTACTTGCAGTTGAGATTCTCACGAATACGAATGACTATGCCTGTTGGAGGAGGAATTGATGTTACACTTGTACGGTGAAGTTGGAACACAGGAAGAGCAGTCCTTGGCGCACGTGCCAGCTTCGGCAAACCTGCCCAAGTATGAGGGGTAGTCCCTTTGATGGCCACCTGGGTGCCACTGCCATTCGCAGAAGCCTGAGCCTGGCTCCTCCTAGTTAGTAACCGATGTCATGCAGTCACTCACAGGACAGGTGCCCTGGTGATTCTTCCAGATCCCACTCTTCAAGAACTCTAGGCTCTCATCTCAACCACTCTTCAGATTCCCTATAGGCAGTCCCTCTTGATCTCTCTTCAACATTCGATCCCTGGGTTCTCTTGCGTGCATCCTCGTCCTTACCAGAACTCCACCACAACGACACCACCCGCTCATTTTGCCGTCGGCTGACCACGCGATAACCTCAGTCGTTCCTGGAATTCCCGCCTTCATCCTCTTCAACCATTTTGCCTGATTACGATATTCCCACCCCTTGGATAGAGCACGCTCATTCCCCCATCATCTTGCTGCAACTCAATAAGACTTTTCCACTACTCAGACAGTATGTGGGGTTGGTTTGGCGGGGCAGCAGCCCAAAAACGAAAGGATGCACCCAAAAATGCCATTCTGCAGCTGAGGCAACAAATGGATATGCTACAGAAGAGAGAAAGGCATCTAGAAAGCCAGATGGCAGAGCAAGATGCTTTGGCCAGGAAGCATGTATCGACCAATAAAGCCGGTAAGTTAGGCCTCTAATCATCCTCCAGGTTTCCAATCTATCCTCGAGGTATCCTGTACTGACCTCTATCCTTTCGGAACGACCAGCCGCCAAAGCAGCACTACGACGCAAAAAGGTTCACGAGCGCACCCTTGAGCAGACATCTGCACAGATCACTCAAGTTGAAACACAAATCTACTCGATCGAGGCCGCCAACATCAATCAAGAAACCCTGATCGCAATGAAAAATGCCGGAAACGCAATGGCGCAAATACATGGAAATCTTACCATCGACAAGGTTGACCAAACCATGGACGAACTCCGCGAACAGCATGCTCTTGGAGAAGAGATTGCAAATGCCATCACAAATGCTCCTCTTGGTGAGCCTATCGATGATGCCGATCTAGAAGATGAGCTCGAGGGTTTGGAGCAAGAGGCCATGGACGAGAGGATGTTGAAGACTGGACCAACTCCTGTCACAGGAGAGATCAACAGATTACCATCGGTATCTACAGGTCCAGGTAAGGCCTTGCAAAATTCTACTATTTGGAATATAGATTCTAATGACCTCTTAGTCAAGCAATCGTCAATCGAGGAAGACGAGGAAGAAGAGCTTCGCAAGTTGCAAGCAGAAATGGCTGTATAAACAAATGCAATGGACGCATATTGCGGTCTTGGCTCTCTCTCCCATCGTCTCCCAGTGTTTACTTTATTTTAGCAGGACGGCACTTCGTGGTTTTATGGACTTGAATGAAACGCAAATCTCAGATTCCAATATGTATCTGCGTGGTAGAAATGGCGTTCCTAGTTTCATCCCAGAGTTTGAACATCCAGTGGTACAGACATTTCCTTGTCCAGGGTCCAGTAATGGGTTTCAAGTTTGCATATCGTATACAATGACATTAAATCACCGAGCTTCTGGCTCCACATATTGCATATTTTCCCCAAGAAGATCGATGATTACTTTTCCTTTGCTGTGCTGCATGGTACCATTCTAAGAAGCCTTCACTATAAGACCCAGTCACAAGCACTACTTAGGTACATTATGGTTTCCCCTGGCCGCACCAACTTTGGGCAAATTTGACATAACAGCCCTTCCTGCCAAGGATTGATATGGCCTCCGGATGGTTTTGCCTGCTGCCAGCTCGGATAGATCACTGCACTGTAGGCACCAATTTCTACTAGGTACTCAGCCGATGATTATCACAACTGTCTACCTGAGCGAGTGGGATGGGACCAGGCCTCTAGCGTATGTTGTATGATTGCTGAGCGCGGCGGGTGCCCGGGTTAAAACCAGGGTTAGTTACTATGTAGTGACCCACGGATTCTGTGATACCGGGGCTGGGAGCCAGGCAGCAGTGTTGTTTTCGAGATAGTTTGCAACATGGTCAGGAACTATGATCGGACAAAGTGTACGATAGATAGAGTGAGCAATGAATCGGAATAATCACAGAAACGGTGGAGGAAGAGAATCATGCGGGGGTTGACTGAGTACAGATCAACTCAGAGAACTAATTGATTTGAGGTAGGTCATACAAGTCCACGGCAAGGCTGGGAAGCTCTTGCTTGGGTTGCGGCATTCGTGCCTTTCGTGAGGCACGCATGTTGAGCTAGCCGTCATAAGAGTAAGTAACCTATTGAAATAGTCTGCTTGAGGTCAAAGCACAAGCGGTAGCCACGGTTAGAGTCCAGCGGTAGCAGAACCATCTATGGGCGGCCACTGATAGTACTTGAGTAGTCTGCCAGCTAGGATCTGAAAGTCATACTCTTTCCTGCAAGCTCTTTGCCCATCTTGTTTTGCTTTGCGCCAGTGCCTGTATCAAGAACCTTTGCAAATGGATTCATGCGCTTGGCTGCTGGCTCCTTCTCACCCGGTTCGGAGCTGGTGGGATGGAGAAAAGATGCGGCGTTCGCATAATCAAAGGGCTGGCTCGCTGCTTGTGCTGCGGTTGCTGCCTGAGCCTTTGCGGTCTTAAGAGCTTGCTTCGCTTCCTTTGCCAGGCGTTTGCTAGCGCGTTTCTCCTCAATGATGGAGTCGGAAGGGCGAGATGGTGAAGATGCTAGGTCGGAAGTAGAAGCCAGGGTTTGGGGCGAGCTAGCCAGAGAATCAGACGAACTTGCGCCATTTAGCTCTTTGGTTCGAATGGCTGGTGGATGATCAAGGAGAGCGTCCGACGCTGTGCGCTTTTTTGATCGTGAAAGCTCATTCAAGGTGAACACTGCTGGGGTTTGGACGGGTGAGACACCGGTGTTTGCTGGGTTTTGATTAGCGAAGGGGTGCGAAGAACCAGAATCAGCAACTTTGCGAGTATCCTCGTCTGCCACCTCCACCGAGGAAGAGGGAATTGGTAGGATAGAGGCCAAAGCGGAAAGTGCGCTGGTAGCTTCGGGTAAGATTTGGGGTTGTCGAAGAGAGACATTTCCCCAGAAACGAGACGTCATGCCTCTAGCTGCGACTGAGTTCTCAACAGGACCGCCATGATCAAGAGGAGGCGTAGCAGTTTGGGGCACTTTGTCTGCATTCACATGTTGCAGAGTAGCCGCAACCCCCGACAAGGATGTTTCCTCTTTTCGCCAGGTCAAATGCCGAGAACGGCGAGGTGCAAAACCGACTCCAGAAGCATCACCGTTCTGTGGCTTGAAGAAGTCTTGAATTGACTTCCCATTCTTTCCGTGAAATTTGGCGTCCTTGACAACCTGAACCAGCTCGACAACACTATCCATAACAATTTTGTTGCTTCCACCTCGACAGCATTGGCTGAAACTGTATGGAGAGGTCGGCATGGCTTCAGCGATCTGCCAAATAAAGCGGTTCGGTAGAATGTTCTGGACTCCTTCGTCTGCATGACGAGCTTTGTTGTCTCGCCAAGCATGAATCGCTCGAAAGACAGCAAATTGTTCATTGCTGAAGTTGCTCGATCTTTGAGTCAAAAGAGCAAGCCAACCAGCAGGGCCTTGACCAGTCTCAGCGTCGTAGATAGGGTTAACGTAGACTTGAAGTGCCACTTTCTGAGACTCTTTCAAGACATAATCTAGCATGTTGTTTTGGGGGGTGGAGGCCTCAAGCAACATATTGCGGAGATTGTCGTAGATGTTGAGAAGAAAATGTGTATCTGCGCGAGCATAGTCGAGGAGCTCTTGGGGCAGTGGTCGAATACGCCAGTCCGCGAGTTGGAACTGCTTCTGAGCTTCAAAATTCGCAAATCGCTGTAGTAGGTACTTCAAGCTCTTTGCGGGGAACTGTAAGGCGGAAGAAGCGTAGAATGTATCGAAGAGACCGACCACATATAGTCCCAAGTCACGTTGCAGCCAAATCATATCCATACTTGCACCTTGGAAGACCTTCAAGATCTCAGGATCGGCAAATACTTCGTTCAGCATCTGCAGCGCTTGTCGCCAAGGCTTCAGTGTATCAACGATCCAATCTTTCTCTCGCGTGCTGATTTGCATCAGGGATACCATCCCAATATATGAGTGTTGGTCATGGTGTTCAAGATCAATGGCAATCTCTTTGGCGGATTTCAACTCCTCGAGCATTTCCACCACGCCTTCCTCAGTGTCGACATACGTAGCTTTGGACTCACTGAGGGGTGTGAATGGAATGGGTGGACGTGCTTCTTTGACCCAGGGGGGGAATGTGTATTCCTCGATTTCCCGAGCATAAGGATGTTTATACCTGCACTGTTATCAGCTGAAAGGATTTTGAAATGTGAATGAACAAACCCCGTCTCAGCATCACCAAGGCTCTCCGAAAGTGGGACAATGGCATGTGGCTTGCTTTGCAATAATGGCTTGAATGATCCAGTAGGGAAATTGTCTGGTTTGACGGCGAAGAACTGTTGTGGCTTTTGCATTGAATCACGAGCCCATGTTTGTAGGCCTCGGGGCACCTTACCAGGTCGAGGCGACGACTGCGGTGTGTCTTGCAGAGCAGGACTTTGACGCTTGATGACGCCAGAGAATTCGTCGAGGGCCGAGTCCGACTTCTCGAGAAGATGATCGACAATATCGACTATCCGACGCCAGCTATCATCAATGTCATCCTGCTCTTGTAGGGACGGGGGTTTGATGGGCGTGTCTTTGGTCGCGGCCTTCAGTAGATTGTTAGTCAGACGCAACAAATGAGCATTTTGACGATCCAGAGATCGGGAAAGCTTTTCGCTGGAGGATCGATGAAAACCCAAATCCTGACTGGCAACTTGACCTGCGCTTCTCGTTACATCGACCAAGGAGGATTGAACCAGCTCTTGAAAGGACTTAAAGTCCGTCAGCAGATCGGCGTCCATAACGAGGAAGGAGTCATTCGAGATCAATATTTTGCTCGTCCAGGAAATGGCGCTGGAATTATGGAAGAGAGGATTCGGTCTTCAATTAGAGTATTGAGCCAATCCTCCAAATTCACGTGGAGGTAAATGAAGTGAATCTGAAGAAAAAGTGATTTGAAAGTAAATCTCCAAATTCAGGTTGGACCGCGAATCACAAAATTCGGCGGAGCATTTGGCAACATACGAACCTCGACCTGCTATACCTCGCCGCCTTTAACCCCCGAGACCCTCTCCGTCCCCCTTTTCCTCACTATCACACACCACGGCCTTCACAGAACATGGTCTCACCAGATATATCTAGACTACACCGCCGACGATCTAGACGGTGTTGTGTTCCCTGAGCAACATCTTCATTATGGTGATAGAAATGTTGCACATGTCTACCGGTGGGTCGGAGGTCCCCGAGCCAGGCATTAGGCGATGCCTTGCGCAAACTTTAACAGATTCATTGTGGACTTCGAGAAAGGCGACTGAGTATATAAAGACTGAAGACCAGCACATCTCAGAGGCCAATATGTTCTTCAATTCACAACTTCACCATGGAGTCCCTCCCATCTGAACTTCGCTGCGAAATTTACGCTCAATGTGTGAACATCCGCGCCTACGGACTGATGTATGTCAATAAACAGTTCTACAATGAAATCAGACCCCTTCTTAAAGAGGATTTCGTCCTCGGCTTCCATATAGACCCTTCTTCGTCTACAGAGGTCAAGCTCATCAGCCCTAACAACTCCGCATGGGGAGGGCAATGGGTGCTCGACGCCGCATCAACGCACACTGACTACAGTTTCATTAATCGGATGCCCTTGGACCATTTCAAAGGCATTCGCATTTTAATTGATCCTCCAAGCTTGAACGATCCAGGACAAGTTGTGCGAGGCTGGTTGCAGTCTATCAAACTTGTTAACGCTCTGCTGCTCGATTGGAACACGCCGGATCTGATCCCTAAAGCGGAAGAAGATGTCTGGCTCCCCCACACACGATTGTCAAATCGATTGCCTCCAATAACCATTCAGGTTCGAGAGACCAAGACGGTCAAATGGCATAGAAGAGGGTCTTGAAACGGACAGATTCCCTGCTATACCGCTTGGGACCCTCTCACAAAGACAGCACAGACAGACGAGAATGCCCCATCCGACTTGGAGATCATACTAACGCCCTTAGTTCGCCTTAGAAATGCTGATGCCATCGGTATCGAGTTCTCTTTCAAGACCCCAGTGGACAGAGGTTTTGAAAACTTCAGAAATTGTCTCACTAGCCTTGTGACGCAAAAGAAATCGTTTGGTCTGGGACCGCACGATGACGATATCCAGATTTTTGAAGACTCTCGACACGTATGGCTCGACTATCTCGTCGACGATCTGTGGGGTCCATCAGCATCCGAGTTACGACGTGGCCGCTTTCAAGTTCTGGTGTTCAGAGTACGAACGTAGCCACGGACGGCGCATTTACGGGCTCGCTGGTCGGTACGGCAATATTTTTGGCGGGATTACGAGTAGAATGAACCCTCTGCTTTTTTACCTTGTCAAGAGAAGCTTCCACGACCGGTTCATGAGCTTTGGCGAACACGTCCGTGCCGCATGGAGAGACGTACTGAGAAGGGATGGCCGGTTTTCTTCATTCACGCTGACAAACGAACCGACTTTCTGAAACATTCGGAACAAGTATTTGATGCGGCACTGGATGGGGAACTGGGCCGAGAGGACACATTCTGGGAGACGTGTTATCCTACCGGCATAAAATCGAAGTCTACCAATGAGAACTGGGAATGTACCGACAATGTCACTCTTTCTAGAAGGGTCCGCATGAAGCCTCCAAATGGTAGGGGTCGCCTCATAACAGCAAGCCAGATATTCCCACCGGAGGTCGGAAGATGTAGACATTGCGAACCCGAGGACAGGGCCGACCGAGACATCACTTTTGCGTATCTGCGCATACTGCGAGATTTTCTCTTCAAATTTTCGTTGCGACGGCTTCCTATACTATTGACACCTCTCTACAACCCCGTTTGGGATTAGGATACGATGTCACCAGGGCGGCACGATACCCGGTTAAACTAGGTCCTTGCTCCAGCCAACGCATGTTTCGGTCGCTGCAGTCGGATCTTTGAACTGTGATTGAGAAGCCTCAGAGCGTCTCTGAGGTCAATGAGCAAATTGAACATGCGCTGATTTGCAAAAGGTTTAGGTTCCTTGTTAAGAGTGTCTACTTCATGGTCTGAGGATGCAGGCTCGTGAAGGTGCCTGGTCTACAATTTGACCACGAGGTCAGGCGCTCGAGCATTGATAATGTAGACACAACCCAGGGCAAGTTGTTGTTCGTTCTATGATACTTCATCCAGCTCACAAAATTGTTTGGCATTACGGTCTCATATTCTGGTATCGACAAAACTTAAGAGTAGACACGAGAACAATTCAGACTTTACAATTCAAGCCTAATTGAGTTTCACATATGGGTCAGACTGATGATCCCAGCCTTTCGGAGCAAAGTGCTCTCGGTGTTAATGCACAACAGCCCGAATACCGAATACTAATGATTCGGCGCCAGCTTACGTCAACACAGCTCGTCGCTCCCTCAGGCTGCTGATTGGGATGCGGTGCAATATCAACAACTACCGAGCAGCTGAATATATGGAAGGCTGTATGGCTCAGAGAAAATATAGAACTCACAGCATGCCGATCCGTGTTTTTCCCAGTCTGAAATCTGCATCTTCTGGGTACAGATCGCTCCATTACTATCGCTCCAAACTAGTACACAGCAAATTACCCAGCCTTGTGCGTTGCAACTCAACAATTCGCGGAAAAATGGCATCCAACGACAACATTGCCATGACGAAGAATGGGGCCAACGTCGGAATCATCATAGGCTCTCAGCGCATTCCCAGAGTCGGTCCTCAGATCGCAACATGGGTGCTCAATGTGCTGCAAGAATATCAGGACAGCCATTCCTCCACCAATCAACGGGCCTATGCACTGTCTCTGATCGACCTCAACGACCACCAACTGCCACTCTTCGACGAACCGGGCATCCCCGCACAGATCTCAGCGCCCGATGGGTACGCACACGAGCACACCAAAGCATGGTCCAGACGAATCAATTCGTTCGACGGCTTTGTGTTCGTCACGCCGCAGTACAACTGGGGCTATCCCGCCAGTCTCAAGAATGCCATCGACTACCTGTTCCATGAGTGGAAGGGAAAGCCGGCGCTGGTAGTCAGCTACGGGGGACATGGTGGCGGCAAGGCTGCCGCGCAGTTGCAAGGTGTTCTGGGTGGTATTGGGATGAAAGTGGTGGAGAAAGCGCCGCCTTTGACGTTCATAGATCGCGAGCAGGTCGGCAAGGCGTTCAGAGGAGAGGATTTGGGGTTGGAGGGAGAGGCAGGCAGAAGCTTATGGGTCAAAGAACGGGAGGATGTCGGCGTGGCCTGGGAACAGTTCCTGGGTTTGTTGAATAAGTGATCCTCGATTTTCATTGATGGACAAAAGGTAAAATGATGGTTTACATCATGTCGATCCCAAGGCAGTGTTAATTGTACACTCAAACCCACATACAGTAGAGTATATGCCATGCCCATTTGTATTTATTCGATGCAACACGTTCCTGGTAGGCGTCACATTTGTCTTCCTACCTGCATTTGACCCTAACGTCAGGACATACGGGTAACAAGACGTATAACTACCTAGGTAGTTAGTTACCTCAAGTTTTTTTCGAGAGACACTCACATAATTCCCTAGTCTCTCTGAGCGACCATCAAGGGCTTGCAAAATCCATGCCTGACCCTCATCTTCAAGTCAGGAGATTGTGACTCTGATTCAGTTTTGGAAAATTATGCTGTCCATGGGCGCCAAAATCTCAGGTTCCTTCAGACCTCATGCTCAACGGTGACAGATTCAGTCTCTCCTGTCAAAGGGGGCGCGAGGCTCCGTTTTTGCCTGCTACTCTTGAGCCGTATCCTTTTGGCTTCTGCACGGCAAAGGCTTTTCTTCGCGTTGTTGAACTGTCGTCTTACTTCCCCTCTGGCTGTCCACAGACCGAAAGCCCATGATGGAATGAGGACGCAGAACAGGGTGACCCAAGATTTCCACATCTGTGCACCTCCTTCGAAGGGCTGGATGTTCATGCCGAACACGCCCGTGATGAATGTAAGCGGAAGAAAAACATATGCAAGGTGAGTTATGCGCCCTATAGTGTGTGCTTCGGCGATGCCCCTCCTTGATTCCTCAATGCTCACGGATGTAGCTTCCAAGGTCTTTTGCGCATTCCGCAGATCAACAGCTTCACGTAGACTCGCTGCTTCTTCAGAGGCTTGCTTGAATAACAACTCAAAACGACGTTGCTCAGGTCCAGGGTCGTCATTCAGGGCAAATCCACAGGCATGAAGCCAGGAAAAAACATTATTCCTCCCAGCCTTGAGATCCAATATCGCCTGTGGCAAATCGTCCCAATAGATATAGTCGCGAGACTCATGTGATAAATAGACTTGTTGGAAAAGAGAAGTTGCCCAATGCCTTTCCAGCCAAAGGCGAGCCAGAAAGAAGGCCTTTTCTCTCGTTACAGACGCCGGGTTGAAACGGCCCGGTTTCGACTCTGGTTCGCTTTGGTGGTCAAACTCGCTCTCAGCCTCGCTCTCAACCTCGTTGGATGCTGGGCACTTTGAAATGAAGTCGTTCCAGCGTGTAAAGACCAAATCCAGAAAATTTTGGCCTTCATAAGAAACTCGGCCCCTTTCTATGGGTTCCTTCTGTAGGACCACCAAGACCACTGAAGAATTCTTAGTTGCAGTCCCGCTAACGGATAAAACGACTTACACGGGAAGATAACAGCATTCCTCCAAGCAAAATTGAAGTTTCGTCCTTGGGCAATGAGAATCAGAGAAGATTTCAAACGCAGTGCCAAGACCCCGTATCCTGCATGTCTGGGGGCAGCAGGTGTACCCTTTCCTTGCTCTTCGCTGCCGGTGTAAAACCGTATGACGCTAGCGAATGCAGCGGAGTCCAAACCAAATTTATACGATGCATAGCCATATCCATAAGGATTTCGAAAGGAACTGATTCCTCCTTTGACACTACTTCCAAAGCCCTCAACCTTGTGACCAACAGTAACTTCTCTGCCTCATTTGATTTCAAATTTGCACGCACGCTACTAAACTCCGTGAGAGTTGTAGGCTCAGGCCTGCTAGGTGTAAGAATATGGAAGCCAAAGTTGTAGCGATTTTCCCCAGTATTTGGGCGAGCGCGAATAGATCTTATTCTGTCTTTTCCGGCTGCAAGGGAATGTTTATGGACAGCAACATTCGGAAGAAGCGGTTGCATCGTTTCCTGGATGGTAAGATAGTTAATCACGAACTCTGCGTCAGTGGACTCCAGATCGCTGTCGACTATCGATTGTGCGAGATCAAGAAGCTCGATCCAATCACTCACAGCTTTGAAATAAGAGCGGAAATCAATCTTCATGGACATACTGATAAAGGAGCCGGTATGCATCCAAATTTTCTCCGTCGCCAATTTCATTTTGACTGCCTTTACGGTGCCATCGGTCTCACGAGGTAGACTCCATTGCGAGCGCCTATTGATGTGATCAATGTAATATTCCGACCTCCTGGAGCTGCTGTACCAGACTGGCCTGCGTTCCCAGAAACGTGGTAGATATTCTCCGTCACGATCTCTTGTATAGTTCGCATGATCTCGCCATGCAGCAGCAGGAATCTTTGCAAGACGAATGGTGGGGGAGCTGATATAGAGGCACTCATCTCGTCACCACTGCGGCGGGAAGCGAAACTTTTCGATATTGATTTCCTCCTTGTCCAACTCTGTTTGGACGGTATCCGCAATAGGCATGAACCATGTCTTTATTCCTGTGGGCGTGTGTACAAAGTATTGTCGTTGGTCCTGTGTCTTCCAGCATTCCCAGCTCACTTTCACAGGTTGATCGGTGCCGGGTAGTCCATCATCAGCTGTGACGTCGGGATGGATTCCTTTCCGGGTAGATTGTGGACGATCCCAGGTCTGGAGCTTCAAATTTTGATCATAGTAAAACATTCTCTTTTGCTCTCCTTGTATGGTTTCCCAAATCTGCCAGCCAGGCGGCAGTGGTGGATCCTCTTTGCTCAGTGTTCTCGGGTATCCTGGCATCTGCCAAGATCGTTCTTGCGAGGCTGAATTATAGTAGAACTGTTCGCCTTTGTAACGCCAAATTTGGCAGTCAGGTGGCAACGGTGTACTGACCATGTTTATTGTTACGAAGGATGTATCGGGCTGGGTCCAGGTAGTAGATCTTGATGCATGGTCGACGTAGTAAAAGCCTGGACGTTTCGTCTGCCTTTCTCACCCTACGTTCCCATTCAGGAGGGAGAGGATGACCATTTTCGCCACAAGCAGACTCTCGAGGGGACAGCCTCGCAGATTCAACGCTAGTTACAACATCTTCAGAAGTCTTGACACAGTCAGGGGCCGTAGGCAAGCCGAGAGCATTATCACCCAACGTCTGAGTTTCTGAAATCTCAGGCAGGACGGAATCGTCCCTCGGAATCCCTGCAAGAGATCCGTCCTGTGAGATTCTTTGATCTCTAGCACCGCCGGTTGGGTCTGCTGCTGCCTGCTCATGTGACTGCCGTGGCCCTTGGTTTAGCTCAGTTTCTGTCTGAGGGTTTTGTCCAGCTCGGCAGGGTACAGCCCCAGCTGGATTGGGTGAGCTCGACGAGTTCGGCATTTCTCACTTTTGTTCGTGTGAACAAAAGGCCCAAATAATGTGGGGGATACATGAGAAGTACGTTCGAATCAGGCTGAAGGGCAGGATGTTAAATCAACAATCCTTGGCTTGTCACGTAAAGGTGAGAGGTGTTGCGAAGAATTACCTACTAGGTACCTACCTAGGTAGGCAGTTTTAAGAGCGGCACACTCATAGTGAGCGCCCACGTGAGTTGTGAGCCAGTTTTCTCGTACGAAGTTGTTTGAGCTGCAAGCAATCTGTATGCAGTATAACCAAGTGCTATCAAGCCCTGTAACATGCAGCTTGCCTCGTACATGGGCTAGTCACCATAGTCAAAACGCAATGTCAGGATACCTGACCCCGGAACTTCCGCCGGATCAAACCCCGGAGCCCGAATTGCCTTTCTTCGGGAGGATCTTCCCAGTCTGCAAACTGGGGACCTGTGCCCAGGTAGACAGTGCCTCAGCCAAAGATTGTACCATTGGGATACACTGCACGAGTAAGTGATGCTGACGACGCGTCGTGCAAGGTCGTGCTGTGCTCTCAGGGACACAAGGCTTTTATTTCGAGCCGACACTCCACGGATGTGGGGTTAAAGAACCCCAACGCGCGGTGACCCCTCTTCCGTCTGGCCTACCCCAGCCTCACCAACCGAGGCATTATGCTGTTTTTCATACTGGGGCGACAGTGCCGTGTGGCCGTGCCTTAAAAGCTGGCCAACTAGTTGGCCCTGCTATTGGAGGGTGCTATCTTTGATTAACAATCCGTTGACTTGATGGTCACATCGGTGGCGCGCACGCTCTCTACTGCCGTGGATTGTGGGTATTCCTGCTCTCTCTGTGAGCTGTCATGGTCTGCGCGCCTTTTCCGGGCTGGGCCTCTAGGCTCCCAGACGGGGTCGAACAACTACTGCTACCAACTCTTTCTCCATGCAATACACGGATGCCGCTGAGCGAGGAGAAAATGGCATGATTGTGGACTTGGACGGAGAAAACAGTTGTCCCCACAAGGGCTATCTCCGTGAGATCCCAACCAGATTTCGCAGTTGCCGATCTCTCACTCGCGAGAATTTGCACACTAAATCCCAAAATTTCTGCTTTCGCCTCGCATGACTGGTTTGCACGGCACACCATCCGAGGACTTTGGGACACCAAGCATTTCAGAGAGTTTCCCTAAGTACACCGCATGTCTACTAGACTTACAGGTTGGTTTAGTTCGTTCTTTTGTGTCGTTCGTGTTTGTTTATTGAACCTGTATTTCGATCTTTCTTTGAGGTTGAAGATCTATGCAAATTATCTAAACATAGGTTCCTCTTTTTATACGGTATTCTCCTCCTATCGCTGCTTATCCACCACCAGAGGTGGGCCGCTCTTAGCCTATCATGACACCAGACCCAGACAAAGACATTCCTCGTGTCATCACGCAGTATCCCTCTCCACAAATCAGAATAGAGCCTGCAACACCCAGTAATCCTACAGCCACGTCTGAAAAGGAATCATACTCATCTGCAGACAACTCTCCCACCTCTACCATTACAAGATCAGAGTCGGATCAGGATGAGCGGCCTCTCACACTTACCGCCACGCAGAACTCGAGGCTGGAAGCAACGCGGACAGTGACCCGACTCAGCACTCGAGGAACAACCTTCACAGCAGACCCATCGTACGAGGTGGACTTCGAAGCCGACGAGGCAGGCAATCCCCGGAATTGGTCGATGTGGTACAAGTCCTATGTCTTGTTCACGGTATCCTTCAGCACGCTTGTGATAGTGGCCAACAGCACAGCATACACTGCCGCAATTGGGGACATGATGGTGGAGTTCGGCATCACAAACAAAGTCATACCGACACTCGGAGTGACCACCTATCTCTTCGGACTGGCGGTTGGATCTCTGATCTTAGCACCTATTGCGGAAACCTACGGTCGACGGCCGGTATATACCACGGGTCTCCTGGGTTTTCTCCTCTTAGTGATACCGGTGTCTGTCGTCCACAGTATCGAGGCAATCATTGTCCTGCGATTTTTCGCGGCAGTGTTTGGAAGTGCCACTATTGCGAATGCCCCGGGTACCATTGCAGATATGGTCTCGGATGAGTATCGAGCGGTCGCCTTCTCAGTCTGGAGTATCGGTCCTATGAATGGTCCCGTGATCGGGCCGGTCGTCGGCGGATACATTACGCAGTACAAAGGTTGGCGGTTTACCAACTGGGTCATCGTGATATGGGCAGGAGTGGCATTTCTGATGATCGTCACGATCAAAGAGACTTATAGCCCTGTGCTGTTGCAGCGCAAGGCCGCGAAATTGCGCAAGGACAACGATGACTCGAGGTACTGGAGCCGATACGACATCAAAGTCGGATTTGTGGAGCTGATGAAGATCAACCTCAGCCGACCGTTTGTCATGGCCGTGACTGAACCGATCTGCATCTTTTGGAACAGCTATATCTCTCTCCTTTATGGGATCCTCTATCTCTGCTTCGTCGCATATCCGATCGTCTACACAACAGAGCGGGGCTGGTCCGTGGGAAAGACCGGGTTGTCTTTCGTCGGCATCGGCATTGGTAGCATGATAGCCATTGCTTTGGCAACGCCGATCAAGAAGATGATCGACTCGCATCAACCGGACGAAGATGGTACTGTTCCGCCGGAGTCGATGATGAGCATTGTCTGCATTGGATCCATACTTGTTCCTATTGGACAACTATGGTTTTCGTGGACATGCTATCCCATCAGTATTCACTGGGCATTGCCAATAGCAGCCGGTATCCCCTTTGGATTCGGCAATTGCGTGGTTTTCATCTATGCAGGAAATTACCTGGCTTACAGTTATGGCATTTACGCCGCAAGCGCCATGGCAGGAAACGCCGTACTTCGATCATTTCTCGGTGGTACGCTTCCCCTAGCAGGGCCTGCTATGTATAAGGCGCTGGGCCCAAACTGGGCAGGGACACTCCTTGGATTGCTCCAAGTAGTCAGCATCCCCATCCCGTTTCTGTTCTACAAGTATGGCCACCGAATCCGACAAAAGTCGAGCATGATCCGGGAGATGCGCGAGAATGAACTGCGTCAAGAGCGCAAGAGACAGAAGGCAGAAGAAAGGCTGAGAATTGCCGTGTTGAGTGGAGATGAGAACGAAAAGGAAGAGGCTCAAGTCAACCTTTGTCGGGTCAGGAGTAGGGTTGATGAACAGAGGGATATCGAGGAGCACGGACATGAGATTCTGAATCGAAACCAGGGATTTGGAAAAGAGACGGTCTGAATTCGGGCAACGCGTGAATGATGGTTTTAGAGAGAGCGATTCTTTGACATGAATAGCGTGGCGTCCGGGTTTATCTTTTTGAAAGGGAATTATGATATATGATCCGTCTAGGGCTCATCTCGCGCAGTAGCGTCCAGATCAGAATATCGAAGATGGATTCTGATGGCCAAGGTACAAAGATGCGTGTGTTATCTCGGTGGTCAGTTTCACAACGTCTGGCTACCATAGCGACTGCCGATGACATCATTGGAGCCGTGGGGTTTTGTGCATTTGACATTTCAGGCATTCAACCTGAGTAACCCCTGAAAGAAGAGTCGACCCAAGTAGGATTGATGATATACTATCCTCTACGGAAGGAGTATTCTTTGATGAAAATCCAAAGATTCGGAGCGATGCCCGGAGATATGGTCCGGCAGAGGACAAAAGAGGCTACCCCAGAGCTCAATGATTCGACTTCTAGGCCTCGACTGGGAAGAACCCAGTGGGACTCCCCCAACTGCCAACCGCCAGCCACTTCCGCCTTTCTGGTCAAATAAGAACACCGGCATGGCTCTTCCTTGAGAATCCTTGTTCATTTCCATGCCAATCTTTCTGCCATTGATGTCATTGTTCTCTTCCAACTTGGTAACAGGCGCGACAATCCTGCCCGGCTCACGCTGGCTCATGCTGTCTCAAACATCACGAATCGTCGATACTGCTCCCCATCTCCATTCATCTAACCACAGAGAGCACTGCCCCCGGCCATGGTACCACAATTCTTATTCTCCTTCTGTGCTTCCATTTGTCACTCACCATCAATGCACATCACTGATCACTCCATCGCGTCTCAACTCCCTGGTAAGCCTCGAAATGGTCTGACCAGGGCTACACCGAGCTTGGGTTGCAATCCTCATCGTTGAGCTCATCGATGTTCGAAATCATGGTTTGCTTCCTGTTGCACACTTGCATCTCTCGTCCTCCACAATTATATCTCAATCTATTGCAGTTCTAGTTTGTACAACGCATGATCTCTCTTGTCCACACAATTCCACAAGAATACTAATATTAATTTCTGGAGTTTGCCACCACATGTTCATGGCCTATCGGCTTCTCTTTTTTTAATCCGAGACAAGGCCATCCCAATTCTTTCCAGCCCCAAATGCAATCCACCGCAACCACGTCCACTACGCGGCCTACTTCACCCTCCAATGCATCGAGGCGTCGGACCTCCGTAGCCGACTACAATTCCTCCTTCGACGACCTTCCCTTGCGTGACGACGAACCACCTCATCGCCGCGCTTCAGCCTTTCTCGAGATCGGTTTAGGAGGCGATGACCCTATCGTCGATGCAAAGCTGAAGAAAGAATCAAGACCTAGACTCTCCGTTCGTTTTCGCAGTAAAGTCGAAGTTGTTGAACCCGAATCGATTGACGATTACCCAATATCACGGTCGTCTCCCGTACCACAGCGAGACATGCCGTTCTTCTTCCCAACACTGCCGAGACTTTTGTTTCTCGTGCTTGTGATTGTCCTTCTTGCCCCGAGTCTTCATACTTCGCCTCTCCTTCAGGTCGATGCAAATCCCGTCCCACCACCAACAGACCGTGTTGCAAGAACTCTCCCTCAACCTCAAAAAAGGGCCGACACATCAACAAATGTCTGTAAGAGGTGGTCCCAGCAGAGTGCCTTGGTCAACGGCACTCTATACCTCTACAGCGGCCGATCAACGACTTCCGCTGACCAGACTGCCAACACTTGGAGTATGAACTCTGGTCGTACCATTCCCGTGACCTTGACTGACTGCATTCATAGATTCCGATTTTCTGACCGTCGATCTCACAAAATCATGGCAAATATCGTCTCCTTCATTGACTGGGTTACCCGTCCCCAGTGGCCCACCAGCTGTCTCGCTGGGATATCTGTGGAATTCTTATGACTCTCTTTACCTCTATGGTGGCGAGTTCTCCGATAATCCTGTTACCTCACCCGTTCCCTTCTCGACTTGGTCATACGACATTGCGAGCTCCTCCTGGTCCGAATCTAAAGATCCTCAGACTGTTGAGGGCGTGCACTCGGATGGGGGAAATAATCCTGTGCAAAGAGCTGCTGAAGGGGCAGGTGTCTCTGTCCCTAGTCTCGGTCGGGGCTTTTATTTTGGAGGCCACCTAGATGGTTACACCACCGATGGATGGTCGCAGTCAATCCCTCGCGTTTACCTTCGTGGCCTTCTCGAATACACATTTCCCGGATACGGCAATTCTGCTGTCAATAATGGCGCGGTGGCTGGTTCCGAAGGCACCTATCGAAACATCACGGAAGGCGGCATACAAGACTCTAGCGGATTTCCAGAGCGTGCTGATGGGATACTCGTGTACATCCCTGGCTATGGAAAGGCAGGCATCATTTTGGGATTGGCTGGGGGCACTAATGCTTCATTTACCCAGATGAACGTCATTGATGTGTATGACATCGATTCGTCAACTTGGTACAAACAGGCAACGACCGGCCCAACACCTGAAATCCGCGTCAATCCTTGTGCCGTCGCTCTGTCAGCTGCGGACGGCAGTTCGACGCAAGTCTACATGTATGGTGGTCAAAATCTGATTCCTGCAGGCGAACAAAAGCAATACGATGATGTGTGGATCCTGACGATTCCATCATTTACCTGGATCGAGGTTGATACGTCCAAACAGAGTTCTCCACCTGCTCGAGCCGGCCATACTTGCAACGTTTGGAATAGCCAGATGGTCGTTGTTGGTGGATATGTTGGACAAGATCTATCCTGTGACAGTCCCGGCATCTACATCTTCAACACGAGTTCTCTAACGTGGCAGAACAGCTATGCTGCTCTACAAACGGACGACAAGCTGAATAGGCAAGAAAGTCAGAAGAACGACGCGTCCGCACTCCAAGGATCATTTGGTTATGCTGTTCCCAAGGCGGTACAGGAAGTGATTGGTGGAAACGCCGTTGGAGCTGCGACTGTCACGGCGCCCGCCCAGCCGGCTTCCACTGGCCCCCTTGCGACTGGCGGGCCCATCACATACACCGTCACTGGGGCTGACGGATCCGTTGCCACAGAGACATCTACTCCAGGTGGCGGAACCAGTGGTGGCGGCCAGTCATCTGGTGGCAAGAACGTCGGCGCCATTGTTGCTGGTGTTCTTGCTGGCTCCTTCGCAATCTTGGCAATCTATCTCGGCTTTTGCGCCTGGGTTTACCGTAGACAGCTTCAAATCTACAAGAACCATAATGCCATGGCCCAGAATCAGGCTCTTGCGGGTGACAGCAGATATATCGGCGCGGGATTTGTTGGCGGTGGCAAATTGAGCAATCAGGAGAAATCGCAGACCAGTGATAGTCGAAACAGTGCAGACAACCGAAGTGGAAATGGTAGCAACATATCGGCGACTGGAAGAGCGAACGCACTACACAGTAACAACCCATACAGAAACGTGCCAGGCGGAGCAGGAACAGCAACAGCCGCAAGCAGCACAGATGACCTCATGGCTGGACAGGAGCCGAGTTTCCTTGGAGTCATGTTGAACCCTCGTCGAAGTTTGCGAGTGGTCAACCGGGACTGATTTGAGCGGTGCAAAGCATTTCCTTTTTATGATTCTACGATACTGCAACGATAATCTTGGTGAAAAAGCGTACATAAGGGGTTGGGTATATTAACGCATGGATTTTGACGTGTTAGGAAGTGGATAGATTCTCAGGATCGGGGATCTTTTTGTTGTCCACGGATTTTTTTAACAGGAGTGGATGTACATTATATATCCGTATGCCTGGCCCAGTGCAAGAGAGGCCCATAATATAAAGACAGGTATTCCACAATTTTGACGGCGCGGCTCTGGTTGAGAAGTTCGGGCTTACATTATAGCGAGAAACAGAAGGGTATCCAGACAGACACCCAACGGATACATGGCCGTCCATTTTAGTTAGTCAGCGGGATGAATCACATCTCCCATCGTGCCTGCCTCGAGGTCCAAATGCTTATCGACGCCCACCGCGGTGGCTGACCCGCCGATTTATTGGCACTGCAACTGGCACCCTGCGTCATCCACTTCCTCCCCAACTCAAAATCTTCATCCAGTCTTTCCGCAAGTTCCGACCCATAGTCGCTGGAGCACAGATCCAAGGCGTACGGTAGCGCACCCGCTTCTCAGCTCAACCTCTCAAAAATTGCAACTCTGATACCATATGGCTTTCCAGTTGGCGGAAAACTACCCCGCCCTCAGCCAAAGAATCGGTCGCTAATATTGTTACGATTGCTACGATCGCCCACATGCTTTGTCCTTTGCTCCAATTGGATCTCGTTAAGATATCAACCCTTCTGTAATTGCTGACACGGTGACTCCTTTGTACCTCATTCCAGGATTCCCAAACAGCGGATAGTGCGTTCCGATTTTTTTGCTCGTTCTTTCCTCCTCCAAAGTAGTGTCTATGTAGACTTCATTCCCTGCACTCGGTCTTCTGATCAGACAGACTCGTCCAAAGCCATCATCCACGATATCAGTAGACACCATGTCAACCAGCCTACTCCAGGTAGCTTTCAAGCCTGCCCCCGATCGACGTCAATCCAAGGACCACAATGCCGGCAGTCTCTTGAATGCGTCAGGGGTCCTCCCGCGAAAGAACAGCGCCTCATCCATAACATCCCATAAATCCGAACCAGGCTGGATGTCTTCCATGAATGGAATCGATCGTAGTCGGGCGAGCTCAATTGCGAGCCAAACATCACAGACCTCTACCAAGTCCAGCAGTGGTGGCTTCAGCAAACTCTTTGGAAAGTCCAAGAGCAGCGACAAGCAGAAGAAGGACAAAAAGAAGGATCTCGACCAGATCGTCCTCACATCGCGACATGCCGCCGCGGTCCGGACGAAGCTCGCTCTCGACCCTAAACTGAAGAAAGCCACAACTAAAGACCAACAACAACCAATCATGACCGGCACTCAATCAAGCGCACATCTCACAGCACAAGAGCAGGAAATCCGACGACCTCATTCCAGGCCTCCGTCCCTGAAACACGCGCCCAAGAAAGAGAAAGTCGACATGCCGATGCTGACACGGATCATCAGTGGCGACGAAGCCGATGAGCCGGACGACTGGGAGCGGCTCCGCGAAGAGTGGCGGACCAGACAACTCCCCAGTGCCGACATGATGCAAGTCATCGAGGGAGAGACCCTCGGCGGCACACCTACTTCTTCGTCCGGCACTGCAACGCCAGAGGATCGAGATTTTCTCGTCAAGAGCAGTAAATCAGACATTGAGCTTCCACAGACGCGGATTGTTCAGAGGGAAGGTGTGCGTCTCGTTGCCGCCGCTTATCCTTCATCTGATAATGAGGGCGTGATGCCACGGCCCGCGAAGCACCATACGCCCATCGGTGGCAGGTGGCAGAAGAATGATGCTGGTGTCTGGAAGAGATGAGTAAACCGTCTCATGCAAATCTCACCCGCTGAGAAGGCGGAGAGGGGTTTTTCTCGGAATCACTTTGCTCGACATGCTCATTGCGACACTTCTACATGTTCTCATTACTTTGAGTTAATTCAACTCATCCACCACAAACGCTATCTCTTCTGGATTGATGTTTTCGGAACACCTCTGTTCATTATGTGGATTCGATTAGTTGCAGAGATGGGGCTCTTCTACGAAATATAACGCCACCCACCATACAGATGTCGACGTGAAAATCCCGTCGAAAGCCATGCACATTCTGGCTGGGCAATGCACAACCAATGAGCAAGGGGGAAAAAGCTGTGAGATTCTTGTTTTCCAAGGCCACTGTTGTTACCCTATATTTGAAGGATATAAGACGGGCTACAATGCAAGGGAGAATGCTTGAAGGCTTCTGGGACCTCAGGGGATGACCGCCCGTTTTGTACTCCTAGGTATAGGGAGCAAGAAGTTTGCATATGGCGGCCGGAACCAACCCGTATGGGGCAGGCTGCACACCCCTGACTCTCCGACGAAGAAGAACCATCGCGGGCCCATACCATCCCTTGGCCTTCATGAATAAGAACAGTGCTTGCTTGTGCCACTGACGCCCTCCTTTGACTAAAATTATAACACTTCCCATACTGCTCCCCTGACAATGATGGCCGCAACCCATCATGATGCGGAAGTTGATGGATATGGAGGGCTCCCACGGAGCATTGATATCGTGTTGAGAATGGATAGAGCGGGCACTGAGTGCCCTAACAGTCTATGACCACGGTGCATATTGTAACCTACCTACATCGGAGAGCTGACACTGGCATACAGTGGGCAGGATCCATTGGACGCGAAACCCGTCTTTTCCCCAATGCCGTCCTTGGCTGGTCGGATCTCGTTTGATCCTCCTCAGCCTCTGAAATGATCTATGATTTTTCCGCACCGCAACAACCCCGAACAAGGCGCACTACAACTGCCTATATCGCATGCGGAGTAATACAACATGGTCCTTGCAGACACCAATACTGTACCAGAGTCCGGGATCTCTGCACCAGCTCCGAGCACGGCAAGAAGACCCATATCTGAATCCACTTCTCGCAGCCGTAGAGCAGGAGCAGGATTGCAAGGTCTCCATCTGTGCAGAACAGGGTGCGGTGATCGATTAAGACCCGTAGAGTCATCCACTCTGGAGTCTGGCCTGAGGCCATGGAGCAGTCCTTTCTCTGTTTCCGATTTATGCGAAGTGCAATCAGTCTGAATCTTTCATACAAATATCAACTCCTTGTGGTCTGTGGACTCCTACTCAATCCTCTCAACTGGCATATCCAGAGGTGTAAGTTCTGCGCACTGAACATGCTCACGCATAAGGCTGTAAGATATGGCCTTGAGAAGCACTTGGTCAGAATTAGGCCACGTGTATAAAACCAAAGACCGGATCTGTGCAAATAAGCAAAAGTTGCCAAGCAATTCTCCCCCCGTTTACGAGGTACAAGTAGTTCCAGGCATTCTTTCTCCCGCATCATCATACAGTGTCTGAAAGCAATTCATGATTTCCCAAAATTGGACCCCAATGAAGCATCAAATACCCGCCGTCGTCAACGCCCGTGCCACAAGCAAAAAGCTAGACATGTGTGTATAATAGAGTATATAGTATCAAGAGGAGCCCAACCAAAGAAAAGAAATGCCCTCAGGCGGCTCGCACCAGCGGTACGACGAGACGATCCGGACGACGATCACGCAACAACTCGAGGCGGGGATCCCGTGCAACAAGATCGCGTGGTTCAACCGGGTGTCGACGTCGTTCGTGTCGCAGCTGAACGTGCGCCGCAAGACGCCGGCCGACGTGCTCGCGGCGGCGGCGGCGAACAAGAAGCGGCGCGGGCCCGTCGGCAAGATCTCGCGCGAGGCCCACGACGCCATGGTGCGGTTCGTCGACGAGAGGAGTCGGAGTCGCAGTCGGAGGAGTATGAGTATGAGTATGAGTACCGATGGTTCGAACTCGAACTCGACGACGACGACATCAACGACACCTTGCACGCACGCCGAGGTCGCCGAGTTTCTGAGGGAGTCGTTTGGCGTCGAGGTCAGCGGGCCGACGATCAGTCGGACATTGAAGAAATGGCGGGTCGAGAGGGAGAGGGAGAGGGAGGCGGAGCAGGCACGTGAGCGGGAGCGCGAGCGTGAGCGTGATGCCCGTTTGAGAGCGGAGGTCGCGGCCCTGGTCGCTGCTGGCTCGACGGTTGATGAGCTCCGTGCTGTGTCGAGGCGCTTGCGAAGGAGCGTGCTGGAGCTACTGCCTCAGGTGCAGCAGTACTAGAGGAAGCGAGTGCGTCCGGCTTGAAATAAAGCCATTATTGCTGGGTGGGGGTGCACCGTTGCAATAGCCGATGAGTCCTACGACGAGGCCGACTTCACCAGAATACACGGCAATGCAATAATTTTGGAGAGGACTGACTGACACTTTTCAATTTTTGGACAAGTCACTTTTGCTGGCCAATTATAAGAGTAAATGAGTGATCAGCGCAGACAGCATTCATGATCGCATTCAAAGTCCTCCCAAGGTACGTCAACATCATCAACTTCTCATTGTCAACTCGTCGAATTGCAGCTGTGCAAATACTTTCCCCAGATCGTTGTCCCTTCAACCCTGCCGCCTGAACTACAAGCGAGCCAAGCTGACCGTCTCACCAGGAGCATGATAAGGTGGAATCTTCATGTCGAGAGCAGCCCCGCTATAGCCCAGATCTTCAGCAGACAGGACGGCACACTTCTCACCGATGAGGAGAGCAGTCTGTATGAATGGTTAGCAATTTTGTATGATAGAGAATCAGCATGATTCCACTTACCGAGAAGGTGTTACATCCGACATTGTCGGGGCACACTGAAAGATCAGAGACCTTCAAGTTCTTGACGCCGTGGACATTCAGTCTCTCGTCCAAGACACCATGCTTCACGATGCTGTTGCCCTCCTTGGGTGCGATACTGCAGGTACCAAGAGAGTGCCATGTGGTCTCAACGTGACGCTGTACCCACTTCTCGACTTCCTCGACTAGGTTGCAAAGTCAGTATATCTGAAGAATAACCCGAATGTTGAGATGACTTACTATCCGCCTTGCTATACTTGAGAGGTTCACGAAGATCGCATCTGTTGGAGTTCAACGTAACCTCCTCAGCGGGCTTAGTCGTGGGCAAAGGATGTGTCCAGCTGCCATGTTGAATATTGGCAGTGAGATGGTTGGGTCCACCGTACGCATTACGGGTAGCAATATCCATGTCTCTCGCTCTAGCTTCTGAGCCAAAGCTGAAATGAGGATGCATGCCAGTGACCTCACCAGCGTATGCTTGCATGCGGCGGGCCGTCTCTCGAGACTTGATGTATCCCCAGACCATAGGCGCCATATCACGCTTGTCGTTCATGAAGCCGGCATCGAAGTCAGGAGCATCATATGGATCTGGTGAGGTGATGTGGGTGAAGCCACGAGAGAATGGATACTCCAAGAAGTGGAACATGGTGAAGAACTTTCCGGCAGGCATATCGAGATGATCTCCAAACCAACCAGCGATAACACTGTAATGCATCACTGGCTTGTCTGGCTTGTTCTTGAAGTAGCTTTCCCAACCACTGGGGCTGAAGTCAGGTGTGGGCCAAGTCTTCATCTCTTCAAGTTCTTCCTCGGTTGGACGAGCTTTGACACCAGCATCGATGCCGTTGGTGGCCAGTGGTCCAGTACCTTTGATGTTCCATTCATCGAAGACCCTCTTCTGCACATCTGGGTCGCCACGGACAAAGTCATCAAAGGACTCTGTATCAGGCTTGGCTCGATAGGTGGAGAAGGTGAGGTAATGATCTTGGAAATTGAGACCGACACCAGGTAGGTCGACGATGGGCTTGACGCCGATCTTCTTCAGTTTCTCTGGGTCACCTACACCAGATCTTTGGAGAACTAGAGGCGAGCTCAGAGTTCCACAACTGACAATGATCAACTTGCGAGCTTTCCAGAATTTTCGTGGTGGGTCACCACCGCCGACAGGCTTGGTGGGAACTGTGAGGACACCAACAGCAACGCCATTCTCGATCACAACACGATCGACCTTGGTGTTGACTTGCAAGTGAAGGTTCTCATATTTGGCACGAGTGGCGTGGATGTAGGCGTGGGCAGCATCGGAACGACGGCCAGTGTCGCGATTGATCCATTTGAGCCAATGTTCAGCACCGTGTCTGCATTCATGAGTTAGCTGATAACGACGCTGTTTGATGATCTTCACCTACCCCGTAACAAGATCTTGAAGATCGTCTGTGACTGGGAATCCCTGACTCTCGGCTGCTCGGAGGAAGTCTTGCATGATGGGATATGTGTAGTTGCCGAAAGACACTTTGATAGGTCCCTCGAAACCGTGGATATCTCGGTTGTTGCAGGCCCTTTGATATGTCTCATGCTTCCTCATTAGAGGAATCAATTCCTTGGTAGTCCATCCTTTGGCTTGGAAGTCGTCATAGTCAGAGGCTGAGGCGCGAGTGTACATCATGAAATTGATCGAGCTGCCACCACCAAGGATGTGAGCACAGGGGACAATTGCACGTCGACCATCAAGCCATTCTGATGGGCGAGAATAGTAGAAGGTTGCCGTCTTAGAATCCAGCTTCATATTCCTTGGGTAGATACCTGGACGGTAAACCCACGGATTGTTAAGATTGCTCTCTCCACCCTCAATCAAGAGGACTTGAAGCTTGTGGTCCAAGTTGGCCAGACCTTCAAATAGGTCAGTAAGCGGCTGAGAACACCAGCAAGAACAACCTACGTCCAGCAGGCACACAGCCCGAGCTACCACCGCCACACACAATGATATCAACCTCATCGGGAACTGTCATGATTGCGAGTTGAGATGAATTGAATTTGGGAAAAGTTGTAAGGGTAACTTGCTTCGCTCGACCGGGAGCAGGCTGGTGGGAAAGAAGTCAGGGAAGAAGGAAGAAAAGCCCTCATTATAAGGTATCTTCATCGTTGCCCTTCTCCACCTCTCGGTAGAGAGGAGGGAGGGGTTTCATGCACAAAGCTGCCTGGTACATCAAGAAAGTGAGGAGTTGTAGGCTATGTCTGATGATCCTTGTCAATGCAGCATTCACAAGGAGCTCCGGGCCTTGACATGTTCTGATCTGGATGCGGGGTTTGGGAAAAGGATTGTATCTTAGAAATACCAACAATGGCAATCTTTGTGACATAGCCCCGACGTGCATCGAAGCGAAAATTGAGAAAGTCAACAGTGAATAGCCAGGGCGCGTCTCGGTGCTGCATCAAACTGGACCAATATCATGGCAAACATGACGAGCAGTGGACCATGATCCTTGACAAGAAATACCAAAGCTGATGTAGCGCCATGAATACTGGGCCTCAGGCTTCAGGTAAGACAAGGATATCCCCACATATCTCTTCGATCCCACTGAGTCTGAGACTGAGATCAACAGGCCTCTTGATTTGGATGACCCAGATTAAATGGTGAATACATCACCCATTGAATCGAATTCAGATCTCGAGACACCCAGACTCAGGAGATGATTTCCTTGAATACGACGGTATGACGATTGAGTCGGCAGGACGTCAAAAAAAAGTCAGTGTTGGCCAAGGTATCGAGTCAGTACCTTTTCACGGCGCCACCACCGGGCTGCAATGGTTGTGCCGCCCCACAGGGGACCTGGTCCGGAGGTGGCCAATACATGAAACGCGGGGAAGCCACCACGCCCGAAGGGGTGCAGGAGCAGCGAGCCATGGCCGTCCAAGGCAAAATAGATAAGAACAATCCTTGTGCCTAACCCACACAGGAGAGCGGCCGAGCTATGCGAAGCAGTTGGGGGGAGATGATGCGGATGGCTTTGAACTTTGTTTGCGGGGAGGCTGGTCTAACCTTTTCTGGGGAGCGGGAAATATCCATCTGCCTATCAGGATAGAGAGACAAGACAACGTTCCCCAACGGCACCTCTCGGATATCCTTGGGGGTACGTGAAATTGGAGTCAGCGGGGAATAACCTTGTCGAAAGTACATCTCCACCAAGACTTCTAAGAAGAGGAGCAGCCTTTAGTTCCTCGGGCCAACGCATTGTTCGCTCTCGAAATAGCTGTTCGAGAGAGGATCCGCCTGATACATAGGCTCCGTGACGGAATATAGAGACAGAAGTGGACTGATCCGCATGCCGAACATCGATACTGCAGACTCGCCAGCCCCCCTCGTCGTAAAGCTGACTTTCATTGGTATTTGGCGATTGCGATTGAGCATCTTTTGAGGAGTCGTTGCAACGCTCTAATGCGAGTTACTGATGAAGCGTCGTAAACAGCTTCGTAACTCTCGCATAGGATGCAGAATTGAGATATCATCTTGCGAAGTGTGTGTCTGAACTGATGCCAATGCCGGGGGCGTCCACATTCGATCAAGTGGCCTCCAATCGATGCGTGCTGCCTCTAGTGATCACACCGATCCTTGCTTACGTGCATTTGTATGTTCCAATGTGGAACATTTCAGGCAGATAGGGATCCAGGATTGCTTTTACGCTCAAGAATGAGCTGTCGCAGACCACGCTCCGCAACCTGGACCTCCAATATTCTGCCGATACCTTGTCTCCAAGTATCTTCTAGTCCCAGTAATTCTCCTCGGGAACCTTCTTGTGCGGCCTTTCGTGCTTTATTCACACTCTCAACCTCGTCCTTGAGCCGGCTTAGTTCCTGTTCCAGATCGTGCAGCAGGTGTTCCATTTGAGAATTGCCGATAAGCCAAGCGTTCTTCCCAAATTCTTCCAGCAGTGCCAGGTTTGACTGTCTGTCTGACAGGTACATGCTTGAGACGTATGCATTCCTTAGTGCTTGCCGCCACGCCTCTTGCGGCGTATCAGTACCTGGTTCATCAGGTGCTTCATACCTGGTGAGGTCAATTCCTCCGTGCAAGGGTTTGCCTGCCGCTACTCGCTTAAGTTCTGCGATGAACAGCCCGGAGAAATTGACCGTAGGAGGAAGGGGTAGAGAGGGGTGAAGCGTGGACTGATGGTCAGTTGGAAGTTCTCTGGTGATCAGAGCCTGCGCTCTTGCACGATCGGCATCAGAAATATCTCCATCGACGTCTGCGATGAGTTAGCACGGGCATAAGCCGTAGGAAGTGATACTGACAAGGAAGGGAGTCGACGGGCTGGAGGGTGAGGGACATGATTAGAGCGTTGGAGGTGTAGAGGAGGGAGACATCATGGTCGCAACTTCAATCCTTTCAAATCTCAACCATCACGGAATTGATGCCAAGCACTCGCGGTGGTGCACGTGATCTATGCTTTGGCACGTGACCGAGAATAAGGCTGAACCAGCAATGACGACAGATGCCACCGAAACTTGAAACATGATACGAGGTGTTGCCTTGAAAGTTATCAAGAAACATACCTAGGGAGAGAATAGACCACAGGAATAATGGAAAGATCCAGTGTTTCTTTGAATCAATTTATCTTTATAGGCGAGCATCACTTCTCTTTTTTGCGATTTCAAGAGTGATGATCAGTCCCGAGTACTTCCTTGAAATCCTTGGAGACGACCGGGTTCATTCTTAAACCATCCACTTTTGGCAGGGCCTGTGCAGACGCAGTTGATTGCACTAGAAAATGGCACGGAAACCTATTCTGAACCTCCTCCTAGTTCTCTGCCTTACTATCTTGATTGCTTCGTCGTTGACGTGGTTGCTTCTTCCCACATACGCACGAGATGACGGCCCCATATTTGGCAACCCGGAGGAAGCGGGACTTCGTCAGGATGACGCGGAAGGTGATTATCTACTCGGGGTTGGAAAGGCGGACATCACAGGGTATAGTGCGCCTAGCTTCATGGACCAGAATAAAAACTGACTGAACAAGGCCCGTTGTGGAAATTAATATGATGGGATATGCCGATACAGCTCAGTCCGGGACTGGTCTTCGTCAGCGAATCTACACCAGAGCTTTCATCATTGGAAGTCTCAGAGACCCTTCGCGTCGCATTGTCTACCTGGTACTTGATACCCAGTCCGGAGATACTGCCGTTCGTGCTGGTATACTCCAGGGACTTCTGAAGTTGGGCTCTGAATATGCAGGGTACAACAAAGACACCATAGCAGTGACTGGCACTCACAGCCACAGCGGACCTGGCGCTTGGTTGAACTATTTATTGCCCCAAATCACCAGCAAGGGCTTTAATAAAGAAAGTTATCAAGCCATCGTCGATGGTTCTTTACTCGCAATCAAGCGTGCTCATCAAAGTCTCGTCCCTGGTCACCTCAGCTTGAGCGAGAAGCAAGTTGTCGACGCGAATATCAACAGAAGCCCGTATGCATATCTTCGGAATCCAAAACAAGAGAGATATAAATATACGGACGATGTAGACAAGAATCTAACAGTATTGAGGTTCGAGAGGGCTTCGGACGGCCAAGCCCTCGGTATTCTGACATGGTTTCCAGTTCACGGCACTTCCCTGTACCAAAACAACACTTTAATCACAGGCGACAATAAAGGCGTTGCGGCCTATGTGGTTGAAGAATCCTTCAAGGTCAGGAATCCCAGCTTCGTTGCAGGATTCTCTCAAGCCAACGTGGGTGACACGTCTCCCAACGTCCTCGGCCCCTTTTGCGAAGACACCGGCCTCCAATGTTCTTTTAATGACTCTACTTGCGCTGGCCGTACTCAACCTTGTCATGGTCGCGGCCCGCTATTTCGGACCATTGACCAAGGCACAGATTCTTGCTACGAGATCGGAAGCCGACAAGCTGCTGCAGCACTAGATCTTCTGGAGAATGGCGGCTTCGAACGCCTGCCAGCCTCGACGATATCGTATTTTCATACCTATACGAATTTTTCATCCTTCCATTTCACATCTCCCTTCAATCAGTCTCGCAAATTGAAGACCTGCTCCGCCGCACTTGGCTATGGCTTTGCCGGTGGTACTACTGATGGCCCAGGCGCCTTTGATTTCTCCCAAGGAACGAATGACACTGACGATTCACCTTCCTTGAAAAATCCACTCTGGAAGCTGGCAAGAGATTTCATTCACGATCCTACTGATGAGCAAGAGGCCTGCCAGAAGCCCAAGCCTATTCTTCTTGATGTCGGAGAAGCAGATCGTCCATATGCCTGGTCACCAAATATCGTTGACATCCAACTGTTGCGTGTGGGTCCATTGATCATGATCATTAGTCCTGGAGAAGCCACAACCATGTCAGGCAGACGCTGGCGAGAAGCTCTGGCAGCAGCCGCTCCGGCCACACTTGGGATTGACAACCCAAAAGTTGTCCTTGGAGGACCAGCCAACACGTATGCTCACTATATCGCCACCGAAGAAGAATATGGAGTACAAAGGTACGAGGGTGCGAGTACATTGTATGGGCCACACACTCTTGCAGCCTATGTCAATTTGACTCTCACATACCTTCCATATCTCGGTTCTGCGGACGAAACTTCCCGTTTGGATCGTCTCCCACCAGGCCCTAGCCCTCCCATCAATGTCAACTCTTCATTGTCATTCATCAATCCAGTTGTAGTCGACAATGCTGGTCTACTGCGCAAGTTCGGCATGACACTGGATTCTCCTGACCCAGCGAAGCAATTCACTTCTGGAATGACAGTGACAGCCCGCTTTGTGGGCGCGAATCCACGCAACAACTTCCGCCTTGAGGGCACATTTGCTGCCGTCGAGCACTTTGATTCCGAAAGTGGTCAGTGGATCCAGGTACGATCTGACAAGGATTGGTTCTTGGTGTATCGATGGAAACGTATTAGCACCGTCCTCGGCACAAGTGAAGTCACCATTGAGTGGGAAATTGAACCCCATACAGAGCCTGGAATGTACCGCTTCAAGTACTATGGAGATTCCAAATCTCTCGGTGGAACCATCACAGCTTTTGGAGGTACTAGCGGAGTTTTCAATATTGGGGCCTCAAACGACGGAATGACGATGAAGGATGAGCTTTTCAGGCCCTGAGCATGGAGCACTGTTGCTCTTATTCGAGATTGTGAATCGACTCGTAAGGGTCGATCTGTATTCCTCTATGATACCCAATTCCTTAGATTGTATCCTCCTCTGTGTTTATGATATCCTCTCGCCTTTTTGGGAAGCTATTTCTGTCTTGTGTTCCGGTATTTCCAATTGTTTCCATCTATTTTCCAGTTCTCATTCTCACACATGTCTGCCAGATCTCGACGGATCTAGGCTCTGGCGTTTGACACTTGACGAAGCGGCATTGCATTGCTCTGACAGGGCATTTATATATTGCACGCCGTTACAGGAGAAGATGTCAGCAGCTCCTATTCCGAACCGTTCTCGATCAGTGACTGTCCAGACCAAGACGGAGAAGAGGAAGCAAGAGCATGCATGGGCTCGCACCCATCGCAAGCAGAGCCAGTGAAAAACGTTTGTTTCCCTCTTCAAGCCTTCACTGTTAGATCTGGCGTATCGCAACACCATCACGATCCGGTCGTCTCGTTATGGGCCTGCAATAAGTCTCGTAGGAAGCCTGAACGGCGCCGTTGAAGGGGAGGGTGTTGCTGATGTCAAGCGCGTCGTCGGAGTGTTTCGTGATAGTGATACCCTCGATGTCAGTACAAGTGATTCGAAGTTCCTCTGTCAGAGATGGCACACCGCAGGTTAACAAGTCCTGATGATGTGTATCGGCCTGTCAGGCTCTTGGGACATTGGTCGTTGTGTTGTGAAAGTTTGCTATTTCCAAGAGGCGCTCATGCGTCCACTGACAATGGTGATCACTTGGACGCCAGGGTAGTCTGCCGATATCGGGCTCGTCGCTACATCTCGTCAAGCTGTCGATTGAGGACACTATGGAGGTCGACTAGATGTCAGGAACGCTCTGAGAGGAAGATGAGATTTTAGCAGCGACAGAGGATTGAGATGAAAAGGTGGCAGGTCTACGCACCCGCAAGCGACAGGTGCCCAACTACGAGAGTCACGAAGATCGAATGGGGTTTTAGGTGCCTTTCCTGGCAGAGTACTGCTACTAGCTAACAGACCCACTCAGTCGAACCGTGGTCAGGTTGATGAGAAAACTAATCATACATGCCCAGTCCTCCGCGAAACCCTCTTTCCACCACGAAAGTGAGAACTACCGCTAATCGGTAGAACCCGTCAGAACGATTGTTAGAACCGAACCGACTTAGTTCGCAACTGGTGTTGTAGCCAGGCAACTAAAAGAAAACTAATCATACATGCCCTCTTCCTGGATGAGAACTACCAGTGTCGTAGTCTCGGTGTCGGTACTGTGAACCCAGTTTGACTGCCCCCACTGAAGTCCAGGACGCTTCTACCCCAATAAAAAAAATGACATTTAGCCAGGATGCAGCCGACCCTCATAATTAGTGGTACAACTGGCTCACCCTCTGGTTGGCTGCATCAGCACTCATACCGTGAGTCTGCTGAAAATGTCGCGTCAACATTGGTCGACGACTTTTGATTACCCCGGTGGTGGTCTGCCCAAGGTGACCGACCGGGCAAAGGTCACAGAACCAAACGTCTTGGCCGTCCGTTCTGCCTAGGGCAGCTGCTCTCGCTACTCGGTTGTTGGCTGCTGGAGGTGGTGGTGGCGGAGGAGGAGGAGGAGGTGGTGGTGGTGGTGGTGGTGGGAAGGCGGCAGTAGGGAGAGGAGCGGGAGCAGGAGCAGGAGCGGAAGCAGGAGGAGCGGGAGGAGCCGCGTGAGGAGGAGCCGCGATGGCACCGGGGAAGACTGGGGCAACAACTGGATCACCAAGAAAATTGGTGATGGGAAAATTGTCGGCCACCCTAGCCCCGAGCTGCCGCGCTCTCTCGGGCAAGCACGCGAACTTTATTCTCCCCCCAGCGAGGAACCGGTTCACGACCGCCTGGTCGTTTGCCAGAGCAGCCTGGTCGAAGAGGACGCGGGCGTACTCGTCCTCCAGGTTTGCCTGGACGGTGCCGTCCCAAGGGTGTTCCGTTGCTGGAACAACCTCGTACCCTCTGATCCGACCGCTGGTGACACGTTCGTATGTGGATACGAACAATTGGAGGTTCTGGACGGGTGTGGCCCCGAGGAGGTGGTGAGGAGGGGGGGAAGGGGCTGGATTGTCTGATGGCGCCGCGTTGACAGTGCGGACGCCCATCTCTGCGATTCGAGCACGCCAAAGGGCCGCGCAGAAATCGTCCTCCCCCCTCCGGGCGATGAGGGTGAGTAGGCACTGAATTTGTGCCGGTTGGGAGTGCCTGCTCACTCTGACTTGCGGAATGAGGTGGTGGACCGCCTCCTCAAACATCTCCCGGGTCACGAATTCGACGATGTTGTTTGTAATGGCCTCATTGAGAAAGCTTTGTACGCCATGCATGTATGCCGTTTTGATGGCGGCGAGAGTCATGCATGACGTCTCGAACATATTGAACAAGCAGCTGGTGGCTGCCCGGAGGCCGCAGGAGCGAAGTCTGTCGTCCATGAAGACTTGATTTGTGAGGTGGTCTGGGCGGTTTTGATGTTGGGTGAAGGAGTAAGAAGAGAGGTCAAAGACAGGTTTGTCGTTGTCTGGTGATGGGTAGGAGTAGGAGCTGCTGTAGGAAGATGTTGGAGGAAGGGGTCGTGAAAATTGATCAAGATCGGCATAATATGGCCATTGTGCAATCCCGTGCCAAGAAAACAACGCCTCCTGGTGAAGTGCTGCAATGTCGGAATTGTTGCCATTGACGTTCTGAATAAGCGTCCAGAGACGCTCGATGGGAGACATGGCGAAGGGAGGACGCTGTCGCAAAGGACAAGTCACGTGGGGGCGGCGAGGCTGAGCTGATCAGGGGTGGGATGAAGTGGTGGTGCTTGTTTGAGAAGGAAAGCCGAGTGCAGTGCAAGAGACACAACTCAATGAGGAAGGAAAGCCGACTGTTCTGCAAGAATACACAGGCCAGAGGAAGCAAAGACACCGGAAGAGAGAAGAGGCACCAGGAGAATCGCATGAACAATGATGTGTGTGAACACACAGTCTTTGATCATGAAAGAAAAATCTGATGGACGCGTAGAAAAAAGAGGAAAAGAAGAGAGATCGAAAACCAAAAGATCAACAAAGGTGGGGATAGATATAGGCAAGAAATGCTACTCTGGAGCGTTAAGGTGGGAGCGGCGAGGATATAGGGGAGTGATGGACACGAATGGCGATTGCACAGGGCGAAGCGCTTCGTCGGGAGCGGCGATGAGCATCTTGAGGCCGAGCTGAGAGAACATGAACAGCGAAATTGTCTGGGAGAGGGACTTGTACAGACCAAAATCAAGCCATCGAAGCTTTTTGTTGATATCATGTCTTTTTCCATCGTACTCGCCGGACCCATTGTGCCCATTTCTGCACGTCCTCCCTCTCACAGATTCGATCGATAGTATACCACTCACGAGCTAGTTCTTCATTTGAAGCCATACGGTGAACAAAGGTGTGGCAGGCGCGGCAAAGCCATGCGACACTGTTTAGCTGTTGCTCTTCATGCCAACCTCGTTTTAGGACCTTGGCATGTATCTGTCGAGGGATAAGATGGTGGTACGTCATTGGAACCCAGTCTCTTTCACAGATCTCGCACGCACTGGTCTTGGTTGAGACCCATTTTGGAGGCGGGATCGTCACGGCTGATACAAAGGCCGACAAGACACCAGCCATAAAAGACTGAATGTCGGATTTGGGGGGCTCGATCATGGCATATGCTACCAGGCTGTCCACAACATCTGCCGACACATATGCCGACACTTCCTCAGTAACGCTCAGAGTCAAAGGCAATGACCATGTCGCTGAAAGTGCTGCATCATTCTGGATCGCATGGTAGGAAAGACCTTTGAGCTCCTCAGGTAAGCTGCCAAAGATTTCAGTTGCCAGGTAATCAGAAAACTCAGCAAGGGCAGAAGCATCGACTTCTTTTCCCGGATTCTCGCAAGGCTGAGCCTCCGTACTTGCTGCTTTCTTAGGTGTTCCTCCCTTTTTGATCGCTTTGGGTGTTTTCTTTGTTGGAGATATAGATTTCTCGACTATTGCAGAGAATATGCAGTCTCTGAGTACGGCTTCATTGCCAGCAACGTTATCCATAGGTCAAAAAGACTATGGAAAATAGTGGGCGTGTTGTGTGATGATGAAGGTCTCTAGCCGATTGAGACATGTGAGGGGAGTAGTATATATTTCTGGAGCCGCAAGTACTACCCTCTCTGATGTGGATCTATTGCTTCAGGGTCAGGAATTTCAGCCCCTACACCGTATCCCTTCAGTACATGTCCATGTTGTCTAGTATTGGCTCATAAAATTATTGCAACAGGTGGGAAGGGATATGTTCGTGCCCAGTCTGAGCTCTCAAAGACTAATAGATCGTCCAATAGAAGTATCCTGGTGATTGAAAGCAGAAGCGGAAAGCAAAAGAGTCGAGATCTTTCTGTATGGCGAGGCACCTCCAATGTATGATGCCGTGCTCCCTAGCTAGAGCACAGTACACGACTTGATATTTGTTGTTCTGAGATGAGTTGACGTCTACGGAAGAATGCGCTAGTTAGGTAATCATGAACTCACGTGCTGGCTGGCGGGGTTTGTACAAGCATCACCCGAGCGTGAGTTTCTGACTTCCCAGCACGGGGCGAACAGAGCACCTTCTTTATAATTTACTATTTCTAAGTTGTGGTTGGCAGAGGGATTCACGCAAACATGAGCAAGATTGTAGTAGCATTTGATCTCTATGGCACTTTGTTGTCTACCGAAAGCATCGCACAAGAGTTGGCATCCCACTTCGGAGATGACAAAGCCAAGTCTATCGCGGCTGTATGGCGGAAGTACCAGCTGGAGTATACATGGAGGCTAAATAGCATGAGTAAGATGTGAAATTTGGTCTAGATGGCGGTCCTTTACTAATTCTTCCCCAGAAAAATACGAACATTTTTCAGAAGTGACTAAGAAGGCACTGAAGCACGCATTAGCCGAGCATAGCGTAGGCCTGAACGATCAGCAAATTGACAAGTTGATGGAAGCTTATGATTCTTTGTCCACGTTTCCGGATGTCAACCCGGCCTTGAGACGGCTGGGAGAGAACAAGAACATTGAAAGTGTTGTTTTCTCGAATGGGACACAGACTATGGTCAGCAACTCGGTTCACAAGTCTGGAAGCCTAGATTCGAGTGTCTTCAAAGACCTGGTGACAGTTGACGCAGTGGAGATGTTTAAGCCAGCTCCCGAAGTATATCAATATTTGGCCAAGAAAGTTGGCAAGGAAGGGCAAGAATCTGACCTGTGGCTTGTGTCGGGCAATCCCTTTGATATTGTTGGATCACGGGCGGTCGGAATGCAGGCTGCATGGGTCGATAGAGCTGGTAACGGATGGCAGGACGCACTTGGTCAGGGGCCAACAGTTGTTGTCAAGAGCTTGGAGGAAGTGGTTGATGCTGTTGAAAGCCACACCAAATAAGATATAGATAATGTGCCAAAACTCAGAGCTTTGGTTTGTATCTAGACTGCGCTAAGCTGGATCGTCTCTGTACTGTCCATTTGGGGCAGCAGCGACTGCTTCCCGGCTCCGACGAGCCTTTTCCATCTTCGCTGTCCATAGAGCACTTCCAGCCGCGGTTGTAAGCAAGAAAAACATGCTCAAGACAGGAACCAGTTGCAAAGATAGAGCTACGATTCCAAACCACGTGTATTTGAGCTTGCGTTGTGCGATGTATTCGTTTCGTTCCTTTTTAGAAAACCCACGAAGTTTGAAATACCTCCAGCCATGGAACGGTCCAGCTCGATATCCAGTGAGAATGAGAAAGATCGGCACGCCAATGATCGGAATCAAGTTCACCGGAATCAGTACGATGAATTCTAAAATTTGGCGAAGGTTGAAGGGACTGTAGATAGCTGTTACTGTGGGCTTCCCAAGCATTTTGACCGAATTGGGAGCATCGGTGTCCAGCAGGCGTCCTTCTTGGACCAGGTCCGAGAGACCCTGATCGATAAGCACAGCATCAAACACGTCGACAAGAGTCTCGTCCACAAAGAAGGCTTCAAAAAGCAAGGCGACAATTGCGGTCCCCTCTGACAAGACCAGAAAAGTCGCATTCACCCATGCTCCGGCATGATGGAAGACTGCAAGCAGTGCGACTTGTGGCAGATACGTCCAGATGAATAGATTGGCGTAGATGAAGGCGGATAGAAGAAGGATAGGTATTAGGCGTGCTCGAAAGAGAGGATACAGGTAAGGGTGTCGGACGAAATAAAAGATGCCCTGAGACATCGAGTCAGGTCGAGGGTGTCCATTGCTTTTTGGGGTGAGACGGGCATTGATCTTACCTTCAAAGGATAGAGCCAGGTTGCATCAAGTGGTACTCGGGCCATTATTGAATATTTTGGTTATGATGGCCCTTGTGGGAGAGGATGGAATCAAGAGAACGATTACCTCGTTTTGATCAAATGCAGTCGCAAGTCGCAGGCTGCAGTGAACTTGATGCTAACTTTGGAGAGATGACGTACACTGTCCAATCATGGAAACTCGAGGCCAATGGCTTGGCACACCTCCGAATTAGAAGTGTTTCTCTTTTCCCTCACATTTTGTATGTTTTTTTCTTTTTCTTCTTTCCAAAACTGAAAATCCTCTGTATTATTCACTCTGTCAAAACTGTATTAAATGGTTGCTGGAGGGGAAATCAGCAGGAGAGAAGAATGCCTGCCTGCTCAAAAATCCATTGACTTCTGCTGTACCGCTGTCCAACAGTGGCATACGGATTGTGAAGTTCTTGGAAATCAAAGTTTGGCTGTACAATCGTTCTAGAATGGTGCCTCTCGATACTGGGCGATCATATAACAAGCCGTGCTCGTATATTCAGGAACGAAAGATCCAAGAATCTCGGACAACGTACGCTGCTGTCTTTACCTCGCTTGTCGTTCAAGTAGAGAATAGACAGACAAGAAATGACTGGCCGGATGCCTTGTACTTGTGAAGTGCGACTAGCTAATGTGTACCTACCTAGGTAGGTTGGTACAGAAGACCGTGGCACACCAGGGACTCTGCGAGACACAAACCGTTGAACAGACCAACTGCTCCTTCTGATTCTACGGATAGGTAGTCGTGTGTGTTACGCAAGCGAGCACGCGGATGAGTCTCCTGATGTATGCAGGGCTCCTCGGGCTTCGCACGATCAGGTCCCTTACTAGCTAGCCCCTCATTTCGCCTCTGCATAACCGGGAAAAATTCATCTCGAGATCTTTCGCGATGAGTTTCAAGTTTCAACCACGAAAGTCGTTGACAGAGTGAGAATTGAGATTCCGATCTCATGCCCGTGCTGTATCAAGTAACCATGTTTCCCACCTCCTTCACAAACCGGGAAAGTAGATCGGTACTTGGGTACCAGAAATGGTTCTCTTCCACCATCCGTACTCCGTACCCCGTACCTTGTAAGAGGAACAGTCGGTTGATCAGGTATCCGTGCAGAGGACAGCGTCTGGCCTTTGGGTCTAGAGGCAGACTATTTAACTACGGGCCAGTTAAAAGACGCCGAGGGCTCATAAGCGAGGCACCCTCACAAGGACAGGGAGGAAATTGCCACCCAGGAAATCAGCGTCTGAGGAGCTTCCACCCGCCTTTTGGCTGGGGACGCGACCCCTAATAACAATGGTCCGGAGTACCTCGTAGACTCCTGCAGGCTCTTTCCTGACAGTGCCGAGCATGCACCACTGGGCTTAAAGCCTGTTCCAGCGGCGGGCCGACCCCGGATTCAGTCCCCAAACCGAGGACCCCAAACGCAAGACCTGGAGATCAGGCTTCACAGGCTGGGGCTTTTGGATCATATTATTGATGACATTCTATCTCAACTTCCAGAGGTCCTTGTCATTTTGTGCTTAGTTCTATGGTCGCAGTATCTGTTTCCATTTCAGGTGGGACACTCAAGTCGAGGTTATGAAGAGAGAAGCTTGCAACAAGTGTGGATGTCCTTTACTTACCTAGGTAGATTTCCAGCGTCATGTTGGAATTGACAACAGACGGCGGGGGTGCCTCCTCCCTGAGGTAGCAAAGCCAATTAGGCAGTTATACACCACCCACCACCCACCACCGTCGCCCACTAAATTCCAAGAGTGCCCCCTCCTGCGCCTCGACCGTTGTGAAAGTGATTTCCCCGTCACCAACGCTGCATGAGCTTGAAGAGATGCACTTGACCTTGAGCTGCGACTTGAATGGCTAAATCTCACGTTTACCCTCCTCCGCCAAAGTCAATCTGCTCGTCTCGTTTCTTCTTGCACAGTCACTTTCCATCGGTGTTTCTCCCTTTCATCCTCCATCTTCCCTTCGATTTTTCCTCCTTCACACGCCGATATTCCCGTGTTATGGATTGTACTCGCCAGTCGTTTCTCACAATCTCAGGCTCTGTTTGACAGTCGTTATTCCTCTTGACTGTTACCCCACAAGATCCCTACGAGTCAGTCTTGGTCAAAAGCTCCTCAACTGATTACGCCGAGGGATCTCGTGGTCCGTGGGAATCCACCTCTCCCGCCTCAACTGCAAGTTCTGGGTTTTACGAGGGCCCCCGGGGCCGGCCACCACAACATCCACACCTGCCTGCCTTTTCCCTTCACCCTTCTCGAAAGGTTATGTGCCGACATTCACCCGCAGTATTTGATCTTTGAATCCTCCCTACCGCGACAACAAGACCATCATGTCGTCCATATCGCCTGTAGCCTCCTACTCGTCGGCGCAGCCTCCAGACCCAAACGGCGGTTACAAGTATGAAGACCCGACAGCTTACCACATCCCCACCGGCTATCCCAACCAGTTCGAAATCCCTCTCCCTCTCTCACGATCAGACTCGGAAGCACAGAGAGACCTATCAAAAGTCCAATCTGCTGGCTCTTCGGAACCAAAGATTCGTTTACGCAAGGCCTGTGACAGTTGTAGTGTGCGCAAAGTAAAGGTCGGTTTGTCTATCCCGGTCGGCCCTTTCCTCTTTTTCTAACCTCGTCTTCTAGTGTGATGAAACTGGCCCGCCATGCAAGTCTTGCGCCGCCCTCGAAATTCCATGCACCTTTGATCGCCCCAGTCGTCGCCGAGGCCCTCCAAACAAGCACGCCGAAGCCATCAAGAGACAGAAGCTTGAAGGCGGTGTCTATGAAGGATCAAGGGGATCCCCAACTCACGATGCTGCCTATAGTTTGGCTGCGCTTGCGGCCCCAGTCACCCTGTCCGCTGAGTCCATCTGTGATCTGCCAACACTGGGACTTCTTCTCGATGACTATTTCACCTACATCCATCCTTTGATCCCGTTGCCTCACGAGCCCACCTTCCGCCGATCATTTGAGGCCCGTGAAGATCGTACAAACCACAACTTCCTGTCCTTGATTGCTGCCATGGTGGAATGTCTCGTGGCATCGTTTCCACGCAGACCTCGGCAACTGTTCACCTCCGAAGCAGCCAAAGCACAGTTCCCCCACGCTGGCGCCTTGATCGACCGGTGTCATCAGGTCTTCATCGAGGCCCGGGGAGTCGGCTACATGGACAGACAGATGAATCTTTATGACGGTGTTGCTAGTTACTTGGTCGCTCTAGCGGCTGGCTACGTATTGGACACTTCACGCATGCGGCTATATCTTGGAGAGTGTACCATCATTACACGGGAACTGGGCTTCCATAGACCCGAGATCTATCGTCCTGCCGCCACCCCCGGTGGAACATATCAGCCCGTCGACCTACAACGACCTCCTCCCATCGACCATGTCTATCAGGAGTCTGGGCGGCGACTGTTCTGGCTCCTCTTTGTGGGTGCGATGTCGGCTCGACAGTTGGACGACGCAGAGGGCGATCTATTAATACCTCCAGTTTCCCATGCCGAAATGCTTCCAACCCTTCCTTTGGAGGTGGACGATGAATACATCACAGAATCACAGGTTTATCCACAACCGCGTGGTATCGTATCTGAACTGACGGGTTTCAATCTCAACGTCAAGGTATTCCGGGCATTTCATTTCTTGGCAGCTCTCGAATTGGCATTTGGAGCCAACACGGTCTATGATTGGGATCGCCAACGCCAATTCATTCGTCGTGCACTCCAAAACGTCAAGGATGCAACACGAGATGCGCCGAAAGAGTTACAGTTGAATCCGGCCAATGGTTTCGGGGAATGGCCTCCCACCCAAGCTGATATCTCGGCCTACTCGCATTTGTTCAACGACCGAGATGCTGGGGATGTCGAACCCACTCCAACCCCCGTAAGCGCTCGAGGCTCATTGTCCGCTGGTTCATTTTCCAAGAGGTCCATACAGTTTGAGATCCAAAAGGCTAACATCTACGGAACCCAACTTTCATCACGATCCTATCTGGTGGAGAGATTTTGGAATCTATACGAGATCGTGGATCGAGACAAGCTGACCTTCCCCACCGATAAGTCCGGTGCGAGCTCCTCCCCCACGGCTGGGATCATGACGACAGGCATGGATCACAGTTATAGACAATTGACGGGCCGGACACCCAGTGACAGTCTGATGGATACCGGTGAGCAAATGATGGCTGTAGAGAGAGAAGACATTGTTCGCGACATGGCATTGCTGTTGAAGAGCATAAATCAAGTCAATATGGAGCCAAATGGCATGAGCTTTGTGAGTTGTGAGCATACCCGTGAGATAACACCTGCTAATCTGGTTTAGTGCAACAAAATCCGCACGGTGGCATCTACCTTACTCGAAACCAAACGCGCTCGAATGAGTGTCATGCCGACTTTGGACTCGGAAAGCGTCAACAGTTACCTTCATGCGTTCCTTGATATCCTCTCCAAGTTGGAGCGATTGGGCCCTGGCCGATTCCGTGGTGTCACCGATGTGGCAACCGGCAGCCTTCTAAGGTCACCCGAAGAGACCGAGGAGGAAGAACTGGTATATTGGGCCAGCCTGAAGGAACACCAAGAGAGGTTCGTCCGGACAAACGGAGTCTGGTAGACAATGTCTTGAGTTGTTTGAGCTCTGAAAGCATTAACGAGAAATGACAGCGCTGGGCCATGGGAAATGCAAGTGGAGGGGAGGAGGCAGGATGCTATGTGTAAGAACTACGGCTGTGGCCACTGGATTACCTTGCTTGAAGGTTCTCAAGCCGGAATTATTGATACCCCATGCGAAAATGACTGCGCTTTGTTTGAAGTGGGTGGACAACAGGGACACATCAAATATTTATGGATGTATCCGATACTTTTCAACCTGTAGTTGAGCTTGGGGGCCTCAATAGGTTGAGCCGGGGAGGAAAAGGTGACTGTCAGCATCGCAATACAGTTACCAGTAATCAAAATTATCTGCAGGTTTACTGCAGTATATGTTTGAATATACAACACAGTTGCATTGATTCATCGATTATCCTGATTGAAGCCGCCCCACTGGATTCTGAAGTAGGTCACTTGTATAATTTTTCTTGGCAGAGGCAAATTGTTCCATGTGAACTCAGGGACTAGGACTTCTCTGCTCTTATTTGTTTCTGCAAACGCCAAATCGCAGCACCGGGACGTCTGTTGCAATGACCTGATCGAACACTTGATTCACAGAACAGCCGAGCAGAATTCAAGAAGCCAAGGACACTACCACATTCAGAATGGAAAAGGAATCATTGATCACCATGACGAAGCGCCTCAGAGCAACCCTCGTATACTGAGTAGACAGTCTTCTCACTTGACGCGTTTTAACTCACTTCTGCCACATCCATGATGGACCTCGATCCCACTCCATCGAAACCGTGGCGAAAGCCAAAATTACAAAGGGTTGTCCGACCGGCGAGATCAGCACACGTGCCTGAGTCAAAGTTCGAACGCAAATATGACGCCGATTCAGGACAGGTATATTCACAGACGGAGGTCTATTTTAGTCGAAGGCAGTATTCAGATTGGATCGGAGAACCCAGAACTCCATTGCTGGTCCGAAAGGCTGCTCTAGTTACCGACAGAGGGGCCCGCTCCCTCGCAGATATGGCTAGGAACAAACTTGCCAGCCAGTTCCACAGTCTGACAGCAGAGCATTTCCTCGCTGTGCCGTGGCATCTGGCGGAAGGGGTTTGGAAAGAACTGCTCGATCGGTATGTTCATGTTTGGCGTACCCGTCTAGATTGATTTCGTCTGTTTCTGACAACTTAGAACAGACGTGCGGAGAGCTTTCACGCTTGGAGGACGTTGGCCAAGTCATATCCCCATCCAGAGGAATTTGGTCAGCGAGAATACAGATATCTATTGGATTTGAAGCAGCCACAGCTACCGCTTGCCGAGTATATACCTGGCATCACATCTCCTGGGCTAAGCTGGATGACCTGCCTAAGGATATCCCCCAAGCAATTGGCCACGGCGGATCTCGTGTCTATTCACAAGATCACCAATCTGGCAGTGCTTGATCTTTCTGATGGCCAGATCACCATCGACAATAAGCATTCCACGTTTGATGAAAGGGTGATGAGGACATGGGGAGAGCTATCGATATCAAGGCAAGCATTCCAACATCTCCGAGTGATCATGTTTGGCTGGCAGGAAAACTTGTCGGAGTGGATATTTAGATATGCAAATCAGTTCCCATCATTATGTCAGATCATTGTCACCGACTGTCCCCGGATGCATCAGAAGAATCGTGCAGAGTGGGAAGACATTGCCCAGGGAACTGGGTGGGAGGCTAGACATGCAAAGAAAAGTGCGAAGAGCTTACGACCAGTCCTGGCCGATCCAACATTCTACTCTGGCTCTGTTTCTGGATGCTACTACGCAAACCTGGAGCGCTTTGAGACATTGGCAGTGAACTGCAAGCCGATCATCACAGACCCATTGCCAATGCTGGAAGTTTGGATTGGCTCGCCGAGGCAATGGTCTCATATTGTGGAAGACTTCCCATCCACGCGAACGATAGTGTTTGATAATATCAAGACCAGTTCTTGGAGAGAGGCTAACAGGGTGGAACACACTGATCGGGAGCAGAGTAAACGGGCCAGAAATTCAGAAGTACCAACTCAGGGGAGTGCATTGCCCCCATCAAAACGAGGAGGGACCACTGCTCGCCCAATGAGAAAGAGGCAGGAAAAGAGCGCTGCTGATATGCTTGGGGAGTTCCTCAGATGATTGGAATGTTTGGCGCATATTTGCCAGTGTATCTCAATGCTAGTAAGAAGATACTCTCTGCCGGAGGATGATGAGGATTTAGGATAATAGTCCCAATAGCCAGCCCAGCTCACATACAGGCTTGATCGCGAACATCATTACACGCATCTTTCCAATATAGCTTCCATGGCCACCATAACTTATTTCTTATGCTGAACCCTGCCAACGGCTCGAAGGCTGAGCTCCGTCATGTGGCTGAACCCTCCGTGTATATCCGGTGCAGTTTGTTCCTGAGCTTCGGATTCGTCCTCAAAGGCGGGATGACGGCCAAGGGGCTCCCCTCCAAAAGGCCGACATCACCTGAGCCCGCAGACGGCATTAATTTATTTACCTCATTCCAGTTCGTTCCACTCATGACCATTCACTCACTATTGACTCTGGTGTACTATCACTTCCATTGAACCCGATTTTCACTGGTGATTTACACGCTCCCACACCTCTATCCAAGCCTGACGCGCCGACTGGTGTTCCACCTAAAACATGTACCCCGCGCTCGCTTGAGCTTCAAGCGCCCTCGATACCTGTTCACCCCCTCTGAATTTCCCACAATTCAACTCTCCCAACCACTCACCACGTACACTTTATCAACACAGCCCAAGACTACCAGTGCATTGAACACAATTGTCCCATTCTTACCACCATGTCAACCCCGAACCGAGACCCTCCGGTGTACTCCCCACCCTCCACCAGCGCGTCATCCAGATCCAGTTTTGACACTCAATCCCCAACTGGAAATGCGAGAAATCCTTCCCTACGCATTCCATCCATGCCCAGTGCTGCCGCTCAGCACCGTCAGAGCTTCCATGAACTACGAGGGCTCCCTCCGTCTCCTCGTTCTCAGAGACAACCTTCTCTCTCCCAAATTGCCATACAAGATCTCATAGACAATCCTCCAATGAATCACCCTGATCCAAAGTTTGCGGGCCGGGAATGGCAGACTGTCAAAGTCAGCGAGTTGGCCAATCCTGACGACCTCAAGTTTGTCGACATTGATACAGGTGTTGAGGCTGCCACAAAGGTATTTCCACTCAATTTCTCCACCCTCTCCTGGACTCAAATTGACTCGATTTAGCTGCTGATCGAATCTGGTGCTCCCGTCGTCCTAATTCGCGAGAAGGAGGGGTCCCCAGTCATTGGAACATTTGACGCCAGAGATCTAAATGCCTACTTATTACTCGTGGTGGGACTGTCAAAACCCGATGATGAGCATGCTGAGGATTTCATTCAGCTAGCGAGAAGAGCACGAGAAGGAAAACCCATACCACTCCGAGAGATCCAAGACCTGAGCAAGAAAGAGCCTCTGACATTTCTCGACGAAGATGCCGACTTGATCAAGGCCATTGAGACCTTTGGAAGAGGTGTCCACCGGGCCGTGGTCAGGAACCAAGAGACAGGCACTGTCACTGGCGTTCTCAGTCAGAGCCGTTTGATCAGGTTCCTATGGGATAATGGCCGAAGCTTCCCGGTCCTTGAGCAGCTCTACTCCCAACACTTGCGTGATCTTAAGATTGGTTCCAACGATGTTGTCTCCATCAAGTAAGCCTATTTTTTATTTCTCCGTTCCCACGATTATCACTGACCGTGCCTCCAGTGGTGACCGACCGTTAGCAGAAGCGCTCACACTCCTCTTGAACGAGGGAATATCCTCCCTCGCTGTGGTAGATCATAACCACAATGTTGTCGGGAACATCTCAAACGTCGACGTCAAATTACTCACCAAATCCTCCTCCCTTCCTCTACTTCGGAACACCTGCATCCACTTCATCACGGTCATTCTATCTACCAGGGGCATGATTGAAGGAAAAGATTCCTTTCCTGTCTTTCATGTCACCCCACTCTCCACCCTTGCACACACCGTTGCCAAACTCGTGGCGACAAAGTCACATCGTATGTGGCTTACCGAACCAGTGTCACCTAGCTCGTCTGGCCCACCTACGCCCTCTCTTCATACAGCCACAATGGTGCCAACCTCAAGCCACTCTTCCTCCTTCTCGTCCCCCAGTGGCCAGCACCACATGACTCCGCCTCTAGCTGCATCAGCCCCTTCGGCACCAGACCCATTCGCCTCCACCATCGCCGACCATTCACCCAAGACTCCGTTCATCACACCTACGGGTCCATCAATATCCGCATCTGCCATACCTGGTGCTCGGATATCTGGCCGTCTTGTGGGTGTTGTGAGTTTGACCGACATTTTGATCCTTTTTGCACGTGCTGGAGGCCTCGATGTTGCGAATCCAATCGACATCCGCAATCGACGGAGGCGAAGCAGCTCGAGCAGTGTCCGCAAGAGCTTTGATCTAGGTACTAGACCGCAGGGCAACGCACTCAGACCGAGTGGAGAATTGGCACGAAAGAGTAGCCAGGCAGGGAGCTTGAATGGTTAGTCGCCCAACGCAGGTCAATGGTCTAATCATAGTCCAATGAGGATTTGTGCATGCCCTCCTGTTTGACCGAGTGGGAGGACGCCAGGGATATTCTTCCTCGACTGAAACTGGCTAAGACAAATCATCATACTATGGAACATGGATACGCTATGAGAAGCTAGGTGCTGGATTTCAGGAATACGACACTCCTGGTCGCTGCTGGGGACAACAGCCACAGCTCGGTCACTCCATAAATGCACAACGTGAGGATTCTCAACAACATTTTTAGTTCTGAGATCGTCAGAAGGCGACTGCTGTGCATTCTCAATACACTTGCTGGGCGGCTCTCATACATACCTCACGGAAAGGGGGGGGGGCTTCGAGCTTGAATTCACCCCAGATTCGACACTTGGCTAGACGCTTCACACTCGAGACCGAGACGACGAAAGACCACGCCAATACGGCATGAATACAAATTAGCAGGTAATATTACATTAATGATATAGATGAATCTCAATTTTCCACTGGTGTTGGAACAATGAAGACCTGGGTATTTGACCTTGCCGGCCTCAATGGTGCTGCGCGCTTTGCCTTACATGCAGTGATTCTCACGGCGCATTTCCCCATGTCCATGCATAGGTACCTCGCTCTCCATACTCTGCGTCACGCGCCCTCTTCATTTGTCTGATCTCTGCTCCTTCGCGGTCCCACATCAAGTGATATCAGCATCGAGCGCTAACGAGCAAAGAGCGGAAATGCTGCTCAAGAAACCATTCGACTCCCCCACGGTATGGTATGTATGCCTCATGTGCACCTATCTAGGAAGGCAATAATGACTTAGGTCTGATCTCATTCACTTCACGGACAAGAAATTCGAGCCACGGCGCTCGCTCACGACGCTTTAATCATTTACTGATTAAGATAATAACTCTGATATCCAAGTTCACGCCGTCATTGAAACTCACAGATCATCTCTCGCCAGCGACAGGCGAGTCTCGCTTCTGCAAGAGCTGCGCCCTCCGCTCTTGGATACGCCTCTCCTCGGCCTCGAGGTACTGCAGCTCGAGGGCTTCCAGTGTCGTGGCGGTTCCGAAGTCCCCGTTTTCTGGCGGCGGCATGGCGTTGACCGCCGTCGTGGGGTCGCGAGAGTCAACGGTGGTAATGTCCCTACTACTACCTCCTGGCACGGGTGTTTCCATCGTACCCAGTTTTGGGCGCGATACGTTGCCCACAAGTGTGTCTGCTCGGGAGCCTGACTGAGTGCTGGAGTCTGGTTGTGCCCGCTCCCGCTCCCGCTCCCTGTCACTTCCCGTCGCTCCTGGGGCTTCATAGATGTTGACGCTGTCTAGCTCTGGGACATCTCGTGGATGGTGGGAGCCCGGAAGCTCGGTCACCTCTGGAAATGGCTTTCTTGTGATGCCGGTCGCGTCTAGTTCCGGTTTGCCTGTGTATTCGGCTGGCTCTCTCAGGGAAGTCTACTTCTGCTTTTTCTGCCGTCGCTTTTTCCGTAGCAAAAATGCGACCACGCCGATCCCGACAACGACTGCTGCTGCTATGCCCGCGCCGATTCCGGCTTTTGCCCCCGTCGACAAGCCGCCGCCGCCACCTGCAATTGGTGTGTCGGCGCCGGTAGGGTTTGCTCCTCCTGCAGTTGCTGACGATGGAATCCCGGTACCATTTGTTGTCAAAACACCGGCGGGCGTGTAGTCGGAAGGAAAGAGTGTCAGGTCTGTCTCTTGCTACCATACGATAATGTTCTCAGCCAATATCGTGGCCGCAACATAAAGGGTTTGGGCGATGGTGGAGGTTCCAGAATTCCCTGTCGTCGCTAAGAGAGATGCGCCTGTTGCGGAAGTGAAGATGCTTGCGCAGTAGCGATCAGAAGTGTGTCCGGCGTGGAGACCGCTAGTTCAGCAAGAGAAGAGGAGTGATCAGCTTGCGACGCATTTGACCTTGGGATATCAAAGGGGTGTCATGTACATACTATGGACAACATTGCGACACTGTCGTGAGACCTGTCGTCGCGCTGGGGTCGAGACCCGCCAGAACACTTGACCAGTCCGTTGTGTATCCAGATGGACAGATTCCCGGACTGAACGTATTCTCGGTACTGTAACCAGGAGGGAGACAGTCGAAGTTTTCAGGCTTCAACAGCCATACCGAACCGTCACTTGTTGTTGGTATGGCGCTCACACCCTGACAGGACTCTGGCGCTGTGAAGACGGTCGTAAGGGGAGGGAAGGTTTGGAATGAGCTTGGGAGATTTTGTAAGTCTGACGTTGAAGCTGCTGTTGAAGCTGCTGTTGAAGCTGTTGGTGAGAGTGTTGGAGCAATTTCGTCCTGTGGAGCCATCTTGAGGTATCAAAGAATGCCAGTGATGGGGTCGAAACACTGGCAAGGAATCCAATGTCCGGCTAGCAACCTCTTTGAAGGATTTGAACTCTCCGCGGGTTCAGAGCGCAGCTAGCCGTTCCATGTTCACCGCAAGGCTGAAGGATGTCCAGCTGGCTCAGCCGCCTCGCCGCCTTCGTGCAGTGTTCGCCCCTCATCGTGGCGTTCCATAGCCGCTTCGAGATCCTTGGCCATTCATGCCGCACGGGAAGAAGTAACTGATCGGCTTCAGTATTATCGTACTAGGTATTATGTTGAATCATGATGGTCGAGAGAATTCCATTCAAGCTAGCTTGAGAAACTTATCCATGAGGAACTTATGCAATCCTCAGATGAAGTCAAATACCTACCTGGGTAAGGTTCGACGAAGGCCCGTTCTTCCCTCCCACGGCCCGAAGGAGGGCCCGTCAATCATCTGCCCTTAGAGGAAGGTATGGGTCCGTCTAAAATAATCTGCACCTCAGAACTACTGCGCTCTAGTGTAGGTAAGGATGAGCGAACCTGAGAGAGTGCACCGAGCAGAGAGGTGACGTTGTGTGATCCAGTCCGTGAAGCCAATAATCTGTAAATATTGGGTGCTCGGACTTGGTCAGTTTGATCGGCGAATCCGTCCCTCGTCTTTGGTCCGTAAATGCATTCCGAGATCAAAAAGGGGAGAAAGGAAATCGAGGCTAGGATCTGCTTTCCGATAGGTACGGAGTCGAGCTACTCCAGTACTAGCTAGCCAAACCTCATGATTCGCTTGGTGCAAGCGACGTATGTACTTCCGTGGTGTGATGTGTGGAACTGATATTGAGGTGTTGGCCGGGTGGGGCTGACTCGTGAGAATCTGATGTAATAATTAATGTTCATCCCTTTGTTGTGAGGGCAGACAGTCCTCTCATACCTTCCCATTCATGCTCGTCCGGTCATCTAGGACCCGAGTGGAAGAAAGAGAGATTGGACATTTGAGCAAGTCACAATCGGCAAATGAGCCATAGAACTGCTTATTGGCATAAGTAGCTCGAGGTAGACACTTGTTGTTGGGGCAACTTTGGGTTCGCGACAATCATTCTGACTTTATACAGATACGTTCATAATAATAATGTCAGGGTAAGGAAAGGGTTTCCAACGAAGAGATATAGCACGTTAAAAAAGTGTGGTTTTTCTTTTTATTATATATATCTCCTTGCTGTCCGGTTTTGCCTGATCAAAAAAGGACCAACAGCCAGGGATAGTTTCATGAGATCGCAAGAGCTGGCTCTTCCACTTTCAGTATGGGAATAAATATCACCCATCGAGTATCGTTTGCTAATTGCATAAATCATAAAATCTCCGTTGGTTGTCCTGTTGCTATTGCAGCTGCTCATTCGACTCAAAGTAACTCCAGCGCCTGGGTAGATATTCGTGAAAAAGAATAGTTGCGGGTATAATACAAGGTATGTGACTGAAACCATTCCTCAGTCGTTATTGGGGCGATTTGGAAAGGAAGACTTTTGTCCCAAATCGTAAGCCGACAGCTCCAAACAGATCAACGAGCAAGGCAACAGGTAGAACCCCGAGCCCACAAACTGAAAAATGTGGTTTGCCGCCCGCTGGAGAGGGAGAGTCGGTAAAGATCAAAAATCAAAAGATCATTCAGCAGACACAACTGATCCATCACCACCTGCTCATGTATTACCGTCGTCCCCGACACTACCTTGCAAGGATCGAGCGGTATGCTCGTCCTCCCAAGTTCCGTCAGTCATAAAGTTGTCCCAAAATCCCTCACCGCCAGGTGTGATTTGACCAGAAGCCAGTCCCGAAGCCTTGAGACTATCTTCTCCAGACATACCCGTATTGCCAAAATCAAATGCTTTGGATTCTTGACTAAAATTGAAGTCAAGTCCTGCTGTAGGTGGCAATGTAGATGAATGCGTTACTGAAGAGGTCTGCTTGGCATTTTGAGTCAAAGACGATGAGATCTTGCTGTCTTGTGCAGAATTCATCACATGGTGCTCAAGGTCTGAAGGAGCTAGTGTAGTCGACATGCCTTGATAAGCTGATGGATGGACTGGCATGCCCTTCAAACCTGATTGATTCATGTCATGCCATGGATAATATGGAGATGATGTGTATTGATCGGATCCTTGCATGAGCATGGCGTATGTGGGGTCATTGATGTCGAATTGTGGTGCGAATGCCAACATTTGCTGTGACTCAGGAGGAAGAGAGGTTGTGAATGGGCTTGGGTTTTGGTAGAAGGATGGATATGTACTTGATTGTGGAAAGGTGGCGGATTGAGTCTGGCGTAGATAATCTGGATCAGGCTTGATATTGTCTGTATTGATATTATGACCAGATTGTTGGGCATCACTGTTGGATTGGGTGGTAGCTGGAGTTGACATTCGTCTCGAATCCAAGGATGGGGTCTGGGCTGAATTCGGAGGAGATGTGTGGTTCTGATTGTTTGAGAATGATGCCAATGATTGAGCTCGTCCATGATTCTGACGGTAGTCTGTCTGATGGGGGTTGGGGTATGGAGCTGAACGATATGACGTGGTTGGTGACTGTACCATAGCTGTTTGAGGTAGCATCTGAGGCTGAAACATATTAGGTGGTTGTGGTTGATATGGCATGTTGGGATATTGAGCATAGGGGTTCTGCATCTGGCCCATCATATTTCGTACCGCGACCTGCTGTGTTAGGTAGGCTGCTAATCTTCGATTGAAATCTGCAGAACCAGTCTGGAGATGTGCTGTGAGTCGTCGGTAGTGCATAGGCAGGTCATCATCCTCTTCCTCGTACATTTCTTCGTTGATCACATCTTGCTCGGTGACACGTAATGAGCGACCAGTGCGTCGTTTGTGAATTTCGGATGCTCTTCTTGCAGACTCGACTCTTGCCTCAAGACTTCGATCACTTCTTCGCGAAGCGGCGATGTATGCTCTGTTTGAAAAGTTAGGATAAAGAACAGGCTATACCTCGGGCAAGATGTGCCTACCGCTCTTGGTTCTCCTCATGGGTACGCTCTGTTTTCATAGGTTTCACTGGAGGTATACTCCTAGTGGGAGGAGTTGGTGCAGCCTTTGGCATTTCGAATAACCTCGAGGTCGGCAACTTTGGTCCAGACCGATCGACTGATAAGAGAAAGCCGAGTCAAATATCGAAACCTGTGTGTCGATGTGTATTGCTGAATGGTCGTAGCAAGCAATATAGAGCGACAGAGAATATCTGGGAAGCCCACACGTAGATCAAGTGTTGAGTATCGATGAAAATAGTCTGTTGATACGAGTTTTGAGAGGATAGAAGAGGTGATCGTAGGAGTGGCAAAAGAGGAGGAGATGTACGAAATGGAGTTGGGGTTGTCGAAATGCCGAAAAAGACCCCCCAGTAATTCGTACTAGCACCGATAGGTGGTGAACCGCCAAGTGGAGTGGATAGAGCAAAGAGCAGCGCAGAATCAACCCAACCAAGAAAGGACTACGAGATGTGGACAGGGTCGGTTAGAGCTTTGAACAGAAGCTGGTGGATCGGTGTACGAAGAGGGCTATGCTGGAATAGCTCCGGGTATGGAGGAGACAGGTCGCAGGAGTGGATGGGAAGTGTAAAAAGTATACTGGAGGGCATGGGCATTGGCATGGGCAAGGGCATGGGGTGATGTTAGAACCACGGGTTGCAGTGTGGACAAACAAATAACAACGATAGCGAGTTAGGCGTACCGACTCCTCATGAAATTATGATTTCCCAGTACCAAAGAACGAGGCAGGTGCGTGCGGTGGTGGGAGCCCGAGGAGGTCACTGGTGGCAGCTTTGGCAGCACCGCCAGTAATTAGGGCAGCGGAAGGAACAACCGTAAGTTTGACCCAGAGGGAAAGAACGAAGTTGCCAGTGAGGAGCGCGATGGGAAGGAAAGTCATTTGCTGCAGACGACCACGACGATCGATGGCAAAGATGGGAGCGATACCACATCTGGAAGGTGAGGCCTCTCGATAAGGTTCAGACGGGACGATGGGCGATGGGCAAACTGGGATGTGCCAGGGATGTCACAGATCATGGCCTTTTCAATGGCCCGCTTCTGACGCCTCACCCTCGGGAAACATGATCCGCCGCACGCTCAGGTCGATTGACGTTTCTGTCCCGTCCAGCATTCTTTGGAATTCCGGGTTCGACATCCCTGAGAGTTTTCCAAACGATACGAACTAGATACGACTCTCGTTCGACGGAAATACAACATCCGCAATTGCATCAGATGGGGAGGGTCCAGAAAACACGGGTTGGAATAATTGTGTACCTTGGCCTTCTCGGAAGTCCGAATTAGGTCTAGCCCCAGATCTTAGCCTGCATCTGGCATCGGCTATCTTACGCTTCAACGGTTCTGACGTTGAGCTCGTATTCCCAGAGAATAAAACCACCTTCACATTTCAGAACATCAGTGCGTAAAGATGGGAAAGTAGATAATACCCATCTCTTGCAATGTTACCCAGGTTCAATACTATCTAGGAGTCTATCAAGACTGACATGGGATTATTCCGTTGGGTATCATAGACCTCCTTACCTAGGCACCTACTAGAATAAAGAAGGGGTTGCAGGGGCAGCTAAGTCGGACAGGAGATGGATACACCCAGAAGAATAACAGTGGGAGTGACACACTTCCTACCTAACAGGTACATACCGCGTCATATGGGCTCGTGCGGCCCCCTCTCAAATTAACCCAATGCCCTAATCTACCATTTCGACTCTGTATGCGGAGTCCATTCCTGGATATCTACAGATATGCTATTTCCTGTCTGCCAGTGCAGTGGGCGACACAACAGCCACCTCGTCAACAGACCACCTCTGAAACTCGGTACTGATGGATCTTATACATACTATGGTGAAGCTTCGGTAGAAAATATGTAGCTGGCGCGGATTCGCTAGTAGGCTCAAAACGAACATGTTAGCCCGAGCCGAACGATCAAAATTGTAGAATTTGAAATACCGTTCTGGAAGAAGCCGAAGCCACGGCACTATTAGGTATGGGATGTGTGAATTGGGCACGGCGTTCCGTAAGTCCTGTCAAAAGGTTCAAGTTTCAAAAAATACACCAATCACTTAACCGGACCATCATCTGTGTCCATGAGGCAGATCGGCGATCTGGACTGCACCACCCAACGCCTTGGCTTTTCCAGTCCAAGAGAGTTCCCACGAACCGCCAATCCCTTTTCCAAAAGTCAAAACTTCGAAAAGCAAGTCCCCCAAAAAAGTCCAAACTGTGGTCCACAATGACGCCGCCTCCACTACTGAAACTACCCGTACTAGCATTCAGGTTTGTGAATCTATTCCTTCAAGTTGAGGATCCTTCCGTATTAGTATCCTGGAAGCAACCAAAAGCCAGAGTCCCCCCCTGTCCCGGCTCCCCTGGTCCTAACAGGCAAGGAATGTGAGTTGAGTTCTGCACGATCGGATCTCCTACCCGCCTAGCCTCCATGTCGATCCATCTTCATCTCAGCGATTGCTGCTTTTCCGCACATCACATTGGCCAGAGCATGTCTCGTATGCCATTTCCGGCGCGAGATCTCATCGTCTTGGGACGTCAGTTGCCTCGTGCTTCTCGTATTGTCACGATCCACTGTGCCCATCCCCCAGGGTCAGGATACTGACGGATACATGCCCAGCCCGACCCTGACTGATGGGGGTTCAACATCTTTTGTTCGCTCGACCTTGCCTCCTTCCAGACAGAGACAGGAGTCCGTTCTCTAAAAAAACAGACTCTAGACCTGATGTGGAAAAAACCGCGAGTTGCTTAGGTAGGTAGGTAGAGAGCGACGGGGATATTGGTTTAGCCACTCCAGTACCGCGAGGAGAATATAATTCTATCTCATACAAAGATCGCAGGAAACCCCCAATAATGGTTACCCGCTGCCAATCGCCCACTGGCACAGTAACTGTGGAAGTATCTACCACGCAGGGCCCACACTCCGCCTTTGAATCAAACGTCATACTGGGCTGCTCTTCACTTTCGTAGCAACTCCATGCTGGTTTTCAGTATCGTGTCTTCCTTCAGTTGATCCCCAATGGCGGTACGGTCCCTTGTTCTTCTTTTGCGTGGCCATTGATTTCATATGCTACCTTGAACCGCATTTTCACAACATTACCTTTCCCTTCTGGTATTCCGTTTAGTAGGATTTCTTGTCGCAACAGCCGCTCAGATTTGGGTGCTAGCTCCCTACCACTCTGAGGTTTGAGTTGGAGCGTGTAGCTTTTCTCCACGGCCACCTGAAAGTGCAATGCTGTAATTCGTTGATGTGTCGTATTGGAGAAATATGCTGTCATCTGTATTATTGACTGTCCTGGTATTCTCCGCGGTTCAAACTCGATCTTGATATCTGAAGAATGTACTACGACCACAGTCGATGGAGGCAGCGCGGATTCAAAAAGCCATTCATCATCCGCCGTTGTCGACCCTGTCGCTTGTGGTGCGGTAACTGCTGCTTGAGGACGTACTTGACTTGGTGTGGATGCCCGAGGTGTTGATGGACGAGATCCGGCCGAGACCAGCGCTGCAAACGGATCTAGAGCAGACTGGGCTGGCGGCCGTGCTTGTTGTGCCGTTGGTACTGGTGTAGCTGGTTTGGAAGGAGGCAGAGCACTAGAGAGGGACGCGAAGACATCGTAGTTGGGTTTCGGAGATGCTTGAGCGGCCGGCGTTTGGCTGTAAGCTGGAGGGAATTGGGGGCTGTTGGTAAATCCTAGCGGTGGGACACTAGCAAACGTCGTGCTAGGTCCAAGTGAGATTGAGCCTGTTTCGCCCAGTGACAAACCGAGTAAGTCATCCTCCACTGTTGTTGGTTTTGCTGGGGCTGACGATGCTCCTACGGTGCCATCCAAGAGCGAGCCGTTGGTGTTTGACGACTCGGCTGATGCAGATGGCTCCGGGTCAAAATCAATCAACGAAAGTTCATTGGCAGCATTTTTGCCCACCCCCGTTGTCCTACCCAAGGTCCCCTTTTCAATCTTGTTTGCTGCCTCGATATTCCCGGCTTTCATCAGTCTATATCGTTCAATCGTGCGATGAATACTGTCGTTGATTTCGAGCAATTTCGCCACTGCCTCAGCGTCCTCGGACTCTTCTTCACACATCTTCTGGATTTTGGGATGTGCACTGGATAATGCTGCAGCGAGTTCCTACGTTTAATTAGAACATTCCTCACTAGGCTCAAATTGAGACCAAGGTGTGTATAGGCACTCACCTCAAAGACATCTCCATCACCAATCTTGTCGCCTGGCCGATGATTTTGAAGCATCTCTTCAAGAATCTTGGCCTTTTGTTGCACTTTGGAGACTTCCTCTGCTGCTTTCGCCCGGTAGTCTGTCTTGTGCCTTGTGTCGTAGCCAGCCATGACTTTCATCAACTTATTGGCTTCCTGCAGATCTTGTGGACGTCCTCGCCGGATCAATTCTTGTAATTTTGCAGATTGTGCAGCGCGGTCTTCTTCCTCCATTTCTTCTGCAGACTGTAAATTCTATCATCTGTCAGCAATGCCCACAGAGTCGATCGAGTTTAGCATACATCACTCGGATTTAGCACAGCAGCATCTTCTTGCCGCACCTCTGGAAACATGTAACCTTTGTAAAGTAACAGTCGATGCATGTCCCTTATAAATCCTAAATCATCTTTGTATCGAGAGGTTTGGCATATGGTTTGTCGCCATTCCTCAATGGCTTCCAGTATTTTACCCTGTACACGAGACGGCCGAATAGGGGGGCGTTCAGGAAAGCGACGGACGAGTTCATTAAGGAACTCTTTTGTGCTTATCTGTAGGTGGAATGGGTAACCACAATTCTTGACACAGTTGTCAAGTAGAGACAAGGCAAGGAGGGAGACGTTGGGATTTCGATGATTGATGAGTTGGACGATCGTGACGGCGGCCTCACGCGGCGCATTGCCCTTTTTGGAGTTTATGAGATCGACAACCTCGAGGTTCAAGGCCAGATTAGGTTCGAGATTGGCTATGGGATCGCATGCATTGAAGATGAATCTCTGGAGATTTGAGCGAGGCGGAGAAAACCCGTCGAACTGGTTTCGAGATGCCATCCTGGCTGAAGCAGCCTCCATGGTTTGGGTGAGCTGGTATTCCAATAGAACTAGACCGCGTCTTGATATCAAACTCTATATTCGATTGCCAGTTTGGTAGGCTGTTCTGACCTGCAGTGGTCTGCCTGCGAGGTGAAATGTCGTGCCTATCCCTGTTACAACGTTGGCTGATATGAAGCCGCCCACCATGGCAGTCCCGCCTGTGACGACGGCCTTGGCATTGCCCTTCTCGATCGGGGAAGGCGCGCTCTTATGAGGGGCACTTTCCCTGGTTCTGGGTACCATTCGAGTTTCTGGCTTATCTGGCCTGTACGGGGAGTATTGCGAGCCTCGCCATGATAGCAAGGCTATCAATAGTAGAATGAGATTGAATGGGGATAAAAGTATAAAAGTGTGTATTTGGTCAACAAGCTCTACTGCCTACATTGAAAATGCTGAAGTAAGTCCAACGCCCAAATGATGCCAATGTGTAAAAGCTCTGTTTCATCCTTGACTTGTCTGCTGTCCCAACAGTGAAATCATTCTCGCATGCTCAATCATCGTGGCCTCCGCGGACTTGCAATCCCAGCACTTCGTAGCGCTGGAGGGGCAGGTAAGTCTTTCATCGGCGGCGGGGGCAGGGGTCCCGTAGGTGGAGGTGGTCTAACGGACAGCGCAGGACTGGCAAGATGACTCCGACTCGAAATCGCGGATCCATTGGAACTCGTCCGTGGTGGAAACATTGGTCTCCCGGAAGGTTCGATGGCTGAAGCTGGTTCAGGAATGTTGTCTCTGTCGTTGTATCCGAGGCGATTGGACCGAGACCCCAGCCCGCTTGGGGCATCCCTGGTCTCAAGGGACAAATGTTGTAAAGACAGAGGTGGAGGCGGTGATCTTTCTACTATCCCAGTCGGTGTCTGTTGAGCTGGCGGTGCAAATGCAAATTGTGGCGCAGCTAAAGGAATGTCTCCAGAAGTGGGACTGGCGTACTTCCTTGCTGTGACTGGTGTTGCTCGGCTGTCACTTGTAAAAGACGCGGTGGATGTTGCAGACGTCGCATACGATGAATCTGATGTCGTTCCATCGCTCTTGAGAGACTTGGGCGCTGGAGGTGCCAAATATGATTTCCGATTGTGTCGATCCATCATTGCCACTGCCCACTCCTGCAGATCGACCGGCGTTCGCTTAGCCGCCTGCAGAAAGTTATCTCGGTCGTATAGTTCCCGAGGAGTTGGTCGTTCATCCGGGCTTTTCAGTAAACACTTGGCAATGAAATCATCCAGTATGCCAGGGAATGCTTCGCTTTTAGGTAGCTTTGGCGCAGGTTCGTGAACAATCTGTTGCAAGAGGTCCAAAATACCCATCGGTCCTGCACTCGCTCGATCTCCAGCAGCTGAATCGCTTGCGTCGAAGGGGAATCTTCCGATGGCAAGTTCCATGACCGTCAGCCCGACACTCCACACATCTGATTTAATTGTGTAGGCACCACCCTGAATCCGTTCGGGCGCCATGTATGTTGAAGTTCCCACAAATGTATTGGCTACTGAGTTGACAGTTTCGGTTGCAACACCAAAGTCACAAAGTTTGATCATGCCTCTAGAATTGACCAGCACATTTGACGGCTTGATGTCTCGATGCATGATGCGATGTGCCTCATAGAGATACACTAGACCACCTAATATGGACTCCGTGATCTTTCCAAGCACATCAACGCGTATTGGCCCGAAATCTTTCGATATACGGTCCAAAGACCTGGAGGAGATGTTAGCTTGCGACTTTGAGATTCACTGCCTTCGTTTGACGTACCCGCAGTCCATATATTCCATACATAACACGATGTCGCGAGCTTCGTTCTGGAATGCCCCATAAAACGTAATCACGTACGGAGAGCTGCAATCATGTCCGACTTGTAGTTCTCTGACGATTTGTTTCCGAACGTTTTCTTTGGCGTCGACTCGGATGATCTGGTTTCCTTTTAGCAACCTCGAACAACTTCTTGAGATGACCCGTGACAGACCTTTCTTGCCATGATGACCTTGGTCGATGCGTGCATGACTTTGCTGACAGTGCCTCCATTTCCCGCACCGAGTTCTTTCAGTACCACCAAATCCTCGCTTCTCAAGTCCAACTTGAATTCCAAACCAATCTCTAGAGTGTCGGTCCGGTCACTCTCGGAGTTGCCCAACGCACCCGGGATTTGTGCATCCCCATCCGACGGGGCTGTTCGCGGGGCCGGAGCATTCAAAGCCAGACCTTTGACGTTCTTCCTCTTCAACGTACGGGCTTTGAAAGGGTCTGACATGGTGGCGAGTGAAGGAGCGAAGGTTGAGGGAGAATAAGGAGGTGGGGACGTTGACTCGGAATCGGTGGAGGGTAGCAGAGATGCAAGATCAGGAAAGAGGTACTACAGAGGTCTTGGAAAAGTCGGCTCGGTCGTGTGCAGAACTTGAATCTTTGACGGGCGGCTAAATCAGAGCCCTACTGCGACGTCAACCCAGTCCATCAGGCGCCAGGCAGTGGCAGGCGTGATAATCCCTGGAACAGTGAGGGCGGTTCGTGGGTAAGCCGCAGGTGAGGACCACCAAATATCGACACGGATAGAGGATCAACTATCAAGTAGGCGTCGACAGTCAAAAAATGTAAAGTTGGCAATGAGAAGTAGAATTAGGAGAAACCTCAATTGCGAACTGCAGTTGAGGCGTAACTTCAGTGCCGGGGGTCGGACCTCGTAGTTTTGGTCTTGAAACTTGGGGTGGAGGGATGCGTGGCTCGATAGGGGCGGAAGTGCTTCAGACCTCGTTTTGGACTTTATCTCCAAGTAGAATGATGGAGATTCGTCAACGACCGAATGCGTAGTTGGATCGCATCTGAGAATGGACAGTTGCTGGATTGACCAATTTCCAATGAGATAGTGTGCTCAAGCGAAGGCGGCTATTGAGGCCCTTTTGTGAAGCCCTGCACAGAGACAGGTGACCAGTGACCAAGGCCCCGTACGTGATTGTCGCCAGAGACCCCATTATTCCTCAACAATGGAGTCGACACGCTGAGACCAGACCAAACGCCGCTAGCGCCAGGAATGAGGGACGGAAAAGGATTAAATATATATCCGGCTTGGCAGAATGCGGTGGAGTATCCGAGGTGGACTGCGGGTTCATACGGTGGATGGTTGCACATGAATCTGGCCATTCTTTTTCATGGGAACTGCGCGATTCTGTGGACGGTGATCTTTGTCCTTGTAAACCTACAATCTTTCCCAGCAACTTCCGCCTGGATTGTGATTGATCAAGCGCGTTTTAATTGTGAAATTGGAGTTCCAGTCCATCCTTCATTTCACCTTTTGTCCTGCTCCTCCCTTTTCAACTCCACCACTTCGCTTCCCTTCGATTTCTTTGAACCATGGATTTGATCGATGACCGCGCCGTACTCGACGATGATGACGATGAAGAATCCTTTGATGAAGAGACTGGCGACATCAAACAAAAGTCAAACGGAAGCAAGCCACGATTTGAAGACTCCTCTGAAGAGGAAGATGACGACGATGACGAGGAAGCGGCCAAAGAGGTACTTTTCACTTCACATCAACACCACTAGTCCAGATACTAACATCCCCAAGGTAGCCGAAGGTTTTATTGTCGATGAAGATGAAGACGAAGAAGAAGCACGACGAGAACGGCGGCGCGAACGCAAGAAACGTCGCCGTGAAGAACGCGATCGAGAGGACGAAGGCCTCGATGAGGAAGATCTGGAATTGATTGGCCTCAAACCTACAGAAGAAGCTACGGAACCCAAATTCAAGAGACTGAAACGTGGGCCTCGAGAAGAACGAGAAACGCAACGTACTTATGGCATCAACGACATCTTTCGTGATTCGGATGATGAAGAGGAGACCGATCCATACGCCCAAAGAGCTCGGCAAGGGAGGAGAGGTGGACAAGACGACATGGAAGGATTCATTATAGATGACGTCTTTTCCGATGATGAGCAACAGCGGCAACGTGAGGATGAAGAAGTCGCCCGCCCTGCCCGACGAGGCCTTCCAGACCTTGGTATTGCGGATGCAGCTGGCCTTGACGAAGCTGCCTTGGATGATTTCCGCGCGGCATTTGGCGACGGAACAGACTACGACTTTGCATTGGTGAAGGAAGACGAAGCAGATGAAGAGGAGGCTAAAAAGGACAAACATCTCGACCTGAAAGATGTCTTCGAACCCTCCCAACTGGCAGAGAGAATGTTGACTGACGAAGACAATCTTGTTCGAGGCACAGACGAACCCGAACGACATCAGCTCGCCAGAAAGCCCTACCGTCACATCGAGCTTACAGTGGACGAGTTCAAAGAGGAAGCCACCTGGATTTCCAATTTAATGTTGCCGGAAAAGAACCTTGATCCGTCTCTAAAGGAGCCATTCGCCAATGCAATAGGCCAATCCCTGGAATTCATGGTCCGTGACGATTTTGAGCCACCATTCATCTACAACAACCGCAAAGACTATTTGATGCATGTCACCTCGAAGGTGGTCGGTAGAGATGAGCATGGAAATCCGCGAACTACCTCTGACGCCATAAAACTCCTGGTTCTCCCAGACTTGTGGAAAATCTTCGAGTGGGATTTAAAGTTCCGAGCTTTAATTGAAAAGAGACGAGCATTGCAAAAGACTTACGATGATCTCAAAACGACAAGCATCCCTGAAGATGCCACATTTGAAGAGATGCTTCCGACGGCAGCCACTATGGAGGAATTGCAGGATCTCCAGGATTACCTGTTCTTCCAATACGCATCACAGCTGAAGGATCTTGCGTTGACCGCCAATCACAATGGAGTTGCCATGTCACAGAAGAAGGCACTGACCAGAACAGTGTTTGAGGAGATCCGTTCTGCCAAAGTATATGGCCTCGTTCGTGCCTATGGTATCTCTGCCGATGCATTCGCCCAGAATGCGGCAGGCAGAGGACAGAGGACCTACACCGAAGACCCATTGGAGAATCCGGAGACTCTCGCTGACTCATTCGTTGACGATGAATTTTCGACCTCTACAAACGCCTTGAAAGCCGCAAAATCAATGTTTGTAGAGGAACTCTTTATGAACCCCCGATTTCGAGCTTGGATAAGGGAAAATGTCTATCGCCAGGGCGCGGTAGACTGCTTTCGTACCGAGAAAGGCCTGCGCAAGATCGACGAACAGCATCCCTATTACGAATTCAAATATCTGAGGAATCAGTCGCTCGCCTCCTTCTTCCATGAGCCGGAACTTTTCTTGAAAATGTTGCGCGCTGAGGAAGACGGGTTGGTTGAGATCAAGACTCGACTAAAGAATCAAGATTCGTTCATCAAAACTCTCCACAAGCAGATTGAGTCCGACAACTATTCCAATGTAGCGGACGCGTGGAATGCGGAAAGAAGAGAGGTTGTGGCTCTCGCGTTCGATAGAGTCATCAAATTGATGAATCGACTGGTCAAAGAAAATTTGAAAGAGCGTTGTGAAGACACTGTCGGCAACTACTGTCGTGACGAACTAGGGTTGAGACTCGACCAAGCCCCTTACCAGCCAAAGGGCATGAAGAAAGGCACCATACCCCGCGTTCTCACCCTTACCAATGGTGGTGGAGCTCCAGGTCGTGATCATATTTATTGGGCATACGTTAATGAGGAAGGCAGAGTTCTCGAGCACGGCCGCTTAAAGGAGTTGTCACCTGGCGATTCTGAAAAAGGATTTCCCGAAGGTAATGATGTGGAAGCATTTCTTGAAGTCATTCAACGCCGCAAACCTGAAGTTCTGGGAGTTTCCGGCTGGTCCCCTGACACAAGAAAACTTCATGCCAACATCACTAGTCTTATTCAAAATCATGACCTTCGCGGTCCTGAATTTACCGATGATGATGATCGGGATCGCAGCGAGCTCTTGGAAGTCATCCTCATCAATGATGAGGTTGCAAGGATGTACCAAAATAGCGATCGTGCCAAGCTTGATCATCCTGGTTTGGCACCGCTCTCTCTGTATTGTGTTGCCCTGGCTCGTTATATGCAAAATCCTCTGGTGGAGTATGCCTGCTTGGGCCGAGATGTCGTCTCGATCAGTCTTCACCCGGCGCAGAGTCTACTACCTCAAGAAAAGCTATGGAAGAAGCTAGAAATGGCGTTTGTCGACAATGTCAACATGGTTGGAGTTGACATCAATGAGGCTGTAAGTGACAGTGCGGTAGCAAGCCTGCTTCCGTATGTGATGGGCCTAGGTCCTCGAAAAGCTCAACAAGTCCTCAAGGTCATCAATTTCAACGGTGGCTACGTCACTACTCGTGAAGAACTTCTTATCAATGACGGACATCAAGCAATGGCCTTCAAGGTATGGAGCAACGCAGCAGCTACGCTGAAGATGGACTTCGACGACACTGAACCACGTTCAGAATATCTTGACTCGACACGTATCCATCCTGAAGATTACGATATTGCTCGCAAGATGGCTGCCGACGCTCTTGAATTGGATGAAGAAGATATCGAAGCCGAAAGACAAGAGGGTGGCTCAGCTGCTATTGTTCGTCGATTAATCAAGGAAGAAGCCCAGGATCGCGTCAATGATCTCGTACTCGAGGAATATGCTGAGCAACTGGAAAAGAATCTTCACGCCAAGAAGCGTACGACTCTGGAAAACATTCGCGCAGAGTTAATAGAGCCCTATGAAGAGATCAGAGGCCACTTCCACTCCAACCTTCGGGAAACTGAAATTTTCACCATGCTGACTGGCGAGACTAGAGAGTCGTTGCAAAGAGGTATGAATGTACCAGTCATCCTGAAAAGGGTGACGGACATGGCCGTAATTGGTCGATTGGACTGTGGACTGGATGCAATTGTGGAAATGGAACAGTTTGCAGAAACTGGAATCTCTCCAAAGCAATTGTATGCCGTTCATCAAACAGTACAAGGACATATCACTTCAATCAACCGCAAAGATTTCAGCGTAACTGTGAGCCTGAGGGAAGATCAAACCAAGAAACCATTTGTCCGCTTCACTCACGAGGATCGCAATTATGATGATTGGGACGAGCGAGAAGAAGCGAAAGACAGAAGGCTCTTGCAGGAGAAGACCGACTCTGGTAATCGTATCACTCGTGTCATCAAGCATCGTTTCTTCCGAGCGTTCAGCGCGAAACAAGCTGAAGAATATCTGGGAAGTCAAAACCGTGGTGATGTGGTGATACGTCCATCGTCAAAAGGATCCGACCATTTAGCTGTTACTTGGAAAGTGGCCGACGGAATCTTTCAGCATATCGATGTGCTCGAATTGGACAAAGAAAACGAATTTGCACTGGGCAAGACATTGCGAATAGGTGGTAGGTACAACTACTCAGATTTGGACGAGCTGATTGCTCTGCACGTTGAGAACATGGCGAAGAAGGTCGATGAGATGTGCGGGCATGAAAAGTTTCAGGATAAGTCCAAAGCTGCTCTCGGTAAGTACATTCATTTTAACATGCCCGAAACAATACTAACATCTATGTACAGAGGAATGGCTTACAACTTACACGAATGCAAATCCTAAACGATCTATGTATCAGTTCTGCATCAACCGAGAAAAGCCTGGACAATTCCATCTTGTTTTCAAGGCTGGTCAGAACGCCAAGTTGATGGATTGGCCTGTCCGGGTGATACCATCGGGGTTTGAGCTGATGAAACAGCCATATCCCACTATGCGGGATTTGTGCAATGGCTTCAAACTTCTTTTCCAGAACATGCATCAATCCGCATCGATCAGTCGGACAATACGACGATAGAAAGGTCAATCTACGGCACCGTGACAGTACGTGCCAGATGAGTTGATGCAACGGCTTCGTTTCAATCATTCGACCGTTAGCAGGAGACTGGTGTCAAGGTCTAAGGTCCTTGTTCAATGTATCAAAGCTCTCTCTAGCGGAAATCCGGAATTGGGTAACTTGTACCATCACCTCCCGGGCATTCCGGCCTACGCCTCTAGGTAGAGTACCATACGAGGTGCAGACTACCTTCCACTTCGATTTATGCATCCCGAAAGTGAACAAGAGCTACAGAAAATAAAATACTTATTTGTACTATTGAAATATCAGTGGTGTGTCTTGGTGTTTAATCAGTTCTAGTTGATCGCTTCTGGCCTAGAACATATCTAGGTCTGACCTGTTGTGGAGACCTAGAAACCTCGCTTGGAGCTTGCAGGAGAGGAGCATGATTTTTGTTTGGGTTGTCAGAGAGGGTCTTCCACCTGTTTCCACCCACAAAGGAAGGCGATAGGCATGGCCGGTAGATAGACGAAGCTGGTGGTTGTAGCGATTTGGGGACATCATGCACCAGTTCTCTCCCGACAGGGATCAGGGCTCCATTCCAATTTGACCACCCTTGTCGCAATTGTCCTTCCAGAAATCTCAGACTAACCCTTATCAACCTTCGGGCGGAGAATACGCACTGCCACACAATCCTGTCGTTGAACAGGATTGCGTCCCATCTCGCTCGCACTGACCACAGTCCACCTTCATCAACGGCGCAAAGTTAGTCCCCGGATTTATGAGGCATCCGTCTCAGCACAATTCAATCCGCCGTTCATTCTCGGCAGAGTTCAACTTCATTATCGTCTCCATCAGTCATTGATTGGCCCCATTGCTCCAATATCGGTCCTTGTTATGGTCACATTTTGTTCTGGGCCGCTAGGTTCTGGCTCAACACCGTACTCTATTCCCTCCTCGGCGCAAGTCCAGCCTCGGGCTGTACTCTGCCGATCAACTGCGAGGTCAATCTTGCACTGGTACGAGCTAAATACAGCATTGCCACGTTGTAGTGTTTGATCCGTCAGGCAAGCTACTCCCTACTACAATCAATAGTCGTCCCTTTGCAGGGTTTGTGGAAAGTGTACCCATCATCGAAGTCCATTTACGTGCTCCTCGATGCATATTCATGGAGATACAAAAAGCCCGTTCGCCACATGGCAAGCTCTTGGTAAGTCTTCCTTCATTCTTTGTTTGACTGAGTCGCCCACTTCCAGCGTCATTCCTTTATCATTCCTGGCAGGGTAATCAACATGTTGTCTTCGCTTTTTTCTACTGCGCTGCTCTTTGCGGCAGCACTTTCTCCAGTATATGCCGACACAGCGTCGAGTACAGACTCAACGACGGACTCAGTAACAGTCTCGACCGATGTTGTTGCTTCCAGCGATTCTTTGATTGCTGCTGCCAGCACCTTCGTCCCCAAGAAGGTCTGCAAATGTGCTCCTGGCGACAGTTGCTTTCCATCCGATACTATTTGGAAAATTTTCAATGTCACCACAGGAGGACGGGTCATTAAAACAAAACCCGTCGCTATCTCATGTTATCCTGGTCCAGATCAGAATGCCGCGAGGTGTGCTCAAGTCGACGCGAGCTGGGAGGACGCCACATTCCAAGCAGAACAGCCTGTCGGACTTTCTTACCCAACCAACGTCACTTGTCCTCCTGTGAACGTAGCTGCAGGCGAAAAACCAGGCTCATGCACACTTGGTGTGAGCCCGTCCTACGCCATTGATGCTACTGAGCCCTGGCATGTAGCTGTGGGCGTTGCCTTCGCAAGACTATTCAACATTCGCCTGGTTGTCAAGAACACTGGCCACGATCTCCTTGGACGGTCTGAAGGAGCGCTTGGTCTGGAAGTGTGGATTCGTCATCTTCGCAAAGGGATCACTTTCCAAAAGACTTTCAAGTCTTCCACCGCATGCACAAAGAGCGGCTGGACCGGCAGCGCCATCAAAATCGCCGGTGCTTACGCTTGGGGTGATGTGTACTCTGTCGCAAAGGCAAACAATGTCATTGTTGTCGGTGGGGGTACACCCAGCGTTGGAGCCATCGGTGGCTGGATGCAAGGAGGCGGCCATGGACCTGCTTCCAGACAATTTGGTCTCGGAGCCGACCAAGTTCTCGAATTGGATGTCGTTCTCTCAAGTGGACTCACGATTACTGCGAACGCATGCCAAAATAGCGACATTTTCTTCGCTCTCCGTGGCGGAGGTGGCGGTACCTATGGTGTCGTGATCTCCACCACTGTCAAGGCTCACCCGAACTCAGCCATTGTTGTTCAACATCTGTTACTTGGTGCTCTTACGGCCAACACCTCCGGGTTGTTAGACACAATTGCAATTGTAACAGGTGCTTACCCTGACCTGAACGATGCTGGATATGCAGGCTATGGCCAATGGTCCATCAACAGCCCGACACCACTATTTGCAACTTTCACTGCTGGCTACGTCCACGGTATTTATATGTTTGGCAAGACGGAACAACAAGCTCGTGCTGCTTTTGACGCAACAAGGGCCAAGTTGGCCGCTTACAATAGCAGTGTTTTCATTTCCGAGACATATGTTTCTTATGCTGACTATTGGTCGTTCTACTCAACTGAGTCTGGAGTTGAGCCTGCTGTTGGCACCCCCGCAACTCTCGGATCCCGCCTTTTCGACCGAACGTCGCTCACCAAGAGCTTCTCTGCCCTACGAAACATGATTGGCGTCATTGCAGGGACTCCTGGTCAGTTCACGTTCAACAGCTTCGAAATTGTGGGTGGTGGACAGGTTTTCAAAGACAAGTCTGATCCAAACTCTGGCCTGCTCCCGGCCTGGAGAACATCATACTTCAGCAACATCGTCGCACGAGGCTACCCTCTTGGAACTCCTCAATCGGTCGTCGACCAGATCGAGGACGATATCACCTTTGTCAAGGTCGCAGCGATGAAAGCCCTGGCACCCAATACCGGAGCGTACATGAACGAAGCTGATAGACATGATCCTGACTGGAAGGTCGACTTCTACGGAAGTAACTACAACAAGCTTCTGTCGATCAAGCAGAAGTATGATCCCGTCTCTGTGTTCTTCTGCCCAACTTGCGTCGGTAGTGATGCGTGGGGTGAGGATTCCTCAAGAAGACTGTGCAAAGTGAACTCTTCTTAGCTGGAAACGAATCATTGATGGTCCATTTGTTAGCGTGCATATTTCAAATACTCATAGATATTATATATTTTTAATTGATGCATCTTATATCCTGGTCCCCTTAGGTCCTCAAGGATTTGACTACTCATCCAAAAGAAGAAGTTGTTTCATGTCAACCGCCGTGTCGAAAGTGCGCAAGTCTTCCGATCTTCAACGCCATTCCAAGACTACTCCGCACAGTATGATCGTCAGTGCTACAGTAGTAGTACTATCGAGTACGAGGTACTCAGTTCAGGATCCTCGTGAAGGTTTGAAAGTGGAGGGTGATTGACAGGGAAGGGCCGTTACGTGGAAGTCCCTGCTTGCCCCTTGGGTGCCACGACCCCTTCATTTTCTCTGGGCAACTTCCGTTCAATGACAAGTGGCTTTGCCCGTGGGAATGCAGGTACTGCGACTTCCGTCCCAGGGAATGTTTCCTAAACTTAGAACTAGCCGGTAGTCGCAGGCGCGAGACAGGGTATAAAGTGCAAGGGCGAGGGGCATAAGCAGCTTGTTGATCATCAAATTTCCAACTCCCGGGGGAACATCCTGGAAAGAAGTCGGCACCTCTTGCCTCAATTTCATATTCGTACTTCCTAAGTGCGACAGAATACGAGTTATGTACCAAATTCACGAGCCAGACCTTGAGCTCATATCCGTACGGGGTGGGGTGCCCTGTACTCCCACCGGCATCTCTCTGTATACCCTGGATAGCCGTTGAAGTAGACTCATCTCCGCCGCACCGATCCCGCAGTGATCGGCACCGCCACGTTCCATCAGGCGTCCGATTCAAAGCCTTTAGCACGAATTTAACTTTTGGCTTGCTTGTTCCTGGACGCCCACCGAACTGCTAGTTCAAAACCACTGGACGGTCCACCTCGGCTAGACTCTCGGTTCCGGCGAGTAGCCAGTCCTCAACGACCTGTGCGCTGGGTTGGGAACATTCCCCGATGCCCAAGACTCTTACGAAGTATTCATGGCTTTTTTTCCACGAGATACCGAGAGCCAACTGTAGTCGATCATTCACTCGGCAGTAAGTGGACCGACCAGAAGGATCCCAGGCTCCTCTAACGACTTTGATAGCTTCCCTCCCCGTTTTCGACTTGAGACTTGTTCGAGGAACCACGCCATCATATCTCGGACACTATGGTATCCTTGCCAATTGGAAAACTTGGCAAAACATTCATGCCGTCTCTGGGTTTTGGTATGGCATGCAGACTCAAAATGGTAGATCATGAACTTCGGATATGTGATGTTTCACCAATTTGTCGTTCTGGGGGGATGGGGTCCTGCTAGATTGCCTTGCGTTACTTGTACATCACGAAATACATCAACCCTCAGCTAAATTTTCACATTACACGCTCACCAACCTGGCAGACGTAATGTGCTTTGCAATCCAGCAAAGTGTACGCAAATTTCTATTACAAACCCATGTGCGTTTACCGTAGTTTGCAGCACGCCGGAAACAGAGCAAATTCTCGGTGTTTTGCTGTGATTCTCCCACGCTAAGGTCAAGCAACACTGTTTTCCTTCAAGTTGCCGGAGCCTGAAAAAACGCCACTAAATACTAACCATTCTTGTAGCCCAATGCAGAGACCCTTGTCAGGATGAGCAGGGTAAATCTCTTGAAACCGCACGGCCATGCTATGCAAATTGTGCTCCCTGCAAAGGACAATGCTGTTGTCTTACATGCGGCTCCACCTGACCTCCCTACTAATGTTTTATAGCACGGTCCATGAGAGACTCTTTCTGAGGCACAATGGAACTGGGTGCTGATAATCGTGCTAACATAATTTGTGTGGCAGATGGAGTTTCCAACCTATTTTTGACGTATTGTCTTAATATGAAGTCGGTAGGGGCGAATCCATGAAGCTCCTCATGATGAACTGAATCCCAAGGGATTCGGCACTGTTGCTCGCACCACGTTTGAGCGGATCTTTCAGAAACCAGAGATCGGAGTGATCCGGGCCTCCGTGCGACAGCACGATAGCGAAGAGGTATCTGAATTTTCGCCGAGCTAATTCTCGTATGGTGAGGTGACTAGGAAGGAATAGTCCGGTCCTGGATGTTACGACTTACCTCGCCAACATGCTTTCAGTGCACTTGGTCCTGACTAAGTTAGTCCATGCACCTAGAGTTCTCTAGGAACCATTACCATGTTCGCCTGGAGGAGCTCCAACAAAGTCTGTCTATCCTTCATGGGGGTTTGAATACTTGTTTCTCACATGGTCGTCCTGCATGTCCAGGGAATCAGTCCATCTCGGTTGTAGACAACCCCTTATGAATTCATAGACCCTTACCATACTGATTTTTGGCTAATGGATTAATTGCGACTCATATCCTGTCTTGGTAACCTCTGTGTCTATCTGCCTCCTTACTCTGCATTGAGGACGGATCTCAGAATGGTATAGGAGGACTGGTGATAGACTTCAGGAACGAAAAACATCAAACCTCCGATCGTTTGCATCACTATCTCAAAAAACTCCTTCAACATGTCGGCCAACGGAACAGAAACAACTGCTCTGCCTCCTCTGGTTGGTGCAGCCCGGAATCTACATGAACCAGGTCTCCGCGCGGTCGCCTGGGCGGGTGTTGCGACCGCAGGTCTTTTCGTCTCATTACGACTATTCGCTCGATACCGCGAGGCTGGTCACTTTTTTGCCGATGACTATTGGGTGGTTACAGCTTTTGCTGTCCTACTGGTTAATGCAGTCCTACAACATCTTCAAACACATTCGCTCTACTATGTCATGGAAGTTTCGGCAGGGCGTCTACCAGTATCCGAAGAACTAATCATCCAAGGAAACATATACGTGCGTTATGAATTTCCGATCATCGGGCTGATGTGGACTGTGCTATGGTGTATCAAGGCTAGTCTGCTCGCACTGTTTTGGAGACTATTTGAGGGTCTGCCTCGCTATCGAAGAATTTGGTGGGGAGTCGTTGTGTTCTGTATTGGGTCATACATTGGCTGTTGGATTGCATCTGCATGGACATGCCATCCACCAAGCACATATTTTCAATTTGGTCAGTTTACTTGATTTAGGGATGGAGACTTTTACTGAATTATGAATAGGCCAATGTACGAAGCCCATCGACGTCAAAGGTGGCAATATCAGTATCTCCTATTCCACCGCTGTCGACATCATATCAGATCTCGCCATCATGATGCTACCTTTACGTCTCCTGCGTGACCTCCAAGTATCTCGTCCTCAAAAAGTCGGCCTCGGCGTCGTTTTCTGTCTCGGATTGGCAATTATTGCCGTCGCCATCGTTCGGCTCACACAGATCATCGGAACTGAGCGTGCGGACCCAGTCGGCCTGGCTGTATGGGGTCTCGTTGAGAGCACAGTCTCGGTGATAATCGGCTGTCTCCCACCTCTCAAAAGTTTTCTTGGAAAACAAATTTCGAAGTTCACCGGGGCCATATACGCCTATGGAGGCGGAGGATACTCTGGCGGAAGACATTCTGGCAGAATTCAAGGCGGCTCGGGAAACAAACAATCATTCGCGTCCAGATCTGGCAAGGAATCAGACTCAATCCCTCTCCATGACAGAGCCACCGACGTGAAAGCCCTCAAGGACGGACAGATTGTCGTCCAGAAAGACTTCGGATGGTCGGCAGCAGGCGGCAGTGCGTTCGACAGGGGATCCAGTGTTGAGACGACCGATCTGGAGAGTCAAAAAGGTGGTGCCCAATCGACCGTCGATGAACATTATTACGGTGACGAAGTTAAAATGATGAAGCAGAGACAACACGTGGATGAACGAGAGATTGGTGTCGCGACGCCGATGGGCAAACGAATGAGCAAGAGATCGTCGCATGGACGACAGGTCAGTGATGATGGCAGGTCCAAGACCAGCTGGTTGCAGTGACTTGCGAACCTCACTCGGCTCCCTTGAAAGTACAACATTTATGATGCCAGCGCGTCCTTTTCAATTTTTCTTGTGTGGACGTGTCCTACGAGTCATGGCCACTTTTATGTATACAAGCTATATTTCTCTACCTGATAACTACAGTACTATACCATCATGATCATCAATTGCGTCAAGATATCCCGGACTCGGCACCTTCATGTATCCTATCCTGGTCTCCCACCACAAGAGGTTGAGGGTTTCGGACTGTACGCGAGGCAAACCCGAGTTCCAGCTCAATTTCCGATAGCACAAGTCCACTTCACCTTGGACAACATCAGCACCTAAACCCGCTGTCTATTACTTGTCAACTGAGAAGGGATTTTATTTATATAGAGAAACGTGAGCTTATGTATGGATAATGGGTATTTGGACCAACATATGAGTTTTTCCAAGTCGAAACCCCGTTCCAGCTCACAGCCCACATGCTTTTTGGCCATGCAGAAATTCGGGCTAGCTGCTTCTTCGCCATCTGATACGACGTTTTTGAAAAAGGGGAATGTCGATCCGCAAGCAATTGTGATACAGATGCGTGTTTACGCACAATAGATGCAGATTGACATTAAGCCTCCGGTGGAGTCGGAGTTACAGCAGATATTAGGCATAAAACACAGCAAGTGGATGATGTCTAAAACCGACACTTTGAGCTATTCATCTATGTAGCGGCACTAACTAAGGTCATGACAGCACCCTCAGATTGACAAACCTAAATTTTTGGCGCTGTCCTCTGCTGTCCTCTGCCGTGCTCGACGATTACATAACACAGGCTGCTCAATAGTAGGTAGAAGAGCTCCTTTGCACGCACCGAGAGAGCTATGTATCTACGGAGCTATCACACAAGATCAGATTTACTATAATATAGTATACACAAGTTCCGGTCAAGAAGGTGTGACGCTCTAACCGAACCGGATCGGACACAGGGTGAGTATTATTGACTAAGATACACACTGCCGTTTTCGTGGTGCACGAATTCTAACACATTAATACCTGCGTTTAGATAGCCGAAGCTCGAATGTAACAAAACATGCCGCCCTCTAGACTCTTCCATCAAAAATCGAGTATTTCCACCAAATATCACAACAAGTGCAAAATCCAACTTCCATAGTGTTGGGTGGGGCCAGCACCTGGGAGCTTGTGAATAATAATAAATGTCGAAGTGGCGGCCTGCCTCGATCTTTGCCTCAGTGGCTAACTTCACAGAGTCCACAATTCCGGTTCCGTAGGATCATTATTGACCCGCGAGTCTGATGTGCAATTATGTTGTTCGGCAATTGAGGCGTCAACATGTCCTCAAGCGGTATCCGAAAAGAGGCTCCCAAGAGAGTTCGAGAATGACGAATTAGTGTTCGATCTCATGCTTTTCGAGATGCGGCACCGTGTGGCTCCATCCAATAGGAATCTCGCGGTGTGACATCGTCGCGAAACCACTGACATCGAAGGCAGATGTGAGACGCACTTTGCTATTTCCCCGCATTCTGTTCCCTTTTGTGCGATTGTGCGAGGGGAGCTTCTGTCGGATTACGGGATGTTGATACGTCGAAGAGACTGAAGCTACTACCTAAAGTGAGCTGTGTAGCTTTGGGGGGCGCTTGCTCTCCGAGAGCATCCTTCCTTCGAGGCCCCTTCACGAGAGGTGGCGCGCCTTTGGGGCGCCGCGACATCTCCGCTCCAGTGTTTCTCCACTAGGCTATCTCGATCTCCAAAAAGTCGAACACAAATCAGTTCTGAACGGAGGAGGCCCAATCCACGTGAGATCACCAATCGTCATTGAGGCGGCATCTCTTGAGCTGATGTTGCTTTCGCAAATGCGGGGACACCTCAGAGGATGCATAATAAGAGCCCCTCAAGGTCTTGGGATCAGTGCTACCACATCTTCTCGACCAGACACATAATTCACCAGCTCACATCAGAGTAAATATAGCTACAAATTCATCGCTTGAGACAATAAAATGGCTGGAATCCAGGGGCAACTCGAACGTGGGGCAGTGCCGAATCATATCTCCAATGTCTGTCCCAAGGGAACGAAGTTCCATGTCCTAGAGGTTGGATGGCTAGAATGTGATGAGGCGTTTGTGATTCGCGGCGGAAACACCAGCTTGAAAAGCACCGAGGGCAAATCTTTCGTCAACAAACGTCGAGAACTTCCCATGTACTGTATATTGATTGAACATCCACATGAAGGTCTCATTCTGTGGGAAACCGGATGTGGAAAAGATTACCCCGAGGTCTGGGGACCTCAAGTCGCCGACGTGTTCTCACGCATCCGTTACGAGCCGCAGCACGAATTAAAAGCAGCGGTAGAGGCGACAGGGAATAAACTTGAAGATATCAAGAAGATCATCATTGGTCATTTGCATCTTGACCACGCAGGCGGGCTAGACATGTTCCTGGACCGGAAAGATGTCGAAGTCTGGGTTCATGATAAGGAGTTGAGATCTGCTTTCTGGTCTGTAGCCACAGGTGCAGATGTTGGTGTTTATCTTGAGCACTATCTCAAGTTGAGTTTGTGAGTGTATAGTTCCCAGCAACGCATACTATACTAACATCATGGAGTAACTGGAAAACGTTTGATGAGCAAACCTTCGACTTTTGCCAGGGCATAACACTTCATCATCTTCCCGGCCATACAGATGGTAAGCAGGCCCCTCGATATCAAGAAGCAAGCTGATAGGTGACCAGGATTGATTGGTATGCAAATCAACATGCCTGACAGTGGTACATTCTTGTTTATTAGTGACCATTGCCACGTCATCGAAAATGTAAGCTGCAATTGTTGTGACATCCCGAGAAAAGGATAGAAAGCTAACAGGTCGTCCGCAGTGGCGTGATGGCATCCCGCAGGGTTGGTTGGCTAGAGATCATCCGGCGTGGTTCAGGAGTACACAACGCTTGAAGCAATTGGAGAGAACGACGAAAGGCCAGGTGATCCCAGGGCACGACAAGGAAACGTTTGAGAATCTGGTCAGTCGTGGCAAGGCTTATACTTGATCGGTTTTAGTTGTTTCTGCCACGTATCTGGTGGTGGACCTCGTTCAGGTATGGCCATGTTATTGACCATTGTATCACAATGAGCCCGAATTTTTTCTAGTCTGATATTCAATCTGGGAGGCCGTGTGGTGGATATGCTTAGCAGCAGGTTGTTGATATAATCATCTCACAGAATTGAGTACAACAAACCATCCAAGGTGAGGGAATCATTCAGTGCTCGGACCTGCCGTTCACTCTGCGACCGAGGATTACCAGACCCTCAAAAGGTATGGCCTTGGTCGTGGCGCGGTCACTTTCATTGCGATCAGATGTGGTTGGCGATGATTGACTCCATCTTGTGGCTGGATATCAACCTTCCGAGGTTTCACTCGTGTTATCCTCTGCCATTGACCATTGACTGGAGGTGAGCATAGAATCCGTTGAGTCGAGTGTCTCGTCCGGTGTGAACTGATCCTGCGCTTTAGGAACCTCTTCACTTGCCACAGAAAAGCCAACGGACTTTCCTGGCTTGGTGCTAGACTTCTTCTCAGCCAGGATATCGCCATCCCAGGGACGGCACTTGTAGATGATTTGCCCACACCTCAAGCATGACCACCCTCCACCTTCTTCAGCTTCGATCTTGGTGGCAATGCAGGTAAAGCAATAGATACATTTACACGGAATTGTCTCGTAAGGATTGACAACATCTGTCGTAGCTGAACCTATAACACCGCCACCTGCTCCAGCATTTGCGCCGAGTATTTCTGCTTCCGACGTCGATGTGGGGTTCTGCTCCTGATAGCATATGGCACATGTCCTTTCTGGTAGAAAGGAAAGTGGACCACTCTTGACAATATTATCATCATCATCGGTGGCTTCTGACCTCATTGCTGCCTTGGTCCGCTTCCATGCCCTCGACAGCCATCGTCTCCACCTGCTGATCCCAACCAGCGGAAGGAGAAATAGCAGAAATTCAGTAAAGGCATGCCAGACTAACTGGCGATTCAGGTATTCAAAAGATACCTCGCGGCTGACCTGATTCGATGGTGAGACAAGTCTCAGTCGGAGAAGACGGTCTGTGAGAGTTTTGTAGCGACCATTGACCAAGAAAATGAGGAAGGAAATGAAAGCGGCAATCGAATGAGTGGTGGAGAAGAAAGAGGTCAATCGCATAAGATGCTGAACGGTGTCCGAAGGAGCCGTGTAACCACGTTCTTGATCTATCAGCCAGTCTTCCCACTTGTCCCATCCATAGCGACCAAATATGGTGATGAAGCCATAAAGCGACTTTTGCCATTTTGTGGGTTTGGGCAACCCGGGTCCATTCTGACGAGCATCGGCATATCGTAGATTCTGCAAAGATGCACCATAAGATGCATCGTTGTCCCATATCGACAGCTTAAACAGGACGGAACGAAGTCCGAGTAATATCTCTTGAGACCAATCATCCTGTAGATGAGGCCCCAAATATTTTACCGCATCTCCGACTTGTGTCTTGAACAATCCGAGCAACTCTTCATCAAGTAGTTCAGCATCCACCTGGCCTACACGAAATGCAGGTCTTGTGCCTTCGGAATCGAGTAAGGTGGTCCACCAGGAGGAGAACTCCGGACGTAATGAGTGTGTGAGACGCGTCAAGGGTGTACGTCCTGGTGCTGTGATAAGTGATTGCTGATGGAGGGATCGCGCTTCTTGCTGTCTGGCGGCTTGTTGGGCTAAGATTCGCTCTTGAGCAGCGGCGAAACTGGTAGGAGACATTCCGACGGCATAATCTGAGATCAGAAGGACATGTATCTAGAGGGCAGCTCTAGAAAGAAGATAGACGAGACTTGTCGAAGGTGTTGAACAATCCGAAAAGTGATCGATGAAATGCAGCCGAGGTACCGGCAGGCGCAGAACTTGCCTTAGGTAAGCAGTGGCCGTAGTTCTCTTGGCGGTCACAATTTCTCAATGTCCAATCATTGAAGGACCGCCAAACCTTTGGGTTTCACACCTTGAACTAGTGTCTCAGCCTTCAAGCTGATCATTATCCATGTTTGATGGAGGAGGGCCAAACATTTGTGATGTTACGTTTCTTTTTGTCTGAAACTCCTTGAATTCTGTCTTGTCTTTTATATGAGCCATGGTGACCACCAACTTTTAGTTTTTATTCCCAAAAATGCCTTCCTTCGCCATCGAAGTGGAAGGAGAAACCAACCCACTGAACAGGGAATCCGTCATCTCCACCCTTGCAAATGCTTCCAGAGGATTTCCCACTCCACAAGCACTGAAAGCTGCCACTCAGCAGATAGGCAATTGGGAAAAAACTCCAGGCTACTACGCACTTCTTCAGGATGTTTACGCCGATCTTTCACTGGATCAAGATGTCCGGTTTCAAGCAATCATTCAATTGAAGAATGGAATCGACAAATATTGGCGAAAAACCGCACCTAATGCCCTGGGGAAACCGGAGAAAGAACAGATTAGATCCAGAACCATCGATGCTGGCGTCAAAGAACCTGTCGCAAGTTTGTCTCTTCACAATGCTCTCATGCTGGCAAAGATTGTTCGGTATGAGTTTCCTCACGATTGGCCCGACGTTATTCCGGTTATCATACAACATCTCCGTGCTACCAGCCAGGAGTCCATCATAACCATCTATACGTCAAACATCTTGACAATCAGTCTACAAGTGATCAAAGAGCTTGCTTCGGGGAGACTTCAGAGAACCAAAAAGAGCCTCCAGCAAGTATCTTCAGAACTCCTGCAAGTTCTTGGCAGCCTCTATGTCAATCTGGTTTCAAAATGGCAGTCCCCCCAAGGTCAGCTTGATCTTAGTAGTGCACTAAACAGCCACTCCGCATTGAAGACACTCCGGCGATTGCTTGTTGTCGGGTTCGAGAATCCACACCGCGAGGAGGATGTTCGACAATTCTGGACACTTCTCCAGACCCAGCAACATGCATTCTGGCTTTCCTATAATGAGACTTCGTCCCCTGACCTCAAAACTGTCATTATGAAACATCTTCTTCAACTATCCAAACTCTACCTGAACATGGCTCGCGAACACCCAGCTTCATTTGTTCTGCTTGGTTGTATGGATATACTCAATCACTCGTGGAACACAATCAGCCAAGTTGATGCGAAGTCTGCACTGAATGGCAATTTCGACTGGAATGAATACCGCAGCGGCGACCAGCTTGATGAATCACCCACGGAGAAGCTCGCCCTCAAAGCACTTCTGCTGTTTCGCGCATGTCTGAAAATGGTCTTCAACCCCGTCCAGACGTTCAAATACCAGACGCCACAAGACAAAGATGATAGGAAGAATGCGGTAGACCACATCAAGAATACCATCTTGACGAATGATTTCGTTCTTCGACTCATGGAGTTGTTGGTCACCCAATACTTTGTCCTGCGACCAGCAGATTTGCGAGATTGGGAAGAAGAACCCGATGAATGGGAGCGGCGGGAAGAAGAGATCGCAGATGCCTGGGAGTTTTCTATTCGATCTTGCGCTGAAAAATTATTTCTTGACTTGGTCATAAATTTCAAAGAACTCCTGGTCCCTCGACTACTGGATGTATTTCAACAGTATGCCACTACATCAAGTAACAACGTCCTCCTGAAAGACAGCCTCTATTCAGCGATTGGTATCGCGGCAGCTTGCATCGAAGATGTGCTCGACTTCAATACGTTTCTGAGAGCGACTCTGGTACCAGAAGTACAGATGGTGCAGCCCAACTATAATCTCCTTCGTCGCCGAACAGCAATTCTTCTTGGACAATGGGTTCCTATCAAACCTGAGGTTCTTGACCGAGTTGCAGTCTACCAGATTTTCACACATTTGCTTACGAGCGATGACCAACTGAATGATCAGGTAGTACAAGTTACAGCAGGCAGACAATTGAGAATGGTTCTCGATCCTTTTGAATTCAATTACGCAGACTTTCAACCTTACGCGACCCCATTATTGTCAAGTCTGATGGCACTGATCGCAAAGACCGAGCTCTCTGAGACCAAAATGGCTCTCCTAGAGACAGTTCGAGTGGCTGTCACGAAATTGGAGGGACATATTGAACCTTATGCACAAGGCATTATGTCAATGCTTCCCCAACTCTGGGCAGAATCCGGAGAGGAGCATCTTATGAAACAAGCAATTTTGACTATGATCACAGCAATAGTCAACAGTCTTGGACAGAAGAGTATTTCTTACCATGCATCTGTACTTCCAATCATCCATGACTCCATTCAGCCAGAGTCCGAGGCTATTGTCTATCTCTTAGAGGACTCTCTTGACTTATGGGCGGCAATCCTACAGCAAACCCCATCAGAAGCCCCATCAGAAGCCCTTTTAGCCCTGTCCCGATCCATTCTCCCCTTGTTGGACACAGGAAGTGAGCTTTTGCGGCAAATATTCGAGATCGTGGAATCATACACGATATTATCGCCTACCACGGTCTTATCTTCGCAATTTCTCGACCCACTGCTGATATCCATGAAATCTCTTTTGACAATGCTTGCATCCAGCCGAGCTAGAGACTCGGCGCATGCACCACACGTTCTTGAACATTTGGTTGCCACAATTGCTTCCGAAACACAACAATCACTTCCCGCTCAGGAAGCGTCGAACCATCTCCTCACGTCAATGCTCAATACGGGATACCTAGCCTCCGTGATGGAAATCCTCAAAGAAGCATACGAGTACCACCAGGACCCACGCCCAAATCGAAGACCACCAGACATAATTGGACCAGGAGAAACCAGTCTCTTCACTCTACTGTCGCGCATGGCTCTTCTTTCTCCAGACGCAACAATCCAGGCCGTCTCCGCAACCAACGTTGTCTCATCCACCTCCACACCGACCTTTGCATGGCTAATGACTGAATGGCTGTCTCAAATCGACAATATCGGGGACGTGCTCCGCAAGAAGCTCCAAATCCTAGCTTTCACAAACCTGCTTAACGCTAATACACCACCATTTCCACAGCCCGTGCTCGAGAATCTGCAGTCGTTCCTGACCACATGGACCGATCTCGCGATGGAGCTGGGCGAAGAGGCATCTGAAGAGAGCATGGGCGATTACCTTTGGCATAACAAGCCAACGACTGACATGCCCGAGTGGCCGGATGCGAGCCCCGAGGATGGCCGGAAGAGGGTTTTGAGCAACAAGGATCCAATCTACACGACGAATATCCGTGAGTTTGTGGCGGTTAGGTTGAAAGGACTGGTGGAGAGAGTGGGTGGTCTGGAGGTGTTTGAGCGCGAATGGTTGAGTAGAGTTGACGCGGCAGTGGTCAAGGCTTTTGTGGATTTGAAGATGTTGTGACCATGTTATGACCGTGTTGTTACCATGATGAGCTCTTGATGAATGGAAAGATGGGACTGTGGTGTCAGGATACAGCTGAGGGCCAGGATCACTCGAGTGTATGCTATCGGCATGACAGTCTATTCATGACCAGAAATGAACCTCGGCTCTCGTGTTGTACAAGTCTAACAACCGGCATAACCACGCCGCCAGCGGAGAATGCAGCAATAGCATCGTTTCAGACGTAGCCAACCAGCTGAGCATACATAAGCAGGTCAAGGAACGGTGCGGAGTAAGAGCACAGCCATGAAACCGCAACGCGAGGAAAGTAGAGATCACAGTGTCTAGAAATGTATCAGATCTGTGTTTCGTGTTCATCTGCTTCATGTTTTTCGATAATATTTTAAAAAACGCCTAACCTCATCTGACCCAGAGTTATGTAGCGCCATTCATAGTAGGCGCCTTCTTCAAACCTACATGATAGCGCATGAACAAAGTATCTATGAAATGATCATGCCGAATGCCCGGGGGTTTTGCGCGCGCAAATTCATCCACGGCGTCCTGAGGTCGATACCCTAGCTTCTCGATCAGATAACAAGCGATGAAGAACCCTGTCCGATTGTATCCATAGTGGCAGTGCACGCCGATGGCTTTGCCGTCGTGACCCTCCTCAATCCTCAGCCGGTCCACGAGGGCGATGAAATCCTGCACCTCGACGGGCGTCGGTGGGACTTTGGAGACGGTGGGGAACTTGTGGTACTGGACGCCGCCGCGCTCCAGTGCTTTGGTGTCGTAGACGGGGCTGTCGTGTGAGATGTCGATGACGGCGTAGATTTTGTCGCTCCATTTTTGGAGGAACTCGCCAGGCGAGTGCTCTTCGTCCTGTTCGCGTAGCGTCTTCAGTGCGCGGAAGATGCCGCCGGTGCCGATGAGCTCCGAGACGGGAGTGACTCGCTTCCATTTTTCGAGGTTCTTCACGTCCCATTTGCCCGTCGTGGTCAATTGTTGGAGTTGCCAGCCGAGGCTCAGTTGTGGCGAGACGTAGCGGGCGAGAAAGTCTTCGATGAGACCGGCAACGGTCCGGTATGTAGAGTGGTCGTACATCAGCGCGTGAGCGGCTGGTGAAGGGAGAATCGCGGTTTTTATGATGTTTGAATTATGGGTGGACATCTCACGCGTCGATGGAGTGACTCCAAATTGGCGATCGTCCGCTCGTGGCTCATTTGCGGATGACTCTGGCTGTGTGAGTGATGATGATTCATCCGAGGACGGGATAGGTCCTTCGTTGGCAATGAGAGTTGTGTGGTCACCGACACTGCGACTCTGTAAGAATGCAATGATCTTCTCGACTTCCTTCGGCTTGGTGACAGTGTCTGCCTCACCGGCGACCAGGAATAGTGGCACCTGTATTTTCTCCCAGGTGTCTTTTCCTGGCAGTCCACCTTCAGCCTCGCCAGAAGCACTATATCGAGGTAAACACCCTATGGTTGAGCGTTTCCACACCGGAGTTTTGAAGCCCTTGTTGTAATTGAGTTGCGCTCGTCTCAGGTCTATTCCTGCCGCATCTCCTGCCATTCTTTTGACACTGCGAGAATCAATGCCACCTCGTCGGTCCATGATACGGAGCAAATCGAGTACTGCATCTGGCAGGGACAACAACCTCCTCGCATTCACTGTTTCGGATTTCGAAGGAGGAGTCGCTTTGGGGCAGAGGTCGACTATACCTGCTATTGGAATTGTGAACGATTCGGTTGTCGACAGCATCGCTGCAATTGAGCAACCTAAGCTGTGGGCCACAAAGACCACCCTCTGATGCTCATGTTCTCGGCATATGTCCTGAATTGCGTTTTTCCACAACTCAGTAAAGGCTTCAATTGTATAAGCCTCGTATTCCTTTGGCGAGAATTCCGAATGGCCATGACCGGGCAGCTCAATGGCAAAGCATGGCGCAACATTTGCCAAACTCCCGAGCAAAGGCGCAAATTGAGGCAGTGAACCTCCTAACCCGTGGATGAAGACAAGAAGGGGTAGATCTGCAATTGCCTGAAGCTTCTCTGCGTGCACATGTGCATGATAGAATGTTCTGATAGAACGATAGGTCGCATATTTGGTCGTGTATGAGCGGATGGACAAGTGATCTTTCAGCAAGGGATGGTCTTGCTCCAGGGAGCTCTCATCCGGATTACGACTGGTGAGGGACAAGTATAAGTAGGACAGATATACGGCCCCAGCACCAAGTAGTGCACCACATGTGATGGAAATGGCCATCTCTCAACGGCTGCAGCACTTCGCCAATTGGCTGAATAAAAAGTACTCGTAGTTAAGCCCTTGAAAATGAAAGCGATGCAGATAGTGCAGCAGACGAGCGAGGCCAAGCCATTATTGAAATATCATGCTTGAGATCACTCTCAGGAAAACGAAGAACGATTAACCGTGGCTTGCGTTTGTCAAGCACTGGTAAGGCACGAGCCTCTTTCGTTGGTACAGAATGAAGGATGGCTGTTGGACAGTCTGACTCATTGCAACATTGGAGATTCAGATTGAAGGACCAATAGTCTTTGAACCCCTCTGCATTACTCGAACGAATGATTGTTGACAAAATATCCTATAGACAGAATTTTGGTGTAGAGATGTTGAGCAATGAGTCGAGTCTAAACTTTGGCCCTGATAGAACCCGATTTTCCGTAGTTTATCCGGGCTTCGGTGAAGCAAGAGATCACGATAGGTTGTCACCAAACTCGTCGAGTCGCGTCTTTTTCTTACTGTCACTCAGAAAATAAGGCCATCTTTCACAATTGATGTCCCGATACTCTTTACTGATTGCCGATCTTGTGGCAGCTATAGCGACTAGCCTATGCCCGTAAGATGGATTGAACGGGCTCTTCAGGGCGTTTCTTGCTCGCGGCTTGCACAAAGGTCTCTCCATGATCATCGCCTCATTCCTCATTGTGCCCCAAAAGTGCGCAGTTTGCACTTTGGCAGACCTTGCTATCAAAAAGACCACACCCCCCTCAGGAAAGAGCTGAAAGATGCTGCGAGATCGGCTCGGCTAGGGGCATCTGCATCTTCTGGACAAAGTCCGGACATGCTTGATGACTGGGAATTGACGGTAGGAATTGAGGTACATGCCCAGTTGAACACCTCTCGCAAACTGTTCTCATGTATTCAGTACCCTCACAGCCTCTACCAGCCATTCACTGACGCTCTGTAGCTGCTCCTACCGCCTCGACGTCTAGCCCCAACTCCCAGCTTGCGCCCTTCGATATTGCCGTCCCTGGTAGCCAACCGGTTCTGCAACATGGCGTGATCATCCCTGCACTACGTGCTGCGCTTGCTCTCGACTGCAAAATCCAGTTAACAAGTAGCTTTGATCGCAAGCACTACTTTTATCACGATCAACCGGCCGGGTACCAGATCACCCAGTACTATCAGCCTTTCGCAAAGGATGGCTTTCTCAAGCTCAATGCGGATGACGATCTCCCAGATGATAAAGAGATTGTGGTGGGAATCAAGCAGGTGCAATTAGAGCAGGATACGGCAAGATCCCAGGAGCAAGACAGTGAGACGACTCTGATCGACTTCAATCGTTCTGGATTTGCTCTCATCGAGATTATTTCTTTGCCCGATCTTCACTCTCCCAGAGCTGCCGCCGCATACGTCCGCAAGTTGCAAGGACTGCTCTTTGCAGTAGATGCGGTAACAACCGGGATGGAAGAGGGTGGCCTTCGTGCTGATGTCAACGTATCTGTGCGACGCAAAGGAGATGTGCAAGGCAACTTTTCGTACTCAGGCATTGAAGGCCTGGGCCAGCGAACAGAGATCAAGAACCTCAGCACATTCAAAGGGATCGAGGAGGCAATTAAGGCAGAAAGAGACCGGCAAATCAATGTGATTGAAAATGGCGGGACTGTCGAAGCGGAAACCCGTGGCTGGGCGGCTACACACCCTCGAGAAACTAGGAGACTTCGTGGTAAGGAAGGGGAAGTCGACTATCGCTATATGCCTGACCCTGATCTCCCACCATTATACATTCACTATTCACTCGTCGATCGACTGAAGACAACCCTCCCGCCATCACCGGAAAAGCTTGTCAGCATGCTTATGTCTGATTATGGTCTATCTAACAATGACGCGGGAACACTTTGTGCTTTGGATGATGGCGAGAGAATGATATACTTCCAGGAGGTCGTTCAAGAACTTATCGAGTCACTCAACAGCTCGCTTCCGCGGAATGCAGTCGGGCAGCTTGTCGCAAACTGGGTACTTCACGAGCTTGGAGCACTTCTGTCCTCAGATGATCAGCAATGGTCAAAAGACATAGTACCTGCAAGCCAGCTAGCTGCGATCTTGGCTCAGTTCAGCCTCGGGAAGATAACCGGGGCTTCTGCCAAAGTTATCTTGAAATTGAAATACAGTGGCGACGAGCGATCTGTTCCAAACATCATTGTGGAGGAAAAGTTGCACTTCCAAAGTCTCTCCGATTCAAAATATGAGACGATTGCACGAGAGATCATGGAACAGTATCCTAGACATGTGGAAGACATCCGAGAACGGAAAAAGATGGGTAAGCTGCAATTTTTGATGGGTCAGATGTTTAGACATCCGGATCGAGGGAGTATGAAGCCACAGGAAGCCGAGAAAGTGTTTCGTCGGTTGATTCTGGGCGAAGAATGAAGAGATTCCCGTCCTAATCTCCACTGGAGGCTCAACATTCTTGAAGCTTCAATGATGGGCTTTGGTCTGAATACTGGACTCCATGTAACAATGGTGAGAACTCCACTCCACCGAAGTTTCAGTTAAGTCCTCAGGAAAGAGCAGCGTTTTCAATAAATGACGTGAGCAATATCAAGTGACTCACGTGATTTGGCTTCCAAGAATTGCAGAATGTTGATTGCCAAGCTCATTGGCTCAAAGGCGAGGATGAATATCTGCAGGCCAGGTTGTCTGCAATGCCATTAGCCGATGATTTCATTCTACCACCTGTCTCGAAATCAAATACTAGCACCTCTCGAGGCTCGAAATGTTACGACATATCCGCCCAAGGAACGACCGCCTCGACCATAACGAGTCAGTTCGAGTCGAGTTGGTCGACATACCAAGCTCCAACGCCACCAGTGGAGACCCCGCGTTTCGAGACGAAGGTTTTACGCTCATGAATGCCGAGAGACCGAACCCAACTCTCCAGCAGGATTCAATGAGGAGTGCGATGTAACTAGTTAGGTACCTAGCCCACCATTCACTATGAACAGATTGCCAATCATGTCGTTCGCGTGTGCTATGGCACGGGAGCCCCTCGTCGGCAGCCGCAGCATAATTGCAACCTTGCGCACAAGCTGAGTCGATGAAAGGATCACTACTCATTACTGCTGAACACATGTCCTCGGTAGGGTTTCATGATGTGCTCGAATTGTCTTACTCGAGATAAATCAGCGTCCTAACCATCCGAGGACGCCTATGAATGCATATACACTTGGTCTTGTCCTTAGAATTGTTCTCTCATTCTCGCCCTACGTCTGAGTCCATGCATTTACTCAATCATGGCTTCACTTGAACCTTACACACCCGTTATCGTGGCGCTGGCAGGCGTGGCCTCCCATCTATTCTTCTTCAAGATTGGCGAGCGTGATATATATCCTCTGAGATACCTGCAAGCTTTCCTCCTAGCATGTGCTGTAAGCACCATTGTCAAATCTTCTTACGGCAATCTTCCCACGAAAGAAGCTTTGGGATTCACCGCGAAATATGCAGGTCTCTACCTTGCTGGCCTTTATGGCAGTTTAATTACCTACCGACTCTTCTTCAACCCGTTGAACAAGATTCCTGGCCCGTACTGGGCACGACTCTCCAAGTTCAATTTCACCTTCCGCGTTGCAGCAAAGTTGGATAGTTGCCATGTTCTCCTTGACCTCCATCAACGCTATGGCAAGTTCGTACGCATCGGCCCTTACGACATCTCCGTTACCCACCCCGACGGCGTTGAAGTCGTCGCAGGCATCAAATCCAAATGCACCAAAGCCCAATGGTATTCTCAGGACGTGCCCTTGGTCAGCATGCATACATGTCGAGACCGTGCCCAGCATGATCGGCGCCGGCGGATATGGTCGCCAGCTTTCAGTGACAAAGCTCTTCGAGGCTATGAGAATCGCATCGAGAAGTACAATGATCTCTTAATACAGAAGCTAGACGAGTCGAATGGTAAGTGCCTTGCCCTTTTGGTTCAATCGCCATCCCAAATCTCACCATGTCCCCAACTCACATTGTGGCTCAATAGGTAAATCAGTCAATATGTCAACATGGTTCAATCTTTACAGCTTCGATGTCATGGGTGACTTGGCCTTTGGCAAATCCTACAACATGCTGGAGTCTGGTGAGCTTCACTGGGCCATCAAACTGCTAAACGGCGGTATGGATCCCATAGGATTCGGTCTTCCGGTCTGGTTCTTCCGCGTAGTCACTGCCATCCCTGGCCTGGCCGCTGATTATTGGAGGTTCATCAACTATTGTTGCGAAGCGTTGGATGAGCGTATCAAAGTGCAGGGAAAGATGAAGGATCCGGATATCACCCATACTCTGATCGAGCATTTCCAGCAAGGTGATGATACTGCGAAACGTACCTTGATGCCAATGTTGCAAGGTGACTCAAGACTCATCATTGTAGCAGGTAGTGACACAACTGCAGCTACTCTGGTCCATTTGTTTTACCACTTATCAACCCAGAAGGATCTCATTCACCGTCTCCGTGAGGAGTTAGACGGCCTTGTGAAGAAAGGGGAGAAGATCGAGCATGTCAAGATTCAGGATGCACCTTTGCTGAATGGTGCCATCAACGAGACGCTGAGACTCAACCCTCCAGTACCCAGTGGTGTTTTTCGCAAGACACCAAAAGAAGGCGTCATGATCGGAAATCAATACATACCTGGAAATGTCTGCATCCAGATGCCGGGCTATGTTATGGCACGAGGTAAGCATGTTCCCAGCCAGAAGGAGAGCACGGATGACTGACTTTTCTTTCCGTTATCTAGATTCGGACAATTATCCTTCGCCTTACGAATTCATTCCTGAGCGATTCAGCTCACGACCAGAGCTCGTACTCCATAAAGACGCCTGGGGCCCATTCGGTACCGGTCCTTATGGCTGCATTGGTAAAAACCTCGCATACTTGGAAATACGCCTTCTCACCGCCAATCTGATTCGTAAATTCGACGTCAGCTTGGCCCCAGGAGAAGATGGAACGAAGCTGCTGAAAGAGACTAAGGACCACTTTACCCTAGGTCTCGGGGATATCAACATGAAATTCACCAAGCGGACTGGGAAATAGGTGAATTCATGGAGACGCGTGCCACGGGGTTTCGGCTAGTCGCCGACCAAACCGGGAAACGGCATTTAAGTGATGCAGAGGGAAAAGGATGACTTGCAACAACACATCTGCACCGTATCTCGAAGATTGTGGACTAAGAGGAGGAATTTCTCGTGTCACCATACACTCATAGACAGAGCGTTTGCGAGCTGCAGGCCATAGTGACCTATTCACCTACCTAGCGCAACGTTATGACATTTCATGAATTAACAAACAGAGAACTCTCTGATCTCACAACTTTCGTTATACCAGTGTCCAGAGAAAAGTTGCACCCCCTTGGTCAGGTTCTCAGTTGGTATCACAGTCAAGCAACCACTGCCACTGGCACTCCTCAACCACCTGGGCACGTGGGTCAAACAGACTTGGAAGCACGCTTGACACGCAAGCTAAGCGATAGCTGTATGACCCGAGAGTGCGCCTCTAGCCAATAGAGCCCTCTGCATCTGTTTCTAGTTTGGCCACAATAGATGCTGAGCAACCAAAGTCCAAATGGAGTCATCAAACACCCCTCTTGAGGAAATAGTGGTCCTCATCCAAGACGCGGTCAAACGGCGCCTTCCGGTCTATTAAAAGGTTGGAGGACGGCAGTGTGCGGAGAGGACAGCTTGGAATCGATCGCCACCAAAAGGAATGGTAGCTGTCCTGCTTTGCTGGCTGAGGAAAAACTAAATATGGTGAACGATACGAGATCTATGTCGTATTCGACGATCCACATGGGTTCCGACCACCTCAGGCTGGTCACAAAACTCTTTTGCTGGGCGAGGAAACACCAAATTGGGTGGTACCCAGGTGGGTGTCCGTTTCGTATCGGGTTTCGGATGCAGACATGGGATTACCACCTGAGGCTCACAGAGCCTAAGAGGATATCTGTCGGGCCTTGCTGTAACTAATGCAGCCTGCAGCCGAATGTACACGAAATACCGTTTGCTGGTTGAGGAAAATCCCGATAAGGATACCCAGCATCCCATTCCTGACACCGAAAACCACCTAGTAACATGGATCCCTGGCATTTGCGATTCAAACATGCCTTTGCTGGTTGAGGAACAGCCCGATTCGGATATGATGTGCTGCATTTACTCGTAGTCGCGAGCACGATTCACAGCACTATGGGTCATTTGCGATTGAGAACCCATAATTACTGACTTTGAATGTAGGTAGGTAGAAGGCCATCTATCCCCCACTCAGTTTTAATAAGGCGGTGCATGAGTTAGTTATGTGCTGAATTCTGATCTGAACAGCATTGAGTACGCTGTATAGAGGTCCGACAGTAACGTCCAATTAATTATCCCTGATTAACAAGGCATGAGATTGAGGACATGGTTTGTTCGAGTAGCTACGTATCCAGTCAATCATAGTTTAAGATTTCGTAGGAGAAGCGAAATTTGAGATGTGCGACAGATTTACTTGGACAAACAAATCACTCCAGGAGGAGGGAAACACTCGACGATAAATAAGTACGTACTAGGTGTTAAGAAGAACTTGAAGTACTTGACGATCATAAAAGAAAGTACTTTACCTTTTGCTGTCCCACGAAAACCCCAATCGGGGTCAAGTATTCCCGCTAGGGTAAGACCTCACAGTCAACGTGCCCGAACAGGGTGTGCTACTCGACTCATTTCGCGACAACCTCACTCGTGCTTTTCATTAAGAGCTTAATGAGTCGCTTATGATGTACCAATCCTTCTTGCTCCTTCAATTTTCTGGCCATGGCCATCTATCCTCGCTAAGGTGGTGTATTTTCACATCTGAGCGAAAACAAAATGAATGAGGAGATCTGAGCTTTTGTCTGATTGAGGATGCTTTTCATTTGCAATTTAGTAAATTCCACCTAACCTGATCTATGGAACTTTTCAGTGCTCCAACACCTCCCCTTATACTGCGCCGCTCGACCTGACCAGAGACCAGAGAGCGAGAAATGACATATCAGCCCGTGAAATAACCTTGCAAGGAGATCGTCCGTCACTCGTCACCTCGTTCAACGCCACAGAACGGGCCTACAACAAGGTGTCTCCCAAAGCACATCTCACCAAACTCACACCAGCCCGAACAGTCTCGCTAGCACCAGCAACCTCAAGGCTGGGATTAACTTCAACTAGGTCCATGGCGACCAATTGACCAGTCTCGTGAACACATTCTGCAATGTAATCGCCTTCACGCAGTGTCAAGCCTCCTCTTACAGGCGTGCCCGTGCTAGGGGCCCACATGGGATCCAAGGCATCGACGTCAAAGCTGAGGTGGATTGGGATATCAGTACCAATGTGAGCGAGAGCCATCTCGACAACGCGGCCAATGCCATGGCGATCAATGTCATGCATACTGAAGGCCTTGATGCCGTTGTCCCGTAGAATCTTTTTCTCACCCCTGTCCACATCCCGTAGACCAATGTAAACCAATTTCCGTGTGCTGATGCGTTGGTCATCGGCTAGCCAGCCAAACATCTCCTTTCGGTCTGAAGTGGCTAAGCCGGTCAAGAAAGCCACTGGCATGCCGTGAACATTTCCAGAATCGGAGGTCTCGGGTGTGTTGATATCTGCATGTGCATCCACCCAGATAACTGCCATGTCCTGTCCGTTGTGGCGCTCGCGAACGGCTTTTGCAGTACCAGCGATTGTGCCGATTGCAATGGAGTGGTCGCCACCCAGAGTGAGCACCATCCTGCCTTCCTTGGCCTGCTCATATACCTGTTCAGCCAGCTTTTCTGTAACAGCAGAGACGGCACGTGGGTTCTTCATCCCCCGATGTGGCTCGTCATTGGCGGTTCGCATCTCGTTAAAGTTGTGGACCTCCGTATCACCATGGAGTTTGTATCCCAATTCATCGCTAAGTTGATCCAGTAGACCTGCGCCCACAAGTGCTGTGGGAGCAGCATCCACGCCCTCTTTGCACTGTCCGCCAGAGAAGCCTACCAACACGACACCGAGATCAGACGGCGCAGATAGAAATCTTTGCCTGATGGTTGAAGGGGCATTCATGTCGTATTTCGAATCGTTGGAGTAGCCGTTACCATTCGAGATCTGCCCGTTGGAGTGGCCGTTGAGGTGGGAAGGGGAGGATTTTTCAGGTGCTGTGATGTGCATTGTGACGGTGAAGACCTAGGTAGTCTAGGAAGAATAGAGGGGGGCTTGAAAGATATGCTGATGGAATGAAGCAAAGATTCGTGGTATTCGGGCCAGGGGCACGGATGTAATGTGGTAGGTGGTAACTTTTCTCGTGGTTGCTGTGGTTTAAAGATAAGAAGCCTCCCAGTAGTAAACTATATACGTGCCAGTGTGAGAATGAATGACTCAATCAAAGTACGAAAGACGGAAGAAAGTACAGAACCGCCAGAAAAAGGCCAGAGACCAGACAAGGAAGGAACGAAGTTAATAAATGTTTATTGAGGAAAGAGCAACGGTGTACGGAGAGCAGCACGTCTCATGCATTGTCCACCACCGCCACCACCACGACCCCTCGGAAGTTCCAAAAAAATGATCCTTGACGGATGACGACGAATGGACAGTTCAAGGTCAGGTCCCGCTCCCAAAGCATGGGATTTCCAGGCTTTGTGGGGTTGAGATAGCAGATGCCTGCAGGGGCGGTGCTGGGCTTTTGTACCCTAAGCGCAGGATTACCCGCGTTGGTGCCACAGCAAAGTTCCAGCTAGATTCCTAAGTGATAAAGCTTCCGACCTTATCATAACATGTCCCTTAAGTACAGGTATTGTCGAGCCTCGAGTTTTAAATTGATAATTGAAATTCATTCTTCAGCACAATGTAACAAGGCGTGCGTGGCCTCAACAATTTGGTTTTCGCTTCGACAATTTCTGACACATCACATGAACATCTCTAATCCAGGTTGAAATCTCGTAATTTCATTCCGTGATTTGCGACGGAATGTGTATAGGTCCAATGCAATTGGTGGCCGGTTTCCGATCTGTCCACCTGACAACTTGCTTCCAGCAGGCTGTTTGACACCCATTAAATACATCACAATGACTGTAGCCACCTTGAGAAGCGACCAAAGCATCTTGATACATGTTTACCATGTTCGCCCACTTTCTCCGTCAGGTGCCGGTATCGGTGTCAGCTTCCACTTTTAAGCGAGGACAGCAAACCCCTTGAAAAGCATTCTCTGAGAAGCAGCTTTCTGTTGTGTAACCGCTCCAAGTTCTGCCATGGCCAGTCTCTGTAGCATTGAACTGCAGGTATGCCTGCACTCCCCGGTGTTTGGCTGGACCAACTCGAATGGCGTGCTCGGAGCCTGCAAACATTGGTGGATTAGGCCATCTTTCAAAGCTGCTTTTGCGGCGTCGGGTCCGCGAACGTGAGCAGGGCGACGGTAAAAATCCTGTCTCAACCAAGGAATTTCTGCATCGCACGTTCAAGTTGTGACAGTGAAAGTGGCTTAGTTAGAAAATCATCTGCTCCAGCCGACATGCAGAGACCTTGAGCATCAGGTCCTACAACAGCTGTAGCCATCACAATCGGTCGCCTTCGAGTCAGACCTCCCACACTCTCCATTTCCCGAATCTCCTTGGTCGCAGTAATGCCATCTTTACGTGGCATTGACTGGTCCATCAAGATTAAATCGATTTCTCGATCATGCGCCAGCACCTTTTCAACCGCGTCCTCACCGTCATCTGCCAATAGCACATTATAACCCAGATTTTTCAACATCTTGGCGCCGAGTTTCTGATTGATTTTATTGTCCTCTACCAGAAGAACGGTGAAGAAATTGAAGTTTTGCGTTTCCTCCATTGGAGTGCCACCTTCCAACACGTCAATGGTGGGAGCGAACCTGACACTTCGATCGACGACAGATTTTCCCGATCGCATTACCCTGGTCATATTTTCGACAATTTGGTGCCATACGAACGGCCGCTTCACCGTGACAATATGAGGCGGAGGAACAGATCCGACGGCTTGGTCTAATGCTGACTGAGAATCAGAAGACAAAAGTACAAATTTGTCCTGAAGCCGGAGAAGTCGTTCAAGAAGCTGTGGTCTGGTACTCAAGAAGGTCACGTCAGTCCAGACGACCTTACAGGAGTCCGGAACTTCAGCGTCTGGGTCGGCATGGATTACATCGAGTCCGAAAGCTGCCCATGCTATTCGAAATCCCTCCATGATCCGACCCCCTGAAGCTTCAAATATGGCCACCCCGCCGGAATCTGGACCAAATAAGCCTTGAGGGCCTGGAGAGTTTGGCTTTGCGGGAACTGGGATCGTGATGTCGAATATGCTTCCTGACTTTGGACTTCCAACCCCTTTGACTTGAAAATGATTACTTTCCACGGAAATTGCGCCTTCCATCTTTTCAAGTAGCTGTTTGATTATAGCTAGACCAAGTCCTGTACCTCTTTCAGCACCCAAAGTTTGGGCCTGCTTGAACGGCTCAAATAGGTGGGGAATGAACGACTCGGCTATACCGAACCCTGAATCTCGAACTTTTATATTCAAGACATCCCCCCTCATTTCAATCAGTAATAAAACATAACCGGAATGCGTGAATTTAAGCGCATTGGTAAGAAGATTCATCAAAATCCGTTGAAGATACGTCTCGTCAAGGAATACGGAGTTAGGAACTTCCGGCGCGACGACCACAAGAAGTTCGGTTTCAATTTCATCATCCCGGTGGGGAAGAATGTGGAGGATTGATTCACATACTCGACGTAAATCGAGGCTGGATGGACGACACTGTGCCTCCCCCTTCTCTAATCTTGACCAATCAAGGACGTTGGCAGTGATCATGGAAAGTGATCTAGTAGCTTGCTGAATGGCAAGCAATAAGAGACGGCCTTCCTCGGTAAGGGGAGTTCGTGCCAACAAATCGCCATAGCCCTGCAGTTGATGTAACGGTGTGCGAATCTCATGCGATGCTGATGCAATGAATTCACTTCGTGCGGCAGCGGCAGCTTCTGCGTTCTCTTTTTGCGCAATGGCCGCCCATAACTTTCGCTTCGTCTGAACAACTTCAGCAAGCTTGTTTCGCGCCATCGTAGCCGTGTGGGCCAGAAGACCATTAGCGATGATGCATGTTCCAATAGCAACCGTGCCGACAGCCATCGCTAATCTAGGTGGGTAACCCCTATGTTTGGTTGGCTCGGCGAATGACCAAAACGAGGTGGCCCACATGCCAGTAAAATCTGGAGGAAATCAAGGAGAGTCAGCCTTGTCATAAGGATTAAGGTTAGGAGAGCGCTGAATTATTAAGAGAATCGAATCGAGGGGTCCCCTCGCAGTGTGACTCCTGTTGAACTGGACTGGGTCACGGAATGGAACCCACTTACGCATGGCCGCAACCCCAGTAGCTGCAACAATCGAAAACAACAGTTGCTGGGCCAAGTTGACTTCGATTTGAGGAATCAAGATCGAGGCAAGGGTGCAAACAAGCCAGCTGATGGTGGCCGATAGGAGAACAGCAAGAGGGTGAAGGGTGAAATAGCCGTCCGGAATTCTTAGTGCAAGGATACCACAATAATGCATGCTGGTGATGGCTAGTGACCAAATAAAGCCTCTTACGAAGTTTCGGAGTGTAGCGCCCGAGTATATGCCTTTGATGGTGCCCACCAGTACATTGGTAGCTTCGGTTGTCGTGGATTTGGCAGCCTTGAAACTCATGAACCGAGGGAGAGAGAAATCACTACTTTCTGACCCAGTGGTAGCGGAGGAGCGGCGTAAAAGATAGTCATCACTGGAGTGTCTCCTTAAACTATCCAAATCGTCGGTCGAGCCGCTGTCAGACTCATTACTTGCTGGAACATACGAACTGGATGAGCGACTCGGAGGAAACTGGGGAGAAGGCGGTGGGATAGCAGTGCCATTGCGATTGACGCCATGAAAATGGTCTTCCAGCGGACCGAGACTTGTTTTTCTCGAAGGATCGGTATCTTGTCGTCGAAGTGAGAATCCGCTCGGTGAAGCATCTTCCGGACGTAGGTGGACATTCCTTCCAGTTTCTCGTGGATTTGGCTCGGGGTCCACCCCAAGCAGAGGCTCGGTTGTCTCTGCGGTCTCCTCATACAGCTGCACAGAGCCCATCTGATGTTGTTTCCGTTTTGCGCGCGTCTTGGTTTTTTCCTTCTTGAGATATCCAAGGTACCGAGTCCGCAGAAGATCTGAAATCAGGGCTAAAAATGTAAAGAGAACAGCCAAAACGGCACTTAGAATCGTCAAAGGCACATTCAGGTCGATTGGAAGGTCAAGTTCGCAGGCTAGCATGGCAATGAAGTGCAAGCTCCATATGGAGCAGAACCCAAATGTCAAGCTGCCTAGGATTGTCCAAACCAGAATTCCGGAAAAATAGCGTGACGTCCGGGCTTGACAGAACATTTGAGTCGACGTGAATGCACCGAGGAGCGAGACTATAATTGAGGCGGCAATCAATCCACTATTCCAATGTGGTTCAAGCTGTCGCACAGCACCATTTCGCGTGGACGCAGCCATACTGATGAGCGGGAAGCTGATCACGTCCTAGGGTTTCCTGGAGATTATGAACTGGTATGTGGTATGGGCGACGGCTTATTTTCTCAGACTGCTGCATGGCCAACTAGTCAGACAGCTCGCCGCTCTGCTCTCGCCTGGACAGTTTTGTCGGCCATGAGTTCGATCGTTCGGGCAAATCTGTGGTACAACGTGATGGCCGTCGGGCGCAGTCACTCGAGCATCTTCAGCTTTCAGTTGCTTGGGGAGGTGGAAGGGAAAGGCTGCTCCAGGAAGAGGGACGGTCGGGAGGATGGCAGATGTGGGTGGTTGTACTTTGTAGAGGAGGCTGAAAGGTTGAGGGTATGAGTTAAATGGTTTGTCGCAAGGACCCTGAATGTGAAATCTGATAGATCACGACGCGAACTGCCAGGGCACGGGTTCCTGGGTGGTTTCCCCAATTATCGGCTGGACGCTTGATGAACCCAAGCAGCACCATCGACCTCACTAAGGCACCCCAGGACTTGCGGGCCGGAGCAAGCCATCGACAGCAGAAGACCTAGACGCTGTAGCCAAGGCGCCCTAGTTAATAAGCCTAGCGAAGGACCCTAGATTTGACCCCGGGGGGAGGACCCTCGGGCCTCAGGCTTGCCGGCTTGTTGGAGGACTCCAGGCATTTGTGGGGGGACACGCCTCAGCTTTCCTCTGTGACACAATGTGACGGACTAGTGCAATACTGATGCAGACAAGAGTTTTGATGTATGCCACCTGTTAATATTGTTAGCTGTATTAGTTTTCTGCAGCTGCCATTCAAATCTCCGTGATGCATCCGTACATGCTGGAGGACATGATAAAGCTTGCACCAAACCTTCCATACTCTGACTCGAGATCTGTTCACTGTGCAGTGTACCGAGCTCGGTAGATTGTCAACTTGACTTAGGTGGTGTCCGGGGATGTCATTCAAAAGGTTAAGGTAAGAAAGTGCCTATGCTATGGGTGGCTATGATCTTCTCAGGTGGTAGACTGGTCCTACAATCAACCAACAACCACTGCACGATTGATATATTGATATTTGCTACGGTTGCTGGCGTCCGCCACTTGCAATACCCTCGTCGTTCATTCTCGCGCCGAGGTCTAGTTAGTCCTGATCCCTAGCTTACTTGCAGTGTAATGTCTCGCATAAGAAGCACTCACTATCCTTATGCCGCCAGAGGGTTTGATTCCGGACTCGGTACTCCATAAATATAACCCACCAGAAATAGGCGCCGTTCTTTTCTCTTCCACCAACCACACTCCTTCGTCCTTCTTACACCAAGATCATCCAAGAGCACCCTCTTCGAACGTCCAGCCTATCGTTTACAAGATGAGCGACATGGCGGCTATCCAGCTTGTTCAAATGCTGACTCTGTCCAGATGTCTTGACAACCCGTAGAAACAATCCAGACTAATTCCACTCCCCAAATTGACTGTGTCTCGCTTTCCACAGTGCTCTCGCTGCCATTTCCATCTTTGTCTCGCTCTTCTGGTACATCTCCGTTGAAGTGAACCGACCTAACATCTCATCCTCATGGCGCAGCAACCGGCTCACGCACAAGGAGGGTGGTATCCTCGTAAGGAGAACCCCGATGATCCCATATTGAACGGACACTGATCCCTGTGCTGCAGCCCCTCCAGATGGACAACAATGTACGAATAGCCCTCAAGCAAGATATCGAAAGAGAACATGAACGCTGATTCCTGACCCAACAGCATTCCCTCCTCCACCAACTCAACAATCAGCCAACTACTTTCCCCCTCCACCGAGTTCCCCACCGGCTCACTCATTCCCTCCACCACCCCTACAAGCAACACAGACACCCTCCCCGCCGCCTCTGCAACAGCCAACAGCCAAGAGACCATACAATTACGCCGCCGTTCCTGCCTCCGCCCCCGCTCACAAAACCACTTTCGATCATGGCGCCATTCACCAGCGACAGCCCTCATACAACGGTCCTCCTGAGCCTCAGCCAGGTGCGGTGCATCAGCCTGGGGAACAGATTTCGTCCCCACGGTATCAGAGGCTGAAGAATGAGACGACCGGCTTGGCTAAAGAATTCGGCGGCCTCATGCGGGCACCCACAGACACACAGTCCCAGATGATTGCAGGCGTGCCACAAGGTGGTCAATTCGTTGGCGTGCAAGGCACACAGCAAGCAGATGACGTGGGGACGTTCAATGGCGGTTCGTATCGCATTTCACATCGAGACACAAACTCGATTTTGACTATTCAACTGGCCGTGGGTTGCCCATTGACTGCCAAACCTGGTGCCATGATTGCCATGTCACCCTCGGTCCAACTCAAGGGAACGGTCAAGTTCAGCATGAAGAAACTACTGATTGGTGGTGAGCTGGCGCACTCCATCTTCACCGGTCCCGGTGAACTACTTTTGGCTCCAAGTACTCTCGGCGACATCACAATTCTTCAGATGGGTGGCAATGACAATTGGACCGTGGGACGCGATGCCTTTCTCGCATGCACCCAGGGCGTTATCAAGGACTACAAAAGCCAAGGTATCAGTAAAGCCATGTTTTCAGGCGAAGGGATGTTTGTCTACAGAATGTCTGGCAAAGGTCTGTTATGGGTGTCGACATTTGGTGCCATTTTGAAGAAAGACGTAAGTGATCAAAACAAATCCTTCCTCTCCTCCACCTTAGACATCCCCTCCTACAATGGTCAATACTGACTCCACCTGGGACCAGCTTATCGACGGCGAGCGCTATATTATTGACAACGGCCACCTTGTGGCCTGGAACTGCAAGTACGTCCTCGAGCGCGTGGCCAGCGGTGGCATCATCTCTGGCGTCGCTAGCGGAGAAGGTCTCGTCTGCAAATTCACTGGCCCTGGCACCGTCTACATGCAGACTCGTAACCCGACGGCCTTCCAGGCTTTCATCACTGGTTCTGCGGCTAAGGAGATGTAATAACATACGATCTTTTTATATACCTATAATATACCTTCGCGCCCAGTCGGCCGACTTATCCTCAGCTTTCCTCTGCGAGACTCCCTAGTCCACTAAAACCCTTGTCCACACCGTTCTCCTCCTTAACTCCCTTTCGTGTTCCCATTCCACTCTCTGATGCTACCTCGTTTGACCCACTCCAGATCCCCATCGGCTTCCCACCTCGCACGCGTCCGCATCCCCTTACTCAGCCTTGTGGACCCGAGGGTATGGACGATTGCGCGATTCGGATGCCTGACGAAAGGTGGAAACCTCCAGAGGATGATTCATGAAGGTCGCCATTGAACCTCCAGGGCCTGTCAACCTTCACTCCTCCGACCTGAAAAGTGCCAGCACGGCTTCGTTCTTGCAGGCAGCGGCCACATCCAAAGGACTAAACCCATACTTATTCTCCCTCTGTGGGTCTAACCCTCGATGCATCAACTCCTTGAATAGCAAGACCGATTCTGAATCGCCACCGTAGACGGATCCCTGCTGATCTTTTCGTCTGGCTATAACATGTAACAGTGTATCTCCATTACCATTCACCGCGAATACATCGTGGCGATGTAACATGGTTTTTATATCCGTCCAAGACGGACGGTAATAAGGTAGCATGTCGGAGCACGGCTTCACCGTCGCAAGGTACGGAAATAGGGGGGTATTCCCAAAGTCGTCACGAGAATCGCAGTCACAGCCGAGATGTATAAAGCGTTGGTAGAGTTGAGCGTATTCCTCATAACGATTGGCCTCGTCCTCATACAGCGGCGGCTCAGTGGCTGGACTGAGAGACATCAAATCTGGAGCGAGGAGGTGTAAGGCGGTTTCGCCGTTGGGACCTGTGGAGAGTGGATCTGCACCGGCGCATAGCAAGCCCTGGATCAGATCGAGTTTCGTCGTAAAGCTATGACGAAGGCTCATGACATTGTAGAGCGGCGTGCAGCCAGCATGATTCCAGGCAGACACCAAAGCCCCTTTAGCGATGAGTGAGGAGATCGTCTTGACAAGGCCCGCTGCAGTGGCAAGGTGGAGCGCTGTCGAACCCGTATCATCGGTTGCATGGATATCCGCTCCGCCACGGATCAATTCAAGCGCTGCATATTCGCCGGTGATGCTGCGATAGTTCAAGTCAATTGGAGAACAGGCTCTGAGTAAGGGAGTTCGGCCTTGTTGGTCTTTGATCTCTAAATCGAAACCGGAGTCGATGATCGGGGTGAGGATGCCGGAGAAATAAGCTATTTCATGGAAGACGGTGGTTTTCGCGCCGTCCAATTCCATCACAGGATTGGCGCCCTGCTCAAGAAGGAATGCCATAATCGCAGTTCTTGACTTTGCACTTTCATCATCGAAATTCATCTGCCCGTCCCTCAGAGCCGCCGCGAGCAGAGGCGTCTCGACTGTCGGACCTTTATTGTAAAATTTCGCTTCCTGTGGGCGATACGTAGCATTGACATTTGCTCCGGCTGCGGCCAAAACGACCCTCGTGGTTTCGAGATCCTCGCTCTCGATGGCTACGAAGAGAGCAGGAATTGCACCAAGAGACACGTCAGCCCCGGAGCCAAGAAGCCTTCGAATGAGCTGTGGCCCTCGCTTTGCCTCCAAAGCTTCGGTGAGAGGCGTCGATGCGTTGTCTGGGGACAAGGCGTTGACGTTTGCTCCGTTTGCGAGCAACACCTCCAAGGTCTGGTCTCGCCAGAAGCCCGCTGCTTGGCTGGCTGTTTCGGAACCACTTCTCCAGCCGCTCAGTGCGCACTGCAGTGCCGTTCTCCCTTCTGCATCTCTGAGCTCGACATCAACTCCGGCTTCGCAAAGAGACCGGAGCGCCGAGATGTACCACCAGTTATCGCCGGTAGCGAAGATGTGCACGGCGCCGAACGAGGGTGGTGGAGAACTGGTGTAATGCCTGTTGGTCTCCTGGAACGAAGCATTGACGTCGACGCCGAGTTTGATCAAAAGATCAACCATCTGAATGTTTGAAGTGGCTCGGGTTGCTGCTAGGTGCAGTAGTGGTGGTGATACAGCGTTCAAGTCGTCGACATAGCGCGACATGATCTCCATCATTGAGATAAGTCCCCAATAAGCAACGCAATGTAATGGCGTTAGACCATGAGGCCCGGCGATCGTAGGATCCGCTCCGGCCTCAAGAATTGCAGCTAGAAGGGCCTCATTTTTGAACGAAATGGCTGTCTCGAGGCACCGGTAGGAATTGCTGGTGTTGACATCAAGACCTTGGGCGATCGTCCCAGCCCCTGAAGTCCTCATTGCGTACCACTCCTCCGCCAATCGGTTTGCGTCGGCTGGTCCATCGGCTGATGGGGTTCTTTGCATTCGTAGAGAAAGCAACTCGATAGCAGCTTCACAACCTGACTTAACAGCGATTTGATATGCAGTACGTCCTGACTTGTCGAGTGCAGCGAGATCGGCACCAGCTGCAACAAGCAGACGTACGACGTCTTGCACCATGCAAGTTTCCTCTTCGTTGAAAATGACATAAGTCCCCAACGGATCATCTGAATGACAATGGTTCCAACCGATATATGGTGTCAAGCTCCACTTGACACGACTTCCAGTCTTATGGTTTGCCACGCTCTCGCATCGACGTTGTATAAACAGCGTCTTCGAGTTGGATTGGTGCTCAGCAACGGCATGAAGAGCTGCTTTACCTCTCCTATCCCTGGCATTTGGATCTGCACCATATTTCAAGAGATAATAAACACTTTCAGAGTCTCCGGCTTGGGCGGCTTCATGGAGGGGAGTACGTCCATTAGCATCTCGTTGATCGATTGTCCAGGACCGCTCTTCATAAAGCTGACAGAGCAGGCCGACAGCACCCCTTTGAGCTGCTTGTGCTGCAAAATGAAGTGGAGTGCGACCATCGAGAGTTTGGGCTTTCAAGTCCGCATGGGCAAGGCAGAGCCGCCAAGTGGTGATTTCTGATGATGATGCAGCCAAATGGATGGCCTGGATCCCTTCATGGTCTCGCGTGTGGAGATCGATATCGAGATCAGGATTCAATAGGAAATCCAGTCTTGAAGGAGATTCGTTCCCGATACTGTAATGGTCATATGATTTCAGAGCAGCCGCCAGGTGCAATGCGGTCTGCCCTCGGTGATTACGTGCATTGGCAACGCCGCCAGACCTCAAAATGGCCTTCATGTTGATCTCCACAGTTCTCCAGAAGTCATCCCAAGCGACAGCATGGTGAAAAGGTGTGTTGCCAGCATTATCCCCGGCGTTGATATCTATCCCCTCCCGTTTCAGATGTTCCATGACCTTCAGGGTGGCTTCTAAATCTTTCTTTCCACCATCATGATTGAACAGGTGAACCTGCGCAAGTACATGGAGACCTATGTGTGCAGCGGGTAAGTACATAATTTCAGGTCATTGGGGGTTAGCTTACAAGACTTGTTCTGTGAGTCCGTGGTTTGCAAGTCAGCTCCATTATCAAGAAGTCCATAAATAAACTGTGGTTGTGCATTCTCGCAGGCAGCCAGCAGGGCTGTTCTTCCACGGATATCTCTCGATTCGAGATCAAGTCCCTTTTCTACCAGGAGCTTGATGGAGTCAACCCGACCCTGGCCACCATTTCCCCAACGGAGGTTATTCAAACATGTCTCACCTTTTTTGTTCTTGATCCTGGGATCCGCAAACGACAACCACTTTTCTACATGTAACTTTTCGAGTAACCATGACTTACAGGTGTGATGTAAAGCAGTATTCCCGTCCAAATCCTGCCTGTTGGGATCGGCCCCAAGTTCAATGAGTTCGCTGACGTCAAGAATCCGAGCTTTTGCGGCAGAGATGAGCGGTGTCGAGCCATCTGAATCGTTGGCGTCATTTATGTCGGCTCCCGCTTTTACCAGCAATTCCAGAGGTTTTCGATCCGTATTCCATGCTTCGCTCTTATGGAGCGGAGTGTTTCCCTCGTAGTCCTTCGCACATGGATCAGCACCATGCTTAAGGAGAACAGAAATATATCGAGCCTTGCTTTCTGGATCGCGCTGACCGAGATAGAGTTGGTCAGTCCATGCAAACAATGCAGTTTCACCAATGTTATTCCTGTCTTCAATGTCACAGCCATATTTCACTAACAAGGATAAAACTTTCTCCATTTCATCTAGGGATCTTCCTGGTCGGGGCCTGTGTTTTTGACTCCTACAACTTGCCCAGCCATGTATCGGACTGCGACCTGCGTGCTTGCGTGCATATCTTGGGTCGACCGGCTTACGTTCAGTCATGGGATGGCCAGTGGATATCCCATGTACGTCCGCGCCATGCTCCAGCAGAATTCGAACGGTTTCGGAGTCTCTCGAGGATGCAGCAAGGAAGAGAGGAGTTTCTCCGTCTTCATCTTCCCGATTGATATTCGCTAAAATTTCGGGGTATTTTAGAAGAATGGGAAGCACTTTTGCCTGGCCATTAAAAGCGGCCCAATGTGGGTGAACAGATTTTCTTGATTCGGGTTCCATGTACTCCAAAAGCTCAACGACAGCATCCACGTTGCCTAATTCGCATGCGTACTGGATGGGTGTGGTTCCGAGAGTATGCTCCTGCCACTGAAAGTCTTGGTGTTCAGATGCTTCTCTCGGTTCCTGCGACCGTGGATCTACGCCAGCCGCAAGTAGATGGCGCAAGACTTCAACATGATTCCCTTTAGCAGCATGATGAATAGGCGTCAGATCATTGGAGTCCGGTGTTGATGGGCATGCTCCATGACTCAAAAGAACGGCAACGACTTCGCCATGCCCCCAAGCCGCGGCATATCCAATAGGTGTCCACCCGAGAGGATCAGGATGGTCTGGCATCTCACCTTTGACCAGCAGGTGCTTCATATAAGCAGCCAAACCTGCTTGAGCAACAACGTGAATCGGATGCAAGTGATTAACTGAATCTTCCGAATTCCAGAACTCTCTCCAGCTTTCGAAATCATGGTTCCCATCGCGCAAGAAGTTGTCGAACTTTGAGAATAACTCCTGGTTGAAAGCGTCACATCTTGCTGCATGATAGAGCCAATTCTCTGTTGCGTAACTAAGTAAGGGAAATTGGAGTAAGAAGGTCTCCCTCTTCTGTATCGAATCCAAAGAGATGTAGATGACTTCTCGGTCTTGAACAACCCATGATTCAAAACAACCGGAGCACATGTAGTCAATACATACTGACACAAAAGATCGATGGCCATTAATGGGTAATAAAGTGGGAAACCACCTGTCGGGCTCTGAGGAAACAGTCGAAGTATCTCTGGCAGTGTCTAGGAGAAATTCAGTAAAGGAATGATGAATCACATGAAGGGTTCCATCCTCCAGAACCTCCAAAAGCGGACCACATGACGTTCGGACCATATCCTTCGCATCTTGTGCCTCTTTCAGTCCACCTCGATCTCTGAGAGAATTTACCAAGGCAGTAAGCTCGGATAGCCTGAGCGGACGGGCAGCATGGACGATCCAAGAGAGTAGCAAGGCTTGAAAATCCACGCCGGCCCCAGACCGGACGGAATGCTCCTTCAAGAGATCGATGTACATCTCTCCGAGGGAAGACGGAAGTTTTTTCAACTTTCCCTGAATGGTGCCTGTTTTCTGTAATAACTCATCGAGCATGAGCCGCGAGTAGAGGAACAGACCGCTACCTTTTGAACAAAGGGTGCTCTTTATCGCTGACTGTTCTTCATTCGTCAAGGCTCTTTCTTGCTGGGACTTTATGCGATGACTGATATATGCAGCAACATCTCCCTCCACCAAGCGACCCGAAAGCCGAAGACTGGCGACGTTACGTCTGTCCAGTCTCTTTTGCAGAGGTGGCAGCGGGCGGCTGGTTACTATCACTTTGATTGTGCGCGGTTTGCTTTGACCAAGATTGAGGAGATGCTCCAAAAAACAATCCTGCTCAAATGCGAGCTCATCGAGAGCATCAAGCACGATGTAGACTTTGGGAAATGTGAGCAGGACTGACATAAATGTTGTCCAAAGCTCATGAAAGGGCGCTTGCCCGACTTCTGGATGTCGGTCCATGATTTTCTTCAACTCTGAACACAGTGGCGTACTGTGATCTAAAGCCTGATACAAACAATCTTGAAGGAGATGCCTCGGTTCGCTGTTTGTTCTCAAGATTTGTCGCGAGAAGAAGAACAGAAGAGGCGCGATTTCCTGTTGGGAGAGGCATTGAATCAGGTGAGCAGCAACGACTGATTTGCCGCTTCCTGGGATGCCTTTGATCCATAGGAGGCCAACGTCGTCCGAGCTATACCATTTTTCATATTGCTCAGCATGTCGCAGCCAGTCACATGTGCCAGCAACGTGAGCATTGAGGTGTTTGTGATATTCGCTACCTTCAGTGTCAAACTTGGTCGAACACAACCACACGCGAACCTTAGCAAGTATTTCCGGTTTCACTGCAACTGTCAATATTCTAATCCCTGGACGTCGAGTGGTAGAATTCAATTCACCAAGACCAACATCATCAACACCTCCATCTGTAAGCGATCAGTTTTCAATTCATCCGACAGGCCGCAAATGCTTCAAACTGACCAGAACAATCCACAATAACAAAGTCGTCGCTGTCCATTTGCTTTCGGTTGCGTTCATTTCGTTCCGCTTGAAGAGCTACAAGTTCAAGAGATCTTCCATACTGATTAACGGATCGCCCTAGGAAAGGCTGTCACCGCTTTTGTTAGGCAGCTATATGTTAGGCAGCCATGTGGTAAGATGCCTCTAGCCCCCAGAGCTAATTCTCCGCCAATCAACTCTTGATTCACAGGGTGTGAAACGTGGTGAGCTGTGCATGCTGAGTCGGTTGCAAAGTGGAGATGAGCAGGTGGTGTTTGGCCTGTTCGAATAGTGCAAGGCAAGCAACTCACTTGGCACCGCGTAAAGCCTACAGCTCCTTAAGCCAAAAGTTGACAACGGCTTTACAAAACTTGAATGAACGATAGATTTGGGATTGATTAGATTTTGATTGATGTAAGCCGTGGATCACTTGATAATGTTGTGCAAACTAAATATTTCCACAGATTTGTGAAACTTTGGCTGGCGACTAACTACAAGGATACTTGTCTGTGTCCTTCTCGAATGAATTTTAAAACTTGATAATCTACTTGATGCAGCCAGCTAAGGAACTAACACACTCGTAGGTAGTACTAAAACATGCTTTCATGATCGATCTGTGCATAAGTCGTGTTTTTGCGCTCGGTCGTGGAAATTGCCAAAGGTCGCCCTGTTCATCTTCTTCTTGCTGCTAGCCAATTCCTGTCATCATGGGAGATGCACCTTGATTCGATCTTCTAAGGCCCATATCCACGAGGGGTATGAGAGCGATAGATTGGGGTACAATCCATAATACTCCAGACCACTACCAAAGGCTTGTTCGAGAAGAAACGCATGATTGGTGACAATAGCTTCCTGCTTTCATCCGCATTCTTCCTCGTGAGCGCCAGCTCCAACTCGCGTTCAAAGTCATGTTCCCAATCAACTGTAAAGGATCCTCTAACCGAGAAGTCTCTTTCTCTTTCCGACTTGTGCGGTGAAACCGGACTTGATAGCCGTGACGGATCGTCTAGAGCCGCAGGAATTGCAAGTGACGAAGTACAGACGATTTTCGCCCTTGCTCAACTCGGTGTTCCCACTACGGCAAGTCTTGCAGGTGACGTACTCGACGATATATCGTCTGAGCACGTTTTCAATCTGTTTTTGTTGGAAACGACCTTTGATGACGAGGCGTTTCGAGCCGTCAACAGAGCCCGATGTACCCAATTCGGCGAACAGGAACTGTGTGACGTGTTCGTCGGAGCGGTTCATGCGTTTGCAGATCTCGGCGATGTTTGCGAAGATGGTCTTTTTGTTGCCTTCACGTAGACATTGGGGAGGCGGGATCTTGTAGGATTTGGAGCCGCTGGATAGGATGTCAGGGTTGTGTTCGTTGACGAGTTGGAAGAAGCGCTTTAGGAGGAGTTCATAGCCGATCGGTCGTCCGTCGTTGTGTGCCCAGATGCCTGTACCGGATGTCATATCTCCTTCTTGCCCTTGTTGTGCGGCTTGATCGTCGGCTCCGTCTTCACCTTCGCCAGTCTCGAGACCTGCAGAGGCAAGTTTGGCGGCGAAATCGGCACCGTCGGCTTTGGGTTTGGTTGACTTCTTCTTTTTTTTCTTCAGTGCCAATCCGTCGAAATCGCCGTCGGCGTTGACGGCAGGGGCATCGCCATCAGCGTCATCGGCCTTGGGTTTTGAGGACTTCTTCTTTTTCTTGTTTAGCCCGGCAAACATGTCGGTGACTTCCTCCACGGCTTTGTCTCCATCGGGCGGCGTAGAGTGTTTCTCGGCGGTGGTCTTGTGCTCTAGAGGAGGTGCCTCACTGATGGCACCGTTTTCATCCATGATTGTGTCGTCTCCACTGAATGCCACGGATTTGCGAGGTCTACGTTCGTGTGGAGGTTGTTCCTGGGGAGATGAAGATGAGTCAGTTTGGATGTCAGATTTAGAAAGGGTAGAAGGAATCTTGTCCTCCTTGTTGTGCCCAGTGGGGCGAGGTGCATGCGGTTTCACTTTGTTTCCTTTGGGTGAGGCAAGTGGTTGGTGTGCGGGTGGGGTGTGCGTGACGTTACTCACCACTTCAGCCATGATTTTCGTTCGTTTACTGATCGGATTTGAGGGTACCTAGGGAACAGTCTGTAATATGGAGTCTGATAGTTTCTTGTATGATGTCTCTGACGGGAGAGAACGTTCAAGAAGAATATGGGTTGATCCAGGACTGTGGGGAATATTTCAGTCGGGTTTCATAATCTATGACTCAAAATGATCTGAGAGTCACGTGGTATGTGCGGAATCGATCTTCGTCTGACAAAGACACTTGTGTCGATTTTGGCCCTCTCTCGCTGCTTTAGATTGAAGTACTCATCAATAACCTGATCGTCATACGCCTACATTTCCGGATTATCTTATCTCCATACTACACTATGGGCGCCGAGTACAGAGTGCCAACTACAAGCCATACCTGCCTGCACTGTGATATTCACCCATATTCAGACCAGCACTTGTTGACGTCGACCACACCTTGATATCGACAGATTTGCAGTCCGATCATCCCTCTCAATGATTTCCTCCTCTTGTCGTTCACGGTAGTCCGCCCTTCTGCGCTTCGCGCTGCCTCTTCCTCCATCATCCTACCATGTCCGACCTGGACGCATCGGGCTCTTTCCTCGAACCTCCGTCAATGGACGACGAGCACGAGGTCGACTCGCTACCTTCGGAACCTGACTCAGACGATGTCACCGTTAGCGAGTTTGACGATGACTCAGATGCAGACCGAGAGTGGAAGGAGAGCCTGCAGCAACTAGAACTGCTTCTCTCCATGGTAATTGTACCATATATTGGCAAATATTTTGGGCGCAAGTTTGCATACTGGGGTATGTTTTAAGGGGGATGGCCTTAAGAAAGGAGATGCTGACTCAAGGATAGGCTGGAAACGATATATGGAGTACAACTTCCCCGTCGAAGTTGTTGTTACGAACAAGGCTGCTTTCAAAGGTGTTGGAGCAATTGAGGCTGCCGCCTCCTTATGATCTAGATTGCGAAGTGACATACTCCCGCTGGTTTCCGACCTAGCACACAACATGGCTTCAAGTTAGATCACACACCTGAGATTGTTCCAAATTACCGGAGCTATTCGCCAAGATCAACAAGTCATTGCCATTGAATAACCAAGCGTATCTGAGAGCTCGGTGCACAAGGCCTGAGCAAGCTATACCTGCCTTAGCGGGAAGCGTTGCATGCTGACAACACCTCAGCTATCAAAGCCAATGACTCTAATCCAACACCCTTGGAGGCATGCTGAGTAGATTACCCGAATGGTGATCTTTGCATCGGGTGATCTTCAACTCCATTCATGTACATAGCTTTCAGCATCACTTCAATCTGATGATTATCTGTCATCAACTCTTCACTTGGGCCTTCTCCGTTGACACGGCATGATCGTACCCGTCTGGTACACGATTATCAATCGAGCTTCTGGCGACATCTATACACAGTACTTTAGGGTTGATTTCAGCTCATTAAGGTCTTGCAGATTTTCGCGTAATTTAACCGTTCTCGTTATTTGACTCGGACAAATCTAGTACCCAAGAGCATCATTCATTTACTCAGGCATTTCTACTCATCATCTGCCTTCATCTGTTGGAAACTCTTACAGCCGCAGACAGGTAAGTTACTCGTTCTTCTCCACACGGAAGAAGACGTGCTGAGGCATCAACGATCTACATCCTCAAAACTGTGTAGCTTCCGGAACGGCTCGCCGACAACCTTCCCACTCCCATCAAATCTCACACCTTCACTTCTCAACAGCTCGATCTTCTTACTCGCATATTTCCCATCCTTGCCCCATTCTCCATTGAAGCCGCCGATGCTTCCGTTTGCGGCCAGGACCCGATGACATGGAACATCTGGCGCGAATGGGTTGTTCCGCATACCGCTCCCCACGGCTCGCGCAGATGAGTTGAGATAGTCGGACATGGCAGCATAGGTCGTATAACTTCCCTTGGGGACCGACATGAGAGCGGTGTACAGTCGTTTCCGATACGGAGTCAGCATTGGGTGGGCCTGAATGCGTTCCAATGTCTTTTTCAGGAACTCAATATCGTCCTTATCTTGGGTTTGTGGCTTCTCATTATTGGTGGAGCCAAGCCCAGAGCGCAACGTTGGTGGTGATCTGTCTGGCTTCAATCCAAAATCTAGCGTGGACTGTCGTTTCGCCGCTGGTTTCTTTACGGTTTCTTGCCCTTCAGAATGATTTACGTCGGGTCTTGGTCCCTTCGTCGAACCCTTCGGAAGTCCTGCAACCTCTCGCGTTGTATGGACAGAAGTCGTCGAGCTCTTCCAGTACTTTGACACGTTCTTGCCTCTGCATTGCAGACTGATTTCATCAAGGCGGCAGAGATCGACTTCACCAGCTTTGATCTCTTCGCCCAAGGATATCGCTTGTTGAAGCTGTTCCCCACTCATATGCCGGACGGCCGGCTTTTTTATTACCTTGTCCCACTGTGACTGTCCACCACCTACTGTATTGTCAAGAATGATCCGCGCAAAGCAGTGGTCTAGCGTCACAGGCCATTTTGTCTGCGAGGGGTCACGATTCTTGGCCATTTGAGGCAGTGTTTGAGCGTACAGCTCAGTCCATCGTTTTCGTAGTTCTTCGATGTCTGACATTCCGCTTCTGAGTGACAACCCGAGACGATCCTAGCTGAAGCTTGATATAATGTAAAATGCTTCAAGATGTTGTCCAAATTGCTTCAGGTCCCAAGCAGAGTCGATGTCCATTCCATGGTGGCCTGGAGCCTCTTGAGATCAGGTACCCAAAGCCATCACCACCACTTGAGACGGAGTTATTGAACAGGTGGGACAACTAAACTGAAGATGCGAGCCTTGCGTGTGCACTATTAAGTATTGTGCAGTCAGTCGAAGATTGGGCACATACATATATCAACATTTACATAACGAGCTTGCATGACGAGCTTGCATGACGTCTCGATATTCGCCAAGAAAGTCTACTATTATCGTGCCTGAAACTAAGGCCGAAATCCATGCCTAAACAAACACGGCGACCCTTCTTTGTCGTTAATTTTATCTTCCTGAACCGCCACGTCCGCCACGTTCTAAGAAGCCGTTATGTTCAAATATCTGAGCTGAGGTTGAAGCCTAGAAATTGTTCTCTATATGATGGTCGCCGGCAATGCTCTATACCGCTTCCGATGCTCGCCACTTTCTGCTGAACATGGTTGATCAGTTCTATGCAGCTGAATGCTGCCGAGGGTGAAGATGCTTGGCTGTTGAGGCAAAATTGATATATGATGTTTAAACAAACTGTTCCTTGGACGTGGTGTGTGGCTTGCTGTGTTGTGCATTTCGTTCCAGCATGGTCCCAGTCGCTTATTTGCCTGAGCCTCCCAGATGCCCTTTGCCGATGGGCTCTGGAGTAGCCTCACGCTTGCCTGTACCACCGAGGTGACCTTTGCCGATGGGCTCTGGAGCAGCTTCACGCTTGCCTGAGCCTCCCAGATGCCCTTTTCCGATGGGCGCTGGAGCAGCCTCACGCTTGCCTGGACCACCGAAGTGCCCTTTTCTGAGGGGCTCAGGCTCAGCTTCTCGTCTCCCGGTGCCACCGAAATGTCCTTTGCTGACAGGATCCGGGAGAGCTTCGCGTGCTACGGGTAGAACGGGGTCGACTGGCGTAGCTGCTGGGAGTGCCGCCGCGCAAGCCAGTGTGGTGAGGAGGAGATGGATAGGACGCATGGCTGATGATGCGGTTATCTTGTGGGAAGGAGTTGATTTGGGGTTATATGACTTAGTTCGGAATCGACCTTTCAAGTCGCAATTCCCTTGCGAGATATCAAGGAACATGATACAGTCTTATACCTCTCAAGAAGGGCGGGAATCATGAGGCGAGGCATACTGGATAGTCCAAACAAAACCCACTCGTCAAGCAACAAGAAGCCCGAAGAGTTGGACAATCAAGCCTCAGACAATAATAGCAATAATAGGCCCAAGACCAAACATCAAAAGCCTTGTTCCTCGTATCAACGGGTTCGTTGGATGCACTTTTCAATTTTGCCATCAGATCTAAGCTGTGGCTGCATTGTTGTCTTTGTGTCTAGCCAGTGAGGAATTCGCCTGAGCCGACTGCTGATATTATTTCTCGTATTCTCGCTTAGGACTCAAGGCGGGAGGTGCTTGGCAAGGCTAACTTCAAGCCCGAGGCAGGCGATGCACAGCCTGAAAACGCCCGACACCCCCGATCGCCCGCCCCCCCAACAGGAGCGAATAGAGACTGAGTTGGATAGACGGAGTACCTCTCACGACCTCCTAACGAGAAATACCTGAGGAGGTTTTCCCTCTCTGCTTGCCCACCTTGGTGATTGTTTGACGCGGGTAGAATCGAGGGACCATAGGCGGTCCATCAATCGAATCCATATATACATGAAGCCGCATTTGTATACCTAATTACTAAGGGAGGCGTGCCAATCGCAACCTTTGCAGAAACCTTTCAGCTCAACGCCACATTGGAACTCACTGAGACACAATCATGACTCAAGGTCTTGCAAGGGTAATCCAACGAGGCTATGTTCCAGATGCGAACTTGAGCTACTGTTCAGATACAGTTTGAAGTAAATAGCCTCACATGTGGTATGCTGGTGTTCAAGGGCACACTGTGTTTGAGATGGGTTCCTTGCGGAGTTTAACCCCCGAGTACGGAGCTATTTAAGGCAAGACACGCAGCCTTGCCCCTTGATCGAGATGTAGATGTGGCGGGGCCACCCACTGGACTTCGTGGATCAAAAACCGCCTACAAGCTACCAGATCATTTTTGGTGAGAGCCGTTACACCTCCCTTAGTAACAGCTTATATAATGTATTGTATAATAGCTCCGTGAATGCATGAACTTGTAGCTTTTTACTTTCTACGAAAATTGCTCGCTAAACATATCATTCCCTTCACAAGATGGCAACCCGGCTCCAGTGTCTACCAGTAAGTCCATCGAGTGGCGCCGCTAGAGCTGCAAGCGATCCGCAGCGGAGTTCAACATTAGAGGCGAAATTTTGATGCCACTCTGCTCCAAGGGGAATTGCAGAGCTTTCAACAACCCTGGACAAGGCAGCCGGCAAAGATACTGACACAGTGCCTGGCACTCATATCGCGCTCTACTCGTGCACCACCATTTCTGCATTGTACACATGAGAGCAAACCAGTAGCTGAGTATGAGCAAGGCTCCAGTGTCCTGGGCATAGATCATGGCGATGAAGTTTGAGTCGAGGCGCGCTGGGAATGAAATCACGCGGACATAGTGGTATTGGTCTGGTTCAATTATCGATCCGAGGATTTGTAGGGCACTCGAGTACAATCCTCGTGATAATGCACCACAAAAATCGACCAAGCTCTTGGGGACACGCGCTAGATCTTCCACGCTGTCATGTCGAACGTCGACCCCTTCAAGAATAAACGCCTCCCAACAGCTCCGGGACCGGTCCCAGTGTGCTTGATTTTGAACAAGAATGCCCAAGCCACGTATCATTGTTATCCATCGAGTTTTAGGATTTTTCTGATCCTGAATACTCCAAATGCTCGCAGGGTCTTCATCGTCAACAACAAAGAAGATTTCGGTTAGCATCAGACAAGACGCAAACATGGCATCAGTTTCTTCGTGGGAGAGAGTTTGAGAAAGCCTGTTTGAGTATATACTCAAGGCACGAGAGGTGTGAAATCGGGCCTCAACGTGCATATTACCCACACTTCCACCAAGGTAAATTATGTGGGTTAAAGAGATGGCGAGGATGCTATGAAACAAGACCGGATATTGCTTCATTAGGTGAGGAGCATTATTATGCAAGATTTCTTGGCCCGTACAAGATGTTATAGTTTCCAGCGTGCTTGTCTGGAAATGATTGAAGAGAAGGAGCAGGTTATTTCCCTCAAGAGGGATACTGGTGACAGCGCGAGCCAAAGTAGCAATATTTTGACTAGTTGCATCAAAAGTCAATTGTGCTTGTTTATTGATTTGTGTCCGCGTGCTTCCCTCGTCTTCGTGAGACAGGCTCATGGGCCACAAGCATGTTCGTCGAAAATGCTTACAGTTTCCACAAATTGAGTGACCCTCGTCACACTCGAAAAAATTAGCAGATGACAGCTTGGTGGGTGTGCCATCATCTATCTACCTTCACGTGACGCTGTTTGCAAGCTTCGCATCCGTTCTTCGACTTGGAGTGTGAACGCCGTAGACGATAAGTTCGTTCATCTGCACTTTCTCTCGAGCGTCCCTTTGGTCTCCAAGGGATGAATCTGGAGGTCATCGTCGATGACTTTAACACTGAATAATTTATGTCGCTCTGTTCGGGAGGGCGTTAGCGAGAATTGCTTGTAGAACATGCCCATCTAGCCCCTGCAATCTCTGTATTGGACACGTATCTGATCAGAATTCGTTGCACAATCTTGTGGAATTCATCAAGATCCCGCCGAGAGCTTGGCGTCACAGATGGCTTGTAGTAATACGGATCCAATGCAGAAGCCTTTGTAAGCTGGCTAGAAAGTGGAGAGGCTTCTGTAATACGGTCCGAAAGTGGTCAAGTGCTCCGAAAAACCAACCTTCCGAGGTTTTCATGGTGAACGGAGGTGCTCCTTTAGTAATTGAATCAATACTAAGAATTGAGCCGCACGAATCCACACGCCAATTGGCTGAAGAGACTATCCATAATATGCTGTGTCTGTCTCTCCGAGATATTGCCACATCTCCTACGGCTGGCGAAATTCCCAGACGCAAATGTCGGTTGTAAAATTTCACTTATGCAGGTAAATTACCTCGTAATTGCATGTCAGACCCGGAGGTAGGTGAGTCGAGATATGATGCTGTAGAAGGCAGCCCATGCATAATCAGAAGAATAGGACTGCTAAAGACAACCATAACGTCAAGCCCATCTTGCTAATCGAGTGTGGCTGAGGGCGGAATAGCCAGACTTGAGGCCGGAAAAGAGGACACCGCGACAACGCAGATATCTTACAGTCCGCGTATAAAACATGTCTTCGCAGCCTTCATGAGTAGACTTCATCCAGATCAACAACATAAACTCTTCTTTGCCAGGACAAAAAGCTTTGCCCTACTTCCCCGAGCGCTTGGTTAAGTATCTTCCTTGAATCAATTTCCAGCATACCATACGTCAAACTTCTTAAGATGATGCACGCAGTCCTCCACGACCAAAAGACAGAGTCGATTACCATCTCAAATGTAGCTCTACCATTGCAAAAGGAAGACGAGTACCTCATCAAAGTGTCGAGAGCCGCATTCACCCTGGGTGAGCTCCAGTGGCCTAGGCCTCCAGAACTTGTCATTTCGACACCAGGTGTTGAGTTCATTGGACAGGTTGTTGCTCTACCACGCACCGTCTCCACGCCGAAGTTCGCAGTTGGTGCGAGAGTCTATGCACGCGTAAAGTATCCCAATCCCGGGGCTGCTCGGGAGTACACCACCGCTAGCGAGGGCGAGATGGCGCGCGCACCAGTGAACTTCACAGATGATCAAGCCGCAACGGTTCCTGTGAATGCTTTAACCGCATGGCAATGGCTTGTTGAACAAGCGGGCCTGAGGGGCGCCAGCGGAGAACTCAAGTGTGACCTGACAAAAGAGTATCGCATGCTCATCACTGGAGCTGGGGGAAGCGTTGGGGCCTGGGCTGTCCAACTTGCTGCGATGACAGGTGCAACAGTCATCGGCACCGCGACAGGTGAGGGCATCGATGTTGTCAAAAGCTTTGGTGCGGATGAGGTGATCGACTATGCGAAAACCGATCTCAAGACATGGGTGACTGAAGATGCCTCACGCAGAGTGGACATCGCACTCAACTGTGTTGGCGCAATGGCGGACGCTGTGTGGTATACTGTTAAGAGTGGTGGCATGCTGCGCACCATTGTGGCTCCTGCAGACTTCTCATTCGACCTCGTAGCGCCAGACGACAATGAGAACGTAGATGGGAAGTTCTTCATCATGTACCCTAATGGACAACAGCTTGAAGAAATCTCAAAACTCATCGAAAGTGGAAAGCTCAAGGCTCAAGTAGATCAAGTGTTTGACTTCGGAGACGCGGCAAAAGCCCTTGAGAGGTTGGCTAGCAGAAAAACCAAGGGCAAGGTGGTGTTGAGGGTTGGCAAGTAGTCTCTGACTTAACAATTCGTCCTATACTTAGCTTGTGGATGTTGTCACAATCGCAGATTTGTGGCCTTATATCCGAAAATGCTCGCTCTGATTGATCCGGCTCGATCAATTGAGCTGAATGTTTACCATTTATCCATCTGCAAACCCATTGTATAGTACAGCTTGACACTGCCAATGACAGCCATAGTAGCGGCATAACTCCAAGCACTATCTGAAGCCGAGCTTCTTGGTACCGCATCTACTTCGTAGGAGTCTGACCATTTACCGTATTCAGCAACCGTAGGCAAAGTGTACAATCTCTTGGAGCCGAGAATGAGTGACATCAAAACCTGGTGGCGTGGCCTGTCCTCACATCAAGTCTTTCTGTTCAAACTTTACTATGTCACCTGTTCATTTGTGCTTCCTTCAAGTATTGGTGGGACAAAAAGAACCGAGACGAAATTATGAGCTACGAAACTCAACCGCAAGATCCCATGCTGCGCGTGTTTCTCACCGGCTCAAGCGTCGGAATGAATCATCAACGGTCCAGCAACAGTACAGATATACAAGAGAAGATGCCAAAATATCCACATCTCGCGATGCTAAAGCTCCCGACATGTGTGATGATGAGATCCCGACCACATGTCCCACAGGCCGAACCATGTCGAATAATGTACCGTTGAACGCGGGCAACACTGTCCCGTACGACTCGAGACTGACTTCTGGCTGGAAATGGAGCAACGGTTTTCGAGTGGACCCTTTCTCTTGCTTCCCAAATATGTATTCACGCAACTCAGTAACTGCATTCGACTACTGTTGGTTCTACCTAGCTTGTTTTGTTTCCATCTGCTGACGGATCTAGTCATTTGGTGTGGACAAACCCGTCTTGCAATTCACGAGACACCTTTCGGTAGATTGCGAAAGTACGGAAACTGGATGCTTGGACCACTATCCATGAAGCCCGATCTCTTCTTCGCCTTAATGGCCGGGATGCTGGCACAACTCACTGGTCCAGATACTCCCTCTTACCCTCTTACTGGCTTGATGCGCGGTGCAGCGGAGCTCAGAGCACAAGCAATGAAATTTCTGCAATTGCGGCTCGCGGAAGTGCAGAACTCTGATGATGATGGGGTCGTGTTATCTATCCTATTCATGGCTCTGGCAGAAGGAATTCTAGACCACCTGCCAGCTTTCTGGACACATAGGATTGAACTCACACGGTTTGTACGGCATCGAGGTTCCATAAACAATCTCAGTGTCGACGATGATATTAAGGGGATGATATGGAGGTAACTTCACACATAAAATTAGCCCTACACAACATTGATCATGCTCTAGGTTTGAATCTTGGAGCCAGGAACAAGATACTGAACATACTCCTGGCGCCTACCCACTCAGACCACTGGTATACTCTATTTACGTGCAATTAAGCCAACTCCCACTTGGCTTTTCAGCTCTTGCACTAGCAAATTGTTTGCCATGGAGTCTGATCCAAGTTGTCTCTCATATACAACACCTTAAACTTCCCCAGGCATCGGTGCCGAAACAAACACTTGAAGTGGAAGATGGAACACAGCGCAAAGCCCAAACCTATGGTAACTTCTTCGATGCTTGCCCGGCGCTCGGTCTCTCTGAGGAAGCTTTCTTTGAACCTAAGCACGGTGGAAATGCCAAGTCTCTCGTGTCTGGCTACTCCCTTCAAATTATGCTCCGCCTTGCTCTGGTCCGGTATCATTCGGTGTTTTCCAGCTTCAGTGGTCAGCGAAGAGAAAAGAGATATCGTTTCATCACTGTCAAATTGACTCAATATCTGAGGGAATGTTCGTTTTCCGCCAGCGACGACAGACACTCAACCGACAGTACGCACTCTATGAAGAAGCGGAAGACACACATCATGGTCGGTTGGCAACAGGGCCAGGTGTCCAGCAACGAGAGATTGGTGTGGGATTGTCTCTTGTGGATCTGGCTGGTCGCTATTTGCACATGTTGCTCTTGTCTAGAAGGGCCGCATTCTGAAACCTCCAACGAATCGACGCTTTGCGATGGGATGCAAGAGGCTTTACAACTCCAAGACTTGTTGCATGCGCATGAAGCGTACACTGAGGTAGGCTCATGGTCGATGGAAGATTTTGATCGATTCGGGCACCGGTTCTTTCTTACTGTACGGTTCAGCGATCGTTTGAAAAGGATGCGAGAATACTGGTGGCGTAAAAGCATCATATGAATTCCATCAAAATGTAATCAATTGTCCTCTGATTCATGCTTGCGAGCCTCAGTAGCACCCCTGTCCTGGTCTGAGCACGAATATACCATGTTTTAATAAGAGCAGAACATTTGGCGACCCGCGTTGATGCGATTCATTCGTGGTCAAGACTGGTTGCGGAGGTTAGCCTTTGAGTGGGGAACCAAGAGATAGCCTTGCCCCTTTAATTAGAGCTCGTGGATCGCCATCAAGCGATACTATTCTGACAAATTCCCCGATTTGTCTTAATGCTCATAATCACACGCTCCCGTCACAAGTTATCAGTTCTGACCTTCATGAGTGTTAGTCCAGGCACCTACTCCTGCCAAGCTGTTGTTCTGCTCCCTCCCGAATGGAAAATCATTAACCCAACGACGCATACCTTCATCCATCACGCTCTCCGTTGGAAACTCGGGAGCCTTTCGATCAGCTACCGGACTTTGACGGTGCGATTCTCGCAAACGAGCGGCTCCCTCCTGATACGTTGTCACAGATTCGCTGTCTAGCGTTCCGCTGCTGCTTTGGTTGGTCGTGAATGTGGTCAAGCTCGTGGAGAAGGATGAGTGAGTGTGTCTTGGAGAACCCCGTTCGCAGCAATTGTTGAGGGTTTTCAGCCACACCTCGACGCGACTGAAAATATCCCGCTTCTGGTCTGCGTATGAAGCATCAAAACCAGCATCGAGGGGTCCAATCAAAGACCTGGTCAAGATGGTTTTCGCCCTTCCAGATGATATTGGAGGTTTCTAGTATGCTTGCGTTCGATATACCGCAACCGATGTTGACACGCATGGAGTTTGCTGAAGGAAAGAGATAATGTCAGTACTATGGCACCGAAGAAGACTTAAGAATGGGAGTCCGTACTGGAAGAAAAGCCACTGCTACAGTTATTTTTAGTCGGCATAGTGATTTATTTACGGGATGACTGAGAGACTGAATAGCGAGGTAACGATGGATGATCGTCGAGATTGTGATTTGATCTTGTTCATCATTCGGAATGTCTTATACCTTGATCAAACTGCTCTACTGCATCATGGTGAACCGCATCATGGTGAACCGCATCATGGTGAACCGCATCATGGTGAACCGCATCATGGTGAACCGCATAAGTGATCAAGCACGCCTTGGTCAGAGGCATAATGCCCAGCTAGTAGATACCTAGGTAGATTAGTACTTGATTTTAGAAAGATGATCATTAATGTTTAAAAGGTTTGTTCGTCGCGAGCATCATGCATGACTGTGCGTTGAAAGTTCTCATAGAGATGTGCAGGTTGCATTTTTGCAGTGCGAGTTTTAGTCAAGTCGTTCAAGAGAGCGAATGATGAGATATTATGCAAGAGAGGGAGACTCCAAATCCCAGAGGGAGTTAAATTCTTATTCAGACTAGATCATGCACATTACTCAGATGCAACCTCAAATACAACCTTCCATGGAACAGCTGTCGATGAATTACAAACTCCTTTGCCATCAGTAGCATCGTAGGCTTACCTTGAGTGCGGAAACAATCCTGCGAAGGACAGACACAAACACGACAGTCCAGAGGATCACTTGACCAGGCAGATGGCTGAACCCTATGAGAGTGAGAGAGATTATGTTGGGCAGCGAATCAATGATAATCCAGTTTAGTGCATCAATGTTTAATCATCCATAAACCTGCCTAACTTGATGGTGAGGCAATGTTAAACCCAGGAAGATTTCTGCAGGATGCAGGAGGAGATGATTGAGATCATCTCCTCGGGTATTTAACAGACATGAGAACCGCCACCATGACGGAGAAATCAGAGACCTTCAACCATTTATTTGACGAATATTTGCGGCCAACAGATTCGTCCACCTAGGATGGCATGTGTACCCAAGATCCATGGCTCTTTCGCTCAACCCTTGTAGACAAAACGTGAAAAAGTAGGAGCAAAGCGATATTTGAATAGTCACAATGACTAGCTTGCTTTGCCACGCATCTTCCAACTGTCCCACGAGTATGTGCGAAAGCTTAACGTAATTGAGGGGACTCATAACGTATAGGTTGCAACAAGATATAGCAATCTGCGTTGCCCACGGAACGTAATATATCCATCGACGAGCACCCATGGCAGTGCTCGAAGACCAGTCAAGTACTGGCATACCCAGGCAAAGGTAATATCTCATCACCAGTCCCTTATTTGCGTGACGTCCAAGGCAAAAAGTGGGCAGTAGTTGTCGCGAGCGATTGATGTGTCCAACAGAATAGCGAAAGCGAGTAGTCCATCTTGCCCCTATAATCAGTTTCCTCGTTTCAGCATCTTCCGTAGATTGACTTCCCTCTTCGAGTTCCGATAGTTGTTCCCGGGACAAATCATACTGTTCCATTCCTCTCTTTTTGATGTTTCAATTTGATGTGCCGAGCAAGTGAATCCCTGCGGGTATATCCGGCGGTTTGAGCTCCTTGAACCCTTGGGCAGTCTCCATAAGGACAGAAGAAAAGCTGCTTTGTCGAGCCGTTTTTGTGGACCGAAGCATGGTGCCGCGTTGCAGAAGTACTCGTTGAGAAACGCCAATTGCATTGAGCTTCTTTACATCTGTAAGGCCGCAGGTGTTTGTTCATATGCTTATTGAAGTCCCGACGTCTTGTGAAAGAACATAGCTCCGGGCATTGAGTGCACCTCAAAATTTGAGTTTCTTGGGCGACGCTTGAGTTTGCTGCGGCGGCGTTGCTGCCATGGGGTTGCTGGCTTGGTTCATGAAGGCTTTGTGCGCCAGGCAGGTTGATGCATTCACTTGACGCAGACTGCTGGTTTGACGCAGGATCATCCATGGGCGCACCGTAAGCTGATTCAAGTGTATTCCATGGCTCAAAGTCGAAACTGTGGTCATCGTCAAACAATCCGGAATCAACGACAGCGCCAAGCTCGAGACCGAGGTCGACGCCGAGACCGGGATAGTCGTTCAGATAATTCGATACACCATAGGTATAAAAGGAAGAGAACAGAGATGATTCGATATGGTGGGAATCAGGATCGAAACTCGATGTAGGAGGGAAGTCTACATATGTCGCACCGTCATCTCGATTAATGTGGTGATGGGGGGTTTATCAACCCCCCGCGTGGGCTTCCTCGTTATGCGACAGCTGTGTGGGTAGAAACCCGATGAGGCCTGGTTTCTAGAGCCGTAAGGCTCCTCGAAAAGGAGTCGCCAATTCGGAGAGTTGAATTGATGAAGAGAATGATGGACGTACATGCGGATGGAGCTTGGGAGATTTATACCCTGTGGAAAGCATTGCAGCCAAGCCAAGAATTGCGGTGCACCAACAGGGCGCTTCAGCGGTGCACCAACTCAAACAGGGCGTTCAGCGGTGCACCACCTGCAGCTGTTGAACCAATAGAACAGGGGTAATCCGCCCATTGACCTAAAGGTAGGCGGAGGGTCTCTAGGGCCAAGGATAATTATGAGCCTATGCGATGATGCGGTGGCTTCCACGTACCCAAGGGAATGACAGAATTCGTGGATCATGAACCATGTTTCATACCTCGTCACCCATCCTAATCAACGACTACAGGGCAGAGTATTAGCTAGAAGATACCTCGTGTTGTGCTCAGGCTGCTCAGGGCGGGCGAAGCAGAGCAAAGGATTGCACCGCCACAGCTCAAAATTATGTAGTCGCAGCGAGGAGTACATGACCGATCGTCCTGATAACTTTCCAGCGGTGTCTTTCTCTCACTTTTCCGAGCTAGTTCACTCACTCATGCCGTTTTCTCGCGAATCTCATCAACATGAGTGACCTCGAAGCCGACCCCATCGTCCCCAGCCTTCCTTGTGTTGCCAATCTCAGTAATATCCTTCATGCCAACAGCATCATTAGCCCTTTGCTTGATTTCCTCAACGGCTTCAGCACCATCGAACGTGCGATTGATTTCCTCGAGTGTTGCGCCACGAGTCTCAATGAAGAAGAAGTAAACGGTGATGAGCTGGATGATCAGCCACCCTTCGAAAAAGAAGTAGAACTTCCAGCTGCCAGCGTCGATTCCAATTGGAATAACGTATTGAGAAATGGCGAGGCAGACGTTGGTGGCAAGACCTTGCATGAATAACCCGTTTGCACGGATCTTGAAGCTGAGAATCTCGAGGGGGTAGGCGACATTGAGGGAGATCCTGAAAGCCAATCAGCGGTAATCAAGACCAAGGGACGGATATGACTTACCAAGCGAAGTTGTAGAAAAAGTTGTGGAAGAAGATCATGGCGATGACACCCTTCCCAAAGCCCAACTCCTTTGGATGCATAATCTGAGATGCAGTCAAGGCGATCCAAATTGCAAACGTGCAGCACATCCCACTAGATGCAATCAGGAAGAGCGGGCGACGGCCGAAGCGATCAACCATGCAAGCCCAGAACCAAGCTTCAAGCATGTTGACCATCAAGATAAATCCATTGAGCTTGTTCTGATAGAGCGGATCGGTGATGCCAATATTTTCTAGGATATTATGCAGGTAGTATGCTGTCAAACTAGTACCGGAGAACTGAGAGAATACTCCACAGCAGAGACAGATAAAGACACGATAGCGGTTACCACCTGTGAGGAAGTAAACGTATTAGTCACACCTGCTATCATCATATGAGCATGTATGTACTTACGAGTCTTGAACAACTCAGACCAGCGTCCCTTTTGTTCACCCTGAACGATTGAAACCTTCATTTCGGCATACTGAAATCGGACAAGAGGATCCTCTCGATCGCCGTTGGCATGGTACTTGGCAAGGATGGCCAGAGCCTGCTCGTCCTTGCCCCGAGACACGAGCCAGCGAGGAGATTCTGGCAAGAGGAGGACTAGAACTAGTTGAACGAATGAAGGAGCGGCTTGTAGTAAGCTAGGAAGTTTCCATGACCAATTTGATTGAATGTAGAGTGTTCCAAAGGTGATCCCTAGGAGAAACGTGAGCCAAATTCTATCCAGTGTAACAAGCTAGACTTACATCCTCCAAGGAAGGCACCAAAGTAGTATTGCGTGCTGTGAGTGTATTAGTTCATGTGAGCCATCGATTTAAATGGTCAGACTCATACTTGTATAAGGCAGTGATCTTTCCACGCTCGCAAGGGTGAGCAAGCTCGGTTATTAGCAGCGGGGAACCCAGACCGGAGAAACCAGATCCAAGACCAACTGCACAAAATTAGCGAAGGGGTTCCATTATATGGAAGGCCAAAGGCTCCTAGGGCGAGTACTTACTCAAGAATCGAGCAGCAGTGAACATGCGAATATTTATAGCAAAACCTGCATACTTGTTATCCATGCGGCTCCTCTGCAGATGTGTTCAACGAACATTGAATGACACCAGCGATGACAACAATGAGGCAACCGATGAAAATCGTCCATTTTCGCCCGCCATAATCGGCACTGTAGGGTGCCAAAATAAGACCTGTGAATGGCATTAGCATTCAGTGCAATGGATAGTTCCAATATATGCACTTACTGACGATCCCTCCAACACTTTGTATAGCATTCAACAACCCCTGCTGTGAGCCGTGAGGATGATTGAAGTCTAGATCAGAGATCAGCAAGCCTCCTTCTCGAATGGCAAGAGCAACTTACAATCCTCGTAGTACGTGATCGACTGGAGCCCATTCATGAGCGAGCTGAATCAGTTAGCGCAGGTGCATGTTTGTAGATATGCCATCATACCCATCGTATCCATTGGTTGCAGCGGACAGAAGTGCAATCACCAAGAGAGCATAGAGCTTTCTTCGTCCGGGATCCTTATACCACGGAGTAACATTGGCCATAAGCTTGGACATTTCTTCCTGAGTTGTCGCCATCTTGAACAATATTGACGTTTCGCGTGCTTCGTGACACAACACAGTGGCAAGACAGAAAGGCCAGCGACAACAAGTCTCCTATATAACGTATACTAGTATTGCACATTGCCACTTCTTCGCAATCGCTTGACGCTTCACCGGTTAAATTGCTGTCGTCGATATTGCCTGGCTATAACCGGACAGGCATGGTGATCCGACTTGCCGCTGTGGATACCTATCTACTGTAGGTAGTGTTGTGGATAAAAGCACGTTGACAGCACTCCGCAATCTGGAGGCATCTTGGGGTCCCCGGATAATAAAATGGAGATCTCATAACTTCCTTCCGTATTGGGGACAAAACAGGGAGGGGGCATGCTTCATCGACGTGACAAATAGACGTGCAATGAGGAGGCAGGCATTTGGCCGTTGCTGTACGGCGTTACAAGCATACACGGTAGTGACCTTGTAGAGAGAAGCCGATTTTGTCCAAATCATGACCTCAGAGTTTGCATCATGTTCATATGATGGTTAGTCAAGCGAGTTTCCGCGAAGCTTCGATTACTCTTGTTCGCTAGATCACTGGCCAGGTACTGGATACGAAGTAGGGAGGACACGTCAGCTGGGGAAAGTCTTGTTTCGTTGGTTGTAAAGCTTACTTGCACCACCGCACATGGCCGGTTATAATTGAACCTAGATCAAGCCAAAAAGAGACAACAATTATCCAGCACTGGAACAGACTTCCCCTGCATCCAACCGGGCAACCGGCTCATTCACCTGTGTTACAGTCTTTGACAATCTAGCCCTTCCAGGTCAATGGGCTTTACTTTACCCGGGCTTTCTGGCCAGGGTTGTTCACGACACATTCGTATTTGCATCTGGATTCTGTGCGAAGAAACCTTTAATGCAGACTCAAGAAGACAAGCTGAGCTCAATTCGAGGAAGCTAGTCACCGTGAAAATGTATAACCCCGTTCACTGTGGACTCTCCTCAATTGGCATAGTAGACAGTGTCTCGTTGGCAAGTAATTTTTCAAAAGAATCGCCAAAACCATCGTCTGAAGTACGCTGAACCACGTTGTGCTGGAGGCTGAACTTGTGTATCAGTTGAAGCATCAATTACAAGATCAGGTTATTCGAATGAGTTATTAATTCAGCGTAGAGCCACGAATCTTCGAGGTGTATGTAATTCCTCTTTGAGGCTGGAACGGCGCCGAGAATATCTACCTAGGCAGTTAATGGAACTCAGCATTTGCCTATCAGTTGGGTACTGGGGTCCTTACGGTAGAGATTCCTTGGGTGCACTTCACTGTTAAGGGAGCCCCTGAACGGCTAGACTCACTGTCAGTCGCCGTTGATTCAGCACCAAATGTCGAATGACATCACATTTTGCTAGTGATCTTGGCATTAAAACACGTCGCGTCGCGTCTTTCCCCACGCGCGCCTTGGATTTGGGCGCTTTCCACCACCACGTCTATTGATCTTTCCCTTCCATGATTAATCGGTTTTACAAAAGCATGCTCAAATAAGTCGCCATCTGTCATCGTGGCTTTACGACCGTTGCAAATGTCGTCTCATTCATCTCCTTCAACGTTAACGCCAGCTTCATCTAATGAACAGCCATCAGACATCCTTACTCCGACCCGCAAAGTGCAAGCCTTACTGGCGGCATTCGACGACTCTGATTCAGATGCAGATACTCCTGCTACCCCAGAGACCAATGCTTTACTACCTCAAAACCAGCATATCCTTACAGGTCCACCTGTTGACGATAGCTCAGAAGAGGAGGAAGCGTTGCAACCTGCACGTAGGTCTCGAATCGCGGCTCGATTGCAGGACACAGGATCAGCCCAGAAGCAATTGAGCAGTGATGAAGGTGATGGCACAGTCAAGAACCCCCTTTCGACCACGCCATCAACTCCAGAGACTGATGACCTACCCACAACCCGTCCCATGCGTAGGAGGTTGCTCACCAACCGAAAGACCAACACTGAACCCAACCCCAATCGTTCTGCAAGATCTGCATCACCACTGTTCTTCCCTTCGCCATTAGCCTCACGCCAAGATGCTGAGAGAGGAAACGACGCGGATCCAGATATTAGGACTTCGGAATCTGGAAACAGCAAAGGCACCTCGAAATTTTTAACACTTGTGGAGAAGCATCGAAAGCGGCGAATTGAAAAAGCGGCGGAAGAAGCGGCAAAGCGGGCTGTCAAACCTCGACAACAACGAGGTTCAAGCCCTGCTGACGACACAGACGAAGACAGTGATCTCTCCGGACATGGAGACGGAAAGAAGCTCTCGACTCAGGCTCGTCCAACCAGGAAAGCGAGCAAGAAAGCAATCGAAGAGATGAACCGAGAAACTCAACGTATGAATAGAAATATGCAACTGGCACATCAGGCAAGGACAAAGAAGAAAATCACCAAAGACAGTCTTTTGGCGAGGTTCAATTTTCCTATGACCAATTCGAACATGATTTCAAACACTGTCAACCAATCCAGTAACAGCAGTTCAGTCTCTGGCTCAGATACGGAGGGGAAAGAATCCCATGAAACACCACCTACAAGTCCTGTGCAAGTAGGAAGCCCGGAGAAATCCGGCAAAGCTCCATCGGTAGGAGTGCCTCTACATTTGGGTTTGCAAGCAGAGGTATATGTGGACAACGTTGAAAACGTGAACAAGGGCAAGGGCCGAGCTATCTCTGAGGATCCATTTCAGCAGTCAATTCCCACCTTTGTGTCAAGCACGCTGAATGAGCCAACTGGTCAATCAATCGTACCAAAGGCTACAATCAAGCCAGCCTTGAAGGACCGTCTTTCCATTCGCAAGACGCTTGAGACCGAGGAATCTGACTCTGATCTCGAGATCGTTACAGCAAGGGGCGACAAGCGAAAGTATGCCGCATTTGAGCAACTACCTAAGCGCAAGGCGAAGGAATACCCTTCTCATATTGCCCTCCGATCTCTTGCACATCTAATGGGTGATCGAAGACAATCAATGAATACTGCAGAAATGGAAGACTTGCTTCGCCAAGCGGCTCGCGATCAGGCACGTCAAGAACGTCAGGAGAAGATTGCGGAGCTCAAAGCAAAAGGAGTGATGATTCAAACAAGTGAAGAGCGTGAGCGTCAGCAGCAAGAAGTGGAAGATATCCTTGAGAGAGCTCGACAAGAAGCCGCAGAGATCCAGAAACGCGAAATTGCACAAGCAAAGAAAGATGGAAATTACAGTGCAGACAAGCTGGACGACGACGATGAGGACGATGACTATGAAGGTAGTCAAAGTGAAGAAGAGCTTGATGAGGCGTTCGAAGCTTCGGGAGAATCTGAGGAAGATCAGGTTGACGAGGAGGAGAACGGTGAAGATGAAGACAACGATGAGAACAGAGCCCAAGGAGGTCTCGAAAGTCTTGTGGAAGCGGAAGCATCTGAACACGATTCAGAGGACTCGTCTGAGGATGCACATGAACAGGATACTCACATGGATGCAAATACGATAAGTTCTGTGGCGACTGCTCTGCCAATAGCAAGAAAAAGCAGAATGAGTCGTGTCGTGAGCGACGATGAGGAAGTCGAGGGACTGGAAAATGTCCTAAGATCTCCACAACTCCCGGCCCCTACAAAGACACCACAGTCTATCCTTCGCTCTGGGCGAAAACATATACCTGGTCTGCAGATGTCGGATGATCTTCCAATTGGTCTCACTCAAGCGTTTGCCGCAACCATGGCCGATTCCCAGAGCCAAGATATGGATGAATCCCCACATCAGGATAGCCTTGCAATGACAATGGATCTGCCCTCGCCGAATATCACGATGGCTCCGCAATTTCAGCGACTGGATTCTATCGATTTCATTACTGACAGTCAACCTGCGTCTCAGACACAGCCTCTGAATGTTGATCTATCCTTCTCACAGTCACAGCGTGTTCCTCCTTCCCCAGCAATGGTATTTGGGCTCGCCGCGACGCAATACACTCCATCTCAGCCACAATTTGAACCGACACAGGATGAAGGCTATATTCTGAGTCCATTCGCCGGCAATCGGTTTGCTTCAGAAACACCGCAACATCAAGCCCCTCACTCCACCTTGGACACATTGGTTCTTCCAGCAGATGTTGAGAACAGCCCTCTTGTACAACGAAAGTCCAGACTCCAGAGAGGTCGCATTGACTTCAGTGATTCCGATGTTGAGGATGAGCAGCTAGACAAGTCAGCATTTGATGTGATGCGTCGAGCTGCCAAGAGAAAAACCTTCGAATCCTTTGACAAATCAAAGTCACATGCCAAAAATATCGTCGATGAAGCCGCTGAGGAATCTGAAGATGAATATGCAGGGTTGGGTGGTGCCAGTGATGAAGATGTGAATGAAGAGGAAAATGATCATGATCGAGAGATGATCGATGAAGATACTCAGGTTGGAGTTGGTGATGAATCAAAGTTTGCGAGACTCTTTGCAGATCGTGAACGACAACAAGATGAAGCAGCAGTGTCTAAATTAATGAAAGACATCACTACCGGAGGACTCCGACGCAAGCGAGGCAATGATCTCGACCTTTCAGACGAAGAAGATGCATCAGTCAGGAGGAGGGAAGCCAAGAGACGCGAGTTTGCCAAAATGCGACGAGAACTTTTAAAAGACGAAGCCGTTGGCAAAATTGCGGAAGACAAGAAGAAAGAAGCATTCCTACGAAGTATAGAGGATCGAGACCTCAGTGATGACGATGGTGGTGATTTGAATCAGTCAGAAGTATCTCCGGGAGAAGAATCTCAAGAAAAAGAGAGCCAGATACGAGCGGAATATGAGCCAGGTGTGCCGGAAGGCGAGGCCGACGAGTTCGAGAAGACACGTCTGGTGGATTCTTCGGGACCTCTGACGGTTGCGGCACCAACTAAGCTCAACCAAGTGAAGCGTACTCTGGTTCGAATCGTTAAGCCATCAAGCCAGCGGCCTGCAACCTTGGCCGAGATCCGAGAGTCTGTTTCAATTCTCATCGATGACCCAGAGTCACAATCTGGGACAATCGATCTGGGGTTGTCCGATTCTGATGAAGAGCCAGAGGTATACGTCAATCTTGATCGTCACCTAGATACTGCAGAAGCAGACGAAAATGCTCTTGATGGTGAAGATCTCGGTGACTTCATTGTGGACGATGATGAACAGGCCCCGGAGGATGCGGCTTTCAAGAAACCAGCAATACCTTCCACTGAGAACCGTGCTCCTTTTTCAGAACGACGAACCAAGGAACGAGCAAATGTGGTCGATCGTCGGAGCTTGATTCGGCAGTCTTCATCTTCATCTAGCTCTTCGGCGAGTACCAAGATGGCATTCTACGGCTCAAACTCATCAGCAGGCACGTCTTTCGGCAAAGTGCCCAGCCTTCTTCGGAGAGCCACGACCAACTCGAGCCTGGGCAGCCTTTCCGGCAAGAATGAGAACGTGTCTGCCACCGGTGTCGTGACCAATAAGACAGAGCGAGGAAGTGCCAACGAGGACAAGGAGTTCGTTCGCAAAGGAAACGGTGGAAGAAGAAATGCAGTCAACTATCGACCAACCATGAGGGAGGAAAAGATGAGCGAACGTTCAGGTATTGCTAAGGCTAAGAAGGCGGCTAAAAAGAGCAAGAAGGCGTCTGGGTTCTTGGGTGGGCTGTTTAAGGAAGATAGCTGGGCGTGATGGACATTCTTTGAGCGGTATCTGTCTCTGTGGCGCTGTGCATGTCGCTGGATAGAGAGCAAGGCCTTCAACTACTTGTGAATGAGACTACACTTGCAATACTTGTGTGTGATTTCCTCGCAGCACTGAATGCTAGATGATGGCGTCTACTCCGAACTTCCAAGGTTGTCGATGTTAATTCTCAATTTGGCTTAGTCCCTACCCTGCCTGCTCTTGCCCGCCAAACTCCAACACAGAAACACCCGAAGGGCCGCGGGATCTCACTAGACACGAGGGGTTACTGTCCGCGGCATATCTCTGGCGGGGTGTGATGAGTCGTGGGGCACGACAGAAGCCACTGCGCCGACCATTAGGATGCCGTTCTTACCAATAATCCAGCAAAGGAGAAGGACCCCAAATTGTGGACAATCTCGAGTCGGCGAGCACGACGGCCTACTTAGGCTTTTGGTACTAACTAGTAGTAGTCATGGACTCAGAAACCCAGATGCATAAGAACATTCGAATGCCCCTCCATGGCTTCGATGATTTCCTCTCTGCTGTTTCAGAAGACAAGATGACCGAACTAATAGATGATATCCTCAGAAAATACACCGACCCCAAAACGGGCAGTTTCCACGGTGTGAGTTTCATCGCTATCGATAGCAAGGGTACGTACCGAGGTTCTGCTGCCTGCCTCTCGCCAGGCCAAAAGCCTGCTCATTATCGGCTTACATAACACACCGCGTTGTTTGCCAGATAGCATAAATTTTGCCCTTGCATCCAATTGACATTTCGAGGCAGGAAACGATCTTTATCGTCGCTCCTTCGGATCGAGAACGGTTGATAGGTCAAAAGATGACCCGCTGACTCTCGATACCCTCTCATGGATCGCCAGTCAAACTAAACTGACGGCTTCGATATCGGTGCTGCAGATAGTGGAGAAAGGGCTCGTGGGACTCGACGACGATGTCCGGGAGATTATCCCTCAGCTGAAGGAGCAGAAGGTCCTCCTTGGCTTTGAGGGCGATGATGAGGTCAAGCCTCAAGACAGTGGTAACATGAGGTCCATTCTCAGCGGTGGCGGTGCCGGAGATACAGCAGCGGAGCAGCCTATAGGAAAACCGATTTTCGAAGATATCAAAGGGAAGATTACGCTGAGGTAAGTGTTCATCAGCTCGGTAAATAGGCTGTTCTTAGTTGCTGCTGTTGTTTTGCCCCTGGGAGAGGTGGGATTAACGTTGCTACACTGATCACTGATCCCATCCCTCTTGCAGACAGTTACTTTCACACTCGAATGGGTTGCCATATGACATCGGCCATCCATTAATTGTGAAATACTCCAAATGGGCCAAGCGCGAAGACAATATGTTTAGCGGCAAGATTGAAGGCTCGATCCATCCGCTGGTGTACCAGCCGGGGACATCCTGGGCATATGGTCCTGGTCTTGATATAGCAGGGAAAGTGGTCGAGATTCTCACCGGGAAAGACCTCGACGAGTACGAGCAGGAGAATATCTGGGGCCCATTAGGCGCCAAATCAACCTCCTTCAGACCGGTGAAGCATTTCGCGCCCAATGGACTTCCTCCTATGCAAGAAATGGCATATTATAATCCGGAGAAGGATGGAATCGTGGCTGGCGAATCAGTGTGGAAGTTGGAGCCAAGGGATGCGATTGGTGGTGCGGGCTTGTACAGCACGGCCAATGACTACATAAGGCTCCTCTCTGCACTCCTGCGTGGCGGTGCACCTCTCCTCAGTAAGGAGTCTGTCGACCTTCTCTTCTCTCCACAACTTGGAGAAGAAAGCGTGCGGGCGCTGAGAAAGTTCCTCATTGGCGAAACGGTCGAGATGAGTCTCTCACGTTGGTATGCTGCGTCTGACGAGGAGTTCGCAAGCATACAAGAAATCCAACACTGTCTCGCTGGGTGTCTTAGTACCGAAGACGTTCCTGGCCGAAGAAAGAAAGGAACGGTCAATTGGGGTGGATTGCCAAACTTGAGTTGGTGGGTTGATCGTGAAAGTGGAATTGCGGCGACCATTTTCACACAGCTTATGCCTCCGGGAGATAAACATGTTCGACTGCTGGGCATAGAGCTGGAAGAAGCACTTTACAAGCTCGCTAAGGAGCAGAACTAAATCGTGGGAGGGCGAACGTCGATATACCGTCAAATTGATACATAAGATTTTCTATCACCGTTGCGCCTATATTGGAAGCTGGTTCCCCAATTCTGCTAGCTTCTTTGCAGCTTCTCTAGTACGATAGGCGTGACTACCCAGGCCCATTTCGCAACTCTGCAGTTCCTTCTCTTTCCACTTGGCTGCCTCAACAAGTCGCTGCTTCCTTTCGCACCATTTTGATAGACTGCGACAAGTGTTAGCCAACACGATTCCAGTTAGGCATTCCTTGAGGAGAAGCGCTTCCAGCCTCGTCAAAGCCGAAATAGCCTCGTCGATGACTTTATCTTTGAGCTCCTGGTTTGACCGGATATTCTCGGCCTGCTGATTGAGGAAAGCTTTATCGCATGTCTGGACCTGCTTGAATGCATATAGCATAGCCTTGCGTCTTTCGTCGCTTCTGCCCCAGAATTCATTCTTCTGCACTCCTTCGCATGCCTCGCAACGGCAGTCAAAAGCATAGTACATTCGAAGCTTTTGCATCCTTTTGATGGCAGCTTCGAAGACATTCTTCTCATAATTGCTGCAGACCTCTCTTCCACGTGGTATGTCTCTGATGGCATAGAACATCAGTTGTTTCCGGTCGAAATCGTAGGAAAATTGAGCATTTGCAATGCATGAGTGATTCAACCTGCTCGCCATGTTGCCCAGCGCAGAACCTCCTCTCCCATCGGGAGTGAGACTGTCAAGGTTGTAGCAATTGCTGTAGTATATGGAAGCAACTCGTGACATGCGCGACTTCTCGGCATCGAAGAGCTTCAGGTATATCTTCTGGTTTGAGCGAGATAAGTTTGAGAACTCGCGCTCGATTGCGGCGTGGTCGTCCTCTTCTTCTTTACAAAGTGTGATCAGTGATCGCTCTGAAAGGATCAGAGTTCCCGCCTTGATTTTGCGGCTTGCAAAGACCGCAAGCCCACGATCAGGGGTTGATCTGATCTCAAGACACTTGTCCTGGGGATTGAAATCAGAATCGTCCCCTTCATTTGTGGGCCGTCCCAGAGGTTCTCGGAGGCCAAGGCTGCTACAACCATGTTTGATAATGGGAGTCGCCTCTGCATCGTCGTGGACAATCATTGATTTGCGGTCGGCTACTAGCCTTGAAGGATCGATATTCTCCTTATCGTTTACAATCGATACTGCGAAACTAGCTGCTACACTTGCCTAGTGTTGGATGAGAAAATACTACGCCAAAGCATAGGATAGAATACTAACAAGCTGTCGGCTTTCAGCATCCTTCTCAGGTCTAGTCGAGAGGTGGCCGTGCTTTCCGCTCGAACTTCGCTCCTGCATTTTAATGATCGAGGTCGAAAGTGGGAAGGGTTGTGGTAGGCAAAAGGGAATGGACGTGGGCGTCTCGTTAGAGAAGAACAGTAAAAGATGCAGGCAACTCCATGACATCCATCGTGGCTTGAAATTGACCAGAGGTCATGTAACTACTACTGTGTGAGAAGGTCCGTGTGGGAGGGAAGCTGGCCCCTTTGAGGGCTAGAGATAAGGACGCTGTGAGCCGTGACCGAGGTGACAAATTCGTCATGATTCATCACAATAAGCATTTGTGGAGAGGGGATGCAAATGGGCGGTCAGTATGTCGTTGCGGTAAGCAACTTAAAATTAGCTAGATGCCGTGTGGAAGATGATAGAACGTAAAGATTAGATGAGGATTTGGCTCGGAGCACGATATCCGACTCCGTTTCTTTGATGTTGGGTCATCGATACTTGCTAGCTAGGGCCTGGGAGCCGGATAGCCCCCCGGGGTCTTGGATGTGCTGCAGGAGGGCTAACGCCAGCACCATTTAATGGGTCGCGTCTCACAACACCAATTCTGTCCACCTATTAAACTTACAACTCCAATTACTCGATAACCAACTACTTAAATTACGCGTCTTATAATGAATCCTGCAACTAGAGCTGTCGAGTTTTACGAAGTATCGACATATCATATGCGGATGATAGGTACATCTTAGCCGAAGTCATTCACTACCAGCACCAATGGGTACGAAACGAGGCAGACCTTCTTATGATTTGTGGGCAAGAGATGGATCCTGCACATGGCATATTTCATACAGTACAAGCTTGACTAATCTAGCCTTTTCGTTCAATCCTTATTTCAACACCGAAACAATTCCGCATGGGTTCCCTCGTCGACCATCATCAGCTTTACCTTATCATACTTTCTACTATTGCGGCCAGATTTGATAGCCTGGCCAACATGGCCATACTCTATCATTTCCGCAGTCGGGACTAGTGAATGATGCTACGCAAACATACAGGAGTATTCCCGAGTATGAGCAAGGGCCTCCATCCGCGACGACATCGACAGCTCATGACAGGGATCCGCACCAAGTGAATTATCTTTCTTCAGCCAAAGGACGACAGCCTCCATACTCCTCCAGCGTGTTGAATCCTGAAAACGCTACAGACCACGCATTGATACTGCAGGACCAACAGAGCTTCGACTACTCATCCACACGGTTTGCACCAACGTCATTAATCGAGTTGATATTGCACTCGATGCGCAGCCACGCCTTCGGCTCATTCGAGTTGGGCACATGGGTCTCGCAGAGTGACGAGTACTCTTGCAACTCAATCAAGTTTTCCCGGCCTCTCGAGATCGGTAACCTCCGCAATAACTTGGAACTTGAATTAGCAGCGCTACGAAAAAAGGAATTCTCGCGTCGCTGCGAGCCAGTCCTCACGCATCTGCAGATCCGCCGAAACCAGACTTCGCGGGGAAGAAGTCGAGCTTATGTTCGACCTAGCTGGTACTCTTTTTGGGCATTGCCGCTCTGCAGAAGACCCCTGGGAGGCTGCCCTACTCAAGTTCTCACTGGATCTAGTTGCGCGACATTTTGCAGACATCGATTTGACAATTTACTGTTCACGGCATCCACTTACCACCATAATGATCAGCCTTCACAAGTGCATGTCAGACGAAAACCCTGCCATTAGTCTTGTGGTTATCCTCAAGCATATCTCGGTCTGCTTTGAGCAAGTGCTGGGTCTATACCCCACGCACATCCATCACTCTTTCCTATCACAACATGAAAGCAGGTGGCGGTCGGCTTCACCAGATCATCGTCAAGAGGTTTCAGAGTGCTCTCCGTGAAACAACGTTTAGTCGCCTTATTCGCGTGGCTTTATAGTTGTTGCTTGCTGTGAAGGTGGTGGTATTGTCTGAGTAGGATGCGTGTGGCCTGTAAGCCTCGCTCCTCCGAACAGGCTTACCAGAACCGTGAGTATTTGGGCCATTAGAGGTGTCACTATAGACGCTAACTTCATGAATGCGCCAAGGTTTGCTCCTGCGGTTCGAAAGCATATACGATTGCGACCATAGCGTATTATATTTCCTGGAGGTTGGATCAGCACGAGCCCTCGTTTCAGTTCATATCTCACCATGAAGTTCATGCTGTTTCTTGGCCTTTGAACATTCATCACTACCTTCTAGCACTTTCAGAGTATGGCCCAGATTCTCCACTTCCACTTTCCCCTTTGCGTTCCAGAGGTTGTGCCTGACTGTCGTAGCTTACCTTCCAAGGAGTGCTGGCGGTATGCTCCTGGGTGTGCACGGTGCTACAGAGGGTACGTACAATATGTAACTGGCTTGGCGCTGTTGTCCATAAGAAGCTGTGGCTTCTGGCAGAGGAAATCCCCACCTTTCTGCCGGGCTCTTTCACTGTCAGAAAGAGTGGTGTCGCCACATTGAGGCAGTGAGCATTATGCGAGCCTATCGCCAATCCCCCAAGACCATAGTTGACCGCCTGTGCGTATGAGACCCAGAATGACTGTTTGATATTGTGGAAAGCAGGCTATCGCAGAGGCTGAGATGCAAGGATCAAATTATCACGGTGGACACGGTTCCCGTAGAGAGTCGTTGCCCTTTGCAAGATCAACAGCGCTTCCACCGCCGTTCAAGTATCTCTATAACTGCTTTTACAGGAAATCGAGGTTGCAATAGCGAAACCTAAACGTGATTAATACGCGAACACAGCTGCTGAAAGATCTCACACTCAATTGATTTCAGGGGCTTGCGCCGGGCGCCGGTTACCACAAGCATAGCCAGCTTTGAGTCTCATTGCTACAACTATCGGGCACCGGCTTGCAGCCTGCCCGTAGACGGATCGTTACGTTCTGCCACAGCTGCAAGGAGACCCGGTCAAATATCTACTCCGCGCATATGGCATCATGCAAAGCTGCGCCTGCATCGCTTTTGAACTGGATCAACCCTTCATGGATGCCTTTCTCGATAGCGTGAGCTGGTCCATCACCCTGTAGGAGCATGTCGAATCGCCGAGCAGATTTCTCCGCACTGTATTTTAGCTGGAGAAGGCAAAAATGGGGGAGAGTGAAGTGCACGAAGTCTTGGGTTTCGACATTGAAAGACAAGGTGAGAATACGATTGGCGAGACTAGCGCCCCTTGGATGGGCATACGCTAACCACATTGGGTAAAATACGCACCGAAGTTAGAAGCCATCTTTATGATGGAGCGACGTGATAGTGGACCTGATCTACAGAAGCACATCCATGACAGAAGTGGTTCATGGCTACAAATCTTGCTCCTAGCCCTGGGCGGTGACCAAGCGCAAAGAGTGGGAGGTTCATCTCTTGCCGGGCGTCTTCGTCATGTAGCGAGTCAGTTCCCATGTGTGCTATGTCCTTACATATGCCCTTGTGAGGGGCGGATTTCGTAATAGCCAAATTGCCTGTGCCATTGTCGCCATCGCTTCTTCCTGTCGTTCCAGTGAGAGTGCCCACCCGGCTCTATTCCCTTTTTTTTGCCATGGCTGGGGCCGTGCGTTGATCGGTAGGGTAAAGGTGCTTCTGGGTCTTCCTTGAGGCCACTTTACTCTGGTGTTGGGAGTCAGAGCTACGTCATTGGATCTATTGTGGATATCCTCCCAACACATTCCTACAACACATTCATCGATGATACCAACAAGAGACCATCAAATCAAGGATTACGTCTACAGCATTGCGCGTAACATCTGGGCTCCTGTCCCTCCTCAATGATTTCCCAATCTATGCCCTCTGCAACCCTTCACGCATCCGCGCTGCCACCCTGTTTTAGCTGTGGTCCCACCTAGCAGCGCTGGAAGTGTCACTTTGAGCGTAAGCCTTTTCTGCTGTAATCCATCCGTGGTGGTGGGTGCCAGTGTTGTCTGACTTGCCGCCCTTGGTGGATAGTGTTACCCCATATCTCGTGATTCCTTGTCTTTGCTTTAATATGGAAAACCTTTAGAATCTGAAAATCGTGCATGCGATCATGTAGGAACTACATGGCTCTTCAACTTCACAACGTTCCACGATAAATCAAATAGAAGCTACACGTCCAATTCAGTGGAAGCTGCTTGTTACGCGCAATGCTGTCGGCGTAATCCTCGATTTGATGGTGTCTTGGTATGGTCGATAAATGAGTTGGTTCTGGCGTCCGAAGGATATTTAAGTCGTAAATATTAATAGCACTAAACCTGGTCGAGACCTATGACGTAGCTCTTGCACCCCACCCTACCCCCAAAAGGTAGCCATATACAATAGAACAGAACCATTGAAAATCGGCCACAACACGAAGATTGTTTGCCGTACAGCCCTGGATACAATACATTCAGTGACAGGCTGCAAGTCTCTCGGCGTTGATGAAGTTCACTTTCACTATTGTACCACGAGCGATGGGTGATTATCATCGATCAAGATTCAAAAATGGAAAGGCCATCTTCATCCCGCCACGCTATCCGCTATGCGACTATGCATCGCCGCCACCGATATGTTCACCTAGCATGTGGCTACTATGTCTACTCGGCGAGTCAGGTAGGGGTGCAAAGATGGGGTGCAGCACTTTTGTTATGGAGACGGTCGGCCTGGCCATGGTCTAATGTTCTTTGAAATTGTCTCCACCTGTCAATTGTGGAACTTAGGCCTCAGACATTGTCTGGGGTATATATTTCCATATAGTCCAGGTACTCCCTCTTGCCGACCACCACAATCCTAAGGTACTCGTTCAGACTCACCACCTCACCTGTTGTTTACCAGACCACAAACTTGGCCACAGTCAAAATGAGCAGCGCAAACGAGGTGAATTATGTCTCGAGACTGGTCCCTCGCTCCGAAAAGGTCTTGAATGGGCTAATCATCGCGACATGCTTCATCGACTCAGTGGTAAGTAAGCCCCAGGATCCAAGTGGTCTACAAGAAACTGAATCTGGCACAGATGACCGGATTCGACAGCTCCATCATGGGAGGATTAAACGTCATGGACAGCTATCAAAGCTACTTCACATTGAGCACCGCGACATATTCGTTGAACACTGCGATCTCCTACGTCGGCGGCTGCATCGGTGCTCTTTTCGCTGGTCATCTTGTTGATATCAGGGGCCGACGCGAAGGTTTGCTGATAGCGGCTGCAATCTGCTGTGTCGGAGCAGTCATCCAAGCTGCGGCTATCCACATCGCTATGTTCATCGTCGGACGTTTCATCATTGGAATTGGTATGGCAATCGCAGCAACAGCCTGCCCAATATATGTTGCTGAGTGCAGCAAACCGTCCCTCCGTGCGTTTGCCATGGGCTTGTACTATGGATGTTGGGGTGTTGGCACGCTGCTTGCTAATGCAGTATGTGTTGGAGTATGTTTACCCTCCGCGCCTACGGGCCTCTTGCTTACCGTGCGCAGTCCGAAAGCTGGTCATCATCATGGGCTTGGCGACTACCTAGCCTGATACAAACCGTGCCCAGTCTCGCTGCCATGATAGTCATCGTATTCATTCCGGAGTCGCCTCGATGGTTGATCAGCCGCGACCGGCATGCAGAGGCCCTACAGGTCATCGCTATGGTCAACAGCAACGGCAACCGCGAAGACCCGACTACTGTTATTCAGTACAGGGAGATTTCTGACACCCTTGCTTGGGAGAAATCTGAAGGGAGACAGATGACACTTGCCCAGGCCTGGAGCACTTCCGTCAACCGAAAGCGAATTTCGATCGCAGCAAGCTACTCAGTCATTGTCATGCTCTGTGGAAATAACACCATCACCTATTACTTCGGTGTGATGATGTCCCAGGCCGGAGTGACTAATGTACGCACGCAGTTGATCATCAACATCATCCTCACGATATGGGCCTTGGCGATTTGCGTTGTGACTTCCTGGTATTGCGACTTTTTCCCGCGGAAAGTACTTTGCTGTCTGGGACTTGGAGGCGTTGCCGTCTTCATTTACATGCTAGGGGCGCTCACTTCTGTGTATGGCGAGTCCGACAATAAGTCTGGCATTTATGCTACATTGGCGATGATCTTCCTCGTCAGAGGTGCGTATTCCTTTGGAATTCAACCTCTCACGGTGCTCTATCCGACAGAAATTTTGTCTTACCAAATCCGCGCCACTGGTATGGGTTTCTACACATTTACAACCAAGGCCTGCGGCCTTATCTCAACAATGGGGGCTCCGTTCGCACTGAGGAATATCGGTTGGAAAACATACATGATTTTCGGCAGTGCAGATGTCATTATGGTCATCTTGGTATGGGTATTCTGGGTTGAAACAAGAGGCCTAACGCTGGAGGAGGTCGATGAAAGGTTCTACGGCGTTAAGCACTCAGACGTCCCGGACCTGAAGGACGTGAAAAAGGAGGGTGCAAATCCTAAACTGATTGACTCTGTGAGTGTCGATGAAGAAGGTGGGATCCCATGCAATGAGCCAGCTGAGAAGATTCAAGCGATGCCTGCCAGATAGACGGAGTAGGAAATAGCAGCCACTGTTGCGCTCACCTCTGACGAGATCTTGTCGTCTCGATGGCATATGGCCAAATACATATATAGCACTCTCTTGGTACACATCGTTGCTGATATCTCCTTGGTCAGAAACAAAGATTGATTGCGCTAGCCAGCTGTATTCTTCTGGCCGCCCACAAGACTTCAGTCCACATAGGGACACCAAGACGTAGAGAATCTCCACTAAGCTGGCTTTAGGCGGACTCGAGCAGTCATGGCATCAATAATATCGTCTCTTGTTTTGCTAGGAAGTCGTTTTCTCAGATCTTCATTCTTTTTAAGGATCCATTGTACGACCACTTCATCTTCGACTTCCACAGCAAGCACGCACAGAAAGGTTTCTACTTTTGGGTAGAACTTCGATGAGACTGAAATAGACTCAATCAATGTTGTGAGCGTATAAACGGTCTCAGAAACCCGGCGGGACGACCATGGATCCGCATAAATCCTTCGCTGTATGAGTAGATGAGTACACCAATACCAACAGCTGGCCAGTGTCTGATAGTCGGATTGTGCGCCCGGTTCTCGAGTACTGTTGCTCTTTCCGTGTATTTTTGTCCTTGATCCGTATAGGCGAAGACCATTCTCAGCGATGAACGCGTCATGAAGAATATCTGAATGATCTTTCTTACCTAGATCGGCTACCAAATGGCATACACGCGATAGAATGCATATGACAGGATGCGGGCAGCCGGTCATTTCGCGGAACGACGGGTCTCGAGCGTCGAGCATCGCATCCGGTTGGAGGGCCCAGTGTCCACTAGGTAGGAGGGGACGATGATTCTGCAAAATGGCGCTCCAGACGTCGAGCAGAATAAATCGTTGGAGCAGGAACAAAGACATGTAGTCTTCGCACCCAAAGGGTAATACCCCCAGTTTTTGGATTAGATGACTGGCTGCATCTAGATGGCACTGCACTGGGCCCCACCCCAGGAAGTAGCAGTTAGTGACCTGCATCAAAACAGCGCCCAATGTATCCATTCCGATATCAAGAACTTTTGGACTGGTGCCAAACGGGTTTGGCGTGCGCAATCTTGGTTGATGTTGATGTGCAAGGCCAATCGCGTTCTGGAGGGCCTGTAGCGCAGTTCGATGCTGCTTGTTAACATCATCGGCACTTAAAAGTCCTTCGTGATACAGCCACTCGCCAGCGTTGGATATGATCGTGAGTAGTAGAAGAGGCGAGCTTAGAGCCATGCGCGAGAACCTCCAATACGGATTGCGTTCACCTTGGCAGGCTGTCAGAAAGACGCATGGCTTTTTGAACCCTAGAGATCTATCAATATCGGTTGTAATAGCGGGGCAGAGATGCCTACAGTATGCTAAAGCGGTCTCTTGTTTGATCGTCGTTGGTATGACTGCTGGCAGAATTTCTGAATAGATTGAGGAGAAAACACCGTGCAATAACCGAGGGTTCGCGTAGTGCTGCAGCGTGGTGCTCGCTGTCACTGTCGATTTTGGAGAAGAGGCATTCAATTGCACTAGATCACCTTGTGATCCATGCAAGCTACCTTGGCTGGGTTTCTGACACTGACGACCTTTGACTGGAGTTCCAGGAAACGGTTTCTCCTTGGAAGAACGAGGGTACTTAAGACATGTATTGCGAAAACGAGCGCTGTAGTCACAATCCGCATTCAAGGAATTGCAACGTGTGCATTTGGGCATTTTCCCATCGCATTTGCGCCGCCGATGACGGCATCTTAAGCAAACTTCAGTGATTGTTAGTAGTGACTCGCATAATAGTCTGGTGCCGGGGGACTGACCTCCGCGAAGTCGTGTGCTCATGATAGCAGATTGAGGGTAAGGCCAAATGACCACAGACACTCAGCCTCGGCGCACTGTGCTGAGAAGGAGCAAGATGGCTTACGCTAAGCCTGTCTCGTTGCTATCTTTCGAATCGTGACACGATAACAGTAAGGACAAGATAGAGCGTTGTTTCCTGAGCAAAACACGTGAAGTGGATTACCAAGCGTTTTCACCCGCCTCAGGCTCGGGAGTGTTTCGCTCTTGGTGTGCAAGAAAAACGGAGGAAAGCGAAGTTTTACCCCACCAAGGCCGAGGTGCTTATTTGCCCTTATCAGGTCTAGCGCAAGCGATCATCCCGCACAGGGGTGAGGCATTCTACAGCCAACCGCTGGTGGTTGGAGAAGCGCCACAGCGTGTCCATGGCGCATCCGTAGTGATGCCAACATGGTATCCGTACCAAATTGGACCACTGTGTACACAGGTCTGGAACACATCATATAGCGCAAGCGTGTGTGCGCCCACGTATCTTTGTACGAATATGTACATACTTACTGTCCACTTTTGGTCCTTGACCCGAAGTCTATGTCGCGGTCCACACAGGGGCGCCCTTTGGCTGCTTGGTTGCCTCATAACTCTAACTCTATGGTAACAGACCGTAAGGTATATCTTTCGCAGACGGCCAGATTATTGCAAGCTTCTGGCTCTTCTCGATAAGTCAGTTGCATACTGGGGCAGTAACATATCGAGCATTCAACACGTAAAGATTCTCAAGCCCATTATGGCGAAGCCAGTGATTCCAGTCATCTCTTTCGAGCCATTCTTGAACGGCCAGGCAGCTGACCGCAAAATGGTTGCCGAGCAAGTTTACGCTGCCTTTCGGGATATTGGATTCATGTATGTAAAGGACACGGGTATCAGCCAGGCAAGAATCGACGAGCTATTCGCCCTTGTACGTCCACCACAGGCCTTGTCCACGTCTTTACTAACCCATGACTTAGGCCAAGGACTTTTTCGATCTCCCTCTAGATTTCAAACAACGTTATGCACTGCGTGATCCCACTGAGAATCAAGGTTACAGTGCTCAGGGCAAGGACATGGGCTTTGACCATGAAAGCAAGGCTATGAAGAAGGATTACAAAGAAGCATACGAACATCGACGGTACAAGAACGAGTTATGTCCAACGGCTGAAGAGCTTGCCGCATACAACCCCAGAATCAGCGACTTTCATGCTATCCTTGATGGTTTCTACAAAGAAGCCTTCAAGCTGTCGGAAGAAGTTTTGGCGTGCCTCGCTCTCGCACTGGACCTCCCGGGCGGCGAGGAATACTTCAAGCCCATTACTGGAGACAGTGATCCTCAACTCCGACTTCTGCATTATCCCCCGGTGCCTGCATCTGCTATTGCAGCCGCTACGGCTCAGGATGGAGCTGGCAAAGATGGAAGAATCCGCCCCCATTGCGACTACAGTTTATGCACGCTGCTTTTCCAGGATTCTATTGGCGGTTTGGAAATCGACCCTTTTCATACGGGAAAGTTCACTCCAGCGCCACCAAAGAGCGGCACTGTCTTGATCAACATTGGAGATTTGTTGCATAGACTGCTCAACGGCCGCGTAAAGAGCACGATGCACCGTGTTGTGGCTCCGGAAGCGTTCACTTCCGAGGATGGCTCCGAGCCGATATTGCCATCGCGCTATTCGATCCCATTTTTTGTGCATCCGGTGCCTGAGGCTCTGATCGAACCCATCCTGCTGGACCCAGCCGAGAAGAAAATGTACAAGGAGGTCAATGCTGGTGATTGGAGATCATGGCGCACAGCCCGAAATTATATGATGCCTGAGAGGGAGCAATACTTCTTGGATAAACTCGGCATCGCCCACGAGCTTCCCCAGAATGCTGCAGCGCTCGGATGTGTTACTGCTGGCGGGAACTAGGGCTACTCAGCGTTCTGAATGGATCTCACAACATCGAACGCCATAGCTGCAGGTTACATACCCTGTTAATCAAGAGCAATACGTTGCTTACCCTGTACAATGTCACTCCGAGCCTCTCTAGTCCTTAAAGAACGTATCGGAACGTAATTACCTGTCCCAAGACTCCACGCTCCCTCGTTGATCTGCTGCTCGGTTCCACTTGGTTAGCCAGTGCTCTAAGCCAATACTGGTGACGGCACCAGGCGCCAGAAATGCACACAACCCTGCTACGCCCTTGCGATACATGAGCTGCGCCTCGAGAAGAATAGACATAGGCAGTTGAAATACTTGTGTCTAGGATTTCGTTCGCGTGACTGAAACAGGAGATGAAAAGGTGAAGGACGCATTAGGGGCTCTCAGTCTTCCACGCCGCAGAACGGCACCGTTCCACAGCGTAATAGTAAGATCTGTAAAACTGACATCCCTGCAACGTCCTGTCGTATAAGTAATAGAATAACATGAAACTTCTGCGAAAGGCTTCTGGGTGGATGAAAACTTACGGTTGACATGTCAGCATTCTTGTAACACCAAAAAAAGCATTCTGGGGTTAAGTCGTAAACAGCACTAAACCTAGTCGAGATCCATGACACAGCGCAGATCTCAACAAGCGTACTATGTAGGTACTGTTTTATTCTCAAGCTTACAGAACCTCAGTTCTGAAAAGACAGCGGTAGTGGTTCCCATTCCACGGCGTTGGTGATCCCCCGGCTGCAACGGAAACAGAACTCCACGAAGCTAGTCTGTCTCTTGTGAAAGGCTAGCGAGCACTTGTACATATGCTTCTACCTGTCTCCAACTGCGATACTAGTGGGAATTATCAGTAGCTAAGGATTGCTAATAATTCTTGGTCACACTCACTCTTTCATCGCCTGGTAACAAGAAGGCACTAGACAGCGACCACTTCTTCATTACCATGAGTGGTGTACCTACCTAGGTAGTGACAGGATCTTAGCTTAATAATCAGCAGAGTATTTTTCTGATCAAATACTGTGTACTAAGGGGTGGTGCAGGCGAGGACGAAAGGCCCCAGGCGGCAAACACCCGTCTGACTAACTGGAAACCCAAGCATGCAGGCTATAGAAATCTTGTCCTCTGGTTAATTAAGCAAGGCGCCCGCTTGGCCTGTTAACAACCACGTACTGTACCTAGGTAATTAGTTGAACACAGTGTTTCCTCTTCACTTTCATCACCCACCAATTACTAATATCCATCTCGAGCAAGTTCCAAGAGGCTAGACCTCCACCTTTGCCCTGCATACATCATGAAAGTTGACTCGTGAGTTTCGATGGCTGAAGTCGGCCTCATAGGAACAATCGTAGGCATAGCCAGCGCGGGCATCAAACTGTCCATAACTCTGTACTCATTCTCTGAGACTGTATCAACCGCACATGTGGAGATCAAAAACATTGCAAGAGATGTCTCTCTCACCTCTGCCGTGCTCGAGGAACTCGGTGCCAGTCTCAAACAAGATGAGCAGGCAAAATTGTACTCGGGCTCCGCTCTAAGCACCGCAAAGGAGGTCGTCAAGGAATGTGAGGGCATCTTCAACGACATCAATTCAGTCATGGGCAAGGCTATTGACAGCGCTTCGAAACGAGGAACGAAGAAGGGCAAGTTGGCTTTGTCAGCCATGGAAAAGTTGAAGTGGCCATTCCTGCAGCCTAAAATGGAAATGTTGAGGGGTAATCTGGAGAGGCTGAAAAGCACGCTGGTACTGATGTTGAATGTGCTAACTTATGCTAGAGACTTGAGAGCTGAGTATGATTTGGATATACTGTGGTTTCCTGCAAGCTGATTTCTACAGGAAGAGAGAACCGCCGAAGGAAGACAACAGTTACCAGAAAATGCTTTTGGAAAGTCTTTTGCGTGCGAACCAAGAAGCAACGAGGAATTATGAAGTTCTTTTGGAGACCATCGGCCCTCAGGCTGATGAGCAAGAGCAGCATGGTCAGAGTCGGTCCTTGGAATCTGGGGCTTCAACCTTGAGAGATGAAGCCAACTCAAGCAAAACGCCGTTCATCTCCCTCGCCAAATCGAGCAATTTAGATGAGAACTTGAATTCACCTCGCGTCGTGGAAGGTAATGCTACACAGGAGTCCGAGATCGAATCAACAATCAAGGCCTGCATTACCGACATCGAGAACGCGCTTGTAAAGTTCGAGCAATCACACATCACGATGCAAGCACAGCCGCAGATCACTGTCCAAATCGAAGTTCAGAAGGATAACATCACTGCTGATCGAGATGTTCAAGGTCTTTTCAATCCTTGGAAGTTTATTTCGATCACCCAAAAGCGAGAAATAGCATGGGCTTCGACGGCAGATGGGTCCTCGCCAGGCACTTCATCTTTTGGCTTTGGCACTGCTCCTGTCAGCTTGCCAGTGATCAACCACTCATCTAGTTCAATAAACAAAACCGGGCATCCCTCCAGCGATGCAAGGACAGCTGCACTCAAGACCGAACGTGAGGAAGTGACCAGCATAATCAACGAGAACATAAGGCGTGTGATCGAAATGGGAGAGCGATTAGACTCTCAGAATCTCCTCCTGCAGGATAACCCCGAAAGCCTTGCAGTCCAGGCTGAAGCTTTCCGCAGAAGTGCAAGAAGGATACGGACCGGAAGACCGTGGTATGCCACAGCTTGGAATTCTCTTCCCTTAGCTAGCGATATTTTCAGTCCGATCCAGCGTTCCCTACCTTCACCAACCACAATCATGGCATACTTCCGGCAGTAAGTAGCTCCTAAGGACCACTTCACGGTTCTAATGAGATGAACAGGACACTCCAGAATACGAGGAATTTTACGGATATTAGAAACGATGCACTTACGCTTCGAGAAATGCCGGCCGGGCGTCTATCGACCAAAGCGTGAGTAAGCTATGTGTGTCATCTAAGCATGCTAATATTGTGAACAGAACCTTCGCCGAGACGCGGCTTCTTCAAGATGCAGCGGAAGCCAAGGAGAGAGAGCTTGCCCTGCAGCGAAAAGCACAGGTGATGACCCAAGTTCAGGAAGCTTACCAACCGTTCTCGCCAGGTTCTGATTGCGAAGGAGATGGAAACGATGGAGATAACGAAGATGATGAGAGAGATTCGGTACACCAGTTGCTCACGAAATGGACGACGCTGTTTGATCAGTGAGAAGGATGCCCTAACATTTGAAGATACTAATATTTCAGAGATTGTGGAAATGAAAGGAAGTCTTGAGAGAAAATGACATGTCGATTATTCAGGGTAACCGATCAATCAATCAACAATTACAACTACTGGTCTTCGCACTTTCCCTCAACTTATCATAATCCTCGTTATCCTTCTTGCTCGACGACGGCAAACGCATCCCGATCTTCGCAATCGACTTCCCATCGACAAACGTTTCGACCTTATCCGGATAGAAACATAACAATCCAGCGACCTGTACACTTTCGTGCGTCGGGTTTGGATACCACCAGACAACATCGCTGTACTCCTTCCCATTAATTACAGCGCTATAATAGCTCGCTTCTCCTTTATAGGGACATCCGGTCTTGGTCTCGCTGGGCTTAAGATACTCCCAGTTCACAGCTGTGCGCGGCAGGTACCAGCGGCCCGGGAAATTCGTCTCCCAGAGCGACTGCACGCCACCCTCGTCGGCTGTGTCCGCGATGACGACTCCGTCGATCTCCACGCGCACCTTGCGGCCGGACGGCAGGATGTCGACGCGGTGGAACGGGTCTTTCGGGTGGTACAGCACCGGTGTCTGCTCCTCGTACCATGCGTCGAGCGCTTTGAACTCGATCTTGACCAAGCCCGCGAGCTCGGAGTTGAACGCTTCAGGCACGAGCAGCGTCGAGACCGATTTGTCTCCAACGCTCAATTTCGAGGTCGAAGATTGAATCCCTGAAATGGGCTTGTCGTCCGTAAATGTTGCGGTGGGCAGGAAATCGACTTTAGGGATCCAGTACTGCGGGAAGAACTTGTGCTCCCAGACTAGCTTCGCGCCCGTGGTGTCGAAAATCCATTTTCCGTTGAGGAGGCCTCGAACACGCTTGTCAGTGGATACAATCTTTGGGCGGAATTCCTCTTTGGCGTGAAAGAGCTTCGACGCAAGATCCGCGAGACTGGAAGATTGTTCATATTAGTAGGACTTTAAGTCGTCGGCAGAGAGTTGGATTCATACTTAGACATCTTTCTGGTTTGTGATGAAACAGCAAATCTTCTAAGAGTAGTTCCTCGGGGCGCCGAGATCAGCAGGGCGATGAATTTTGATGCCAGAGTTAAATCAAAACACTCCGAGCAGTCTCTAGGTCACTTAAGTAAAGACGATATTCCTCAGCGGCGAAAGAGAGCGCCTGATGTTGCTCAGTTTGGACCTGCGTGTCGTATATAAGTCAGCATGAAATCCCCAATTAGTCAGGCAGCGGGAAGATGCAATATCGTGCCAATAGGAGGCTCCGAACCCGGGATGTGGTGGACAGTCTGTCGCGCCGTGGCACCGCGGAAGGGCTACGGACACGAATTCTTCGATAGGGAAATGGTGATTGAGCACCCACCTGATTAATATGGTCGTGGTGATCGGAGGGATAAGATAGAGAAATAAGATAGGGAATTATTTAGTATATGTGATTAACTGTCTTGTCATTCTTGTGGTCACCATGTAGCCTTTTAGCTTATGGCCTTGACGTGCGCTGTGGAGCGAATTGCGGGGAGTCCAGGCTCGGTGGCGGCATATTGGCATTACGCTGAATGGACAATGAGAAACTTCCCCTTCGGGCGAATGGGATTCTTCGAGGAGACTAGTTAGAGTGGGATACTTGAGGTAGCTCTTGTTTTGCAGTCGTAAATTAAGGATGTAATCAACCCATACATAACTTCCGATGACTCTGGGATAAAATCCTGGCCAACATTGAAATAATCTTCCTACACCTTGAATCACCCACTAGAGTCCCACTGCACTTTACAGGCCACCCGCAGGTGCCGGACCACCTGGATTACCCCTGTATTCTTCACGCAGTTGACGACCTCCTTTCTCCCCGCTATAGTCGCGGCTATCCGCCTGGCTGAGTACACTTCCTCGACGTTCAGCATTGCTGACGCGGCGCTGATGTTCTCCGGTGTCTTCATATTCGATCAATACTTCGCCATTCTTACCGTAACGACGAGGTTCATGCTTCGCAGTCCAGACAACAGTGAAAATGTTCTTTGTCTTCTGGAAGATGGTGTCCATCTCCTCCAGTGAGCGATATGCAGTTTCTGGGTAGAAGAAGTACACCACAGGCAGGATGAAGGCGTTGATGACGGCAAAGATTATGTATGTCTTGTAGCCGATCGAGCTGAAGCTTACTGGTGTTATCATGACAACCATGAAGTTGAAAGCCCAGTTGGCCGACGTTGATAATGCATTGGCTTTTGCTCGAATACGAAGAGGTACGATTTCAGCTGGGTAAAGCCAAGTCATGCCTAGACAAAGATGTTAGATGTCACATCATATTCGACTTTTCAAAATGACTCACCAAGCCACCCAATGGCAAAGAACGTATTGAATATGAACAAAAAGGCGGCAGCAACGATACCCGGGGTTGTTCCACCGATTTTTGTCATCACTGCGAGAATCACCATGGATGCTGACATTCCTGCTGCGCCAAAGAGCATGAGCTTACGACGTCCGACTTTTTCGATAATAAACACAGCAATCCAGGACGCTAGGAAGTACTCTGTGCCGTTACAGGCGGCCAGAATGCGAGATATGAATGGCGTCAATCCAATTTCGTTTTCGTATATCGTGGCAGCATAGTAAGTGACTATCAAGCATAAAGTGTCAGAGTTGGGTTTCGAACAACAAAAATAGCATATGACTCGATACTGCAATGATAAGAATAGGGTTACTTACTAAGATTGATGCCCGAAATTTGCTGGAACACTTGATTGATATAGGCAAGTGCGACACGATGAAAATGGCGATCTTCGTCCATGGTGAAGAGATCCTTGAATGTTGTACTTTGCGCTTCGAGAACCGTGTCTTTGATGGCTGCAAACTCGGAAAGAACTCTCTTGTCTTCGGTAGACTTATCGGACAGGGCTGCAAGGACCTCCAACGCCTCCTCTTCATGTCCCCTGAAGATCAGCCATCTAGAAAGTTTGTCAGCAATCTAATATGCAATGAATCGGGAGTGAAGTAAATACCTCGGTGACTCGGGAAGTTCGAGAATGAACATAAGGATTACCAAAGCGAAGAAGATCTGGAAGGCAATAGGGAAACGCCATGCCACTTCCGAATCGATAAACGAGAACCCGAAATCGATCCAGTAGCTGATCATGATACCTATGCAAGAACTGTCAGTCACCGGATAATTCGCCCCGGGTGATTTTTCCATCAAGAGTGAGAGGATTTGAAACACGAACCTCCAGTGATCAAGGCGCCTTCAACCATAACCATTTGACCTCTTCGATGCGATTTTGAGCATTCTGATTGCCACGTGGGCACCGTGCTAGTGTTCAGTCCGTTGCCAATGCCGGTCACCAAACGGCCAACGATGAAGTGTGGCAGACTGAAGGCCGATGCCTGAAGAGTAGCGCCAATGATCATGATCGCGGAGCCGAGGAAAATTGTTTTACGTCGACCGAGCCAATCTCCAATCCATATGCAACTGATAGCGCCAAAGAAGCAGCCAACATTGTAGGACGCGACAGAGATGCCTTGAATGGTCGATCTGTGATCTTTCTGACTGGCAGTAAGACCGGCCGTACCAGCTGCAGTGGTATCAATCTCGGGGAAAATTTTGGTAAATGCAGGCAACGTGAGGAGGCCACCCATCACGCCTTGATCGTACCCAAAGAGTCTTCGCATGATTAGACAATGTGGTAACTATATCACGAATAGCAACTCACAGGAAATCCATGCCGGCAATAAAGCCAATCGCAATATTTAGCTTGGTGCCACGAAGGCCCAGGTATCGGTGGTTGAAAAGCTTCATGGTCAACAGTACTCTTCGAATGTTAGTCAATATTCGAATCTTGAGAATAAATTGCACACACTCTAGGGTGAACCAAGTCTTAAATACTTCTTTACTGGCTTTTCAACGCTATCCGGAAGTTAGTCCGCTGGGGCCACATTGATATGGGATCTAGAAGCGACTGTAGATGCAGCCGAGTATTCAAAGGCCGAGTGCGAAATGCATTACAAAGGTGCTAGATGCATTCAAGCCTCCTTGGTGGTAACGGCGGGGAAAAGAAGATTTTGTGGAGAAAGCGATCCGCAAAGTGCACGTCAGCCAAGGGTCGGGGGAGTCAAGGTTCGACGTCAGAAACATGGGCACATTGAGCCGGGTTACCTAGAATAGACATCCCTTCGAAGACGTGTTCTCCTCCCTGTAATCATAGTGTACGAGATGGCATTGCGAAAGGAGCGGAAATATCTCAGAGACGGGTTCCGTTGGCGATGAATAGATCTCTAAAGCCGTCCACCCTCTACTGAATACATCTTAAAAGATTGATCATGAATCCCATTGGCTTGCGGCTTGTAGGGAAGTGCGCCGCTTAGAGATTTGCAAGTGATAGATTTCTCATTCACCTGTAAATTATGCGGCCTAGCCTCAATCGAGAACAAGCCGGACGATTGACAAGCTGCGTATTTCCTGTCACCTAGGCCGTGATCAAAATCTGGTCCACGTGCAAATCGAGGCATCGATCGCTTCATTAGACATGTTTTCGACTGAAGTAATCTGGAGCCTCCAAGGATGAGGCTGGCCAATGGTCCGTTGGCTTAGGCTCATGTACATACGAGCGGAAATATTGAGGAACCTTGTTAGGTTGGTCCTTCCGAATGGAGTGGCTGACCCCTGCGTCATCGGGTATTGATCACATGAGTCAACCGGCTCGCCACTTTGGGAAAGCCGGGACACGGATGTAACGGTGGTCCAGATTGACCTCTGTCTCGCTCCGGTAAAAGTCGCAGCCCATGTCATGAACGCCGCTCTGTTCGTCTGTATTGTGTTAAGCCAACTGTGTGTTGATGACACCCCACAGCACAACTTAATCCTGCGGGAAGGCCTGGCCAATGAGCCATTCGACTACAATCCCAATATCTTCAGTAGTCGCCAAAACTCGTGCGACCCTCTGCTTCAAGAGGGTGTCATCAGAGTCGCTAGCTTGAACACCCTGAAGAGATCTAACTTCAATCGAGCCTCCACTGCACACTTCGAGAGATAGATAGATGAAAGGCTTTCGCCGCTTTTTATGAAGTGTGCCCTTTAGTGGAATAAAGAGATCGAGTCGTGCTCGCGACGGATCAGAAATAACATCTAAACTGATGTCAATAGGGAGTGCCTCTCGGTCGAGTGAGTGGCCATTCCTTTGAGTCAGAATTGGCAATGTCTGGCTTCCGGATTTCACATTACTGCGCTTCACAGTCCGCCGATGCACAGGTGACATTTCCCTGGGTTCTCCAAAACTCGACTTTCCTTTCTGGTCAGCATCGCCAGAGGATGGAAATTCGACGAGGCTTTGAAGAATGTTCCCCAACAACGCATATTGTCTGAGGACTGGCAATGCAGCCGCAAGCTGTCTGGGATGCGTAAAGTTCAAAGAAGTGACCGGAAAGCACCACAGTGGAGCTGCATTCTGAGCCGAGTGCAGGGCATAAGAATGTCGTCGGTTGCCATTACCACTTTCGCCAGTGGCAAAGAATAAGTCTCGCGACCATCGTTCCTCAGCAACCTCGTCGTGAACATTTGGTTTGCCTTTGTTGAAGTGATCATGGAGCGCTTTTTGATATGTAACAGTTGATTCTTGGTTGAGGTCCAACATTGGAAAGCCCAAACTGAGACCTGCAGCAGCATTTAAGGGCAGATATACTTGAGGAGACAGTGAGCAGACGAAGTGCATATTAACCATTGAAGGTAGAGAGGGGGCCGATTTGTCCCCTGTCGTATTACCTTGGTCCGACCTTGATAGATCATTAGACCCATTGCCATCAGAGGATGGATCTTGCCATTCAGGCATCAAAAGATCACCATCAGCTTCTAGTATCGACGCCGCCTGAGGCTGTTCAGAAAGAACCTGTTCGGATAGCCAATTGCGTGGCAGAAGAGTTGGATTTGGATCCGACTCACACGAGATCTGGATGGTATAGAGGTCGTCAGGCTTCATCACAATCTCGTCATCAGTGGAACTTGCTCCAAGTTGTTCCTTTCGAACCCAATAATCCAGGGATAGTCCCAGTCTCGCACCGCGATCCCGGAAAGGCTTGCCAATTGCACCACGTCTAATGTGACTGAGATGGTGATGCCAGTTCAGCTTCTGTTTCTCAGCATCCCAAATCTGCTTGAAGGAGTGACTAAGCGTGTTGATAACATTGAAGCAAGATGCACCATCCTCAATCTGGTCAACTTGCCTTAAATAATGCAAGTTGGACTCGAAAGAAGAGAGACTGGCCCACGGCAAGGAATGATCGCCAGAGAGCGGCCAGCTCAAGTTCTGCTTAAGAACCTTGGTGCCATTCTCTTGTAATTGGGGCTCTTCATGTTCCGAATTACTCAGTTTAAGGCTCACATCCTTGACCACATCCCGATTTAGGGACTCAAAATTGAGTTCCAGATCGACAGCATTGCCCGCAATCGTAAGGTTGTCATCGTCCCAGAGTGTGTTGAATCCTTGAAGCTGAGCTATGCGCTCTACGCCTTCTCTTGTGATGCCCCGTCCTGCCACACGAGACTTGAGGAGATTGGCAATCCACTCCGCACGCTGAAATCTCTCAACCTCTGCACTCACAGGTGGTATGCCTCCCCTGACGGCCTGATCATGGCCATTAGAAGATATTCCCAATCCATCAGCTCCAGTCCCTAGTGGGGTCATGCCTGTAGGTCCGAGGCTGGCCATCAGAGCAGCCGCAGGTGAGGTCAAGTTCAAGAGATCATCATGGATGGCGGTTGTGGTAAGCGGGGTCGATGACGGTTGAGAGGAGACACTGACATGGTGAGTGTGACCATGGTTTGAAGCAGGTGTTTTCACGGCAGGGGATTTGTGGGCAAAAGGACGGCCAGTATTGGTCGCTGCGCCTGGGCGAGGTGAAGCCATCAATCGGTTTGGAGTTGAGAGATGAGGTTTAGGAGTGGAGACGGCGTGGGTGCGAGTTGGAGTTGCCATGGTTTGATATCATATCATCGGAGTTGATCTGTGCGACGGAAGGCAGGTTGACAAGTGGTGCGCAGGAGAGTGCGGGTCACCAAGGACTGAGACGCGCTAGAAACAGGGCATTGACGCGTTTTATGGAGTCAAAGTGCAAGTGAACAAAGGCTATACCTTGCTTTTAGAACCTTCAATCTTCTTAAACATGAAACCTGCTAGAGATTATATCTGTTATATGAGTCGACCGCGATGTAGCTCGCAAGGCATTCGTGAATTTGGGTAATGAGAAGTCTCTAGTGAGAAGCCGAATTAACGAGACACTAATGGCTCGTGGTCTTAACCTAATCTTTATCGGGCAGCTCAGCCGAGTTCTCAAACCAGCCTGCTTGATCTTGAGAAATATGAAATGTTGGCACAGGAATCATCTTCTTCCTCTATGATCTCATTCACCGCCCCGCAATGTCTCAGCTGTACAGCTATTCTCACTTGAAACGGTACCGTTTGTGGACATGAACATCTGATTGAATGCATTTCAGGATAAATGATCTACGCTCCCCGAAGATCCAGGCTAGTGAGCTATCTTGGTAGGCATTCATTGGTGACAATCTGCATGGCCCAGGGACATCCGTTCACTTGCCAGGTTCTTGAAGATCACCCACCAGAGCCGTTACCACCAAATGATAATGGGTTTTGTGAGTGGTTCATCCAGCTAACTCAATCACACATTCAGGCGGAGTGCTCAATTCTGCAAACCACACCGTGCTATAGGTAGACTACCCGTGATATCACAGCACCAGATATGTTTCTATCAGCTTCGTCTCTCACAATATTGTCCGCTGTGAGTATGAAAGTACCATTGTGATTATGGTGTGAAAGTATAAGGTCAGCGACCATCTGGTTCACTCTCGTATCGGACATTATCTCGAGTGAGTTTCCAGACATGGTCTGAAAGGACAGGCAACCCGTTCGACAATGGCCACGAGGACTCAACTATTCGACGCCACTGGCGATGGCGTTACTGTCTACGCCAATGCAAAACGGGTCCAATTGCCTCATTTTCGCCTGCTCACGGAATGGACTGTTTCTCTTGATCTCTGGAACAGGTTCTACTCCTCTCCGTAGGCCTCTTAGCTACCTAGGTACCTAAGTAATCTGGACCACGAATTTAGTGTTTTTGATACTAACTGCCGCGTACTCCGCCGTACTTTTTGGTGTGGCACCGTACTCCTTCATAACCCAAGCCAAAGCGAAAAGACGTCATACTTCTCCTGCTCCAAAAATATTGAAGTCATTTCCATGAGAGTTCATCATTGTTTTGAGCTCACGACATCTATCTCCTGGTCATGAACCCTTTCTTACAATAATTTATGCGATTATACACACCGTAATCCAATTTGGTTCCAGCTTGATACTATGTATCTCACATCGACATGGACGCGATTGTCGCGTCAACTCCCTCGACTTAGACTTCACCTTCGAGGTGTATCAACATTAAGCAATAACCCACATATTGTATGTGTACTTAGAGATATGATAATCAACAGTGAATCCTGATTCTTGAACAGCATGTCTTCCAGAATCCTTCAGGAGGACCCTCACATCTTCTTTCGCTCCTTCCCACAGAACCTCCAAACGCAGCTCTGGCCATCGGAACGACGTCTCGACTCCCTCCTTCCGCTTCCTCGTTCTCCGCAAATCCCAATTTTCTTCCGATACTACATTCTGTGATAGCTGAAAATGCTCCTTCCGACCCAATGGTACAATCTCAAGCTGCAGTGATGATTTCTTCATCGGGAGCCAACCTTTTCAAGCCTCAACGCAGGCAGGAGACCGGCGCCTTTGGTGCGAGCGACCAATGTGGCTATGGTAGTGCAGGTAGAGGTGGCTGGGTTCATATCTCGGATCTACGCCATATACCCGATTTTGGTCGAATTGCGGAACCTGAAGACATCCTTGGGAGCGTGGAAGTGGACGGTAACGGCCAATTTGTGGATGGTACTGGACGCTATCAAGTCAGTGGCACATACAGAATCTGCACGAACGATGGAATTCTGGGTCTCAGCGACTTCATGAGAGCAAAATTGGTGGAGAGATTGAAGATCGAGGAGTCTGCTCTGAAGGACCGTTCCGAAGAAGCACCAGAACCTTGACGACGCATGTCACATATACTAAGGCACGTCTTGAATCTCGGTACAGAGCTTGCGTCAACTTATTCCTGGACCTGGACCTCAGGCATAGTTATTGGACCATTGACAACGCCAACAGACAAGCTTTGGGGAAGCTCATTGCTATTATGAGCTCAAATCAATTTCCCTGCGGACCGGCCAACAATCTATCAAAGGAAAATAGACGATGATCTATGGCTCATGTCATTGAACTTGGATTCAAGACTGCCGCTCATTGCATGCCCATCAACTGCTTATGATGCAATAGGATTACTTTCCACATCGAGTTATAATCCACGTCTTTATGGCGGCTTCCTGGGAGGCGTCGCCCAATTTTTCAAGCTCCGAGTCAGGCTTCGGGTTCAATGGAGCGTCATGGACCTCTCTCTTTCCAATGACAACTTTCAACGTCGCTCCACCAGAGGTACCTTCCTTGAGCTTAGTTGTGAAGCTTAAAATTGCATCCCGGAGAGCTTCGTGTTCACCTGCTGTAATCAGTGTTGAGGAGACTGTGTTTTCGGTCCCGGACCACCAGCTTGGCGGGGCAAGCTCTGGAACGATGTACTCGTCGTCCTTTTCGGAGGCACCACCTTTGTATGTTTCGATCCAATAGTTTGCACAAATGCCATTCACGGTGTCTCTGTGCCTGAACTGGGTCATAGATTTGAATCTCTTTACGTCTGATGACACCCAAGGAGCAATCATCAAAGCCCCGTACAGCTTCTGGCCTTGAGGTGTGAGCTGGAGCGGCTTCACAATCTTCGAATTGGGATGTGGATGTCCAGAAAAATGGCTCAGAACGGCCAGCACAAGGTTTCCACCCGCTGAATCGCCTCCCAAGAGCGTTGTGTCGGGCGTCCGACCTGGCAAGGAAAGGACATATCGCAAAGCTTCAACACTTTGACCGATCTGAAGTGGATACAGTGCTTCCGGAGCGAGCGTGTATGCATTACAAAAGACGGCAAGGTTTCCTCCCGACCATTCGACGAACCGACCCAACATTTCCACATGCGGTGGCATACCTGGTAAGACAAAACCGCCTCCGTGGTAGTACATCATGACATACTTGGCCTCTGGATTGCCAATCCAGAACCCTTTAGTATTCGTGTTGGGGATGTCCACAATATTAGGTGTGAGCTTTTTTTGTTTACAGTATGATTCGTAAGTGCTCACAAAGGGCGGCATGATCATCCTTTTCTCGGATAGCGATATTAGCAAATGCCCTCGCCAAATGAAGGAACAGATAAAAAAACCGCAGGTACTTACTGAAGTTGCCCGGTAGTGAGGGAGGTTATCAATGTTCGGACAGCAGTGTTCATCACATGCTCTCCGAAGGTCTCAGCACCTTCATCACCGCGAAAGGGGCCAGTCAGCACCGAGAATACTGTGTTCGTGATGACGAGCGAAAGCTTTGGGAGGAGCGAAATCTTGTCTCCCAATGTAGATGGCATGTTTGGTGTAAGATGAATGTGGATGAGGATAGTCGGTAAGACAGATTAGACAGATAACGTTTTGCGACGATCTGTTCACGATAATATAGCTACCTTCCGTGAAATCAATCCTTTGGCAAGACGAGATAGTAGGTACGAGTAGGTTGTCGCCGCAGCAGTACAAAATACCCACTACCCAGGAAGGCTAAATATCATGGTTACACGAGCCATTGAAGTCCGCGTGTAGGAATGACAAATGTGGAGAGCCTCGGTTTACGAGTAAAGCGGGCAGTGTCAGAGTAAGGTCAGCGTTAGCCACCAAGTCCTTGGCCCTCCTCCTCTGCTACCTCGTACTCTGTATCCAGCATCCAGACGGACTGTCGAAAAGTCCGAGCGCCATGGAGCTTTTTCAGGCGCCCTTCTACGAACGAATCCGCTGCCAACGTACCTCGCTTCAACCTTAGGTAGCCATACAAGGCTTAGAGTGCAGGACGAGCTCACATGGGATTTCCAAACATTCTTATTTTGAAACCATGATCTGTCATCTATTCAGCACTAACTTAAGTAACTCTCTGGGTTTCCACCGCGGCGTCCCTATCTCTTGGCCTCGGGTTGTTGTGTCGTCCAACAGCCTTTCACTTCGTATCTACCGAGTGCCTAAAGTTAGTCGTATGCTTGGAACTCGGTTCATCCGACGCTGCGGGTTTACTCTGTCGCCGAAGCTTAGTTAGTTACCCTCTTTCGTCGGCCGTGCCTGAACGAGTGCGGAAAATTGACAGGTTATCCCTGCTTGAGGAACACCTTTTTGAATATTCGGCGTGGAATTAGTCAGCTTGAGGATTCCAATCAACACGTCTGCATCTCTCAGCCTGCTGGAGCTGAGATATGTTGAGGACGAGCCTGACAACGCGCTCTCCATGTGACATTATTGAAATGCCCGCCTCGGCACAAATTCTTTGGAGCATGGTCCTGTTGCACTCACAGGAAGAGTCCAACATCAAGTACAGGTATAAAGAATGGCAAGAGCAGCGAGGCAAATCAAAGTTATCAAATGAAGGAACAAGAGATGGACAGCGCGTCAAGTGGCACAGGACGATATAACCCACTCATTGGCGATTGCAGTGCATTGCAATGGTATCAAATATTACTACATAACTGTCTCGCTAAGATCATCTGGAAGTCATTGGACGCCAGAGATTGTGTACAACAAAGTTGCTCCGCACTCAGGCGACCTCGATGCCCTGGTGACTGCCGAAAGTAGGAGCACCATTCTTGTCCGCAGTAGAGTTGCGTGACGCAGCCAAGCCATTGGCATATCTGACCGAGTCATCCTTGCTGAAGCCATTGTGAGTGCCGTTGAACTTCATATCCTTGATGCCCGCATATCCCTTGATGCCCGTGGCCTTCTCCAAGCGCTCAGCGATATCGGGAGACACTTCGCGGAAGATGGCGATCTGGCGCTTCAGGATCTCCTGGCTCTTGCACATCTCCATCTTGCCGGCGACGTTGTTGATGAAGCGTTCCTTGGCACCGTCGTCGAAGACCTTCTCCCACAACGTGCGGGGAGCGACGAAGTCTTCGGGTCGGATCATGGACAGGAATGATACCGCGTTACCTTGGAAGTGGCCGTGCGTCTTGTCCAGATCAACAGCGCGCGGGCGAAATTGGATCGGGTCAATCGACGAGAGGTAATTGGGTCGACCGCCTTGGTTGTAGAATGCCATGGAACCATCGCGCTGGAAGTTGCCGAATTGATAACCTGTACGAGGTGCGTTGACGGGCAGTTGTTGATAGTTGACTCCAATGCGGTGGCGGTGGGTATCGGGGTAAGAGAACAGTCGAGACTGAAGGACAGGGTCTGCCGAGGGCTCGATACCTGGAAGCATGTGGGCAGGGTTGAATGCTACTTGCTCGACCTCGGCGAAGTAGTTGATCGCATTCTCATTGAGCGTAAATTCACCGATCTTGCGAAGAGGGAACTGCTTCTGTGGCCATACGTGCGTCAAATCGAATACATTGATGCCTTGCTTCTCCCACAGATCCTCGGCTTCCTTGGGAGTCATGGTCTGTACCTCAACGGACCACTTTGGGTAGTCGCCCTTCTCGATAGCCTCGTACAGATCTTTCTGTGAATAATCTGGAGACTTCTCGGCTGAATCTTCTTGAGTAATGAACTTGGTCCCTTGCTGGGACTTGAAATGGATCTGGTTATAAACCCAATCCCCATTCTTGTTGATGAACTTCAACGTGTGCCCGGCATAACCGTGCATGAATCGGTAGCCATCAGGAATACCACGGTCACCCATCAAGATCATGACTTGGTGAATCGACTCTGGATTTTGAGAGAGGTAGTCCCAAAACATTGTCGAATCATCGGCATGGGTTAGATGCGTCGAGGGGTCTCTCTTCTGGGTGTGAATGAAGTGAGGGAATTTGGCAGGATCTCGCAGAAAGAAGACAGGTGTATTGTTGGCAACCATGTCCCAGTTGCCCTCCTCAGTCCTGAACTTGACTGAGAACCCTCGGGGATCGCGGGCACAGTCGTGCGAACCGGATTCGCCGCCTACTGTCGAGAAACGGACGGTGACTGGGCACTTCTTACCCTTGGCGCTGAATATATCGGCGATGGTGAGGTCGTCTGCAGGGTTTGTGCACTCAAAGAAACCATGAGCACCGCTGCCCTTTGCGTGGACAACCCGCTCGGGAATACGCTCTCGATCGAAATGCGAGAGTAGATCGATCAGATGGAAGTCTTGAAGGAGGAGGGGACCATTCTCGCCCGCTCTTTGAGATTCATAAGGATGAGCAGTTGGCATGCCATTGCTGGTGGAGTATGTGACATCCTTGGATGAGGATTGACGGTCCTTCTCATACGAGGTGAACTGATTTGCCACGTGGGCAGAGAAAGATGTGTCTTGTGATGGTGCCATGATTGTAGACTGGATTGAATCAACTGATGATTGAATGATTTTTTGGACAGATTCCATAGCACTCGGGGGAATATATGAAAGTCTGAGGAGGCGAAAAAGAGAATGAGATGGATGATATTAGTATGGGACCCATTCTTCAAGATCTTCGACTAATCGGTGATGCGACAGGGTTCTCTGCGTGAAATCCAGCTGATAGATTTTGTTTCTAGAACTTCCATCAAGGGTCAAAGGGAGTTCTCATGACGTTGTGATAGAACTTCAGCCACTCAAACATGGTTCTCTGACTACCAGATCTGTCTGCCGAACGAATCAGGGGACGTGGAAGCATGATTACGGAGGTACACGAACCACAACGCCCTATAATAGGCAGCCATTTTGGTTGGTGTACATTTATGCTGATGTCACAGTAGAGATTCAAATGTCTCTACCACTGGGTACTCCGGTACTCGATCGAAAAATTGATAGGACAAGAACACCGGTTGTGACGAAGTTTTGTTCCGCCAATGACGTCTCCGACATTAGAGCTCGCTCAAGTATTCCGGAAGCGGTATGAAGCAGCGAGATTTTGTCTGACAGAGGATGCACCACATATCAATCGATGTCATTCAATGTCATACTGCCTTTTAAAGCGGATTTGTACGGATATTCCATGGCATTCAGATATTTAATTCGACCTCCGGTAGGAGACTGGATAAAGTGGTTTCTAAGCATACGAGGACGGCCAAAGCATTGGTCTGCAACTGTATAGACTTAACTCTTCGTCAATTCGACGACGGATCTCGTCGGATACACCTCTCGATCTGGTATAGTGCCAATATCTATCGATTGGATAGACCAGAACAACACCCCTCGTGAGAAGAACTTACTACACTTTCTTCCATCTCTCGACATCAGTTTACATCCATCTTTTCTACCATATAGCTTTCATGCTCAAAGCTGGGGAGTCTGGCATCACCAGTCGTGTCACGTTTGCAAGCTACCCTGCCTATGTTACCCCAAATTGCGGGCTCAACGGCGAGCTCGGGATCTGGCCGTATCAGCTCTTCCCCGCAGCTGTGATGTAAGGTGCACAGGAACTCATCGCTGCGGTGTTCACCTCCTAAGGACCATGCCGGCGATAAAATGATGTTATATCCACAGAATTTGCCAGTCAGGCAGTTATCCTAACAGCCTAAATTGCATGAACCCTCGCGCTGATCGTAGTTGGGACTACTTAATCTTCGTGTTGTCGTGGTCGTTGAATAATCCCCATCACTTGAAGTTCCAATTCTTGAGTGCTTGTTACGTCACGCATTTCAACACTTCGAGACTTTCGTTGCATACAGCATGTCTCACAAAGCTGCACTCCAGAGCTCTCTGGAATCAACCAAGGCTGAATATAAGAAGCTTGGAAAATGTGGACTTCGTGTCTCTGTCCCTATCTTGTGAGCACTATGCCGTATGCGTCTAACCCACCTTGCTAAGATATCCGATAGAGGTGCTATGAGTTTTGGCGATCCGGGTTGGCAGTCTTGGATTCTCGATGAAGAAAAGGTTTGATAATGACGGTGGGAGTCAAATAATGATCTACTGACGCCTCACACAGTCACTCCCACTTCTCAAAGCAGCATATGACCGAGGGCTCAACACTTGGGATACTGCCAATATCTACAGTAATGGAAAATCGGAAGAGATTATCGCCAAAGCACTCAAGACGTATAAGATTCCCCGTGATAAAGTTGTCATCTTGACCAAATGCTTCGCTTATATTGGAGAAGAATATGTAAGTCAGAACCAATGTCAGTGGTGATCATGAGAAAAGGATACTAAAACTCCTAAAAGTCGTATCAAAATGAGCCAGAAATGCCAAAGACAAAGGATTATGTCAATCACGGTGGTTTATCCCGGCAAGCCATTTTCCAGGCAGTTGACGCGAGTCTAAAGAGACTTGACACGCCTTATATTGATCTTTTGCAAATTCACCGATTTGACAAAGACGTTCCAGTCGAAGAGACAATGCAGGCATTGCATGATTTGGTTCGATCTGGAAAAGTGAGGTACATCGGCGCAAGTTCAGTAAGTCTAGATCTATTCATCTTAGCAGCCGACAGCACGCTAACATGGTTGCCCGCGACAGATGTTTGCATTTCAAGTAAGTGGTCGAAACAAAAACCAATTTCCGCGTACAGGACTAATCTCGATAGTTTGCTATTTTGCAACACTGTGCCGAAGTCAACGGCTGGACGAAATTCGTGTCCATGCAAAATCATTACAACCTCCTTTATCGTGAGGAGGAGCGCGAGATGAACAAGTATTGCGATCTGACAGGTGTTGGATTAATTCCTTGTAAGGAACCCCTCTACATACGTTGCTATCTAGGTCAGCTCCATTAACATTTGAGATCAAGGGGCACCTCTTTGCCGTGGCATTCTTGCTAGGCCACCTTCTGCAGACAAGACCGAGCGCTCATCTCAAGACAAATCCAAGACAGGATACAGTGATGTCGACAAGCAGATTGTCAAGCGCGTGCAAGAGATTGCCGAGAAGCGTGGGTGGAAGATGAGTCATGTGGCACTCGCATGGATCAATAAGAGGATCGCCAGTCCGATCATTGGCTTCAGTTCAGTAGAGAGGATGGATGAGGCACTTGAGATTAGGGGCAAAGAGTTGACAGCTGAGGAGGAGAAGTATCTAGAGGAGCTATACGAGGCTAGATCAATTGAAGGACATCAGTGAGAGCATAGTCCTCGATATGTCAGCCTCTTTCTTCCGTTGGAGGACAATGAGGGAAAAGTCAACTGAAAAAGGGGGCTAAGCTTTCGGTGTTAAGCAGGTCCTCAGGTAGGCAGGTTTCATCCTAGGAAAAAAACAAAGGTGTCCAAATATGATCTATAGGACGCTATCCAACCCCTTCTTCATCCTACCTTTTTACCATGTATCTGGGGGACGAGGCTCGGGCAAGATAGGAGTTGGCAAGTGCCCCTAGATTTGGCACCTTTTTGGACTTTGCCAGACCAAAAGGGTGGGCACGGCGGAAGCGGCCTTTGTCGGTCAATCCCCACTGTACGAGGCCATAGGACTTGGAAGTCGTACGAAAGCCCACAGCTACTCGGTCTTTCCCCCAACATCTCATGTTCACCTTGCCCCTCACTGGAAGCCTTCTGTGGCAAGCACCATTGGACAACCCCTCCTTCCCTCGTGTCCTGTCCCCGTCGGCACTTCAAGAAGCACCGTCCTGTACGCTTCCAACGAAACCCGTGTTCAAGTTTAACTCCATCCATAACTTGCACCATGTTATTCCTTACGATCGGCTATTGGTGGGGACATGGACGTTCCCCCGATTTCCCCTGCCCAATTCCCAAAACATCCAATTGACGCAATCTCAAAGACGCGATCGTCAAGATGCGGGCGTGGGCACCACGGGCTTTAAGTCGTGGGGCTCCCTCGACCTGGACCTGAAGATGCAAAAAATTTGGGAGCCCTCTCATTACTACTAACTGCTCGTTTCTTCGTCTCTTTACTCTTTTTGTTTGTTGTTGCTGTACTGATCCGTCCTCCAATTCACCTATTCGACCGTTACAAAAAGACAAAATATAGTACATTTACATTTAACTAAGATGTCGAAAGCAACCCATATCATCAGATTTATTGCCAATGAAGACAACCGAATTCATTTGGGTCAATTAGTAGACACATCGCGCGATGTCGGTCTTGATAGTTTGGAAGGCAAGGAGATCAAAGCATACCTGATCAATGGCTCTATCTTCCACCCTGAAGTTACCAGCCATGTTTATACGGTGAAGGCCCTGCTGTCACCCATCGCCAAAGAGGAGACAAATTATATTCGATGCCTGGGTTTGAATTATAAAGATCACGCTTCTGTATGAGAGCACCTGTCCTAAAAGACTGACCAAGAGCGCTAGAATACTGATCTTTCGAACAGGAAGCGAAGATGGAACTACCAAAGGCCCCGATTCTATTCACCAAGCCTCGAACAGCGCTCGCCGACCCTTATCCAGCTGCGATCCCGATTCCCAAGGCAGCACAGGATGGCACATCAGACTATGAGGCTGAATTGGCACTCATTATCGGCAAGACTGGGCGTGATATCCCCGAGGACCAGGCCCTCGATTATGTGCTGGGTTACACTGCCAGTAACGATGTCAGCGCACGAACCCTGCAGATGTTGACCGGACAATGGAGTTTCAGCAAAGGCCTTGATGGAAGTTGTCCTCTAGGTCCCGTTCTTGTGACAAAGGAAGCCATCCCCGATCCCCAGACACTGAACATCAAGGCCATTTACAACGGCCAGACAGTTCAAGACGGCAACACCAAGTATGTCAACGTTACCCCTCCAGCTCTATGTCCTCTCCCAGAAATAAGATATAATAACTAACCACAACATTGCCCTCCAACAGGAACATGATCTTCGACATCAAGAAGCAAATCAGCTACCTCTCCCAAGGCACCACGCTCGAGGCCGGCACCATCTTCCTGACCGGCACACCCGCCGGAATTGGCTTTTTCCGCCAACCCCGTGTCGTGCTCGAGGACGGAGGCGACATCAGAGTCGAGATCGAGAAGATCGGCACGCTCGTAAACAAGGTTCGCTATGAAGAGTGGTAGGCTCAGAATACCGCAAGAGCGAGGCTCACGGTGAAGGTGGGGGACGTAGGTTGGATATTTAAAACAAATCCGTCTTTCTTAGGCACACTACACGACAGACGTATTTTTTGAAGGCATAGATTTTCGGGAAAATAAACTATGTATGTGGTTGGGTGTGCGCATATATTTGCTCGAAGAACCGCGACACATACATTGTTTTCGGGCCCTATGAAACGAAACTCCTCAATGCTCCATACTCCATGAATAGAACAACAGTCCACATCGGAGATTCTCTCTGCAGTCGAGTATCACATGTCCATTATTACGGCTTCGGAAATCTGAGTACGGATCCCCTGTCTTCCCGTCCTGACTGCGGTGTAGGTAACCACTGTGTTTTGGTGGCTTAGAGGATATGACCAATAAAGGCAGGTATTGATGTTGATATTGATCCTGAGGAAGACTAATGTACTGAATGTTCATGTGAGTGTGATCAAACCTCATAGAGACAATTCGCTAAAGACCATGTTTTTTGAAATTCTCATACTGATTCCAACGGGAAAAAATCATACATATCATATCATATCGACCACTGCATTGAACAGTGAGCGACACAAGCATCACCCTTGTCAACTTTGGGGATATGTCATTCGCGATAAAACCCCCTTTCTCCCTTTCAAAAACCCAGGCCATCTGCCATGACCCGACCAGCTTACATGGTCCACGAGACCCCTTCACTTACTCCAAGAACTCCTTGGGCACATCGGGACCCCAGACAGCGAGGCCCTCGTGGCCAGCGGGGCCGTAACCCATGGGGGTGTCCTCATTGACGAGGTCACCGTCGGCGTAATGCTCGACCATGAACCCGTTAATATCCCACCAGTAGTCGAAGATCTGGCTGCCGAGGATATGGCGGCCGACGCCCCAGACGGACTCGTATTTCTTCTCCGCGAGCCATTGGTGGCCCAGCGCTTGGGTGTCGAAGTCGTGCACTTCAAACGAGCAGTGGTGCACGTGTTTCTCGATGCCTGGTGTGAGTGTCGTCAGGAACATGGTGTGGTGGTCGACGAGGTCTTGACCACGGTCGATGTGTGCGAAGAGCGCAACTTCTTTGCGAACTGGGGCGTTGGTTTCAGGGTCGATTTTGTCCAGTGGTACGTAGAGGATGTCGCTGGGTACGATGTTGAAGTGGCGTGTGTACCACTCCATCGCGGCAGGGAAGTCGGCGACGTTGAGACCAAAGTGGCCGAGCTGGGGAGACGATGTCAGTCGTTGGAAGTCCCAAAAGTGTTTTTCTCTCAGAGTCGTTGACGTACCTTATGAACCTCTGCCGGACCAGGCTCAAAGCGCTGGAACTTCTTCGCTCTGGGTTTATCCACCTCAAAATTCACCACCAATGGTTCTGGGACCTTTCTCTGTTCCTTGACCGGTGCCTGGCCTGTGATGAAATTGACGGGGAAGCCTTGAGGATCTTCAATTGACACGATATAGCCACCGCCTGGAGCGTCGGTCATTTCTTCAATGCCGTTGCTCAGTACTTTGGAGTCTGGAAGCTTCATCACTTTCTCGAGGTCCTCTTTCGATTCGACTTCGAAAACTCCACCGAGGAACTTCTTTGGGCCCTGTTTGGCATAGTAGACATATTGGTCGGGGCCGTAGCCGCGGTACCATCGCTCGTTCTCACCCTTTTTGGTGACGTGCATGCCGAAATCTAGATGGAAGACCGAATATTAGTACCGGAATGGGAAGGAATTGCTTGAAGCTGTTGCTTTGGGCCACAGGAGATAACGTTGTCGTCAAGACACTGGCCATCCCCTCGCAATCGGTGTCTCGCCTCTTCCTCTCAAGCTGAACTGCTAGAGAATGCTTACCTCTCAAGAAAGTAGTGATCTTGTTAAGATCAGGGTGCTGATACCGCATGTGACTGAGCTTCACAATGCGGACCTGCTTTGAGGGATCGATACCCCGCTTCTTCTGCCACTCACGTTTCGATGCTTGGTCTGGGATGGCCTTCTTCTCCGAGTCTGGAACTGATGCTCCACGGTTCGGTGAAGGACCCCGTGAGATGGCACCATTGGATGGCTGTGTCTTTAGAGGGCAGTTGTTAGTGAGATGGGCAAAAGAAATGCTATGATCAGGGCGACCTTGAACATAAAATTGACGATACCCGGACTCGAAAAGAGGGGGGATAAATACCTTTTCGTGCTCAATCTTCTCCTCCGTGATGTTATGCTTGAGATCGTCGAGGGCATTCATGATGGCGGTTGGAATGTGGAATACGCTGAAGCGTGAGTGGAATGGATTGTGCCTGGCGGAGCTCGCGTCCAATGCTAGACAAAGTCTATGGTGGACTAGTGTGCTCTGGTTATTTGTGCTCTACCACTAGAAAGCAGACGCACGCGTATGATCGGTATGCTGGCAATGGCTTGATGGTGATTGAGATTCCACACGATTCGGAAACAGAAATGATGCCGGATTGTAGAAGTTGGAGAAGTTGATTTGGTGGGTCGAATTGCCGGTGGTTACCAGTAGGAGGCAAGAGCAATCTCCAGAAGTTTGTGAAATCGTGGAGCAGGAGGAAGTGACGGTCGCTTTGGTGTGTGATGTAGAGTCTCGAAGAAGGATGAAATAGAACGAAGAGTGAAGTAATAATTGTGTCCCAGAATTGAATCCTAACTTGGTAGCCGATCAAGTGGAAGCAATATGCCGAAAGTCTTGACACTCGGTGTCAGATGAGGAACCTGAATTGGTGGGTTCTCGTACAAACGTTGTTCTTTCAAGCTTCATGTGCTGATTACCTACTGTGCAGATATTCTTATGATTTGTGTAGTTTCCTACTCTAGTGATTACCCCACAAGCGTTGATTCGAAGTATGTAAGGTAGTATGCCTTGAAATGTCCGGACCATCCAAAGGGTTTTAAACGTCTCGAACAATATCAATGAGCATCGGCACTGCCCCATACCCAGTACCAATCCATGCGGAGAGCTGACATGTAATGGCAAGGAGCGAGCACCAATAAATCGTACATTCACCCTGCAGCTTACCATAATCCCCAGGGGCCGGGGAACCTACCTGACCTCATCACCATCGCCTTAGGTGGTCAGGTACTGGGCGTTACAACTGGCAATGTACGACACCGGACAGGAAATCTGGGGTTACGAATCCCGTGAAAGACCGATGGAATCTTCCTCAGGCCTAGAGCCGCTGCTAAATGAGGCACTCTCGCCCAATCGGAAAATACCCCTTCCTCCATTCCATGCCTCAGGTCCAAGAATAATGCTTTCCATCGACACCTCATCTGGTAAAGCACCACAGAATGAAAACGAAATCAATCTCGAAGACGCGGTGTTGGTTCCGCATGCCAATTCACTGACTCATCCGAAACAACGACTCTAACAATTGGCATTCAAGGTCCAAGGTTCATGGGTAGCTGGTCGATGCTTGAAGAGAGAAACTGCCCCACTGGTGGAAGGCGGAGCACTTGACGGTGGGGTCGGTTTGCCCAGGCATTCTCAATGTGGGACACTCTTTGGTACCGGTGTCACATCACTCTGGTGTTTCGCACTGTTCGGAAGACATGTGACCTCGATGAATTCATGTTCTTTGTGTGGTATTACAAAATTGATGCGTCTGGTTGAGTCGCTCCTTATTTTCAACTGAATCTCTTCCAAATTAGGACGAGAGTTGAACGCGGGGTAGATAAGATTCGATTAGATAAGATTAGACACCTCGATCATTGATTCTCTCACCCTCAATGACATCACCTCCAAATCATCTTCCGACAAATATTTCTGGAGACACTGTGCGTGCTTCAGGTGCAGTGCAACATAAATTAGACCAGGAACATACACTAAGAGCAGAAACAGTTGAGGGTTAGGTAATATCATTACAAATTATCATGGACTAGATAATGCTACTTGGGCATCTATGCCGACACCGGAGCGCGCGTATAAGCCTCGAGGTCAATAACTCTCATCAGGCATTGTCGTGAATGGGCTCACGGTCCCCAAAGTCGGTACTCGTCCGAGGAGGAACTCCAATTGTCGGTACGCCGCAGAGGGGGCGTATTGAGGGACCATATGGCCAGACAGGTCGATTGTAACCAGGGTAAGGCCTCGTTCAGTGTGATATTGACCCATGACGCCAGCACCTGCAAGCGAACCGAGTTGATTCTCATAGGCGGTATGGTAGGGGACGTAGAAGTCATCCCACTGAGATGGTGGGGTGGAAAATCCCTGGGCACCATTCCAGGTCATATTCTGTGTTGCGATCAAGGTGCCGTTCCATATCAGGACCATATCTAGAAGGCCGTGTCCGATGATCACGCGGTCAGCTTTCTCAATCACTCCCGGTAGGACGCTGAGTGCCGAGGGTTCAGAGTTATCGGTGCCATTGAGGAAAACATCGACACTGGTACATTCGAACCACTCTTGAACTGGTGCATTGATGGCTTTTTGTACATCGGTCCGGTTGAAATAGATAAAAGCACCGTCAGGGACATAGTCGAAGGAACCCGGGAATCCCAAAACATCCCACAGCAACGGGCATGTCGTTGCCACCTGGTAAATGTCGAAGCACGGATTGACCAATGAGATGGCGCTGAAGACCTCGTCGAATGTATCACAGGTGTCGTTCGACAAGTCCACATTTGGAGGAGTCGGGAGAGGACCTTTCGGTGGGTACACCAGGGCTTCTTCCATGAAAGCTGTGTAACCACATGCGTCTGACTGAGCATTCAGGTCTGCCACATAACTGTCGTTGAGTCCCAACAATGTACCCCAGAAGTTGACAAATGCAGCGGCGGGGATTTGTTCCTGCACCACATTATAACTCAAGCTTGGATCATAAATCATTATGGAGCTGATGTTATAGTAGTCGGTATCGTTGGCGTTGAACATGGCATCTGCAATGTAGGGAACGTAATATCCTGCGTAGGATTCTCCGGCGATGTAGACGGTATAACCTTGCATGGCAAATGTATCAATGAAGTTCTTGAAGAAGCCCAAGAATTGTTGCGCCACATCTTCATCCGAGGTCGCAGTTGGCGTGCCCTGTGAGAATCCGGTGCCCACAGGTTCTGTTCTCAGTGATCAGTAAATGTCGCCCATGAGGTTCAGGTACCACTCACGTTCAACCCATACGACATTCGTCAAATTCGTCCACGACCACTGATTTTGCACTGGCTTGAAGGTTCCATACTGCCACAAAAATGGGCCGTTTTCTGCAATTCGACGTTAGCATAACCATTCCGACCGAATTAAGGCCGTCAGCCACCTTGAAGAAAGCCTTCGAGTGAACTGCAGCCTGGGCCTCCGTTCAACCAAATGAGGACCTCATTGCTCGCGGCCGGATTCGTAGTAGGGAAAAACCAGAAGTACAGCTCAGACGCATTGGTAGCATTAGAGATAGGCAAGAGGCCAGCATAGGATTCGCCAACGTCGAAGTCGACTTCTGGAATCGCGGTGCCATTGACGGCAAATTCTATTACTCTGTCAGTGATCGTCCCCTTGCTGCTGTTCACCAAGACGCACTCTTTGTCTTGTCGGTCAGGAATGAATGCTCAGCCCGCTTCTCTGGCTGTGCGACAGCAGGAGCAGCTCGAGGAACGGCAACATTCCTCCTCACTTCTGGGTCTCTCTTGCCAACATGTTGAAGGCTTCGCTTTGCCGAGGTGAGAGACACGAGGCCCAGAGTCAATGCAAGGACGGAGAATTTCATTTTCACTTCTCAACAGGAACGGTCTTGAAAAAGAAGCGTGAACAAGGTGCGGGAGAAAACCAGACGCGTCAGTGGGCGAAGTCGAGTAGATAAATGAGCAGGGACGAAAAAAAAGAAACCGATGGCAATTCAAGCTTCCTCTCCAAGCCTAGAGTCACTTGCTATCAAGCTTGAATTGCCCTCGTACCTGCACTTAACTTTACTGACGGCTTCACCAAGAATGGAGTCTTGATCCACATCAAAGTGACACACCTTGCAACGGGAACCGACAGCAGTGATTCGACAGTGAACAAGAGAGCAGCTTCATCTAGCGTGGACAAAGGCGAGAGCCGAATCTGAACCAGATAGAACGAGGTTTAGCGACCTGGTAGGCAGGGTTTGTTTTGCCACGAAATCCTGAGAGCAAGGAAAAATCACAACATGGTTCGGAGGATTGCAGCTTGAATGCGACGCTGTGGAGGTTTCTAGGATGAGTATATTCTGCTAGCAGCGCACCAGTAAGTCAATTTCTTTGTGCGATGACGCGCTGTTATCTTTGGACCCCCGGCTAACCCTGGGGAAGGTGCAAGGGAGTTCAAGCTTTCTGGGAAAGGTACGAGGTTGCGACTTGCGATTCGTCGAATTCATGGTCGTGTGCCTGAAGAGACCTAGGTAGTCTGGAGTGGAGGGTAGGGAGTATGAGTAACCTACGGGAGATAGGTGTACCGAGTACCACCCTGGCTCAATCATCCACGAGCTCCCGGCAGGTGGTGATTTGTTGGAGACGTTGGAAGCTCAAGACCCAGACACAGATTGTGCGACAATCAAAGGAACACGACCTTCTCAACAATCTGTCCAGAAACCACTGATTGTAAATAAATGAGTTGTGTTAAGTTGAGACAGCTTCTAGGAGAAGATTATGTGATTTCGAGGCTGGCCATTTAGAACACAAAGATGGGCAGAAGAGGGAAAACGGGAAATCAAAAGATAGCGGCGAATCCGAAGGTCACACTGGCGAGTCGTCCATGGGGAGCCTCGGGCCCGTCCCCTCCGGCCTTGGTGGCTAAAGTTCAAGCCATCCATGCAGCATGCTTCGAGAAGCTTATCACCGCCATTGCAGATCGTATGACGCCTCCACTCGCCCCCTCGGAGACCTTTCCAGTTAAGGCAGGTCGATGGGCGAGGGATGCCGAGGGACGACAGATGCTCTCAGCGTCGGTGCGACTGAAATCAGATGGTGACAATCGTCTGAAGCTGGTGGCATGTACTACACCCCCAAAGTTGATGGCCACGGCGATATGAGTTTTATTTGATCATGTGCTGGAATATTGCTTCAAAGTCATTTGGCCTTGGACATGGACCTCGTGCTCGTATCAAACGTCGTCAGATCGACCAAGCATAATGCTCCGGGTGGCTTCGGCACAGCGGCTGGGAAATGATAGTGGCTGGCTGGAACATTCAACGTCATTCTCAATATATTGATAACTCATCCTAATGATATTTATTTGAAAAGCATGGTTAACCTTGGTGAAGCAATATATGGATATCGATAGAGGCTCAAGCCGTCTGGTATGGTTTCGTCAACAACAGACATGAAGGACTCCAATACTCATCACATCCTGTTTACCCAGGCAAAGCACATCCATCGCCTCTCAAATCACTGCCACCACTGTACACTGGAATGCGGGTTTCCTCGTCGACGTGTCTTCTGATAATCTGTCCTCGTCCGAACCTTCCTCTGCCCCAACCGCCGAGCACCTCAACATCATGCCCAAACTGCCGCAGAGCCCTCACCACCTCATCGCTGATTCCCTCCTCGATATAGACCGTCCCCATACTGACATCCTCGCTGTCATTCGACGGCAAACCAGCACCAATGCAGATTCTTGGCGCATCTAGAGCCTGTTGCGGGTTCATGCCGAACACCTCCATGTTCAAGAGCACTTGTACGTGGCCCTGGGGTTGCATGAAGCCTCCCATGACGCCAAACACCGAATGAAGCTGTCTTTCGCCTTCCTCGCCGTTCGTCAGTAGTCCAGGAATGATAGTGTGGTATGGTTTCTTTCCACCTTTGTAGATATTCGGGTGATTGTCGGGACCCAAGTCGAAGTTGGATCCTCGATTCTGCAGCGTGAAGCCACATCCCTGAGGAATGATGTTGGAACCGAACCCGTCATACACGGAATTGATGAAACTCATTCCATTCCCTTCCTTGTCTGCCACGGCAAAGTAGACGGTGTCGCAATGATTTTGTGCCGGGCTGGGTGGTTGTCCTTTCAGATGTTGCCCAGCCTTATCCTTCTCAAAGAGCTTGGCGCGTTCAGCAAGATATGAACGTGACAGTAGCTCTGCCGGTTTGACAGGACTATGTTCAGGATCTGTGACCCACCAACTGGCATCTGCGAACGCGATCTGCAAGGCCTCGATGATTGCATGCAGGTACGGTGCACTATTGTGATCTTCCAAGGCAAAAGTCTGGATTTTCTTGCTCAACTCGAGCTCCTCCAAAATACCTAGCGCCATGAGCGCCACAATACCTTGTCCATTGGGTGGATGCTCCCACAGCTCCACAAAGTGGCCATCAGAGGTTCCGTTCGTCACTCTTTGCGCAGCAGTGTTTTTGATGTTCTGACCTCGGAATTTCAAAGATATGGGGGTGGTCTCTTCTGCGCCACGTTTCATGTGCTCTTCCAAGTCTTCGAGTTCGATATGACCGCCAAGAGGTTTGAGAACGTCAACAATGGACTGGGCAATCCGGCCGGTGTAAAATCCCTTTTTTCCTTCTGCGGCCAAGGCGCGGAAAGTTTTCCCAAGAGTCGGATTTCGCATAATCTCGCCTGCTCTGGGAGCTCGGACAAAGTGCTCTGCACTCTTGTCTTTCTTGAGGAGTTCTCGGAAGTTTGGGGATGCGTTTCTGAGACTATCTTCGCCCGCTTTCCACTATGAAGGCATGGAGTCAGTTCTGCCATGCCTCTGCAAATTATTCAACATTTGAGAACTTACAAACGATGCAGACAACTCCGAGACTGGGAATCCCTCCTCAGCCAGCTCGATCGCGGGTGTCAGGATTTGCTCAAGTGTCAACTTTCCACTGCCGAATTTCTCCACGGTGTCAACCCAACCAGCCGGAGCACCTGGAACAGTCACAGCGAGCGCACTCTTGGTTGGTATTTTGGCACGTGTGCTAGATGGCAGATCAAGTTCTTTCCTGACTTGTTCCAGAGTTGTGTTCTTTGCACTTCGACCGGAGCCATTGAGGGCATGAACCTTTTTGGTCTTCGCATCGAAAAACAGACAGAACATGTCTCCTCCGATGCCTGTTGAAGATGGTTCGGTGACGTTCAGGGCAGCAGCTGTGATTTATCGTTAGGGAATAAAGTGGCTTTTCCAGTCAGAATCGATCGGTTTGAACATACCGGTAGCCACAGCAGCGTCCTGTCAACGCACGTTAGCTAGAGAAATCTTCGTGGGGACTGTGATATGCGTACCGCTGCATTTCCACCCATCTTCAAGATTCTCTGACCGGCTTCTGAGGCCAATGGTTGCGTACATGCCACCATGCCTTTAGTACTGTGCACAACACTTCTTCGGCTAGCAAACTGGGTAAAGGGTGGGTCGCCGATTGGGTATATGGCTTCCGCCCGGAAGGTCTTCTCGGTTGACGCCATGATGGACCGTTTCGTGTTTGAGGATGAAGAATCGATATAGGTAAGAAGAAATGACGAGGGAACAGAGGAGAAGAAGCGCGGAAACGCGCTTTATATTATGTGAGGCCGAGGGGATGGTGAAAAGAAGGAGTCAAGTACTCGGTGCGATTAAGAGTCAGATCAGGGTGAAAGCTGAGACGACGAAGGGAAGAAAATGACAGAGAATGTGAGTCTATTGATCTATCAATCAAGACGATATGAGGCTCCACTGAGAGGAGAAGCACTAGATACCAGTGCCAATGAGTGTCGTGTCACTGTTGATGTACGTTTTACCGAAGAATAAAAAAACTGCCCGTGTTGTGAGTCGTGAGGGGTAGCAGGTGTTGAAGCCATAGATTTGATTTGATGATGTGAGGGAAGTGGCCGTTGGTGACGAGGGGCAGGAGCACGCGGGAGCCAGGACCGTGACTGGGGAAAGGACTTGTCCGCTTGCGTTGGGCGTCAAGCTTAGGATCAAGAACGACCCGGGGGACCCGTCCAGTCGGCTGGAAGCTTGCTTGGCCGTTAGGTAAAACCACCCCTGGAATGACCCCCTACGAGCACGCAAAGAGCCTACAGGATCTACACAGCTGGGAGAGAACGCCATCGGGGAAAGTACCGGTGGACTCCAGTGCTATCACCATTCATCTGCCGACATCCATGGATGGTGCTAACCACCACCTGGTTACGGACTCTTTCAGCCTTTACAAGGTACCTTAGGTAGGTTGTGAAGACATAACTCATACAATTCGTAGCTCGTTACATACTCGTGACACATTATTTATACAAAGATCGGCCTGACCTTAGCTGCCGAATGCCGCCAACAAAAGAGATCCAGTACCTCAAACGAGTGCATCCATTCCCAGTCTTCCTCTAACCAGGTCCCTCACGGGATCTGTGACCCTTGAAACCAATCTTGAATAACGCCACACCCTTTGATCCTCGCTTGTGCCCGTTGTCTAATAGCCTTCCAAAATCAAATACCTACGAACCGAATGAACGTTGGATGAACACTTCCGTCTCTCACGCCCCAACACGTTCGGGCCGGAACGCACTTCGAACCTGAACATGCTCTGCCAGTGTAGCGAACGCTTTCGAGAATAGACCTGGTTTGTTGGTAGATCGTGGAGGATCATGATATTGCCTCTGACTTCTCGAGCTCGAGTGCCGGGTAGTCTTGGGCCGATCCGAGCTAGAGCGATGAGAGTGATGAGGTCGAGTCGATCCGCCTTCAGCATGTTTTTCTCTTTCCTTCTCCTTGTCTGAGTCGCTCCCGCGGTGGTGTTTGTGACTAGAACTTCGTCCTTCGGTGTGTTTGCTGTTGGGTCGGACCATGAGAAGAGGGCCACCCGTGTCACTCTCACCCGTTCCAATTCTCTTCAACAAAGCGGGAATGATCTCTCCCCCGTTGCTGCTTCCACTGTTCGATCCTGCAAAGCTCGTTCTCCGTCCTCCCGCCTTTCGTCTCACATCACTAACGGTCTCTGCATCACCCGCTATCTCTCTCTCTTTGCCTTTCCTCCTTTCAGCCTTTGCAGCCTCTTCTTCTTGTCGTTGTCGTACTCGCTCTTCATGAGCCTTCCTTCTTGCTTCTCTCTCCAGGTTCTCCTTGTCCCTCTCCAACCTTTCCCGTTCCTTCTCCTTTTCTCTCTCAGCCCGACGTTGTCGACGCATTTCTTCCTTCTCTGCTTCTTCTCGAGCATGTCGTTGTTTCCGCCGCTCTTCTCGCATCGCCTCCTCTTCAGCTTCTCTTTTCGCTTCCTTCTCCTTTCTTGCCCGTCTTTTCTCTTTGTACTCCTCACTCTCGTGCCGATGATGCTCTCGTTCTCTTGCCTTGGTCACTTCCCTACCAATTGCATTATCAAATAGACCGGCTTTGTCTTTAGGCCTTTCAAGCCTGGTCTTGTGTCCATGAAGAGGGTCTTTGGGGCGGTGTTCTCGAGTCTCGCTATACCTCCGGTGAGTCTTTCTCCGCCCCTTCGTTGCAACAGAACCTGCGACAGCTGCAACACCTACTGCTGCCGCTGCTATTGCAGCATCCTCTACTATGGTATCGGACTCTGCTTTAGGAGCATCCTCGACAGCTTCTTCTGTAGTGGCCTCGACGACTGGCACCTCGTCTGCAGCCGGTGGGGGCTCCTCGGGGGATGGTGCATCATCTCCTACAGGCTCCTTAATGGTAGCTGGCTCTTCAGCTGGAGGATCTGGTGCTGATTCCTCGGAAGCCACCTCGGAAGCCTGTGTGTCAGGTTCTTCGGCAGCCTCAGGCGGTGCTTCATCGCTCTTGGGAGCTTCTTCGACAGTGGCTGCTTCGGGAGCTGGTTCCTCATCAGCAACCGCGGTTACCTCAGGGGTCTCGTCAGCAGCAGGCGCTTCGTCAATGACAGGATTTTCTTCTCCGGCAACATTGTCTTCAGGCGTAGGAGTAGTTTCTTCGGCTGGGGCACTTTGTTCTTCTGAGACAGGTGTTTCTTCAGCTGGGGCGTCTTCTGCAGTAATGTCCTCTTCGGTAGGAGGAGTTCCTTCGACCGGTGGAGCGTCTTCTGGAGCAGGAGTCTCGTCACCAGCCGGTGTCTCTTCAGCATCAACGGTTCCTTCAGGAGCAGGGGCTTCATCGGCCTCTGGAGAAGCTTCAGTGTCCTCTGTGGCAGGGAAATCTCCAGGGATAGCTCCGACTTCTTCTTCTTCTTGAGCCGTGGGACTGTCGGCCGGCGCTTCCTCAGGAGGAGAGGCTTCCTCCGGAGCTGCTTCTGGAGCTGCCTCCGTGACCTCTGCTGGTGCCTCAACTGATTCGTCATCGGTGGCGGCTTTCGCGGCGGCTGGTTCGTCGTCTGTAAGCGTCTCAGCTGCATCTTCCTGTTTAACCTCCTCGACAGATTCCTCCCCAGGCTTGTCTTCAGCGGCGGCAGCATCGCTCTCCGGAGACTCCTCAGGATCCGCGGTTTTGCTCTCTGGAGTTTCTTCCGTGTCGGCCGCTGGCTCTTCAGTGGCAACAACCTCTTCGGCATTCTTATCGTCATCATCCGGGGTACTGTCGCTAGGGTCTGCTGCTGCGACAGTGGACTCACAAGCCTCGGCGTCAGCTTCTGTCGTGGCGGCAGCTTCGTCTTGAGCAGGACTTTCTTTGGTAGCCTCTTCGTTGACTTCTACCTCTATTGTTTCTGCGTCACCTGCGTCATTTTCTGGTGCCGATGCTGGTGCGTCATCTTTTGTCTCCTCTGTTGGGGCTTCTTTCGATGTTTTATCGGCGATGACCTCTACGACAGCATCGTCTGGTGTCGCTTCAGCTGCCGAGGTCTCCTCTGGTGATGTAGTTTCTTCCTGGCCTTTCGAGGCTGTAGTCTCTGCACTATCGTCAGGGGCATTGCCGGCACTTTTTTCGGCATTATCCCCTGCGCCTGCCAAGGGCTCTGCTGGATCCGAATTATTTTCGTCTGTTGCAGCTTCTTCGGTTGTAGCCTCGAAAGTGTCAATAGGAGGGACATCAGGTACATGCTCCGGAGTCTCGGATTCGGGGCCAGCACCGACCTCTGACATGGCCTTCTCAAGGACTGATAGTACCTCATCAGGGGAGGCATCTTCTTGCTGAAGCTTTTCGACTTGCTCCAGAACCGTTTCGGATTCATGCTCATCTGAATTAGTAGAGTCTGTTGTCTGAGACTCTTGAGGTGCGTCAGGCTTGTCTTCATCGGGTTCAGCAGCAGGCTCTTCGCTTGGTGGTTCCTCAGGTGCTACGGGGTCTTCCGTAAGGCCTTCAGGAGCTTCTTCTAAGTCACCGGATCCAGGTTCCGCAGACTCATCTCCTCCATCCGGGTCATGAGAGGGTCCCTCTACAGGCTGGTCGGAGCCCGGTTGTTCTCCTATAAAGAGATGTTAGTCTGTATGACGTACAGACAACAGTATGATCACAGCTTACCTTGACCATCTGGGGCCTCGGATGATGGTGGATCTTCCCCACCATTCTCCTCTGGGACGTCTCCCTCCTCATCAGCGGGAGTATTTTTGTCGAGTATTATGATTTCTAGTGAGCAGTTAGCAGATAGAATAAAATCATAGACATGATGAACTCACCTTCCATATCGTCGTAGGATGGCTCTCCCACTGGAGGGTTAAGATGTCTATCGTCGATCACGGGAGGAGGTGAAGGTGGACCGTGGGACTGATAACGATCGTCAGCATATGAGTAGCTGGGATATATTCGTTCAGGTGGTATTATAGGATGAGCAGAAAATGTGAGGGTGTTGCGATCATATGTCCTCCATTGAAACACTGGGAGTTGTGCATACTGGTAGGAGTAGTACTGCTGGGCCATCTGTGGCTTCGGCTGGTTTGGTGCCATCGTCGGACCAAGGATTGAATTCGATGTTCTTCTTATTCTTCTTCTTGCTCTTCTTGCCCATGGCAGAAGATTGGAATAAGGTGAGTAGAGGCGGGGTTCAAAAGCTGCCCTTGTGAGTGGCTCAAAGCACGGTGCTCCTTGTCACACCTTTGGGCGAAGATCACGAGTTTAGCGGAGGAATCGGAAATGAAGAAGCAGAAATCAGATGACGTGACTCTGCTGAAATAGGAGTCGGATGGATGCGGGCAAGAGGCAAAAAGAGAAGGGTGCAGATTCAAGTTTAGTAGAGGGTTAAAAGCAAAGGGGAATGGCTGTGTCTGAGGACATGTTGCCAGATGATGGACAAATGGCGACTCTTGTTGGAGATTGAGGTTGACGAGCAGGTATTGTCATTGGGAAGTGTTGAGGCATCGTACTATCAGCCATCCCACGAGCAGCTATCCAATGGTGCAAGTGAGAATTTTTGCAATTGGACCACGTCGGTGATGACCAGGTCTGATCTCGCTCCGAATGATGATGATGAAGAAATGGAGGCAAAAAGTTGAGGAGCGGGTGTCTTAGCGACGAGAATGCAGAATGAAATCGCAGAGGAGTAGCGTGGTTCAACAATGCGTTAGTCGTCTGCGTCAAGGTCAGACAACTGCAATCGACATTGGAATTCTGCAAGACGAACGACCGCAATTGGACGAAATGTGCATAAGAAGGTACCATGATTGGATCGTGGCACAGCGGAAGTGGTGTTTAGGTTGATGCCCGATGCATCAGCACTGGGTAGTGGGAGACATTAAATTGCAGAAAGAAGCAAGCAGGGCTTCCGGTAACCACCGTCTGGGATATTCTTTTTTAGGCTCGGAGTGGAGTGACTGGTCTTGCTCTTGGTCAAGCTGATGCATCATCTTATTGACTGAACCAGTGGAACAAAGACCTGCTAACACAGAAACTGTTGCGACCAGTTCGCTGTAAGACGTGGAGGTGTTCGTTGAAGAGCATCATCCCTGCACACTTGAGAGAGTGTTGATTTGTCCTGCCCTGGCCAGAGGTGATATTGGACTGCATAGGCGTGGAGGAAGAGCATTTTCATGTGCACCAGCTGAGCTGATACAACTTTCCTCCTAGCCGTTAGAGGTGGCTGGTACTTTGTGGGTTCTTTGAGTCCAAGGGTCGTGACCTGGAAAAAGAGAAGGAAGTTTCTTTCACCTCTGTCCTCTGCCCTGTTTTTCCGTGGACCGGGTCGAGCCGTAGAGGCACCCGAAGCCCCCCAAAGGCAGGAGCGTCCAGGTGCATGCGGTGCCCGAGGGGCCTGCCATCTGAAGTCCGGAGTCTATCGGCCTTGGCATTTGTGTTTGGTTCCTTCCCCATTCAGGTCCTTTGAACCGTCGCCTCACTTTGGGATCCGGGCGACCAAATAAAATGGACGGGTCTGAGGGCTCACGCTGCTCGTCAGACAGGCGAGTTCTCCGATCGAAACACTTACTTAGGCTGCTATATTCAGTTGGGTATCTGGGACTGACCGAAGGCATTATTGATCTAACGGTGACTGCAAGCTTCGTGGCTCCAACATCATCGTTCCGAACGGATGACCAGTTTTGGCCTGACATGGTTTTTGTTAGTCTGATTGGCACTTTGCTAATGAAGCGACAGGCACAGGGACTTTCTGCCCGGAGAAATATTACGAATGATCATTCATTGTGGTTGTGCCTATTCGTAGTTTCCCTCTCTCTGACTCACTGCGTAGGCGTCTACTAACCAAACTACCCCAGACTATTGGGACTCATTAAGTTCTCGGTCCATCTTTTCTCGCCACCGCGGCCCGAAACGCTTCATTGCCCAAATGACCGAAGCACTGGACAAAGTCCAGAGCCCAAGAATAGTAAAGAGCCAGCCATTTCCAATCGCCGCAATAAGCGGAGCACCGACAATGCCTCCAATGCACGATAGTATGTTTCGACAGAGATTGTTCAGAGCGACGCCTGACGAAGACCGCCCAGGCATAAACTCAGTAAGCATTGTTGTCGCCATAGCAAATATCAGCATAGAGCCGACTCCATAGAAGAAATTCGCAATCATCTAACAGGAAAACACGTGTCAGTTATCTGGTACCTTGCATATGTCATCTCTCGACGCCCGACGGGTGTGACTCACAGGAACGATCCAGAAAACCCCTTTCTCAACTGTCCAACCATACCAGATGAACGCTGCTGGGTACAAACAGGCACCCAGCCACGCGTTCTCTCGCATGCGGTCTTCAGGATGGTAGATCAATTTACCTCGTTCATCTATGCGATTCGCCTTCAATGCTTCTCGCTTCATGATGTTGTCCATCCACCGACCGCCAAGTAAGCTCGCAAGAAGATACCCAAGCGAATTTGGTATGTACAAGAGGCCAATGATGATGGTTTGATATCCATATGGCTCTCGCTCGAACGTGTATTGAATGCTGATGTTAAGGACATACAGTGAGCCAAATGTTACAGCGGAATAATATACCGTCAACAGCACAGGCATGAATCTGAGATAAGCAATGACCTTCAGTGGATCTATGAACATCACTCGGGCGGCTTTCAAATATGTCTTCGACTTTTGTTGTGCGATCTCTCGAGTCGAGGTCCGGCTCAACGGAGGCCGAGAGCCACCTTGCACCGATGAGTTCCCCCCGAGTTCTTCTGTCCCGATCACACTCTTGGTCTTTTGAAGGGTTTCTGGTAAAGCGAAAAAGACGAATATCCACGTCAACACTAGCACAGAGGTATCAGTCACATGTCTCTGACGGACGGCGATTCGGCGGAATTGCGGCGAAGCATGTCTTTGGTGACTCGAGTCAACTCACCTCCGTAAATCGCCAGGGCCCATTGAGTCGCCCGCCAGTTCCAATGCTGTCCGATAATACCACCCAGTATTGGTGCAAGGAACGGACCACATAATGGTCCAAGGTAAAAGTAGCCCATGGCTCGACCCCGTTCCTCACTTAGCCAAATGTCGGCAATGGTACCAGCTCCGACAGCTTGAACCGATGCGGCAGCACCTCCAGCAAGCATTCGTACAACAATAAGCATCGAGATGGACTTTGCAATGGCGCTCAGAATGGAAAACAGAATGAATAAAGCAAACGATGTCAGATAAATAGTCCGCCGGCCCGATGTTTCGGAAAATGCAGACCACCATAGCGGAAATATCGCCATGCTGAGCATATACAAAGCCACAGCCAAGTTGGTTGTAGTGGGAGTCGTGTGGAGCGATGAGGTTACCTGGTCGAGAGTTGCTGTACGGGTTCTGTCAGAGGATCTTCACAAGCTACCCTAGATATTGACCTACGCAGGATGATAGCGCTACCCACTGGAGCAGCAGCGCCCGCGATAGCCACGATAAAAGTAATGAACCACTTCAAATTGTTGGGATAGTCGTATGGATTCGTAACTTCGGCAACCAACGTGAAGCGAGCAAACAGGCCTCGTCGTCGCGATCTCGGTACTCTGACTGTGGGTAGTTTCGGCGTAACCGTCCGGTGTAGCACATCTGTCTGGATTTCCACGTCTTGGGAATGTGTCGTGGTGGATTGGGTATGGGTAGAATGTATAGATTGGCCATCATGGGCAGCATCGAACTTATTCCCGACCTCCTCACTATAGCGATCGGCGAGCGTTGATGACGGTCGGTCTATGGCATCGGGCGCCGATATGGGTTGCTTCTCCAGGTGGCTATGAGACATCTCGAAGAGAGGATAGAATAGATCGTGAGAATATGTGATCAAATAGCGGTATATCTGCCGTCCAATTCATCATTGACACTCGAGCATGCTCTTATGTCGACAACCCGAATACCATTCACAGGAAGTCCAAGTCAATTAAGCGGGGTGAGCTCGTGAGCAGACGGCACCCGACAGCGGTCGACTGCACATATCTACAGTCTGAAAATGGAGAAATTGAGGGCTTGAATGATCCACTACAAAGGAAGAAGGATGATTGTGAGATTCCCGTTCTCCAAAGCGCACTCACCCACTGCGCACGACGTAAGATCCGACGGGTCACCGATGAAAGGGCGCAACGGCAAGTACTTTTTCATTCCAGAGTCATTTTTGGTGCGATTCCCCACGAATGCAGCGATGATTATGGACGACCAGAGCCAATGACGACAGAGTCACGGCGGGACTCGGCACCGCTATTGGTAAGATCCAGCTGATGGGCATCGCGCCGTTCATCCTTTATCGTGCCGGTTTGCCGCGTTGTGAGGCGTCATTGGTAGGGGTGGGTTGTTTTGTTGGAGAACTTCACAGTTGATAAAAAGGTTGTTCGTTGTTTTGAGTGTCGTACATCCCTTCACCTATCGAGCTAGTTAAAGCACTCGATGCCATTGCCGTCCATCGCATGGCTCAACGGCATTGTTGATAGTTGATCGCAATCACTGTGTGACTTTGAATCTGCAAGAGCTACGCATTCTTCGAGGCTGTGGAATAAAATTTGGAGAAAGACCGTGCCACCGTGGGACGGAGGGCTCGGTAGGGAGCATGAAGCCGAGGCCCAACTTCCTAAACGGTAGATTTTGGAAGGTTGTTGGCGCCTGGGCTCACCCATGTATCATTGGTGGTTTTAAGCATATCTACGCCCGAGGCGATGAGGCTCGGGCGAGGTGGTTATCCTGAGGCTAAACGCCGTTCAGGCACTCTCACGGGGTTGGAGGACCCTCGGTTTGTTTTGCAAGTTGTAAAGGGTGCTTTACTCATTTACCTCGAGTCCACAAACCGACCTCAGTGGTCAACCCTTTGAGGTCCGCCTGCGTCAATGCAGCGATAATGAAAAGAAGGCACCAACAGCAGACCAGATTCAACTCACTTGGCTGGTGAAATGGAATTGTCAGGTAAACTGCAGATGTCATGAGCAGAAGTGCAGATGGGCGTTCCACAAAGCTCAACGGGGAAGTCCTCAGTAGTCGAAATCCTCGAAAGATGGATCGTAGCATTTCAATATCCACGACTGAAAGTAGTTGTCAGAACAATGGGAATGATCGACGGGTAGTATGTCTGTTGAAGACGACCGAGTACTACTCAATATTCATGTCAGAAGCCACATACTCCCAGACTAACATCCTTTAGAAGTGGGTAAGCATCTGGCATAGGAGTAGGTAGTTGAGGTCCTAGTCTGAGTACGAATGTTCTAAAATATAATCCGCATCCCAACGTTGATGGACATCTTTGAAATGCCTAATCGCCTGGTGACCTCTCTGTGGTGCTCCCGCCTTCGGGCCACTTTCCAGGTTAGTTAGCCGCCAACTAAGCATACTAAACAGTTAATTAGTTAAGGCCTTAAGAGTGCCCAAGCCCATTACTCATAGGTACGTATGAATTCACCACGAATCTGCTAGGTACCAGCCGGGTACGCCTGGAATGGTGGTGGCTGTGGCTACTCGTACATAAGAAACTCGGATCTTCTTTCAAATAATGAGAACTTTCTAAGCACACCGCCACTGCATCCTCAAAGAACTGGACGTCCTTGGAATGATCAATTCGCACTATTTGCATTCTTGGTAAGTCTGGATCTGGTCAAGACTGAGCTCGTTTGAGATTCACATGTATCAATTGAGCTTGATCATATCGGCTTTTAGATGTCAGCCAACCGTGCCATCTGCTTCAGAGCCTGCATTACAAGGGTGCAGTCCGAATGATAAGGTAGATATCCTTTCATCATATGCTCAGGTCAAGACATCCTCACTGCCAACTAGGACGACTGCGTTGGCTTGATCTTGATGGACCAAGATCTGTGTAACCCTTCGCAGCCAGGAGGTAATTTGGCTTGGTGCTTCGAGGTCTAGTATGGCAACGATAAACGGCGAGCCCACGTGCATTTGAACGTTAGACATTCTGTCTCACCATTCTATTGCAACTTTAAAATCACTGGCAGGCGTCAAGTCATTACCCGCCCAGCATTCTACAATCTACTTTCCTGGTTCTCGAACCTGTGTGGCCTCCTGCTGGCTTCTTTGCAACTTGATAGTCATCAACCCGACTTGGCGGTCTCCAGAATGGCAATTCAGAGTCGATGCATTATTCTGTATGAATGCACCCGGGTATCGTCCCCGCAGTCACTGTCGCGGTCAAGTCAGTGTTTCAAGCTCGCCGAGCAACATTTGATGTCGCAGTGGCTACTCAACAAGTGGCTCTGTGCTGGCGCAACTTGGCATTACGACCTCAGAGGTAGAAGTCGAGGCATCAACATCGACAGGCTGTTATCCATCAAAGCCAAATGGTGCACTTCTCTTATTACTACATCGAGCTATCAACTCCTTTAGTAGACAGGTATCATAGCGACAAGACGGAGGTAATTGCTATCGCGGACTAGCTTGCGGATTAGCGTCTATCAGACCAAGACAAACAAGGTAGGCTCTGCGAATTACGGGCGTACATCTGGAGGCAATTTTATCATTCGACCGACTTTCAATACCTCAACACGAGGCCATAGCTTCGACAATACCCTTATTCGCAAGGAACAGGAATTTTCTTTGTTGCGTATAGATGCGAGTATGTATGACTCGGTCCAAATATCTCTCCTTCGGAACATCTATCGGCCGCCGCTCTCAAACGTTGAAGGTAGTCTTGCCTCAGTGTCGTAGCATTTGAGATATCTCATTACTAAGTATTCGATATGTCGTGCTTCAGCCCCATCGTCGTTGGGCATTCGTTATATACAACAGATACAGGTTTACTTGTTTCTTCAATTCATCTGCAAATCAATTCTGTTGTGCAAGATACTACAAAGAAAACCCAGTCCTTCTGCACACTCTGCCAGTTGTGAACGTGAAAATCACCTGAAAGTTCGAAGCAATGGAGGATCAGAAAGATGTTGAGGAGGCAACGATACCAGCTTCGCTCTCTCCTGATGCCTTGTCCCTGCGGTCGTCCTCAAAGCGATACGTCGAATTCGATACCCAAGACCCTCTCAATCCGCGACAATGGCCATTGAGTAAAAGGTACGAGAACGAACGCGTGGTTACTTCCTCCATTCGAATAGCATGAGTGCTAACCCCTTATCAGAATCGGTATCACCGCACTGACGACTTACTCGACAATGGTTGTGACCTTTGCGAGTGCCATATTTGCAACCGCCATTCCCTCACTCGTTCGTATTCATGGGGTGGACCGAGAGGTCGTCACACTCGGAGTCTCTTTATATGTCCTGGGCTTCGCAATTGGACCTGTCATCTGGGCATCGTTCTCTGAGCTGAAGGGTCGATACTTGCCTTTCATTATCTCGGTCTTCGGCTTCACGGCATTCTCATTTGCCACCGCAGTCTCGAAGGACCTCACGTCAATACTCATCTGCCGATGGTTTGGAGGATTCTTCGGCGCAGGTCCTTTGACTCTGGCCGGTCCTCTGTACGCCGACATGTTTGTCGGAAAACCGTTCGGCATATCGATGGTATTCTTCGCATTCACTGTGTTCATGGGACCTATCATTGCTCAACCGATAGGAGGGTTTATTGTTCTAAACCACAGCCTAGGCTGGAAATGGACTGAATATATCTGTGGGATTATGGGCGCAGCAGCTTTGGTCCCTCTGATATTTGTCCTGAAGGAGACCTATGCGCCGGTCATCCTCGCGAAGAAGGCCGCGAGTATGCGCAAGCAGACTGGTGACACCTCGGTCATTGCGCAGCACGAAGAGATTTCCATTTCTTGGCAGGTTATCCTCATCGAGTACGTCGGTCTTCCGCTGAAGATGTTGGTATCGGACCCGATAGTGCTGCTGATGAGCCTTTTTGGTTCATTCGTGTATGGTTTGCTATACCTGTTCTTGGTTGGTTATCCTGTGGTTTTCCAGAAGATCCATGGAATGAAACCCGGCGTCGGTGGGCTGCCGTACCTTGGCTTGATTGTGGGTGAAGTCTTCGCTGTACTGGCGATCTTTTTGATGCAACCCTGGATTATGAAGCAAGCCAAGAAAAACGGCGGTATAATGATGCCTGAATGGCAGCTTCCAGTCGCCGTTCCTGGTGCTGTGGCCTTCTCCGCCGGACTATTCTGGTATGGCTGGACTGGCTACCGGAGAGATATCCACTGGATTGTGCCAACTCTGTCCGGAGTGTTGACGGGTTTCGGTCTTCTGGCCACGTTCGTGCCGTCGATTTCTTACCTCGTCCAAGCTCGGCCCGAAAGGTAACATTGACCCATTACCGCCTTTTGACCCTATTGATTTCTAACAAATGTTGAACTAGACCTGCCTCTGCGATTGCAGCTCACACCTTCTTACGTTCGTTGTTTGCCAGCGTCTTCCCACTCTTCGCATCCTACATGGTAAGTCCAAGCACATGATTCGCCCACCTTATCATCGATCCAAGCTGACTTTGGTGAATAGTATGATGGCATCGGTGTCCAATGGACGAGTACGCTCTTAGGTTGCTTGGCTGCAGTGATGGTTCCTGTTCCCATCGCCTTGTACGTTTACGGGCCTCGGATAAGGGCCAAGGGAGATCTTGGAAGCAAGGAATCACTGTGATAGTTGAGCGTGCACGCTAATGATAGATACCACAGTACTGAAATACTGAATTTGAGTTTGAGTCTTTGAACCAGCACTTATTTCCCTTATATCATCGTGCAAGAAGGGTTTGTGATGTGTCTTGAAGTACTAAGCGCGGCCAGTTCAAGGGGCTCTTGTCATCTTGCTAGTGCTCGAGCAAGGAAAGAGTCTGTCATTGACGTCTTTGAGTAGGAGATCATGTGTAAGCAGAAAGAAGTAGTTCTAGAATTAGCAAGATGTAATCTGAAACCATAGAGGCCGATCAAGTCACTTGAGACAAGAAAGTTGTCGGTTGGGTGCTGAGGGAAAACGGAGTAGAATGAATCATGAGTTGGTGGAATTGTTTTCACGAAAAGGGGTGACGATGACAATGGGGCAGGGTCACATCCGTAAAGAGCTGGTATTTGATCACTGGAAAAGCCCATTGGAGAGAAACCCCAAAAGAGCCGCGTGCAAGAACCGACCTGCTCACCTCGCAGCCTCGTCGGGAGTTTCAGCCTTGCGGACCCCGAAATCCTTCCTCCTACCTCATTTTGGAAATGCATGGCTCTTGACGCCACACGACGTTGAGCAAATCCCCGTTGCCCATTTTATCAATCTAGTGTAGTTAATAGGATGATTATTACATCATCAAACCCAATCACGGTGGCGAGAAGGGGCGAATGAGCACCGTGTAAGATTTTGGTCTCATGCTCCACTTTGCAGACCCTCCTGGGTGCCCCCCATCTCAACCTAGTTAGGTAACGCAGCTCACGGTGCTGACGGGTGAAATTTGACTCCAATCTCTTATTTTAATGTAGCAGAACCTTAATGTTCTGCTGCTTGAAGTCGTGAACCGAGTAGATTGGACCCAAAGCGGGTGGTCTTGTGAACGTACCTGGTAGGGGTCGTTAACACTCCACGATTTGGAAGGATCAAACCTCGCCTTCTGCTACCAGATCCAGAGCGAATACGAGATCGCTCTTAGGATCGTGCTAATACTGAGAAAATTACTTTTTGAAGAGCGCAGGTGTTCTATTCGATGAGAACATTTAGTAGGCAATCATGATTCGCCAGAAGGCTAGATGACATTTACACAGCCCATCAAGAGGCCAATAGAACGTGTTGTCAGGCTTGTAGGCTATGGCTTGTTCGCCAGCTTCCTGATTCCTCGATCCTGCTGTGGCTTGTGGCGCGTGAGTCTTAGTATAAGTGGATCATATACTTGCTACTTGACTGGCCCCTAAAGGCATGGTGATTATTGAACTCACCTTCATCTCAGGTCTGAAGTATGCTCGAGCTTCACGGTTCTCGTTCCATGAGCTCACCATCACAGATACCCTCGTCTAATACAACCATCACGCCCTCCACAAGACGAACAGTATAGTCCATACAACAATCATTGATCATGTCTCGAATGACGGAGCAAATCGATCACGGTCCAGAAGTCGTGCGAGAATCGTACCATCCAACTTTGGAATCCGTGCAACATTCACACCATGTTCTGAACGTAAGTCTGGGCTGATACTGCGTCGTTTGAGAACTGTGAAGGATTGACCTCAGTGTCATAGAACCAGTACAATAGCCCGATAGCAGCATCACCTCATTCATATCCTTTTCCAAGCGCCAACGAGAAAACGCCCAACATCTCCAGCACTGGAAGCCACGTTGACTCGAAGCCAACTTCGGAGATTGGTCTCAACACCACACGCGTGGACGCTCCGAGCAAGACGCGTGGACCTAGGGGTTTGAGCAGTGTTGCTTTCGGGCTCCTTGTTGCTTTGATCACAGCCGTTGTGGTTGGCGGAGCCGTTGGCGGAGGAGTCGGCGCTGTAGCTGCGAGGAAGAATAACGACCTTAAGTATGATTTTCGAATCTCTACCGCAGACGCAGTCAACGATATGACTGACTTGCCGATAGCAAAGCTAACGAAGCGCTCGTTGTTGCTCAAGCGGCCATACAAGACCTGAGCCAGAACCAAACCCAGAGTTCAGATACCACAACAACCAACTGTACAAACAACTTGACCAATGGAACTGGGGTGATAACGACAGCAGATCTCACAAACTATACTGTTGCACCAGCGCTCAGCGTGGAAAATGTGTTCCTAGACTGCCCCAACATCGCTTCCAGCCAATTTACCACCACGCAGAATGAAAAGTTCTCCTTGTACTGCGGAAGCGCATGGCTTTCCGGGTTGGAGGCTGCACAAGGTGGTGTAGTTGCTGACATGGTCCATATTGTGGCGTACTCTGTGCAAGATTGTCTGGAAGCATGCTCTGGCTTTAATTATGAGCAGCGGAAATGGAACGGCACGGCAAGATGCCGAGCGATGAATTTCAGGGCTAATATGGCGGAGAAAGTTGAAGCGATTGGCGGCAATTGTTGGTTGAAAAATGATACGGTTAAGGATATCGGAGCTGCCCCAACAGCAGATGGAGTTATCAGCGGCCAGATTGTTGAATAGATGCGGGTCGCATGGATTTCGGTGTGTTATCGAGAAGCAAGATTTACATTTTTGCTGAGTTTACAACAATACAAAGGGATAATTTGTAGATAAACGCTTGTACTCTCCCAAGATATTCGCCTACGACATCATCTCTAATACTGTGTCATCGACTGGAAAGCATAGTTCACACTTTGATGATCTCAGCCTTGTAGCCTCGAACAGGCACAGGGTGTATCCCCTCACTAAGCTCGGCATCCTTGTCAGTAGACGCCTCGAGGGAATAGTCAACAACCTCATCGCCGAAGGCGGCAGCAATCTCCTCGAGGGGCTTGTGTCTTGTCTAGATAGAAACTGTTGTTAGCCAAGCTACATCTTGCGGAACAAAAGATACGTACTTCAGGGAACACCAGCGCAAAGAATACAGCACCAATAACCGTCATACTTAAGAAAACCAGGTAGTACCTCCAGCCAATGGCTGCAAAGGCGTCTGATGCTGCGCAGAGTAGAATCAGAGAAGACACGAACAAACCAGAGACGGAGATGGCACAGCCACGAGCTCTCAAGTGCGTTGGCCAAATCTCGGAAGCGTATACATATGTAGAAGCGTCGAGAGAAGAAGCGTAGCTAGGATTTTGTCAGCGAGTTTTCTTCTTCGACTACTAGCGCAGAAATGGCTAGGACCCAATTGAGTGGAGTGAAATCGGAGGACTTACAAGCCGATGTGAAGGAACAAAAAGAAGACAGCAGCGCTATTCCCTGCACGGTCGCCAGTATCTTGGTAAAGCGCAAGCATGATAATTTCCAGCAGAAGTGAAACCGCGCATCCGACCATGCCACCAGCTGTACATTACTCATGTCAGTATCGCCACGAGCCATGAGGATTTTCGAGGAAACCGTACTCATGAGCCACTTTCGTCCAACCCTGTCCAACAATACCGCGTTGATGAAGTTGCCTATGATGCCCCAGGTGATCCAGCCGGCTTGGATGATCAATGCGTTTGCAGTGCTGAAACCCAGGTTCTTGTACAACAGAGGGCCATAGTCTATCATAGCGCGTGTCAGAAAGGTCGACAGAGGGCCTACTAGTCGGAGAACTCACTGTTAATAACCTGCGTGCCCGTGCACTGCGCGAAGAACATGCAGCCGAAGCCGACAAACAAACGCTTGCGATAGGATGGAATCTCGAGAATCGAACCCCATGAGGTGGGAAGGGCTTTCTCGTAAGTGATTTGCTGCCTAATTTGGTTATACTCCCGTTGAGCGAATTCCCCATGAGGGTCAGAGGCATCGGCATGGATTTTCCGAAGGATGGCGAGGCATTCCTCACCACGATCTCTCTCCATCACTGTTCGTCGTTAGACTGTGTGATCCTGAGTGTCAAATTGCACTTACACCAACGGGGCGACTCTGGCATATACAATATGGCGCATGCAAGGAGCAAAGGGGGCAATATTTGCAGAGCGAGAGGAGGTCGAAACTGAGACCCCTCGGCGTTCACAAAGTAGAAACCGACACCAACCCAGCTGGCAGAACTGTAGCCTACCAAGATGAAGACACCTAGCCAATTTCAGCATTCCCACAGTCTAGCTAACCAAGTACTATTCACACATACCATGAAGGCCAACAAGAAAGCCACGGGTTCTAGGTGGAGCCACCTCGCTCTGCCACAGTGGGATAAGAGTGACGAGTGCTCCTGTAGAACGGGAGCTATCAGTCAGGAACCAAAGTCTAAGGACCATGTAGACTTACCAATACCCAACCCCGTAATGAATCGAGCAGCCATGAACATTCCGACATGAACCGACCCAGTTTGGAGGGCACCACCAACAACAGTGATTGCCGAAGCCGAGAAAATAGCCCATCTGCGGCCCAATCGATCACCTGTCAGACCGACGTAAAGCGTTCCCAACAGTCCTCCTGCCTGATACAAACCATTGATAGCCCCTATCAGCTGTACCGCGTTCGAATAGAGATCAAGCTTCATATATGTTATGAAGCTTGGCTGGCCGAGGGTCGTCGCGATAATACACGATGAATAACCGTAAGAAATGCTACCTAATGTAGCAAGGAGGATGATCTGTGAGATACTTGTAAGCTCCTAAAGTAAAAGAAACCCAGAGCCGACTTACAAAAACGTTGAATTTGCTTCGATGCTCCTTCACAACAGGTTCGGTCGCCATTGCAAGAAACTTCAGGACAAGAGAGGATTTATTCTCGTTTGTTCTAATATTTGCTGAAAGCGATTGTCAAGTGGGCCAGCCTGGGGGGCGAGGTCTCGAACATATACTAAGCCTAAAACTCAGTACGGATTGTCTAGGCAAGTTGATGCGGGGCCATATCCGGATCAGCATTATCCAGTATGTGAGAACACGTACCAAGCAGGATCCAGACCAGTTTTTCGGAAACGCAAAGATAACCCAGATGAATTCTGGCCCTTGGGATCGAGAGCTTAAAGATAGAAGAGGAAGAAGCAGGGCAGCCAGAAATGGTGAAGCAATCATGGTAAACAAATGGGGCGTTGAGATGATCCTACCCGTTTAGGCGTCTGGTAATGTCCTGGTATTGGACTTCGGCGCGTGCTAGCTGTCGACAACGAATGCTGTTGGTCCAGAGAGAGTAGGTAATAGAGATAGGCTAATGCTCATCCGACTCTGGGAGGCCCACTGCTAACCTCGCATGGTATCGATTGGCTCTGACGCTCTGGATAATGCACATCCGTGCTCCGCTTTTGTCTTCCCCAGACTTTTTGACCTCCCCACCTGTATCCTGGCTCTTGAAGCCTCAAGGATGACAGCATCGCCATGGCCAAGTTTTCTTTCGGACTTGAGGAGTATATAATTCAAAAATTGTCAACAGCTCACTGAGGCCATAGTAATATGTCTGTGAATAGCTTTAGCTCCTCTCGAAAATCACTTCTGTTTCAATTTCCCCTCTTTCCCGTAACGTAATGTCGTTACGCACATACAAGGCCGCCATCTCTCAGGCTGAACCTGTATGGTTCGACCTGAAAGGCGCAGTCAAACGAACAATTGAGCTCATTGAGGAAGCGGCCGAAAACGGTGCAGTGTTGATTGCTTTTTCCGAGCTATGGATTCCAGGTTATCCCAACTTCCTCTGGGGTGGCACATACAGCGAGAACATCCCGCTAGTGCACAAATACATGAAGAACAGTATGGAGGCTCATGGACCAGAAATGTTGGAGATTCGCCAGGCTGCAGCAGCCAATAAGATGCATGTCGTCCTGGGCTTCAGCGAAAGGGTTGCGAGCACGCTCTACCTCGCACAGATCTTGATAGACGACAAAGGCGATGTCTTGCTCCACAGACGGAAGATTAAACCCACTCATCTTGAGCGCACTCTTTTTGGTGACTCGACAGGCGATTCTCTGCAGACTGTGGCGGACACTAAACTCGGCAAGATCGGGATGCTGAATTGCTGGGAACACTTTCAGCCTTTGTTAAAATACCACACATATGCGCAAAATGAGCAAGTCCATATCGCAGCATGGCCGTATCATGGTGAAGCTCTGGGAGACGAGCCATGGTCAGTATGTACGGAGGCCAACGAGGTGACTGCTAGTCGGATGCATGCCCTTGAGGGAGGTACCTTTGTGCTTGTGACGAACCAAATGATCACAGCAGCAGGGTTGAAGACGAACACCGAAGGCCACAGCGCGACCGGGAAGTCCTTCTCCGTTGGCGGTGGTGGCGGCGGCGCAGCAAGGGTTTTCGGTCCTGATGGACGCCAACTCACTCCAGATTCCGACCCGTACCACGACGGACTGATATACTGTGACATCGACCTTGATCTAATCGATCGAGCAAAGACCCTCGCAGATCCCGTTGGCCATTATTCTCGCCCAGATCTGCTTCGTTTGGTAGTCGATGATACGCCTAAGCATTATGTTGTCAAGGCAGATGCTGGCCCACCAGAAACGCTCACATCCGCATTCAGACCCCTTGGAGATACACTGGCATCGTTTGCGAACGGATTTTGAAGAGAGGGAGACAACAGGTCAAGCAATACGCTTCGACTTGCGTTGGAGATGATTATGGACTCAATTTAATGACGGATGCCATTGTCTTCCGCATTCATTAAGAACCTCTTGATTCTGTATTCCGCTCCTGTTTAAGCCATAACTCTGCTTGTAGCGAACTTATGACAAGGAAGGCATAACGGAGAACTGTAAAGGGCTGTATCAGGAGCATCATGAGCGGCAAAGCCCAATGATATGTGAAACGCCAGGGTTTTAGCCAACCTCTTTTAAGCACCCTGCCACTTATGACTTAAATTAATCCGGCGGACTCCCAACCCTCAAGGTCTTAGAAGGCTCCACGCAACTCATTCACCATACTGCTGTCTGCCATGGAGGCTTTTCCAGGGAGTGCTGCGTCCAATTTCCCCGTGGATCCTTCAATTGAGAGTATACTGTCTCGATCTTAACCGAAGATGTAGTTGCGGAGGGCACAGGCGCCACAGGCCAGTATTTATAGCAAGCACGAGTGGTTTGAGTCTCGGTCGGCACCGTTGAATCTGGTAAGAAGCCTGTGATGTACAGGAAGAACACTTTTCGAGGTGCCAAAGCGTGCGTGGCTCACCCTGTTGCCAACCTATTGCATACCCATTTCCCATAGATCTTGATCAAAAAAGTTGAAATCCATAGAGATATCTGAGAACCCGCTGTCAAAGGTCAACAACCAGTCGATGTTTTCTGGTAATGTTTCATGAAATTTCTCCGGGCTCGAATCCAAGACCGCTGCGTCACTATTAGGGGTATCTCCAGCCCCTTGACAGAGTGTCGCCATCCCAGGCACAGCCGCAGAACTTACAGAAGTCTCTTTGCCTATGACGCCTTCCTGATAATTCTGGGCATGTAGCCGCTCATTGACCGACCATTTCTCGGCCAGAATTTGCAAGGAGCGGATAGCACGTAGACTCCAACTCCAAGCGATACTCATTTCCTGGAGACAGGTCAAATTAAATTTGAGCAACCGCACCGCTGTACGAGAGGTCTTCGCATCGACAGAAGTGGCGTCCAACAATAATATCACCGACGCGGTACCAAGCGCATGGACCGTAGATATGGGTATTCTGCGCTAGACCAAAGTTTTAGATATTGGATCGGAATTATAAGCTTGCGCGCTTACCAGAGTGAAGTTATACCGATAAGCCCTAACAATGTTGGAGATTGCTTCAGCGGAAGATGTGCAGATTTGGTTGTGGGAACAAGGCAGCGTGCTCATGGAACAGTTCGGCTCTCGCCGACGAAGGAATGGCCGATGCAGTAAGATAAGTACCGTATGGTATTGTAAGCTACGATGACCTTGTATCAGGACGTAACTCCGATGGTATTTGTTCCAGTAGACTTACTGGAGTGAGTATATGTGTGCTGGACGGGGTGTTTTGGCTGACGGTGGTAACTTAAGAAAGCCAGGCAACTTTGAATAAAGCTCTGTGAGCACCAGGTATGTCTTCGCAGACATCTCTTCTTTTGCCAACAATGAAAGATCACTGCTCGGGCTATATCTGTTTAAGTTATCAGCGAGTTCTTTGACAACAGACGAAGGTGCATAAGATACATATCGTCCAGAACAGGGCAGGCCGTCTGGAAAATCTTCGTCATGTAGCGATGGTTTGTGACGGAACGAGATACAGAGAAATCGGGCGAAAGCTCGAAATCATCCGATAGCCAAGAGACAAACTCTTGTTCTTTGAGCAGTGACGGCTTTTCGGCCGTTATATCTCTCTCGTGAATCATGCTTGGCCGCCCGAGGCCGATGTTGAAAAGCCTGCATGACAGTATTAGTATTAGAAAGGCGGGCGAGAGGATCGACAGAACTTTTCCAAGAGATAACAGCCCCACCAGGTGATTCTGCGTATCTCTGCCTCCTCCTCGGAGATCTTCTGCTGATTGACCCAAGTCTGACAGTCCATATTAAGACCTAAATTGTATGCTATGCGCACAGAGATGCCTGTGTTGATCTTCGCGTTAGAAAATTCCACAGAGATCAAAATGGCTGTCAATTACCAATGTAGATCCACCCCAAACTCTCCTTATTCACCGACATCTCTCGGAGGGCCAATAGAGCCAAGGCCGCGGCAGTTGATGTAGAGGGATGCTCTATCTCGGCACTCAGGATCTCTTTGGCTTGAGCAGCCAATAAATCACCTGCAGTGTTCGAGTCCTGCGCGTCCAGCCGAGTATCGGAGTGATCACAGTATCGCGCCGCCAAAGCGAGCACGCAACGCAAGAGAAGTGGCGTACAATACTCATCATATGTTCCTCTGGCTATAGCTCTCCCGAAAGCTGTACGGTGCACTAGATACTGCCATGGATTTTGCCACTTCCAGTACATATCCAGAAGATGTGTTTGAATTTCAGGGGAAAGTTCGACATCGATCGAGTCGCACGAAAATGCTGGCTCGACGCCATAAAGGGTTTGCTCGAATTCCGTCGGCGAGCCGTAGGCATTGCTTCGAAGTAAGTTGAAATAACTAGGAGCGCCAAAATAGCGTAGCTGGCCATCCTCGGCGATTTCTAGTTGACCCGCAATCTCCGTCAGATCATCTACCAGACCACGATCGTGGGCGACTGCATTCTCATGGTAATCGGCTTCCAAGTGTAGGAGTTGTGGATAATCTGTTACGGGAATAGACGCAGAGGCTAAATCACCTGATGAACCATCTTGCTGTTGATAGGCGTGCAGCTGTCGTTCCAAGGATAGGATACGCGCATGCAGGGCTTCAACATAGCGTTTCGTCGGTGGTCTGTGGCATTAGTGCGAGAAGATAGGGATTGTAGGCGGTCATACTTGCGCTTCTCTGTCTCATGCGGATATTCGCATGGTTTGCTTGCACGCAGGCATGTACCACACTCTGGCAGTTGCCCATCGCACTGTCACATTTCAGCAAACCAAGCCTTGCAAATTGAGCGTGAGGCCCACCCGACTTCTCCGTATTCTGCATGTTGTGCACGCTACCGATACGCGCTGCCTTATAATTCTTTGTGACATGCTCTAAAATCAACTCTAGCAATCATTCAGAGAGAATACGACAGCTATCGCGCCGCTCGATGAAGGCCACGTTCTTAAAATGCGCAACTCGACGATGTATCTTATTCAGATAGGGTTACTGCGGCAAGAACGAGCTGATGCCAGGTATTTTGCACATTGCTCGGCATCTAGAGCCTTAGTTGCTGCTTTGTAATGTTGATTATTGCAAATTGATGGCGGAGAAGACAAGAGTTGAAGTTGTTGATATCATGATTCTCACGTGATCCAAGGCTCTACCTCCGCATTCTTAATCATTACCACATAAGCTGGATTACTGGATAAAGCAACCGCAAATGTTGAAGTAGTCGCAGATATTGTTCATACATGTATTCAGAAGCAATCCGCGATGAAGAAGACCCAACAGCTGTTCTTCGATCAAAGTCTGGTCGATATCGCAACCCCTCCAAAGGCTCGGCACATGTTTGGAACTAGTGGAACAACAATGGGGGCGAAAAGACTGAGTTGGACTAGCCTCGTCAGGCAGACAAGTCAAGCTACCGAACAGGCTCATCGTCAATACCACCGATAAGAACAGTGCATCAAATCCCCAGATGCCTGATGCGCTGAGAGGGAAGTTCTCGCCGTCGAACGAAATTGAGTGTCTCTCGAGCTCGACCTGGTTCGTTCGTGCTCATTTCCTGGGCTGAACAGGAGGGACAATAGCAAGTGATCAGCTCAACCACCAGAATGCTCCTCAAAGCAGCGAACAATGGATCGGCTCTGGGAGTCTAAAACCAAGCTGATCAAGAGAATCTCGACATTCGGATCCAAATCAGGATCGTCTGACATTTCGGAGCTTGCATCCTTGAGCAGTGTACAGACTGCTCAAGATGCTCATTTCCCAAGCGGCATCAAGGTCTTCTACGAACCTGAACATCCTGATATCGACATTATATTTGTCCATGGCTTGACAGGTGATCGCGAACGGACGTGGACGCATCCTACCAATGGTGTTTGCTGGCCTAGAGACATCTTGCCGCGAAGTCTGCCAGACGCGCGAATTCTGACCTTTGGATATGATGCCTACGTCGTTCGTGCACGTAATCACGTGGCAAGCATTGACATTGCCCATCACGCCAATGATTTCTTGAATTGTTTAGCAAATGAAAGGATGGACTCAATATCCTCTAAGCGCCCTCTTATTATCGTGGCTCACAGTCTTGGTGGTATTCTTTGCAAAGATGCTTTGAGGCTGGCACAGAGTAATACTGAAGCACACCTGCGTGCTATCTTTGACCATGTCAGGGGGATAGTATTCATTGCAACTCCGCATGGAGGCAGTTGGCTGGCCAAGTGGGCGAAAACTTCAGCAAACCTACTCGGTGTGGTCAAAGGAGCAGATGTCAGCCTTCTGTCCCTTCTCGAAAGCAACTCCGAAGTGTTGAATCGCATTCACAACGACTTTCTCTCCATGCTTATCAGACGACAAGCTGAACATCGCTCCATCAAGATCGCATGTTTTTATGAAGTTCTACCACTTCGAGGGCGCATCAAGATTGTTGATAAGGATTCGGGTACCATATCTGGGTTCAACAACGTTTCAATTCACGCAGACCATCGAAACATCGCCAGGTTCAAGAACCAAGACGATCCTGGCTACAAGCACATTGTTGGAAGCCTGAATATGTGGATAGATAAACGCCTCAATACTTCAAGCAGTGTTGAAACTGATGGCCTTGTTGAATCACTGGCATCGGCTGATATGGGAGTACGATTGGCTGCCATTGAACCAGCTGAGAGGGGTACATGTCAATGGATCGCAGATCACCCTTCTTACAAAGACTGGGCATCGCACCGACGATTGGAAGAATCTCATGGACTTCTCTGGATCAAAGGCAAGGTAGGCTCTGGGAAGTCGACCATAATCAAGCACATTTTCCAGAACACGCCCGCCGAAGCGTGTCGAGTTGGATTTTTCTTTAACGCTCGAGGGGGGACAGAAGAAAAGAACTCATATGGTCTTTTCAAGGCTCTCCTCCACCAAGTTGTCATGAACTTTCCACAACTGAGTACCATTCTCATTGAAAAATACAAGCTCAAGAAGCGACAATCCGGGAAGGCAAATGTGGTATGGAGTCTTCCTGAACTTCGTGAACTCCTTCACGACGTAATTATGAATGGAGGCAAGACACCTGTCGAAATATTCATTGATGCGCTCGATGAATGCAATGAGGATGAAATCCGGTCGATCATCAATTTCTTCAGTTGGTGCTCTTCCGATGCTATCACCTATGGCAAGATACTTCGAATATGTTGGTCGAGTCGCCATTATCGTCATGTCAGTGTTGAGCATCACTTTCAAATCTTGGTGGAACAGATGAACTCAGCCGATATCAAATTATGGGTACAACGGCATCTTGCCGGAAGCGATCATCTACTAGAGCATTTCGAACAGCAGGTTGTGGCTAAAGCCAACGGAGTGTTCCTTTGGAGCGTACTTGTGGTTGACAAAATCAAGAAACTCGCCGATAAGGGGTTTCCAATCCCGAAGATTAGCAGGATGATCGATGACATGCCCACCGAGCTGAATGAATTGTATAGGAACATTCTGGCGACACTGGATCCAGATCTCAATGAAGATGGTTTAGCAATGATAAGTTGCGTATTGTTTGCACTGGAACCTTTAGAAGTTGAATCTCTGAGGGTTATGATGGAATTTATGGGGAAGAGGTGCCCAAGCACGCTGAAACATTTCGAAACTCATAGTGCCGGCGCAGATAAGTTCAATTTGTTTGTGACAGAGGTCTCTGGTGGGCTTCTTGAGGTGTTGACCACCGATTCGGCCCAGCGAGCAAAATCCATCGTTCAACCTATCCACGAATCGGCTTCGAAGTTTCTCCTGGACGAAGGACTTCGTCATTTTATGAAACCCACTGGAGACCATGATCTCCGGCAAGTCGCCCACTTGGAGATATATTGTGCGTGTGCACGAATCTTATCCACATTGGAGATGCGATGTGTGCTGCTTCGGCCGAAGAGATTCTTTGCTCATACTCCCACATTGGTTGAGGCTGGCCGTACATGGGTTCAGACCCCGCTCTTGACTTATGTAATGAAGTACATATTCAAACATCTGGAAGAAGGATCTCTCTCTCTTTCGAATGGATTTGAAACTGTGCCAAATACAGATGGTGAGCTGTTGACAAGAATTAGTCTGGTCACCACCATGCGTAATTGGATGTCCGTGAATGCTACAGCATTCACGAGCAGACAACAGCTGGACCGGCTTGCAGACAAACTATTAATGGAGTGGGAAATGACTGAGCTAGACTTCTGTGCGCTTGATGACCATTCAGGGTTGTGTGCTTTGTTAGACCAGGGGGAAGAACCGAAAGATGAAGAACTTGATAAGGTGATCATTGCTTTATCCCACCATGGCCTTGACGAAAAAATTATGGGCTACATCCAAAGGTACCGGAAGACTACCCAGCAGGACCCTTTTGCTAGATTTTCGGGTGTCGCTCTGGAGTCCGCGATCAAAGGTCATCATTTCTCAACAGCAAAACTCTTGATTGAGAATGGTGAGATCCACCGAGCGGTCCACTTGATCTTGGCGATTCAGCAAGAACAAGTGGAAATTGTGCAGCTGCTCCTACAAATCGGTGCCAATGCCAATCAATCAGCGATGGGCAAGATTCCGCTGGTTGAGGCAATATCGGCTGGCAATATCGAGGTTGTCAACATGTTGTTGGAAAACAATGCGGAGATTAATCGCGAATATCGCGGGAATTTCGCGATCTGCGAAGCCATCAATCGTGGAAGAGCGGACATTGTTCAGACACTCCTTGATCATGGGGCAGCAGCAAGTTATACTGGCTCCAACAAAATTCCGATCAATCAAGCAGTATACCTGGGATTTGAGCCCATTGTTGATATCCTCCTCAAACATGGGGCTTCAGTGGACATGTATGATGAGGAAGACGAGACAGCATCCATGAAAGCGAAAAAAAGCGGTCATGACAGTATCATTCAGAAAGTCAAAGCTGCATCAGTATTGCAAGAAAAGAGTAATGTTGGAAAACTCCTTGTATCTTCGAAAGGACAGAGTAAAGGGCAACACGAGGATAATCCAGGAAAGGCATGATATTAAGCACCTGCTGTTGCTTCGTCCATCCTTCTCTTGCCTTCTGGACCAAAGAGTGGCGGGTCGTTCTTTCCCCCCACTGTGTCAAATTGCTTCACACCTTCCGGAATGTTGATCCAGGGATGCTTACTCCGAACAAAGAAATGAGCATCAGGGACGATTCTTTCGCTTTCAGTGAGCGTGCCTGCTCTCAGAAAAATGATCTTGTCTTTGAAAAAGGGATGCGTTCCCCACATCAATGTGGCGCATCTTGGGTTTGGACATCTTGTTCCTCCACCTCCTTTAGGTTGATCATCTCCCTGTGCCGCTTGCTTTTTGTCGTCCGTGACGCTCTGGGGTTGAGTGGTTGAAGTGATTTCAAGATTGCTTGCTTCAATCATGATGTTGATTGCAAATGCCGACCCGGAAAGCTGCTGACAGTTGCGGCAGTGGCAGCAATTCACAAATATTGGTGAGGCTTTCATGATGTATGTGATGGTTCCGCAATAGCAGCCACCTTTGAGTGGCTCATCAATGGTTGAGTTTGAGGGGACCACCGAAGCCATGTTGACTGCCTAGCTTTTTGGGTTCGAGGCGGGTGTCTTCTGGATGCAAAGACTGAGTTGTGTTGAGATTGATGCCGACTCACCACACAATTTCAGACTTTATAACTGAAAAGTCATGGCTCGGCGTCTGCCGCTGTGCAAATAAACTTCCAGGCAGCATTGCACTCAGCGGTCGATGATTGGTCAAGCCTAGCGGATGGCGGGTAGTTGCCTGGAGGTTAACAGTTGACCTTGGCATTGAAAGGCTAATCACGGCAAAGAACAGCCAGAGTCATTGAAGATATCGTACGCCTAAAGAGTGAGTATCCTCCGCTCAGGATCAGGACACCCCGTGAACATCGAAGGGGTGTTGAGACTGATGATCGTCCGGCCGCAGTATAAGTGACAGGAGGTGTTGGGTAAGGCATACGCACCGTGATCAGCGATCACTTCACATGAATGAACTTGAATGCCATTGTCCTTCACTGCTACGCTGACCTCATCGATGTTCAAATCTTGGCGTTGTTCGCCGATGCCCACCAGGCGGAACCCCTTAACAAATCCTCATCTTAAAGCAGCGAGACCGTTTTCACTTTCGTCACCCACATCCATCACGACCACTACCACCATCCCTCCTCCTCTCTGCAACGTAAGTATATCTCGTTCTTACTCTCCAAGATCAATGATGGCTGATAAACCTACAGCATGTCGATCTCTCCAAAGACTCGAGTTCGAGATGATCGTTCAAGTGAGATGATCAGCTCCCCTTCTCTCCCTGGCAGCCGCGGATCTTCAAACGCTCCTGCTTCAAACACCTCCAACGGCATCATACGTGTCGACAACTCTGTCACCGTCGAGGTTGTACCTCGTCAAGGCACCAGTTCAACCAGCTCTCCCGTCTTCGGAGATGCCAGTCAATTCTACCAAGCAACCGTCTCGGCAACCTCTCAGTTCGCCAGAAATCTCTTCTCTACAACAACCCTCCACGACTCCAATCCAGATGTTTCAGCAACACCTCCTCGCAATAAGCGATGGATCGTCATCTCCATGCTTCTAGCCTCCATCAACTTGGTCTGCACTGTTGCTGACACGATGCTCGCACCAATGTTGCCCGTGATGATTGTTGACCTCGATGTCGAAGGCTTCCAATGGGCCTTGGCCGGTCCAAGCATCGGAGCAGCAGCAACTGTCCTTATGGCGGGTCAATTCTATGCCCTCTACCCTTTCGCATCCGTCTATGCTGTCTTTTCAGTTCTGACTCTCATCGGCATGATCTCTTCTGGCTTTGCACCCAACATGATCTTTGTGTTCTACGCTAGGATCCTTCTTGGAGCCGGCACTGCAGGACAGCAACTTGGGGCAATGATTTTCCTTGATCATGATGGCACATTCACAGACAAAGCACGGCGTGACTTTTTCATCTCGGTCAGCACTGGCTTGGGACTGGTCCTGGGACCATTCTTTGGTGCCGCATTCGCTCATCGAGAGAATTTCTGGAAGTGGGGTTTCTATTCCATCTTCATCTTGACATCAATCCTCTTCATTGGCCTAGTGTATGCACTTCCCAGTCGACTACGTCTTCCTACTGCAGAAGCAAACCGTCCGCTCCAGAACACCTGGCGATCCTTTGCTGCACAGATTGACCTGATTGGTGCCTTTCTCAGTGTTGCTGGGATTCTCGCACTCTTTATTACACTCAATCTTGCTGGAACGTGGACACCTTGGTCAGGCAAACACATCTACATCCCATTGGCTGTCAGTGGCCTTCTCATCTTTGTTTTCACCATCCAGCAGTCTTTCAGCCTGGGTACACATTCTTCTCTACGTGTGTTTCCCATGTACTACGTTCGACACTTCAAAACAACCATTTTGTTCGGCTTGATCTTCCTATTCTCAGGCATTCTCAACACCACACTTCTCTGGGGCATACTCTACCAGATGCTTACCCGAGCAGAATCCTCAGCCGTAGGCACTGCGCTCTACTTCTTCCTGTATCTTACTGGTCCACATTTTGTTCCAATGCTACTTGTCCCAGTCTACATTGGCAGTGGCTTAGTGACATCATACCCAATTCTTCCCAGCTACACGATCTGGAGCGTGGTTACATCCTCATTCCTCCTAGTCGGCACGGTGCTCCTCTTTGTCGATGGAAATTCTTACTTCTCGAGTCAAACAGGACTTCCACTTCTGGGGAGACAGTTTTCGCTTGCTTGCATAGGCTAGTGGTCTGCAGTAACGTTACCTATCTCTCATCAGATCATGGATCTATTCCAGCCAAGAAGCCTTCAAAATGGAGTCGTTCGCCATCCATTCCATAATCGTTGCTTCATCCTCTTGGCATCATCCCTTGGTTCTGCAGTTGCTTTGACCAGTGCCGGCAGCATTTTCATGCATCTGGGACCACGATGGACTCTTCAGATCCTTCAACATCAGCTAAAAGACCCTTTCATCCAGAACGCCCCAATGAATCCGAACAAAGAAGATTCTTTGGTTGCCTTGCTTGGTTACACTTTCGTCCGTGATAGTACCTCGGCGAGCACTTTCCATGCACTCATCCTCGCGATCCGCGACACATTTGCGTGGAGTTTTGTGGTCGTCTTTCTCTTTTCAATACTGGCTCTCGTCCTCAGTGCGACCATGTTCGCGTTCAAAGTCTGGAAAGGATACTTCGAATGGTATGACGGCGCGGGGTTGCCTGAGGAGTGGAGAGTCAACCGCCAGCCCTCCCAAGACGTGGAATTGGTGGCGAGGGGTACAAATCACGCTTTTGAAGGTGATGAAGTTGAACAGAGAGGTAGAGCTCCGGCAACTTAGGTGGATCGTGGATGCACGTTGGTCGAGAGACTGACTTCACGATAATTCGACGCAAACTCGCTTAGTTAGGTGGAGGTAGTCGGAGCAAATCGTCGTTTCTACAGGTATTTGTTCAGCCGACCAACTTAGCTTCTTGTGATGTGTTTGCAATGCTTGGATGGAACAAGCAAAAGACAGAGGACCGCAACAGAAGTCCCAACGCAATGTCAAAACACCTGCTCCAACAGCACAGGACAGTATGGTGCTTCAACTGCAGCCAGTCTGGAAAGTAGATTGGTCCATAGCAGTGACAATGCCATGATAAATAAAAAAACGTATACTTTCTGTCTCTTCGGTGTTGCTCAACCATAGACACTCCAGTATATGCTGTTAGACCATACAGCCAAGAGTATGCTTCGATCGCTTGAACTTGCCTCTGGGATAGTCCCTCCGTCGCTAAGTGCTCAATGGCAATGAAGACAGGCCCAAATAGTTCATTTGGTGACAAACACAGTAAATTGGTTGGTATGTGGCCTTGAAACACCACTGTCTCGCTAGTACATTGTTCTCGCTAGTAGTGCGTTACATAGGAACCAAGAATATTCTGATGAACATCAATCCCCTGTGATCCTGACCACGGAAACGTGCGGATTGCAGCCAGGAGTCCAAGTACCAGCCTTGGTTAGGCGGGCTCGGGAGTCTCAGATATTACTGCAGCCTTGCGCTTTGATCAATTACCAGAGTATCCGTAGATGCTCCACGGTGCTCCCGCTTTCTATCGCTTGAACCCGCAGACGCCTATGGGACTCGAGGCGTCACTGTCGTCCTTCCACTGGAGAAGTTCTACATAAATCAGCATCTCCAAGAACATGGGGCAAAGGATAAGGAGTCAGAGTCTTAGAAAATGAGCATACGAGTATCCGTAGACATGAATATTCAAGTTCAACGAAGTGGGATTGCTTTCGGCGCGGGTTTCAGAACGTGCATATAAATATGGAGTCTACAAGATGATTGTGAAGTCTTGATTTCGGTTAGATGATTTCGATGAGAGACATCATGCCCTCGAGGGAGGAAGTGGAAGCATCTTCTCCCAAGTCTCGCCCTATTGTTGAGTTCATCATGGTACATCAGGCAGGCTGTTCACAGATAATCCTCAGACAAACGAGGACAAGGAGCTATGCAGTCCTTCCTGGATAAAGTCTAGAAGCCCTTTAGGCATGAACCAGCGTCGAGGATCCGCCGATCAATCCCCAACGTTGAAAGCCCTGGAGTCCAACCCCGGCGCTGTTTCAGCCTTAGCCCCGCGCCTACCGTTATTCTCCCGCGGCTAGACCTGCCGCGCGCCGGAAGGAACAACCTCGAGCCTAAGTCCCCTTGAAGTTCTCCAGGTAAATATGCACCTAGCAGTCATCTCATCTCACTATTTTCAGTCCAGGGCTTCAACCACCTGAAACGAATCCACATCTTAGGCACTGCGAGCTCCCTCCTTTCGAGTCCTACTGCGTAAGTGCTTAGCCTCGCAAGCTTACGACCATATCTTGCCTTCTTTAAATCTAGTTAGACACGTTATGGGCTGCCTTAACATGCACGCTTTACTGACTGCCTGGCTCTTTCATGCGGATCATGGCAAGGCAAGAACATCGGGATCATCCTTGCACGTCAGTGTTCATTCTCTGACACTAACCGTTAGAGACAAAAAGGATAAATGGGATGGACATCTTGAAAACGGAGGAAATGATCCCAAACTTCCCATGAGAACTCCACCGTCCCCCTATGACCAGCTACTGTATGTGCATCCCCCGTTCCTTAACAAGCAAGGAAGCCTCCTTGACCAGAGACAATGAGGCTCTAGCTCGTCACTCGGTACTGACTAGGGCTATGGTTTGCGTATTATCTGCTCCATTCAATTCCTTGGCTGCTCACCATTCAGCGTTGAGGAGTATGAGATTTAGGGATACCCCATCGCATAATTTGGCCTAGCTGGAGCAGTATCCATCGCAACTGCACAACTCGGCAGGAAAGGACTCCCAGTCTTCGGTCCAGCTCAACGGGATCAGGAGCTCAGAGCATACTCGGTACGGACTATTCAGTTTTCCGATGAGGTCTTTCACTGGTCTAGTCGAGATTCAGTCGCGGACACTGAGTTCATTCTCTCCGCCGTGCAGCTGAAACATCACACTGATCATAAGCTTCTGGCGAAGCCTCTGCACGGAGTCATTCTTGCATGAACCAAGGGTTAAACTGGAGAAAAGTCTAATTGCACTATAGCAGTACGAAGTATACTCGTTGTACCCATGTCTCTGGTTGCGAAGTCCTTAGGCCAACTACCACGAAGTTGCGTTCCTGGTTCTGGCTCCTGGCTTTGCATACACGACTGAACTTCGGTAACCCGACTTGTGATGGCGCATTTGAGTATGGTCCAGGTGACGACAGAAAAGTATAAGAACGTGCGACACCAGCATGCATTCTATCTCGAGAGGCTTGTTCTTCAGTCAATTCAATCGTTCACTCCAACGCAGTCGTTCGTTTATTTTGCTCAGTCTTGTGTGCTGTCTTGCGTCTCGTTTTCGGCCTGGTGCTGCCCCATCTACATTGTTCCCCTATATCATCAACATTTGAACATACACCAAAAGCAATTCCAGCTCATCATCACCATCAATATCGATATCAACAACAATGAAGGCCGGCCATCTTTTCACCACCATCCTGGCGATCGCCAGCACCACACTAGCCGCCCCAGCCGTGACACGCCAGCAGACTCGTGCTCTGTTCTCGACCAACACGCACGGCCGGCGTCAAATCCCGGCAGAATGCGATCTCGCGGGGCTTGACGACGTAGTGCTCCCCGTGGCCAACCCAGCGCTGCCATCGCCAGGTGAAGACCAGTGGCTGGCAGCCGTGATTATCGGACGCGGGGTGCAGAACTATACGTGCGCAGGGAACGACTCATCGGCCGCGCCCGTCGCCACCGGCGCCATCGCGACGCTGTACTACGCGTCATGCATCGCCGTGCAAGACCCAGACCTGCTCGCCGCACTGCCGGGCGAGGCATTCAAGCTCCCCCTCCCCGCCGACCCACTCGACGACCTGGTCTGCGGCGCCCAGCCCATCGAGCGCGCGGGCTTCCACTTCTTCAACGCCGCCAAGACGCCCACGTTCGACTTCCGCGAGTCCGGTGATGAGGATCTCGGCCTCGGCCTCGTCACCGTCGGCGCCCGCTCTCCCGCCCCCAATGCTGCCAGTGACGTGCCGTGGTTGTTCCTCACGCGTGCCGCCGGCAGCGAAGGACCCATCCAGTCGATCTACCGTCTCAACACCGTCGGTGGCGTCGCGCCTGCTACGTGTGCTGGCCAGCCCAAGGACATCAGTGTCGAGTATGCCGCGCAGTACTGGGCTTTCTCTTCTGATCCGTAGTGGGGAGAGCTTGGGGCCGGTGGTGTTCTCTTGAACTGGGCGATGAAATGTCGGCCTCAGGAAGGGTAACGCGGACACCTGTATGTGTCGCGCAGGACGAATGTACAATATAGTTTTTGCATAGTCAAGGTTCTTATACCGTCCCTCACGGTCTGTCTTGGACTATCACGGGATAGGTGCTTTTAGTTAGAGAGTTGTGAAATGAACGATTTTATTGAAGTATATGGAGAAAGCTCTGGTCCCAAAAACATCGTCACATTGGCAATAATCTGCACTTGACGTGCTTGTATTTGATCTCGTTGCTCTACATAATATCGATCGACGCCCTGCTTGAAAGTCTAAGGGCGACTCATCCAACTCCGATCTATTGAAGCCGTCGCTTGAAAGAGTGCGCATTCGCGAATCAATGGCATGCTTGCTATCGTCTATGAATCTTGCTTGACATCCTCGACATGAACCGGGAGAAGACGGGGAGGAGGAAAGTACGCGATTCGTGCTGGAAGATGAGCGGAGAAGTTTCAATGCATAGTTTGCCAGGTGCTTGGATCTTGTTGGCGGTGTGATCGGACTTGAAATACTTCTCGATGGAAGTTTAGACCTTGTCGCTAAATGATCGTCCGCGGGGATGCGGGCCGGGAGAGTCTTTGCATGGAAGGAGACTCATCATCATCGCACCGTCATTTCGTTCCAGTAACCTCCTTTTAGGTTGGAGAAAAAGCTGGATACTTCAGATTCCAGTTCAGTCCAGGTCGTCGTCATCCGGAGGTGAATCCGGTACAGAATCATCTGATTTGGCAGGAACATTGCCGTCGCCCAACTCTTTCTTGACCTCTTCCAACTCATCGCCAAAGAGAAGCGTAAACAAGACGACGGCATAGATTTCCTCCGTTGACTTGTTTTTCAACGTATAGCGCAGCTCATGGGTCTTTGAATCAACATATTTGATCACGTTCAGGCTGAAACCTGGAAGCTTGAGGGAGAAGTCGTTGAAGTCAAGGTAGGGGTTTCCGAAATCAGACTGGTACAGCCTCCCAGCTTCGAACGTGAACCCGTCGCGATTCGCGGGCGTCAAGAAATGTTTCTTCCTCCCGGCTGAATCAGCTGGTATTCTTGACTCTTCCCTGATCTCTTCTCCACTGCCGTCAGCTCCCTCTTCGACCACGACTTCATGAAAGGATGTTGCATTCGGAATCTTCCAAGCATTCTTGTCTTGTAGTTGATCCTCTTCGACAACTTTTTCTCCAATCCTGAGGATATTCCAACTGCTCAAAGCTGGGCCAAATAGAGACGGCTTATCGGCGTAGACATCTCCTTCCAATCCAGGATCAACCCACCATTTGACAATTCTGAAAGCCTGATTGAAACCAGGGGGCAGCCTGTCTCTTATGGGACGATCGAAATCATTCCCAAATATTAGATCGCCGCCTGGAATGTTGACTTTGGGTATGAAGGAGAACGCTATGGAATATTGATCAGACTGGTGAAGCTCATGATCGAAATAGGGGGATGATTCCGGGGAGTCATTCGGGTAGCCGGTGAAATGTCGTATGCGTACGGCAAGGGAGATAATAAGATGATCGTTCTCGAATGTGAGAGTCTCCGAGGCATTCACAGGGACGAGCTTGTGGGTAGAAGGATCATGCTCTGGTCCAGCCGTAACACGTAAACGGTACTGAGTGTGGTCGGCTGCTTGGTCGACTTGCTCGGAGGTGACCGAAGAAGGGGTTTCTGACATTTCGGGATGAAGACTAAACACAGATAAGATCTATGGAGAGGATGAATAGTCGGTTCTATTGAAGCACGTCAGAAAGGAATGCGATGCCCTTGGGTCTCGAGGCGGGTGAAAAAAGTTCAAGGCTCAAACTGCGCCATCATTGAATGACGTCAAGCCACATCCCCAAGGCCCGTCATTCCGAACCCCATTCACGTGCAATTGATTCACGTGCAATTGAGCGGCAAGAGAAGCACAGCATTTGGATCAGATCATGAGAGTCAGAATGTTCAGCTGTCTGTCCCCCTTTGTTAGTTGACATTATATGACGGACCAAAAAGATGTCCAGAGAAAAGAAGGAAATGTCAGTGGAGATGGAGGTCGATCAACAACGTGATCAGTCACGTGAGGACACGGATTTTGAGTGACAATGCGGTTGGATGTCCCCCTGGGGAGGCAATGGACTGGTTCAACGTGGACGATAGGTATCTAGGTAGAAGCTGGAAGTTACGGGGTGTATGTTTTATGTCTTGTCCAACTCAATCAATCCTATTTCATTCCCATTCCCATTCTTGTCTTTGACACCCAAGGAATCGAGGCGAGGATACCGGTGAGACAAAGTAAACAAAATGATCGAACAATGACGGACGAGATCTTTGAACACTCTCGTGGCGATCTACTATCAAGCTTACGACAAGGCCATGGAGAACTCGTCAGTGTTAGTTTTAGGTATCATGATGGGCCATCAACCTCTTCCACCTCGGGTTCTAGTTGCGATCCGAAAGCCACCACGAGCGCTGCAGCCTGGCTGGTAGCGAATCGGATCTGGAACCATTACTCGTTCCGCAACGATGGGCGTTTTCTGCCCAATGTCAATGGTTGATCATGCGTGTCAGAGCCTTCTCGACGAGGCAGCGAAATACATGCATTGTTAACCAATGATTCTGACAAGTGAACGTGGTTTTGAGACGCGCCAGGACGCGTTGGGATGCGGCTTGGCGGGCTAAGCCATTTCGGGTAAATTGTGTATTCTTGCCCCATTTGGCGCCTTTGTTTATATGCGACCTTCTTCCCGACCGACCACAACCTCATAAATCACAACAACAACTTTCCAACGGACAGGGCCTGCTGCTTGGACAATTCTACTCCTCACAGCTGATATTTGATCATTCATCAATATGGCTGACGCTGCTCCTCTCCGACGCTCAAAGCGGCCGAGCACTGCCATCTCACCAATCAAAAATTCACAGGACAATGAACAAAAGCCCGAGACAATGACACCTTCGAGGAAGCGACCGATAAAGAAAGCTAGATTCTCGGACTGTGCATTACTCAACAACTCTTCTGCGTCAGGTTCTACTGGTTTGACTCCTTGGGTTGGAAAGACTACATTGAAAACTCCAAAGAGGAGAGTTTCCACCCCAGCACCAACTCGACATCAAGACCAAGACTATGACTATGTCCAATTCACACCTTATCGACAAGATCTTGACTCGCGAACCATTCGAAGAATCCGCCGCTATGGCCTCAGCGAAGAGATGCATCAACAACACGATGAGAAGAAGAAACTAGCAGACCTACAGCACCAACTCGACCAGAAGGAAGAGGAGCTGCAACACCTTAGAGCTGAGTTAGCAAAGGTCAACAGTGTTGCTAGCCAAGAGAAAGTCGATGAAGCCGAGGCCCAAGTTGCACAGTTGAGACAGAGCTTTAGCGAGATTGCAGAGCCAGTCTCGTGGAAACATGTCCCTACAAATGCTCCCTCTGGTCCTGCAAGTGACGGCGGTGATACCTTCTGCATCTATGAGGACACAGCTGCAGATACGAATGATGAAGTACCGGGACCAGGCAGCGATGATGCCATTGCTATGGGTCTTGAATTGGAATCAGCCCGTCAAGCCAAAGAATCATTTTTCCGCACCTCTCAGACTACCTCAGCAAACAACTTGAATTTTGTCGATTCTCCGATTCGTACTGCTTCGATCGCTTTGGATATTCCAGCAGCACCAAACTCGTTCTACCATGATCTATCGAAACAATTGAAGGGTGCAGTTAGCCGAGCTGAGGACGCAGAAGTCGCACTTATAGCCATGAATTTGGAAGTCCAGAGTTTGGGCTTTGGGTCTGTCGATGATGACACAGCCACTTGTATTTCTAATATCAAAGCTCAGTTCCGGGAGATGCGTCTATCTTTGGAGCGTACAGTTCCTGGTGAGACGGTCAGTGCATTCGACAATGCCAAGTTACTCCCTGAAATCATGTCGAAACTCAAATCGGTGGCACTAAAACTTCAAGATCGTGAAGCTGAGCTCAAGTCAATGAGAAATCAACAGCGCACCCTCAAAGGCAATTTCGATCATGCTATCCTTGCAGCAGAGAAGGTCAATTTTCGTGTGAAGGAACTGGAAGACATAATCGATAAGAATGCTGAAGAAATGTTGGAGATACGTATGCGAGCTCAAGCCGTTGTACGTGAATCTCAAGAACATGCTTCAAACAACCGCTCCCTTATCACAGCAATCGAGAAATACCGACAAGAAGTCACGAGACTTGAGCAACTGGTGGAGCTGATCGAGTCCGAACAAGCGGCAAGACTTCAAGATGTCAGAACTGCAACTTTTGAAGAATTATCACAGCAGATGTCGGACACGGAAGCGAAAGCGGCAGCAGAAACTAGAGGTCGCCGAGCCGCTGAAGAGTCCGCCGTAGATCGCTTGAGGAAGATCAACGACTTGGAGGCCGCGTTAGCTACTGCTCGACAGCACTCTGAAGATGTCAAGCAGCAGCTCAAGGTCCTCGAGAAGCAACTCGCCACTTCCAATGCCAACCACCAGGAAGAGGTTGGAGGTCTCAACTCGAGAATTTCTGGACTTTCGACCGCATTGGCATCGGCAAACGCAGAGGTCGATAAGTTGAAGAAGATCAATAGCAAGCTCGAGGAGCGTTACAAGAACGAGGTTGACCAAGGTGCCCAAACTCTGGAGAGAATCCAAAACGAGTACATCCGAAGCATTAGCAAGATCAACGAAGAACGCAAGAGCCATATCCGGGGCTCTAAAGTTCGTTATGCCAACTGGAGTCTTTTCAGTGACGAACTCACCTCAGACGATGCGGCACCCATGACACCCGCCAGCATCGTTCGATTCGCCGAATACGCCGACATAGAAGATACCTCTGATGACCATGTCGCAGGGAGCGTTGAAATGTCTCGAGGCAAAAAGTCTCGACGCAGTTCAGAAGGTCAAGGTCTTAGTATCAGCAAACGTGGTCGGAGACGCTACGATAGTGGCATTGGGATGGATTCTTTGAGTGAGGCAGATGAAGATGGCATGACTTCTGATCCCATCACTCCGGATTTTGGTTCAGAAGCAGATGTTGAAATCGATGCTGGAATGGATGTGACGGCTTGAATGATGATTTGACGGTCTAGATCTTTGACTTTGGGATCATTGCCTTTCTTTTGGGTTGCATAAGCAAGCATGGAGCTCTGGATTTTCTTTTGTTTAATGCTGGGTCATCTCAGCCATACATGCATCAGTGTGCAGACAGTTGCATATAGATTTGGCAGCCTCTCTGTCGACAGGTACGAGTATATAAACCAAACACTGTGTGTGTACCATTAATCCTGGGATCGCAAGTCGTCCTACACTAGGGTCTTTGTTGTGTCTAGAGTCTGAAAGCTTAGCATTCGCTTATGTTGATGTCAAACCCCATAGACTCGTCACCCTCGCCCATCGGAACCCACGGACTCGTGGCTCCTCAACGACGGATTACTACAGCAGCAGCCATTCCAGCCATCTCGATCCCTACACAGGTAGGTAATCATGAGTAACTCTGTACCTGGATCTGGATACAAGATGACGCAACGCGTGTCTTTAATATTCAACTTTTACAATCCTGCGATCGTCCCACAAGCAGAGAAACACCTGTGCCACTACCGAGCTCTTAGATGTCAAAGCTTCTTTTCAGCTCGAACCTTCGTGTCCTCTACCTAGCTATGTAAGCAGAAAAGGAACTTCGCAATCAAGCCTTGAAAGTCTAGCGATTCCCCATTCAGGTTCTAATACTTGATACTTTAATTCAAAAGATCGTTGACACCTCCCCAGTATCTATCTGGCAAAGCTTTCTACCACAGTGATCAGCCCTCGTTCTCATATCTCGCATTCACATTTTGTCGTTCTTCTATCAAAGCTCTCCTCACATGCAATCTACATACTTTCCATTAACTGCTACTGACACAAGTCCAACCTCTCAGCAACCACACTCATCACACCAACCAAGGTAATCCACCACACCACGGAATAAGATGTGCAGGTGGTTCGCGTACCTCTCGCCCAGCGAGGAATGTCTCCTAGAAGACGTCCTGATAACACCCGACCACAGTCTGGCAAAGCAAGTGCACGACCACTACCTACCCAAACTCTTCTCCCACCTGCCTGGCCAAGCAACGACCAAACAAGAAATCAACCTCCGCAACCGGCTCTTCAACATCGACGGCTTCGGCGTGGCATGGTACACGCCCGTACGATGCTCATTCGCGCAGCGCACAACCACGACCAGTGACCCCTCATCAACCAACACCAGCACCAACAACCTCCGACCGGCGCTCTTCAAAACATCCTCGCCACCAATGAACGACGCCAACTTCCACTCCATCTGCGCGAACACGTCGACCACCGCAGTATTCGCACACATCCGGGCCGCGACGGGGTCTACGTCGGTGGCGTCGATCAACAACCACCCGTTCGTGTTCGGACGGCACACGCTGATGCACAACGGCATCATCGCGAGCTTCAGCGACATCCGACGCCCGCTGCTCGACCTGCTCTCCAAGGCCGCCTTCGAGGGCGTCCACGGCTCCACCGACTCGGAGCACCTCGCCGCCCTGTACATGACGTACTTGACCGGTGGCGGCGGTGGCGGCATCGAGTCCTGGGAGCGCCAGTATTCCGTGCAGCAGATGCGCGACGCCCTGCTCGCCGCGTATCGCAAGGTCGTCCAACTGCAGCAGGCCGCGCTCGGCGTGGACAATGTCCAGGCCAATAGTCTGAATGTCTGTGTTACCGACGGTGCGCAGCTGGTCGCCTTCCGACTCAGGAATCATGCTGTCGAGCAGCCTCCCTCGCTGTACTACTCGACCATGGCCGGCGTCACGTTGAATCGTAAGTATCCGGATCTGCCCGCTGGTGGTGCCAATCCGGATGCTGTCAAGAGTAGTGCGGAGCATGGCCGCCACGTTGTTGTTGCGAGTGAGCCTACGACTTACCGGGTCGAGGACTGGATTTTGATTGAGAAGAACCATGCTTTATTGGTCGATGCCGAGGGGAACTGTGTTGTCGAGGACATCGAGCCTCCATCGGAGCTGCTGGCATTGGCGGCGACTGGTAATCATTTTTGATGGCCACGCAAGTCAGGCACGCGTGGAGTTTCAAAAGCACAGTCACGGATGAAGATATAGTTGTGTGCAGTATATTTACGGATGCTGTAGTATACGCATGTGCTGACAGGATGCATCGTGATGCTCGCAGCAATACAAACCTGTCATTTGTCTCAAAGTCCATCAGCCAACGACCACTAACCGAATTAACTTATTGCCCATGTTCGCTCAAACCCGTATGGTATACACCTTTGTTTATACGCGACAATACCCTACTCTCATCCATCGTCTTCAGTGATCTCCACAACTGCTATCAAGTTGACTTCTAACAACGAAGAGCTGCGATTTTGTTCATCAACGCATTGGCCTTGCTATCGATAGTCCTCAAAATAACAGTGTTGTCTCCCAAGACAGCGGACTCATCTGCCTTTGCTCCATTGACTGTTTCACTGGCTTTGGCCAAAATGACACTCTCTTCTTTGAGCAATGTAGCTACCTTTTGGTGATGGTGAGCAAGGCGGTCATTCCAACTGTCACTCAAAGTTTGGAGTACTGCTCTTCCTCCGAAATTGAACGCGTTCACTTTGGCCTTGATTGCATCTTCTTCTGCTCCGAAACGAAACATTACATCCTATCCACAGTTAGCAAGGATCTCGAAAGGCAGGAGATACGTACCTTCGTGATCAGTAGAATAGAATCAACGAGTCCATGCTGGGTTTCGCGGATCCCTTCAAGTCGATCAACTGGTAGCTTTGTCGTAGCCTTTAGTCCCTTGCCACGTGGTGGTGAATCTTCTTGAGAACTCGAACTAGTTGACACTGATCGTCGGCATCGCATATGTCGAGATCGATGGGACGGGCTCTTCTGGGAAACTTCTAAGTTTTCGTTTAGAAGGGTAATGGATACATCCCCGGATGTATCTATCGCGTCACAATCAATGAAGGCTTCGGGTTTATCAACAAGCGCTTCAATGCCATGAAGCTTGACATTCTCATTTTGTAGGCGTGCAAGGAATGAGACTGGAGTTGCTGGCAGGAAGGGCTGTTTCACTTCTATTGGCTTTGTTGGAATTGTATGCGGAAGAGTTCTCTTGGTGCGAACTGGGTGTCCTGTAGCAGCCTTTCCTATTGCCGCTCCTGTCCTCTCGGGAGAGTTCTGTTTGACGGCCGTTTGCTGTGCATTCGGCTTCGATACAGAAGCCTGGCTTGCTTGATGTGGAAGTGAAATTCTCTCTTGAGGCTGGGGAGGTGTCAAGATTGTTGCATTGTCCTTAAAGAGTTGTCCTTCAGGTGACCTGTCAGACACTGCCTTCATCCCGACGTCATCGGGGTCTTGACCAAACTCGCCAGGATCTTCTTGCTCGTATTCCACTTGATCAATGCTCCTTAAGCGGTCCCGCAAATTAGACATTTTTGGAAACCTGTAGTGCGGCTTCTGCAAGACTGCCTGATTGTCGGGGCCACCAGGTCCAAAATGCACGATTGGAGTCTTTCTCAAGACTTTCTCTTGCACCACAGGAGGCATCCACGGTTCCTTGACGCTGTGAATTTTTCGTTCAGGGGTTTTCAACTTTTCAGAAGAGACTTGATTGCTAGTGCTGTCAGCAACTTTTCGAACCTCGCCAGGGCTCTTGTTTATGCCACTATGAGGAGCGAACTCAGGAGCAGGGCAAATGATCTCCTCAAGGTTCGAATTAAAGCTGTGTTTCGATGCCTCGAGGGCAGCGTCGACAGCTGACTTGCTCAATGCATAGCAATCATGGACAATATCAGACTCTTCCTGGTGGTTGTCACCCTCACCACTAGCTCCGCCATTGTGGGAATTTGTGTCGTCGGCCTCTTGTTCACCACCATCTGAGTCATCCACATACACAGGAGTCTTTGCAGCTCGCTTGGGTCGTGAGTTAGTCACAGTCGTATGTTTTTTCGCGGAAGAAATGGCTTTGACAATGTCTTTTGGTTTTTTAGCTGGTTGCTTGTCGACCACCTGGCTCTTCTTTTTGGGTGCCTTCTTGCTTTTCTGTGGGTCATGATCGATCTTTGTACGTTTGACGGAGGCATTTGGATCGGTCTCGAAGAGTGGAATGTCGAAGTCGTCAGAAGTGATGGGTCGGCTTTGTGGTGAGCTGGTGGAGAAGGATCCGCCGGCCAAGCGTCTTTTGAGCCTCGATTGACCTGTGGGGGCCATTGATGTTGTCACTTGGAAGCAACCTGTTCGATGGAGGTTGTTTCTCATTATTCTTAAGTGATGAACGAAGAGGTTTTGAATGACTGAGCAAGGATGAAGAAGGAATGGTGGACTAGATGCACTTTCCTCAGGCTCTTGAAGTTTGCGGCAGTCGCGGTATGTAAATTGGGCAAGTGCAACCCCGAACATGCCAGTGGTGCCTGCCTTGTGGTCGGTGGATGGGCGCTCCTTCCACACTGTCGGCCCCAGAAAAGAACCGCACGCTTGTCGCCCAGGTGGCACCCAGAAGAAAGCGAAACTTGGGTCAGCATTTACCCACAGTGTGAGGACAGTATGATAAGTTATAAATGACTGTGTATATCAGCTACAACATGTGTTCATACCTCCTCAATAACCATACGTGTGGTCTCTCGCCGGATTAACGCTGTCTTCTCATCAATATGATCATCAGCTGCCCCATCCGCATCATCACCGATCGTCCTCTCGCCGTCTCCAAATGTCCCCTTGAAAAACTTGTCGTAACTCTTCCACGACGCAGTGAAGATCATTTGAATCAACTTCGCCATCCACTTTGGATATGTGCCATCAGGTCGAAGGAAAATCTTCGAGCCCCCAAGCGCAAACAAGAAGAATGGAGCCCAGATGGCGAGGAACAAGAACTGTCCCAGCCTTTGTTGGGTGGTGGTCAAATGGAATGTGCGAATCTGATTCAGGTAATCCTGGTACTCTCGAGGGAGATCGTGCTCTGTCGCACCATCTGTAATCAACTTCAAATACCTAGGGCTCGGCTGCGCGTACGAGTGCTGTCGACGAGAAAGCCCTTGCTTGTCGTAGAGGGTATGTGCCTTGAAATAAGACCCCGATGGCTTGCAGGGGACAACCTCATGCAGTGTCCCGTTCAACGCATAGCAGTCGACCAGAACATCTTGATAGCCCGCCCCGCCTCCCTCGGTAGCAATGATATTAATATAGTCCTCTCTTGTCACTTCGTACACCACTCCAACCAATCCTTTATGCCAACGATCTTTATGATAGCTCCCTCCTCCTGCTGTCCCCTCCTCACCGGGTGGCGACGCGTTTCGATATCGCACGTTGCCAAAGCAAGGTTCGGTGTAGGGAAGACCTGGCAGATCGAATGTCAGGGAGAGTGCAGGTACTACGACATTGACCTGCGATATCGGTTTGATATTGCGCTTGCCCTGGAACGTTTCCGCACAGAGGTTCGAGCCATATCCGAGGTAGAGCACGGTATCTTTGAGCTCGGCTTCGGTGGTAGCAGCCCTGGATAGCTGGGTTATCTCGATGGGAAGATCGCCCAGAGATTTATCTCGTCGCTCGGGGCTTGTAAGAGGAAGCCTGGGTTTCGTGTGCACCGAGGTCTCCCTTGATACACAACTGAGGTCTTGCCACTCCTGCAGAGCTGTACATGCTTGACCGGACTTCGCCATGATGACGATTTAATCGCGGTCTATGTTCTGAATTGTTCGATGACTCGCCGTTGCACATCTACTTGAACCACACTCGATTCCACATGATGATGTTGACATATTCATGCCCGCTTCGGAAATAGCGGATCCGTTCAAGATAACGCCGGACCAGCAATGATTGGTGGGAATTATTGTATAGCCGTCTGGGGCTGATAGCGCCGAATTATGAAGAGCAGAGGTAGATACACGGTGTCTACCATCAAATACCTAGGTAGACCTGCGCAACACTGACAGATCGTATTACGCTTGGTGCACGAGACTATCGAAGTACTTGTTAACGGTCGTGCTGAAACCTTTGGTGTTACGATACATGAGATCAAAGGCAGACATGAAATGAACTAGGCATGGCTAATTCTGATAAATTCCAATTCCAAAACTGCAAGATGACCATCTGTGGCCATTCGTGAACGCCAAGCATGGTATTTATTTACACAGCTGTTGCCTCAAGATGCACATAAAAGTGTACCGAAGCTCGCTCAACAGGTCGCGTAATCATGTATATCTCCATTCCCGTCCACACTCCAAGCAAGCGTCAAGTCCAACTAAAATGCTAGTTCCTTCTTAATTTCTGCGATTGCTTTGGCGGGATTGAGACCCTTGGGGCAGGTTCTTGAGCAATTCAGAATCGTGTGGCATCGATAAAGACTCATGCTGTTATCGAGAGCTTCCTTTCGCTCAGCCTTGCGTTCATCTCGTGAGTCGGCGAGCCAGCGGTATGATTGGAGGAGAATGGCGGGGCCTAGGTACTCATCGCTGTTCCACCAGTACGATGGGCATGATGTCGAACAGCAAGCACAGAGAATGCATTCATAAAGACCGTCCAACTTCTTGCGGTCGGCCGGCGATTGGCGAAATTCTTTGCCCTATTCCGAAGGTCAATATCACGGGCTAGCATCTTCTGCGATGACACTTACATCGGGAGACTTGGTGTCTCTCTGAAGGAAAGGCTTGATGGATTTATATTGCTTGTAGAATTGAGTCAAATCGGGTACCAAATCCTTCACGACGTATGTATGCGGCAAGGGATAAATCCTGGACTCTTTTGCTGTGTCTGTGGGGATTCTGCCTGTATTTTCTTGTTAGCCACGAGCTCCGCGTTTTGGTCTGGGTGAGAACATACACAAGCAAGCTAGTGTGTTGACCCCATCGATGTTCATAGCACAGCTACCACAAATTCCCTCTCTGCAGCTTCGTCTGAATGTCAGGGTCGGGTCCACCTCGTTCTTGATCCGGATCAGTGCGTCAAGCATCATAGGTCCGGTTTTGTTCAGATCCAAGGTGTAACTCTGCATCCTAGGTTTCGAGGTGGGCTCGTCGGGATTCCATCGATAAATCTGGAAGGTCTTAATCTTTGCATCCTTGCTTGGAACGGGTTCTTCGACGGTGGTGGTCTTCGACGCTGGGATGGGTGGCCTGCTGGCGGAGGTATCATACGACGACTTCTCGGTTACTGTGGCATACGATCTCGTGGCAAAGGAAGATCGCAGGGCAGATCGGGAGGGAGCCACCAGGCGTGTTACAGATCGTAGGGCGGCCATTGTGACTTTGTCAAGCTTGTAGGCGACAGTGGCTGATCGCGCACAGCGTTTCGTGACCTAGAGGAGTGGAGAGTATAAAGAATGGTGGTGTCAATGGAATCAAAGACTGAAGAGGTAGAGCATTGCTGTGGCGCTTTGGGACTTCGATGATGCTTTGAGCCTCGGTATCCAATCAGGAGAGTTGCAAATAATCCAGAGCAAGTGCCAAGACCGATCCCCTTCCGAGCAGTTTTCCCGAAGACTTTGGTCTCTTCCGATTGTTTTTCTTCTACTATCCGATCGTCGCAGCCAGCAGCCAACAGCCAGGCCTCGCTTTGTCGGTCAATCTAAGTATGCATCAAAAGTCCCAAGATGATGCACGAAGCCCGGATCAACGCTCTCTGATATACACTCAGTCACTCGTGTCTACTACGTGTGGTGAACCCGGAGCTCATTCCCGTACAGTCACGTGATGTCTTGGCATTTTTGTCATCATGCTGAGCCATGCTCTAGCGATATTATCAAAGGGAAGTTCCAATTCTTCAAAACTGCTCATGACAATTAGAGGTGCAACACCTCTTTCTTGTGCTCGAGTCGACAGATGGTTCTTGCTGAGCACTATGGCGATAAGCCGCCCCATTCAGCGCAACAGCTAACTCCCGGTCCATAACAAGAGGGTCTCTTCCGTGATGACAGAGCTCCAAGCGGAGCACCAATTGTCAGGCTGATGATGACTACGTTTATATTCCATCCTCTAGAGGACTGCTTATTGCAATGCTCTATGTTTTGTTTTGATGTGTTCACCTGATCAATTTCGAATTACACGGCTTTCACAACACTGGAATCTAGAACCAACATGACGTCGGCTGTCCTCTCTTGCGTCACGTTACGTCAGACGATGCGGACGCTTGATCGTGACTATCCAGAATTAGCCATCTTGACGAGTTGATTCTATCGCGCGGGGAAAATAGTTGATCAATCTGATAACTACCTATATACTGCTGCCAGCTCATGGTCTTGTGGGATTTCTGACAACGATCGGATTTGACGGAATAGAGCCTGTGAGATGGGGTGATCTGAGCCACCACAAATAAGCCAGAATGCTAGAACATTAGCACAGCTATAAGCCCTCCACTAAGATGTGAATGGATTCAGATATGGCTCCTCCATCAAGGTTTCGGCCCTGGGAACATGCAGACCTAGATGACACCTCTCACGATGCTGCGAACAACCAGAGCGCCAAGTCAAGTCAGACCCAGGGCCTTGTACGACCTCAGTATCAGACACGGTCTGTTTCCTCAAGCTCTTATCATCACTCGCCTACTTTTCGCAATGAGGTCCATTCTGATCCGACCACTGCGAGCAAACCGGAGATTGCTAGTTCTCCCCCCACAGGTGCATTATCTGTCAATAAAAGAAGCTTTACAACAACCAGACTCCCCGACGATGAAGATCAGAGACCACGAAAACGCTCTTTAAAGACCCTTCAAGCCAAACCTAGCTTGCTCCACTCCAACACTACAGAATCAAATCTCTCATTGAGCAGCGCAGAGGCCTTGGCCAGATATAGTGGACCCAGAGTACGCAATGCTTCTGTCGCATGCCTCCAATGTCGAGCAAAACGTCGAAAGGTATGATCCCAGCGGGCGCGAATTTCCTTCCCAATACAGCCCATGACTTCATGTGGCTAACGACTGCGGCAGTGCGTCAACAATGGGCAGTCACCTTGTGAAGCTTGCATCGCTAACGACATACCATGTGTCATTGACCGCTCGCTCGACCAGCGCCGTAAAGCTGCTCATCAACGCAGAGGGCAACAAAGCGAGCAAGAGAAGCATATTTTGGCCGATCTACTCGAAGTTTTGCGGCAACCAGACATGATGCACGTGCACGCAGCCATAGACTTCGTCCGAAGTGGCGCGTCTCATGAGCAGCTGGACGTGTATCTTCGATCATGCTTAGGGAATGACCAGAGAGATGATCTGGCCACGAGTTCTGAATGCATTGATGGGACCACGGCCCCTGCTGATGCTGCTTCAATACGTGACACTAGCCCCAAACAAGTATCCGACATTAGCAACCCTAAAGAAGCGCTGTTAGCGTCTGAGCAGAAAGATGCTCATTTCAGACAATCATCTATCAATGTCGACAAGTCTCTTGTGAGCAAGAAGACTCCTCCTCAGCATTGAGACTCCCAACCCGCGATACTCTGATGATGGAATACGGCATTTCATCGACGAAGTTGCACATATTTTTGAGTTGGGCGATTCTTAGTGAACAGATATTATTTGGCTCCTGAGACTCATTCTCATCAAAGCCAAGGGAAAGTGTTGGGAACCGTTGACGCCAGGAACGACACAAGATAACTACCAGCCATTTGGTTCCAAGTCCATTATCGCAGCGTCTACCAGCTACTTCCGATCATTGCGACAAGATGCGCACGGAAGTCACGTGAGCTGCTTTCCCCAAATGCCAATTCAAGTGCCATTCTCACTGGCTTTCGTGCTCAACTCCTTCCTCCGATGTAACCCTCTCCTCGAGAAGCCGATATGTAACGGTTGTCGTAGATCCATGCGAGAGATCTTTGGCATTCCTTTTGCAATCTACAGTTACTGTATCAGACGTACACGATACAACAGATGACATGAAATTACGACGCTATACTGAGGAATAGTCGAAACCCCCTAGTTTTGCTCTGGTCGTCCTGCCGTCGTCTTCCTGACACGCACAAGACCATGCTGGTGGCTAATGACATATACCACTTTTTCACGCGGTCCTTTGCTCATGAATCGCGTGGATTTTTTGAGCAGCGAATCTGTGCAGCAGTAAGTCTTTGTCGGACAACTATTGACAATGGATGATGGGAAGGCTGAACCCACATCCGAATCTCGTGATAGGCTGATCGGTAGTCTCTTCATATTGGGCTTCGAAGGGCCAGAGATCACGCCTCAGATTCGAAGCCTAATTGAGCAGCACCATGTGGGGAGTATATGCATTTCTGCCAAAAACTTAGTAGGTAAGTACATGACTTACCCAACCTCTAGCCCTGGTTTTCCCCCTGTGGTGCGTAACCTGGACGTCGTCACTAATGTCGCTTAGATGCACGTCAGGCTACAGAGGTAGTGTGACCGCGTTTGGAAGTTCTGTCAATGGAGACTAATGTTGAACATAGCTCATTGGCTCCTTACAAAAGTTGGCTTATGATGCGGGCCATCAGCAACCCCTGCTTATTTCCCTCGATCAGGAAAATGGTCTGGTCAATTCGATTTTCGACTCTGACCACATCACTCAATTCCCCTCTGCTATGGCCATAGCAGCATCAAGATCGCCACTATTGGCAAAGACTGTGGCTACAGCGACAGCGAAGGAGCTGGCGTGCTTAGGTGTGAATCTCATTCTAGGTCCGGTCCTCGACGTTCATGCTCGTGGCCAAGCTCAACAAATGGGCGTGCGCTCACTAGGAGAAGACAATCATACTGTATCCGACTTGGGTCTGGAATACGTCAAAGGCTACCATTTAGGAGGCCTGCTGAGCTGTGGGAAGCATTTTCCCGGCTATGGTAACTTGATGTTCCCAGGAAACCTCTCTGATATCCCTAGCGTTCCTGGGACGCTTGATCAATTGTACTACTCATCACTCGCCCCTTTTCAAGCTGCAGTGGACAATGATATCGATTCGATGCTGGTTGGAGCATGCGCCATGCCGGATGTTGAATACGAGAACGTACTACATGCTTGCCTTTCACGGCACGTCGTCACCAATCTTCTCCGAGAACGAATTGGCTTCAACGGTGTGGTGATATGTGAATGCCTTGAGATTGAGTCCATGTATGAGAGCTTCGGCGTTGGACAAGCATCCGTTATGGCAATTGATGCCGGATGTGATTTGCTAATGGTATGTAACTCTTACTCTAACCAAGCAGAGGCAATCTCGGCAGTTCAAGCAGCCGTCGCTTCCAACGTCATGTCGATCGATAGAATCCTTGAATCAGCCGGCAGGATTTCTGACATGAAACGCAAGCTTCTGACCTGGGACCGAGCTCTGAATCCCTCGGGAATCAATGGACTAGAATTGCTGAAAGAAGAGCACAAAGATCTGTCAATTGAAGCCTATGAGAACTCAATCACGCTCATACGCGATCGACCAAAAGTTCTTCCCCTCTCTGCCGGAGCAGATTCAACGGCAAAGCTTTTGTTGTTGACACCTCTGGTGGAAACATTCCATGGAGCTCAATCTCCGATGTCAATGGAAGACGACACCATGCTACCCACGAAGAGCTCACATGCGATTAGGTCCAGACCACAAACCGCTGGTAATCTTGATGGCGAAGCGGCTTTTCAATCTTTTGGACGCTCTTTGGCCAAGATGTGGCCTGGAAAAGTAGTCCATACATCATACACCGCCAGCGGAGTTAGTCCATTGCATGAAAGATTGGTATCTGAGGCAGCAGCTGTCGTACTACTCACCGCAGATGGCTTCCGAAATACTTATCAATACGGATTCACGAAATATATCCTGACTTTGTGTAAGAGCCAGTCCTCGGTTGCTAACAACCACAAACCCTGTGTGGTCGTGGCAGTCAGCTCACCATACGACTTCTCCAATGACGAGACTGTTTCCACATATCTCTGCACCTATGATTGCACCGAAGAGGCTTTGAGATGCCTGGGTCGAGCACTATTCGGCATGCTCACTCCCACTTCTCGATCCGATGCTTCATCGAAATCACAACCAGTTTTGGACAGTGGAAGAGTTCCAGTACAGCGCCAACTATGGCTTGTCGAAGATTTCGTTCCGTCGAGAGACCTGGACGGGCTTCAGGAGCTACTGGATCGAACACTCAGCACCTCCTCAGACCGCGCTGAAATGGTTGAAGCACACTTTCCCACCTATTGTTTCAAATCTTCTTCATACTTGGTGGACTTCGAACCGATGATTCAGTCACATCATTTTGTGGTTAGAAACAGCAGTACACGAGTCGTATATGGATTTTGTGCTACATACTATGTTTCGTCTCTTGGTCTAGCATCTGTGGGACTGATTTTGGTAGATATTGAGAAGCGACAGAAGGGTATTGGTTTTTCCTTGCACCAACGAGCTTTGTCCTACCTCCGTGGTTTGCGTGGCATGAAACGTCTCCAACTTGGTACCACACTTCCATCAATCTACCCTGGAATCCCTAATCGTCTTAATTCCACTCATGTTGTTTTGAGGAAATGGGTGAAGGCAAAGTACGTTTTCCCTATGATCGTGAGTGGAGATAAGTCTAACACTCTTCTCACAGAGGCTGGCTCTTCCAAAATTGGAACAGGACTGCGGTGTTCACGATACGATCATTTGCGCAGGACTTGTGGAGACCACCAGTCGAGATTCAGGAGAAACTGTTCGCCAGACATGTGGCCACTCATGTGCAACACCTTTCCAATTCAGAACCTTTACAGCGGCATCTAGTTAAGGCTCAGCCTTACGCTGCACCTGGACGACCTATTGATCAGAAAGCTATCACCACATATCTTTATAACCATGCGCAGGACCGAAGCCAGAAAGTTACTGTGGTGGTCTTGAAAGAGCAAGCAACGGACGACATTGTGGGATCAGCGATTTTGTACCATCCAGAATCAGTCTTCGGCAGACTCTTTCCTCTTGAGGGAGAACAAATGGGTGGTGTGACAGGTATGATGATCTCAGACGATCGACAACCGGAGGTCATTGCTCAAGCCCTTTTGGTCACCGCTGCTGAGCAATTAAAAGAGCGAGGATTTGCAGGTTGTTGCGTCTTCCTGGTGAGTTTTGTATTATATTCTTACGTCGTTGTCAAGTACCTCGAAATCAATGTACTAACCACTGCCAACATACAGGCCGACCAAGAGCATTTACACAAAATTTTGTCCGAATCTGGATTTGCGAAAGTGTATGAGTTCCTCGGGATGGAACAGCAGGTTTGACTAGAGTAATGAATGGGTTGTAGTTGTGAAAATATCCTGAATGCGATATGATACCAAGGGTAATTTACTTTCAGCGTAATGCATGGTAAGGTCTGGTTCATTACAATCTTGGATTGTTCTAGTACAGCTCCAGGCTTCGGCACTGGTCTGGGCAGAAATGGTTTATGTGGCCGGGGTATGGGGATGAGGGTGAGAGGCATGAATAAAATACGAAGTCGTGGTTCTCTGGGTTGCAAGATGTTGGAACCCTGCATGTTCGTTGTATTATTTCTTCTGGTATCAATTGGCTATCAGAGTCATAGATACCCCGGAATGGGAATCATTAGAGCTAAATGAGCTGTATCATGCCCCCTTTCTAGTGCAACCTAGGTAGAGTCTGATAGCTTGCTCAGCAGCATTCATGCTCCGACCTTCCGTCTTTGGCTGGAGAGTCGCGTGCCCAACCGACTCCCCGCTGAAGACTATCTTAGGCCAGGAGCTTACCTCGCCTAATTGTTCGATATCATATGGACCGTCCTAATTCCAACACTCACACAATTTTGATCCCGTCTTTGCTTCGACGACATCTTTTCGTTATGAAGGCTTCAATCCTACGATACAATTGCACTTTCGATGGCTGATTCGGCATTCCTCGATGATGAGAATTTAGGCGACCTGTTGGATCGCAATCTCGACCCAATTCAATATGGGAACATCTTCGAAAACTACGATGATATCCAGATATCCACTTTCGAAGACGACTACTCGCTCTTCTTGTTAGTCAAGTCTAGCCTCTCTCATGTCGACACACTGACAGCTAACTAGCAATGACATTAATGATGCCAACTTTGACCTCCATGACGAGGGGTTTGACCTTGGGGCAAGCAATAATCCATTACTAGTGACCCAGGAGTCTGAAGGTGTCATGGAGCATGTTCGCGAACAGTCGGCTCTCAGAAAACCCAGTCTGGATACGATTACACTAGACGTACCGTTACTAGCATTTCATAACAATTTGAACGACGACGAAGGTAAGCCTCCCTCAAGTCTTGACCCTTCACTACTCCGGCTTGAGGCTCAAATTGGCGGACGCATCAAACTCCCGGATCAGGCGATCGGTGGTGGGACAGCGGCTTCCGAACCGAATGAACTTACGTTCTATCGACGGAATTTATTCAAAGTCGGTGCTCGAGTGCATCTTACTCGGGAAGGCGCGACTATCCTATCTCAGCGAGGACTGCTCAAACTAGTTGCCAAGTTGGATTCCATCGAAAGCATAGAAGGAGAACCCGTGAAGCTGATCAAAATTCCCATTAAAAACGATTCAACCTGCGATGATTCAACGTCCAAAGGAGAAGCAGTACAGCCTATACTGCTAGATCATAAGGCTGTTGATACCTCGGGTCCAGTAGCTCTCGACGTGTGCTGGGATCGACTCCAGTTTCGACGGGCTACCACGAAAACCCGAGGAAGTGTTGCTCAGCGGTATCAGCTACGTGTAACAATTGCTGCGATCAACAGAGACCAGTCTGAGAAAACGATTGCTCAAGTGGCAAGCGAATTTATCGTGGTGAGAGGGCGGAGTCCAAAGAACTATCCAGACCAATCCAAAGGGCAATATTTTCCGGCCAAACTTGGGGGCAGTAGCATGTCGCCACCAATTCGGCGGGAGTCCACATCCTCCAAGGCAACTCCTTTGGATTTTCAACAAAATATCACCGGAGCAAGATCCATTGTAACGGCCACAGAGCGAAGCTCGAATTCTTACTTTTCGACCAGACAACGAACAGAAGCGCTGCTCCCTAATAAATCTGGCCGAGGACAATCTGCGGTTGCCAGAGTCTCAGAAATCACAGATCTAGATCTGTATTCCGATGGAAGTGAAGGCTCAAGTTCGACCGAGATGCTGACGACCAAGTTTGCCACGCACAGTTCTATTCCACCAACGACTGTGGATGTGGCCACCAAATCTTTGGCCCATAAGCCAACAAGCATGGAGAATCGGTCGGCCGTACGAGACGAGGAGCAACCTCTTGGAGGGCTGTTACTACCCACACTTCTCAGAAAAAACAACAATACAACGGCTCTAGATTCAAAGACCACCTCACTTGCCGAGGAGCAAGACTCCTATGAGTACATTCCCCTGTCCATCAATGACTGGTCCACTCCTGTTGATCCTGTATATGTAAGTGTAATCAAACTGCCCCCATTGCCTCTAATGAAGACGACTGAAGTTGACAACCATTCCCACAGAGACCACATGGAGTGCATCACAAAGCAGTCAAGGATCAGTATGGCCGATCCGCTGCTAAGAAGCGGTATTTCATAGATGTCAAATAGGACGTTCTGCAGCTCAGCTAGTACTATTGGATATTAGTTGGGTGCCGAGTGCAGGTCGTCCTCAAGATATCATTGTTGCATTGTTCATGCCTGGTAAATCTTGAGACATCGCTTTGCCATGCAGAATTGTGTAAATAAGCACCCACGCACTTTCAAGATAAAGATGGCCCATGCTATCCTAGAGGATGTTACAAGATTTTGAAGTGGACAAACAAATGGCTGGGCAAAATGTTCCGGAATGGTCCATCATCAGTGGAGCATCGCCTGGGGATCCCCAATCTCCAGTTATAAATCAGTATGGATAGGCCCGGCTCAAATCCGATCGAGGCTAAACATCGCCCAAGCGCCACAAGCGACAATTGAGATCGCTGAGATAAGCCCAAAACATTCACCAACACAATTGATTTCGACTGAACTGCTGGAATTTCTGAGTTGAGCAGCCTATGTCAATGAGTTTGTTGAACGTACAGTTTACATGAGATACCAGGCAATGGTTCCATGTTAAAGCAAGCTATGCCCGCGGTGCTTGGACGCATTGAATTCGATCTCAGATCTGGTTCCTGACACAGATTTGATGGATCCAAGATGTGATGACGTCGACATTTATGCACCCGTCATGACTTTTTGGCCCGACCAGCTCACTACAATATCATATCCATGTGCACACATTGAGTGAAAATACCGCTTCAATAGATTGAGTCTTCTTGAAGGCTCTCAGCTAACAATCTATGAGCCTGATCCTTCGTTGATGGACAGTACTTCTTTCAGACACGACGTTGAGCAAGGCAGTTCTGCCAACGTGAGTACCATGTCGCAGAAACCACTCACTTCGAAGGATGGTCCTAAGAAGGTCCTCATTGTCGGTGCTGGGGCTGCTGGGTGAGTTTATATTCAGATGTGATCATTCGCTATTAGGATCTAATCATCATGTGCTAGCATGTCAACGGCATATCATCTGTCAAACCACTCAGATAAATTCGAAGTCACCTTGATCGATGCGGTCGATTACTGTGGTGGACAAGCATTCTCTGTTCCTATCAAAAAGGAGCGCCATGGTGCCAGCTGGTTCAACCAAGGTGTACAGGGCGGGAGCTACATCTTCCATCACACCTTGACCATGTTTGCCCGCCAGGGATTCCACGCTGACCCGGTCAAACTTCAGGTGTCATTTGGAAAAGACAAGACGTTCTGGTCGAATGTCTTTCCTACGGACTTGATCGCACGACATCAGAAGGAAGTCAAGCGTCTAGCATTTGCGTTGAAATTCATGCGCTGGTTCGAGGTCTTTTTCGCTCTGATCCCGCTCAAGTATTTCTTCAAGCTGTGGTTCTTTTCGGATGAATTTACCAACACGATTGCCTTGCCGATGACGGCGTTGTTCCTGGGCACCGGAAATTATACACCAGAAACCCCCACGATGATGCTCGAACGTCTCTGCACCAGTCCCACTTATGGAATGTGGTATCCTCCTGATCCACTATCGGTTGCCTCGAACATGCCACCCATGGTCGTCTTCCCCAACTTCAGCGAGTTCTACGAGACGTGGCGCAAAGACCTTCTTTCACGGGGTGTCACAATTCGACTATCCACCGAACTCGTATCGGTGCTTAAGCGCGACAAGACAGGAGTGCTGGTCAGCCTGAAGAACCGCACTCCAGTACCGGACGGGCACAACCCAGGCGAAGGCGATCCGACCGCCAGCGCCACATTCGAGGAACATTACGATGAAATTGTGCTCTGCGTACAAGCCGACACGGCGAAACGAGTTCTCTCCAAGACATCGTCATGGCGAGAGCGCAAAGTCCTCGGGTCCGCCAAGTTCTCCGACGACGTGACCATCACCCACACCGACGCCGAATACATGAAAAAGCACTATCAAAACTTCTATAGCGACGACCTCGCCGTGGAGAAACTCAGCGGCGTCGACCAAACCGTCCGCAACGAGTTCGCGCGCAAGAACTTCCGGCCCATGTACTACATCAAAATGTACCCAGACGATTTGAGCAAGCTCGAAATGTGCTTCGACACGACCAACTACCAGTGCCAATTCCCGGAGAACGTCCCCTTTGAAGACCACGTCTTCCAGACAATTTACCTGAACAAAGAGCGCGACGGCCACCTGTGGACGGACAACGAGATCGACAAGTCCAAGATCATCCGCACGGACTGGTGGCATCAACTGTGCCACAGCTTCACACACTACCTGTTCGTCGTCCCCTGGATGATGTTCCTGCAGGCCAAGCACCACACGCGGTTCGCGGCCAACTGGACCATGGTCAACGCGCACGAGGTCGCCATCATCTCCGGCCTCGCGGCCGCGGTCGATCTGGGCGCGACCTACCCCGAAGATCTCGAGAACGATAAATTCGCGCTGTTGAGTTTCCGCCTGTATTACTTGCTCGTCTATGGCAAGTGGTATCGCAGGAGGTTCAAGAACAGTACCTCGGAGGCGGCCAAGCAAGGACGCTCGTGGGCCACGGGGCTCTATGGCAGCGTGTACAACGGGCCCGGTGTCGTTGAGGGCGAGAGGACCACTTGGAGACAGGAAATGAAAGTCGGGCGCAGCACGGGGAACTTGGCACAGGGGAGTCCCGAGGGGAGAAGTCAGCCGTAGTTGATTGAATGATCGCGTTCTAGAGAAGTGAGTTAGTTCATGCTTGGGCTGCGGTATAGTGAGTCTGAGTTTGTGGTTCAATGTGATGGATAGTCGGACTTGAGGAGATGGCTTCTTGGGGTTAGGCTTCTTAGCCAGAGAGAATCAATGTAGGCTTTAGAATTGTTTTGTCATTAAGAGTAACACTCCACATTCAGGGACAAGAGCGGTAAGCCAGGCCGATTTGGTGCTTGTCCACCATAACCCGCGAGATTTAAGTCATTTCTCATCTGGCTGTTCGTCTGTCGGGAACAGACTAATATCATTGCAGGGCCATTCCGCATGCTTGAGTTGGCTCACACACAAACCACTAGCCGCATGGATAAGCGCAAACAACATGTGTCATGATCAGCATAGCATCGCTCATCTTGGCGTGTGTGCCGAGGAAGGGCAGATTCTCTGCTTGTCTAATTGAAGAACTTCTTATAGCTTTCCTTCTCCTTTTTGATGCTGTCCTGTAGCGTCTTTTTGGTCTTGGCCAACTCGTTCTTGATACCTGCGTCTTCGGGTGCCAATTTAGCTGCGGTTTCGAAGTCCTTCAATGCAGCTTCCAGGTCCTTAGTCGCAACTAAAGCCTGTCCGCGTCGGAAATATACCTTCGCCTTGTCCGTGTCTTTTGCATCCTTGGGGGTGGCGTCAATGGCAAAACCAGCCCACTTCTGTGCCTCGGCATATCGCTTTGATTTGTTGGCGAGCAGGGCGGAATTGCTGTGAAGGGTGAACCGCAAAGACTCGAGATTGCCTTGGAGGTCTTTTGGATCATTGTCGTTGGCAGCGGGATATTCGTTCAGATATCTCAGAGCTTTCTGATACTTCTCGATGCCTGTCTCAATGTCGCCGCTCTTGAAAGCCTTGTTGCCATATTCCTTCAGGTCCAAGCCAATCTTGTAGTACTCCTCGCCCTTCATGCTTTCACCCTGGTCATCCGGAAAATCTTCATAGGGGTCACCAGTCGAGTCGGGTGCTTTCTGGGTGGCTGTGCTATAGCCCTCGCCTTCAAGTTGTCCACAGTCTTCCACGACCACATCCGAAACAGGCTTGTCGGACTGGGTGGGCAGGTTCTCGATCTTCCGTATGATATTCTTGCCATTGATGACCTCTCCGTAGACGACATGTTTACCATCAAGATGGGGTGTAGGAACCGTAGTCACGAAGAATTGAGAACCGTTTGTGCCTAACTTGTTAGTCCAGAACTGAACTGAACTGATGTCTTGAGATATCTTACCAGGACCAGAGTTGGCCATAGAAAGTAGAAATGGTCGGTCATGCTTCAGCTCAAAGTTTTCATCATCGAACTTCTCTCCATAGATCGATTCACCCCCAGTGCCATTAAAGTTTGTGAAATCACCACCTTGGATCATGAAACTCTTGATGACTCGGTGGAAGATGGATCCTTTGTAGCTAAGAGGTTTGCCGGCCTTGCCCTGTCCCTTCTCGCCTGTACATAGTGCGCGGAAGTTCTCGGCAGTCTTGGGAACGACTGTGGACACAGGAGTTAGTCGATCGGAATAATGGACAGGCAATGATCAGGCATACCGTCATTGTACTATTGTAGTGAGTTAGTCTGAGGAACAGAAAAAGAGAGCAAGAACAGCGGAATACTCACCAATTCAAAGACTACTCGGCCTTCGTTTCTGCCACCGATGGTGATATCAAAGAAGACACGCGATCTTCCTGAGGCATTGTTAGCTTGTGGGCTGGCTAGGGAAAATCCCGCCCAAGCCTTACCAGTCTTCGAGTCTGCCATGATGCTGCCCAGTCACTAGGGTCGATGGAAACTCAGGAAAAGGCTGTGCTGCACGATACGCACGTTGAGCAAGCGTGCGCTCAAAGTAAGTGAGAGTTGTTCAGGTGAGTAGCCTGCAGCCTGTGATAGACCTTGCTTGTCTGCGCACACACAAAGATCGGTGTTTCTTGAATCTTCTTTCCGCAGCCTTGGGGCGGTCACTGACGCTGCGCCAATCATGTGCCGAAGGTGCCTGGTGAGGGGTACAGTTAAGGCTAACCTTATTAGTCACGCCAAGACTCTGAGTGAGGGGTAGCATTCAACTTCTGAGGAAGGTGTGCCGAGCTCTCCCTTCGCAACATCACCTCTTGTACCAGCCTCGTCAACTTTCAATACGTTGCTATGTGATATATCTGACACGACTCCGACTCAAAGCCTTCACGAACTGGTGCTCCGGAATGCATAGAGCCCCAACAAATCTCTCTCAAGGTCGTCACATCGCCCCAGGATATACTCTGGACTGCCACGATTTTGCGCCTCATTTGTTATGGTGAGGTTAGATGACTGGCTACCTAATACGATTGCCATCAGGTACTGTCACAAACAATAGTATTACGTCCATTAATCAATTACGTTCAGGCATCCAGCTCCCGCCTTTTCGTGTCATCCAGCACCACGCGTGATTGCTTTATTCAGGCCGCTTGTTTGCTCACACCATTTTGAGGAGACAAACTAAAAGCTCCGGCAAGAAACTCGCTCTTTATGCTGCAAGCCAAGCATATTGACAGCAGGGAGATATCTTACATGATTGTTTACTCGTAGGTTGGGCTGGTTAGCATCAATAACCCTCTTCCCAGCCTTGGAAATCTGAAAACACGGGACCCTCAACTCCCATCTTCTTCAACCTACTCATTCAACAATTAATATGCTGATCCCGATGGCTAACACTCATTTTTGGTCATCAGCCTCTAAAAGATATATGGAGTTGTCCGAGGCTGTGGTCGAGACACGTTGCTATTGTCATTGGAGATGCAGATGAATATTGACACTACTTTCGCAAGGTAGTCCTCTGAAGAATGCGGACAAGTCACAAGACGCCCTAAATTCACAGAGTCTCCCGCCTATACTTGCGTCTATTGTCCATTGTGAAAGCTCAATATTATCGAAAAGGTGGAAACGTTGTTTCTGTGGCACTTGCAAGTGAATTAACGACTGCATGTTCATTTCTTCTCCCTCAAGATACAGGCAAAACCTTCGATCTCAATTAGTCCCAACCACTATTCGAAAGAGGCAGGTCCACTCTACTGCCTCTTTGCTCATTCGCTCAAAACTCCGGATGGTACGGACTTGGGAAGCTGATCGACACAACAATCTTCCATTTTTGGTTGAGATCCTATGCCACACCACATTATTCTGGGAGCTGCAGTAAACCTCGCGTGTTCAACAAAAGGCCATACTCGTGGAGTCTGGCCACGTTTAGATCAGCGCGAAGCGGAGTCGCTTTCACCCCATCTCGAAAATCCATCGACAGTTCTAGGCGCGGACCGAATTGTTTGCATATTTTGCTGTTGTACAGTCCATCAACCTCCACGTGTATGCCGATCACTACAGTCAGGCTGAGCTCTTTCTACTTCTGGAAGATGTCGATTCTCTGCGGTAGCATTTGTTTGCAAACATTCTGGGACTTCCCTTACCTCCCACATGCTTTGGCCAATCTAATTTATTAGCTTTTCAACACTTTCCGAAAGTAATCAGTTTTCCAAGTTCAACTCTGAATACGAGCCACACACCCTCGTGACTTCGCTTGAACCCCCTCGCCTAAGGGATATCATGCATTATCCCGCTCCACCTGCAGGAGACACAGACAACCACAGATTCACTTCCGCACCTAGATCTGTTCTCAGCCACGGCTAAGTAACACAATTGTGAAAGGAAACTCTATGCAATGCATGTCTTAGACGGCTGGCTGCTGTGGGTCACACTTTCCTTATCTACGCCTATCGAATTCTCCGAACTCTGGGCTGGACTTTGTCCCACTCGGCGTCTGCGATCAGCCAAGCCCAAGAGCCACAAGCATGGATTACCCAGAATCCTTTTCTCCAGGTTTTTGAATCTGACTAGCTCATTAGACTCTCTTAAGCTACTTTTGCACTGCCTCTTGCCTCGTCGTCCCCGAGGGTGTGGTAACGCGTGCCAATTGCGTGGACAAAATAGCTTCCGGCATTTGTTTGCGTGCTCCAAACCTTAGTTGGCCTCTAAATCGTCGATCCAACGTCGAACTTACACGTACTCTCAGTCCATGCAAGCTATCTTGCCAGCTTCAGCTCCACAAGGTAGGTACTCGCACAAGTCAAGAGGGTTGAAGCAAGGAGACGCACAGAACTAATAAGGGTGTACGTGGTCTACACGAACATTCACACTTCCGCTCAGAATCATCCAATAATGAAGCTATTCCCGACTCTTCGTACAGCTCTGTCCTATTTTTGACATGCTCAACCCACTCTCGCTAATCATATCATTGACGACATGATTGTGATCTCAGGTTCGGCAAGAGCATGCCAAACCGCATTAGGGCGTGTATTCGTCTCTTTGAGATCCTGGTGACTGCAAGCGTTCACCACACGCATGACCATTTCACCACTTGTTGATGGTGGCTGTTGATGACAATGGCTTGCTGAGATACAGGCTCTCTGCTTTTTCAGCAGGAGCCTGTGCAAGGGATGTCGATTCAAGGGGGCATGCATAGGCCGCTGGCAAAGCCGTTTTTGTGGCTTGCTGTTCCAGTCTCTAGCTAAATTCTAGCTTGCAGAGCTTGCTAGGAGCTGCTTCGTTGTACGGCATGAATTGTATGAGCGACCTCGCACACAGGCGGGGAGAATGCGTGAGAGTGCCTTGACACTAGACCTGTACACTAGAGCACCATGTTTCGATTGATCAACCCTGCCTGCAGGCAGATTTCGGTTTGATCTGGCGGCCTGCAGACGGTTGACTTCTTATCCTGCATATGTGTTGTGACACAGCTGTAAGATTTTCTTGAGAATTCAACTCCCAAGTCCTTACTCTTGAACCATATGAAGATGCGTTCGACTCGGAGGTCCGACCGATCTGATGGCTTCTCAGTGTAATGAATGGGATAGGGAGAGACTTAATCTGGACACGATCGCTCCCAGCCGCGACAGAGGTACAAGTTGCAATTGAGAGGGCTACGAAGGTGAGAGTAGTGGTGATATTGTGCTATCAGAGGCGAGACTCTAGCAGCGGGCTTGCGGTGTAATATCAGCTGCGCCTGAGATATGAAACATTATCAATGTGCTATCGACGTAACATGTGGACTATATCTTGTTGTCCAAGGATGTTTTGCTAGTCTAGAGCTGCAGACGCGAATCGCCTTTACCTAACTTCTACTCCACATGCGAAAACTCTAGAGCAAGAAGACATCAACTCGGATTCCCTTCGCTTCCCAGCATTGAAGGAATGCCAAATCCTCGCACCATCGTTGAAGCTGGCTCACCGAGACGGCATCTGCCCCCCAACATGCTTATTACCATTTACAGGCCACTGCACCACATCTCCATTTCCTAGCCACACCACGGGTAGACGTAGCCCAAGTTACACAAAGAGGCAGGCGCTGTGCGCAGGACTCGATGTTAAATTGCTCGGCGACATGGCACGAAACTGCAGGCCACGTAATGCAGCACAAGCAGACGACATTGACATTCAACCTCCCTGTCACATTACACGGCGGTTGACGAGGTTCTTCGACCAGCTTTTCCTTGATGCACCCCGGGCCGACGACGAGCAAGGGTGAGTCGGTCACAAAAGCACCCGGCAGGATTCGCGAACGGTCCAGGGCTCAGTTCGATTTGAGATCGCTTGTGCTTGGTACGACGCCGATCCACATCATAATGCGAGGTTAGAGGGTGGAATTAAAGGGACAGGTTGGGCAAGTTTTGAAGTTCAACGAGTGGTTGGAACTTGATTAGTCTGGAAGAAACGCGCTGGGGCTCACCTCATGTGTTAAAATATCATTGGTAGCACTGGTACGACCGAGGAGTGTAGCTTATGCGTCTCGGTGATAGAAAGTCCATGACGTGCAGTCGAAGGACAGTGTACACCATGACTGGCTATACCGGGAATATGGAGCCTCGTTGTTAATTTCCCCTAGAAAAGCATTCTCCTCTAAATACGGACTTAGATAGAAGCTGGTATTGGCCAACTAGGTTTGACGCAGGCTCGCAGTCGTCTCAACATTTGGTGTTCAAGAAACTGCTGATCGGCAAAAGCTAAGACTGACTGGCATTGGAGCTCTGAGCTGAGATACCGTAAACACCATAGTGTCGGTATTCCTGGAAGGACAGTCTCCGTCGACATACGCTGTAGATTGGCTCCTCACGTCAAAGAGCTTACCACACATTTATTGACGCCCAGCTGCGATGGTGCCAGTGGGGAGGTCGGATTGTCGGCACACCGGGATGCCGTGTAGACTGAACTCGCGCCAGCTATCACTTCTACATCGAACGTCGCTTGTGTATCCCGGCTCAGGTCAAGAAGGTCAAAGCTCGCGGCTAAAGCTCAGGTAAAAGTCGTACACTCGCCTTGACACGAAGCACAGACAGTAAAGGGCTCGAGCTTTGATGAACAATCGGGGATCGGGGGACTTGGTGAAGCCGGCTGTAGCTCGGTGCACACCCTAGAGATGAAGTCCATGTGCATGGCGTAAGTGATCTGTATGTTCGTGTCCTCAGTAAGGCTAGACCGGTCTGCCCATCGCGTGGGCCTTGCTGGTCTGTGTGCAGAGGGGGAACTTTTGCGTGCGTACCGACTGTGTTCGTTAGGAATGTGCTTGTATACGACATGAAGCCCCTTGCATGTAGTGGCAGAATCGTTCTGGCACACGTGGTCTGGGGAACGACACAAACGAGAACGAGGGTCTGGTCGAGTCGAATTGACACTTCATGGTATGCGAAGGATCTATCGTCGTAGAGACGTTGGAGGATCGTGGGCGCATGATCTGCCTCAGAAGTACTTACTGAATTCAGACGTGTAGACTCTCGACGCAATGTATTCGAAGAATGCAAGCACTGTGGCTCCACATAGATCATTTTCAAGTCGCCGCATTAGGCAGTCGCCAGTAGTACGTGACAACAAGTGGCCGTCCTCGGCGTATTCCCGAAGCCTGGAACGAACGTCTCTTTGATGATTTTTTGAAATCAATATTGAATTAAAGAAAGCGCAACTTCAAGCGAGGTCATACCTCAGGTGTGTTGCAACAGCAGTGGGGCGGATAGTGCTTAGGGAAGTAGGTAGGATGTGAGAACTGAGATGTGGCAATTAGGTAGGCTGATCAGTTATCAACCGCTATGGAAGTTGATGTAGCTCCACCTCCCATCGAAAGGTGCTGGTTCATAGAGGCAGTGTAAGAGATAGATGCTTCATTCTGCCTAGCTCTTTACGAATATCCTTCTTGGACTCCATCAAGGGATTGAATAGCACTCCCCGAAGGTTCTGTACAAGCATATTCATTCAAATCGGTAAAATTCATCGAGATTTTGATCGCCTCGCCAATCTGAGAAGTTAGCGCCTGTAGCTGTGCTTATGTGCTGAGTGAGACCGTTGTGGATGTAGACAGCGTCTCAAGTTTTTGGGATTCATAAGTTTCGAGTAGTGGAAAGTGCTGTGGGCAACAGCGAGGGCATCATCAATAACAAATTCAGGAGAGACACTCCGACTTTTGGGGGCGAAGCGCCACGCTTAAATCGACAGGGTTAGCCCTGGCCGGTTCGCCTCTCCACCCTTACCATAAGCGAATTCTATCGTTATCGATAGCCCCTGATAAGGGTGTTCGATAAGCCAATGCTGACATGAAATACTTCATTTCAATTTGGAAAGGACGAGCCCAATGTGTATGAGTATGTCTGAGAACAGATCCACCCAAGCTGACTTGCTTCAGCTGGAATACAATTGTGAACGTTTGCGAGAAAGATCGTCGATGCGCGTGTCAGCCACGATTCCGGAAACAGCCAAAGTCAAACAAAGTAAGTCCAGGGAGAAGGGCAAGGGCGCTCTGAAGGTTTGAGGTGCCTTGGTACCTCGTACTTGAGAGGGAAGAGGCTGTGAAAGGGGTGAATGCATAATCGAGGCGTCAATTATGCCTTTCGGTATGCCCGCCATGAGTCTCAGGTAAGCCACAGACGAGCAGAAGCCAACAACACTCGAGGCTCTCATGCAAGCGCTGTAAAAACTACTGTCGCTCGCTGTGAGGCTGAATAGGACTAGGCTGAAAACCTCGTATTTGACGAGGAAGAAGCCTTCTCCTCAGCAAACAAAATAATGATGTGATCTTTGCTGGGCTTTTCCGATGGGCGTCGAGCCTGAAGGAGCCATCACTGGTTGACTGCTCAGTTACTCGTTTATCCCCACCACATTGGGCGAGGTGGGGTATTATTGTGGCGTGCTGTGTGAGGTGATCAGCAACCTCCAACCACGTGGAAGGATTTCGCTCGTCTCGGGATGGAAAGAGTTGGATAGAGGGCGTCCGCTGATCTCTCGATTTTGTGCACCGAAAAGTTTGTCCACATCCCAAAAACTTGTTTCGCACACTACTCCCTAAAAGTGCAGCACCATTGCGATTCACGATTCGATTGACTTTTTGCCAAGGCTTTATGAGCAATGACGCAGGATGCAATGGATTTAGGAGTTGAAGCGGTGCTTTGCGTGCGCACGGGGGAGGGATTTGAGGGTTGACCGTTGGAACCAGAAGCAGTACAAACAGGAGGAGCAGTATTTGGAAAATCACCCCTCGATTCGCTCGAGAATGAGTACGTCCACTTCAACGAAGGTGGAAATCTATCCGTGGACGCCTGAGCCATTTTCGGGTAGTATGTCCAGTCAAAGAGAGCGGCCGTGGTTGCCAGGTAATGATGTTAGAGATTTTTAAGGCCGCTTCACGACGAATGGCACGATCCAGTGAAAATATTAGGCTTCCCGAAACGTAGTTGCTTTTGCGACAAATGGCGTTCGTGTGTGCATTCCAGTATTATCATTGTTACTGAGCATTAGACTGTGGTCCTAGGTTGATGTCTTTTCCACGGGTGTGACATTTGTTACCACGGCCTACAGACTGTGACTTTAGAGCCTAGTATTAAGTATTCAGTATCAAACCGAAGCCTGCTGGTTGGACTCACAGTGCAAGCCCTAATTTTACATCTTCATACCGAAATACTGGTATGGTGCATTGCTCAGTCGAGATTCATTTTCAAACAGTCGACAACACGCCGAGTCTTGTCCTCCAGAGTCGTCCATCATGGTTGGCTCTCTGAAGGGTTCCGAGGTTCTGGTGCAGCAAAAAAATGCAAACTAAGCGCTCGCACGCCTGGGACTACACGGGGTTAACTGGACGCATCCGGGCGACTAAACCAGAGAGCAAGGGCCCCGGAAAACTCTTGGTGCGGTAGATTTGCTGGTCGATACCAATTGGGACAAAGACTCAACTCGACGCGGAACGTGCAGAACACGGCACGCATGGGTGGAGGGGTGTGCAGCCAGTCTGTTGGTTCTCCCTCTATACGAGGTAAGGAGGGTCTCTCCGTAAGCGAGCCAGAAATCATCAAATTGTAGCCGTTGTGGGCGTCGGGTGAGGAACACCCTTAGCCAGACTTGTCAGCACTTAGACGAGAAAAGGAGGGGAGGATAGTCAAGCACGAAAATCAGGCGGGCCAGTCGACTGGTGAGAAGTTACGAACAAGAAGACATTTGAGGATTTTTAGATTCAACCATTTCAGATTGTTTGCTTTGCATTTCTGGCTATTTTTGGTTTTCTGATTTCATAATGGGGGAGTCGGATAGTACTCGTACTCGCCACATTTGTACTTGCTTCGTGGACCTTTTCCGGCTCTGTCCATTTTCCTGCGTCTTCCAGAGACCGGTAATACATTGCCATAACTTCCATACAAACCACAAGGGTATCGTAACACATACAGTGAACTTTCACTCCAATTCAGTAATAGGCGTTGTCTGAACGCGTAACAAATTCGATCCATCTCAGCACTTGAGGGACCTTAAAGAAGTAGAAAGTATGGGTTTCCCGCGTAGTTCCCAGTAAAGAACAATCACCATAAAACGCCAATCATGATTTTCCCGAAATGCGATATCACAAGTCGTGACTCCATAGTAGACCATTCATCATGCAATTTAAACAAAAGAAAAGCGAGGGCCCTTTTCGAATGCGCGGACGTCCTCCCAAATGTTGTTGAGAGTTTCCACAAGGGGCTCGGGCAAGGGACCGTGTTCAAGGATATCCATGTTTTCTTGAAGTTGAGAGATTCTGGAGGCACCAACGATGACGGCATCGCCATACTCGGCACCCAGTTGAGAGTGCCATGTTGTCCATCGAAGGGCGGCAGCATGGCCTGAGATGCCGTACTTCCTGGCTTGTTGTCGGACCAGTTCTGCAGCCGCGAAGAGAGGGTCGTGGAAATAATCGCCAGCATATTTGGCACCGAGAGGCGAGGCGATGTTCCACCGGCTGTTCTTGTCCTTGGTGGAAGCTCGTGACACTTTGTTGGAGAAAAAGCCACATGCCGAGGGGCTATAAGCATAGAAGGCAATGTTGTGTTCCCGAAGAACCTCGAACAACCGTTCTTCGCCACCACGGCAGATGGGATTGTATTGTCCCTGATAGACAGAAGGCTTCACGAAGCCATTCTCCTCGCATACCTTGACAACAGCTTCGACTTCCTCGACGGAGTAGTTTGACAGACCGAATCGTTCGAACTTGCCTTCCAGGTAAGCCTTGTTCATAGCTTCGCAAGTCTCCTTGAAAGGTGTGGCTCGGTCAGGGGCATGCAGATACATGACATCCACTGCATCGGTGTGGAGAGCCTCTAAGGATCGATCAATGCTCATGGCGATGTTTTTAGCACGATGAGATCCAGGCATAAAACTGGATACCTTGGTTGACACGTTGGCCCATTTGCCTAATCGCAGCTCCTCCTCACCCAGCAATTTCTCACAAGTGCCACCCCGCCCAACTGGATATGCACGAGCGGTGTCGATATCTGCATAACCTCTTGAACGGAAGAGTGACACAAACTTTGAGGCGTCTTCAACAGTTGTGATCTTGGCCAGAGGGGACAATTTGGAGCCGACTGAGGCTGTGCCGAGGACGACTCTCAAGGGCGGTTTACATTGTACTGTTTGTACCAAAGGCGAGGTAATTCTCTCGGCGTTGTCAAAAGTGCTTGCCCTGGATCGGTTGGGGGTGACGGTCATATCTGTGGCATCAGTATCGTCGGATTGTTGAGAACTGAAAGAGTGTGCTGAGCGAGATGAGCTTGCAGAGTTGGGTTCAAGTGAGAGGCGTTTTTGCTGTGCATGATGAACACTGAGGTTGTGCATGTTGAGTTGAGGCAGTCCCTCAAGTTTCATTCTGAGAGCAGCCGCCATGGAGCCCATATGTCGATCTTGTGACATGGTTGGAGATTGAGGGTAGTTATAGTCCGTCATGGTGAGGGACTTGAGAATCTTGTGAATACGATGCGAGTATATAGTGTGTTTGGGCTGTTGTTGGTGGTTGAGGGATATTCGATCCTCGGTTGAGGGAATATAGTAAGCCGGCAGCGGGTTGACAAAGAGCGGACCGAACAAACTCAAGTAATACAAATGTGGTTGATGAGGTCTTTTGTACAGTCACCAAGAGTGCGTCGAGGACACTTTAGATGAGACAGACAAACAAGAGTGGTAGTATAGGGTTGGGTCTGGTGTATACTTGTACAGTGGTAAGAGTCTGGAGGGTGAAGAGTGGAGGGTGAGTGATGGAGTATATCTAGGTCGGTCGTCTGAAACGGGGTCTTCCCGACAAAGTGGCCCGTTTGGGGATGATGGCAGGAGGAGCGTCGCCACAAAGGTTTGCGTAGACAAATGCGTAATTGGCAGACCAGCGAATCTGGGTCCATGCCATGCCATGGTCCATGGTCCAGCAGAGCCAGAAGCCAGACGAAGGACGAGCGTGGCAACAAGTTAGCAGGCCAGTCTCGATGCATTCTTCGCAGCCAGCCAGGTTCCCTGTCCACCCTGTCCACCCCCAGGTGACACGGAATCCACAGTCGCCGTGGTTCCACCATCCCTTCCACTTGATGCCTCACCCTTGTCAGCTGGCGTAACACCCATGACCCTTGTTCAAACTCTGTGCAGAGAAGCTCGGCTAAAGATGACCCCCCTGGCTCTGCGTCCGGGCCTGCCAATCCAAGCGCCATAGCCCACAGGGCCTTTGGTCCTTCTCGCTCGCCGACTCACGGCCTGCCCAGAGCGCACAGGCGGCACCCTCAGCCCAAAGGGAAGGCCGAAGGGGCCTTCTCAGCCCACGACTAAGCTGTGTCTTTCGCTCGTCCCGGGCTGCTTCAGGCCAATGCTCAGCACTGCTTGACTGTCCTCTGACTCGTCACTTTGTTCACGCCAATCGATTGCAAAAGTCTTGATCTCGTCATATCTTTTGCTGACTAGAGCATACGTAGCTACAATTACTGTAATCAAGTTGAATCAAATCATATCTCAAATATCCTCAGCTCAATTGAGGCTTTTCTCTATAGGCCACGACGAAAGAGAACTGTGCTCGTGCATCAGTAACTCTTAGGGATAAACCTGCTTGCAGTGCTGATCATCACACGTTGCGATCATCAGGACCTAGCGCCTACTCCCGACACACTTCCGGTTGTTCCTACCCTGCTCATGAAAACTGCCCGTCTCCAGTTGCTGGGCCTGCCTAGCATTTCCAATGGCGATCGATACTAACTCGGACCCGGCTGTTGATTTTGATTCTCCGAGCATTATTGTGGGAGCCTGCATCTTGCAAAAAGCACACCCGACATTTCTGCTGGTCACGTCAGTGAGATTAGCGGGCCAGCCACGGTCGTCGAGACATTCGATATGGCTTGATGTCTAGCAGATGGGCAATCCGGTTCATGCACGAGAGAGACAATAATAGGTGTGTCTAAACGAATCACTAATGATGGGAACGATATGTCTTGCCCTCAACGGGCCTTGGAACTCACGCCGTGGCTATTAGGTAGGTGCATGTACGGATATAGAGACAGCTTTGCAATTTCTGCACCGATATAGCAATGCAATGCATTCCGGTTAGCGACACCTCGTACGGAACATACTTCGTAGTTACTGGCCCTTTCATCGGCAGTCTAGTCAGAATGGTTCTGCACATTTCCAAGAATGAGATGGTTGGTACTGCTAGAGTGTCCTGTTTACATCACTACTACGGAACTATGTGAGACCTGGAAGAAGCTCGACCTGTCGATCAACCCAGTTCCAGTCCTTCCCTGGACAAGCACACGCTCAGGCATTGATCATTGCTATTGAGACAAGTACTAAACTTTTCCTTAACGCCACGATCGATGCTCCAACCAAGGCACTGAACATCAGGTTGAAAGCAATTGTGTGGTGATGGTCCTGTCATTGGCGCCTTCAGAGAATTACGGTTGCCAAGAAGTCGGTGGACGGCGCTCCGACTCGCCGACGCCGACTTCCCTTCGACTGGATTTTCAAAGTCACTGGACGCATCCAGGTGACTTGATGACGGAGTGGGCATCACTTTCCAAGACACAACACACCAGCATTGCGCACGCCAACCTCCCCAGTAAATTGTCAAGAGTCATTCTGGATGATGAAGTCTTTGTGGCTTCAATCTTGGCTCCCTCAAGCATTTGATTATCAGGCTGGCGCAGAGGAAATTTCATATGTGTACGGAATATCCGTATAGTATGACACCTTCGGATCCTGTGGCGCATCCGGCGTTTGGCCAGAGCAATGTCCCCTAAACTCCAATGCCGAGAAAGCACCATCGCAGGTGAATCGGAGGCGAGTTTCGACGGTTGCGTGCATCAAACGTCATCAGTGTGGTGTTCTCTGCCCTGTTTCTCCTTACAGCTTCTGCTTGAGCATAGGCGAGCGTGCTTAAGTTTTTGTCGCAAACGGTTCTATTCGATCATACAACCGAGTCACTATACTCGTTGCGTGAAGAAATCCGTCACTAGCAATGCAATTGACAATGTTCGCACAGAGTACGGAGTACGGATACCTCCCTCCTACCTCTCTGTGGCCTGCCGTGTGGGCTATTAGCTCTGACTCTGAGCCCGTTCCCCCGCTTAATTCAAGAGGCAGGTCCCTCTGCTCCAGAGTGGCGTTTGATAAACAACAGATTGGCGTCGGCGACAACGGCGCGAGAAATGCCGATTGACAGAATGAGTGGCCACTCTTAGCGTGACCGCGTATTGGGTTGTGGCGCGCCAGAAAACTCTGGGGAAGCTGGTTTGACACCAACCACAATCTCGGCCTTCCGGCGAAAACCAGGTTCGAGCCAGGTTTCTGAAAATTGCAGTGGCAGTTTCGGAATGTATCTCAGTTTCAACCTCAGTTATTTGCTGATTTGTGGGCATATAGGAAATAACATATACTCTTTCGTTGATGCTCAATTTCCAAATTGGCAGATTGCAAGTTTGCAATGCATCTACGGGTCAGACTGCCATCAATGTGAACTGCACTAATTGGCACAATAATCGGATAACCACACTACATGGCCAAATTCAACTAAATTTTGCACGACCGGCTTTGTATCTCTTCCTCGCGTTCATCAACTACAATGGTCGAGTCAGGTGCTCGTATTCCACCGTGAACACGTGCAATAGGTTATTGAGCAGCCCTGAACGATGTCGCTCAACAACCGATTTCGAGCCTTTTTATGGCTCCATAACACGAAGTGTATATCGGCGTGATCACCTATTTGAGCACCCCAGCACTAACGCTACCTGTACTCCGCTTGAGACCTGTACACGAAATGCAGCCCTCTCGATCGATGTCTACTTTAGCGAAGACAATAGTTCCAAATCAATCGCATGTTTGAAGCAAGCTTGGACTTTGGATCCTGAAGCAAGCCGTGTCTTGAATCACCCATCGGATTGAGGGACTGAACTTGCAGGATAATATTGATTCTTGCCATTTCTTTCCAACTGTACGGAGTAGATCCGACCTGCGTACTTCGTATCGTAGTCAATACCGAGTATTGTCGCTTCTGCTGTTGTTACCTTTACAGCTCCAAAAGATCCTCGGCTATGCCAATAACATTTCGCTTCCATTGGCATTCCTCATCATTCGATGTGGTTCTTTCAAGATTGCCGGAATTATGGAAAGCAAGGGGGTGTGTTTCAACTTCTATCCACTCTTATGTTGATCGGTGGGTATACTCCTCGACTGGGTTTAATGATGGCCTTTGATATTGGTGGATCATGACAAGCAATATGGATAGACATTTTGACTGGAATGTAGAGATTTACCAAATTCTGTCCGGAGTACCGTACTTCGTAAGAGGGTAGCACGGGCGTGGTATCCAAGTCTTGGGCCCAACCGTTTCAGTTTCCCTTGCTGATACTTGATTCTACGAATCACTCAGGCTGTGCTCCAGGAGGAGTTCCACCTGGAAAAAGCTTAGTTCTGCTTATCGATAGGCAGCCTAATATCAAATCCTTCGAACCTCCCTGGATTTGGCTATACGGTGCCGACTTGTACGTGGCCCGTACACAGCACACGGGGTGATCTTCTCTGTCGATCTTGTAGCATCCTCTCTATCGCCTAATGAGCTTTCTCGTTGAGTCTAATGAAATATGCAGGCCGCTCTTACGACAAGTTTTGCCGAACACCAATCTTTTGAAGGGTTTCAGGGACACGGGATGCTGGACGGCATGAAATCTCCAACTGATGATACATCATTCTCAATCCTATGTACTCCCGTTCATTGACCGGTACTATATCTCAGTCGTTACGTGGATTGCTTGGAGGCTCTACTGATCGAGAAAGCCTGTTCCTTGGAATCAATCCTTTCGCCATCGAAGCCCACTTTGAGGACGAGATTTAGGCGCCCGCTATCTTTGTTACTACTTGACAACGTGGAGTGGCAATCTTTAAACCACTGTAGCATTAGAGCAAGGCTCTTTGACCTCGAAATAACTATCTCTGTCATCAAACATATGCAGTAGTGGCTGCACCTAACCATTTGATATCCCATCACACGTTAGACGAATTCGAAACATGCATGCGCCGTCAAGTTGAACTTGTTCATCGACCCCAAGCGAAGTTCTCCAGACACGTCTTACTTACACACTCACAACATTGATTTGACAAATGATCTGACCTACATGAAGCTCCCAACTCCCGAGACATCTTCGCAACTCATAAACTTTCGATGAAATGTCAAGATAAACTGTTCACATACCCCATGGCCCTGCAACTTGCACGTTTCGGTAGCCGAGGGGTAGGTCGACCCGTTGTGTAACATTAATCTACTACCTCCCAATGGCCTCGCTTCTTCTACCAGCCAACTGCAGCATTTCAGAAGCGCTGTGCATGCTTCCTCATACTTAGGGTTCTCATCGTATTGCACAAACCCACTTGTTCGCATATGATCCCGGGGTCATTATTGACAAGTGCTTACTCTGTGCAGACAACAGGATGAGCAATATCAATGCTGTCGAAATCTGATGCCCATTGGCCTCTGGCAGAGCTAGTTGCACCCACTGCTTGGAGCAGACTTTGACCAATGATACTCCCATGGTAGATTTCCCCCAGAGCCAGCACTAAGGTACTTGCGAACCCTTTCTGGTAGGAAGGAGTTGAAACCTTAGCCTGCGTTCCTGATATCGCTCATTCCCTGTACGATGTGACTTATTGCAATGAAAGACAGTGGTATGGCTTTCAAACTTCATATCTCTAAAGGCCATATGCTGCTCAGACTTGAAGCACATCCAAGGACTTGAGGGTGTATCGTGCAATGCAAAAATTGGTGCAGATCAACAGTTGCCAAATGGACCGAATTCCATGGCTGGTGCCAAACCCTCCTGGTGTTGGCTCCATCAGGGCCAATAACAACTGACTGATTTCTGCACATTCGCACAAAACCCCTCGAAAGGACGACAATCGCTATTCTACATTCGTATGCATGGTCAATTTCAAGTTGAAGGAAGAACAAAGTTTCCACCCTATGCCTGAATGGGTTGAAGTGAGGTTTATCCATGATCAACCCCTTATCGATAGCACCCACAGCGTCCAGGGGCATATCGATAGTGATACGCGTCATCCTCCAGAGCGGAAGTATCGGTCCCCGACAACATAATTCGCCCCCTTTGCCAAGTCATTCTTTCCTGCGATGATCAGCCATGTCTCATGATACAATTCAGTCTAGAGCACAGCAAAACAGGCCTGCCACTATCGAGGACTAGCGATATACTCGCAATGTGAAAATATCCAGCAGAGACACTCACAGCGCAAGGATCCTAAAATGGTAGGTTTATTTCGGAGTGATCATACGAGGGATTCCTGTTGGGTCCCAGCTTCAATGGAATCCTCCTATATCCGTTTTCAGACCCCATCGTCTCAGAGAAGCACAAGCTGGATCAGAAATTCTAACGTGGATGCTTGCACGCAACCAAATCAGACGCACTCTCTCCACCTAGGTACTCGGTAGCCAATACTAGAGAAAGCAGTGAATAGATCACACTATTCACACAGCCTCGTACGATCCCATTCTTCGGCACCGGTGCTACAACTTCGCCCCGTGAAAGCAGTCTCGGTGTCCACTTGTATACTACTTATCAGTCACTAGCAGGGGCTCTCTAGCCCCTATACCTATATCCGGAGAATCGGCCGGCAACAAACTTGCCCGAGATATCAGGTATTGTTTGTTCTTGGTTTGCTCGATCCAAGTAACCATACCAACTCCGTAAGTTGATGATTACAGCAACTTGGATGGCTAGAGTGATTATTTCGCCATCCAAGTCAGAGTTAGTGGCACGTGGCTGTGGTGACCATTCCCCTGTACCGATTTAAAGATCGTGGACCCGACATGGGTGACGGATTCTAACGCACACAGATACATGGCATCTCCTATTCTTCGTGATATCCTACTCGAGAAGCTCGGTTCAGGTATGTCAGATCCCTCCGACTAGGCTGCGCAAAGGAAGGAGCTATCATACGAGTACATCTGGCCCAGCCCGGATGCACCTAGCTGACTTCGTTAGTTCTCAGGCATACCTAGGTAGCCCACCATCAGGAACTCCTGCTCCTTCTCCCGCTTGAGTTCATGCGAGCTCTAGGCGTCGTTGAGGCTAAGCATCTACAAACTTCACGCTTTGACCTGCCGCCCGGCAAGATCAAAGCCAGGATACTCCTCGACCCACTCTGTATCTTTTAGGCCATTGCCTGACTCAGATGGTGGCTTCCTCCTGCGTGCTGATCAATTTTCTGGTGTTCGGACGATCCTGGTCCATATTCAACCTTTCCAGTTCCTTGAATCTTCGACGGAGTCCCGTCGCCGGATTTCCGTTAGTAGAACACAGAATTTCGAGCAACGCTCAATCTGGCGAAGGAAGAACAGGAAGACAGGAGCTTCCTGCCTTCAGCCTTTGCCAGCACCCGAATAACTGTGCTTCCGTGTTAGCTCCTCTCCATGCCCAAGCTAACCCAATCCATGCCCCATCGGTTATATATCCTCTCTTCGTTCAAAGAGGAATGTGTTGCAATGCATATTCAAAAATGACTCCTACCAATGCTAATCATCCGGGGAGTGACGAATCATTTCCCATGATTATCCTCCGATGAATACACATGGATGCTGGGGCAGAAGCCTCGGAGCCTCGGAGCCTCGGAGCCTCGGACCCCAAATACTGTGCATGAGACAAGTGCTCGCTTGACCATAGGAGCGAGACGACCAACATGAACATGAGCACGATCATAAAACAATGCAGGCTTTCGCATCACAAGGGGTTGACCATGAGGTAGATCATGACACCCAATTGTATCTCTATCTCACGTAGAATCATTCTATCGTAGTCATGGTCCCTATGAATGCAAGGCTTCCACGATGACTAGTTTTCGCCCCTTCAGGGTCGTATATCAACATTCGGCGTCATTGTCAGTAATACCACTCAACCAAAGCGGCCGCCAAAGTAAATATTCTTCCTAGAATCAAAATCTCTTCTCCGTCAGAATGACAGTAAGAACGACATCTCAAAGTTGATCCAAACCATAGTGGCGCAGAGGTAAGAATCTCGAGGTACCGATGCCGTGGCAAAAATCCGACAGAAAAATATTCGGAGTATAATTCGGCCCACACCAGATCATTCCAATGCTGACTCCACAGCCAACCTCCTTGATATCAGGCATTAGCGAGGCCCAGGGCTGGATCCGCTGACGATACACACCCACTCAGTCATTCAGTCATACACACTCGTCCACGATCCCTCTGCAGTATGCACATGCTTGTCTGCCTGAGACAAGTAGCTGTGCGGTAAGATCCTCGCGGACCGTTTCTGGGGGGAGTAATCAGGGACCATAGAACGCCTGATGTGGGATCAAGTACGCATCAGGCGCGGTGCCAGTACACTCGAAAACTACTGGAATGGGCAGGCGGGCAGGCATGCATGCATGCAGGGAGGAATCTGAAAGAGTCCCAAGTTTGAAGATCTTTTCTTTTCTGTCTCTAAATGAATGGCTATGTGCTTGTCTCTGCAGACTGTATGATCAGAGTAGTGTAGTATATCTGGAACGCATTCGGGTGGCATTGCACTGCTTCGCTCCGCCCGGTGCAGTGCATGTATGTGGTTTTGGATATCAAAACACGCATGCGCATGCGATTGATGTCCAATTGGCGTTGTTGCAATCATAGCCCAGTTGGGCTTTTGATGCAAGTTCCCCGTTCCTTCATTGGGGTATATTTAAGCTGGCCTCTTTGCAAAGCCGCAGTTGTGTGCTGTTGTCCAAAGGATTGAGAGAACAGGCTCAATGCGTGTCTGTCATCAGCTCATATGTGAATCTGCCTCATAGGCATCACTCCTTCTTGGGAGCGCATGCAACTGGCGAAAGCTGCCTTTGCACAACACTTCGCCGCAGTTGATCTCTCTGGTGGTTCCAACTGTGGTAAGAGCCAGCTCACCATGCTGTCCAACAATATCTTCTGCCGCAGGAAGTGTATCCAACATCTCGAGAGGTGTGTATGTATGTTGGGGGAGGCAGACACTGGCATAGCGTTGCCCACCCTTGCTTCTCTCACGCCGGTGTCTCGAGCTCAGCCACACGCTCAATCAAGGCAGCCTCGCGCAGTGCAGCCGTGGAGCTTTCACGCAGCAAAGTCGTGATTCGATTGATGAGCGTAACCTTCTCTGAGCAGAGACGTGTGACGCTCTCTCGTAGCATATCAGCCTCCACATATGTGGCGTCTTCAATGAGACGGGGAAGTTTTCGGAGCTTTCGTTTGACGATTTGCACTTCCTCGACATCGATTATGTCTTTCTCAACCCCTTCTCTGCCCTTCGTCTTCACCTTCACGACCTTTTTGTTGACTCTGTTGTCGGATTGATTGGGTTTCTGGTGCTCAGGGCGACTGCCAGCCATGCTGAAGAGAAAAGTGGTCTAGTTATCACAAAGTTAGTTTCAACTTTCAAGTCGAAGGGGATTACAGATCACAAGCCCAGAGAGTGGAACAAACCTTTCAAAGATATTTCAGTTGATGAGGAAGTTGACAACACAATCGTCTGGCAGGTTTGGTTGAGAGGGAATAGTGGTATGCAGATGAATTGTGGCAAAGAAGGAAGAAGAGTGGTGGAGAGAAAAGATGGCAGGAAAAGAATGGAATCAAAGTGAGGAATCCTTACGAGGAGAGTGAAAAGCTATGAATGGAAATGGACAGAGAGTGAAGTGAAGTGAGGTGAGGTCTCAGTAGGAACGTGAATGCTAGGCTGAGTCTGATTGTTGTGAAGATCTGTAGCTCTCTACTGAGAGTCAAACTTCATTCACTTACTCAATAAAGCTCAATGATCATTTCACCAATTCACTATGAATGAAAATCTGTGAGTTCTGATATGTGGACCAGCGATGATAATCTCAAGATGTGCCGTTCGTGATTCCTATACTCCAATGCAGCCCAAGTCAAGAATACAAGACCAGTCGATGATCAGATATCGATGTCGATGTCTATTCCAAGATCCATGCTTGCCAATATCTCATCATCCAGTGCTGCTTTTCTGATGGTGGGAAGGCCCGTCTTTTTCTTCTCTGCAACTGGCTTGAAGAGGGTCGGATTGGGTGTCGAGCTGCGAGGGGCCCCATTTGAGGTTGCCAAAGGGTTGGGTGTAGCTGCTCGTGAAATGCTCGCTGCAGCCTTCGGTGTACCGGAACCATTTACAGGTGTACCAGTCCTGCTGATATCACTTCCTCCTTCGAACAGCTCCTCGATTCCTGGCGCCAAATGTCTCTTCTTCACCTTTCGTGCCTTCAATTCTGCCAGTTGTGCCTTACGAACATTCTCTGCGTTGAGCCTCTGATTCCGAAGATTGAGTTCGGCCAAGCGTTCTTGTTCCTTGTTGACATAGGTATTTTCCGGACGTGAAAGAGTCGTGCCGAAGGCAAGCTTGATCGGCACAATATTCTCGAGTTGATGCTCTAGATCTGCCACAGCTTCATCATCTCCATCGGCAGCGGCTTGGCTGATTTTTTCTCGAAGACTTTCCTTTTCCTGAGTTCTTGATATTTTCTCCAGAAGTTCGTTTTGCTTCTTGAACTTCTCAGAGATCTCGTTGTCCGTGTATCGATGGTTCAGAAGTCTGTGAATTTGATCAAGTTTGGAATTGATTAGACCTTTGGTAGGCATCTTCAAGTCGTCATTGGCCATAGTTGATCTGTAGCGTCGCCATTCATCGTCCGTGAATTTTGACATTGAGCATTCGAGAAAAGACCAAGGTCTCTCGGCTTTGCCATGTCCAGCTCGTATGTACATTTCGACAGGGAAAGGCTTGCCATTTGACCCAGTCATCGCGTATGGTTTGCCTTTTGTGAAGCCTTTGATCAAGCAAAGTCGATATTCGTTGACACCTGGAGTACGACCAGGCCCAAGACAAACTCGGGCATAACAGTCTGTGATGGCATCTTCGAAACCAGGAGTGTAGCAGACCTGAGCAAAATTGTCACGACCAACACGGACTCTCTGGATATCGGCCAGTTCCGCGGTGGGATCATCTTTAGGTGGTGTCGGCGTTCGTTTTCGATATTTCCGCTCCTCAAAGTCATTATCGCTTTCGGCGTCAGCATCGGCGTCACTGTAGTCGTTGCGCGGTGATGCTGGTCTCCTGGAGAACCCATCTTTTTTGCGCTGCTCATCCCGAAGATTCTTCTCTGCTCGCTGAAGTTTGTATGCTTCAATCGCACTGCTGGCTTCTCCAACTCGACCGCCTCCCACTTTTGTACGTTGTCGAGTGCTCTTCCGCTGACCGTCGTCTAAATCGGCAGCGCTTGCCTTGCGCTTGTTTTTGGCGGCATTTTTGGCTTCTTCTTTGGCGCGAGCTGCGACCAAGCGACGCAGAGTCAGATCTTGCTCGTGTCGTTCGACTTGTTCACTTCGTTGCGCAAGGATCTCTTCTCGCTCAATTTCTGGGAGACCATCGATCTTGGTCTTGTCTGCAGAATCGTAGTAGAGTTTTTCGTAGGGAAAGATCGGCTTGTCAGCTCCTGGGCTGAAGTCGGCCTCGGAGTCAGATTGAGACATGGAAGCAGACTCGGAATGCTGAGATAACGACGACCTGTATGATATGTCAGCATGACGCCGATTACTCTTGGATGATCAGAAGCCTACAGATCATCTTCATCATCAGAGTAATTCTTGCGGCGTCTAGCACGCTTTGTAGGTTTCGCGACACCCTTTCGAGCCATATCGGGTGGCGGGGATTCTCTGGAAGGTTTCTTTGAGTGGGATGGCGAAGGTGATTTGCGTTTAGGGGAAGAAGGCATGCTTTCCTCGCCGGAGGAGTCTCCTCCAGCGAGAGCAAGTAATTCCGCATCGAGGTCGGCCATTGTGTAGGCAGTAGGAAAGTGATCAGTGAAGGAATTATAGGCAACACAGATGACACAATGCGCTTCACGTGTGATAAGGAATATAGATTTGAGAATAAATGGCGGCGCAAGGCTCGGATAGATTGTGATCAACCAGGGGGTTGATGGTGGTTTCTTGCTTGATGGTTAAAGGGAACAAGGAGGAAGCAGATGCGGGACTGAACAGTGATGGATGGCGCAAAGGTCCCAGTTGATCACTCAAAGAAAAGAAAGTTGTCAAGTTTTATAAAGCGCAGATGGGTAAATAGAACGACAGAGAGTGAAGCAAGTAGTGAAAGCCGCATGTGAGAACAATGGACAGTGAAGGGAGGAGAGAAGGGACAGAAACAGGAACACAAACAAAAGTGAAAGACGAGGTTGAATCTTTCGAGTCATGAGTAGGTCGCAGACGCACTTTTGCATGATTCGTGCTGATCCGCCGTAGTATCATCATCTGATATCAATTACGGTGGAATTCTGAGTCAGGTTAACCACATAACTTTCGATCATTGAAGTCACCACGCTTCACTTTCTTGCAGCCAGTAGATGACAATCCGAGTTTGTATCCAACATGCACACCATGCGCTATCAAAGACTATCGTTATTATCAAGCCAATTTCTTCACCGACCTATAACATGCAGACATGTCCCAGTCTCGCGGCACATGTCTTCACAGAATATCAACTCTGAGTCCCAAGCACCACCTAGGACGCCACTTTCGGACGAGCAACGGAGATTTCTTGACAGTGCCCTGCGTGTTAACCAAGCCGGCGAACTTGCCGCTACTCTAATATACACAGCCCAGACACCACCGGTCGTCAAAGCACACCCTCACCTGCGATCATTGATGAAGCACATGTATGATCAAGAAGCTGGACATTTCAAAACTTTCAATGAACTATTGGCAAAACACCGCGTTAGACCTACTGCCATGTATCCTGTCTGGCAGGCAGCTGCGTCAGTCCTGGGATGGACAACGGGCATGATGGGTAGGGAGGCTGCAATGGCCTGCACAGAAGCTGTCGAAACTGAGATTGGAAATCATTATAATGGTCAGGTACGGGAACTATTTCGGTGGATGCAGGAGCTGAAAGACAAAGGAGAAGAGCTGGACCCGGAACTGAAGGTGTTGATTGATGACATTAAAAGGATTCGCGACGAGGAGTTGGAGCATCTGGATCATGCGCTGGAGAACGATGCCAAAGAAGCAAAACCATATGAGCCCATCACTGATATCATTCGTTATGGTTGCAGAAGTGCGATCTGGATAAGTGAGCGGGTATAAGTAAGGTATGCTGAGTGATCACTCTTGGGCCAAATCCGATCTGTTGAGACACAGCATGTCACTTGCCGCCCAATACCTGACCAATGATGCCATGGTGATCCAGAACACATGCCGGCAGCTTGATAGACAGCCACCGTGGCTCACGTGGATCAACCAGTCCAATATGAGAAGATTTGTTCTGCCATCTAGCTCATTTCTTTGGGCGATAAGGCAAGAAAGTTGGCTTGATCGAGGCCTTCTCATGTGTGGTGACAGGCTCTTCCACGACGCTGGTGTTCATGAAGTCATGTCGCTTCTCATCCAAACCCTCCATGATCGAAACTGAAGCAGCCCTGGTTCGAGGTGGTGTTACCTTTCGAGATTGAAAATACTCTTCACAGAAAGGACAACGACTCATGACCCAGTCTTCTGGAACCTGCAAGCCGTTGCAACACTCAATGACGCGCATGTTAAGGTTCCATTCCTTGCCGCCTTTACATTGTTTCATAATATGGCGCGTGTGGTTGTCACATCCGAGATAAACGACCTTGATGGCGAAGCACATCTTGAGGCTTTAACAATGACAGCCTTTGGTTGGTTGAAGGATAGGCATCGAAGGATTTCCACTGGCAGGAAGTTATCTTGGAGGATTCACCCGACTGTATTGAAGGTCGAGAGCTTTCGAGATGTTGATGAGTCTGTGTTTGGTCAATATCTGCCAAGACTGTCAGCGGTCGGATCCTTGAAGAAGTGATTCCATACGTTCCTACCTTGTATCACATCCGACAAGACCAATAAACGGGTTCAGAGCGCAGGTTTTGGTAAGCTTGCTTGAGGGAGAGATAGGACTGAGTGGATGAGATGGCAGAAGAGGTGGAAGTCTTGTCGGGTTAAGAAATACTTTGTCGAATTAGGATCTGGACTTTCGAGATGCTCGGCGTTGCTCAGTGTGAAGATCTAGAGTGAAGGGTCGCTATGAATATCATCTCATGATCAGGCTTCAGCTGTGAAAACAGGCCTCTTGGTGCGGAAGGAGGCATTCACATCGAACGCGTTCAAGTTGTGAAAAAACGGCTGTTGTTGCGTTCGTGGATGCGGTGACAAAGTGGCAGGAACAGCTCACAAGCCGCGCCCTTGTCATTTGCTCCATCTCAACACGTCAACCTTCAGTCTATCTTTGTTTCACACACTACAACTATCAGTCTTTTCAACAATCGCTCATCACCCACTGATCTGATTCAATTGTGTATGCTTAATTGCCGGTTCCTGATACTACAAGTACTGGAATCCTCTTCAATTGGCATCACTCTTCACCACTGCAGCAACCATTAACCACCGTCTATCACCAACAACGGTGACCCTTCAATACGAAATCCTAACAAACAAGAATCTCCACTCTCCCCAAAATGTGCCGATACACGCTTCATATCTGCCCCTACCCTGATCATGATCCCATTGCCGCTCTCATCTTCAACCCAGCCAAAGCTGGACTATGGGAGCATTGTGACAAGCCAAAGCCTTGGGGCAAGTTGAGCTGCGGAAATCTCAGCATCGTCCATCCTACGAACATGACCTCATCAACCGTTTGGCTTTCGCCACCACCTGTCCTTGCTCCACGCGACAATAATGTGGGCAGCATTGGAAACGAGAAGCACACTGCTGCCACCAAGAGCGTTGACCACACTGCAATCGAGATCACCGAAATCACGCCCAATGATGAGGAGGTTATACTTGACGATGAACCATGTGTCTTGTGTTCGACCGTCCTCAAATTGGTGTCGACAAAATCCAAGGAACTTCAAGAGATTGCACGCCAGGCCCTAGTCGAATTCGAGTCAATCATGAATAAGAACCTAGAGTTGAGAAAGATGCAGGAGACCATCAATGTCAAGGCTGCGGAGATGGAAAGCATGAGACACGAGACTTGGAAAATGGCACATGCCTTACTCTCCCAGCAAGATGGCAACATGGACGAGAAGAGCTAGATCGAAGCAAGATGCATGGAACTCTCTCCTGACAGGCGTCGGGTTGCGCCTCATCAGGGTATCTACGGTATGGTTGGAATGAGTATTGTGGAGCCTCGGGTACACAGAAGATTATTGATCCAGTCTGAGTCAATGCCATTAAGGGTAGTCTCCTTTGGGGGGATATCAGTATGATATCAATATGCTACCACACTGGCATATGAACAGAAAAGTACTCTTGTGCTCATCAATGTTGGTGGTTAATGATCATCATTTCACAATTCTATCTTTGACTTTGTAAAGCCGTGATCTTCTCTGCCCAAACCATAGCGGTGAGGATTTCTTCTATCGGTGGACCGCACCTCTCGCTTTCTTCTGCCATTGTGTCTGTAACCAACCTCAGTATATGCTGACACGTCGGATATATGCTTTCCCATTCGTTCTCTTCCGATGAAAATTGACCCATATATTGGTCCTGATCGATTGTTCAGTACAGGGGTAATGCAGTATTCGCCAGCCAGCCATGCGATGCGATGTGATGCAAGCCATTCGAATTGATCGGAAGCGACAAAGACGCCGTTTCTCCAATATCCCATCTCCCATGAAACGCCGTTGAATGTCGAAGCAACAAAGTGTATGTATGTGCAAGTAGCATATCATTCAAACGCCCCGTTGATGCGTGACCATACTTCGCAGTGGTCGAGGAGACAGGCAATCATTTATTTATTCCACGCAGCTCGATTCGCTGCCCTTCTCTGTCCAAGAGCAACGCTGGCGGGGTCACGGACCATGTATATCCACAGACCCGTGGGTAATAATGCTGCGCTGAAAAATCCCAGGAACTGCAGACCGTGTGTCGATGCGGGCGTCGCGGCGACTTTCCAGCAGAGAGGAGTCATTTTTGGAGTATATAGGGTTTTGTGTGGTTAAGGGATATTGAGTTGATTTTGATTTGAGGGTGTTTTGGTGTGATGGAAGGTGATGATGTTGTCGTTGTTCTATTGATGGTGATGGTGTCTGTGTGTACCTATTGTATGTATAGACGAATTCCCACGCAAGACCTTAAGTAGGAAATGCATGTTCGACCAGAGTGAGCCATATTCCGCCGAAAGCCGTGTCATTTTCGGTGGTGGTGGTGGTGGTGTTGATTGTCGTTGTAGCTTGTACACAGCTCGAGGGATTGTCACGCCAGAGGCATCAAAGTCGTGGTGTGATGATTACGGCAGCCTCCGCCCTCAGGTGATCATACCACTCAATTTTTGCATGTTGACGTACCTGGCACAGCAAACATGCTGTGTCCTTGCTTGATCAAGCAATGGTTTTCTTGCATGTCACCTTACCTTTGATTTGGATGAATTGTTAATCTCCTGGTTTTCACGGGCTTTTGTTCCGGCATTCTCCTTATGGCTTGACCCTGCTGCACATTTGAGCCTCAATCGCGCTTGACCGATTGTCGTCATTGTTTCAATCTTTCTGTTCTCACATCCTGTGCTGCTGTAACTTCTGTTGAGTCAGCTGTGATTGTGAGGGTCAAATCGATGGATTCTACGAGAGATGTTGGGTTGAGGAGCCATGCTTCTCGAAAATCCCTCTGGTGGAGGTTGTGGCTGGTTTTGCTTTTCCAGAGAACACTGAGCGAAAAAGGTTAACCGAAGCTGCGAATAACTGCACTGCTTTAACTGAACCATGGAATGCTTAACAGTGACCATGAGCAACATCATGCTGGCCACGATGAGTACAAGGCAGTTTGTATCAATGCATCATCGCAGATATGAATAGGAAGTTTACTCCGTAGCTGCTGTGCAACAGGTATCTACATACCTAGCTACAATGTATATGCACAAGATTGCCCGCATGCCACATGATCCCCTCTCCAAAGCCCCCGCATCCCCCACTTTCGCACATATCATATTTTTAAACCTCGAAAAAATGCTCCAAACTTTGGACAGAGAATCACCATTCTCTGATCCAATCTACTCCAGGGAAGATGGCCGAGCGGTTATGGCGCGTGACTCAAGTACTTTGTATCTTCGTCCAGTTCAACTGGACCGTGTTCTCGTAGGGAAACCTGCGTGGGTTCGAATCCCACTCTTCTCATTTTTTGGCTTTTTTTTGTGTTGGTGAGCCTTTATTGGTGTTGCTGGTGTGCAGATATTCACTGAGAATTGGTATGTTGCATGGAGATCGAATAGGGCTGTAATTTCGTTCACTAGGCAGGACTTACATCATAGCCAAGACCGAGACACCTCAGCAGTCTGGAGGGGCAAGGGGGTTCTCAAACTTGGAAGCTGACCATAACACCAGTCTACAATTTCAGAGCACTCAAGTACTGGTAAGAGTATTGAGTATTCTTTCTTCTTACTAGACAATTGCAGATGCACAAACTCCTTGCCATAATCTGCAACGAACATGTCTGAACCAGCATCCGCCAACATCACCTCACGGTTCGCCAAGCTGAACCCATTCTCCAAGTCAAAGGGGAAAGTTGATGATGAGGATATCGGAGAAGAGGTCGATTCCTCTACTGTTGCAGGTGGAGGCCATAGTGCTCGGGAGAGCGATGTGACCAAAAGTCAACTCAAAGTGAGTAAGGCAGTCCGGTCGTTCCTGGTCGACGAGAGAGTTCTTTCAAAAGATGAGGCTGGACTGGATGACTCCGACCATCTCAGTCATGGGTTGAAAGCCTTACTCGACAAGCCACATATCAATGTCCCGAGAGAAGTCACGGATAGATCCCATCCACTGCCTGATTACTTCATCAGTTCAAGCCACAACACCTACCTCATGGCTCATCAACTGTTCGGTACTTCGTCTGCGGGTGCCTACGAAACTGCACTTATTGCTGGAGCTCGCTGCGTGGAAATCGATGCATGGGACGGGGACCAGAACAAGGATGAACCCAAGGTGACCCATGGATACACGCTCGTATCCAACATCCCGTTCCGGGCCGTTTGCGAAACCATTCGAGATGTTGTCGACAAAGAGGCCGCGTCCGCAGTAAATGCTCAAGGATATCGGGCAGCCCCCATCCTACTCTCCCTTGAGAATCATTGCGATGCACATGGCCAACTTCGTCTCGTTCAGATCATGAAGGAAGTGTGGGGCGACAGACTTCTCAGTTCTGCAATTCGCCAGAAGGGCCACGAAGAACAGCAGGGTACTGGTGCACACGTTCGCTTGGACGAACTAGGTTCCAAGATTGCTGTCATTGTTGAGTATCACCTACCGGATGAGCCAGATGACAGCAGCGACTCCAGCTCTGATTCAGAAGACGAATCCGACAAAGCTGCTCGAAAAGACTATAAAGATAAGAAGAAGGCTGCCCCTTCGATCATTATTCCCGAGCTTGCCGAGTTGGGTGTCTATGCTCAATCAGTGAAGCCCGCAGACAACTCTTGGTATGATAAAGTCGAAATGAACAACAGTCCTCACCATCCATTGATCAACCTTTCCGAATCCGGCCTACTGTCGCATATGCCAACCCACAGTCAAAAAATCGCCATCAACAACTCACAGCACCTGATGCGTGTCTATCCTAAAGGAACTCGTATTTCTTCAAAGAATTTGAAGCCATTGCCATTCTGGGGAGTTGGCGCTCAAATCTGTGCCCTGAACTGGCAGACGTTCGGTGCGAGCATGCAACTCAATGAAGCCTTGTTCAGTGGGACTGATGGATTCGTCCTGAAACCTGCAGCACTTCGCACAGGCGGCGACGGCAAGTTGAACAAAGGTCGAAAGAGACGGCTACGACTCTACGTGGGAGGCGCAACGGACGTCCCACTACCAGCAGAAAGCCAACCAGATGACATCAAACCCTATGTGACCTGTACGCTTGTGCACCCAGATGACCTCGAAGACAATCCACAGAAGCGAAAGACATCTGGCTACAAGCAGCACAAACTCGGTCTTCTTCACAAGGGCGAGAATCCACCACCAACGGACCCCATCTGGAATGAGAAGCTTGAGTGGGACTATGAAGATAACGATCTGGCGTTTCTCCGCATAATCTTGAAGAGCGATGATAGCTTTGCGAGGAATCCGATGCTTGCTGTGTCGGCGGTGCGTCTCTTGTATGTGGCGTCTGGTTGGAGTTTTATTCGACTACTGGATCTTAAGGGGAGAGAAACGAAATGCACTCTGCTTGTCAAGTTTGAGTTTGAGGATATCTGATATGGGACTCCCCTGCTTCTGAGAGAGTATTGGGAATGTTCCTGAGCTTCATACAGCAAACATCGCACCATTGACCATGATGGAATCTCATTCAAGTCGAGCGTTGCTAATGCCACGAATTTTATGATATCATACGAGAAAATGATTGAAGCAGCGTCGTTAAATCCAGTGCATCTGATCCTTGAGAACATGATCTAGCCCACGGCCCAGATGTGCTACGATGGACTTCTGCTTCCAAGTCCATCAGATGTGAACGTCCCATGGGCATCCTATCTACCAAGCGAATTTCTCCCCAACCCACCCTTCACTGACCTCCCACAGCTTCTGTGCCTCCTCCTTCCCAGTCGCATAAGCCGGCACCCTCCCTAATTGACAGTCGCTAAGGAACGCTCCGTGCCCATCACTTTCCGGGAGGCTCAGCTTCGGATCCGTCGCCGCCACCAAGGTTGTGCTCGCACCTGCCTGCAGGCTTTTGAACACGATCCCATACTTTGTCTCTACGTCCTTGAGGCCGTCGAGAAATTCCTGTGGGCTGTTGCGGGACAGTTCGGTCTTGATTTCTCCGGGGTTGACGCTGAGCGAGAGTATGCCGTGTTTCTCATAGGCTCGCTCGTTCAGCCCGACACTGAAGACCACGGCTGCGGTCTTGCTTGCTCCTGGGCGTGCGTGTGAGGTTAGCGTACAGATCCGGTGGTTATTTTCGTCGAGCATTTATTCCCACCCCAGGTGGATATTAAGGAGCGCATGAACCAGGGCGCACTTGGTAGGTTGAAAATATGCGAACAAAGAAATGAACTTACCATAAGCGGCAATGAAGTTATATCCGAGCTCCTCATCAAAGTTGAACCCAAAAGCCTTCATCATCGCAAAGTTCGGTCTCTGCTGCTCCGGCAGCTGCGAAGCCCCCTTTTCATAGCGCAGATCATCAAATCGGATTGCCGATGCATTCACACCCATGCTCGCGAGGTTGACGACCCTGACCGACCCTTTGGGCGCGTTCTTCGCTGCGGCGATGAGCTTCGGGAAGATCAAGTTCGTGAAGAGGTAGTGACCGACGTGGTTCGTCGCCATGGTGAGCTCCACGTCGTCTTCGGTGAACGTCCGCTTGGGAATGTTCATGATGCCGGCGTTGTTGATGAGGATGTCCACCGTCGGGATATCTGCCCAGCCGTTGAGTTCGGCGGCGGCGGCACGCACGGATTTCTGAGAGCTGAGGTCGATGATCAATGTGCGGGTGTCCACAGCAGGGTATGCGGCTTTGAGAGCGTCGTGGCATTCCTGCAGTTTGGCTTGCGAACGGCCTGCGATAATTAGATGTGCGGGTCCTTGGGATGCAAAGGCTTCGGCGGTGGAGTAGCCGATGCCTTGTTTGTTGACACCTGTAATGATCACGGTGCGGCCTTTGATGGATTCTGGGAAGGCTGCTGCTACTGTGAATGCTTCGGTTTGCTTGCCAAACTCCGCGTGGGTAGTGGTGGTAGTCATGATTGCGGATGGTATGACAGTTCGTTATTGAAGGAGGAATTAGTTCTCGAGCGGGAGAAAAGACAAGTCAAATGGGAGACTGAGACACGAAGGAGTGCGATATTCGAGATTGACCTCTGCAGGGCTGAGGAGAAATATCAAGATATTCTGTAGAGCGGCTCATCTAGCCATACTTATAGCAATAAGAGTTCATGTCGTTGCAATATACGAATTGGGCCTTCCTAGAGTTGTAATACATGGTACGCACCCCATTGACGTCGACGAGCAGGAGTCATTGGCTTATGTCCGGTACCTTGCATGATTGAGGCTTACTAGCCTGCAGCTATAGACTTGGTTCAGTTTTAGGAACCCGCTGGTGGGCAGTCATACGCCCTTTGGTATCTAGTATGGGTTTGAAGGAGCTGTGTCTACCGGTGTTAAAGCAATGGCAAAGGACTGCAACTATCCCCATTCAGAGGTCGGTGGATGTCGGTGGGCGGGTCTTCCGAGTATACGAACACAAATGATTCGTAACAGACAGGGGGGCGATTGGCGAGTAACCGATTTGGGAGCAGGGAGTCGCATAGCAACAGGATGTTCATATCCAGCCATACTCGAGCCGAAAAGTATTTGATCTTTGCCTGAGTAACACGGCTGGGGTTAAGTGCTGCTGACTCCCCTTCTGGAACGTCACCAGACTTTGCGTGGCACGATTATTCTTTACCACCAAAGCACGGCGACATTCAGGTAAGATTCGATCCGGACTAGTGATACCTCCTTTCGCACGATTACTAGGTAAGCTTCATGATGGGACTTTGTGCGACAGAGCAATGAGACGAAGAAAGGACGGAATGTATTGAGTGTAACGCTGCATATCTTCACCAGCACAACTTTGTGCGCTGTTTGTGCAGGGTCAAGACGTTGAATCAGTCTGGTCGTTTGAAATAACAAGCTGTAGTCAGCGGGTGTAAGCGAGACAGGTCAATAATTTACCTAGGCAGTTCTCGGACTACTACTGTTGACATGGCAAGAATGAGGAGGAGATGAAGACAATCCTTCTAAATGTGGAACTTCTGCTTCACCATCCGGTTCGTCCGGGATCGCGCGAACTCGGACTGACATAACATTGGGGAACCAGCTTCGCAAGAGACAGATTCAGGACGTCACAATCGATGGGACACAAAAATTGGCAATCGAAAAGTTGGTTTTGATAGAGCTGATATCAGGCAGCAGCGATTCAAGCAGGTGGCATGGGATGCTGTGATGGCTTTGCCTAGCCGCTGGTAAGGAGTACTCAGCAGATTTGAATTTCGCAACTTCGACATGGATTGAGCAGTGTAATTTGTGAGGCTCCAAACGGTCCAATCTGCGATACCGAACAAAGTTGATTCCGATTGAAGACCTGCGAAGTCGAATGTAAGTTGAGAAGATGTGTATATTATTAGGGGTTGCCAGCCTTGCCAGAGGCGAGTGTTGCGTCATCTCTCCTCAGTCAAATTTAGAGGCCGAAGCGCACGAGATCCAGGCCCACGCTATTGCGCGGCAAGCTTCACAAGAGAGGAGCAAGTACGGCACCGCAAGATGCCAATGATATTTCGACCCTGGATGTTTGGACGTCGGGCTTCAGATATCCTACTACCTCACCACGGAAGTTGGAGAAAAATCGTGTTAGTGACCGGCGGCAAGCCAACATAACGGCTGGTGGCAATGCCATAACGTGAATCATGATTTCCAAACCCGTTTGTCATATGATGTCGCGAAGTAGCGTGTTGTCAGAGTTGGAAAAGAAGCTGTGCTGGATCAAATTTCTCCGTGTAGCGATTTCGAGTTCGAGGAGGTATTCTTGCCAAGACTTTCGGATATGTTTATCCGCAGGCCGCAAGCCAATATCTGCAGCCTTGTGTCTTTCTTGCACAACTAAAGTCTCGACTTTCGACCGGAGCGTGAAAACCCGCCCCTCTGCAGCAACAGACCCAGCAAAACACTGTCCCATCGGGCCTCGGTTTAAAATGCCTGTTAAGCCACTTTCCTTCAAAGGTGATGCGAAGAAGCCCAAGAAGAGAAAGCAAAGGAGTTACGAAGATGACGACTCCGGCGCTCTCGTCGCAGCCGGATCCCAGCCAACTGTCGACACGGCCGAAGATGACTCCTGGACAATGCCTGACCAGCCCTCTGACCTCGCCGGTCCGACCATCATAGTTCTACCTACAAGCCCACCCACCTGCCTTGCCTCTGACGCCCACGGGAACATTTTCGCATCGCAACTGGAAAACATTGTCGAGAGTTATGAAGAGACCGCGGAGCCACATGATGTGAGACAGGTATGGGTTGCTAGCACTGTAGCCGGCACGGGCCAGATCAGCTTCAAGGCAAGTCATGGCGGATATCTGTCCTGCGACTCTATAGGGGTCCTAGGTGCACGACGAGAAGCAAGAGGCCCGGAGGAAATGTTCACAGTCGAAGCCGCCGAGACGGCTGAGGGTAGGCAGCGCTTTAGATTACGGACTACGGCTTCCAAAACCGCGGATGGAGATAAAGGACGACGCTATCTGTCCGTCACGGTGGAGACGAGCACCAGCACCGCGAAAGCAGAAGACGACGATGCGAAGAAAAAAGTGTCCATCTCAATACAGGGTGACGGCGAGGCAGAATCGAAAACCACACAGGTCGTGCTCAAGATGCAGGCGAGGTTCAAGCCGCGGCTGCAGCAACACAAGGAGACCAAGGCCAAGGAGAAAGTCAGCCGTCGAGAACTCGAGCAGGTTGTGGGAAGGAAGCTCGAGGACGACGAAGTCAAACGGCTAAAACGGGCAAAGAAAGACGGCACTTACTATGAGGAGATCCTCGATGTGAGGGTAAAGGGAAAACATGATAAATTTGCCAGCTACTAATGTGTTTTTGGCTCGGCTCAGGTCGAGCTTGGTGCCAGAAGTCCATCCTTCTTATAGGTTGCATTCATGTGCAGACGCCGCAAGCCGGTCATATCACGATGGAAAACAGCTTGTCACGAAAGAACAACCAAGCATGTACTTTTTGTAACTCTGCGACTGCTACGTGCCAAATTGGTGCTGCCTGCCACAGAGTCTCAGAGACATGATAGCTCTGAGGAAATGCTCGACGTTGTTTCCAACACCACCCTTGGCCCATCCTCATCATCAAATCCATGAAGACATCAGGCATTCCAAGGTATCATTTGTACAACATAGCAATTTCCCAATCCATCAACGCTATGCAAACAAGATACGGACATAAAATCATGATGTGTACAAGGCTAAAACATTACTCATATCTGGGGATAAAACGGCCAACGATACGACGCCCTGTTTGAGAAGTCAGTCAGTCAGTCATCACTCATATCAAGGAGCGGGCAGAACCGCATTGAACTTACATAAGGGCCTCGAAACATCGGCAGTCCGCGCCTCATTAGCCTGTTGGTCGTAATTCTGGGCTTGTTGGCGTGCAAGTCTTTCGCGCCGCCAGGCTCTCCTAGCTGTGATGCCTTGAGAGCGAACGTCTGCAGGCATGTCATCGTCAATTTGAGTTGATCGGAGTCTAGTAACCGGTTGCAATTCAGAAGCGGTACCATGGGCTCCGCTGGCACTACTGTTAGGTGGAGGTCTATTGTTCGGAGCAGTCGAGAATCTCCGGACAGTGTTTCGGATTGCAGAGATGGGAGTAGACCCAGTGGTAGGATTCGACTCTGGTGGGAGTGCCGCAGCGATTCTTCGTTCGCGCATTCGTCGGACAAGTCGTTCTCTCCGAACCATCAGGTTGGTCACCACAACAGGACAATATCCTGCTGGGAGTGCTGATTTCTTGCACATCGGACACAATGAGCTGTTGTCACGAAGGAACGGATCAATACATTCTGGATGGAAGATGTGGTTGCAGGGAAGCTCTCGGACTGTCGTCTCGCCATTCACAAAATCATCCAGACAAATCGGACAAGTTGCTTGTGTGAACTGGACTTCCCTCGGCGCGGATACGACAGGGGTCATGTCGTTCGCTCCTGTCTTGGCTGAATTCTCGACTGTTTCTGTGGTACCAGTCGTCCCTTCAGCCTTGGACGTAAAGACGTATTGTGGCATTTTATCCAGTTGATCTTGCGGGACATTGAGCCGTTTGATACCTAGAGCTTCGAGATCGACTTCGCCAGCAGCCACACGACGTTGTAATGCACGACGTTGCCGACGTTGCACACAATGCATCAAGATGGAAGTGATAAGGACCACCGCGAGCAAGATAGCGAGCACAATGATCAAAAAGACCCATAGCGAAGGAATACCGCTCGATTGACTGATGTCCATTCGAGTGTAGAGTCTGACCGTGTCATTGGGGTTATAGAGTTGCACCAGCTCGTTACCATACGGCGCCGAAGACATATTTCCAGAATACTGCGCCAATTCCTCCAGCATATATACCCCGAGCATACCTGGAAGGGCATAGATGGGGAATTGGTTGTCGGATTTCCAACGACCGCCATCCTCGAGAGACCATGACTGATCACTGACAGGTGGAGGGCGATCGCTTGAATTATCCGGATGGAAGAAGATCGCACCTCGAGCGTTGTCGAAGCGCATCACCTCGAGATAAGATTGTACACAGGCAGGATCCGTCCATGGCGCTACTGCAATGAGCGGGTAATTCCCCAACGGTACTTGTGCTCGTGTTGTTACGTTGGCAGGTGCGAGAGACTGTGTTGCATTGCTGCACGGCGTGTCGTCCGGGAGCTCTGGGTAGTAGAGTAGGCCTTGGATGACGTTCCAACGCTGTGGATTGTTGGCCGATAGAGTGCGTATCACGCCGGAGGCTCGCAGCGAAAAGCCAAAGGCATCCTTGTGAACATGTCAGCGTTATCTTTCAAGTTATAACTTTGATTTTCATGATGCATACAGTGACTATCCGGGCGCCATTGGAATTGTCGTATTCAGGATTGGGGATGACAATGGCGACGACACCAAAGTCTGAGACAGCTGGATAGGTTGTCAGAAGATATGGTTCAGTGTATTGTAGAGTGAATGCAACGCACACATTACGGCTCAAAGCCGACGGGCGATGACAGGAGTTAGATATGGCCTCAATTTCTCGACCTCATGGTATGGCCAGAGGAAGTTGTTCAGTGGGTTTCAAATGGTGTCGCAGACAGAAGCGGTGTTGTACAGGGAAACTGCTCGGCAGCCAATGGATAGCCTATGGTACGGAAGTCTGTAGAGAAAAAGCTATTGTCTTGGAGACATTTCAGTCAAGCATTCGAAACTTCCAAGAACGACTCAGTAAGATGACAATGTCGATGACGAGAAGACCAAGTCTTTTGACTCTGAAGAGCGAGGCGCAGGGAGGTGGTCAGGATAGATAGAACGAGTGTTCCAAGCCTGAAGGTGGCGGTTACAGGAATCCGCGGCTGGGCTCCATCTTTCGGACTTTACAGCTGCATTGTTCTTCGCAGGTTATCTCAGCGGGCCTGGATCGAGTCTCAGATGTGTGCATCATGTCCCTCGCCTTCGCCTACCAGCGCCTAGGACCAGTCGGTCTTGCTGGGTCTTGGGCACCAATCCCGCCTAGGGATGGCTTTTCTGGGCTCGTCTGGGCATCAGCCTTGGGGCTGCAGACAGGCCAAATAAGCGGCTTGTCTGGTCCGTGACATGGGACTAGTGATTTGGCAATGACGAGTTTCATCACAGCCGATCGGTCCGTTTGCTGTTTCGGTCCACTTGGGTCTTGGCGTCACGTGTGTTGACCTGGATTGTGACTGCGAACTGCCTCGCGAGATCCAACGCCTGCTTCATGGCCCAGATGCATCGCGCCAGTTGTCATCATCAACACTGATCTAGACAGGATTTCGAACGCGTCTTGACCCCGGAATCATTCCACCCAAGTCGACTGTAACGGGAGTGTCCCGTCCTGCTAAACAGACCAGGATCTTTTTCGCGATATGAACCACCTTGAGTTTCCTTGATCAACCATCAATCCACCATTTATCGTCGTGCATAAAATATCCAGTCGCAAGAATGCCTCCCCTCGGCAGTGCAAGTAAGGGTAAAGGCAAGAACAAAGATACGCGCCGCTCTCGCAGCCGAAACACCACCCCGAGTTCGGTCATCAGTGCTGGGACTGCCCCAATGACAACCGGTGCGACAACCACACCCCTTCTCGATTTGGACTTGAACAAGTTGCTCGTTTCTTCCAAGCCAAACTATGCCGAAGCCACAGAGTATCTCGACAGTCATGGCGTCAAGGCCGAACCCAAACTGTTGCAAGACATTATAGAGCAGTTGAAGCACCTGAGTGAATCGGCCGAAAAACGGATCGAGTCTTGCGAAAAGGCAATTCGTCTCATACACGAACAGAAAAAAGATTTGGAGTCCGATCAACAAGATCGAGAGCGCCAGGCTGAACACGCTCGACGTCAGAAGGCGCGGAAGGAAGAGTCGCAGAAGAACCCAAAGGCGAAAAAGCGGAAGGATCGAACGGAAACTTTTGACAGTGTTGAGATCAAGCGTGAAGGTAAGTGTGCAAGTTTATGTCTGTCATTGATATTCATTCACTTTTACCGCAATCCACGAGTGGAAGCATAGCCGGTTGTTCTCGATTATGTGTTCATATACCTCATTCTCTTACTGACACTTCATAACAGATGAACCTCTGAAAATCAAACTTGGTCGTGCCACTGGCACTCCCGGTCCTGTTGATAGTCCTTCGCCCTCAAAGAAGACAAAGCTTAGCCCCGGAACTTCCTCCCTTTCAGAAGTTGCCGACTCCCCAGAGGCTGCTGCAGCAAGCGGTCATCCCTCTCCAGCAAAATCTGACGTTTCAATGTCCGACGCCGAAGAAAACCGTGTTATTCATGGACAGCCTCCAGTTCCTCAACAAGGGTTCTTCCCCGATCCGCTTGCACCAGATCCGGTCATCTATCACATACGAGACATCACGCCGGACATGACAGATGCGGAGAAGAAAGAAATCTACAGTGTGACGGCCTATCCAACAACCGATCTAAGTGATCAGATTGCTGGAGTTCCACCGGACAAAGACTTCAGCAATGCAAAACCCAGTAATCAAGTTGCACCCAACACGTTCCTTGCCTATGTGGAGCCCTATGTTCGCCCTCTAACAGAAGAAGATATGGCATGGCTAAGAGAGCGGGTAAGACCGCCGCAGCTGATCGTAGGATACATTAGACTAACATAACTTCAGGGAGATCGAGTAACTCCTTTCCTAGCCGTACCTCGAGGCAAGCGTCACTACACCGAAATCTGGGCCGAAGAAGATGGAACTGTTTTGGTAGACGGCAGCCATGACAAGCTTCCAGCTAACCAACCTCGAGGCAACGTCGAACAGATTAATGACGACAACCTGTCCACCGATCAAGTCTCAACCGGTCCTCTTGCTAGCCGCCTCCTTTCGTTGTTGCGGTTCGAGCACAGAGCACCAATAAGTGAAAACACTAATGGCACAAACGAGTTGAACTCATTTATGGATGTCAACGACAGCATGGACTTGGATGGGCTCACCAATGGCCATGATAGCGCAGAAAAACCTCTACCTCCTGCTTCGGCGGTTTCTGATATGGCAGGTTCCAAGTCGTCAATCTCACAACGCCTCGATTACGTACAAACAGAAGATCGTCTGAAAAATGAACTACGCCATATCGGTTTCCTCGGGCAAGATGAAAATCCTGATTATGACGCCCATCATGATGACGACATCAGTGAAAGAATGAGACTTCTTCAGGCCGAGCTTCGTCGGGTCATGATTGTCAATGGTGCTCGAAAAGCTCGGTTGCTCGATCTAGCCAAGGAACGCCTTGCCTACCAAGAGTATAGCACAATTCATGAGGATCTTGACAGTCAAGTGCAGCAAGCTTACCTCAAACGAACCAGAACTCTTGGAAAGTCCAAGAAAGGCGGTCCTGGTGCCAATAAACCAAGACCAGGTAGTCACAATGTTGGGCATGGTACTGCAACGAGTATTAATAGAGCTCGAGATATTGGTGACAATGCACGAATGCTCATGGATAGACGCAAGAGGTGGGAGAGCTGTATCGGTCCGGTTTTCAAGGATATGAAACATGGTATTCCACCTCCTGGAACGAGTATTTGGGATCCAAAGCTCATGGAAGCATATGAGAAAGCGGAGATGGAAGCTCTCGATGAAGAATTGGCAGAATGATCCCCACGAATGAGATTATCTTGATGATTCACGGATTGACGAATTCTATCTTCATGAACCGTGCACGGTTGTCTGGCACGTGACCGACAAAGCGTGACCAAGAAAACCAAACACCCACATCTACCTCACCGATGGCTGGCATTGAATACTTGCTACAGCATAGTCACTTTCGAGGACAATCAGTTCGCCTGTTTCATACAAGTGTTTCAAGGTTGTCCCAACAAAGTGGTTAACCCCATTGCTTCCGTTTGCTCGAATGACCAGCATTGGCTTGTTGGCAACAATGGAACTTCATATCTAACCAACTCCGGCATGATATGCTTTGTTCGTGCCTCGCACTATGCAGAATCAATTATTCTATCAATGGACCTGATTCCGTATGTCAATCTGCTCTTCCATCATTCTGTTGTTCTCTTCCTTCTCATTCCCCAAACTTAAGGCACCACTTGTCTCTTCAAAGTGTCTTCTGCGAAAGCTGCTTGCGTACAGTGACTACTCTGTAGCAATCGACCATGACGGCGCCGCTTGGAGACTTCAAAGTAGATTGGGATTTCCAGTCGTTCACAAAACGCGGTAGTGGCCGTAGCGCCACAGCACCCCGCCATATCAGTCGACTCTTCAACTGGACAAGGGGACCTGGTAGGGCAGATGGGGAGCCGAAAAGGCCTGGCACCAAATTCCGCCACATGTTCTATACCAAATTGGACGTCGAAGACCACGCCGAGTGGCAGTTCGAACGTCCACTCGGTGTCGGCGGGTACGGAGCCGCAGCCTTATTCCGGAAAAGGGATGCATCTCAGAATGTTGTTGATGTGAGTTTTGTCGTGTGCACTCCAGTTGGGTGTCTCCAGCATTTCCTTATTCAGAGTACACTGACCCAGTCGTCTTTTCATGTAGGAATTCGCCTTGAAAGTCACCGACGTTAAGGACTCTTACAGGGTTCATAAAGATAAGCCGGGCCTGACGAAAGAAGCGGCGATTATGGCTCAACTCAATGACTTCGGCTGTCCCAGCATCTTGCGCCTACGTCAATTCCAGGAACACTCTTATGAGTGGTTTTGTCGGTATTATTTTGAGTACGCTGACCTGGGTAACTTGAATGAGCTGCGGACCAGGTATATGGCGTGGAGGTGGGTTGAAACCACATTCTTATGTGTGAAAGACTTTGTTTTGCTGATTTTTACTGCAGGATGCGCTTTCCGGAGCCGTTTTTGTGGCATGTTTTCCTTCATCTGGCCAAAGCCTGTCAGAAGTTCGAGGCCAGCGAATTCAGAAGCTTGAAACAAGACACATTTGGAAAGAAGCTCGAGACGGCCTATCTCCTCCACAATGATATTAAGCTTGACAATAGTAATTCTCATCTCATAACAGACCTTTATTGCTTCCGAGCTAACTTCTTGACAGTTTTCTTATGCACGGCCCCGGATGATGGCAACATCGCAAATATGTATCCTATTCCAAAGGTCGCCGACTTCGGCCTTGCCACTATTATTGAGAGCGCAAGAGCTGAGTCAGCTCGAGTTTGCAATAAGAAGCTCAGGATAGGAGTTAAACACTGGGAGCCGCCTGAATTCCGATTTGAACAGAATCAAAAACACCCAGACCGATATTTCTTTAATCAAGACACGGGCCAGGTCGATGACTCGTATGGCGATGACCCTCGAAATCAGCATCGGATCTCATCCCAGGCAAATATCTGGGCAATTGGCATGGTTATGTGGCTTCTGGTCTCTCATAGTGATCCCCGGGTTCTCAGCGACAAAGTCGACGATATCCTAACGGGACGCCGAAAATTAAATCATTATTGGGAGACAGAAGCCCTTATCCTTGATGAGGAAGATTTTGGTCTCGATGATGAGGACGAGGACGACAATGAAGATAAAGTTAAATACAGCGCGAGACTACTCTACCGTATTCAACAGTGCACTAGCTTGAAGCCACATTTTCGGCCAAGCGCGGGCAGGTTAGTCGAGCAAATCGAGGAACGTTTGATACATTGGGAACGGAAAGTCAGCGCTGCCAGGGCTAGGGGAGGAGCCGACAACACAAAAGTTTACTTCAAGATGCACGAGTTCAAGGGTCTCTCACTAGGAGATGTGAACATGTATAGGCTGGGCAACTCCTTCTGGTCGCACTTTACGCAGGCCCTGATCTGGGAACCGCCGGAAGTGGAGTTCGTAGTCCCTCCCGAAGCCCCAGCGGAGGCGATCCTGCATGAAGATCTGGGTGCTCCTGAGCCTATAGTCAGGGATATCAGACGAAGGTGGAGAGCTGCGGTTAGGAGACGAGACAATCCGAGGGGTGCACTACCACGGCCTCCGCCTCCGCCTCCTCCTCCTGAGGGTGGTCAGGGTCCGGAGGATGAGGTAGAGAGACCGGAAAACCCAGCGGGCGTGGTGAATCTACAGCCACCTCCTCCAGCAGAACCTCCTGAGCTCTTCTACACTGCTCAAGAGCCACCGGAGGGTCGGCGCGGAAGGAAACGGCGGGCCACCGAAATGGAGCAAGATGTACAAGAGGAAGACGATGAAGAGAGCAATTACAGCGAAACAAACACGGAAACTAGAGACGAGGACATTGATGACAGTCAGCGTTGGTGGAGGAGGTGGAGATGGTGGAACGAACAACCTGACGTTCACGGATGACCAGGCCTCTGCGACAGTGGCCAAGAGTATCTTATCACCCATCGATACTAACTAGACACTAAGTCCAAACCTATAAATGACTCAATTGGAGGACCCCCATTATTTATTTTCCCTTTGCATATAACTCCTTCGGCACACCGGTCATCGTGCAAGCCCCGAATTTCCAATACCCGCCATTCAGCCTCGCAACCCAATTCCCCATGAAGTCCTTCGCCAGCTTCGGCACCTCTGGGAAATCCTTCCACAGCCCGTCCTCGAACGTTCGGTCCAGATTGCAAAGGTAGAAAGGGATCCGTGTTGCCGCCGAATGCAGCGTAAACTTTCCGATGCTTTGTTTATCCCATAGCTCGTTGAGATGGATTTTGTCGCCGTACTTTCTCAACGCAAGCAGCGACGGGATTTCGTCGGATAGATGTTGGTGGAGTGGCGGGCCAAAGGAATTGATGATGGAGCGCATATGATCGCCTGAGAATGTCTTCTCTTTGCCTTTCAGTGATCGTAGATAGGATCCGTATTCTTTGATACCCTTCTCGAAGATTTCTATTTCATGTTAGATTCACTTTAGTGTCGATGATCTCAGCAAGAGTGCTTTACTCAAGACTCAATAATAAGAGAAGCGCTCGACAGGACTCACTATGCTGCTCAACATTCGCATCCATGATCCCTTTCTCCCCAGCAGCTTCCTCAATCCAGGGGAAGAACTCTTGCTCCTCACCTGTATGATGCGCATCGATCGCATCATACCAGCAGTACGCATACCCAACGAAAGCTTTCTTATCTCCATCCTTGACGTGCGGCGCCTGTAGATATATCGTGTTCAAAGATCGCAATAGCAGATTGTGGAACACCGCCATTGAACTTGCCGCTTCCACATATTCGTCCGTTTTGGTATCTGACTATCAGTAAATTAGATCTTCTGATTATGAAGATCTTTTGTGTTGGCGGGTGTTCTTTCTTACCAGATTCTGCACATGCTTCGGTGTCGCTATCATGGTGAACGGCGTTGATGCCCATTCGAAAGGCCCAGTCGAGGGGACCATTGCGAGTGTAGGCGAGTCAGAAGCCGACCTGCGAGTGGTAGCGAACCTGAACAGTAGGAAAGGCACCGCAGAATACACTGCCACCCGAATTGCTCTGCGAGACAAGGCTGGTGATACCCGTGCAAGCAGCATTGGCATCTAGAGTCATGGCTGTACTTTGCTGATGCGGTTCTTCTGCCAGAGTTTATGACTTATGCTACTTGTACATTTACTCACGGTTCTCGACGCTTTGCCAAGGGTAATGGTTACCGTACTCGTATTGTGAGTTTCCCATCTCGAGGACTCTTTGGTGGTTGCGGTTTGCACAAGGTTCAGGAATCAGGCTGCAGAGAAAGGTTACTGGTGTTGTCATGAGCGCCCAGGGGCTAACATGCGCCACTTGGGCTTGGCTGGTTCCTGGACGACCACCAGAGAAAGCCTATAACGGAGGAGCCTGGTGCTGTAGTTAACTACCACAGCGGCTAAGTTGCCCGCACATTTCTACCTCTCCATCCAACAAAGAACGAATCTTTCTTCCTTTTGGACCACTTCATGGTATAACATTGTCTCTTCCGACTCAAATGATTCTTCATATCATTCCCTGATATTATCACTCCATAACAACTGCAACATGTTCATCCATATATTTGTTGATATCTCCCAAAAAGCATGCAGCGATGATGCTTACACAACCTGCAGCAATGCTTCCGAGATAAACAAATTTGTAACTTTCTGCATATGCCAATTGTCCAGCGGCCACTACAGCTTCGTATACCGTCTCGTTCGCTAGACCTGGAATTCTCTTCATCTCTTCCAGGAGAGCTGCACCAGTCAGAGTGATGGCTTCCTCGATGTACGTTTCATTTTTGATCCCGTATGCATACATTGTGCCGCCAATATATTTGATCGCATTGCCAGTGAACTTTGAGAGGAAAACGTTGTAGTAGGCACAGTATCCGATTGAACCACCAATGACACGGACTGCAAGAGTCAACGCACTGACAGTGGCAATCAAGTCATCCGGGCATATGATTGTGGTGATGATCGATGCAGGAACAACGATACCTCCTATTCCAAGACCGCCGAGAATCAGAAGGGGCCACAGCTTGTTCATATTGTGCGGTGTGGCACATGCCAAAGACGCAACGCCTAAATTGAGCGTCAGTATACAATAGGACCATGAGGGCAAGTATGTTTACCAGCAGTCATGAGGCAGCTAGCTGCAATCATAAGCTCCTTATTCCGACCTCGGAAGACGGATAGCAGCCAAAGAGTGATACAGGCTCCTATCATGATGGCCATGCCGGCTGGGAAAACGCGCAACCCGACCATAACGGGGTCATGGCCATACACGTTAAATGCCTGCGTCGGCCAAAACATTAAAAACGAGAAGAAGTTGGCTCCAGAAATGAAAGTGATAAGCAGAGTAAGTGACAGAATCCTAGGATCTTGCTTGAGCCGCCTGGGAAACATCGGATGCGGTGCCCACCAGCCTTCCCAGAAAATAAAGGTCACGATTATGAGTGCTCCAAGGATGAGTGGCACAAGAACATGAGCAGAGTTCCAAGCGTACTGAGCCATGGTAATCCGTCAGTGTGGCTCAATGGTTTGTTCTCAGAGATACTGACCTGGTATCCGCCCCACTGCATCCCGGCCATGAATCTAGAAACAATTGGTTAGCACACTCCTCTGACGAAACTCCGAAGACTGGGAGGTAGCACAACACTGAAAGAGAAGAGAAGCTAAATCGGACTCACAAAATCATGCCGCTAATGGACAGAAATCCTCCGACGTAATCGATCTCGGCGAGAACTTCACGCTTCGTCTTGCCTTTCGAGTTGACTCGGGGTGGAGGGAAGTAGAACAAGGCAGTCACGATCAAACCAGCTCCATTCCAAACACAGACTATGATACCGTTGTATCTCCAGCCGGCGTGTGCTGTTAGACTGTCAGCGAAAGATCGCGAAAGCAATTGTCAGATTTGGTATACCGGCGATAAGCTGTGCGTATATTCCTGAAGGGATGAACGGCAGGATGGTGAATATCAAGACTGCAACATAAGCACCACGTTTTCTGGTAGGTGCCATTTCCGAAGTCACGGCCAATGCTGTGAGCTCACTGATACCGGCAGCAGCACCCGCGATCGTGCTCCCAGCGATGAACATGTTCATGTCTTTGGCCGTGGTTTGCACCACGGTACCTATGACAAGAAGAGATGCGCCCAGTAATGCCACATACCTCCGGCCAACAATATCACTTAGCGAACCCACAAAAGGACAAACCCCAGCTAGGGCAAGGAGATTCCCCAACACCTCCGCGAATCAGTATTTGATGAAAATGGATTTCTTGGTCGAACTCACAAACCAAACCCATCTATCGACGCCTCCAATGTCACCATATATATAAGGAGGGATCGAGCCTGTTTCATTCATGAGTGTATGTTATTGATGCCTGGTATCGGAACTGTGCTCACCAAAGATATAGACAGGTATTTGACTACCAGTCCAGAGGAGGGCCATTGCCACCAGGCTCATGAAGCGACGGATGGACATCTTGAAACACGATCAGGGGAACTTTTCCTCAGACTGGCATCTTAAATACTCTACCTTTGGCTCGTGTTCATGATCAAAGTCATCTCCATCGATTCTAAGGCCTGTCTTCCTCTCTGTCTGCTCGATCTTCACAGGGACTTCAATTTCCTCTTCCCGTTCAACATTCTCGGCATGCTGCGCTGGTATCTTTTCCTTGGATGGAACGGAGGATAAATCACGTGCGGTATTGGCGACCTTTGGAGTCATAATACTTGTGTCTCGAATTTCCTTTTCGCAAAAATCCCTTCAACTGGAGAGATAATGAAACAAAAACCACATGAGCAGGACTATTATCTTGTGAGAAGGCAAATAGGACAACCACACTCTGCCACCTTCTTCAATAAGTAGTCTTATCTGTGGGTAATGAGCAGCACAACCTTTACCTAGGTAGGCTGCCTCGGCTGGAAGTTGTGGATCTGCTGTGGTAGCAATGTTTGTTCACAGTGTGCATAAGAGGTGCTCGTACAGTGTTTTGAATCACCTCTCCGCATTGAGCTCCTAATTGCGGAGCAGCTTGTGGGGCAGAGGTAACCCCCGGAATCAGGACACACAAACTGATTAATCAATAATGCCTAATGTCGTGGTTTGGGCAGCTCAAGAATTGGAACAGGCTTATCGTAACCCGTGATGGAAATCCCAGCTCGTCAAGTCGCCACTTCGACTATTGGCGAGCTGACATGGAGTGTGAACTCCACTACCTACTGACTCAAACAGCTTGACTGCTACAATCGCTGAGTAGGTTGACAGCATTGTCGTCCTTTCTGTGATCAACAAGATAAACAACTATCTGGTGGTGATTCACCTCGATATTTGGAAGTATTCACCATTGCCGGAAACGGTCACTCACGCTCGGGGTATTGACGAGTACTCGGTCTGGGTGACCAACAATCTGCAGTAGGGTCTAAGCCTTAAAATTGGTCAGTTAGTTATTTCGATGAAACACGAGACACAATCCGCATATCCATCGAGAAGTGCAAATACTGCATGGAGCACCACGGGACTAAGACTCATGGGATTAACTCCCTAGTATGATACGCAGAGGGGCCGAGGTTATTGAACCAATCGGTATAGATAACCCTTGCAAATTGCATCACCAAGCAGGCGAAGCAACGGCGATGCCTTTTCAAGCATCCACATCGCACTGTTGATCCACCAAAAGGTGTGCTGGTCCCAACTGCCACAAATCACACTAGATATCATATCTCGACTTCTCCCGCAGTTCTGTCAATCTCCCCCGCATCAAGAATCAGAGTGCGGTGATCCCGCCGAGGTAGCCAGAAAAATATCGGTATTGTAATGGCAAGCCCCCATCCTATCCAGGTCGTGCTGTGTGAGACAGTACTACGATGCCAACACCAGTTGCCAAAAAGCGGAAACGGTCAGCGATAGCATGTGTGGCCTGTCACGATCGCAGAGTGAGGTGTAATGTTGCTTCGCAAGGAATTCCTTGCACCAACTGTGCTCACGATGGCACTGGTTGCAGGATATACGGACAGGCCCCGAGCGTGTAAGTGAAGCTCACCTGCGCTCTCAATCTAGTTCTTACATGTTGCTTCGCAGGAAACCAAACCGAACTCTCCAGCCTCGACAGAATCCGGAGCACTTGAATCAAAAGTCTCCTCCAAGTCCAACATTGGTTAGTGGTGTAGCAGAGATCTGATTATACAAATTTTATGCTAATTCGAACATGCAGGAGCATTCCGATAAGCAAGTACACCTCACAAATGTAGAGGTCATAACTGAACGCGAAAACAACCCTCAAGTTAACAGCAACACACAGAATGAGGCTAATTTAGGAGCAAACCATGTTAAGGAGGTAGGAGATCAAGACGCAGATCATACAGAGTCCGTGCTCGTGCCATACCATGCAGGTACCAATTGCTCTCCTCGGCAATGATAATGTTCACCTGACTTTTCCTAGGTGAAGCTGAAGGTCTTGACTTCATTGTAGACATCTGCGCTCCAGATCGACCAGTCAAGGGAAGCACATATATCATTAAACGGACTGTTCACCAGAGAGAACACTTGTCAGAGGCAAGGGACGGTACCCGCTCGTCATTGCCACCCGCTACAATCTGTGATGAGCTGATCCACCACTTCTTCAACCTGGTCTATCCATTTCTCCCTGTTATTGATGCTGGAAGTTTCCTTACTCAGTATAAACAAGACTTGAGTAGCATCAGCAGCCTACTGTTGTGGTCGCTATTCTTCTCCGCTGCAAGTTATGTTCGATTAGATGCTATCAAGCCTCACGGATTTAAGTCGCGCAAATCTTTCAAGGAGTATTGCTATCAACATGCAAAGGTACCAGTTGAACATCATAGCCAGGCTGTCTGCTGATGAGTGACAGGCAATATACGACGCCCAGACTGAAAGTGACAAGACCTCGATTATATCATCAGCTATCCTCCTGGCATTCTGGTACGTTGACCTGGAAGACCTCGATGGCTGCAGCCACTGGCTCGGCATTGCAATTAATTTGTGTCATGGTGTTGGCCTCCACCGTGAACCATATTATGCAAGAGTTCCCGACTCTCCGTTCCCTCCTTCCAGGCTCTCTCTTTGGAGAAGAATCTGGTGGTCCTGCTATTACCGAGATGCCTGGATCGCCTATGCATTTGGCCGTCCAATGCGGCTTCATTTGGACGACTCTGACCTGGAGATGCCACAGGCCGCAGACATAATGGTTGATGTAAAGGACTTGTCATTGGATTTACGCGATAAATATTTGCCGCCTGATTTCGACCGGCTTGCGACTCTGTGGATCACATTACTTCATTTATCAATCAAGCTAGAACATATTCTGCTGTTCCACTACAGACCAAGGCGACCCCCTTTATCGTTAACACAACTGGAGCTTGACTACAACGAGATTATGGAACTTTGTAGTACCCTCCCAGCAGACAACAGCTCTCTGGGCCAGCTGACATTCTTGCATGTGGGACATCTCAAATGTTACTTCAACGCAGTGATAATCGCTCTCCATCGCGGTTACATTCTTGCAACGCCGCATCACCTCCCCCCAGAGGATCGTCGCCAATTAAAACAAATCGCAATCCAGAGATCAAAGGATGCTGCTGCCGGAACAACTGCCACCCTCAACGCACTCGTGATGCGCGATATGATTGACGCGTCTCTAAATATGCTGATAAGCTCCATGATGCCTGCAATGCAAATTCATTTCTATGAGATTGCTAAATCCCAGAATCTGGCACGACAACACGCAAGCCATAATTTAAATCTACACATGATGATACTCTCACACCTCAAAGAGACATTCTGGGCCGCCGAGATCATTCACAAGCTGTTTGATGATGTTCTGAAAGCACTAGAAAGCAGAGCTTCTGGTGCGAAGCCAAACCGAAATACTGAGAAAATACTGGCAAACCCAACCTCGATGTCGCAGCCAAGCCAATATGGAGAGTCCTTCGTGGATCCCTCCATGGTACTGGGGTCACCATCGACTAGTATTTCTCCAACTACTTTCGAAGAACTGTTCACGACATTCAGCCAATTTGACAATTTGCAGTGTCTGTTCAATTTTGAGGGAGGGTAAGGCTGATTCCACGAAGGGGAGGCATTGACCCATGGCTAACGGTAACCATTAGCGCCGCAACAAGTTGGGATTTGCAACCATCGCTTGACATGGATGCATCATGCTCATCAGAAAATCTCAATTTCGAGCGACCCTAGTTGTTAGCCTCCGTGCTATTGTGTGTGGTGTGAGCCAAAGACATATGATACACATATATTTGTTTTTTTAAGGGGTTTAATCGATGAATCCGTTGAATGGGATAAAGGTAATAGAACTGGCGAGGGGGGAAACATCTCCCTTTACCTGGCATCAATTCCCACAGTGGATGCCATGCTTCCGAGAAAAAAGTGACAACAAAAGGTGAGCCCTAGGCGCGCTGGTGGATGGGATACGCTCTAATCACTAGGCTACCGATGCTGGCAATAGTTTCGAGGGTGATCTGTAAAGGCATAGGATTCTCGTTTCAGAGCCTGAAGACAATTGAACATCAAAGTCAGCTGTAAATCTGGTACTTGAAATAAAATAATCTACGGCCGCAGCGCCCGCTATTCAGTTTCATTTCCTAAATGCTCTGACACCTTTCGATAGTACATGACCATATCATGGTTTAGTGCCCACGAAGGACGAGTCGAAGACTTAGGACTATCAAGCGAAGTGGTGAGGCAGAATGCCAGGCAACTACGCTAGCTGGGATGGGACCTAAATACGACAGGTTACGAGGTACTTGGCAATCAGGGTTGTTTGGATTTAGGTGAGGAATAGCTCGAAGAAATAGATGTCACAGACCCTCAGGCAAGGACGTACGTCTGTACTACTATCATGGTTACAGTTTACGACAACAAATGGTACCTCGAGCAAATATCGACTCGCTCACCATATGTGATTCACAATACAAATAATCGTACTCGTACTCGTGTTCGTGTACGCTTTCGTACACAACAGGGAGTCTAGTACCAAGACTCTCGGCCTCCGCGGACGGGTATGAGTTTGAGTCACACCTAAGACACCCAGGACAAACCCAAATTTGAATGGTCAAGAATGAGATGTTACTATTACGAAGTAGCAATGCACTTGAATATTGCAACACCGAATCACTGTACCGAGTATTGCTCCTCCATTAAGTGGATTACATACGAGCTTCCTCGTGGCCATGATATCATTTCCTTCTAAATTGCATGTACTTCGGATATGATACGCCCTCCATCCCTCAAGGTTATCACGGCGCCGTGCCTACCGATATTCGTGTTTCTATGGGGTCACTGGAATCACTGTTTAGGCACCAGCAAAAGTACTGGCTGAGAGGCTGCTACTAACCTACTCCATGGCGCTCTTGGTACCTAAGTTGCTGGTCTAGAAAGTCCCTATTCCCTATCTGTCCTCGTACTTACCCACCTTGGCAGGACCAAGAAAACCTCGCACCTAGGGGTAGATTCCAGGCTAACAGCCTACGTTAAAGTGGTGCCCCCAGCCCATCAGGCATCAGTTAATCTGCAGTCATCTTAAACCTCGACTTTTCTCCACGTCCTATGTCCCCACCAACCGTGGTCCGTGATCTCGATTTTTGACGTATCCGTTTAGGCATTTCGCCTCGCTTCTATTTATTAGCTAACACTAATCAGGACGCCCTGGCATTTCAGAAGAGCCAGTTGTCACTCTTAATAAAACATCTTTTCCTCGCATTCACGTAGCTTCTTTGTTTAACGCTCGCAGTTGATGATGTCAACCTTCGGTCGAGCACAAGATTCTTACGACACTTGAGTATGAGTGTTCCTGGGGAGCAAGTGCCCTCTGCTGAGGCTAGGATTGCTGCCAACGACGTTGAGGAAACCGCCCTCACCATCAAAGACAAGAAAGAAGAACCAGAGAAGGCTCCTGTCAGCAACTTTTGGGTTCGTTATCTTCAATCCTCTGTGATTCATGCGTTACTCATCCATGATAGCGCATACTCTCCTTTCGCACAAGGCAAGATGGGCTCTTCCTCCTTGTCGGTCTCTGCAGCGCCCTCGGGGCAGGAGTGGTGAGTTTAATGAACAATCGATCGAAAGCGACTATTTCGCTCACGCCTCATAGACACTCCCTATTATGAATATTGTCTTCGGACAGCTTGTTGGCGATTTCAATGGATACTTTGTTCCTGGCAGCACAGTCACGGAAGGTCGGTTCAAGGCTGCTGTTAACAAGAACGCGTAAGTGCAAGTCTATCTACGAGAGCCGCGTCTTTCTAACCCAAACCGCCTAGCCTGTATATCGTTTACCTCTTCATCGGGAAGTTCGTACTTACTTACTTCTCTATAGTGAGATCCTAGATTTTACTCGTTCACCACGCAGTTACTGACAACCCCGTAGTTCTGCTTTCGCACTACTGGCCTTCGTGTGTCTGCGAATTTGCGGCTTGCTTACGTTCGAGCATTGTTTGCACAACCAGTCAAGAAAGTTGACCAGGTTTCGGCAGGAACTATTGCGAATACTGTCACATCATCGGCAAACACCATCCAACTAAGCATATCGGACAAACTACACTTGCTCTTTTCCTCGATAGCTCTGACAATCGCCGCCTATGTCATTGCTTTCAAATACTCCTGGGCTCTGACCTTGGTAACAAGCTCAGCCATAGTATTTGTGCTCGTGGTCTACAGCATAACGACTCCAATCGTCATCAAACTGGTTCAGAAACTCGAAGAAGCCGATGCGAAGGCTGCATCAGTAGCTGGGGAAGTGTTTGGCTCGATCCGCACAGCCTTTTCACTCGGTGCGGAAGAGCAATTGACGAAAAAGTACTATGATAGTGTTGAACACTCTAAAAACACAGGTATGAAAATATCTCGACAATTCGGCATTCAACTCGCCCCTATATTCTTTGCCATGTATTCTAGCTTTGCCCTTGCCTTCTGGTACGGTATAAAACTCTACCGCGGCGGACATATTCACGACGTATCCACTGTTATCATGTAGGTTAAATCACCCCATTCCTTCCTAAATGGTACTGACAATTTGCCCAGAGTTTTCTTCTCTGTTCTGATCGTGGTGGCTGTTTTGGGCACAATTGCTGCCCCGATTATGGCCATAACAAAGGCAATCAGCGTTTCTAGCACGTTCTTCTCCATGATTGATTCTGATGTGGTCTCGTATGATGGCTTGGACGAAGCCCAAGTATCTGCACACGAAGATATCGAATTCAAAAACGTGTTCTTCTCCTATCCTACCCGAGCAAATGTCCAAATACTCAAGAATTTCGACGCAGTTTTCTTGAAAGGAAAGACAAATGCATTGGTAGGACCTTCTGGCTCGGGCAAAAGTACGATCGTGGCATTGCTAGAGCGCTGGTACGAAGTAACTGAGGAACCCAAGATCCAAGACGAGACTACAGCAACGGACACAGCAACGGATACGGCGATAGCTACAGAATCTCGTGAGAAGGCTGAAGCAGCACAACCAGACAACATCATTCCCAATCAAGGCACAATCTCTGTTGGAGGTACGGATATTAGTGCCACTAAACTAAAGTGGTGGAGGTCACAGATCGGTCTTGTACAGCAAGAACCATTTCTCTTCAACGATACGATCTTCAGAAATGTCGCTTTTGGTTTATTAGGAACTAAATGGGAACATTCTGATGGGCGTGTAAAGCGTGAGAAGGTTGAAAAGGCGTGTGAAGAAGCTTTTGCAGATGAGTTTATTCTCCAACTTCCCGATGTAAGCACAGATGTTCGGCTCTTTCACATTCTTTACTGACATTCTACAGGGTTACAACACCATGGTGGGCGAGAGTGGGATCAAACTAAGTGGAGGTCAACGTCAGCGGCTAGCGATAGCTAGAAGCATTATTAGGGAGCCTTCAATCCTGATTCTCGACGAAGCGACCAGCTCGATCGATGTTCGGGGAGAAAGAATTGTCCAAAAGGCTCTCGAACGTGTTTCACTGAACCGAACCACAATTGTTATCGCCCATAGGCTCTCTACAATCCGTAAAGCTGACAAGATCATCGTCATGCGTGATGGCAAGAATATGGAAGAAGGGACCCATGATCAACTTTTGTCGATGCCCAATGGCATATATGCCGGTCTTGTGCAAGCACAACAGCTTGAGAATGAGTCTGCTCCTAAGGATAACGCGATGGATGGGGTTGACGACGCGGAAACCTTGGCGAGGAGAGATACAACACAGTCCTTGAAGCAAGAAAACTTGGAAGAAGCGTTTGCGTGGAAGAACAGGAGTTTCTTCGGTTCCTTTGGGCTTTTCCTCTACGAGCAACGTTGTCATTGGAGACTTTACGTCATGATCATGGTTTCAGCAATGGGCGCTGGGTGTGAGTTTCCACCGCCAACGCTATTTGCCAACAAACTGCTAACGAGCCGCAGCTGCATTCTCTCTGCAATCATGGATATTTGCAAAGCTCATCGAGGTATTTCAATTCACGGGCAGCAGACTGAAGGAAAGGAGTGAGTTTTGGTCACTGATATTCTTCGTCCTTGCAATCGGGATCTCAATATGCTACTTGTGTCTGGGATGGGTGTCAAACCATCTCGCAGTCGTAAGTCACTGTCGAAAACGGAACAAGAATTTGAGACTGACCGTTATCAGTTCGTGTCCGCGGCTTATCGACGAGAATACTTTACTAACATGCTCAACAACCCCGTATCGTTCTTCGACAAAGAATCCAATGCGTCAGGAGCACTTATGGCGCGGCTGTCTACAGACCCTAAACAACTGCATGAGCTTTTGGGATTGAATGGTGTATTCCCACTGATCTCGATGTTCAACATGATTGGTTGCATTGCGATTGCATTCTCCTTCGGGTGGAAGCTCACGCTCGTGACCTTTTTCTCCGCCTTGCCGGTCATTTTCATCGCAGCCTTCGTTCGCCTTGGATTCGAGATCAAATTCGAAGAATGGAATGCACAAGTGTTCGCGCATAGCTCTCAATTTGCCACAGAGGCTATAGGCGCGTTTCGAACAGTGACCTCCTTGACCATGGAAAACTCCATCATCAATAAATACTCGGACTTGTTGCAAGATCAAATTCGAAAGGCGACGAAAAAGGCTTCATATGCCTCTCTTGTTTTCGCACTGTCAGATAGCGTGGAGCTCTGTGCTATTGCCTTGACTTACTGGTAAGCCATAATTGATAGACATCCCTCATCTCAGCTCACAAGATCACAGGTATGGAGGCCAGTTACTCGCCACAAGAGAGTACAACGTGGTTCAGTATTTCGTTGTTTATATCGCAATTGTACAGGGTGCACAAGGTGCTGGACAGTTCTTCAGCTTCGCACCAAATATTGCACAGGCGACCGCCGCTGCCAATCGTATCTTGAGTTTACGGACAGAGGTCCAGACCAGGAAGAATCGAGAAGTAAGTGGCAAAGCTCTTGAGCTATCCGATATCAAGACTGGCGCCAGCATCGAATTCAAAGACGTGGCTTTCAAATATCCCACACGGGATAGTCCAATCTATCATAATCTTAACATTTCAGTCGATAGTGGTCAGTTTGTCGCCTTTGTGGGGCCATCCGGTTGTGGCAAAACCACGGTCATTTCGCTACTAGAACGATTCTACGCTCCCACGTCCGGGACAATCCGATTCAATGGCCAGGATATGAATGACATTGAAGTGGTTTCCTATCGTCAAGCGCTCTCACTGGTGTCACAAGAACCGAGACTGTTTGATGGCACAATCCGGGAAAATCTGCTTCTCGGCCTGGATAAAGTTGACATTACCGAGGAGCAAATCACAGACGCCTGCAAGGATGCTAGTATCCACGACTTCATCATCTCTCTGCCCGATGGCTACAACACGTCGCTTGGATCTGCTACCCAGACCGCACTGAGTGGTGGCCAGAAGCAGCGATTATGTCTGGCACGTGCATTGCTGCGGAATCCACAGCTTCTCCTGCTCGACGAGGCGACATCGAGTTTAGACTCGCAGTCTGAAAAGCTCGTGCAAGCGGCCATCGAACGCCTGGTCGGACAACGCAGTATGACGGTCATCGCCGTCGCTCATCGACTTGCGACGATCCAAAAGGCTGATGTGATTTTCGTCTTTGGGGAAAGCGAGGTGGGACGAGGCTCCAGAATATTGGAGCAAGGCACGCATAATGAACTTTTGCGGAGGAGAGGCGCATATTGGCAAATGTGCCAGGAACAGGCCCTCGACCGGTGATGTTGATTTGTTCCTCTTTGTATTATATTCAGCATTTCGGAGCTTGAGCGCTCTCTCCTCCTTCACTAAGACGACTTTACATAACTCTTCATCACAGACACCTGCGCTGTCTACTTTTCTGCTCTCACTAATTATAGAAAATTTATCCGATAGCCCTATGAATTGGGGAGGTGCAGGTTGCAGTCTTGATTTCTCATCCATTCGGCGAGCGACCCTTATGCCAGTCTATGATGCAAGCTATGCTATTACATCAGAAATCTAATGCTCAATCCGTATGAGGCCTCTCCGAGAAACGCCAAGCTCTACCGTCTATGAAACTGCCATTTAGTTGCTAAACAAATGCCACCAAATTCCCAATCGTATGATGCCTGAGTTATGTCATTTATCGCACTCAATTCTTCATAAGTATCATGGTTGCGTTAATCCGTCTCCAGACGGAAGTACTATTTGAGAAGAATACTCGTCCTCATGGCGACCGGCTAAGTCCGGCTGTTTTGGCTTCGGCGAAAGCGGACCTGGATATGCTGGCAGACATGAAACCGAATCTGAGCGAACATGCCTGGCGCCGCATTGAATCAGGGACAGCACACACGCGCCGTATTCCAATTGTTGACGCAGGTTTGTTGGGGCCAAGAGCGGCCGGGGAGATGGTCCGAGAAAACAGCCGAGTTATCTTTGGGGAGCGGGCGGGTCACCTGGGAACACCGACGTCCCAGATCTGGGCCCAAGAAGCGTCCGTGACGAGGTTGTTACTTGTGGTCCTCTCTGCGACAGACTTTGTGGAATTTGGGAACTGAAGGTGTACGAGGATCGCTTTGTGCGGCTTCAGCCAGGCTGTCCCTGCTGGGTAGTGTCGGTGAGGATATGGTTCGGGTCACATGACCGACACACTGGTTGGAGAGTGGTCGTTTACTTCGCCCCCAGTCCTGGGATTGTCGGCTTATTCCAACTTTGGTGGTGGATAAATCCGGTATTGTGAAACATCTAGAAGGTGTGGAATGTTTCGATGATGTTTCTTCGGGATTGCGTTGCTCAGGCAAGTGGGCTCCGCCTGACCGTCTGGGCTTGTTCGCTCTGAAGCATGTCAATCTCACTGTGCCCATCTTCATCGGAAGTATGCTGGTGGAGGCGTTCTCGTCGTCAATCTTTGGCCCTGGTTTGGTGGCTCCGGCATATCACGCTGGTCAACAGCAAGTTCTTCCCCATCAAACCCGTCCAATTCGCTCTCAACGATGCTCAGGATTGCTTCATCTTTTTGTTTCTCCACACTTACGTCCTGTGTAGCCACACTGACCGGGATGACACTGTGTACCTTGTATTTTGACGCACCTTGGAGGTTTTGAAAGGTCAGTGACAGTTCGAGCGCGTATGCCCGCGAAAAATGGTTCCAGCATAGCGATGGCTGCGAAATCGCAGAAGGAACGCATAGTTCGAGTTCGGAGGCTCCAATGTACGAGGCTCGTTTGTGGACGCCCTTTTTCATGTTGGGATCATCGTACAAGGGCAGTGGGCGGAAGAGAATATTCGATTTCTGCGCGGACGCCATTGATGTCCGGTGGATAACCTCTCCACGTAACAGTATACGATCTTTTCCTCGCACAGGGGCAATGGAGAAGCGATCTTTCACAAGCCACTTTGCCTCCACCGAGCATTTGAAGGACTGACGAGAGTCAAAGTGATCGTTTCCGCGGGGCAATTCTTGCCAATCAATTGCTACTGCAATTGGAATGCTGATCTGTCGTTTTGCAGTCCCTGGATCTCGCTTGGTGGTGATATTTGGTTCGTACATTGAGACCGACAATGTAGGACACTTCTGCAACTTGCACCGAGTGAGTAGGTCAGGAGATGCTTGAATTGTCAGTGGCTCTCCATGCGATAGCGAAAGCTGTAGATCAGGATAGATGGCAGAAATCCGGACAGGCTGGTTGAGAGATCCAACTTGTTCACCACGAGAGCGAAACTGCGCCTCAATCCAATACGAGACTTCGCACTCGCCCTGGATGACTTGTCGGTCGTTCATCGCTGTCGAATGGGTTACACTAGTGCTCCCTTCAACGATAGTGGTTAGGGGGAGCGTCTTGATCAAACCAGTAGCGGGTGAAGCATGGGTAGGAAGCTGAAAAAAGAAGTCCACATAGTGGCCCTTGGTAGAGTACTTCTGGCTTGAAATCATATGCGGTCGGAAATCTCCAGCGGCTTTGATGTCTGTTAGAGTGATGATATCCTCGAGGCAGGTCTTCTGTCCTATGCATGATGCGATTACGCCTGAGGTCCACCGATTAGATACTTGTGAAGACTATTGTTGAACAGAAATTACCTCGAAAGCATAGCTGGACAGTATCAAAGCCATGTCGTCTGACCGAGTCGTCCAGAACGCTCAATCGTCCACTAACTCGATGTCGACCACTCGAGGTGGTAACCTCGCCAGTGGGTGCGGAAATTTGCAATTTAGCATATATCATGGTCGCGGCTTCACGACGAGGAGACAACTAGTTTGCGCAAAGGAGTGTTCAGTGGAAAAGACCACCTGTTTTAGCCGGTAGAACTATTTGGACATTATGGTTTGTTTTGTTGGAAATGGGGGTGCCAACGCCCAGCCCTGTTCGGATGCAGATGTCGTGAATTACCCTTGTTTGAATCGGTCAACTAATAAGATCAACGATAGGAGGGTCTTATCGAGGCTAATCTAGACGCGCCCACTAGCCGATAAAGCCATTGGGGTGGGTCTCTTTTGTTTAGGATATTGCGTTGGATTCCCGACCTTTTGGGGGTGTGCGGGCGATGCAATACGAGCGGATCGGAGTATTCCGCTCCAGAAAATGAAAGACCATCCGTGTCAAAAGGTGCGCAGCTGACACCTAACGAGTCACCATTTCCAATTATCGGTTGCCTCCTTTGACAGTCTTCTGAGAGTGGGAGAGGTAATCAGGACCTAGTAATCAGCAGGACCTTTGTGGATGACCACACGAGTAATGGCGACCACGCATAGAGGCAGTTTCGAGGATAAACCGAGGACAAACCAAGTGGCGCTCTCACGGGAGGCAAGAGAGGATTCAGAGTCATCTGCCTCGTCAACGATTACAATTGGGTGTGCTCTGCCCGCTCTGGACTATGTCTGAGGGAACAATCAGGTATCCTATGCCACATTATCCGTGCGGAGTCTATCAAACCTGGTCCATGGATGAGGACGAGGTCAAGGCAGTTGAGACCATGAAGACACTTTACGGTTAATTTTCTAGTGCCCGTACAAATTAAAGGCTAAGTATCCAGCTAGTCAGGCTCTTTGGGTCTCTCGGCCCTCGGTTCGGTTCCTTGAACACATCCAGGCCCCAAGCATGGGGGCTCCATCTCTTGACGAGGTGCTCCAAATTATTTCCCCAAGTTGACCTCGCCCCACGAAAGGTCGTCGGTCTGAGGCGAGCCTGGAAGTGTTGATGAGAGCGAATGAGAACGATTAGCGAACCCTGAAACAGGCCCAAAGAGTTCGACGCAATCACGAGTACGAAGAACTTCAATTTGGGATACGGCAGTTAAATGCCTCGTTACTGTACCAGGTACTATCAAATGTCAAACCCAGGATCCAAAAGTGTAGATGGATTCCCAGCTACCCCGTTCTCGTGCGACTCAGAGAACACGACTCACAAGCCAGGGTAGGAGATCTGGTACGGATGATGGCCCTTTAGCCTGTCACACCCTCGTATTCTCCAGATTCCTGAATGCCTGGCCCACAACGCTGATTCCCCGGGAAGACAGGCGAGCCCAGACACGATACAACCCACTAACTAACTCCAGCCTTGCCCCTCGCCGCATTGAGTGAGGCTAGTTGGTGCTTCGGAGATTTAGTGATATTCCACAACCGTCCTCGAAAACGAAGCATATGTGCAGCTTCCCTATAACACCAATACCGACATCATGTAGGCACTAGCAGATCATCAGAGTCATAGCAGCATTGATAATGCACCTCAGCTCTCGAATCGACGAAGATGTCAAGTAATCATGGTTCAGTAATTTTGCAGAAAACGTTATTGACAGATCTGTAATCATTGATTACTTACATTAGCAACGGAGAACCACCGACAATTAATATCTCAACAGGCTCCTTGCTAAGCACTTGACCATTCTCCTCAGAATCAAGCCTTGGAGCTCGAATGCTTCTGCCCCTCAGCAGTGCTGTGTCGCGCTAAAACTACTTAGGTATGCACAACAAAGAGTCTGAGAGCCTCAGTCCAATATTTGTGATTCCAACTGATCGCTCTAACAATGCGCTGCGCAAGTTGAGTGAGTTTCACTCTTCTACCAACCTCGCTCGCTCGTTAAGTCATATTTTTCGCAGAAATTGTAGACGTGTCACCCCAATATCTTCCCCCGCATAACCTGCCTAAAGTTGACCGCCAAGAATGGAATGGGAATTAGCATCAGCCTACTGTAGCTTAGTGGTCCATCATGTCAGCTTGCCGGACTTGATCTGTCAGACTCCATCATCCTATCCATCCACAGACACCTTTCATTCACTTGACGCCATCTCGCACGCTTCAAGGAGCTCGCGCCAGATGATGCTCTTGACCGTGCTGGAACTACAGAGCCACGTGGTTAGCGCGAACCATGGCCGAGGCAAAGATGCTTCAATCATTATCACAGCCACGGAGGGCGTGTGAAGAATGTAATCGGAAGAAAACAAAGTGTGATATGAAACATCCTGTTTGTGGCCTCTGCTTACGCACCGGGAATGCTTGTCTTTTCCCTGCGAAAAGGAAGAAGCCTGTTCCTCGAAAACCTCAACCAAAAGTACAACCGCGACAAGTAAGCGATAGCCTCGCCAAATTAGTGCAGGTTCTTGAAGCAGCATGCCGCCAAGATGGTGAAGAGGAATCATCGCGCACCCGCCCGCAAATATCACAATCTTTGCTCCGGGATAGTCTCAAAGGCTTCCTTGCAGAAATTGACTCTTCACAAAATTCGAGGACGCAAAATGCTACTTGGCGGCAACTACACCCACCATCCGCAACAGATGAGGAATTGGTCGACGAGGATGCCATAAATCCCGACGAGATTGCCTCCGACGACAGAGACCATGAGGACGCTTCGATAACGGAACAAGACACAGGATCGTGTGGTTCACCCACTGTAGAAGAGTGGACCGGTGAGATCAGCTGCTCTTTGGCCATAGATTTAGCCAATCAATTCTTTGACAAGATTCAAGTGTGGCTACCTTTGCTACATAGACCACGCTTCCAATCACACTTTGAGTCGAAATTTCTGAAAGAGGGCGATGTCATGGGAGGACTGTCTGCTGACGATGCGCTGTTGTTTTACAGCATGTTTGCACTGTCAGCAAGATTCTCTAATCACCCTGCATTCAAAAACATATCCCCTTTGAGGAGGGGACACTGGTATGCAGAACGTGCAAGACAAATATACACTCAGGCTCGACCAACGCAAACGCCTTCACTGACATATCTTCAAGGTTGCATCTTACTCGCAAACTACTTCTACACATCAGGTCCAACACCTCAAGGATGGATTCTGATTGGAGTGTGCGTTCGCTTGGCCTACGCCCTGGGTTTGTCGGAAATTGATGATGAAGATTGGACACCTGTTCATCATCTTGAATCCACCGACAAAGAGGAATTAAGACGCGCTTGGTGGTTGGTTTGGGAGTTGGACACGTTTGCTTCTTGTGTCTCTCGAAAACCATACGCAATTGATCGCAAGCGAATGGCAGTCATGTTGCCAATTTCGGATGAAGCTTGGTTTGCAGGAACGCCGATTGTCTCAGCTGAATTGCTCAACCTCCCTGGCCACTCTTGGCGATCTCTTTCTGGGAGCAGTAACCAGGACGAGAGAGCTTGGTTTCTCGTGGCGAACCACTTCATGGCCACGATACACGACCGGATGCAGCAACGACAAGACATATCGACAGATGAGAAATTGACACTGCAAAACGAAATTGTTTGCTTCAAGCTGGCACTACCAGCGTCGCTCCGACTTGAAATCGAAAATTTGACCTTCACACCAGAAACCTTCGCTAGATGCAATTGGGTCATTGGTATTCATTTGATGCTCATGTCCACCCTCTTCATGGTCTCTGGAATTACCTCGGTCGATCCTGATGATCGCAGCGTCTCAAGCACTGGTAATAATACTCTGACATTCCTACGGCATCGAGCAATTGAGCTGTCAAGGATAATCGGATACTGGGACGCTAAGTACATAGCACTTGCTCACCCGTTCTTGACCTGTATGACATTGCCACCACGAGCTATTGATGGCGAGGTCATGAAATCACAACCTCTTGTGGTCACGGCGCATGAGTTGGCGAAGCTTGTCCTAGGGCACTTCAGTGAAAAATGGAAATTAGGATGTGTGGTTTCTGGTAACGTGGTAGCCTCCACCATTCATTTCGTTTTTTGCTAACGCCACTCAGAAATTGCGAAAATGGTGGAACGCCCTGGTCTCCTCAACGCCGAAGAAAAACAGCTCGCGAAACGATATGCTGTTTTCTTTCGCATGCCACGGCTCAGTGTCAATAGCCCTACCGGATCTCAAGGTCAGACCCACACATCAGAGGTCGGTGGGATGAGCATTGGTGACCCTACTCAATACCTCGGGGAGATGATGAACCACCAACAACCAACCCAGCCTCACGATGAATATGCACAGTCCCTCAGCATGTCAGACCAAGGAGGCTTAACCAACTTCGCGGTCTACGGACAACAGCAATTTTCAAATCTTCCACCAGATATGTACGACGGGCAGAATGATCTTGATTTTGGGTTTTCTGAGTTTTTCGGTGGTTATCAAGACCAGGACTTCACGCAGCCGCCACTAAGCTAGGCAACTGATGAGTCCCCAAAGCTGATACGGAATGTAACCTTACTTCGGAAAGCACGAGAACACTACTACATTATCTGGTCTCGAAAGGCGACAGTATTCACATGACATTCATCATCACCTAGGTTGAATCACGTGACCGGTATCCCGGCCAGACCGACTTACGCCGTGTCTTCCTTCAACTCCATAGTCGGTGATCTACAGTGCCATAAATGCAGCGAGACACGGGGAATGAATTGCGGGACGAAGAAAGTGGGACATGCTTAAATTGATTTGAGAATTGATAAAAGCGTCTTGGATCCCGGCGGACGTATGTGCATCATCGTCTCGCTCACGAGTACTTCCCATTGCATTTACCACAGATTGGCGCTCAAGAATATTGGAAATGGCAATTGAGAAAGTTCGTGTGATTCGGCTGGCCCACGTCACATACCAACATCCAGATCTGGAGAAAGCGTTATCATTTCTACTTGACTTTGGTTTTGTGGAACAGTATCGATCAGCAAACAGAGTCTACTTACGGGGATATGGACAGCAGCCTTTCATCTACGTTGCTGAGCAATCGCCTGATAGCAAGAGGCATTTCGTAGGTGGTGCTTGGGTTGTTGACAGGCTCCAAGATCTGGAGACTGCTGCGAGCAAGCCTGGCGCCAGTTCCATCCAAGATAGTGACGCTCCAGGAGGTGGCAAGATTGTAACATTGACCGATCCCAACGGATTCAAGCTTGAATTTGTACATGGTCAGGAGCTGAGGGAGGGCAATGGTTCTGAACTACACCTGGAGCAAAAACCTGCTCAACTCCCGTCGAACACGGTAGTGCAAAAGCCACGCAAGGGCACGTTTCGAAGGTTCAAGCAGGGAGCAAGTCCAGTACACAAGTTGGGCCATTACGGCTTTGTTGTTCCTGGCAGCAAATACGAAAGCACGCTTTCATGGTACTTGGACCTCATCAATCTGAAGCCCTCGGATGCAGTTTTCAATCCACAGACAGGCAAAGACGAGACAGTTTTCAACCATATTGACCTTGGCCAGGAGTACACTGATCATCATGTAAGTTGAGACCGTTAGTGATACATTTTTCTATGCTAACATAGAAGGCAGAGCTTATTCTTCGCAGTCGGACCTGAAGAAGCCCCCGTCCATGTCCATCATTCCAGCTACGAGGTGAACGACTTTGACACTCAAACCCTAGGCCACGACTTCCTTCGTTTCAAAGGCTGGACCAACTGCTGGGGCATCGGTAGACATGTGCTCGGTAGCCAGATTTTCGATTACTGGTAGGGCCTCCTCAATCCGTGGCTCATACAGCCGGTGACTAATCGTGATTTTACAGGTTTGATGGCTCGGGAAACATTGTTGAACACTATTCGGATGGGGACCTTGTCAACGAAGACACGCCGTTCACCAGGGAGGCTGCCGCCGCCGATACTCTGCATATATGGGGACCGAATATCCCCTTAGGCTTCTTGACCGGTCGAATTGAAGATGCTGGAAAAGAGGCTCCTCAACCCCCCGATGTCATAAACGCAATACCTGCCCAGCTGCCGCAGGTAGCTGTATAGCCGAACACATGAGCAGTTGGAAATGTATTTCTTGTCTAAGGTGCAATAAAGGGGAAACTTGTGCCCAGATATACGGCTTTAAGAGGTCATCCTGATGAAATTGCATCGTAGTCCATCGGCATATGCAGCTACCTATTGAAGGAAGCAATGTCGCTGTAGCTAGTTAGGGGTTTCATGAATACGTTATTGTGGGCATGGAAGCGCCGATGGGGGGACAAGGTGAATTACGGCTAGGGCCGCTTCGGCTGAGCTCCTAGGTCGTTAGCGAGGATGATTCGACCCTAATGACCCTTCTAGCCTAAAACATCCCCGGAGTTTTCCAAATAGCAACTGTGCCGAGCAGCGAAAAGCCGTTCATCGCGTCGCGTTGCGGACCAATGAACATTCCTAGGGCACAGTCTACGGATCATGTTTAATACATGGCTATTGGCCACGTATTCTACTGAGTGCACATGAGGCATTCGTTCGCTCTACTGTTCACGGAAGCTTGTCGTAAAAGGTCCCATCAAGGCCGTGGAAGCCAAGGGTGAACAAAGACAATCGACTTCCCCGATATCATATAATGCAGAAATATGTGAGAACATGTCAAAATGTTCTTTCTTCTGCTGCTACTCGAAGAGCAAACTGGGGACGACGATTAATGTCTTCCGCTTCTTTACTTAGCCACACAAACTCGTGGACGCAGCTTACTAGTCTGCGACGCCTTGGTCTCAATGGCGCTATCAAAGCAGACAACGTCTTCCCAAGAAGATGTTTCGGTACTTCTCCAGACCGTCAAGAGGGTTTTCAAGTTAGAGACACTCCTCAAGGGTCTGGGCGTGAGACTCTGGTATCCGGAACCTCGCACTCATCACTTCTGCCAGGCCCAACAGTGCTAGTAGTCGATGATAAGACTAGTTTGAAGAATATGCTGGATAGAATGCTTGATTTACCAGCAAAGCCACCTTCGCTCTACATCGATGCAGAAGGCGAAAATCTGGGACGAAAAGGCACATTGGCTCTCCTTCAAATCATGGTCCGTCCACAGTGGTGTACCTATATTGTCGACATTCACGTACTCAAAAGTGCCGCCTTCACTACCTGTGCCAGCGACGGTACCACCACTCTCAAGAGTATTCTTGAAAGTGAACGGATACCTAAAGTCATCTTCGATGCTCGCAACGACTCTGCTAACTTGTTCAGCGAGTATGGGATATTACTTGGTCGTGTTCACGACCTGCAATTGATGGAGTATTTTTCGAGACCGGTCGTACCTGGGTTCACAGTCCTGGGACTAGCGAAATGCATCGAACAGCATCTACATCTGTCCCCGGACATGGTACAAAAGTGGATGTTACGGAAAGAAAGCGGGAAAAAGCTGTACCATCCGAAGTTCGGAGGTTCAAGCAAGGTGTTTTTTCACAGACCACTACCTAGCAATGTATTGGCGTATGCTGCAGGAGATGTTGAATACCTGGGTATGTTATACCAGAAGTACCGTCGCAACATGCCTCGCCAGCGTTGGAAGTGGATGCTCGAAAAGTCGCACAACAGAGTCAGGACAGTACATCTGCCTACATTTGCCTTGGAGCATGACAGGAGATGGGCTGCTCCGAAATGGACAGGAAAATGGGACCAGGATGATAAGGCGCCTATTAAGGGAACGCCTCATGACATTGTTAGCCCAGCGACAGTTTTCCCCTCCACAAATCGCATCGTACAAGACTAGCGCTCGTCTTCAACAACAACCAACATTCATGATACCGTTGAGTCTGATGACAACAGCTACACTTGGCACAGGCGAACAACCTGTGTCCGCCGGAGGATCAGAAAGTCCTGAGTGGTAGGATTTTAGTCTTCCATGTGATGTTCGTGCCACCAATATCGCAAGCGATCTCAAGCGACATTCCGGGCATTCGTATGCCATTCCACTTTACTCAGAGTCCACATGTTGTTTCCAGGCGTGCTAGGATCCTTTTTATTCTCATGCCGTCAGCAAGACCGTTCCCACAACCTGATGATTCTGGATCAGGCCTCCAAGATATCTCGGAGACATTTTTCTCAGTAAGCCGTAAATGTCTCCGAGGCTATGAGATAAAAAGAAGCCGATTGACAGAGAGTTCTCCCTGGGATTGGAGGTCGTCGAACAGAACTTGAAATTCTTATATCAGCATACTTATGTTATAATCATATCCGGGCCGGACGAAAATGGCCCAGAAGGTTCACGTGTTCTGTGTCCCGTTCCCGGGTGCGGGCCATGCAGTCAATATGTTCAACGCGGCTTTAACGATTGCGAATCATGAAATCATCACGCACGTTCTTGTCATGAGTATGAAAGAAGCGGAGAGGTGGATGAAAGCCACCGGCCAGGATGATAATCCTAACACGCAACTGGAACTTCTTGCAAACGGCAAGTGGGAAGACTGGCACCCAGAAGAGCCGAGAGAACTGGTAATGCAAGTTCGCTCCCCCGAATTCGATCAGGCAGTACGTGCCACGATTGAAGACGTCAAGCGTCGGTTCCCTGCTGACAGAGCGACCGCTCTTGTGTGCAATGCTCTCATGGGGACGATGCCGGAGTTGGCCAAGGCATATCGATTACAGCTTTACATCTTACAGCCCACTGCCAGTGAGTCAATTTCCTTATCAGATGCCATGTACTACGTACTCCACAAGACACCTTGATGAGGCGTGTCAACGTGTCAAAAGCTAGTCTAGCGGACTTTAAGCGTTCCTTCGAATGTTCTTGGATCCCGGTAGCCACTTGTGGCTATCGATCTCCTTACATCGCAAGTATGGCGTTGCTGACAACATATTTTCAACCTATTGTAGTGTACATGGTACGGGTCGGTTCTCAGAATCGGCCTGGTGCTGATCTCAAGACGAAGGTCCTTCTGAAAGGCGTCGGAGGCTCGAAAGATGACATCGAGGCTGAAATAGGAGACGTTACGGATTTTGCAGGCCCTATGATCCAAATGGCAGGGCCAACCTTAGCAGCTGCAGAAGGCCTAATTTACTCAAACACAAATATAGGGCTCGAAGGAGACCAACATGAGCAGGAGCATTTGCTCCCGGCACCATTTGCGGACAAGGCCACCAAATATATGGTCGGACCAATACTACCACCATGGTATGAGCATGCACTGGAGAGTGGTGTCAGGCCACCTCCACGGGAATCTGCCTTGGGCGATGAATGTATCGAGTTCATGAGCGGGCACGCAGCTAAGTCTGTAGTGTATGTGGCGATGGGCAGTCACATTGAACTTACCATAGAGCAAGCAGCCTTGCTCATCGAGACGCTAAGGAGAACCAAGACTCCCTGGGTACTCCTTTTTCGGAACGATACTGAAGAGATGAAGAAGAAACTTGGTGCAGATTTCACCGACGGGGTAGTTACTGCATGGGCGCCCCAACAGGATATACTTCTTCATCCGGCGCTCAAATGCGTGATCTCACACGGCGGGTTCGGTACTATGATCGAGGGTATCTATGCCGAGCAGGCTTTCATCACAACACCTGTTGCATCGGATCAATATATCGACTCAAGGGTTATGAGACATCTAGGAATTTGTGTCGGTACCATTTCGGAGAATCACTATGAATCAATCATGGGCAGGACAAAGCTTATACCTCATTGGCCCAATGATGGTGGCAAGACCATACAGGAACTCTTTCAAAGACTGTTTGGCACGGTCGATGGGGAGGTAGAGCTAGAAAGGGCTAGAGCTGCTTCAAGGGCCGTCAGACAGCGAATGGTCGATTCCAAAGCTCTTGCAGCATCAAAGGCTCTAGATGAGTTGAGAACAGCAATGACGAGTTGACAGCATACTAAGTTGGGGACTGGGAAACGATGAGCGTAGGACTGAAACATTTCTCAGGATACCATGCAGGGAAAGACTCTGCTCTAAAAGATATACATTGAACTTGAGCGGGCATTGTTGATCCTGGTAACCTGCTACAATGAGCTTTCTTCTTAGTCGTTCTAGACTCTGCGGACTTTTCTTCCCCTACCGTCGATGGATTCTACTTCCCTTGTCACATGGTGACAGGAGCACATGTGGAGCCCGGGGGTCGAAGTAATGATAAATCCAGGTGATGGAAGGACACAATATGTACCGGGGTGTGTCGCACGCTTGAGGAGTTTGGTGTACACGGGTGGCATTGGGAGGCCCGCATCGACATTGGGAAGGCTAGTGACCATATCACGCACGATCCTGAGTCTCAGGAATCTCGAATCAACGTGTGCAGCGGCAAGTGAGGTGGATCTGTCTATTTGCGAACTCACCTGGATAGTGTGGTGACACAAACTAAGGACTAGGCCCGAGGGGCCCCTCGGGCCCAAATTTGGATAGCGCCTCGGCCCAGCCGGAGCATACTCCATAGGGAAACGCCAGCGAGCAAAGCCTGGGGACAAAGCTGAGTAACCACTGTACGAGTTCCTTGCCAGACAAGAGATTGTGACACAAAGGCGCAAATGCACTTTTTGTGTCGGCTCACGTCAAAAACCCAAAATTGTGGTGAAATTTAAATGCCACTTTAACAGAAAATGGGTACATAAAAACCCTCCTTGATCTTGAGGAAATTACTTCCCATTGCCTTGTCAGGTCGACGTCGAAAGGAGATCTGGCACGATCGTTCCCAGAAAACCTTGCCGACTACGCCACGATCAAACCGGCTCTCGATCAGATCTTATAGCAGGGATTGTCACGGAGTACGATCACGATTTTCGATTGACCCCTGCATTCAAGATGGTGCTTGAAGTGGATTATTGGTGAGAATCTCATCCCGGAAGACTATTCGGTAATGGAAATTGTTTCCGAGAGCACTGAATACGACCATTAACGGTTGAGTGGTTTCGCGAATCTATGACGCATTGATTGGGTCTATCACCGTTGTAATCCAAATTCCTAGCGAAGCTTGAATACGACGCTCCATACACAGGTCCAATTTGTAGGCCACATGCAGAACTCCTGATCGAAGCTCTCCCATGGATACATGAGGCTAAAGGAGGTCACAGGTACATGATTGGCCAGCAACCTATTTCCTGGAGGCTCAAGGTTAATGTCAACGGGAACAAGATAACCGTGCAGTAAGGCGAGTGACCCACGTCTCCCACCAACCAAAAGTCAACTGAAGCAGAACCCGGCCGTGTAGGGGGAGGCCATGAATACTATCATGGGACCGGCAAACATCAGGAATCTGGCACAGTGTAGCCACGTTCTTCAATTGCTTCTTGCTGCCTTGAAATGAGAATGGCACACACGACTTTTCGCCATTGATTCTTTTCCGCTCACAATCACTGACGCGTACTAACCGCCTGACCCTGCGCACGACATGTCTTGATGATTCTCTTGATCCTAGCAGGCGAAGCCCTGAAATCGATATCAAGACCGGTCACTGACACTTTTTGTCGATATTCCTGATCAAGCTTCGAATCAATTCCTACAATGATAGTCCAGCACATCAATGACTTCCTCGGTCACAATCAATCGACAACCCGACATCTCGATTATAAGTCGACGTACTGGGAACGTTACAGATTAAGGATGAGGCATGAGGTTGGGGGAGGACATGCTCCTATATCACAAAATCCATTCCAGCCCGGTTTACCATCATTCCAACAACTTCTTTCCACAATCGAAATCCAGATCCCACAGGACAGGAAGCCCAGCGGTAACACTTCTGTTGCAATCGACTCAGCCATCCCATATTCTCGGGGGTTTCAATATCACAACTATAACGTCGCGGCACGTACAGCATTTCACTCCACCAGTGGCAAACGTTTTCAGTCTCTGGACAAGCGCTCGGACATCCATTTATCTGGTCCAAATCGTACAGATTGTTCCCCCAACATGGCGCACACTGCCATGGAGGCTCACAAATCTAATCTTTATGCTCTATCGACACTAGACTCACCCAGATTGGCTTCGCACAATGCCAGCTTCGACCAAGCCTCCTCTTCTGCTTCCAACAGTATACGATCTCCACTTGAACTCAAGCTTTGGCATGAAGCAACCCAGATTTTTCCCTTGAATGAGAAAATAGCTTTCACTAAAACTGGAAAACTGAGGAAGCGTCTAGAAAAGGCGTGCGATCCTTGTCGTGAGAAGAAGGTAAGTACGCTGTCTCCAATATCGGAAGACTGATCCTGATGAGACCCACAGGTTAAATGTCGACTCCGCCTACCAAAATGTATTCACTGCCAGAAATGTGGCTATGAATGCAATGCTGAGTTGATGTCAGTGATCATGCTCGCCCCACATGCCCGGAGGTTCTGGAAATGCTAACCGAACCTCAGATTACGGCCCGACTCGACAGGCACAAGTCTTCAATCATCCAACCAGTCCCCGATCCCTACAGGTGTGTCTGATACAAAGGGGTCTTCGAATCAGCCGAATATATCAAAGCAAAATGATGAACAGGATTTTTCAGGCTTAAAGTCTGAAATGTCATCGACTAAGGCTCCGAAAAGGCTACGAAACGAAACACCGACCGAGGGTGACGACGTCCTAAATGAGACGCTTCGGCAACCACCACAAAAGAAGAGAATGACCACAGCTGCATCTACCATGTCTCTCGGGACGGTCGTCCATGACGAACTCACCACGAAGTCAGAGACCTCATTACGATCTCCCTCCATGGCGGCACTTCCAACAGTTCTCAATTTCTCTTTATACGCCGACCCGTATGACATCAATCCGCGAGTGACACTGAAGTATATAGGCAAGTTCTTCGGCTTCGTTGACAAACACGTTTTGGCTGCGATACCCAAGGCTCCATTTCTGCAATGGGTAAAGTCATGTAAGCACAAATCCCAGTCGGACAAGATGATGATTTACTCAGTCCTGGCCTTGGGGTCCGTTTTCGCTGATATTTCGGCTGCCAATACTTACACGTCAGACCTTTCGACGATCGTTCATGAAGGGCTCACGCTATGTGGGGAGGACTTGTCCTTCCAGTTAGCTATGACATATCTCTTAACAACACTGCTGTCGGCCATGAGAGGAGAGTATCACAAAGCATGGGCTACTTGTGGTTCAACCATGCATACGCTCTTCGGCCTTCGCTTCAACACAGAAGCTGGCATTCGCACCACATCGAGAAGTGGATCATGGGAAGCTCAACTGGAGACGGACACGCTCATGGAAAGTAGACGAAGCATTACATGGGCAGCCCTTGTCGTTGAGTGCCTGAATGGGTGCTACACTACCCCTCTCTCGACGGCGGCATGGTCGGAATATGACCTCTGGTTACCTCTCACGAAGATACCATTTCAGTTCCATGGATCACTTGATCTGGCAAATCTCTCCCCTCCGCAAGAAATAAACCGTAAATCATTCACTACCGACGCCCTAGGAGATTCAACACCGCTCTTCCATCTCATACATCTGGCAACAATATTTCATGAAGTCACAAATTATGCTCATCAACAAAAATCTCGTGTGATTTCGAACCACCGGCCTTTCCAAAGCGAAATTGAAAGGCGCCTGCATATGCTGAAAAGGTCTTTGCATCGGTTTCAAGAATATGGGGGGAATAAAATTATGTTCTTCGACTTGGAGATACTATATCATTGCATCAATCTTCACCTGCATCGCTACATTCGCCATGGCGTGCTAAACTCTTCAGAGATAGAAACCCATGTCACAACCGGTCTGTCCCACGCCTATCGGATTTTGGAACGAGTGCAGTACCTCAACAGCGACGAGAAAATGAGAAACTCACTTGCAGAGTTTCGGATCACGAGCCCTTGCCTCGAATTTGCGATAACGGCTGCTCTGGATGTTCTGACGGCAGCAGGAAAATTCAACGACTTGACTGGCACAAGTAACATCATGTCCATGGTTGCAAGTGGTCTCGAAGTCCTTGATGATTTGGCTCGGTATTCTCAAAGCGCTAAACAACGAAGAGACTTGGTCAAGAGACGGCTGACAACCATGCTTCAGTCGATCACTCGCAGGACAGGGAATCAGCGGAAAGCTTTCTACTTCAAAGATCCTTTATTGTTGCGTTTTGGAATGGAACAGGATGTGATTTATGGCATCACGAGGATTCACTATTTTCAGGCCTTAGATTCGCGAGAGGCGTTTACTGATGATGATTTTCACGAGTTGAAGGATTCATTATAGAAATGAAAGACGCCTACTACGGAGAAACAAGCATTATTGACGTTCTGAGAAATTTAGGAGTGAAAGCGCGTTTTAGGCAAGAAACTTCTTGAGGGATATTGATGGTACGAGGCTGAAGGTCCCTAAGTACTCAAACTAGTGTTACTATCAAGCTTAGCTCATGCGTTCCGAGATCCATTTCGGGTTAGTAGCCGCTGAGCCCAATGAGCTCATCAGGCGACAGACGCTAATGATTAGCGCTTGTGTAATAGTTCGTGGATCGTTAAGCCTCAATCACCACCACACACGTCTTGTCTCATGCAGTAATCAAAATCTCTTCTCAGGGCCATTCGCAGCCAGAGAAGTTCATAAGCGCGTCCACAGGCTCGATGGATTCGCTCTCAGTATTATGATAGACACGGATCTCTCGTTGCGCTCTGGGTCCCACGGAAATTCAGATAACCCGGGTTTCCGCCCGTGATTTTGCTGATCTTGTTGACCTTCGCCGGACCTTCTGATACGGTGGGTTCTTACGTTGGGGGCTAAATATCTTTCAGCATTGTTCCCTCTGCTTACAAGTCCTCGTTTAAAGTCGTTCGATTTGCTATCAGCATGTTTCATACTATGCAGCCCCCGAAATTTTTCTTGGCGAGTTGCGTGTTGTTAGTTTGAGCTTCGGTGGACATTTATAACTCTACATTCGCAAATATCGCCAGCAGACATTTCCAGGATTATCGAACATTGATTGCCCCATATCTCATCTGCGATGTCGGAAGCTGTTGTCGAGAAACTACCCACAGAGATTCTGGAGGCCATCTTCCTTCAGTGCCTCAATGGGAATCTTCTGCTTGCCTCACCTCGAATTGCCCAAAGACTTTCTGGCAACCAACCACTCTACCGAACCGCTTTTTCGGTCGCATTCTATGGACATCAACTGGGAGATGTGCTCAGTCAATTGGGACTCTCGTAAGTGGCTTGATGAATCGTCTGAGCCGTGACGGCGCTCGAGTCTTCCGATACTCATCACCTTGTAAGGCAGTTTCATGATACCACGGCTTCCAGATCGAATTACTGCATGGATGGCCCGATCTATGACGAAGGCAGTGCTTCGTTCTCTCTGGTGTACTGACCGATGGGCTGTGAATCTCTCTCAGAGTTTACTGAATGCCGCAATGTATCGATTATCACAGAGAACAGACCTCAACACTTATGTTCGCGAAGTGGTCCGGAAATATCAATCAGATTCTTCAACCGCTGTGACGAGTGCAGGTCATGATTCATCAAACTTATGGAGGCAGACAGTCGCATCTCTCGATTGTCACCACCCTCTGCACCTTGAATTCACTACTACGGAGGGTGCGACCGGCATATTTTTCGCCGATGACACCGATGACGAGAATACAATAACTCTTTTTGAGTTTACCATGACTTTCTGTGGTGCAGGGTCGGAGAGACATGAACAGCTAAGGCCTGGTGGTCGGTACACTAGCGGGCGGGGTCTTAACCCTGTTGGTGAGCCGTTCTCAGTGTACGTGACCAGTATGATTATGAACACTATGGATGTAGATGCAACGCGGAGGGATGAGTTTTGGACTGGCCTTGATCGGTTCTATGCGGAGCCTTTGTCAGATATCTACGGTGGGGAATGCGACCGCCTGCATTGGCGCTTCGGATTCCGGCAACAGGTTGCTATCAGCTATCTTCTATCTCCAGAGAAATTCCCCTTCCGGATATCATCCGAGATATATCGGCGTGCGATAGATCATGATGTGGGCTTACTGCTTAATACTTGGGCTCATTCACTCTCGACATATGTACCACGCTATGTTCATTTTCTCTTCGAGATCGACCCGATGTCCATGCCGCGACAGGATCCAATTATACTTCGATGGGCTCACGATGCCTGTTATCGCATCAGACTATTTGGTCAGGTTTACCAGCAAGAGCGTTTGGAGCGACTTGATGATGGCGAAGATGAGCCTTGGCCGGGGCGTACAGCCCAACGCAGACAACAAGTCTTAGCTAAGTATACTTTCGACGTTGAGGTCCGCATGGTTCGTTACATCAAGACTGGCGAACCCCCGTATCCCCCAAACGATCCCGCGCCGCACCTTCAAAATGCAATTACGCAGCTAGGAGATATTCTTGGACCTTCTCTTGATATTGCGGCCGAAGATGAGGAAGAAATAGCAGTCAACCCTCTGGAAGACCCCAATCCGCCCGAGCTTGGTTTCCTCCAACATGATGACTATCGGACGAAACCGAGACGACCAGAGGATGATCAAGAGGACAAGGAGAAGGAGGACGAAGGTCTAGATGCCAGCCCACTGTTGTCGTTAGAAAGCTTCGAGAATGGTACGTTCACAATGGGAATCATAAAAGACCCAGTTGAGAGCGTGCTGCCCTCCCTTGATCAAATTGCCCTTGAGCTACGACAACGAGGGAAGATATATTGGCTATCACCCGATGATTGCAAGATTCCTTCCCAGTTCGTTAAGGACTACAAGTGGTATAAGGAACCATTGCTAACCACTGTGGATGACGACGAGTGGCGGATCGTGCAGTAAATACTGTGTCTCCACTGCAGCCGTCGCCTTTGGCCGGATGGCACAAAGTGTTGTGTGCTTGATACCAAGACAACAAACTCACTCCATGTCTGGCAAGGAGAAAGATTCTCCACTTAAAATTACCGCTCAACCCAGGACGTCCAGCTCAATTTCCCAATTTCTCCTAACGAGAATTAAAAGAACCCATTCCAATATCACAGCGTTTTCCCGCCGATCATATCTCGGAGACTCAATTCCGGAAATCTCGTCAATGCTGAACGCTCGGAGACCGACTTCCGAGCTCAGAATTTGTTATAGATCTCGGGATCCTTTGGCATCTCCGCCGTGCCCTTTCCCTCGGCGTCTCCCCTCGACATTCTGCCATGGCTGGTTCTGTACGCACCTCTACTCGCGTCCACAATCGGATTGACCCACGTCACTTCACCAGTCTCCTTGTTCTTGACAGGGCGGGAGGTCTTCCCCAAGCCGGTGGGGTGGTAGTTGATGTAGATGCCTTCCCAGCCTGAGCGCTCTGGCAATGCGAATACTTCATGCATGATGCCGATATGCTTATGCGCTTTGGCGGTGTCGTTCCACCACTTCCAGGCGTCCTTGTGGACAGGTGACAGCGCAAATTGATGGATATCTTCGACCGACCGCCAGTAGCTTATCGTCGCGTATTCATTTCGCGAAGATCGTTCTCCGGCGGATGTCCATGTTGACATACCCATGACTGATGATCATCGAGATCGAGTTGTCAGCATACTGATGCTACACATTCGGGGGGAAGAGAATTGCAGATTGCTTACAGCCGCTATCTTCTCTGGTTTCCTCAAGCTGTACTAGCATGGTCCGGAATCTGTCGCCAACCTCTTTGAATCCTACCGTCAAGATTGTCAGTGATTTCAGTCATGAATGGAACCGGAATACCAGTAGCTGTTCCTAAAGGGACATGTGTGGGGGTCGATCGGGGTATTTCTCACCCTCTGCAAAGAAGCCCATGGGAGAATTTGACCGCGTGCCAAGGATCATGACAGCGCCTGGTCCATTGTCGCCCGGCTTGCCGCCAATCGCTTCTGTCTCTCCTGGGCCCGGGTATGCTACGCTCCACTTGCCATCGATCACATCTTCGATATAGATATCTTTCCTCAAGCCGGAATGCATCAACATGACATCAACAATGCCCCAACCGAAAAGGAGCAGTGCTGGAAAGGCCGCGTATGAGCGTGGGAAGACGAAATAGATGCCTGACTGAAGGACACAGCCTAGCAGAATCCACGTTGAAAGATTGTAGTGTTCTCGGAGGAGCTGATAGGGTTCAGTCATCAGTGACCGTTACGTTGGGGGAAGACAAGTGGCTATGGCCTGTCAACAACTCGGAGCGGCCACGTACAGCAACATCACTACCAGTGAAGGGACCAAATCCGGTTTTCTTGTCAGGGATATTTGCCCCTAGACTGTACTGAGAGGCAGGCTTCTCCCTCGAAGCAGGAAACATCGTTCGGAGACCCATATTTACAAGGTTATATCAAGTGAGGATATCAAAGGCGCGGGAAGTCTTGGTGGGGACAAGGCAATTTCAGCGCAGAAGGGATATCTGCAAGCGAAGCCCTTGTAGAGGCCGTCATCAGTTGATTTATATGTTTCGCTTGGCCTGTCGTGTGGCTTAATTCCGTATCAGCACATATCGTTCCAGGCTATGAAAGGATATACACTTCCCAGACGGGAAGGAGTTACAGTAGTGGAGCCACAGCCACGGGAACGAGCGCTCAGACTCCGTCAGCTGAAAACCGGTCGTTCAATGTAACGAATCATCTTCTCGACCTGGTGAGATAAGTACGTGGCTTTCCTTGCCCGGAAGTCAAAAAGAAGGGCGGTTTGTGGAAGCCGCGTGCTGTAACTTGTAAGCCAGGCATGGCCGTGACTCGTGAGTCTCAGCGATCGTGTACAATGCAGTCCTTGGAACACTGGGATTAAAATCTACACTTCAGACTTGCAGGGTTTGAGTGGACCGAGACTAAGGCTAGAAAAGAGTAGAGCCGGCGACAGATGTACTTTTGGCCCATCAGATCGAACGACAAGGTTATGGAGGGCCAGCCGGCCAGGATGGTTCCAAACCCCGGGGACCATCAGTCTTCGAACACGGCTTGCGGGGTTTGGACCACTGTACTTTCTGGCGGAATAGTGTACTAACTTAGTATAAATTGCGTTCAACCCGAACAGAATCATTTATTCAATACGAGGATACCTGGCTCATTGCAACAGTTGGTGGTATGGTGACTTGTCTGATATGGTCTCCTGGTAAGTGTGAGCTTCTGCTAAGTACACTGCCCTGTTTTGTCAAGACACGGGTTGTTGGCATCTTCATCTGAACGGCATGAAACATCTGGCTGGCTCATGGGAACCTCAGCGTGTGCGGATGGTCGCATGTTCGATAGGTGTCGAATGGTGGCCCACCTTGACTAGCGAGCGAATGTGGAGGGCTGAAAGAAACTCTATTCAATCCATTTCGAACTTGGCCATTGATTTGACGATGAATTTGCAACGAGCGGTGCTGTGCGACAGGAACACCTACTGAATCTAGAGATGCAAGTGATCTGGGTTGGATGCTTGTCAGCGAAGTGGGCAGTCTTATCCTTCCACAAGTTCAGATTAGAGGTGTATGATATCCGCCAAGGCCGGCACCAGGCCTGAACGTGACTGTATATAAAGCAGCATTCATTTGGTAGACTCCTAATTAGACTCAACCAACTTGTCCGTTGAGAATCACAGGTATTAGGACGTACACTTACTCAGCTGCGAGATCGAAAGTGCAGATATGGTGAGATGTGTAGCCACTCGGCAGAAGACTACTTCGTAGAAGCGGGGTGGACTGCTAGAGCTTGACTGAGCTTGATTCAGCTCACTTCTTTCCAGCCATAGTGGATGCATGATCCGTCGAGACAGTGAGGATCTTCTGCTGGACGGGCGGGTAACTACTAAGTACCTAGGTAGTTGACGGGTAGCAGACTTCTGTCGTGGAGTCAGAAATGGGGTATGGGGGAGTATGGAGCCCGAGGCGAACCGCGCTGACAGTTGGATTATGTAATGTAAGATCAGAGCTGATAAGATTAGATCTCCACTTCGACGCGCTTTTGTATGGTGGAGTGTCGTTGGTCATTCTCACAGTTCCTCCTGTTCAAGTCCCTGCGCTCGAGTCTCTCTTGGATGTTATGACCATCCTCAACCATGAGCGTCATTGTTGATGCGCTCTACATCTTTGATGATCACAAGTCAGTTAACTCGGTGTATATCTCTGTTACACAGACGCTGACCTTTCCAGTGAGTGCATCTTGGAACACGTCTACGCTGGCCGACCTCCAACGGCCAATACTCTCATCTCCAGCATAATAAGCAGACCCATACCCCGGCCTGCTGTGCTCTACCTCTCTGACCTTGCCCCATCTACAACAGCATATACTGTGACGCATGCAAATCTGCTATTCGCGGCAGTATGCATCAAAGATTCTCAGCCGTTAGCCATACTCGATTTCCTCCATCGACTGATCGATGTGTTTGAGGATTTCCTGGGAAGCCCATTGCTGGTGGGCAAGATCCAGGACAACTATGAGGTTGTCGCACAGCTATTGGTAGAGATGTGTGATGGAGGTGTCGTCTGTAATACAGAACCCAATTCATTGAAAGAGAATGTTGAGGTCTCCTCCCTATTTGGCAAATTGTTTACTCAAGTCGGCTTACCCGGGTATGCTTTCTCTAGTACAAGCATTGATATCTACTAAACCGCTTATCAGGGCATCTCCGGCTTTGAATCCACAAAGCTCCTTCGCTGCTAGTCTTCGTCCTACGGCAGCACCATCCACGGGGCCTGCTATTCCCTGGCGGAAGTCAAACGTGCGACACACGTCGAACGAACTCTACGTTGATATCATCGAAACACTATCAGTCATCTTTGCTCCATCAGGACGACTGATTTCAGCTCGATCACATGGTTCTATAGCATTCACAGCCAAGATATCGGGAGTTCCAGATCTTTTACTGACCCTAAATGCGCCGGGAGGTACCAGCAGTTCCAAGTCCTCAGGGATCGCCCGTACGATGCAGCATCCTGTTTTCCATCCTTGTGTGCGGCTAGCCCGTTGGAAGGAACATCCAGGGGAACTATCTTTCGTGCCACCTGATGGACGATTTATGCTAGGCGGGTATGAAACAGATCTAATGCCAACAAAGTTAAACAACGACCAACCGCCGTCGCAAGGCGACCGTATCTTCCTTCCAGCTACTGTGGATCTCCGACCAGGGCTCGGTAGCGCAGGCAACGAGTTCGAAGCCAGACTCACATTAAACAGCAACTTCCCCGGAGTTGCCTCATCCAGCAAACCGGGCGCCTCACGGACGGGTTCAAGTACTGGACCGTTCTCTTTCGGGAGTTCCAGTGGAGGCGTGTCGACCGCTCCGTCTCTGGAAGCCGTGATAGTCACAATACCCTTTCCGCCAGAGGTGCGCAATGTCACGGAACTCAAGCCATCTCGAGGCGAAGCCAACTTCAACGCATTCGACAAAGTCATTGAATGGAAAGTCCCAACCAGAGACGGCGCCTCGATCAGCGGCGTAGCGGTGCTGACAGGAACAGTGTCTGGACCACTGAACACATCCGCAGTCATCAACGACCACGACGTCGAATTGTCCGAGGTGGGCAAGGCGAACAGCATGGCGGGCTATTATGAGGACGACGTCGTCGCAGACCAGACGGACTTGCAATCGCAATCCGGACCAACCGCGACAAGGACGGGCAGCAACGGGTCTAAGAAATCCCACGCCAACAGGTCCCTCATGCCCCGCTCGGTCGCCGTATCGTTCAACGTCAAAGGCTGGTTACCCAGTGGCATCAAGGTCGACGCACTGCTCGTTGACGTCAAGAAATCCAAGGGTCTGGGCGATGGCGTTCGCCCTTACAAGGGTGTCAAGTACATGACTATCAGCAGGCAGGGAGTGGAACGGAGAGTCGAATGATGTCAGTCAGAGCTAGCAACTCTGGTATGTTTTAGCCGGTCGTCCAAGAACGCATTGCTCCCAAAAGCGCCGAGAACGTGATTCGGGGACTAGGTATAGAAGAAAGGGACGGCATGAAAAATAACACGAAAGAAATGAATGTTCATAGAATACAGGAAACACCAGCTTTTTGAATCACCGTCATCGTCATCATCCTCCACACCTGGAGGCTGCATGGGATGGGTTATATTATGCCTAGCTAAAATCAAAGCCGGTAATGCCTATCATGATAAATGTTGGTATCGATGTCGATGATTGAAACAAAATGTGTGGTGAAAACGCCAGGATCCCCCGTACCTTCCCATCGCTAGTCGTCATGCTAATAAGATCAAAGAAATATTCGGGGCCAGAAAAACAGACACAAGAAAAAAGAAATTCGTTCAAACAAGCAGCGCTGAGGAAAAGCTCGATCGTGAGCAATGCTGTCCATCCGTCCATGCACACCCATGCACCTCAACAATGAGACGAAGATAGATGCTTTTAGAGTCCCCCTTGTTTCCATCATCCAGACCCCCGAAGTGATTTTGATCGGCGCCCAGGAAACTCCACGCCAATGAAAAGGAAGAAGATTGCGTTGCAAGAAAGTCAGGTGGCTCATGGATTGTATCAGGCTGAAAAGATGAGCCAAGGCAGAACGAGACGAGATTGAATCAAACAATCAATAGCCCGAGCCCAACATCTTCTTGAAACCTTTCTTCAGGTTCCGGTTGACGTAGTCGGCGCCAGACTCACTGGAGGTGGAAGCTGAGGAAGCGAAAGATGCACGATCGGTGCTGCGCCGCCGTTGGCTGGTCCAGCTGGAGACGCTGCCGGTCGCGTACTTCTGCGACGATGAGCTGCCTGCTGATGAGGAGGACGAGATGTTTCCCGCACCGCCGCGGCCGACGTGGTAGACCGGCGCGGCGTGGCGATCCTGTGAGAGCTGGCGCTCAAGCTCCTCGTCGAAGGAGAAGATGGCGCGCTCCGACGACGGGTGCACGTTGCCCGCGCCGCCTCGGCCGGTGGTAAAGGTCTTGGGCTGTGCGGTGTTGTGGTGTGCGGCGGCGAGGTTGATGCGTGCGGCTGGCCCAGAGGCATCACTGCCCCGGGTTACTGTGTTGGGTGCCTTTACTCGGTTGCCGGCACCGCCACGACCGGTTGTGAAGTAGTGTGAGGCGGGCACCGATGGGTGTGGCTCGACAATCGAGTAGCGGTTTGATGAGCTGATGGAAGACATTGTGATGAGAGTATTTCTGATTGGTTGATTGAGGAGGTGGTGTGCTTTGTTTGGTCTCCGACGAGTTGGGTTTAGCCTAGTCAGGTGATGTTGAATAGTTGCTGACGATATAGTAAGTGAGAATGAGGTATTTATAGTGTGCCTCGTCCGTGGATGATGTTTATCTAATGTTCAAAGAGCAAAAGTCCATTCAAAGTCTCAAGACAGGATCATGGTGTGGGAAGGGGAGCAGGGAATTATATACGGAAATGGGCTTCTGAAGTCAACGAGGCGTCTCGAACAATCTCCTCACTCTTGGGCCAGAAAATTTGCAACCGTGACTTACGAATGTGGTGACACAGACCATGCACTTCACGAGGTACATTCTCCTGCAAGGGATGGCGCGTTGTCCCAGCAGAGAGGGGCAAAATGAGAACCACGCAAGTCCGAGTATCCAAGCACGCCAGCCATCAAGGAAACGAGTGGAAGGAACGAGCGGCTGATTACACGATGAAAATCCAGAAAGGCCAATATCTCCTCAACGAGATGCCGTTAACTGCAAAGCGCCAAACGGCCATGGACCATGGTGTGTACGAAGTACATCACCGAGTGGAAAGGGGGTTGCCGTTAACTGCAAGGCGCGGAAAGAAAATTCTCTGCGGTGTCCGCTGGAAACAGAGACAAGATCCAGATGAGTAGGCGGGCCGTCCATGACACCAGGACTTGCAAAATTTTTCCAGGTCACGATGGCCTGGGGATGAGGCAAAGAGATTGGACTTTGGCGTCATCGGTGCTGAGAATAGGTGCTAGGTGCTTAGATCACCCCCGGATTTGCACACAAGCGTGCCTAGACGGCTAGCGTAGCAGTAGGAATTGCGCAGAGTTGCTCAGGATTAGGCCTCTGGGCTGGGAAAAAGTGCAAATTTGCCATCAGCGTAAATGGCGGATATCGAGGCTTAGCCCGCCGAGCTTGGATCTTTGGCCACACGTGATGAAGGGGAGAGGAAAAGTCTGTCATGGGTCACAAGCTGGAATGCATCGAATTGGCTACAAGGGCAATTCTTTTAGTCATGCCGAGACATCACGAGCCTTGCCTACAACGCCACGCGCCTGTCTCCGACCAAACTATGGGGTAATAGCGGTGCCTGACGCGAGGGGACGGTGGTTTCCTGGGGGTAATGGAAACCTCATCAAACTCCATCGCCAATGCTTCCTTTCTCCATTCACAAACCCTCTTCCATGCACACGCTCGAAAATTTCTTCATTCCCTCCCTGGCCTTTGCATAGCTATCTTGTTGCTGTCCTCACTTGTCCCTGCTATCCAATCTGTTCGTACACGTGTATTCCGTGCTGACCGGGCGGGCCGTTGCTCAAGACAGTCAGGTACCAACATTCTTGACAAGCACGTCCAGCCTGCCCGGACCACCCGCTGTTCGTAAAATGACCGGAGAACCCTGCCTCCAGGAATCGATGCCGGAACTAGGTCGCCTTAGCAACCCCCTGGTCAAGTCAGCACGTTGACGTGCTAATGACCCTGTCATTGGCAATCCCCAGATTTCGGACATTTGGTCTCCCCCGCAGATTCAGAACTAGCCAATTTTTGGAGATCAGCAGATCGTGCACTAACTAGAGACGTCTGTTCGGTGGCCTTGACCATTGGTTGGATCGGAGGGTTCCAGGTTGCGTCCCTTCTAGACAGTCAATTTCGAATGCCTTGTGAATCACCACGAGTACTTCGGATGAAGGTACACCGCCAGACTCTATGGTCCATCAACGGCCAGACCCAAGCCAGCTGAATATTTGACGGTACCTGGTGATCTGGCTGTTCTGCGCAACGGTCCTCAGGTGAACTTGGTGTGAATAATGTCTGGATTCTCATGCCAGTCGTCGATACTGACCCACATCTACAGCACATCGTTAGTCTGATGGAACCTGCATTCGCTTATTCACCGGGAACACGCTGACACTTACCTTTCTGAACGTGCTCAACCCCGCCAAAATGCTTCCGCCAATCCAGGTAGTATACTTTCTTTCAGGGGGAGCAAAGATCTTAATCCTCATGTCCTTGACCGCCAGTCGTTGCATCTCATACAGCAACCGGTCCGGGAACCCTTTACACAATGTTGTGCCACCGCTCAAGACAACGTTGCCAAAAAGATTTTTTCGAAGGTCCATGTCGGTTCGATTGATGGCATCAACCACCATTTGATGCAAGCCTGGATATTCTAACCCGATCAATTCAGGGTCGAATAGGATTTCCGGTGCTCTGAATCTCTCTGCGCCGATTTTGATTTTCTGTCCGTCTGGCAGAACATAGTCGACATCCCTCTTGTCGTTTTTCCAGAGTCCTTGTGACCAATCCTTCTCTTCTTTCCTCGGATCCAATGCCACGTAAGAGGTCTTTTCCTTGATTGTCCTCACGATCTCCTTTTCCGAACTTGTGTGGAAAACGTGTCCGTTTTTCCTCAACAACAGTTGAAGATGTTCTGTGATATCCCTTCCTGCCACGTCGATGCGTCGAGTGGCATTGGTGATTGAGAACCCATCATAGACGGGCACCGCATGCGTGACTCCGTCACCACTATCAAGAACGAGACCTGTTGTGCGACCACTGGCATACAGACTGAGGACTGCCTGGATGGACATGTATATGGCGGGGACATTGAACTGCTCGAAGAGAATTTGAGCAGCGGTTTCCCTGTTTTGTCTGGGATTTAGAGGAGCCTCGGTGAGCAGCACAGGGTGCTCCTCACTCAAAGTCTTTAGCTCTTGTTCGTAGACATAAGTCCATATTTTCTCCATGTCATCCCAGTCCGTAACAATTCCATGCTCAAGAGGATACTTTATTTTGAGAAGACCTCGCAGTTCTTGAACCTTGGGCCCGATAAAGATGTCGCCTTCAAGTGCGCCGGCCAACGTTCGAACATGTTTTGGGCGACCGACATAAGAAGGGAAGTATGCGGCAGGTAGATCGGAACCAGCAAAACCGGCTCGAATGGTACCACTGCCATTGTCAAGCACAAGTGGCACGTTGTGGAGGCTCCCGCCGTCAGCCATGGTGGGTGGCAGGGATGAAGTAGATGGTTGCTTGTTTACATGGGACTGGTTTTGATGACCAGATTATATGGGCAGCCTTGATCACCTCATCTCACTCTGGAGGGAGCTGGGATATAGGGACGTGGATGACGAAGGTTTCAGCGAGAGTGATGAGTTAATATTCGTGGTGGTGACAATCCAGGAGTCGCGTCTGGCATGGACTCTCAGTCCGTCTGCGGCAACGGCGAGTCCAAGTGGCAGAAAACGCGTTCCTGCCAAATAATAATTCTGCCATCTCTGACCGCCTTGGGACCAGGTTGGAATTCAACTTCACACCTAAACTTCTCCTCCACTCCCATCAACATTCGATACCTGATTCTTCTTTTGTGTAGGCACATCCCGGCAGAACACAAACACACAGAAAGTCGAAAGCAGATCCATTGGCGAACACCCGAAATTCTAATCGCCAAGATGCCCAAATATAAGTCACCCTCCCCAAAAGTTTTCGATAACTCCACTAACTCGCCCAGCACTCTTTTGCGACTATTGCGATGTCTATCTTACTCACGATTCCATGTCCGTGCGCAAGGATCATAACTCTGGCAGAAATCATATAAGGAACGTGGTGGAATACTACCAACGTAAGAGTCCGTACAGAATATGAGACATGTCCTCCCTAACAAAGCCCAGAGATTGGCCATGAGAAGGCGCAGTCTGTTATTGACTCTATCACTTCCTCATATGCTGCAGAAGGTCAGACGAACCCAATGCTCCAACAAGCTGCTGCTGGATTTCCCCCGCCTCTTCCAGGTTTTCCAGGTAAGTCGATGACTGTTTCCAATATAACGGCATCAGTGTTTGATGAAGAATAGGAATGCCACCACCTCCGTTTGGTGTTCCTGGAGCGCCTCCACTCGGACCTGGAATGATTCCTCCACCCGGCGGACGAGGAGCTCCATTCCCACCTTTTCCTCAGAACGGCGTTCCACCTCCGAATCTTCCCTTCCCTCCTCCCGGTGGCTTCCCTCCAAACTTCCAATTCCCGCCACCTGGTGCTCTAGGCGGCTTTCCACCACCTGGCCAACAGCCTCCTTCAGCTCCAGGCGGACCCAGTCCTGGCCCAGGGTCAGCACCTGGTCACCTTCAAGGTCCAGGAGCCCCTGCTGATTTCAAACCAAGTGGTCCCCCTGGCATGAACGATAATCGGAGATGATGGGTTCTGACTCAGACCTGTTTTCTCCGGAACGTTGGAATCGCGACTGTGTGAATGCAATCTTCACATGATGAGCTATTCGATTCCTTCAGGTACCCGTTACGCTACGACAAGCTGTACCAGACGGCAAACGGGCTTCGACACGATATCCAGCTGATCACAACTCGGAGTAAAGCGACGATATGTTAATTGGAAACAAAATCTCTTATGGGCAGTAGATTGATCACAACTTCCCATCATCTGGAAGACACCCTTGTGGTCAGCAGTGTTCCTGCCACGATCGTGCCAAAAGTTCCGGACCTGCCAGTTTTCTCAGCGTGAAGCGCACGGCAAGCCCAAACTGACACAATGGATACCACAAACTCATCATATGTTCATTCGCAACTCTCCTGCGTTTGTGGTCTGAATTGTCACAATGTCACGACAGACTACTCTACTGCCTATTACCCTCTTCGCATCCCTAACACTAACATCCTATCTACTTATCCCAGTCCTTATTGTTCTCACCCTCACGATCTTAATTCATTCCATCCTCAGCCTACACTATCACCACAGACAGCGAGCCCTCTTTACTGAATCAACTGCCACCACACCTTGACTAAGACTGACCAACAATTGACGGTTCACTCGAGCCGTCATGTTCAAGCGAGATTTGGTCAAGCCCGCCCTTCATCATACTAAATGGCAGCAGCCTATCCACACGGAAGCTATCTCGAATCGAGACGAAGATGTTCGCAACCCTGTTTGTCTACGAAATCGCACAGATCTTGAACACAGTGATGATGGAAGTGTTACAGACAACCCTTCCATTAGAGGAGGGAAGCCAATGACCGCCAAAACATCCTCTGCATCTGTGACAACCTCTCGAAGACGCGAGGGACGAATTTCTTTTGCCAAGTCGAAGAGCTTACAGCAACTCATTAAAGAAGATAGAGAGAAGGTTCACCGCGCGCGCAAGGCCCAACATGCCAAGGATCTGAAAGCAAAGCTTGATGCTGAGAATAAGGCCATAGAGGATCAGAAGAAAGCAGACAAGGAGCTAGCCAAGCGATACAACAAGGAAAAAAAGCGACGAGAAGCTGAAGAGGATAGGAACAACAAGAACTGGGGTGGTATTGTTAGAGGATTTGATCCTAATGCCGGTCTTCTTCGATGTGCCGCGAGTGAGGACGAGCTTCGTCATTCAAGAATCAGCAATCTCGGTGACAACGTCAAATCCGACTCACTCACCAACATTCTGCATCCGAGACTTGACAAGGGCCAAACGTGGGGAGTCGAGCATGGATCGCCAGGGAAAAGGGGACGATTTGGGATTTCCAGTCCTGCTATCGCAGGAAGTGGTGGAGTTATCGCTCTTGACGGTGGGGATGATTAGTCCGTATCAGTGATTTGCTACAAAGCATTTCCACTTCCCGTGGTGTTTTCTAAGTTGTCGGCGGTTTGCCTTGACCGAACCTGCTCATATTTGCTGATTGCAAGCTAGGAAGCTGAAGCATAAAACCAGCTGATAAACTCTTGCCCAAATCACCACGAAGCGTTCCCTGCCCTAGTCTTATGTTTCATCTCACTATGTTGGTTTACCAACATTTGTTATTGGGCGACTCAATCCCCTTGACTCCTCTACGTGATACTAGCGAGACCTTCCAGTCCTCAGATCACGGTGGTTTTACCTCTTCATCCCTCCTCGGTGTCAGCAATATGACGGTGTCCTCACTCGGAACCAAGCCCACAAAGCTCTCAATAGACCAGGTTGAGGGGCCTTTATGCCCCGGGCACTCATCATTCTAGGACCCAAGATTTAGCTTACAACCTCGATTGGCGAGGCTAGGTCATACTTGGTCTTCAACATGTTCAATGTGGCGGGGCTAGAACGACCTCTCACGCCTCTCCACCTCCATTGGCCATCCTCCCAGCTTTCGAATTCAAATATTCACTCCTGCAGCGGGAAACCACCTATCAGCATGGGCACACAACACACGGCAGACTGCGTTGACATGCCAGCCTCCTCTCGTTCGTCAGCCCACCGAACGAACGAACAACACCTACGAACATCGGAGTCTCCAGCGGAGGAAAAAAAAGAAACATCAACAAAAGACATCTCACATACCTCTCCTGCGCCCAATTCATCAATGCCCAAGCGATCAAAAACGGCGGCACGACGTAGAGGAACTGGTTCTTGGAGCGGCGGAACGTGTTGAAGATGGCGTTGTGGACTGAGTGCGCCAGTGGATTCAGTCGGTTGTTTGACAGTCGGTATGTGATGATCCCTCGTTGCTTGGGCAGCGCTTTGTGCCCGAAGCAGTATACTGGTGCTCTGTGGTGTTGAATGCGTACGGGTTAGAATGATGGTTTTGGCGGCGGCGGTGGTGGTGTGGATGGAGCGGCGGAGTAGAGTAGTACTGTACCTGCGTTGGCCCTTGGGGATGTCCTGGTTGTATTCCATCGCTTGATGGCTTGGGAGTGTGTTCCGTCAAGAAAAGTTACCGATCGGAAGATTATGGATATTTTGGCGTCTACTGCATTTGATGGTACTGTAAGGAAAGGTTTCGTTCACGAAATGCAAGATAGATTCAATAATTGAGGAGGGAAGAAAACCCCCGTCGTCGAATTCTCTCGCTATGTACATTTCAAGCTCACGTCTTAGACGTACGCCTGTACCTATGCTGCTCCAACTGGACTGGTGTGAGACACTTTCTGAATCTATGAATGCGTATGATGAAAGTGCTAGACATGCGGATACGTACTCGCGAGACCCATTCTTGCGGAGTCTAAACCCAAACAGGGGGCGTGGAGCCGGCATTGGCAGCCTTGCAGCTCGCAGCCGAGGTTGACGGACCAACCAGAAGAGAAAGAATACTGGTCAGCTGTAAGGGTCACAGTTTAGGCTGGCGTGATGTTGTCAGGCATGCGGAACTTCGGGTGTGAGGAGGCCTGCAGGTCCACTGGAAGCTGGGTCTCCTTGCCATAGTATGCGACCAGGAGAAGTCTCTGGAGCATGCCGTCGAAGCGCGGTCTGGGAGATGGCCCCGCGCTTTCGATGAACTCACACCATGAGACGAGGCTGGACTCGGCAGGTTTATTCGCTGTAGACGAGTTCGGGTCCAGTTCTATTCTGCGATGAGCTTCGAGCGCAGAATTCCACTCTGCTTCGGTCTCCGCTTCCCATAGTCCTGTCCGAGCATCAAACGGTAGGGATTCCACGAAAGGTTGGTAGGAGCAATAGCCAGATTGGCAGAGCTCGACCATGCCCGTTATCCATTGTAGAGCGAGGAACGTGCGCCGACAGCTTTCAGCTATCACCCATGCTTGCCATGGTGAAAGGTCACTGCTGAGATGTTCTGGGAGATGTATCTTGAAATGCTGTTCCCAGCGATGGAGGAGTTTGATGGCATGGTCAAGGAGTGGAAAGTCAGCAAGGGTATTTCCACTCGACTGGAGTGAAAAGACCGAGGCGAATACAACGGCTATCAGGACATGGATTCTTGCGAGAAACTCTGTAAACTTCAAATCCTGGATGTCCAGCGAAAGTAGTTCTCGAATTTGGCGTTCCAGCTCGGGATGGGAGAGGATGGCGGGGTAAACAGATGTAGGTGTATCATCCGACTTGCTTGAGGAATCCTCCATGAAGTTCACGGTGGAGAGAATCTGAGCATGCGCGAAAGCCGAAGTCTGGCCTTGGAACGTAAGGAATGGAATCTGCACTAAGTGATCCATGACCAGCACAAGCGTCTCTGGATTGGCCATCAGTGGCGTTTGGTGCCTGTTTGTGCCATCGGGCCTAAATCCCGAGATGGCATGCTGGTGTGCGGACTCTATCGAACTGAATATATGAGGTAGGTTGATAGCATTGTTGTGCCTTTCCGTGGGAATCAGTACTTTCGGCTGATGATCTGCTTTTGTGAGATGGCAAACAGGTTCGAGATCATAGGTGCATGCCAAAGACTTCTCTGAACAGCGAGGGCATTGTGGAAGTTGTGGTCGGCACTTTCTCTTCGCTGCCGAGCATGCGTGACAAGCTTTTTTCAAAGAAATTGTCATGCCAGTTGACCTTGACAGCAGCGTGGCATATCCTGATTCGAATTTTGGGAAATCTAGTTAGTGATTCGTAGTGGGAGTGAGAGAGAATAGTGCAAATTCTCAACCCCGCAAGGCTGTGTGCCCCTCACTTAGCCCGCCTAGGAGAGGCTCTTCGCAAGTACGAACTGCAGGAACAATTTTGAAGTCTACAGCGAGGAGCTGCCCTTCTATGTTTTCACTGCTCATCAAGTAAACCTAAGGACCGAGGAACGGCAACACCTTTCATATGCGCATCTAGTACGAGAAGTTGGTTTTGTAGGTGACTACATACTGGGCTGGATTGTGTCACAGGTTCACTACTACATTATCTGGGTAACACTTTCCAAGAAGTATTAGACAGATTGTCTTTGAGCTACAGCCACTGTAGCCTGCACAAGCAGACAGCTTCTCATCCAAGAGACAGTACTGGTATGTCCTTCAGTGACATCGTCGCACGTGGAGGAATATCCGGATTCACGATCCATCCCTAATTCAGGATGTTTGGCCACCAATTGACATGGCTGTCCTCTTCATTTGTGACTCCGAGGTGATATCTTACAGACTAATCCGGTCTGCTTTGCAAACCAGTAGTCTTGCATTCCGAGTTTCAAGTCCGGATCGACGAGTTCAAATTTGTACTTTCGCAAAAACTGTGGGATCAGCTTGTTCATCTCCAGCAAGGACACATTCTTTCCTAGGCATGTTCGAGAGCCCGCACCAAAGGCCAAGAAATTCCTTTCCATTGCTCTGAGTCTACTCGAGTCGCCTTCTTTCTCTTCTTGCTGTGCTTCGAGCCATCGCTCAGGTCGGAACTCATCCACATCATCACCGTACACTGCTGGATCCCTTGCGACGACCCATGGATTTGCTCCAATGACAGTGCCCTGAGGAATGAATTTCCCCGATATCGTGATGCCACCCTCTGGTACGACACGCTCCAAAGGCATGCCGACAGCAGGATGCAAACGCATAGCTTCCTTCAAGCAAGCTTGCATGAACGGCATAAGCTCGTTGCTTTCGGTAAAGCGAACGACACCGCTCAGCTGACCTGTCTGGTCGAGATCGTCAATCTCTCTGACCAATTTATCGTAGCAGCGAGGGCTTTTGATCAGATAGTAGAACAAAGCCCTCAATGATATTGCAGTGGTGTCAGATCCTGCAAAGACATTTCCGGAAGCGGCGACAGTGACGTTGATCGGTGATATTTCTTCTCCATCCAGACCTGTACTCTTAAATCGCTCTAACATGTCGATGTAGCCTTTACCCCCTTGATCGACATCACTGCGATTGACCTGATCGGCTGTAAACTGGACGATTCTCCTTGAGGTGTTCATCTTGGCCAGTGCTGGAATATAGTTGGCAACCTTGCTCACTAAGTTGCTGCCCAGTAGATATGGGTGGAGAAACGGTGCTTGACCAACGGTTGCAGTGTACCTCAGGCGGCCTTCAATTGCAGCTATCAGACCACCAACATCTTGCTCCTGCTGCATAAACCCTAATGGCTTCGAGAAACTCACTGACATGACTACGTCAAATGCATACCAGTGTAGCCACTCATTCATGTCAAGCACTATCACCTGGCCTCTCGATTGCGAAATCTTCTCATCAATCTTTCGTTCAAAGATATGAATGCAATCATCGGTCAATGGTTCAAGCTCCAACATGACGGCCATAGTATAGGCCCCGTAGATCGGCTTTTTGAGTCCGCGGTGTTCCTTTTCGGATCGGGTCGAGAACACGGTCGGCATGGAACCATGTGGACCTTTGGCATCAAAGGCAACGTAGAAATCGGACTTCTCATATCGAGTGTTTGCACTGTACACCTGGGACAGGGCAGAGCTGTCTGAGAAGGAAATCTCGTTCGGCCCTACACGGACCAGCGAGCCATATCTTCTGTGCAGATCAATGTCGATGTAACACCTTTGGCCGTATGCCGTCTTCAGTAGTCTGGGGACATAACTGAAGCTATCCCAGAATGGACCAGGAACGTCACGAAGATGGCGACGCCATCTGCGATTCGCGTACAAGACCACAATGGCGATTACCCCTGTTGCCAACACCACGTACAATCTCTCGAAGAGCATCTTGTGCTGAGGGAGATAGCCTCAGCCGAGACAACAGAATTGGAAGAGCAGCACGAGCCTTGAGTAATTTCGAGTAATGTCACTAGATCAGCCGCGTACAAATGAGATTCCACAGCTTGCGGTTTATCATGGGCACATTCTCGATTTCAACTCAAAGAAAGGCGCAATGTCGTCAAGTCCTCTCCACCTTGTCTGGCGTCAATACCCACTTCCTCACTTCCTCGGTACGACCAAGTGCCGCAGCCACTGAGAGCTTAAGTATTGGCAGAGCAACGCCAAGCTCCAGTTAAAGGGACACCCCAGTTGGTGGGGCACGTTTTATTGTGTCTTGAAAGTCTTGAATATTTGATCGGTCCCTACTGAGACACACTTGGCAATACTTGTTGAATTGATTATATAGCTATTAGAGCATAAACCCTTAGCAATCAAACAATTGTCCCACTGCTTGCGCACCAATTTTGTCTTCGTCAAGAATCATCAAGTCTACCTGGACCGCGATCACAATGTCGTAAGTGGTTATTTTTGAGATTCTGGAAGAATGCTCGCGCCAACTAGTTGAGCTTCTTGAGTTCAGACTCATCTCCAAAACAGGATAGCGTGGTCTTCCTGTCTACTCCTCGTGCGTCAGTATCTTCAACTTCCTCATCAGATTGTTTCGGCTCCATTAGCTGCGATACCTCTTACCAAAGACGAACAGGATCGGTAAAGTCGTCATCATCCCCGCGGCAACACTGCCTAGGACAACAAAATTGCGAAGCGGGCCGTGCGATACGGCCAACTCATTGACGAAGGAACTGTACCGGATAGATCGGGATGTTCTTGACACACATGCTGGCCAAAAAGGTCTCGGAGCTCATCTCGCGGTAGGCGTCCAAGCAGTAGTTAGGCGTCGGGGCAAAGGACGAACGTGATGCCGAACAGACCCAAGGCGTGTAGGAATGCGCCGAGGTAGACAGAGCTGTAGTTCTGAGCGACATGGCCTCCGGGAATGAAGCCAACGACCATCAACAGGCCGATCGGGCACAACAGGAGGCGATATTCGGGCTCGTAAACGCCATTGTTCTTCCGGATGCAGAAGCGGATGACTGGTTCTGAGATCAGCCCCATGGTGACAGGCGAGACGAAGCCACCGATGGAGGGACCGACGAAGAGGAATCCTACGCTGCTAGCATCGAAAAGATAAAGAGGTGCGGAGAGGACCTGGACTATCAGGTGCGCCACCACGACATAGAGGGAGAGATAGTACCCGCCGATGATGACGGACCACGTAACAGCAGCATTCAGGGAAAGACCAAAGGGCCCGAGCACGAGCTGTAGCAGGTTTTCCCGAGAGTAAACACCTGTGTAGATTGCCAGCCCTTGGAAGTAGATCTTCTTGTGGGTGTGGTTCTCCGCGGATATCTTATTGGGATGTAAGAAGAATAGGATTGGAAGATCATTATATGTGTATTTATATGAGCACTGAAATGGCCAACATGATTGAGAGATCAGAGACCTTGAACTATCCATCTTTATGAATTGCTTGAGTTTAGCATCGGTTTTCTCATGCTTTACCCTCTTGGTTAAGAGTCATTCGCAAGTGCAAAGAAGCTACCTTCACCCTAGGTCCGCTTCAAACCGGCATTCCTTTTTATCCAACCATGAACCTATCCCCAGCCGGGGACAAATCATCAAATCCGACCTTGTCTGCAAGTTCGATAATCAGGCTTCTGCTGCCATAGTCTCACGAAACCGCTGCAGTACTCGGGACGTAGACTTGAGCGCCTTCATTCCCGGCTTCGAGAGCGGGAAATGGGGCTTTTCCTGACACGATGTCGAGGAAACCGTCGCAGAACTTAGCACCAATCTGCTGTTGTTCTAATGGCAGCACATGGTTATCATTTCGAAAGAACATGACCACATCTAGAATAGGGCTCGAGTAGCCCTTCTAGAGCCCGTCCTAGGGATTGAATGCGTTGAAGTGATAAAGAAAAGATTGGATCGATGATCCAGTCAGATTCAACAAATTTGAGCATCCCTTTGTGCGTGCGGGTGGGATAGCAACACCAAGGTCCCCACTATCTGACAATACAGCTTTTGCATACCATCACTCTATGCCATAAGTGGATACTTTTCCCTAGGTGTCAGTTGGACCATGAAGTCGTGCTGATAGGCAAACCAGTAGGATGTTATATGCCATGGCTTGTCCTCGTTGTCAACTTTCATGTCGAAATGTCTGAGTAGTTGAGCGACCGATTTATGGACCTCCACCTGTGCAGAGTTAGGTTCCCCGTTTAGTACTTGACAGCCATGGAGAGGCTAATTGCAGGGTCATATCTCACCAAAGCAATATTTCGCCCCACACACATCCTTGGACCACTTCCACCAAACGTCATATTGTTGGATTCCAGATATCTAGACTTGGCTTCCGATTCGAGCCATCTCTCTGGCCAGAACTCCTGGGCATTATCGCCCCAGATCTTTGGATCTCTGTTTTGAACGATTGGACTTATGCCAACAGGCGTCCCTGGCGGAATGAATTTATCATTAACGGTAAGACCTGCTTCAGGAGCGTGTCTCAGCAGCTGATAGACAATGGAAGGGAGAAGCCGCATCGCTTCTCGAGTAGCTGCAACTAGGTAGGGTAAGTTCTGGCATTGGAGGTAAGTAATCGGCTGTGTCAGCGTGTTTTCATTGTAATACTCGTCAATCTCAGCTTGGAGACGGTTGTATACTATTTTCCGAGAGCAGATTGCATGAATGCAAGCACGAATAGCGATTGAAGTAGTATCGGCACCAGCTCCCCTAAGGTTCGTAAGTTTCTCTCCGTCTATCTCTTGTTAGGTAGGGCTTACACAAGATTCAAGGCCTCTGAGAGAACCTCTTCGGTCCGGACACGATTTCCCTTCGTATCCTTCATGTTGAGGAAATGCGCCAGCATGTCAGGTCTATCTTTATCGGAGCCCCCATTTCTCTCCAAAGCATCAATCCGCGCTTGGACCCTATTGCTGCTCCATTCCTGGAACTCTGCAATCCTGTTCTTAATTCCGCACAATGCGAGAATTGATTGAGTTAATGGATTTGTGAAAAGCTTCATTTGGCCGCTATAATGACCCATATTGGCGGCCAAGAAAAACAGGTTGAAAATGTTCTTTCGTAGTTCCATCACGTCCGATTCGGTGTCTAGGTGACCAAGAGGGGAGCCGTATGCTAACTGACCGATCACATCGAAGGCAAAAGCATTAGTCCACTCCGACATATTGACCGCCTTCCCTGAAACAGCATGATTTTGAAGCTTTCTTAGTAGAAGATCCAGGCAGGCTTGAATACGAGGTTCGTACTTCAGTATTGCGGACATAGTGTAGGCTCCTGAGACTCGCTTTCTCAGAAATGAGTGCAGCTTCTTTTCACGCACAGCGAAGAATGCTGGTGCCCCAATCGGGGGATTCCAAGTGGCGTACCACTGTGTTTTCGCCGCGTTGGAACCGTGCCCGTACAAAGTTTTCATCGCCTGCTGGTCAACGATAGATACTTCATTTGGTGCTATACGAACAACCGGCCCGTATCTTTTATGGACGTCGACAATGTCGTTATGCCACGTTCCTCGCCAATAGCGTGTATTCCTCCAACTTCCGCTAAGCTTCGCACTCAAAGGTCCAGGAATACTCGAAAGGGGATGAAGACAGACACGGTATATGAAAAGTCCTAAAATCGCGCCCGATAAGCTTATAACAGCTGTCCAGCCAGTAGAAGCACTAATGGTGGTTAGTCGAAGTTGCGAAGATAAGAAGGATTGTTCACAAGCATTGGACAAGGCCATTGCGAGTCGTTATCGAGTATCGGAATAGGTACAAAGATGTGTTTTAAAAAATCGACATGAGCTTTTGGTTTTGTCTACCAATACTTTTCATTCCTGAGCTTGAGTTTCTAGACCTAGCAGGTATGAGAGGCGAGACCAAGCTCTGTATATGAATTAGTTCGAGTCAGATTCCGTCAAGCAATCATATCAATCGAGCGCGTATCTTAATTACTCATAGAAGAAGGCATACGCAACCTCGACGCATGCTCTTACGCACCGCGTAAAGCGTATTAGCCTGCGAGGTGTGAAACCTTTTTAATACGGGACTCAGCAAACTCTCGTCAAACGTCGGTTTTGAGATGCCTCTACGCTACAAAAAACCTTTCTCGAGTCACTAGGACTCTCTCTCCCCCCTCCTCATTATCATAGAGAGTACAGAAATCCTGACCAATACCACCAGTGCACCTTTCTATTGCGTTTAGTGTTATCCTCTCAGTGTAGCTGTGCGAAGTGTATGTCCTGTTCCTGCCTATGGCTGCGATGAAGTCCTTCGTAGAGTCATCGTAAGATCCACTGGCAACCTCGGAGTCCGGGGTCAGCTCCGGCCTAGGGCTGCTTCGCTGCGAAGTACACGTTTAGGCTTCTGAATATGAACCCCTGTCTAACGAGGCGCGAATAACAATATGCGACATTCAACTTTAATGGATACGAGCACTAGTTTCGGAAGTCGTTCAACGAAACCCCATGGCATTTTCATACTCGGTAGGTGAAGCAGGCAGTGATCGTATATGCCCCAGTGGCTGTACACCAGGGAAACCCCCACCGAAGGAACTTGTAATTCATTATTACTAGGCCTCCGACTACCTGAGCGTGATGCTCGGGGAAGTTACCAAGTCCAGAAATTTGCAGCGCGCCTTATTAGAAGCGAGGGATCAATGCATGAACGAGTAGCAGGCGCCCTTCCCAAATCACTTACCTCCGAACCCCGCCGGCACTGCTCCAATGTCTGGTGATGATCATGCCAGGAGCGTCTAATGTTAGAACAACTTTATTGTTGAGGTCTTGGGCCCCCACCTGGCCTGCAATAAGTACATAGCTTCTCTCGGAATGTTTTCACGACAGATCTCGATAGAACATAACTAGCGGATCAAGACGTAATGGCACCAATTGATAATCTCAAAGCCAAAGGCTCTGAGGTGAGCATCCACGCTCGCGCCGCACTTAATTTTATCGATGCCGTCAATGAAGCCATCACCTTCCCTTCAGGCAATCAATATACCCGTCTTCACGATATCATGGTCTCGGATGCGAAAATCGAAAGTGCACCCTCCTCTTTAAAGGCTGCCCCAGAGCAGAGTCTCATAAACACTCTTGGGGAGCAATTAAACACCCTAGAAGGAATGAAAGGGCTGTTCAAGGACCTCGGCGTGATGGTGGAGAAAGTTGTTGATGGTGGGAAAGAAACAGTTATGTTTGGGCACGCTATTGGACAGGCGCATTCCGGCCTTGAATTCAAGGATGATCGTGTGATATTGGTGCAGACCACAGATTCTGAGAATGATGTGACTACCTCTGATGCTCAGGGTAGCGATGAGACGCGAGCTGGCTTACCAAGAATCGTCTATGTGAAGGAGTTCGTGGATTCTGCGTACCTGAAGAGTTTCTTGGGGACTGTCATGGGAGGGCCAAATTGACGCAATACTCTAGCCCGTCAAAGAGTTGCAAGGAGATAATGCATACATCGCATTGTGCGGCCGCCTTGCTATCATGTCCTCTTCACAATCCGTTTAACTAATCGTCCTAGTCTGAGTCGCTCGCGTTTTCTTTTCATCGGCGTGATTGGGCTTCCATACATGAAAGCTGCACTTGATCAGAGTGTTAGGCCCTCACGAACACTCATGATCGGAACAAACTGTCATGATGATCTCCGCCCCAGCTGAGGCCTCATTGAGTTGATGAACTTGACACTCGGGTTTGGACAGATTTTGATGTCGGCTCAACTTCGGGCATTCAACCGAGTCGAACACAACGTCACTTTTGACGGCCCAACGACGAACAATGGCGATCAACGACCTGTGTGCCTACTAAGTCCTTTGTGAATAGACCAGACAATGGAAACGCAAACGGCTTCAACTACTCATTCGCAAAGGAGGAGATTCGTGCACATAGCACTCCCGTCTGCGCTGTCATTGCGTTTTCTTCACCACTGCTTTGATGATCACAATCTTCCCAAGATAGATTGGTGCCATACTTCTTCGAATATGGGAAGTCATGCATGTCTTGAAGAGCGGTAGTTACCCGATCTTCTCAGGAAACACCTTAACCGCAGCTGTCAGCCCAGAATCGTGTCTGCAGAATCATGGACAGACACGAAATGCCCCCTCAGCTGTGGAAAGGCTCAAGTCTACAACTCCCGGAAAATATCGCCATGAGTCATCCATGATCCCAGGACGCGAACATCACAGCTTCTTTCATTCAAAGCAAATGGCACTCTCTAAGGTCGATGAGATGCAAACGCATGGCGGTATGCCACCAACACGAGCGGCCATAGTCCAGGCCGCTATCACTGCAGTCGGACACAGTGATCCCGGTCGTTTGCTAGGATCCAGGAGTATTGCCATTGGATATCCCACTGCGTATATAAATATCCTTCTTTCGTCCGATCGAATCGGCATAGCTCTATGGTCTGTCAATCCGAGATAGTTCAATTGATATGCATCTTGTCCTGTCGATTAAGGCCTGCTTCTTCAGTGGCTGCAGATCAATTGGGCCAAAATATCGAGGAGCGCTGCAGCTTCAAACTTCTGGGACCGCATTGATGTGCCTGAGAGGTGATATAATGGGCGAAATGCGCTATATTATCGAAGTTCTATACTGCCTATGGAATTTCCGTGACAACGAACACGCCTGCACACCCGTTCTTGAACTACAAACGCGCGCGTTGCTAATGAAAATCCTGCACTGCCTGTGGAATTTCCAGGGTAACCAACAACCCAGGACAAGTGAAGGAGAACCGCTGCCTCCGTACGATTTCTGTCGCGTCTACACGTGCATGTGCTCGCGTTTTCTTCTTCCAACCACTTCACACCTTGTTCTCAACCCATCAATTCAACAGGTTCCTTTCAAAGATAGATCGAAGACTTGTTCATCAGGAACTCATCGCCCTCAAGCAATCGAAGTATAACAGTCGAGAATCAGGAACGAGGCGGCACATCCATAACCCCTTTCCCCAGATTCGACAGCATCACCAACAGCTACCACAATGGCAGACCAATACAACCCAGATTGCAATTGCAACAACTGCTTGTCAACTGTACGTCTCCCCTCTGTGATTTTGAGGAATTCAGCCATCCAAGGCCTGTGGTTTACTAATGAGTTTCAGTCTGCTGAGCACTTGCGATCGCAGGGTCCTCATTCACAGTTTTCAGAGGATACTGTTGTCATTCTCAACGAGCAGCAGCGTGTCAATCAGCTATATCAAAGACAAATCATCACAAACCCCGATGAATACTCAGTCTATCAGCAAAACCTGCGAAGTCCTTCGGACAACGGAGGTAATCAATTGCGCGACGGAGGCGTCACCTCAAACGAGTTTGACCCTGTGACTCCAGATGTCCAGGGCGACGCAGATACATCGGTGGAACAACGTCTTAACCCTGAAGCGCCTGCCCTCGTTTTCGTTGCACCCAACTATGGAAATGGATTGAATCCAGAAGCGCCTCAATTTGTTCCCTTGTCGAATGGGTCCAGAATGGGGTTGAACCCAGAGGCAGACACGTTTGTTCCCTCTACCAATGACACAAATCGACTGGACCCGGAGGCTTCCATGTTTCTTCCTGACCTTGCAACACCGGATACTCATTTGATGCCTCATCTTGTAGAAGATTTCAATGAAGTGGCTCTGGAGGACTCCGATGAGGAAACCGGAGAAGACTCCCATGAGGAAACTGAGGAAGACTTCGATGCCGAAGCTGAAGAAATTTCCGATGAAGAGGCCCGATTCATGGCCGCCAGTCAACTGTCGCCCGATGATTTTGCTACAAAACCATTGCTTTGGCCTCCGCCTGGCGATTTCCATCATATCAACTACTTTGGGCACACAGTGTATGCAAAGTCTTACACAACACCAGCTGCAAATCTTGCCATTCTCAAATCACGCGGCAAGTACAGAGCATCAAAGTATGCTGAAAACTTGCGGCTGCATACTTTACATGCACAAGCCTCTCAATGGCTTGATCCACTGGTCTTTACGGGGAATGTTGCAGCTCTCTGGCATCTAGAGGGCACAAAACTTCAAGATGCGGCAATTGGGGCTTGTTTTAAGCTCTGTCATCCTGATGGTGATTGGAAAACGGACAGTTGGGATGAGGATGATGACTATCCAGTAATGGACCCTGTGGACCCTGACATCTATACTCCAGGCCACGTCATTATCAATGGTCGATTTCCCGAACCTTTTCTCGACCGGATTGATGATATCTCTGAACTCAATGCTGAATACGGGCGCTTCACCTCCAGACAAGAAGAGAAGCGCAGAAAAATCCAGGCTGCCAAAGCTGCGTCCAAGAGTAGTCCAGCTACTAATATTAAGATCAGTGGTTTGAATAAGACAGGCAACGACTCTGCTGAGGCCAAGCTTGAGGTTTCTGATAAGTCATTGCCGACTTGCGGGGCTAAAACCTCTAACGATGACCCTTTCAAAGCCAATGTCGAGGCTTTCGATAAACCCATGCCAGCTAATTGGGCTGATTTCTCCGATGATGAAGCAGATGAGCCGAGCACAATAACGGATGAGTCCTGGAGGGATCGTCTTCTTCCACCTCAAGAGGACCAGGGGCAGCCACCTCTAAGTGAAAATTCTCTTGCTGTTGGAAAGGAACCAGTCGATCAAGATCAGGGCGAAGTGTCTCTCGAGTTCCGAGTTCCCAAGATGAAATTGCCCAGAATGCCCTTACTTGCGCCGTTCCTTCCAGTGATCTGCGAGGAGGAAGATTCGGAGGAGGACGAAAGAACATTATTTATCGAACCCGCCACTTCGAATAACGTCCTCGTACAAAACGTCTCCGAGAAGCCATCGGAAGCTTCTGTCGCCAGTGATCTGGCTGCTGGAGATGAAACTCCTCTCGAGGACGACCTCCCAAGTGGTATCTTAACAAATATCGTTGGGCCTGCCACTAATTCTCTCGGGTTGCGCAGAAAGCCGCACCAAGAGCAGCCCCTTTACAATATCTTCAATGATATCCAAACTGCCGAGTCAATGGATTCAACGGTCAACCATGTGGATAGCACAACCACTCCTGATGTAACGGGATTCACAAATGCAGCCACCGATCCAGTGGAGGCAACTACAAGAACCCCTTCGATGGGGCTTACAGCCACCAGTCCTACAAGTTCTACAAGTTATCGGCCTAAGAACTCCTCTCGAGCTGGAAAGCAAAAGTCCGTTCGCTTTGCTAGCCCTATCGTGGCGGCAAACCCCCCTCGGGTCCTTCGGGCTCTTCGAAACCCACCGCTGGTCCCAGTAGCATCGCTAACCGCGAATGCTACCACCATCATCTCCAGATCACCGACCTCGGCATCGGCATCTCTGACTGGCATCAAGAAGCCCAGTCCTGTGAGATCTTCAGAGTCTCTGGCACCAGTCCCAGCTCTCCCTACCTTCACTCCGGTTCGGCCTAGAAGAAGCTGGTTTCCCCGTCTCTCTGGTCGGACGCACTCTCGACCAGCCACGGAGGCAATTTTACAAGACAGTTCTTTGGCCCCTGTCCACCGTAAGGCTGAAGGACAAGTTACATCTCGACGTCGTCGCTGCTTGCTGAAAGCAGGCTCCCAGTTGTGGAAGAAATTCCGAGGTCTTCTGTCGACAAAGCAGCGCCTCGAATAACCATGGCAACGGCGAATGGAGTTTTTGTTTTGGTAAATTCGGCGTTTGGATGACAATTTCCCTTTCTTGGGTTTAGGTTCTTGGACTTGATTTATTTTTGGGCAGCAAGGAGTTTCCACGATTATGATTGAATGACCGAGATTAAAAATGAGATACCCAAAACGAAGTACGAAGCGAAGAACATCAACCATGTACAAACAGCACGGAGTCATGAAATCCAGGATACAATAATGTTATTTTACCTCAAAAGGTGCACTGGATGTTAGAATAGCCGATAGATGGAGAGCTTGAGCTACATGACAGCCTAATGACTAGCATTTGCTAGCTAACCCTGAATCACTACGATTTTGTACAATACACTATTGATATGAAACTGTTCCATGTCCTGTCTCCATTTTTCCTACTCTATTACCGCACCGAGAAAGAACATTCATTTAATGGCTATGCCGACATGGTATCAAGCATTTATGAGCTGCCACCGTCTTGCTCATGAAGCAGATAATTTTCACTTGCAAAAACATCAGGAAATCATATCTACCTAGTCCTCCAAAATCGACCCCACAGAACTGGAGCTGAGCTTTGTGAATTGCTGTGAGCACTGAATGGGGATATGCTCCCTAGACTTTGAAAGATAGAAATGATATGAATGCACTGCTCAAGGGCTCCTAGCATCTTTCGCGTTGGGAGCCTGTGATGAAACTAAGACATACGAAATGCAAGGAATAGGTTGCCTATGTAGATTATGCTCCCATATGTATTGAGACGATTGTCTAGATACCTTCCCATTGACTTTGATGCGTTTTCTTCTGCACCTCTATCAGCTACGGATGCAGTATGCACCATTTACAGATCACGCCGCTACCACTATCCAGTCAGGACATCTCAGGGAAATCTAGAGAATGAACCAAATGTCTTCCATATTGCTGCCGCTACATTCCTGGTTTACAGCATAATGTACAGTCTATATCTATTGAATTCCTCCCGCTGGCATTCATTACAACTCGTCACGTTTTTTCCCTTCACCGCTGACCACTTTCTCCGGGACATCATCTTGCACAGTACGATCCACAATCTTGGCATCCTTGATAACACTAGCAATCTCTTCGTCGTAGATCGTCCACTCTGGAACCTGTCTTCTGGCTCGGTCTAATTTTGGTTCTTTGGTCTGTGGATTATTGCAGAGGTCGATCGTCTTTGCCTTGGTCAAGCTCTCATCACTGCACCACGTTTCGCACCACAGCCACTCTTGGGGTAAGCTATGGATAGGTAAGTTGTGTTGCATGTGGTTCGGTAGATCTTGATCAAGATTGCTGAGACTGTTTGGATCGGACGAGAGAGCCTGGTATTGTTGTCTGAGTCGGTCACCTGCGGCGACTTGCCGGAAACGCTTTAGATCAACCACATAGAGTGCCGAGATGTGATAAGGTTTGCCTCTCAGATAAGTCTCCCAATATCCTTGCTTCCAGAAGCGGAAGCCTTCCATCTCCGTCCTTGAGTCACACATAGGGGTAAATCCGTATGGAGCACCTTTCAAGTCCACTTTGTTCAGTTCCATCATATCAGTACGCACAATCTGATCCGCATCAACGAAAATGACCTTGTCCAAGTCAAGAGGAAACAGCACATCGAGGAAGAGAATCTTGTAACCCCAGATCTCTCGCTGTTTCTCTTTTTGGCCGCGGAGCCAATGTGGCCATTTGTAGGTGACCATTTCGAACTCAAACCCATAATGTTCAGCAAGATGGGGGAGAGTCGCCTTAAATGATGGTGACAGAAATTGTTCGATGAACCAGAATTTTACGGTATGCTTGGTATGCTTCATAACAGAGACCATCATAATGTTCAGCATACGTTCATAGAGATGACCGGATGCAACAGAAAAGATATTGATCTCGGCATTTGTCGATGTTGCTTTTCCGAGTCCAAGGGACGAAAGTGCAGAAGAAGCGAATGATGCACCTTTGCTGAAGTAATCCATTGGTCCACTTGCAGCCTCAAGGACATCTTCTTCTTCCATTCCCGCTTTACGAGAGAGTCGAGGGAACAGCGTCACCCCTTGGAATGAAAGCAGTGCAACCGAAGTGGTCTCATCGCCAGGTTGAGCCGAATACCCATTTGGACCAACGCTGTCGATGTTAAACACTTTCGACGATCGACCAGGTTTCAGAGATATCTGCCAATATCCTGGATTTGCCTTGAACTGAAAATAACCTAGGTTAGCCATGACGATGGTATCTGTAAAATGGGGTTCATCTTCCGTTCCCAATAGTAATTGTGCACCTCGAGGTGGTGGGTCGCTGGTCACATCACGGGCATGGCCTTCAATGAGAATGTGCTCGAGTTCGTATGTTGCATCGACATTTTGTCCTTCTGCCAGCCCACTGAGCTTGATGTTGTCTAGGTCATGGATAGAGTCTTGGGGCGCAACGAGCCAAGAAGGAGGAACAATCATACCAAGATTGAACAGTGTGTCCTTCGGGATTCCGTTGAATGAGGCTCTCGTGTTTGACAGCGAACCAGATGAATCAAACGAGGGCTCAGAACTGATAACATGTCGTAGAAATCGTTTGATAGGAAGTTCCGTCAATCTATCTTTGGGGTTCAAATAGATCTTGACATTCACTCCATTGAGTTGTGATAAGGTCTGAATGATGGGAACCCATTGCTGCACGACTTCAGAAGCAGGATCTAGTACAGCCACGACTTGCACAGTTGGATCCTCCGAGGTAGCAATGTCAATTGTCGTATATGTGCCATTCCATCTCTTGAAACGGTCCATGCGAATCAGTGGTGCTGATTCCCGCATGCCTTCCGGGAGATCGGATTTGAGGGAGCGTGCGACCAGCGATGTAACCTTGGCTAGATCTAAAGCATCACTGAACTGCTGCTCCAACCCGAGACCAGTGATTGCAGTAGTGACTGGGGAGATTCTTTCCGATCGTTCGAGATCTAGCAAAGCTTCCATATCGGCGGTGGCGAACACTCCTGACAATGGCCCAATGATCCTACCGTTCACCCATAGACCATTTTCACCTGGGGCAAAGCCGACTTCACGAATCAAATCCTGTTTGGCGGTCCAATGTATATCACAAGCTTGAATAATATCTTCAGCGAGAGGAGGCGGGACGTGTTCGCCATTCAGAATATCCCATAGCTTCTCAAGATGCACATCTTGACGACCATCCTGCATCATGGAGAATACGTTGCATGCGGCTTCAGCGGGAGCTGTTTCACGCGTAGGATTGTGTAGAATGACCACGTCTGTATGTGGCCGTTGGTGCTGTAGTGCAAGCGCCTCCAAAAGCAACGCTTTGCCGTCTGTGGACCCTAGATCAGTCACAAGGAGAACGTGGGCGCGGTCGCTCAGTAAAGTGGCCTCCCAACCACGGATACGTGGTAGACTGGCAAATTCTTCAGCATAAGAAGTGGCCAAGGAGCTCACATCGACAATTTTGATGTCCTTGGCGTCGTGAGGAAACACCAGTTGGTTGCGGCGAGCGGTGGCTCCAAACAAGAAGAAATCTGGTATCCACGAATCTTCGAGAATTGCATCTTGATAGACAGCTTGTTGGACGAGTTGCAGATCAGCATATAAGCGCGAGCTCATGAGTTCAAACCAGTTGTCGGTTCGTGGCAATATGACACCATTTATTAAGAATGGAATGGATGAAGTTTGTATCGCAAGTCGGTCGGTGTAAGCGTCACGAGCATCAAGTCGACGCTGGACCTCTTCAGATTTCAAGATCTCTTCAAATGAAAGGACCTTTGTGCCTTCTCGAGGGTCAAGTTCCTTGGTGACAACTACAAAGCTTTTCTCGGCGGCTGATACAGACAACTTTTTGGCCGAAACGACATTCGAGTAGAAATTCATCAAAGCTGCCAGCCCGTATGTGTCCAGGACGTGGAAGGAGAGTTTGGAATAAACATCTGCAACCTCGCCAGTGCCCACAGGCACCAGAGCGATCCTTATTGGGACTAGTCTCCTCACAAGGCTTTGTAAAGAGGTTGCTGCGAGTTCCATGTCCTTGATCTCGTTCATGTCCAAAGGAACGATGAGGTTATGAATATCTCGAGCAACTTGGGGTAGCTGGCCAGGGTAGACTCGTTGAAAAAGAGTATGTAGAGTCGATGGCCAGACAGCATATCTCTTGTCCACCTCGAGATCGTTTAGCCACATTAGTACCTTGTCGGTCTCAGTCGTATCACGCCAATCAAATCGCTGTGGGATCTCATTTGCCTGAGCCTCTGCAATGACCTCGCTGGACAACAGACTGATAGCTTGAGAAGAGGTCAAACCGATGTCCTTGACACTGGCAATGATTTTCCGTTCCCGTCTCAGATGATCCAACAAGGAGTAGGCATTGATCTGACGTGGTTCAATTTGCACACCATTGATCCACAGAACATTATATCCCGAAGGTAGGAATTGTTCACGGTTTGCGCGATGTTCAGTGACAAAGTCTTTGCTGGCATTTGAGGCAGCCAGCAGAGAGGAGTACCGGGGAAAGTCACTGGATATCTGAAGCAGGGTATCAAGTGGATTTGCACTTGCAGCAATAATGCTGGCGGCCTTGAGTCCTAGATGTGCAACTTCTGAAGCGGTCAAGGGCTTCAAGTCAGTCAGCTCTTCCTCCTCCGCGGTTTCGAGCGATTGGCTCTCAGTCGACTTGGATTCGACGCTCTTAGCATCTCGATCATCGATAACGATGTAGTCTGTACGCTTGAGAACCAGCTCGACTCCATAGCCGCTGACATAAAGAGGCTTGGGTTCTAGTGATTTTGACGGTCTATATCGCACCCGGTATGAAGTTTTACCTTCGCGAGCGGTCTGGCTGACAACTTGATGAAACTGACCAAACAAAGGGTGAGTGATATCGGCGTAAAGAATGGATGGCGGTGTTTCTGAAGACTGGCCCAACACACGATCAAACGGAAGGTGGTCATCGACGCTTGGGAGATCTACTGGTTGTTGCGAGCGGTCTAGTGCCGGCGAACAGTACTGTTGGCCATCCAAATAGACCCAAACAGGGCAAGCAGCATCTTGTGCGGCAGGTAAATGGGGCTGGACTGATGTGTTGTAATACTGGAAGTGAGCCTCAACCCTCGGAGCCGCAGCATGAAGTGCCAGAGCAAACTTGAAGGAAGAGAGAGATTCGGAGTCTGCCAAATGGCCGTCTTGTCGTAGAATATCTATGAACTTGTTGTACAGCTCTTGTTCTGACTGCAAATCTGTGAAAGCACCGTCGGCAATGCGATCGAGTAATGGGAAGTAAGAAGAGGAGTTCTCGAGGGCAGCGGTTTCTCTGGAATCACATTAGAGGCGACACACAACAGGGAGCAGGGATCTATCGCACAGTAGCTCAACCAAATAGGGAGCAGAAGAGAAGGACGCTTTCAAAGCGACATTCACAGAGGGTGCACCTTGAGCCAGGCTGCTGAAGGCTGCGAGAGTGATAGGAGTGGTCACCAGGACCCTCCAGGGGAGGCTGAAAGAACGCATGGAGACGACGCTCGATCAAACCAGGGGGATTGTCGAAACCACAAGAGTGACGGGCACTGAAGAGTCAGCCTTGGTTGTAGGCTCACTGTGGACCAGCCAGTGCCAGAGGATCAGCGCTGCATGTGAGTTGAGGCAATCCAGGAGTGTGTCCAAACGAGAGCGCTGGAGAGTCCGAGAGTTCGTAGAATCAACACTTTGAATACATTGATTGCATCTCGGATGACTCGGTGGCTTGGTGGTTATAAGCATATACTCCGTAGGTTCTCGCCTCGTTATATCCCAGCAATGAGGCCAGAGTGGTTGATTGAGTATTGATGCCGTTTCTGTTTCTGGTCTGTTACAAAAAGTTCCCCCTCGGAAATGCGGAGAAACTAGCTTCTCCGAATCCTCCACGTGACCATCAACTTCGAGCGGTTTTCTGCGACAGGCACGATAGGCAAGCATGCTTCTCTATCCTCGTCATCCTTGGACGGAAATAGTCATTCGACACTCAACTGTCCAACTCTCAAAGCACATGTCCATTGTGCTTCGAGTCCCTCAAACCGCAGCGATCAGGGCACGGTTCGGCCTTCGGGCTTTCTACACGCAAGCCAGTCTGTACAACAAATCTCAAAGACCTAGCCGGAACGATGTCCGCGCAAGTCTACGACCTCCAAGCCCGGTGCAGATTCGGCGCCGTGGGCCTCATGATCTTGACCAGCTGAGAGCTCCCGATGAGAAATATGTTGCGCGCCCAGTAGAAGACCATAGTGGCAACATATCTCTCTCCAAGCGGATCAATTATTGGTATCGTCTGGCAAAGTCCCAGCAAGAGTTCTATGAAGAAGGAATTCGCAGAGCAAAAGAGAACCATGAAGAGGCCAAAATCATCAGAGCCCGACTCCATCCCTGGTACTCTGGGGATGCTGCGCTTTCTGGTGGTTCCAAGACACCTTCCGGAGAGGTCATTCCAACCATAACTAGGAAAGACTTTCAGATCCTACGGCGCGCTCCGGACGACTATCGCAAGCTTCCCCTTATTAGCCTTATCGTCAAGTTCTGCGGTGTCTTGGCCCCTCTGGTTGTGCGACTAGTACCAATATCATATCGACCAAGGGCTTGTCTCCAAAAAAGCGATCAACTCGTCCTTCTGAGACGTTTGTCTGCCCGTTTAGACTGGGTCGATAAAGAGATCATTTCTTGGATTGAACCGTCTACCACAACGCGTCGCCGATTCCAGGAAATTGCGCATGCAACAGGTCGCGAGAAATTTCTCAACAGATGCATCGTACTCTGGCTTCTTGCATACTTAGTCCGTTCACATCCACTGTCACGGTTGATTCCCTATCTCCCGCTTCGCGGACGCATCCTTCTTGTCAGAGTTTACGGTCAGCGATCCGTTGCCCAGAACTACCATGAAGAGATTTTGGAAGATACAGCTCTTGTCATGCGTGAAGGTGGTTTCGGAAAACTAGATCCCCGCGATCTGGCTGACTACTGCACAAGATTTGGGGACATTGATTTCGTACGCTACTGGGCTCGTCAGGCGGTGGAAAAGAATGAACTTCCCGCTTCCTCCATCATGGTGAAGCATCTTGCACCTACTCGTGATGCCTATGCGAAATACTTGCTCGCTCCCGACAAGATCACTGTGAGACGAGACCTACGATTTTTAGTCGATCAAGAGTGCAGGCTATCCGACAAAATTCCTGGGTCCTTCTTGGGCCCGAGTGTCCAGTAGTTCGCCCCCGGTCATTGGTGATTCGATCGCAACCATTACTTCTAGATCGAGGTAGTTCAGTCATCAGCAAGCAATCGTTGAGGTTGATCATCTCTTCGTGACATAAAACTGGCATTAGAATTCTGAAAACTTGGCACTCACATCAATTAGGCAGCGTCTATGGTCCACTAGGCTACGAACGATAAAGGAGTCTTCATATGGCGTGGTAGACCTCTCCATCCAAAGCACGTGCTCTCTTCACTAGAATATTAGGATTTGAGCCCATTCACGCATACTATACACCTCGGTCAGAGCTCGCTGCTAGTGGCTTCGGAGCAGTGGATGGACCATTTTGCCATGCAACAAGAATGAGCAGAGTGTTGGGGCTGCCTCTTGTCAACTAAGTCAGCTTTTCGATAAAAACCGAATGCACATATAGGACATCAGGCTATGCCAATTTACCGCATGAATCACTACTCGGGTACCAAAACCATGAAGCTGGTCCTTCAATTTTGATTGAATACTTCGAAATGGCTCTCAGGCCTATATGTCATATCTCATCAATCAGAATTGCACGCTGTGCACTCAAACCGGCTGCTTTCCCACCTCTGTCAGATTTTCCACCCTCAGATGCGCGTGCCCTTTGCATGGATTTTTTCTATAATGCTCGAGTCACAAACATATGAGTGGTGATGTGGCGAAAAACTTCACCAATTCTTCAATCGATCGAGCCTCGACTCAAATATCGATGGGATTCCAGTCTCCTTGAACTCAACCCCATCATTGACCATACGAGCCAAGCCTTTTGCGGACAGGAAGATATGTGGCATTCCGGCACCATTGAAGCCAGCACATATGAACTGATTCCGCCTTCCTGGAACGACTCCAATGTGAGGATATCCGTCAGGCGTTGCGCCCATGACTGTATGATTTCATTGTTAGCTGAGATGGAAGACCATTAGGGAACACGAGAGAACAATGGAGAAGGGGTTACAGCTGAAAGACTTACTTCCTGTCCAGATCCGATCGACCTTCGCACCAGAAATAGCCCAATCCTTCCACGTCGTCGTCATACGCTTCTCAAAATACTCTCTCATCTCCTTTTCCATGGCCACCTTGCTGTCGTCAACTGTCCCTCTGAACAGCTCTTCGTGGGTTCCAAACACACCATATCCACCACCGAAAATCACGCCTCCGTCCGGCCGATGCACCAAATAGTCCTGCATCCCACCACCATAGGCTAGATTATACGTGTTGACCCTGTGCTGAAGGTCGAGGAATCGGCTGTCACCGTCATCTTTCCTTACGACATAACTGGCTGTGCCCCGCACCGGGACGATCTTATGCTCGTATATGTCCGGCAGCAGAGCTGGGGTATATGCATTCGTGGCGAAGATGACCTTCTTCGCGCGAACTTCGCCTCGTGTCGCCGTGGAGAGGGTGTGGTAGCCGTCGGCATCAGGAATGTCAGAGACAGAGTTGACCTGTGTCTCGGTCTGAAAATTGATCTTGTCAATGAAGCTCGAAAGCAAACCGGACACGAATTTGTAAGGCCACAGCTGTGCCGCAGGGACGTTCAGCGCGCCGTAAGCGCAGGAGACTCCCGTGATCTATATCGCAGCATGGAAAGTCAGCAAACATGTAACACAATCGCCCAGCCGACCAAAGAACATGGAAGAAGGCAGTAGGAAGAAGCACGTTTCCAGACTCACCCTCTGGACACCATCCCGCGACAGAACGCCCGTGCCCTGCCCATCAAGAATCTGCACCTCCCTACCCGCGGTTTTGAGCCCCGCAGCAATCTTCTCTCTAACCATGTCGACCCTCTCACCACTCAACTGTTCATCGAGAAAAACATCAAAACTCCGTGTCTGCAGGAAATCACACTGAATGCCCTCTTCCTCAATCACATTCTTCAAAGCCGTGATCTGCGCGACTTGAAACGCAATAACCTCCTCCGCGGCCTCGATCCCTGCGCGCCCACCTCCCGGGACCGGCACGTCGAACGCTTTCTGCATGTGCCAGGCCGCGAGCTTCGTGTGTCCGCCGTTGCGCCCCGTGGCGCCGGAGCAGAGTTGGCGTGCTTCGAGGATGAGAATCGATGGTTGGGATTCTGGCGCTGCAGTCTTCAAGAGGTGATATGCGATACTGACGCCGGACATGCCGGAGCCGATGATTGCGATGTCGACGGTAGGCGGTAGATTGGGCGTCGAGCGGTATGTATCTAATGGACTGAGTTCCGTGCGCCAGAAGGATGTCGTTGATGTCGGGTGCGGAAATGTCTTGTGCGCTGGGATGGGGTGTTTGGGCGGCATGGTTGCGTCGATGGATGAACTGGATTGGACTCTGAAGGTTTGACTGGGTCTTTTCTCTCTTTCTGGGGAATACGCACAGCCAAAGAACAGCTCAGGGTAGACCTTTGGTTCTAGAACCCTGTTCCGGATCTCAATATACTAGAGAAAGCACCACCGTAGGTGTCACATCAGCGATCCCAAACCCTAGCACTTCTCAATACCAGACTCTCAGAATATCCGATCCACGAAAACACCTCGGTCAGTTTTTATACCAAGCATCTGTCAAGGAAGCTCCTGGGCGTTCAAGCTTTCGATACAGCACAGCTACCTCTATATATATATAGTATCCACCTGCCGAAGTCCCCACAATTGATATCAGATTACTCGTAGCAGTACCGAGTCCTGGAGTAACCCAGCTTATGTCACCTTAATACTCCAGTAGGGATGCAACGCCGATCGCCAAGGCAGCACTCAATCTCAATCCCATCCATGCGTGCAGGCCCGTATGGCCCACAGATTTGTAACTAATGGACATTAACAATCACCAGCCAGTGCTGAAATGCGATCTACATGCGGCATCGCACGATGCGGCACGGCACCGCAGCTTGATTGAGACAGATACACTACGAGTTGTTACAACGCTTCGTTTCCACTCCCGAGCCAAGGGTAGGTAGGTACTCGTACTCACTAGCTAGTTACTAGCGGGAACATTCACCAGATGAGGAAGGACGTTGAGATGGCCGGATATCTCTCCCGGGGCGTTTGCAGGGCCTGTGGTACGCGAGGGGGATACGCGGTGGCCAATGATTGTTGGCTCGCTGGCGTAAACCGATCAATGCCCTTGATTGGAGTGGACGTGGACGACGTTGTCAATGACGTATCTGACTCGGCAGCTAGAAGTCATGTTCGAAGCTCCGAGTCAAGCTGGCGATGCGACAGGGTGGCTGGAGGACAGTAGAGGGCTACCTAGGTAGCTATTGCATGCCAGTGTAGCTTCGTAGCTCGAGTCACAGTGCTGGCACGTATGGGCATCCAATGGGCCATATCTACCTATGTGCAAACCTTAGGACCCGTCAATATAGAATTGACAATAGACGACCGATATCGTATCGACAAGAGTTTATTTTCTCCTGTTGGATCATATACGTATGCCACCTATGTAATATGTAGGTATCATACACTTGCGTCCAGAGCCCGATGTGAATCACTCGCTCTCCGTTTCTTCGTCTTCGCTGTCATCATCGCTGGGCGTGGATTTCCTTTTCAATCCCCTATTTTGACCCTGAGATGATCTGATCTGGCTGCTCTTGGACCGCTGGGCCGATTTGTTGATGCTGGCCATAAAATCAAATGTTGTATCATCGACTGAACTCTCTTGTTCGTCTCCTTCAGAATCATCCCCCGAATAAGCATCGTTCTCTTTGTCTTCGTCATTGTCTTCGTTGTCCTCCTCCTCGTCTGAGCTGGTGTTCTCGTCTGAAGTTTCCTCGGGCTCATCATCTACCAAGCTGCGACTTTCATTATCGCCATTGGCACCATTTGCTAGATCAATACTACCCGTGTCATCCGCGTCCTCGTCTGCTGGTTCTTCATCCTCACTTTGCTGTATCTCGACATTTTTGTTGGCAGCAGCGCCCGCGTCCTCGTCATCGTTATTGTCTGAGTCTTGTGAGTCATCATTCTCTCCCATGTGCAAATCAGCAACTGTGTAAGGATGTATTTCCTGTAGTGGCGATCGTGTGGCTGCACGAAGTTGTATAGGAACGTTGGGTGAAGGCCGTTCTTGTGATTGTGACTGAACTTGAGAGGATGTAGACCGTCTTGGGTTTGATGGCGGCGGCCTGAGGGCTGAAGTATTTGTTTGAGTTTGCGCAAATAGTTGACTCGATCCGAGTGTCTTCCCAGGTGTGTTCTTTGTCAATAGTTTGCGATTTGTATGTGGAGTCTCTGTAGCTTTCTTACTCGCAATCTCGCCGTCTGAATCAATCCCATTTGCTTTAGTCTGGGGTTCGGCCTTATCATTACCATTGTGTTCCTCTGGCAGATTGTCTGAGTGGATCCCATTTGACCTGTCTTCAGATGCCTTTTCTTGAGCAGGATTGTGTTGTTCCTCTGACAAATCCTCCACATCAGAGTCCTCATCATCCACATATTTGGAAGAAAGTTCTGCTCGCTTTCCTGAATTCGAAGCTGTGCCTTCAAGCCGCTTTTGCATTTTGGACGGCGTCAATACCCGGCTTTTACCGGGTGTCTTCTCCAGCGCAGGTATTGGTACGTATTTGCCACTCTTGTGCAACCCATGGAGAGCTCGGTAATGGTTCGAGCATTGTGCTGGTGTCCTGGTCTTCATTCTCTGGCTGACTTGGGACCAGGGTATGCTCCAGTTCTTCGCGTCTGCAGAAACGCCAGCATCATTCCTGACTGCTTCTATAGCTTTATTCAAGGCACTGTTCTCCTCGCGACTCCATTCACCCGATTCGGTCTCCTTGAATTGAAGCTTGTGTCTCCATCTCTGCGCAACAGCATCTTGAGTCCGCATCATGGCTTTTGCGATTTTCGACCATTGTGTACCCATTTCTTTATGCAGGCGGAGAAGTTCCTTGTCGTCTTCATCTGTCCAGTTGAGTGATCCTTCGAGATTTTGGAAATTACGCTCGCGATACCGTAACATTGACCTTTTGTCTCTTCTGGGTAGGACACTGAAATACTGGGCCATGAAGTCGAGTCGATTGATGAATAACCAGTTCCAAGTACCACCCCGGCCCCTTTGAAGAGTGTCCGTCATCATATCATTGAATTGCGCACCAGTGATGTGGTGTTCTTCACAAAAAAGGTCTTTCCAATTGTTCAACTTTCTGACCTCGGAGTCTCCAAATGCACCAACTTGGCCTTGTCGACCATTAGCATCGCCATGCCCAGTTTCTCTCTCATGTCTTGCCAAGGCTGCCCCGGTTGGGAACTTTTCGTTACATGCCTGACACTTAAGCAGGTATGTGTGTACATTAGGCTTCTTGACATGTTTCTTGAGTGCTTTCTCAGATTTGAACTTCGCATGACAGGTACGACACTCAAACATTTCGTTCGCAGCCTTCTTCGGTGCAGGCTGAAGAGACGACTGTTCGTTGACCGATTTTTCAGCAGTATCACCGGTGTAGTCTGATGCGGATTCTTCATCGGCCTCAGAGGCTGAAGCCTTCGAGAAAGTCCTCTTGGCAACAGAAGTCGCAATACCGGAAGCCTCTTGCGCCGAATCACGAGGACGAGCAGTCTTCATCGGGGAATTATAATTAACTCCGGCCTCAGCTCTGCCTTTACCATTGGTGGTGGTATATTCCGACTTTTTGGATTTAGTAAAATTGGCCAGAAGGTTGGAAGTCTTCTTGTCGTTATTTTGTTCCTTGTGTTCTTGTCTCGCCGTTTTGGATGCTGAACTTTTGCTTGCAATCTGAGATGAACTGCCGGCTTGACTGGTGCGTGGTACTAAAACTTCCACTATCTGTTCGTTCCGCTTGGGCGGTCGGACCGGGTCGAGGCTAGGGTGTCGGGGATTCGAGCTTGAGTTGTATGATTGTGTCCAATTTTCAATACTGCTTTGGCGTCTCGCCTGAAGTTGCGGAACTATCTTCTGAGTCACTTGTTGGGCCTGCAGATCTGGCACAAGATCAGCGGATGAGGGACCCAATGTAGGCGATGAAATGGTAGTCTTTTTTCTTCTCTTGAGTCGTCCAGATGAGACACTCTCCGGGTCACTTGGTGATTGGGATTTCCGTTTCCGTTTCCGCTTCTGACTTTGCTTTGATATTGGTGTTTCTGTGATCAGGTCATCGTTTGAAGCAGCATTTGGGCGAGGCGAAGCTAAAATCCGTTGAATGGCTGGAGGTGGTGCATGATCAACTTCTGGGTCTTCATTGGCATCAATGTGATCATCTTCCATCGGCAACTCGGCTGGTGATGCCTCAGCAGGAGTTGTGTATTCCGGAGATCCATCAGCTCCCAACTCTGTCGACTCGCCATCGGAATCATGCTCCTCCGCACCATCCACTTCCAGGGGTTCTGGCTCAGCCTCAGCCTCAGCCTCTGACCCCGGAGCTTCCGCTTCTGGGCTTTCATTGAGTTGCATGTCCTTCAACTCAGAATTGGCGTTCTTCACCTCTTCCGCAGTATCAGCTTCTGATTCCACCCTGTCTTGCTCTTTTCCAGCTTCAGCCATTGATATCTCCAAGGCAGTGTGGCGCTTCATGTGCGTTTTCAAACTGTCAGCTCGGCTCAGGATTTTACGACATACAGCACAGGTATACTTGGCGGAATGGCTGTCGGCATGTCTGGTCGCTGCTTTGCGTGAGGAAAAGGTCTTGGTACATCCGTAGGTTTCAGCGGAGGGACATGGCCAACGTCCATTATCATCGGCTGAGGGTGCATCAGGAGTGGTGTTGGCCGCCGAATTGGCCTTCGAAGCAAGACGACGATTGACGGCGGTGAAGCCAGTTCCAGCTCCTGCGCGTGACTGAGAGGCACGCCCAGCTGAGGTTTTCGGGACATCGTTCCTTTCCCCCGGCAGCTTTGACCGAGCAGTTTTCTTAGGTACGGTAGCTCGCGTTGGAAGTGTTGTGGTCATCAGTTCTTCTTCGTCTTCCTGCGAAGAATCATCCGTAACATTCCCCGTGTTCGTGTCACTCACTTCCTGCCTCTCATCCTCAGGTGGCCGTAGGGATTTTCGAGCTTTAGGCGCATCGTCCACATCGCTCCCGTCAGAAGTCTCGTATATATGGAACGTCTCGGGCTCCAGATCTCTCAGCTGCGAACTTTCCGGGGCACCTTGGCTGATAGGCTGGGCCTCGTTGGGCAGCAGCGAGAAGCTTCGCGCACGGTGGCTTTTATCGACAGTGGTCTTCTTGTTTGCCTTTCGGTTTTTTAGCTTATTGGTCGAGCGCATTTCGCCCTGGGGAGAGGCGGAGGTGGATACTTGTGATCGGAGCTGGGAAATGTCGTCGTCGGGATCGCGGTCGTCGGGGATTTTATCGAGGTCGAAGTCTGGATGGTAGAGTATTAGAAAGAAGGCAGAGGCTCATCTGATGTGACTCACTATCTTCTTCTGCGTCTGCCACAGGAGTCTCTGTCTCTCCCTCTTTACTTTCGGCGTTGCCCATGGCGCGGGCCTGGGGATAGAAAAAAGAATGAAGTGGGGGGTTGGCTTAATTCAAGTTGGAGAACATTTCTTACGGCAGGAGCGCGAGCGCGACTGGGGGAATGCGAAATAAGAACAGGAAGGAGCACTCCCCCGTCATCAGGGATCGAAATGTTAAGGGAAGGCGCGATCGCATAGCACTGATATTCAGAATTGAGGTATTCACGACTCACTGTTCAGTTCCCGCAACTTCTATTAGTAGCGATCAAAATGCATTTCAAATGAGGCTGGTTGCTCCCAGATTTCACTTTCAGAGGAGGTCTTACCGATTATTCAATGCCCTAGAAAGTGGAGAAATTGCACGCTTAACTAGCACGGAACAGGGGTGCGTGCTCAGGTTTATAGGCGGTCCCATCCCGAGTCCCGATGATGCAGGGCCATCGATATGGATATCGATTCCTCAATCCTCATCCAACCTCAATCCGACACTCACTGCAGGCTGCCCTCAATTAACCAGTCGAACCTCACAATCAAGTCATTTTCCCTCTCACTATCAAATCCAAATGGTTCTCCTCAACACCACTCCCCAGATCCTATCCGCCATCTCGTCCCTCTCCACCTCCGAGCGCACATCACTCGGTACTGACCTCGACCTCCCCACTACGACCAGTGCCCCCATCGAGCACAATACTCTCATTGCACTCTCCCGGCTCACCAAGCGATTCACGCTCAACACCCTATTACACGGCACTCACGTCTACATCGCGCCTGCGCCATCGAAGCCCGAGCCCTCGCCGCAGTATGTGGAACTCATGGCACGGCTGCGCAGGGAGCAGGAGCAGCGCGAGTACGCCGCCCTAGTGTCGAAGCGGAGAGTCGAGGAGGAACTGGCCACGGGCGGACACGATGACATAAGTCCATCGCTCGTGCTGAATATTCTGCTCAGTGTGGTCATGTGTGCTGCGGCCATGTTGTACCTGACTAGATGGTGGAACAACGACGGTGTTCGAGTTCTTGTGTCGCTCGGCACAGGGTTCGTCGTCGGAATTGCTGAAGTGACTGTCTATGCTGCCTATCTGCGGAACGTGCGGGTCAGTAGAGAGAAGGAGAGTGCCAAGCGTGAGAAGAAGCAGTTTATTGCAGAGTTTCGCGGCGATGAGCCCCCCATACCGTTGCATCATATCGTCGATGAAAGCCAAGAGATTTGGGGTCGTGGAAAACATGGTGGCATGAGAAGACGAGTGCGAGAAAAATGGGAGAAGGACCAGGACAAGAAGAATTCCTAAAACAGAAAGTAAGATATATTAAAGAATCTAAACATAGTGGTATCAAACACCATCAGACACTCGCCCGGTGTACGAAATGTTCCAATTTGGTTCGTAAATCTCATGAATCAAGTCCGAGCCAATCTCTTCAATCCATCATATCTCAAAAGTCATAAATCCATCTTTTAAACCAGCTTTTAACTCTCTTCAGCTCAGCACGTCTCGGTTCCAGCAACAATTGCCCAGAGCACGTCTTACCAACAAATCCATTGTTTGGTCCATCGCGGACAAACACCTGTTGACCTCGCAATATGGTCGCCTTGACTTGTCCGATCATCGTCTTGCCTTGATATGGACTGCATTTGTTCCGGAACAACATGGTGCTGGGCTCCACGACCCACTCAGCAGTATCGTCAAAGATGCAAATGTCGGCATCGAATCCGACCGCCAGTTGGCCTTTCTGTTTCTCAAGTCCGACCTGAGCAGCAGTATTCTCACAGCACCACTTCACAACATCTGTGATAGCTGTGTCTTTTGATGTCAACCCTCGTCGGGTCATTTCAGTCCATAGGATAGGGAGGCCCATCCCGACCGACGATATTCCACCCCATGCAGAAAAGAAGTCGCCCCGATCAGTCTCAAGTTCCAATGACTTTGCTTGATCCTTTGGTAGCGCTACGTGACCAGGCACGTACGATGGTAGAAGCTTGAGATCTGGTGTGCAGGGTGAGTGGTCAGAAACAACTGTCTTTATGACGCCCTCTTCCAAATGTTGGCATAATTCTTCCCACAGCCTATCTTGATTCGACTTGGTGCGGATTGGGGGACAACATTTGTGTCGGGTGTCGCCTATCGGTATTTGTTCCGCTGCCAGAGAAAGATAATGCGGACAGGTCTCAGCTGTGATATTGATTCCCTGTGCTCTTGCCTTTCTGAGAAGCGGGATGGCCTCCATGGCCGATAAATGGACAATATGCAATGCCAAATTTGGTGCCAAGTGTGCCATCGACAAGATTTCCTCAACGGCATATGTCTCAAATGCAGGAGGCCTTGAGGCTAAGAAGGTACTGTAGGCGTTGAGTGGGCCATGAGGCTGGCGCGGTGGTAATGAGACTTGGACGTCGTCACCAACAGAATCCGCAATAGGAGGGATCATTTCTGCATGAAACATGACCGTGGTAGGCTCATCTGCAAGCTCGGCAAACACTTTTTCAATGTCTATCGAAGAAACAGCAGGAAATTCTTCCACACCACTTTCGATCAAGAATCCTTTGAATCCCCTCACACCTTCCCTTACCAATGCCTTCAGTTCACCAGCATTACCTGGGATAATCCCTCCATAAAAGCCCACATCGACCCAGCACTGGCCTTGGGCAGCCTTGATCTTCTCATGGAGGTTTGCCACAGTGGTCGTGGGAGGGATTGCATTCAGAGGCATATCTACCACAGTGGTTACGCCACCGAAGGCTGCTGCTTGTGTACCTGTATAGAATCCCTCCCATTCGGTCCGACCCGGTTCATTAAGGTGGACATGGGCGTCAACCAATCCAGGAAGTAGTATATGAGGCGAGTAGTCCGTATATGGCGTATTAGGTGGGAAGTCTGATGCAGGCACGACCGAATCAAAAGTTGCCGTGATCTTGCCTGTCGCATTGGATATGACGATAGTGGCCGCCGTGAGACCTCCCGATCGAATAGCCCGTGACGAAGCAATTACAGTGATTGGCGATGCATCTGTTGAGTCTGATAAGGCATTGGGTGGAGATCTGGGCGGTGTCGGATAAGAATGGAAGTTGTCTCCTTGAGTATTCATGGCTAATGTTGGATTAGTGCTCGCAGCTAGGCTTTGCTATAATGGAGAGAAGGGTCGTTAGGCACGAGAAGAGTAGGATCTGGGGAAGTTGTAAGCATGGGTAGAGGAATATGGCTCTTATCAGTGAAGCGATAAGCGAGATGAATGTTTGAAGAAGTTCAAGCACACATCAGGTCGGATTGGAGCGCGACCAGCCAGACCTGGAGACAAAGAGAACCCATTTGATAAAGAACATTTCGCCTGGGACTGCCCGAATGTCAACCAACATTCGCGTCAAGTCGGGATTGACCAACTCCCTGTCTGCACGTAATCGACTATCTGGAGTCCCCGAGAATCATTGGGGGTGAGGGTGGAGGGAGTGAAGCGGCCGAGTCCGAAGACAAGATTTGGGAAAGGAGGAGTCATTGTCGCCATGTCATTGGTAAATGCAGCGTGGGTTCAGTCGCTCAAAGACCGCAGAGGGCGTATCTGTTACTCGATCAGATCAAGAATAGATAAGAAAAGCTGCGGCAAAGAGCAAGCTTTCCAGAATAGTGGGTGTTGAGTGGTGAAGGGTGGGCTGACGCACCATCGTTATCGTTGGGATTTCAGCCATGTGCACTTGTGTTTTGCCTGCAAGTGCCAGACTTGGCGGCGAACTCCCCCTGCGCCGGTCGCACCTGCCTCCCGGTGGCTCTATCGGAATGCGATAAGGTTCACTGATCAGCCTAAGCCCTTTTCAGCCGAGGCTAAGCTGCTCTGCTCCGTCGCTATTACTCGATATATATCTCTTCTTACTCGATCAAAACTCCTGACTGGAACCTGCGGTTTCATCGATTTGTAAACTCGTCGGTGCACGGCAGTCCAGCGTACGACTCCCGAGGTCGTCGAAGAACCTTTCTCAGCCGCAACAAATCTTGCATCTCTCGAGGTGACGTATTTCCGCGGACCACCTATTCCATGGGAGGTCACTTACTGAGAGCCGGAGAGAGGTATCTCGGTGCGGTCATAAACAGACAGATGCTTGATTCAGACCGAGATGTATCACTTGTCATGTAATCTCGGGTTTGTCTGCGAGATCGAAGGGGCGGACGGCTTTCGGCGGAAGAGCGTGGTAAGTGATGCCTCCATTTCAGCCGCCGCTTTCGGCCTCAGTCGCCGTAAAAGGAAGGAACGGCAGCACAACAATCATGCCAGTATTGGAGTGGTATGTAATATCCACTACATCAAAGGACTGTCATTTTTCCATGACTCTGTGATGACAAGAAATGATCAAGAACCTTGAAAAGAGGAGATTTTCACAGTTTCTGTCTCCTGTTGAGCTTGAACTCCATAATTCTTCGCGGAGTCATGTGCCCCGCAGAGGCCCCAAGTGTTGAGCACATCCTCATGTAGCGCAATTTCACTTGCAAGTCAATTACTCCGCCGGAGTCATCTGTTCACGAACTTGAAGCCTCCGTCCCGTACGGCGATCAGGCAGACCAGTGACACTGCAGAAATGGGCGACTCTCGTGGAGGTCTGCTTCGAACATCGGTCAATATGATCTATCTCAAGAGACCAAGATCATGCGGTGAGAAACTTTTCAACGGTTTTCAACATGGCTTGCTACAAGACTTGTGAAGTGGACACTAAACTCGTCGATGGGCCAGATGAAGGTTTGAAAGCGAAATGCTGCCTCAGGTTGGTAGAGTATTTATACAGAAGGAGGTCTGCACCTAGCTCCAATCATGTTATGTCTTCCACTTGATGTCATTTCCAGACCCTCAAGAAACTCGCCATGGCTCTATCAGTGACGGCCGACTTACAGCAGATGTCTCTACTGTGTCGACTTGTGAAATCTGTGAGAGCAAATTTCCACCTTGCAGATGCCTCCCGAAGAAATGTTCCTAAATCTCTCCAAACTAATGAAGGATGCGAGTGCACAGATGATTACTCTGGCGCAGGTGGCAGCACAACATACGTAACAGGTTCACAGAATAGCCTCCACAGGTTGCTTCTTGATCTTCCACGAGAATTAATCCTCAGCATTGCGCACTTTTTGGATAAGGAATCACAAGTCCTTCTGAGTCTCTCTTGCAAGCAGTTTCGTGACATTTTGAGCTTTGACCTCGATTTGGCGTTTGTTGATCGTGCTACGAAAATACGATTCCTCCAAATTCTTGAGCTAGATTACCCAGAGTATCTGACCTGCCGCTCGTGTGCCATGCTTTATCGATGGAGAGTGATACCTTCATTTTATGTTTGGTGTCCGCGCGACGGCCAACACTCGCTCGAAGACCGGATATCGTCGCCCAGCTGGTACATGAAAGCAGGGTTGAACAGTGTCTGGATACAGCAGGAAATCATTGACCTGATCCACCGGGCCCATGAGTATGGCCAGAAGCATGGTCTACCTTTGTCTTATTTGAATACAGAGGGAGTCGACTATCGTGGAGTCTCACATACGAGTGAGGCACGGATCGTGGATGGTCAACTGATTCTTGCCAAACGAATGGAAGTGGTGGTGATGCCAGGCACAGATATGGCGCAGATGTCGTTCCCCTTCAGCATGGCTTGTTGCGACCACGTGTTCATAACCCTCGGAAAACCGGGCCAAAGCAGTATCTGGCAGAAAATCGAGTCAGCGGTCGCATCCTTGTCATCTCTAAGAACAGCTGAGTTATTCAAATGTTCGTTCTGTGAGACTGATTGCGAGTTGTTCGCCATCAAGGTTGAGGAAGGCCGGATGCAGATCGTCATGAACATCTGGAGAAACTACGGAGGCCGACATGAGAAAATACCTTCGACCAAGCAACACGGGCATCTGAACCCTCAGCCACTCGACGCGGAAACAGTCTCCCAGAGGAACTTGCAAGCGCTTTTTGAGGCTCAAGGGGGAGAGGTTAAAAGCATAAACACTAATGATGAATAGCAGGAGAAATGATCTTTTCAAATCCACAAAATGTAAAGTAGTGTATGTGTCTCATGTCACTGTTCTTAGAAGTTTACAACCTTTATGAATGCTGAACTCCGAGATCAACAAGCGACCAAAAGCAATGCTTAAACAGATATGGGTGTTCTTAATAGCTTAGCATTGGGGAAGCTCATGGTTCTATGGGTAATCTGCATTCTGCAAGCCCATGTCCTTTGATTGTTGTGGTTGTCTGCACCGTGCGAATAGATGATGCTGAGCGTGGACTACTTAGTACCAGTAGTTTTACCCTTAGGCGCGCAATGTGCCTAACCTAACAGGTCGTTGACCACCCAAATTCGAGCTAGTGATCCACTAGAGTCGTAATAGTGGCTGCCCGCCATTATGTAATCGCACCTTCCCAACTTGAGTGCTGAATTGGGCCGCAGACAAAATGTTCGCCAAGATTTCGTTCATAGGCTGCGTTTTATTCTCCACTTCTTGTCGGTCAGTGGCTCATCATGAACTTCGTGAGAGGTTTTTGTTCTGCCTCGACATCAAGTGAGTACATCTCAGTAGAATACAGCCTTTACAGCAGGAAGGCTGATACACTCGTGTACACCTGCCTCGAGATATCTACCCCTACATCATGACAGACGAGCTCGAAGTAAGATCCTGCTTTGACATTCGGCACCTGCCTTACAGAACTTTTACTGACCCACCATAGGCACGGCTTAAAAGCCATGCACGTGCCTTTGACAGTCTATTGTCTCTCATCCCAGCGAAGCTATACTATGGGGAGGATGTCAGCGTATGCATATGACTGGGCGACTGTATTTTGGGAACACTGGTGTTAACAGTAATTCAGGATCAATGGCAGCGAAAAAAGCAGACCCCCGAACAAAAAAGAGCCGCGAAGATGGCCAAGCTAGACCCAGACAACTGGAAAAGCGCCAAAGATGTCATGGACGAAAGGGCTGCTACTGTTGCGCTAAAAAGAAAACGAGATGATGGCGACGAATCTCAAGATGACAATCAAGATATCGGGACCTCGCCACACCCCGAAAACCTCGAGCCTCCCAAGGCAGCACAAGCCGCAAAGATTCAAAAACACAAGAAGCAGAAGCTCGATACAAAGATGGGGAAACAGGCACAACCGCAACCTCAACAAACCGAGACTGAGGAGCAGAGGAAAGAACGAAAAGCTCTGCAGAGAGCAGCAAAACGAGAGCGTAAGCAGGAGATCAAAGCCAAAAGCAAGGCTAAGTTCGAAAGGCAACAAGAAAAGAAAAAGCAAAAAGTCGAGCGCCATGATCAGGCCGGGCCCAATCTTCAAGAAGACGATTTAAAGTTGAAAATTCCTCTCGATCTAGCAGTCGTCCCTGCAGCCAAAAATACAGTTCCTGACGATCAAGTATCTACGGCCTCATCAGGGACCGACCATCAAGAAGTCTTCTCCCCACCCCAGGAATCAGCCACATCTTCGACATCATCAATATTGCCTATACCAGACAACACCCCTAAAATAATTGCTGCGGCCGAGACAAACTCCAACGCTTTGACAAGCAATCCAGCCGCAGGCACTCCACGTGAGAGACTACAGGCCGCCATTCAACAGCTGAGAACGGACCGTAAAGCTGGAGGTACTGATGGCCAAGCCCCCAAATCCCGACAAGAATTACTGGATCAACGACGACGGAAAGAAGAGGAACGAAAAGTCGCGAAGAAAGAACAGAAGCGGAGAGAAAAGGAAGAAGAAGCACGACGTCAGGAGGAAGAAATTGCTCGTCGCTTTTCTCCTGGTGGGTCTGGCTCGTTGCTCGCATCACCTCGATCGCCCATTGTCGGTGATCTGGCTTCGATTTCGAGTAACAACAATAGTTTCAGCTTTGGGAGAATCGCCTTTGACGACGGCACTCAAGTCGATCCCTCAATCTCTGGATTTCTCGACCAGCACAAAGCAAAAGGCCCTAAGGATACTGCTTCAGCACTGAAAGCAGCACAAAGCAAGAAAAGCAGGTTGGCCAGCCTGGACGAAACGAAGCGCAAGGAGATTGAGGAGAAAGATATGTGGCTCAATGCAAAACGACGTGCTCATGGAGATCATGTTCGCGATGACACCAGTTTACTGAAGAAGGCATTGAAGAGACAACAGGGTCAGAAGAAGAAGAGTGAAAAGGAATGGACCGATAGGCTTGCGGGCGTACAGAAATCCCAGGAGATCAAGCAGAAGAAACGAAACGACAACCTGTCAAAGCGAAAGGATGACAAAAAGTCCGGTGGCAAAGGGAAAAAAGTGAAGCGGCCAGGATTCGAGGGCAGCTTCAAGGGGAGAACGGGAGGAAAGAAGAAGTAGTCAGTGGAAGCAATCCGAGGTCTTGTTCCATTAGTACAACGGTTTCCACGATCACACATTATGAGTTGGGTTGAGAAAAGACTTGTTCAACTCTTGAGCGAATATTTGTCTCGCACTGGACCGAAAAGTGGTATACGAATACTCGTTACTTGCATAGCAAATTGGGAAATGAATGATGATAAATGTCCTAGAACTCCTGTCTTGCATTCCATACAGAACCTGAACGGCGCTCATAGGCATTTCACATACCATCCCAAACGTGACCCATAAGTCGATTCGCCGTATTCTTGACATAGTGAGCTGTCGCTCCAGACGGATCGTTGAGATCCGCCTTATTGAAGCCCGGTCCAGAATTATACTCTCTAAACGCAGCATACCAATTCCCCTGATGTGCAAAGCAATGCTTCAACCCGTCGCCGTGCCTGGTACCTGTCGTGCCATCTCGAACCATCTGCAGGATCGAGTGAGCCGGGTCGGCAGGATCAAACTCGACGCCGTTGTGGCTCTGCATGAGGCCAGGATTCCGTACGCCGTTGTCGCTCGTCCCGACCCTCACGTTCCCGCCGGATTCTTGCATGATGATGCACAGGATGACGCGGACGTCAACGCCGGACTCGCGTGCCACACGCTCGATGGATTCCTTGATCAAGGCGATCTCGCTGTCTGAAGAGTTGTACTTCATCAGCCTGACGTTGGACTCCCACAGCGCGGCGTACCGCGCCCATTGGCTCGGATGCGGGAGTTGAGAAGCTATCCCGGGGTAATCCACGAAGCTGCCTCCACCCTCGCTCCCTCCGCTCGAGCCAGGGATCTCCTGTGACGGAGCGGGCGTGGCGATGACTTGGTTGATGACTAGATCGTTCGATATCCCAGGATTCGTAGACTGGAGTTCAGAGACCGAGATACCAAGAACCCGTGCCACGTCTCCCAGAGTGAACAATACTGCACCCGTCTGGTCAGAAGGGACATTGATCGTCTGCCCAACCCAGAGGCTTTCAGGCTTGACACCCGGATTCGTCGCGAGGAGTGTATCGAGTTCAACGTTGAGCTTCTCGGCAACTACAGATAACGTGTCGCCTGCTTGAATCGTATATTGTCCGACAAGCGTGCCTGCAATCTTGTATGAGACTTGTGCCATGGCTGTTTTCTGAGTCTCCCTCACGGAACAAACAATTTGAGTACCAGGGCGCTTGTTACTGAGTTTTGTTGATACAGTAGCTTGGATTTGCACGGTCACATAGTCGACTTTTCCTCCATCACCGGCTGGAAAAGCTGAAGACCAAAACCAAGCGAAGTAGTGTTTCAGTATGACGCGTCAGGCCTCAGCCCAAGCAGGCTGCCAGCTTCTGATGTTCCGTTGTGTGTCTTCTCCATTTATAGATTTATTTACAAGACTAGCCCCCATTTGTTTGAACACAGGATTATTATCATTGATATTAAAAGATATCGTTGCTATCAGTGGCTGCCGCCAGGCTAGCATGCCGTTCCTAGGCAATCCGCGACTCTGGCAAGCATTCGTGCTTAGACTAGAATAGGGTGTCACCTGGAGCCGTGAGAATGCCGTTGTGCCCTAGAGTTCTGCATTACAAACCTAGCACCGGTTTCACCACTTAGCCTGTGAAAAGACCGAGTCTAGTGAATCGAACGAGGTTGAATGGAGTTAGTCTGACCGTTCAGTAGCGAGTCGTGAGTCTACGAGGACTGAAGAACACTAGTATCGAAGCAAGGTCGTGGAGGCAGAATTCACCGAAACCCACAAGATGGACGTCCTTGGGACAAGTTTCATTGGTCGAAGCTCGAAAAATGTCCCATTGCGAAAGTCCCACAAGTTCGCTTGTGCCTCCAGATGGATCATCGTGGTCATCCTCTACCGACGGGGCTAGCATGCACTGGCCGCATAAAGCTGGGTTTCTCTGGGAAGGAGCAGCTCGCTCCACGAATGAGCACAAGTTCTCCACAGCCTTGGCCCCGCAAAGTTCGCTAAACCTCGCAACAAGGCTGAGGTCCTTGAGGGACATACTCACGCATAAATACCACCTCTTGCCAACACCCCATGCAGTGCCAATGAATCTTCTCATGATCCTGCAGGATTTGATTGATCGCTGAGATCATGTTTTTACAAATTTTACTGGTTGCGCTGATAACCTCTGTGGGAAGAGCTTGCGTTCCTCAACATCTCGATGTCCGGCAAGTCGATCAAAACATACAAAGGCGTTCTCTACACACTCCTTCGTCATCTAAGATCGGTATTGCAAATGTGAACCTGTTTACAGGGACGCGGTTTCGACGTGGTGCCCTAGCCATTGTCGGTGGTCGGATCACATTCGACCTCAAAGATGTCGACCAATGGATCAATGGCAACAGCGGCTACCTGATCCCTGGCCTCATTGACAGCCATTGCCATCCAGGTTCGATCGGTGACCTCAAAATTCTCAGCTCCTACGGCGTCACATCGGCCATGGGCATGAATTGTGCAAACTATGCTCTCTGCGCATCCATGAAAGACCAACCCGGCTTAACATCATTCTTCACCGCAGGCCATGGAATCGCAGCACCCGGTAGCGCACATGCTTTGATATTCCAGACTCCACCGGAACTCCTCATCAATAGCACCGCAGAAGCTTCCATGTTCGTTGACTATACGTTTGGCAACAAATCCGACTGGTTGAAGATTACCGCTGAAAACAGGGGCCCGAGCCAAGAGACACAAAATCGACTTGTGAGCCTGACGCACGCCGCTGGCAAACAGGCCATGACGCATGCCGCAGGTGTCGACTACTATCTGCAAGCAATCGCTTCGGGCACAGACGGGATTCAGCACACCCCGGGCGACAGACTGCTGACTGCAGATGCTATCAACGGTATCAAAGCGCACAATAAGTGGGTTACTGCAACTATGGTCCTTGTCAAGGCATTCATCGCAAGCCCACAGGCGCTCGCCGTATCGAGCTACACGAACGAATCCTGGCCGACCGTGGTACAGAATGTTCAGAAGATGTACAAGGCGAATGTGACACTGCTAGTCGGCACAGATGCTATACCTGCCAGTACCTCGTCATCGCTCGGCGGCATCCAGAATCCTCTCGGAAAAACCGTTCACGATGAACTGGACGTCTTCGTCAACCAGGTCGGCTTCACACCGGCTGAGGCTCTACGGGCAGCAACGGTCCTGCCCGCGAAGATGCATAGACTAAGTGATCGGGGAGTCATTGAGGCAGGGAAACGCGCTGATCTTGTATTGCTAAGGTCGAACCCGTTGAAAAATATCTCGGCTACCAGAGACATTGTCAGGGTGTGGAACGGTGGGATTGAGTTCAATGCCACTGCCGCTCTATAAGTCTGGTCTGTGTTGTTAGGTATATGCAACATATGAGATTTCTTTAGCTATTGTAAGCGATGACTCCTTTATAGGGTATAACACAAAATTGACACGAGCTTTAAGAATCTGAAATGACCCCTGCTCCCTTTGGACGTTCCAGAAACCCACCATTGGGTGCGTCTCGTTTTTTGGCAACTACTAAACAGGGATATTAATCATATATACCCATGTATAAAAGATTAGTGATAGCCATACCACTCGATGCTGGTCTGTCTTCATCACTCCTTATGAGAATATACATGAGATTATGCACCCACCGCTTACCCCAACATCATGCTTAGACCTCCGACGTTGCACACAGGGCACTCAACAATCGCTTACCTAGGTCGTCACCGATTCTCCAGCTGGAAAATAATAATCAAGGGCAAAGGTACGGTTATCTGAGCAAGAGTCCACTATTAGGCCTCCCCTTCGTGCCATAATATATAGCTGTAGAGCCAGCATCCGGATTACTGATCCCCACAACTTAAGCCGAAGATCCGAGGCTGGATTGTGGAATCTGTATGGACGTTAACTATATCCTCGATATAACTACACCGGCAAGTATCATGGGCAACACAAAAGCACCAACGTTTGACAATCGTGAGATCGGGGAACCATGTCCAACCCATTAAGAACCATTGAAGTCCCCAAGAGCTATGCCACTCCACCCGACAGACCCATCTTAATATCAAACCACCCCTCCAGGGCTGAAGGCGTGACACCAATCCAGGTCGTGACGCTCAATCGACCGGAAAAACTCAACGCCTTCTCGATCGAGATGATCAATGCACTCGAGGACTTCTTTACAACGGTCGACGTGGACGACCGTGTCAAAGTAATCGTCTTGACTGGTGCCGGAAGAGCCTTCAGTGCCGGAATTGACCTTTCCTCCGACGCCACCGCAGGAAAGAGCCAGCCGACACGCGATCTCCGAGACCCCGGCGGCACACTAGCGCTCGCCATGTATAATTCGAGCAAGACTATTATCGTCGCGTATAATGGGCTGTCCGTCGGTATTGGAATGACGTCGACTCTGGCGGCTGCCATTCGGTGAGCAACTTAAAGCCGTCTACCAAGGACCAGGATAGCTACCACTAACCTCCCAAACCAGCATCGCAAGCGTGAAATCAGAGTTTGGCTTCCCCTTCGCCCGCATCGGCCTGACGATGGAGTCGAGCAGCAGCTTCTTCCTGCCGCGTATGGTCGGGTATAGCAACGCAACATACCTACTGACGACCGGACGGCGGTTCAAAGCCAACCACAGCACGCTGCAAGGGATCTTTGCGGAGCTCTTGCCGGAGCCCGAAGACGTCCTACCACGCGCGCTGGAGATAGCTAAAGATGTCCTCGAGAACGTCGGTACCATGGCCGCGCATCTGAACCGCCAGCTCATCTGGCGCAATCCTGGATCTGCGGAAGGTGCGCATCTGGTTGATAGCCCTGTGCTATTTGATATGTTTGGGTCAAAGTAAGTCATTCCCGTGATTACATTTCTCGGTCCGTCTGCTGACAGCTTTTAGGGATCATCTTGAGTTCAAAAAATCCTTCTTCGAGAAACGTAAGGCAAATTTCACCGATGTGCTCTCGAAGGACGCTCCAAGGACGTACCCCTGGTGGACTGAGGTCTCAGTCGCCACTCGACCCAAGATTCAAGATCGAGCGGAGCCAAAGCTTTAAACATTTGAATTGTAGATCATCTTTGCCAGGATGAAAGCAGATAGCTAGGTTGTCTTGAGATAGCAACGCAATAGTCGAGCGAATATGGTGGCGGACGGAGCTAAGGACGCAAGTCGCTTCAAATCGTCGTACTGTGAGTGGTCCCATGCTGTACCTCATAGATCTGTGCAAAGACCAACTTCCCCATGGTCAAGATATCATCATTCACAGTCTTGTAGCATGAAAGATTGCTGCTCAGGTCCGTGTCGCAAATGACGTAGTTACCTTATGTATATCTGGATTGCCGCTGTTCCCGGGGCTAATAATGCTTGGGAGCGTCCCCTATTCCGCGATCTGACGCAATGAGATTTCCTGGGAGAAAGTGTAACGCAACCTCATCAACCACCTAACCAGGACTTAACTGGTGAGATAGGGAAGGAGATATCCAATCAGCCAGTAAAGAAGATCCTATCAATGCTACATATTTCCCAAGAATGTTTCAACGACGCGAAATCACGGCGCCCAAGATGCGTGTACTGGGCGAAAATCCACTCAGCTACAGTTTCCAGCTTCACAAGCCTCTCACTACCTACGGAGGTGCTTGTGAAGTGAATGCCTGCAAGATAGTTTATGAACCACTTCGGGGTTCCGATGGTTAATCAGCGGGTATCGGATTCGAGTGCAGGGGGACATCACTCACTGTCATTGGCCCCTATTATCTCCCTTCCCGGAGAGAGATCTTTAAAGCTCAACCTTCTCCCGGATACGAGGTAGGGTTATAATTTAACCACGCTACAAGCTACGATGCCAGCGAGGCACAAAGATCCCAGTCTATTTGCTTTTTGGTCAGTCTGTGGCTTAATGGACTTTCGATTTGCGCTAAATTGGATTTAAGACTTGCCTATGCCTCCGGGACTCCTTGTGTCTCACACGGGATTGGCGGTCAATGACTTGGGCCATCCCTCCGATAGGCATGGCTTTAATTCCGCAATATCAGATTGTTCGCTATGGATTCTACTGAGCGGGCGTCGTTGAAGATTGACGCGATTATATTTAAGGAGGGTTGTTTCGACACATTCAAGAGTTGAGTATCTACAGACAAGACCTTTCCATCGTTCCTCAATTTCCCAACAAGCGACGACACAACTATGGACGCTCTCGATCGAAATTTGATCGATGCCGAAGTGGACGCGGATAGGGGCAGATCCAATCGACTATCATACATTGCATCTTATGGGCCCGACGTGGAGAGACAATGTCAACCCACAGACGCGTCACGCATCTCTCAAGATTCATATGATCAATTGAGCTCAACTTTGACTGTATGAGCTGTGGAAAAGACCTCCGATTTCAGATGATTTGACTGACCATAGCCAGCATGCTGCTACCCTCCGTAGCTTACATCCACTTGAGATGGAAAGGATCCGGACACAACGGACACAACATCTTAACACTGTGGGAAGTCGACCACTGATTGGAGCTAGAAAGTACTCTACAGCAACCATCAGAACCACCAACACCTTGGGTGCTGGTAGGCCGGTTCCCAGTAACAGGAAGGAAGAATATATTGTCGAGTTCGACAGCTATGAAGATCCAGAACACCCACAAAACTTTCCTTTTCCAAAGAAGTATCTCGCCCCGACACCCCAGGTTTTCGATCACTTCATATTAATGCTGATCCCACAGATTGATTCAATCGGCAATACTCTCCTTCATCACCTTTGTCGCCTCTTTCTCCAGCGCCGTGTTCTCGGCCGCGATTCCTCAAGTCTCGGAGAATTTCCATGTCAGCACCGAGGTGGGCATCCTCGGGATTTCCCTCTACGTGCTTGGGTTCGCGTTCGGACCTATTCTATGGGGTCCTGGATCGGAGATTCTAGGCCGTCGCCTTCCCCTCCAAATATCCATGTTCGGCTTTGCCATCTTCGCCGTTGCTTCGGCCACCGCGAAGGACTATCAAACGCTGATGCTCACTCGATTCTTCAGCGGCTTCTTCGCGGCGGGTCCTCTGGCGATCGTCCCGGCGTGCTTCGCAGATCTCTATGATGACGCCACGCGAGGACTTGCAATTACGGTGTTTGCGATGACGGTCTTCGTCGGCCCATTCGCATCGTTCGTCGGAGGGTTCATCGTCGACGATGCTTCACTGCGCTGGCGCTGGACAATGTATATCTCGAGCATCATGGGCTGGCTCAGTTTCGGCCTCACGCTGTTTCTGGTGGAATCGTACGCGCCGGCGGTCCTAGTGGCCAAAGCAGGACGCATTCGACGAGAGACGAAGAATTTCGCTATCCACGCCAAACAGGAGGAGATCGAGGTCGATTTCAAACAATTGCTCAACAACAACTTCTCGCGTCCGATCCGTCTGCTCGTCACCGAGCCGATTGTCTTCCTCATCACGCTGTACATGTCTTTCATCTACGGACTCATCTACCTTTTCCTGGGCGCTTATCCAATCGTGTTTCAGGGGGTGCACGGCATGAATGCGGGCGTTGGGAGACTCCCATTCATCGCACTGATCATCGGCCAACTCCTGGGCGGAGTCTACATCCTGCTCGAGCAGGCATCGTATCAGCGTAAGCTGAAGAAAAACAACGGCGTGCAAGTCCCCGAGTGGCGGCTGCCTCCGGTCATCGTTGGTGCCGTCTGTTTCAGCATCGGCCTCTTCTGGTAAGATACCTCTTTTTGCAATCTTCAACAATTTACCTTTCCCAACACCTCTCTTCTTTAGCCCATAAAACTAACACACTACCCTCTTCCCCAATAGGTTCGGCTGGACAGGCTACACCAAATCAATCCACTGGCTAGCTCCAACAGCCAGCGGGATCGTGACGGGCTTCGGGATCCTGTGCATCTTCCTGCAGTGCTTCAACTACCTGATCGACACGTACCTGATGTTCGCGGCGTCATGCATCGCCGCAAACTCTCTGCTGCGCTCCTTCTTCGGCGCCGGCTTCCCCCTCTTCGCCGACCAGATGTTCCACAACCTCGGCATTCAGTGGGCTGGCACGTTGCTCGGCTGCCTCGCCGCCGTGATGGTGCCCATTCCCGTCGTGTTTTATCTATATGGTGAAAGGATTCGTGGCTGGAGTAGAGTCTCCGGGTTGGGCGATGGGACTGGCAGTGCTCATGGCGGAGGGAGTGCGTCTCGGCCTCCGAGGACCATGGATGATGTAGAGAAGGAGGAGGTGGTGTGAAAAAATTGGTTCTTGGGTAGATGGTCACATTGGCCATTTCTTACGTAGCAGGCGAGGCTGACTACTGACTGGCGTTCTGGACTGGCTGAGATGGATTTGTTGTAACCAATAGTGTAGTGTATAGAATAGGAAGGGTACACCTGAAGCCTAAAGTGCACCGAACTAGAGCCTGTGTTGGAATATCTTCTTACAATAAATCGCTGTCCTGATTCGGGAAATCTGTGCAATTGATCACTCGATGACAGACTCACAGAATTGCATTGCGGTGAAGAAGCATGGATGAAGGATAGCGTTTTCATTCATCATCATTATCCAAACACGAAGTGTCGTGTCTCTACTAAAGGCTACGCCATTTCAGTAGCCTGGATCCGGGTATCATATGCAATGCAAAATTCCATGCAGTTTCCCCATTTGAAAATGCAAGTCCTACACAAATGAATGCAATAATTCGTGTGTGTCGTGTTCGTGTGTCTCATTTAGATGACATATGCCCGCTGTGGTGACTCACGTCTATCCGAAAACCCTCCCCAGATCCATCAGCAAAGTCCCCCACAGAAAAACCGTCTCTGCTTTTCGAATATTCCTTTCATGGTTTGAAAATGCTCAAACATGTGCATAGCTTGAGATAGAGCGAAAAAATTAATGCGGTCGGAAGGTTCCTGGGCCGGAGGGGTGCGTACTGGAAATCCTCCATGCGTCTTCGTCCAAAGGCAAGTCCGCTAAGATAGCAGTAATCAGGTCACAAACGGCATGATGACGACATTTATCTCTTCATCTTTGCTTCAGCTTCTTCTAAAAGCTCCAGTATGACGGCTTGTGTCGAAGGTCCTGGGCCCTCAATGTCATCCCAAGGCATAGCGCGGCGTCTTTTAGTCTTGACTTGTAGTGGTTTTGATGGCTCTGCTTTCGAGGCAGCAGTCGAATTTGGTTTCGTAGCGACTATGGGGGTAGCCGACTGGTTGTTGGTGGATGGATTTGCCACTTTTGTCTGACGCCGTGGCTCTTGAACGTTTTGTGGCAGCGGACGTTTCATGGGAGTGACCTTGGTGTCTTTCAAAAAAGTATGTGAGTTCTTGTTTTTAGATGCGGTAGATCCCTTTGAAGTCTTTTCCTGAAATGGTTGATTACTAGATGCTGCTAGGGGAGGTTTCGGTACTTGTTTCATTGTTGTTGAACAGCTTTGACCAGAAGCTACCATCTCGGCCTCGACTTGTTCAGCAAAGGCTATCATCTCAGAGTCGTCAATCTCGTTGAATACGGCACTGAAGCTTTCGTTCAATACCGATGGTACAGGTTCCGTCGTAAGGTCATCGCTGAGGGGAGTTGTATGCTTCGGTTTATCCTTGACAGCAAACCCTGGATGTGAAAGCTCGATCGTAGAAGTTGTATGTCCATTGGAAGGCGTAGATGGCAAAATTTCTGTATTTGTGTCCTTGAATGGAGAGATGGAAACAGCATTTTCATTGGGCGCAGTGGTTTGACCATCACAGAGCAGCAAGAATTCGTTATCATCAATGCCATCAGTGAAATCTTCCTCAACACGACGGTTATTCTCAGCAATGGCCGATTTATGACCCACCGTTTCCAGTCCTTTATGATATTGAGGTGCTGCAGGAATCAATGAATGCCTTCCAGCACGTGGTAGGTGTTTCGTGCCGTCATTTCTTTTCGTTGGAGTAGAGTTGATGGATTTGGTCACCTTGATGCTCGGCAGAGAAGTGTGCAAATGATTTTGCAATGTTGTAGATTTATTTACTGTGGTTAGGCTCTTCTGTGGTTCTAGAACCTTTGGATAATTTGCTGAAGTAGGCGAGGCGTGGGGGAAACGTCCAGCCCTTGAATTTATTTGTGACGAACGCTGCTCTTGGAGAGGTGATGATAATCGAGGGCGCTGCCTGGGATGGTTTAATGACTGTCTTGCATCGAGAGACTTTGTGATCGAGACTGCTTGTGAGGGTGGCTCCAAGGCTGGAAGGGCATCTGGTGCACCAATGTCTTGTTGCGCACCGATCTCTTCCGTCATCTCCACCCGCTCCCTACTATCAGCGTCGTCCTCAGTTTCAGACTGCAATCCATCCCAAATGCCATCCGGCGCGTCATCTCCAGAGTTTACGGCAGTGTTGCGAGACAGACGCGAAGGTGGCGGATGCTTTGTCCGTGGTTGGGCAAAGAACTTATTCAATCGTGGTTGACTGGCAGCCACTTTACCCCAAGTGTCTTCAATGGTGATGCGTCCTTCATCCAGCATCTTCTGCTTGACAGCGCGGTCTCTGTCTGCTTTCTCTTCCCGTTTGCGTTTGTTGTCCTTTTTGGTCCTCTCCTTGTCCAAAGCTTTCCGGCGTTTTTCTTCTTGTGCGTCCTGGCGATCAGCGCGTGCCATCTGTGAAGCAGTGTACCGGAAGCCAGTGTCATCTTTCTTGTGAGCCCGTTTAGCCTCCTTCAGGGTCATAGGAGGCTTGACGGGCCGTGGCATGATGGAGGAGGTGGGAAGAGACGGTTCATAGAAGAAGGCTTTAGTCTTGCAAGGGTTGTCGCTTCGTCAAATCGATGGGTGGCTTGTGGTCTGGATTTGTGGCTTGAAGAACTCGGATGCACTGCAATGCACGTCATAGTAAATATTGGAGTAAATATTGCAGACGCGACGCGCGCCACACTTGCCTGCGCCATATATACGCCACATGCAGTGCGGGACAATGCCGGATGAACTTGCGACGTAGTGGGGCTTCACAGAAGACCAACTCCGACAATGAGGTCCTCTTGGAAAATGAATGTAATTCTCGAATTGAATGGAGGACTCAAAACCAAGATTCATCTTTGCATTTCCTGCATCTAGAATTCCTAACCCACAACGAACACTTGATTTTTCGCATCTCCAATCATAATACATCATGCGTCTCGTCAAACGACACATCGACAATGACGGAAGTGGCAATGTCACTCTTTGTCCGGAGGAGCCAGAAGATATGGTAAGTGACATATCCCCGTCAAAAAGAGGAAGTATCTAAACGGTTGATAGTGGCATGCTTACAACCTGATTCGACCGACAGATCTTCTGACGGCGTCTGCGGTCCGTAGGGTCACAAATGAATCTTCGTCCACAGGCTCGACGTCGTCACAGAGAGTACATACAAATCTCACCATTCGAGTCAAATCGTTAGACTTTGATCCACAAGCCGGTCAATTGCATGTATCCGGGCAGATTGCGAGGGAGAATCGCTTCACTAAAATTGGGCAATTCCACACCCTTGATCTTGAATTACAGCGCAACTTTACCCTGACGAAAGAAGTTGAGGGCGACCATGGAGGCGAAGGTTGGGACAGTGTCGCTCGTGCTCAATTAGATGAGGCTGTTGATCCCACAAGAGGGACCGAGGCTGTGGCTGTCGTTATGCAAGAAGGGTTGGCCAACATCTGCTTCATCACTCAGTTCCAGACTGTCTTGCGACAAAGAGTGGAAGTCTCCGTCCCTCGCAAACGTGCAGGAGCAGGAAGATCTGCTGATCACGACAAGGGTCTGGCCAAGTTCTTTTCTACAGTTCTTGACACATTGATGAGACAATTGGAGGGTCTGCTAGAGGGGAAAGACAGCAGCGCCAATTTCCCCATATTACTTGCCAGTCCAGGCTTCACCGCACCTGGATTTCTGAAACAGATCAACGAGACTGCCGTCACGTCAGGGAACAAACTACTGCAAGATCTCGTCAAGCGGAAAGCCTTCGTCCTCATTCACAGCAGTTCTGGTCATTTACATAGCCTCAATGAGGTACTGAAAAGCCCAGAGGTATTGGTGAGGTTGAAAGACACGAAATATGCTCGAGAAACCTCCCTCATGGATGATTTCTTTGCCCTGTTACGGAAGGACGATGGAAGAGCATGGTATGGACCGAAAGAAGTCGAAACAGCTGTGGATAAAGGAGCAGTAGGCAGAGGCGGCGGAGTACTTCTCATCAGCAATGCACTCTTCCGCAGTCAAGATATTGCCACGAGACGGAGATGGGTTCGTCTGGTTGACCAGATTCGGGAAGTCGAAGGCGGAGAGGTCAGAGTACTGAGCAGTGATCATGAGAGTGGTAGAAGACTTGAGGGGCTCGGTGGTATAGCAGCCATCCTGACGTTTCCCATAGAGGAGATGGACTCTGATGGGGACGATTCTGAGGCCCTCGGGGATGGTAGTGAAGAATCGTGATGTTCTTCATGAGAGCCGTTGCATCGTTAGATTATACGTTATTACGTCTGACTATGTTGAAAGACTCAGCAGAACAGAATGACGAAGATTCAAAGCTAAGGAGTACCGAGGATGAGTACGGATATGGACGTTGAAATTGAAAGCCCGAGCCTTGTTGAACGCCTCGGTGCAATGTCACTGGGATGTCCCGGTCGTTCAGGCGAATGCCAGCGGTGAACTCGGGGAGGATTCGAGCTATGATATCATCGCTTAATCGCTTACTCTGGGCCTTTGGCAGGAGGGACTCCCCACCTGATCTCGTGGTCTACCTCATAATCCTGATCGTGCAAACCCAAGTCTGCATTTGTGTTCGATGTCAATGTCGAATGCCGAGAGAACAACCTTCAATTAATAAATTTGTAAAGCCTAAAAAATGTGATCCCGTCACCTAGGAGATCAGCCACGATGATTTGACGAATTGAGCACAGTACTCCGTATCATGGCTGAAAGTGGAACTATTTTCACCATCAAGTGACTACTCAGAGTTAGTGGGCGGAGGTAGCAGTGGCCGACACCTATCAGGCCCCGAGAGGAACGCGTTACAGCCTCCACTCAGTGATCTTGGGGCTTGCCTCAGCTGCAAGAGAATCGGTCTAGCACGCAACTAGCGGGCTCCAGCCACCAGACTTGAACCACAAAATCGAATTGCAGGTGCTGACTTGGACAAGGGCCGCCCACCGCGAACCGCCCACTGAGCACTGGAGCTTCTCTGCCAACTTGCCCACTGGCTTCCCACCCACCATTCGAACACCCACTTTGCTTGCATCTTGCATCTCCAAGCATCCATTACCTGCCACCTGACGAAGCCAATTCACCCTCACAACAATCTCCATCTTCAAACTCGAATTTGCGCTGCGACCGTTCTCACATCTTTTGCATTCTTCACTCAGTTTCCTGGTGTTATACTAGATTCCTCGGTCCCGCACTGATTGTTCAGCTGTGACTTGCCCACCAAAAGCTCAATCTGTGCCCAAGCTTTTCTTGAGAGCTGTCGTCTGCCTGCGCATTACGCCATCGGCTCATTCCTACTGAACTCTGCCTACCTCGTCAATTCTGAGACCTTTCAACCCCAAGTGACAGCCATGGGTTCTTTCGTGTTCAAATGGTGAGTGCCTTCTTGTTCGTGGCTCATGGCTGTACGCCCGCCGTCAACTCAATCCGCGCGTTTCGCAATCTTGTTTCTAACCGTTAACTGACAGGCCGCACCCGAACGCCAATGATGTCCACGTTACCGGTACCTTCGATGACTGGTCCAAGAGTGAGCAATTGAACAAGGTCGGCGACACCTGGGAGAAAGAGGTCGACCTGTCTGAAGCAGACAAGAAAATACTATACAAGTTCGTGGTCGACGACATCTGGACCATTGATACCACCGCACCTCAAGAGGACGATGGTCATGGTAACCTCAACAATGTTCTCTATCCCGACCAAATAAAGTCCAAGGCAGCCGTTGTGCCCGAAGCTGTAACAACCTCTAGTGCCGCACCCACCAGCACAACCGCCGCCTTGGCCGGTGCCGTTCCCCTGGAATCAAGCAAAGAGGCATCAGAAGGTAAGCACGCTATATTGTTTCCGAGGGAGTACCTCGACTAACCAGGTTCTCTCTTTCAGTGTCTCCAGCAGGCGACTCCACTCTCACAAAACAAAGCAGCCCACCAGGCGCGTTTCCAGAGACTCCCCTCAACGAGCCAGATTCCTTTGGCGTCAATCCTCTCCCAGCTACCAGTGGGGATTCCAACCCTGTCAATGTACCGGCTGGCGAGAAACTCCCTCCGACATCAGATGTGACAGCAAACACCATTGGGTCCAAGGTCACGACGTCGCAGGAGGACTATGAGAAGGCAGGGGAGGAACCACAAGCATTTGGCGTCAGTCCCCTCCCAGCAACTAGCGGAGACTCAAACCCAATCAATGTGCCCGCTGGTGAGAAGCTTCCTCCCACATCGGATGTGACTGCAAGCACCATTGGCTCGAATGTTACAACATCAAAAGAAGATTATGAAAAGGCTGGACAAGAGCCCGAATCATTCAGTGTCAATCCTCTGCCGGCAACCGCTGGGCCAGGCAACCCTGTCAATGTTCCAGCAGGAGAGAAGCTGCCTGGACAAGACCAGATCACTTCCCAAAGTATTCACTCCAGCGTCACCACTTCTCAGGAAGACTACAACAAGGCAGGCTCCGGCATACCATTCCTTACCGGTGCGCTCGCGGCTGTGGGCCTTGGAGGAGCAGGAGCAGCAGCCTTGGGTTCAAGCAAGAAAGAGGAGAGCTTGATTCCTGAATCGTCACTTCCCATGGGTGAAGATGCTGGCAAAACTCTCGATGCAGGACCACACATCAGCTCGGCTGCACCGACTTCGACCACGGCCGATCTAGCTGGTCAGGTGCCTTTGGAAGAACGAAAGGAAGCTTCCGTTGCTGATGGTCCATCCATCAGCTCAGCTGCGCCAGATTCCACCACGGCCGGCCTGGCTGGAAGTGTACCTCTTGAGAAAGCCAAGGAAGCCATCAGCGACGATCCACGAGCTACCACTGAGACTGTTCCAGAAGTGGTCAAGGAGTCGATTGCGGCGGCCCATGTGCCTGCTGAGGCGACGACGTCGGCTGAAGCTGTCAAGGAAAAGGCCGAAGTTGAGCAAGAATTATTGAAGCACGTGCCTAGCACGAATGAGGCCGGTGAGCCTGCGCCCACCATTGCGGCGGCGACCTCTGAGACGGCGCCCACAGCAACATCTGCCACTTCAAGTTCCCCAACTGCTCCTGCGGCCACTCTGGGCACAAGCTCCAGCGCCGCGGCAGCCATTGCCGACGGTACCGAGGCCACCGAAACTCCTGCATCATTGCCCCATGCGGCGGCACCAGTAGAGAAGACGGAAGGCGATAGCACCGAGTACGCTCCTCCACATGCATCAGGATCTGCTCCTGGGGTATCTCCATCGGCTGCAGCAGCCTTGTCGGATGGAACTGAAGATCCTACTTTGCTTGACGAGCCTGCGGTACAGTACCTGCAGCAAAATGACGCAGCCAAAGCCGCCGAGACCACCACCCCAGCCTCAGCCCCAGCGGAAACCAAGGCCAGCGAACCTGTTGTTGCTGCCAGCGCTACCGAAACACCCAAGGAAGCAGCCAAAGCAGAAACCGCTGCAGCTCCCGAGGCCAAAAAGGAGACAGCGGCAACACCCGCGTCAGCATCAACACCCAAAAAGGCCGCGACGACTACACCGACGACCAGCCCTGCGACAGGATCGGCCACGAAGGAAAAGAAGAAGAAGCACCGAATCAGCGCACTATTCAAGAAGATCTTTGACTAAATGGGCCATGGACAATGAAGCAGGGAAACACAGACACCTGCAATAAAGAGGGATGAGAATTGGATGGGGAGTGCCTGGGCAAGGGCAAGGGCACGGGTGTGGTATTGTCCTTGCCAGGGGAGGTAGAAGTGGTGCATTGCGAAAGCACGGCAGGGCGCATTGCTTTGGTTTTTGGACAGCAGATGCGATGATTATGGAAATTTTCGTGTCTTGTAGATATCCCCCTTGAGTTTATGTTCGATTAGGAGAGGACCTTTTGGGTAATAATAATCGCATGAGTCGTGTTTCAAGAAAGTGGTTGCACAATAAGATGGTTTACGGAGGGGAGTAGCATTCTGAACGGGTATGCTGGCATGGTACGAATCAGCCTGTTTGGTACTCGTACCTCAGCTAATCGGTCCTTGACTTCCAGAATTGTTCTCGAAGCTCTGGAAGGGCGGCAAGCAGGAGGTGGGCTGATCAGGATCGGCCAGGGGAGCCCGCGAGTTCCAGCAAGTCCTACCAACTACTCCGTATCACCCCTCTTTTCACATGCTGGTTCAAATACCCCAGTGAGTGATAGAATGGTCTAGTATCCGTACCTCGTACGGGTGGAAGCTTGAGCAATGACATCGGCCAACTTGTAACCACTCGAGCTCGAGAAAAGCCCAGAGCTGGAAGCTTTGAAGCGCTGGTCCAAAGCTGGTGACCCGCCTCCTCATGTTTTCCCATCCCGTAGCCTCGAGTCATCTGTTGGTGGCGTCGCCAGGCCAATCATCAGCTGCATGGGCTCGCCTTGACCGCCAGAAGTTGAGAATATGACATAACTCGCGCCCCTGATCACTGGTTGTTTGGACCATGGGAGCCGGCTTGTTATGAGGGGTACAGCCTGGACATGGACATGACAGACAGTAAGTGAGTAGCTTTGCGATGGATGCTATGATGAGCTTCAGTCGACGCAGACAGCATAGCATGAATTGCAATTTCCAATAGGTAGACCGGAGTGTTTCTGACTTCTTTTATGCTCCTCATAAATATTCCTCTATCCTCACATCACCTGGGCACCCAACTCACTGTCTCCTGCGTAACAGAAACTCACAGGTACCCCGTGAACCCTGGAGCTCGGAGCTCGAAGCTTGGAGCTTGGAGCTTGCATCCCCTCCACCATCCTTGGACTCTCTTCCCTTTCCACAAGACTATTATTCACATCATTTCCCCTCTCTCTCCTACTACGAGTATTCATCTTCAAGTTGTCAACTCTCATCGGCCTCAGGCTCGGGATTTTCCTAGTCAAGATTCCCCAGCTCACACCTACCACCCATCTCGAACCTTCAATCAAAGTCACACCCGCATTCACATCTCTCGTCTTCCCCTCCATAGCGTCATCAACGAGTCAAACCGCTTCCCTGTCCACTGAAGACCACTTATCTCTGCCCCACCCTGCCCACCAGGCCCTTGCTCCTTGCTCCGGTTCAACCTCTTTGGTCTCCACCGTACACTCACATCAAACCAGATGCTGGGATAGGCATCTCGCGAGTTCTCGATTCACGAACCAGAAACATCCCCATCACACAGACCACTCCTAAACGGATCGGTATCCGCCTCTAGCTTACCTGCTTCTGTTGCGGCTTGCCCACCTACTTGTTGCACCTTCTGCCACTGCCAGCGCCCTTTGCAACTGCCCTCGCAGCCCAGCGGCCTAGCCCACTGCATCCAAAACAAGCCGCTTCCGAGTCCCCATTCCAACATCCCCCACATCTCAACCCTCAAACCACTGCATACCAATGTCCCTCCCTGCTACTCACCAAGCTATCATTGACGACTTGATCAAAGACCTCAGCAAAGCAAACACCAACGACCCGCTTCAACACTGCGCGAATTATTTCAACCGTCAGCTCGAAGCCGAGCGCGCTGCTCAGTCTCCCGCCAAATCAGCCACCAACCAGACCAACGGCAAGATGGCTGATACTGCTGGTCCTTTTGACAAACGCAACCCCTTTGGTGCGAGCACAAACCCACAAAGCATAGAAGAGGAGGATGAAGAACGCGATAGCTTCGGTTCTCCCACCAATGCCACCTTCAAGTCTCCTCGTGGAGCCGACCGTTCTTCACCTTTTGGTGCCTCTCCCTTTGGTGCGGCCGCAGGTGGTGCGGCCGCTGGAGGTTTGTTTGGCAACTGGCTAGGCTCCAGTGCCAGTGATGAGACCGACAACTCTGCACAGCAAGCTCCTGCGAACTATGCCGCCGGTCGTAGAACCTCAGTCTCTGCCGAGTCCATGCAGCCAGATGCCGACTCGGGCAATTGGAAGCCACCAAAACACCACAAGACACCCGACCAGCTGGAACGTCTCAGGCATGCCGTGGCCGGCAATTTCTTGTTTTCCAGTCTGGATGAAGAATCCTTCACCTTGGTCTTGGACGCCTTGGTGGAGAAATCCATCCCGGCACCCAACATCAAAGTCATCACTCAGGGCGATGAAGGCGATTTCTTCTACGTCATTGAGTCGGGCGATTTCGACGTCTACATCAATCCTAGTGGAGCTGTCGAAGCTGGCCCTGACGGTCTCGGCAACAAAGTAGCCAGCATTGGACCAGGCGGCAGCTTTGGTGAATTGGCCCTGATGTACAACGCACCTCGAGCTGCGACCATTGTTAGCTCAAGCAAAGGCGGTCTTCTATGGGCGTTGGATCGCATCACCTTCCGCCGCATTCTGATGGACAATGCCTCTCAGAAGCGAAAAATGTACGAAGGCTTCCTAGAAGAAGTCCCACTGCTCTCAACTCTCAAGCCTTACGAGCGCGCCAAGATTGCAGATGCATTGGAGACAGTCAAGTTTTCTGCTGGCGAGAACATCATCACAGAAGGAGAGCCTGGTGATGCATTCTATCTGCTCGAGGCAGGAGAAGCATCGGCATACAAGCATGGAGTGGACAAGTCTGTCAAAGAGTATCATCGTGGTGACTTCTTTGGTGAATTGGCCTTGTTGGACGACAAGCCTCGTGCAGCTAGCGTGGTGGCCAAGACCAACATCAAGGTTGCTAAATTAGGCAGGGATGGATTCAAGCGACTACTGGGTCCTGTTGAAGGCATTATGAGACGTGAAGAATATGATGCCGGACTAGATCCCTTGAGCAAGCAGAAGACAGTGACTTAGTTTTAACATAAAGTTTGGGGGCCAAGCGACAGAGGAATCATGCAATCAGAAAAGATGAAGTTACCGACCAGGCAGGATGGACTGATGGGAGAAAGAAATGGAAAAAAACCCAATGCACGGAAATGCCATGAAATGATCAGGAAAGAAAGATTAGGGATACCAGAGATACGAGTACGAGTATTGATTGCACTTCGATTCCAATTGTTAGGGAGGGTGTTGGGAGGGTTTCGTGTTGGGTTCCACGCCACAAAGCAGACGATATGCCGATTGCATCCAACGTGGTCCTGAGCCAGCGGTACATTGAGATGTCCCTGGAGAGCTAGGAAAATAGCTGGCAGACCCTAAGGAAAAGCCTTTGGGTATCGATATCAACTGCATAGTTTTGTTACCCAGTAAAGGTCAGGAGTCGATAGGTAGCTTCCCTAGGTACCTGAGCTAAGCAGCTTGTATTGCTAGAATCTACAACGTTCCTGCTGTGAGGATTCACGTGTGTGCATAACCATGCGTAGTGCTTCACTCGGTCCCTAGTTGGATTAGCAGATTGAATAGACCCATTGATGCAGAGCAGATCGACAACTCCCCAGCTCTAAACAGCACAAATATACCTAGATAGGTAGTCTAAGTTCCTCCAATTGTACACCAAGGTTCCATGCCACTCCATCTCACGTAAACAGGACTCAAGAGCCCGCCTACCAAATCCAGAGTATGGAGTAGAGATCTGACATGTCAAGCTCCACAGGTGAAGTCCTCGTTGATCAAATTGCGATAATCAACCAATGAAGGACCTTTCCCTCTGATTGTATCCCTCCCCAACCGATGGTCCCTGGAATTACCTAGGTACATTATGTCTTGATTACAATGTCAATCATATTATTTCAGTGCGCTTCTGAGACTTTATTTGATGGGCCTAGACCCAGGGACTCGATTTTGGGACTTTTGAGAGTGGAACATGTGAGATCTTACCACCAGGGAGACGAGGCGACCGTAGGCGTACATATATCAAAGACCGAGCTGCTGCTGAAGTCAGGCGTGACAGCCCTATTCCTTCTTCTACTTCTTTACATCGACCTACTTACATAACACATCCAACTTTCTCTTTCATCCCTCTTGACTGCAACTTCCCATTCTGGACCACGATTTATCTGATGGTCAATGAAACAGTCCAGGTCCTGGAGTCTACGTGCAGGGATTCGTCGCACCTTGTCCACAATGACTCTCTACAACGCCGCGGCGTATTTTCGGTCGTACATGCCCAAAAGCTACAATGTACGAACAACAAAGCCAAGGGTGCTTGCCGTCTCTTCCACATCTCCGCACCTATGCCACGCTGTGATGGGCAAGATACCAATACCATTGATTACTGAACATCCATTTCTCCAAGCATTCACCACAGATGCATCAACGTGACTCGGTGAGTTCATGTCATGATTGATTAGTAGGTCGGTAGGTTGCCGGTCTCGAAAAGCAGCAAGATCGTTTCTTGGTTTAGCTCTGGAAGCCACCGACGCATTCGCTACTGCAACCCAACATTCAAGTAATCAAGCTTGGACTTCGACCCCTGGGAGCCTCAACATGAAGTTGACTTGCTTCCTCTTCCAGCACCGCTCATGCCGTTTTACACGTCTGTTTATTCAGCCGCGAGGTATGATTTGGGAGTCGATCTGATGGAACTCGGCTCCTATCCACCACCAGATCAACCCAAACCCCAAGCCTTCCCCATGGCATTTACGGTTTAGGTTTGATGCTCGATCCGCGACTCCACCCAATTGCCGTCGCCCGAGGCTTCCAGCACCGTTTTTAACCTTCACGTCAAGATTTAAATGATCACTAAACATCAAACAATCCACGAATACGGCCGCTACCCACGCTCCCCCATTTCCAGTGCTGTGGTAGGGGTGAAATTCAATGTCCTTCACTCACCCAAGAAACGGAGTGGAGGCAACTGATTTGTTTCTTTCCATTCGAAAGACGTGCTGTGTTACATTTGGACCTGTTCAGGCACATGTCTGTCACAAGTTTGAAGCATTGATTCATTCAGGAGATGGGAAGCGGCAAGTTTTGGCTTTCTAATACTGTCGTTCGATAAGGCGAAAAGCCCGTTGCTCCCGTTTCGTCATGTTCCTGCTATAATATAAAGCTTTCTTGCTTGGCTCTTGCTGCTCGGCTCTCTGGTGTCTAACTACCTAGGTTTCTTCAACGACCCGAATCTCTAGTATCGTTGTCGGGATTACGACCGTTGGTCGGTTCGGCTATCAAAGTTACAACAGAGTCTGCGGCATCAATACTACATCTTTCGAAACCTATCAATATTCCCGACTCTCCACGGTTTCTCACTGGGGACAATGCAGCCAACACCCTATGAGTCTGATGCAGACACCGAAAAGATGTCCGTAGAAACAGATTCCACATCTGCGCACTCCGTACCTCTTCCGCCCATAGAGACGACGCAACTCGATATCGAGAAGACCGCCAGTCGAGGAACACAAGGCTCAAAACAACCAGGTCCACCTTTGACCCGTGTCATCACATCTGCATATGACTGGACTGGCAATGATGACCCTGACAATCCATTGAACTGGTCGACGGGCTCGAAGATATATCATACTATTGTCCCTGGGCTGCAAGCCTTCGTCATCACTTTTGGATCATCCGTTTATGCCCCTAGTGAGTGGCTTTCCGTAACTTCTCCATGCAGATAAAGCCTTGTTGATCACTGATACGCTTCTCCCATCACAGGCGTCCCAGATGTCTCCAAGCATTTCGGTGTTAGCACGACGGTAGCGTTGTTGCCCCTGACAGTGTATGTGCTGGGACTAGGATTTGGACCTACAATCTCCGCACCGATATCAGAAACCTTCGGACGCCGTGCGGTATATATGTTCTTCTTCCCCCCTTCTTTGCTGTTCACAATGGGAGCTGGATTCTCCAATAACTTCGCTGGACTGGTGATATGTCGATTCCTGGCAGGCACAATCGGTTCAGGTACGCTGGCAGTTGGGGCGGGATCAAATTCCGATCTATGGGCCCCAATACACCGGGCAGTCGCCAGCTCCATTTTTCTCATGTCCCCATTCCTCGGCCCGGCTCTTGGTCCGGCTCTGGGCGGCTACGTCGCCATGAAGGAGAACTGGCGGTGGACGCAATGGCTGATCCTCTTCTGGGGAGTCGTCTCCTACGCCGTCACCATCCCACACAAGGAGACGTACAAGCGAATCATCCTCGAAAAGCGGGCGAAGAAACTCAACATTCAAGGTCCACCATCACTTGTACCTCCTGGAATGAGCAAGATGCGGTTCATTGTCGTGGTGACCATCGCTCGCCCGTTGAGAATGCTCTTCACCGAGTCCATCGTTGCCTTCTTCTCCCTCTACACCGCCTTCAACTTTAGCGTGTTGTTCGGCTTCTTCGCCGCCTTCCCCATCGTCTTCCGCTCTCCATATCCCGAAATCCAAATCTACCATTTCAACGCCGGCGAGGGCGGCCTCGTATTCCTCGCCATCGGGATCGGCGTCCTTCTCGGCACTTTGATCGCCATCCTCATTGACCAGATGATCTATCGTAAGAAGACCTTGAAAAGACAAGCTCAGGGTGACTTCACTCCATTGTTACCGGAGGAGAGACTCTACGCGGCGATGATAGGCTCGTGCCTCCTCCCCATTGGTCTCTTCTGGTTTGCATGGACGTCACGTTCGGACATCCATTGGATCGTGCCCATTCTCGGCACGATTCCCTTCGGCATCGGCAATTTCCTTGTCTTCTGTGCTTGTGTGCTGTACCTCATCGACACTTACGGCCCCTTGGCGGGCGCGAGTGCCGCGGCTGCGAACGGTCTCTTACGATATGTGCTTGGTGCGGTCTTTCCGCTGTTCACTGTTCAAATGTATGTCCTGAATTCCCCCCTTTTCATTGCTTGGCCCTAGAAAGAAACAGATGTTGACCACTCTTGCAGGTACCGAGCCATGGGCGTCGGTTGGGCCACAAGCTTACTCGGATTCGTGACTGTCGCTTTGCTGCCCATCCCATGGGTTCTGTACAAATATGGCCCAACGATTCGAAAGCGCAGTGCTTTTGCGCCGACCAAGTGAAGCGTTTTCAATTGCATTGCATTCATCGGCAGGATCAAAGTCATTTGCTAGGCGTTTTGAGCGATGGAGTTCTGTTTTCCCACGTCATAGCATTTTTTCAAGGCGACTTGACATTGCCCAGTTTGGAGGGCTGAGAATCTCACATGGATGTGTGTTCATGGGGCGTCGACGCAGATATTGAAATGACGCCGGCTCTCGCAAGACGGCAATGCAGAAGAAGCATATGGCATTACCTTTTGGATTCTCACGTCGACCATCTCGAGAGCTGTGGAGATGATCGTCCTCTAGGTTTGGTTAGCAGTCCAAGTTGGAGACCCACTGTACAGAATCTATGAGTTGAACATCCATCTGCTCTCCCTTTGCATGACCCACTTGACTGCCTGCTCCCCTTCCTCCTACATAACTCACCTGACCGCTTGCGCACTGACCATTATTGAAGCCCTTTGATTTTCAGCCTGACAGGAAGAACTTCGCCGACACAAGATTGTTCCCCGATCAAGTCCACTGTCCACGGAACTATGGTCCTGCACATATCTAAAACGCCGCGGGTGCCTCATTGGGTTGTTTTTGATCGGTCGTTTACGATTCACCGTGATATTTCCTTTCCAAAGATATTCTCAGCCTTGCTGGCTGAGTTCCTTTCCTTCTCCAAAGCTCAATATATACCGGCGTCCAGGATGACATGAGTCGATGGGAGACGAAGTTGATGGCGAGGTGTTGCCTTGAATGGGTGTCCTGTCTAACTGTCATCGCGCCGGACAAGGAGAAATGTCTCTTCCTGGTTTCGATGTGGTACTACATGCTGAGAGGGGTTGAGCATCGCGTTTCCTGGGGAAGGAAGACATTCCCATCCCTCATGCAGGGCGTTGCAAATTTGTGGAGATAACAGTTGTCGGGAGGGACTAAAAATGCAGTGCAGTTTCGGATTAGGACGCGCTAGCATTCTGAGCAGTGGCAAATGACGAGTGAGCAAGCGGGTTTGGAAAGCTTGCCTGACTGACTGACTGACTGCTGGGAGGGACTAAAATTGCAGTGCAGCTACTAGTAGGATTTATAGCTGCAGGTGTCACTGTTATCCATCCAACCATGCACACAACCTCGCAGGGGTCTACAAAGGTGAAGGGTGACTGCTGGGAGGCACTAACATTGCAGTGCACCAACAGCAACCAGGCTGCCGCAGGGGAGGCTGGCTAGTTCTGGGACAAGATTGCTAGAAATACGCACGGGGACTGGGGGGAAAGTGACTGCTGAGGGGGACTAAAAATGCAGTGCAATTTCTGTGATCATCAGTACATCCCGCAAACTTGTTAAGAGAGGCTGACTGCTGGGAGAGACTTAAAATGCAGTGTACTAACTTCACATTAGGTCTAGCATTTGACAATCCTTGACTACGGGGAGGACCTAGAATCAGTGCAGACGTCCGGGGCGGTCATCTTTCAAGGCAGATGAATACATGTACGAAGCGACTTTGATGGAAGCACACGGCTGGGAGGGACTAAAAATGCGGTGCAGAAAAATAGGTACCAATAAACCACTGGTATCTTCATCACCGAGTGCAAACTAGGTAAGCATGCAGAGCTCGCTGGCCGCCAGAAGGGACTAAAATTGCAGTGCATGCAAACACGGCCCGTACCGGTTCAATCACTAGAGTAAATTATTGGCCGGACACGACTTCGGGGATAGCCCAAACCCTGCAGTGCGTTGCCTTCGCTTTCGAAACCGTTGGTCTGGCTCGTGTTCCCAGAGAACATCCTCGCTACGATTCGTGAACAATCGTCTTGGGCGCTAAATATGCACAGTATCAAATTTTTGAGGCGTCTTGGTAGTACAGAAATGACTGCTGGGAGGGACTAAAAATGCAGTGCAGACGTCGGACCTACGCTTTGGATGCACGAGCCAGAACTTTAGAGACCGGGCCTTATTTCAGCCTTGTAGGCAGACTCCTAGTGCTACACCGGGCCCACTGTCGGGATCGACTACTAAGTAGGGTACAGTTGTCACAGCGGTACTCCATAGCAGCGGAGAGAAGATGTCGAAATTGTAGCTTACAACGTTGAATAGTTACCCCTGCCCAGGCCGATGGCTTTATTCTTTCGATCGAGAGGATCTGTATCTGCTGACTCCTCAGAAGGAATGAACATCTCAATCTGACTGCGAAAATATAAACGCCGGCTGCCTAATATGCCAGCGCGCTGACAAAACCCTTGCTACTGCGAGGCTGTGAATATCTGCGGAGAAGGACTACTGGCAAAATCGCAGCGCAACATTTAGCCCTCTCACACCGCAAGCAATTGTCACTGAAATGCCCAATTGTCTACCTCGTCACCCCTTTATCGGGATCCACTGAATTGTGTCTGGGGAAAGAGGAAGATAAAATCGAGCAACAGTTGAACATATGATGCAGGAATACATTAAAGGAGATTGACATTCAAAGACTGAAAATGTACAAGGTATCTACAAATCAGAAATATGCTAACGTCTTGGTTCATCAAAGCATGAAACGGCACACGGTCTCTAGTTACGGGTCAGAGTACTGACGACTTATTTTCATTGATAGTATGAGACAGGATGATACTCTTGACCATGACCCATATGAACACTGCGCGTTGGGGACGAAGTCAAGGGGGGGGAAAGGGTACAGTACGAGTGAAGATGTTCTCATTACAAGGCTGAGATTGTGTGTCTTCGCTTCCACAATGGCTTCGTGCATCGTAACCTTGTTGCGACAACTCTCGAGGGGACTAAAAATGTAGTGTACGTCCTTCCGGAGGGATCCGTGATTCGAGGAGGAAAAAACAAGCGCAATGGCGAAACTGCTGCCTTGAGTACGTTTAGACAAGGATATCAAGGAGGCAAAAAACGTGTCCGACTACGAGGCGTTCTCCGATGCACGCCCGCAGAAGAAATCTTGCCGGGGGCGGTTGATTGTTAGGTGAGACTAAAAATGCAGTGCAAAGACATGTCCCAAATGTCGAGGGGTGAGGAAATGATATGCTGACGATTTCAATTCTCAGTGTGTTGCCTTTCAAGTTGCTCTCTGTCTCGCAGCCGTTCTTCATACTTAGTATTCATCAGCGAGTGAACCGATGCAATGAAAATCTAGATGCGTGATTCCTCTCTCTCCCTCTTATTGCGAGGGGCTAGTATTGTGCTACAGTTCAGCGGGATACGAGCACAATGCGACGTCCTCGTTACCCCTTTTCTGTGTGAAGGAATGCTCGCATGAGATATCTGGTCAAAAAGAAATTCTTGGAGAACTGTTTATCCTTGCTGCTAAAAGTCACTGGTTGGCTTATCACGAAATTTAATCAATCGAGAGCAATTGCAAGTAAACGCTAAGATTACAGTGCAGAATGAACCCCAGGATGTAACTAGGATGAGTCAGTTGTGACTAAGAGTCCAGGGGTCTCAGCCTCGTATTCTATTCATCTTACTCCATCGCGTAGTGGAATTGTAATCAGCCAACTTTGTATGTGAATCCAAATGCCATGTGAATGAGTTTCCAAATGATGCAGACGATGGGACATAGTATAGATTTTGTATCGGCTTTTGCATCACTTGGTCAAAACATGAACCTCCGGATTGAGTGGCCCTTGGAAGGATTGATCCTCCGGCTTGTTTTCAACTCTGCTTTCGAGGTGAATATCGATGGAGTTCTGGAACCATTGGCTACCAGATGGTTCGAGTGGTGAATAGTATAGAAATGTTGCCACTACAGCCTCAACCTCCGGCCAGGTACGTTTGCCCATACTAATCGCATGCTGCGCAAGTTGCTCGTTGAACCAAGCTCGTGCGGGTTCAGGATTGAGGGTGCGCTGACGGTGCTCGGAAAAGGCCCCGGTGTACAGCGCATATAGTTTGGTCTCATTGTATTCGGTAGTACATTCTTCACTTGTGAGATGCCGACTCGCCGATGCCACACTGTCCCGGAGATGTTGGAGCAACAGACTCGTTCCGTCGAACAGAAGTCGCTCGTGCAAATGCACCTCTCTGCCACACAAGTACATCCAATAGAGAACACTCAGGGACAAGTGTTGCTGCAGGTGGATCTGTGTGAGGGAATGTTCTGCTGATGCATCCATGGTTTGATAAGTCAAGTATCTGTCAAGCATTCGACCAAAGTGGAGTCCGCCGATCATAAGAGCATGAAAGTAAACTAACTCCGGCTGGAGCACTGGTTCATCAGACTTCTCCAGCCATAGCTTTCCAGCTTTGCGCCTATCGAGTAACAATCGCTGTAATTCACTATCGATGGCGGCGTTGAATTCCTCTGAGACTTCTTGCATGAAAGCTGGTAGGCATTGCGACGCAAACTTCATGGCATCAGCCGTGGCCCGTGGCACCCAATTGTGGACATCAAATGAGGTTCTCTGCATGGTTGTCATAGCAATTTGTACATCAAGGTAGAAATCATTGGCCAATTGGACCAGCATCATCCGATTCAGGGGTTCGCGCTCGAGAAATTTCTCGAATTGACGCCTTAACCAACGCATATGGGCCCGAGCCCCCGTCATGTTGCCGACGTATATCTCTGCTTCGCAAGCGCTATTGATGTGCTCCATCGATGCGAAGTTCAGGAAGCTATCAGGCGCAGCCAGTTTACCTTTCAAGTAATGGATGCTTTTTAAGCGGCAAGCGGCTGCATAATCGAGATAGTGAGATGTAGTGGCAGTTCTGGAAGCAACAGCCGCAGCGGAAGCAACGAGTGCATAACTAACTGTGTCAGTTAAGCTGACCCGAGCATAGTTATCAGGAACCACTAACCTATGCCCTGGATCCTTGAGGCTCTCGACTTGGGTCTGCCATGTTTTGTCAACGATATCGTTTGTAAACCCGTTGGTCAAGTCCACGTGACATAGAGCCGTGAGTATGTCAGTTCTATAGAAAGATAGCATCGAGTTCACTTGTGGGGTGATCTCGACGGAGAACACACTAAAAGGGTCAGAGTTGCCATGTTGAAGAATGGTCAGGGGCGAAAACTGCCGTCGAACGACGCCGTGACAAGGATTTGATCGGTGACTACTATTCGTGGAAATGCTCGTAGATAGGATTGCATTACGAGTTTTCGAGTTATCGCAAATGGGATGTTGGCCGTTATCCGAACTGGATCTGAGAATTGCGCCAGGCACTTTGGCTGAGGCGGCCAATGACTGGTTGTCCTGCCGCTTCTTCCACTTGCGATACGAACCCTGTATATGTTGGAAGACATGCACACGATTCGGTGCAGCTTTCATATTCTGTGCATCGTGATTTACCCATGCAAGTTTGACTGCTGACGAGCCCACGTAAGCAGCCATCGTTACCTTCGAGGTTCAGCACCGGTAGGCAAGATATAAAATATCAATTCAGTGCGGTTTCGTGTTTAAAGATGCACAACTTTGACACCGACAATACAGGTGGTACAGCGAGATTTCCCCGCTTCTATTCTCCTAATTCCTGTTCTCCAATGAGATGAGGTTAGACGTTTTCTTTTTGTGGTAATTTTAGTCAGGATTGGTGTTGTCCAATTGCGTCAAACCGGCCAAGGACCTATATCATAGTATATTTATATTTTCGGAACTAACGTGGTTATTAGAGAATATCGGGCACGGGTGAACGGTCCGAGCCACCGCTATGATAGACCTTCCCGATGCTTATTTAGCGAGAATAGATGTGCTATATCTCTGTGCACGTGTATGCTTACAATCAGGACTTTTGAGCAAAAGGAAAGTTGCGCTTATCTGAATTCCGTTTTTCTCGGAGGCCGCTTACTACATAGATAGTCCCTCGAAGTCGTCCCACTGAGCGCAAATTCCATCAACGTCCTTCTTTTCAATGGTAGCTACGGCGACACCATCAGCACCAAACCTTAGAAAGCCATCATGCTTGTTATCTGCCCAACCAATTGTCTCCGGCCCAGCAACCGGGTCTTGCACAAATGCGAGTAAATGGTCCTGCATACTCTCACTAGTGGCAACCTCCAGCGTAGTGCTCGGTCCTCTGAAGTCAGAATGGCTGCCAAACAGCAACGGTAAATCAGAAGAATGGTATGCCCCCATCCATGGTAAGGGACTGATGTTGGAGAAGTTGCCGGTATACTGCCAACGATATGTCTTGAGTCCCGCTGCGTCCCTTAATGCGCTCCACATAGCAGCGGGACACTGAAAAGGACCAAGTGTGTTTTGCTCCGTGATCGTGCGGTTGACTTTCCATACTCCGTAAGGATTTGATGGCGAAGGTAGAGAAACGATAACTGGCCCGAATCCAGCACCTTCCTCTTTGCAAGATGTGAATAGCACGGGCCGGCCGGAAGAACGACCATTTACCAAGCGATCAGTATAGTTTGAAAACACGATGCGCTCATCGGACATAGGCCAGAAGCTTAAGCTGGGCTCGGCCAAGGTTTTGTTCTCACCATATCTGCCAACGAAATCTGTTATAGCCTGGAAATCGATTGAACGCATGCAGGACAGTTCAGTCTCTGGTGTAGAAGTGTCACAACCAAAGTGACGCGCTACAAACGTGAAATTTGTGTTCATAGTGTCGAGTGTTGGGGGAATGATGGAGACAGAGCCTGAGTCCATGAAGTAGGAAGTTACAATAGGATCGTCGGCATAGGCATAGTTGTGGATATCTGCAGAAGCTGCTCCTGCGGATTGGCCCTACAAAGTTTGTCAGTCACACATCAACTTTTCTGATACTGATTCGAAATGGATCTTGAGAAGGCGAGAGATACACTCACCCATAGCGTGATACGTCCTGGATCTCCACCAAAGGCCTCAATATTGTCTCGAACCCATTCAAGGCTGAAATGAAGTTGACTTAGTGTTTATACCTAGTCTTGAAAATAATTATACTTACGCAAGTCTCTGATCGAGAATGCCCAGGTTCTGGTCGTTTAACCCAGCGGCATAAGGAAATCTAAAAATGTTGACTCGATAGCTGGAACAGCAGTTAGCACGGACGCTCGGTCTTATAGTTTTGTTTGCCGACCTACTTAATGGTGACAACAATATGCTGCTGTGTCTTTTGTACCCAATGGTGCGGGAACTGATATGGAATGTCTATCCCACCCGAGCCGAAGCCGCCACCAGTCATAAAGAGGATGACTGGTAGTTTGCTTCCCTTGTCGGCACCTGTTGGAGTCCATAGAGCTAAGGAAAGACAGTCTTCAGATGTTTTGGCATACTGGTCGGTTTTCGTTGGAGCTGCAACGAGCTCAGGCACGATACCAGTGTAGACACCTGAGCTCCCATTCTATTGATCGCTCATTAGCTTTTACCAGTCTGGATTCAACGTTCAAGCTCAAGAGTATAAAGAGAGGAGAGTGCATAAAGAAACACTTGACTAGCTGTAGAGTAAGCAGGTCAAGTCTGCGAAGATATGGCTCTGTCGTTCGAGGCCTGAGACGAACTCTTCGATTCTCTCTGACATGATGTATCGAAGTTTTGATAAAGCATAGCACACGTTGATTGGGTCAATATCTCCCAGAATTTCTCTCGGACAACAACCACGAGATGCAGGTAAACTGGGAACAGTATAATCTTGCGAACAACGTACATATGGCGCGTATTGAGGACATGACGGCGGAAACTTCGTTGAATCAAACTTTGTCTCGGCGTGAGATGTCACCGCAACCGGAGGAAGCCAGCGACGTTCGCCCGCTGGTGGGAGACCAAATGGTATGTTGCGGAATTGGCGAACATCCGGTGCCACCTCATCGACGATGCCTGTGTATGCTCCAGTACTTGCAACCACATGCACAGTACCCTCCCATGAGTGTTTTACAGGGCTTGTCTTTATAGTGACCGGAAGGAGGAGCAGCGTGAAAGCCAACAGCGATATCATGATGGACCAAATGTGCTTCAGAGATACGATCTCCCTCATCTGAACCTTAATCCAGAGTGTACTTGAATATAGCCGGGTTGTTCCAGGATTGTTTCCTACCTTTGTAAGAACCGATATAGGTCGCATCATCTTTCGGCAAGTTCACGCATCCCGTTGGCAATTCCCGAATTATTCGCTGGCCAATTGACCGAGCGAAACGTCATATCCACCAGACCATGATCCACCGTCTTTGCCGGTTCTAATGGTACAAGGGAAGCGAGATGGAGAAGATGGGCAGATCCTTGCGCCATGGTCAAGACGGAGAACTAGTATGCATTACAAATGCGCTTCTGACCTGATCAATTAGCTGCGGAAAGCGACCATGGACACACGGTCTCAGAGAATATTGAGCTGGCAGTGGGCAATATCAATTCAAGTCCCCGAGCTTCGAAGCAGTGCGGGGTGCGTCTCGGGTGTGTCCGAAATTACATACGTGAGGCTCTGTCTCAATTCGGGGAACTCCCAAGGCACCCTAGAGTCCCGGAGTCCGATTTTTTGTCCTGCCAGTGGTGATGTGCGTGGGTTAATCACCTAACTCCTTAGATGAGCGATCCGAAATGCTCCTGCTTGATGCTCATACTGTCCGATGCTTTCACCTGGCTGGTCATCTTTGCGATTCCCCGCTTTCGACTTTGCAGCTGTTGGATATCTTCTTCCACTGTACCCTTGACAATATACCGCGTAACGTGGACAGCCTTGTGCTGACCAATGCGAATAGTGCGACCTATAGCCTGAGCCTCCACACTTGGGTTCCATTGGGGTTCTAGCAGGAAGACTTGGTTGGCTGCGATGATGTTGAGGCCAAGGGCACCCACGCCTGTCGTCATGATGAGCACTCGAACTCGAGGATCCGTTTCAAACTGCTGCAGAGTGGTCTCTCTATGTTTCAAGGCATGCTCCCCATCAACCCGCATGTGTCGTATGTTGTGCTGATTTAGATGCCAACCGACCAGATCAAGGGTTGTTGTCCAGCAGGTAAATACAATGCTTTTGTCGTCCGGGGAGGTCTGGATTAAGTCTTGTACCAGTGCAGCTAGCTTCGATGAGAATCCCCCAGAGTTGAAGTAACCGTTGCCATCAATAGAGTGAGGGCCACTCATCACCATAGTTGACCTCCGCGTTGATGAGAAGTCTGCTGCACACAAAGGGCACCCATCGTTGGGGCTGGGGTTACATTCTGAACACAATACATGCTTACAAGCAGGAAGAAGATGAAGCGCTCGACTTGAGAGGATGCCAGGGACCATTTGTGTACAACCTGAGCAAAATATCTCCCCGTCACTTCCCGCAGCTGTTAGGACAAATTCTCTGGCATCACGAGAATTTCTGCTTCGAGCCCAGTGAAATTGACGCTGAAACGTTCCATGGTTGCAAATCAGCCTCAGCTGGAGTTGAGCATGGAACAAAGAGAACTTGTTTCGACTTTCGTAGTCTCCTGCTAAGTTACGCAATGCTCTGTTCATGTCGCTGCTGGTTTTGTCGTACTGAGCTCTTTCATTTGGAGATAGGGACACAGGGTGAATGGCTTCCGTAGAGCCAGCGAGTTTCAAGTGTTCCTTGGTCCGTCGTATGCACATTGCATCGAAAAGTCTTGCAAGAGCATGTTGTCCATCGGCTCTCATGCTACCCCCTTCTTTGAAAGGAACAGAAATGAATTTTCGAAAAACGCCCAGCCGGTCGAACGGGAATATTCTGATGAAAGCAAACAACGATCCAAGATCGTCAAGGGTATTCTGAATCGGCGTACCTGTGAGGCACCATCGAAACTTTGCGTCGAGTTCAGCTACTCGTTTGTGCAAAGAGGTAGTCATTCTCCGAATAAAGTGTGCTTCATCAAGGACGACGCGATACCATGCAACTTCATTTGCGATGGGTTTTTTCCTTGTGTAGTCAGCAATGAGAGTGTGATAGGTTGTTAACACAATGTCATTGTCAGCCATAATCTTGGGATCCTTAGGCCGCTCGTTGCCATGATGAATCAATACTTTCGGCGGGACATCCAGACGGTCTTTTATCTCACTTTGCCACGTGGACAACAGTAAAGGCGAAGGAACGACGACCAACGTCGCCCGGGACAGTATCTTCGTTGGGGAGATACCCTCTGCAAGGTGAACCCCGTCATCGTTTGACCACGAATGTGCATCTCTAAGTGTCCCAACCACCAGAGCAAGCACACAGAAAGTTTTCCCCATCCCCATCTCATCCGCCAGAATTCCACCTCCCACCTCTGATGGTAGTGATCGAGATTTGATCCCTGCAACTTTGTGGTGATACCAAGTCTCCGAATCCTGGATTACTGTTTCCCACAACTCGAAGCCATCTGGAATGGGTCCAGTTTCTCTTTGCATCATGAAATCCAGCGCTTTTCCTTGATGTTCGAACAGCGAAGTGCGAAGTCGAGCGTCTCCGGAGAGGCCCTTAAGATGTGAATCTCTCGTGAGCATAGAGTACACCTCATCCATAGATTGTTGTAAGTCGGCATTCTTCAGGAGTGCTTCGTCTTCGACAACAAGTGGATGACGTTCTTCTTCATTACCAGAGTCGAATTTGAGAGTATGTGGATTATCGTACTTGGTATTTGGACTCAGCCAATCCGGGCGCTGAAGCCAAATCTTCTCATTAGAGCACATATGACCAATTGTTGTCTGCACTAATGAGCTACCATAAACATTGATATTCAACACCGTATGTGCGTCCTTTTCCCTTGTAGCGGTAGAAATATCCCTAGACACGTCAAAATTTACTCACAGAGGATAGTGAATCAAGCACCGATACGAAAAAGCTTCGGCAGTGATCGACCAGATGCAACCAGACGTTGGTTTCAAAGTGGCATAAAACTGGTCGGAAACCCCCATAGAATATCGATACAGGCCGTCAAGGAATGTAGACTTACTCGAATATGTTCCTTTTGCTCACCAATGCCTCCAAGCGGATGGTCCCCGATCTGACTTCCTCAACTAGAGCATCTGCTAAATGCACATTGAGTCGAGCAAGGTGACTACCATCTGATAGCACAACCGAAAGCCCAGTATCGGTACAAATCACATTCAAGACAAAGTGAGTCTGCGCTTTAGTCGTGGCTACGGCGAGTTTACGACAGACCTCAGACATATTGCCCTCAAGCTTGGCTTTCGCTCGGTAGATCTGTGAGAATGATCAGTCAGAGTGGTAATTCTTCGAGGAACTGGACAAAACTGTGGATTGCTGCAAGTAGTTGCAGAGAACCTTTACCAGTGGCTTAAGTTGACAAAGGAGATCCTGGTGGCATTATTCATGGAGTTGCTCAACTCACCATTCCAAAGCATATGTCATGGCCTTGTCCATAATACTCAGTATTATCCGTTGACTGCGACAAAGGCTCAACTGGGCTGTAAGTCGAGAAAGTCCCAAAGGAATCTCCTGGCCAAGGTTGGAAGGCATCATCAATTGTGCTCATAGACGAAAAGGCCTGCTCGTCAGGAAATATTCCATCTCCTTCGGCAGCTTGAAGGCCACCCGCGTGGACACGCGGAACTCCAATCACTTCATCCCAGGCTGGACCCCAACCATCGATAGAATGGTCTGGCTGGTACAAGGTCTCATATGCGGGAGGAGACAGTGATGAATTCTGCGAAGATGGGATGGAGTCATATTGAAGTGAGGATGGTTGATCAATACTGTCGAACGAGCGCTTCAATGACGTCATGCTCCCTAGCGTCGTAGACGCACAAGGAGAGAAAACGGCCGGCGGGAAGGGAGGAAGGGCCGACGGTGGACTCAAAGTGAACCTCTGTGATGGTAGCTGGTTGATCAAGGCTCTACAGAAATGCAAGTATGATTTCCACACTGGTTCAAACTGCAAAAGAAATACACATAGTCAAACATCGTCAGTAAGGCTGTGAAGATTGCGGTCTAGAGGGCAGCGCGTGCGGCTGAATCCCAGCCTGCCCCCCTCCGGACTTGGTACGATGCTCCGCCTCTGCTAATCTGCCTTGGCTGGCTAGCCAAAGAATACGAGTTATTGCCTTGCGCCTTGCTTCTGTGTAAAGAATATTTCTGGCATGGTTACCGCCGTTGACTCATTGTCAGCCTATCAGTGGAGAGATTGATGTCCGAACTAATGCACACTTACGCATCCATTCACAACTACGAGTAGCTCTGTCCCTTCCACAATCCGCTGATCGAGACTGCTCTTGCAAAACAATGTTTGTTCGTGCTCACATCAGAGTGGCCTCCTTAACTTCTAGTTCGCTAGCTCTCAGCATTTTCGACTGCTCTAAGCCCAAGCAAACGGGGAGGTATCGAAATCAATATTGGCATTAAGACGCGTGCAAATAAGTTGCATATGCAATAATCTTTCCTCATTCAATTCTGGTGCGATCACATTCAGCCTCATCACTCGCCTCGATTGACAAAAGTCGAAGCGTCAACAAAAAGTGCACCAAGCTATCTGCTTTCGATCAAACTGCACGGAAAGGCAATGGCGAATTCAGCACAAAATACACAGGCAACACCAGATCCATTTCACACGGCGTTGAACGAATTGCTGGTCAAGTTCAAAAATCGTCTAACAGCTCGTGAACTGCAGAGGTTCAAGGGCACAACCCTCGAAGATGTGAAGGCTACGCTTGCAGACATCGAGAAGCGTCAAGACACGCAACGCGAGTTACGCAATCTAACCAGAATTCGGGGATTTCTGGACGCCATGGATCAATTTGGCAAAGTGATTGAAGTATTCCCAAATTCTTCCAATATGGTAGCGTTTGTCTGGGGTCCTCTCAAATTCCTTCTTCAGACGTCGAGTACCTGGGCAAGCTCGTTAGACCGAATACTTGATGCATATGAGCAAATTGGAGAAGCGCTTCCTTTGTTGACGCAATATAAATCCCTGTTTGAACAGCACCCGGAAATGCAAAGGGTTCTGGTCCTAATCTACAAGGATATATTGGAATTCCACGCACCAGCAATTCGCTTCTTCGATCATCCTGGTATGCTCGATTTGAATGCTCTTGTTTGTGCTCTTTGAGTTGATGTTTTTTATCTAGTTTGGCGCCAGCTTTTCAGGTCCATTTGGAATGATTTCAAAGCAAACTTTGACGGAATCCTGCAGAATTTTGGTCGACATAGACGGCTGATCGAATCCCAATTCGCCCTTTTACAAGCACGTCAGCACGAGGCTGATAGGATAGACACAGAAACACATCGCGCACATCTGAAGTCGGAGCTCAGTAGCCTCTCACGAGAATTGCATAGTGCGCAACGTTTACTTGAGCGAGCTGAGGAGGAACGTAAGCGCGAGCGGTTGTCTTCGATCAAAGAGTGGATAGGTGGCTCGAATCCCGGGGTAATTCATGCGGAAATGCTCAAGGTGAGGGATGATTATTCTGAAACTGGGAACTGGATCAAGAGCTCTTCAGAAGTATCGTGCTGGCTCAATGATGATATACCTCGATCATCGACGTTGTGGATGCATGGTATGCCAGGTGCGGGTAAGTGGTCCCCTGGCCGATGTCGAGTATAATCTAAGCCAAGCAGGCAAGAGTGTTCTGGCATCAATCATAATTGAAGCATGCAGAAAACAAGAAAACCACCGAACAGCATATTACTATTGCAGATCTGATGACATTAACACTTTGTCATCTCTTGCCATACTGAAAGGCATTCTGATACAGCAGCTTGCGTGGTATCCGCATCTGGCATCATATTTCCAGGAGCAACGTCAACAAAAGCCCGAGGTCACACTCAATATGGAGAGCACAGCAAGACAGATTTTCGAAACGATTGCTTGGGAGAGTGATCGTCAGTACATCATCATCGATGGCTTGGATGAATGTGAAAAAGAGGATCGAAAGATGATCATTTCCTTCCTTACATCTCTGATAACCAAAATTGATGCCAAGATTCCTTCCAAACTTCGACTACTTATTATCAGCCAAACAGAGCCCGACATCAGAAGACTAGTTGAACGAGCAAGAGAGTTCGAGCTTAAAGCAAACCACAATGCACAAGACATCGGCTCGTTTGTCCACACATGGATGGCGAGACTCAACAACAAGTTTGGCCTTCCGGAAGTAACCGTCACCGCGCTTGAGCAAAGAACATGCAGTCTTGCAAAAGGTTTGAGACCTTCTCCAAGATAGTCCCAAATGTTAACACTCCAAAGGTCAATTCTTATTTGCCAAACTGGTCATGGAGAACCTATTCAGCCAACCAACACGAGACGAATTGTATGACGAATTGGAAGAGACTAACTTCCCCAAAGAATTATCCCAAGCGTAAGTCAAGCTATATGATCATTACACTCTCCGAAGTTGCGATTGCGAACTCTAAGTTGCACCAATCTCGGCACCTGAACGGCCATACAAAGCTCTAACATGCTAAAAATTACACAGATATGATCGAATTTTTGAACGCATGAAAAGGGATCTCAGCAAGAAAGAGTGGAAAGTAGCGATAAGACTTCTTGGATGGATTACATGCGCCGAAAGAACACTCAAGTGGCGCGAGATGCAAGCTGCGCTCTCCATATCTCCTGACCAAGGTGTCGTTGATTTTGACGGTAGGCAAGCCCGAGAACATATCCATAACTTATGTGGGGCACTAGTTAGTGTGAACGGTGAGCGAGTAATGCTCGTGCATGCTACGGCAAAATGGTATGTGGACCCCTTTTGGCCCTCAAACTCTTTCGGCTTTTCATTGCAAAGGCGATTCCGTATAACTGACTGCTGTCTCACACATTCGGAAAGTGCTCCTTGCTAACCGTAGGCTCGGTACAGGCACATCTTGAAATCGAGTCGTATTGACATCACGGACATCGAATTCCAGCTTGCAACCCTATGCTTACAATATCTTTGTTTTCAATGCTTCAATGTTGTTGGGAACAATACTGTTCCACAGTGGGAGCTTCACTCTTCCATTCTTGATGGGTCTTTCGGATTCATGGACTATGCAATTCCGAAGTGGATGGGCCACTTCGACCGTGTTTACAGCAAAGCAAGCTATCTATCAGACCCCAGTCAATTCGAACAACATGAGCTTGTAATGCAAGCCCTATGTGAAGCAGCACATGATTTTTGTATCACTTACTCTGGCGATCTTGATCTACATCGTGCAGAGACCAACAAACTTCAAGAGGGTGAGAATCTCAGCAAGCAATTTCAACAAGTGCTCGACCAATTTGAGGATAGCGAACCCAGCTTTCGGTCACTATGGAGTCACATGGTAGAACACCGCCAGCAAAGTTTCGTGAAGAGGAATGAGGTCAGTTTGAATCAGCTCAAAGTGGCAATGGATACAATTCGCTCGAATATCGAAGAAATGTCGAACAACAGGTCCTTGGCTAGAGAAACGCGCGAGAAATTGGAAAAGTTTTATGGATCGAGACCTTTCAAATGTCCGAAGACGACCTGCTTCTATTTCCACGAGGGTTTTCTCGATAAGAAGACGCGCGACCATCATGTACAGCGTCATGATAGGCCACATCACTGTGCTGTTCCTGATTGTACTGTCGCCGAAGCTGGTTTCGCCACCAAGAAACTTCTCGATCAGCACACCGAGAATTTCCACCTGGACCCAGAAGTGAAGGCCGGCATGTTCAAAGACATCAAGCCAGAGAAACCAAGCCATGCAAAGTTTGACTGCGGAAAATGTGGCAAGAGTTTCGTTCGAAGGTCAATACTGAAAGACCATGAGCTCACTCATGCCGGATTAAGACCTCATGAGTGCTCGCGGTGTGGAAAGGCCTTCACAAGAAAGAGTGACTGCACGCGGCATGAGAAGAATCATGATATTCGCAGGTGACCACTCTGGCCAAGAAGAAAGATCAATTCAGATGGAACAATTCAGTTGCGCCAGGTTGGAGAATTCCAGGCATCGACCGGATATCAGTCAAATCGCTGGACTCTGCTTGTACGACAAGAGACCATAGAGTTGGATTGTTAGTGGTATGACCTGTTGGCACTGTCATTACTCTGATATCAGCCTCTGCTTTCGCAGGTGATGAGCGGTAACTCATGGCTACATGATGATTGGCAGCCGCAAGACGCTTTGCAATAGCAGCACCCGGTCTTGCAAATGGCGCGGTGATTAAGCAGGGTCTTCGACCAGCCATGGTCTCAAACTTGTTGTGGTAAGGATCGAGGGACAACAGCAAAAGACGAACCATTAAAGCTCGGGATAGTTAACCGCCTAGGACAGACATCGAGCACATCGCTCAGGCTTAGGACGCGACCAAGTGAACGAGGCTGACCTATGCCATGCTCAGATTTCGTGTGCTGTCCTGCTCTTCTTGGTTGTGCAGGATGCTCAGCCGTTCTCCTTGTTGCTCTCCGCTACGGAGACAAGACTCCCCAGTTGATCAAGCGAAATGTACGTTCGCTGTCCATATCTTCGATCTAGTGCGTTAGTATTTGACCTTCTTCAAGTCTTCTCACGTGCTCGGGGATGTGATTAGGGAGTGAAAAGAGGTTGGGATATACTACCCACAAATGGAAGCTAGTTTTTAATTCGAGAATAAACTAACCCCTTGTGAGTTGGGGCATGGGGAAGAGGCTTCTCAAACCCGTGGAGCCCCGATAGCCCCGATATTCTTAACGGATTGCTCCGTCAACCTAAACGGCCCAGCTCCGTGAACGTGACGCTTAGACGATGGATGTCATCTTCGATGTAGTAAGAAGAGGAGTTGGAGGTAGATCATGTCAAGCATACCAACACCGGTGAACTTGCCGCATGAACATCTCATGGCAACATCGTCTGGAGTGAATGCCGTGCAAACCATGCGCTGGATTTCCTGCTATGAAAGTGCAGCCAACCAGTCCGGACGCCGCTCCGACCGCGAAGGATCAGCCGGTATATATTCTTCAGAAGACAGTTGCCTACGACTTTATTCTTCTAGCCGAACTTCAAATACTTCTTATTTCTGGATCGTAGAACAAATCACAAGAATCACTTTGCACGAGTAACTGTTACGTCATGGCCCCTATCCATCTGAAAGCGAAGTCTCAATCAGAAGTAAACACCAATGGTGCCGGACTGGACGTTCCCACTATCGTCCGTACAGTGATTGATGACGTCCGTTCAAAAGGCGACAGTGCTGTTCGAGATTATTCACAGAAATTCGACAAATGGACACCTCAAGCTTTTAAACTATCCGCCGGAGAAATTAGCTCCATCATCGCTGGAGTGCCACAGCAAACGATTGATGACATCAAAACAGTGCAACATAATGTGCGTACTTTTGCAAATGCGCAGCGTGAGTCGTTGAAAGACTTTGAGATGGAGATTCGGCCTGGGGTGCATCTCGGCCAGAAGAATATTCCCATTGCATCTGTGGGAGCATATATTCCCGGCGGCCGCTATCCTCTTCTCGCTTCTGCACACATGACAATTGTGACTGCAAAGGCGGCTGGTGTTGAGCGCGTCATTGCTTGCACTCCACCCATTCGTGGCGAGATCCCTGCTGCGACGGTCGCTGCAGCCCATCTTGCTGGTGCGGACGAGATCTACATCCTTGGGGGCACCCAGGCAATTGCAGCTATGGCTCTGGGAACCGAAACCATCGGCAAAGTGGATTTTATTGCAGGGCCTGGTAATCCATTTGTCGCCGAAGCCAAACGACAGCTTTTCGGTGAGATTGGTATCGACTTGCCTGCCGGACCGACTGAAGTCTTGATCGTGGCTGATGAGAAAGCAGATCCGGCTACTGTGGCAACAGATCTGTTAAGTCAAGCTGAACATGGGCCAGATACCCCTGCAGTCTTGGTGACGAACTCGAAGAAGCTCGGTGAAGAGACCATCAAAGAAGTGGACCGACAATTGGCGATCCTCCCAACCAGAGACTTGGCTGGCGTGAGTTGGAAGACGTTTGGAGAGGTAATCGTGACCGATACTCTAGACGAGGCATTCGCTGTGGCAGATACATATGCGAGCGAACACGTGCAAATTCTGACTGAAGCCCCGAGGAAAGCCTTGACTGCAATGAAAAACTACGGCGCGCTGTTCTTGGGAGAGAAGACGTGTGTAAGCTACGGTGACAAGGTAAGGTGAAAGGTCGGAGTTATGATTTACCATCGGCTGACAGTCTTATTAGTGCATCGGGACTAATCATGTATTGCCAACCAAAGGCGCTGCACGATTCACAGGCGGCCTCTGGGTAGGCAAATACCTCAAGACCGTAACTTATCAAGAGGTGACATCGGAAAAGGAGAGTGGAGAGCTAGGTAAGCTATGTGGGAGAGCTGCAAGAGCAGAGCTCTTTGAAGGACATGCGAGATCTGGCGATGTCAGAGCAAACAAATATCTTGAAGAGAAATTTGAATGGCTTTCGTAGACAAATTGGAAATTTTCCGCGCCTGCCACTACACTGCATATTAAGTAATTAGCTCCTTCCGGGCATGATCTGTTACTTTTCTCAAAGTCAGATTGTAGATAATGAATCAGCGACGAAAGACTCCAAAATTCCAAGGCATCGTGGCTGTTGAGGGGGACGAGTTTCGCAAGGCTGAAATTCGAAAGGAGACTTCGGCGAAATATTCAATCATCCGTGCACCACAAAATCAGCGGGCCAACTATCGTCACTAACTGATTGATCACCAGAAGTATGCAGCCTAAGGTGTCTGTTGTAGTGCTAGTACTGTGCGATTCAGAATCGAAATCGTTGTGATGTAGTAAGGAAAATCTGTCGGACCAATATACCAAACCGAGAAGCATGCTTCCCTCGAAATACGAAGATGAAGGAATCTGCCTCACAAGCTGCCTTGTTCAGTCAGTTTTACAATCAGGCTATAACTGTGAGGACCACAAAAGACAAATACAAACCTCACGTCGAATGATGGGAAACTGTGCGCAGAGACAGATGGTGCATACTCTACTGGACTATCGTTGTCTCAGCTTGGAGGATCGAAGCACGAAGCAAGTCTTGGAGCCCAGTAGACACTAAAAATGCAGTGCAGTGCTCGCGGCAGCCATTCGGAGAGGAGGTCCTCGTGTACAGAGTGAGATTCGTCATGGCCAGCGGTTGCGTCTTTATTACTACTCGCATTTTATCATTGACCATGGCCCTTGAGCAGCAGTGCAGCAATAATTCATGACCATTCAGAGAGGAAATCAGAGGCCCCCATCGATCATTGGAAGGACCTCCAGCCAACCAGATACTCATGATGGAGGATGGAGCCTTCAATTGATCATTGGAAATGATACCCGACAGCAGTTGTGGAGATCGAGGAGCAGGACGCACTAAGCAGGCAGCACAATCGGGCGTTTACTGTGTGGTCAGGGCACCGTGTGGCACCTCGGTGTCGTTTATATCGCAGCTACACACCGGTTTCACGACCAAAGCAATGCCTTGCCTCCCTGGTGATTCAGCCTTGCGGGCCACGAAAGAGTCCAGGCCAATGATTGATTGATCACTGATCAAGCGGTGTTCTTGCACTGCAATTTTAGTGCCTCAGAGGGTTTCCTCGCACCAGCCAGATCTGGCCCATTAATTGCTCTAACGCACCAAGAAATGCAGTGTCATGGTCTGACACTAGATGACGAGTCAGCCTTCAAGGTAAGTTACCGTCTAGCCGGGCCATCCCATTAGACTTTATTTTTGCCACCTGCAAGCTTCGTTGTGGAGAGGAGTGCATAGTTGCGAAGTTGGATGCGCCCAGCCCTGTCGCCTTGATCTACAATGCAACTTTGAGAGTTCTCTTGGGCGTTGAATTCGCTGGTAGCTAAGAAAACAAAGCACGATGGACGCTAAGGCACTAGACATGCAGTGTAAAGTTTGCGCGCTGCCTGCTTTGCCTTGTTGTGCCCCTGATCCTCAGCTTTCCTCAGGGACCTTCAGTTTCTGTGCAGGCTGGATCTCTTGAGAGGCACTAAAATTGCGGTGCTGGTGTAAGTCTGCCTAAATCCGAGGAAGGACACTTCGCCATCACAGCGTACGGTGTCTGTAGCACTAGAAATGCAGTGCAAGGACTCTGAGACACTAAAAATGCAGTGTCGTAGTAGTGGTTGCCTACTGGTTGGCATTTTGTCAACCTTTGTCTGGCCCTGATCGGTCTTGTTGAGGCTCTGATTGGAGTTCTGCCATGGCTCGGCCGCTGCACAGATGCCGACATCTAGCAAGTTCTATATCTTGGAAAAAACGGAGATTCCACGAATCCAGCAACCGTAGAAACGGGTTTCAATTGATAGCTTTTATTGTGCATATTCTGCACACATTTTATGCCAATAGCATACATAGCATAGCATATTTGCATAGCATACACACAACACAGTACATACACAGTCTGCCTGTGACGTGACGTGACGATCAATAAGCAAGTAGGTAAGTAAGTAGTAGTAATGATACAGAGATCCACACATAGGGATACCTAATGATCCAAAAGAAACATGTCGTCCCTAGTCTCGACGCAATGCAATGCCAGCATCGATGTCACAAGCCACCAGTTGCGATTGGTGAGAGGACCAACCTCTCGCTCTTTAGCAGCAGCGCAGACCGAATAAAGAGAAGACGCCATGTCTTTCTCTCAGATTTGCTTCCCACCGGAAGCGTCCTTCTGAGCCTTCTTCATATTCATAGTTGTAGGAAGCCGAAACGCATCGCGGACTTTATGGCCACTGCCGCTGTGCTTGACCTTGCCGGTCGTGTTCTTCCGAGGTAAGATAGACTGAGCAGCCGCCCAAGACAAATGGACCGAACGAACCTAGCGCTTCTTGGTCCCGTTTCCGCTGCCGTTGTTGTTTCCATTCCCATTGCCATTCCCAACGCCGGTCACAATTCCATTCTCTCCGCCACGAACGCTGCCGCCGCCGCCGCCGCCTTCCAATTCAACAGGCTGGGCTTCGCTGGCGGGGAAGGGAAATGCACGCCCCGAAGCCGCCTCTGCAGCCGTTGAGTCGGTGCTCTTCCTGACACGCTCACGTTCCAACTCGCGCCTGAGCTCTTCGTTGACGGCGTCGCGTTCTTCGAGGCGCTTCCTAGCACCGCTGCGATCTAAGAGGCGAGCCTCGCGCTCCTGCTTCAGTCTCCGTTCCAGCTCTCTAAGCCGGTGGATCCATTTCTCTGCGCCAGGGCCGCCGGGTCCGCCAGCGGCGGTGATGGCTGTCGTGATGCTCGCGATGTCCGAGCCGGATGCTGTGCTTGGTGGTGCGGGTGGAGCTTCTCGAGGTGGTGGGGGGAGTGCAAAATTTCCGTTGACTGGGGCATTGAACGGCCCGGCGGGGATCATGAGTCCTCCGCGCTCGCGCTCTCTCTCGCTTTGTGTCACACCTGAATTTCGGCTCGAGATTGAATTCGAGCGCATCGAGATGACCTCTCCGTTCATACTGGCGAGGTGTTCTACGATACCGGTGGTGTGATGTCGTTGCAGTTCCATGTTGCGACTTCGTCTCATGCTGGATGAACGGGTCGGGACTCCAACCACACCATTAACTGCACCATCGAGATTCTGGTTGACGCCTTCACCAGACATGACACTGGAATATCCCGAAGCTCGACTCTCATTTCGGTCTCGTCGCTGATGCATATTGTGATGGGCTTGCTGCTGTTGCAGTAGCTGAAGTTCCGCCTTTAGCAATCTGTTCTCACCTTTGAGCTTGCTGATTTCTGGAGTCCTGCCCGATCTCGGTGTCCGTGGTACAGTTTCGGCATTGGTATGCAGTTCCATCTCGTTCATCTTGAGTTTCATCTTCTCCCAGCTCTCTTCGATTCGTTCGAGCTTGCGAGTTCGAACTTCGAGCGTTTGCTCTAGAGCTTGATATTCTTTATACAGCTCGCGCTCAACTCGTCGAATTTTGTCTCTGAAGGTAGAGAGAGTTCCTTCCACTTGTTTAGCCGCTAGCAGCAGATTTCGACTAAAGCCAGGCCAGAAAAGCATGTTACCAATCACTTCCTGGGAGGGTAGATTGCCATTGATGAGACTGTTGTTGTGAGCCCAGTCTGGTCCGCACATTGCAGACAGCTTCTTCCATAGATTTAGCAGGATCTGGTTGCGCTCGGTGAGTTGTTCCTTGAGTTGACCCTCCATTTGCGCCATACGTTTCCGATCGGTCTGTCGGAGGCCTTCCAGTTCAGCGATCCTTGCAGACGAATTGGTCAATGCTCGAGTGGTGGAATTATGGCCTTTATTGGCACGTTCAAAATCAACCTTGTCTTGTCGGCGGCCTTGTTTCTCCCTTTCAAACGCATCTGCCAACCTGCGGCACTCATGACTAGTTGACTCAAGTAGTGCATCGCGGTCAGCGAGGAGGCTCTCACTTTCTTCAAGTCGACTCTTGACGGAAGCAAGATCCATTGTCGTTTGCTCCAGATCTCGACTCATTCTGCCAACCGCACCGATCAAGGCTGACCTCGTAGCATTCGGATCACCGATAATGTTCCGTAGGCTTTCCTCTAACTCCGTCAGGCGATCCTTGAAGGCATCCGCTTCAATATTACGGGACGAAAGTGCTTTGCGAACTCTCCGAAGCTCGTCTTTCGTCCCAGTAGCTTCCCGATTGAGGTCATTGATGATTCTTTGAACATCTTGCTTCTCTTGGCTGGCGACTGCCTCTCTTTGAGCCCGCTCCTCACCGATTCGTCGTTCAAGGTCCCTACTCTTCTCCCTTTCAGACTCCAAATTAAGATGAACTTTCTTGAGAAGTGATTCGAGATCTCCAATTTTGATCTTATCGCCATCTTGCTCCTCACGGAGGAAAGCAATCTCATTATGACTGCTCTCTTGTTGAACGGTCAGACGCTGGATTTTACTTTCCGCTTCGGACAAGTTCTTCTCCAGGCTCTCAAGCTCCCTGTTGGCATCATCGAGCTCAGCCTTGACAGATTGATAGCGCGAAAGATTTTGCTGTGCATCTTCTTCCAGTCGAACTAGACCTTCAGCAGCAGATCGCATCTCGGCCTGAAGAGCTTTGATATTTTCGATCTGGGCCTTGACCTCCTGATCGAGTCTGTTGCACTCATCCACCTTAGCATCAAGTTCGTCGCCCATTCCGTCGATCTCTTCTTGAGCCTCGGTCTTGAGGGTTTGAAAGGCGTGATCTTGTTCCTCCGCATCTCGGAGAGCATTATCGCGTTCTTGGGTAAGTAAGTGAAGTTCTTCGTTGAATTGGTCGGCATCGGCTTGCGCCTGAGCATCAACCGCATCAAGTTCAGCAAGGGCTTCGTCAAATTGGTTTTGGAGATTCTGGTTCTCAAGCTTGAGCTGAGAGAGCTCATCTCGAAGTTCATTGATTCTGGTCTCAAGGCCTTCACGCTCTTGATCACTCAAGCGTGAGACGCGAGTTCCATTGCTAGCGCGTGAATGGGATCTTGCTCTCGATGCAGACCTGTCGAGAATGCTGTCACCTGCAACAGATCGCAGACCTCCCATTCGCCCCAATTTCAGATCTTCAATTTCTTGATACAGTCGCTCCTTCTCCTTATTGCGGGACGTCAATGTCGAAGCTTGGGCGCCGATCATCTTTTGTAGCTCCGAAACTTCATGCCTGAGTCTGTCAAGTTCGGCCGCTTGTTGTGCGTTTGCAGCCTCAAAGCTGCTAGAGCGAGACACCACTGAACCTCCCATTCTTGACTTCCGAGACAGTGACTTGGGTTGGGTGAGAGAATCACTTTTGAGTTTCTGATTTTCCTCCCGCAGTCTCTTATTGTCTTCTTCAGATTGTTCTCGAGCAATGGTCTCGGCTTCAAGCATGTCTTTCCACATATCACGTTCTTCACGCGATCCGACGTCTGAAGTTGCAGCGCGGGTATCACCCAGGGATTTGACCATTTCAGCTAACCTTCGCTTTTCAGATTCCTTGGCCATGTTTTCTGATCGTAATTTCTCAATTTCGATTTCGGTGATTTCGACGCGTTCACGAAGGTATAGCACCTCTTCCTCGGCGGTCGGACTCCTCTCTTCATCGGTCCCATATCCCTGATCTGCAGTGGGCGATTCTCGCTCACCACTTTCATCGAGTTTCTTCTGCAATTCTCGAACTTGCTTTCGTAAATTATGATTATCTTTTTCCAACCTCAGGCGATCGGACTTTAATTGTACATTTTCTGTGATCATTTCCTTGATACCATCTTCAGACCGTTTCTGAAGTGCTTGATCTAGGAAATGGATTTTCATCTTCAGGTCAAAATTCTCCTTTCCGAGCTTTTCGACTGTGCTCCTGTGCTCCTTCAATGTCAGACCTCGTTTAGGGCCTGGAGTCATGCCGATGATGGTAGGTTTCTCCGGTGAAAGATTTCGTTCTTGCCGATATTGGCGCGCAAAGGTACCGGGAACTTCCAGATCCCGAACATTATTCGCAATGACCGTATCCGTGGGCATGTTGAAACTGAATGTCGAAGCCTTTGGAGTCAGAAGACCACCAGCTTTGTTAGATCTGGGGCTCTCTTCCTCTAGGGTACTCAGATCAGGTACGCTGATCTGTCGCTGCATTCGATCATCATCACTCATTCCTGAAATACCAGACATCATACTTCCGAGACTAGCTTGCCGCGATATTGTATTTCTGGCTTTTCGTTGAGAGTCTGGTACTGCGCCGCCTGATTGTAGGGCAAAATCGGCTCCAAGAGTGGCGTCACTAGCGTCTGTATTGGAGCTGGCCACTGAATCGTACGACAAACGGGCTTGAGACGACCGCTTATGTAGATATCGAGGTCTTCTTGAGGGTCGAGCGCCTCCGTCTGAACTTTCCTGCTGTCCATCAGCACTACCTGGAACTTCCAAGAACCGGTGATTGGTGTCAGATTGTGTGTCATCCTTCCTAGGGGTGGCATCGACATCTTCTTGCGAAAGAACGCTCTCTTTACTTATAACAGGCACATCATCATCTGGCTCATTCCCATCTTCCTGCTCGTTGGCAGTCTCGTACCCACCCATGGTCGCCAGAGACTGCACTCTTGTTAATGTCCGGGCGGTAGCAGCAGCGGTAGGAGAGGAGGACATGTTTTCGAGAGCGGAGGTATTTGGGATTTGTGGCGTGGCATCTTCTGCATCATCCATATCGTGAAATTCCAACTGTTCAGGCGCCGGAGTTTTATAGCCGCCAGGCGGTGTGCGTGGAGAGTGAGTTTCGACTGGGCCAGGAAGGAGATACGTTTGTGTGTTTCGCTGGTTATAAGAGATCTGAATGGGAAGGGGCTTTTTCCGCACTGCGACGTTGTTGTTCAGAACGCCAAACTGGTGGGTGTCGTCGGCGCCGGGACTTTGTGAAGTTTCGCTGTTTAATTGCGATGGGTCGGGAATAAAACTGGACTCGATGTCCATGAGTTTCTTGTGCATGGCGCTTTCGTCCAAAGTCATGTTGGCAGGTAATTCGATGTTTGTATTTTCGTCAAGTGGCTGCAGGAGGCTACTTGGGTCTTGCGGGCCCGGGGGCAGGGAAAAGGTATCGCGGGAATCGCTGTACGAATCATTGTTGACACTTCCTGCAGGTGACACGTCGTCTTCGTCGTCTGGATCAAACCCGCCGGGTACTCTAGACGAACGGCGCGCAGTCTGGGGCCTCGAGGACGAGGATAGGATCGAAGACGACATGACGATGGTCTGAAGGCTCAAGGCCGGTCTTCAATGGCTATTGTTGTAGAGCCAATTCCTGCCGTACTCGTACAGGTTGATTGAAAAATCATGGGCCGAAGTGGTTCGTGCCTCTGATGGGACGTGTTGTGCACATCTGCAGGTGGTGTGGAGAGAACGGACTTTTGACGCGCGGAATGACGAGAGCGCGTTGTTTTGACTGCGATGGCTTGCGGACTGCTGAGAAGGGGAGAAACACCAACTCCCGAGATGCGCGAATCGATAATAGATGGGTCGTTATCAAGTCTGGTCGATGTAAAGCGACGATAGGGATGAGAAGTGCATGGTCGAGGTTTGAATGTGCAGACTCTGTGTGTAACAAGGTCATCTGGTGCACCTCCCTGAAACTGAAACTACGAGAATGCGGAAGAGGAAGCTTAGCGTAACTGTTGACCCCGGGCAAGCGACTTCCGGCTGCTCACTTTGTTTGGTTTAGGCATAGATGACCCCTACGCAGATAGAGCTAGGTGTGACTAGCGGGCACTTAGGGGTCTTCTGCGGGTATGACTTAACGCGCTCTTAGGCAGTCTCTTTGCTTTGGTGGCCCACTTACTTAACTGGAGAGATAAAACGGGCGCCCCCCCTCGCGGCTTCATTCACGGCCTTGAGATAAAGGAGTCCACCATGTCCTGTTTCGGGTGCGCCATCAATCGAATTGTGCAGGGTGTTGCTATTGTTTTCAATGCCATGACATACACTGCTTCAGGGGTCGAGAACCCCAGGGGTGTTTAACCGAATTCACCTAAACTCCCAATGTGAAATCGAGCCTTGTCAGCATCTCCTTCGTATTACTTATTGCCTTCCTATCAGCCGCCACACATTGTGTACGGACGCTCAATCCATGCATGTGGTCGATTGCCACTGTTCTTCTGTACCACAACGTAAACCCGCGTTATACTAGGTATGTACCCAAGCTCATGCCCCCTTTCCTTTCCGTCACCACATAAATCATAAGTCGTGATATAAATACACAAGGAATCTCATACGCATTGATAAACACATACTTTCGTGTCCTGCGCAGCGTCTCTTCATTGCTGTGATTGCTATGATCCTTTTTTCTAGGCATTCACGGAGTTTCTCTCATCCAATTCTGCCCGCTGTGCCTCGTCCTCCTGCTTCCGCAGGGCATAAATCCGCTGTTTTGTAGCCTCTGCATTCTGCAGCGTGTCGATGTACGTGCGGAATTTCACAATCTCTCTTAGCAAATAGCTGCTCTTCTTCTCCCAGTTGTTCATTGCTTTGTTTGAGTTTGGATGTTTGGTCGTAAAGGCAAGTAGCATCAGTCCACGAAGCTCATTGTGTTTCTGCAACTCCTCTTCCACGTTGCTCACGTATGTCTGCAGCGCTCTCAGTTGATCGACTTCAAGTAGCTGTGAAGCGAACATTGATTGCTGTGGAGGATTCCATTCCTTGATATGGGCCTTGTCCCCAGGAAGCTTAGGACGCACCCCACCAGCATGGTCCATTGAGCTCCGCATTGACATCTGGGTACTGGGTCGAGGATTCAGACCGACGTTGTTAAGGGCGGGGTGGGACTCAGACGCTGCCAGGACTCGATTGACAACTTCGTCACTCCAGCCGTATTCCATGTTGCTGATGCCACCCATCATTGGCTCCTTTGACAAACGAGCACTCCAGAAATTGGCTGTGTGGACAAATTCCTTGACAATATCTGGAGTTCCCACTGAAAAGAGATGGACTGCACCCGTCGGTAGACTCAAAGCCCACACATATGGCCTGGCCTTGGAATATCCTGGAGGGGGCAACGAGCTGGCAATAGTATGACGCAGCATAAATTTCCACACTTCTTCCGCATTATCTTGCCAGTTGCCCCCTCCCACAACGGCACCTGCTCGAGGGGTGCGGGCCTTATTTCGAAGCGACTTGGCCGTCATTGAGAAAGAGAATAATCGCATCCATCCTTTCTCAATCACTGCAAAGCAATCATTCCAGTTCCGGTCCTTGGATCGTTTGTCCACGCCCTCCAGGTGGCATTTGTGCTTGACGATGCCTTCCTTGGCCCATGGCGCACCACTGAGTTCTAGAGATTCATCCTCGAGCAAGGCACCCGCTTTGATGTTCTCATCAACCGGGAAATCCATTTGATCGTCCCGAATAATGGCTTGACTCAAAGCGTTGGCAAAACCAATGGAGGACTGGTAGTCATTGTGTGTGGCCTCGGTCCCTAGAGAATCCACCGACATCGATGTGAGTGTCTTACCCAACGATACCTTGCTCCAGGTACTCGACATTGAGGGGCTCCAGGTGGATGATTGTTCGTCGACACTGGTTCTACTAGAACCAAAACCAGGAGCTGATGGCAACCGAGGCCTCGATCGAGTCTTCGTCATCCATCTCCCTCCGAGGGACTTACTTTCACCACCTACTCGTCCCCGATGTGTTTCAGAATGCGCTTTGCTCAAGACACTCGGTGTCCGGCGTAGCATATTGGTTCCAATTGTCAGGAAATTATTTGGTGCATTCAGATGCACATTCGGATCGATAGGGGAACCAAAAAGTGGCAAGGGTTCCTGTGAGATGGAATTGTAAAAGGCTCGGAGCACAGACTCCATTTGGGCTTCCCATGCTCTCCCAGTGCCCGTATCCACACGACTCTCAGAAGCCTGCTGTTGAGCTTGACTAGAAGGCTCCATGGATCTCTTGGGCGTCCGGGTGCCGCTTGACTCTTCGTGGTTGGATGCGTTCGTCCTCGAATCGACCGACAAGCCACGTGCTATATCGTCAACATTTTTGACCTGAGCTACCTGCTTGACCGTCGGGAGTGCATTTCGTACAAACTGGGCCTTCGTCATCTTTTGCCCAATATCGGCGAGATGCAGATCCGTATTGAGCAAAAGTATCGAATAACATATTGTGTGCACCACATCTGCGACTGTTAACCGGAGGACAGAGACACCAGGGATCTAAACTTACCACTCGACCGAAAAGCGTGTGCAGGGTTGCACTCGCACCATCTTCTGGCGAAAGAGTCCAGAACTCTGTCCATTTGCTGTGTTTCTCCCTTCAATGCGACACGATCGCAGAGACCCCGCAGTGATTCCAGGATGTCCTGATTCACCCAGTCAAACAATTCCATGTACGCCTTTCGTACATGCTCTCGGTCAGGTCCAGCCTCGCCAAGCCACGGGCCAGCATTGGACGAGTCCACTTCTTCGTCAGTGTTATCAAAGATCTGCTGGGCCTTGGCTTTGTGATCGGAAACCTGGACTCCAGAAAGGCTCGGCCGGAGAGTATGTGACGGGGCATACAGAATCCCGTTGTCTGGTGTTTCGATAATGAGAGGTGTGCTAGGAGCAGATTTGTATTCGCTCAGGTCCGAGGCAGAGTCCATCGTGGAATGTTTAGATCCTTGTCGTGGCGGGATTAATACTGCTGGTTTCACGTTCAGAGATGATTTGCTACCGAGTGTTTCCCCGCTCTCACGATATTGTGTTTGTGGCTGCGCCTTGGCTGTAGCTGATAACGAAGTCTTATCCGACTTCCAAGAGCTTTGCCGTAGGGTTGACTTCCTGGGATCTGTACTCGGGCCCGGTAGGGAGCTGTACGATCCAGAGGGCTCCAATCGCAGGTCATTGACAGAATGACGGGCTCTGACAGCAGGTCGATCGCTATCGGAACTCAGTGCGCCATCAAAGGGCGATATCCGTGATGAATCTTCCGTACTACCAGTGCTGCTGCTATCGGCTAAGAATGAGTCCTGGTGCGGGATACGTAGGGTGGCAGTTGGCTTTTGATTAGATTTCAGGGTTTTGTTACTGCTGTGAGATTCTGTCCTGGCATGACCTTTAGGACGCTTGCCCGTGTCTTTTGGTAGTGTAAATACAGGGGGCGGTGCTGGCTTGGTATAGAAACCTTGCAGTGAATTTGTTCGACCATGAACATGAGCGCCGCCAGCAACAGGAGGCAATTCCTCTCCTAAATAAGGATCCATGAATGCTCGCAAGCTACTGACAGGACTCGTTCCACTGGCAGGTTCTGCGTCCGATTTCAACTCGTTGTTCAGAGTCAGAGGAAGTGGCGGTGGCACGACGTTTGAGACGGACTTCTTTCTCCGACGGAAGAATGCTGATGGCTTCTTCGTAATGACAGGTTGGTTCTCCTTGTTAGCAGAAGCGTCTGTCGAGGTTCGACGAACGGTTCTCTGGCCTCTCGCTGGGGGTGTGCCGGGAGCTGGGACATCGTCTTGTACAGGAGTCGATCGACCATGTGATCTATGGAGGGAAAGGTGTGAGTGTAAGCTAGAGTCTGGCTGAGAGATTGTGTTCCTTGATGAGCCAAACACACGACGAAAGAATCCTGGCCTTGAAACCGGCGCAGACTCATGTGGCGACGAGCCATACTTGTATTCGTGCGACGCTGTGCTTAGACCTGGAACGCTTTTCATCGATGGTAGTTGTGGCACTGCATCATTTCTGAGCGTTGCAGTCCCTAGTGCACCTGAGCGGGCCTTCTTTGTGTAGGCAGATTTGGAAGATTTTGTGCTATTTTTGCGGATAATAGGCAGTGCCGTTATCCCGCCAGGCGCTTCTCGGGCCTCCGGGCCTGCAAATATAACAGGCATGGGAGCGCCATCAGCATCCACGGATGCCTTTGACGCACGAGAAACACGTTGTCTGGTGCCAAAGTCAAAACTTCGTGATCGACGATTTCCTGGCCCACCGAGTCGGCCTTGCAGACTTGCCAGATGGCCGAGATCGATACTGGAGGAGTTGCTGCTCCCGTTGCTTTTGGCACCAGCGGAGTGATTCTTCTTTCGTCTCGGGTGTCCAGGCTGAGCAGCTCGTTGAGCGTCGTAGACTTTGGAGCGTACCGAATCCTCGTCTTCGCCAAAAATGCTGGGTAGTCGCTGAACATTCTTTGGGTATCTTACACTGTTGCGAACTGGGATGCGGGGGACGGTCTCCGGTGCCTTGGGCATGCTCCTCAAGTCATGAACATCTCCCTCCGAGGAGACCGAGGATGAAAAGGTATGGCCTCTTTTACGCAGTTCTTTGGTACCCGTATCATAACTGTTGCTCCGAGGGACGTAGGGTGACTCGTCAAACGGACCACTGAACTGATCGAGTGACATGACCAGGTTGTCTACCATGGAAGCACGTAGGACATGGTTGGACGAGAAGGAGAGATCATGGGGATCTTCAACATCATCGGCCTCCGGGGTATTGTCTATGGATGGAGAGTCGGTGAAGAAGGTGCCTGACTCTGCCATATTCCTCCTTGCTTGTGCTCCATACGCTGGAGGCGCAGTGTGGGGTTTCTGGCTGGGTGAGGAGGGAACGGACGCTGAAGCCGAGGAGGGGTCGTCGCGAGGCTTGACAGGCTTGTAAGTCGGGCTTCGTGGGCTGTGAGGGTGCGGTATGGTAGCGGGCATTGATTGAACCGTGGCCATGATGCTTTATATGAAGTCTGCGATGGAGAAAAATGGATACAGTCTCAAGTGACGTCTGAGACAGCTAGTAGCTGGGGTGCCAGATGAGTGTCGCACGAGTTGAAGTCGGCAAGATGGCGTGGTTGCGCAAGGTCCACTAGGACATGACTTTTGGAGGAATCGAAGTGGTCCCTACACGAGCAACGCGATCAAAGCCGCGTCGTGGAAGGGGAGTTTGGGTGGGAAGCAACGAAGGATGGAACAGAACTCCTCTGCGGCGAATGCGAGTATGTGTATGCAAAGTGCAGGTGATGTGCAGCATATACGGGGTATGGCCGTGGGTATGGATTCAGAAAAGAGGAGGGAATCTGATTCAAGGTGCATGCAAGGGTTAGGGGGTGGAAGAGATTCCGGAAACTCGAGGTTGTGGACAGGGATGTTTCGTATCTGGATGAGCACTAGCACTAACCAAGAGACACTAGCCCCAGGCACAGAATCTTCTATCTTCCTCAGAGAAGTCCAAACATCCAAATATCATGCCGCTGCCGCTGTCGCTGTCGCTGCCGCTGAAGATGATGTTGGCTACAACAAAGACAATAATTGTCATTATTAGGGATCAAATGTAGGGACTAGGACCTCGATGAGAGACTCACCTCCAACGACAAAGGAAGCGAAACGGTGGGACAGACAATACAAGTCACGCTCTAACATCGATGAATCTGATAAAGAACCTCAGGTCGATGCATACCTTTGATCATTTGTGTCAAAACTCCCGCCTGACAACGCGGCTACAACTTTACCCGAGACAGGTCGGACTCAGACGTCTGTCAATAATAAGCAATCGTGTTGTGCTATCTTCAACAATCGAGCTCGGTGAAGATGAGCATTCGACAGTTCCAAAAGACTCCAAATCATTCATTTCGCCAGATCTTGGAGGCTTTGGGCGGGCGACTTTAGCCCCCAGGCACAACTGTAGCCCCTGGGAGGCACCACCCCCACATGCTCTGATCTAAGCCTAACGCAGTCCGAGGCATGAGGGACCTGCATTAGCATCTCCGCTACCGATAGCTCCGTCCGCTTGGTGCACTCGATTCGGGGCTCAACCTTTGGAGGTAGCCTCCTCCGCCTAAGCTGTTACCGTCAGGGCGATTTCTGATTTTTGTCTTCCCATTAACCATCCAGGTACGAGGTATCCATGCCTGGAGCAATCATCGCTTGAATGTATCGCTCCATGATGAGATTCCACTCAAAGATCAATCGTTGGTTTTCGTATTGTACAATGAATGCCTTCACTGAGGCAGAATCAACCTATGATTGACCGTCCAGTGCTCTCCAACCACGTAGCCGGACACTTTAACAGCCAGCCTGATGACTTATATGGTACACTGGCAGTGTCGGCATTTCACTCCTTCTGTCCATTAACAAAGGTAGATATTCCGCCGGCACCACAGATCATGCTGAAATATAGGTTTCGACCCTCCATTTCGAAGTTGCATTATCAATCATCCCGTCTCGGCCGTCTCGGGATCAACTCTTGACGCCCAAGAACAACCACCTCGTCCCAACTGTCGTAAGATTAATGCCCAGCACCGTGCAGACAAGCCATATGACACCCCAAGCCAGCATGGGTGACAATAAGAACTGCGTATGATGGAGAAAGTGGAGTGAGTTGTATCCCAGAAACGTGATCAAACTCCAGTAAATTCCGGCTGCCAGGTATAAAAGGTTGGCAAAGAACGTCGATGTTCGGTTTTGGTGATTGATGACCGGCATCAAGATATATTGAACAATGTAGAGCAAGACGTAAGGCGGGAAGAACGCTCGGATCGACACATCAAAGCAATATCCGAACTCCAGTACCTCGGCGCCTCTCGTGCCACCTGGTGGTCCAAATAGCCCCTGTTGTCGCCTCCGTCCAGGCAGCCCAGCGATTCCCGGTCCCAGTAGACGGCCTACCACGTAGTATGCTACGGTCGAGAGAAGTAGCGAGCCAGCTAAGAAATGGATCACCACGAACATCAAGCCCAGCTTGATGACCGATGAGAAGGCCGGTGTGTATGCTAATGACCAGGCGAATGATGTGAGGAGGAGGAAGAAGGACAACAAGTATGTGAACGACGGATCCGGTCGATGCCATGTGTTTCGTGTCTCTGAATACCTCAACCATGTCAGTCTTTACTCCTCGAGCCCACACGAGGCTGGGTCCGGAGAAATCTCACGTTTGTGGTAATATATCGATTTGAACACCTTTTTCGGCGCGATCAGAAGATGCGTCATCTCCCACACTGCCATCTCAAAGTCCATCTGGGGGAATTTAAACAGCCTGGAGTATACAAACGTCAGACACATCTTCGACGACAGACACAAATCTTTTTCCTCATTACCTCTTGAAGAATCGAGGCATCCGGATATCAGAGCGACGCCGGTCGCCAGTTGCCCCGAATTGTCCGCCATATTGACGCGGGATGGTAATGCGAGGGCTGCTCATCGCACTGGACCAGACAGGTCGACTGAAGTTGGCAATCAACGAGACAAATAATGCGGCTGAATTAAAAGAAACAAGAACAAACCATGGCTATGATCATGACATGGCCCTCATGAAACTGCGCAGCCACTGTATGCCTCACCCCAATTCCGTTTATGCCACTGCCGTCGGAAGAGTTCACCGTGGACTTTCTACTGCGGATTATTAAACCAGCATCTACAACGATGAGACTAGGTGTGTATGTACAAACCATCCATTTTGACATCGCTAATATTATTGTTACATTGTACCGAGTAAATATACAGATCCATGCAGTGACCCGTTCTATTGTTGAAAGGAGCCAAGCGCAACCTCCAGCTTACCCTTGACAGTCAAGTCTCCAGGCTCAGATCTTTGAGGTCGTGGTGTGGTTCATATCCCGAACTGCTCTTCTAATGTCTGCGCGGTCGTAATCGTAGATACGATAGTCACCCTCTAACAAGATCTTGAGCACAGAATGGTGTCTGTATGAGGCCGTTGAACTTCTAGGGATCGAAGTGTTTTTGCTTGCTTGAGCCTGTGTCGTATCCCATTCCTGCATTGCTAGGTGCAATCGGTGGTGAAGGTCGATGAATGTTTCCTGCACATCACGTATCTTGACAGCGGATTTACCTAGATTGTTCATGGGATTGGCCGGGTCTTGAAGAAGTGGTACCTTTGCACCAGATCTGCGCAGGCGCACAATCATGTGCTTCTGGCCCATGAGTTCCGGCACGTACATCCCACTAGCTTCAGCTGCCTTCTGAACTTCGGTTGGAGTGTCTTCGTTCCGGGAAAAAAGACCCAGAGGGCGAGTAGATATACCGACATCGGCAAAGTCGATTTCGGAGTATAACTTGAGAAACTGGAGAAGATGAGCTCCGGAATTCAACGGCGCAGACTTGCCTTCCGAGAGCTTGAGAGAGGCAACAATCATGTTTAGCAGAGGATAGGAGGTCAGGCCTCCATGCTGGCCATGCTGAAGTCCGCGCATATGCAGTACTTGTCTGATCACTTTGAACAAGCCCCTTAGAGTCGGAAACTCCGTCAAGAACGATCGTACATATTCGGTGCTATCGAAAGTTCTAGGTGTGGATTGTATTTGAATAGGAAGGCCGGTCTTTCGGTGTCGACAAAGCAGGATTGGTACTACTGCTTGCTTGACATGAGTTAAAGTCTGTATGGGGCATTCTTCGTCCGGATGATGCCGTCTCCATACCCGGATCGTCTTCATTATTGTAGGCAGAATCTGTTCAGGTCGAATCCGAGTTTTCATGGAAGATGGTGTTACGGGCAGCGAAACATTGGCATCAATATCAGACAAAGGATCTGCAGTGCCGGTGGCACGGGATCCGATGATGTCCATGTCCATCTCGGCATCTGCATTTTTGATAATTCGTCTCAGATCGTTTGCTGCTAGTTCTGCAGCAGATTGCTCATCAATGGTAGGACAAACGTATGCGTCAAATGCCTCGATCTCTTGAGACAGGCGCTCTTCCGCCGATAACCAAACCAAATCCGGCAACGCCTTTTGGTATACTTCCTTCGTCCATGGTACACGTTGTGTTATGGGAGTTTTAGAGTCGCTGGTCAACATCCATTGAGTGGTAAGCCCGGCTATTCTACCTCTTCCAATTTGAGCTGATTTCAAAGAACGACGTAGGCTACGTGAGGCCTCATACCGAGCCGCGGCAGCAGGGTCGTTGGATCCGCCTTGTGGCCCCTCGCGCGATTTAATAAGTCCTCGCTGTGGACTGAACTCATACCGGTGATATAGCCCCGGAGAGCGGTTCGCCTCGCGGTGAGCCTCGACAGTATTTTCAAGACTGTGGACATCCACCAAAGGATCAATGGCTACCGAAGGTGGCTTGGTTGAGGATAGACGCGATTGAGAATCGACCCGGCAAGTGCTAGCTGAGGTGAACAAATTGAGGCAGCCATGACGACAAGGGAGAATTGCTCTCGTCCGCGTGAAGAGGTAGTCTGAGGGCATACAGCATGGGAGATATGATCGATGAGAGGTTTTGCGGGGTTCAAACAGCAACTATGGTCGAGTGCAATGAATGCTTGATCGGTGGATAATCAATAGTAGATCTTTTAAGACCACGAAAGCCAGAGCCAGAAAAGGAGAGGAGCCGTAAAAAGGCTGCGAGGGACTCTCGGTTCTTGAAGAGACCACCGGCGTTGTTGAAGCCCACGAACTGAAATTCGTGACGAGCGCGGTCTTTACAACGAAACAAAGCGGCAAGAATTTACTACTTTCATGGGTTAGTAAAGTCAACAGCCAAGTTCGAGGTAGTGGTTAGGAGACCGGGATACTTGCCTAATACTCTAGGGAGCCTTTTTCACAACCACAGGGCCTAAACAAGCTCACGTTTAGGGGAAAGCCCACACATATCTTAGGCTAGGGGGCTTCAAACGGGCAATGCCGCATGACTAAGCCAAGCCCGGAGCTCCCAAAGTTGGAGGGCAACTGGGCCTTCTGAGACTCCCTAACCCAAGGTTTTCAGGAATGACACATGAAGTGGAGGATGTTTGAGTGTGGCAGTCGAGTCCACATCACAGATCCAGGTTTGTAGCCGCTTTGTTCCCGGACGAATGAGATGGTATGTTTCTAAAGCTCTTGTTCGGGCATTCAGCAAACTTGGACCTGGCTTATTAGCAACATCCACTGACAGCATATGACGGAAGTTCCCAATTCGAAAAATTCCTTCTTTTTTTCAACGATTGGGATTAGAACCAGCCGAAGCTCAAGGCATGCAGTGTACAACTTCATCGGCCTCTCCGCTCTCTTTCTGGATCAGCATTCCCACAACTGTACTGCTGGACTGAGCGATTATCTTCCGGACTACTCCTTGCAACTCTGTTGGTGCTTCCATACCAGGTTGCAGCCCAAAGAATCGCTCAGGCTCGGGACGAGACCCAGAGCCGACATAATCCCACTCATTCGTTCTTTCTGTGCCTAAGGTACGCACGTGCAGCTGCTGCGGTAGCATGAGCTGTTTTCCTGATTTGTTGAACTTGTGAGAAGAGCTTTGAAAAAGGTATCCTTTGACTATCTGATCTCGAGCTGGTCGTTCCAGTCAGTCCTGCTTATCATTCCGCACCTATGCTTTCATCATTATCATTATTGTTCCCCCTTCCTGTCGCTCCCTCGTCAGCCTTTCCCTGGATCCGCTCCACCCGCGACAAACGACAAGAAGGCGCTTCTGACATATAAATAGGTTGTTCGTAATTTGATTTTATCACTTTTAACTCGCAATTTCTACTCTGTTCATTTCACAAGGATGGTCACATCATCAAATGATGGCGCACGCCGGGACAGTGATCCTCCAAGCCCAGGGACTAAGCCATCCACACACAAAGAGGGAGATCTGGATAGATCGCCAGCCTCGCGACCGACGACGTCCTATTTTTCATTGCCTCATAGCTCTGAAACCCATGATAAAAATGAACCCTCTGCAGTTCCTTCCTCTCCAGTCGAAGTTGCGAAAGGGGCTAGATCTGGGAGGGAACTACTGAGGCGGTTGAGCCTCGTCGATTCTTATGGCACCGATTCAATGGATGTCGATCCTCGCACAGCTCATCCAGGTCTCCGTCTTAGCGGAAATATTATCAGCGCTACCTTCGCTATTCCTTTTCAGCTCACGCATGATCCCAAAGGCCATTGGGATCTCACGTCTCGCCGTGGAACATCGGCATTATTTGACTCTTTCGCTCATCTCTCCTCAGACAAAACACCATGGAATCACACTTTGGTCGGTTGGACAGGCGAGATACAGACAAAACCTTATGCCCGTGCTGCAAGCATCTTGCAGGATGACGGTACTGCTAACGCGGCCACGCCGGCCTCAGTACCCATCAACAAGTCTTCGGCCCCTTATCCTCTAAATGGAGCCCATCCCAACCCTCGAGAACATCCTCCCGACCACATGACCATCTCACGTTCGGATAGAAATCACTTGGAGAAGACCCTGATAAGTCATTCATCCGGCCGGACCATCCCCATCTGGCTGGGTGATGGTCCTGAGGATGAAAACGGGGATATGCATTTCAAAGACCAGAGCCGTTGGCGCAAATATGCTGAGCATGAACTTTACACCCTGTTCCATTACAGACAGCATGGTCCTGATGACGGCCGAACAGAGAAAACGTCCTGGGCGGACTATGTACGCATGAATCAAACTTTCGCGGATCGAATCCTACACATTTATCAGCCAGGAGATATTGTCTGGATCCACGACTATCACTTGATGCTACTGCCTAGTATCCTCCGCCAACGGATCCCCAATATCTACATTGGATTCTTCCTTCACATTCCGTTCCCTAGCAGTGAATATATGCGCTGTCTACCTCGGCGGAAAGATGTCTTGGAAGGAGCTCTTGGTGCTACAATGGTTGGATTCCAATCTTTCAGCTTCTCTCGACACTTCAACTCTTGCTGCAAGCGTATTCTTGGCTTCGAATCAAGCTCTGCTGGGGTCGACGCTTACGGCGCTCATGTCGCTGTTGATGTCTTCCCCATTGGCATTGATGTCGCTTCCGTCCAGAGACAAGCGTTCGAGGATCCCATCATTGAGGATAATATGAAAGCTCTCAGAAAACTGTATGCTGGGAAGAAAATCATTGTGGGTCGTGATCGACTTGATACTGTCAGAGGTGTATCGCAGAAGCTAATGGCATTCGAAATTTTCCTGGATCGATTTCCTGAATGGCGTGACAAGGTTGTCCTTATCCAAGTCACTAGTCCGACAAGTGTAAAAGAAGACAAGGTTGACGGGGCTCACAAAATCGAGCATAAAATCTCTCACCTGGTGTCGAGAATCAATGGAGAATACGGCTCTCTTAGCCACTCGCCCGTCCAACACTACCCACAATACCTGTCCTCGCAGGAATACTTTGCCTTACTCCGGGTTGCAGATGTAGGGCTCATCACAAGTGTACGTGACGGTATGAACACTACAAGTCTGGAATACATCATATGTCAGAAGGACAACCACGGCCCCCTCATCTTGTCAGAGTTCTCCGGAACTGCTGCCAGTCTGGGTAATGCTATGCATATCAATCCTTGGGATCTAGGTGGTGTGGCAGAGGCTTTGAAAGAGGCACTTGAAATGCCTGAATCACAGAAGGCGAGCGATCATCGAAAACTCTACAACTATGTCATCAGTCACACAGTTGCAACATGGTCTAACAGCTTTCTAAGGCGTCTGCTGACCAATCTCACATCCTTTGCTCAAAGTGATCTCACTCCGGCGTTGGATCGTACTCGCATGCTCACTCAATATGCCGCGGCGAAAAAGCGGCTTTTCATGTTCGACTATGATGGTACACTGACACCGATCGTAAAGGATCCAAATGCTGCGATCCCTGCAGATCGTGTCCTCCGTACACTGAAAGCTCTGGCCGCCGATCCGCGCAACAACGTGTGGATAATCTCGGGTCGAGATTCAGCCTTTTTAGAAGAGTGGATGGGTCACATAACCGAACTAGGGCTGAGTGCAGAACACGGCTGCTTTTTACGTCGACCTGGGTCAGACAGCTGGGAGAATCTGGCTTCTAGCATGGACATGGGTTGGCAGAAAGAAGTCATGGACGTTTTCTCCTACTACACGGAGCGGACACAGGGGTCCTGGATCGAGAAGAAACGTGTTGCACTGACCTGGCACTACCGACAAGCGGATCCGGATTTTGGAGCATTCCAGGCGAGAGAGTGTCGCAAGGCGCTGGAGGACAATGTGATGAAGAATTGGGAGGTGGAGGTGATGTCTGGTAAAGCAAACCTGGAAGTTCGGCCGCAATTTGTCAACAAAGGATTTATTGCGACTAGGCTCATCAACGAGTACGGGTACGATGCTGGAGAGCCCCCTGAGTTCGTATTATGTCTTGGCGATGATCAAACCGACGAAGGTGAGTTACTCAGACAAACACTGTCTTTTGTGATCATGACCTTTGAAACTGACATTTGTGGCTCTTTAGACATGTTCCGTGCTCTGTTGAAGACGAATCTACCGAAAGAGCAGGTCTTTGCATGCACGGTTGGAGCGAGCAGTAAAAGGACACTCGCAAGCTGGCATCTACTGGAACCTAGCGACGTCATCGCAAGTATTGCGGCGTTGAACAAGCAGGAAAACCTTTGATACCTTGTCGGGTATCAGGTGGGAGGACGAGACCTCCGAGCGTGTTGTTTCAACTCGACAGCCTTGCCCGGGCTTATGCATGAAGGTCATATGGACGGCTTGGATGGAGCTTTATCTCTGGTGCAGCTTGAGCAAGATAGATCGGGAAACACCTATCACACAGAGATTCTCCTGACGCGACGAACGAGCAAACGATGTAATGGAACCCAAGAACGGGACGGAAAGCACAGAGGCGGAATGGCATAAGCTCTCTCCGTCGGGTTGGCACGGATACATTGGATGAATCTGGAATAGAAAGGTTTTGGACAGGTACCAAGTAATAGACAATCAGATGCAGTCTCACGAACAGATCTTGATTCTTGCCTGAAGGCATCAGCAGCAAGCGCCCAGCCCGAGCCGTGATCACTGATGTGGCATTCCAACCTACGAATCAGGCTGAGCTGAGTCTATGCCAGATTCGACATTTGGTCGGATCGACATGCAGCATTGGAATTCTCATCATCATGTCGCCTACCTACGAGTAAGGTAATCAGCAAGATTTCGACCAACGTAGGCAACTAGCTAGTCAGCAGTCTAGCTAACTAGCACTGGCCCCTGCTACGGAGTTTGGTCACAGGGATTGACATGCCAGTGGGGGCATCCGCAGTTCTCGCCTTGCTGCATGGTCTGAAATCGCGGGAACCGGTCCGGGTTGTTGTGTGTTGTTGTGATCCTACCCTTTTATGTCCAATACATCGTTCTGATGTTACTAGTGCTGCCGTTGGACATGTCGAGACGGTGATATACCCCACTGAACAGTGCTGATGTCGTGGACTTGCCATGGTTGATTTCGGGTTTGGGAGTTGGCGTACTCACTTGCTGAGGAGTGCAGACGCTCGAGGATAGGTGGATAGAAACCTCATAACCGACAATCCAGGCATGTAACTAACTAGAAAGCCGTATTCCAGCGGCTCTGGTTAAGCATTTCCAGCCTCCCCAATGCCCCTTCAGCCCAGCGTAAGTGAAGCCTGGAAAAGAACTTTTCCGGACGCTGGTCCTGAAAAGCATTCCAAGAACGTCCTGCACGGCTATTGCGGCTCCGAATGTGGGGTGCTCGGCCGTCAGATCTGTAGGGACCCCTCACTAAACATACGGCTATTGGGGGGAACGGTGGTTCTGGTGTACTTATCTCGAACATATTTTGCAACCCGCGGGGGCGTTTCCTGCTGTGTGACATTACATGGGGAGAAATTATGGGCGGAGAATAGCATTTTCATGGTGTCTTAGGGCGTAAGTTTTGGGCGTCATTTGTTAAAGACTCATTCGTATCGTCGGACGAAAAATCACTGAAGGGGTTTACTTGTTGGCTTCCGTGATCATATCTGTCGAAAAAAAGAGAATATCTCGAGGCAAATTGATCGTATCTGACTCTCCAACTAAGTTCTTCACTTGCGGACGTGTTCTGGATACTTTGAGCGCTCGGTAGTAGACAGCTGCCATTTCAAACGGCTCATTTACCTAGGTGGTACCCGTTGCAAAGTCACAAACAAGGCGCAAGGACCTGATAGACGACTCTCACGAATCGACTGGCTGACTGACAGTGACATCCAAAGAGAGTAACGATACCCAGTGAGGCCGTTGCACTATTTGTATCGAGTGAGAAACCGCACGGAATTCCGCTCCCGGGGAGGAAATGAATACATTCAGGTTTCGACTTTTCAGACCTTGGACATTGGAAAAAGAGATCTTTAATCGACCTTGTGAGCCTGTCACCCACTGTGAGGTCTACTCGATTTGACTCAGCGGTATCTGTTTGAACATGACCGAGATGAACGATAAGAAGAATGAATCCGACATTGAGCGGGCAGGGGAGCTGGTGCCGATTGATCCTCGAGTGCCTGGCAATGACAAGGAGCAAATCCATGAACCAGTCCCCGGAGAGCCGCTTGAACAAACGCCTTCCAAATCACCTGCAGCGACAACATTTTTGTCCAGGCAGCTCTCTCGAGTGCGAACCAAGGACAGTATCGACCCAGGCCCACCACCGGATGGAGGATTCCAAGCTTGGTTCCAGGCATGGCTGGGCCATCTTGTCATCTTCAACACATGGGGCTACATCAACAGTTTCGGCTTGTTCCAGACCTACTATGTGAATGAGATGAGAATCGGTGGGGAAAGCTCAGTGGCATGGATTGGTACGACTCAGGTATTTGTTCTCTTTGGGATAGGGACTTTTAGTGGCAGAGGATTGGATGCTGGGTACTTCCGCATACAGTACATTGCGGGCAGTATCATATATGTCGTCGGCATGTTCTTGACGAGTCTTTGCACCGAGTATTACCAGATCTTCCTCGCACAATCTCTTTGTGTGGGGATTGGATTGGGATTGTGCTTTGTACCTACCTTGGCATTGGTGAGTACCTACTTCTTGAAGAAGAGGTCGATGGGAATAGCCATTGCGGTCACGGGCTCCACGACTGGTGGGCTAGTGTTCCCGGCTATCGCAGAGTCCTTGCTACCCTCTGCCGGCTTTCCTTGGACCATGCGAACGATGGCATTTGTCCAGATGGCCTTTGCGATCGTGACGGCAATTTTCCTCAAGGTATGTTCAGTCATTAAAAGAGATGAGATAAATCACTAACGCGATATCAGCCACGTTTACCACCTCGAAAGAGTGGGCCATTGGTGGAATGGGCGGCATTCCGCGAGACTCCATATACACTCTATTGCCTTGGTACTTTCTTGTACTATTGGAGTGTATATGTGGGATTCTTTTTCGTTGGAAGCTTTGGTAGGAATGTCCTCGGAACAAGCCAGTCGACGAGTATCACCCTGCTTATGGTATTAAATGGAGTTGGAATTGTAGGAAGAGTTGTGCCCAATTATGTGGCGCAGAAATGGACAGGTCCTTTGAATCTGATGCTGCCTTGTGTTGCTGTTGCTTTCATTGTGCTATATTGCTGGATTGCAGTGGACTCGGTTGCTGGGCTTTGGGTGTTCACAGTCGTCTATGGATTTGCTGCACATGCTTTACAAGCTCTCTATCCGGTCGTGTTGACCAGTCTTACCTCGGACCAGAAGAAAGCTGGGGTCAGGGCAGGAATGGGATTTACGATAGCAGTAAGTGATTATATGGAAAACCCAGGTACAAGAATACTGACCAAGTATTGAATAGGGATTCGCTGTGCTCACCGGCCCACCGATTGCAGGTGCTCTGGTACAGAAAGCTGGTGGGAGTTATCTGGGTCTTCAATTATTTTCAGCTACGAGCATGTTGGCATCTGCGTTGGTGTTTGCAAGCGTACGATGGTCAGTTGGATGGAGGCCGATCAAAGTGTGATGATTGATGATCTCCACCTTCCAGAAGCTGGCGGTGCTGTATTTGCTATGAGTCATCCAAGACGATGAGAGGATTTCCAACAAGAAACCTTATCAGGCAGCCTTGCATTATAACGCGTCTGATTGGTAGAATAGACGAGCATCTGCCAACTCAGAGGAAGGCAACCCAACACACAGCCATGACCTGAATGCAAGATGTTTTGTGTGTGCTCCTTGCCACCGGACTCTATCTCGGTTGTGAGTCTGTAGAAGAAGAGTCAGAAAACTATTACCTAGATTAAAGATCAATTAAATAGTCTCACAACTGGTGTTGTGGTTGTGCACACTGGGTCGCTCTTGCCTATTTATCCCACACCGTACGTCATCGTTCCTTCCTCTTCTCCCCCCTCGACACGGGCACAAAGATTCTTTTGCATCTGGAGCGACCGCTACTTTCAACCCCTCAGTCACATGCTCAACTTGACCATTTTCAACCCTCTCGTGCCTCAGTATATAGACTGACTCACTGATACTCTTAACCTCCAGTCCAAGCAGCTTTGGTCACTCCACGGTCTCTACTGAGAAATTCTTCTGTGGCAACCTTTCCTTCTCCCACAAATCTCAGAACCGTCGCAGTCCCCCCCACTACCCTCACTCTCCTCTTTGTCAACACGAACCCTCAGGAGCGCTCAAGCCCTCGAACTCCCTACCACTCTTCATTCTCAGACACAAAATCATGGCTCCACGAGGCAGAGGAGGAAAATTCTCCAAACCATCCAGAGGAGGTAGGAAACACACCCCGCCACTACCCCTCACACATTTTTTCTCAGAAGAATCCAAGATCAATACTAACTACGTCCACCTCTCATCTTAGGTGGAAAGAAGTTTTCTCGGGATCTTCAACCTCTCGATAAAGAAGGCAACCCTATTGGAATGTGGCGTGAGCCAGGCGCGGCTGCTGATGACTCGTCGGAAGAGGACGAAGAATCGTCCGAAGAGGAATCCTCTGATGATGATGGTGCTCCTGGTGCTTCCGGCGGTGCCGCTGGTGAAACCAGCCGAGAACAACGACGAGAACAAGCACGTTTGAAGAAGCAAGCTGCAATTGCCAAGAAGAACAAGAAAGGAGCAGAAGTCGGCGACATGCCCACCAGTTCTGAGGATGAGGATGAGGATGATGACGAGGATATGCCTGCCAATCCCAACCACACCCAAAAAGCCAGATCGCAAGCCCGTGCCGTAACTGGTACTAGCGGAGAGACTGATGCTCCTCGAAAGGCTGACAAGGAGAACCTGAGTCGCCGAGAGCGTGAAGCACTGGCCGCTCAACAGGCTAAGGAACGATATCAGAAACTACACGCTGAGGGCAAGACCGACGAAGCCAAGGCCGACCTCGCCAGATTGAAGCTTATCCGAGAACAGAGAGATGCTGCGGCGGCGAGGAAGCAGGCTGAGAAGGACGAAAAGGATGAAATGGAGAAGGAGAAAGCTGACAGAGACGAGAAACGACGATTGGCTGCCATGGGTGATGCTTCCAAGAAGAAGCCTATTGCCAAAGCCAAGAAGTGAGACTCTCGGGATGTCGCATCGTCTGCGCTGTTCGTGAGAGGGGACAGTGAGGGCAGCGGGAGATGGTGAACGACCGTTGCATTATGTACGACGCTATGATTGATGATGAGGGTGTGCTACTCTCTGGTGTTCGCGTATGAGTCCAAGGCATGCATTACATTGAGACTCGCCTTATCTCCACGATCTCCATCTGCAGAGAGTTCGATCTTGGAAATGAAGCGACAAGTAGTGTGCGTGCGGGAGGAATGCACATTGATCATGGTTGTGCTTAGTAGGGTCAATGGAATCTCCTTCCACCTCAACTCAAGCCCAAGTAGGTAGGATTGCTATTACGGAAGAAGCATTTAGCTGGGTTCCACTTCATTTTGATCTCTGGGGACATGACTCTTCATTTCATCTTCTTGGGGAAATACTATTCACGATCAGACATGACACCAAGACGCCTCCGCTGCTTGACCAACGCAAACCCTTTGATCCGTGCTTTCGATCGCAATTCCTCCAGGACAAGTTACTGAATTCAATTTTCGATTTTCGAATCTGATACTCGATCGTGATCCCATCATGCCTGGAAACACACTGTAATCCGTCTCGACCTCCGACACCCCATATGATACTAATCTCCCATCATCCGGATCTGACGAAACCCGACGCTCCGATGGCTCTGCTCCGCCGCTCTTTCCTCAACAAGTCGCGACTGTTGTACATGCTCGCCTTCAGCTTAAACTCGTTACTAGCGGTAAGATCCAGGTAGGTGTAAGCGTCGCACTTGTAGTAGATGACCTTCGCTGCGGTGGCGGCGGCGGCATCCTGGTCGCCCTTGGCCCCCTCCTTCTCGTCGACGAGCCCCAGGTCACACAGTGCGAGCAGCACGCGTGTCACGTCGCTCTCGTCCGTGAAGTCCGCCGTGTAGACGCAGATGATGCGGGTGGCGGCCCGGGCGGACTCGTCGTTCTCGTCGTACGTCGCCACTTTCGATGCCGTGCCCAGCTTTCCTTTCCATGTCGCTTCGGCGACGATGCGCCAGACGCGGTCTGCGTCCTCGACGGGGGGGAAGATCATCCATTTGCCATTCAAGATGCGTTTTTCTCGTGCGAGGGAGAGGATTGCCGGCTCGAGTTTGTCGCGTTCGGTTTTCATCATCCGCGTGATGCTGCCTGCTGGTTTGGTGGGGTTCTGCGCCTGCAGTTCTTCTCGGTGTGTCTGGTACGATTCCAGGAGGTTGAAGCCTGCTTGTTTGAAGCCTCCGAGGTCGCCGGAAGACTCAGGTTGGGAGTTTTGTGGTGGGTACGGGTTGGCGATCCAGATCCACGGTCCCTGAGATCTCGGGGTGGAGGATGGAGGGAGTCGGTCGAGGAATTCGTCTAGTGTTTCGGAGAGCTGTTTGGCTGTCGGTGTGCCTTCGTAGTAATTGACTGGCTTGCGCTGTTCAGAGGAGCGGGACGTTGTCGTTGTTGACGGTGTTGGATCCAAACACATAGGCTCAGCATCATCCGCGTCTGACTTGGCGCGAATGGTGTTGTTCGATTTGTGATGCTCGGAAGGCTTGGGTTCTGTCTCTGCCGGAGTGATGAGGTCGAGATCCATTCGATCGGCATCATCTGGGGTTAGTGTACCATCAGAATCTCTAGACGCATGATTGTTGTCTTCATTGCGCTCTTCCAATTTGATCCTCTTTGCGTTCTCTCTGGCTTCTTTTCTGGCTCTGTCCTCTAGTTCGAGGGCAAGTTTCTTTGCTGCTATCCATGCTGCTTCCTGGCCTTTGATCGCGATGACCTGAGGATTGCGATCGCGCAACCCCCAGTATTGCTCCGGATGATATGAATCGCTTAATCTGTTGTATTTTGAAACAGTCGCTGGGCTTCCTGGTTTCTCGCTTTAGTTCTTGGCTTTGAGCAACAAGAGCTCCCAAGTCAGCCTTACCATAGAAATCAGACTCTTCGCTGAAACAATCATCTGGAACCGGACCCCATTCCACAGGATCTGGTATGACGGTAGAAGAGATTGTCTCCTTCTTGATGGACAGCCTGCGTTTGGGAGCCATCTTTAGTTGGATGATGAACAATGAAAAGGTTGGTACCTCATAACAGGCGATTCAAAGCATAGTCAACCGCAGACAGATACTAGTACATCTCGGCGTCGCATTTTAGTGCAAAAGTTCTGACAGGGCACCTAGGTAAATGACGAGTGGATAGCTAGGTAGAATGAAAGGAAGCTGCGTCCAGAAAGGAAAAATAATTACCTCGCGTAGAGATCAAGGCAGCCATCGTCTGGTGCGAGGCTGAAACACCAAGACCTTTGCCCCCATGACCATTGAACCAGGGTATTGATTGCTCACAAACAAGGCTGCCATTGCCGACTTGGTTTGAGAAATACCTATGTCACAAACTGTTGACGTCTGATACAATTTCATACTCGGGTACTTATAGCTGATATCGTACATAGCCCTCCAACAACATGCAAACTCTGTGGAGATTTGCATTTCCAACAACCGACTTGCATAAATATTCGTCATTCATATCTTAAAGGTAACCTTGTGTACTATTACAGTTGTCTACGAGTATCCCAACCACCCGTGCCATATGCCAGCAGACTGTTCCTGCCTGTTCAAACTTAGATAACCGCGCGACTCCAGGTTCACCTTTACTTCCCTGAATTTTGGTGTTGGTGCTTTGTTGTCAAACAGAATATCCAGCTCAACATACGTAAGATCCTTTGTCTCCGGGAGACGAAAGTAAATCCAAATGAAACACAAGAACGCCATTCCGGCCAATGGCCAACAAGCCCGGCCCTTGAGATTCCAAGCTCCGCCGTTCAGCATTCTGGGGATCAGCTGGTTGTTCACTATCGAGGCCAGATTAAAGGCGATTCTCGCTAGTACGACGGTTTTCACCCGTAGGCGAGTTGAGGGTACTTCGGCCACCAAGACGTAACACACCGGGCCGATGGTGAGATTATAACAGAGTGTGAAAGCCAAAAGGAACGAGCCCAGGGTCCAGTATGCAACCTCGGCTTGTATCGGAACCACACTGACAATGCCTCCAACCATAAGGATCAAGACCAGGCTGAGCTCACCCACCAAGTAGAGTGTCCGGCGTCCAAACCAACGGAGTAAGAACCAGGCTATCATGTTGCCCACGATACCCAGTGCAAACATTCCAGTGGTGAGTGAAAAGGACTTTGCCACAGGAAATCCGGCTTGCTCGTAAAAGTAAGGAGCATAGCCCATCAGGGTCCCCCCACAGAAAGCTTGGGTGAGCCAGACCATGCCAGCAATTTCAGTACGCCTCAAGTTGGTGCCTTTGAAGCAGTCTAGGTATGAGTTGCCTGACTGGTTCAATTGCTTCTCGATATTGTCGGTGTATTTCATCACAGATATGACCTGGTTGACATCGAGCTCACTACTGCTCTTCCGTGTCAGGCGTTCGAGTGAGTGGCGAGCGTCATCAACGCGATCATGCCTTACTAGCCACCAGGGACCTTCAGGGCAAAGGCAAAGCACAGCCAGGAGTGGGATGCTCCAAGCCCATTGTATAGCGAAAGGGACACGGTACGCCCACTCCGAGTTGCTTTTGATCCAGGCATGAATAGTCCCCATTCCGATTACCTGGCCGATGAGCCAACACATGTTGACATTTGCAAGGAGATAAGTCCGCAGGGCGACAGGTAAAACCTCAGCAGCATAAGTCGCAGACAATGTTTGGAATATGCCCCATGGCAAGCCTAAATTATGCGTAAGAAAATGGTTATCTTCATGAGGGCGGATACATACCAAAGAGAAGCTGCGAAGCGAGGAGCATTGGTAAGCTCGTCGCAAAGAAAGCAACGAATATCGACAGATTCAGAAAAATCAAAGCACCAAGCATAACCTTCCGGTAGCCATATCGATCTGTCAGAAGCCCATTCAACAGTAATCCAATGGTTTCGGTCGAGAAGGCTGAAGAGATGAGAGCGGCCTGCCACGTTGCAGTAAGGTCGCGGGTGGTCGTTCCATCGGGCTTCACGATGATAGATGTTCCAAATCGTTCTCGAAACGCCGGGGATGCAAGAAAGCCGCCTACCAGCATCTTGTCGTATGCCTCCATTACTATCGTCAAGGACAGCAGGGCAGACCATAAAATGGCTCTCGGATACATGCGAGTACCACTAAGAAAGGTCATCCTACGCTCCTTGGCAATGCCTTCGCGAGCATCGTCCGAGATTCTTCTGGGTGGCTGTGACAGATCCCCTGTGTATGCCATGCCTGACTGGAAGGCCTGCCCACCAGCAGGCGGATGTTCCAACTCCACACAGGAAACATGTTGAGTTAATGGCTCTCTAGAACGCGACTTCAAGCCTTCGTCTTTGGAAGACATACTAGAGGAACAGATGTGCGTACACGTGCTGGTTACGTGTTGGTCACCTGTGCTGCGCGTCTGTCAAATCGTTGGGTGACGTGCTGTTGTCCGTCTCCAAACAGGGTGATGCCCCAGTTTTGTCCCACAAGCTCTCAGTTCCCGTTATACAAATACATTGATGCTCGACAACTTGGCGATAGTCTATAGCAAAGTTGAAGATGAAGAAGACGATCGTCGTTCATTTTACCTGGGACAGAACAGATTAATAGGAAGGGGTGCCCTTGATTCAGCAAGAATTAGACGGGGCGACCCTCTCAAATCAGGGGCCCTGGGGAAGCGAGATCTAGGCGAATATTGCGGAGCGAGGTTGAATCCCCTCTAGCCTCCCGAATCCCCCGTGTCGGGTCCAGCGGCGCCGCGGATCTGCCAACTTGAATCGCTAGACTGCCAAGTCGTCAAAGTCTAGATACTGGAGGTAGCCAACGAAATGCTGATGACGGAAACAATGGGCTCTTCCCCGGGAACATCGTCTTAAAATGGATTCGCTACCAGTGGGCGGAAACGCGGGAGAAACACTTGTGGCGCGAGGTCAGACTAAACTCCTCGCCACCTCCCGTCCGTGGATTCATGGAGGACGGAGGAGGAGCATGTGGAGGGTTCTGGACACAAAAGAATGGTGTCTTCATCCGTCGCCAGTCCCCAATGTTGATAGTAGGTTCGTAAAGGGAGCTGTGAGTTTTCGCTCGAGGCTGATGCAGGCAAAGATGCATCGAGTAATCTCGCTTCCAGCTTATTATGGCTCACCCTGGGCAGCACCGGCCTTGGTGATCAACTGCAAAGCTGAAGACTCGAAAACCCTAATTGTGTGGAAACAACGGCTTCAACTGTTGACGATTCTCCACTCCTACCTCCCTCAGCTTCTGCACTACTGAGTACTAGGCAAATATGTTGGGTTCGGATCTGGGCCCGAGCCCTGGCGTATCCATTCCTCCCTCCAATCGAATTGTCAAAAACACCATGTCCTCGCTTGTCGATTCTTGATATCTGAATTCCCTATCTCGATCATCTCTTTGTGGCCAGGTGTGATATTGAAAACGACAAGCTCGATCGGAAGCGACTCACGACCAAGACAGGAATAATAATCCGTACTTCGTACGGAGCAATGTGCTCAAAGTACTCAGGGGTCGACAACTAGGATTATTGAGTTCTGAGTTGCCTCTGATCAAGTCTAGCTAAGCTCTCATTGTGTTAGATTGTAAGAGCAGGATTTTGTTCTGGTACGACACTGGATAGCTGCCACAGTCGTATGCCAATACCAGCTTTGAGCAGTGCGCAGAGGCAGCCGAAGACAAGGGGAACGTGCTCCGAGGGTAGTCCCCTTACGGGCAGTTCAGCAACCGATCATTTTCCACCTTGTCCTCAATAATTATCGGACGGCTAAAAAGTACGAGCAGGCCTCAGCTATGTTCACATCGGGTCACAGTCACTGCAAAGCCTTGTGACTCGCATTTGCGTACCAATTCGTCGACAAAAACCTAATCAGTAGCATCGAAGCTTCATACGAGCCTTGACTTTCGATGCCATAGTTAATAGGACGCTGGAGGCAACTCGAAATCTCTTAACACTTGGATACAGGGACAAAAGCTCACGAATGAAAATATAAGGCTGCCCTCTAGAAGATCGACGCTCCCCAATTTAGAGATCAAACGTCAAATCTTGCTCTGCTCTTGTCCGGAGAGACCATTAAGAACCCCGTCCGGACGACATATCGTTTGAAATCATAGCCAACACCGATCGAAATCAGACGGACGATGGAAACCCATTCTACCATTCATTACGTTCCAGCTGCATAATTAGCGAGTGCACATCTTCTGGTCAGCACCTCCAACGACTCCCAGCGAGTTTCACACTTGATTCGAACGCCGAGCCTTAGGAGGGACTTTTGTAAACCTCGCTTCGGCCCGCACGGGACTCACGACTCGACATCAAACCCTACCGATTTGGAACCTGCATATATTTCAACCAGTACGATGGCCTTTCAATGACCGGTGAACACCAGTTCTCATGTGATGAAGATGGCTTTGCGATTCAAGCCTACATCATTGGCCATTCGACTTCTTGATGGTTTCTTGCAACTGTTAACACGCGAGGGACGGAATGTCATGGAATCTACCATTGTTCCTCTCAAGCTTTGTTTTCGTGGTACTATCTATATACTGTGCGCACCATCTACAAGGCTTAGAGTCTCATGACCTCTTCGCTAATAAGACGTCACATCAAGGAGTCTAAAGATGGAACTTGGAATCGCCATTGCAGGAATCTTACCTCTGGCAGTGGAGTTCTCCAAAATGAGCAAAAGATACTACAAATCATTTCGAAGAGCACCCATAGAAGCACAACGCTTTGGCACCTTGATCGAAGAGATTTCGGACACCCTGACGATGTTCTGTAAGACGGCACGCGACGTAGAAGAAAGGAAAATCGCATTCGCGAGAAGCAGGAAGACGAAAAGAGCGGTAGCAAGGCTGAAAAGAGTAATGGAGGCGAGTATTCGAGAAATCCGACCGATCCTCAGGAAATTAAAACCCATTGGGAACCGCAAGTATCCATGGATCAAGCGAACAATTGCAAAAATCAACTGGGTCACCGGCGACGAGCGAGAAATCAAGAATTTGATGGTCAATCTCAACACCACAAAGCTGGATGTTGGTCTTCTTTTTAACATGTTCAGTGCCAACATCCAACTGAAGATCCTAGAGGAGTTGGAGAAAAACGGGCAACAAATACCGAAGTATCTTGTCCAAGAAATGTGAGCATCTGCTTCAGCCTCTGGGAGTGCTCAACTTGCTGATTGTTGGCAGAATACTCTTGAAAGAGCGGAACAAGATCCTCAACCGCAGATATAAGGAGGCTGTCAAGCAACGTGACGCGTTAGCAGCTTCCACTGTCACAAACAACACCAAAAGTAATCGGGAAGGATTTGCGAGCCTAAGCATGTCTTTTGGCCAAGATGTCCACGCAATAATCGAGGAGGAGATGCCTACCGTTGAGGCCACCATCGAAGAAATTGTGAAGGATCATAGCGGTTCCTCCACAATTGAGATCATAACGAGCAGCACAACGACGGATTTTAGTGCCCCAGGAAATGAGGTGAAGTTCAGAACAATTTACAATATGACTAGTGATGCTGACTTTGTACGGTAGCACAGCACCCAAGATATGGAGGAGAATACCTCGGAGGACATTATTGATGCGGACTCCTGTACAGGCAGTCTTTCGATAAGAGTTCAATTAGGCGTGCCAGAAGAATCAACATTGAGCCCATGTATATGCGGGACTACTGGATGCGGGTATCGGCGAACCCTCCACATCAGAAGCCAACAGTCAACATGAAGAGCCCAAGTGGCGAGGCTGACAGATGATTATATACTCAGGGGGTCATAGTTGCAAGAATTATCGCCATCACCATCGAGAACTGGGAATCTGCCACCTTTGATTTCATTCTCAAGGCAATCAATCTCGGAGTCCAGAAGTGTTAGGGAATCAAAACGATTCTCAACAATACACTGAAGAATCCTCGGTGGGTATATATATATATCAATTTACTAGAATCAATAAGCTTCGCAGATGTGTCGATCGATATCTAAATATGTGGGCGTCGTCCCGATAAATGCAGCGTCGGCTCATTGCTTTCCCGACAGAAGCATGATATTATACTTCTGCAGTAACCACGGTACAAATGATTGAGATATGTATTGCAAGAGTAGCACACTTGGCCACGCCTTATTATTATTGGAGTAGAGGCCGCAGAGCAACACTTGTCCCTGGATGATAATGCCGGGGTGTCCCATGTCTCCCTAACGACCACTTCGAATTGGAGCTCGCAGGAACGAAAACTTAGGTAGCATTCAGGTGTAGGCTTAGATGTCACATGATTAAACATCTCCCCCTGAATAGGCTGTATCATCTCCTGTACGGATCCCTTGATGTGGTCCATTCTTACCACTCTCCATAGAGTTTGCCGTTTGAACATGGAGTGGTAGGGGGGATATAAAAATGGGACAGGCACGTCATACCAGGACTGAGGAAGATTCCTGGCTGGCCCTCAGACATAGTCTCAAGAAAATAAAGGGAGGATCTTACGCACGCCTGTCGCAGCAACTGACTGGGAGAGTGAAGGATGGCCCTGCAAAGGAGTTTTTGACCAAATCACGGAGATAAGTGCCACTAAATTCGCCAGATACCCACCAAAAGGGCATCCTGACATCAGCGACGCGAATCAGAAGAAACTGCTGGTAAGAAAGATCCAAGCAAATGCTGCTCGGTGTAGAAGAGAGGAAGACAACGAAATTGGCTGGATCAATAACGTCGCTAGCTTGATTATCGATCGCTTAGATGGGTTTGATTTCGCTGGTACGTGAGCAAATGGTTGTGGACGTCTTTGGCTAACATTCCATGAATAAAAGCCAACTATGTGGCAATTACTTGTGGTTGCCGCAGCATATCGCTCTACCTAGTGATACGGTCGCCGCCTCCTGTCTGCTGCGATGAAATGCTAGCAGGAAACTTTGTCGTTGCACCGCTGCAGAAAGAGCCGATACAGTACAGTGAGTATTTTTCACTTTGATAAGCAGGGTCCTGTTCTGATTTCGAATAGAGTAAACCACATCCAGCCGTCAATATTTTCAAACAAATCAGATGAGTGTGTGATGCATAGAGAGGTGGTTGGAAAGACGAATCCCTAGATCAAAAACATCAGAGGCCTGATCGCGCATACGGTTTGAGTATGACAAGTTCCTTTGTGCGTTTCAGGGATCGCTTGACACGTTCCAGTCCGTACAAGGGCGCTCACACTTTGTTCCCTTTCCCGCTGATAGAGGCAAAATCTGAGAAGTCTGGGTCGGGTTTCGAACAAATCGAACGTCAGACTGCCTTGAGTATTCGCACGTGCCTTAAACTCCATCTAGACCCTGAACGGGAGTCAAACCAGCTTTTGGATCCCCTTGTGTGGTTCTCCGGTTTTGTGTGAGTGATCAATGGCGTCTATATTTAGCCTTCATGGCCGGCCACCATACTGTGAATACTCAATCTTCAGCTCTGGTAACCCTGATGGCACTAAGAAGTTCAGACTGTGGTCGATTGTTGGCACGGATATCTCCAACAGTCCGATCAAGCACTCCAACTGCTGCTCATAATTGATTTGATTTGCGGTTGGGCCAGAGATGTTCATCGAAAAGGAGTTCTCAGATGTCTCAAGGGATTCACGTCACGAGATTCTCCTCCCCCTGGAACAGTGTTCAAGGAAGTCGTTCAGTACGCGGACAATCCATTCTGCCAAATCCTCTTGTGTTCCGATCATCGCGACCGCCAAGCGCTGTACCAGAGGTTTTCCAAAGGAACCCAAAGATTGGCCCGATCATTGAGAATAAAGATTCGGATGTTGAGAAGATGCAAGGTGACATCCCAAAAACCTTGTTTGCCGAAGTTGAAAATTTAAACAAGTCCGATGGCAATGATCTTGAGGGACAAAGAGTTGTGCGTAGCACTGATGGCTCGAAAGTAGTTCGATGGAAGAATCTCGACATTCCGTATGATGAGTCTATCTTGCTAGAGCTCCTTAGCTCTCTTGAAGGCTTCGATTGTCTACAAGAGGCAGCGAGCTATCTCTAGGATGTACTCACGCGCTTGACGACAGTTTCTCAGTTGGTTCACGACCCTCCATCACAGAGTGCTTCTGACCTCGAAGATGATGAACCAGTCGCCACACTTCTATTATGTCAACATCGTCTTGTGGAGACAAGCTGGCAAATTATCTGCAGCTTTTGGTGCATTATGTGCAATCAATCAGCGGTACGTAAATTGGCAATCCTCGCCGCTATAGCAGAGTCCAAGCAGTTCAACCTGGTGTATTGGAGAGTCCACGATTGTGATTGCCTTTCGCCAGCACTTGCAAGCTTCGACAACTTAAAAGGCAAAGCCTGTGCGGCTGCCGCAATCTCGCAGGACATATACTGCATCGCCACGAATGAGTGTCGTACTGACGAAGGGCATTTGGTCTGGAAGAAGGCCGACCGGAGTGTCTTTGAACCACGACTTGATGTAATTGAAAACCTGCTGAAGAACGTCGAGGGCTCACGACAAAATTCGCTGCCTTCCGCAATACGTCGGAACTCCATCGCCAAAGACTTAGATCTAGGACTGTTCAACACGTCAGGCCTTGAGGACTTACACGGTGTGCTTTTAAAGAGACCGAAGACATGGCCAGCTACAAGCCCACTGTGGTGCTTCTTGACATTCGACACCAAACCAAAAGTTGATCTCAGTGCGCAAATCGCAGCATCCCATGCCAAAGAGCAATATATGCAACAGACAATTGGAAAAGTGATGACGATCAATTCCTATTGCAATGGGTACAAGACATGACGAGAGGACATAAGCGGCCACTACGTCTAGTGGACTGAGACAGACCACGTTTGCTGTCGGATCGCAGTCAGTCCCTGTATATTTACCATGCAAGAAGTGCTTGGACCAGTTTTGACAACTTGAAAGGGGGCGATTATCTACGGTGGAGTACACAAACTGTAGAGCCAATACTCAGCCTCGTAAAGTCCCGCTGAAAATCTTCAATTCTGGCTTTTGCACATCTCAAAGAACAATCTATCACATAATTCACTGTTAATTCTGTGCTTTGTCATTCAATTAAATGAATACCGTGTGAATTCACTTCCAAGAAAAGCACTAACAGTGTTCGCACCCCACTAATCTCACACGTTTATTTTTTATAAAACAATGAACTCTGAAAACCTCAACAGTAAGTTCCGACGTTCGTGCCCACCCTTTGGGTGCGAGCCTATATATAACTAAGAAGAGAGACCGTCGTCGTTGACTCCTCTGGAACGCCGAGCTTCTGATCTCGGCGCCGACATGGTGAACCTGCCTGACGGGTACACCAGGAAGACACCCTGTCGACAGCTCAGATCCGCTTCATTTGCAGATCTGACCATTTGGTAAGCCTTTGACAAACCCATATCCATCCCAAACAAACAAACAGAGTCCTCAAACTCTTGCCTTTTTCCCTTCACCAGCTGTCCTACGGCCTTCCTTCGCATCCTGTTGTCCCTCATGAAGCCCGTCCCCATTGCCGAATCCATGCAGAAGCTAAGAGGCGTCATGCAGAATTACCTGGAATATAAAGCCAAAATGGCAGCTGCTCAACCTGTCACCCACAGCATGGAAGAGGCCGAGCCACAGTTCATCTCCCGCAAGGTCAATGACGAAGTGGACACTGTCGCAATATCACCATTGCATCCTGAGTACATGGTCATCGGCACCTACCACCTCCTCTCCGTGGGCGAACCACGCGAGTACGATGCTCAGATGCGCCGTGGGACGATCCAAGTCATGCTGGTGTCGCCGAAATGGGCCCCTCGATACTCCGGCATGTTGCCGCCAACTCTTGACAAGCTCGTTTTCAAATGTGCAATTCTCGATATCCGCTTCCATCCAACCGATCCCTCAATCTTCGCGGCTGCAACCAGCACTGGTTACATGCACTTCTTTCGCTTTGTCAAACAAGGCGATGTCCTCGGCCGACGGGTGGTCACCAAATTACTTCCTCTGGGAGTTGTCAAGGTGGCAGATCCAGACGAGCACGGATTGGAGCCATCAATCACACAATTCAACTGGATCCCAGACATCAGCAACCACGGCATCCAAGGCATTGACGATTTTCACCGACTTAGCTTGGTCTATTGTACATCCTTCGGAGACACTAGTGTTGTCACCGCTGATGTTCCGGCCATCCACGACATCTTCGACCACCGCCTAGCCAAACCCGTTGCTAATCTCGAGCCTACAAATTACCACGTGCACAAGCACAAGCGCAACCTCGAAGCCTGGACTGTCGCCTCTGCTGTTCTTCGCACCACCCGTGAGAGCACCTATCGCATCATCTTCAGTGGTGGCGACGACGAAGCACTGATCGCGACGTCAATCGACCTGGGAAACACAACATCGCCATCTTACATCTTTGACGAATTCCCCACCATGAAGGTGGACTCCTGGAGAGACAGTCGCAGCCACGAATCCGGCGTCGTTGCAGTCCTCCCGCTTGCCAAAATGCACCAGCCCCTCGACGATGGCAATCACGGCATCAAATTGATCATGCCTTTCCTGACAGGCAGCTACGACGAACAGCTCCGCATCTTCGAGATGGACGTGTTGACGAAACGAGCCGTGCTAGTCAAGACGTCCCCAAAATTCGCGGGCGCCGTGTGGAGACTCAAGATCATGGACGAATACAATACACTGACGACCGAAGATGGCGAGATCAAACTCCTGGAGAACGAAGAGGAACACACCAACCTGCGCACCAAGCACTTCGGCGGCAAGCTCGAACACCACATCCTCCTCCTCGTCTCGCTGTCCCACGCAGGCGCCATGATCCTACGTGTGACCGCCGTGCGCGGCACCGTCGCCTCCGAGTGCAAGTGGAGCATGACCGAGCTCGTGAGATTCCGCGGCGACCACGAGAGCATGGTGTACTGCTGCGACGCGCGCCTCGAGCCTCCGCCATCCCTGTACCCCAAGTTCAGCTACAAGGCCGTTCGGAAGACCAGTCGCCCCCACAAAGACGAGCCTGCCCTGGGTCCCACATACACCATCGTCAGTGCCAGTTTCTACGACTGCAAAATCTGCACCTGGACCTTCGTCGATCGTCTCAAGGGCTGTGCACAGTTGAAGCCCATCGAGCGTGGGGAGAAGTCAGATCGCGCCGCGAAGCCGGGATTCAATCGCATTCCATATTAGTGAATGATCGGTGCCTTTGAATGAGAGAGACCTTAAGAGCTGGAGATTGGAAATGCGCATATAACTGGATGAAATCACGACACTTGGCTGCTTGGAAAGCATGATTGATGCACAGACACACACATACAGCACGAGAATTGAATCCCTCCTCCGTGCTCAGACGACACAAGGCGTTGAGGAAACACTGAACGTACTTGGATGGTGGAAACCGGCCAGAAAGGTCGAGGCGCAAATGTCAGCCATTGCGGCGGACGAGCTTGGAAAACTGAAGAAATGAACCGGCGTACGACAGAACAGCAGTCACAAGGCGATGATGGAAAGCAGAATGATCGGCATCATCACTTGCTTTCTGAATAGGTATTCATGCAGATAGGATTGTCTATCATAGGAGAAGACTCGAAATGAGAAAATCCATCCCATGCAAACAAACTCTATGCCCTTGTAGCCCGGCTGAACCCTGTGATCTTGTAACACCACGCCAAGCTATGTGTTCTATGAGTACAAGTGTTGATCTCCCAGAGGACGCTGCCTCCCTATAACTCCATGGATCAATGGGCAGGCGTTGGTTGGGCAGATTATACAATCATCTCCAGTTCTCTGGCGTACCCGACCATGTGATTGATGACTTCCTTCTGGTCGCCGTCTTCAGCCTTCTTCGCGTCCTCCGGAACAGGGAAATAGATTCGCCCTTCTTCTAGACTCCAGCCCTGGTCATTAGCAAACTCCGTGACCGCGCCTTCGGAATCCAGGAAGAGCAGGTTCTTCGCTGAGGCTATAGGTAATGAGGGATATGAGCGTGCTGCGCATGAGGCGATTTCAAGACGGATGGTGTTGATGAGAATCTGGATTCAGGAAGTTAGCAATCGTACTGTTTGCGGATCGCCTCGTTCAATCAAACTTACGTCAGAAAACAGGGCAAATTCCTCGCCAGGCACGTCTCGACCATTTGTTTTCCTCCATACCTGATCGTAGCTTCCCTCCATCAGACTCCGTTCCAGCTCGACGGGATATTTTATGAATTGATCTTCCTCCACTGACGATCCTCCATTCGCACCTTCCGCAACGATCAGAGATTCAAGAAGCGTGTGGAAGCCAGCATAGTCGCCCTGACTCAATAAAAGCAGTAGATAGAGCCCTGTGATCTTTGATCTCTCTCGTGAAGGCGATTGTTGAAGGCCTGGATAGTCGTAGAATGGTTGTAGTTGGGAGTAGTATCTGATGAAGGAACCTGGATCTCTTGAACGGATGGACAGAAGCGCACCCACTTCCAAGATCGACCGAGCTGTTGCCAGAGTAGGAGCAGGGGTTTGCTGTGACGGGATCAAGGCATTTTGTTGTAGAAGAGCTAGTTTCGCCTTTTGTAATTGTGATTGCGCATGGGAGGAATCGCCATGACTGAGAGATTGCTGTAGGACGTGGAGGATGGATTCGAGGGAGCTCGACTGTGAACCTATCGCTGCAGGCATCTTGAAAAAGGAAATACTCTCGAGGTCACCTTAGGCTTGCGTGTTCAAGGTTGTATTGGACCAACGATGAGTGTGAGGCTATCTCGGATTCGGGACGATGAGGCGGATCTCAACGAGTGCAGACTGGCGATGGCGAGAGATTGAGAGCCTCTTTTGCAGACCAGGGATATAAAGACAAGAGAGGAGGACGCCAGATGTCCAAGGCCGCGTGAAACGATGTTGGTGACGAGTAAGGAAATAGATGTTTACAAGTCTATCAAGATCATCGACATGCACTGGCCATAGGCATTTGGAGTGATTGCGACTCTCGCTCCAGCCTGCGCCAAGCCCGCCGCCTCAAGAGTGAATTCATAAGCTAGCCGTATTTGGACGTCAGCCTTGCGGAAGTGCACCTACTGTAGGTATGCATTGCAACACAAGTAGTACCTGTGTACTTCGTTCTAGCTAGTGAAAAGTGCTATCAAGGTCAGAGAAAAGGCTGTCCCACTCCGGCATCTCTAAATTCGGACCCAGTTGAACATAGTCTCTCCACACCGAGTCGATCTCGGAGGGATAGCTCATCGGATCTTCAAGACTGTCCCAGGGCTCTGGAACGATGCCAATCTGCTCTTCTATGGTTTGTGACTTCAAAAGAGGCCGATCACCCTCAGTGTTCGAACGATCGTTATCGTCGCCAGTACACCGGCGGTTGAGCAGGCGGACTTTGTGCTTTCGAAGAACATTCTCCAACGATTCGACAAATTTGCTGACAATCTGGGACCGACATTTGGCTTCTTCAAGCAATTTCAAGGCTTCGATGACTTCAGTCTTGCGTTCATCATCATCTTCGCGGCCACGGTTAAAACACAAATCGGTCACCAAAACTATTGTCGCCATGAAGATGTGGTGAGAGATCCCCGTGAGTTTCACATCAGTCCCGAACAGTGGTCCCGATTCTTGTTCAACCACTCTTTTCATCTTGATCACACTGCGCGCTGATCTGAGTGAAACTTCCCTCGAATATTTGTACTCTTGGTGAACGGACCCTCTAATGAGAAAGGGCTGGTGTAGTTTGCAACGTCTTGTAAGTGCTACCATTGCAAACGAGAATCTTTGAGCCCGTAATTGAGGGTACTTTAACAAGACATCTTCACTCCTCTTCCGGTTGTGCTCGTCAGTTTTTAAAAAGTATGGCAAACCTTCCAACAACGCCTCAAACCGTCGGTCCAGAGTAATGATGTCCTTGTAATCTATTGCAGAGATATCCACGCTCAATAAAGGGATTGCATCGGCGACACTTCGGCATAAATCGGCCAGATTGATGCGCTGTAAGTAGTATGACATTGTGCTAGGGGATGATATTGGTTGGTCGAGACTAGGATCTTGCGTAATATCGTCATCATCGACGTTTCTTGGTCGATTCACCAGCATATGCCGGGTCTGCATCGTATAGGTCCCTTCCTGAGGACCGCCACTGAGTGCGAGAAGCCTAAGTGGTCATCAGTATAGTTCGTGTCAACTGTATTCGGTAGAGAACAGGAGACTTAAATTGGCAGCTCGGCAAATTGAAGGACTCAAGGATGCTCACCAATCAGTGGCAACGACATGCCAGATAATTCTCCTCTTCACTTCAAGATATACCGGGTCTTCACGGGCCCGAAATTCTGAAGATCGAATACCTGGACCATCTATTTTGTGCAGCGAAAGCTCACGCGCGGCACAGAGGGCCGAACTAAAAAGACCTCGGGTTCGCACAGAAAATCCTTCAAGATGATACAGGAGGAATGACAAGAGTATCGTGGCTTGGACATCCTCAATCTGACCGGCAGAAGTTCGACGAGAGATTTCCAACATCTCCAAAGCACTATTGGTCCAAAACAGCGACGAATGGAGGGCATCAGTCTCTGACGCTTCAAGTTGTACCTCGGTGACAAAGTACTGGTACATTGCTGCCGCACTTGCGAGTATCGCCAACAATAGTGCGAGTTGTCCAGAGACTAGTTGCTCCGGATCTTGGTAATGGGAATAAATATCATCCATCATTGTTTTAATGCGTGGTAGATATAATACATGTTGGAGGCTGTCAATATAACGAAGGTACATGTCGAGAAGAATGTTTGCGTCTGTGCTTGAGGGCAGATAAAAACATCTTCGCTCGGATTGAGAAAGGGCATGATGACCACTTGATCGATGGAGATAAATGGCCGAAATATCGGATATAGGAAGTGTCTGAACTGTGAAGCATTGGCCGCGAGGTCCTAGCCAGAAATTCGTATCACGAGTGCCAGTGCCCTCAAGCGACTGAACAGCTTCTTCGTATTCCGATGCCCACGGAGAGACAGTCTTAGAGGGAAGTACCATCTCACTAGTCATTGCTGGAGGGAGCGGAGGCCCACTTGCTGTGTGATATGCAGAATGAGGCGAACCAAGAACCACTTCTTCCAGCCGCTTCAGCCTCTGTAAGATAGATGCATTCTGGGCATCCGTTTCTGCTGGCAGTCGCGGTAAGTGACCTGCTCTCTGGTCAGTTATCCATAGTTGGCCACTCCTTGGCAGATGCGAGAGATGAGCTGCTATTAATGTTCTCCCTCGGGGATTCCTACGACTGTCACAACTTACTAGGACTTTGAATCTCACACTCGAGACCTCGAGTCGCACAATTGGAACACGGAGACTCGCGGTTACATTTGAGCTTTTTGGAACGACAAAATCGACACGATACCGGATCTTGTCGTGGTCTTTTCAGTGGATTGGCTGACATTCCAAACGACTCGAACGACTTCTCCAGAATCAGGATACTCTATGACAGCCACAGAGTAAATCATGCCAGAGTCGTTGGCACCCAATTCTAATCACGTCGCTTCCGGTACCAGGTCCAAAGTCTGTAAGCTGATATTTGGCGACGCTTGTCCTAGATCGTGACTGCTGAGAATACCTAGGTCGCTGGGAGCCGTTTTCACGCAACGCAATACCGGAGAGGCAGGTTTCATCTACCTAGGTAGGTATCTTTGGTAGGCCTGAGGGATCGAACTTGCTGTAACTACCTAGGTAGTTCTGGAGCCAAATAAGCTGGCGTCCCGCTAGTTTAGCCGATCATCAAAAGTTTGGCGCCGCTTTTGTCACTAGCAACAACACAATCCCTTACTTCAACCTACATCTCACACAGAGAGATTCTCACCATTTCAATTTAATGGTCACATTGTGTGGGTCTTGCCGCCGTCAAAATTCGAGATCTCGTTGGAGCTCTCTAAATTCTCGTTCAAAATGCATCGGAGCCTAACAGTCCGAGATTTAATGTTTGCAGACAATTCTTGCTACCTCGACAGCTGAACGAGAAAGAAAGGTGTTGTTACAGTCCGAGTCAGGAATGCTAGCAGTTGAGCTATTTGTGAATGGATTTCCTTGTCGGGGAGCGAGGCTATTGGAATCTTGATCGACCATTAGATCCTCTGACATTCAAAAATATCGACCTAGGGTTGCTGTTTAATCTCCAACTCCTGGTATCGAGAAGGCGAAATCCTGATGGGCTGTTGATTGGAACGAAAAGAACACCATATCGGTCGTTGGACATGCGAGTTTCTAAGGTTTGCTTCAAGAAACTGAGTATTACTTCGACCGATAACTTTGTTTTCATCATACTCTCCCAGGACCACGTTGTCCCCTGTCCATATGAAGCTCCGGAATGTTGACTAGGCCCCACCTAAATTCTTAGGCAAATACCGGTGTAACACTGCAGTGCGCACCGCTTTCAGATCGGCTTGATTCAGGTTCTAACCTGAAGCGCCAAAGAATACACATTGTTCATGATTATCAGCATCCACTCTCAAGCATTTCGGTTTGGTCTCAATTTACCGGAATGCTTCTCGGCCGTGTATCTTCGACTCGTTATTTGATCATAGTCATTGTGTTTTTGGCCTTGCTCTTCTCCCTGTTTCCTCATACTGAGGAGGAGAGGCGACCAACACTTAATGTCACCAAGAGCAGCTTCGATTGGTCGGCCTTGAGGCCATTTCATGATCCGAGACCTCTGAGTCCCAGGCCATCGGGTAGAATTCAACGCCTCCAGCGTGTCCAGCACAACTTTCCCAAGAAGAAGGCTTCTCACCGAAAAGTGCAAGAGAGTCGGCGTCATGCCATCAAAAAAAACTTTCCAGAGAGGCTGGAAGAGTTACAAAGAGTATGCATGGATGAAAGACGAGCTTACTCCCCTCTCCGCCAAGGGTAAGAACACATTTGGTGGCTGGGCAGCAACATTGGTTGATTCATTGGATACGCTGTGGATCATGGACTTGAAGCAGGAGTTTTGGGAGGCAGTTCAAGCGGTAGCGATGATCGATTGGGCTGAGACCGAAGAAACGGCATGCAACCTCTTCGAGACCACCATTCGCCACTTAGGAGGCCTTCTCGCCGCATACCAGCTGAGTAACGAACATATTCTTCTGGAGAAGGCTGTTCAGTTAGGGGATATGCTGTACACGGGGTTTGATACGCCTATTCGACTACCTGCATTCTGGGTAGATTCGAGAAAGCAAAGAATGGTCAGCTGATCGCCGACACTCATCAGCCATCAGCTAGTCTTGGGAGCTTATCAATGGAATTCACACGACTCTCTCAGCTTACTCACGATCCAAAATACCATGACGCTGTTTCGAAAGTTTCAAGCCTGCTGCACCAGACCGAAAATGCTACAGTATTACCTGGTATGTGGCCAACCTTTTTCAATCTAAAGGAAGGGATCCTCACAGAAGACAATACCTTTACACTCGGAGCGCTAGCCGACTCTTTGTACGAATATCTCCTCAAAATGCATCCTTTACTTGGTGGTAGCGACTCAAGATACGCAGACATGTATTTAGCTGCGGCCGAAGCGATCAAGAATAAACTGTCATATAGGCCCATGACCCCAAACAACGACGATATTTTTTTCACAGGTACCTACCACGTCGAATCGCCCTCCTGGCTCGATCCGGAAGGACAACACCTTGCGTGTTTCACGGGCGGGATGTTTGCTCTTGGTGGTCGTTTCTTCAATAACCAGGAGCATATCGACATCGGCATTAAACTCACTAAAGGCTGTATCTGGGCATACAAGGCTTTCCCCACAGGTATCATGCCCGAGATCTTCAGTCTGGTAACGTGCAACACTCTAGCTGGCTGCGTATGGGACGAGGGAAGATGGCAGCAGGCTGTCGCAGATGATCAAGAAGGTCATTTGTCACTGCCAAAAGGATTTCGTAATGCTCGAGTACCATCTTATATCCTTCGCCCCGAAGCTATTGAGAGTGCATTCGTGCTGTACCGAATCACTGGTCTGGAGGAGTTCCAGAACGCAGCGTGGGACATGTTTCAAGCTATAGAAACCGCCACTTCTACGCCCTTTGGAACGCTGCGATCGACAATGTCACCGTTTCGGGTCAGCCATCACAACGGAACTCGATGGAAGTAAGTCAACCAAAGTCAATTTCTACTGTACTGAGCTGACCTTATCTTCACTAGAGCTTTTGGCTTGCTGAGACACTGAAGTACTTATACCTCATATTCTCCTCGCCTGATCTTGTTAGTCTTGACGACTGGGTGTTCAACACGGAAGCACATCCTTTCAAGATAATGAAACCCTGAGTAACAGGCCAACCATCAAATGTGGATGATCTACTCGTGGCTAGACCACCAATCACACTCAGCTATCCTTCCCAGGCGTCCCCGACTATTCAACCGTCAGAGCTTTTGAGGAGCTACGCTGACACTGAGAGGTGAAGCCGAGCCACACTAATGACGTTGTGTCTCATGTGGAAGCGCCTCAAGCCTAGCAGCTTCTCTCGCTGGATGCACCCAATGCAAGCAGTATGAGCCAACCCTACACTTACCTTATTAGTGCTGGAGCAACAAGGGATTCGGGTACTTTAGCGACTCTGTCGTTCGTGTTTGTACTCACATAATGAAGGGTGTTTGGTTCTGCCCATTTCGTCAGCAGTTTTGGCTGATGGAACGTCAGTTTCCATTTCGGTCTCCTCAACTGCCACGGCGGCGGTGGAAATGCTGGGCGCGGGTGATCAAGCGAATGTTAGCTACATTCACGAATTGGCCGCTAGCATTCTCCTGGTGCCCCCAACAGGTCCATAGTGGTTGGCAAGGGGGACTACCTAGGTACTTCTGAAGCATGCAGTTGTCTTGCGCCGGACGGTAACTCCAGGCAGTGGATGTCGGGATCGTCATTGGCATGGGAGCAGCCTACCATACTGGGAAAGTGACAATGACACTCTTACAATGCTATATCCCGACCTACCGCTTGTTGAGGGATGGACTTGACCTTCAAGGAACGAAATGGGCTCTGGCGAAGCCATATTTGGGGCTGATTCTGGTTACAGTAATGTTGTATATTTAGGTACTCATTGGACAATTGGAATAACTACGCCATCGATGACCTATGAACTCCTCTACTGCCAGCGAAAAATCCATCTCCGCAGTCCATGCACAGGCATTATTGTATCTCGCCCAGTAAAAGAGCATTCACCGTGGAACCAGCCAAACCCACTGGGTGCCCTCCATGTCCGACCCCCTTCAGGCACTTCCGTGGATGATGCTAATTCCTTCCAAAGAAGCACGGAGCCATCCCTGCCATGTCCAGAAACAGCAATTCCACAGGCCAGAAGAAGCGATGGACCTGCATTTTCGCCAGCCAGCAGTGGTTTCTGGGATGAACATTTCCGCCTCGGTGCCGGGGTGCGTCGAATCATGGGCGTGCTGGCTAGCCTTCTCGGGGTTGGACTTCGTGCTACGGAATTCGCATCCTTCACGCTATTGTTCCGGAGTACGAGGACGCTGTGAACCAACCGTCTTGGCCCCCCCGGCTTGATGTTGATGGCTGCCAGTTACTCGCGCCTCGGGCTCGCATGTGCGTCGATTTTCCGGGTTTGGACACTAAGATTAATACCACATTGGACGATCGAGACTGTCCTCGTCGTTGCTCATTCTATGGTACACCGCGGATTAGGAGCCCGAGTATTGGCATAAAGGTACCTCTTTCGGCACAGTTCATCGATGATTGTGGGAGGTTGCAGATCTAGCATACTAGGCTAATACACTTGTATGTGTGATGCGGTTCATCTTATTTTCTCACCCTTCTAGCATGCCTTACAAGGTTCTCAATGACACCTTCAAAAGCCTCTTTTTCTTTCCTGAGACCATCTCTCCTCTTGAGCCAGTATTCTAATAACTCTGATGTCTTCTCTGATGTCTCCGTCAACTGTTTCACGTGGGCTTGTAGCTCTTCATCTGTAAATCCATCCAGTTTTTCGTCCGTAGTTGCACATAGTCGTTTGACAGAAACAAGGTCAAGTTCCGGTGGTGGTGGTGCACCTTTGGAACGTTTGGGACGACTGGATCGCTCTTTCGTACCAGACTGCGTGCTATCCACTGAACCAGTGGAATCGTTGGCCGCCTGAGCCTTAAGTCGTGCGACAGATCCTAGAGCCTTGTCGGATTCAGACTTGCGTGATGATGGTTCCAAGTTGATGTCAGGGAGTATCAGCTTTTTCTGCTTCGACGGAGGTAGTATTTCGTCCAAGTCAACTGGAACTCCTAGGCTGACGAGAAAGAGTCGTCTAATCCGAGATTGGGTCCAGTTGGGTGGTTGGAGTGGAGGTGGTGTTACAAGTTGTTTCCAAAGGGAACGTGAGCGGTCTGAAGGGAAAATTGGTGATGATTCAGGAATAGGATCCGGCTGTTGAATTGATGCGATTATTTCGCCAGTAGACTTCGGGAACATAGCATCGAGATGCGCTTGTGTGGCAACAAGTAGATCAGGTAGAGATGATAAAGCGTCGAAGTTTATCAGGGGCTGGATGCAGACGACTATCAGCACAAATAAAGGGAAATAATGAAAGGTAGGAACACGTTCGACTCACGAAAGTCTCGGCAGGTATGAAATTGGTTTGTGAGGTAGATACAGGAGGTGTCTTCACAGTATCCGCTTCAGCTTCAGCTTCAGGCTCCTGGAATTCTTCATCGAAATCCCCAAAGTCGTCATCAGCCCCGGCTTGAGCACCTTCCTCAAAGTCATCAAAATCATCTCCCATGTCGTTTCGACCCTCCTCACTATTGGAGTCATCATTTCCATCGTCGTTGTCATCGTCGTCGTTATCATCATCATCGTGCTGAGGCATTGATGCCTTTCTTGAATGTTTCATCGAGCTTTCGAGAGAGGGTGACCCTGGATGAGGTCAATGGCCCTCCTGGGTTGCGACGTTAAACGTTGGGATTACCTTGATCGGTGGGCTTCTCCCGGAAATCGGGCGAGGCATCCAAGGCGCGTTTCTTTTGTGCAGCTGTTCCTGGAATCTCACCATGGGCAGGCTTGTCATCCACGGGAGTGATTATGGTCTCGGGAATAGAAAAGTTGGAGGTCGAGCGTTGGTGGCCGGATGTGGGTTGGGAGTCTTCAGTATAGCTTGCTCGCTTGCCTGGGGCAGGTGTCTTGAGAATGACGTCTGGGGCGGCATCCATTTGTCTCTTGATATATGCAGAAGTGCCCGGCTCTTCGCCATAACTTGTGCCTTCTGGGTCTAACTTCTCCACCACTGTGCGAGGTATGAGGGTTCCCCCTGGGCTCCTGGGAGGCTCCAGATACTGGCTGCTTCTTTTACTTCTGAGCCCGGGCTCAGGAGAGAGAACTTCGACCTCATCGGGTACAGCATCAAGGATCCGCTTTGAGTAGGCAGGGGTTCCAGGGACCTCGCCATAACTGGGTTCATTATCGATGCGCTCTACGCGGGTTCTAGGGATTGGTGAAGCAGGAGTGACTGGTCTGGACCTTCTTCGGCCTTCAGAAGCATCCGAGAAGTATTCTTCACCATCGGAGGACACTGGAAGAACTTTAGCATGCGACTAAGGATCATGATTGACCCGGCTTACGATCATGAGCGCCGGGATCTTGCAATTCGACACTCTTCCTAGGGGGTTCAAGGCTGTTTCTTGAGGCTGGTCTTGACATTGTACTTTTATAGAGATGTAAAAGCAACCAAGACCAGGTATTTAGTGAGATGAATCAATAGCATTCAGCTACAGAAGGTAGGATTAGAGAGGCTGAGAAAGAGGTGCTCCGTAGGCATTGAGGGTGGTGCCAGTTACAATGGTGGTTGACTGACCGGAGTTTGATAGTTTGGGGGTTTGGCATCCCGATTCTCCATTGGGAACAGCCGCCCCGCGAACTACTAGCCGCAGACGCAGCGGTAGCCGCCGCGACTGACTGCGATTCAGTTTAGTTTGGATGGATACATTTTTGTCCCCATCGCGCCTGCCTCCAGAGAATCACCACAAGCGCGTCAAACCAGGGACTTCACCAAACATCTCCATCTCAACAGCAGCGCAGTTCTTCTACAACGCCTTGCATCCTCCTTCTCTTCTCCATCAACTTGCGCAATCCAGCACTTTCATCTTAGTTGATCTGTCACCCTCCTGTGCGCCTCACCTTTTCTGCGGCAATGCCCATTTCCTAGTATCACCCAAGCCTGCGTTAAAAGACATACACAAAATATGACTTCACCCTTCAGCTTCGGCGCGCCCGCGTCTTCAAGTGGTGCTACCGGGCAATCATTGTTTGGAACAGCAAACAAACCAGCAACCTCCGGCGGTTCCTTGTTTGGCAATACAGGCACAACTGCTCCGGCCACTGGCAGCACGACTGGGTTTAGTTTTGGCGCTCCCTCACAGTCCTCGTCAGCAGCAAACAAGCCTGCGTCTCCGGGGCTGTTTGGCAATGCAGGCGCTACAGGCGCTGCAAGCGGTGGTGGATTCTCATTTGGCCAGAATAAACCAGCAGAGAACAAACCTAATGAGGCACCGAAGTCGCTTTTTGCGGGATTTGGCACTCCAGATAAGTCAGCTGCACCAACAACATCTGCACCGTCTCTTTTTGGCTCAACAACACCTGCTCCAGCCTCTGGTGGTGGTCTTTTCAGTTTTGGCAATCCTTCCACCACGCCTGCTGGGCCTCCACCATCCACAAACACCTTTGGAGCCAGCACTGGCGGGGCTGGACTCTTTGCTCCCAAACCTGCACAAGAGTCAAGTCAAAGTTCTGGGTTCAGCTTCGGAAAACCTGCTGCTGCAGCTGCTCCTTCGCCAGCTCCTACCCAGCCCGCTGGTGGAATTCTAGGATCTAAGCCTGCTGCGAGTCCCTTCAGCTTCGGAGCCCCCTCCAAACCTGCAGACACTCCCGCGCCTTCACTCGCTGGGGGTGCTGCATCACAAGCTAAGCCCGGGTTCTCTTTCGGAGCGCCTGCGTCGTCGGCCTCGACATCAGCTGCACCTGCACAAGCCCCTACTCAACCCACGTCTTCGACTCCGTTGTTTGGAGGCGCACAACCCGCCACACAAACCACATCAAGCTTGTTCTCCAAACCCGCAGTGCCGGAAAGTGGCGGAGCAAACAAAGCATCTCCATTCGCGCCAGCCTCTACACCCGCTTCAGGACCAACACCACCAGCGGGTACGGGTACTGCTCAGAAGCCTCTTTTTGGAGGTCTCAACCTAGGTGGCGCAGGTACTTCTGCTGCTACGTCCACTGCCAACACTCCGGCTGCGGCCACAACTACTTCGACAGCGGCTCCATTCTCGTTCCCTTCTGCAACAGCTGTCTCGACGTCACAACCGCCAGCAGCAAGCCAATCTGCTGCAACTGGCGGTTTCAGTTTTGGTCCCAAAACAACCACCTCAGCTTCGCAATCAGGAACATCAACGACTACTGCGACACCGCTGTTTGGCCTTGGGGCTGCCACAGCCACCTCTTCTTCAACGTCACAACCTGGTCCTACTGCTGGAACAACATCCACAGGGCTCTCAGGAGCTGGTCTCACAGGATCTGCAGCAGTAGGTGCTCAGACTTCGACTACGGGACCTGCACCTCCTGCACAATCGCGTCTCCGCAACAAAACCATGGATGAGATTCTGACACGGTGGGCAACGGACATGTCACGGTATTCCAAAGAGTTCAAAGACGATGCCGAGACCATTGCACGGTGGGATCAGATCATTGTGGACAATTCATCCAAGATTGACAAGCTGTATGTGCGAACGCGGACATGTGAGCGACAGACCATGAGTGTCGACATGCAACTTTCTGCGATTGAGAACCAGCAAGCCGAGTTGGAAAGCTGGCTAACGAAATATGAAAACGATGTTGATGAGATTTTGGCCAAGGATGGTGGAAATGCTAATGAATTGGGAGGACCTGATCAAGAACGAGAACGAACATACAAGCTGGCGGAGAAGCTTGGAGAGCGACTTGAGGAAATGGAACGTGATCTGGGAAGTATGGTGGAGGAAGTGAATGCAGCCAATACCAGCTTGAGCAAGAATGGCAAGGCCGATGAACCGGTAGGAAAAACACATCTCAACACTGTGACCGACCTACTAACCATGGGCAGATTACACAAATTGTGAAAATCCTCAATTCTCACTTGATCCAGCTCCAAGCTATCGATCAAGGCACAGTAGCTCTTCAAGAAAAGGTGGCTACTGCCCAGAAGTCTGCAAGCAGTATGGGTTATCTCAATGGATCAACGAACGGTAGTGGGAGTACTACTGTTCAGGATTTCTACCGCAGCTATATGGGGCGGAAATGAAAGGTGTCAGGTTTCAGTGGTGTTTAGTATCGGGCTTTCTGGGAGGCACAATCACAGGGTGCGAGGCGGAAGGCTTGTGATGAAATCTATCGACCTGAAGTCGATCCAAATGTGTAGAATAGAGATAACACCCTCGAAGTTCGTTGGAAACATGCTCGGAGGAGAGTAGAATTATCATTGTGGTCCTGCAAAGTTCTGTACAAACGGAACTGCCAAAGGATCATCTGGTTGACAGCTGTGCATCGTAAATGCGGCCTCGGTGGTATCAATGGTTCGGTCCAGACTGGCTTTCACCTCCCTTGTTGCCGCAATCGTGGTTGGGTTTCTCGGGCAAGCAGAAGCTATAATTTAATGATGCTCGCCACCAGATCTCTCAGCCTCCATATCTTTGATGTGTTGATCCAACTTGTTCAAGTGCTCACGTTGAGCTTCAAGCTTCTCTTTCAGCTTCTTGATGCTATTTTGTCGAATACTTGTTAGCCAACAGTCCTTGATAGAATGTTTGATGTGCTGTAAGAGTAACGAAGCGACGCAGTCTCGTCGTACCTTTCCAGTTCCTTGTCTCGGATATATTTTGCTTCGCTGGCTTGCTCACGCTTGGTGAAAGCATCACTGGTCACCGTCATGTTAGCCAGGGCCAGATAGATGAATACCCGCTGATACAAGGCAAGTTGTTAATGTTGACATACCTTGATGCTGAGCCACCAGATCTTGGGGCACCAGTATCACCTTCAGCAGCCCTCATGACGGTGGAGGAGAAAGATCTCCGCACCACAGGAGTGGCTCTTGCGAGCTTGACGACTTGTGTTCGTAGCATCGTGGAGGCTGAAAGGGGAAGAGAGGTTGGGATGCAAATCGATGGTTGAGATGGATTGTGTTCTTGAGTGCACGAGTGGTAGATTGGTTGTTCGACAGTGCCTGCGGAAGCTCGCTTGAGGTTGCAAACGGGCCAACCAAACAGCCCTGGTAGGTATGACGACCCTAAGCTAATCATCACGTGACACGGGACTCCTGAGGAGGTGGCAGACTGGCATTGACAACTAATTACTCCTAGGTGTTCGAGCAGCTGCACAGCTACATCATTCCGATCAATATGTGCGACTATTTATGATGCCTATCCAGGTAGATTCAGGCGTAGTCTGCCCCTAGTAGTACTACGATGTCTACACGCGAATAGCTGGGCGAGAAATGTTGATGGAAACAAATGTTGGACTACCAGCAAACCGCCTGCCAAACAAGGTCCTGTCAATTAAGATTGGTGCCATGAGACCTGGGATTGGCAAGGCTTGAAGCTGAAACACACGAATAAATGTGGCTGATTCAGGTTTCAGGCTTCCAAAATTGGGTTTTCAAAACAACAGTTCGGTGAAGGAAGTGAGATTATTGATACAACTGGGCGTACTCAGGATCCGTACATACGTCACCATGGGAAGACAGATGGCGCCATGCCGGATCGGGTCAAGTATTGCGTCTTTTCAGGTTGTGATTGCCCGTTGAGGTGGTTGCCCACTGACATTGGCATTGGCCCGATTGCTCCTTCCCTCTTCCCCTACAAACCTGCGCCCTACCTGCCCTTCTGGCCCATACCAACAGGTTCGCTTCCCCTACCGCTCTTGCCCACTTACTATCCACTACGCCTGCTGCTCCTGCCACTATCCCGTGTCTCCTACTGCCTGCGTTCTGTTCTTTACACACAACAACTTCCACCTTCTCTTTCAATCCCACACTTCTACCACTCCATTCCAAATCTCTTCTTCCTTTCCTCCTCCTCGTCTTCATCCACCTCTTCGTTGACCCTCTGGTCTTCTTCGTCTCTCAATTCCCTTGAAAGGTAAGCTTCCCTGCAAGATCCGATCAATCTCAACCCACAACAAGGGGGTACCTTCTGCCCCACGTCTTCAGCCGCGATCATTCTATGTTCAAATGCGCTCCAAGGAATCATACCTATGATCGCAAGACCAATGCCCATCTTTGATTGCATGAGGCACTACTGTTCTATCCATTCCTCCCTCCCTCATCACCGTCCATGTGCCCTGCTCAACGCAATCTCCACGTTTGACGTCAATTCCATCCTCCAAAGCTCGTATTCCCCAATGGTCACCTGCATCGACACCACACTTGGCGGGATGCGCAGGAAAGGCACAGGGTCGACCACATTCTCTTTCATCGAGCTTGCAGACTGTTCTCTGCTTCTGGTTCACACCGCATTTTGCATCTCTTGACGTCTTGTGAATTTTGGGCCACGCAAAATTACATCCGCTGATCATTCGTCCATATAGGTGTTATTTAATTCATCTCCTTCCACGTCGTAAATCTCAAAATGGGTGTGGAGGAGTCCGTCTATCTGGCAAAGCTTGCCGAGCAAGCTGAGCGATATGAAGGTGGGTCAAACTTGAACTGCGCCTCGAATCTTCTCTGATGAATTCATAACAGAAATGGTTGAGAACATGAAGGTTGTTGCTTCCGCAGATCAAGAGCTCTCAGTTGAAGAGCGAAATCTTCTATCTGTCGCCTACAAGAACGTCATTGGAGCCCGACGTGCTTCCTGGAGAATCGTCACATCCATTGAGCAGAAGGAAGAATCCAAAGGCAATGAACCCCAAGTCAAGCTCATCAAAGAATACCGTCAAACAATCGAAAAGGAACTTGGCAAGATCTGCGAAGATATCCTTGAGGTTCTTGACAAGCATTTGATTGCGTCCGCTCAAACTGGCGAATCCAAAGTCTTCTATCACAAGATGTCAGCACATCACAGGCCATTCCCACCCAGAACATTGCATGTGCTAACTTTTTTCTTAGGAAGGGTGATTATCATCGTTACCTCGCCGAATTCGCTACCGCCGATAAGCGAAAGGAATCTGCTGATAAGTCCTTGGAGGCATATAAGGCTGCCACCGAGGTCGCCTCCACCGATCTCGCTCCCACCCACCCTATTAGACTTGGTCTTGCCCTCAACTTCTCCGTCTTCTACTACGAGATTCTCAACTCCCCTGATCAAGCTTGCCATCTTGCCAAGCAAGCCTTCGACGATGCTATTGCCGAGCTTGATACTCTCAGCGAGGAAAGCTACAAGGATTCCACACTGATCATGCAACTTCTGAGAGACAACTTGGTATGTGTTCCCACTTCGATCATGCCCAGCTTGTTGCTAACAACTTTGCAGACTCTCTGGACCTCCTCTGAGGCAGAACCACAGGAAGCCGCGGGTCAATCGAGTGAGCAGCCAAAGGCCACTGAAGATGCTGCTGCACCAGAGCCTACCGCCGCCGCCGACAAGGCCGAGTAAGCGGTTTGGGTTCTTAGTTCTTCTGAGGCGTCATTTGTGATATCCCAGGCTGTGCTTAAAAATGGGGATTGCGTGGGTGGTTTTTGAACAGCTGGGCCACATCCGAGTAACCTTCGACCTTTCCTTCCCAGATACTTTCCTCTTGATATCCATCGATCCCAAGATAGGTTTTTGCAGATGATATGGCAGACATCTGCGGGGCTGCGGTGCAAACCGATTCCACCAATGAGTCAGCTACTCTTTAGACCAAACTCAAACTCAGAAACAAAGAAGAATAGCAATATCAGTCGAGACTTAGTTCCAATTTTGCTGTTTTTAATTGTAACATGAATTTTGTGTTGTCACACCTTAAGGATTTTCCTCTGTAGCAGATAGAAACGGTGGCCTCGACCATAACATCACCTATGCACGAACTCTTCCGATTTAAAAGCGAACCATGTAGAATAACTCGCATTCAAGTGCAATATTTTTTGGATCAATCATTTCATTCCCTGATTAGCATAGCACAGCCCGAACATAATCATGGTTTTCGTCTTTCATATTCACCGATCGAACGTCTCGCCATCGCACTCGACCGAGGAAGCATCTAGTACTCTCTGACCTCCACCATCCATCCGTACGTACGTCCATGTACACACATACTGTACGTCGAAACCAGGACCACGACCCATAGGAAGACTGAATCAGGCCGGAGATAGGTAGTGACCTCAAGTGAGCAGAGTTGAAGCCCACAGGATAGGATGGCCCTGGCTGAGGATTGGGTGGATGGACGGAGGACTAGGCGTGCCGTGGCGTGGCGTGGCCTGGCCCGGCCTGGTAGAGGGATACAGGGCGATGCAGAATTGCAGTTATGTAGCTATCTATGCAGACACGGCATGAAGTGATATATAGGCTGTGCTGTGCTGTGATATGATGTACTGTCGCTTCGATGGTTCAGGTGTGTGGGAGATATAAGGCTAACGATACTGCTGATGTAAAAGTCGTGCATGCATGCATACATAGCTCGTTGAGAAGCCGGCGGACGGTGGATTATGGAATTACTTACTGTGTTTCGGTTGGTCGGCATACTATGCTATACTATGCTATGCTACGGACCCAAGTTACATTCGGGCCTTGGGTGTGGTTGCTCTTGGTCGTGATTTTGATGCGTTGCTCACTAGCTATCAGAATCCATGGATTACTGGCACGGGGATCTTGTGGAGGCCTCATGGAGTCGGGTTAAGTTGATTAGGTAGATTACGTTGGAGGGGGATGGTTGCGGTTGATTTGGCGGAACTAAGTCGAGTTTGACTGAACTGAATTGAATTGCATTGAATGGAAATGAATCGAGGGCTGCACATAAGGTAGGTGCATGTATGATTTGAGTCAACCTAGTATTGCAATGCCATGCGATGCGATGGGGGAACCATCGTCCTCTCCTGTTCTGATCAAGAGGATAGCCATTTGCTCTCCTACTAGCCGGCTCGTGCATGCGAAGGAAGTTGGAAGACACGGACACTGAACGCACCACTTGCACGAGTCTCGAACGCTTCGAGCATGGTTTTTCTCCAATCACTTTAGGGAATTGAAACCCTCGAATGACCATGCACGCTCTAGACCTCTTCCCGATGATCGATGGCCCTTCCTTCTTCCATAAAGAACCACAAGCTCGTTCTACCTTTCTCTGGCGATCTAATGCTCCCACTGTTACCTAGCCTCTGGACTTGGACTTACGCTGCAGCTCCAGGCGTTCCTTCAACCAGGCCTCGCTTCTCTTGCCGCTGCGCGTGCTGTACCATACGGTCACGAGAAAGTCATGCTCAGTGGCCTTTCCTTCGGCGACTTTGCCCAGTTCGATCTTGAGTTTCTTGTACGTGAATGTGGTGGGGATTGGGTTGGGCCAGCCGTTGTCGCCGTACGTCCAGCGCTTTTTCTCGCAGGGGCCTTCCATATCAAGCATGGCATAGCCCATGTCAGAGGGACGGTAGCCATTGGGTTCAGTTGGGTCCGGAATAATCTCGTCGTCGAGAGAGTTGCGGTATTCCCCGTTGCAACGCTTCATGTACATGCCCTTGGCGGTTTTGCATGCGGAGAGACAGGATTCCAGGCGAGTCCGTTCTCCCAGGAGTTTGGGGTGCTCGGAGGTTTGGATGTTCGCGTCGAGGATGGTGATGATGTTGTGAAGTCGTTTGGTCGCGATGTCGTCCATGAGGGCGATTGCATTGGCGGAGATGATGAGAACTTCAGGTGACTCACTTCGAGAGCAGCCTTTGGTGTGAGCGTAGAAGATGACTGGTTCGGCTGGTTTGGTTTTGTCCCATTTGCTGACATATGAGTAGTCGGCATACAAGAGGATAGGTTTGCATTCTGCAGACGTCGTATCAAGTGAGCTATCGAAGGGGTAAAGTGTATGAATGTCTTCGCGAATCTCGTCCAAGAGGACTTGATCGAAGCAGGGGTTCTTTGGTCTGAGAATTGCCACTCGTTAGTCAAAGTTGCGGATCTGGAAGTTAAATTGGAGAATCATGCGGGACTCGATATCATGCAAATCCAAACGCTGAATCGAGGAAAGGCATTGTGAAAGTCATGGGGCGATGCTATCAGCTGCGCAGGGAGTCTCGAGGGAATATACTGGAAGCTTTTGGGACATGTGCGGAAAGTGAGGATACCGAAAGTGTCCAAGAAGCAAAACAAGAAGCTTGGGCATTCTGGGAGAAAGTGTTCAGAGGAATTCTGAGAAAAACTCACGCATCCAAATGGTTCTCACAAAACTCGAAAGTGATGGTGATTTCTCCGTTGCATGTTCTCAGCTCATGAGCTCTTGCGCAGTCGGGACAGACATGGTATTTGTCGGTCTGGTAATTGAACTTTACCGGCTCTGACTGGTCGGGGTCAAGCACGTATGTCGCGGACAGCCCAGACATGATGGACTGTCTGACTGACTGATTGCTTTTCTTTGAGCAAGATGTTGTCTTCTGACTTGAGGGTCAAGATGACAACGTAGGTGACATGAAAAGCGGAGGGAGTAGAAGCACAGCACAGCACTAGTGTTCTTTATGTAGGAATCAGCATGGACCCTGAACAGACGACAGCCCCAGAGGGCAATGATGAGGGCAAATAGGACCAGGGGAGTGAGGGCACACGTGATGGTCACACTCGATGGAAATGGTGCATACCAGTTCCAGAAACGTATCCTCAATCGCCGTTGGCGATGAGGCGTTCTCCAGCCCAAAAACGCTTTCTCACCTCCTGAGAAGCCCAAAGTGCCTCCATCCTCTTCCACAACGGTTTGGTGACAACAATCAATCTTGGGATCGGCTCCACTGGCACTATTACGAGCTCTTTGATGCTGGACATCTCCTGTCTCAAGGCGTTCTCGTGGGCACCGTGGCATCTCTTGAAGTAAATGGAGGTCCACCAGTTCTCAGCACCAACAATCAAGTAATCGGTTGCGTCGACGCAATTGCCTGTATGAAATGGGCTTGACCTGGACACTTTGGGCTGTAGATTGGCTGGTGTTCTGGGAAGCTTGCTTGCTGGTGTCAGGGAGGAATTGGGACTGGTCGGCCATTGTCAGAATTGCTGATGGTCTTTCTTTCTTTTGGCATCTCGACTCACTAGATGTGATGCCATGGGCATTTATCTCCAAGAAAGATCTTCATGCTTCCGTTACAGAATTCCTTCAGTTTTGGTTGCTCACATCCATAGCAAATAAGTTTGTCGTCGTAGTTGCGAACATCTGGAGTCGTCCATTGTCTCACTGGTTCTGGCGGCAAGTAGACAACGAGGCTACGACTGGTGTCTGCCATGGTCTCTTGTTGTGACAGGCAGGGTATCGGGTTGGATTTTTTCCCTTTCTCTCGAGGACAGAAAAAGTCTAGAACAGAAGACGCGTCTTGAGGCCAAAACCGTCCATCGACGACTGAGAGTAGGTCAGTTGTGAGGTGAGGGACAGTGAAAGACAGTGGAGGAAGGAATGCCGGTCGGAACAATGATAGGCCGACTATTTCTCCTTAACAGACAGCCTCGAGACCAGCTTGGGAGGTGCAGGGGTTGACCTGACTGTCTTTTCTGCACTCCTCAGACAATAGCATACAAGGACAAACAGGAGCAGGACAATGGAAATAACGTCGATAACGTGGACAGCCCACCAAACCTTCACGTTCAAACTGCACATTTGGATGTCATACTCCCACTCTCCGCTTTCAAAGTCAAACCAGGCGCTCAGTAGGCCCGCGTTTCCACTGTAGTCACCCATCATACTTCGTAGTGTGACTTCACGTATGCCAGTGTGCGACTGACTCCGGATGGCGTGCGTCCAGTGTGTAGCGTTCCACGTAGTCTTGGGTTGCTCAGAAGAATTCTCTCCATTGAAGGTGTAGATTGTGTCCTTAGGGATGGAGTGCCATGTATCACAGCCTTCGTGGTCATGCCCATTCAAAATAAGGCCTTTTCTCCCCTTTCCAAGTGCAGGAGCACCCGTGTTTCCTGTCATGCCAAAGAGAGCTTCGAGAGTCCCTTGATGACTGGCATATTCACTCAGGTGGTTCTGTTCCTTTACTCCATGAGGCTTGTAGATACCACCACCGTCGTCGTCGCCCCAATAATCAAAGTGTGGCGCGTCAACACAAACACCTTGTCCTTTGTGTAAAGGGAGATGCGTCAGGAGCAGGGTGAAAGAAGACCGGTCTTCCACGGGGCGAAGTCGTTTGGAGATTAGAGTGTTGAGATAATCATAGCTCTGACCCTGTAGGTCTCTGGACAGAGCTGGGCCATCCAAGACTAAGCTGTTTAGAACAATCAAGTGGATAGATGGTTCCACGAGAGAAGTATCTTCCGATCTGTTGCTGACCTGGGCATACTGAAATCTGACATCCCAATTTGCCTTGCCAAAGACTCTTTCGAACCGTTCCATCCTCCTGTCAGAGACGTCTCCAGCATATCCAATGTCATGATTGCCCGCAATGTTGATTGTTCTTGTTGCCCAAGCAGGATCGGTCATATCATAGGTGATTTCCCCATCATCCTCCGCGGAACTGGTGAGCTCGTCTTGCACCCTGTGACCATTCGCGAAAACGCGGTTCCAATATCTCCACCCACGCCATTCGAATTCTTCATCGGTCACCCACTGACTCCCAATTAGATCTCCGAGCACGGTAACATGAGTAGGCTGATTCCACCAGTGCAGGGTTCGATAGATATGGCCTAGGTAATAGTCATTCCCAAACAGATCAAGGCGTTTTCGCGCCGCCTGAAGGGCGTCTGGGATGTCTCGAAGGAAGACCTGACGTGTGACATCGAACATGAGGGGATATATGGGTGCGCTGTCTCTTGTCCTAATCCGCGTCCATTGTCTTGTCAATTTTGCAAGAAACGCATTTTCCGGGGTTGGCAGCGAGCTGTCGCCCTCCAGTTGAGGGTCGGCTAGGACAAGTAGACGAAATGGAGCACGCAATGAAGCATTTGTCGGGTCTGAGGACGTCTGAACAAATGGCCAATGTTGGCGAAAGGTCTGGGACCAAGCATTCAAATGAGAGGCATCTGTCGAAGGGAAGACGCAGCCGTGAAATACAACATAGGAATAAAGATAGGTGGTCAAACAAAGGGCTAACGGAACGAGAAGACGCAATAGTCTGTTGGCAAAGGAGAGTATATACATTGAGCCATCAGAGATTTCGGACAAAGGATGACCAAGGAGCGAGCGAGGAAGACGAGGAGTCGAACTGTTTACCAACGCGCAAATAGGGCCTTGGGCGAAGTTTGGGAAATAAAGTCGAATAGGCGCGTGGAAAGCTTAAAATACATACCCGGACCTGGTCCTGGAACAGGGGAAGGGACCAGCCGGTGTGCAACCCTAACCGAACTGGGAATGCATATCACATTCAGTTTGTGCCAATAGTGAGCAGTGAGAGGCCCAAACATCAGGAAAGCGTCCAATGGCATGTGCATCCCTCAATATAGCGTTATATAAGTATATGTTGCCGGTGGGAAACAAAAACTTCAAGTGGTGTATATTCCGAGACTGGTGAGTCATTATTAATTATGTCCTGGTTATAAAAGATATATCTATACATAATGGAAATGCGACCAGCCACCATTCTGGCCATTATGTTGTTGCTACTTTGGCATCTGGATCCTCGGCAACGGGTTGCAGCCCACTCAGTCGATTGGTATCCAATTTCAGATCGATCTTCGAGTCATCAAATTCGAGTCCCTGTATATTCAATCCACTTTCTTGCTGGCTCTTCTCTTCAGCGGGTGTCGGCTGCTCGGCCAACTCTGAAATGTTTTCCGTCCCCTTCAAGGCGGGCGGCCGCTCCTTTCTTGCTCGGGCTTTGGCCAAGCTAATGGTGGTTTGTCGGTTTGTCGTTTCGAAACTAGAAAGATCGTGCTCGATGGTCGCTTTCATAATCTCCCCCATCCATTTCCTCCCTTCATTGATGCTGTCCACTTGAAAGTAGTATACGGTCGGCCTGGTGAATTGAACTGCTCTCGAGGCCCCAGCTTTGGGCGGCACAAGTTTGAAGTAAAAGGGTGCGCCACCCGAAGTGCGTGGTGAATTAGGGAGTATCTTTTCCGGTGAGCTTCCCGCGCCGATGGACGGAGAAAGCGAAGCCCCCGTTATGGTTGCGTGTATCGTGATGATGGGATCCGAGTTAGCCACAAGGACCTTATGCCCCGAAATGTCAATTATGCCTTGCTCTTCTGTGTCATTCTCGGAATAATAGTAGGACAACCGGCGGCCTCGGAGAATGAACAGGCGAGGCTTCCAGCTTGCCATCAGTCCTGCTGATTTCTTCTTCATCCAACCATGATGGTCACAGTGTTGGCGTGCCTCCGCTGGTGATAGGTGTAGCAAGCCGCGTCTGTATGCGCTCGTCTGTTGTTTGGTTTTGGGTTTGGTCCGGACGGCAGTCTTGGTGTGAAGAAGAGGACCAGTTGCGGATAGCTGTTCGCTCATCTCTTTCGATAATGTATCAGTACTGTCGACATCGACACTTTTCGATGTGAGTGACGGGGTCAGGGAACCAGTAGTAGAAGCAGGAGGTGATTCTCTCAAAGGTTCTGAGGTGATGGGTGAGCCACTAGCAGCTTCCTTCTCGCTCCCGGTGACCGCTTCCGAAGCCGCGCGCAGGCCGAGCAATTTTCTCGCTTTTTGTGATGTTGTCCACGGCACCGTACTCATTGCTGCGGGGGATGGCGTGCCATTGCCCACCTTCGGAGAGGAGACGGAGGACAGGTTGTCATCCTCAAGATTTGTGACGGTAGGTGATGGAGCAATGGGAGATTTGGCCAAATTCAAACTCCGGGCACTAGCCGAACGAAAACGGCCTTTATAGGTTCTGCTATGATACGCTTTTGCTGCCGGAGAGAGCGCAGTATTGTTGCGATCTCTTATAGAATCGACGCTGCTCAAACGAGAATGTCGCTTTGGAGCAACCGATTTGCTAGGCTCGTCGAGCATACTTGATTGGCGAGAATGACCAGGGCTGCCCAAAGAATCTCGCTTTTTAAGAAGATTCCGGACCTTCCGATTATCCACCTCATTTCCGCTAAAATACCCTCGATCAAGTTCAATGGTATGGTGATCACCATCAAACGGCAAGTTGGTAGCAAGATCCAGGCTTTCTCGTTTGGTGCCGGTGGTCAAGCTGAGTGACGGGGTACTCGGCCCGGTCGTTGCAGTGGTGGCATTGCTCATCGACCAATCTCGATCGAATGAAGCGTTCTTTTTATGTGAAGTATGAGAACTGGATGTGGTCGAATGCAGATCATGATGGGCCGCTTTGACGGCTTCAATCGACGAATGCCGTCGAGAATGCGACATTTCGCGGATTGAGGCAGCTGAAGGTCTACCGGGACTTTCGGCAGCCACGGATGCTCGCCATGAAGAGGGAGGAGTGTTGGTCTCGAGATTTGGCCGGGCAAACGAGCTTGGAGACATGGAAGAGTCACCCGAGAGATGAACGTAGGGTGCCGGTGGACGAATCGACAAGCCTGGCTCCTCCATCAAACTAGGGATACGGGGCAAAATGGTGGTGCCAGACATGCCCCGGGAATGCATGCGGTTCACTTCCTCGGAGGAGATGTTCTGCTTGAGGCTTCCCTTGCGTGAGCCGGAAGTGCTGCGGACCTCTGCCTGGAATTCGCGAATCTTATGCCAGGTCTTGAGGCGTCTCCCCATCAGGCCAAAGTCATATTCCTTCATATTCAAGAATGACTGATCCATCTCTAGCAGGACATCGCCGGTGATTTCCTGTTCTTGAAAGATATCACAATGTTTGGCGTCGACACCGATGGATCTCAAGTGGTCAGCGGTCTCTTTGGAATTCCATCGCTTGACTTGGGCCTCGGTCAATGGAGGATTCTCCTCACTGTCTGTTTCTGGACCAGCGACGTACGAATAGGAGACAGGGTCCAGGTGACTGCTGTAGTCGCTTTCCGAGTCATCGGTAAGGGGACGAGGGGGAGCCAGACTCTGGCGCGGAGTACTCAGATCGGTGATGTGTTCGTCTATGACGCTGAGTGTTTCATTCATGACAGGAGAGTCTTCCCCAGTCGAAGAGTCGGCAAGAGCTTGGCCGATACTTCTTGAGACTCCCGGAAAGTAGGAAGTTGGGGATGGTGGAATCGAAGATCTGGTGGGATTTGTGGGGTTGGTGAATTGGGTGTAGACTGGAGGTGGCGCATCAGCGGTGGTGGGAGAGGGAGCTGAGGTCTCGATCTTTGGAGGGTCACGAAGAATGGTTCTCTGTGGGGAGAGCAATGGAGAAAACTGGGAGGGTAGTTTGGCAGTATAGACTGTTGGAGAGTCAGTGAGACGAAGATCTGGGGCGTGAAAAGTTGTGACATGCTTACCCCCCGGAAATAAGCCGGTGACGCCCAAACGAAGGTGTCGTCCCAGATACCAGCCATCACCAAAACCATTGTCTAGCTCGACCAATTCAATGTGATCAGTCTTGCGCAGGTCGAGTTCATCCGGGCTTCTGGCGTCGAAGTCATCTAGAAAGCTGTCAGTAGGAAGAAGAATTCCGCGTGTTGTTGAGGCGGACGTACGAATGACGACCAGAAGATCACCAGGTGAAAGATCGAGGCCCTGGCGGGGCAGGGTTTGGAGTGCCATGTCGCCGAGTTGACAAGATCAACCCTGAACCGAGACTGAGGTAGAGGCAAAGTCAAAGGCAGAGACAAAAGGACGCGAGTCTGAGGGCGAGACACGACGCAGAGCGTCAGGTGTCTGCATGTTAAAAGGAGGAATGGTGGAAGACTTGGGTTGGGATTGACGAGGGAGGGTGTGACGGTGAGAAGTGGTTGAAGTAGAAGCGGTTGTCCGTGGGGAGGTTGAGGTTGAGGAAGATGTGGTGGACGTCCAAGTTGAGGTTGCGCGAACGGTTCACAGATCTGGGGGCTGCAGGTGTCATGTCATTTAGAAGTCGAGGTGGGATTGTAAGACGTGCAGAAGTGGAAATGAACAATGAGCGCAAGCTGATGGTGGACAGGAACTGACAGCTGACAGGTGCCCGCCGTCAATACAAATATAAGGTTAGAGAACAAGTGGACGAGGTGTGGTTGTTCGATGGTGGATGTTGGATGTTCAAAGAGAGACATGAAAGCCGTTGACGCGGCTCAATTCCAAGCCAGTCGTAACTAATAGTACTTGGTACTCCGTACCTGCCCGGGTGCCCAGTGGTTATAGGTGGGAGGTGCCTGAGGAAAAGCGAGCACCTGTAGTCTTCTCATCTCCGAAGCGTTTTTCCACTCCGGCCAGTCCTCAAGGTCACGGGACTGTTCTAGGAACCCCAACGTCAAAAAGACCGCGGGTAGACCGTTACTCCACACCGCGATGACCCAGTTGAGATCGTCGCGATTTACAGCCAGACTCGTGCCATTGGACTTTACGAGGTACCAGTTGAACGTCGTCGCCGTCGCCGTCGCCGTCGCCGTCGCCATTCGCTATCACCATATTCAGGTTCAACTTGATTCACAAAGACACAATGCACATGAAAGATGAGTTCAAGTTTGCCAAACTAATGTGACATTCTCACTATCAGTTCGCCGTCTACTCCATCCTCATTTAATCCTCCTCCTCCGTTGAAAATCATGTCCACACCCCCTCTTCCTTCTGCGAATGATCACCAATCTATCAGTGAGAACATCCTCTCGCTCTTAACATGGCTTTGCCCACCGCGAGTGCCACTACAAATTCTTTTAACCCTGGCCTCGCCATCTCCAACAACACCTCCTCTCTATTTCTCGGTGCTCCCCAGCGATCATGGATGCAGCCACCAGATCCTCAGTTCCCTACTCCTCCCACTCAATATCGTCCGCCACAGCCTGTGAGGCGTCCCTCCAAAAAAAGAACTCCTTCTCATAATGCTGTCCCATCTGATTTACCACCAAATCCGCCCCCTCAGCATTCACTCCCTGCCACTGTCTCTCCACCAGCTTCGCCTAGGCAAGACTCAACCTTGCCCATCTTGGTGGATTCAGTCCAAACTCATTCCACTCAGCATCAAGCTGCAGGTACAATCCCGATCCCACCAGCCTTATCCATGGCCGTTTCACCCTCAACAGGCGACATACTCACCACAAGGGTTCGATCCTTTCTACAAGAGTTCTGGGGTGGCGACCTTCACTATGGCCTCCCACCCAACTATCAAACCTTGATATCTAACGAAGAGCTAATGAACCGTTATTCATCTTTCTGCAATAAACTCAAGAACGCTGGAGGTTCATCCTCACACGTTTGGAATTCCAATGGTACCGGCATTTTGGATCTTGCAATGAGAACCCATCATGGTCATCTGTCGCCATTCGCCCTCCGCCAAGCCAGTCACGACGTCGAGAACTGGACCTTTCAAGATGGACATGACCCAATCTTAAAGTCAACAGAGCGTGCATCCGAACCCTCTCAGCAAGAAGTACCAGAGACTGCAAGGTCAAGGAAGCGCCCTAGCATGGCTGATCAATCCAACACCCGCCATACGAGGTCACGCGATGATTGGCCTATACAGTTACCCACCCCAAGTCCAAACACCTCTCCGGTTCCTCAATCGACCATTGCGTGGAAGCAGAGATACAACTCTGCTATAAGGAACCTGCAAAGTACCGGAACCAGACCCGTCGACCAGCAACCTGTCAACGATATCCCCAGGCTGGAGATGTTGCGCGATGCCTGCAACGCCGATGATGTCTTCTACATCATGACCCATGCGGTGTTCTGTGCCTGGTCTGCGGGCCACGAGGATCTTCTTAAACCCCTTTCTCTCACGAATGAACAACGCTCGGGTCTCGCCATCTTGGAACAAATCCTTGGTTCTCAACGCTCCTTGACCAGAGAAGTCGCCACCATGTTTCTCCATTTTGCAGACCCTCGGACTTGCTTCAACTCGTCCTCCTTTCTTACCTCCTGGACAAATATCCAACTCTTCCTGGTAGCACTCAACACTCACTTCCACCCGGTCCGCGCCTTTCTTCAGAGCCGAGCTTATCCGCCCCATCCTCAAGAGGTCTGCTCATGGTTTGTCCTGCCATCGCCGGTTCTACAGAGAGCAATCCATCAGTCATACCTTCGCGACCTGTCACCTGACCTTCCGTACATGGCAAAAGCCATGGAACTCTTTCTCCAAGAGATCGTTAGCCCTGCGGTGGCTACCTCGCAAGAACACAGAGACAAACTCTGGAGAGATCATTTTGAGCACCTCTTTCATCTTAGAACACTTCATGTCCAGAATCTACACAGTACCCAATCTGGAGCCGGCGTCCACCAGCAACAGATGCAGCAGTCCGTTGCTTTCAATCAACGCGTATTTTTATCGTACCAAAACCAGGCTGCCACCACCTCTGTGTCCAACACGGCTTCCCATGTCAATCCCTTTCCGGTGGCCGTTGATGGTTCAAGCGATGCCACTCGTACGCGTCCAATGAAGCAGATGCCGAATACACAAGCTCGCAAAACATTACCTAGCTATCGATCCGGAAACCCGCCTCCAAGCGCGCAAGACCAACGACGACCACCCAGGTTCCACAACCCCCCTACCATGTATCCCTCCCAACGAGTTCAGTACCCGGCTGGAAATACAACCCTCACCCCTGTCCAGTACCAGCATCTTGCTCTGTCACCTGGCTTGCCTGGAAATGTCAATCTGTTAGTCAATCTAGACACGCGACCGGCCGCTCCCTCAACCACAGCTGCCGGACAGGTTCAGAGGTCAAGGCCGCGACCTGCTTCCTGGACATCCAATCCTGCTCCACAGGCGCTGACCGGTCAGTCTCAGAGACAACCGCAAACCCTCATTACATCTGGACGGTTTTTCCCTGCCAGTGCCAACCCGCAAGATCTCTTACGCACTTTCGCCCAACCAGCTCCCGAACGCAGAGCCATTCATCAGGCCGATACACATAGCCCAACTTATTGCCGGCATTTGGATTTACCCGATTGGCAACAGTTTCGGTATTATAGATATGTGGAGGATGTTGTGCTCATGCCTCAACCAATTGACATCCATTCGGGCTTAATGACTTGGGCGCTTGAACTGGCACCTGATTTGATGGCAGACAAAGTCAAGACGACCTTGACGATTGGGGAAACCGGACTGCGGAGGTGTGTTGTGGCAGATGGGTCGGCACAATTCCGCTTAAAATGTATCGCGCGAGAATCATTGGATGGAGCGGATGGAAAAAGTAAGGCGGAGGCGGCTACTACTCCCAATACATGGCCCAAATGCGTTCCAGTTTCGATCAACGATGACTTTGGAGTGGATTTTCGGCGCAAGGCTCAATACGGGGTGGACATTAGCACCGATATTACTGATCTTTTGCATGATGGGCCCAACATGGTGAAGCTTTCCGTTAGTTTCACACCCCAGGAAAAGAGTATTGTGTACCAAATGGGGGTCGAAATAATTCGCATCGCTAGCCACGAAAAGGTGGCATTGATGCCTCAAACCATGTCATCGGAGCAAGTCAAAGCGTCTATTATCAGTACGATGTCACGGAAGGGTCAGGAGGATGACGAACTCGTGGTCGTGGATCCAGTGATAAGTATTGACACCGTGGACCCATTCACATCCAAGCTCTGGGTGACACCAGTTCGTGGAAAGCTGTGTCGTCACCGCGAAGCTTTCGACCTGGAAGCATTTCTTCAAAGTCGCACAAGCCGCGTCAAGGGAAGTACAGTGACAAATCCTGACCAATGGAAATGTCCTATTTGCAAGACAGATGCACGACCTCAAAGCCTGGTCATTGATGGCTTCCTGCTTGAGGTGCGAGCACAACTGGAAACACAAAATCTCTTGGAGACAAAGGCCATTCTGGTCAAGGAGGATGGCACCTGGGATGCCAAAACCGAGGCGCCACTCACCAGTTCCAAGGGCAGTGAGTCGACAGCAGCAGACAAGCAAGATGCGAAAGCAAGCACAGGTCCGGTAAAGGTGGATTGGACGCCCTCAATCCCGCGACAAGACACGGTCATTATCCTCGATGATGACACGTAGTCTTTAATTGACTCATTGTTTCACTGTAAGAACGGTGGTCATTTTCACGAATCATGATAGTGCTGCGGTTATGCACGTGGAGCGGAATCATTATTTTTTTTGTTTGATTAGAAGGAAGCGAACTTGATACCCCATATTCATATTTTGCTCTCGGTCCGGGTTCGACGGTGTCAGCAAGTGTTCACAGGCGCCAGGTGGGATATAGTGAGTCAATTGAGCTGGACAAAAGCTTGAGCAAAGGTTGAGAGCTCATACACTGTGACCCCATTAGAGCTGGTCAATACCCGGGATTGACCTAGGTTTCTGTCAACCCCCTATATAAATTTTTCCCAAGACAATGCAAGGACTATGACATACGATGAAAAGGATTTTGGAGATCCATTACGGTAGCCCAGAAATGAGCCAGGTTGAAAGATATCCTCATAGAGCTTTGATCGGGTGATCAGCGTTATATCTAAAACGCCTGCAACATGAGATCCCTCACGTGACTTAGCGTCCCAGATCATCTTGGACTCTGTACGATCCATGGGTGAGTGTGGATTCGATGCTGATGATCATGATTGACCAGCCTCCTCGGCCCTTAGCCTGCACCACCTAATCCCGACCTTGTCCTTGTGCTTGACCTGAATCAGACCGGCCTCTGCCTTCGTATCTTTTGACTTACTACCGGGTCCACCTTTGACCATCCCAGAGCCCAGCTTACTCTGTGAGAATACGCTGCTTCCCATCTCTACTATTCTACAGATCTCACCTCGAACCACCTCTGTTGTCCTTGTCCTGGTACTTGTCGCCGCGCTGGCTTCAACGTCACCTGTCACGCCGTGCAAGGAACACCACCACCACCACCACCACCACCGCCCCTCCCTCTCAACCAACATCCTCCTCTCCGATTCATCCTTCCCATTTGACTTTACATCTTGTCCCAGGCTGCTTGCCCAAACATATACATTGTTCTGCGACAATAATACAATAAGCACCTACCAGTCGGTGGAGCAGCCTAAGGAGCCTGTCCCACTGCTCTGGGCCTCCTTGTGAGAAGAGTCGCGCGCATTCTTCCTTCTATCCCCTCATTCTTCAGCTGCGATTGATTTTCACATCCGTGGATCGCAAGATTAGTCGGCATATACTCTGGCTACAGCCGAAGACATGCTGAGTATCGCCTCCAATTTACGGTGACCGGCACGGCCACCTTGATGCGCTGCCAATTGCCATCATCATATACTTATATTTTACTTCTCTTGCTTCATTACCCCCCAGGCCATGGTCTCAAATAGCCAAATCATGGACAATCAGCGTCAACAATATATTCCTGGTCCACCACCTCCTCCCAATCAAAACCCCATGGGACATCTCCCTCCTCCTCCACCCCGACCATATCCCCAAAACAATCTTCCACCCCCCCCGCCCGGTCCACATCCGAACCATGCCCTACCACTCGGCACCGTCTTCGGTTTGCCTGGTGGAGGATGGCAGCAGCCATGGGGAAGATCAGGTATGGGCCAGAGCATCCCACCTCCGCCGCCCATGACCCCAATGAGCCACCATCCAGGTCAAAACCACCACCTGGCCTATGGTATGCGACAGCCTTCACACCTCAACATCCCCCCTCCGCCTCCCCAGAACGATAAGCCAATCCTTTCTGCCACCTTCATCCCCACCGGCGACTCGTTCGGTCCTGGTGTTGGCATTCCGCCGCTCGACGACTATTCCACATATTCCCGCTATGACGCTCAATTGACTTCGGAGCCGTCAGTCTCTCATTCCGACTCTAAATACAGCGATGGTGCAGCATCTCATAGCTACTCCTACCCCAATCCTGCCCAACCGAACCCCGATATTGCAAACAGAGAAAACCGAGCTGCTTCGACTTCTTCGCATAGACCCTCTTTCAATCTGCCCTTGAGCCACCTCAAAGAGCCACTCTCGCCAGGTCCCCCAACCGCAACTCTACAAAACCCACACCCTACTGGTGATCATGGGAGGCAAAGAGCCCATAGCGCAGCCGTCACATCCAATAACTCAAGCGAAGTGGCTTCTCAATGGCCGTTAGATCGAGTCTTGATTTGGTTGGCCGCCAACGGCTTTTCCAACGATTGGCAGGAGACATTCAAAGCCCTCCAACTACAGGGCTCTGATTTCTTGGATTTGGGACGTGGTCCAAACGGCCGTGGTAATCTCAGTATGATGCATCAGACTATTTATCCTCAACTCGCAAAGATCTGTTCCGGCAGCAAGACGGGATGGGATCAAGCACGAGAACGTGAGGAAGGCAAAAGATTGCGAAAACTGGTCTCTCGACTGGTAGAAAATGGAGGCGAGGGCCCGTCAAGTGCTGGATATGGACATCGCCGCCGTGAATCCGGCATCCCAAGCGCTTCCACTGATGGAAACCTCGAGAATTCGCCCCATCTTCCACGAGCAGAATTTGCTAATAATTCGGGTACCGCTGGTCCTGAAGGTAGTCCAGGGAGACAGATGCCACCACACTTTCCTCCCGGTATCGGTCCCCGCAATTCCCAAGGTCGAAGCAGTACAATGCCGGTGTTCAGTAAGCACAGCTCGACCTCCAGCACCCCCAGCGAAAGCAAACCACCCGATAACCTCTCCAGCAATGGTCGTGCTGAGTTCACTCGTGGTGTCTTGACTGGGGTCAACAGAGCTGGACGCCACAGCCCAAACCTGTCGGGTGATATGGGCACAGGCCTATTACCTAAGGCTATCGAAGCTTCTCCAAATGCTAGTCCAGGCCTTGGAGCTGCTGTTCCTGCTTCCGTACCGAACTCTTCTCATTCCTATCGACCTGATCATTCCAAGAGCAATAGCACGGACTCCATGAGCAAAGTTACTGGCCACCCTCGATCTATGAACAACCCACAGGGCCAACAAGATGGACCAAGAAATATACTACCATCTGATGCCTTAACAGGCAGGTTCTACGCCGATCGACGTGATGCACAAGAAATGATCAGACCCTCCCCACTGGATGCTCATCGCACGTGGAGCAGCGAGCAGGGCCCAGGCCCAGGCGGCAAAGATCAGAGCAAGGGCTTTTTGAGCAAATTCAAGAGGAGAAGGAACGACAATGCATCATCTCATGGTGATGATCATGGGTTGGAATCACCCACGAGCCCCGGTTTGCGTCAGATATTCAACCCTAGAATGAATGGCAGCGATTCGGCTTTAATGCCGCCACGTCCATCATCCGCTACAACACAGTCTGAAGACGAGAAATCCATGTATCCTTCACGCCGCACTCCAGCAGTATCCAGACGTTATATGTTTGTGACACCTGACCATTGGAACTACCGCCTTGTGGATGTGACAGATGTGGAGAGTGCGATTGCCCTTCGGAGTTTCTTGTGCATTGAGCTGGGGATTGCAGATGCTGAATACGCCCAGATATATGTCACAGAACCAGGTCAAACGGAGCATGAGAATCCACTCTCCGACAGCCTTCTCCTTGCTGTACGGAGTCGCACCGATAACACAGGCAGCTTGAAGCTTTATGTTCAAAGTTCGTCTCTGTCTGCAGGTCCAGGATCCGTCGAAAGATCCAGTGGGCTTGGAGTCTCATTTCCACACAGAGACCAAGGTTCTACTGGCATGGTCAAGTCCAACTCATCGGGTGGAGTCAATCGAGACTACGATTCAATGGATCCTGGCTTGTTACAAAAACGTGCCGAGGAATACCACAGACAGAATGAAGCCAAGTCGCAAGCTTATATGGAGTCCAGAAGACAACAAAAGGAACAAGGTTCAAACACTTACAGCGGCAGTGCCATCAGAGGTAACACTGTGATTGACTTTGATAGCCCTAGGATGTCACCATTTGAGGACAAGAAGGTTGAGAGTCTTGTTCCTGTACGACGACCACCAACTGCACCAGCTGAGTCAACCACATTGACTAAAGTCAACTCTCTCCGAGCAAGAGGGTCTGGTACTAGGTCTTCACTCGATGCGCTGAAACGCATATCAGATCCAATCGCCGAGGAAGACGTCAGTCGCGGCAAGAAGAAGCCGGCAAATACGACTACATTCGCGGCAGGAGGCATCGGTGCTGCTTTAGCCAATGTTGGCAGAATGGCAGGCGCACCTGTGTCCGTTGGGAGCCAAGGTCGTTCACAACAAGACAGGGGCCCTGGTGATTACGAGGCTAGAGGCAATAACACAGGTAAGTCAACTGACGCGCTGCATACACCTCGCTTGGTCAGCTTGTTGCTCTGTAACACTAACGGGATAAAGGCTTTAACCTACCGTCTTATCAAAATCGGCATCGCAATCCTGGAGGTAACTCTGTACGATTCGATAATTCACCCCATATCAGCCCTACAAGCGACGAGTCACCGCGCCCAGGACTCGTGTCCAGAAAATCTTTTGGACCCAATTTCGATGTTGAGGACAACAATGTCACATTTGCTCGTTCACCACACCCACCCAAAGATGACGACTCCGATGATGATTCTGACGATGGATTGTTTGCCATTCCAATCTCAAACAAGTCGTTGTCAAAGACCGATGCTCAAAATGCCAATGTGAAGGATCAAAGGCCCGCATTAACCGTGGATACAGACCAGAATGCCGGTAAGAGTGTTCGATTCAAATCACCAGGATCATCCAGTGGAGTATCTCTGGGCCAAAATAATGGTGAGGAGAGTGCAACGGCGAGTGGTGATGGTTACGACCGCAGCATGTCCGATGGAAGTTTCAGTGGCTCGGCACAATCACCCGACGATCGTATGAATCGACGAGACTCTTTCATAAGTGACATCTGGGCGAATCGTCCTGCGGTGGAGAACGTTGTGGATCATCTTGATGAATTCTTCCCTGGTGTTGATCTCGACAAACCGTATTTGGAAGAGAAGGGTGAGAATAATAGCTCTCCGATGAGATCAACGGATCAAGACCCACTTGAGAGCCTTCAACACAGACCGAGGCAGATGACTTTTGGCACAGCCGGTCTAGATCTTGAATTCCAACGGAAGAACGATTCTGATACACTGGGCTCTGACGAATCAACTTTGAAGGCAAACCAACGTGAAAAGATTGCTAGCGTGGCTCAGAGACAAGTGAGCAAAGCATCGGGTGGTATCACACGCATGAAGTCTATACGAGAAGTGGCACAGAAACGGAACGACATTCAAAGAGCTCCATCGGTGGCTCAGCGGGTTGCCCAAGCCAACTCGAGCAGTATACCACAACGCCGTAAAAGTACAAAGATGTTTGGTGCCAACATCGTTCAAATTAAACCCAAATCTGGCAATAGATTGTCAACCCTGGATCCGATTCCACAAGAAGATGTACCTTCTGAAGATACTCCTAAAAGACAAGCGACCTTCAAAATCATTCGGGGTCAGCTTATTGGAAAGGGCACTTACGGTCGTGTCTACCTCGGCATGAACGCGACTACTGGTGAATTCCTGGCGGTCAAACAAGTGGAAGTCAATCAAAAGGGCGCGAATCATGATAAAGATCGAATCAAAGAGATGGTTGCTGCTTTGGATATTGAGATTGATACCATGAAGGATCTCGAGCATCCCAATATCGTTCAGTACCTTGGTTGTGAACGAAAAGAATTCTCCATTAGTATTTATCTCGAATACATTCCTGGTGGTTCGATCGGCAGTTGTCTTCGGAAGCATGGAAAATTCGAGGAATCAGTTGTCCGATCACTGACACGGCAAACATTGGAAGGATTGGCATATCTTCATCAGGAAGGTATCCTCCACCGTGATTTGAAGGCCGACAACATCCTTCTCGATCTGGACGGTAGCTGCAAAATTTCCGATTTTGGTATATCGAAGAAATCCGACAATATCTACGGCAATGACGTGACGAACAGCATGCAGGGCTCTGTCTTCTGGATGGCCCCTGAAGTTGTCCGATCACAAGGTCAAGGCTACAGCGCTAAGGTAGATATCTGGTCACTTGGATGTGTGGTGCTCGAGATGTTCGCAGGAAGACGGCCATGGAGTCGTGAAGAGGCTATTGGAGCCATCTTTAAACTGGGAAGTCTGGGTCAAGCACCACCTATTCCTGATGATGTTGTCGCATCAATGGATGGGCTGAATTTCATGTACGACTGTTTCCAAGTGTGAGTTTCGCCCTCGACTGTCCACATGAATCGTTGAGTCCTGCTAACAATTTCTCCTAGCAATCCTACTGACCGACCTACCGCCGATACACTCCTTCGCCATTCAACATTCTGTGTACCTAACCCTTATTTCAACTTCTTTGATACAACTCTAGCTGCGAAACTACGTAATTTGGAAAGTACTGCTCTCGGCGTTTGAAATCTAATCCCAGAATACGGATTGCTGTTTTTTGGTTTAATGAATGAACGAACGACTGGGAACAAGGTATTGATTGACACTGCAATCTTGCAAGCTTATAGCTATAATATGTCTCCCATCTATCGCCAAACTGCAAGCTACAAGTATTTCAGCATGCGATGAATGTTTTTCAATATCACTGCAGGTGCTGCACGTTTTGGAGCACCCTCAAACAAAGAACAGGAACATCAGTTGCCAACCGACGTGCAGAGAGACACCACGCACAAACACTCCTAAATCACATTACGATGTACTTGCACTCACTTTACTTCCTCACACAGCATGGGAACACATGAATGAGAACCATGATCTTTTTGGGAAATTCATCACTATTGGAGGGAGGAAGGATAATATCCAATTATATACCTACCTATCTTTATTATATGACACGCTTCGGACGACAATCGAGGATTGAGGATGAGGTACCGGAATCCTTTCCTTTCACGATTGATAGATGCTACCTGCCATAGGATTATTTATCTACCTCCTTGTTTGTTGCGATGTGGGTTGAGCGAAGGAGGAAGAGGAATGCATCTCATGGATATGTATCTATCTATGGAAATGTTGATGAACTCGACAGAAGAGAGCCATGATCCAAGAATCAGGGCAGAGCAGAGATCTTGGAGGAGGACAATTACGACCGCCCGGTCTCACCTGTTGGGCCAGGCCACTTACTACTTCTCAGTTTGAGATGGAATGGAAGGATATGGAATGCATGCACTTTCACCCACATTCCAACGCCTCTGCCTTTTGCGATCGATCCCAAAACCAAAACAAAGCCCAGATCTATATCCCCATAATCAGGGACTGGGGCCAATGCTGGTTGTTGACGGTCCTTCCGCTTTCATCTTGTGAGGGATTCCCTTGTCATCCTTTTTTCCCTGTCTTGTCTTTGTGTCTCTGAAGGCCGCGTGCAGTCTCTCTCTCCCACCAACATATGACATACAATACAGCCTTGTGTGAATTGTTCTTGCATTCTCTGGTCCTGCTTGCGGCGCACTCTCCTCGCTTTTCATCCTTCTGGGATACTTGCTTACTGGGTTGTTTCTTCATCTCGTTCCTGCTCCAAAAACTGCTCCATCAGAACCCACCAGCCAAGGTCAAGACTAAGGGTTTGAAACACTTCGTCCCATTACATCGCCACAATGTCGAACGAGCCTCCTCGGGGTCACAGATCTCCATCGCGTTTCATTAGTAGTTCAAGTGCAGAGTCCGATGGAGCTCCACAATTACGTCTCGGGGTGCCGACAGCTCGCGGCCAGACGCCTGGTCGAGCCACTTCTGGTATGTGCGTCATGTGACTGTCTTGAAGCTATGCCACAACAACCTAACTTCTTCGCGCAGAGCAGCCACCGTCGGGGAGATCCCCGGCCCGAAAGGCACCATCTCCGGCAAACAGCCAAAAACAGAGGCAGCGAAGTTCTCAATCAGATGAGATGGAGCAAATACCCCCAAGAACGTCCACTGAGTCACTGAACTCAGAGGACCGTGCCAAGATCCGAGCGCGCACCAAACCTTTCCAGGACGAACTTCTCGGGGACGACATGCTTGATCAATTTGAGAAGCTTGACGCAGGACGCGCAAAGACCCTTTCGGACGATCAGGCACGGGCAAAGCGAGGGAATCCCGAGGCTGCCGAGGAGAAGCGACAGACAGCAGCAGCGGCAAAAGCAAAAGCAGAGAAAGAGGCAGAAGCAAAAGCGGAAAAAGAGGCCAAGGCAGCAGAACTGGAAAGACGGAGATCAGGAGCACCATTGCCACCATTGATGGCTAAGAAATCTATCCCGCCCATCCGTTTCAGTGGCGCCGGGCGGGGACGTCCCAGTGGTGACGCATCTGGTGGGCCTGCGCGTCGGCAGGTGCGACGAGCAAGACGCTCCAGTGCAAGCCCCGTTCCATTGCAGAGTGGGCCAAGAGCCCGCAAGGCTGTGGATAAGTACACGCCGCCCTCGATCCCGAGGCCAAAAGCCAGCAGGGGTGGAGCGCGCAGGGGTAGGCCATCAGGAGCGTCAGAGACGGTTGCTCCTGTTGCTGCGAAGGCGGCAGATACAGTAAAGACAGCAGCTAAATTGGCGGCCAAAACAGCCGCAAAGACGGCAAAGAAGGCCTCTAAAACAGCGACGACAGCGGCCAAGAGCGCTACCAGGATTGCAGCAAAGACCGCCGCGAAGGCTTCCAGCACTGCGGGAGTCAAGAAGTCAGCGGCTGCCAAAACCGCTGCTGCGAAGACAAAGGCTGTGGCTGCCAAAGCCGCCAAGGTCGTTGCTGAGGGACCTAAGAAGGCTAAGACTGCTGCGAAATCTGCGGCGAAGAAAGCTACACCAGCGAAGAAAGCGCCCACTGCCAAGAAGGCCGCGGTTGCAAAGAAAGCTCCGGCGGCGGCGGCGAAACAGAAGAAGACGATGACGACAACGACAACGAAAGCCGCAGTGAAGAAAGTGAAAGTCGTGGCTGACGCTGTCTCTGCAGAGGAGAAGCAGTGGAAGGTGCCCCCGAAGCCAAGCCATAAGCGGAGTACACGAGCGCAGAAGAAGCATACTTGAGTCATCTTAGCTATCCGGTTGGGGGAAATGGAGAGATGCAAATGAAGAGGTGCAAATGTTGAAAAAATGAGGAAGATAGTTCATTATCGTGGCAGGAGAAGGAGAACTTGGTGGTGGAGAGAAAGAGGAGGAAGGAATGATGGCATGGTCAATGATTGCGGTTGTTGGTGGAGATGCATGTGGACGAGGCTGAAGTTCAGCTTTCGAAAAGGGGCAAAACGCATGACCGACGGACTTGACCCACTGGCTGCAACACAGCAACGATTTTATTTATGGAGTCCACGATGCGGGAAAATAATGGGAGGGGGCTCTTGGTGCCTATTCTTTATCTAATGTTCATCTTAAGAGAAACTTTTCTACTGTTTTTTAATGAAGTATTTCTTGTAATTCTTGATCTGGGTTTCCACGTAAGTGTCTGAGGATTCTCTAAAATTCGAGGTTCATCATTTTTCTACCACAGTTTTAATTATTCAACTTCAGTCCGAGTACCAGACTTTAGTTAACCAGCCATATTCTGAGGAGCATAAGACGAGTATAAAAGCTGGAGAATATCTGACCAATGCTCAAACACATCAAGATCTAGCCCAACCTCCCAATGTCAGCAACTACTATCCAACCGTTTCCCAAACAACATCAATTCTCACTCCGCCCTCCATCTCCATCTCCATATCATCATGATCAACCCCTTGTGGTCTCCTATCACCAACACTCTGACTCGCGTCCACAATCCCATCCGCATCCGCATCCGCATCCGCAACCCCCAAAACCCTCATTCGAAAAACACATTTCTCCAACCCCTCGCCCGACCCATCATCCCTGACCACCTCCCTCACAGCCCCATCCCACGAAGCCCTCACCTCGTCCCACAGCGCGAGGACCTGCCCATCACGCTTCGCAACCCAGTCACGCACGATTTCCTTTGCTTGGAAGATCTCACCTCGCAGGCCACTGACACGCTGCTGGACGATCCCAACCTCAGTGTCAGTGTCAGTGTCAGGATCAGCATCGCCTGGCAATAAACGTGTGTGCCGCGCCTGAGTCTCCAGACTCGCGAGATCAGCGCACGCGAGCCCGATGCGCAGCCGGCCACGGCGGATCTTGGCGTCGAAGGCTTCGTGGGCCATGCGCTGCGCTGAGCGCGCGGACGCCAGCGAGCAGTCGAAGCATTGGCGTGGCGAGGTGAAGAATTGGTTGATCACCGTGGCTTCTCTGGCTTGCGGGATGGTTGTGCCGGTTCCGGTGTGTGTGGCCGGAGTGGTGGAGGCCGCGACGGAAGATGTTGATCTGGAACGCGAGTGGTTCGAGGTCGAGCTTGGTGACGAGACTTGTGTGAGCAGAACTGGTGGGATGTATGCTGGTCGTGGCGTCGGTGGTGTTGAGTGTGGGCAGCCTTGGAAATAGAGCGTCGTGCCGAATGGGATGAAGCCCGGTTGCGTGCCAGATGCCGAGGGGGATTTGATATCTGCGGTGGAGAGGTTGAGGGACGAGTTAGAGTGTGTGTCCGAAGGACTTGAGGCTGATGGCTCCGCGTTCCTCCCTGGTGATATCGCAAAATTCTGGTGGTGGTCCGGCTTTCGTGTCGAGAGTTTGCGCACGAGTTTCTTCATTGCGAACAAAGCCTTTTCTTGTCTGAAGACTTCAGTAACTGTCTCCCTCTGGCAAATCTCTTGGTGTTTACGACCTTTCGGGGTATTTGAGTTATCTGGACCTTTTTGATTTCCTTGATCTCGTGGAGATGTCAATTACTCTCGAGTCTCAGGTGTAACTTGTCTGATAGATGGCAATGATGAGAAGACCCAAAGAGATAGTGATTGTGGTTACAAATGATCGATTTCCTAGACAAACATGTGAACGGATGAACCAGAATGCAAGGACTGTCATTGGTGCAACAAGCAGACTGCCTGTTGAAGTCGATGTCACTTTCACTTGATCTTCGAACAGCTAAGTATGGCACACTGCCTCGTTCCGGATTGGTTCACAGTGGTGTCTGGACTTGCCACTACTGTTGAGATTCGACAGAACGGTTCCAGAATACATCTAGAAGGAAAGTCTTAGTAGGTCTTTCATAAAGGAAGCACAGAAGAATGACGTTGATCTGCACGAACGCAGCGTGAGATTTGATCACCAGACGGTATGAGTGGAAGGGTTTCTTTCTTTTGTGGCACCATTGTCCTGGGAGGAGTACACAATGAAAGGAAGGGTGACAATAGCCCCCATGAGAGAGCACAATCGAGCCAACCTTTCGTTGGCGAGTTGCGTGTCCCTCGATCTCGTAAAAAGTTCAGTTCTTCAGGCCAGTTTTCATCAGCTGGGGCTGGTCAAACCCTTTTTTCTCGGGTGAAGCTCCTCGATGTTGCTGACTTGCAAACAACGGACGCTATACGTGAGGTCGAGGGCAATGGTGGAGACGAGCCCCTTTGTTTGGAACTAATCAATCACTCGCTGGCTGTCCTTGACGCCTGAGCCTACCTATCAATTTGGAAAGCATTTGACATCGTCGTTCGTTCGTTTGCAATGGCAGCCACATGCAACCTTAGCAACTCTCCGCCATCGCGGGGTTCAGCACGTTCAATGACCAATGTTGCCATACTCGAGGCTGTGGGTCGGATCACGTGTACCCTTGCATGCCTCACAGTTTCTTTGTTCGGGTATCGTTGTGAAGCAGGACTGCTAGCTCGAGTCGATGAATCTGGTGGAACATCACTGTGTTGGCAAATTGATGAATTGCGTGGTAGCGCGATCAAGCATTTTTGAATTCTCTTCGTTCTGATCAGGGTATCATCGCACTAGCTCAATAACATTCATAAGTAGATTCACTTTTGCCCTTGCAGTACGGCCCCTGAAGTCATTAAAGCGCATACTGAAGAGAAAAGGACCGTCTGAGTCAGATACCAGGGAGATACCATGTGGTCACTCACCAGGCTCTCTCTGAGAAACAAACATCCACGGAGGAATGCCATTCAGAAGCCAAATTTGCTTCCAATGAAACCGAGAGCGGCCTGCTTCTTCTGTTTCGCAATATATTTATTGACTCCATCACTCCAGCCCTCGCTCGCTTCAGCGGCACGGTCCATATTATCACCAGCTAGACCAAGGTTTTCTGTTCTCTCCTGGATCTGGCGTTGCATATATTCCCAATAACCTTCTTGGTTCGGATCTTTAGGAGGAGCTCGACCTGTCCTTGCCATCTCACGTTGCCGTTGGAACTCTGCATCCTGCGCAGCTCGTGCCTCTGCAACCATCCGCTTCGAGGGTGGTCGATCAGGTCCTCCAATCAACAAATCCATATCTGATGGTGTGATATATTGGGTACCCGCGATCCATTGAAGATTGCTGATAGTAGGTCGAGGAGGTATCAGTTTTGTCGGATCATACAGTTGATCTGTGCTCGGAGGGAGAGCTAGCCCAGCGCCAAAGACATTAACTATGGCAATTTCGCTGGGTCCTGCCCACCCAAGGATATCACCTGTAGGAGTAACGATGGCCTCATTGAATCTTTTTGTGTCCAAAATATGGTTGACCCTAACACTGCCAATCTCTTTGAGAGCAGGGATTGAGAATGCGCGAGCGGCACCATCTCCAAACAGCCCCACAATCGCATAGCCTCGGTCTTCATATCGAGATACAGTTGCAGAATCACAAAGGTAGTGTTCGAACGTTTTGGAGGCGCCTTTGGCCTGAGCGGGTCGGAATATATGAGCAGATGAAACAGTAACTGCGATAAGAACGCCATCGACTTTGTGACCGGATTGAAGACCTCCCATTGCATGACCTGTGGCTGCTGCTGGCGAACCAGCTGCAGCGTCAATCGGGGACAATGAGATAACTCTATCTTCTGAGAGTTGTACTACCCCAGCAAACTGGGCAGAATATCGACCTGTCTGAGAAGGCAGGATCTTGAATGTCACCACACGACCTTTGGACGTGCCAACAAATAATGCAATGGAAGAATAATCTGTTCAAGGATTAGTTGATAATTCAAGGACAAAATGAACACTCACCATCGCCTTCTAGCGTCATTATGCCGAACTCCAACACGGTTGCATATTCCTGTGATGAGGTTTGAGTGTTGGTCCGTCTGATACTGGCTCTTCTGTTCTTTCCGCCCGACAAGTCGCTGAGTAGAGCGGAGTGGATGATTGCTGGTCCTCGAAGGTCAATCAGTGTAACTCCACCCGAGGCATAACTAGCAGCAACAAATCCTACATCCGAGTGCCGCAAAGCTGTGACGGGTCCTTGCTGGTCGTTTGTCAAAGTCAAGGGGAGAAGGCCTTCCTTTAGACTAGGTTCCGCCCGTGTGGTAATATCTGTCATCTTCCCAGGACCTTCGAGTGGAGCAGGAGGAGGTGATGGTTGACCAGCGTACTGGTTACGATTCAGACGGAATACGACGACCTCACCGGTTCTTAGACCAACGGAAAGCTCTCCTGTTGCACCAGACATGCTCATCTGGGCTACATCGATTTGATCCCATCGACCTACCGCTTTACCAAGGTCGACTTGAATGACACCGCTATTCTCGATCAAATCACCGTGTCCGGCATCCCAGAGTCTAATTGTACCGTCAGCATGTGCTGTCTGAACAATGTTTCGATTTTCATGTCTCTTGAGAGGATGTGGCCCCTCGGCGCCACCCAGCAGTATATTGGGTCCATGTTGACGCACTTCTCGCATCCCTAGCCATCGAGTTCGATCGACAAATGCCAAAGCAGTTTTTGTGACAAATGGATGGACAAAGGATAGAGATACGTGAAGTTGGTTGCTAGCACTGATCGGATGGCCACTGGGGAAGCTAAGGGTGACCAATTCCCCGGATGTCAAGGAAGCCAGCACTGCTATGGGATCGTGGGCACCTGCAAAGTGTGGAGAAGCACGAGGTATAACTTGAAAGGAATTGATGGACGCGTTCGGCGGAGTGGGGAGGATCTGGATTTTCTTAGGGTTTCTGAAATGGCCAGCCAGGAAGTCCCAGGAAGACGTTTGATAGTTTGGAGTCAGCCCTAGCTCAATAAATGTAAGACCACTTGTTGGGTTTGTTGTTGCAGAGCCGCCGGCGAGCAAGAGACCTGTATCATCTGGATTTTGTTTGGAACACCAGGTGATCTGAGAGTAGGGTTCTTTGAGTGAGGCAGAACCTGGACCAGCTTTTGAAGTTTTCCCAGGCATATTGACGTCTGTGTCCTCGATGGTTCGCGCATGAATGACTCGACCATCTCGAGGATCCCAAAACACTAGACTTGAGTCCTCATGGGCGGTTAATATGAAGGTGCCAGTTGGGTGCCAGATGGCATGGGTCAAGCGCGGATGATTGACGGTGTTGAGGGCTGCTGGGTCTGCATTTCCACCAGGAGCACCTCTCGGCACTTCATATTGGAAGAACTTGATGGCTTTGTTTTGCTTAAAAGAATAGATAACGGCGCCTTCAGAGTAGCCAATGAGTAGTGTTCCGATATCCTTCGGGTGGAATTGTAATGATACTATAGGCAGAAGTCTTGCTCTCGGGTTCCGCTCCCTCCAAAGGTTGGGAATTCGAAACGGTGCCATGGATTCCCGGTCGAGGTCGTACGCAACAATCTCTCCTATTGGGGGTGTCAGTATATCCCCGTGAGGTGCGGAACATGTGTATGATTGTACCCACCATTTTGAAGACCCGACAAGCAGTAGTCCAGACTCGTATCTGATATCAAGGCCACAACATGGCCAGGAGGGGAATAATTTGCGATCAAGTGGTGTTTCTCCAGGCTGAAGACACTAACATCATTCTTATTGTCCATAACGATAAGTTTGTCGGCGCAGAACTGGAGATCTCTGATCGAGGCGGCTCTCGGGGGAGTCAAGGTTACGCAGACTCGTTTCTGGCCAAAGACGTAGACTTTACCAGGACCAAAGCGGGATTCATTGGTACCAACCGCGAGGAGGGATTGAACAGGATCGTAGGCGGTAACGGAGATTTGGGAATTGATTCCATAGCGAGCAAACTAGAAGATTGCCTATCAGGATCGTCATGCCCAGCAAAGGGAGCAGACTTACATCGTCCAACATGAATACTCCAGGTGAGACGCCGAAGGAGAGATCATTTTGAATGCCCGCCTGCTTGCCCCGCAGGAAATGATGCGCCATGTTTGCCAAAGATGAAATACAGCAGAGGAGATTGGGGAAGAAGTTTCATCCGCGGCGCCAGCTTTGCCTTTGCTCTGCTCACCGAGCCCGGAGTTGATTGAGGCTGGGGACTTGGGAGTGGGATTGTGAAGGCTGAGGATGCGGCGTTGAAGTGTGTGAGTGAGTTAGTGAACCATCAGTTGGAGTTGGAGTCGGAGTTTCAGAAACGCGTCATTGCTTCTTGGCCCGCGTCCTCCGAGCCTCGATTTTCAGACAGTGCCAATTAAAAACAATCATTGCTTTATTGAACATTTAGAGAAGGTACCTGACAGATGATTGTTGTTGTAAAGGGATTATATTTTTGGAACTAACTCAGCTTTTGAATGTCCACCGGTAACTACAATTTCATGACCCCTCTCTTCAACAAGATCTGAACGGCCGGCATCGAATCACTCATAATCTCGCAACGCTGCATCTCGAACCCTCCATGAGCAGCACCATCTTTCTTGACATAGATGAAACGAAACGCCGCGGGGATCTTGACGTCCCATTCTCGACCTTGAAGATCCTTGACCTTCTGCTCCCCCTGACTCGACTCTCCAGGACAGTTGGCGAAGAAGTATGCTTGTCCAAGCATCTCATACCCGTCCTTCCTGTCCAATGTAACCAAGAAGTAAGGCTCGTGGAACTCTTTGGTGAAAGGGGCGTACAACGCTTTGGTTTGTTCGAACGCTTCTTCTCCGCCTTTAATTTCGACACCATCTGGCTTGACCAGGCTAAAGTCCGAGGAGAACCAGTCGGATGACTTTTGGTCCCAGCCCGACCGCGCGTTGAAGGCAATGGTGAAGTCTTCCATCCATTTCATTGCCGGATGCTTGCGGCTGTGGTCATCCCATGTGCCAACATGGATAAAGGCGGGTTGGGTTTCGTAGGAAGACATTTGATGTGATTGTGAGTCTTGTTTTTGTGTATCATCAAATGATCATATGGGAGTGAATATCCTTCAGTATTTGGTTCATGAGCAAATCCAAGAGTCAGACACATGCAGGAGTAACGATATATATACCTGCGACGGAGAACATTGTCACTGCAGCGTGAACACAACGACCTTAGGTTTGGGCAAGAGCTCTTCGTGAAGCTGAGGCATTTCCCAACACCTACCTCATGATTTTGACCAGTCAAGAGTCGACAATTTCATCGTGATGCGGCCTGGAAACAAGTATACACGAAGTGTTCGGGCCTCTGAAGAGCAGCAGCTCGTTCACGCGACGCCACAGAGAGGAGGGACCATGTATTTCTGGCAAGTGTTCACCAAAAGGACTCGACTTTGGTGGTTCAGTGGGCAACATTAAGCGGCTTCCCCACATTCCAAGTGCTGGGCCCCGGGCACAGTTGCAATGCTGATAGGGGTCCACGATCTTGATATTCAGCCGCACTTGGATCTCAAGTTTGGTTGAGGTTGTTGATGGTGGCTTGCTCTCGACATTGGAGTTGGGGCGTGAGCTAATCTAGGATCGGATGATAGCTGTTGAAGCCTGGTTGGGTGGATGTTACGGGATAACTTGAAGCCTAAAATGTTATGAATTGAGACTGACTGAGGAGCTCTTCGACGAGGTACCCAACTCAGTATTGGTGCATAGACCGAGTAAGCCGGATCATTGCAACTTCCGACCACCGAAAAAACAGTGACTGGGTACCTACTCGTAGGTATTCCAGGCATTCAAGTTTAGGTAAAGCACTTGGGGTTTAAGTGCTCATCTTGTCATATTCAAACAAACAGCAAAAACAACTCTCGCTTCTCTCCTCGCTCACTACGCATCAAGAGACGAGAAATTCGCTTATTCGCATTCATCATTGGACGTAGCAACGTATCCTTCGCTTCATACCTTGTATAGAATCGCTAAGATGTTACATCACGACCGTCAGTAAGCGAGAAAAGAAGCGAAAGTTGCCAGGGAAGGCTTTCAGAAATGGGTCTAATTAGAGGAAGGGAGGCCCTATTGTCATCCAGACCCGACCAGAGATGATACGACTGACCGACTGGAAGCGAGTCTGGATACTGACCGCAAATCCATCAATGCACAACACCTCGTAGTCAGAATACTATTGTGAGCTATGATACGCCAGAGGCGCCAATAAAGGCGTTTCACCTGGGAACTAGAGCGAGCTTGAGGCTTCGAGAACGCCATTTGCAATTTCATCCGTGGTGTTGACGTACGCCTGGGATTACTCGCGATAGCCCTGAATAGGCAGTAAAGAAGAGGACGTGACTTAGACTGCCATCCTGTGGAGAGCTTCACAGTTCTCTTGCCTGTTCTCTCCAGCAATGGACTTAGGCAGCAGCTCACCGCTTGTCATTAGTAGCGAGATGAGAACTAAATCCAGTATAGTGCAAGGTCTGGATGACAGACACTCCTCACAATAATAAATTCAATCGAGTCTTGTCAAGAAAGGCCGGCACACCTCCAGGCTCCAGAGGGGGATACCTGTACGAGTACGGCCCCCCGGAGAATATTCGAGGTTAGCGAAAACCCAGTTGCTTGCTTATCGCGATCAGGAAACCGTCCTCAGCTGGAGGCGTTCTAGTGGCATTCGTACTCGTTGCATAAGCACCTCGCACCTCGTACCTAAGTCTCACAACTAAGTGTCTGAATATCCATCCTTCTACTTTCTAGGCCCATCTACACGCCAACCCAGTGCAAATTCGTAGATACCGTAGTCGACATGCAATGAAAGCCCCCGGTTGCAGAAAAACTTTACCCAGAGATCGATGAGAATGATCCGGCGTGCATCCGAACACGTTGGTCGATCACCCGGAGGAGACACACAAAGGCAGAGACAGAGTTTGAGTAAGCGAGAATGTGGCTTGAACAAGCGAGGATGGATCTTCGAGGGGCTTGAGCCTCGTTACACACTTTGCTCGAACCTCCACCGCCTTCCTATTATGTGATGTGCAATTCAGTAGGGCTTTCAGTAGAATGCTTTCTTACATCGCTAGTCTGTGAAAGACGTGTCAATTATGCTGCTGCTTGTACCGCGTGAACAACTCTCTACCACCTTCGATAATGCTCTGCTTCATCGTCCAACGTGGACACATCTCATCTGGCACTGTAGATAGCCTCTATAACTTCAGCCCCGACTCCCGAGTGAGGACCAGCGAGAAAGGCTGAGCTAGTCAGGTGGTAGTCAGGTCTCAATCCCCATTCCCATGCCACAGTTAACGCCTAGACTTCGTGTTCGCGTCGATCACACTTGACAAGCGAGACACTATCCAAATTCCCCACTGAAGCCGTTGCAGTTGCACGAGGCTGCAGAGACACTTGACCTCACGTTCCCTCACAGTCACAACGTCCACAGCCATCAGCCTCCAGCCTCAGCCCAACGGATAGTCTCGTCTATAAGCGAGCGAGCGGGCACGCCTCGTCCCGACACGACGCCTTCACGAATCCTCTGTTCCCCATTCGCCGCCGACCTCGTCTCTAAGCGAGCGAGCGTACGTGTGAAGCTTTTCCTGCTTCTGGCGCCGGTGAAAGTTGGTTTGTTTCCCGCAGCATGGCCCAAAAAAAAGAATGCTCAGATGCATAACTAACTCATTCGCTTGTGGCGCGTCTCAAGTCCGACGATGCATTCGCCTATAAGCGAGAGTTGGCGCTTTCTGATCTATCCGTACCGAGTACGACGGACGGTGTCTACTATAGATAGATGCCTAGACACAAGACATTTCAGTCCAAGCTTAGACATACCTATCCCTGAGGATGAGTGGAGGGCTAGGAGTTACGCCTTACCATGCCACGCCATGATAAGCAAGGCATCTATCTGGTCAACGAAAGGGAATGGCACCCTTCCTCAATCCATCCACTCTCGACAGCCCTGGAGAATTCTCAGCATCTAATGACTAGATATTAGGTATCATATTAATATTAGGTAGGCCAAAAACAAAAGTTTATTATTACAAAGGCTCATTCATGTATGATGCCATCCCATGGTCACCGCTTAGTCCAATCAAAGGGGCAACAAGGTAGAATAGATTCTTATGGTACAGGGGGGGAAAGCGCTCATTACCAACCTCCCTTTCCAGTGAACGAGCCTGTCGTCACAGAAGGACTTGAGAACAACGAACACAACGAACACAACACACAAAGAGTGCTACCGCTTCCGCGTCAGGATCTTGGTGATGGCATGGCGAATCGTGATGCCGGATTTCTCAATTTCCTTCTTCGAGAGTCCGCATGTGACACACACCTTCAGTGCGGGTAACGGAGAGTAGATCTCGGATTTGGTCCCGACGACTCCGGTCGGTAAGGTTTTCATCCGCGTAATTAGCACGTTCTGTGCCAAACACTGCGTATGAGAAAGATGAGTCAGTGATGCGTTCAAGGAGCGACTACTGAACAGGGGCGCAAAGTTGCACCAGCCTGGAAAAGCAGATTTAGAAACATACCTCATCCACGATCTCTTGCAGCAAGATCTTCTGATCATCCACCGACATCTTTCGTGACGAAACGACCTCGGGCTTCAGCACCAACAGCATGATGGGATTTTCCGGCGCGCTGGTACAGTACATCCAGTCACTCCGAGGATGCAGCTGCAGCCACATGGTCTTGATATTCTCCCGCAGCTGGAATAAATGCTCCGGTTGAGTCTGCAACATCATCAGAGTTTCGCTGGCTGTCACGGCTGAAATGGCCGGCAGGGCAGCCGAGAATGTGTATGCCGCGGCTGACAGGCGTTGATGCTCAACCACCACATCAGATCCGGCACAGAAACCACCGGCTGCGGCGAGAGGTCCCGACATGGCGCCGATGAGCATGTCCACTTCGGCGGCATCAACGTGCTGATGCTCAGTGATACCGCGTCCTGTACGGCCGAGGACTCCGAAAGACCATGTCTCGTCCAGGATCAGGCGGAATTTGTACTTGAGCTTCAGTTCAATCTGAGGGATTCCGGTCAGCAGGGAGGCTCCTCAAAAGACTTAAGAGGCCCAAGGGAGTTATGTCGGCCGGACAAACTTACAATCTTGGGCAAATCAACCATGTCACCAACATTCTCGAACAACCCTTCTGTAATGATAAATCTCCTCGTCAGCGGCTTACGAGCCTGTTCCTTTGTGACCTTGGCCAACACCCTCTGTAAATCTTCCATATCATTATGTTCATACCAACGGATCGTGCTACGGGAGATCTGCATGCCCTTTCGAATGGCATAATTGACGGCCTTGTCCGCAACGATGATATCTCCTCGCTTGGAAAACGCCGGAATCACACTGGAAATTGTCGAGAACGCCTGCGCATATATGATACACGCCGTAGTGCCCAGGAACGCTGCGATGTCGGCCTCAATCTTCATATGCACATCCTGCGTGCCGTAAAATCCGGGGGGGCCGCATGGCCCAACTCCGTACGTACGAAGGGTCTGGATGGCCCGCTCCTTGAGGTTCTCATTGGAATTGAAGTTGTAGAAGTTGTAGGATGCGAGATTCGTCACCGTACGTCCGTTGGTCAATTTGGATCGTGGGCCACTTGGTCTATGTCGTCGAGAGAGTGTTTAGTATTGCATTGCGGAAACGAGGGAGAGGGCCACCCGGCGAGCGCAGATCAAACAGTGAAAAGCACTTACCCAACGATAACGGGCCGTCTCTCTAGATCCGCCTCCTCGAAAGGCGTAGTCTTTGCAACTAGAGGTTCCGGTGTCCAGTCGTCGACGAGATCATCAATCTCCTAAACAGAATCCAAGTCAGTACCATTCAACCAGCGCCTTCGCATAAAGAAGAGCGGTCTTTTCACCCACTTCGTCCGATAACTTGACATAATTCGGCTTGGTGGAATATTTCGGCGCAAGGAGGTATCGTATGGCGAACAAAACAAGGAAGAGTTCGACAGCGGATCGGATGGGATCGTTCTGGTAACTGGATTTCACATAGCGTAGGAAGATGGCTGAGCCAGGAATCTTGTGGAACTGTTCTGAAGTCGAGTGGGCTAGGGTGGTGAGGTACTCTTGTACGTCCTGGACATCCATCTTTGCGACAGCATCGATGGTGTAGAGAGAGTGCCGTGGGCATCAAGATGTTCATCAAAAACCATACAAGGTGTCCGCAGTTTCCTGATGGAAATCTTATCACGTGATCAGTCCTCAGGGGAGATCTCCAATTTCCGACTCGTCCGCCTCTGGCTCTCGCTCAGTATCGGTTGCGGTGTGCTGGCTCGCCAAATCGACCAGCTTAGTCCCAGAAAGGTTCAAAGTCTCCGGTGCTACGTATAGGCAGAAGCCATAAGGACTCGGGAAGTTGCAGTCTGAGGTCTTATGTATGCAGAAACAAGGTTCGGTAGCGATGATTCCGTTTATTTTCATGTACAATATGAGTATTTCTAATGAACAAGATAACTCCGAACAGCCATGACCCAGACGCCTTTCCCTAATGTTTCTCCACCTCAACCCATTGCAGAAGCGACTATGTCCCTGAGCAGGGTCTGAAAGGCGAGTGGTCTATTGCCATTTCAATCATTAATTTGTTCTTTGAACAGTATCCGGCAAACGATTGACGGCTTATCAATCACATGCCGAAGCTGATGGAACTCCCATCCAGCTCCAGTTGTGTACATACTCGATCAGGTAGAAATTGCGATTGTGACCAGCTTTACCACCGCATAAATTTACCACCACCATTGAAGTTGAATGCATCGTTGTTAGTGGTTGTTGCAGATCCGCCGCCGCTACCAGTCGTGGTTCCCGCTGTAGCTCCTCCTCCTGCGCTGGTAGGACCAATGGCGTTGCCAAAATCGACCAACGCAGACCCAGTGAAATTGGCTGTGGTGTCGTTGTTGTTTTGTCCTGTAGGCTGGTACAGGTCTAGTGGGATGTCGGGCAAAGATTTGATGATGTTCAAGTTGCGGATAATGACTGGTCCAATAATCAGGGCGAGGAAAATGACAAGCAAGAGAAAGTAGAGAATGGCATAGCGGATGACACGTCTCTTCCGGAGACGAGACTGCTTGATGGTATAAATGGGTGGACGAATTTGACGACTGTAGATTGGATTAGCATGGATTGAGTTATGAGAAGGGAAAGAACGTACCTTGGTCGAAGCCAGAAAAGCATGACCGAATGGAATTTGTCGACATAGGGAATGCAGAGAGGAACTAGCATGACAAACATGATGAAGTGGCCGAGAATGAAATCCGCAGCGAAGAAACCAAGCTCGGTAATCTTGCATAGAAACTCACGTGCAGGCTGCGACATCGAGTGCCAACCCATAGAGTACCATTTCCCTGTCCACCATGCGATATTCGAAGTGTCTGCCTTGAATTCTCGGGTCAAGCAAAGAGCAATGATCAGCTTGAAGATGAATCGCTGCAGGGCAACGGTGGCGATCATTCCGAGCAATGCCTTTGCGAAAACCCAACCCTCCAAGAAGAACATGACCTCCCAGAAGGCAAATAGCATGATGACCGCAACAGCATGCGCAATAGCTGCAAGGACAGATCCGAACTTTTTGCAGCACATACTCAATACTGGACCCATACAGCAAGCCATGGCAAAGAGAACGGCGAGAGTACCCGCATTGATGGCAATAGGTGCAAAGGCAACGATTGCAACACGAATCAGAGAATTCGTGGCAGGCTTAAGATCAGGACCCTGAACACCAGTTTGAGCGTTGATAAACAAGTAAGGAATCACTGTGACAGCCACCAGCACGAAAGGACCGACAACTTCGCTAAAGAAGACACTGGTGAATCGAGCACGAGGCACATCTCCAGACAATTTCTCCGAAGGGGACCCAAGAACCTTGCGCTTGAAACCAGTAAGACGTGTACGGGACAGACGACAGAAGGCAATCCAAGATGATGCATGGGAACGTGAGTTTCCGCGAGACAGCCATCGAAGATAATCTCTGTAATCAATGAAGAAATCGGTCCAGGCAAACTGATGAGGGTTGAAAAGGAAGGGTGAGATGCAGAGTCCGAGTAGTGACATCCAGAACCACAGAAGCCAGGCGCCCCAAACAGTAATGGTGGCGAAAAGCAACATCATGAGGGAACGAGCTCCAATGTAGATCGAGGGTCCGGCGAATCTTGAGTACAAGACTCCGAATGGGATACGAGCGGTAGCGAAACCACGGCCAGTTCCAATGTAGCGAGCACCTCCAAATGACAAGTCTTGTTGAATGGAGCTGGCGTAAATTTGGCACACGAACACCTCGAAGATGAAGGAGAGCGAGGCAAAGTGTTTAGCCAAACGAGTGGCAGCACGCCAGACCCCACGCTCGGTCAATTCTTGTACGACCAAGGGTACGAAAGAAATGAAGAAGACGATGAAGATAGAGACAATGCAACGTTCGACCCATTCCATGATCGGCGTCAAGTTGGCACATCCAGTGGGTCGGAGCGGATCTGTTGGGGGGACATTCCGATTATAGAAGCATGTGATTGTCTCATGCTTGAGAGCTCCCAGGTTGATCATGACGAGCATAAACATTTGCACAGACAACATGATGAACATATTGTTGATGTGGAATCCAGGATGAGCGTAGTAGAAGGACAAGAACCGATCGAGTGGAAGTTGGGTTCCAAGGTAGTAGTACTCTCGGGAAAGCATTTGTTCACCCATGCCGGTACCGATTTTGGTGGTGAAGTTCAAGATGGAGCCAAAACCAAGATCACGACCTTTACCACACTGGTAATATTCACAATGCTTTATGCGACCGCCACGAATCAAAGCATTCATTCCGGCGTAGATATCCTCGTTCAAATGAAGACCCTTCTGTGCTTTTGATACACCACCACGAGTGGTCATAAAGATACCGTTCAAGAAATCGGGGTGACCATAATGGAGCTTGCCACCAATCTGAGCAAGTGTACGAGCAAAGAGTGTACCGAATGTTTGTTCCTTGCCGGCAGCGACATCACCGAGGATACCAATATTTTCAGAGAAGATGTACTCTCGAGCACCAAGGATAGCGACAGGGTTGAATTTCGATGGAGGAAGACCGGGTGTGTATGGCGAGACGTTATCTGTTGTCATTTCTTCAAATTCGGCCAAAACGCTTCGAATCTTCAAGCATTCTTCCAGGTAGTTGTCTTGGTTGGCATCAATGAGTTGAATATATTCACCACGATAGAAAATGATGGCGTGGTTTTGATTGTCAGATTTACCATCACCCAGGATAGGATTGCCTGAAAGCTGTACTCTGAATTTAGGTCGACGCATTCCATTTTCGAGGATCTCAGAATGGCCATCAATCAAGGCAGAGTAGAGACGTGGCTCCTCGCCTTCGGTGGCAGGGGGCTCTTCATCAAGATAGGCAATTTGCAAATCAGGGTAAGCACGGAGCAAAAATTCGGTGTTCTCGCGCTCTTCCTTATTGAACTTGGCATAGCGTTGCATGGATACGACAATTTTGAACTTGCGTCTGGCCATTCTCTCGAGTTCGCGCTCAAGCTTGTCCGAGTTGCCACCAAACATTTGGACGACCTCGGGATTTTCAACACGATACAAAAGCTTGATTGCTCTGCTGTAGTTCATGAAACCAGAAATGGTACGGTAAAGGGTCTGGGAGCGGAGAGATGCCCAAATACGAGTTCGCAGCGTATATTCCGGAGCAGCAGATTTGAAACCGATACAGTAGAAGGGGAGATCATCGATCTTGCTCTTCGCAGTGTCCTTTTCGTTCTTTTCATAGTCTCCATTGAATTGAGATGTTTCATCGGCCAAGATCTTTGTGTCTTTCACGAAGCAATCCCACTCGTGAGGGTGAAGTTGCTTGAGGTACTCGAGAAGAGTTACACGCGAATAAGGTTCGTCCTCACGGATAATTTCCCGCAGAGACAACAAAATCTTCTCTCCGTAATGGGGAATGAGCACAGTGAATGTTGGCATATTGTCCACAGGAAGTGGTTCCGGAATTGGCGTAGATAGAGATTGTGCGAAGAAAGAGATACGACGTTCGGCTTCACTCTGCGAAGGGAAGAATTCGGTCTTGAACGAGTGATCTTCTTGCGAGACGAAGAATGTTGGGGCTCGCAGAGTGCGCTTGCCTTCTTGCTCGGATGGAACCTGGTGATACAACAACTTCTGGACGTGGTCGATGGCCAAAAGGTGCTCTCGGTACATGGAGATGACAATGGCATTCCAGACTTGGGAAATCAGCACTTTAGGCTTGTATTTTATTTCCATGTCAGTAGTCGCTAAAACCTTGGAGTAGATACGTTTCGGCAGACGAGAGAAAATGTTCCTCCACGGGGTCCAGATGGACACACCGAGATAGAACGAACGTGCCACGGAAAAGACGCAGTTCCAGATGATGTACCAGAGATAAGTATCCAGGAAGAAAAGAATCAGGTCGGTGAAGAACATGAGACCAAGCAAGATCTGAGGTTGATACTTGCACAGATAGTCCTTGAGGATGGCATCTCCAGCACATTTGTGAATCTTCGTATATGAGAGAATCTTGATAGGATCTCTGAACGAAAGGGTCAAGAAGAAGTAGGATTCAGCCAGCTTGGCGGCAAACACCATGATCCAGAGGCCAAAAGACATCCACATATCGTTACCCTTGAGACGCGGGTAGGAAGCCGTGAAGGTTTGACTGGCAACATATTGACGAGATTTTCCTGTCATGTAGCTTCCAAAGAGGCCGCCGAGAGGCATGATAGAGAAGAAGAAGAATGTTGCCAGAGCGATCAGGAATTGCACGACGCCCAGAATCAACGAGATTTTCGAGGTTTGATTGAAGAAGAAAATGTAACCACTGGGTGCAACGTTCACGACCAAGACTGCGAGGAGGAAGAGAAGACGTTTGGTCAGATGTTGTGCTCCTGCCCATTGACGTGGAACATAGGACCATTCGATCAAGGTTGCAATAACTTGGATGAGGGAGGCGAGTGCACCACCAAGCGCTACCACAGACCACTGCACGGGCGTGTCAGGCTTGGTGTTCAATTGCTGTTGGTAATTCTTGGTATAGAGGGTTGGAGAGTTGAAGGCAGTGTAGAACCAGAAAGTGGTCAAATGGATGACCCAGATACGGTTGAAGTTGACAACCAAGTGGAACCACGATCTGGTCTCCTTGTACGTCTTGAAGAAAACCTTCTTCCAGTTCACCTCTTTCAATTTGAGGTATCGTTCGGCGGGAGGCAAGTCGACGAGGCGGGCCTTGTCCTGCATCACAATGCGCTCAATACCTTCGGGATACCAGAAAAGCTGATTGATATCATCGTAGCCAATGACATGGCTGTGATCTCTTTCGCGACGCACGTACTTTCCATCGATGATTTCGTAGCACTGATCTCGAATATATGTGTACAGAGGTGTGACAATGTCGTTCAGATAGGTGAGTTCTTCAACCGGTTCAACTCGGTTTTGGCAGGCTGGAGAGTGCAAATAGTCATCAGCACACTTGAAGATGAAACACAAGGCCTCGGGCATGAATCGGACCTGATTGGCCTCACCCCAGCAGAGGAGATACAGGGCAATCTGGCGAGCACGATCATGTTGGGACATCTTGTTCATTCTGGTTTTCCAGCGATACTCGGCGGCTTCCAAGGAATTGTCTCCCTCGAATGCTTCCAGGGTCTGTTCCTCATTTGCCGGGTTGTCCTTTGCCTTTTTGGCTGCAGCTTTGCGAGCCTTTCGGGTTCTACGATTGGCCTTGCCAAGTTTCATGTTGGCAAATCCAACTGCGTCGTCAAGATCCAGATGAGCCGCAAAATACCATCTGCGATAGTTTGCGTTGTCACCACCAATGTAATCAGCGTGCAAGGACAGCAATGCTTGATTTGGTGTCATTCTGGATGCACGAGAATCCAAGAGTGTCATCATGTGGTCGTACATATTCCGCATGCTGTCTCGCTGGAACCCGAATTTGGCAGTCAAGTCCAAGAAGATGTCTTCCAGTTCTTCTTTTGACAGAGGAATCTGGGCATCGGAAGTCCATGCTGGATAGGGCTCTCGAGAACGCTGTCCCGCGGGAAGGGCGTTGTTGTAGTCCATGCCGTAGATGGGAGTTGATGCACCAGATGATCGATTGCCGCCGTAAGAGATTTGTGAAGAAGGCGGGCGATATCCTCGGCCACCTTCGTATCCACTGTTGTAGCGCTCGTCACCTCTGCCATAGTAGTCCATTTCGGCAGCACGAGCCATGTCGGATCTCATGGTGAAGTCGCTAAATGTCTCCGAGTCTTCCTCTGAGTCGTGGCCGCGACGGGCTTGACGATGACCTTGGTATTGCTGTCCTGCAGCTCCCTGGTCATAGTATTGGCCATCGTTGTAGTAGTCATCTTGCTGGTAGCCTTGGTGGCCTTCGTAGTAACCTCCGTCATTGTGGTAGGGGTTTGACGCGTCTGCGTTGTAGTAACCGCTGTAATCACGGTCAGTAACCTTGTTCTTAGCCCGCAAGAAGTGGTAGGCTCACGATTCGTCATAGTATCCGTCACCACCGTGTTGCTGTTGGTTGTAATCATATTGATCGTTGTAACCACGGCCGTCGTCTTGGTAGTAGGCATCGTTCCCTTGGTGATGCTGCTGCTGGCCGTAGCCGTCGTCGTAGCCTCCCTGCTGCTGGTGCTGCTGGGGATGGCCCGACATGATGAGAGTGGTATCCGAAACTGGGAAGCCAGTCAGAATGCTGTGCAGGGGGTGGCGAAAGGGCTCCTCTCAAGGGAGCAACCTCGGGTCTGAGGACTGGTTTTACATACCTTTACAAAAGTCCCATTAATTCCAGGATGCTCTGGTGCAAATGCTTTTGGGGGTTATGACAATGAAGCGGTGTACAGCTTTGTAAGGCTTCCAACGCTGGATTAATGGATATATGCAAGGCGTAAGCAGCGGAAAGGGTTTGGGGGTAAACCTGTCGAGGGATGATGAACCCTGGGTGTATGAGTGCGACGAAAATCTGATCAGACAGAATTCCAAAGAGACCGAATTAGGTGGTGATGGTGCTTCCAGGACGAAATCGCAGGATAAGAAAGCAGAGGCGATGTAGAGTGGTTGTTGTGAAACGAGAGTGAGAGGACAAAGTTGGTTGCTCAGCCAATGCAGCTGCAGGAGACGCGCGCCGTTGGCAGGCGTGGCTAAGTTTTTGTGCTGGGCGTGGGCGGCACACCAGTGACTTTATTCGTGACGGGCCTTTGTTGCAGTTGAAGGGTGACAATTGACCTCCTCTTCACCTTCCTTTCCGCAGCGATTGAAGCGAAAGAGATAGGACGAAGAATTGGAAGGAAAGAACGATCGTGAGGAAGAGCAAGGCTGGTTGGGAGAGACAGGATGGAGTTTGATTCGAATCAAAAATTCAGGATGATGGCGAGAGGGAAAGCTGGCGGGCCCAGGAGCAGGAGCAGGAGCAGGAGGCGTACAGGCGAGTACAGGCTAGGGCAGGGGAGGTGGGTGAGCTTGTTTGGAGAAAGCCAGGGCAGGCAGGGAAGACAGGGCAGAGCTGCAGGCCAGAAATTGAAGAGCGAAAACAGGTGGGTTGATTTCGGCGGACAGGGGGGACAGACCAACGTTAGAGCAGGCCCGGGCTTATCCAGATGCGGCCTTGTCACTGGAAGGATGGGCAGTGGGAAGAGCCAGGTCAAACAAGGGGCAGGGGGAGCCATTCCCTTTCCCAGGCCTGACCCAGGTGCCAGATTTCAAGTTTGTTAGTGATGGGCCATGGGCCATGGCTGAGGTTCGCAAGGCCCAAACAAACCACGAGCCACGCCACACGTCGACTCCACCCAAGACCACTCTCGGACCACCCAGAAAGTCTCCTATTTGAGCCCCATCTCTCATCGACTCGCCATTCGTTCGCTGCCTGATGTATTGTGACACTTGATGGGCGTCATCCATCCCACTGTGCAGGACTTGGCTTGCACTACGGACTGGGTTTCCGCCCCGTTGCAGCTGCAGTACTATCTCTGGCCACATCTACCAGGGTTTTGGCGACTTTTGTGGCTATGCACATCTGCATTGCTCATACGAAGCACCTCGTCCTGCCGTCAATGATGAGCACTGGTCATCGTCAACCAGAGCCAATGTCGGATTCTACTCGTACAGAAGTCCCGGCCAGATCTAGAATCATTGTCTGTATAGACTCGGATAGTCGTGTCCAGCTGGATGATCACCTCAGCTATATTTGTACAACACCATCCGTGTTTCATACCATGTTGCAGATCTCTCAATGCATCTCGGACATTTTCTCCATGGAACCAATGCAACCAACCGAAGCCAGTCCAACGTCAAGACTGAGACTGAACTGTACACTGCTCAGGTTGGTCATCGAGTTCTTCCTGTGCATTATCAATCCAGGCGGAGGTCTTTCTATTCCGTGCATATTTCATCTGACGAAACCGGTGATTATCGTTCAAAGTCCGCCGATATTTTATCTAATTTGCACGAGAGGCGCAGTTCCGATCAAAGTGCGTGTCCCAATCAGATTAGTCATGATAGGAGTTGCGGTCCATGGAGGACGGAGCTATGGTTATTGGAGGGAAGTGCATGGTCAATGCTTCCGCAGTCTCAACAATTGTGCATCGTGCTTATCCGTATGCTTCTTGGTGCTTCATTATTCGTGGAACACATGTTTTAAGGACTTCCATCTTCGAGATTATCGGACATGGACGAGAGAGACTGCGAGTCCGAGTTCTGTTGATTCGTATCGTCATTGTTTGACTGCATATCTTTTTGCTTCAGCCGATTAGATTTCACTATGAGCATTCAACATTATCTACAGTAATTGAGTTCTCCCGCAAATTCCACTGGCATATCTCGTACCATGGAAGGAGTATCTTGTGGACCACAAGACGACGAACGGGCCGAGTGGAGTTCAGATCGTGGCGACTGGTGAATTTTCACGATAGCAGCAATGAATATCCGTACGGGCCAAATCCACTATCTACTAGGTAATTGGGCTTATCGACATGTATGACGAGAGCACTGCCAGTGAGTATGGTCTTATCCGGCTCACGTTTATCTTCCTCGTACATGCAAAGGTATTTTTGTCTGTCCATTGGTCTGGACTCATAGTTGACGCGCAAAGCAAGAAATCAAAAACCACAGAACCTGGAAAAGAATGAGACACAAGCTTTTGGTGGGAAGCAGCTGCACCTTCTGGGCTTTGGTGGCGAATGCTATTTAAGGTTGGCTCGGTAAGACCCCTCCTTGATTCTTTGGGGCCCGCGGGCGTCTGTTAGGCACGGCTACTAAACAAATTGGCGCTTCCCAGGCCCGGAGTGCAGAACAGCCGATCAGGTCGGAATAGGGGTACCCAGTGAATGCACTTCCAATCAGGCTTTCCATCGGCTACTCACTAATGAGTCCCTAATTTCGAAAAAGCTCAAATCAGATTCGTCTTGAGCCCGGCAAAGCCAGCATTGCGGGGATCTCGAGACACCTCTTGGAAGATCATGCAACTGCGGCCACCAGGGTGAGACATGCAGACGATTATCCACGACTATCAGTTGTCTAACAGTAATAGACTCGTGGCGAACAGTGGATCAACAGTGTTTTTAATTCTACGAGGACGTACGGAGTAGTGTTGTCCATGATGCTGGAGAAGTTGACTGCTACTGCGACATTATTCGAAACCATTGTGCTGTTCTCGATAACGATGACGAGGTTGATTCTCAGGCGACAATGCTCTCCAACTTTTTACAAGGAAGAAACGCGACATGCTATTACCTTGATTATACCCTAGTTGTCCCTTGTCCGAACTGGTCACTCGTATAGGATAGAAGTAAATGTGAAATTCCTATTACATTGTTCGTCTTTCCAGCCTGAGAATTGAGGACCAATATGGGGAGCGCACGGCAAGTCGGCGACGACGCGTGTCACTCTCATTCGTGTCGCCCTGGACCCAAAACAGTCTGGTGGAGGCACGCCCACGGTCGAAAACAGATCTGCGACACCAAAGAAAAGACCAATGAAAATCTCTATGCAACCACACCATAATCTGATTCACGGAATGCCAAACATCAGCATGAGCATGCACAATTCTCCGGGCGTGTACCATTCCAAGTTGCAGTTGCGAGTTGCGAGCTGCGGGCATGCCACAAGGCCTAAGGGTGCGAGTATGGGTGCTAGAATACTACATTGGTACCTAAAAGAGCGACATGTTAACTAGAACGATCAAGGCCGTGCTTCCATTTGGCTTCCAAGGTTGTCTTCGAGGTTAGCCAAGCTGCGTACTCGCCGCCGCTGCTGCCGCGCGTGTTCTGCTGATTTCCCCATCCATCCTCAATTGAATTCTATCCCTGAATTTCATACTGACTCTTTCTTTTCCCCTTGACTTGTGCCTCCTTCATCCATCCCGTTGATGCAATTTTTACTTGTCTTTGTTCTTCACTTTCGTGACACTCTTTCCATCACCTAATTGTTTCGTCCCTCGTTCCTGCCGGACAAAGGCTGCGACTTGTTTTCCGCCACCACTGGATCCAATCCGCCTTCCTGCGCACTATTCCTTTTCTTCCACTTCCACAACCAACAAGATTACTACTTATTCTTCTGATCACATCTCTTCATCAACCTCGTCATGAAGAGTTTTACTGCCGCTGTCACGGCCGTGGCAGGTGCTGCTCTCTTTGCCAAATCCGCCTATGCCCAGCTACCTCCCATTGTCATCAAGGTTCGTTGTCCGCTCAACTCGATTGTCTATTCATTATTGCCCTAACTCTTGGAAACTTTGCAGGGTTCCAAGTTTTTCTACGAAAATAATGGGACGCAATTGTGAGTGATTTCTCGCAAAGGCGCAGATGGCCAGGCGTGCTAACTCATCTTCAAAGCTACATGAAAGGCGTTGCCTATCAAGGTGAGTTGATGAGCCATGCTACGCCCTGATCCACGACTAACGCCTTTGAAGAGGAGTTCTCAGGAAATGGTAGCGCTGCCTCGGGCGACGGCACAGATAACTTTATCGACCCCCTTGCCGATTCCGCCAAATGCCAGCGAGATATTCCCTTCCTCCAACAACTGGGCACCAACACCATCCGTGTCTATGCCATCGACCCTACCGCAGACCACGACTCATGCATGCAAATGCTAACAGATGCTGGCATCTATGTCATTGCCGATTTGTCGTCCCCTGGCAAGTCCATCATTCGAGACAGCCCAACCTGGAATGATGATTTGTATGCCCGCTACACCCAAGTCATCGACTCCATGGCCAACTACACAAACGTCCTAGGTTTCTTCGCTGGTAATGAGGTGTCCAACAACAGCACCAACACCGATGCAAGCGCCTTCGTCAAGGCTGCAGTTCGAGACATGAAGGCATACATCAAGCAGCGAAACTACCGAGCCATTGGAGTGGGCTATGCCACCAATGACGATGCCGACATTCGTGAAGACCTAGCTAATTATTTCGATTGCGGCGACCGTGCAGACGCCATCGATTTCTGGGGCTACAACATTTACTCGTGGTGTGGCGATTCCAGCTTCCAAAAGTCGGGTTTCGATGTTCGCACTGAAGAATTCAAAAACTACAACGTCCCCGTCTTCTTCGCCGAGTATGGTTGCAACGAGGTCCAACCCCGCGAATTCACCGAAGTTGAGGCTCTCTATGGACCCGACATGAACGACGTCTGGTCCGGAGGTATCGTTTACATGTATTTCCAGGAAGCCAATGACTATGGTGAGACTACCACTCATTGATACCCCAGACTCAACCGATTGACTGTGATATAGGTCTCGTCACCATTGACGGAAACTCGGTGAGCACCTTGGCTGATTTCAACTTCCTCGCCACCCAAATCGCCCAAAATGCCAACCCTACCGGTGTCAACTCCGCCAGCTACAACCCCACCAACACCGCCGCCGCTTCGTGCCCAGCTGTCGGTTCTGATTGGCAAGCAGCATCTGCCCTCCCACCCACACCCAACCAGCAACTCTGCGAGTGCATGTTCTCCGCTCTAACTTGTGTACCCAACAATGTCGCGACCGAGGATGTTGGCGCGCTCTTCGGTGTAGTTTGTGGTCTTGTTGATGGTGTCTGCGACGGCATTGAGGCCAATGGCACCTCCGGAACCTACGGTGCTTATGGAATGTGCAATCCCACCCAGCAACTTGGATGGGCTCTCAATAGCTACTACGAGAGAGCAAAGGCAAGTGGCAATGCTGCCTCTGCATGCGATTTCTCTGGATCAGCCAAGACTCAAGCACCCGTTGCTCCCACCGGCACTTGCTCTCAGCTCATCGCGCAAGCCGGTAGTGCCGGTACTGGAACCGTCACTTCGGCTCCTAGCGGCACCGGTGGCTCTGGATCAGGAGGTTCAGGCTCCGGTAGTAGCTCAAGCTCCGGCAACAGTGCGCCAGGATTTTCGAGCCCTGTCCACGTGGGTCTCCTCCAAGTTGCATTCTGTGTCTCGATTGCGGTTCTGTCCGGAGCAGGTATGATCTTGTTGTAGACGAGCGCGTCAGGGTGGGAAGTGAATCATCAATCATGTTCATATGGGTTTGCACAGTGATCCCGTTGGGTAAAGGACTTTAGAGCCCTCCGTATTGGAGTATGTAATTTCAAGCATCTTTGGGGGAGTCTCACAAGCGCTTGGATGGTTTACTTTGTCCCGAGAAAAAATCCAATAGCAATGTTTCGTTTTTCAGAAAAAATCCAATAGCAATGTTTCGTTTTTCAGAAAAAGAATTCTTAAAACAAAAATATTTCATATCCAAACAATGTATTAATGCTATGGGCTTTCTTAGAGTATTATTAGATGTTTGTGTGACGGGGTACTAACTAGATTCAAGATTAGATGGCATCTGATGACACAATGTTCCGGCTAAGCTCCGGGATTCACAGACAAGGCTCTGAGATCATGACCGAAACAGACTTCTGATGTAGAGGCCCTCAGTATATCCATTCTTTATATTGAGCAACGTTGCCAAAGACAGTCTAACAGACTCACAGTTACACATTCCTGTAACTTGTATCCCAGCAGCTGTTTGGGACCGTCAGGACATCCAGGCAGCAATACCCTGTGGTGCCTAGTTCACCTTTTCATGTTTGGGCGAATATAAATTCCTGAACAGGATCTGCTGAACCACGATAAATCTCAACATTGGCCATCATTTATGCTCCACAGCATTTCTACTAATCGTCTATATCTTCCATCTCATCCCAACCGATATATCGACATTATCCAACTTGGGTGACACGACACACGCATCTATTCATCAATCAACTTGTCCAAGGCGAGAAAGATTGTGACGTAGAGATGGCCACCACTTATCGGCTCCGAGAGCTGTATGGCGGAGCCATCACCGTCGAGCTTCCCACGGACCTCATTGATTCAAGGTATGTTATTGCGCATGAGAGAGTTTGGGGTTCTGAGTGTGTTCCTCGTCAACATCGCGCGGACATACTTTCCTCGATATCTACTACCCACGATATGGAAATCCATGCAAGTCGCTCCATATTGCAACCTACTGACAAGAACACCTCTTTTCCCACACAGCGACATCCGCCAAATCCCCGACCACCAAGAAGTCTTCCTGTCACGCGAGACACTCACGTCCATCATCATCGAAATCAACAACTACGTGGAGGCGCCGGACCCCATCACGACCGAGACGACCACCACGACGACCGCAAGCGGTATAACCACGACCTCGACCACGACGACCGTGTTCTCCGAAGCTGACCTCCCTCCAGAGCAAAGACTGCAGCACAGCAGCGAGCACGACCTCGCCGCGGCAGCATACCATTTCACGGACGTGATCTCGCCACCAGACCGTCTCGCGAGCCCGCTCCCACTCGCGGAGAAAGTGTCCATGGCATCGCCCAGCCTCGCGCAGTTCCCGGCCTATGTCCTCCCCGGCACGATCGTCAGCTACGAGCCTGTGCGACGCGGCCCGCCACCGCAAGGACAGATCCAGCAGCAGCAGCAGCAGCAGCAGCAGCAACTTGCACCACCACAACCAGCAGGCGCCCCAAACGGCGCATCCAACCCGCCCACCAACCCCGCCTCGTCGCTCGAACACGTCCAACAACTCCTGGTGCGCATGCAGCCGTACGAGACCGACCTGTGCGTGCGCATCAACACGCCGCTGAAGGAATTCACCGCCGCCACGGATCAGAATGGCGACAGCAGCCAGCGACTACGCCATGAGGAGCAGTTCACCGCGGAGATCCTGCGGCGCTTCATCGCGACCCTCGACGTTAAGGAGTTCAGCTTGTTCGCTGTCTGAAGCGGATGAAAAGACAGTTCGGGTTAGGAGACGATGATGCAATGACTGTCCGGAGAGAATGTCATCTTCATTTCACCACGTTGCTTGCGTGTCGAGAGAGACAGACACATCACCGCTGCCGATTTGTTCATGATCGACGACGATGCACTGCGATACGACGCGTTGGTGGTAGACATGGACGACCGACCAATGATTAGGATGGATGAGGAAAGAAGAGGAGAAAGGAGCAGGCAGATTTGGGACCAGGAACCATTCATAGCTATACAGACACCTACACGATCCAATCGCGGAACATTAGATAGACACTACAACACAGCAATCCCTTTCCGCGGAGAGGACACCCGGCCCAACCCAGGATCAGTAATGGGACCACACTACGGCATCCACGAACTATTCTCTCCTTTTGGCGACGTTCAAGGCCCTTTACTGGACTGGATCCATTCTGGAATGTGAAACACGGTATTTCATTTCATCTCTGTCAGTCCACTAACACATCATGATCATAATTCGCCTGCCGATGCTATCCTGGTGCACATTCTCCCTGCAGTGGGAGAAATACCGAAAGACCTCGACACTTAAAAAAAGGAACGCCATTTTCCACAGCTATGCAGTGTGTTTATACAGCGGTTGCTTTCCTGTTCTGTTATCCAACAAGGACGAATACTTGAATTCTGATTCTCCAGGTGTGACTCCCTCTCCCAATTTCAGTTATAATCAGTCACTCAATTCGATCATCTCGACATGACATCCCATGGTACCCTGACTGCTGCTTCTAGCCACGTCGCTTCCTGAGGAGCGCTGTGTGTTGCTCGTTTCTCGATTTCTGAACTGCTTCTTCGGACTTGGAGGTGCTCTGGGTTTTGGTCGGACCTGAACCAATTTGCCCTTGCACTTGCCACAGCGATGCTTGGTGGTGTCGATACTTTTGCTGTGGCGACCATATTCGGCACCACAGCCCTCATCGTCTTCAATATTGAGGAACTCCATCGCATTTGTCTGCTCTCTACCAACACAGACCCAAAGATATTTGTGGTTGATGGCATAGTCGTGCTTGGTGGTAACCTCAACTTTGCGCCACATGTCCACCTCACTGTTCCGCAAATGATTGGTCACTTTGGCTGCCCAGGACTTGAAACTCGCACCATGCGGTTGGTCACGGACATTGCTGATCATGAAGTTTGTCAAGTGGCAAAATTCGTGGGCAAGGGTGTTGACAAGTCGATCTTCGGAGTCGATGATCTTCTCTGCCAGCTCGATGCTTGCAAAATGTTCGACTTTGATTCCTGGTCCTTCTGTGATACCTGCTTTCATTGGTGATCCTGAAATCTTGGATGCAGTGCGCTTCCAGTTGGCACGACCAGCCGTCGATCTGAGAGTCTTGGACCATATGATATGAATACCACCAGAACTAGCCGCTAACGTGGATAGTTGAGATTTGGCTATCTTCGAGTCGAGCTCATTCAAGAGATCAATGGCCAGTCGTTCTTTCCGATCATCAAAGTCTTTCTTCTTCGCGACCGCCGCTCTCTTCAGATCCAATAATCGTTTCTTTTCCTCCTTCTCCGGGCTCTTCATAGGCGACTGCGATTTGGAACTGGGATGTCGAGGTGGAGTGCATGAGTGTGGAAGTGAATCGCTACTAGTGTTCACGAAATTGTCGTCGTCCTCAAAGTCAGAGTAGATCTGGAAGCGTGCGAGTCCCTTCTTAGGTGACTTGGCTGGTGACTTCTTGGGCGAGAACTCGTCATTCCAATCATTGACCACGTTGTGATCCCAAAAGGCGTCCATGCTGGGCCGATGAGGCGAGCGAGGGACAAGTTGTCGTTTTGACGGAGACAACAGCTTGGAAGGCGAATGAATTTTCGACTTGGGCGGAGTTCTTGGAGGTGTTATAAATCCATCATGAGTTTCACCTCCCGGGATTTCCGTATCGTCAGTGATATCGTGACGAGTCATCTTCGTCGGTGGAGCCATGACTGTTGGCGAGGCAGGCGGTGCCAATCTCACAACAGTATCAGACCCATTAAAGGGATTGGAAGAGTGGTAGTCGGGGTGAATAGCAGGCTTACTTCCTGTGAGTGAAGGTTGACTTGAAGTTGGCGGGAGGTATGACTTCAGATCGACTTTAGGTGAAGCAATTGGGGAGGACGTAAGTTCAATCACTTCGGCCTGCATGCCCGTTGCGGAATTGGTGTCATTTTCATGTAGTCCCAAATCCTGGAATGCATCAGCGAGTGTATCTGGAGAAGTATCCTTTCTTTCATTATCTGAGTCGTCGTTCAAGAAGCTCAGACGTCTTCGTGTAGGCGAACCACGGACAAGTCTTCGTCTTGGACGATCGACAATGCGCTTGATACTTCTTGGTTTGACCTCTCTATCGGATTCTGACGCTGAGGAATCATGATAGCTCAACTCCGCGTCATCATCAACGATGAAGCCGCTCAGATCAGTATCTTCATCCTCTTCTTCGGCGATTGAATCTTCCTCGTCATCGTTACACCGAGCTTCCTTCAGAATGAATCTGCTTGCATAGCTCGATTGCTGCGCTTTCTTCTGGAGACTCTGTCTCGTCACAGATTTCCGTGCTGCTTCAGTCATAAGAGACATCATCGACGTTCCGTCGTCGCGTAATACACGCTTACTTCCAGTCTTGGATTTGCCCACCACTCGATTCGAAGTTTCATGCTCGTTCTGCTTCACAATGGCTGACCGAGGCAATAGCAGAGAGTCAACATGAGGAATCTTGAATGGCCGTTCTTCCCTCACAGGTGATTGACGATTGTTTGAGGTTAAACATAACTCGGTAAGAATTGGTCGTTGGGACAATACAGGTTCCTGCTCTGGCGTAGGTAGATTGATTCTACCAAGTGAAGAAACTTTCTTGTTGGTTGGTCGTGCTGGTGCTGGCTGTGAGGACTTGGTAGGGCTTAGATTGCGATCTTGTGGCTTTTTCTTTTCTGGCGATCCTGAAAGACATCGTTCTACTGTTCCCTTCTTTCGGGGTGATCGTCGAAGATTGGCATTTGTACTCGTTGCCATGAGAGGCTTTGGAGCGAGGATGGCATTTAGCTCCGGTAGCTCATCGTCGGAGGAGTCGTACGCCATGGTGTGCAAGGCTTCTCTATCGAATCCTCTTCAGGGGTTCCTACTTTTCCTGGCCGATCCTCGTAGAATTGAACGTGGAAGTTGTTGGTACTGTTGTTCGGTGGTCGTGTGGCTAATTGGCTGGTCGTTGGTCGAGTATGTTTACACTGCCCGATTGGGAACTATTCTTGGACCGGGAAGGTGCGGGGCAACCATCCGCGGCAACCACGACCAAACTATGCCTGACCTAGGTATCTACAAATCACTTGATCTCTATTCTAATGTACTATCATATGTGATTTGCATGATGAATCAACACATACCGTGAATTTTATCGGCTCTCATGATTATTGCCTAATCGAGTGGGATCCAAGCCAAGTCATGCAGTAAAGCATCATGATAGCGGCGAATGGCTTAGATAAGCTTTGGGATATTGAACCCCTTTGGAGAGATTTATCCGTCGGGACAGAATGCGGAGACAGCTTTACAAACATCATGGGAAAGCACTAAAGCCCTAATCAATATTATTAATGCCCCCTGGATATCCTGTATCGCCGCGTGAAAATTCGAGATTCGAAGTTGTTGGTAGAATCGTGCTCCTGAATTGAGTACCCACACCATCGATCTCACTGAACAGCCCAGTACTAAATTGTGAGGACTCAGCTGTGTTCACATCAACATCATAATGACAACAGGAAAGAATGTCCTCGTGATAGGACCTGGTTTCATCGGATGGAACATCGTCGATCGGTTGGTTTCCGAGAGCTACAACGTGACAGGTTTGGTTCGTCGCGCCGCTCACGGCCAACAATTGAAGGAACTGTCTCGAGCCAATTTCATCATCGGCGACCTGGACGACAGCACCACGGTCAAAAACCAGACAATCCAACACGACATCATCTTTCATACAGCAACAGCCGACCACCTCCCTTCAGTGGAAGCCATCCTCGCAGGAATATCTGAGCGGGCAAAGGAAGGTAAATCGACCATCTATATCCACACGTCTGGCACATCAGTCCTCAACGACGACGCCGACGGCGAGTATGAAGGCGACAAGATTTACCACGACAACAAACGAGAGGAGATTGACTCAGTGCTCGATGACGCACCCCATCGACCAATAGATCTCACCATTGTTAGAGGAGCGAAAGAACTCGGCGACAAGGCTAAACTCGCCATTATGATCCCGCCTCTGATCTACGGCTACAACCCCAAACACCAACGTCTCTCCATCCAAATCCCAGTACTCACCCGCTTTGCCCTGAAGCACGGCTACTCCGGGCACGTCGGGAAGGGTCTCGCCGTCGAATCCCAAATCCATCTCGATGACCTGACCCGCGCCTATATTGTGCTGCTACACCACATGGAATCATCTTCGCCCTCAGAATTCCTCAAAAACCCATATTTCTTCTGCGAAAATGGCCACGACACATCATGGAAGGCTATTGCCGAGATGATCGGCAAGGGTCTCCACAAGGCTGGGAAGATCGAGAGTCCCGAGCCAAGAACGGTCCCAAAATCAGACTATGCGGATCTGTGGGGAGAGTACACTCCTGCAGTTGTCGGGTTGAACAGTCGGAGTCGTGCCGTCAGGCTGAGAGCGTTGGGTTGGGAGGCGAAGGAGATAAGTGTTGGGGATAGCTTTGAGCGGTTCGAGCTGCCAGAGCTGCTGAAAGAGTAAGCCAGAACTGTTATCACTCGCAGTAACCGAAGACAACGTCAAATAACATCGGCTACGCAAAGACAATGAATGTAAATGTATGAATGCAGGGCCGGCTGGTCTCATAAAAGCGACATGTTCAAACAAGTCATGTTCGCGGCACCTAGTCAGGATAAATCACAAACATGATCGACTGGCTCTCGAGGATACAGAGCTTTCAATTACATCGTGAAGTCTTGAGACTTATCCTAGAAGGGACTTGTCCATCATTTACGATAGGTCGGCGAAAAGAACCCTGCATGGGTTAGCTACCTTTTAGTCCCCATCACTCGTACCGCAAGTACTCGTACGAGGCAGCAGGAGGAGCAGCACTGCCACAACAGCTCTTGAATATGCTTGGCGTGCCTCAAGCCCATCCATCGACCTGTCGACCGCCGGAAACCGCCAGGCTGGAGAAAACAACATCTGTTCTTCCTGAACCATCCAAAAACAAAACCAAAAGACCAAAAACACATCTGTCATGGCCTGAAAGTCAATAATAGCCCGAGGACCATGCCCGAGCAGGAAGATGCTACGCCGTCGGCGCGGGCAGCGATACGGTCGGTCGAGGAAGACCAGAATGCGGGTGACCGGCATCACGGTGATGTCTCTCCCACAAGTCTCTTGGAGGGCCGCGACGGTCCCAGCGTCCAGGAGTGGCGAGCGGTAAAGGAGGAAATCCGAGTGCTCTACCAGAGCAAGCCGTTGAAGGAGGTCAAGAGGCTGATGGAGCAACGACACGGCTTTAGAGCTACGTAAGTCTAATGAAGAATCCCTCCTTCTGCAAATTTGATATATGTTTTCTTTGCACGAGTTATGAGGCTTATCACTATCTACATACCGCTAACAAAGAATTATACTTAGCGAGCGTATGTATAAAGCACGACTTGCTTCGTGGGGCTTTTCAAAGAACTACTCAGACCATGACTATCAAATATGCGCGGTTCTTCACTATATTCGTCAAAACAGTGGTAAGCAGGCAACGGCTTTCGAGATCCACGGCCGTAAACGATCTCTCAAAGACCTACACAAGTATATCAAAGGCAAAAAGATGTCCGAAGAGGAATTCCTGGCTACAGCTCTGAAGACCACCCATTTTAGAAGCCAAGAAGAGCAGGAACGAGACCCGCAGTATGCTCATGTCAGGTCATTAACACCAGAGGTGGATGTTGAGTTTGAGGAGGGACTTGATATAAAAGGCCAGAAATGCACGGACGGAGCTTTTCCAAATCCTCGACACACTGCTAGTTGGCCAGGTGTTACCACACCCACATCTGTGACCGAGCAAACATGGCCACTGTCGACACCCAATAATGGGCGACCTGATCTGGTCGGCTCAGAAACTCGAAAGGCTGCTGTGTCTAAGACACAGCCAGGGAAAGAAACACCAGCCTCCCCCCACCCCACAAAACACCTTCAGAAATTCGTCCGGCCGTATCTGCCTCTGAAGATTCGAGGCAGGTCCGAGCTTGCCTTTGCAGACACGTCGGCTCAAGCGAACGCCATGTCTGAAGCATTTGCAAGAGAGCTAAACTTGACAATCGACAAATCCGGGGCAACGAGCTTCCACTGTCATACCGCTGTACGCAAACGTATGAACGCCATCGGACATACGACCGTCCGCTGTAGCTTGCCACTAGGTGTCGATAAATCCTCTGGCCACCAAAGTGTCCCAGAGACCAAGTTCTGGGTGTATCCCAAGCTTGTTGAGCCTTTGGTAGTAGGGAACTCATTCCTGCAAAGCACAGGAATCCTTGCGAGTTTCAAGGAACGAGTACGGCAAATATCTGTTCCTATAGGAAGTGCATTGAGAGTCTGCCATATGGAGCTCCCTAGACGCAGAATCAATTGCACAGTCAACGACGAAAGGGTTCTGGCCAACCCAGACACAGGATCGGACGTTGATTTGATATCTCTTGACTATGTACAACGAAGTGGACTTGAAATCCAACCACTAGAATCAGCATATCAATACGTCGAATTTGCGGACACATCACAAAAGATACTTTCAGGATCCGTCCTCGTCTCATTTCGATTTGGTTCAAGAAATGCAAACGATACCGACGAACTGTTACGGCGCTTTTACATCCTGGATGAGCTCACAACCGACGTGTTAATTGGCAATAACACTTTGGACGACTTTGACGCGTTCAACACTTATCGGGGAGAATTGGTCGATCTTGAGGAGTATGATGGTAGTACGGATTTCCATCTCATCAGATGGGTGCAGAAATCAGGGGCCGCAGATTTCCTTGACCAGAACTTCCAAGACTTTGAATTCTCTACCATCCTTGCAGGTAAGTGGGCTATGAGACTTGGGACGATTCGAGATATATGTGCTGATGAAGGGCGATAAAGCATCCGCCCCAATGCAGGAACCACAAAAATCGATTCTGTCAAGGCTACTCAAAATGAGATCAACCAGACGGAACAGTAAGAACAGCAGCGCTATGACAGCCGATGAGTCGAGGATCCGATCAGAACGATATCTGAAGTATCGAGACCTAAAAGAGGACCACCGAAGGAGACTTGAATCCGCCAGAATTGCGAAGTTACCGTCATTGACGTCTCATGAGAAAGCTTTAGCTGAAGTGGCAGAAGCTGCAATGAGAGACCGATACGACCGTGAACGTTCTGATTTCGTCATAAGACATATCGCTGCCTTGCAACTTGCAGCCGGTGTTGCAATTTCCTGAATTGCTAATGCTCAAGGGTGGTAGACAGTAGACTTGAATTACCACGGCGTGCTTGTAAACTGTCCAAGACGATGTACAAAGCTTCTTCCTAGTGCCTGATCTTAGTGTGGTGATTAGTTTGAGAGTCAGGTATGGGACCGAACTTCATGGAGCATGCCGACTGAGTGTTCCAAGGCAGTGCTACAGGAACGAGGGTTCCCCGGATCCTTGTCGAGATAAATCATTTTGTTTCGAGGGAAGGTCTGCCGCTTAGTCCACTGCTTATGCCTAGTTCGTAGCTGACTGAGGAAGAACTCGTCAATAACAACTTCTGTAGTTGTTGGGGACTGAGCGGGTCGGTACAGTGAAACCATCGGGATGAGAACCGTGTACTCCTTTCCAGTTGGACCCCAGGAGGTTCTTGATTTGGTCATCAACATGATTAGCTTGCTTCAAACGTTCTCATCCCCTCGGACATTGACCATCTCGTAACTCGGACCTGCGTCAACGTCTCGACCGCCCTGGCCACCACGCACATGAGACTCATTTCCATCTACTGCAGGCTTCTTGGGAGGAATCGTGCCAAAGGATATTGGCTGCAATTCGCGATATCGACAAGCCCAAACACCCAAGCTGACCATGAGCGCAGCACTTGCAGCCTCAAGGCTCCACCACAAGAGATTTGTTGGGATGGCTTTGGTGTAGAAGGAGGTGATGATCAAATGGATGAGATGAATGGTCAAGGCAAAATCCGGGACCAGCTTTGATCGGGAGACGAGAAGAAGGATGGGTATGACACTGAAAAGGGAGTTAGATATGAGGTGACGCGCGTTATGTCGAGTCCAGGGGGCACATACGTGATGAAGCCAACAATGACCCAGAGAAAGCCGACGGTCCAGCCGATGGTATTGTCGCCGCGAACGCTGTTCCAATCGAAAATCAGTGCCAGCGAGAACTTTTGGCCAAGAACCAAAGTCGTGAACAGGATCAGAACGAAAGCCGCGACATAATAGAAGAGTTGCAAGAGTAGAATGGATCGAATGATTTTGAGTGGAGGGAGTTCAGTCAGGGCGCCCGCGCGAGGTGGTTTCCGCCGACGGGGTGGCATTCGCTGATCTGGAGATGGTTATATGAGACCGGAGATGGAGTGTATTACCGATTCATGCTTGTTGGGAGTATTGGGAGTAGATGTCCCTTGGAAAGAAAGGAGTCGTGGAATAGAAGATGGCAGGCAGTCACTGGAAAGAAGCCACTTTTTGGATGGTTGAATGCGCCTGCCATGGACGTCACCTGGATCACGTGGACTCGGTATTATTTATGCCCTCAATGCTTCCCCAAAAGTCGTTCTCCACCTGCGACTGACTTGGGGAACTGGTGACTTTCGAAATCCATTATGCTTTCATCTCAGGATATTCCTTAGCTTACACTATATTTCGTTCAGAGTTCAAGCAGATCACCGGACACTCTAGAGTCAACAAGACAGCTACACATCTGTCCACTGGCTGCGACCGCTTACCCATCCACCCGGGCCTGGTTCATTACCTTCTCAAACTCATTCATCAAAAGACCTCAAGACACTCAACACCACCACCATGGGCTGGCTTCCCACATGGCTCGGAGGATCAGCAACTCCTGCCCAACCGGAGCCCGTACGACCCAAGTCCACTGATGGCGGCTTCGTCGCACCGGACCGTAATGCCCGAGAGGTTTGCTACGAATCAAGAGACCTCTTCTTCGAGTGTCTGGACAAGAACAATATCCTGGATGCCATTAAAGAAGACGAAAAGGCTCGGAAAGTATGTGCGCAAGAGGTTGTAGCCTATGAAAAGGATTGCGCCAGGAGTTGGGTGAGTGGCAAAGAGAAGGCTCCTTCCTATCGATCACTAATCTGGTGCGGCTTTAGATCAAGTACTTTAAAGAGAAGCGAGTGATGGAATACAACCGGGATCAAACAATAGCAAGGATCCAACAGGACGATGCCAAAATGGCCGCCAAAGCCAAAGCCGATAGAGGAGGGAAAGGGTGGTTTGGATGAATGGGCCCCCTCCTCATGGATCATCAATCATTCACATCATTTGCGAAGCTGCGACCATTGTCTCCTTCATGACAACTGTATAACGTTCGTATAGAGAGCCAATCTCCAGTGATTCTGTGAATCTGGGACGCCACCGAGATCTCCTGCCTGGCATGGGTACCATATCCGCACTGAACACATAGGAGGTCGCAATATGTATCAAAATTGGGAAGGGAACTGCATAGCATAGCGTGGTCTTGTCTATTCCATTGGAGATATATTCATGCATCATGATGGCTGCCAGAAGCAGAAGGAGGATGACTGTATATATATGTCCATCCACATGGCGGCTTCTGTAAACACATAATCTTTACTCAACTCATGAAAGAGATGATATAACCCGTGCCATTCATCCTCATCTCTAAGGGTTGACGATTCATACTTCCCCTTGGTCCCATCTCATCGTGCCAACAACCCAACTACACTCCCAACCATGACAGCCGCCTCTCTCTCCCAATTCTCCACGACCTCCTCCTCGGCCTTCCTTGCATCTCCCAGCACCACACTACGCGGCAACTTGGAGCCTCGCAACACACACTCACGTATCTCGGCCCGCACGGTGTCTCGCTGGCTTCTCAGCGTCCGAGCCGCCACACCTCCTCGGTTGAGTATCTCCGAGACACGGCTTGACAGCGACGATGCCAGAGAGCGCCAGAAATACGAGGGCAGCGACGCTGTATCCAGGGCTGTGAGGAGGAGTGAGAGAAGTGTTTCCGAAGATGACGAGGACGGCGAGGTGTCTGCGTCGTTAACGGAGTCGTCAGAGTCGCTGTCACTTTCCCCTGCGTTCGTCTCGTCCGTAGTCTTGCGATCTACCACTTTCATCAAGAGAGGATGGTCTGGGGCATGGATTCCGCGTAGTAGAGCCTCGAGGGCGATGATGTTCTGACATCGAGCACTCGCTTCCATCAGCGCTCGGTCCAGGTTCGGAAGTTGTCCCAGTGCTCTCCCGATTGAAGCCGAGCTCGACGTAATTGCACTCTGTAGGTATCCCTGCAAGGCACGCAGGAAATACTCGGGCTCGAAGTCCTTCTTGGACATCTTCTGCCCATCGATCCGCGGGGCGGGCGAGAGATAATAGAGGATATGAACCGCACTGGTGAATCGCGCACGACTGTCTTCAGCTTCACGATACGTCAGGCCCGCCGTGTTCGGCACAGCACTTGCACCTGTATTTCCAGCAGGACCAGACGAAAGCGAGCTCATAGAGAACTCGCGGACCACTCTCCTAGCGTAGTCGAGGACGCGGGCCTCGCCGTCCTCAAAGACACGGCCACGCAGAGTCTTGACGAGAGTGACCCGGCCCAGCTCACCCGCAAGCTTGCCACTCATGGCATCGCGAAACGCGAGGATCGACAGGCTCGCGCGCACCAGCGCCCCGTGGTCCTCCTTGCCGAACCTCGCGCCCCCACCGAGCCCAGACTCGGCCAGCACAACCTCCAACTGCCTCGCGAGCGCGAGGATCCTCTGCACGCCACGCCCGAGCTGCAGGACGTGCCAGCTGCGCTGGGCGGCGGTCTTGGCGTCGACGGCGCGGCGGTGTCGCTCCAGCACCTCCTTCTCGAGGCGCTCGTAGCTGCCCAGCAGACGGGCGCGTTCGTCGTCAACGCGCGCGAGGATCCGCTGTGCAGTTTCGTTCTGCGTCGCCGTGTACGTGAGCATGTCCAGCGCGGAGCGCGACGTCAGCGTGTGGATGTGCGAGTCGATTTCTTGCAGGTCGAACAGTACCCGTGACAGTGGGGTGGTCAGGTCGATGCTCGGATCTGAGGCATTGTTGCTCGCGAGCACCAGGCTGTTGGCGTGCGTATATGCTGAGAAGTCGGGGGATGTGAGGACTTCGAAGTTGATGTATGTTGATGTTGTTGTGGCCACCCCGTTGGCTGGGGTGGTTTTGTTGGCCATGGTGAGTGGTGGGGGATTCAGTGGTTCCGAGAGTATGTGTATATGACGTGCGTGCGAGAATCCTGCTCGACCCGTCGAATCTGCGGCTTGCTTGGAGATGCAAACGCGAAAATGGTTCAAGTGGTCATTCCCCTGTTCCTGGGTTCTGTTGTCGTCCCTCCCACAAGGCTGCCTTGAAAAGATTTTGACAAGGCTTTGGCCACTCGATCAATGTCTGTGGACTCTCGGAATCATATCTGTCATCGCGGGATCTTTTTCGTGCAATTCCTTGTTTTCCTCTCTGTGTCTAAAAACAGGGATTGTTAGTGGTTGTGGTACTTGTCGAGTGGGAAGGTATGTGACAGATTGGCATTTGGAGAAAGCAGTATCAGGCTGAGAAAATGTGGGTGGGCAAGGCTGTGAGCCCTGACCCTTTCCACTCGCTAGAATGGCCATTAATTTGCACGATCGGCTTTGGTCATCTTTGTTTTTACAATTGATTGAATATTTAGGCTCTATCAAGTTCGCAGATACGTACGGCCCCTCTCCGATGGTCTACGATAATATTCTGCTCTTCGGGCGAATGTTGTCAGCCATCATGGTGAGAGGAGGAAATACCCCTCGGTCGGAACGTCAATCTACCGAATCTGGGCTACTGTGTTCTGCTACAAGTTATGGTCAATTACGTGCATATTCAACCTCACACGTGGCAAGGCAGGTGTGCAGTAGACAATCCACATGTAAGAAGAAACTACGAACTGTGCTACGAACTCTTCCGACACGAGACGTGCATGCGCATTCCGAAGGAGCACATGCACATGTTGATTTATCAGACGAAGAGAGCAATAGTGATGCATCTGCTCGGTGGAGTGGATGTCAAGAACTGCGGAAGAGGATTTTGACAGAAGGGTTGCATTACTTCGTACATCCCAAGCAATGGCCTGTCGAAAGGTCATCTGATATGAATTGGCACATGTACGCTAGGGAGACCGTTTGCAGAGATTCGTCCCTGGTGCCTGGATCCATCCGGAGAAAATGAGCACGGGCTTTACCATTTGGGGAGACCTCAGCCCCAGAGTCTATCCACAGACGGGTGTACCTGAGAGGCAGATGGATTGGTGCCCTCGATGATGATGACCCTTGGAGTTTACTGCAGTCAGCGGAAGCCTAAAGAACAAGGGAAGAGAGACGAGTGGGGCAACATGTGCCTAAAGGACAAAGTGAGTCAATTGCTGCCGTCAACGTCCACGACGGGGGATGACATGATTGAGGCCTGCGTAAGGATGAGAAGACGTTCATGTGCGAGTGGGATGGCAGGTGAGTTGAAGACGGGACGAAGAGAAGTGGAGGAGGTTAAAAATGGATCGTGTCGGCACAGAGGCTGTCCGCTTTGGAATCATGGGATGTTGAAAGAGTCAGGAACTTGAGCGATGAGGATTGAAGGTTGAATTTAGGCGGGGGTGAGGGGCAATGATTAAAAGATGGAGGGCAGAGACCCTAAACCTGAGTGGCTGTAGCAGACATGGCACAGGGGTAATCCTCTGAGGGTGCAGGCGCTGCTGCACATCAACCAAACCCAAACTCTCGAGTCTCTGGGCCCGTGAGCCTGAGGTCGTTCTTTAGGTAACTAACTAGGTGCCCATTTCTGGCCTCTGGCCGTATTTGCTGACCACTGCACCAGGACTTGGAAGCCGGATCGTGCATCACCCACACGCTTCAGCCCGCACAGGCTAGCCCGAGCGTCGCCAATCAATCGCCTGGGCATTGCGTGTTGAACCAACCACCATCTCATGGCCCGGGAACCCCCTCATTCCTCTCATCTCTGCCCGTGGAATTGGTGGATCGTGACGCCAACGATTGATGTTTGGCTTTGGGCCTACGAAGTATTGTTGCGGCGGCTACTGGTCTTGTTGGTTGCCGCAGTCGATTTAGGCACTCGTGGCCGTGGGGGATCACTTCCCAGCGTGAGATAGGTACTCGTACTCGTACCTTTCCTACTCTGAACACTGGACACGGCAGTGGATAAAATAGTCCCTCCTTATGAAGCCTGTGCCTGTACCTGTGCCTGTGCCTATCCTCATCTTCGTAGGTGCACCGAAGACCTACTTAGTCCTACTGGATGCACATGCACCTCATACAGTGTGCATCCTATTTCCAGCATATCTTTGGTCGATTTCGACTCTTCTTCATGATTCATGTCGCTAATCCATTCGTCTCTCTTCAATCTCATCGTTCCCTCCACCTGGTACTCGTATCATTCCATCCCTCGGCTTGATGCTGGATGCTGGATACTCGATAATTGATGCCCACCTGTTCGTCCTTCCATTTCCACACACCGCTCTACTTCAGCGAGTCCCGCCCCCCTGTTCTCCACATCTGTCAGGGATCGCCTTGCAGGCTTGTCCCTCTTGTATCCATTGCCACTCGCAGCGCCAACGCCAACACCAACACCAACGCTTCCAATTCACCCGAGTCCGCTTTGCCATCCAAACCAAAGCCACACACTGGCACACCCGTAACCACCATCATTCCCATCATCTTCAACTCTATTGTCGCAGCCTTGAATCTATACTACTCGTTTGTCTGATACCATCTGTCGGATCATCTTCCCACTGTCAACCATCCTTCATCCTTTATCCGTCACCCGTCATCCTCTGGGCATCTGTTCGGTTCCTGATGACCGTATGGCCTGTCCACGTACGCAGCCTTCCTGACCCTCTTGGTCCGAATTCCCTGGCCTTATCACCGCGGCTCCAGCCCCTCCGACACTGTCCGTTGCCACACTCGAGTTCTTCTCTCCACCAACCCACCACTTCTCAACCATTTACAATCCATCCTTCTCTTGATAATTGACGGCTAATCAATAAGAACCCCAGCAGTTTACTCACGGATGCGAGCAAACAGTGTGGCGTGAAGCCGCATTTCCAGGGCCGTCACATAGTGAACCACAGCCATACCTCCAAATACCATGGCCGCCATATCCAGCCTTGTATTGAGCGACTCTCTACCCACAAAGGATCGACCAGAAGAGTTGGACACTCCCACAACACCGAGGCCGAGTCACTTCGCCCCCAATGTCACGAATGGGTCTCAGTCCGCGACTGTCGATCATTCATTTCGAGCCTCCCAACCTGCGAGTCAAGCGCCTCAGGAAGATGGTCTCATACAACACCATGACAATGCGATAGACAGTAACAATAGCGACGATCGGATGTCAGTGTCTATGGAGATGGACGACGACGACGATCTCGATGGCTCTGACAATGACGGCGAACTAGGTGAGGGAGACTCGGCCTCCCGGAAGAAGAAGGGCCAAAGGTTCTTCTGCACGGGCTATCCACCATGCAATCTGAGTTTTACCAGAAGCGAGCATCTCGCTCGTCATATAAGGAAACATACTGGAGAACGCCCATTCCAATGTCATTGTAATCGCCGCTTCTCTCGTCTGGACAATCTGCGGCAACATGCCCAGACTGTCCACGTCAATGAAGAGATTCCCACCGACTCTCTTGCGGCAACTGGGACACGATTCCAGAGACAAATTCGCACAGACCGCGTACGCCCCACCGGGCGCCCTCGCACGGGTACTGGAGGAAGTACTGGAGGTCACAGCCGCGGCCATAGTCGCAACCTCTCGGCCTCCAGCGTGGGTTCGACCTCGTCGAATTACAGTATCGTCACAGAAGCCAAACGCAGGCCACCTCCGCTTCTGATGGCAAATGATCCAACGACTCGGCAGAATCTAGGTGAACCTCCACAAACACCTCCTGCTCAGTATCGAGGATTTGATGGAAGCACCACCAGCGGCTTGAGTACTCCAACTTCGGCCAACTTCTCCACGACGACGCCTGGTAGCCCTGGTTTTCTGTCTTCAATCGGGTCTCCGGGCTCTACTACCTCTCGTGGAGGTACCTTCTTTGGTTCTAGACCACCGACCCGTCGACTTAGTGTGCCGTCAGGGCCCAACCCTTATCAAAACCAGTACGCTCCAGGATATCCCATGACTTATATGAATCAGATGGGCCCACCAAGTTCGGGTGCATCTTCAAACTCGGGCGCTTTTGCCAGCCCTACCTCGACTTCTTTTCCGATTGCTCCGGGACCACAGGTCTCGCCAGGAGAGGACTGGCGAAGGCGGACATGGCATGCATCCACATTTCCCGCCGCCAACTATAATTACAACCGACCCGCAACAAGCGGCTTGACATATTCTCAGACACCTGATGCACCTCAGCCGGCTCATGCTCAACATGCCACTGCTGCTGCCGGTCAAGCACCTCGACTTCCAGGAATTGAAAGTTTTGACCATGTTCAACACCGCCCATATACCCCCCCTCGTCGGCAACCTAGCCCGATGCAACTAGATTCGGTACCAACAGATCCTCAATTGTACGCTTCTGCACCTCACCATGACCCGCGAGGTCATCAAAGCCATATCTCTTGGGAAGGGCCTCGCACTAGTCAGTATCCCGAACTGGAGGAACCTGCCAACAAGCGACAAGTCACCGTCAGCTGGGGGCAACAAACAATTAATGAGATTCAAAACGTTGGCATGCGCCATCACGAGGTCCAAACCCATGTCGGCATGGGACCCCCTCCGTCTTCATTCAACCATTCCCACCAACAAGGAACGATGCGAGGGGGTCTTGAAACCCCAGGTTCTGCCAAGCAAAACAAGAGACAGGCTTGGTATAATGGACCTATTCCTATGGCACGGACTTCTCCGGAAGACTCGAGTAGCAGTGATGGGGTACCGACACCCGGGATGACAGCGGTTGAGGTACACCCAATGATAATGAACGGCAGCGGCTATATGGAAACTCAACAGGGAGCGATCGCTCCCGAAGGGCATCAGAATGTAAGTTTGCGGACCAATTATCGTATCGACGCAACAGCTAACCAGCCTCACAGGTATGTCTCGCGCCCTCTCCATATATAGAAGATAGCCGCCACCAGAGAACTGTGTCATTCAACGAACGCGGTGCTGGTGGAGGTGAGATGAATCGACTCGAGGCTCTGGTTGCAGTTGCGACGAGTGGCGAAAATGGTTCACGATGACCAATTTCTCAAACTGGAGAGTGTCACCCAACCGATACACCTCATACTTAGCTTTTATTTTAATCGATGACGAACTACAACAATGACGATGACGACGAAGATGTGGAGGCATGCCTGTGGACTACAGCTCTTCTGGACTTTTGAATCTTGACGGCCCGCATCTGAGAGATACCCGATACCCATAACGACTCTTTTTCACCATGATTTTCCCTTCGGTTTTGTGTTCATGTCGGGATTTTTGCCGTCGAATGGTTTGCTGCTATACGACCTTTGATGATTTCTGCAAGCGGGCGTTGGGATTTGTTGCTTTGATTTGTTTGTGAGGCACTTTGCGTTACGAGTACTCGAACTCTTTGATCATGTTCTTACACCGGGACTTTGAAGGGGAAGCAGCTGATAATATGGCTTTATGGATCATTAGATTCAGCCACCAGGGATCGCACACGAAGTCCCCAATACCCTGTGGCGGGCAGCACACCTCTCATCTCGTCGAGCTTGATGTTTTTCAGCATCTCTGGAAGGGGGCATAGAAATGGTCTGGATCTGGTCGAATTGAGCGAAGGCATCTCAGTATATCTTGCTTGACCACTGCTTAATGATGACTTATATGAGAACTCCGCTCTTGAGATCTGATTTGTCAAATTTGCTGCAGTTCGAAATGATTCCACCCCCAGATCTGGTTGCAATGCAGCCAAGTATACTCTCCAGAAGATTGGCAATACTCGAGCACGATGAGTCCCAAGTGGGAGAGCTCGCATTGGCGCCCCTGCTTGTCTCCAGGACTGGGATTCAACATGACAGAAAGCCTTGTTCTTGTGGATATCATCCTCTCGGGTTTGACAAATGGCCCTTCCCCACAAATATTTTATCGTTCCCCTTGTACTTGCAAATACCAACCCATGTCCGTCAATACCAGTGAGCTAATACAGAAGACATATATATCTCTGCTACGGCGAATCTACCTAGGTAAGGGATACCCTAGTTGGTGCCTGGTGTCTCAAGTAAGTCAAAATCAAGATCTTTTTCCGTAATTGACCATGAGTGCTTGGGTGGTTGTGTCACCAAATCTCGGGTATGGAAGCAGGTACCCAGGTCGATTTGGAAAAATGCATGCGGGTCACAGCGAGGCGATGATATGACAGTGTATGTTACTGGTAAGGAATTGACGATAAGTGGACTGTTGTCAGGAGCATTTATTTCCCTCACAGCCGATCGGTTTGCATCTCACCTGAACGGAGTACTACGTCTTTGGCCTTGGGATGAACGGTCCATATGTGGAGCACGGGTCCTCACACTGTAGGCCAAATGCTGGAGTGGAGTGGCCGTGACAGGCTTCTGGAAGGGTTGAAGTGCCGTCCGTGGGAGGCTGCGGACTCAAGTTCTGCTACATGCATGCTTCTTGCAGTGGATTGCACGGTGATGTTTCGTCGAACGGCTATCTACATAAGTCGCCCTTGATGACGATCGGGATCCTTTTAGTAGGTGGATTTGGAGAACTAATTAATCGTCCAGCCAGGTCCAAGGACTGCTTTGGTAGTTCGTTCTGGTTGATTGGTGAGGCGTGTTTATGGATCTCGGAGAGCTCGGAGGTGCCGGTCTACGAGAGAGAAAGAGACTGACCAAGGGATATCAACATCATGTATAGAGCCTAGACACCAAGAACACGGCAAGGAAGAGGCTGGTTCTCGTTCAGCTCGACGAGGATCTACAATCTACGCGTCTGGTCTCACGTGTGCTGCTGAGATTGATGCGAGGTTGAATCAAGACGGATCAAGTTTGGATTTTGGATTTTGGATTTTGAATTCTCCCGACGCGTGTTGCAAGGCCAGAAGAAGAAAAGAGAAGGAGCGAGATATTCACTGCGTTGAGTCCGACTGTTCCTTCACTTTTCCTGATTCTCAATCCGTGTGGCCTGTTGAGTTGCTGGAGTCCGTCATCACCTTCAATTCAAGTTCGCTCTGATCTGACCTTCACCTTGACCCTCATTACCACCATTTTCCCAACGTTTCATTCTCGATCAAAAAAACCCCTTTCCTTGAAACCTGATAAATTCATGGTCACTCCCTTCACACTTACCCTTTCCACCTTTTTTTCTCTCATCCAAGGACTTTCTCCCCTTCCCCGTCACACTCCTTGAACTCTTCTCTTGACCTCTCACAAGGCACCTCTCTCTCTTTCGTCTCTTCGACATCGACACTCATTCCACATTCGACACCCTCAGCCACAGCCACTCAATTCAAACCAGACCAAAGTCATTCATTCAATTTTTCCACAGACTGCTGGCTGTCCAACCTTCATCATGAGATTCACAACTGTGTTTCTCCTCCTTGGAGCGATATCTGGACTCTGTGAGGCAGGTCTCCTGCGTTTCAGACAAAACCAAGGATCAGTTGCTACTTCGATCTCTAGTCTAGTCTTATCACTGAAATCTCACACTTACAGATCAACATGTACCCCCATTACCATCTGGCAGACTGTCGTCGTCAATCAGATCACCACCTTGACCGTCACTGACACTCCAGAGACTGTCACCATCCTTCAACAAGATCCAACTTCCATTGCTGCTTCCATGGCATCAGTCGACACTGCTCAAGTCCGTCAATCGAGTCTGCTCAACCCAATCTCGAACTCACAAAACACAAACAATCCCGTCTTCACTCACTCCATTCACGTCTCTGGCTTTGAAGCCACAGAGCTTGCTGGTGATGGTAGCACGGTCTTCTACGTGTCCAAAGGTCAATCTACAACTGATTGGAGTTTCTCCCCATCTGCCTCAATCATTGCAGAGACAACAACCGTTACCGTGTCTCCAGTCCCTGCCCATACTTCAGTTGCCAAACAAGCCACTACCAACAGCACCACTGGCCATGTCCCCTTCACCAGTCCTGTTGGAGGATGGAACTACACAAACTCAGTCTTTGATGCAACTGGTACCAATCCCGGTCTTGTCCCTACAGGCTCGACATTGGTCCCATCCTCACCAGAGCCCCTTTATCCTGATAGTGTCCTCACTGTCACAGCAGTCACCACTGAATTTGTTACCGCAACTGAGTCTTCTTCCTCAGCCATTACCGAGTCGCCATCATTCAATGGCTTTGATGCCCCTGTTGAGATCTTCGATAATGGTGTGTTGGACAAGCGACAGACTTGTGTCTTGATCTCCGCCACAATTGGTGGTCAGCTTGCTTCATGGTGCAACAACTGGGCTGGGTCAACTGTGCTGACATACACAACATGGGAGACAACTGGTAATGTCAAAGGTTCGGACCTGTGATTTTCTACTGACCAATTACATTAGTTACCGCTGCCCCAATCCCGACTGCTTCTCAGAGCCCTCCAAGCTCAAGCACAGTCCATCCCATCCCGTCCCATGGTTGTGGAGAGTATGGACCTTTCAAGATGGATGTAAGGATGCTCAGCCTCGCGATTCATAGGTGGTACTAACCCGTTTCCAGTTCGAGAATCTACCCGTCTTTTCTACCAACAACAACGACACTACTGATTTCCCACCCATCTTCAATCCTTACAACCATTTCTACTGGGGAGCTGAGTGGTCCTTCGTTCCTCCACCTCATGCTCCTTTCCCTCCTCATACAGGAAGTCGTCTGGGTCAATTTGTTCAATCTCCCAAGTTCAACAATACCGGCTCACCTAATGCCGGTTTGATCGAACCCAGTGGTTTTGGATGTGGTCCTCGAAACTACAACGACAACTACTGGTTCAATGCTCGATCGGCTTGGGTTGGATGTGATAACAATGCTACATCGTCATACACCACTTGTGACTTTGTTGCCACTGGCTATCAATGGGACAATACAACACGAACCGAGAAAGTTGCAGTGACACAGCATTTCACCATTCCACCATGCCCCGATTTCAATAATTGCAGTTTGGGACTAATCAACTTCAACTACCAATTTTATAGACTCAGCCGGTTGAGCTTCTATGCCAACGTCAAAGGCCAAATCAAGAGCTTTTGGGTAGATGATATTGGTCTGAGTTGGTACAACAATAGTTGTGAGGCTGGTCTCGCCCGTATTGGCTCTCGGAAGAAATGAGACCGCAAGGTGGGATCATTGATAGAGCCCTGACAGCCTAGATGGTATCATTGGGAGCAATGTTCCAATAGGCCAAGTCTGGTTGATCAACAGGTCGCTATCAATGACGGATTAATTGAGATGGTGGAAGAGAGACATGCTCTGCAAAGCGGAGCGGGAGATCTTGTGTCGAGCAAAGTAATGAACACAGAAAACCACATGTAGGCACAAGCCAACCACTTTGCTTATCGAGGGGAAAGTAATGATGACGAGCGAGAAGCGTCGTGGCAAGGCGTACAATCAGATCAATTCCAGGATTGATAAATGAAGAAAAGACAAAAACACTGTTCGTGCTATATACTGCTCTCCACTATCCGAGAGGGTGCAAAAATAATTCTAAACTCGGACGACGAACTTGAGTGAGCAATACCTTCGAGTTGAAGAACAGATAAAAGCAATATAGGTGTAGTAGTGTAGAAGTAGTTCCGCGGTATCGAGAGGGCAATGTTTATTTATCTTCAATCACAAACGCCACGCTACACCACGAACACGACATGACACGGCACGTCATCTAACTTCCCCGGTCCAGCATATCCATCAACGGAACGGGAGCGTTCCCGAGCAAGCTAAATCAATTGCTTCCCACCAGCGCGGCTACGACGGACTCATTATTCTATCCTACCACTACGCTATGCAGAAGAGGTATGCAGCTAGCTAACGTAACTAGAGGCTCGATCGCTGGCTTTGCGCGTGGGTGTGGAGGGGTCAGTGTTGTGATGAGATATATGAAGGGGTTCATTGTTATGGGTCTGTTGGTTCTTGGATGGATGGATGGATAGAAAAACGATCTGTCTATCTGTCTATCTATCTAGATACCTATCTAGATACCTATCTGTCCATCCATGGATGGCGCTCCCTGTCGAAGCCCAATGACTCTGACTCTGACTCTAAGGGCGACTGTGCGCGACGTACGTCGGGCTGGATAAGGAGAGAAGATCGATTTGCACTACTTAAGTGAGATACTTCAGTGATGAGATGCCTGGTGGCGGCGGCTTGCTCTAATTACGGACCTGGTGGCAATTGTCCTGCTTCCTTTGAACTTGCTCCCAATGGATTCTGGCTGATGCTTGTTGGTGTCAAGTGATGGTGTACAAGGTATGGTACATGACGTGTGGTGGGTGAGCAACAGTACTCTGCCTTTCCAATGGAGGCTAGAGCGTTGTTGCGTCGGCTTGATTTTTCAAGGTGGACTAGCTGGAAATGGGACTTGATGCACATGAAGCCGGGTGAGAGGTCTTCCTGCGCTATGGATATAGTCCACATTGCTCTTGGAATTTGCGTCTGGAAGCGTAAAAGCGAGCTGCTCGTGGTTCATGTGGCAGGAATAGGAATGTTCCTTCTCTGCTATTGCTGAGCATGGTCTGCGAGTGAATAAGCTGTGTCACTGAGCTGGCACAGTTCTGAGGCATATAGAGTGACTGACATGTCTCTTTCGAGAGAAGCCGGCTGGCAATCAGAAGTAGGCAACCTTCTCCGTCGCAATGCGTGGCTTTAGGTGTCAAGACAACTGATTTCTAGCTAGGACCAGGTTGGATCGACAGTCTTGTAGGAGAGTTGAGCCGTGGTAGGAATGATGAAACTGTCGACCATCCCTATTGTCTCATCCAAAGTTAAACCCATTCGGAAATCCACCGAAGGGGTTTCCTCCTTCACCAGAGAATTTAAACTTTTGCCCGTTCTGTTGAAAGACGAATTGCTGACCTCCACCAAATGGGCTGCCTTGGAATGGAGAGCCGCCTTGGTTGGACATGGGATCATTCGGATCATCGCCTCTATCATAGCGAGCTTTCAGCTCAGGGTCATTGAGGACTTCGTATGCTTCGTTGATTGAAGCCATTTTCTTTTCTGCTTCATCCTTCGACTCCCCACGTGCTGCGGCCTTGTCAGGATGGTGAATCTTTGTCGCTGCGCGGTAGGCTTTTCGGATGGTGCGCTCATCTGCGTCACGTGAAACACCGAGGACTTTGTAGTAGTCCTTGGTCTTGGAGCGTTTGAGAGCCGTCTGTGCTTCCTGAAGTTTCTCGTTGATGAGATTCTGCGACTCTGGATGATTCTCACGAGCGGTGGTCAGAGAGGTAATGGCCGCTTCGAAGCTCTCATTATCCATGTGCTTTTGAGCTTGGTATAGCAAGGCATATAGGGAGTTGGGATTCAGGTTCAAGGACTCGACACAATATGGCTGTGCCTTTACCATGGACTTCATGGAGACGAAAGCTTCGCAGGTCTTCTCGACCAACACGGTATACAAAGAGGATGCTGCTTTTGAGTGAATGGTCCCATCGGATCGATGTTGTTCGATGTTGGCTTTGATCTCCGATAGCAGACCTGGCTCATCTTCTGTGTTCAAGCCAACAAACACTTTGCTTGCTGAGTTATACTGTTTGTTGCTCATAAGGGTTTGAGCTTTATCGATCTGTTTGGCGATGGCTTTCTCTTCACGGAAGAGGCGCTTGCAAGGCTTTGAGTCTGGATCGGAGTGAAGACACTTCTTGATCTGGGTAAGACCACGTTCAGTGTCGCCAAGACTGTAGAAGAACATGGCCGATGCCTGGAGATGAGGTTCGATGGAACCAGGGGCGATGGACAAGACATGCTGCAGATCATTAACTCCTTCCTCTATCTCGCCGCGTTCAAAGCGACACCTGGCCCGAAGTTGTCGCAGTGACAGGGCTGCACCGGCAGTCATGATAGCAAGACCGGACTGATTAATGCATGTTTCATAATCGCCCTTCTTTTCGGCTTCAGCTGCAAGGTATGCAGCACCCTCTGCCTCCTCAAGATGTGCCAGCTCTTCAGCAGCCTTGTCCCCAAGAGCGACATAATCCTGTTTGGCGGCCGTCCAGTCTGCACTTCTGGCTCGAAGTTTCGCTCGTTGTACCAAAGCACCGTCGAAACCGGGTTTCAACTTCAAAACGCTGTCGAAATCCGCACTCGCCTGTGCAGTGCGACCCTGGGAAAGATAGATGGCGCCACGCTGGAAGAGGGTGAGGTAGTCGGAAGGATCCCTGGAAATGATGGCATTGAAGTAGTCGAGGGCTTCATGTCTGGCACCTCTTCCGTTTGCTTCTTTCGCAGCAGCCCTCAACTGTGCTATCGGAGTATCGGACGCGATCACAGTTGAGTCTGCGGTGCAGAGAGGAACGAGGGATAGCCCAAGGAGGGTCAGGAAGACGGCGTAGTTTCTCAGCTGTAGAATCATGGTTGCATGTTCGAGCAATATGGTTTGAGAGAGGAAGATGTCCCTGTAATCGTAGAAAGTGGTAAACTGAGAGAAAGAACAAAAGAATGGATTGGGGTGAGGGTTGTCGATCGAAAGCAACAAATAATGGAAATGGAATGGATGACATTAAAGGGACGCGGGTGTCTTTGGGAATGCACAACCTGTCCTTTTGCTCTGCGTCATTTCCTTGGCATGCATTTCACGGGTTCAGTCAATTAAAGTGACGGTTCCGGCGTCATTTGAAACAACAACGACGACGACGAGGTCAAGACACTGGTAGACTGCATCAAATCACACACTCGTCTCATCACGATGGGCGTTGACGTCGTAGACTGCTCAAAGACAAATATCATGACATAGACAAAAACAACCTCTTCTGAGGCTCGAACCATCCATCTCAATCATGGCCGAAGGAGTAACATCAGTGCTAGGCGAGGGATCACCTCACCGCGCGAGAAGAGCATCGCTCAAGATCCTCAGCCGCAACATCGGCAACGTAGTCCTGGGGAATCTTCTATTCGACACATGGTACTACTCGCCGTATCCCGATAACATCATCTTGGGGCCGGACTACCACCCTTCAAAATACATGACGACGTCGGACCTGCGCAATGGAAACGTGAGCACGCCACACGATCTCAACAAAACTGAACCGTTGTGTCGTCGACTCCATGTCTGTCCGTCGTGCTTCCGCTACACGCCGGACGAGCGTAGCTATATACAGCACCTGCACCATCACCGGGCGAGACGCGAACAGGGCCTGGAAACCCAACCGGTGCCCGAGAGTGCATTCAAAGTCTACGAATCTGACGGCTACGCGGTGTGGGAGATTGACGGCGACAAGGAGAAACTCTACTGTCAGAATCTTTCGCTGTTTGGAAAGCTCTTCCTTGATCAGAAGAGCGTCTTCTTCGATACGGGAGGTTTCAAATATTACGTATTGACTTACTCCTCACCAGAGCCTGTGGTCAGCGCACCCACCAAAGGTCGAGGTCGCAAGAGGAGTTCCTCGGTGCTCGACGATGATCTGATCGAACGTTCTCAAGTGCTCGGATTCTTCTCCAAGGAAAATCTCTCATGGGACTCGAACAACCTGGCGTGCATCCTGATCTTCCCGCCCTTTCAGCATCGACAATTGGGCCAGTTGCTCATGTCTGTGTCCTACAAACTCAGTGGGTGGGAGTGGGAAGGAGGGGTGATTGGGGGCCCAGAAAAACCTCTCAGTGCCATGGGTCGCAAAAGCTATCTGAGATTCTGGTCCGAGCGGATTGCTCGGTTCATAATGGGACAAACCGCCGACGCCGATGGGCAAAGAGTGTTCCACAAGGCCAGAAAGAAAACCCTCCACCCGAGGAAAGAAGAAATGTCCGTCAAGGAGATTGGAGACCGGACGGGTATGCTGGGGGAGGACGTTGTCGCTGCGTTGACTGAAATGGGAATTTGTGTTGTTCAAATTCCCAAAAGGAAGAAAAAGCCATCAAGCGAGATCAACGGTCTTACGGCGGGGCAGGCAGAGGTGGAAAATGAAGAACCCACCACAATGGTCATCCAGAGGAGCAAAGTAGTGGAGTGGGCGGAGAAGAATGGCGTGGAGTTGACCAGTGTTGTGCGAGAGGAAGGTTTCCTTGGAGAGTGGGCACTGAGCGATCTGGAGGATTCGAGCAGCAATGTCAGCGCGGAAGCATCCAAAATCAGCGAGAATGATAAGGATGTGGTGCCGAACGACACCTAGCGAAATCAGATTTGTGGAGGAGAGCATCTGAACCCTTTGAGGCCTTCAAGCTGTCAAGTTGGAAGCTGGCAGAAACCTGCGGCAAGGGCCGAGTCGCCGACGGCACAACGGCTATCTCAGATTCACAGGATTCTGTCTGAGATTGCACTGAAACTGCTGCATTCGGAGTGTTTCAGTGTACAATAGTTTGTGAGGTAAACAGCATGGAGTTGGGTTGGTCATTGTTAGAATAGCAGATAAACCGGGGCTGACTGATGCTCCGTCCTGCGACTGTCCATATCTCACCCATGCTTGGTCTTTAGTGAGATATCTGAGGCGGGTGGTGCATTGTGCTTTGGACCCGACACGGCAACAACGCAATAAGCATTGGGTGGCGGGGGTTAGTCTGTTTGAACAAGCTCGTTTGGGCAAGTAGTGGTAGAACCGACATGATCAGGCAATGCTTGATCACACTGGGTGTTTTGACAATCAAGTGTCCAAGGGGGCCGAATGCGGACTTTGAGCTTCCTAGGGTTTCTTCGTCCTTGTCCCAAAAAAGACTTAGCTCCAGCAAAATACCCAGGTAGTTTCCTCAAGCTCGAGCCAAGCAGTTCCTAGCAGGGCAGTGATACACAAACAAAACCCGTTGGTGATTGTATGATCGTCGCCAGGGATGCGGACACATACTCGCCCTTGGTACATAGCGGGGGCTCTGAGGGGATGAGGGCTAAGCATTTGTGAGAGCGATGCAACAACAAGCACCAGTCAAGCCGTGTGTCTCCCAACTCCGACATGGTCGTGAGAAACGCCATGGAACTGTACCTTTCAGTCTAGCACTCCCGAGCACTTGTGGTCACAGTTGATGGGACGCTGAAGCGAAAGACCGACCTGCGACTGCTCAATCATTAACAGATTGCATGTCTCAGTGCATCTCGTGCACGACTCTCATGATGCAGATTGGTCAGATAGCTACCGACCTCAGTAGTACGAAGCGATATTGACGGAATGGTGCATCACAACAATCAACAGGTAAGCTTTGGTTGAGCTCTTCTGTGCCCTACCGCCCTAGGACCTGTCGGCTCAGACTTGGGCCCTCCATTAACGTCCCTCATCGGCTTGCCCAATCCCGCCCTGCAGGATGGTCCAGATGACTTGGAACTTGTATGGATTAGTGATGTCAGTGAGACATGGATAACAGTTCGAGGTTCTCTATCGGTATAGCTCAGAGCACGAGTCGAGGTACCTATGGGGTATAACGATTCGCCAGGAAACCAATACGTTGGCATTCGAACAGCGATGAACCTTGCAGGAACTGTCTGGCAGGGTATCAACTTAGCATTGAAAGTCCATACAACGGGGTAGTACGGAGGAGTTGAAGAGCAGTACGAGGTACGGAGTACTCGGTTGGTCACTCGAACTCGAAACAGTGAGGTAGCAGGCGAGAGTTTGCTAATCAAGACCAAAGTGTACGAGGGGTTCGCCTCGAGAAATAGCTTGGGAAGATATGAAGCCTTTGGTTTAGAAGCGAGGTTCCAAGTCCAACTAGGGAACCAGTTCAAAGTTCCGCGGCAGACGGCTGAGCACCGATAAATTTACGCGCAAAGCTGCGATTTGTTGGTCGGCTGGCCGAGAGAATTGACCAACCGGAAACAGTTTAAGCAGCAGAGAAATCCGGTACCTCGATCAACAGGGGTCAAAACCGTTTTGGGGATCGGGCAATGCAGGAACGGGAACATGGCCCTGACTAGCGCTGAGCTCGATTTTGACGACCTCGAGAGTTTTTGGTATGGGTCCAACTTCCCAAGAGAACCGTGGAGGATGAAGAGGGCAGGATTCACATGAGAGGCGCGGAATGACTGCGAGGGCACCACCAAAGCCAAGAAAACACATCGATATAAGGTCTGGGTCCGAGTTTTTCGACGCGTTTATAGAGTTGGTGCAGGGGACGGAAATGCGAGCGATAGCCATGAAAAAGTATCCGCATGTGCGAGGAAGAATGGGAAAAGGAGGAGTGCATGAACGGTTCATGTCTGCATGGTACCTCGTAGTTGTTGTTGATAGACGAAGGAGTTCACCAGATGCATTCAGAATCACAATCTGTTGCACTCGCTAAAGAGTGTCGTGTAGGACAAGTGCTGTTCTGATCGGAGTGGCTGCCTGGACGAATGACAGCTGTCATTTGAAGGGAGGGACGGATCGAGCACGTCCATCACCGTCCATCTCGTGGTGATCAAGAGGAGGGAAATGGGTGTCTGACCGAGCTTACAGAAGTGACGACAGGTGCTTTCACATGTTCCGTGCACGGTGAGGGGTCCAAGACTGGTGAGACTGTGAACTCGGACGAGACAGTGCAAGTCTAATGAGCGTGAAAATTTGGAAGAGGTCGAATGTGGTGTAGCGTCACAGGGGGCAAGGGAAAAAGCCTTTGCAGGCGTTCAAAGACATGGAAAGAAATGCAGGGGACGTGTTTGGTGGGTGCCAGATAGAATGGGTCCATTAGTGAGCCATTGCTGCGGCTATCCCAACCCCGGGGCACAACGGATACTTTGTAAATCAGAATCAGGGCTGTGACGGTCAGGGAGTCGAGGTGACTAGGGGACCGAGACCCCGGTCTTCCGGGCTGGCTTTCTCGGTGGACTGTGACTGCTCTTCAGTGACACTATCGGTTGATATTCCGGTGTTACTTCGTAGTTGGGGACATTTGGCCTCCACAGTCCGTAGTTGAGTGCCCGAGCATGTCATTGAATGGGGACGGGACTCAGGACTCAGGGGAACTGGGCGTGTGATGGAGAAATTGATGGAGAAATAGAGTGCAATGTGGAAATATCGAGGCAGAGTCAGACTACTGTACCGAGTAAGAATCCCACGCCCGAGGCGACTACCTATGGACTAGAGGTTACGGGTATAGTGTCAGGTTGGGAGTTCGACTTTAGAATTTGGAGGCGGAAAAGCGTGACAAAAGTTAAACATCAAAGGTCCGACAACGGGTGTCAAGCCAGAGCAGACAGCAGCTACAAGCGAAGGATGCGAGGTACCTAGAGAGAAGCAGAGATTTGCCTCCCGAAGCTTGTACCCAGAGGCCATTCTAGGCTGTACATTAAGTATTCGTACCTAGTTCGTGCCGAGTACCTTAGGCTCAGAATAATTCCCCATTCGGAGAGCAACGCCTTGGCTGGGTGTTTTTTGTTAAACGGACTCGATTCCATGTCAGAGTAATTTGTAGAACTGCAGTTCAGTTAGGTACCAGGTCCTTCGGTCTTTGGGTATACTGCTGATCTCCCGTGGGACTGCCCAGGTGCAGTGTACCTGGATCAGCACTTCAAGTCCCAGTTGATGACGGTATCCTCGGTACTATCCCTTTCCCTGATCCCTTGTCCAGGACATCCCGTTGAGAAAAAACTAGTCCTGGGACACTTCTCCACTGCATCTGGCATCCTCGCCCTACTAACGTCGACTAGTGGACTAGTCGCTTCCCATCTCCCCTGCCCTGGTCCTTTTCTCTTAGCCCTGCTCTTCTGGGTCTCTTCATCGTCTACTACTTTCAACGAGGTATCTCATTCCGTTCACTTCCACAATCATCGACTTCATACACTCTCTGCTTCTTCTGAGACATCCTCCGAACTCGACTTACTTCTACCACTCCCCTCCCCCTCCACGGTTGCCACGGCATCATCACCATCCGCCCTCTTCACTCTCTAGAGAGCTTCACAATTTTCTTTCCAAGCCAGAGCCTCCAGACCACTGTCGTCCGAGCTGCTCTGCTTCCATCACAACTTGATCCCGACATATTACGAAGGACAGACCTCTGATACCCCAGCTTCACAAGAGCTTGGTTGCTGACGCACGGTTCACAACCCGTTCAACCCTTCTCGCACTGACGCACCCGCAACCCGGGTAAACCTGGACACACTCACAAACAACTGGGCTTGGATCAACCACGACCCAATGCTCACGACGTGACCACAACATCTGTTCCTCAACATCCAGAGCATTGATATATTCTTCACGTTTCACTTGACCTGATCCCCTCCACCTACTTGACCAACGCCCACGGTACGAGCCGCACCACCGAGGTCGGCTGACGGGCAATCATGGAAAACATATCATCTTCAGACGGTGATTCTCTAGCTCAGTCTCAAGGCGCAGCCTATCCCTGGGTCCTCGAGCATCTCTTGACATATCCGGGCACCTATGAGATTCCCTTACGAACCATGTACACTCTCAATGCCACCACTCAAAACCCCCAGCAACATTCTCCTCTGGCCATATCTCCCACAGTCCCGGGGAATGCATTCCCCCGCACTCCAAATGCCCCAGTTGACGAGCAGCAGTCCATGACGACCGTCACCGCGGCTGCTCAACTTCGAGCGAATCTCATGGCACATATCTCCCAACTACCCTCTCAACCTACCTCACTCCCTCCTAGCTTCATCACCAGCTTTGTCCGTCGCTGCTTCCCTCCTGAACTGGACCAAGTCGATTTCCCCCAGGCCCTGACTGCAATGGATTACTTGAAGGATCTGGAGATTCGAAGACGGCGAGAGGTGGTTGCGGCCCTGGATAAACTCGGAATCGACCGAGATGATATCTCGAGCCAAAACAAAATCGCCCAAAAATATCCTCTGGTACTCACTTGGGTGTCGGATATTGAAGACAAGGAGCGCAAGGTTGAGGCTCTCTATACTCAGGTCTATATCGGCCTGAGACGGTGGACATTGATCAACGAACTCTCCTTGACCCCCTTCAACAAGTCCAACTGTATTGCCATGCTCAACACTCTGTACCCCCCAGTGATCAACTCGACCCAGTTTGTTCAACCGACTGCTCAATTGACTCCTCAACTTCTATCCACCCAACGTTCGCAATTCTTTCGCTACATTACCGCCGTCGAAAAAACCGGTACCTCTGTCTTGAGCAACCTCATCAATCAGAACAAGAGATCTGGAGAGACCAACGGCTGGGCCTACTTACGGGAAACCTTGGATAGCTATGTGCGAATGGCCAACAATGTCATTGATGAGTGTAATGACATCACTGGACGTGGCCTGTCCCCCACTGCCTCGTCCTTTAGCTCGGTACTCGAGTACGACAGCGAAGGTCGTCGGAAGTTTGATTCGGCCATCTCTTTCGGCTCGGGTAACTCATCCAATCGCAACTCTGGTCAAAGTCATGCTACACGGCCCAGTACCAGCAGTAGCTTCAGTGTTGAAAGTCAAGGCAAGGGCCACAGCCGTCAAGTATCGAGGGATAACCCCATGTTAAACAAGCCTTTACCTCCACCCAAGGATGATGATGTCACGACGACACCCAAGGCAGGATCCACCTTGGAGCGAATTGCCCGCGAGTTGCGCAAGATCAAGAGCCGCAATACTATCAAAGACGAACTACAACGACCCAGAACGGCGTCGGTACCAGCCTCTACAACCTTGATGGATATATCAGAACCCCTGCCTACTACGACACCTTCGAAGGATCGAGGGCTCAAAATGAAACGCAGTATCCGCAGAATGAGATCAAATACCAACGTGTTGGACTCCGTACGGACAGGCAACCGAACTGACGAAGCGGCGGTGCCTATAGCCCCGGACTATGATCCGACATTAATGAGGAAGCGCCGAGATGAGTGGGAAGCACATCAGAGGTCGACGAGCAAAAACACCATTGAATCGGAGTTAATTTGATAATGCATATCACTGTACCGGGCAATGAATGGTGACGGATGGGATGGATTCTTTTACTTTTTCTATTTTCGGTTGGGAGGTGTATTGGACGCGGCTACTGTTACCGCAGATGAAGTGGGGCTTCATCAAGGATGGCAATCCTGGAATGTTTAATGAAACTGCATGAAGAACGACGACGACAAGTCAGAATGTACTTGGATCAGGCGCAACTGCAATTGCCTTGTGAGAGATATTGAGATCAGACATGGGAAGCTTCCACGAGCAAAAATTGTACTCTTGATGAAAGAAAGGGAGCATGCAAATGCAGAACGTGTTGACGGCAAAAGGCTGAGACCTAGATAACCAGGCTGGCGGCGAATAAATTCCATATTACGCGATCAGAGATTACAAGTTTTGCCTATCAAGTGCTAGAATTGCCAATCACTATAAGTTGATGTTCACTCCTTTTCACGCATCTCCCTTGTGTATTTTTTGATGCTCGCGATTAAGCACTTGCGCCCGTTATCGTAAGGAAAAAGTTCGGATAATGTAAAATCCCCTTCCGGGACGTCACTTCACTTTCTCAAGGCTTCTCCAACTGCGGCCCACCATGTCTTCGACCACAAACTTTAGAAATTCACGTTCCTAGGAACTCGACAATCAAACTCGATCTATCGTCGTGATACACCTTAGACGCCTCAGAGACCATTCATCAGGTGTTAATCCGCCAGAAACAGCACCGCACAAAACACCCAATCCTCATCCTCTCTCCTCCCCCACGAACCTCCACTCAACCATGGCAGCCCCCGACGCCGCAACGACCAACCCGCGGGGCATCCCGGTATTCCCATTCATGAGCAATGTTTCAGACTACGTGAAATCGATCGACGACGTCGAATCCACACTGACACGCTTCCAAGAGATGGTGTCGAAATACACATTCATGCAGCAGAACGTCGAGCGGCGCGGGGCGGGGCTGCGCGAGAAACTGCCCGAGATGAAGCGGACGCTCGAGGTGGTCAAGTTCCTCAAGAAGAAGCGGAAGGACATTGCGGAGAAGAAAGCTACCGGCGAAGGAGGGGACGATCTGGTGGACGACGATGAGGAAGAGGGAACCCCCAAAGGGACAGCAGACGAGATCGAGACGACGTTTAGTCTGCAGGACACGCTGTATGCTAAGGCCAAGATCCGGCCCGCGGAGATCGACGACGTCTACCTCTGGCTCGGCGCGAATGTCATGGTGGCGTATCCGCTCGACGAGGCCGAGGAGCTGCTGCAGGCGAAGCTGGACAAGGCCAAGGAGAGCGCCAAGGCCGCAGACGAGGATCTCGAGTTCCTGCGCATTCAGATCACGACGCTCGAGGTCGCGGTCGCGAGGGTCCATAATTGGGACGTCGCCGAGAAGAGACGTTTGAGGGCGGAGGGCAAGTTGAAGGATCCGGATGCAGATGCAGGGGACAAGGAATAAGTAGGTTCAGAACGGCGAGGCGGTCATGAATGAGGGCTCCTGTCCTCTTGGAGATGGACGGAGGTCTCGTCCAGTTGGCTCAAAATCATGGGAACCTGAACTGTATGGAAAATGTTCACACCGGGATGGGAACCATTCCACCAGCATTCGACATCTAGCTAGCATCGGGACGATATCATGCCGGGCAATCCAAGCAAAAAGACAGGTCCTTCCATCTGATCCCAAATCCCCATCACATCAATGGTTATTCCATGGGCAGCTACAGTACGAAGCCCAGTTGTGAGATGCAATGCACACAGCAGACGGATGAGATGGAAGCAGAAAATGACATCCAGGAAACCACCACCACCCCTTTACCTCTTCGGGAGTCTCACTCTCCCTCTCGAGCAAGCCTTTTCATAGCCTTAGAACGAACCTCACCTCACCTCGCCTCGCCTCACCCCACTTCCATCTTCCACAAGAGCTTCGAGGTCCAACGGCCAGGCCTGGAACTCAACACGGTTTCCTCGTTTCGCGCCCACAGAGCTAGCCTGAAACATCGAGCGTCGAACCTCCGTGCCAAGCCCGACATTCCATCTGGATGGCAATGGACGTTGTCATGCGCGCCCAGAAAGAAAGGAGAGAAAACGCCAAATCCCTACCCAGCCGATGTCTCTCTCCATCATTTCAAGCGGTCAAAGTTCCATCGCGCCCGGTGTATCATCAGGAGGACAACTTCTGCTGGCGTGATGGTTTGACCTCCATCCTATCTGTCTAGCTAGCTAGTAAGCTGGCTGAGTATCTGAGGGCTATCTATGCATGTGTGTATATCCTCTCCAGTGTCGCTGCTATACAGCACTGCTGCGGTCGAGGGGCGTAGCGTGTCGAATAGAATAGGATACAATCAAATAATACTCTGCTGCCAAAATAGTGAAGTCTTTTTGCCGCTCTGTTCGTATCGCTGAGGGGGAGGCATTTCAGGTATTGGATTGAGTCGTCGTCCACCCGTCCCACAGAGCATGAAATCGGCTTTGCCTTATCATTGAGTAGGAGGAGAATCAATCCGTCACTCTACAGTGATTGAAGAAGCTTGGGAAGGAGCGGGTAAATATGAAGGTCCATTAATCATTATCATTTCAGAAACAATCCGACCAGGTTCAACCAACCCCCTGGTCGACCATACAAGCAAATCATGCTGGCTTTCGATCACTACACTTCATAAGCTTCATTCATCAACGTTCCCATCCCCAATGCTCCACGTAGTGCATGCCATAGGCATCGCTCATCTCTTCTTACTGCATATATGTATTTTTTTCTCACTCGTCTCCTCGTCTCCTCGTCTCCTCGTCTCATCCCATCATACATGATATTATGCAGCCAATCCATGCAACATTATGCAACGCAATGCAAAAAGAACTCATCAAGTCATTAATCGTACACTCTTTCTCTCTTTTTCTCCTCGCAGAAGTTTCGAGGCCCTCAAGTCTGCCCCGGTTGATGGATTCTTGCCATCGGGCTCGCCTTTGTCTCTTATCCATAATCAGAGAAATGGCTAGCATTGTTAATTGTATTTGACCCTTGGTTTGCATACCTCTTCATTGTGGCATGTATCTCAGTGGTATTGTTCAAAATCACGCCTGGCGAGTCCTGAAAGAAAGCCTCGATACCCTTGCGTTCAGTCCTTCTAGGCTTGAGGGTGTCATCATTCGTAAGAGAAACAGGATCGTAAACATCAGAACGCTTGACAGATGGTTCGACTGCCACAGATGTGTCCTGAGTGTCAGAAGGGTATCCCGAAGGTCCAATTGCGATGTGAGACCGTGCGAACGTCACATTGGCTTCGTGATATCCACATGATGGAGTCGGAGAGCTAAAGCTTCGCACCTTCCGAATGGTGTTTGGCTCTAAGTCATGACATTGTGGCGAAAGCCGAGCTGCTTTGAAACGATCCAAGAGAGTTCCAGCGGTATGATCCAGATGTGGCAACTTGGCACTTAATCTCTTGTGCCTCTTTTCAATACTGCTAGATCTGGAATGCCTTCGATCCTCTGTGTCTCGCAACATCTCACCAGGTCCTCGAACGATGGCGCCTCCCACAGCAAGCATGATTGCAACACTGAACTTGCCCCAAAGCAACAAAGAATTACCCCAACCAGACTTGACTCCTTCGGGAGGTAACTTCTGCTTGGTCTGATTCTGAACCGTATTGTGCGATTGACAAAAGTCTGAGCCGTGGCGCACAGCATCTTCTTGTTGACGATCAGTCCCATAGTCGGAATCTTCGATATCGTTGTAATCAGAACAAAACTTCTGGGCAATACTCTCGCCATCATAGACGTCCCAATCCCATTCATCATTACTGGTAGATGATCTGCGGCGGCTAATGAATAAGCCAAGAACCCACCAGCTCATCTTTCCAAATACAGCCCAGTTGGATCGCCATGCATTCGCTATGACTCGTCTAGCAAGCGCAAGTGGGTCTTGTTTGAATGTCTGGATATATGAGGTGTACCTTGATAAAGTTGCATATACCGTCTGAATTGTTATTGCAGCAAGTGGTTTGGACCCTATACCCCTCTGTTGAAGTAGTTCTAAGGGACTAAGAACGTTCGCGCTTCCAGTCTTCATCCTATTGCTTGACCGACGTTGAGTTTGGCTGTCACATATAGCACGATCTCTCAGAGACTTTGGATTCAAGACCGGGCGTGTGTTAGGTGCATCAGTGTCCTTCAGACTTGGCTTGTGCACATTGCTTTGGTCAGGAGAAAGCCGTACATCGGTTTTCGAACCTTTGCGTCGCTTGCGTGGGTTCAAAGGGGACTCTTCAAGATGGGATCTTCCCTCTAGATACGCTTCGTCAAGTGAGCGAGACACAGCCCTCGAGAATAATGGTCTAGGAATCTCCACAGGGGAAATCTCTGGCTCGCTATCTCGAAGTGAGTGTCCAGACTGAGATGTCCCTACAGGACCGAAGCCTTTATAGAATGCTCCCTGATCGATAGACGGGTGACCGTGGTCGTAAATAATGTCTGCTCCACTAGGTGGAGTTGGCACAGTCTTTAATACCCATGATGTAATGCGAGGGCGAGGTGGCTTTCGACCAAATTCTGAATGCATATAAGAATTCTCAGAGTCCTTGGTGGGAAGCTCTCCGTGGCCTCGTCTTGAGTCAGACCCGGGCGGTTCTGGCATCAAGGTTGGTTCCGTACTTTCTCCCAGCTTCGCGAAGACTTCATTTAAACTTTGGAACGAAGGTCCGGGTTCCGATATCAGATAGTCAGGACAACTCGGAGGAGATGTAGGAATTTCTTGGCTGGATTCGCCGGAACGCGAGGCAGGCTTCCCTGGATCACTCGCATGCAGGGGATTCGAATCTGTTGCGTCGGCTGTTCGTTGAGGCGATGTTAGTGGGGATGCGGAGGGAAGATTGCCATTGTCTGCAGTAAATGTCGGCAACAACAAAGGCTTCAGCTGTGTTGATCCTGGTATGAATTTCCGTGGTCGTCTCTTGGAAGGTTGTCTAACATGCAATGGTGGTCTGGAATCATGCGGCGGGTGAAAAGACGGAGGTAACTCTGGACTGCTCGAAACGTGAGAAGCCAGGGTTGAACGTCTCGAAGCTGCTGGGTTTGTGGACTGTACACATGATTCTCCTAGACCCGAATCAATGGAACGAATGTCATCGTTGGTCTCACTGTACGTGGGACGATGAAACCCTGGACTCGAAATAACAGGAGATGATAGGTTATATCTAGTAAAGTAGCCCGGTTCCGTGTTTCCTGGAGACATGACGATGGACTGAGGGCGACTCAAAGGTGTAAATTGGACGGGTGATGAAGGCATACGAGGAATGATCAGAGACATTGGACGACCGTTTCTCCGTCTTGGAGTAGGTAGCTCAATGCCATGTTGGCTTTTGGTGGGCGAGAGAGCGAGTAATTGAGTCAAGACTTCATTTCGTTTGGTCATGCCACGATTTGTCACCTCCAAAGACATCCTCTCTTCTTCGAGTTTATCAATGCGTGCTCTCAAAGCATCGACGGCTCCCTGGTCAAGTCTGGATTCTTCCCGATTGAACTCGAGCTCCTTGATGGTGGCATTTTTTTGCTCGGCGGACTCCTCAAGATCTCTAACCTTTCGTTTTAGTCGAAGTTCATTTTCGGTCAAACGCTCCACGGTGTTACGTAGTTCCAACTCAAAGGAGGACTGTTGGACTTCGAGCTCCTTTTTCAATTGCTCATTCTCCTGCCTAGCTTTCTTGAGCTTTTCTTTCCAGGGAAGATGAGTATTTGGTGAATACATTGCATCTTTTACCATTTGTAATTCATTTTCAATGTGTTGAATATACTCCTCGGAGTTGAAGCGATGTTTGGCCTGTGAAGTTCGTCGACGAACCGATGAACGGATTGAAGCATAATGGGGAGAGCCAGCGAGGACGGGCGATGATCGTTGTAAGTTCACCGAGACCTCTCTGAGACCCATATCGGTGGATGCGCTCTCGACTGAATCAGTAGAAAAGGCCGGAGGTTCGTTGGAAGAGCTCCGGTGAACTGCAGTTGCACTGAACCGGTCTGATGAGTCCTTGAAGATTGGTATTGGAGGTCTGGATTGGTGGGAGTGTTTGCGAGAAGCGGCAAAGTTTGCAATCTCGTTCAAGATAGTAGAAGCCGGAGAGGAACTGGTCAGGTCACTGGTCATGTCGGATGGTGAATGAGATTCATCTTGTTTGATATACCGAGGAGAGGAGAAGTGTGGAGAGTCGTTCTCAGAGGATCGAATCAATTGGGGAAAGGTGATGGTGTTGACTGACAGCCTCTGGGCAGAGAATCTGGCGTGGCGTGTCTGTAGCAGTCTTTGCTGACGAGTATGAGGAACCGACTTTGGAGTGGTTGTAGCATTTGTGGGAATTGAAGAACGGTCGCGAATAGAGAGGGAGCCGATGGATCTGGAGCGGGAGTGTATGGGTAAAGAGTTTGTGGAAGAAGCCGGGAAAGCATTCTCCATGGCAATTAGAGAAACTTATGTTGGCATGTACAGTATCAAAAGAGCCGACAGAATGGTTCGAGGGCGGCAAGGCATACGATTGGTAGTATGTACTGGGTGTGGTGTGGTGTGGGCGAATGAGATGCTGGAGTTGAAATTAAAGAGACATTCCACAGAACCTCGGTCAACGAGATGGAGGGGAGAAAGTGATGGATGCACAATATCCGTACTTGTAATGTGGCTCTCGCAGCAAAAGGAGTGTGAGAAAGAGAAGTTTTGTAAAGGGTTGAAGTGAAGAGAAGCGACGAAGAGAGTCTGGTCGAATATGCGCAGGAAGTTCAGCGCAGGTGGTGAGGAAGGAACGATGTTTGTCTGCTGATGCTGGTCTCAGCGCACGATACTCTGGGCAGGTACGACTCTTTTTTTGCCCTGTTTACTTTTTACTCAACTGGGGTTGGATCGGTGGTCATAGCGTGCCCTAATACAGTAGGATTCGGTCGCCTGACAGCCTACAGGCTACAATGCCTAAAACAACTCCGCACAGGCACCTAATTCCCATGTTTAGCGGCCTCGGTGGGGGATCTGGTCATTTGCGAATCTTCCCGAACGCCCAAAGAAGCCCAATGATGACGCCCGAAACAGCCGAGGTCAATGGGGCTTTCGGCCTGTGCAAGGAACACCCACGACCATCCTGACGCGCGCTCACGTGTCTTCCCAGTCTCTTCGGCTTTCTTCCTCTTTTTGGCACAGTCACAGATGCTCTTTTGATTGCTACTCATTTCTAGAAGCCTATCCGTTATGTGTGAATTATGGGAATGTGCAAAGTGGATTTGACTCGGCTTGTCCATGATGAGCTGCCTAGAATTCTGGAAACCATCTTCGTCCAGTGAGCACAGCTGAAGGACCATCGTAGGCAGTGGGCTTAACTTTGAAGTGCCCTGAATCTGACGTCCATATTCCTCGACTGCCTCTGCTAACCACAAGCCGGACTGCCTTGTCCTTACAGAAGTACAAACGGCTTTGTATGCGACAATGCCGGTCAACCAGCTCTTTACGTGAACAATGCTACTTTTGAATCCTATGCTTTAGCCTTCAGTCTCAATTCACCTCGCATCCTTTGAATCACCTACCTACGGCCTTGTACCGAGCCAGACCATAGCAGAACTGACATGCTGGTCATCTCGTCAACATGTGTCGACAAGCCCAATGGCTTTTCATGCACTGCCCTCCTTCTTGCGCCAGGGCGACGTACCCCTACGAGACCCAAGTATGTGGGAGTTTTGCGAACCAAGGCAATCCATGGCAACCGAGGAGACTTTTCTATGGATCCAGTCAGCACAAGGTCTGTTCAAAGCTCACTCTGATTCCTTTTCATATGCCTGCCAAATGCCCTTATTGCTATCAATGGTATGCCGAAGAGGCGCTGCTTGAAGGACGTACCATGATCCCATACCAAGATTACCTCAACAGAGCGCTAGAGAATATGTATGTGCCTGAACATCTCTCTTGGCTAATCCCAATCATGCCACGGTTTGACCTTCATTTTCGCGAGATCGATTGGAATCCTCCAGAACGTAAGATCCCTTTGGAAAGTGGCGAGGTAAGCCCTAAGACCAAATCTTCTTCCATTGATATCCCAGCCGGCGTCATCAATGCAGAGTTCGATCCTCGCGATTGGATTCTTGCGGACAAAGATCGTACTCTTGTAATGAATGCCGGTCAAGATCTCCATGACGTCCCTTATCCTATCGAACCACGCCCACGGAACCCGGTTGGTCAAGCTTCTGATTTCCCAAAGACACCAGCCAACGTTCCTGACCCAGCGGATTGCAAAGTCAACATGGTGCCCCCAGGTATGCGTGGTCCTCAATGGAAGCCTTGGACTCCTCTGTCACCACCAGTTGGACCACCAAAGGAACACACCTTGATTCCAAGAGGCTTGAGGCCCAAGTTTGCCGCAAGCTTTGAAGACTGGCCCGAGCCACTGAAGCCACGCCGAAAGGGCTGGTCGGAGTGAGCACAGAGATAGCCAAGGACTCAACCTCGTTCGCTCAATCTTCTCCCCCGAGGTAAGTGCCGACCGAAGGGCTCCGTTCTCCGCCAATGCAGGACGCATGCGTGATTGAGCGATTGCATCCCTACACAATCCCAGATGTCATGGTGCCTGAACTACACTGATATGGCTGAGCCAGACAGTGATCGAGCTGGCATAAACTTGACTTGAACAGATGCGTAGCTGGCAGTAATTGAGCTAACAGACCCCTCCACCACCCACAAATAGCTTACAATAGATGAGACATCCGTAGCAATAACTACGCTGAGCAATCCTAGTTATTACTCAAATCAATGGATGCTAAACAGTATCAACCCATCAGCACACCCACAACCCGGAATTACGTCTTTCTTGTGCCCCAATGCGTCTTCTCTATTGCCCGTAAAAACCAGCAGCTCTATATCGCGGTAGGATAATGTGTTGATGTTGAGCTGTGAGGCGGAATCTCAAGAGAATTAAAACTAATCGTGGACTATCATGTACTTGTCATTAACACATTCAGGAAGTTTTTATGTAAATGCCTCTAAGCACGAAACTGTGGAGGAAACTAGTTTCAACAATTTTTATACATGTGAAGCATCAAAGGATGCAATCTAGGCCCAAGCTCACTGCATTTTCCAGAGTCTTCCAGCCAATTGTTTTTAAGAACCCCATCTATCTAACTAGTCATCGCCGACGAGGATATCCAAGGCGCCCTTGACAGCCTTGACACTGACCTCGTTGCGCTCACTGTCACCTTTCTTGCCGACCATGCCACCGAGAACCTTCTCGACCGCGAGGTCTTTGCCCTCGAGCTTGATGTCGCCGACAATGCCGCGCGCATCAACGGTGCCCTGGAAGTTGGAGGGGTAGGTGATGAGCTGGTCGCCCGCGATGGAGGTGTGCGAGGCCTTGAGCAAACGCTCGGCGGCGATGGAGTTGACGTAGACGCGGGCGTCGCCGGACGCGATGCGGGTGGTCAGCTCGGCGCGTGGGTCGGCATGCTTGAAGTCGACGCCGATGTAGATGGAGCCCTTGGCGACGTCGATGTTGGTCGAGTTGTACACCGCGAAGGTTCCCTTAAGGTGGCCGTTGCCGAGGTGGATCTTCGACGTGCCCTCGTTGCCGGAGCTGATGCTGGTGATGTCGAGGGTGACATTGCCCTTGGCGACGTTGACGTCCGTGACGTGTCGGCCATTCGTCAATGAGCCGCGCAGGGCACCTTCGGCGATGTCGAGCGTGGTGGTGTTGGTGTGGACTGGACCTGGCTTGACGAAGCCCTTGGCCACTCGGATGGTGAACTCTCCGATCTCGAGTGACTCGGGCAGGTCACTGTAGTCGACCATGTGGCGTGGGGCATTGAGCTCGAAAGATGGAAGGCCGAAGGTACCGATGATGTTGGATGGGATCAGAATCTTGGCCGATGCGTAGCTCTCAAGCTTGCCGGTCGCGGGGGTGTCGATGGTCAAATGACCATTCTCTTCCTTGACGACGACTGACTCGTGCTTGTCACGCTTGTTGGTCTTGATGTCGAGGTCAATGACCACTTTCTCTGATAGCTTGGAAGTTTCAAAGACGACCTTGCCGAAGACCTTTGATCCTTTAATGGTCAAGCCGGATGCCTGCGCAGGTTCAAGCTCGAAGTGCGTTGTTCCCTCGTAGGGCTTCCAGTCGTCAATGGGTGGGAATGGGTGCTGATGTCCACCATCGTGTCCAGGGCCACCGAAATGCTTTCGGATACCATGACAACCTCTTGAAACACCAGTAGTAGCAGGACCATGAGTGATTACGTCGAAGAAGAAGATTGTGGCGAAGAAGGCAAACAGGAACTTCAGCAGGCGTGTGCATGGGCTGGAGGTTCTTGTCATCTTTACCGGGGTGGTTGCCGGCAATGGCAGAGGCTCCAAACGCAACGCCTTCTCGTTGGGATAGCCATTGATTGTGGTCGACATTTTGGCTGAAGTGATGGAAGTGAACCGTGCAGAAAGGATGCAGGAATGAGGTGCAGGACACTTAAGGTCTTTAGTAAAGGAATGAGTGTTGCCTAGACCAAAGGTTGAATAGGCGTGACATCTTCGACGTGGTCTTCGGTTGGTTATGAGGTCACAGACATCCAAGCATTGCATCATCCGCCACACGTCGCCCACCAATTGTTGGTCACGAATTGGGGGCCCGCGCCACACCTGCAGCCACCTGAAGAGATCGTTGGTAATGAACTCTCCTGAAGAAGCCTCAGCAAACCTTGCGGACGCTTTTGGCCAGTGATAGCGGAGCTGCTCAAGAGTTAAGGAGAATTCGAACCTTCTATCTTGAATGGTAGTAGTTACCTAAGATAGAAAAGCTAATGTCTGGGTGTCTGGCTGTGACTTGGTGGAGAGATCATATCTAATCATTTTCCCTCACAATATTCTTCTTGGAGAGCTTGAATTGCAGATCCCAGCTTGGTGGGTCATCAAGCGGGCCCAGTCGTGCGTTTGCGATAGTCCTTGAACTTCCTCGTAGGCACGCGGTTAATAAACAACTCATCCAGCTCTTCGTACGAAAGCCCCGTGGTTTCGGGTTGGCAAAACCAGAGATAAACCAAGCAAAGCACGCTTAGTCCTCCGAAAATGAAAGTCACTTTGGCACCTAGATTCGCCTTGTCCGGGTTGAACAGGTACGGAAGCACAAACCCCCACATGGTCTGAACAGACAAGTTAGCATGCCCTCGCCATATATCCGAAAAGGTTGGTGTACTTACGAAGAGCGCGCTTTGGAACACAAACGCGAGTGATGCTGTTTTCGCTCGCAGCCGTGGGGTGGCCGTTTCGGTCATAACGGTGAAAGCGGTTGCTCCAATTGTGGCATTGTAAAGGTAGCAGTATAAAAGGAGCAAGGCAACCGTGCCTTTGATCATACCGGGAGTGGCTACGACTGCCAGTGCCCCAGTGATCAAGAGAATGACGGTCAGGAGCGCCACTCCCCAGAGGGTCAAGCCTCGTCGTCCAGCACGGTCAATAAGGAACCATGAGCAGAAATTGCCGAAGATGGAAAGGATCTGCTGAGTAATGAAGAGTCGGAAACTCATTTGGGTACTGAAGCCGGCAAGTTGTTGGTAGTAGGTAGAATAACTTGCAACAAATGCCACTCCAGAAAGTGCTTGAATCGACGAAGGAGCGACAGATATTATTGTCCGTCGTAGATTCGAGCGACGGAAGCAGTCAACATAACTCGCTCCCGAGGTTTCCTGTTTCGATTTTTCAAGAGTGTTGACAATTGACTTGACTTCGGCTTCAGCATCAATCTCGCTATAACTCAGCTTCTGAAGCATTCTAAGCGCCTGTTTCGATTTCCCACGACCAACAAGGAACCAAGGCGATTCGGGCATGAATGGCAATATCACAGCCGACACAACCACGAACCCGTATTCTGAGACAAACCCAGTTCGATACGCCCAACGAGAATCCTGTGTTCCGGCGTAATTCGTCAGAATTGCAGCGCAGAGACCGCCGAAACAAATTGCAATGGGTGTTCCCGCAGAGAGGATGCCGCGTAAAGCTGTTGGGCTGACCTCTCCTATATAGGTAAATGCCATGGTTGTAAGTGTTCCAGAACTGACACCGTTGAGAACCATTGCACCGAAGAAGACCGGATTGGTCGTTGCTGTTACTTGAAGAGTGGTCGATATCGCCTTGATAAGAAAGCCGAGACCGAGCACGGGTTTGCGCCCTAGTTGATCTGCAATTGTCGCTGATCCCATTGCTCCCAACACACCCCTAAAACATAAGTCAGACTGATCCAGTTGTCGATCGCGGTCATCACTCACGCTGCTGAAGGAGCGCCAAAATATGCAGACTGCCACGCCGCTGGAAGCACATAATCGTCTTCATATGGAGAACCAAAGTCTTTTCTAAACCTTGGAATTCCTAGCACTGAACCCCCAGCAGTGTTGATATAATTCGAACTCAGCATGACCCACACCATATAAAGACACCACATGAAGGCGCCAGGATGCGAACGAATGGCCTGGAGGTAGGTTTCATCCTTGATAGCATCATGGGCGGAATTTTGACTTCGGATACTTGGTTCAGTTTCGACCTCGATCACCGTCGAGGTCTTCAGAGCCTTACTGGACATCTGGTCTTGAATGCTCTCCATGGTGTGTCTTGAGCTGGAAGCACTCATGGTGGATAACAGTCAGTTTAAGTGCCCTGGGCGATCTTGACGAGCTCGATCTAGACCCAAGTCCCATCCCACAGTGGCAGCGGGAAGGGCTTGGAAAATTTCCCCGAGTTTCGGTGTGTCGTGAGACTTGTACCTTAGATAAGTAGTCGAGCTAGCCTCGAATGGTTAGTAAGATGCAACTCGCCTAAAGGTCGTGTTCTTGCACGTTGCAAAATGGCATTCTTGGAGGGGCCGGGTGCTGACAAAGGCCAACGTCCTTCCCGTCTATGATCATTTGACCCGGGCGTGGTCTCGAGATGTCTCGAGATCGTGAATAAGCTCTCGCCATAGTTCTGCAGATGACAATTATTAGTTCGATTGCAATGCTTGATCCTGTTTAGGATTGATCCTCTTTGGGTCGGTTAGAGAGTAGCATTCACTCCTCGGCACGGAGGAACCATCCCTAGCGCTAACGAGGAATCGAGTCAGCTCACGGGTCCCTCCAAGTAGCCAGTCGGCTAAGGGCAGATGTAGCCAAGGATGAGTCAGGCAACGGGAGAGGACCCATTTTGCCACCGACAACAATTATTTGACCTGTTAGGTGCGGGTGGTGTTAGTGCCTGCGGACTGTCCGTACGGACTACCCTAGTTCGACCCATCGTCTGGAAGCTGGAAACAAATTCCTGGTTCCTTAATCCACGTTTAGTCGAGATCTGGTGTTGCACTCTCCTCAAAGTAAAAGTGGGAGACTCATTGCTGCAGAGATCCCTCTGCCCCGTCATACTCACCAAGTATTATGCACAGCAAGCAAGTTGCGCGTAGTGTGCAACCAGAACCGTCTCTAAGTCTTGACAACAAAGATAATTTAGATATTATCTAATTGCTTATCAACAGAATGGAATGTATTCTCCTTCTTGAATGCCGCTACCTCTCTCATCCGCCGGCATTGTCCATAGTGATGGTCATTTTGGTATATCGCAAAACCTTTATGCCTTATGCGTTCTGGCTTTGACCATTGACTGTCCACTGATGACCTTTCTGAAGTTTATTGATTTGCGCCTGGCTTGGGAGTGATATCTGCGAACATGAGCATCCAACAAGATTTCAGCCCACGTATGGACTGACAAAATCCGTCAAGCCGACAATGGAGCCTAGGGAACGAGATTTGCGGCTGACTCAGCAATATGACAGCCTGTCAACCCCTTATTGTGCAGCCTTAGAACATATCACGTGATTGGGAAGCCCATCGATAACTTACTCGATATCCTGCATTCGTCAGAGCATTGGGTCAGACACTAGTCCGTGTTCTACGGCAATTGGAATAGGAGCTACACAATTATGCGGCCCCTTTATTTCCACTATGATCCCGATGTATCTGTCAAACTTAATCGTCGAAGAGCCTTGAGAACCCCGCTCGAGGCAATGACATCGAGTGAACGCCAACAATGTTTGGCCTTTTAGACGGCAACAAAGCTAGGCCAACAGCCGGTATGAATCGCCTGTCCGTATCCTAAAGGTGAGAAAAAGTTGCCTTCAAAGGCTTGACGACTGCGATGCTTCTCAAGGCCTCGTGGCGCCTCATGTTGGCCGAACGTCCAGAGATCCGTATGTGGCTTTTGGCGATACTGAGTCCACGTGGGCCTCAGCGAGCCGGTCCCCAGTAAACGGACTTGGCAACTGTATCACAATTTTACGAGTTCGACTCCAATTAAATTCGAAGCTCTCTGTTGGGGAGCTTCTTCTGCAAGCGTGATCAGCAGTTCCAGAGCATGCAGGACTCCGGACTCGGACCTCGCCAAAATCGTGCAAAAAGGCACCAACAGCCCAAAATCGACGCGCATGATGTCCTGGACCATTCGCCATGCGCGGTTCAAAATATACCACCTCGTCGTTTGAGCCCCACGAGTCACTGTGGTTCGGCGACGCGACCGTCCGAAGCATAGAACGGGGGAGGATCTCGATCTGCACTCACCTACTCGGTGACCAAGATATCAGAGAGCTTTGCAACGGCGTTGTCCGAAGCCTTCAGTGGGCGTTTGAGCGAGTCAAGACCCTCTCGAGCTGCCTCCATATCGTTGCGGAGGAAGACAGCTTCTTCGGCGCGTAAACGCGCTGGCATATCGCACAATACTCTTTCTTGGCTTTCGACGAATGGGTAGCATTTTCGCCTTGCTACACCTAATCTGACAACACCTTGTTTGGGATGGATGTGAGTGATACTACTTTGGAGGCCAAATCGAGCATGTTATCAGAGCGAATGCACAGGTGGTTCTGTTGAATCCTTGAACGCGAGAAAGAGCATCATCGCAAGTTTGCTGGTCCACGACATGTTTTTGACTGCCTATTTCCACCCCAGACTAGACCTTCGGACAACATTAGGTAGACTTCGTAGAGTCTTTAGGCGGACCGAGTGCGCGGCTCAGAGCACAAATTGGATGCTTACTCAGTACTCGGTGTGGGTGTGTAGGAAGATGCACCAAATAAGGAGACTGCCGTGTGGTAGCTCTGCCTAAATATCCGCAAGCAAATACTGTCTGGATTAACTAGAGAACGTTTTGGCCGGGGGGGAGTCCTTTAGTTGAACCCTCATCCATTCCTTAATTATTGTTGTTGGTAGTTAGGTAGTGAGCCGTGCTAACGGGCGCTAGAAAGGGACCTCGGGATCGGAGTCTGTGGTGGCTACCCAGGTACTCGTATGATACGAAGGATGTGGTATCACCCACGGACAGTCCGTACGGAATGCCCTGCTTGGGCTTAGTAGGTATGCAACCCTAACTAAGCATCGGGTTCACAACAATCTGTCCTGGAGTGTGTGATACTTCCACCTAACTAGCTTCAAACACGGTTACTTTAGCTGCAGCGGTGGTTCGAGAACAGCCATGCACTTAACTAGAGACGCCCGAGGCCCATCTGCCTACCGAGCGTTGGCAGACCTGATCGAATCCTTCCTCATGTCAACGTTCCTGTCGCTTGCTGAAAACAGGAAACGGTGACAATGGTTCTGACAAACAGGCGCTGACAACTGTTCTCTCTTGCTAATAAGTATGCCCCGGCGCCAAAAGCCAGTCCCATTACTTTTCGTCATTCAAGACGCGCAAACTTTCTCTGGCTCGAAGTCGACGTCCAAATCAACAGCAGAAGCACGAGCAATCAGCTCTCATGTGAATAGCAACTACAGGGGTTGGAGGAGGACCCAACATAGGCATCTCCTCCTTCACCCAACAACAAATGCTATCTTAAATCCCAGTCCACCAGCGGCGATTTCTCCCCCGACAGTTGAGAGCAAGCATGTTAGTGGCGACGATATTGATCGCTTTTTTGAGCACTATCGAGACCAATTACTGAAAACCAGTCGCCAATGGGTCTATGGCTCCTTTGACGCTGCTTTTCTCCCAGCCAGAAAGGATAGTCTGGTGCTGTCGGAACATTTGACCATCCCTCAAATCTCACGACTCGGTAGCCAGACATTAGATCCATTTGCGCCTGAGTTCTTCAAGAGTGATATGGAATTGCAATCCAGTTTATACTACTACGCAAAAATCATCCGACCATTTGCAGTACACTTGATAGAGGGCTGGTCCTGGATTGATAACCTTTCTCAGGTGCAATCGTCCCCAGTGTTGGCATATGCTGTCGCTGCCTATGCATCCGTATTTTTATCTGGCTCTCTCCGAGGAGGACCGGGCGTGGTTCTACCTCCACCCGCAGAGAAAGGCGAACAACCATTGTGGAAGATTCCGCAGTGGCTTCGACTGCAAACAAATTGCGTTGTCGAGTTGAAGGCAATACTGAGTGATCCATCCAAGGTTGATGATTCCTGCTATCAAGCGGTCATATTTCTGCTGAGGCTTTCGGTAAGCTTGATCATCATTGAACTGTCTAGATGCGCACACAGATTTCCAACAAATTTGAGATTTCTGAAACTGATATTTCCACCACTCCTAGATACTCCTATCAGATGGGGAAGCAGGAAGGATGCATCTGACGGCCCTGAGCAAGCTCTCGGTCATGGTCGGTCGCGAGAATATTGATGTCGACAGGGAAATGGCCGTGTGAGTCGAAAGATAACTCCAGTCTTGAGATGCTGCTAATTCACCACGTCCAGTCACAAAATCAACATGGTCAGCGCTTTCCTCCACAACTCATCCACAATTGTTGCCAAAACTCGACCGAACAGAACCAGTGGTCGTGTGAGGGAAGTTGTCAAACTTGACCGAAAATTGTGGACATGTGATCGGGAATGGCATACTTTCTGTGCTGCCATCTGGGCCCGAACCCTCACATGGCGAGCTGACAGTCCGAGTGGACAATTAATTCCAGTCACAGCTCCTGCCATCTCTAGGATGGATGCCAGCAGTCAGTATCTCGAGAACAATGACCTATTGGAGATTCAACGCTGCTATCAGATCGCACTTTTCCTCTCAATCTACCTCAACAACATCAGCTTCAACACAGCTGCAACACGCGTTCGTTCGAACGTTCTGGAGATGAAATCAAGACTCTCAGCCTTGGATCTGTATGCGACGGCTTGCTTGTGCCGTTGTACCTTGTTCAATCTTTTGATGGTGGGCGCTATGGCCACACGAACCTTCATCGAAAGAGACTGGTTCATTCGCAGCATAGCTACACATTACACAGATGTTATCCGGATCGACCATGTATATCGCCTACTAGCCGAATTCATTGATCCGCTGCATATCGTATACAATGCCGTTGAAGACGCCTGGGACGATGTCATCAAGTTCAGGTCCGCATTTCCGGTAGATACACAAGCATGGGATGTTCCGACCGCGGATGAGGTCTATGAGATCGAGAATTTGAGGCCCATGAATTATTCTCCTGATCTGTCGAAACCAATCGACCTCATTGAAGTCGACGATCCGGAGCTTGATTTGAAGCAAGATTTTGCATAGAATCCAGTAGTAAGCAGGCTGGTATGAGCAAAGAGACGGCTCTTGCCCTTCAGTCTATTCCAACGCTGCCCTAGTCTTATGGACTCTCCCAGACGCCATGGAGATGAAGTCACGATCTTTTGCACACAATCATACATTGACATGCAATGACCTACACGAATGCATATCAGATCGAGGAGGAGTAGAGTCGAACATTAGAAATGCTGCAATCTGCCTTGAAAGCGCTGACCTCAATATAAGTTCGAATTCGTTGGATTTGTGGATCCCACTGTAAGTGATGTTAATATCATCTTCATCCTCATCCTCGCCACCGATCTGTACGGTATATGCAGAGAATGAGAGTTGACGGCAGTGGCGGATGTCGATGTCATTGCATGAAGCCCATCCCAGCACGGTAGCAACACCCGAAAGTCGAAGCTGGCCAATGACGTACAAGACATTCCCTGCTACGTAATCATTCCTACATTAAAGTTTTAGAGGGTGCCCGTGTACTCGAAGGATGTGAGAACGGACATCACCTTTAGCCAGTTATTGGAATACGGGCTCAACCTAAAGCTCACCCCAGGCGCTTTTCTCCTTCACTCGTCACGATCACTTCATTATGCCAGGGTGACCAGGCCCATGTTAAGCAACCGCGTGTTCAATCTCAAGCAGCCTTAATCTCCCAAGCAAGCCCAGCACAAACAACAATGAGCATCTCAAAGCTCGCGGAATTCGGCACTCGCCATGTCGCCAAAGGCATTGGCAGACTGGCAACCGAAGTGATCGAAAGCGGTAGCGGCAGCTATGTGACGATGGTGAGCGGACGCAAAATGCTCGATTTCACGTCTGGCATCGGCGTCGCAAATCTCGGACACTGCCACCCCGCGGTCACCAAGGCCGCTCAGACACAAGCGGGGAAAATGGTGCATGCGCAGGTGAACATCGCTTTCCAGAGACCATATCTCGAACTCATCCAGTCGCTCTTGCCATTGATGCCGCACAAATCCCTCGATACTTTCTTCTTCTGGAATTCCGGGTCCGAAGCTGTTGAGGCCGCGGTGAAGCTCGCCAGGCATGCCACCAAGAAGCAGAACATCATTGTGATGCAGGGATCGTACCATGGACGGACATTTGGAACCATGGCCATGACGCGGTCGAAGACGGTCTATGGCGAGAACTACGCGCCACTCATGCCCGGGGTGTTCTCTGTGCCTTTCCCCTACTGCGCTCAGTGCTCCATTGCCACGCGCTGTGACGGAAAGTATGGCCCTGAGAACTGCTGCATGGACCCTGTGGATCAATTGGAACTCCTCCTCAAACGAGAGACTGCTCCCTCAGACACGGCAGCTATCTTCATAGAGCCAGTGCTCGGTGAAGGTGGCTATGTCCCCGCACCACCTGGCTACTTGAAGCGTGTGCGTGAAATCTGTGACAAGAACAATATCCTTCTGGTGGCAGACGAGGTTCAATCAGGCTTTGGACGAACCGGCAAAATGTTCGCCATCGAGCATTATGACGTCCGGCCGGATATCTTGGTGGTGGCCAAAGGTATTGCCAACGGCTTCCCACTATCTGGTATTGTTTCTCGCAAAGAATTGATGGATACCCAAAAGCCAGGCTCGATGGGTGGCACTTACGCTGGAAACGCCGTATCATGTGCTGCCGGAATTGCAGTGGCAAAGGCATTCCAGGACGAGAAGATCCTGGAGAATGTCAATGCCCGTAGCAAAGAATTGAGTGGCATGCTTCAAAAAGCCAAAGCTGACCATCCTGACATGGTCTACGATGTGAGAGGATTGGGGTTGATGCTCGCCGTCGAATTTGTAGGCGGAAAGGGCTATGCTGCAAAGGTCCAGGCGAAGTGTATGGAGAAAGACATGCTGATCTTGACGACATCTATTTATGATACCTTGAGGTTCATCCCAGCCTTGAACATAACCCAGGAAGACATGGCGAGAGGTTGTAAAATCATCCAAGAATCCATTGCGGAGGTCGCGGCTAGCTAAGGATGGATGGCGGACTCGCAGGCGGTTTGTCGGTTTATTAATCCAGTGGAATTGATTCAAGTGTCGTTCAACCAGAATGTAGCCAGAATGTGATCCAGATATTATCAAGCAGGCGTCCAACAAGGAGATATTATTGGCAGACTGTGTGAGCGAAGCTCAGAGCGTCACATAGGTACTCCCATTTCTTAGGCATTGGTGTACAAATAACTTGATGGCCCCTGATATCGTGTCCACACCAAAGTCCATTGCTGCACCGCCTGCAGTATTGTTGCGTTACCAGGGCAAACATACCGGAAACTCAGTAAGTAGCACTGCTCCGTGCAGGACGCCAGACAATAGTTCAGGATCTTTCGTGTAGTATTGCGCTTAGTGGCAAATCATGCAACTCCTCCACGCACTTCTGGCATTGGCAATCAAATCCCCACTCACCCTTCAGCTTCTTTCTCCTTTCCTCCACATCCAGGTCCTTCTCGTCGCCTCCAAGATATGTGATGCAAAGCTCCTCACCTTCACGCAGCACATCACCCGTAATATCTTCGCTCACGGCAAACGTCCAGATCCGTCCAACACGCTCTTTCCTTACATTCGGACGGCACGAGTGGTTGAAGAACGACGCTTCAGGCCAGACGCCCCAGCCAAGGAACTCGCCACTCTGCTCCCCGTCTGAGCCACCTGCTGGTCGGATCGAGAAGGCGTTATGGGACGCCCGAGACGCCAGCTCGTGGCAGATTGCTGGTCGAAGAAAATCGAGTAGTGGAATAGGTAGAATGGCGAGGAGTAGTTTGTAAGCCTTAGTCCACGACGATAATGGGGAGTCTCCAGTGTAGACCGACGAGTCGCTCGCGAGGGCCATAAGATCGGGGAATAGTTCTGACACCATGTCCGTACCCGGAATACTAGACTCATCTGACGGTTCGTCCGCGTCTTTGCCAACCATAGCAGGTGCAGCGGACCGCTTGTGTGTTACCAAAACGCCAGAGAGAAGATATGCAAGGAAATCAGGGTCTGCAGGAGCACTTTCAGCCTCTCTCAGATAACGCTGCTCCGTTTTCGATGGCTTCTCCTTAGTTCTGGCAGCCACGATTTGCTTGCCAACGACACCGGCAGCTTGCCATGCCGCATCGAAATCAAGATCTGGAGAATCGACAGCCGTTGTCATAGGAGTACTATCCTGTGTGGTCTTCTTCCATTTTGACTGCTTCTTGATCGTGGTTTCGATCGCCTGATGTGCAGCTAGACCCAAGGGGCCGATTACACTTTCCCATTGCTGCCGGCATTCAACGGAACAGAAAGCAACACCGGCGTCTGGGAGGCGACATTTCCACTCCCGACCTCGATCATATGCAAAACACTGTGCGCAGACTTCACGGCGATAAGGCCTTAGGATGACATGCACTGTTGGGGACCGTAGCTGCTCATATTTCTCCGTTGTAGACAAAATATGCGTGCCAGGCTTGATGTTTCTCCGGGCAAAGATGGCGCGCCCAGCTGAGGCAGTCGACCGTAGGACGTAATCTACAGATTCTGGCAAGGGCCAGCCATCGTGATGCATGGAATCCCCGGAAGCACTGCAAGTGGTCAGAACATCAACGGGTTCAATGTCAAATCATGGAAACGTTCAGTAGGCTAAGATGTCGGATTATTTAGGAAAAATGGGAAATAAAATTTAGTCATTAACCTCAATCTCCCACACGTGACGAGGCTACCTTGGTAGAGTTGCAACAAGACAATTAGATCAACGCACCAGCGGATTAGATTTCTGTGTAGTGTGACACTGTTTGCCTTAGCTCTATGTTGCTCATCCTCTGGTTTCTTATCGAGAACGAGTATGAGCCTAAGAGAATGGGTACACTATAATTACCATCGTCGCTGCAACACTTGTGTATTGGTGGACGGAGAATCTCAGCGACTCTGGAAGTCGACCAAGCTCCCTGTACAAAAGTGATGCACCCGGTATCAGACTACATCGCAGACAGTCTTGTCGCTGGGACCACCCGCACCTTGACAATCGTTCACCCACGAGGGGTCTGGAGTTGTGATGTTGTAGTAAGCGCCGATCAATTTGATTGTCATTTTAACCTCTGTCGTACTTGGATGTCCACTCCACCAATCGTTTCCATCTGCCCAGAGCTTCATCTGCAGGTTACCTCCACGAGTGGGGATATGTTTATCGATGCTATGCACCAGATCACCATCGACGTAGAAGTCCACGCCTTCTTCTGGGTGCAAGTCGAAGCGATATTCGTGAAAATCCGAGACATGAGGGAAGGCTTGCTGTAGAGGCATTGACAGAGTTGCGTATGGGATTTTGATTCCACTTTTAGCAACAGATGGCTGAGAGGTATAGTTAATCGTATTGTTTACGATCGAAGTGCCCGGCGTGATTATTTCGATGTCGATCTCTGAATTGTCGTCCTGCCAAACACAATGTCAGTTATGGCACCGTCATTCAGAGTATGTGCTCAACACTGACATGATACCAGAAGAAGCCGGCACACGCTCCACCGTGGTCTCCTTCAAGCTTGAATACCGTTCGATATGTGCCATGTAGCATATCGACCTTTCTTGACTGGATCCTAGCCACACTCACAGTTTGGAAAGCATCAAAATCTGCCCGACTAAAGGCTGGCTGCTTCATGACAAGATGTTTGTCCATGATCTCAATATTTTTGATGTCATACTTCGCGTTAAGGCGGATATCGGGATTGTCTGAATCCTGAGTGAAATTGTATATCATCCAATCACTGTTGAAGGCAGAGGCTCTGGGGCCATTGAAGGCCGGTTGAGCGTCGGGTAGGCTGCTAAAATCGGTGTACAATCGATGGGTGTAAAGAGGACCGTGAGGCTGAAGTTTCCATCCACAGGGGCACTTCGTCGCTGATGAAAGGGCCTGGAGGGGGAGAAAAGATCCCAGTGCGACATAATGAGGATGCATCTTAGCGATATGTGCTATACGTGTGCTTCGGAATGATAGCAAGGCGATTCGACACATGCCACTGAGTGCGAGCCAGTCAACGTTGATGTGAACCTCCAATTCAATCGGCAGACCTGTGAATGGTAGGTGCATCTAAGATTTAACCATGGATATGGCAATAGGTTGCGATCAATATGGTTTGTACCTGCCTTGCGAACCACCTTTCGACTTTGGGGTCTTGGGTTGCTGGGTGACACTAGCAGACGTGACCGCCCCCCGCGTGAAAGCTGCGACACGACCATCCTCACCGGCAGTGAATATTACTCCACTCTGGAGCTGGTCAGTGGGTTCTCTCGAATGGACTACGCAGTTACTCACATTATCGTCTGCGAAAATGGAACGCACAATCTCTCCGCCATGAGCAGCTTCAAGGACAATCCGCTCTCCAGAACCAAGCGTATTTCCACGTTGTAGGCTCACAATATCCACTTGGGATTTGCTATAGCACTTTGTTAGTCAAAGATGTAAGTATAGAATTGTTCACGAACCTATGAGTACCGCAAGCCACTACGTAATCTGAGCCTGTGCGGAAGAGATCAAGAACATACTCGCAGGGAACGATTGGTCGGAGGTCTCCCAATAAGTCAGGGGCAGGTCTGTCATGATCGACTTCGTCGAGGTAAAGAGAATGAAGTGCGAGATTTTGATCTGAGCTCAGAGCGTAGAGGTCATCCGTTCCAAGAAATCCTGCCTTGTGAATTGGTCCATGATTGATCGCCTGAATCAGACTGTCGTCTTCGTCTGTAATCTGAGTATCAAAGACGCTGACCATGCCGTCATCACCTCCACTCAGAAGATATTTTGGTTCAGTAGGATGGAAGTCTAAGGTGGTAATTTCATCATTGTTTTCTCCATTCTGCCAACGCATCTTCGTCTGTCTACGATCCCTTGCAAGATGTTAGCCGAGTTTGCCCTCCAACTTTGTATCGCTCTCATCTTGATACTGGGGATGAATAAACTCACCAAACGGACACAACGGTCTCGCCACCCACAGCAAGGTCTAAACCGTTGGAGGCCAAAGCGTTCACGGGCCGACCTGAGACAGGGTCAGTTGGTTGCTGAATTGAAACGTGATACTTTGGCGATTGATACCTGTTTTGAACTGGGCTGATAGACTCGGGCTGCGGACATCAAAGATCCTCACTGTACCATCACTTCCAGCGCAGATTGCGGTTGTGCCGTCATCTGCAGATACGAGTGATGTCAATGTTTGGAGTCCATGGTTCGAAGTGAAAATGTTCGCGGGCTGCAGGGTAGCTGCCTGTAATAAGACAAGTTCGTCTGCAGACGTGATGGCCCCTATGAGACCTTCGACAAGCGGGACGATTGTAAAGATGTAGACATCTTGTTTTTGTGAGGGAGAGCAGGATGCGGCCTCAAGATACTTTTGAGACATCTTGATTGCGGATGTGATTTCCCACGGTGTAGCTCGCTATGTGATTTTTGACGACCAGACGACATACAGACCATTTGGAAAGTAGCAAATCTGGCGATTCGACCACGTTGGCCTATACCAAGGATCGCGGTGGCTAGTCTGTTGATTTCATCCGACGTCACGAAAAGTAATCGAGACCGGAAACAAAACGTGGGAAGTGAATTTTCATTTGGGTGATTGAATCACGTGACTGAGTGACGGGAGCGACTTCATCAACCAGAGATATGTCACCTCTACTCCATGTCTTTGCAGTTCACAGACAATCCCAGAGTACTCTCGGGCTCCTGTATGCTCCTAGTCACTAACTTAGATAATTATTGTACATGTTACTTTGGTAGCGTGAGCATGCTTAACAATTTTGGAAGCGACCGAAGTTAAATAGGTACCTAGGTAGTTACTTCTTCTGCTATCTGTCTCCACTCCCGGCGGTCCTGTATCAAATAGGGATTGGCATCGTTCCCGTTGCGCAGAATATGTTGTATATTGAGTTGGTTAGGGAGATATTACAGACCCCTGCTTTCTCCCACTGTCCGCCATTTCTCAGACCATGTAGCTGGAGTTGTACAGAGACAACATGTCAGCCTCTGTGTCAAGCAAGCAGTATGGAGCCTGTCCTCATTGACACTCACTTCGGTGCCGCCAGATCAATTCGACATCTATGTATACATGAACTACCACCGCAACCCGAGAACCAAGCTGAAGTGGGGGAAGCTTTTGTATAGAGATCTTTTTCCCTGTGTTCGAGTGCTTAGTTGACTGGATGAAATTTGCGGAGGAAATTATATCGTTCTGAAGGACAATACAATATGATGTCTGGTGAAACAAAGCGGGCCATGTGTGATCTCGTAAAACTCATCCCGCGAAAAGAGGGCTGCAAACATGGATCTTCATTCGAGGTCAGGGTCGACTTACATCACTTGCTGGTGTATATCAAGTCAGGCCCTTCCGCCATGTGTGCTTCGCCTGCGATAAATTACTCGTCTGGTCCCGTATTTTCATGAAATATGCAGAGTGGAACACAGAAAGTTGAACTGCATGTGCAACAATACCCATGAAAGTTGATTCAAGGACTGGCTGCGGTAAAGAGCGTACACCACTCGTTCGGCAGAACCTCATTGCATGCCAGCAGACATGGAATTTAGAAACCACTGACGCCGCATTTAGAAATGGCACCCGATCAAACGGCTTGAGAGGGCCCAAAAACCCGTCCATATTGAAAGAGGTATGCTGGCTGCTTGGTCAGGGACAGTATTGTGACGAATGGGAAGAACAGCTTCTTCCAGTTAGGTAGTCGATGATGGGCCGTTGCAGGACGGAACGGGGAGAAACTCAACTCAACACGACACCGAGTGGCTCATGCACTGTAGCCACATAGTAACATGAGCTGAAGGGTTGATACCTCTCAACAAGTGCTCCAACATGAAGATGCCCCTTCAGGCAATTGCTACCAGATGTGATGAATAGTCTTGAGTCTCAATTCAGCCCACTTCCATCACGCCATCTGCAGCTGGATATGCACTGCGTGCTTACGACGTGTACCCTGAGGTCATCCAGTGTTATATGGGCATGGAATTACAGCCTTGCGACCATGTATCCTGGAGATAGTAGTAGCGGACCTGATCTCTGGACCAGGCAGGGCCTTGATAGTAGGACGGCAAGAACACTGGAGCACACATGCGCCATGAGGCCCATCCGGTATGTGAGTGAGTTCCCCTGTTGTTCCGTCCCTGTCATGAAGGTCTAAGTCAGTAAGATAGAACTCGTAACTTTCGAACTGGATATGGCATTTGGAAGCGAGATCAACACTACTTTTCCCCACTGCAGAAAACTATTCGTACTCGTAGGTGGGGAGAGACGCACGAAACGCCTGCTTGGTGATTTGACGAGAGACTGCTTCGTTGTGGGTGTATAGTTTCTATATAGGTCCAGGCTTGTCATTGAGTGAGGTAGAATGGACAATTCTTTTTCCTGGTAGAGTAGTTAGTGTGGCTCAAGGGATAGTCCAAGACCTCGGGACCTGGGGCACTTTAAAAGTCAAGTCTGGTGGATAGTGGATGGGTAGTTGAAAGGGCAATTCAGCGGCATCCTTGGGTGGGTTGGCTACGGCTGTGGTGAAACATGCCCTGCAAAGGCTACACCTAAACCCTACCGAGCTCAACTCAGTTAGTAACCAAGTCGTTAAGTGCGCTTCGGCTCGTCTTGTCCCAATATTCACGCTGATGAGTCTCTGACGCCGCCTTTTTCTCAATCTTGGTTTCTTCGCGGCGGTTCGCCTGCTCTCTGTAACACGGATGAGAGCCACTCCGTTCTCCAGGCTAACTAGGGAGGCCCGGCTCATGACTCGTCCCGCCTGAAGATGACCCTGATTTCTGGGACCGGACCACACTGGGTGCCACACCTTCGGCGTGCTTGATGCGAGAGCTCCAGGTCCTTTGCGCTCGTATGCCGGCCGTACATCGGTCATCTTTACAAACAGGTGTTCCTCATTGAATCCTCCCCAATTGACTTGCGGGAACCCAAGTCTCCCCTCCTCAGCTCGTATTGAGCTTGGTGAGGGCAAGTGTAAGCACTTGATGCCTATCGCAATATCCTTGTCGCCAAATTGCTGCCTGTCTTCTCATCAGGACACGAGTGCTAGTGTGGACTTTTCAAGATCACTTTGCACCATTGCATTCTCCAGAGGCTCGAGCTTGCAAGTTGGCCATTCATTTCTTCAGTCGTTCTGGTCTGTACGGATACCGAGTACGAAGGACAGGATGCGATACATTTCTCCACCCCTCCGTGCACCAAGTTCGATCGGCATGGAAAGGAAACTTTGTACTTGCATGCATGCTCTAGTAGAGACTTTGCTGACGCAAGGACCATCGTGCGTTGTCAAGTGCGACAACCTGAAGAGTTGCAACGTGCACTGGTGCAACTTGGCCACCAACCCCTACCCTAACACAGGCGGAAGAGCCTCTTTGTGAAAGTAATTATGTCTCTCTTTTACGGGTATTTCCTGGTCGGCTGACTTGGTACATTGCCAACGCATTTAGTTAGCTAGTTGGGTTTTCGCGACCATCACCATGCGTCTTGCATTCGGCCAGAGCACACCTGCGACCACTGTTTACTATTGCTGAAATTTGCAAATGCCATATGCCATTACTGTCTTGCTTGTAATCTGTCTTACCACACCACCAGAAGGTCTCCTCACTGCCTCTAACAGTAAATTTCTCACCAGGTGCGCTGGATCGCACAGTGAGTTTTGCGGTCCGAGTTTGCCTACGATCCCCACAATCTACTAGTTAGATTAAGTTCTTTCCTTGCCTCCGTGGCTCTGTGGCCGGCGGTTAGGCTCGCTAGTTAGACTACGATAGGTTTTGTGGCTCCTTCTCAGCCTGTCTCGCAGAATTGAGACCTAGCAATTCAGCACCAGCTCAATAAACTGTGCCCCCGTGGTAATCTCTGACCATCTCTGACCACGAGTATTGCCAATGTGACCCACAGACCACTATTCCGTGTCTGAGTTCATGGTTTGCAGCTCTCCCGACCACTCTGGTGGTGCTTGTTTGCGACCCATGCACATCTGCCGCTACCAGCCTACCACCCAGTTTTCGAATAAGGTTCACGCACTGGTCCACTCCTATCACCTCACACACTGAAAAATTATTCCCTCTCAGCGTCTTCCAATCCAATTCTAAAGTCTCCGCCTCTAAGCATCGTCTCCATTCTGTTGAGGTCGGTTGAAACAAGATCCTGCCTTCTGTTAACTTAGTATCTTCTTACTCCGTATGTATGCTACGTTGTTCGGCTACAAGGTGGGTTTCCATACCTCCTCACTGGCTACTACACAATAGCCATACCCACCTGACCGCCTCGCGTCCTGCCCTGGTCAAGAAAACAAACATGCCTATCCATCTCACTAGAGTGTAATAGCGGGTTCAGCTCTAGGCGGCGAGCGGATTCTTGATCCGTGCTAGCCGTACTTGATAAGTACAAGAAGGAATCGATCTAGGGCCCGACTTTTGCATTCGCAGCCTCAAAAGTACATCTTGGTCTCACTATCTTGTCGTCGCTTCCCAGCCAAGTCATGGCCGTCGTTGGCATCGAAACGTATCGGGAGTTCGGGAGGGAGTATGGTGTATTCAGAAAGCGAGTGCCTCTATTCGGTTTCTGTTTTTTTTTTCTTAAAAAGAGGCTGACTTGCCAATCTTAGAGATCAATACCTCATGCCACATGATGATCGTGAGCGTGACAGACTCGATATTATGCATACAATGATCAAGGTCCTTAGAGGACAAGCCACGAGACTCACAAATACCCCAACCGAGGCCTTGGTAAGACGACCGGCATCACTGGCCGACTACAATGATCGACCGCGAGTACTTGACTTGGGTTGTGGCACAGGCATATGGATGCTCGATATGGCCAAACAATACCCGGACGCCCAGTTCGTCGGTGTAGACATACACAACATGGGCCCACCTACCCTACTACCTAATATATCAATCCGAGCACCGTGGGACTACGAGACGATATGGGCCATGGGCGAACATTCGTGGGATCTCATCCACCTGCAGATGGGGTTGGGTAGCGTCGGTGACTGGCTAGGGCTCTATCGTAAGGTCATCCAACATCTAATACCTGGAAGAGGTTGGTTTGAACAAGTCGAAATCGACTTTGAACCCAGGTGCGACGATGGAACACTTCCACCAGGGCGCCTAATAGACTGGTGGTCAATGTTCGTCAAACCCGTCTATGAAGAGTCAAAGCGCCCACTACATTACGATGGTCAACGTATCGCGCGAGAATTGAAGGCTGCTGGGTTCGTGGACATCCATTCGGAAGAATACCGGCTTCCCTTGAACGGCTGGTCACAGAATCCATCTGAACGCAGGGCAGGCATGTGGTGGAACATTGCACTTTCATCCGGTGAGGAAAATACAAGTGGACTTGGTCTCGAAGCTATGAGTCTTGCCCCACTTTGCAAATATGGTGGTGGCTCCTGGACCCCCGAACAAGTCAGACGACTTTGTAATGAAGCATTAGTTCAAGCCACAGACCCAAACATCCATGCGTATATGAGGCTTCATATTTGGTGTGCACGAGCTCCTTAGCCCCAACAGCTACATAATTGTAGCAGTCTCACCATGTTACCTGGAGGTTCACTCGATTTCGGCTGGGAGAGAGGGAGTTGGTACCTTGATCTGAGCAAGCAGGGTCCGATTGTCACAAATACCGACATCGCAGCCCAGGAGTACTAAGCTGCAGGCCAGTCGAGTTCCCAAACTGTCCAGTATCGTTGATATACGTTCAGCATGACGAGGCACAATATCGACCTCGACATGTACCTGGTGCAGCTGCTTGGTGGGCTTTGTGCATTGATTATCCCAATATCTCCCCTCTCCTCGAAACCATGACCTGTTACTTGCCACAAAATCCAGGTTAGTTGATCGAAGTGTCGCGTGGTTCAAGAAGAGCAATATTGCGCGCCAACCCACTCAGAGGAGAGGGATGTCTCACAATTCCTTGCCACAATCACCCTACAAAGCCTGCATGGTAGACGCCGACCAGTCACCTATACCGATGGCAACCAAACGCTATCGCAATAAAGGGACCCCCCCCCTCAAAATTGCGCGGCTGTAAGGAGACATATCCATACGTTTTGACTTGCAAAAGTCGAGCAACTTTCCACCTACGCAACCATGCAATAGAATCGATCCGATCTTTTCTCACCTCGGACGCTGCCTACAACACAACCTTTTCTCACTCTGCGCCAAACCCTCCAAAATCTTCTTGCCGAGATCATCTACCCAACACTCGTCGAAAATGCTGATGGGAGAAAGATCTAAGGGGCTTCATGCTATTCACGATTTCTTTGACAAAACTCCTTCGGCACGGAACTGCGCAGGATATCGAAGGAGAAGTTGCTGTACCTGGTCCGAATTGACAATGACTATTTGATTCACAAGGACCAGATGGACTTCTTGTTGTGGTTAAACAAAATGCTAGACATAGTTTAGGTGGCTTTAGAGGCCTTTTGAAAGATATGGCAGTCATTGCATGTCGTGAGTATGCTTCAGGCAGGCTTATTCTGAACGTCCAAGACAAGGTTTGAATAAGGTAGATGATAAATAGCAAGCTGTAACAAGCCTGCAGGTCGGGAAAACTGTACATGAAATAAGCCGATGAACTATCTGGTCTATCAATTCGGATACTCGACGAGGTGCAACGCATTCATGTCCATCCTGAGGCTGGATTGAGAGCTATTGCCCGTGGAACAATTTTTCTACTGATGGGGGCACTTTAAGAATCATTGGATACGTAGTCAGCCTGGTCTAGATGTGACGAGGTGTAGCACATCTCTCCTCAAGCATACCAGTGATATCACGTCAAGGTTAGTAGCACTTCGTTCGAGAAGCGAAATATCCACGTACAGGCACCTGCAGTCTTATGATTCACGCAGAGTTCGAAGACCGAGCCATCCCTTTCATTGCGATCAGACATCGGCCTTCTGTACTGGTGTCAGTAGCAGTCTCCACCAATACTGACAAGGTAAAAAGGAAAATCCCCTCTTGTGGGCTCTCGGTGACCCTTATGGTACAGTCCTCGTCCAAACCATTGTGACCAAGCTAGCTTCGATCTTCGAGAGCATCCAAGTCACCGTTGAACAGACCGGGAATTTCGATATCCTCCTTCAGCGAGGTTCCACGTCGTAGCATGAAGCCGGTGGGGGTAAACTTATGTAGCTATCATACGCTAGTGAGGCCCAGGGCACCGCACCGCCTCTTACTGATACTCTCCGCCATCGTGTAGTCCATTGAAGCAAGTATATGGCAGATCGTCTGACATTACACGTATATAGTGGGGCGGACGGGTAATGAGAACAGTCTCAAAACTCTCGAATGATACTTATTATTGCTATTCAGCAGGGAGCCTTTTCTCTTCTTAGCGACCTCGTGTGATTTGAGCCGTTCTATCCAGGGGAACCATTGAATGCGATTTCGTGGAATGTTGTCCAGCCAGAAGCATGCTGTACAACGGAATAACCCACATAGCCACTATGTGCTGATCAAAGGGAAGGCAAATGCAGACTGGTGTGGGACTTCATATCAACATTCTGGGATAGCAGACACACATTGAGATCAATAACACAGTCTTTCGTGGTGGGAGGTTAGAGACGATTGTCCTCGTCCTCAGGCCACGGACAATTGTAATGGTTTGAGGGGTTTAGATGATCAGTTTGAATCGGCATTGGCGAAACAAGCAGTTCTCTAGCGCATTCGGTAAAGTCCATTGCAATCAGACGATGCCAGCCTGTCTTGTGGTCGCACATGTAGCAATGCAAGACTGGTAACCCTGCGAGCGGTTGCATTTTGGGGCTGCGAACATTCAGAAATTAACGAGGCCACCAACCTCAAGAAAAGAAAGTGAGAGGAACGTGCACCAGCAGTGAATGCTGCAGGCGTAGACTGCTCTATATGGGAATTTGAAATTTTCTTTGATTTTCGCTGAATTGACAGGCAAGACTTGTTCGTGGAGAGAATGTCGTCTACCTTTGGAAAAGAGGCAGAGATCATCCTGCTGCTGGGTACTTCTTTCCCTGCACTCGCAACCACAACGAGCACACGGAAACTGCGGACTCCATTCCTCGCAATATTTCAATGAGCTCTATCTCCGTCCTGACGTTTTGCGCCGGTTTTAATCTGTTCCTGTCACAAATGGTCACCGCTCTCATCTGCTGAATACCGTTACAGCCATCATGTCATTGCCTGCTTTCCGTCGAAGGTTCGATCGTTTTCTAAGCAAAGGTGCTGGGTCTTGAAGCAGAGTAGAGTTTCTTGGAAGCGGTTGTGCGGTGGGGTAGGGGGAATTTGAGGTTCTTTGAAATCAATTGCTTGATGTATGGTCGCTTCACATCATCCGTGCTTGTGAGTTCAACGACTTTCAGAATCTATCGCAAGGGGTTCATGTTAGTATGGATCGGCGATTTGAAGGGCATCCCGGGTAAGTGTTAACGTACGTGAACACTCCTGAATCGAGCACGATGTCTGGCAGCCATATCTTGATACAAAGCCTCAACAGCATCGGTGCGGCTCAATTCGCGGTACTCCTTGTACATGTTGTGGGTACCTGAGCGAGAATCGTAACGAATCCAGATGCCGAAATTCTTGACCTTGAGAGGGCGCTTCTCGTGGATGACATTGAGGGAAACGATCTCGCCGGTTGACTTCTTGACTTTTCGCAGCTTCTGGAGGAAATACCAGAATCGAGACTTGGCCACCACGGTATTGGGTGCGAATATGCGCATGCGATAAAGTTTGGGGGTTGGGTTGGTGTCAGTTGGCAGATGACGGCCAATGACCTGGTATTCCTGGAGACGACCTATAGGTGAAAGGTATGGTTAGTCTTTTTCTCCTCTGTGTGTTGAAAATGATGTTAGGGTGGTCCTTCGAGTGTCGGTGATGTCGAGTTTCTTCGTCTCAAAGGAATAGTCGTTATGTTGCTCGCGAGTTTGTACGCCATCCCGTGGTCCCACAGTCTCTGCCATTTTCTTCCAGGCCCAGTACAATATTTCCTGCTCTTACACCCGCCCATGACAATCCCAAACATCCTGGGCAACAATCTCGCATCGAACGACGTGGGGGGACTCGAAGGCTCTCGGGAATGATAACTTACCCATCTGCAAAATGTCAGTAAATGTTTATTCAGTGCCCATCACTTGAAGTGTACATACCTTGACTATATCTGACCGATCTCAGATGTGGTTGGTGTCGATGATATTGGTCGTTTTGAAGTTTGAAGACCAAATCTAAGAAAGTCCGTTGCGCCTTGCAGTTTTGGATGCCAAGATTTGGTTTGTGTGTGCTTGGCATTCAATCCGGAAAGAAGTCGCTGCTCGCTGCCGATTGGTCAATTATTCTGGCTTGTCCCTTCCTCCCAACTTCAAGGACAACAAACCATGCTAGGATTGACCATACATTCACGAAACTCATCGTGAGCGAACATTCGCTGTCTAGAGACTTCCCGACATGGGGAGTATCTTCAGAGACTTCCAGCAGGCCCAGCGGGACGGGCATGGCGGTCTCTTGGCCATGAGTCTGGCGCCCATCAGTCCACCTCAGGATCCCAATCGACTCGCCGCGTTTGCTCAATTGAGCAATTATCAGACAATCGCTTCTGATGTGAGATATCATCTTATTCAAGATCGTCACGCAATCAAGCTCCCAAAAGCTGAAGCAAATGCTTGGGTTGATATATTCGTCGCCCTGTGGAAAGCAGTGAAAGAATTGGTGGGTATTGAGCAGCATGACGGCACTGGCAACTGGTCCAAAGCATTCGACGCTTACAAGGAAGTATGCAATCTTCTCGTCAGAGGATATACAAACTTCGGCTTCCAAGCCTGGACTGTGCCATGTCTTAGTATTACAGGCAAGTACCTCAGGATCATAGCCATCAAAGCAGATGCAGAGGGAAAAGCAAAGGACCCAAATGGAGATGTCTTCGCCAATGGATTTTCTGATGATATCATGGGTGATTCCAACAAGAATGAAAGACTTGAAGCAGCAGCTTGGACGATCAACCGCATGTTCACCGTTTGCCTGAGTGATCGTTCTGACTTATCTGAGTCCCGAAAATGGGGCATCTACAGCACTACCAATCTTCTTTTCAAAACCTACTTCAGGCTCAATTCGATTTCCTTGACAAGAAATGTTCTGCGTGCTCTGGAAGCTACTGGGGGAGATCTTCCAGAACTTGATCGGTTTCCAAAATCCCAGAGGTGCACATTCAAGTACTATCGCGGAGTCATCGACTTTCTACAAGAAAATTACACGGAGGCAGAGGAAAATCTTACAGAGGCATTAAATCTTTGTCATAGAGATGCTTTGAAGAATCGTGAGCAAATTCTTACCTACCTCATACCAGCCCATGTTGTCAACCACCATCAACTTCCCAACAACACTCTCATCTTACCCCATCCAGTTCTGAAGCGCATCTTCACGCCTTTGTTCGCAGCGATCCGAGATGGCTCTCTTGCGGCATTTGATGCTCAACTCTCAGCATCAGAGCCTGAATTGGTCAAACGGAGAATCTATCTCACCCTTGAACGAACAAGAGCAATTTGCATGCGAAATCTGTTTCGAAAGGTGTTTCTGGCTGCAGGCTGGGAAGAAAGCAAAGATTCCGCTACAGGTGAAGTGACAGGACAAATTCGCCGAACCAGAATTCGCATTGAGGAGTTCGAGGCTGGAATGCGTATCAGCTACAAGGGAGCAACTGATGTGATCATCGATAGAGATGAGGTTGAATGTTTTCTTGCAAACATGATTTACAAGGTATGTTACTGATTGTTCGATCCCCTCCACTCACCAGGCCATCGTATGTGGGAGTGCATATGCATTCGATGCTTGACGACGGAAGTCGGTCATTGAACCATGATTGGCTATATAATTTGGATTTGTTAGATACAGAAGGATCACAAGCATCACAAGCTGACCAAATTTTTAGAACTTGATGAAGGGCTACATTGCACGTGAACGAGGCATTGTTGTTCTTAGCAAGGCTGGTGCCTTTCCTGGAACTAATGTCTGAAGGACAAAATCGGAACAAATACATACCAAAACTCATTCTCTTCCACCAGAACCTTTCTGCGGATCTGCCAAGACAGCCGGGATTTCGCAGCCTCAAGGTCACATTTAGTACCCAATGCAGGTGGCCTCGAATTCCGAGCTTTCTCTCCTAATGAACCAATCACATTATCACCGGCTGTCAACTGAGCACATGACCTATCGACCAAAAACAGACACAATTTTGGACCAGCATACCGTCTTAGGATGCGGATTATCCTCTGTACTTAAAAACGAATCTCTATCGTCGTACCGGAGATGTATCAAGGATATGCGACTCGGCAGAAAGCATGAATAGGAAAAGCCTGCTATTCGAAAGAACAGGGGTCCTGCACCATCACCAACAGAACTGCCCCATGATTGATTGGTCAGGATCTCACCTTCTTGCCCTGAGATCAATTGCCTAATCCTCTCTCGGGTGAGAACATATTTTAGCTTCCTTTTTTCAAGATGACAGGAAGTATCATGGACCCCAGCACAATGGACTGCGAGCTACCAAGAGCTCCAGCTTGGACCAGCACTGGCCGTGGGCTAGCAAAGACTGCTCGGTGTCAACCCTATTCACGATCTCAGCCTTCTGAGCACTGTTCTCATTCTCAGTAGCAGCTTCAGATGGACCCCAACGCTTACCCTACGATGTGCAGAAATACCCTTTGACAAAGTTACACCATGACCCAGCCGCGGTCGATACCCACATCCGATTCCCCGGACGCCTCGCCAGCAGTATTCCCACCCAAAGCCATGTCACCTAGAAGTGGCACATGTCAAAGTGCCGGGGAAGAAAAAGAAATCAGAAAGAAGGCGTCTGGGACGAGCATGTGTGTGAGAAGAATCAGTCAGCTAGTTTAGGCAGGGAGGCAAATTGGTAGCTAGTACTACTAATTACTCAGTGAGTCACTTCCGCAACCGACACGAATGCACATCAATCCAGCCAGCCAGCCAGCGAGCCAGGCATCCATGCATTGCATGTACGGTCGCCTAGAAATGCGAGAAGGCCTACTCGTACGGTGCGAGGCGGCCACCATCACCTCGTACTCCATCCAAACGAGCCACTTGACATCCAATGCGGCAGGTATCGGCTGCAGACAGCTTGAAGGCTTGGCTAGTACCCTAGTGACCTAGGGGAAGAGATGGTCCTCCGTGGGAGGAGGAATTACGGGAGCGGCAGGTGGGAAAGGTGGGCAGGTGGGTGGGTGTTGCCTTTCGCAACAACGACCAATGCAGCTTCGTACTAGAAACTCAAAAGGCAGGGATTCGAGCACGTCAGTCACTGTTCTGATTGGCCTGGAATTGGCATGTTGGAATGGCTCCGAATCGAATGGACCATGTCGCGAGGTGAGATTTCCGGCACTACTAGGCACCGACGTCCTGCGACTTCTCGAGCTGCTGGGGATTTATCTCCTTCTGGAGGGAATGCACCGAGTCATACACGATTTAAGGGGTGGGATTCCCGGGCAATAGAAAGCATGAGAACTGGAAAGGCAACTTAGAGGAGGTCTCTACGAATTGAACAGAGAATGTCTCATTGAACTACTTCATCGTAGTGATTGACTAAATATTTGGATTCCATCTCTCCCTGCTATTTCAAAAATGGCATGGAAGATACCCAAGATTCCCGTCACGATCAAAACCCCTAGATGAAGAAATAGCATTGAGAACACAGGGCGCATGATCTTTCAGTCGTTCGAGCCCCTTCTCTGCAGTGATTGTAGGAATGATAAAGTGACCCTCGTATATCTTTTATCAATTTCTCCGCTGGCCACTTTCTCCCCCGAAACGAATAGTTTTACAAGGTTTTCTTGGTTGGCTGGTTAGTTGAATATAAAAAATGGTCGTTACAGTAGATAGCATAACATAACCGTCCAAGAATCGAAGCAAGAGACATTCTTTGTTAAACGGACCGAGTGCCAGAGTTATGTGGTGGGGTTGGATGTTCCCACTACCATCAACAAGGACAAACACTTGGTGCTTTCATTTCCCTTAATGTTACAAACAAAGCATAGTAGGCCAGCAAACCAAAGCCGGCATTCTTTTTGAGTTGGAAAGTGCGCAAGTACATACATGGATGAAAGCGGCTGGCAGCCGGAATCGGTTGCGGTGGCAGTCTGGTATATGAGAGGACAGATACGTCAATGTGGCGTCAAGGTGGAGTTGAAGATAGACATATACTCGATCTAGCGAGTAAATGGCGATGCAAAAGGTGAGCGGACGGTTTTGAGATCATCCTGTTGGGAAGAACAAACGTCATTTATGTTTCAGATTTCATAACAGAAGCATGGAACATATTGAACTCACGATATGATTGCACATGGCGACGAACAAGTCGAAGAACAAGGTGCCGCCTTGCTCCATCTCCAGCTTCATGGTGCCGCTTTTCTTGAAGTTGTTGCGGCTACGGATGATGAGTGTGAGGTATTGAGCTCGAAGCTTCGAATCACTATCAGGGGTATGTTCATATGCCCAACGAGCCGAAGCTAGGATGGTGGAGATTTGCATGCCATTTCGCAAGCCTTGTTTGCGAAGGGCAAGACGTTTAAGTTCATCGAGGCCATACAGCTGAGCAGAACAACTGGAAGAGAGTGAGTACGATAAAAGCGAATGGGGATATTTGAGTGATGACTTACTAGATTACGGTATCTCTCATCAAGGTCTGCTTGGCGACGGGATGAAAGATGGTAGTCTTGGTGTCATTCTGTGTATCCTCAAGTTCCCAAGTGTCTTTTCTCTTGTTATGTAGTAGCTTGGGATAGTAATCTCCTTTGTAGAGAAACTCCAACACAGCGGAGAGGATTTCAGGATGTTCATCTGGCAAATTGATTCTTCTTTCTTTATTGTCAAAGAATTGACTCTTGACCAAGGTTTCGAAGTAGGGTGAGCGACGTAGGATGTCCTCATGACCAGCGAAGATTCGTTGCTCACTTCCGACGCAGATGGTGATTATTGCAGAGGTGAGAGTGCTGATGGCAGAAGAGTTAGCATGTTGTGATATGTCATTGCTGATATCGAGACACTCACCTTCCCACGGCTGGAGCCGCCTGATGAGCATGCTCCTGCCTGGTGGATTTGACGGACTCGGTTCTTTGCAAACCTCGAGAAACTGAGTGCTCACGATAGGAAGACTTGGGAGGTTTGGTTGCCTTGCTTGTTCCATAGCGAGATGAGAAGCTATCACTTGGCCGATGGTTTCTGCTGCTGCTGAACATGTTGACTTGTTGGTTGTTTGAGGCTGCGGATCGAGGATCGATCAGGTACCTCGATTTGAGCAGAAGGTCAGGAAGGAGTGGAAACAGACTGTGAGGCTATCTAGTTAACTGCAAATAAGAGAACAAATTTGCTGCATTTGATGATGCAAATGAAACGACTGAAAACGCAATGCTGCCTGATCTGTGGTGACCAGCCAGCTCTGAAATCAGGAGTTGAAGAAGACATTTCGAAAGAGCAGAGGGAGCTCCTTATGTTGGGTGGAAGAGTTGCCTGGGACTTCAACCTAGACCGGTTGCAGGTACCTAGCTTATCGGTGCAAAAGTTGAGGTTTAGCTGAAGCCGGAAGGGCAAACGCGCTTTCCGCGTCGTGGCAGGCACGATAGTGGCACGTCCTCATGTGACCAATGCAAGCACTTTTCGGGTACCACTTTGGGCAAGGGCTGGGGGGCGCTCATGGGGGGCTCTGGAAGCCGTCCTTCCCTTGTACCCTCGCACACACCCACCATCCATCTTTGACTGGCCCAAAAGTGTCTGTGAGTCAAAATGGGCTGTGACTCTGCCTTCTGCCCTGGCATTCTGCCAATCTGGACCCTGCAAGTCTGGGGGCCGCCATGTCCCCGTCGAGTCTATCCGAAGTAAGTTCTGTGCGAGGCTTTTTGCCACTGCATCTTGCGCTCCTTCAGCGGGGATCTCTGGAAAGTCCAGATTGGGATAACGCATTGTTTTTGCTGCTGTGCAAATATACTTCCTTGTCAATCATAAAATCTCATGTAGTAGCGTAGCTTGAACCGTCTCGTCGTGATTTGGACGAGGCAGCGAGGGAAGGGTCGAAGTTACCGGATAAGAAGAATATCGCAAGGACTGAGGGTGTGAAAGCATGCATATCGGTGGGGCGAGAGCTGGGACATGAAACATCAAGGCGTTGTTAGACTGCATGGAACTAAATGCTTGCATTTGCGGGCTGCAGGAACAGACTCTCGATCTTGTTTCTCATTTGTTACGTATTTCGAGCTCACGGGGAAGCGAGCTCATTAGAGGACTATTTGCTCATCTACAGAACATTCTACGCACCATATTTGTTTCTGCTTTTTCGATGACGATGGAAGACAGGATTGATTTCTTTATCCAGGCATGATTAGCAGTCGATGCTAGGTACAAAGGCATGTAGATTATTAGACAATCGAGTGAAGATGTTCAATTGCAGCTATTGCGCCGTCAGGGCTGCCTGATGCGTAAATAAAATGAGATTCAGGATTACGCCAGCCATGAACAACTCATTCTATTTGAATGATCCACGTAACCACAACTCCAGGCGCCTGGAGCAAGTCCTGCCTTCTTCTAGAGTGAACGCTCACCCAATGTTCATTGATTTGGTCGTGGACATCGGAAAATGCAGGTGATACCATACAGGCTGAGGCTCCCGAGAACCATCACAAAAACACCCTCTTTGCTTCCTTTGGATGGCTTTCAATAGGACAATAAGGACATTTAAACTTGGCGCCCTTTGAAAGTCGCTGCAGTGATTCTTGAGCAATGACATGACAACATGGAAGCATCATCGGCGGATTCTGATCCGTAGACTGTTCTTTGGATACAGGACAGACAAAAATCGAGTGGAAACGGTACGAAGGTGGCAGGGGAGTCTCGACTGGCAATTCATTTTGTGATGTCCATTCGGTCCGCTTTTGTTTCTGGATCGTCTGCAGTTTCATCAGAGTGGGCAGAGCGATGGCCCCCGCTGTAGCAGCGACATGCAATGGTGAGTCTGCGGATAGTTCCAACAAGGAACAAAATTCTCTTGTAAAAGAAGTGGCGACGTCATTCCAGGAAGTAGAGTTGTTAAATCTGAATTGGTAGGGCGAGTCTTCTAGATTTGAGGAAAAGGGGATCGCGCCCAAAAGTTGTTGGATCTCAACCAGATATCGGCCTCGAAATGATTGGAATTCGGTTTGTGCGTATTGGAGAGCTCGTAGAGGCCCTGCGAAATCGTTGTCATCACCATCTTGACGTTCGAGAAACAAGCTGACATAGTGTAATCGGCACAGCTCAAACTCCAGGTTACTACCTCGGGCTTCCAGAGCTGGAGCGTTGACCCGCGCCCAGTCAATAGCTGGCTGCAGGTTGTGGCGATCTCTGAGTTCGCTGAGGATGTGGTACATGTTGGCAAATTGTTCCTGCATATTTTCTTCGGACGTTTTGTCGAGCCCTAGCGGATGTTCCATGGAAACATCCAATCCCAACTGACCGGCAGTTTCCTGTTGAGTCTTTTGCCGCTCAAGAGCTTCTGTGTGCAAGGTGGAGGCGACATCGAATAAGCCCTCGCGGAGTAGGTGCAGGTATATGGCTCGATTGATGAGGGTGGGATGGGAAGATAAGGCATCGATCTCGTTGCTTGGGACTTTGTCCTTGAACAGCTTATCCAGAGCTCTGCTGTATTTGTTGTGCATTCCGTGAGCATCCTTTAAGCTTGAGAACATGCCATCGAATGAAGTCTTGACCGGGTTTTGGAGCATGGTGAGGGTGATTTCTCTGGAGCTTGGATCTTCGCTGATGGAGTCTCTAGCCTTCTGTAGGGCTTTGATGATGTCGTCGACATGGCCAAGGGTCTTTGACTGCTTGCTGATGTTCCAGACCTTATCATGCTCTTTCTGAATGGCGTCCATGGTGAATGCTGGGGCCACGGGCGGATGGGATACTGCAATGTCACCTCTCCGACTGTATGGGGTGAATCATGCTTCTCGGCCTGATTCTCGGTAGGTCGGGAGTATCAAGTTCACGGATGAGGTTGTGAAGAAGTGAGAGATTGAGGTTCCAAGGATAATCGTAGATACAATCGCCGTTCGTTGGGATTGGATTCAATGATCAACCGGTGCAACTTAAGCGAGGCCGAGGATGACAATCATGTGCTTTACGCACTCAGTGGTGCTGGTGTTGGATGGACGGTGCCGGTAGTGACGTGGAGGTCACAAGATACGGTCAGCGTCAGTGGGGGTTTGGCAGCCTGCAGTGGGCTCGGGCTTTGGGCATACGGTCAAGCAAAGAAACCCTCTGGGGCGGGCCCAGGCAGCCCCCAGAGGATTAGTACCCGATCTAATTAACTTAGCGACCAACTCGGACACTGCCACACTTCATGCGTTTGTCATTCGTAGAGAGGAACAAATCCAGCAACCCTCCGAATCATTTCAGCTTGATTCTTGAGCAATCGTACGCAATGGGATGAAAGACTATGAAGATCCAGAACTCACTATCCTGATATTGACGCTCTCCAGGATCCCGCTGCGTCGGGACAATGTCCTTCCATTCTGGCGGGCTGTTGATGTCGTATCACCAGCCATCCTATACTGGATCTTATAAATCGACCAAAACAAGTCCCAAGGACGGGGAAGATAATTCCGCTCCCATCAATCAGAATAGCACGCCAACAAGCCCAGTCAACAATCAGTTAAGTCAGCACAGTCAAACTCGCAAACGGCTTGTCTTCCAAGACCCTGTAGCTTTTCGCTATCTAGAAGAAGACCCAGCCACGGACGCCATAGAACGATGGAGAAGACTACAGGGTTACGAAATGTATGTGGTGGAACAGTGGGCATGTTCTCGAACTCATCCGACATTTGTTATATGCACCTATACTGGAGATCCGTTGCATTCCATCCTGGTCAATGTTTTGTCGGTGCCTAGCGATGAAAGTAATTGGTCTCCTCGATTGCAGATTTACTTCCAAGCAGTATCTCAATTTCATGCCAAGGAGATGGAGACCCCATTAGGTACCCTCATGGTCACCAATCTCAGCAGTTTTCCTTCGGCATTGACCGTCATTGCGGTTCCAGACGGTGATGTAAAGAAGCACAGAAACGAATTCATGGTGAATGAAAACCTGAAACGCATGGGATGCTCAGGAAGAGCTGCCATCAATCTGCAACCACCTCAGCCGAGCGCCATCGCCAAATTTCATCACTTGTATAAAACAAGTGAGGCAGTACCTGTCTATCAGTCGGTCATGGAACTCGTCCGCACGTGTCAGACTGCGTTGGTCATGTATGATAAGCTTCAACCAACCTATGCTGATGGCCTGCTCTGTGACGTGACTGAAAAAGCCGTTCAGGATTGGTGGACCGACATCGGTACTTATTTCTACAATGTGCAGCCCAGCGACGGTCTTGGGCCGACTACGGTGGCGGCTATTCTGGGATTACTGATTGGAGCTTACAACAGACTCAGGGCGTTTGGTTCACCGGTTGGAAAGGATGTGTTAGATACAGTTTCCATGAAACGAGCAATAGGCCACTTCCAAAAAGGTCAAAAAATGGAAAGATCTCGGAGGCTTGACCGAGAGACATTGGATCGCCTCCACAGGGCAACCGCCAGAAGTGCTGCGGGAGAAGGATGGACTGTGCCAAAAGCAGTCAAATCGACAGTGGCAGAGCTCAGCGGGAAAGGCGGAGAGATGGTGATGGGATTCGTGGGAGCTCGAGACAAAGCAGGGATTGCAGATGCCGAAACCATGGACATTGAAAGACTATCGCGGTTGGTGACTGGCCCCAAGATGAAGTGGCTCTGGCAGGGCAAACCGGTAAAGTCATCAGACATGTTCGCTACGCCAATCGAGGATTCCAATGATCGAATCTTCAGCACTGATGATCAGGGGAATTTTCTCTGGACTGCAAGCCATCACGACTCGATTTCTGACGGCGGAGCGCTGGAGCGCACTGACACAATGGTCACTAACCAAACGCAGGATGGCAAGGGTGGCCGAGGGCGCATTCGAGACGCGGTGCCAGGGCTGAGGACTCACAATCACCGCCATCCACGAGAAGGTGAGGAGACGCCAGACTGGATAGAAAGTGCCACGACAGCTGGTACCAAGTCGGCCAAAGAGCCACACACCGCTCGCGACCATACTCTGCGTCCGGCAATGAGTCGACCTCCCACAGAAGTGATGGCGCTCAATATGACACTGAAAATGGCAGCACCTTCGTCACCCAAGCAGTCAGGAAAGTTAGTTGCCTCGATCAACGCCCCAGAGAAGGATGCTAAACCGATCGTCTCTCACCGCGAAGCCCTCCGACCTGCGCTTCAAGCTGAATCACCCAGGAAGAAAAAACTCAACGCCGACCTAGCCGACATACGCAACGAATTCAAAGCGGACATCTACCGCAATTTCTCGGCCGAACTACCATATAGAGGCATGCAGAGTCGGGCGCTACGACGATCTCAAAGCGCAGTTCAACTCCAGATGCACGCGGCGGATGATCCTCGCAAAGAACGAATCAATCGACAGCTGTCGTTCAGCCTGCTTGAGAACGCGGTGCTTGACCTTGGGGAGCCGGTGATAGACGACGGGTTCGAGCGTGGCCCAATCGAAGGTGATCTGACCAACGCCCTCGCTCAACGCGAAGCAGCAATGGCAGCAGCACAGAAGAAGGCAAGACGAATACAAGCGGTCCAGCAAGGACTTGTCCCCTTCACGGAAAGCACCGTGGCACACGTCGAAGGCCTGGAACATCTCGCCCAAGAGCATCTGGAGCAGCTCAATGAAATGTACTATGGGCGACTGGAGGAATACCAGTCCCTGTCGGCTACCTCGTCGGATCTGGTTTCCCAGGAGAAGGCGGGATTATCGGAGAGCTTTCGACGCATTGAAATGCTAGGCGCCAAGTTGGATTATGAGTTAGGATCGGTGCAGTCTCGGCTGCAGGAGGTGGAGGATGGAGTGGACGATTTTGAGCGAAACGTGCTGGCCATCGAGGCTAAGGTCAAGGAACTCATTGGCGATGAACGCGGTCAATCTGTGTCCTGGTATCAACGCTTATTAACGTCGATCGGATCGCTGAAGTGAAGATCGGCATACTATTCCTGAGAAAACCAGCTCAAATGGACATAGGTAGCGTCCAAGGGCACATCATGATATTTAGCAAGGCGTTATTGGAAGATGACTACTGCTTCCAACTGCATGTCAGATGAGTCGTTCATATGATTTTGTATAATTTAGTGTTGGAATGGAGTATTTCGTATCGAAGCTGAAGCTGAGCCTTTGGAATTGTCTCCACTCTCCATGAACGTATCGATGCCCATGCTCTTGACGTGCATGTTTCCCAATTTCCCCCAATCCATCCCATCCCAACGGTATTAACCTTGCGAATGGGTATACAAGTATTGTACATTTTGCCCGATGGTCTCGTAGAGAGCATCCACACAAGACAGACTCTCAGTTCACTGCCACCAGCGCCATATTCGATGCATCGTACCCGGTTATCATCGAGATAAACTCAACCAACATCGGGAGAGGAATAGTTCATTGATATTTCAACGAACTCTCAATCTCATCCAATTCCAATCTTACATGCCGAACATACCGCCGCCGCCGCCACCACCAGCAGCACCACCGGCCTGTGCAGCACTCTGCATCTTCTCCGAGACTTTCATGTTGACCTCAAAGAATTTGGCGACGCAGCGATCGAGACAAACGCTCTCGCCTTTGCTTAGGTCGGCTTCACGATAATCGGCAGGCACGCATTTCGACAGGCAGGATTGTGTTAATCTGTAGTATCGTTGAGTCAGTGGATTATATCTTTTGCTAGCTACACGGGTTGGTGGTTATATTGTACCTGCTGAACATGTCGGACACCATTTCCATCTCGGTTTCCACAGCTGCAATCTTTTCCGCCGAACTGGGTTGCGGACGGCCGCCGCCGAAGAGGAAGGACATGTTGGAGAGAGTAGGCGGGAGAGATTCGATAGACGTGAATGAAGAGGCTGATTTCGTGGGAGATGGTAGGTCGTTGGTGATTGGAGTTGTGCTGGTAACTTGTTGACTGGTGATGGTTCCCGAGTCTGGAAACCAGAAACTCGAAAGATTTGAGGTTCGGACTTTTCCGAAGTTCAACCGGCCACCATCAACTTCCATCACTCATTTTTTGCTATTCGCAACACCAGTACTTTTGTAGCCATTCTCTCCGTCACCCATGCTGTTGTCTTCATGTCCAGACTGCTAATATGGCGGGCACGGCAATCAACTATTCTCCGACCTGCACAACGGTATGCATTCCCACTCCCAGTAGCTTCCCTATCCACACCCTTTTTTCATGAAGAGACAATGCAGAAGAACCGCTGCGAGTGATGCTGGCTTCGGCCCGTAATGATCACTGCCACTCAATATATCGGAATAAATACTACACCTATTTTTGTTTTATTACATTTCTTCTTCGAATTCACGAGAAGCCGAGTTCTAATTCTCTGAAAGCAGCACAAAATGCCTCCCTAGGATCATTTCACAGGCACGGCCTCAACGAGTGCCCGTCAGATGCTTCACCAGCAAGACATCTCGACTAGCACAATTGAATGGCGGCAAAGAAACTCCGCCCCAATACTCGAGTGATGAGGTTCGAGCAAGGGCAGAGGAGTTACATGCTTCGGGAAAAGAGCTATACCCACGCTATTCAGGCAGTTCAAGAACTACAAGCATAAGATCTCTTATTGCCAGGGTCGACGCAGCTGAAAGCGAAGCACAGCCATCTCAAGGAGATGCAGCGGCTGACGTTCAAGGTAAGGGTGCGCTAGAGAATCTTTATGCGCAATGTATTTACACAACCACAAGTCTTGGGAAGAATCTCATCCATCCGCACGCACAGCTCCAAGCTTGCTTTCATCGACATTGTTGAGGATCAGTTGAAGCTCCAGATCGTACTGTCGTTGTCCGCCCTTGAGTCTTCTGGTATTTCGAAAGATGACTTCAAGCGTCAATGCAATCTGATCCGGCGTGGGGATTTTATTTGTAAGTATGACCAGCTCCTGCTCACCCATGATGTCCTAACATCTCCCAAGCAATAAATGGCCACCCACCATACCGAGCCTCAAATGGCCAGGTGTCCATCAAAGGCACATCACTTCCAGCCCTCCAGTCGCCATGTCTCAATCGCTTCCCCATCGAAGAACGAGGCTTCTCCACCAACGAATCCTCCAACACCCACTTCCGTGATCGCCACGTTGAAATGCTCACCGACCCGTCCATGATCGAAACCATCAAGACCCGTGCAGCCATCATCAAGACCCTCCGCTCATTCTTCGAGGAGAAATCTTTCGCCGAGGTTCAGACGCCCATACTCGCTAATCAAGCAGGAGGCGCCACCGCCCGACCCTTCTCGACGGCCGCCACCGAGTTCTCTGATGGTAGACAGCTCTCCCTACGCATCGCACCCGAACTCTGGCTCAAACGCTTGATTGTTGGCGGTATGGATCGAATCTTCGAAATCGGACCGAGTTTCCGCAATGAAGGTCTAGACAAGACGCATAATCCAGAGTTCTCAACCTGTGAATTCTACGCTGTAGGCCACGACCTGCCACGACTTATGAAGTACACCCAAGACCTCCTCGTGCAACTCGCCCACGCCGTCGAGGATCTAAAATTCCCTTTGCCACAGCATACGACAGCCCTCCTGCAAGCCATTCAGGGAGAATTCCAGGTCCTCGACTTCCTTCCCGCGCTATCTAGCGCTCTCAATCAACCCCTACCAGACTTACATTCTCCAACGGCGCAACAAGATCTCCTCAGCATCTTCCAATACCACTCACTCCCCATCCCAAGCACACCCACCCTCCCACGGCTTCTCGACAAGCTCTCCTCAATCTACCTAGAACCCCAATCCCTCAACGGCGGCCCGCCAACCTGGATCACCAACATCCCAACCTGCCTATCCCCACTCGCCAAATCCCACCTTTCCTCTTCTACCAGCAATGAATCCAGCACACCACCACAAGAAATCGCCGCCCGCGCCGAACTGTTCATCAACGGCCACGAAATCGTCAACTGCTACGAAGAGGAGAACTCGCCGACCGCACAGCGTAGAAAATTCCTGGAACAGCAGTTCTACGCCAACCAGGACCTCTCCTCCACATCTTCTCCATCCATATCCGATGACGAAGTCATGCCGCTCGACGAATCCTACCTGCGCGCCCTGGAATGGGGTCTCCCGCCGACGGGCGGATGGGGCTGTGGCATCGATCGCCTCGTTATGCTGTTCACGGGCCGTGAACGTATCGCTGATGTCTTGAGCTTTGGGAGTCTTCGGCATGTTTCGCATCGTGAGGATGGAGGGGGCAGGGAGAGGGAGAAGGAGAAGGGTGAATGACCTGGATCGGAAAGGAAGTAGACAGGGCCGGGGTGAGGTCCGGAGTGTATAGAGTAGTGTATTAATATGATCATGTATCAATAGCAGCAACGAGGAATGAAACACATCACTCACATATGCTGATCAATTGAGTCTCAAGAGGAAACATGAAGCAAGCATATCGAATTCCAAGCAGCGCTTCCTTAAGTTAGCATCCGAAAGTTGACAAAGAGCAAGCAATATTCTCGTCAAATTCAGATTAGCACTAGCTAGCAGCTCAGTATAGCAGTATAGAAGAGGCTCTTGCGGCGCCAGAAATGCGATTCGTCTCAGAAATTGCGGCTGCATCGTGAATCATGGTTGGTAGGTCGGGTAACGTCCGCCAAAAATTCAAAAACGCAAGAAAAGCTGCCCCAAACTCATTTCCTGGCATAACCGAGCTGGAATCAACCCGAAACGCTATGCCATGCCATGCCATGCCTCCTTGCTTCCTTGCTTCAGAAAAATGTTCGTGTCTGTCGTCGTGCTTTCGTAGGTGTTGTGGATTTCGTGAAGTTCGTGAAATTCGTGAATGTCGTGAATGTCGTCAATGTCTTGAATGTCGTGAATGTCGTGAGTATCGTAAGCATCGTAATCATTGGGGGTGAGGACCAATAGCAAAGCCCACATCGATTGAGGACTGTCGAGAAAGACGTCAAGAATGTGCAAAGTTCGACAGTACTGGATCTGTGGTGATAATAAATACAAAATAAATAGTGTTGCATGTCGTAAAGTTCGCTGTCAAAAGAGAAAAAAGCATTCAAGCCAGGTGCCGCAAGCGTATGGTGTGAAATAAGTTCAAAAAGGGGGAGGTTTTGTTGTCGTGGAGTGAAGGAGTCGTTTGACCTCGGATACATGGATCACGGTGGTCGTCGGTCTTCGATTACCATGGGAATAGGGTTTATCAACGATCGTCGGTTTCGTGGTGTTTCTCACAATGTTGAAGGATTTCCAGTCGCCGTCTTTTAGGGCTTTCATGCCGTGGTATAGCGGTCGAGCGGAGTGAATCACTTTTCGGTTTTGGCTGCTGGGATCTTCTTTCCTCGACCTTTAGACCCTGTGGCCCTGTGTTTTGGAGGTTTCGTTTGTTTGCACTCATCAGGCGAATCATCGTCATCTTCTCGTTCACGTTTCTTCGCAGGCTTCGGAGGGGGCAGATTCTCTCTCAGGGGACCTTGATTGCCTTCCTCTTGGTCCAGTCTGACTAGCTCAAAGCGATAGATTTGGCGATGTTGCTTCAACAGCTCGTACCCCACGACTTTGTAGAGTCCATCATAGCGAAAACCCCTGACGGGTCGATACTCTACAATCTTGGCAAGGCGGAAAGATCGAAAAACTCGGACCGGACGCTTGGTCCGATAGGACGTGATCAATGCTTTGGTCCCTGCAGTTGCGTCATCCCCTCTTTTGTTAAGATGGACCATACCGGGCTCGTGCTTGACTTCATCTTTGACATTGGTGGGCTCGATATCCGTCTCTTGACGACGATGGCCGGTCCCGATATACCAGATTCGTTCGCCTTGATCGATATCGGCATAAAATTCCTTCTTTGCTTCGTCATGGTATCCCATAACGATACTCTTCGCACCTTGTTCCATAGTGCCGTAGATTCCAGCCATGAAAGGGGCATGGGCACCGTCACGGCTCATTTCCACCCGTTTGTTCCATGTCTGGCCATTGACCAAGTGGCCATGGCCGAAGAAGTCGGCTGACCGTCGGTATGACCAGTCAGGGTCTGGATAGAAGGGACTTGATTCGCTGCCTTGGATTAGGCCACGGCGAGCGAGTACACTGAGATCACCATGGTCCCATTTCCGATAAATTATTGTGAGGTTCTCCACAAGGTTGACCGGTATATCTTTGTTCACTCTGGTTGGGGCGTGGTCATCAGAGAGAAATTCCTCGAGGCGAGGAAGTACCAAAGACTGGTCTAGTACTTCTCGAGTTACCGAGTTGTATTGAGCTCTTCGGATCCATTCTTCCAAGTTTCGGAACTGATTACAGATGCGCATCGTTCTGGCCGGCATGATTGATATTTTGTCGATTATTTTCACAACTTCTTGAACCTCTGTCAGCGTCATGAAGTCCTCGTCATCTGGGTCGGTATCTGGCGGTAGACTTGGGAAACCAGGTTAGTAAGATCTTTCGGAATCGTTATTTCCTAAGGACAATTAGAAAAGAATTTGACTTACATCGCCTGAAGATTTTTGGCTTGATTGATACGCCATCTGACGTACAATCTTTCCAGCACCAACGTACGACAATCGATTAGCTCATCCCTTTTCGCTGGGCATGGTTTCCCGATAGGACAACGGCAGTCAGAGAGTATAGCGGCTCTAGGACCAGGAATCCCAACAAGTGGAGGTGGTTCCAGCTCAGGGCTTGGAGTTCTATCCCATTTCTTGGATGAGGTGCGATCCGAAGTGCGATCGTGAGTACAATATCCTTGCCCAACTCCTGGACTGCTGGATTCCCGAGGTCGGGTTCCTTGTAGAGGCGGAGCACTTGGAATGAATTCGGGGTTTGAAGGTGCAAAACTGTGTCCGGCGCGCGGCCTTCCTGCTCTGTCATTTGACCTCTGCCTTGCTGCTTTATCACTCGTGCTTTGCCATTCTGCCGCTCTATTACTTAACCTTTGCGCCTGCAATGCGGCCAAATGGTGCCAGTGATTGAATGGTTCATCTCGAACAGGTATAGCTGGCTGATTTTGGCATTCGCGGAGCTCTCTATCCTCAGACTCACCTTTTGACGTTGGATAACCTTTTTGAATTTGAGTATTGTACGTGCTTCGGTCCAAAGGCCAGAGATCCGTTCGGTGATGGCTCGATTGAACGAATCGTGGCGACGTATGTTGCAGTGGACGGGACACACCGTGGGGTCTTGAACCAGACCCTTGATGACCAGTCCTGTTGCTTCCTCGAGGTCCACTACGGACAAGACCAATGCCTTCCACGTGCCTCCATCCCCCATCACCACCGTTGCGACCGCCGCTCGGGAAACTGGGTGGAGGCATCTCAAGCCGTAGGACTTAGCAAGTGCTCTTGCCAGATAGGGCCGGGTTCTTCAAAGTTAAGCTACTCAAAGGTAAGATGAGCTTTTCCAGAGTATAAAAGGTATCAAGAGTGAGGTTGAAGTGATCAGTCATGTGAACCCCCAAAAGAACAGAATTGATGAAATACTTGAAAGTTGTAAAGCGTAGAGTTCTTGTTCTCTCAGTGAGGTGCCAATGATTGAAGACCGAGACACTGAGGCAACAAGAACGAGAGTGAAGTGAGAAGAGAGAAATAAGAAATAAACGAGGAATGAACTATTCAAGAATGAGGTACGGCTGATCGTCTGGATGAAGAGATGAACAGTTGCATCGCATTGGATTGATAGACGGAAGTCGGATAACGAAATGGCCTTTGAAGACTGATTCGAGGCACGGCTCTCCCAGGAAGAGACGGCGAGCATCAATCCCGAGGGTAGCCTCAAGCTTCAAGTAAGTCAATGAAGCTTGCCTTGATAGAGAGTTGTTCCATGATCCGTGTGGGAGAGATGAAGTCTGAGTTGGTAAAGTGGAGGAATGATTTGAAGCTCAGGTACCTTTTTATAGACCAGAAGAGGCACTCACAGCCGTGACATGTGAAGATCGAACCCTCCTCTGTCGAAACAACAGGGCACTTGCAAGGGTCGACCTCAGGCTGCGCAAGGCTGAGCCTTCTGAAAGCATGTGCATTCCATATTCGGTTTAGCGTCACGGTGAAGTTGACCTCATTTCAAGTTGACCCAATCTCGAAATCAAAGTCTTTCCTATCTCACACCATCTTCATTCCCGTTTTGCGCTTCAGGCGTATTGTGGTCAATGCAATGTCTCAGAGGATGGGGGGCTTACCAACTAGCGAAATGCCTCCATTGTACAGGTGCCCAGTATTCAGGGCGGTTGTTTCAGAGATCTCAAGCTAGACTTCTACCGCATGGCCAAAGGCGCGAATTTCTGCTGGACTCCATCCCTGTGATACTGCAGCCTCCAGTGGTCTTCGGCGGTCTTTTAGTAACCTTGTGGACTTATAAATGTGTGATGATGGTTGTCTTCCAAAACAAAATCATCTACATGCCTTCAGTGCCTCCATTTTCACGATCAGAAAAGGTCGAAGATTACGCCAAACAATGTGCACCTATCACATGGGCTGAACGTGACATCAAATCCGCCGATGGCACTGCAATCAAGCTTCTCGAAAGCCGCGTCAATGTGTCTCGAGAGAAGCAGGACCAATCGCACAAGATTGTCTTGTATCTGCAAGGGTAAGTCTTGAGGGCCAAAGTCTTGAAATGATGGGCTGAGATTAGACAGCAATGCTTCCTCGTTACCACCACGTCTGCCATATTTGTCGAGTATCTTGCGGAGTTTGATGGCCAATGACTCCGATGAACAACAATATACCATCATTGCTTTGTCTTATCGTGGATATTGGAAATCCAAAGGCAGGCCCTCTCAGCAGGGAATCGAGCTTGATGTCGAGGCTGCGCTTAATTGGCTGCTGAAGCAGTATGATACCCGGACCAAAGTCATCGTCTGGGGTCAGTCCATCGGTGCAGGAGCTGCTTCCGTTGGTCTGGCCAACCTAGTAAAGCACTGCCCTGGGTCTGCGAATCGCATATCGGGTCTACTGCTTGAAACACCTTTTGTTGACCTGAGAACAATGCTGGTGGCACTGTATCCTCAAAAATTCCTGCCATATCGCTATTTAGCACCATTTTTGCTCTCAACTTGGGACAGTAAAAGTGCGATCAAAGATATTGGAGGTGTAAGATCAGGGCTAAGGACACTGATCTTGGAAGCTGGCGATGATGAGATTGTGCCGTCTGGACAAGGAGCCATACTTGAGACACTGTGCAAAAACGAGGGTATGGAGGTTGAGAGGGCAACAGTCCCAGGAGCATTACACACTGAGACTATGGCGAAGCCTCGTGGTAGACAGCATATCGTTGAATTTCTGAAATCATTTTAATCGAGCTTTATCCTATGGAATTATGCTTCATTGATGCTGGTGACAATATGTCAGCAGAGTTTCGAACATTCCAAATTGGTCCGGTGAACAGTCGGTCGTCTTTTCAGATTTCGCAGGGCAAACTCGAGATTGTTGAGTCGATAAGGGCCCTCGGGAGATACAGGACTCCAGCACAGCCTTATGAGTCAAGTCGCACTGTGGGAGGTGGCATTTTGAATAACGCGATCTCCACTAGGGAAGTAATTAGTACCAAATCATTCAAGTTGGACAAGCGAAGTCGACTGATTGCATAGATGACTGCTTATGGTGTATTGTGGATAAGGCCGATGGGCGGTCCAGGCGTAAACGACCATCAGTTTATTCACAACTGGGCTCTAGTGAAAGTGGCCGAGTTTGAACTCCCGGAAGTGAGTCATGTATCACTCGAACGAAGATGGGGATATTTCTGTGCAGGTAACTTCAAAAGGTTGAGCCACCGAACATAGCTTGGTAGTCATGAGATGGAGCTAAGAATATGATGTGATGGTACTGGGTGTTGTCTGGAGTATGCCTTGAACGCGTCTCAGCGAGAAATGGCAGATGAGCCTCCCAGTTCTGGTCAGGCTGCATTGCAGGAAAGTCAAGTGCCATAGGCAGAATGAAGAGGGGATTGTGTCTGCCTGGGGTACTAGCAGATGAATGGACCAAATAGGTGAAAATGTCTCCGCCTGAGCACCTCTGTGGACAAGGGACAGCCCCCAGAATGTCTCGTTCTGGGGGCAATTGTTGAATTATGGGCGAATGGTAGGCAGCAGAAGGGGGATCTGTGCCTGTGCATGGCAGTTGCGGGTAAAATTGGGACCAGAGTGACAGATTCAGCACTGGAGACGAGAATATCGCGGGGTGGCACGGAAGACAGAGCACCCGTCCACGAGTCCACGACCCGCCACAGCAGGCGGGGGCCAAAGGGAAGCTTGCGATAGAGATGGCACCCAGGCTGGCACTGGCAGGTGATGGACCAACGCCCATGGAGGCGTCATTGGAGGCGGTGAGATTCGTAAAGTCTGGGCACGGAGCACCTGCAGCAGCCCACCACTTATCATGTGCCTTTTTCCACCAGCCGGCTTGAGCTGCTGCGGACTCAATCCTCTGATGATTAGAGAGAGACGGACCTCTGTGCTCAGAGCTCACCACCTGCTACTGTGGCGCCAGTGCCAGTTCCAGTAGGGACTTTGGCCTACCGACTACTCCATATTCCTCTAACTCCCACTACTGGGAGGCAGGCACCACCACCACCACCACCACCACCACCACCTCCACCAACACTTGGATTGTGACTTCCTTCTGCCCACGTTCTCATTCTTTCACTCCTCTACACTCAGTATTCTTTCTGCACCTCTTGTTTCTACATCTTCCAACACTACCGCCTGAGACTCCATCATCACCCTCAACTTTGTCTTTGCGCTTGACCATGAGTATGACAACCCGTCCTCTCAACCCGAATACCTATGCAGTGACCGTTCACCGCATTTCTCAACGCTCAACATGGAATCCAACCAGACCAGTGCACATGGCTTTTGGAGGTATCTGATCAATTCTCAGAAGCGCGCAACACCACAGCTTGAGCAGCTATGTCTTGGAATAGCAAAAGTCATCGTAGGTGCACCCTTCAACTGCTGTATGCTTCTTCACCAACTAACTCCGTAATCCTAGCCAACCCTAGAGCCTCGCTCCGACTCCGACCTCCTCACCCCGCAACGCCTCGCTCTCTTCTATAGATCCGTCGGCGGCAACTATGACTCCCTCTTCCTCAAAACCTCGGAAAGTGGTCTTTCTTTCATGTATACCACCCTCGGTTGCTTCCACAGCCTACAGCCCACCCAGTCTCCTTTCGATACTCCAAAGATACCATGCCTCACCCCAGACGGCTTCGCCCGCTGGCTGACCATTCAAATGCTACTATGCCCCGACGAGAATATAGGCTTCCTACAAAGAGCAGTCAAAATCTGGAACGTCCCTGGTCCCAGCAATACCATTTTCCCCAAATTCATCCCCAGAGAAGTCTTTCCTTCTCGCCCAGATGAGGATATGGAGAACTGGCACAGAATGGTCACCGGCAAATTGAACCAGAAGAACTATATGCGCCGGATTCAGAATTCGCCATACCAGTCCCCTCATCCCGATCCTCATGATCGACGTGATGGCTACTTCTCTGGCTCTCAAGTAGGCAGATCGTCCAGGCCGTCCCGAAGCAGTTCGCGTGACGACAAGACGGCCCTCTATCGACGACGAAGTAGTGTCCCCGATTTCGCCTCTCCTACCGGTGAACGCGCTTCTCACTGGGACCCAAACCATCCCGACAGTGCAAGGAAGGCTAGAAGCCACTCTGCACAACGGCATCAACCTCCTCCACCAGGACGTCAGCGATCTCACACTGCGTCGGGCAATCATGCAAGCCAACACACCGGATCTTCTCCAACTAGCCCCTCAAGCAAAAGGCACGGCCCCAACCCCCCCGAACAGAACGGACGACGCAGTTCCGGCTACAACACCCACTATCGTTCCCCAGCCCGCACTCCCTCGACTGTCGACGAAGATACCGGCAGTGAGGCGAGCTCCGAGAATTCACAGGCTGGTCACCGTCCTCATAGGCCTACGGACGACCGCCGTAGTAGTCGCCGCTCTAGTCTTTGGGTTCCTTCAATCTTCAGGTCGCACAAACGTCGGCATTCGTCTGATGCAAGCTACCGTGCACCCTCAAAACATACACAACCTCTACGACCCGAGTACTACCCACCTCGTCCGAATAACACACAACCTCAACAACCACCACACCCTTCTCGTGGAGCCACTGCCCCTCAATGGCGTGAAACCAATTGGGAAAGTGATCCACCAAGCGCGAATCCTATCCATCCCACTATACGCTATCCCGATCAACACAATTTTGGTCAACCTTTGACCAGAGAAAGTAGTAGTGGCAGCGGAACCGATCACCGCCATCGCGCTTCTGACTATGAAAGAAATAATCAACGAAGACAGCAGCCTGTCCAACCTCGGATTGCAACGGTTGCAGGTGTTCATGGACGGCAATATCCTGATGCTTTGAGTCCACTCGAGAGACAACGAAGTCATGCAACTTCTCGCGGCGGTGTTGCAGCAGCTGTATGAGTTACCGGAAACACGGTGACACCGACTCTTCGTTCAAAGTGACTCAGACCGCCTTTCCGAATGTGATCCTTCTATATAGTATTTTCTTGGCAACCCGAAACCTTATACACACCAACCATTTTGATGTCCACGAAATAATGCATGCACATGAATGATGAGATGATAGAGATGATGGGAGAAATAGCGGGCGTCTTGTGTCTCGGCTGGTGGAATTCTGTGATCATCCATATGGTTAAGAATCAAAGAACAACACTCCCCCAGCGGAAGCCTCACGGTACAACGAAAAAAACAAATGGGAGGTACAAGAGGTCCAACCTGTCATTTGAGGTACATTACCTATTTTTGGGGACAGGAGGTGGTCTTCATGACATTATGATCGTCTTTTATTGATCTGCTCAACCAGTGCTTTATCAAAAGACAGTTCGCGATTGGCCTGTTCTTGTTTTGCAAAGCTCAGCTCGTTTCTTTGAAGTCCTCTTTTGGCCATCAGTCCCAAGGACAAACAGATCAGCTCTTCTCTAGTACTTAAATAGTTGAATACAATACTATATCCGTACATTGTTGACTTCCAAGTTAAGCCCACGCTGCCAGCCAAATTACATACTGTGAGCAATACAGTTGATTTTCCCCACTTAGTTTAGGTATGCGCCCAGGTATGTATCTGGCGAGCGACGGCTTACCTAACCTTTGAACCTTAGCCTTGCAAGCCTAACTCGATATATCATACCTACAGATGGTTAGAACCCGCCGTGCAGACCACGACCAATGTTCAAATAAATGCGAGGTATGGTACAAGTATTGCCAAACTGCTGATGAGTTTCATACAATAAGCTCGAGCTGTCCATCTAGGTCTATTAGATCAATTTATCTTGTGCATCGGCGCTCGTGCCTATTGGAGAGGAGAGTCGGGTTCCGAAGGCTGAATATATATTCACTTTTCCGTGCCCAGAAGACCGCTGAGACTACTTAGGATGTCGAGGGATTCAATGCCTTCTCACAACCAGGCGTGGACAATGGAGATGTGACTTTGTAGTAGTTGATAGCCTATCCTACCTGGTTTTGCGTAGAGCCGTGCTTCATTTACTCGCATGCCACGTTCAGGTTTTCAAACTGTTCATTCGTTTCATTCATACTTACTCATATCACCAGTATGCAATCCACCCCAAGCCATGCCATCTAATTTATCCATGCCACACACACGGGCTCTCCAACCGCCCCCCTCAAAATCTCAATACAGAAAAAACCGCTGCGCCAGGGGCACGCTCTCGGCAGGCTCGGCCTTCATCTCGACGCCGTCGGCCTCGACGATATAGCGCTCGGGATCGACCCTCATCTTGGGCATGGCGTCGTTGAACTTCATGTCCTTCTTGCCGATGTTGCGCGTGTTCTTGCAGGCCTCGACGCGCTTCGTCAGCCCGTAGGACGCGATCGTGCCGCTCGTGATGGATGCTTGTGACACGAACGTCACGCTTGTCGAGGGCACGAAGGATGCGAATTGCAGGCGCGAGATCACGGGCTCGACCGTGGGGATCGAGGCGTTGGGGTCGCCCTGTGTGTGAATGGTTAGTAAGTCTGTGGAAGGGGGTCTGCTTGCTTGCTTGCATGCATGTGGTGGACGGGCCATTTTGTTGGGGGCGATCGGGTGAGTAAGAACACGCTCGTTAAGGCTGTGTTTGATAGGGGGTTTGACAATAAGCACGAAAAAACTCACCATCATCGCACTGACGATCATTCCACCCTTGACAACCGTCGTTGGCTTGGTGCCAAAGAACGCTGGCTTCCATACCACCAGGTCTGCTAGCTTCCCAACCTCGACACTCCCAAGGACGTGCGAGAAACCCTGCGCAATCGCCGGGTTGATGGTGTATTTACTGATGTAGCGCTTGACTCTGAAGTTGTCGGCGCCAGTCCCTTCATCCTCTGGCAGATAGCCTCGCTGCTGTTTGTTCTTGTTCGCCGTGTTCCAGGTACGTAGCACGACCTCGCCGCACCGGCCCATTGCCTGGCTGTCCGACGACATCATGGAGATGGCGCCCAGATCGTGCAGCACGTCCTCCGCAGCGATGGTTTCAGCGCGGATGCGAGACTCGGCGAACGCCACGTCTTCGGGGATGTTCTTTGACAGGTGGTGGCATACCATTAGCATGTCGAGGTGTTCGTCGAGCGTGTTGCGAGTGAACGGCCTGGTGGGGTTGGTGGACGAAGGTAGCACGTTCTCGTGCTCGACTACACTGATGATGTCTGGCGCATGTCCACCGCCAGCGCCTTCTGTGTGGTATGTGTGGATTGCGCGGCCCTTGATGGCTTTGATCGTCTGTTCTACGAAGCCGGACTCGTTCAGTGTGTCCGTGTGAATCAGGCATTGCACGTCGTATTCGTCGCAGACTGACAGGCATGTGTCGATCGCTGCCGGTGTGGAGCCCCAATCCTCGTGGAGTTTGAGACCACATGCGCCTGCTTCGCATGACTCACGAAGAGCAGTGGGTGAGCTGTCGTTGCCTTTGCCTGTGATGCCGTAGTTGATTGGTAGTTTGTCAATGGCTTGGAGCATCTTCTCCATGTACCACTTTCCAGGTGTGCAGGTCGTCGCGCTCGTTCCGGCTGAGGGACCCGTACCGCCTCCCAGGTGTGTGGTGATGCCAGCGGACAGGGCTTCGTATGCCTGTTGGGGACAAATGAAGTGGATATGGGAATCGAAGCCTCCGGCTGTGATGATGGAGCCTTCTCCAGCCATGACTTCAGTCCCGCTACCAACAACCATACCTTCTGTCACTCCGTCCATGGTATCCGGATTGCCAGCCTTCCCTATACCGGAGATAAGACCATGCTTGATGCCAATATCAGCCTTGTAGATACCACTCCAATCGACGATCAATGCGTTTGTGATCACGGTGTCAAGGACTTCTTCATCCTTTCGACCAGAGGCTTGTCCCATGCCTTCACGAATCGTCTTGCCACCTCCAAACTTGCATTCCTCACCATACGATGTCAGGTCCTTCTCGACCTTGATCCAGAGGTCCAAGTTCGCAAGTCTAACCAAATCACCAGTCGTCGGTCCAAACATAGTCGCATAATCTGCTCTTGCCATGGAAGCCACGTCAATATGAGCCAAATCACCAGTCGGCTCGGGAACATTGGCGAAACCCCCTTCTTGCAGCTTGCGAGAAATCTCATCGACTCGAGAGACATCGACCACTCCAGAAGCGAGATAATTGCCGCCGTGAATCGTCTTATTACCTGCGATCTCAACAAGTGTAACGGTCTTGGAATCACCCGGTTCGAATCTAATCGAGGTTCCTGCTGGTATATCTAAGCGGAAGCCATATGCTCTAATTCGGTCGAATTCGAGTTGAGGATTTGTCTCAATGAAGTGATAGTGCGATCCAACCTAAAGCAATCGTGAGTACGTCGACAAGGAGCGGGACTCTCATCTGCTTCCATCCGCACCTGAATCGGTCTATCGCCTTTGCTGGTGACCTTGAGTCTGATTCTCTTCCGGCCTTCATTGAGAACAATTCTGCCCTCTTTGACGGGAATCACTGCGCCAGGCTGATTTTTGGTCTCGTAGACACTCGTGTCTGGTAGTGGAAAGGCATCATTCGATGGAACAGGTAGGAAGCTTCCATATAAGGCCTTCTCGAGATCTCCATCATCTGAAGCAATGGGATCATGCACCGTCACGAGATAAGTCCCGACGATGAATGTCCCTTCTACCTGAATGGTATGGAGTGTCGTCAAGACATCAGGCTGGACGTGTCGTCGACCCAGCATAGTCTTACCGATCGCCATGAGGTCGGCAACCGAGTGGTTGCCATCTCGAATGAGCTATCGCGTGGATCAATGATCTTCCTTTCTGATCGTTTAGTGTTCTTATACTAACCTCTTGTAAATTGTGGGAGATGAGAGCCTATCCAAGCGTCAACTCAGTATTTTTGTTAATCGCTCGCGACGAGGCAGGACGTACGCAAGCTTCAGTATGGTTTAGCTTGACACCTCTGGCAAGTCTTCGCTGTGCTAACGTGCCAACTTGTGTGATAATGAGCTTATCGAGCTATTTAAAAAGAACACACGTCAGTTATTGATTTTTCGCACGGGCGTGCGCCCGCTGTGCAACTGAACAAATTATTTTTCTGCGTACCTCTTTCGGTATCAACAACATACTGATGAACTTAGTTGTTCGTATAGCGGACGGTAAATATCTCTGTGTTTGATGTGTTATGAAGCTACAGTAGTTTCCCCATGGTCGACTATCTATTTTGATATGTTCTGCATTTTGGCATCGTTATCTCTGACATTTGCTGTGAGATAATACACGAATCAAATCGCAACCAGGGACTTGACTGGTTGCGGGGTATGGGAATGTCCTGAGGTGGCCTGAGCCTATCGAAGGCTACTATCTTGCCCCTCCATTGAACCGGGCGCCAGCCGGGAAGCAATAAAGCTCCAGCTCTAAAGTCAAGCTCAATGCTATTTACAAAGTACATTCGAATGTGGAGAGACATCCTTGTTCATACTCGGTAGAGGAGGGGCCGAAGGGATTTGTTTCTCTTCACATGCGTCATCAAATAGTCCTGACGGAGATGATCCATGCATACAGCAAAAAGTAATGAAATTGTGTATGATTGTGGTTTGTGTAAGCTTCTCCATCTCAGCAATTGAGCGAACACTCGGGATGAAGATGCCTTTGTTTTCATTAATGAACATGAATTGAACTCATCTCCCAATCAGCTCTGGAAGCAGAATTTCAGATACCGAAGTGAGAGCACTGCATCCATGACAGCCTTACTCCCATAAAAACAACCCAAACAGCCTCATTGTACAGCCCAACCCTTTTCGACCGTCATCAATTTCGTCACACTCAGTCTTCATTTTTTCGACTTTCTCTTAGTCTTGTCGGCCTTGGAGGCTGAAACCGGTGCTGGGGATGACTCCTTCTTACCCTTCTTAGTCTTCTTCTCCGGTGACTTTGCTTCGGGTTTTGGTGTTGGCTTGCTAGGCGTAGCATCCTTGGTCTTGCGGCGCTTGGACTTTGGTGGTGTGGGCTCCTTGACGGGCTCTGGAGATGACTCATCGGATGTTTCAGCTGCAACAGGCTCATCCTCTGTCTCTGCTTCTCCATCGATGGCGATGTGGTCAGGAGCCTTACCGGCCTCCACAAGCTTTGCGGCTTCGTCATCACCTGGAACGGGTTGACCGGCCTTGTAGGCGGCCATCTTGACACGGTACGCAGCCAAGTTCTTTTGATACTTGTCATCCCAGACCTATTTGCAGCAGTTAGTAGGGAAGACATGAAATATTGGATCATGCAACGTACACTCTTCTCAGCAGGGCTCATCTCAGTCCATCTTCGAGTACCCTCATCGGCAACCTCCTTGGGTTTGGCAGAATCTCCCAACTCTTTGGCAATGGTGGCACGAGCACTTTGCATGTACAAGAAGTATGGGGTCAGGGCACGCTTTGGGGCGTTGGGGTCATGAGGAGTCCTCTTGCGCTTCTTCTTGCCATCGGTGGTCTCCTCGACTGGAGCTGCACCAGGTTCACCGGGTCGACCAGTCAAAAGGCCGGACTCGGTTAGAATGCTGGTCAGGTTTGCATCGATGGGGGTAAGGCCATGCTTTCCTGGCGCAAGAACGGTGTTGGCATGCTGGATGTAGGCGCGGGAGAGGTCTTGCACGCTAGACTGAAGGGTTGCAAGTGCAACGATGACCTGGTGATTGTTGTTAGCAGATATGAAAAAAGGGGTTGAACCAAAATCCAAGTGAGCAATGAACAATAGTCAACACAAGCAACGACATACAGAAGCCCATTTGCGATGTTGTGGGTGGTCGACGGTGTGGGGAGGAAAACAAATAATGAATGCAAAACATGTGAAGCCGGAGGCACGAGTGTAGTTTTGCTTGAAGGCAATTGGGGTTTAAAGCCGCGGTGTAGGGGCTTCAATGGCGGGGATTTGGGATGGAGGGGAATGCCAGTGAGGTTGGAGGTAGGCATAATCAAAACACTCGTACGTTGGAGTGAACATACCGAATCGCGTGTGCGTTGGAAATCAGCGATGTTGACCTGAGTCGTGGCGGACTCAGGATCAGTTTGAGCTGTCTTCTTCGCCATTGCAACAGCTGGACAGGGATCAAAGAATAATAACTAAGATAACTCAAAGGGTCGATGATGGTTGGCGCCTGTAAAGTTGCCACTGTGAGGCTAGCTTTAACTAATTCTCGCCGGGGTGGACGATGAGGTGGTTGGAGGAAGGTGTGGTTGGGTGAACAGAAAGAGCCTGCCGATATGGGCGAGAAAGCTTGGAAAATTGAGGTTGAGAGGATGGTTTGGGTAGTGGGGACTCTGGGAGGATGGGTGGTCTCAGGTCGAGTGATGGTTGAAGACTCGGGGTGTGAGAAAAGAAGAAGAAATTGGGGAGCAAAGCCGAAGGGATTGGGGGGAGCTGGGTATAAGTGGGCGAGCGAGAGCAGATTGGGTGCTCTGGATCAACCCGCAGGTCCCCTCCAAGAGTTAATTCGAGGCAGTTGCAGACTCTGCCTTCTGATCGTGATGGGCATCAAGCTGCAACCCAAAGAAATCATCTCCACTTACACCCTCCGCGCTAAGCATCCTTAGGCGCTTTTAATTGGGCCTTTAAGCTGTGCCCTCCTGCAGACTTCCGACTCTTCAACCAGCAGTGCCCCAATAAGTCGGCTTCTTTTAGGCTTGTTTACACTGTAACCCTGCCTCTGCTGCAAGCTAAAACGCCCTAACGAGGAGCACCTCTCTTTGCCAATTCTGATCCCCAAACCCTTATGACTGACAGCGACAATTTTTTGCAGTTTTATGGTACAATGTCTGCCTAAACGTACAGCTTCCTTTCCTGACGAAAGGAAAGATTCGATATGAGCAGCTTAGATGGAGCATTGAAAACTCGATGGCTATCTAACAAGCAATTTTCCCACGATTCAATCCAACATACCTGAGAGAATGCTTCAGTCCTTGACTACAGGAAGAGCAAAGCAAAGCATGTTCGCCATCGTGATCCAACGTGAGGGTGGAAGAGTTCCCAGAGAATAACAAAACAGTTAACTAACTACCAGCGAGAATTCCGGTTAAACTCAAGCCGCCACAAATTCAGGGGGCAAGCGTGTTTCCCTCAACAGTGGGCAATAGCCAAACTATTGAGGCCTCCATGCCCAAAGTGGAGGGGCTCTCTCTATTAGCACAAAGTCTGGTGGGCGCCTCTGTAATCCGGATGCACGCTTCGAGGGGTTGATCCCTAAAACCATCAGGTCAGACCACCCAAGTTGAAATCTTTAGACAAGAGCCCCACGGAGTAAGAGACTTCTTGCATAAGCGCGCTTCTGGGCATTGGTTTGCCTAGCTTTCCATCTCGAACTGACTCGTCGCGTTGCTCATGGACCAGTGATGTGATGAGATCAGGGCAGGCCTGGGGTGGCTTCCTGGTTGGGTCCTGGGTAAAGGTGTGTTTTGCATCAGTCTGCTCTTGAACCTGTCAAGCAGCCCTTACAATTTAGGCACACCTACTCGTACCAGCAACCTAGGACCTTACTGTCGGACAAGCTTCAAGCACATGTCCGACTTGAAAACTTGCCCACCTGGGCCTCCTCCCTGACAACCTCTTGCCGCAAGTGCCGTTACAACATCGACCTTCCAAGAGACCGGAACCCCGAGCCCAGCCCCAACCTCATTTCGGTGCCCTGTGATTAATCCCCCCGGTTCAGCTGTTTTCCACTTCTGCCTTCTAACGAAAACTCTCAGTTCCCCTCGCACAGAGGGCTCCCACCAGCCCCTCCTTTGAAAGAATGGCTCGACCGAAAGTCTCCGGACGGCAGCCTGGATCATTATTGTTCTGGCCCCATTGCTCGTCAAAGTCTCAAGCTTCGGTTCTGTTAGGTGTGGTCGTCGCCCGACTTCTAGGAGAGGCCCCTATTGATGGTTACAATAATCAAAGAGTGCTCCCCCAACTCCAGTGTTGAATCGGCTTCATGTTCGCTGAAGGCTTCGGGGTTCCCATCCCTAAGGTGCCCTTCTTGTTCATTACAGCTCAGCCAACTGTGTTCTATTTTATCTTTCTTTCCTTTGGCGTGCGCCAGTGCCGACTTCCCCCATAATTGAGGCCAAGGCAGCCTCTCTTGCATCTCAACTTAGAATACCTAGCAAGCCAACGATTACTTAATTCTTTCTCTTTCGGAGCATGCACTCGTACCTGCATTAGCCTCCATAGCTTCTTTGTCACTTTTAAGGCAACTCTTTGTCAACAATTATTGACCATCTGACCTCTGGGAAGAGAACTGGGGTATTCAAAGTCTAACTCGAGATCCCCTCCATAGCTGAAGCCAGTATCCGGATTCAGGCTCGATATCCAGGCCATCTCGACCAAAAATGCTCCCAAGCCTCGTCACTAGTTCTAAGTACCTAGTATTGTCGTTCCGCCTGAAATTCTCTACAACCTACCTAGGTACCTGCTTGGTTAAGGTGTTCATTCCCCTTGATTGCAGGCCACGGCCAGCCTAACTAACAGCCAATGCCTTTCTAACTGCAATTGGTGATATACCCAAAATCTTCGGTTTTCTCAGCCAAAATCCCACCTGGGTACATAAGTCGACAACCAAGCTGAGCACCCAGCCAAAGTACGCGAAGATACTCCGTGCCACCCGCACTCACAATCTTGCCTGACCGAAGCATGTGGCTCATCCATTCCTCTCCATAGGTACCTAGTCATTAGCCTTGTCACCTCCAACGGCAGCAAGGCTGAAAACTTTATGGCCGGCCATCACAATCCGGAGATCCCTGTAGTTATTAGTAGTGCAGCCAACATAAGCTCCCGTCGTGAAGCTATCGGCGTCCAATCCACCCCGTCTCGCGGGGGCACTACGAGGTGGCCAGCCAGCGGCAATGATATCCATGCCTGGAGTTCGTTAACGACCTACCTAGGTAGGTATGTATCATTGGAGTGCATTTCGAGTTTCTTCCGAGTATTGTTTCAACGTTAGATACCTAGGTAGTAGATAGCTACAATACAACAATAGGTGTATCCATCCAAATCTAGGTACATATCACCTATCTCCAATTACCGTGGAGGCCCATCAAGTTTCATTCAGAGAAACTCTTTCCATCTGACACGAATGTGCCTGAACCTTGAACCACAATCCCGCATCTCGCATAATCACGAGATATATATTCCTTGCTTTCTTCCCGTTTCAAATGTACAATACAGACCATGAATCGGTTTTTCTTCATCCTCTACTGACCGGTCAACCTCTGCTGATTTTCGCGGTTCTTCATCTATCCATCAGCGGATCCTATCTAGCTCATGCCGACGCCACCCATTTCATTTCGATTTGAACATTCTCTTGGAAACGCACGCTTCAACATTTGGGCGATGTTGTCAACGATATTTCTGCTGCTAGCTCGTGGTACCTACTATGCTTCGAGACCGGTTCAGAGCATTGCAGTCTTGACACGGTTCTGTACTTGTTCTTCATGGGTTCATAGTGTATCCACACAACATAATCACACAGGAGAGATGATAAAAGTGACCAATAGACCTCTATTCCTTTTATTCTAGATTGGTCTGATCTTACTTATGTACAGGTTTTACAATCATCCCCGTGCTCGCCATCTCAACCTCATTGCTTGGGTTGCTTGTGGATCGCGAGGACAACGATGTCGGTGGCCTTAGCTTAGAGGTTGAATGATGCAGTGATGAAATGCCGCAGAGCATCTCGACACCCAAACACCTGAAGGAGATATATCAAGGCCTTGCTTGCCCATCTCTTCTAGAATTTGTAGACCTGGTCCTTGGTATAGCCCAGCTCCTTCAAGATACCCGTCAAATCACCCTGATCAGTCGGGCTGACCTTTGGCCCACTGACAGCCTTATACAACCCAGGCGGTCCACAGACAAAGATTTTGATATTCTCGCTGCTGGGATCTGGGATCAACGACTTGAGTAGGTCCTTGGAGATGAAGCCCTTGCCCTGTTCCCAGTCCTTGGGCGGCTGGTCGAGCGTGTAGTAGGCGCGGAATCGCTGGGGGAACTCCTTCTCGATCTTCTCGAGCTCCTCCTTCAGCAGGATGTCCTTCTCCGTGATGTTGCCGAACACGAGCGATACTTTGGTCTTGTCTTCCGAATTGTTAAAAATGCCCCGGATCAGTTGGTACATCGGTGTGATGCCGGTGCCACCTGCGATCAGTGTGATGTGGTCGTGCTTGTTGGCCGCCCATGGATATTTGGGAATCGGGCCTTTAAAGGACAGTGTGTCGCCGGGTTTCAGTGAGTGGATGTGTTCGGACATGGGGCCTCCAGGGTATACTTTGACGATGAGGTCGAGGTGGCCTTTAGCATCTGTCGTAATGGATGGAGGTGGTTAGTCAGCGTCAATTAGAACGACTCGGATGGTCTGAGACACATGTAGATGTGAAGAAATACCTTCGGCATTGACCGGGGTGTATGGTCTGATAGTTGGCTTCTCGTCATTGGGTCCCTTGAATTTTGTGATGATCGCAGCTATTCATTGCAAACATATCAGTCATTTGCTCTCTCTTCGTGTTCTTGCTGCACCTCAGGAATAGACTCACAAGCAACACCCAAGCCCGATACATGTTCGGGGTCGGGTAGGTCGAACTTTAAGACCTTTGTGTTGCTATTATAGGGGACAACCTCAGAGAGCTTCAGATCGATGAAACCTTGGTCACCACCGGTGAAGGTCTTTGCCATAGGAAGGGCGGCTTTTGCATCTTCAGCCGGCTTGGGAGCATCAGCGGCGGCTTTTTTGTTGTTTCCCAAGAATGAATAGCCCAGAACTCCGGCGCCGATTGCGGCACCGCCCACAAGGTAAGGTGTGGAGGATGAGGAAGATGGCTTGGGGGCTTCGGTTGCATATGTGCGGAGGTTCTATCCAAGGAAATAGTCAGTAGCTGAAGCGATGGTGCGTGTAGACCGTGAAGCATAGTGATTGACAATCATCATACAAGCTTCGAAATTGTAAGCTGCGAGGGAGAGGAAAATAGATACCTGACGCAAAGGAGCTGCGCATCGCAGCACGGAACGGGCCAGCATGTTAAATCTCGAATGGGAATAAAAGCAGAGAAACAAATGACAAGATGAAGGTGTAAATAAAGAGAAAGAATATGAAGGCACTGAAGTGGTTGTACAGAAGACGTGTATGAGAGTGCTTCTGCTAATATAATCTACTCGTAACTTTGGAGTCGATGGCGTCAATTGAGGTTGCGGCTGCCGTGTGATTCGGTGGTGAATGGCCAATGGCTGTGAAGGCAGCCGCGAAGCTTGGCAGGGTTTGGCAGACTCAGAGCTTAACAGCCGGGGACTGCCATGGATGACAAAGCCTGGCGTTGTTACTCGTAGGGTCGAAGCACGAATAACGCCAGATGTAAATGGGGGGCGCCCATTCACGAAAGACCTAAGTCAAACAGACGTAAGGAGCATTCTTACTATACAATTCCACATGTCCAGATCGGAATATTTGAGCGTGGACAAGAGACTTAATTTCTGTCAAGGATCATAATTCTTCCTCCTCATCGTGGCCTTTCCTGCCAGCGGTCCTCAATGGATACCAATTCCACTCATTACTGTCATTTTCATCTAGACAACGCTTCGCAGCCTGGTAAGCTTCCATCCGAGATTTTCGTCTTGCCGCGTTCCCTTCTTTCGATTTGGAAGTTTCGACGCTGTCTTCTTCGGCGATACCGTCAAAGACGGAGACATCTATTGAATGCTCCTCTCCCTCGCTCTCGGTCTCAGATTCAATGAGGATGATATTGTCTCCTTGGTGGGTTCCGTTGAAGACGGTCTTTTGTCCAACCTTTAGGTTTGATGAAACAATATCACTCCGCTCGACCTCACTCTCTTGCGAAGCTGTTTCTTGACTGTCTGGTTGTGCGCGTTTCCTTTTCTTCCCACCACCCTGGAGCTCGGGAGCATCCTGGACTTGCTCGCGGACTTGCTCATCATAGAAGAAGATCTTTTCAGAGCACAAATCGCCAAAAAGAGACTTCATACTCATCTCCTGTGTCCATCCCACGGTCTCCACCGTACACGGGCAAATATCCTTGGGGCGAAACTTGCCCACCAAGTGACAAAGTTCGCCATATGATGAATGGCGAGAATAGGGAAAGAATATAGTACTCGGAGTTTTATTCTCTCTCGATGCCGTTGCAGTCGCCGATGTCGGCTTTTGAACCGAGCCCAACAAGTGAGAAGCCTTCGCTAATGCTTCCTTCAAATCCTGCAAAGCGATGTTCTTGTCCTCATCCACCGATAAAATGTCCCCAAGGCCATCCAAGACCAAGTTGTATCCACGCAGTTTTCGAGCCTCTTGAATCTTTTTCTGAAGTTCTGCATTGACATCATCGTTCAGCACTCCTTGACAAAAGTTTCCAAATTCTTGCAAGGCTGTTAGGTCATCGAATGTAAGCCCCCAAGATTGATAAAGGTCTCCAAAACCACCACCTGCTCCTAACTCTTTGAGTTCCGTGCCATCTTTTAGTCTTGAGATGATGGGGCTGATCCAGACGACATTCTTTTGCTTTTTGATGTTAGAATGACAGGGTGTTCCAGGTTCGCAACTGTGTATTTTGACTTTGGTGTCGTTCTTGGTCGTAAGACAGCCTTGGTGCCACATATTACCCAACGCAAAGCCCGTCAAAGCCGGACCCTCAAGAAAACCAAGTTGCTCATGGGTACCAGATCCCAACAACTTGAGTTGGTACTTGTCCACATGTACACGAGAATTGAGGTTATCTGAGAGAGTGATCCATACATTCTCATATCCAAGAGTCCATGATCTGAAATAAAATAGGGTGTCAGTAGGGCATTGTTTGACTTTTTGTATCAGCTCCATAAGACCCTCAGCCTTTGTAGGAAACGTCTTGTAAGGCTCATCGTGGGTTGCAAAAGTCGTGTCAAGATAAAGGCAGTCCAATGACTTGAGACCGGTCATGTACGGCAAGAATATTGGATTCTGAACGATTGAATTGACCCACCAGGGCTCTGCACGGATATCGCCAGTATATACAACAGCCTTGCCATCGCCTTCAAATAGGAACATGACTGCCCCGGGGCAATGATTGGCGTCGAATAGAGTGACTTGCATTCGAGACTTTGGGCCAAGTTCGATCTCGGTTCTTGCTTGAAGGGGGAGTGGCCGAAGAATAGATTTCAGATGGCGATAGGTCAGCTTTCGGTGTTCAAGGATCCCCTTTGCATGATTGATCCGATGGGGATATTTCTCCATCTGGAGGAGCAGTTGCCTCGTGGTTGCTGAGCAGTAGACGAAAGGCATCTTGATGGAATCAAGGCCCAGTAAATGGTCACTGTGGACATGACTAAGAAACAGCGCGTTAGGTCGCGCTTTGTCCGGGTGGTTTCTGAAGTAGTCGACTCGAATACTAGGGAACTCTTTGACTATCCCATCGAACGTCGACATGATCCAAAAGACCACAGTGGCCAGGCATTTGGGCCTGTGCCGAAAGACTTTGGATGCAAGGCTGAGATGGGCAGCAGGCCTGGAGTTCGAGGCCTGCGGGGCAAGGGTAAACTACGGGATGGGATGGCTTGATGCTGAGTCGCCAACTACTCGGTACCTAAGTTAGGTAACTACTGGAGGACAGGAAGGAATGACTGGCATGCAAGGTCCACTCGCATTCACCGGCTGATTAAGGTAGTTTGCGATAGGCGTGTCCAGACTGGAACCACGGTTGAGCTAGGCCCTTAGGCGTTACAGAAGAGAGCCTATTCACGATGCGCTTTCCGGATAGAGACCCCTGCAGTTGGCTGGATGTTCGCCTGATGAGCTGGCTGCCTTGCAGGTTTTGCAGGCCACCTGACAAAGCGGACGATAACGACCAGGTTGTTTGGTGGGTTGAACTTGCTGCTGATGTTGGCGATGGTGATGTGGCACTCATGATCTGGAGTAACTGACCAGGAACCCAGAGAACTAGTTGGTTTGCTAGGTTCACCTGGATGGCAATTCACATATCCGTTTGGTTGAATGAGCCTCCCGCTTCTGCCCCATTTGACCATTTTTGAGTCTTTGAATGGAGAGACTCACATCCTAGGTAGGTTGGGTGATGTGCTGGTTGATAATTGTTACTAAATCATCTTTCTCGGTCTGAGGACATTCTCGTGCCTAATGACTGCCTCATAGGTACCTAGAGAGGGAATTGTACATAGGGAGGTGCTTGATCTTTCCCCTCGCATTGTCTCCTACATGTACTCCCGACCATTCTTCATCAATTCAAATAGTTCCTGTCATCTCCTCGTGGCACTGCTAAACGAAACACCCGCTTCTGTCTCACTAGACGCCCTCAGTCGATTGCAATTCAAAGTTTTGGTGTCGTTCTGCACCTGGATCGCCTGCACCTGTAGCCCCCGCGAGCGGGAATGGGCGGTACCTGAATTCAAACCAGGCCAATCATCCCTGCCTGCGCCGCCAACGAATGTCTCCGGAATTCTAAGCATCTCTCCCTTCAGACTCACCACCTCATCATCGACTTTGATCCTCAAACTCCATGCTCAGTCCAGATACAACGTTGTTCTCCACCGCCCACTGTAGCCCACCTACCTATCTAGTCCCCATGTGCACCCCTTCATAACCGTACACGGATCTTCACTTTCCCAGGACGTTGACAGCTCACTTCATTTCACCTTCGCTGCCCGTCTGTCGCTCTTCTCGCCAAAATTGGTGATCGGCTTAAACATCTCCACGATCTGCCTTCGTCCACTGTCAGAGATCTGCAACTTTCCTCGGTTCTGGCGCCATTGCTCTTTTCCCACTACCCTTCAACAAGACCCCTTAGACACGAGCAGCTGCAACAAGATCACACATCCTCAACATGCGGAAACCATCCATTCCCGACCTGATCTATCAAAAGACGTTTCCTCGCCCAAAGCAGGGTGAACCTGCATCCTTCTATGCCCACGTTCAACGGCACATAGTGGGAGAGGTTCGGGTGGAAGTTCAGACATACTATGGGGCACTCGACACTTTGGAGGCACAATATCCTGGTCTTGACTACACCTATGCTCCACACCGTCGGCGAATGTCTCGCTATCCATGGCATCGCCGCCTATTTCGTGTGTTCGACGAGCTAAGTCTAACCAACGATGAGATATTAAATCTATGTCAGTGGGAAGGAACAAGAGCTGCCAAAGAGAGATATGAGCGAGAGGCACAAACCGAAGTCAAGACCACAACTGCCCATGACGTTGCTGTTGCTCCAAGGGGATCAGGTCCACGAGTCATTTTTGAAGGGTGGTCGACTGAGTCGTCAGCAGAACAATCGATCGATAGCCAGCACGCAGCCAAAGAAGACCCAGCAGACCAAGAATCAGACGACCAACCAAAATCCGAGCAACGTGGTGACAGTCCCGACTCTCTTCCTGCGCCTTCAAACGAAATCCTTGACCTATTGAGAACCGCCATTCAATCTCGATCTAGACTTGAGTCCAGTGTAGCAACAACGCAAGCTTGGGAGCAATGGCTAAAGGACGCATTAGAACGACATGAAATGGATATTGACTCGGTAATGACTGCTCTGGAAGGTATCGATCCAGATCCGCTTGCCCCTTTGGATGATCTCGAAGCCCTTGGCTCACTTCTCACCGACTCCCCCATTCCAGGCCGCACTCCTTCACCTCGTGCACTCTCATCAGCTGAGCAACGGACTTATGATGAGCTACACAACATGGTGGATCAGCTTCAAACAGACAATACCCGACTTGCAGCTGACAATGCAGCTCTGGCTCTATTTTTGAGACGAACGCAGACTGAGGCAGCTAGATGAACAAATTAACGTCGAATCGCTCGCAAAATTACAAACTCCAAAAATTGAACGACCTCCAGAATGATTTCCTCGAATGTCCATTACGCATTTTATTCCAAAAGTTATGAGCACATGGGGGTGTTACTTGTTATTCAGGCCCTACCTGGGTGGAAAATTGATTATTATGACGTTCAGCGTGGCGTTTCGAGGGATTAGGTATACCTAAGGAATGCACTGGTAGTGAATGGGGACAGGATTATGTTTCATGCAAGGTGAATTTTGTCTGAAAGCTTTTATGGGGGGTGGCATTGCCATCTCGAGGTGACCAACGATCCAACAGAGAGGCGTTGGTCCAGAGAGACGTTTACATCGAGTCTTGTCTGCTGAAAAGGCCATGACGACCACTGATAGCGCATATAGACTGGGTAGGAGAGCATTTATTCTACATCGCCAACATTGCGGAGACAGATGCCATTAAAAAGTCCATTCCTCCAAGACTTCCGTACCATCTACATAAGTTTCATACATGATTCATTTTTCTCGTTTCCTCATTTCCCACCCCCGTTGCACCCTTCACGCCGCGACCGTCGTATTCTTCTTCACGACGCCCCTCGCAAACTCGCCAAACGTCAAACCCGTCTTCAAATCGACGACCTCGTCGAGATTCGGCTGCGTAAAGACGGCCAGGGTATTCCTCGCGATCCTCGCGTTGGGGTCCGCGACATTGGCTTTCTCGACGCCCTTGACGAAGTGCGGCACGGCCTTGAAGCGGCCCTGCGTGATCAGCTGCAGCGTCTCGCCGGTCTGGAACGCCAGACTGTCGCGCGGGATCGCGACCTTGTTGATCTCGCCCGTGCGCGACAGGATGTACAGGCCGGACGTCGGGTCCGGCGACGTGGGGAGTTCCGCGAGGTCCTGCGTCGGTGACGATGAAGAAGATTCATCCACGAACATGGCCGACGTCAGGCCCGTCAGACACCCGTGGTCGAGATGCGTCGTGCACCATGTATCGTCGACCTTGCCCTCGGCGGTCTCCAACCCCGGCTCTTTCTTTTCTTCTTCCTGCTCCTCACTGGGAAAATAATGCAACAGCCGAGCCTTACTGGTGCGACTCCCCTGGACCACGCGCTCCAAATACCCGGGCTCATAGCCCTCGATCTCCTGCTCCGCGTAGCGATCGCACGCCCGCGCCACCAACACGGCGGTATCGATGATCAAACGGATCAAATCCTGCCCACTGCCGCGGAACCCCGGGACCTCGTCCTCGGCCGGCCACACGCTCGGCGCCGTGTACTCGTCGAAGCCGGGGAAGTTCTCCCTGTCGAGCTTGAGCGATGCATCTTCTCCGTCTCCTCCTTCTCTTTCACTCCGTTGGTTGTAGAACGAACAGTTGATGTAGTAACTCCCCTTCTTGTCGTCGACGACGCCCTCGCGCAGACTCTCTTTGCCGTGCGACCAGCCGACCAGGTATTTCGCGGGCGCGTTGGTGAGGCGTTCGAGCGTCGGCGCGGGGAGGGCGGCGAGCCGCGACGCGTTGGAGAGCACGGTCGTGCGCAGCGTCGTGAATTCGCGCGGGAGGTCCGTCACCACCAGGATGCCCAGTGACGAGGGTCCGAAGGCTTCGAGCAGCGTCGAGAATGGGATCGAGTTGGATTGCAGTGCTGAGAGGGACACGGTCACGGGCGTCGCGTGTTTGATTGCCATTGTTGAGCGTGTTTGCGTGAGTTTGAGAATTGGGTCGTGGTTGTGTCTAGAGGTGATGGACGATGGAGATGGATTAATGTGTTTTGGCTCAAAGGGGAAAAGATGGAGAATCCAAATTGTTATATCAGAGCGAGAGAAAAAATGTGGGTAAGTCTTCGTAAAAATGTGGTGTCGATCTGTAGACGAAGACGCTGAACACAACGGGGCGTCTAAAAAATAGAGTATTTGATTAACTGCTTCGTTATTCTTACCTCCACGGTAAGGGGATGCCTCTTTCCACCCCAGAATCCTTATGAGAGGACACTAACGCATTGATTTTCCTGCCTCTAGAGTTTTGCACTCATAGCGGAGTGCGAAAGGCAGAACAACACGAATGCAACGTTGGGTTTATCAAAACAACTCCACCACGCGTGGTGGCGGCGATGGATATCAACGGCAAGCATGGAGATCATCGGGCACCTCCGATATCTTTTATGTGAGTACGACGCCTGCGGATGGCTTGAGTAGCCGAGGCTCCTTGGACCAGCCCCTCGCCGGCGAAAGTCGAGTCTGATTAGCTATCGTGATCCCTGGTGCAGATCATGCGGGCGCCACCGAGGTCAGGTACTGCATGGGGAGAGCTTACGGAGGAGCTGGGGCACCAAGAGGGGTAAAATTGAATGTAGAAAAAAAAGTATTTTGTTGATCGTTGGAGGTCTTCGTCGAATACGAGTGTTGTTCCCATCAATTAAGGTATTGAATATATTATTTTTTGATCTGTATATCATTCCACCTCTTCAGTCTTGTATTTGCATATCTTTTACCACTTGGTTAATCCAAATCCTTCGAGTAGATTCGGAAGGTATGGAGTACCCCAACCGGTGACAGCATCCCACCCCTCTGTGGCAGGGAAACCTGAAGTGTTGCAGCCGGCCGAGGTACCGTTCGTCACATCAGTAAATAGCTTGTGTCCATGAGCATAGAGCCAGGGGTTGAGGAATCCGATGGGAGGTCTTCCTTCCGTGATCAAAGCGTCGTTCAACAGGGCGAAGACTGCGGCGCAGATAGGCGATGACCCTGAGGTCCCAACCAATCCATGTGTGCTGCCGTTCCAGATGGTTGGGAACACTTGACCAATGCAGGAGAGATCGGGGTATGCGCGACCTGGGGAAAACGATGTTGTTAGCCTTGACTTTCTTGAAGGTAGATGGCAAATACTACTTACCTGATTTATTGTAGAAACCATCATAAAGACCGTTCAGACCAGCAACGTAGCCATCAACTGCACCGGCTTGGTACTCAGGCTGAGGGAAATAGTTGCTGAAACCGGCGCCGCTGGTGAAGTAGGCTCCTGAACGAAGTTTCCTCCATGCTGCAGATTCAGGAAAGCCCGTGGTAGCACCAACACTCGTCACATAAGGACAGTCCGCGGGGAAGCTGGGCATGAACATGTAGGTTGAGTTATCAACATTGCTGATACATGTTTCATCCGTACCAACACCAAAGTCTCCGCTGGAGAAGAACAAAGAGACGCCTCGTGCACCGAGTTGAGCAAACTGCTTGCATACTGCTTCCGCATAGGCTTTGCTTACAGTTTGTTCATCATCACCATACGAGGTCGAAATCACCTGGGGGATGTCGTCCTGCGCCACAATATAATTGGCCCACGTCAGGAATGGCTCGTCGCTGTTGTCGGTGGTTAGAAGATCTGGGACATAGGTCGGATTGCGGCCCCCGGTATGATAAGCAACCAATGGTGTGGGATAGCCCACACCGATCATGTACTCAGCATCGAGATTAGCCTCCAAATCTCTGTCCTCATCGGCAACATTGGTGCCATTGTCGATCACTCCTCCATCGATGGAGATGGTCTCAAATTCGTATGCATATGCCTGAGCTTCTGGACGGTATAAGCCCAAGAAGATGCTGATATCGGACCGATTCGTCGCTTCCTCGAGGTAGTTGGTATGGCCCATCTTGTTCACACCAGCGGACTTGGCAACATAGTCCAAAGTTCCGTAGAGAGTTCTGACACAGTCGGGAGTGACGCTCGTGAAATTACAGACGGCAGAGACAGTAGCATTATCCGGCAGAGGAACAAGAGGAGCGGGAGACCAATCATCAGCGACCACTGCAACATGGTTTGTACGCCTCTTGATTTCGTTTCGCTTCTTGTGGCCTTCAAGTCTGGCCCACGAATTGGTGGGTTGAATGGTGCTGATATGCTCGTGGAGATGGAGAGGAAGTGAGTATCCTTCGGTTCGTACCAGGGTTGATCCGTCCTTGTGCTCGTAGACCGAGTATTCGGTGTCAAGCATTTCCTCTACCATGGAAAGAGGTAGAGTGATGGAGATCCAATCCTTGGCTGGACTGTACGAGACATGATGAGGTTCAACACCATGAGTTTCCAACCATTGATGTACAGCATTCGATGCTTCAGCGGATGGTTTGACCAGTTCATTTACCTCTTCGGCAGAAAGATGTTGTCCATATCGAGGATGAGCTGGATCTGACACTATTCTTCAAGTTAGCAGGTCTAAAGAAGTCGACCAATCTACTGTTGTGGAGCGATTGCTTGCCTTCGTAAAGATGCCTCTCAAGTTCCCAGAAACGGTTTTGCGATAGACCTATGGAGAGGCTGATCAAATGATCACCTGGAGCTGCACCCAAGTTTGTCCATGCTCGAGGAGCAGGATGAAAGTCCTTGACAGCGAAGTCGGTTCGTCGCGTGATAGGATTAGCATGGGAAGTTTGGAAGCAGGTCAACAACGACAACGAAGCTACCAAGACGCTGGAAACACGTACGGCTGCCATCTTGAGAAGAGTGAAAAGATGTCAGGAACAAGAAGAGCAGAAGATCGAGGTGGGCGAGGTGGCATTTTTGTCTTCTTCGACTATAATGGGTTCCAACCATCGCACCTTCTCCCAATGGCACTCTATTTTTCTTTGTTGGAATGTACTACGCGGGCTTCATCTGCTTCGCAGACGTCATGGAGGATTCCTGGGCTGCAGTTCGAGGAAACGACTTGCCTGAAAGGAGAGATCTCCGAAAGATAAAGCAAGAGCTGAGGTTGTATCGGCAGCAATCCAAGGTCAATTGGCCAATGCGTTGAAGTGGACGTTTGACGATCTTTCTTTCTTAATGTCCTGGGGAACTGGGTACACCGAGGACCTACTTGAGCTAAAGCTTCACATTGGTCAAGACTTAAGTTGAGCTTCTTATCTGAGATTAGTGTTGAAGGATGGGATAGCTGGGGCATGGTGGGCATGAAATCAGGTTGGTGGGTGTGGCCGAGGCAGACGAGATAAGCTTCGACAGGGTTGAAAGTGGCATGTCTTGTTCACCCACAAGCAATGTTGATCCCGATGCTACCCTTCCTTCGTATGCATTCGTACGCTCCAACTAACCACTCCGGACCTTCCTCATTGAGGATTTCCGTTTCGTAAAGTCGCCATCAGATGTCGTGTGTCGACAGTGGCTGGTAACGATAGTGGCAATTCTAAAACTTTGACGGGATTCATGTTCAAGTCCAAGTTCGATGGGTGAGGACAGAAACTCGAAGCAGACGTGACTTTGCATTGCTCGGCCTGCCTGTTCCTGCAGGTTCAATTTGTAGCGAATACGGGATGAGTAAGAGGATGTCACAGGTGAGTGATTTGATACGACAAGGGGACACAGGGTAAAAGTGTAAGGTTACCACCAGGTTTTGTACGAAATACTCCCGGTTTACGCCCCCGGCACGTCCAAGACCTGTGGCTTACGGGCTCCTCAACCACTAAGTACCTCTTGGTAAGTACTTCTTACTTCGTTGACACACATCTTACACTGGACGTGCTCACCTTTTTCGTCTCGCGGAGAATTCCATTGATCTATCAGTGTTTGCTATGGTAATGAACACAGACTTCATATCTTTTCTATCAAGCTGTTTTCACAGCACCGTTGGAAAATGCCTGCCTGTCCTGCTCGTATTGCCTCGCAAAATCAATAACGCTTTGTTTCCACGGCCTATAGACAACGCCAAGGTGCTTTCGGGATCTGGTGTTGTCAAGCACAAAGTGATCTGCCAGCACCTTTGTGCCCGGTGTGCCACGAGGCACGTTTTGGATCCAGTTCGAATTCGAAAACTCCTGGTGAAGTAGATCGACGACCTGCTGGAAATCATACGCATGGTTTGCGACGATATATCGCCCATTAGCTTCTGGCCGATACAGTGCATTGATGTGAGCTTGTGCAACTTCCGATATATCAGTCATCCAGGGCATAATGGTTCGAGGCAAGTCTTTCTCTTGGCCGTCGATGAGCTTCGACAGATCCGAGTTGGTTGAGTTCATATCTGCAGCTGAACCAACATGCTGACCATAAGAGCCCCAAGTATGACAGGGGTTGATGGCCACCATGTCAAAATGTCTTGATTCCGCTTTCATAAATTCCCATGCCGCTCTCTCCGCAAGAGCCTTCGACGCCGTGTACACCGGCGGAAAAATGGTATACGTGGATGCTTTCTCATATGTCAATGGGTTCCAGTCGGCTTCCGTGTACGTGTAGCCAGGACGATGAAAGCCAGTAGCGTGAACGGGGTCAATGCAGGCCGCAACGGAACTGGTAAATACCACTCGACGAACGTTGGGTTCTTTAGCTGCGGCTTTCAATGCCGACAACGCTCCTTCTATTGCGGGATCCAGAACTTCAGCTTTTGCGTCGCTGAATTTGTACTTGAAGGGCGAAGCAACATGAAAGACGGCATCGCAACCTCGAACAGCTTCGTCGAATGCCGTGGAAACCGTTATGTCAGGTACGATGAAAACAACAATGCTGGAACCATATCGCTGCTCCAGGGGAGTTCTTGCCGATTCCCTTCTTACTGCTGCATGGATTTTGACGCCCTTCTGCACCAGCTCGTCCATAATGGCAGCGGCGTAGAAGGCATTTGCGCCCGTCACCAGCACAGTGTGATAGTCTTGAGCTGCTGCCATGTTACTTTGAGAGGTCAATGACCTTGGAGACAAGATGAATATGAACGAAGAAAACGCTCGCCCAGCTTGTGTCTGTCTTTTTGAGTCAGGTACTCGAACTGCAGTCGACACCCCTGTATCAAACGTTTGAGGGGACACAGAAGGTTTGTGGAGAAGAAGCCGGCGTGGTACGGCCCCCCCACAAAGAGGCCTCATATTGAGCTTCCCGGTCTACAGAATCGCTCGCCCTACCTTTTTGCCCAGAAAGGCTGGGGGACCATAAGTGGAGCCACTTTCGCAGTGCCTTCCCCACAAACCTGGGGTTGGTCCACAATGTTTAGTCCATGTACAACTGCAGTCCGAGCACATTCTCATGGCTTCGACTCCGAGGCGAGGTTTAGACCACCAGCTAGCTGAAAAGCTCCGTACAAAAGCTTTGCTGCAAGACGATCTACTTGTAGACCGCGAGTCCCTCATTCTCCAGATCAATTCTGGTACCTCTCTACCACGAACATCTAGACCTTGCTATAGCCTTCTTCTAGACCACTCTGAGTAGGGCAAAAGCCAACTCAGGATATCACATTACTACCGATATGGGTGAGACAATGACTACCGCGGCACACCTTGAGTATCGAGAAGCCAACGCAGAAGTTCATATCAAGACCATCATCCTCGTCATAGTATGTCCCCCCTGAATCGCCATCCTTTCAGGATACATGTCCAGCTGACACGCATCCTATAGGCTGTCAACGTTGTTTACTTTGCCCAGCTCGTCAATGTTGTCGGCTCAGGTGCCTATGCTCGGTCTATATCAGCTGTAGTTGGTGGTGAGGCAGACATTGTGTGGCTCACCTCGGTGATCAGTATCCTTACCGTTGTCTTGAGTCCTCCTGTCAGCCAAGCGACCGACTATTGGGGCCGAAAATGGTTCCTCGTTGTGCTGACCGCGCTGGGTTGCGTGGGATCCATCGTTGTGTCCCGTGCCGACTCGATGGCTATGGCGATTGCTGGCTTTACGGTAACCGGCCTCTCTTACGGCGCTCAGCCCCTTCTTCACGCCGTCACGTCTGAGGTGTTGCCTCGGAAGCATCGACCGTATGCTCAAGCAAGTGTCAACGTCTCTGCTTCTCTCGGTGCTATATTTGGTCTTCTCGTTGGCGGAGCCCTTACTCGGAACAATCATCCGAATGGCTTTCGAACTTACTGGTATATCACTGCTGCTATCTATGCTGTCGGCGCAGCTGCATGTGGCTTGCTCTACAACCCTCCACCACGGGAGCTGCAACTCAGCCTGACACTCCAAGAGAAGTTGCGAAAGCTCGACTGGCTCGGCTATCTGCTCCTTATGTCAGGGCTGGTTCTGTTCTGTCTGGGCCTCTCATGGTCTCAAAATCCATATCCCTGGACTAGCGCTCGAGTACTTGCTACTTTCCTCGTCGGTGTGGTCTTGACCGTCGCACTGGTCATCCACCAGTGGCGTTTCAAGAGTGATGGAATGTTCCATCACGCACTCTTTAGAGGTCGTAACTTCGTGCTCGGTGTCTTTTGCATCTTCTGCGAGGGCATAACCTTCTTCGCTGCCAACAACTACTTTGCATTCGAAGTCAGTGTCTTCTATGCCACAGATCCGCTGACCATCGGTCTGCATTATACCATTGCCTTCTACACTTTTGGGCTTTTCGCGGTTGTTGCCGGACTTTACTGCTGGAAGACCAAAACCGTGCGGCTACCCATCATCGTCGCCTTCCTGTCATTCGTCATATTCGATATTCTCATGGCGACTTCGGACGCTCATACCCCTGAAGCCAACATCTGGGCCTATCCTATCTTCTTAGGCCTGGGCCTGGGCTTCTGCTTGACAGCTTTGATCACGGCCGCGCAGTTTTCAGCTCCGGTCGAGCTTATTGCTGTGGCATCAGGTCTTTTGATCGGCGTCCGCAGCCTTGGGGGTTCCATAGGACTCGCTATTTACAACGCCATCTTCAATAACGTGCTCAGCAACAATCTCGGCCCCAAAATTGCCGCCGCAGCATTGCCACTAGGGCTGCCAGCAGAATCTTTAGGTCCCCTCATCGGAGCTCTTACAGCACACGATAATGCGGCTCTCGCTCAGATTCCAGGCGTCAACGAGGACATCATTGGTGCTGCTGCGGGCGCTCTTCTTGATGCTTTCGGTCTTGCGTTCCGCTACGTGTGGGTAGCTGCTGGATGCTTCGCACTACTGGCCTTGATAGGTAAGTTCAGTATTTACTACTGTATTGTTGTTGAGTCAGCTCTGACCGGTTTCTCATGACAGCATCGCTCTTCATTACAAATCCCACTGGAGATTTCAATGCGCATATCGACGCGCCGGTAGAAATTGATACTATTGCGGAAATTGGAGGAGAGCAGGGCAGCTCCGATAAAGAGATCCAGAGATCAGTGACATAGAAGAGGCCCTGTGCTCAAACAAGCAAAGAAGTTACTAGTTCCTGCTGACCTACCGTGCATGTGCTACTCCCATGTCATCGTGGGATGTCGTGCTATATAATGGAATAAAACCTGAACCATCTCGTGGCTATGACCTCTTACTATTGCATACCTTTCTCGGATCATCTCGGAGAGCCCGTGATTTCAGCTAACATCCAAGTCAAGCATGGGTGGCGAGCTAAGGAGGCCCTGCCACTCGAAAACAAAAATTAACCCTGACTTCTCGGCCACATGACATCTTAGTTTCCCTAACACAGTCATTATATACGACCGCAGTAATCGACTAACCCACTTGAACATAGGTGGTTAGTGGTATCTAGCCAGTTTGAGGACAGCCTTTGAAGAGTAAGAGCATTTCTACAGAAATCTACTCCTAGGCCCGAAGTGAACCACCGCAATCACAGCCTTAGCTACTTTGGAATAACCGGAATTGTCAACGAGCTAGGATACTCGCCGCCCGCGTGCAACACATGCACACCGACATTCTCGTCCTCTGGCTCCGTCAACCGACACATCTCCGTCTCCGGCAAGCACATATCATGACCACTGACGCGCAACATGATCCCTTCTCCCGCCGCGAACGTCATGCCGATCGGCCAGATCGGAATCTCCAAGCGCACGATCGATCCCACCGGCTCGATCGCCCGGCGGATCCGATGTGTATAGAAGGGTTCGACCGCAGACAGTGACGAGGACCGATCGAGACTGACTGCATGCGACGCGCGCAAGAAGCCTTGTGGTCCTAGCGTCTTCACGACGTTGACGTCAGGCACTTTCTCATCCGGTACGGGGCACGGGTAGTTCAAATGGGCCAGGGGCTCGCCAGCTGAGTTGATCTTCCTGATTTGGACGACGACGTCCATGTCGTTGGAGTCTGGAGTCGAGAGGAATAGTGTTGCCAGGGAGGGGCCGGCAAGCTCGGTTTCCGCCGGGAAGAAGAGACGGAAGTCTAGAGAAGCGGTTAGATGGTGCGCTTCGTACTGCGCGGAGGTGGCTTCCGTTGGAGACTCAGTCTGAAGTGTGCGATTGGCTGCATTGAGGTAGAAGGTCGTGAGTTGCTGGCGCGCCAATGGGTACTCTTTTTCAGGTCTCTCTAGCACCGTGGCCGCCGGGCTAACAGTATCGAAGCCCAGTAAAGACAGGCGTACACTGGGGATATCCCGCTCCCAGCCGTTGTCGATGCCCTTGGCATATCGATCGAAATAGCGTTGCAACTCATCACTGATTTCTGGCCGGTACAGATCGTACCCTGAAGATGTAGCCTTATTAGCAAAAGAGCAAGCAATCGTCGTAACGACAACCCAAAACAGGAGAAGAAAGGGGGAGTGGACTTTAAGAGTGTTACTTACATTCCTGATATGGATGCACACGTAGCCATTTTTGCGTTGTCTTTGCCTTCCTGAAAGTCTCGAATGAGCCATTTGTGTGTAACATGCTGGAGTAAGATGCCAGCACGTATAGCGGGACATTGTCGATTCTCTCTACGGGTATACGCTTGGCTTCCCAATAGTCGTCGTATAATGGGTGAGACGGGAGCATAGCGACCATATTCTCGACGCCTTCTGGACCGGCAAAGCCGCCTGAAATCATCTTGTGGAAGCCAGCGATATGAGGTCGCCCACCACGCGCGACAAAATGTCGATATGCGTCTGTATAGCTCTCCCAAGGTGCAAGAGCTTTCAAGGCTGGATGCGATAAACGAGCAGCGAAGTTGATTTGAGAGATTGCGAGCCACGAGTTGCCCGCCATGACGACTGAGCCGTTACACCACGGCCGACGGGCTAGCCAGTCTATTACGTCCCAGATATCCTGTGCTTCTTGATTGCCCCAATGGGCTATGATACCTTCACTGTGACCGGCGCCCCGAGCATCAATGTTGATCACTGCGTAGCCTCGCTCTGACCATTCTGCAGGATCCGGAGCCTCAAACTTCTCATATCCCGAAGTCCTGCCTTTGGCAATGGCGGCTCGGAAAGGTGCCATGAAGTCGTAGTTCTGAGGACCAGTGCCGGTTTTACCGTACGGGCTCCAAGGTAGAATAGCAGGCACTGGGTCACTTTCAGACGTTGCGGGACGAAAGATATCGGTGTATAATCGTTTGCCATCACGTACGATAATGGCCTGATCCCTTTCGAAGATCGTATCGACACCGAACGCTCGATATCCTTCCGACTTACGGTATCCTTTGGCAAGTGTCGACTTGCCTGGTTTGAAGCCTTGATAGTTGTAATGGGGGTGCTCAGAGGCAGAGAGGATATGGCTGACGATCGTATCAGGAAATTGCTCCTGTATCAACAAGCCGGCATGTCCTGGCGGGGCATGACCAGCACCCTCGTCTGTGTTGCCAGTTGGTGAGGACATGAGAATCTGCCAAAGGATCGGTTTTCGTCGCTGGCATGTTGTTAAAGCTTTGAAGGTCAGTCTTGTATGTGCTCATAGGCCATGAATAAAGTTCCCGCCTGTTGAGACATGTTCTCGGGATGCTGTGGTGAGAGGGTCCTCCACAGTTAGCCGAGTAGATATCTCCACAAACTAACCACCCTCAATTTGTGGGGAAGGTATCCACGCCAAGTCTGAGAACAGTGACAATGGCCGTGCTTGCTGTGTAGAGTAGTGGCGGATCTAGCCCAAGCTATTACTGACTTGCTGCATGTGATGGTAGAACATCTCGACAAAGTTAAAACATGGGGTTGCTGTTAGAGGACTTACGACTGGAATAGCACATAATGTGGGATTCAGAAATTTCCGATGTTTATTAAGAGAACCCTGAGCCCTTCAAAGCATCGTTGATACCTATCTCGAATGCTGCCGATCTTCATCCCTCGCCATGTCCAGAATAAATGCTGATCGTAGGCCTCGAAGAACCCAGCCCCGTCTCTATCAAGATACTAACAGTAAGACCAGTTGCACTTCAACTCAACGAAATCTCGTTTGAGTGGGGAGATAGCTATGATGCGAAGGTATGACCAGGGAGCCCGATTACCTAGGAGAGCTTGAAGTTAACTCTGTTGCAGGACTGGGGTCGTCTCAGGGCTATCATTGCGCCGACTCTTGTGGTAAGTCATGTTTCTTGTGCACTGCTCCTGCGCCGTATCAAAGTTTCAAGAGATATTGATGGGAGGGACTTGCATAGATCGATTATACCGAAGTCACGGGAAACAAATGGGACGCATTGCCCGCTGAGGAATTTGTTGGAATGGTTTCAAGCGAGGGCTTCGTTGGGGATCCCCTTGTCGACACGCAGCACTTTCTTGGTGGCTCCAAATTCGAGAAAATCTCGGATGATGAAGTCTTTGGATATCATCAGCTTCGAGCGGCTCATCAAAGATACACTGACGCGGGGAAAAAGACGGTTGAGGCCAAAGGCCATGGTCATGCATTGATCAGGCACTATTATAAGAAAATCGATGGAGACTGGAAGCTGGCAGGGCTGCGCCCAACAGTCCGGTGGAACGAATTTGCCTTCCATAAGATCTTCAAAGGCCACTAATCGGGCTACTTCTCTCGTGAAATGACATATCATTCAGTTCACAGCCTCATAGTCTTCTTCTTTCAACCTTTTATGTCAAAACACATACTGAATTGTCGTATTCTGGCATTAATTTGCCTAAAGTCCAGGGGGCCTGTTACAACGCAAATCCCAGCTTTGAGCCTGCGGATGTGTATATTCAACCTTCGAGCTCGCGGGCGTCCTCGAGATTGAAACCGAGTCTTGCATCCTGGACATGGAGTCATCTGAGCACCGATCGGTTTCAGAAATCAACCCTTCGCAGACTGCGAACAGTGGGGACATCCCTCCACGCTATGTGGTGCAGCATGTGGACTTGCAAGTGGCGTACACTTCGCTAGTAGTAAGGCGCTATTGAATGCACATGGATCGCTGAGGGATATTGAATAATGGGGAACGGTAGTTCCAACATCGAGGAGCAACCGGAGAAGTATGATGCAAAGATTAATCCACAACGTCCGCGGGCCTGGGTTGGCGATGGGCATTGTGCCAGAGAAAATCCGCATATCTATTGGTACAGTCATGAGAAAATAGGGATCCACTGCCAGTAAGGTTTATATTCGGGCAAAGTTACAGCCTTCAGGTTATGCAGAGCACGCGATTGTTCATCATCGAAGCCAGGGCTATCGTATTCCGCGAGGGATATACGATCTTACCGATTGATGATTTTGGCCGTTGCACTTGGCTAATTTTGTGGGGAAGGACGAATGTTTTGCTTTGTGGCCATTTTGAGTGCAATTGTGCGAACCCACATCAGCTTTCTCCACTCCGAGTCGGTTCTCCTTGTTTTTGAATGAAGGAGGCAAGGTGGGCAACACTGCTGTTAGTATTGTGAAGGGAAGAGTTTCTCTTGTTATGGTCTAAGTTTCTGACGCCATTGATCCAGCACCTTTCCAAACAAATGGGAAAGACCCCAGTGTGACGAAATTCCCGTGAGCTGCATGCGCAAGTTGTGAAGTTCCAAAGACATCTTCCGCGAGAGGTTCCGAGTATTGACTGGGGCAAAGGTATTCTGAAGGAACTGCTGCGTCTCAAGGCTGCTGATATCGTTCACAGGGCTGGCGCCGACACTTGTTGCGTTGCCATCCTGCCATACAATATCCCAATCAATTATAGCAGGAACAGCGATGACTTGGAAATTCTCGACCATAAAAGCTGCTTGAATTGCTGCAGCCATGAAAATAGCGTAAGGTAGGTGTATGACATGTGACCGGCCCACAGGTAATTTTTGGATAAGATCGCGAATGGCAAATGCATGAAGGAGAGCGCGCCGTGCATCACAAGTTGCTGTCCATGACTTGATGTCGTGGTAATGTTGACGTGCCTGAGTCGAACGCTGGCGGAATATCTTCTCCGAAACCTGGCATGCATCGCATATTAGGTCGCAAAGCGTCCGTATCGACACAGTCATACTGATAAAGATGCAGTGCCAGCGAAGTAACAGTTCTGCTGTGTTTGGCGATGTTGTAATTTGGGAGCGGTATAGACGAAGCATGGCGTTACAGATCTCACGACGTGATGGTGTGCCTATCGTGCGACCACCAGCATCAGCCTCTTCCGAGACCATGGATTGTAGGCTTTCAAGAACAACACGCATGGCAAGTTCTGGGATCTGTTTCGAAAGACAAGCTTCACTAGGCTGGAAAAGAGCGTAGATGAAGTCCCGGAAAGTCATGTCGAAATGATCGCCCTTTCCCATCTCCTGGATCCAGTCGTTTGGAGTGGCAGCGTCGAAGGCTTCAACAGAGACTGGCATTGGTAGTGCATTTGCACCGTGGCGTACACAGGTTGGATTCCCAGAGAACTGTGCAATTAGCCCATCTAGGATGTAGTGAGTAAGGAGCGCTCGTAATTGAGCTTCTGAAACTGCCCATGTTCTCCACGCTTCGGCCTTTTCAGTTTCGGGTGCCGATATGCTTGGCACTGTAGTTCTTCTTGCTATGCTTGACGCGAACATGCCGCATTCACGAGACCAGTAGAAGCCCAGACCGTGAAACACTTGACTTGTCATGCGCAAAGTATATGTTCCTGACATGATAGCGTATAGCTGTCCAAGGGCAGCCGTTTGAACAAGCTGTACCCCATCACAGTTATCATGCGGTCCACGATGGGACATCAAGGTTGGCCAGGACGTTGCAACGACAGCATGCGCCAGTGACCACAAGGATTCGCCCTGCAGAGTGCCCAGGTCAATTTGAGAGCTATCACTCTAGTGACATGAATTCTGAGCGCGAGATAACAAAAGACAAAGAAATCATGGCAAACTCACTCGCGCCCCAGCCTCACTAGAGTCAATGAAGGAAGACCCAAGCGCCAGCATGTTGAGAAGTAAAGGTGACCCACAGTCACGAGCGTGGAATGTGGGTCTATGGATGATTGGGAAAGTAGGCAGGAATATTGTGAAAAAGAATTCCATGCATTCGTCAAAGAAAGACGAGGCGACGTCAGTATTTTCGAGTTCAGCAACAAGCTTCCCTGGCAGCTCTTTGATGACCTGGCTTAAAGCGTGTATTGCATCCCTGCTGACATCGACAGAACTTGTTGGCATACTTTCATCGATAGAACCAGTAGACAAGCATGTCTGTCCCTCCGGAATAGCTTGTGCATAAGTGGATATGGGTAAAGCCAGATTCAGGGTTTCGTGATCTGATCTCAAGAGTGTGAAAATGTCTTCTGAGGCAAGACCCCAGTCAAAACCAAAGTCTTGATCATCATAGCCACCAGCCATAGACGTATAGACCTCAGGCTGGTCTGTATTACCGCCTAGCCCGAACGCTGCGGAAGAAGTTATGTACCTTGCATCAGGATGAGCTCCAGACTCCTCTCGGGGCAAGTTATTCTCGTCAACTAAGTCGGCAGCAGGGTCCGAGACTGGGTGCCTCATAGAGAGCACCGAAGGCACATGTAGTTGCGAGGCCGAACTCGATTCAACGGTGGCTTTAGACGGCAAATTGCCGTCTGCCAGCTGTGAATCTAGGCTCCCAGTGCCGTCTACTCGACTTCGGGAAGCATCGTGCAACTTGCTGTGACGAAGCATAGAGTCCTGGCGGCCAAAACATCGCCAACACACTGGACATGCGAATGGTTTCAAGCCCAAGTGAGTTCGTTCATGCCGCGTAAGATGCTCTGCCTTGGGAAAGGCGCGACCACATCTCTCATGAGAGCACACGTATCTTCGGATTGGTGTGGAGCGCTGACGGCCTAAATGTGTCCGTCAGTTTGCAGGGCTTGTCATCACAGGACTGATGTTCTTATGCGTACTAGATGACTGGCCATGCGCCGCCATTTATGTATATCCGAATATCTCAGACGCATGAAGCTGGTCGAAGCTCATAAGAACGGATTGCTGGAGCTGAAGTAACGCGTGCGTGAGACTCTATCATAGATCATAGGCCCGGTGCGATGCATGTAGAGATGGTTAGCGGTTCTCTGGATTTAGAACCACGTAAATATGACCCTCTCAGCACTCGGAGACGACCTGTGGCTGCAATATAGCAAGAAGAAGACTCTCATGAGTGTCTACAGATCTTGAGGTAAGTAAGTAACTGAGACTCGAAATGGTATTATTGTCTTGGCATGCGGGGAGAGGAAGTGGAAGACACGCCTAACTACCCGCGTGTGGACGCTTAAACTAGCTCACACCCAGGCAAGTAACGGGCAATGAACTGGGTGCCAATACCAAACTCCGTCCCGGTGGGCAGGCACCTAGCAGGTCATAGTCTCTGTGCTGAAGCGAACTCGATTTCGGAGTACGTCGTACCCATCACCTACCTATATGCAACTTCGTGGGGCCTAGGTACTTCGGCATATAACTACCTAGGTAAGTGCCAAATGCTAGTTAACTAGTAACTAGTGAAGCACTCAGCCTTTTCTTTACTCAAGCCTCGATCCGCATCTGCTAAATAACCAGTTATATTAAACCTTTGAGAGGACAGAAATGCAATGAGTCAGACCTCTCTCGCGGCTATCGATGGATACAGAGTCATCCATTGATAGTAGGTCACTGATAACCTCCCGTAACTGGCCCCAATTAACTAGCGTTCGCATTGAGTACAGCATGGTATGGCAGACATGAAGTAGACCAGGTGATGAAATCTTCTAACTCGCAGGTCTGAGGGGCACTCACTTCTACATTGATTATGTTTACCTGAGAGAACAGGCTGCCTCGTTGGCAAACCGCCAAATACTCCCTCTCAGCACGAAAGCATGAACCGCACCAAACAAAGGAAACGGACTCTAACTAGGCACCGGTTGCCTTGCCTCAGCCCCAATCATTTTGCTTCGCGTTTGTGTCACGCGGTTTGGAGCGACCTCAACGATTGCTCAACCTGTGTTTGAGATACTCTGAACCTCGTTGAAGATCTATTTCTGCCTACTTGAGCGAATTTCTCATCTTCCTTGCCGCCATCACTCCGTGATATATCTTGTTGTCAACTCCTCGCTACCATTTCAAAGCTCTCCATTCTCTCTGGCGTCGTGACAACTCCTACCTCCTTAATGGTTCAGCCTTATCAGACTATCAGCACAAAAACCCGTCCTGATGTGTAATCTACTAGTTCCTCTTTGTCCCTTCGTTCTCCATTCCGTGAGGACATCCGCAGAACGTGAAAACTGGTCCCGTGGACACTCAGATGCCAGGATACTGTATCAATATCTGTCCAAGTCTCCAAATGACTATGCTCAACATCGGTCGAGACAAGAGCCTCCGAACGCTCAAAAAATTCCTCTGGCTCAGACATATACTAAGCTTTACGACCGAACCAGTTGGCATACATGCTCGTGCTTTTTCAGACGGGTCACTATCCTGCATCCAATGCCGGGGCCCAGCCGTCCAATCTTTGGAATGGCCTACCGCCATTGTAAACGCTGCTCTAGTGCTGCTAAAACAGTCAGACCGATGCGCATGGGTGGAATTGGAGACAAGGGAGACCCTTATTTGAATCGATGCATTTTTGCTGGAGCCAGATGGCGTTTTGAGAATGGATTTGAAGACGAATATGAGAAAATCGGCGAGAACATGAGATTCTCACCCGAGGACGCACACGCAGCAAAGGTCATTCGTCCAGTGGACTTTGTAGGACGATATGATGGGTATCAAAAGCATGGCCAGAACCTACCGGTTGGATATCCAGAGTACGGTGAACAACAAGCTCGACCTCACAAAGAAGGCTGGAAGACCGTTCATGATATGCGAACCTTAGACTCAGCAAACATAACTTACAGCGAGGACCTTGACAGATATTTGGCTGAGACTTATTCCTCCAAGATCCGCTTGAATACCTGATATTCTGGTACCATCTTGCCACGTACCTTCCAATCCATCCAGCGGACGCCCTGCATGAGTTTTAGGACATCAGAGCAATCGAGAGTCCATCAAAGCTTGGGTTGTTTTGTCGGCTTGGTGGAACCATACCCAATCTTTACTATGGGATCAAAGACGAAGCCTGCCCGAAAAGTAATTCTTATCAGAATTGATACTGCTCTCGCCCTCACTAAAAGACATTATGAAAGCCCAGGACTCAACAAGATGTCCAGTACCATCGACATGGCCTTTATTTACTCTTCCTTCTGATTTGAACAAGTATCCTGGCGGCTCTGAAGGACATCTTAGAAGACCGGCAACAATACAAGCCCCTGGAAACCTAGAAAATAGTATCGTACCAATTCTGAACAAGCTGGCCGGAAGTCGCAGTTGTGGCCTTGCACGAGCACATTGAATGACCTGCATTCAAGCTATTAAGTAATATTTTGTGACAGTGGTAATGCGTATTGGAGGATGATGATGCCATCGCCTTCTCCAGTAAACTCGCAAGGATTCATGGAAGGACTTGTCAAAACGGTAGAAGCATTAACTATAGCATCCCGGGTTTAATAGGTGGCCTGTGGGGCCCCTCAGGTCTGAGATTCGCGAGGATGAAGGTTCATAGGCACAGATATCTCATTATTAGTTCCATGCCCCAAGTTGTTCAACCATGCACAAGTTAAAGTGCTACGGGAGTAACCTGCCAAGTGATATTGACGGCACACAGGCTTCCCGTTGAACTTTGCTTTTTCTTACCCATTTCCATAGGCGTGATGTGACCCTCTTTGCCCAACCTACGTCATGAAGTTCCTTCGACATTTGTCCATGTGGCTTTCAGTGGTTGATCTGCACGCCATGCCCCCACAAAAGCCAGCCTGATCATCCTCAACCAACGCGTGGCTGGCAAGGTCATACCAATCAAAAGCCCGAATGAAGCGACCTTCAAGGCTTGGACGATGGTGCAATACAATCCCTGCGTCTCTGATCTCGCGAAGGGCACACGACTACATACTGCTGAAATCCTACTTATCAGGATACACGACCATGACTTTAGCTATTAGTATCTTCACACCATTGAGTTCTCGGTTCTTGATTTAATCGATTTACTCACTTCCAGAACCTCCTCTTGACTATGGCCGACGACAAAACCGTCGTCGATGGGAGCAACAATGACTTTCGCAATAGGTTGGGGAGTGAAGTCGCTGCCGGAATCGACGATCTGAGTGCAATCCCTAAAGGAACAATCGATCCTGTCTATGAAGCCAAAGCCAGGGTTTTGAACAGAGCCATCCAGGACATTGGAATGGGGTGGGTGAAATGCGCCTTTTCAATATATCTAACTCACTTGCTAATGGCGCCCTAGTCGATATCAATGGCAATTGTTCATCGTCGTCGGCTTCGGTTGGGCAATGGATAATTTATGGCCGATTACTACGTCGCTCATTTTCACCCCAATCACGAATGAATTTAGCCCTACACGACCACCGCTCTTGACTCTGTCACAAAATATCGGCCTCCTTGCGGGCGCTATGTTTTGGGGGGTAAGTGTACTTTGTTCCTCAACACTCTTTGGAAACATAAGCCTCGGACGATAGTGTCAGTTTCTATGTCTATCCCGTTGGCTGACTTTCGATATTAAATAGTTTGGATGCGACTTGTTCGGTCGCCGGCTAGCATTCAATGCAACTCTTCTCATAATTGCCGTCTTGTGAGTTGTCCAAGTCAACGATATTGTCGTGGGCTGTCCGACTGAAGAAACTAACACGGATCTTGCAGTGGGCTTGTTGCGGCTGGGTCGCCCAATTTCGCGGCGATAGGATGCTTTGCTGCTCTATGGTCGTTCGGAGTTGGTGGTAATCTTCCTGTGAGGATATCGGTGCCTTCTCCTGTGTGAAATATTGACCTTGTTATAGGTCGATAGCGCCATCTTTCTCGAATTCCTTCCAGGCTCGCATCAGTATCTTCTGACTGTGCTATCAATTGATTGGGCATTAGCACAGCTTGTGGCAACACTAATTGCATGGCCACTTCTCGGAAATCTTACCTGCCAGCAGGATGAGACATGTACACGATCCGGGAACATGGGATGGAGATATTACATGCTCGCAGTTGGAGGAATCACCTTTATAATGTTCTTGATTAGATTTGTACTCTTCACGATATACGAGTCTCCCAAGTACAACATGGGGAAAGGGAATGACGAAGAAGCCGTCAGAATTGTCCATGAAGTTGCGCGTCGCAATGGTAAGACGACTACCTTGACAGTCGAGGATCTGAAAGCTTGTGAAGTTCTGGGGAATGGCCGGGCCCAGCAGACGGATGCTTCAGCTGCCATCAAGAGAAAACTGCAGTCTCTCAATCTGACACATGTCCGATCATTATTTGCGACAAGGAAACTTGCCTTGAGCACCGGTTTGATCATGCTGATATGGGCTTTTATCGGACTTGGTTACCCGTAAGAAGCAATGCAATCCCGACCCGATTGAACTTGACTAACACTCATATCAGACTTTATAATGCCTACCTACCGTACTTACAAGCCATTCGGGGTGCTGAATTTGGGGATGGTTCAACTTACATCACTTATCGTAACTCTGCCATCATCGCGGTTCTTGGCATTCCTGGAGCTCTTCTCGGTGGTGCCATGGTCGAGATCAAGAGTTTTGGTCGGAAGGGAACATTGGCCCTATCTACGGTCCTGACTGGAGTGTTCCTATACTGCTCTACCACGGCGAAAACTTCTGATGCTCTACTTGGATGGAACTGCGCATATAATTTCACAAGCAACATCATGTATGCCGTGCTTTATGCCTATACCCCAGAGGTGAGTTTTTCATGCCTCCACACCAGCAGTGATAAGCCTCGCAAGTCACCGAAGTGCTGATGAAAATGTCTGATTAGGTATTCCCCACGAAAGATCGTGGAACAGGCAATGCGCTTGCAGCGACTGCGAACCGCGTTTTTGGCATCATGGCTCCTATCATCGCCATGTTTGCCAATCTGGAGACTGTCGCGCCAGTCTACACCTCTGGTGCATTGTTCATCGCTGCAGGAATCGCAGTGGTCGCACTGCCATTCGAGAGTCAAGGTAAAGCAAGCCTGTAGAGCTCATGGGATATACCATGGCATGGTCGGAAAAGTAAAGAACAGATCAGGTGATGTAGCTGAAAACAACTGGAGCTCTAACGGGGGAAGCCCGAGGCACGAGGCTGAGGGGTCAGGGGAAATCATGCACTTTGAATGATCACCAAGACTGGATAAGACGTGAACGCTAAAGAGCATGGTCCATAGTATCACGCATGATATTATCGACTTGAGAACCAATCAATCAAGATATACTGAGGATCTGCATTCCTTGGAGGCTACTATCATTCGGATTTATACTATTGAAGATTGAGCTTGTTGTTTGTTCACTCACAACTAATAATCCACTGCTATGCCATGAATAACCGCAAACTCTAGCACAATGAAAGCCACATAGCCCACCAGCATGACAGCCCCAATCCACCGACAATACCTGCCACCAATCCAGATTGTGAGGGTGAAAGCAAGTGTTGAAGTCCACAACACCCCCAGTTCAGCCACATTCACGCTGCCCCTCTTCAAATCCCCTGACGTGTCAAGCATGACAACACCCAGACACAGGGAGAGCAGGAATATATTGCTTCCCGCAGTGTTGGCAACGAGGATGCCAACATGGCCCCGGGAGCCACTGACAATCGCGACAAACTTCTCCGGGAGCGTTGTTGCGATCGCCAGAACCACCACGCCGAAAAGTACGTCGGATATACCAAGCTCGTCTATGATTGTGGTGGCGGAGTGAGCGAGTACATAGCCAGATAGACATATGGCGAGGAAGCCGAGGATGAGGTAGGAGATATGGTAAGACAGACTGCGCCGTGGCCGGCCAGTCCTCCTCGTGGGAGCTGCTTCGGTGGATTCGCCAACGTGATCTAGGTGGCCAGATGACCCAAAGACAGGTGATCCGTCTCGTACGTCCGTATCTCCATTGAGGTAAAGGGGTGTTCTCTCTGTCGGATCTATAATCTCATCGCTATCACTGCTGCTGGTGTCACTGCTATCATCATCAGAGTCCTCGGGCGCGGTTAGGCTACCCCTACTTATTGCCCATGCCACAGAGCCGATGTAAAGAGCGAAAAACGCAACCAGCAATGCCCCACAGATTTGCCATACCGATCTCCTTGGGAAGTATATGACTGGTAAAATGGTAGTTGTCAAAGCAAGTAGCAGCAGGGTATAGGTTCGTGAGCTCCTATCAAATTCGAGTGATGCGCCCCCCGGATGACATAAAAGACCCAGCGAAAAAGCTCCTAGGATGTTCGAGATAGCAGAACCGACGACATTCCCGAGAGCTAACGAAGCTCGTCGGTGTGCAAGTGATGCAATGACGACTGCAAGCTGGGGTGGAAGGTTCAGTCAGGGGACCGAAGTTCAGAGACTAGTTGGAAAAGTGGTACAAACCTCCTCCCACTCCCCGCCTGCCGTCAGAAGTCCAACGATCGTCTCTGGTATTCCAGTCCGGCGAACAACGATGGCGGCGTGATCGATGAATTTGTCGGCTCCAAATTCCAGAACGAAGAGCGTGGTGACGAGAACCGCAACATTGTACGTGACTACATCAGCATTGGCCATATCATCAACAACATTCAGGTGATGATTGACAAATCTGAACATGGTCCAGATGCTCCGAACTGTGCCGATATCTCCAGAAGAAGAATCCCTCCCCCTGTTTGGTTGTGCTGTGGCCTGTCAAGCTTTGCAAATCAGCGCGACGAACTTGGCTGATCGAGTCTCAACATGGGCTTTTGAGTTGAATCAAAGATAGAGCAGTCACCAATTGTGGTAATGGTGCTGGAGGTGACTTCCATACGTAAGATCAAGTGGCGCTTTTCCCTGATTTAATGGTCCGAGGTCTGTAGGAGGTCCCCCGGCTTCCTGGAGTCCACTCGAGACTACTTAACTGACTAGTTTAGCTGGTTCAACCAGAACTGCTAACTTACTCGTACTCCTCCTGTACAATATATGTACCTAGGTAGGTAAGAAGTCATCGGAGGAAGCTTCCTAGCTATTACCTGTGTAAGTGCGTTTGCGGACCGTACAGACTAGGGTTAACTCTGAAGCAACCACTCGCGTCGCTTGTAGCTCTCACAAGCAGCACACAGAGCCCTGTTTTGACTTCACTAGTTTTTCGGCCTGCCGACTCGGCGCTATGTCCCGCTTGCTTCCCCAACATACCTAGGTAGTCTGCGGGATCGTTCAACCTCAAAGTCCTGTACGACACATCTCATTTCTCGTGCTCTCTAAGATCTGCTTGGATGACGGACATTAATTATCAGCTCGATGGCTGGACATCGTATGAGGCTGCCCAAGGCCTGTGAGCATTGCCGGCGTACGAAGAAGAAATGTCATCCTCCGTTTCCTTGTCAGTCATGCTCCCGGGCTGGCCTAAATTGTACCGTCCGTCAAAAGGCCAGGTACGGTTGCCTGTCATTCTCACTGCTGTGCCCCTGATCTGAAAGTATTGCCAGGCCTCTTCGAACCTTTAAAAACAGTGCTATTCCGGCTGGAGCCACTGAAGATGACACAAGCTCCCAAGTATCCGTTTCCGTGGACTCAAATCGACCACTGTTGTCAACTCAATATCGCAGACCTCGACTTTCTCCTCCTACCGCCGGATCAAAGGCACAGGATCCCTTCGATGTGATTCGCCTGCTTGTCGCCAACGAAGCTTCCGACAGGGAGTGTAAGCTATTCGTTTTCTTTGTCAAGGAGTCTTTGCTACCACTCAGCAGATATTAAGCCATTGTGCGAGCTCCCTGAACCAATTTCGGCTTCAGTATCCCGCATGGCCGGGCCTGGGACCCTGAATCAACCCAGTATCATCTCAGCTGTCGCCAATGTCACGTTTTTCGACATTGATAGAATGCTAAATGCGACGGTGGAATCACAAGGCCTACCAACAGAGCTTCTCAATATGCACCAACTACGGCAATCTGCCAGTGATCTGTTCACCCATTCAATCCAAGACAACCTCCTGGGAGATATCGACCTTCGCCAAACCAACGTCCCATTAGACCGGCTAAGTCTTCTTTTCGCGACTCTTGCTCTTCATAGCTTTCCGAACCCTGATCCTCATAGTATGCCGGCGTTCCTTGAACTATCAACCATCATGACTGACAATTATGCGGGGGAACCAACGGTAGACCTTGTATCAGCGATTTTCATCCAACATACTTGCGTGCTTCGGACGGGCACTGGGAACAGGAGCCGGAGTTTGATCGCTCATGCAGTACAGGTTGCTCACGATTTGGGTATTCAGAATCCAGACCACGACGCTGACCCGCAACATCTACGGATATACCTTATGATTTACTTTGCAGACCAGTAAGTGAGTACAGTCACGGATAATGCATTACTAAGTTCCCGTAGGTACTGTGCCTTGACACATAATACGGCGCCTTGCATAAAGGCAACGGATATGTCCCCAGAGCTTTTCGACCCTCTTCTGGTCAGATATCCAAGACTGCAAAGATTTGTGAAGCTCATTTCGCTCAATGGTCGAGTTTTAGAATCAATATACACTAGACCCTATACCTACGATGCTGTGATAGATCTAGAGTCTATTATGGGCAACGTTTGTGCAGCTATTGGGAAGCCTATGTCTTCTGACGGACAAAGTGGACAGTCCATTGAGTTCCACTATGAGAATCTGGTACAAATACACGTATTCTGGTAAGAACCTGCAGATCATGTTGCAACCTACTTGTCTGACCACCTTTCAGGTCCCGAATGATTTTACGGGCACCCCTTCTCCTCTCAGAAAGACACTGGATCTCATCATTGAGTGTTTGCCTCCGTGCAGCCCAAATGTTGCTGTCCATCTATTTCGACATTCTTAGACCCGTCATTATGTTCATGGCAACTACAGCTCTGCAATCCTACGATGAGACCCTGAAAAGACAGCTTCAAACCACCATCGTGTTGCCTCCAACCTGGAGACAAGTCCGCCGAATCGCCGCCTCCATATTCATCATCATATATGCGTATTGGAAAGGAGAAGCTTCGCACGAAGAGGCTTCTCGATCGGCTGCTATGGCCCTTGCGCTGTTAGAGTTCCAGCGAACTAGATGGAAAGCTGAAGTTCAACCCGCCATCACAACTGTTCGAGGACTTGTCACCTTTAGCGGTCTCGAAGTTAAATCATTTATGCAGCAGCTCGTGCCAGACGCAACTGCTGCCTACCTCACGATAATATCAGAGGAAGGAGTTGCAGAGAACGAATACGAAGTTGATCATACCCCTGTGGAGGACAACTGGGTGGCCAGGCCTCTCGAACAGTCGGCTCCCATGGCAACAACGGCGTGGTGGGAACAGAACGATCTTGAAAACATTTTTGATGCGGTGTCGTTTCATGACCTTTCCAGCTTTGGACTATGGGAGAACAATTAAGCAGTTATCATGTACATCACCCGAAACTCGTCACCCATATACAAATTTTCCAACCCTTGGCGAAATGCATGGCTTTTCCCATATCTCGCCTTGATCTTCTGCATCGACCTCGACCGACGGATGATACATACATCAGCTCACAACGAATACCTGAAAAAGCTATTCTCTACATCAGTTTGGTCGCTGAACGCTGCTGTGAGAGCTGCAGCTGTATCGACTCTGCCAAACTTTCGATCACGGACCGAATTCTGCCACTGAAGGTAGGCTCGAAGTGAGAGACTACCAAATATCGATAGGCATGCCGTTGCAATTGTTGCTTTGAAGCATGTGGGATAATGTTCGTGTACCTCCTGACTTTTAATAGTCAATGGAGCGACGCCATTTGAGATACCCCATGCGCACCAGATCAAGCCTGAGGTGAAGGCTTTTTTGGTATGGCCTGCTGTGTTAGCTCCTGCGAGGGCAAGCATCATCATATATGCGGCTGCGAAACATCCCAATAGGATGAAACCAGTGATAGCACCGCCTCTACCAGTCGACCAATTCATCTTCCACACAAGGATGGAGCCAATAATCACAGGAACCTCCACCACGGCCATGACAATGGTACGGGTGTTCTGGGTGTACGTACCGATCGCTCCGGCTATGATTAAAGTGACCACGACGCAGGCTCCCGTTGCGCCCACTAGAAGAATGGACTTGAGATGTGGATAGCCGAAACTATTAACGATGATCGAACCAAACCCGGAGACACTGCCATTGACGAAGTGTATAGAGAAGGTTGTGAAAAACATCATCCACGTCTTAGGATCTGTAAGTGCGTCCTTGACCTGGTATAATTTGAACTTTTTGTTCTCGATGCCAGTCTGCTCGGAGCGCATCCTTTCAACAGAGACAATTTTCTCCCGGTCATTGAAGAAACGGGCAGTGGTCTGATTATCCGGCAATGTAACGACCAGAAAGAGACCCCATAAAATGGTGGCGGCACCCAGAATCAGGTATTGGTATTTCCATTGTTGGAGGCTGCCGTGGATATGACCAATCCCGTAAACGAGCAGAGAGCCTACCAAAGACCCAAAGCCACAAGATGTGTACCATATCGAGAATCGGAGAGGCTGCTCTGCCTTCTTCCACCACATTGCAATGACGATGGAAAATCCTGGAGCGACCGCGCATTCTGTAACGCCGAGAAAAAACCTTTCATTTCCCGGTTCAGCTGGAGGGCACTGGACATAAGTTGGGTGGAAGACCGAGGGTTTCATACCTTGCTGCGAGGAAACCGCGATATCCCGTACAAAGGACGGTAAGCATTACTACTGCCCCCCAAACAATGACTGTGCACCCGAGAAATTTCGCAATCGGCAACCGCTGCGCCAGGTACGACGCCGGAAGCACTGGATACATGGTCAGCCCTCTCGCTCCTGTTGTCCCCTGCTTGCACACTTACAGGCCGCCAGACAACCCCAATAGAAGATCATTGTTACATTGGAAAACCTCTTGAGGTTGATTATTGGTTCGTTGGTATGAGGATTGATGCCCTGGACGGTGTACAGATCCAAGTCTTGAATGATACCTACCTGCGCGGCGCCGTTGAGGATGACTTTGTCGATATATTGTATCATGAAGGTGACAATGAGCATTGGCATGATTATCCAGTCGATCTTGCGTACGACGCGCCTCTCCTCCGCCGCAGAAATCGTGCCGATGTATGAATCGTTCACAATCTTAAGGGCAACATCTTCTTCCGCACTGTTTGATGTTGGCCCATCTTTTGCATCAAAGCCAGACTCGGCTTCCTCGGGGGAGATAGTGGTTTTCTCTTCAGTATGCATTGAGAAGTAGGAACAAGTATCTTTCACGACTTGATTGAATTATACTCGGGGTCAAATGATTGTTGGTAGAAACGCTTCAGTCAAGACAATGGCGGGCGAGCTCAGGATCTTTTATGTGCACTGGCCGACCCCCTTTGCACGAGCAGTAAAGCAAGCTTCTTTCCCGCCTGAGGAGACCGTATGGGCCATGAGAGGGTGCTAGAGTACACGATATCCGGGGTCGAATTACCGCTCAATGGTCTATGGGGAATCCCAACGCACCCACACACGCGACTATGGAGACACTGTTGATGGCTGCATCGGAAGTGCCGTCTTCTACCCCGGGACCTACACACTAACGACACCTGGACAGAAGCCGCAAGCCAGAGCCACCTCGGAATGCCCTTTCCAGGAAGAAACTCAAGATAAAGTTCTTTGGTGGTGGCTATATCCGCCCATCGTATATCCGCCCAACAAACCATGCATGACACAGCCACCTGTATATCCGACTTCGTCAGAGTATATCCGCACGAGACATTCGGGAAACCTCACTTCACAAGGAAAGCAGGCGAAGATGGTGACCATTGCTTTGATTGCCGGTTTCCGAAAGAGAAAATGGCTCTCTCTATGTTCGAATGTCTGCCCAATTTGCTTAATGGCAAATGGTCTTCCAGTGTAATTGGAATATCACATTAGTTGCTCAGTTAAGGGAAAGTAATACATAACCGCATTGATCAGTCGACTGCTATCAGAGACACATTTTACTATTGCCAGTTTCCCACAAGGTTAATATCAACTTCTCATCAAGAACTCGCCTTCAACTGGTACGCGCGCCCTCAAGCCACAGTTGAGTCTTGAACATCCTATCTTCGAGACGCAAGCAGCGATGGACCTGAGCGAGGGCTTGCTTTCGTCCCATCAGATCTTAGAAGCGACACTCCACGATGTGCTCACAGACTTCGCCATCCCACTCCCAACTCTTTCTGACGGGCCCGATATTACTTACATAGGTGCAATACCTCCGTCGCAAGAAACGCGTTCTGAGAAGATCAACTTGTCTCTAATCGGTACCATTCCATCACTAGCAAATGCCGTTGCAGCGGCTCAGATATTCTGTGCCCGAAAGGGCAATCGTCAAAATATTGAAGTTGACCTGAGAAGAGGACATAACTATATTGATCCCGACATCGGCATGACGCCAACCCTCAACGGCCAAGAGATCACAGTTGATGTTGTCGTGGGAAATCCGTTCCTCAGAAATATATTTGAGACCAGAGATGGTCGATATGTTGTTTTGAGTGCAGTGTATGTCGATCTGGTTTACAAGTGGACCGCGTTTCTGGGCTGCTCCATGGCAGAGAGCGATGTTCGGGAGAAAGTGAAGCAGTGGAGTGCAAAAGGTATGCAAAACCATGTCAACATGAACATTCCTTCCCGCTCCTGGGCTGACAGGGCAATTCACCTGCCGTTCAGACTTGGAGGGAGCTGCCGAAGAAGCAGGTTTGCCTATGGCGATTTGCCAGACTGAATCATCGTGGCAAGCGCATCCCCATGGCTCCCATCTTGCGAAGCTTCCGTGGGTCCCTGTTGAACACTACCCAACAACTCTTTCTGGACCTTCACCTTCTCCATACTCATTTCTTCCTGCTCATCCATCTCGACCGCTCTCTGGCCTACGTGTGCTTTGCGTTACTCACGCAATTGCTGGTCCTTCTACTGGCCGCACATTGGCCGAGCATGGCGCTTCTGTGCTGCAAATCATGTTCACGCACGGCTTCGAACACGCCTTTGTCTACACATATGCGAACCTCGGTACTGCATCCAGCCGTTTGAACCTCCACAAATTGGCTGATCGTCAGAGACTACAGACATTGGTAAAGGATGCGCACGTTTGGGTTGACAGTTATCGACCAAACGCCATCTCCAAGTTTGGATTCAGCGACAATGAGATACGCAATCTCAATCCTAGCATCATTATATGCCGGGTGCGAGTCTATGGAACCACAGGCCCCTGGAGATCAAAGCCGGGCTTCGACATGCAAGGTTCTGCGTCCAGTGGTCTAATGTGTTTTATGGGAGAGGGTCAGGGGGATGGTAGACCTCGGTGGCCGCCCGGAATGGTCATCAACGACTATACTACAGGGTACTCCGCTGCATTGGCGATTCAGAGCATCATCTTGAAAAGAACCAGAGGCGAGGTTGATGTTCGCGACGGGTGGCTTGTGAGTCCCAGCCTCTGCGGCACCGCGATGGGGATCCTTAAGTACTACAAGACCAGCCGCTTCAAGTCGCCCGCCGACCAGGAGGGTGTTCAAGCCTTGGCCCCCTCGACTCTCGAAGCGCATACTACGCTCGGATATCTGAAAACCCTGGCACCGCTGCCAAAGATGAGCATAACCCCCATGCACTATGCCTTTGGTGTGTTGAGTACCATGGGTTCGAATCCACCAATCTTCCCAGGATATGATGATGGTTATGATGTGCGAAAAGCACTGCCTATGTTGAAAGAAGAGATCCTGCATGAATTGGGTGATACGGCTGTCCAGACCTTGGAGCGTCTGAAGGCCCTTGGAGAAAGGCTAAGGGAGAAGAGAGTTATCACAACGGAAGTCACTGCGCGCAATCACGACATTACATTGACGCGACTGCCAGGGATTCTGCAACGGGGCTAGTCAATATCAATACTGATCAATACTACGCATATTTCCTACTCTTTGTACACTTCCCGAAGTCGAAGACTGCAGCTTAAAGCATTAGATTTCAATGACAGCACGGACGATGGTCCCATTGAAACTTCATTTCCACTCCTAGGTTATCTCCCAAAACAGTAGTCGGTCAACGCTTGCGAGTCGGAACCAGCCAACAGGGCTAATCTAGGAAGTTCAGTGAGGCAATGGAAATGACAACACTATCATTAGGCATAGGCACCCAGTAAGTAGGTCTGAGGTGTAGCGGTGGATTTCTCGAGATGTGGTTGACGAGGCTGAGCAAAGGGCTTGGCGCTTTCCGGGATTGAACGTCGCTGCTGGTCGATGCCGCTTTCAAATCTCTCCACTGTAGGCCGCAATGTGTGTCTATGACAGCCTTGTGAGAATGCCTGCAGAGATGGAGTACTATCTCCTACTGTGGAGATTGCTAGCTAATCTTCCCTCATTAGGAATTGTGTAGGCTCAGATGCAACGTCGCTACCTTAGCCACCTACTCAGCCTCGCAATGGCTTCCATACTAGGGTCCAGCAACTTCACTTCACAATTCTCTCTGACATCTTGTCTTCTCAATACCTCAACTGCGTGTCTGAACTTGGGCCACCGCCCTCGGCTTATTCTATGGCTCAATTCTCGTCAGACAATGGCGGGTACGATGCTCTGGATGCTGGACAGCGTCAAATAAGAGCCCTCTGTATTCTTCCGGGCAGCGGGGACGATACAATTTGGTGCGAGTTTCGTGTCACTGCGCTTAAGAACGAGAATGTTGATTTTGAGGCCTTGTCTTATGTTTGGGGAACCGAAGACAGTCCACATTCAATCCACGTGAACGGACGCCCGCGAAGGATAAAGGCAAACTTTTTCGCAGCCTTGCAGCACTTGCGTAGGTCGGATCAGCAGCGCATTATCTGGATCGACGCGCTTTGCATCAATCAATCTGATGGAGTCGAGAGGGCCTCTCAGATTCTGTTGATGAGGGAGATCTATAGTCGTGCCCGTGCGGTTGTTGTTTGGCTGGGAGAGTCGAAAGATACTTCGCTCGCATTGCGTATATTCGCAGAAATATCTACCTTGGATAATCCCCACTGGGGTCAAGCATATGCTTCACGCCGAGCCCGCGAATCGCATGTCTACACGCATTTATTGGGGTACAGTCCTGCATTTCATCAAATTCAATGGCCAGAGCCGGGAGGACTGCACGAAGAATTATTCGGAGCAGAGGAGATGGCAAATACCAGGCAAGAGTTTGATCCTCATAAAGTGTGGCCGGTTTGTCTTATCTATCATCTTTTTCGCAAGATTTGGATGTGCGAACTGACTTGACCCCAGCCCCCTCCCATAGACTTGGGTTACTGAACGAAGAAGATCTCAATGCCTGCCTTATTGCTTTCACGCAGCACGAATACTGGCAGCGAATCTGGACTCTCCAAGAGATATTGTTGTCAGTTGACACTGCCCTTCTAGTGTGTTCTGATTATACCCTAAAGGCAGACGTGCTTTTCAAAGTGTTTAATTCGTTGAAATGGCATGTCGGAGACTGCTGTCTCGACTACGCATGTACTCATCGCATTTACGAAGCGAGCGAAAGTCTTATCAGAATGACGTCGTGCAGCATTCTCAGGTCTGATGCGGCGTGGAGAGAGGCAAATGGACACGGCTTCAAAGATAAACCTTGGTATGACAAGCCATTCGGGCTGGACCGTTTGCATACTTGGTTTGGTGGAAGGAAGGCCACGAAGTGCAGAGATCATGTAATCGGACTATTGGGACTCCTGGACCTAGATCACCAGATTACACCTAACTATTCTGGCTCCACAGAGGAGTTTTTTGTCGGCGCCACCCTGTGTTGTATTAGGACAAAGGGGTGATCTGCGAGTCCTGGAACTGGTCTCCCATACTCCCAAGATCACGCCCGGTTTATCTAGCTGGGTAATGGACTGGGCGTCGACGGAGGGACGTACGCTACGGCTTCCTCCACATCTTCGCAGTATTCAAAAGCGGCTATTTGATGCCTCAAGATCTCAGAAAGTCCAGTACTCGACTGCTTCCGACCAAAGAACCATTGTTTTGAAAGGCATGATTCTTGGCGAGATTGCTGGATTAGTTCCTCCCACTGCTGATTTACCAGAGCTTAATGACACGGAGAATCGAAGCCGTCTGATCGAGGAACGGCTCTATCTGTCGGCTTTCGATGAGCCACTCTGTGATAGGAAGCCTCTAAATCTTGATGACTTTAGCGCCGACAAGCGAGGCAAAGCGCTTCTTGACACTGCAACAACGTTGATGCAGGGAACAAGTGTTCTTTTGCTGGATTGGTACGACCGAGCCGAAGGAGAGCGCAGCTTGAACACGTTACGTTCCTGGGTGTACGAGGCACAATGGCGCCGCAACCTGCAGGAGGCAGCCGATGGGAGGCTGAGCCATGAGTGGAAGGACATTGAGGCATCTCTAAAGACAAACACCTTTTTCGTCACAACCGACAAAATGCTCGGCACCTGTGCAGCGGTGAATGCAGCTCTTGCTTGTGGGGACAGAGTTGCTGTTCTATACGGATCGGACATGCCTGTTTTGTTACGCAAGGCAAGCGGCCATACTGCTTCGAGTAGGAGCGGTTGTGATAAAGATGGGAAGGGGGTATCTGTGGGAGACCCGCTGCCATCAGAATCTTTTCAATTCCTTGGGGTTGCCTACGTCCATGGCCTGATGGATGGTGAAGCAATGAATCTTGTCGACACTGGGAGGGCTACAGTTGAACAAATCACGCTAATTTAGGTTTTACGGTTCCCAGCGTACCTGTTAGGGGATTTTCAGCGACTGGTTGACAAGAGTCGCCTTGACTTTGGAGAATATCTCAGAGCTGAGTTCACCTCTTCAAATCTTCGCAACGGGAACTTCTGCTAGTTGATCAGTATCAGTGAGAAGCTCTACCCTGCTGGACCGCAGGACTGATGTCTGGCATTTACCGATTTGAGTTCGAGTGTAATCCTAAAATCCCGGGTATGAAAGGTAGCCTAGCAAAGTTTAGGTACCTAGTTAACTACGGAGGCACCCAACATAGGTCCTTACTAGGCACGATTAGGCGTCGACCTAAGCACCAACCTCCAGGGCTGGGCGGGCCGCGGCCCCTCGGGCGAGAAGCCCCGGGCGCTTATTCATGACCCTCAGCTGAGCCCAAGTTAGAAAGGTAGATACAGACGAGTTGGTGCCTGAGTAGAGAACGTACCTCCTCGTTGAGGTAGGTGATCAGCCGGGCTCTGAGCCTCGTCTTAGATAATTGCGGGCAATTTGAAGCATCTTCGGCCACTACTTCTCACTCACTTTTCTGTCAATTGGCAAGCTCTAACCCAAGCGCCACACCTTTCAATATCACTCTGCGGGTCGTAGAGTACCATTGACCCTCAAGATATGCCAGCAAATGTTGTCTCAGCTCCCCGTTCCAAGGTAGGTCGCCATTGCTGATGTCCAAACAGACGCCCGTATCCAACCGGCGGTTTCTTCCTACGTCTGCTTCCTCTATATCGAAAGCGTCTGGCCCTCCCTCCGCACCCAAAAATCCGTTTCAGAGCTCTCGCTCAACTCAAGGACTGCCTCTCGCTCCTCCATCGTCATCCACTCCGCGCTTTCAAAGGCCATCTGGGACGCCGCATGTCAAAGATGATATCGATGTCAGCTTTGAGGAAGATCCTTATTCATCAGCTCTTCCTCGAAGCCGTTCTATGACCAAGGCTCAAGTGTTTGGTGGGCTAGAAGATGAAACCCCACAGGATCAGTCACCGTTACTTTATAGGACGACGCACGCTGGGCGCCAGAGGCCTGAAGAATCGATGCGCAAGGCGCTCGAATCTAGGCTGTACCCCTTCACACCGGTCGCTAAGAAACAAAAGGTATTTCATGTACAAAATCAGAAGCAAGAACCAATCACTATATCGTCCTCACCAGAATACGATCAAGATGAAGATCATGAGGAAGATCATATACCTCGCCTAATATCAGACTTTCCTGATCCGCAACATTTGTCAGACGATGACCTTGAGGAAGAGATTGAAGCAATTGAATCCCCCAACAAGAAAGATGTGACTATTGCATCAAGATTTATGGAAATCCCATTGGTTCCAAATACAACGGCCACCGTGGCTAAAAGTGCATTCCGTTCAATATCAAAAAGTGAAGACATTCCTCAGATTGATGTTGGGCAAACTCTGCCAGATGTATTTTCGCCGTCAAAGCGAAACGGAAAACACGACTATATCGCTAATGGCAATGCGGCGCTGGTGCGGCGGTGGGTGCTGGATATCGCCGCGCAGCAGTCGCACTCAACCCAACAAAAATGTGAGATCGAGGTCGCTGAGGCTCACCTAGACAACAGTCGTAGATTCATTGTTGCTCTAGATACAGATGGATCTGAATGGATCATTCCAGCAAAATATTCACAGTCACGAACAAGTCTGCAGTCAGGGTTGAATAGCATTCGGCCGGGGTCTAAGCTGGTTCTCAAGAGTGAGGCCACCAGGTGGAGAGTACCAATTGGACCCTCGTCATCCGAGAGAGAGATTGCAGTCGCTGCATACTGGGACGTTGTAACATGAAATCCAGATGATGAATCGCAACGCCCTCCAAACAGTCCCTCTCATGATTTTCTACAACTAGAACTTGTAGCTGCAATGCAATGAACGTTCATGAAATATCTCAATTGATCTCCAAATGAAGTTTTACCTTTGATGGTGGATTCATCAATATTAAGATCTTATTTCTTATGAATCCTGCTAGTTGATTATTTATTTATGCCCTGGGTCGATGTTGTTTAAGTCATGATGTCATCGTGCAGCCTTGGAGGACGCTTTTTGCAAGTCATGTTTTGGTATTTAAGTATTGACTACTGATCATCATCTGCGTTGAGCATTTACATTGAGAAGATACCTGAGTATTATTCTCGGCCGACTTCCCAGGTGGCACCTTCCTGTGACAACAGTGGTCGCATCTCGAACTGATGGAGAAGTGCCGAAACAGCACATGAAGCAAGATGGCTCTACCTCATCGGGAGTCATACTTCCCCTGACCCAACAATGGAGGAGGAACGCATCTCGCTCTCTCAGAAGCCTCCTTGGCACTACACATGCGTTTGCGAATTTCAAGAAGTATTTTCATACGCCTCTCACAATGCAGGTCGTACGGCACATCAAAGCTACTGCAATTGCCTTGTTTCTGTCGAATTGGAGATCGATTTTCTGGACGCTGCGATCGTTGAAGCAGCAACACTATGCCGCCTTGATCATCGTTGTCATTGCTTCGCAAACAGCTTGGCTCCTGCTTCACAATAACTCTCAAAAGCAAGAGGGACGGGTGAGGGCTAATACTGGCTCCGTGCAAGACTCCCTACTCTCACCGAGGATCTTCGAGTGTCGAACAACCCACACTCGCCTATTTCCCAAGAAACACTCATTCGCTTACTCGTATCTTCTGGTCGGGGTCCCTATAGGCTGGCGAGGCACCCTTGCGCATATCATCTCATCAGACATTCCCGTCTCAAAGAGCTCAGCTGCTTCATTTAAAGCATGGTTTTCTGTTCAAGCGGAAGACTACCTTGGGCGGGGTGGCCATAGTGACGGATTGGCGGGGAAGTTGAGAGACTATCTGACAACGCAGAATGTTTCAATAGATGACTATCCTTATGCTTACTTGGTTACTGCTCCACGGTTTCTGGGGTTCTCGTTCAATCCTGTATCCTTCTGGTATCTGTACGATGCGAACAAAGGGTTAGCAGCCATGATCCTAGAGGTCAACAACACATTTGACGAAAGGCGAATGTACTTCTTGCCTAGGCACGATTTGGCGGATGCTCAGACATCGACCCGTTTTGTGCAACAATGGGGCAAGGATTTCCATGTGTCTCCATTCAATGATCGTGAAGGTTCGTACAGCCTTTCTGCCGTTGACCCCTTTGAAAGTCACCATCAGATCGACAACAATATTGTACTCAGCTCTGAGGATGGCAAGCCGAAGGTCATCGCCCGTGTCTACTCCACAAAGCCTGGGCTCATCCCCGCAAGTATGTCAGCGTTTGATACCATTTCGTTCCTTGCTCGCTGGGGGTGGGTCGGCTTCATGACCAATCCTCGAATCTTACGGGAAGCACGCGTTTTATGGGCCAAGGGTCTGCAGGTTTTCTATCGTCCAGAGGTCATGAAAACGAGCATTAGCCGAAATCCGAGTATAGAGGAGACCTCCATTGAGCCTGTATTTGATGTCTGGCTTCAACGACTTTCCGCTCAATCGGGCACCACGATCGAATATACATCAGGGGTCAAAAACAACCCAATAAAAACGATCTGCCCAGAAAACGAAGACTTCATGAAGCGCTTTGCAGCGCAACCCGAAGCTATCGAGATCAAGATCCTCACACCAGCCTTCTACTCCGAACTAGCTAGGGATCCAGACCTACAGCAGATTTTCGAGCGACTTTGTTTTAATGCCGGGCCAGGCGAGGCTATGGCGTATGTTTCCAACCCAGAACAATTTCATCGGCTTTTGAAGATCTCTGAGTACAATACTCTACGCACGGCGGTCAGCTTTGGCGCTTGCATTATGCAGACCCTTCGGTCAGGCACATGTAGTTTCCTCGTGACATGGCTTCAAGGTAAGCGCGGGCTTACCTCTGTACATCCAGGTGCCTCGACAATCAAACAATGTTCAAGCCTCGACGAGTACATCGAAACTATGCCCGATCCACAGCAAGTCATCGACTATGAGAAAGCGTGCCTCAAGATCTTACTCGCAGACAGATTTGCATTGGGCTTCACCCCACTCCTGAAGTTCTACATGCAATTTGCTTGGCTGGTCTCCTTCTTGCTTGCGATATCTCATGTCAATCAATGGTTGCATGGAAGTCGAGGATACGAAATTCGTGATATATTTAGCTTCGGAATAAAAACTCTTGCAATGCTGGTAATGGGATAGTTAGCGCCAAACATTAGAATCTCACCCTTGCAAGAGAGGAGGGGAGACAAACATAGACGGCTACATGGTCCAGGGGATTGAAGATCATACATTGACATGCTAGAAGTGTCCAGAATCTCACATCAACTTAGTTTCAATCATGATGGAGTTATGAATACGAGGCTAGACAAGATTTTCAAAATTGCGTCCAAGCTGCAATCTGCGCTCAACATTCGGTGTTTGTTCTTCACCAATACTCCACCGCCCGATTCGCTGGTTATACAATAGATGTGAACTTTGTCACTCATTTGCTGGCATATGCGCACGATCCCAAGTCAAGTTTCTTTGGCTCAGCAGAGGGCGAGATATCGAAGTCGAAAATATCCATTGGAAGGCCGATCGTGGTGCAAGCATTAGGGATCTAAAATGCCGTAAGAAGAAGTCATCAGCCACCCAGCACGTCACACTCCAGACCGACATAAGAAAGATAGACCGCGGCAAGAGAAAAAGACAGAAAGAGAAAAAAATAAACTCACGTCCACAATCCCCGCAATGTGCCCCTCGATCGGAATACAACTCAACATCAGATAGACCTGGTAGTCACTATAGCCGAAGCGCTTGAGGTACTCGATGACGCGCAGACAGGTCTGGCGGTACGCGACGGTGGCGTCCATGTAGTGCTGCTTGCCGTGCTCGTCGACGCTGAAGCCCTCGAAGTAGATCATGCGGCCCGGGCTGAACTGCGGCTGCACGGGGCCCGGGATGTAGATGGGCGATTTGCCGCCGACCATCCCCAGCTTCGCCTGTCCGTCCTTGATCACCTGGAATTTGATGGTGATGACGCCCGCGATCTCGATCGCGCCGCAGAAGGAGATTTCGCCGTCGCCCTCTGTAGTGTAGGTCAGTTGGGGTTGCCCATAGGAAGAGGCTGTTCGGTGTGGAGAATGTGTTGAACGGTGCCTAGGGCATGGGGCAAAGGGGAGGGAAGGAAAAGGCTTACGAGAGAAATGCAAGTCGCCGACGGAGAATTTCGCGCCCTTGACGTGGACGGGTAGGTAGACTTTGCTGCCGCGGGACAGGTTCTTGATGTCACAGTTCCCGCCGTGTTCCGGACGACCTGGGATCGTCCTGGCGCCCTCTTTCCCGACTTTGGTTTTGACTTCCTCGTCGGCGGATCCGGCGTGGACGTTCTGTGGCTGTGGGGGCTGGGCGACCACGCGGGAGAGCGAGGTGGTCGAAATCAATTCCGCTTCTCGCTTGTTCCACTCCGCGAGGATTTCTGGCGATGGCGCGCATCCCAATATTCCTGGGTGGATGAGGCCGGCGAAACGGACGCCCGGGATGTGGCGTGAAGAACAGAAGATGCCTTCGAAATCCCAGATTGCTTTGGCTCTGTGAATGTATCAAGAGGAATTCGTCAACGGGTTCAATAGGAAGGCGTGACGATTGTGTTTCAAAATCGGCAGAGGACAGGAGAAGAATGCTTACGGTTCAGGGTAGATCTCATCCAAAAAGCCGCCTCCGTTCTCCTTGGAGAAGATGCCCGTGAAGCCCCAGGGATGATCTTGAAAAGGTTGGACGTCCTGGATTTCGACGAGGAGAACGTCACCCGGCTCAGCTGTCTCGATCTCGAAAGGACCTGAGAGATAGTGAATTTTGGTCAAGTCCACGTTCTTGACATCGTCGGCACTATCGTCGTTCTTGATTTGCCCTCCTGTCCAATCAAGACACTCAATCTTGACAGTCTCCCCGTTCTTGATGGTTCCGCAGAATGGTACTTGATATGGGGGTTAGTAAAGGGTAATATGCGGGAAGCATTTCATGTAACAATACCGTCGGGATGCCATCTATTCTGTACACTACTTAGTAGGTCCCAACCGCTTTATGTGGTTGACTTACATGAAGTTGTGGTTGATCGGCTGCTGGCTTATCAAGGTCGACTTTCAATGCTGTTCGGATTGGTCCAGGCATGATTTTGAGATATATCACTCGTCTTGTTCTTGAGGAGGCAGTAATGGAGATGAATCACTTTGCTGGATGTTGAAGAAACACCCTTTTTGTGAGAAGACACCTCGACATCTTACACACAAAAGACTCCCTTCGCGAGCCAGATGTTTATTTCTTTTGCGGGGCAAAGCTACCCATACCCCTCATGTAGATAGGTCACCTTACTGGGAAGCTGAAGGTTATCCGTCATTGATTCGGCAGACTCCAATGCAGGCCATGTTGGCATTTGATAAGGCTCCTCATGGTGCATCCAATGATAGCTTTAATCACGGTTCTGCTTAAGCCAGATATGGCAGCTATGTCTGCTGGACGAACGGACATGCGTTTCCCCACCGTTGTTGGACATGTTTGCAGGTTACGTACAAGGTATACGAGGTAGAGTTTGTTGGTTACCAGATCAAGATTGATGGTTATCGCAGAAGGCGGGCTTCTCCTTGATTGCTCAACTCCTCTTCTGGGCATTGAATGGCGGTTGCTGACGTCAATCCTATGGAGATAGTTGTTGGAGAACCGATCTATATTTGATGATACTGTTGCACAGCTGCAGGATGAAAGTCTCAGTAGCGCAATCTATATGTATATAAGTCTCGATGGGTCGAGATACTAGGTGGTGGGTTCCTGGGATGGTGATGGGGCTTGGGAGCTTTCCCGAGTACTACTCGAGGAGATCTTCTTTGGCGGGTTTGTGTCCATCTGAAGCGTGACCTGAATTCCTTAGTATTGGAGTACTCACCTGAGGAAGCAGAGAGGGAGTTTGCTCTCCATGAACATACTGGTCCATCGTTCACAAGACTAACTTGCATCATAGCTTGAAAAACACCATCCTTCACCCTCTCGGGAAGATACTGTGCGCGAATGGAAGCGAGAAAATGGTCATATAGTTCCTTTGCAACCTCTGGCTTGGCTGCTCCATGGAAGTCTGGCTTGTTACCTTTCTTTGTCGAGGCATACAAGGTGAACTGCGAGACACACAGGATTTCACCCTCGATATCTCGCACGCTTTTCTTCCAGTTCAATTCGTTGTCATCTGGCCACAACTTCATCTTGAGAACTTTGGAAGCCATAGATTCAACGTCTTTCTTCGAGTCATCGGGTCCAATGGCCGCGAGCACGAGAATACCTTTGCCAATGGTAGAGACAACCTGTTCATTGACAGAGACAGAGCTTGAAAACACCCTTTGAAGAACTGCCTTCATCTCAGAAACCACGTCTGTCACACAACCGATTCAAACTTCCAAACAAAGCCCGAACGAAAAGGCCCCAACTTTCAGATGATGAGACTTGTTTGGGGGGGGCGCCCACCACTCAGCCTCAATCACAATTGCGGGTAGATGTAGAAATGGACAAAGTCTGGTAGGCTTCAGTTGGTTGCCCAGAAGAGACTGAGGGAAGAACAACGGATCTGCGAGCTGCCGACACTGTGACGCGTTACGAGAATTGAGTGCATCTGATGATTGAAACCTCGCTTAAGATAATTTCCTACACGACGCGTGTCGAAATTGGGATGCGCGTGAAATACGAGAAGAGGGCGACATTAGTATGCCAAGCATTTTAATTAGGTACTAGTCCCAATGGAGACGGACCTGCACCCCAGCCGCCAGCACTCAATGTTCGCCCATGTGAGAGCTGAACTAGTGGCGGGAAGGCCAAGTGTAAGTCTCTTAGGCTCTTTTACCACGCAGACAGGCGCGCGGCAGTCTCCCTGAGGGCTGAACAGACGGATTCTATCTGCGATACCACTGCTGTTGCAAACACACCCAATTGCCTAGACCTCGCTTCCTACTCCCAAATCACCTCACCTTTTCCCTCACAATACCTCAAACACCTCTCACGACACCACTTCATGACACACAACCATGGCTTCGCGGAAGACGCAGCAAGAAATCGACAAGACCTTCAAGAAAGTCGACGAAGGCATTCAGGCTTTCGAAGGCATCTACGAGAAGATTTATTCATCACAAAATGCCGCTCAGAAGGACAAACTGGAAGATAACTTGAAGAAAGAGATCAAAAAGTTGCAGAGATCGCGCGATCAGATAAAAACATGGGCCGCAGGCAATGAAATCAAGGACAAATCCGCACTGCTGGAACAGCGGAAGAGGATAGAGAAAGTATGACCACTGCGGCATTTCCAAACACCATGTTAGAGACTGACCATGATGCCTTTAGTGTATGGAAATCTTCAAGGCCGTGGAGAAAGAGATGAAGACAAAGGCATTCTCCAAAGAAGGTTTGTCGCAGAGCATCAAACAAGATCCCAAAGAGAAGGAGCGTGATGAATTATGCGACTTCCTATCTGACCAGCTTGATGAGATCACAAGAATCTTGATCGAAGAACTTGAGCCTGAAGCTAGTTCATTACAGGCGCAACTCAGAAAGAAGCAGAAGGACAACAGCAAGGCGGACCGCTTAGCCGAAATCGAGAACTTCACCGAGACGTACAAATGGCACGAATCGCGACTCCAACTCTTACTCCGATCTCTACAGAATGGAAATGTGGAGAATGACATGGTGTCTGCAATCAGATCTGAAATAGAGGAGGTGGTGAGGGATGGACGAGAGCCGGATTTTGAAGCCGACGCCTACGAAGGCATCTACGACGATTGTAACCTGGACAGTGAGGAGGCGCAGTTTGGGCTGAACAATGAAAACGATCGTATTTCCTCCCAAGATACACAGTCGATACAAGAAGACTACGAACCAGACGCTGTCGTTCTGAAAAAGACAAAGTCCGAGCATCCACCGGCACGAAGACCTTCGACACAACTCAAATCGCCTCTACCTGCTTTGGCAACGCTGAATCCCATGCTCCCTCCGCAATCAATACCCAAAGACCCGACCATGAAACCTGCGCCGATACCCAACCGACCACCAGGTGAAATTCTGAAATATGCATCTGCCGCCGCCGCTGCGGCCGCAAGTGACAAAAGTGGGGTTGGTATTGCTCCTTTGCCGGCTCCAGTGGGAGTGACGCCTGCTGCGCCTTCTCATGCACTACCAGCACCAGTTAGAACATCGGCTACCGCTTCTCCAGCTTCCAGTCCAGCGCAACCCGTGGTCGAGACAGCCTCACCTGATTCACCTCCCGCACTTGGCATGGACGGGCCTGGTTCCCAAGAACATCTGAGCCACTCTAAATCTCCCACGCTAAGTTCTGGCAGTGCTCCAGCTGCGAGTGTGCCTAACAGTATTCCGCCAACGCCAGCGATGGAGATTTCGGAAGCGATCCAGGAACCTGTCATTGCAGACGAGCTACCGACAACCAACGGAGATGGACACGATGATCATTCAGCAGTTGAATCGATATATCACCTTCCTCCCGGCCTGCAAGACCTCCTTGACTCGTTCGAGACCACCAAGAGCCGAGCTACACAGCCACCTTCACAGCTGGCACGATTGCTCCAAGCCTCCCAAGAGACCTGTCCGGAACCATCCGATGGAGATCGACCTCAGCATTATCGCCCTTCGTACAAGTACAATACGCCGTCGCATTACCCTCAAGATGTACTGCCGATATTTGATGATCCGGCATTGTACGATACGCAGAGACTGGAAACGGATACCTTGTTCTACATATTCTACTACCGCCAAAACACCTATCAGCAGTGGTTGGCCGCGAGAGCACTCAAGCAGCAAAGCTGGCGATTCCACAAGCAGTATCAAACATGGTTTCAGCGGCACGAGGAGCCCAAGCAGATTACGGAAGAGTATGAGCAAGGAACGTATCGCTTCTTTGACTATGAAAGCACATGGTGAGGACATCCTTGACCCCTGCAATTGTTCGCTTAAATCTCTAACATGATCTAGGATGAATCGTCGAAAAGCCGACTTCAAGTTTGTGTATAAATTCCTCGAGGATGATTTGTAGAACACTTTAGCAGCCTCATTTGACCGAGTGTCGGCCCGCGTCATGTTGCTGCAGTGTTATGGCCACCGTTCAGAGTGCAACAGAGCTCCATTCTCACTTCTAAGCCACGCCTCCAACCGTGCTGTGTACTTGTAACTGGGGGTAGCTTTTTCCTAATGCAATTGATTGGGCAAGGCTCGCTGGTAACCGCTCGAGTGCAACGTGAAATCGGAAATTCGCTTCCATCATCCTAAACCGAGAAAAGGGAGCCTAACTTCGCCTCACTTTGATGCCGAAAAGGTACTGTTAGCATCACCACTGGATTCTAGTAGTCTTAAATCAATGGAAAGAATGACCAGACTTCCGAGGGGCTGTGAACCTGGAGAGCTGGGAAAAGTAGTTCGAGAAGGCAACCCAGCTAACCGGATCTGACCTAGTTCAACTTGCAGCCCGACCACATCCAGAGCTCGGCGCTGAGCAGAGCCTCTTCTTCTGCAAGGTTACTGCATCCAGACCAACCTAGGTACGGAGTGGTTAGGCTGACTCTTGCAGAGGCCACTGACAGCCTGAGGACTGCCACCCTCAGCCTCCGCCATGTTCAAGTTCCTCGTCCTTCCCCTTCGCTAGCATTGTCTAGCAGCTCTTTACCGTGAGTTGCACATTCACGTCGAACTCGAAAACAAGAGTGACCTTCACGTCTGATCCACTCCGTCAGGCAACCTTGCAGGACACTGCTGCTGATCCGCAACTTGTTTTCATAGCCTAACTGGAAGATTTGTCCTGAAGGTTGCGTTCAACCATCAGGATCCTGCTGATGTAGCACACATGCCAACCTAGGGGAGGTTTCTGATGGCCTGTTGTTACCCGATACGAGACTTTGAAGCTAGGTACTTGTACTCCAGAATTTTGCCCAACCATACCGGCTCCATATCACGGTAAGTAATAGAGTCCGCTGTTTGTGAGCTGCGAGAGTTCCCCGGCCACTCGGCATCCAGCCGCTGCCTCGAGGGGATTGCAGTCTGTGACGTCCCCATGGGAAAATTGTCACAGTCCACATCGACAATTGTTTGCTCTCAGACATACTTTCCTCGGATGCCAACTCCGGAGAGGACACTCATGACAACGGGTAACAACACATCGAAGGCAGCGAATCACGTAGATATCGACGTCGAGGCAATATACGCCTTTCAGGGAAGTGGGCGGGTATGCCTCACGTTATAAGTAAGCCTCGTCGTAAGGCTATTTATCTTGATTGGCTTCTCGTTGAGCCATCTGGGTTGCAGTGCCACAACCACGGCAGTCCGAGTTCGAGCTCATGGAACACTATGCTTGAACCAAGCCTCGAAGGGCGGCTCGATACGTTGCGGAAGTGTTGGTTTTGTCTCCTACTAGTACAGATCTCTCTCATCCCTCCTAGCCGAATGCTGGGCATGATTCGACCGTGACAGCTGCATGGTGCTTTTTAGCCTTCCCACCCGGTCTGCAATCTGATAGGCCAACGAGGACTTAAGAGTTCCCATTTACACCCAGGATATCCCGCCTTCTACTCAACCGAATCACTTGACGAGTGATGCGACATAGCCTCTATCCTCAATTCGATTTTGCTGCCTTACCCTCAGACAGACCTGGGAACCTGGCCAGATATTTGATGTAGCGTTCGTCTCAGATTATTCGGCACTCAACCTACAAGGCTGAGAAACCCTTTTGCTCAGTACATGCCAGTGTCGTGTTATCACGAGCCAACACAGCTTCATCGAGTCGAGTTCTATCAGCCCGAGCCTAGTCATCAACCCAGATAGCAATGACTATGTCGTGGTCACATCCAGGTTTTCATTTTCACCACTTCTCCATTGAGGACGAGGTATATGAAGCACCACCTTATACCATGTCGCTCTCTTCCCTCACCGTCCCGATCTCAGCAGCTGCAAGTATGAATTTGCAACAGCATGCGACAGCTTATCGCAATGACTATACACCTAGATATCAACCACTTCCCTTCGTTCAACCATATCCCCATCAACAGTACAATGCTTTCGATTCCTATAATACTTGCAGTACTTCTCCCACCACCTCAAGAGGGCGCAGCGGTAGTGGAGATACCGCGAGCTATATTACCACCAGCACTGTTTCACTGCCAACGCCTCCCCAAGAGGAAGCTTACCTCAGTGGAGTGAGCAGCCACTACCAGATTCAAAGTAGTCAACAGCTATGCCCTTCTTCGCTCAGCCCAACTGAACAATATACAGCAAGGAAAATTGTGGTTCAAAATAACGGAGAAGCAATAGCAAAGGCTCCGAGCCCTGCAGTCAGTCCAAGTTTTCTATCAACTGAAGGCAGCCCTTCAGTTGATAATGACAAGTGAGGCTTCCATTCTTTCTTTCTTCTGACTCACATTCCTCACGCAAAATTTGGCATATACCAGTTACCTGATTTCTCTCACGTCCATCGGTGGTTACTCGCATATCAATGAGCTGTTCAAGGACGTCTTCTAATGCGATGGCAGGAAACTGACAAAAAGCGCGAAGGACAGCATGTATTGTCCTCACCCCGACTGCAAAAACGAGGATGGGGTTGCACAAAAACGTTTCAGCCGCAAGGCGGATGTTAGTCGGCATTACAATTCTCAGCACAATCCGCAACATATTGATTGTCCTAGACCAAGGTGCATAAGAAAAGGCAAACAAGGTTTTACGAGGAGGGACCACCTTGTCGAGCATCTCAGAGGGTTCCATCTCGAAGCCATTCCAAAAAGAGAGATTAGCGTCAAAGTCCAGCCAAATGACGACTATGAGGATCATCCACATTTGCAACATGCCACAGAGGATGCCTATCGTGCTGACTCGTCCAATCTTGCTGATCCAAAACATGAAAAGACTTTCTCCATAAAGGAGCAATTCTTCGCAATGGGCGAAGTCCTAAATGGAAGGGTCCCCAGTCTCGTACAAGAGTCTCCATATTCCCAAATATATAGCAAAAAGTCCAAGGTCGCTGCACGGCGGCAGACCCGTCGAGACCAATTTTATCCCTATCCTAAGGTTGAGGATGTTATCAACAGCTCCCAAAGCAACAAAAGAACACCACCGCGCCAGGGACATGGGAAGCCGGGCACGGTGATCACATCGCACGAACATCTACACCAGCCCGTCAAACAAGAAGACCACTCGGGCTTCAATGGTGCTCACGATTTCTCCTCACAGCCGTACACTTCAAACACTTCACCTTTCCAAAGCCAGTATTCTCCGATGGCAGCCTAGCCTGCTTGGGAAGTTGAATATCTGATTCCACCAGGCAAAGCGTTGAAAACTTACCGACGGGCCTTCAACCTTTCTGATTGAGTTCGGTAATGAAATGAATGACCCAATTCAGTCGACTACGGTATCCCCTGCCTGATATCCCTTTTTGCTTTTTCTCTTGTTACTCGGAGTCGGCATCAGAGCTTAATCATTCGGCGCTCATGGCAACACTCAATCAGGCTGAGAGGTCCTCTCGTCAAGGCAGGACAGCAGGAAATCATCGGCAGATGAAGTCTCCGCACACTCGCTCACGGCCTCGGGTTACTTTCACGGCGCAAGCAATTTCTCATCCTTTTTTTTTGGCACGGCCTGCAACCAGATGAAACGGACTTCGATAGACACGATTTATGATTTCGTGTCTGGTCATGGATTGCAATGACTTTTGACATCCCTGGCAGACATTTTGATATACCCCGGATTCACGACCCCTGATTTATTATTTTATGATGCTTGTTGAGAGGAATGACGTGATATGACATGATTTTCTTGAGGTTTCTTATGATACTCGAAAGGTATTTAGTACTTTCTTCTTCGTAGTCAGATACTTTCCGACAATTTAATGAAATTTACATGAAACTTAAGTGCCATCACATGGACATGTTAGCCGGGGAACGATACTTCGGAGGAAGCCAGTGTCCAGATCCAAGACACATAGACCTCAACCATGGCCCTTTCGACTTGTCAGGTAAGACCTCGTACCTGTTTGCCAATGTAGTGAAGTAGGCCCGACGGTGACTGCGAAGTCCCGATCTGTGTGCCCCAAAAAGAACAACTTCCTCCCCCAGACAAATCGACCAATTGACAAAAACAATATCAAGGAGTATCCTCCCGAACCGGGTCAGATGCCAGTTCCATCCCGAAACGATTTCTGGAATCTTGCCACGCCCTCCGTTGAATCTCCTGAACAGGACCGGTTCTCACAAAGGGTTTCTTGACATTGTGACCATATCTCAAACACTGCGAAATATGTACCCTTTGTTTATCTGACGGTTAATACCTACTAGGAGTCCACTAGCCTCCTGCGTTCGTTGCTAGGGGTCGGTGGCAGCTGAGGCAGTGACGACCTGATATCTTGGCACTACCTCGTCGGTGACTTGCGTATAATACCTACCTACCTAGGTACTAAGTAGCTACAGTCCAAGGTCAGTGGTCTCTGCCCTTCAGGTAGAATGCAGAGATGTAGGAATCAGGATCACAGTCTTTCTGACAAGGCTGAGCTTACAGGATACTCAGCCAAAGAATTCAGACGAAACTCGGCATTCTCACGGCCTAACCCGGCCCTGGCCTGGCTTGATACTGAGGTGTGAATTCTCGGCCTCATCGGTGTTACTAAAACCGCAACAGTCAATGCAATATATGGCTATTCAATCCCATTATACGCTCACTGAATCATCGAGCAATATGAAGTGGTTCGGAATGAGGCATGTCACTGGGGAAGGAAGGTGGGTGGTGGGTAAGCAACGGAGACTTTATTCTCGGGGCCGAAGGGGGAGCCCTAAAGTTCATCCGATGCTGGACTGATTCTCTTTGTCCCCTTCAAGTCACAAATCAGCCGGCGGAAGAGTTCATGCCAGAATGAGAAATGATTTCTAGACGTACACACCACCATCACCAATACTAAGCCCCAGGAAAACAAGGACTGACTGAAATGGGCAAGCCGTTTGGGGAATTTAGTTCTCCAGCTCACACACTCCAACTGTACAGATTTGTCAGCCAACTCGTGGCTTGATCGTGCCATCATAGGGGTTGTCTTGCATCATTGGCTGTGCTAGGTAAACAAGACGACCACCGGCTACAGCTCTCCAGGATACTGGACAAGAGGTGTGGTACCTGTTTCTGGATTTGGCTTATGGACATGTGCCATAGCGCGACTCGGACGAGAAGCTGATGAGTCTGGCTTAACTGCCAGTTTACGTTTTATATATTAATATGCCAATGGCCCCCTCGCAACTGGACCGACCGAGAAAGACCGAAGAAGACGAGTATTTATATTTGTGATTACAGCCTCGTGAGTGCGTTGAACCACCCATAGAGGTCGTCACAACGCGATATCGAAAGTCCGAGCCTGCTTCAACGTAACACTTTGACGAGGAGACTTCACCCTCCATTTAGGAACTCGAATCCCGACGGCGTAGACACAACATGTCTTCACCCATCCTCTTCATCATCGGTGCTGGACCCAATGTGAGTCTTTTGACCCTGTTCTACCCAGCACCTCCCAAGTAAAACACCCTTGCAAACCTCACATAACAACACTCAACACCCCCATCTCCATTACCCCTTTCCACTAACCGAACGCCCTGGTTTAGATTGGAGCCCACGTCGCCAAAGCATTCGCCGCACAAGGCTACCGCATCGCACTAGCATCGCGCAAGAAGCCAAACTTCACGGTCGAATCCAGCATCCACGTGAGCGTGGACCTGACGAAGCCCGAGACGGTCGCTCCAGCATTCGAGGAAGTACGCGCACAGCTGGGCGCCAGCCCGAGCGTGGTGGTGTACAACGCGGCGGCATTCCCACCCAACGACGCGGCCGACCCACTGGGCAGCTTCGACCTGGCCAGCTACCGCAGCGCGCTGGACGTCAATGCTACGTCCGTCATCTACGCCGCCCAGCAGGCCGTCGCGGGCTTCAAGACCCTCGACGGCCCCGACCACTCCAGGACCTTCATCCTGACCGGCAATTTCCTCAACAGGAGAGTCCTCCCCGGCATGCTGCCCTTCGGCCTCACCAAGTCTGCCGGCGCCTATGTCATCTGGAACCTGGCCGAGACCAAGGCGTATGAGAAGGACGGCGTCAAGTGAGTCTTTGCCCATAACCGGCCACCCACCCAAACTGCCCCTGTGTTCATCACCCATTGCATCATACGACTCTGTGAACTGGGTGGGTGAGATCAATGGATATCAAGCTGACCCGTTGTCACTTTCTAGGTTCTACTTTGCAGACGAACGCCAGTCGTCTGGCGCGTCGGCAGGGAAGGCTGTCTCCGGCCCCGCCGCTGCAGAGGAATACTGGAAGATTGCGACACAGAAAACCCAGGGGCCCTGGTTGCATACTTTCGTTAAGGACGAGGGGTACAAGGATTTCAATGGTTCGTAAATGTCGTAGGTGAGCACGAGCCAAAAGATGGTAAAATATCAGAAGCTGATATGACGTGTTGCTAGTGACTTCAGGTAGTAGGCTTTGAGACGTACTATGATCCAGGACATGTCTTCGGGAATAATTGGACGAGCATAAATAAAAACATAAAACAATCGTGAGAATGGTGATACGAGTGTATCACTGTGATTGATTGAAACTATCTGCCGAATTTGAAGACTCCTTTTCATGATCTCTGTGCATAAGAGACATAAGTGAAGGTACTAATTCTGTACCAGCGAAGTCTCTCATGAAATATGCATTTCAACTTGAATTTCCTGATGTGATGCCACCAGGTCATTTTTGTGACCAACAGACAGCCCCGTGAGACTGTAATTGGCGTGGGTTTAGGTATTGTGCAGACGGACTTTGAAGTGATAGCTAGAGAGTATCGTATTTCATGCCATCACACATCATCTACCAACCGGCACCGGCAGCGACTGGGGGAGCAGATGGAGCATGAGTTGCGTCCTGTTCCCAACCGGGTGGTCCAGAAGATTCAGCCTGGTTGCCAGTCTCCCAGCCACCACCGCCATTCACCTCGCCGTTGGAATTGCCGAAATCACCATTTGCTTCCTGGGCATCAGACTCAGGGCAGCGCTTGCGACCGTGGCCAGTCTTCTTGCTATCAGGTTGTCAGTATTCAGGCTTCGAACAAGAGAGTCCGAGTACTTACCAGTTGGAGCAAACGACTTTGGCCCAATCAACAGGCTTTCTGGGCTCATTGCAATCCTGTATCATATGATTAATTGTATACTCCCAGCGAGGGAAACAAAAGGCAAACCTTTGACATGTGACCTTGTCCACCACAGTTGTGACACTCAATCTTTCGCTCTTGAGTACAATCCTAGCAATGAAGTCAGATGTTGGGCTCAAGTTCGTCATAAGAACCACTCACCTTGCTTATGTGTCCTTCTTCGCCACATCGTCGACAAGCCTGCTTCTCACGGTTGGGGCAATCCTTGTGCAGTGTCAGTAAATACACACCAGAGGAGGGAGAGATTTTGTACCTTGGCGAGATGCTCTTCTGATTCACAGATCTTGCACGCACGTCCTGATTTACGCTCCTGAGTACAGTCGCGAACACGGTGACCTTCCTCGTTGCACAAATGACAGAAGATCTTGGGTTGCTCCGCGACAATACGTTCTTCGGTACACGCACGGGACTTGTGACCAATCTGACCGCAATTGTTGCACTTGTCAACACCACGATCGAGAGGAATACCAGCATCTTCAAGACGAGAGAGGTTGTCATCGGCATCCTTGGGCCATTTGGCGAGAAAGGTTGGGCGTTGAGGTTTTTCGGAAGTGAAGTAGCTAACTGCAAACTTCATGCCGATTTCACCTTGCAGATTGACGTTGGTCCAGGTATCACCATGGTCTTTCTCCTGAAACGAGGGTTAGTATCGTGGTATCGTCATACCCAGGGCCGGGAAATCAAACCATAGCAATGAGGAAGATCTTGAAACCTCGCTTGCGAAACTCTTTCTCAAGGCCAGAGTAGGTGTAACGCGGAGAAGCCTTGGTCAGAATTTGAACCGCTTCCTTGAAATCGCCAATATCTCGTTCCTCACTGGCTTGCTCAAGCATGGCCCAAGCTTCATCCTCAGACTTGCTCGCAACATGGTCATCGTTGATCTTCTTCGCATTCTTGCACTCATGAGCATCATGTCCTGGGTTGGTAGAGATGTTATTAAGAGGAGTGGACATGTTGAGGATGGCAACTTACCTTCCTGGAGACAGTTCTTGCACTTGCGGTTGGGGCAGGCAGCAGAGAAATGTCCTTCCTGCTCGCGGGTACGGCATGGGCCATTAGGCTTGCGGGGAGCAGTGCAGTTGGATTTGTTCTGCACAGTGGATTAGTAAAGGTAGAGTCCGAGGTGGAAGAAGTATTTACGTGGCCTTCTTCACCCTAGAGAGTTGTCAGTAATAATCATGTGAAAAAGAGGGAGAGATACGTACACAGTTGAAACAGGCTCCACCGCCCTTGCGTGGCTGGGGACATTCACGAGCAAAGTGGCCCTCTGAGAAGAGTCAGTTGAGCTTGAAAGGTATGATAGATTGACTTCACCTTCACCGCAGTTGCGGCAAGCTCCATCACCACCGCCTAGATTCTCAGTGCCGCCATTTTCAGTATCGAAAGCTTGGGTGGCCTCGCCGAAACCGTTGTCGGCAGTACCTCCGAAACCATCGTTGAAAGCAGCTGAGCCGGCGACACCTCCAGCATTCCAACCGTCAGTGGCTGCGCCACCTTCGTTCCAATGATCGGTCTTTGCACCTGTATTTAATTGAGTCAGTGGCTAAACTTGAAGCATGGGGTGATACGAAGTGGGGTTCTGGAAAAGGAGGCATGAGGGAAGGGTGAGAGGAAGGAGGGAAGTCGGACGAGGATACTCCTCAACCATCCACAAATCTGGCAGCTTGTAGCAAGGTTCAGTCGCTCTTTGAAAGCGTCGTCTGAACATGATGTGATTTTCACCCCCAAAAATATGTGTGGTATTGTGATGAAGGGGATGGGAGATGAATGAGGGTTGTGTCTTGGGTAAGAACTTACCACTAGTGTCCCAACCCGACATTGTGAAGATTGTCACTGTTTGTGAATTGTCAGTACGGCGATGCAGACAAGACCCAATGGTAGTGTCGAAAGTGCGAGGTGTGGAGAGAGATGAGTACCTGTGTGCACTTGGGTTAGTGAAACCGATGCAATTGGACTGAAAGAAGATGTGAGGCTTCAAGTCGTGAGGACAAGATCAACCAGGTGATGACTCTCAATTCTGGCCCGAGGATACAAGAAGAGAAGGCTTGCAAATGACAAAGTTGGGTCACACTCGTAGGAGACTTGACTGAAAGATCGGTTGTCCGCTGGGAAGACAAGGAGTGGAAGACGGTCAACAATGGCTTACCTAAGGATGAAGTCGTGAGCTTTCAGAAGATGAGAACTTGAATGTTTGATGGAAGAAGTTTGCAAGATGACGGAAGGCAATAAGCTGTCGACAATGACAGCAGCAATGATCAATGATGATGACAGATCAGATGAAGAGAGGTTGGAGAAAGAGAAGGGGGAGAAAGAGGTGGAAGAAGTGGAAGTACAAAACTTGGACCGGAAGCAACTGAGATATTTGTTTACCTTCCCGGGTGACCTCTTTCCAGACACCACGACTCGCGCGAGCAAGTCAACAACCTCAGTATCATATCACAGCCTGATAGTCACTGAGCATCCAGAGCGAAAGAACAACCTGTCTTGGTTCTCTGCTTTGTCAATTGGGTCACACGTGAGTGGTGAAGTGCTCATCGGTGGAGTTATTCATGGATGCTCTGCTCTTTGAAACAACGGCTGCTCGTCAGATACCTACCTAGGTACCTATCTGCATTGTAGTTGAACGAATACCTCAATCGTCTAAACATCACGTCCTTTTCGTCGTCAAGTTCTGTTTCATTCCATCTCAGAGTTTCATCCGAGGTCGACTAATCACCCTGCCACTCCGGAAGAGTTGTACTTATCCTTCTGGCATACCTTCTAACCTGTAATCTGTATGTCTGAATTTTACAATCCTTTCACCCATAGCCTCAATCCACTAGCAGCTGCACCTACTTCACAGACCTCGCAAATGCTGCACACTTGACCTTTGTACTGGCTATGATATTTTGAGCCATCAAACGGGCAAGAGACACTTTGGACTCCACTGTAGATAGGCGTATATGACGCAGCGCAGACATCGAAATCAGCAAATTGGTCATATTCGATGTCGAGTTTGTCGCTGGATCCGGAGCGTTCAGCCTGTTGCTTGACTTTCTTTGCCTAAAGAAAAATTAGTCTGCAAATCTCGCGGGATAACGTTCACCCAAAACTGACCTGTTCGACCAACTTAGCAGCTCCTCCGTTCGCCAGCACGCGGTTAGCAAATGACAAAGCACTGGAAAATTGCTTGCTTGAGAAGGCAAGCTTCATAGCAGCCATGAGCGCCAATTGTCGGTGCGCAACATCCAATTTTGGCACTGTGAAATATGCAGACAACTCCAACTGTCTCTTCAATTGCTCCTCCGATTCGCTACCTTCTGTCGCTAGACTACGTCGTTCAAGCTCAATTCTCATGGCAAGGGCGTATTCTGCAGATTTCGTGATCAAAGCTTTGGCTTCGTCGACCTGGGCCTGTGAGCTGACCACGTTTACCAAGAGTGACTGAAGGATGTTGCGGAAGACTGCAACACCGTTTTCGAGTTTATTGGTCCTCATGGCAGTGTATCCGTCCTGAAGATTGGTGCTGGAAAGTGTGTCGAGACTCTGAGGAATAAAGGGCAGAAGTTTTCGACTGTCTGTCTCATCTGGTGTTCGTCGCACGTAATTTAAAATTGGGGAGAGTCCAGTATTGGCAGGGAGATATGTCTTGGATGCTTGGTAAATCTCCAAGAAACGGGGTTTTAGTGGTGAAAAGTTGACAGCACCAATCTGGCGATTCAGTAATTGCATGGCGCTGTCGAAGGAGCCCGCAGCAACGTGGTCGGCAGCGAGTGGAGAATTGCGTGACCAGAGATCTGCTTCTGAGCTGCCTGGTCCAGCTGCGTCGACAGCTGCGTCAGGGTTATCGACGTTGACGAAGTCAGAGTCATTCCCGGCTGTATCCAGTCCAATGTCATCGCCCATGTCCCAGCCTTCACCAGCATCGGCTTCGTCTTCGGCCGCCAGTCCGGTATTATCCGCTGTCGCAGGAAGGTCGTCGGTAAGGAGATCTGGGCTTGCTTCCTCGTCCGTGGCTGTCCCGACTTCACCAAGAAGTGCCTTCTCGAACGAAGAGTGTGAAGCTTCCTTGACAGGCCAGTTGGACTTAAAGGTAGGGACAATAGCTTTGGGAGTGTTGAGGCTCTGACCGAGTGTTGGTAGAGATATTTGATCTTCTGTTAGGCCACTAAGTTCGAGGATCGACTCGCACTCCTCTGTTAAGCCATTGGATTTTGCCGCCAGGTAAGCCAGTGGATAGAGGTCAATTTCTTTGAACATTTGAATCCGGCTCTCCACATCTCCAAGATAGAGGGCATTCTGGAATCGAGAAGTAAAATCCCCTCGATGCTCTGCAATCTTAGACATTCTGGTCAGCTTCTCCTGGTCGCCTGTGCAAAGGTACAAGAACGAAAGCTTATCGAAATGTCGCAGTTTTTGATAGGTCATCTCAACCGTTTGATGGTTGCCGTGAAGCAAAGCCTCGGCACCGAGACGAGTCCAGATCTTTGGTCGGTCAAGCTCCTTAGCCATGTCACTGGCGACCTCAAGGTTACCACATTCAATTGCCAGTTCAAAACGAGTTTGTGGGTCTTGAACGAATTGGAGGGCGATTTCAGGATAGCCCTTTTTCTGCAAATATGAGATAATGCTTTGACCGACAAGACTCGAGGTCTTTATGATTTGAAGCATTTCGTCGTAGTTGCGCTTGACGAGAGCCAGTTTGAAGCGGTATTCTGTAGGATCGATGCTCAGCACCTTCGGCTTTGCAGCTCGGTCTAGACAATAGACATTGCGGCCCTTGACTTTGACGAGGTAGACCGTTTGGTCCAATGTTCTCACAATACCATTGTCTCCATTGAGCAGGGTGTACTTGATGTGATTGAGCGTTGAATATAGTAGGACGCCCGAGTCATCCCAAGTGGCACTCTTGATTCTTATCGTCTCGTGGAGAGTACTGACTTGTTCAAGGGATTTGTTGACAATGGTAACATTATGTTTGCTGAGTAGAGCAGCATAAAGACCGTCATTCGACCAAGTCACATATTTGACTCCAGTAACGCTCAACTCAGCCAGCTGCTTCTTTTGCTGAATGTCGTAGAGAACAACAGAGGTAGGAGTTATGAGAAGGAGAGCGCCAGTGCCACCATACGTGATATCTGTTGTACCAGATGGTGCTTTGAAAGACTTTGTAGTGGAATTGCTTAAGTCTTTAATCTCGACTAGTTGTGTTGAAGTGGAGAAGACCGCGAATCGATTTCTAGCCACAAAAACGGCAGCATTTCCAGCTCCACGTTTGAGATCAGTAGGATCGGAAGCGCCAGTTGCCTCACGCGGGAGTCCGATCAACTCGTAGGTACCACTGTCGGTTGGCGACGTGACCAAGATGGATCGTTCAGCGGGGTTGTATGACAGGGTTCGCGGTGGGACCCACAGACTGCCAAACTTCCTAAGTGACAGTAGAGATGGGGACTCGATACTCTTGCTGAAGTCATATGACCGTACGTGTTTATCTTTTGTGATGTAGAATAGTTGGCTCTGATAGACCGAGGAAGCAGGTCTTTCTCGTTCAAGTTTGAATACCATCACTCCATTGTCATGGCCTGCAGCGAAGAGATTGATTTCGGGGTGGGCAGCAATTACCCAGAAGCGATCGTTTTCTCTCTTAAAGGACTGGATAGATGTTCTCTTGTTGAGGTCCCAGACCCTGACCGTCTTGTCCTCACCGACAGACAAAATGAGATCTTGATGGGGATGGAAGAGACATGCAGACGCGTTTTGGAAATGCCCACGGCATGTGTCGACCTCCCAGGCCTTGGTCTCACTCATTCTCCACAACTTGACAAGCCGATCGTCACCAGCAGACACAATCAGGGGTAGTGTTGGATGGAAAGCCACCCAGTTGACACCACGATCATGGCCTTCCAGTACGAACTTGACGACTGCATCGGTATTGCCAAACATGTCAGCCTGCTGCTGATTGGCGCGTGCCATCTGATCCTCAAAGGACATTGAGGTGGGCGCAGATTGCTTCTTCCGTAAACCCGAGATATCCCACACTCGGACAGACTGGTCAAGCGATGCGGAAACGACAAGGTCTTCTTTGGGATGGAATTGTGCGCACATTGCGTAGTGGTTGTGTCCGGTCATGGTACATACTGGGAACTTGTGAGCAGATGCTTGGTCAAAGTGTGGGGAAGCATACTTAATGAACGGTTCTGCCAGTTCCAGATGCGGATTGTCTGATCATCTGAGGCAGACAAGATCCAAGGCAATTCGTGGTGGAAGAAGACTGTTCGCACGTAGTCAAGGTGGCCATTGAGCGTGAAAAGACATCTCCTTGTTTGATACGACCAGACTTTGATTTTATAGTCGTCTCCACCAGAGACAAACAGTGGTTGGGTCTTGTGGAAGTCGATGCCACGGACCGGACCATCATGCTCTTCGAATCGGTCGATCAACGTTCCCATTCGGTAGTCCCATAGCCTGCGATTATTGTCAACCAAGATCGGGCGGGTAGAAATATGATGTGTCCGTACTGTATCGTGCTACTATGCAAACTGACAAGAATCCATGGTCTTTTGGGATGGAATGCTAGACCTTTGGCTCGACTACTCTTGCTCTCAAACTGCAGCGAGATTAGTACCCCTGATGCGATATTGAACGAATGTATGGCTTGCCTTGGTGAGCATTGAAGGGGATGCCATGGTGAGGGCGCGGTGTGGTGACTTGGGATTGGGAGGCCGTTTCAAAAATTCAGGGCATCGAGATCACAGCATACCCTGGTCCCCTGTGATCGTGCAAGGAAGTGAGGACGTTGTGGTTGTCCGCGGGAGGTCGTCTATTCACCAGTAAATAAAAGGTAAAGGTGTCTCGACTGCGCAGGGGAATTTGTGGCCCGCACTGCACCTGCCATGCGGTTCACAATAATGGGTGCACCTTCTCAAGCGTCCCTGCGCTTACGACACTACGGCGGATCATGGCAACAGCGCACTACCAATTTCAGACCTCACCAAAGTCCAGTAGTGGGTGAAGTTGGACTTCAAGTTGACAGGGTGGCTCGGGTTCACATCAGATCCACCACAGGACTTCACGACAATACTTTTCACGATAGGTGTCCCTACCAGATCAAACTGCGAAGACAATTTCCTCTCCAGCCTGATCGCAGAGTCACCATTTCAGCAGTGCAATATTACCTCTGTTCAGCATGCACTTTTGAATCGACTGTGACGGAGATAGACACCACCACCAAGAATGGATCAAGCACAGTATGATGCGATCAAAGACAACTGGGGAGAGGTGGAGGACAGAGATGGAGTCAGACTCAGTTGGAATACCATTCCCTCCACGCGCATGGTTGGTCTCCTAGCAACTCATCTTTAAAGAACTACGAAATAATCACTCGTCTAGGAAGCAAATCGCTTGGTCGTTCCCTTGAGCTGCTTGTTAACACCACTGAAAGTAGGTGTACAAAAATACATGCTACACAATGTGCCTAACCCTTTGGCAGGAATTGAACAAGCCCCTCCTCAATTACGAACCTGTCACATGTCGAGCACCTTGTCGAGCCGTCCTAAATCCCTTCGCAAATGTCGATGTACGTGCTAAGATATGGATCTGTCCATTCTGTTTACAGCGGAATGCCTTGCCACGGCATTATGGAGATATTAGCGCAGAGAATGTGCCGCCTGAGATGCACAGTCTGAACACCACAGTGGAGTACCAACTCGCTCGACCAGCGCCCGCCCCACCAATCTTCGTCTATGTGATTGACACTGCGATTGAAGAGGATGGTTTACAGGCATTGAAAGATACTCTTGTCATGAGCCTGTCGCTACTCCCGGCCAATGCCCTCGTAGGACTGGTGACTTTTGGCACCAACGTCGCAGTCCATGAAATTGGATACACCGAGTGCCAGAAATCCTATGTGTTTAGGGGAAGTAAAGACTACGCTGCAAAACAGGTCCAAGAAATGCTGGGCCTGGCTGCTCCAGGTCTAAGACCCAATGTCCCCCCCGTACAAGGGCGACCGCCTCCGCCAATGGGCCCTGCCGCCAGATTTCTCCTCCCAGTCCAACAAGCCGAGTTCCAGATTACCAACACCATCGAACAGCTTCAAAAGGACCCTTGGCCAGTAGCGAACGATCGCCGACCACTGAGATGTACCGGTGTCGCACTCAGTGTTGCTGTTAGTCTTCTGGAAACATCATTCCAGAATGCCGGGGCTCGCATCATGCTTTTCGCTGGTGGCCCTGCAACCGAAGGTCCAGGCCTTGTAGTTGCACCTGAACTTCGTGAACCCATTCGGTCACACCATGACATCGATCGCGATACTGTCAAACACTTCAAAAAGGCCATCAAATTTTACGATGGCCTGGCCAAACGAACGGCTCACAATGGTCATATCATCGATCTCTATCTTGGATGCCTCGACCAGGTTGGTCTGCTCGAAATGAAGGGCTTGGCAAATTCTACTGGTGGTCATATGGTATTGACTGACAGTTTCACATCATCTCAATTTAAACAGTCCTTCGTTCGAGTCTTTGAGAAGGATGAAAATGATGTTCTTCTTATGGGCTTCAACGCCAACATTGAGGTCATCACAACCAAGGAGCTCAAGGTTACAGGTCTCATTGGACACGCTGTTTCTGCAAACAAGAAATCTAGCTCCGTTGGGGAGACCGAATGTGGTATTGGCAATACTTCGGCATGGAAAATGTGTGGCATCAACCCCACATCGAGTTATGGCATCTACTTTGAGGTTGCAAACCAAGGAGGACCAACCCCCATGCAACAAGGTCCACAGCGAGGCATGATGCAATATCTGACTTACTACCAACATGCGTCTGGACAATACCATCTTCGTGTAACGACCGTGGCACGGAACCTGAGTGGTCCAGCAGGTGACCAAGCCTTGGCGCAATCGTTCGATCAAGAGGCTGCCGCCGTCCTCATGGCTAGGATTGCTGTTTTCAAAGCCGAAGTTGATGATGGACCAGATGTTCTCCGATGGGTCGACAGAATGCTCATTCGGCTCTGCTCTCGGTTCGCAGATTATCGGAAGGACGATCCCACTTCGTTCAGGCTCGACAAAAATTTCACCCTCTATCCCCAGTTCATGTTCCACCTTCGACGTTCGCAATTCTTACAAGTCTTCAACAACTCACCTGATGAGACCGCATTTTACCGACATGTCTTGAATCATGAATATGTGGGAGATTCACTTATCATGATTCAACCCACCCTGGACTCATACAGCCTTGAGCATGAAGGTGGTCAACCAGTGCTTCTTGATTCCGCATCCATTCAACCGCAAACTATACTACTCCTTGACACCTTCTTCCAAATTCTGATTTTCCATGGCGAAACCATGGCAGAATGGCGAAAAGCTGGCTACCAGGATCAAGAAGGCTACGAGAATTTCCGAACCATTCTCGATACTCCGAAAGAGGATGCTCGAGAACTTGTCCAAGATCGATTCCCTTTGCCGAGATTCATTATATGCGATGCTGGTGGCTCACAAGCTCGCTTCTTGCTCTCCAAACTGAATCCCTCCACAACCCATGCGACTGGGGGCTATGGTGGAGTTTCTCAAACAGCACAAACGATATTCACGGATGATGTTTCTCTGCAAACATTCATGGATCACCTGATGAAGTAAGCTAACCCCTATATTCGGTCCTATATTTGCTAACGGAATTACAGGCTCGCTGTTTCTGGTTCAAGCTAGAAACATGTAGTAAATCGACCGGCCCTCCGCCGCCAACGGGCAGACTTGTTGGATGAAAGGAATACATAGACTCTGGCCTGTTCACAGCGGCTTATGAAAGACATCTGTATGACAGTGATGGCGGTGGAATGACGTCCAGCGTAGAAGAGCTTAACATTAAATGAGAAATGCCTGAGACCCACATGCCATTCAATTACGGGCTTTGTGGCTCACCGTAGCTTGTTTTTTCGGCAATGGAGAAGATTTGTTCCGCTCCACACAAATTACTGCCAAGCCAAAATTCATTTTCAGACCGAGTTCATTTCCACTCTCCGCAGCCAAATCTCCTGCTTCTTTCCAGTGTTGAGAACGATTCAACCATCACCTCAAGAAAGACAGACTACCTTCCGCACTCGCCATGCGTAAGTATCGTCTTCTTGAGCAGATGCAACCCGGCGGCTAATATGTGGTATTACAGCTCCAAAGCTCGACCCCAATGAGATAAAGATCATGTAAGTTCTCACGCAGTTTTTCAGAATGTCGAGAGCTAACAAATTCACAGCCACCTCCGCGCCACTGGCGGTGAGGTCGGATCGTCTGCAACTCTCGCTCCCAAGATCGGTCCCCTTGGTCTGTCGCCCAAGAAGGTCGGTGAAGATATCGCGAAGGCAACTGGTGACTGGGTTTGTCCACATCCCCAAAGCGTGCGATTATAGCTTCTGACACCAAATAGAAAGGTCTCCGTGTCACCATCAAACTCACCATTCAGAACCGACAAGCGGCCGTCTCCGTTGTTCCTTCCGCCTCGTCGCTGGTCATCAGAGCTCTTAAGGAGCCCCCTCGGGACCGCAAGAAGGAGAAGAACATCAAGCACTCCAAGTCTATCCCTCTGGACGAGATCATTGATATTGCACGAACCATGCGTGGTGCCAACAAGTCACTTGCTCGTGAGCTGAAGGGAACCGTGCTCGAGATTCTGGGTACTGCTTTCAGTGTTGGGTGCCAAGTTGATGGCCGATCCCCCAAGGACATCAGTGATGAAGTCAAGGAGGGAAGCATCGAGAGTACGTTATCTCAACAAGAATTACTGCATGGATTTTTGGCTAACATGATTCCAGTCCCTGATGAGTAAATTATTCAACCTTCATAGAGAACGATCAAAAAGTTAGGTGGTGATGAGATGATACCCATGATCATGCAAATGCCATGAACGAACCATTGAACCAGCCTAATGTTCACCTTCGAATCTCTTCTCCTGGTCGACGTGTTGCATTCTGAGTCGCTTTTTTCTTCTCCCCTACACTTCCCCCTTCCTCAACTCCCTACCGACCTTTGCCAACACTCTGGCCTTTATCCCTCCTCTCGTTGCGATTGGATTTATCCCAGGATATAGGCCTATTTTGGTGCAAAGAAGATTGAACCATCTTCTGACACGATACTCACCGCGGCATCCTGCTCTTCTGAGCGGTGGGTGCGGTGGTCCATCATTCTGTGTCTACAATTCCTCCATCACAAAGTGATTGCTGTGGGCAACCCACTCATTTCTCTGTCTCCGTGAGGCGGTCGCCCGTCTACCCGAGCGGAGATTCTTAAGAAAGACCAATCCTTGCAGTTCGTTGACTCTGGTAGTTTTCATATGTGTACCTTACACGGGGTTGGACAATACAGCTCTCGCAACAATTGTTACTATAGTGCCCGCGAGTAGATACCCAAAAAATTTGATGGTTTTATTTGCATTATTGTCAGACTACCTACCCCACTCAAATTATCGCCACCACTCCAACTGCCCGCTCGAGAAACAGTACGCTAATTTATTACCACAGACTCTGAATCATTCCCTTCGTCATGTTTTGATAATGTAATTCAATTCTTTTAAATTCCAATTGAGGATCGATCTACTAGATTTCAGCCCATACGCAGCCATTTCGAATGACTATCGTATGAATCGAATGCCAAAAGAATGCTAGAAGCTTGCCGAATTGCCTGGAATGGATAAGACGGACGCCTCGAGTATAGCCACCTAGGTAACAAAGTCTGCGGCCAAGTGGGCAGGCTCCGGGTGCCCAGCTCAGCCAGGCTTGGTTGCGAAGGATCTATATGCTATCTATTGCTCACGGTCCTGGCTCGTCATCGGGAAACCAGCTTCACAATGATGTAATGTTGTTAACAAAGAGGGAGCGAGGCAAAAGACCACGGCGGGAATCTTCTGATGAGCTCTACATCGAAGAACTATCACCTGACGACATTGGTTACGATGGAGACGCCGAGGTTCTTCGCCCCGATGAGTATGAAGATGTCGACTCTGATTTCGAAGACGAGAAACACGCGACGAAAGTATGGCCTTCAACAGAAGAAGAGCTAGCACGGCAGCTGGAATTGCTTGCTTGTGGCCCGGAAATCACCGGCTCGTCGCGCCTGGACGAGGGCGACGTGAACAAGAAGCGAAGATCTAAAGAAATGGAACACGAATCTCTGTCGGCCAACGGCGGACACGCAGATTTCGAAGTGTCTGAGATGGTCGATGGCCAGGCAGAACAGCGGCCTATTAAGAAGAGGAGAAAAAGGGCAAGTCAATATGGGATTGCTTATCGACTTGGACGTAAACACGTCAACGGAACTTGGTCGGACAGTTCGGACAGAACTGATGATAGAGAGATGCCATTCTTGATTGAGTCTTCCTGCTCAGGCACCCCAGAAGCCACGCCGGTACCTGAAGTTCAAAGTCCCAGGGTAGAGATTGGCGATGACGCAATGGATATCGAATAAGCCGCATTTCGTGCACATCGAGTTGTTCACGTTGACATGCAATTTGAGCCCCTTGGTCTTTCTACATTGCCATGGATCGATGGTCCTGCCATTTTGACCAGATGGAATAAGGGGGCTTTAGGTTCTAGGGATCTGTTTCATTTGACTGGGGTCCAAGGTAAAGTTGAACTTGAGGATGGTGGGGAAGATCAGCCTCTAGAACCAGCCATTCGGAAGGCGGGATGGCAGGCTCAAGTTCCTGACTAGTACGAACAACATCTTGTGCATCACACATTTCGACACCAAGCCTTCTCACATCTTACATCATTGTACCTCCCCTTGGCCGTGGACCCGAGAAAGTGTGGAGTAGCTTGCAACTAAGACATGCACCTCCAAAGAACAAGAACTTGGGACGTGCTTCGTCAACCTCGACGTTCAATGCTCGACGTCTCCCATTTCCCTTCTACCCTTCAACCCACCTTCCACCATTCTCCCCCATAGAAAATTCCATACCCGTAGTCAACATGACTGGAAGACGCCAATCTGCTCGTCTCGCGTCTCAAAACTCGGCCTCGTCTCCCCCGCAGCCTCAGGCGCAGCCAAAGTCATCCCCAGCTGGGCGCAAGCGTAAGAATGATGCCAATGGTAGTCCTCCCACTGCAAAACGGGGAAAGAAAGACGATGAGCCTAAGCAGCAGACTCTCGAGGAAACGCTGAACAAGTGTGCTACTTTCGATCAATTCCGCTCTCTGTAATTGCTGACATGCAGCTTTAGCCATGCATCGGAAGACGCTCCACCAAACGCGGCTGAAGGCGTTGTAGACCAGCAGGAAAATTCTCACATTGAGAATGGGTCTGCTGAGAGCAACGGTGACAAATCTGCTCAGCAGAATGGCGAACACGAGACTAAAGAGGCGGATGATGTCCAGATGCAAGACGCCAATGGTGAGAAGGACTCTACCCCAGCAACCACCCAACCCAAGGACGATGCCAAACCAGAAGAGAAGGAGCCATCCCAACCGAAACAAGAAGAAACCCAAGCACAAGAGCCTGAGACACAAAAAGACTCCAAGTCCCGGCCATCAGCAGAAAGCAAGCCAGAACACGCCGAAGAGCAAAAGCCAGAAGCCAGCAACGGCGATGCTGTGGTGCCCAACGCACGTGGTGATGATGTTCCATCGAGCATTCTCGAGAAAGGCATCATCTACTTCTTCTTCCGTGCACGCGTCAACGTCGATGATCCGCAGGATGTCAAGGACATTGCCAGAACCTATATGATCATGCGACCCATGCCACTCGATGCGAAACTTGGAGATGGGCCAATAGGCGATGAAGGCAACTGTCGGCTCCTGGCTCTTCCCAAAAAGGTCTTACCTATAAGCGGCAAAGACAAATTCATGACTTTTGTTGAGAAAGCCAAAACGAGCTTCAAGGAGCTGAAGGACTCTTTCATGCCTGGCTCGGACTACGCAACCAAGACTGCGGGCACCAGTCACTCTCCCCCAGTGACACCCCTTGCCGAAGGTGTGTATGCCATCACAACAACCGGACGTGAATCGCATCTTGCCTACATCATCACAATCCCCAGTGAACTAGGCGAGGTACAAAAGGACCTAGGGCTCAAGGAGCGTGGAAGTTTTGTGACGAGCGTCAAAAATCCCACGGCCCCAGCCCCCAACAATGCCAGTCTACCACAAGGACCAGACTATCCCAAAGAATTGTTGGAAGGATTCCGCGGTCTACGCTGGACACCTCTGGAGCCCAAATTCCTTGACTACGCAAACGCCCAATTCTTGATCATTGGCGAGTCTTACGAGAATGCCGTTGAGCAGAGACCTAAGGATGAAAGGGAAGGCAACGGTCTACCGTCGGAGGAGATTGAGAAGTTAGAGGGCGAGGACGAGATACGAGTCAAACACTTGAAGGGTAAGCCCAGTCTCCTGATCTGTAAGCAATTGTGACTGACAAACCCAGGTGACGATGCGGTATTTGCAGATCTAGGAATCACTTCGAAGGACTATCCAAAGGTGCCTACCACTTGGTAGTAGAGTCCAACGAGTGTACCACGAGGGGGAAAAAGGTGTAATCTTGTGTAAAACTGGTCTCCATGTCATGAATGAAATGTCTGAAGGGGTATGGCAGATCCTGTCCCTTTGATTCAAAAGCATTACTGGTTGACGAAAGATCCCACTACCGGAACAAATCCGAAGATGTACTCATGTGGCCTATCTTCAGTCGTCAATGTAACCCCTAAAACCCGTTGCCCATGGTCATGAGTTTTCTTAATGCACAGGTCAATGTTTCCAGGTCAAGCATCCTAAAAATATAGATACTAGTCTATGTAAAGTCCTAACTCCGTCCCCACGGGCAGTGTATACCTGGTTTCCACAATCGCTCCATGGTGATGAAAGACATCCTTGGATTAGACACCCATACTCAGATACCCCAGGTTACCACGCCCCATGATTGTTCATTTGCGATTACTCAACAACTCGATGACCAAAGGCCATCATTGATCGGCCATAGAAAGTTTCTCTCAAGGAGGGCAGAAACCGCCTGAACTGGCGGAAGCGGAGGCTCAACATCTCCCACGAGAGCTAAACAAGCAATGATGGACTCTGAAGTACTTCGTGCCTCTGAAAGCTTGTTTGAGCAGACGGTTTGCCTAAACTCATGTTCCATTAGTCAGGGTCGTGCTTCAGGTTACCCTCGCCCTTCCCGCAGATACCTACTGGGCCCGCATCGTACATCAAAGTACGAGAAGTGGATCATGCGAGATCGAAAGAGTCCAATGAACCAGTAACACCATCTGTTTGATTGGACGACGGAGGCTCGCTCTTTCAACCTCATCCGAGCTTTTGTGCGTTCATCCTCGATCGTCACCTCTTCGAACGTGCCTCGTAAGTACTTTTCCCCCTCTAGCTGTAGTGATCGCGATTCGCATTATGCTCGCTCCCATGCCACCCATGGAACATAGTACGATCTCGTGGGTAGGTCGGCTGTACCTAAGCCAAATGTCCGGGTAGCTTCTGGTGTTGAGCACCACCCAGGCGGAGTTGCTTTCTCATCCCTTTGGATTTTTGGACTTAATCTTTCCCAAGCTATCTACAGACAGCCTCGTTGGCCTGATACCAAGCCCCTTGACCCAGAGAAGCAATGAGTATATATGTCCCGGGACCGTGTCCGTCCCGTCTGCTTGTCTAGCTCCAAGAAAACGCCTCTGCAGCTTAACCGCTCGTGATCCCACAGCCTTATCAATCCGCCCACAGAGGATGTTACCCGGACCAGACACCCAGCTTAACTCGCAACACATGGCTGCTATCGCTCAAAACCAAGACCCTTCCTCTCAACTGACCACTGCGGCCGGGTCTCCGGCCTCGAGCGTACTGAAAGTTGATATGCAGCGCGATGCCGAAAAGAATGAAGACGAGGCTGTTGCCGTTGATCCCTCCGAGAACAAATTCAACTCCTCAGAGAAACAAGCGGACTCAGAAAAAGCCGCAGAGGAACCTCCCGTCCCGCAGACCTTCGGCCCAATGCACCCCTCACAATTCCCGGATGGAGGAACGCAAGCTTGGCTGGTCGTCTTCGGCGGCTTCATCGGCCTCGTCGTCAGCTTTGGCTGGATCAACTGTGAGTCTTGGTCACCCCCTTTTGCCGATTTCTGCTGTGGTCTGGTTGTGAAGACTGGTTAGCCTGAGGTTGTTGGATGATGCTGATACAAAACTTGACAGGCGTCGGTGTCTTCCAGGAGTATTACCAGAGTAACCAGCTGAGAGAGTATTCCTCTCAAGAGGTCGCGTGGATTCCGAGTTTGGAAGCATTTATGATGTTTTTCGGCGGGCTTTGGATAGGGCGAATATATGGTAAGCGTTGAGACCGCTTGTTCCCCCCTCATAGCCGTCGATTTCATCTTCCCACTCTGATCGTGGCGATCTGGCTAACAAATACTCCGTCAAAGACAACTATGGGCCGACATATATCCTCGTCGCCGGAGGCTTCTTCCACGTCTTCGGGCTGATGATGACATCGCTCTCGACGAAGTACTACCAGTTCATTCTGGCGCAGGGGGTCTGCTCACCATTCGGCTGCTCCATGATCTTCTATCCCTGCATGTCGGCGACGTCGACGTGGTTCTTCAAGCGTCGAGCGCTGGCCCTCGGCCTCGTCGCCAGCGGTTCTTCCATCGGCGGTGTCGTCCTCCCCATCATGGTCCAGAGATTGATCCCCCGCATCGGCTTCGCGTGGACAATGCGCGCCTGTGCATTCATCATCCTTGGACTGACCTTGATCACCATCTTCACCGTCAAGAGCCGCTTCCCACCTGTCGCTAAGCCCGTAAAGGTGCAGGACTTTCTCGATCCGTGGAAAGAGGCCTCGTTTGCCTTGCTCTCGCTGGGAAGCTTCCTGACTTTCTTGGGTATGCTTCTGTCCCCGCTCCCTTGGGAACCTTTTCTCTCTCTCTTTCTCAACTCAAATGCTAATTCTTCGGTGAAACACAGGCGTCTTCATACCCTTCACATTCGTCATCGTCGCGGCGCGCGGGCGCGGCGTCCCCGAAGACCTGGCCAAGTACCTGGTACCGATACTGAACGCGAGCTCGACGTTCGGACGGACGATCCCGAACTACTACGCGGACAAAGTCGGGCGGTTCACGGTGTTCGTGGCGTCGTGCTTCATCACGACCATCTTCGTGCTGGCGATCTGGCTGCCCGCCTCCGGCAGCGGCGCTATCGTGACCTTCACCGTCGTCTTCGGCTTCAGCTCCGGCGCCGTCTTCAGTCTCCTGCCCGCCTGTCTGGCGCAGATCAGCGACATCCAGAAGATCGGTGTGCGCAACGGCGTCCTCTTCAGCGTCAATGCCGTCGCCGTCCTGATTGGGAGTCCCATCGCTGGCCAGCTCATCATCGGCGATCATGGCCGCTTCCGCACAATGCAAGGCTTCAGCGGCGCCATGCTGGCCGCTGGCTTCATGGTGTATCTCGCCCTGTGGATCAGACTCGGCGGCTTGAAGAAAGGTGTCAAAATCTAAGGGTGTCCCGACAAACCAAAGGTTGTGTCTGTCGCCCTTGTTGTGTCGCTTCAGCCAGCTGCGTCGTTCCTTTCCATTCACTGTCCAATATTTCCCGTTTAACTCCGGGGCGCCCTCCAGTGCCATCACCACCCACCCCCAGCCACCCTGCAACTAGTATCACTACATTATTTTTTATTCAGAATTCATCCAACATCCACAGGGTTTAACCCAACACCGAGGTTCAAGTACCAGTGGCGACAAAAATCGCGAACTGCAGCCCGGATCCCTCGACACTCATGCCCCTCGAATCGGCATAGTGTAGCGTACTATAGTCGAACGGAAAAATTCCCAGGGGCGAGCCCTGTGGTTTTCCCTTCCCAAGACCCCCGCAGAGGGTTCTTGGGCATAGGTTTTCATTGTTTTTGGAGGGCATTCTTGCATTTTAGGGGGTTGCAAGTTTTTGGCTGGCGATGAGTTTTGTGCGTATCTATGGGATTTGTTGCGAAGTGAAGAAACTGCCACATCTGAATGTCAGTAATCTCGGGCGGCTGTGAACCATCTCCCTCTGTTATTTTATCCGTTGTTTTCAGGTCGCAACTCATTTATGCTTAGCGTGTGGATTATCTGGTCTTTGGATGACGGCATCATTATTGAATCGTCTAGAATGATGTCTTCATACGGGCTCTTTACTCAATATCTGGCTCTGAGCTCTGTGTGGCAATCAAGCTACAATTGCTTCTCACATTCCAACTTCATCAGGGCGGTCCAGAACACATAAATCTTGTAGAGCAAAGCAGTCCCCTCCAACAACGTCTTCTTCACGAAAGGTGACTAGAACGCTATTATGTTGGCGGCCAAATATCTCTCAGTTGTTCAACAAGCATAGCCAAAAGGAAGGGACCCAAACATACCACTTCATCATACACTGGAAGATATCGAACACATGGATAAGGGCCGGCAGTCCAGGCTGCAGATAAAACCGCCTGTATCAGTACGAAGTAGAGAACAATGCACGAAAGAACCCTAGACACGAGGCTCCTTTCCGGCAAGATCCACTCACCCAGTCTCCTTCCGCCCTGTCTGCGCAGCCACTTCCGGCGTCGTCTGTTGCAGAACGGAGCATGACTTGATGACCAGTTACACTCGGCCCCAGCATCACAGTGTCGGATATGTTCCTCTTTGTCGTCGTTCCAAAATACTGCTACGCTCGTGTTAATGCTGCGCTTGGAAACTCCTTTGTCACAAAGAACCCTTCTTGCGATATCCTTGCAGGTTAATGCGAAGCAGAAGAAGTCTGCGAGTGAGCTGTCGTTTACTCCCACAAGGACCCCCCTCCATTCATTGTTTGTGCTGATTTTTACAAGATTCTGCAAGATCATTTGGTGAATCTCCTCTGGCAGTCGATTACCCTGCAGATAGCGCTTTTTGGATTCTGGTGTCTGTGGGATGTTCTTCAACTCCTGTGGGGACACATCATCATCATCGTCTCGTTGAATCGGAACCATTGGGAGCAAATATAGTGAAAATGGGAAGTAAAACAGGTATTTCAATACTGGACGACTCATTTTTGTATCCATTGCGATTGAGTGACTCAGGCTCGTACAGTAGGTATTATATTTCTTGGAAGACATCTTGATGAAACAGAAAAAGCCCTGTCATAAATATGCAAGATAGGAGAAGAGGACTGGAGGCAGTTGGACATACCTCGAGGCAGTTCTTTCAATCTCACAGCACAGACAGTCAAATTTCAATCAGTGAGACAGCAGCCACTGCCTTGCGCGGCATTTTCTGTGCCACGCGATGACAGTAGCAGGCAGTGAGAAGTCACCATTTCCTGGCATTAGCCTCAATGAATCTCGAGCCTGAGGTCAGTTAATGATAGACAGGAATGCGCAACAGAAGAGAAGGAGCAAGAGGCGTGTGGTGCGCAAAGGAGGAAGGCAGCGGATAGATTGTCTTGACCACGACCACCGAAGACAAAGACATAGATTGGAGAGAGCAAACAGTTTACAAGACAAAGAACTTTTGGGCTCGCAATCCTGGATGCAGGATGAGAGTCACGTGACAGCCGGGCTGGAAGTCCTCTCCATCACGCTTCGAGTGGGTGACAAGAAGCCGAGATTTCATGCCACTCTTAGAAATAAAATCAACAAACGACTGACAAGCAACATGACAGGTGGTTTTGGAAAATGGTAAATCGGAAGGAGCAATCATGGCCTCGCTTTGCTCTACGCAAGCTGGTCGATGTTGCATATCCATTCTTTCTGCTTATGGCTGGACTTCGTGGCTGAAGGTGCGACCCACAAATAAGGGCATCCTCCTTCAACTGAACCATACACATAGAGATGCATAAGATGTGCATAAATCCTTTAAGGTGAAATGGAACCCATGTCACCACGCATGTTCCATGTCATTGCCTCTCTCTCTATTCCCTGCCTCCCGCCCTGCTGGTCATCGTGCCAAATCAAGCGTGACAGGTGATTGGATCCAGTCTTCACAAACTTCGGTCGCCCTATCTTAATTGACAGAGTCAAACGAAGATGGGTTTCAGAAAGTAGAAAACTGGTGTCCATAAACGATAAAGGCAAAGTCGAGGAATCAAGCATCCTCTTCTTCATCAATGAGAAATTCGACAAAAGGATCCAGTTCGACCCATTTGAACATAGGTCCCCACTTAGATCGGAATTCCCTCCTCTTGTAAAGACTGCTGGTATTCTGCTTGAAACTGACAAGTTCCACAAGCCAACCTCTTTCCAAAGCTCGTTCTACCATGCGTAGAAAACCGCCCGAGTACTCCGCCTCAGCAGCATCGCCAGTCGCAAGAATAATAGTACTGGGCTTCTCCGCATCAATGATAGATTCCAATATCTTCAGGTGTAGAATTTCGTCCACGCCCTGTTCGACCCGTTTTTCAGGAGCGAAGACAGGATTATTCGTTTCAGAACCACTAGTCTCCCCACCAGATCGATATTTCTTCTGTCGCGGTGTCAATTCCTTTGCTTTGGTGACTCGCATAAGAATGTTGGTCTCGTAACCAAGTGCCTTGGCCTGTGTAACGGTAGGAGAGGTATCAGATCCTCCCAGAACACGCTTTGCAGCAGGTCTGCCTCGTTCTAGGACGAGTGAAAAATTATGAAATGAAAATGGCACCCGCTTGAGACGTGTCTCGCGAGACATACCCCTAGCTAGCTTCAAACAGTCATGAAAGCCTATTGTGATATTCGAGATGTCGACAAAAACATGAACGCCAATCTTAGAAACATTCAGAGGAGTGAACGCAGGTTCAATAAGGCCTGAGTTCTTCAAATATTTCTTTTCATCCTGATAACACTTCGTGAGTTCAGAGATGAGAGCTTGTTTCCTCTCTCGAGGAGTCAAGCCATCCTTAGGGCCTATGAAAGCGCGCTTCGAAGATGAGTCTGTGGGAGTCCACAGGAAGGGATTAGAAGCAGGCCAAGTACGCTTGGGTGTCCTGATCTCGGCTTGTGGTGGTGATGGAGAAGTCGGTGGAGAGCTAGACTCACCAGGAGTCGGCCGAGAAAGACCAAGAATGCTGTCAATAACAGCACGTCGATCAGAAGGTCGACGAAGTGACTCGAGCTCTTCTCCTGATTCAACATCGGTGGTATCTGACACTGGCGGTTGTTTCGTAGCGCCGACGGCTTTTGCTCGTGCTCTTCTTTCTGCACGTTTCCTGTTTCGAAGAGCCGCTCGAAGGGCAGCAGCAGTAGGTTTGTCCGGCTCCACGTTGTCTTCCAAATCGGCTCCATCCACCTCATCGCGCCAACGGACCGCTTTGGTCAGCTGATTGAGGTCAAGCTCGCCGACGAGCACATCATTAACCTCATAATTGACGAGCTTGGTCGAGTTGTCCTCGTCAGCAGATGGAGATCGGCCAAGATACTTCCAAATCCTCGAGAAATCACCGAGATTCAGGTCTTGCTCGGAAGGGTCTGCAGATTCCTCAGGTGCGTGCTCAGGAAGACAAAGAGTGGCTGAGTTATTCTGAGTGGCAGAAAGACTGTTGAGAAGATTGATCGCGGCGGTGAGGTCCCATGATAGGGCATCGGTATCAGGGTCTTCCGACATCAAAGGAAGGAAGAGCTTGTGCTCGTAGTGACTGGAGGGTGGCGATCAAAGAGGGGCAGATTTGACTTGGTGAGGGTGCCTCTGCTGGGTAAAGCACATGTCTTTGGCTGTGCTTGATAGTACTTTGTAAGGAGATTTGTCAAGAGAGGAATCTCTCTAAGATTGTGAGATGGGTAGGACTGAAGAGTACCTGATTTAAGTGGGATGGTGTTTGTTTCAAGGTGGCTGTGTGCTGGAGTCATGATTCAACGGAGTTCGAAGTTGGAGTCATCGGCAATATCGACAACGCTAATCCATGTTTGGAGTAGTCAGATTCGGGTTTACCCGTACGGAGCCGACCTTGGCAACATCAGCTCCGAGCCATCAAAGGAAATCCTTGTAGAAGCATAAAAGAGCCATTCGAATTAAATGGTGCCACAACTTCTAATTCTTCCTCCATCATCCCAGCTCCGCGCGACAGCATGAGCTGGGTATGTATATATATACCTTGGTGTCTATGCGACACCTATGATATCAATTGGCTCTCGAATCAGGCTGTCCCTTTGGCTTGTTCCAGCTGATAGTGTCTAGACAGTGCCAATTTTGGCTTTGCGTGCCAAAGATGACAAAGTGAGTTGGGTACACCAAGTCCTTAGGTTCAATGCTGGGATCAGTAAGTCCTGTCAATTGAGAGAGAGCGAATGCTATATATGAGTAGAGTCCCAGATTATCCACAATCACTCCATTTTTGCTTTGTGATAAGTCTACGGATATTTGATTGGCTATGGTCATTGTTCAGAGGATATGGCTACTTGCATTGATTCCCTGATCAAGCTGGCAATTCCTGTGGAGAGATCTTTGTCCCGATGCGGCACCTACAGATCTTCAGATTCTCACAAGGGATGGACGAGGCTCCAGAAATGAGGAGATCATAAAGCGAGCATGGGCAGTATCAGGGGCATGGGCGCAGGACGACGACATCATTTCATCAGCCATTCTCGGCGACACTATTGCACGCCTCCTGACACTTCATTCAAGTCGATTTGTTTTGCTTACTACGGACAAATTCTTAATTGCCTTCTCAGAATTTTCAAGCATTCTACTCTCCCACCAATTGGCCCTCAAAGCGAGACTTGACCATACACAACTCCTCTCTGGTACAAGAGCCTTTCTGATCTCGCACTATTTGATCCATTCAAAAAGCCGAACACGCCATTTGGCCTTGCACGGCACCAATACCAAGCCCCACACTGTCGATATGCCAGATATCGTCACCTACAAATTCCCAGCAAGTGTAAGGAGACCGATACACCTATTACCCTGCCTGAATTTGTTCTATAAACTAATCATCTTCTAGGCCATCAACAGCGAGCCAGCCGTCCCTCAGCCAGCTCGCACTGGCCTCTGCAACATGCCTGAGAAAGTGATGGACAAGATACTCTTCCATGTGACCAACAAGAACCCCAGTCCTTACGAGGATCTGTTGTGCATGTGCTTAAGCAGCAAAGTTGCCGCTCGTAAAGTACTTCCCACCAAAGCCTTAGAGATGAGCCGCCAGGTGACCGAACTCGAGGTTCGACTGGCCAACGTCACCACAAAACGCCCTGGAACCCCTCTAGATAAATTCAGGTCGCGGGTCGGCTCACATATGATGTGGAAGCAAAAGCGGGATCATCGTCTTGAGGACTGGGAGAATGATGTTCAAGTCAGATGTATCGAGGAAGCAATTGCCAAAGCCGGTTTGGATTGAGCCTCTCAACAATGGACTGGCCTTGAATAAGATAGGCTCTGCAGTGGCATGGATTGCCGAAACGCAACAGATAGCTCTCAACCATATCAAGTGATACCCAAAGCCATTTGCTACTCCCTTCTCTCCCAGACGTCTCCACCTCGACACCAAAGCCGTGTGTTTTTTTTACGACAGCGATCGCCCCCCTTTTTGGTACTGGCAAAAGCTAACAATGTCTGAATTAGGTATTGTTCTCTTGAAGCTTACGTTGAAGATTTGTCTTTTATTGACCACAGCACCGACTGATCCCACACAATCTGCTTTCCACCCCCTCGCCTTTGTCCAAACAATAAAGGCATTAATAAATCTCAACTGCATGCTGCGCGATCAGCGCGTTGTTTTGATGGTCAGACGCTCCTTGTGAATGCATGCGTCTGCTGTGCTTTTTCCGACATGTGCTACCGGAGCATAGGAGGCTATAGGGCATCGCCTTCAAGGTTGTCGCGTCCCCAGTGGATCTTGAAGTTCTTGGTGGTTTCGGTAAACCATCATTGTCTCCTTCTCACGTTCTATCGCTTTTAGGTTCTCGCTTCACTGTCAAAAGAGGTCTTACGCTGGTGGATTACCTATTCACACACTCTGATGAATGGATCTGTGTCCATTTTCCTCAACGCACAACCAACCACCCTACTCTTCCATATCCTTGGTCCCCGACTTCGCGACCAACACTGGACGGAGCACTCGATTTCATCCTCACCACAACAGTGTACTGATCATAAAGAATAGCCCGTTAAGATGATCTACGTCCCTCCCTCGGTATGTATTTCAGGCCATAGCCTTCCCTCCAGCATCCAAGGACGTCATTATTGAAAGAAATGCTTTGTTATAAGCAGATCTGTACGTCCTCAGCGTCTTACACCAAAGATCCGCTGAAGCTTTGCCCATATTGCATACAGGTTTACTTACAATTGCTCTTCGTTTCCAGCTACCTTTGCCGGTCATCATCTATGGCCGTGCAACCATAGATCCACCAGAATCATACAAACGCCCTGTCACATTGCAAGAACAGCCCCAGGAGATTCTGACCAAGATTCTCAAAGATCTCGACCACGCCGACCAAACATGTCTTGCCTTGACTTGCAAAGACCTCCTTGTCAAGATCCGCTGGACCACGGAGTTCGAAGACACTGTAGTGGCCTCGGAAGTCAAGCACAAAATGGGAAAAGACAAGCACATTAAGCTCTACGACAAGGGCAGCAACCATGGTCATAGTGACTTATGGTACAGTGTTCTCAGCTGTCCTCTCGGCGAGTGTTTCTGGAAGAACTGGAGAATCAAGCAATGGGCCTTCAAGGTTGAGTATCAAGCTCGGGAGCGCCATAGACTCGGAATCGAGCAAAACGACGAGTTCTGGAGTTTCTACAGACTCAAGCAGTGGGGCATCGACGTCGAGGAGATTGACAACGAGACCGTCAAGAAGGGCGGGGAGAAGCGCAAATTCTTGGCTCTGGTGGAAGCTGAGGCGTCATTGGAACCTATCGAATCTGCACCTGTGGGCACTGCATCGGTCTATGCTCGAATGGCCATGCGATACGCCGAAGGTCGCTATGAGCTGAAAGCGACGGCCCCCACCGTGGCCGACTACGAGACGGAGAATGGAAGAGCAAAGCCAAAGAAGCTGTCGTGGGCTGAGAAAAAAGCACGGAGGACCAGTTGCCCATCTTATTCTATGGAGTGTTATGGCTCGGGTGGTGAGAGACGCTTCATGCTGCATACTGCATAGCCTTTGAAGACTTCAACGTTTCTCCGACACCAGATAACTGCGGCAAGGAGATCGTGTACACAGTCTTGTGTCCAGAACCAGCGGGCAGGAAGACTTGCTTCTGGATATGTGAAACGACGATAAATCCGTTGTGCGGAATTGGAAGCGCGTTGGAAACAGTGCTTTTGGTGATACCTCGATCCACATACAGGCTGAACTCAAAGAGTCTGGTAAAGCTAGTAGATATCAAGGCTGATCTTAATGCAAGGCTGGCAGAGAATACCACCTCGTAACAGTTTGCGTGCAAGGGCACAGTTGGAAAAGCAGGCAACTCAGCTGCTGCCCTTGGGTCTTGGGGGCGGACAATATCACCAGCGCTGCTTAAATAAGCTGGTAGTCCAGCTACCTCTGACACCGGCTCCTGGATAATTCGAAAAATGACACGACTCACGTAGATTTTCAGGATTCGGGGGTTGGATTCTACTCTACCCAGAGCTCTCCGTTAACAATTGAGTTTATACCCCATATTGTAGCATTGTGTGATTTCTATCTCATCTTCCTGTTAATCTATGGACGCAAAGTATATATCTCCAGTCTGTGGATACCCGGATCCGGTCATGGTTCTGAATGACACGATTGACCTCATAACGAATGGTCCGGACTCTGATGCGGACTCGCTGGATCTCCCTCTTTGAAGCGCTGGTATCATACCAAGTGCAAGGAAATTGAAGACACAGGTATCAATCGATCATAGTCTCCGAGGTAGATGGAGGGAGTCGAGTCGGATGCAAGCTGTAACTCTGGTGGCGCGCATGATACCCTCGAGTGGGGCTGCTGACAAGGATGGTCTAGTACTTATTGCCCGGTAGATAGAAGATTTGAGGCAACGACTAAGAATGTGATAGTCCCAAAGCCTGCCGTTCGGCAAGAAACCTCTGATATAAGTGGCTGGTCATGATTCTCATGCGTTTTCCCCAGACAATCATGACGAGAAAGACGAGAGAGGCGGCCAACGAGACAAAACCGGCAATGATGAAAGCGTTGGAGTATCCGAGCTTGACCCAAGGGGTGATGCTAAGTGGTGTTAGACTTTCGACAGCTTCAATGCCAAAAAGGGTCAACTAGAGGCCAATACTCACATGTAGCCGATGGAAAAGGCCATTGAGTTTCGGATGACGATGATAGTGACCATGGCTTCGCTGCTCAGCTCGCTGTACGGTTCGATACAGTAGTTGATCATTGTAAAGATCGTGATGGCCTGGCCAGTGGCCAAGAAAAACACGGCAACGGCGAGCCCAAACCCTAGTTGACGTCAATAGTTTGCCGAGAGATGATCAGAGGTCAGACTTACAGTGTATCGCATGAGCGGCGCCTACGCCCCAGAGGATGAGGGCGGCAGGAAATACGATGGTGGGATAGACGTAAAGCCACAAGCGATATTCCGCTTCGAGTATTCCACCATTGCGGCGTGCAAGCCTGACGGCAATCATGTCGCTTATGGGGCCCCCGAAAGCGCATCTTCAATGGCAAAGGACTCAGCAATAATCAGGACGTCAGGATGGGGCATCGCAAACCTACCCAACAGCGATTCCGAGCAAGGATGCGATGGAAAACAAGCCCACGATGGACGGCTGAAAGTTGTATGGAGGGTATGACAGGATCAGTGACGCCGTGCCGTTCACGAGGCTGGACCACATGATGGCGGCGCCATAGCCAAAGCCACAGTAAGTGACGACTGGTAGCGAGATGAACAGGAAAGGCCGCACGGCCATGGTCAGGAGTAGATTTGGCCGAGGCTTGTCCAAGATCTTCAACTTGTCCGCGTACGTTTTTCGACGGTACACAACCCCAACTTGGGACACATCTTGAATGTCTGCGTTGGTGGTAGGAGTGCTCATCTTCGTTTCTGGTTCGGCAGCTTCGGCCGGGGTGACGGTGCCGGTGGAGTTTATGCTAGGCTGATGATGTACGGTCGCATCGGGGCTCAATTTACGATCGTAATTTGTCTCTTCCATGAGAAAGAACAAGATCAGAAACCCCAGGCCACAACCAATGGCGGGCCAGTAGAGAACCCATCTATAGCCTTGCCCGTTGTAGATAAAGCCTGCGAACATCTTTCAGGCGTTAGTCTGCTATTACAGATACAGTACCACTATACTGGCAAAGCTCCAACCTACCGGTGCAAGAATGTTGCTCGAGCACAACGAAAATGCGTACCAAGCCATATACTTTGCACGCTCATGCGTGAAATACTGGAGCGAGTTTCAAGTCAGCATTCCGTGCGCCTTTGTTGGGGAAGCTTATCTGACCAGGTCTGCCACTGAGATCTCACATAGTGACTCAATTGGTGAGCCGACGAAACCTTGCAAAATCTTGTTGGCAATCCACTCCCCATTTGTCTTTGCATGGGCGGACCAAACTTGAATCCCCTAGAGAGTTACGGCGTTCAGAATGTATTAAGCATATGGGGATTATACTTATAGGTGAACTTACAACCGTAGCCAACATGGAGAATAAATAGACCGGTCTGAATTCGAGAGACACCGTCAGCACACATTCATGCCATACGGGTGTCACACGCTCACCTCTTGCCGTATTGGAGCGCAAGAGGCTGAAAGACGATACAGCCCAATCCGAAGAACAAAAACATGTACCCAGTCCCTGCGTTGAGATCCGCCACCGAAAGACCTGAGTCCACAGAAAGAGGGACTAGAACAGAATAAACAACGGCAGAAGCCATTCCGACGAAAAGACAGTAACTACAAAGAAGAGCTTGGTAAGACGTGTGTTCCAATGACTGTGACTTGTTCCATGGGGGGTGTCTCACATGAAGATGCAGAACATGTGCAACAGTTTTCTCCGGGATGACCAATTCAGAGGGTCTTCTGGATCCTCAGAAGGAGCAGGAACTAGCACAATGTCTTTGTGCTTCTCGTGTGGCGCATTTATTGTTCCCTGGAGATCGACAAGATGCGTCGTGCCTGGGACGAAAGTAGACATATCGAGTGTATCTGTAGTCATTTTAGTGGTACCTGCTGGTAACTAATCAGACAGAGCGTGGAGTCGTTGTTTTCTCGCCTGTTAACCTCTTCTTTATAGAAAACGGATTTGTGATGTGGGAACCTTTCAGAGCCCCGCTGCACATCAATCGGGCCACGTGGAGATGATATCGACGTCGATAAGGAGATAGACTATGGGGAAGAATGAATGGAGATAAGGCGGAAACCACGATCATTCGACAGTGGAAAGATCTCAGATGTTCACTACGCTGTGACGAGGCACAAGCATCTTTCGGACCGGGTATGCGAGAGAATATGAAATCCGCTGTGCCTGTCCCGATGGACGATATTATGAGGCTTGGCTAGGCCTAAACGCAGATATCCTTTGATAAGGGTACTTAGGACCTGGTCAAGCCAATGAGCTTTACTGTCTTCTCGCATCTGCCGAGTTTGTGCAAATCCACTGTTTTTCTTGTCGGAAATTACTTTGATTGGCGCCCAAAGTGGAGCTGAAGAGGAAATTAATACAACTATTCCCTCCTCGGATAGTGGTTGCTGAGGCTCCGTATGCTGGGGTTCTTCTACCAGGCAAAGCTGGGATAGCAAAGTGTGATTGCTGGTGAAAGTCTCCAAATGCTCCAGCACGTCTTGGTCGGTATGTCGGTCGCAATTGCGGATCTCGGGTTTGAGAGATAGACAAAGGCTGCTAATGCTATAAAGCTCACAACACCCCAACGGGTCAGCGATGTATCCACGTGTCAAGAGTCTCGCTATCTCGATCGATACTAGAATACAGCAATGGTGACCCAGAGCTGGGAGGCGAAAGCCGAGAAAGCCAGAGAGCGTTTGGCACGATCCATTGCCAAAGAATGGTTGCTTGACAAGTCCAGTTGTCCCTCCCACGGTCGACTAAACGTCATGGATGTGCCAGAGGAATCTGGGCGATTGAGTGTCGAAGAAATACTGATCACCAATAGTGATGCCAGTGGCTTGGTGAGCAAGATGGAGATTGGGGAATGGACAGCAGAGCAAGTCACGGTAGCATACTTGAAGAGGGCGACCATTGGGCATCAGCTGGTGCGAAAAAGCTCACCTCCCCAGAGAAAGAGAGTAATTGTCTTGTGCTGACTTAGGCCCCTTAATGCTTTTCCAGCTCAACATGGCCACCGAGTTCATGGTTGAAGATGCTCTGGCCCAGGCGCGAGCGTTGGATGAATATTACAGGCAGCACAAGAAGTTGGTAGGACCTCTGCACGGTGTGCCCATCTCTACAAAGGTATGTGAATCCACCCCTTGATTGACATACAACTCAGGAGGACCTGCGCAGGAACATATCTCTCACAAAGGAAGGCTGGTCCACGCAAGCTACGTGGCACTGGTGGATAATGTCGCTGCAGAAGACGCTTTTCTTGTTCGCCTTCTGAAGGCATCTGGTGCTGTGTTTCATCTTCGCACAAATGAGCCTCAGACGATGATGGTAAGCGAATTCTAGTCATCAGGTCGGAAACCATCTACTTATGTGCCACGGTTGACCTTGACCAGACCGGTGACACAGAAAATAATCTGACGGGGAGGACCAAAAATGGTCACAACCTGCGACTCGCCAACGGTGGCTCATCTGGAGGAGAAGGAGCATCGGTCAGTTTTAAGTGTGCTGCAATTGGACTAGGGACCGACATTGGTGGCTCTATTCGGATTCCAGCAGCGTTCAACGGCTGCTATGGCTTCCGTCCAACGGCGTGTCGACTGCCGTACGGAGGTGTATTTCTGCCCGGTGAAGGTCAAGAGTCCATCAGATGCGTGATAGGACCCCTCACGAGAGGTATCGACGATATTGAACTCCTGATGAGCTCGGTCCTCGTACAAAAGCCTTGGGAGGAGGAATTGAGTCTGGTGCCGCTACCGTGGAAGTCTGCAGCAACATCCAAGAACATTACGATCGGCGTCATGTGGAGTGATGGGTAAGCACCGAAGACGGTCTGCCGATGTATCTGGAGAACTGTCTTAGTTAACCTGAGTCTCGTCGTCATTAGGATCGTGAACCCACAGCCGCCCATGCAACGAGCACTCAGAATGACAGTAGAGAAGCTCAAGGCGGCCGGTGTCACAGTCGTCGATTTTGAACCATACAAGACAGCGGAGGCGATGGATATCATCACAAGTAAGCAAGGCTCGATTTTCGACTCGTCATTGGATAATCTGCTCACGTATATAGCTCTGTTCTTTCCAGATGGCGGAAAGACTCAGTGGGACCTTCTAAAGCAGTCCGGGGAGCCTGTCTACCAGCAATCTCGGGCAATGCTGGAAATCGCCCGAGAGATTACGGTAGCGGAAAACTGGGCCTACAACGCAAGACGAGACGCCCTTCGAAATGAATTCCACAGTTTGATGACTCAACGGGGCGTCAATGTGATCCTTACTGCGCCGTATCCCGGAGCTGCACCCTTGGTCGGCACCGTTGACTACGGTGTGTACACCATGCTGTGGAACATGCTTGATATGCCGGCGCTCGTCATGCCTGTTGGCTTGACCGTTGACCCGACTCTTGACCGGAAGAGTCCCTCATATCAGACGATCAGCGAGTACGATAAAGGACAATTTGACAAGTGTAAGACTCAATCGTGCCAAAGTTGAGCGTTTGAAAACTGATTATATCTGATATTAGTCGACGCCGAGGATTCCGTCGGTGCCCCAGTCTGCGTCCAAGTGGTCGGCAAACACTTTAGGGACGAAGAGACCATAGCTGCTGCCCGCATCATTGAGGTTGCTCTTGCTCGAACTGCGGTGGTCCCGGCCCTATAGTGCGGACGCCCCGGTCGAAACGACGTCGAACGGCGTGGAATTCTTCGAGGTGTGGTGGAATACCTCCTACGCACCAAGGTCTTCTTGGTTTGAACTCATTGGTGAAGTGCGACACGTTAAGATTCTTTCTAGTGTTAACCACTCGTCTTTAGTAGTAAATGCAGCCGCTGACGGTTGGAAACATTGAAATTCTTTTGGTGTTGCCACATACTTTTGATCTTCTCCCAAGTCATTTTTACGTCGCCCCATTTGGAAACTTCCCATAGGGTTCTCAGGACCCCTTCGAGGAGATTTACTTCCTTTTCGCTGGTGACAGCGTGACCCAGGATCAAAAGTGGCCACCGTAGAAGGAAGCGACGGGCGATGCCCAACGACTCATCCGCATGGCGAAGAATTGTAACAACATCTTGCAGGCATTGCCACACCGGCTCCGACCTGCTCAAGAAAGCTTTCTGTTCAGTATCACAAAGCCATGTCAGAATTAGACGGGCGCAGTAGATGTAGAGTCTGGCCATTCCATCAAAATGCGTCTGGTCAGCCTGGATAATGTCTGACGCCGGTCTCAACGCATGTTCCCACATCTGAAGGTCACTATCCAGTCTTCTCAATTTCCCCCAGCACTCTTTGGTTCTCGATTGCTTGCGACATTGTCTTGAAATGCGAAGGATAAGCCAGTAGATAGTGCGTGGTATCCCCAGGACGGGGCTGTTGATGGCGTTCGAGTCGTCCTCGGATGGAGGGCAACAGAGAATCGACTCAATGGTTGAAGTCAAGCTCTCGACCGAACTGGTGGTAGAAATGTCGTAGAAAAGAGACATGGTGGATGTGTGAAAGAGAACAGACTCGGCCATAAGCACATCGAAAGAGTGCAGGGCGGGGGATTGGCCTTTGAGCTGCCTGAGCTCCAAAAGTCGAGCAGCGCCCGCGAGATGATGGAGAACTCCGGGGAAAGCACGATCTGATCGGCAGGTCTGCAGGCGGCAGTCACAGTCAGCAGCCACTAAAAGAACTCGTCAAGTTACGGCCAGCCCTCAGGTTGACCCAGACACCGCAGCCTTGTCACTCACCTCGAAAACGTGAAGAAGTATTATAGTCATCATGCTCCACTCTTGGCCCACGATGTACCCGTCGGTGATTTGTACCCTCAACCCCGAGAGAGCTCGATGGTAGCTGCTCAAGGCCTCAAAGTAGAACTCGTTGTGGGAGTGGGATAGATGAATCATGCTGCAAGCCAGCACTGCATTCTTTAGGACGGAATGATGTGTGGCCAAGTGCTCCAGAAAAGTCGGATCCTTGAATTTGTGGTGCGAGCTTGAGAGGACATTTAACGGCGTTATCACAGTCGTAAAATAGCCGAACAAGGAGCTTTCATGATCATGGTGAAGTAAATAGGACGGCAACCAGACGCGAGAGCTTGCTGTAGGTGGGTGATTGGTCGTGAGGCAATACTGTACCGAGTCCTCGAGCTTATCGCCCAACACTGGTTCTGGAGTAGTAGCATCACGCTCGGGATACGACCGGGACTTGGGTTTCTTTGGAAGCTTTCGGCGGTCGGTTAACTGACTTATATCTGGCCATTCGCAGGGTAGTGAAAGTCTCTTGCAAGTTGAGCAGCTGGGTTTCGATTCGTCGCATTTCTTGCGGCGAGTACGGCCTTGGAGAACTTGATCAGCATAAGGCGAAGAAACGAGGCAAAAAGCAAGGGAGCGACATACAAAATACGCATCCTCTCTGGTTCCTGAATCGGGGCCCGCGATTCATCGTCTCAAGCAGTTACAAGATCATTGCCCAAGTAGTCCAGATTCACCGTTTATCACTGTTACCTGGTTCACCAAAGCTTTTCCTGTGGCTACCTTGGGCCTCTTCTGCGGTCAGGATCCGAAAGCTCGTGAGGAAAGCCTGAAACATGCTGATTATGTTGAACTTTCCCAGCGAAGGTCTTCAAAGAAGCAGTGATATTGGATCGGAAATGAATACTGGCGTTTCACGAGATATGCTCGAATCCTTATCTTCCCACGCCAGCTTGCCGCGTTACGCGTTAAGTAGGCGCCGTCACGTGCAACTAGGAGGCCAAGTTGAAGTTGGAGTTCACCGAGGCTGATTAATTGCAGGCTTGGCGTCATCCAACGGACCGAGAACCTATTTTTAGGGCTGGAGAGCCATTTGAAAATCGGCTACATTGGGGCTTTGCATAAAGCAAGGCCACCTCGGAAGTCAGCCTTTGCAAACCACGTCTGAATGAAGAACCGATCAATATAAATCTTTCATTTGAGTAGAATATCCAAGTCGATGCCCCAGAGACTTCCATTGTGAATTCGAAAGTCATTTCCAATTAGCTTGACCAAAGACAATTATTTATTTATTTCTGCTACCGGAAACAAAATACAATCGCCCAGAGGCTCTGGTCCGAGAGACATTTGGTTCAGGATGGCATTCAGAGATCCGACATTGGCTCTACCCAGAATACTATGTATCCACGGTGGAGGCGTCAACTCGGCGATTTTCAAAGCACAACTGCGGGCATTTCTGAACCACGACCGACTAAAGAATCGCTTTCGGTTCGTCTTCGTGGACGCACCATTCTTCTGTGATGAAGGCGTCGGTGTCCACCCAGTCTACTCCGACTGTGGACCCTTCCGGCGCTGGTTCCGCTGGCTCGACACACATCCTGAAATCGATCCGGGGGCGTGTGCCTATGAGCTCGAGTACACGATCGAGCGCTGCATGGAAAGCGACGAAGGGACCGGTGAATGGGTCGCTCTCCTAGGGTTTAGCCAGGGCGCGAAACTAGCGGCAAGCATGCTGTATGAGCAACAACTCCAGGGCAAAGACGGACCGTGGCGGTTTGCGGTGATCCTGGCGGGACGAGCGCCGATGGTCAGCCTCAACGACGAGTCCGAGCAATTTCCCTGGATGCAGTCCGCGGGCGGCTTGCCTGATGCGGCGGACCTGGACAGTATCTTCGAGCGGCCGGATATGAAATTGAAGATACCCACCCTTCATGTGCACGGGCTGAGGGATGAAGGGCTGCACTTGCATCGACGGCTCGTCGAGGATTACTGTGCCGCTGGCACAACGACGCTTGTGGAATGGGACGGACCACACCGGATCCCGATCAAGAAGAATGACGTTGACAGAATTGTCACTGCTTGGGTCGAGCTTGCTGATGAGTACGGGATATGAGAAATGAGAAATGAGAAAGAAATGGATCAGAGGATTTTTGCACTCGAGTTTTAGAGCCACGCAGAGTCCTACTCCTGACTCCGAGCGGTATTAACGATTTAGATGACACAACCATTAAATATCAAACCATCGGACATGAAGAGCCCATCGAACTCCGTTCTCCAGCCTCGACCCCATCACCAACGAACAACCCAAGATTTCTGCTACCCCTCTGCAATTCTATGCCAGTTGTCCTCTGACCACACCAGGAACGTACTTCACGGTGTGGGCGTCAGTGAAAAAGCCAGCAGGGTTGGCTTCAATCTGCTTCAGGCTGAAACCAGCACCAGTGTCAGTGCCGTTGGCCAAGATGCCGGTGGTGAATGGGCCGGTCAAGCAGCCGACAGAACGGCGAATGACTGTGGGGTCATCGCTGATGGGGAGCGGGTTGGGGAGAGCGATCCGGGGTGGTCCTGATGCACCCTTGACGGCCTGGTGGATGTGAGTTGCGGTCTTGGCCGCGGATTGGTAGTTGCCAGTCACACCTCCAAGGGTGATGTTCTTGAATAGCAAATGTTAGCACTCGTTTCGATGCGCAATACTTCCTAATCGTGTGCTTTGGACAGGGTATGGGTAGACTCACGTAGCAGATAACCTCCAAGTCGCTGTTGATACCGTAGTTGTAGATACCAACGGCTCCTGGCTCTCCAGGTGTAGCAACGGTGCCGTTGATGACTTGATCTGGGGTAGCGATCACGGCGTACGTCGAGGTGAAGTAGAAGGGGAAGGCTGCTCCCTTGCTACCGACGAATCCACCACCATTACCACCACTGCCGCCGGTCTTGGGTGTCTCAGACGGCTTGGCTGGGTTGTTATTGACCGGGGCTGGGCTATCGGTGGGTCCTGGAGCGTCGACGGTGATGGTGGTGTACACCGTCGGGCGCCGACCCCACCAACCGAAGCCTTGTGGCTCAGCGACCGGGTTGGCCGCAGCGAGTCCTGCAAGGGATGCCACGACGGTGGCGGCAATAGCGACGGACTTCATGTTCGTGGAGAGAAGTATTTGCTGGAAGTTCGAAAGAGAAACTAAAAGAGTGACTTGGGCCTGGAATGTTAAAGAATGACTGAGGCTTTTGAAAAGAGTGGACTAGATGCTGTTTGCGAGGCTGAAGAAGAAAGGCTGGTCTGGGGCAGAGGACATTCATGCTTTATATACACATACAGTAAACATCACTGCCATCGCAATTCCAATTCGAGGTCAACGCTTTGCTCGTAGTGTCACCCAGGGCAAATGTGTCGTGACAGCTTATCCCTCTCACCTGCCTGTTCAGCCATGAATGGTGATCTGTCTGAGACACGGCAATACCTCAAGATTGCAATGTGCTTTTTGCATGCCAAATCTTGAGCAAGCAAGCTTTTGTGGGTGTTGTGCCCAGCAATGAGGCATTCCTTGGAGACCTGCCTGACGTCCGTCATAAGGCTGGGCAATAGGGAGCTTGAGCTATCGCTTCAGCAGAGTCACCAGGGGTCGACGCCCGCCCAGACGTCTTTAAGGCATTGTCGATCTTGATCCCAGGCTAAACAATTGTGAGCTTTGGCCATGCCGACGGCGGTGGCATGTAGCTTGGTACCAGTCGTCGATCTCAGATCTCATGGACATGAAATCAACCCCGACCCGTGAAGTACCGCAATCTCCTTGCATGTCAGTGTCCAGATCGGGACATCATCTGCCCCTTGTTCCCACTAACTTGGGAATCAACCCAGGGATCCGGATTGGGAACCGATGACAGACACCCAATCTAACATCTCCAACCCCGCATGCCAAATCTGATCTTCATAAATGCATTTTTCAGAGTCGGATTGTCAGATTGGGATCTCGGAAGTGGATAAGGGAAGAAACCAAGCCTTGGCAAATCCACGCCTGGGGAAGGATGAATGGCACTGACATGAGTGTGCTTGACCATTGCTACCACTACCGTGCAAGTATCCGTGGGAGCCTGGGGTGTGAAGTGCTTAAATGGTCCTTGCTAATTTTGAGTCAGTGTTGAGGGGAAATAGCTATAAAAAGTTGCTACGCTAGCATACTACATACATGAGGATAGAGAAGATCAAAGCTACACGCAGGGCATTGGGCAGTGCTTGTCCATGCGCCAAATCAGTTGAAATGTTCCAGGAGAAGCAATCTGGAGCGGGATGAAGAGGTTGAAGTATCCCTCACTGAGCAGATAATTTCCACCCTATCAGCCCTTGGCACGCCTCAGAAGAAGGCTATCGTGCGGATCTCAACACTTTCGCGCGCTGGTGCATCGGGTGCTGAGGTTGGGTCATCAAATGCACTATGGCCAACAAATCGAGCACGGCCATCATTCTCCGACTCATAGGTCTTCAAGATAATAACCTCCTCCGGGGTCATGTCTGGGATATACCACCATTTATGGTTCGGGGAATGTCTCATGACATAGTTCTCACCGACACGATCGCGGTAGTTCAAGTAGAGCTTGAAAAAGTCATCGGGTGGCGACGTGCCAACATCACACATAGCCAACGGTCTCTCCTCAACCACGCGATGGATTGGCTTCCAGACGTTAAGGAAGGCCACACGCCGCGTCAATAAATCATCGGCCTCATCTGGCAACAACTGTTTCACCCTCAAGGGTCCGGATTCTGCTGTGTAGTCGCAGTGGACAAGCATCACTGGAGCTCGTTGCGAAGTATTTGTCTCTTGAGTCAACTTTTTCTTGTCATTTGCCTTTGTGCGGATAGTATGGTCAAAAACGAGGACGCGTTTCGCACCAAAGGTTTTCTTAATGAACTCGACAACCTCTGGATAAAAGTTCTTTCTGACGGTCTCTTCATCCTCCCAGTCCTGATGTTCTGTCTTGAACGGCTCGACTGCGAATCCCTCCTTATCAATCGAGAATTCCTTTGCTCGATACCGACCATCATGCACCGTCATTTCATGTGGAGCATCACCAGGCTCGTGAATACCCTTGGCGTCTTCCGAATCATAGAAGTACAACTCGGTACGTTGATCAACGTCCTTAGTGTAGTTGAAGTTAGCTTTGACATCTTTGTTGGCAGATGTGCCGTTCGTGGCAGCCTTACCTGGCAGCAAGGCCTTGTCGACTGCTCCTTGGGTCTTCTGCCAGCAAGGTAACTTCTCAATTTCTCCTAACCAACGTGATAGATTTTTGTGTTGGTCAAGTGGAAGCTTTGAAGCTGCGTGAAGATGCATGGGAGCAGCCATAGCAATATCCGCGATAGTGAGGTTATCACCAGCCAACCATTTGGTCTTTCCCAATTGATCATCGAGAATTCCAGCGAGTTTGTTGAAGTTTGGCGCTTCACCATCGATGACAGATTGATCAGGCTCGGCCTTCAACAGCGGCTTGACCACATATTCTACGACGTAGATATAGCAAGTCGGAAACCACTTACTCGCCTCCCATAACAGCCACCGGTTGACATCGGCACGAGCTTTGGCGTCCTTTGGGTATGCAGAACCGGCATCATCAGCAATATATTGCAGAATGGCATTTGATTCGGTGATTTTCAGGTCTCCATCGATTGCAGATGGAACAGTGCCATTCGGGTTAATTTTGAGATAATCGGGACTCTTGTGCTGACTGGTAAAATAATCGATATGATTGAGGTTGTAAGACGTGCCCAGGAGCTCCGTCGCAGCCAGAATCTTACGGCTGTTGATTGTACATGGGTCTAGATATATCTGAAGCATTTTGGTGGTGGTGGTTTCGATTGCCAGCTGGGAGCAGGTAAAAAGCCTGAGATCAAGAAGGCTCTGACAGTGATGCTGAAGGCGCAAAGAGCAGCATCAGTGTCAACTGCAAGGCAGCTATCTCTACAGATATACCCCTCAGCCATGGCTTGACCCCGCCTTTGTGGCATGTAACAATGTTCGGATCCAGTCTGGACGTTCGGAGTGATGGCAAAGTTTACTGGTAAAGAAATTCAAATCTCAGGATCTCGACCCCAGACTCGCAAACTTAGCTTCAGCCACCTAACCAGACCTCTTTCGGGTAAGCACGGGCCAGGGTGCCCTTGAGCAGGCATTGATACCTGAGCAGACCCTCATATATTGTATCACTGGATGAATGTCAAGTATACTAGGAATATAACGTGATTGAAATACGGCTCCTTGAATGGGTTCTATCAGCAACTGGAGGGAAGCATTGCTAGCAATTGAACATGGCGATCTGCCTTCGTGGGTGTCGATAGGCGAACGCGCTGAGTTCGATTCGACTTCCCCGCACCCGAAGTCGGGTCTAACGCACTGGCAGCGATTCCTGGGCTGGGAAACAGTGACAAATTAACAAGTACCTGGATATTTAGGTAATTGGAAGGATTGGAAGGTTGCCTCAATGAAGCATCCATTGGTCAAGGTGAACGGTTAGATGGGCTGCTCTCGGGAAGTTCAATACCTGTATGCCCCTGGGTGCCCCCGTAAGCCCGAGCTGCTGACGTCAATATTTCTCGAAACCCGATGGCTCTCCCTTCTAGACCATCGAGTCTCTCGGAATGAAGAGCAGCGTAGAGTTCTCATTTCGAGATTTCATATCCCAAGTAGGCACAACGATTATGGACCGATACTTCTCGACGGCTGGAAGACCATCGCAATACGGAACTTTAAAGCAACCTTTGTTGGCTTATTGGCAGCATTGCGATCCCGGTTCTGAGAGAACACGAATACTATTTCGCCGAGCCTCTTCTCAGGCCTTCTTTCTTTGATGTTTCGCCGATTGACTCAAAGCTCATGCAAGAACCGCTTGATCCAATCCACAGCAGCGTTCTTTCCTCGAACCATGGCTTCGAGCTCACCCGGCTTCTTTTCGTTGCCACGAACGAAGCAAGCATGCTCGACGCCAGGGAAGTGCTGATAGTCGAAAGTTACGTTCAACTTCAAGAGTGTCTCGAAGGTGTGGCTCTTGAACTCAGCCGTGTACATGAGATCTATCTCCGGAGCTAGCATTTGCACCTGATCAATGAATCCACCTTGATATCAGTACTCATATTTCGAGTCGCAGTGAAATTGATCCTCTGAGGTAGGGTTATGGGGACTTACCGGCACAGCAACCTCATCAATATCCTGCTTGGTCAACAAGGAAGGATGGCCTGCAACGATACAATCAACGAGCGGTGGTTGATTCTCCTTTGCGCCCAGACGAAAGACCGCCCATCCACCATAACAGAATCCGATCGCTCCAACCTTCTTATACTTTGCTCTCAATGCCTTTGCGAATTGGAAGATCTCGTTTTCTCGGGCCTCCCGACCGTTTCTCTCTAGAAACCCTGGAAGATCTACCTTATCATACTGCTCGCTGACAAGAAGATCGGAAGGTATGACCTCGCCGCCAAAGAAGTCAGGCGCGTACACTGTCACTTTGCCTTCACGCGCATAGTGGTCCGCTAAGAGCCGAATGTTATTGAATGTCCATCCAAACAAATCCGCGACGAGTAACACGGCTGCATCGCTGGTTTCATCCCCAGCGATGTAGGTGTCGTTGTCGGAGCCAGGAAGACGACCCGTCTTTCCGGTTGGCGTACCATCCCATTCAAACCCTTTGACGCAGCAGTCTCCTACCGACATTTTGAGAGTATAAGTATTTAATTGAAGCTGTTCGAGGTGAGTTTACTTGCCCGACCTAAATACTGTTTGGACTTACTGCGCACAGCCAGCTTTACAGACTGTCTCTCTCGGGCCCGAGAGCCCCTGGTAGCAGGGTTTCTCTGTCAGTATTGGGTCTCTGACAACCAGAAAGTTGCCGAACTCCACAAGTTCAACCCCAAATAGCCGGCTGGAATTGAAGCCAAGCCGTTGGTTCGTACATGACTGGTGATCAGTCAACTCATTAGTGATAAGGAAGCCTAGTGGTGCTATGTTTCCCATATCATACGAGACCCCGGCACGGAGCGGGGTATTTCTTCACCATTTCCCTCCGGAACTCATCAGTACTCATCTGAGGACGCTTATAAATAATGTTTTCGATTCTGACAAAAGTACGCAGACGTTTCGAAAAGTGGCATTCCTACCGCAGGTTCGAGTCAACGATGCAAATCGCCTTGCCTTTCAATTTACCGGCTCGTGAGAGTTCGACCATGTTCGGCACTTCTTCCAACCCGTGGAAAACCTGCGTCTCCGCTTTGATGTTATGCCTGGCTACGACCTCCAGCATTTCTTGAGCAACCCCCCGGCCACCTAACATTGTCCCTTTGATAGTGACGTCTCGCAGCACGATATCTTGGAAAGGCACACACACTTCGGTAGGTTGAGCTGCTTGAATCACAGTGCCATGAGTCCTCGTTATCGCTGCCGATAGTGCCGCTGACGTTGGATGATCGGAAACATTCACAACAGCTTCCACGCCCTGTCCTTCAGTCAAAGCGTGTACCTTCTTTACCACCTCAGCCTTGCCTTCCCTCACATCAAGCACGTGCTCGGCCCCTAACTTCCTACATATTTCCAACGCCTCATCCCGCGCCTCGATTGCAATGACCTTGATTCCACGTGCTCGGGCAAACTGTATGCCAAAGTGCCCAAGCCCGCCGCCAGCTCCGACGATAGCAAGCAAGCCACCTTCCTTGACTTGACTGGTAAGTACTGCACGATAGACTGTCACTCCAGCGCACGCGAGTGGCGCCGCGATGGCGAAAGGGATGGAATCTGGGACGTGACTACTCTCCTTCGAGTCCGCAATATGGTATTCTGCAAAGGCACCGTCGCAAGCCATGAGTCCCACGGCGCCTTCCGACTCCCAGCAATACTGGTTCCAATCTTCGCCGTTCTGCGGGTTACAGTTGATGCATTTCCCACAGGCGTGTACTTTGATGCCGGTCATAACACGGTCTCCGACTTTGAAATCCGAGACTTGATTTCCCACGGCGACAACGATACCGGTCCCCTCGTGAGACATGGTGATGGGCAGCTTGGACTGAAAAACGCCATCGAGAACCATGAGGTCGGTGTGGCAGAGTGAGGCGACTGCTGTTTTGAGGAGGATGTCTTGTCCACCTAACTGCCCCACGGACGGCACAGGGACTCGATTGACCTTCGGAGGTTGAGAGTACTATAAGGACAAGGTATCATCAGTTAGACTTGACCGAGTGTAAGACTATCTAGATTCCACGATGGCGTTGAGAATCAGATGGCTGGTCGCCTCTTCAACTCTGGGTGAACGTACTGCAATGGCTTGCACTGCAAGCATATCCGACGGAAGTTGGGTATCGGCGGACCCCATGTTTACGTTGATAGCAGAAGTGTACGCCTCCCAGACGATTTTGTAGGACTTTCTATGTCTTTCTCAAAGAGCGCTTCTTCAGGGGAACACGATTTCAATTCTTCGCACTCTTTATACAGCAGTATCCAGTGCGTCACTCACTTCGGACTGCTCCCGTATTATGTTTGAGATGTAGGGAGTCTGGGCAAGGCTTAGGGAGGGGATTCCAGGTCTAGCGACGTGGCCAAAGGGTGGGACTTGCCCGTGTAAATAACTACTCTCTTTCAAATGCCTTCCCCCACATGCTCGAGGGGCTTGTAGCAATCTGCATTGCTACCTAAACACTTCCTCGTGAACTAGGTTAGTTCCCGAGGTACACAACACTGACCGCGCACGGACTCGATGAGGGAGATTGGGGAAGTTGTGAAGCCTGAGGGGCTGTTCTCCAACTTTGAGAGCGGGCAAATATCCGTTCTTCACAAGCAGATGCATAAATAGGCGCACATCATAAGAGAGCTTTCAAAAGATCAACATTACATTTCATTCGCGGATAGATCTATGTACAAACTCGCTGGGAAAATCGTCAAGAATCGCAAAAAGACCACAACAGGCGGCCTCTTGACTGGTTACTTCTGCTTTACCAGCGTGTTCCTCAACGCTGCTGGAGTGACTGCCGTAGCCACTCCGTTCTCGACTTTGAACGCGAACTCGTCGAACCCAGCACCGCCGTAGAACAATGAATCGACCGTCGGCCATGTGATGCAGTTCGTCGCCATGGGTCCCGTGACGTAGGTCTGGGGGAATGTCTCAATCACGGACCGGAAGACAAGCTCGTCTCCGAACCTGTTCAGCGGATATAGTCGAAGGGAGACGTTTGCGGCAGTGGGGATACCGTCGATGGCGCGGAGACTGGCAATCATGTTGACGCCATTGTTGTACCACTCGCTGACGCCGAGACCGGGACGGTTGTCGTCCAGTGTGAATGTGATATTGGACGCTGGGCCAGCGGCGGTGGACTCGTAGGTGCCTGCGAACTTGACTTCTGCCTCTTCTCTCGCGGCTTGCTCGAAGGCGTTGACCCAGACTTCGGAGATGATGGAGCCGAGGATCCAGCGCACCGCACCGGCTCGTTTGCCTGTGGCGAGGATGTTGAAGCCGAAGTGGTGGTCCATGTCGAATGCAGTCAGCGTGCCGTAGTAGTGCTCCGAGCCCCCGAGGTCGCCAGATTTGGCGTAGATGTCAATGATACGGGTATTGTTGGCAGCGGTGTTGTTGGAGATGGGAAGCTCCTGACGGAATATCTCCCACGGGGCGCCCACTGCGTTGCGGAGGTTCGACGTGTGTGTGAGTGGCTTCATCCATGATCTAGTTACCACAGGTCGCAGTAGCTTGGAGTTCAAGATGGATTGGGCCACGGCTGTCACGTCGGCAAGGGAGCTAAAGAATCCACCAGTTCTGGTTCGCTGTCAGTTGATGACCTATGCATGCTTAGGGAGGTAAGGTGTTTCGACTTACGGGTTCTCGTCTCCAGCATTCACCAACCATGAATTTGTCTCGGGGTTGCCGGGAATAATCGTGTTGTTGTCGGTCGGTGGTGTCAGGGACGTTCGTTTGAGGCCGAGGGGCTTCCCGACCACATCCTCGAAAGAGTCAAAGAAGCTCTTTCCAGTAATGGACTCGATCGCATAACCAATGAAAATATATGCGAAGTTCGAGTAAACGGGCGTGTTGTATGGTGCGGTCACCGAACGGCGGGACACAATGCCCTGAATAAAGTCTGCAATGACACCAATGGTAAGCAAGTCTCCAAACAAGGTGGGATTGCATCAACTGACTCGCGCGTGTGCATTCTCTAATGTCAACAGTTGTGAATCCTTGGCCACAAGTTGGCTCCGCGGCTTGAGTGAGCGCAGGAAATCCCAGAGCCGTGAAATTGGCAGCTTCGTTGGCCAAATCGTAATTACCATCTGGTGGGTGGTTAGCATTCGGTGCATTGCATGGCGTGCATGAACTTACAGTCTCTCCCCAAACCTGAGAGATGTCCAGCTAACGACCTGATGGTGATGTCTTCCCATTCTGTCCCATCTCCAAGATTCTCACTGGAGGCATTCACCAGTTCCGGGATGAACTTTGTGATTGGTTGGTCAAGCTGATTACCAGGCGCCGATAGAAGAAAGGTGTACATGGACCATAGTTTCGACAAACTGCCAACACGATAGACAGTTTGGTTATTAAGTGTGCCCGCTGCTAGAGAACCATTGAGTCCTGGGGCGGCAAAATGTGTTTCGTAGAGGGTGTCGTTGGCGGAAAAGATATTGACAGAGAATGAGGTGGTCTCGTTGTCAAGCAGCCCTGCGCCTAGTGCTTGCTCTAGTAGCTTTGGAAATGTCTGTATGGCAGCTTTGATGGCACTCGAGGACTTCAACTCGGTAGGTGCTGGGAATACTGGTCCTAATAACGGGCAGTTTTCTGTCTTCTGTGCTGGTTGGATTTGAGCAAGACATAATGAGATTAGCGCAGAGAAAATGAGTAGAGGACGCATGGTATTGATGTATTGATGTTTGATGTGTCAAGAGAATGTGCAACACTGGTTGGAAGGGTGGTCTGTCAGGCCTTGATGCTCGTGCGGCCATATACGAATATATATTGTCGTGGGGATCAACACAGCCATATTCCCAAGAGGTGATCATGTTCCAAAGTAAATCAGTCAAGGGTGCAAGCTCGAGGTTTAGCAAGAACATGAAAATGTCCAGTCTCCAAGCTTAGCCCCGTCTCTGAGGCTATTGGTAGATTTTCAAGATCGACGTGGTATGCAGAACAGGGCTGTGGCTGGTTATGTGTGCCTAAGACTATTGAAAGATAGACATGATTGGCCTGCTCGGACAGCAAGATCTGGTCGTTGCCAGATTTTGACTAGCAAAGCCTCGTTGCATCGGTCGGCGGCCTGAAACATAACCGAGCCTCAATTAAAAGGCGGAGTGTCGAGCGTGTCTGACAGAACAGCATTGGCATTCACTGCAATTGCACCGCGGAATAACCGAGTACCGATGTGTCTGACAAGTGTTTATTCTCTCTGGTGATCAGGCCCCCAATCACGCCCTTAGTAAAGTGTTCGCAGCTTAGCTTCTGCTTTGATCTTCCAAAATAGTAGTGCTGCGAGAAGAATGGTGCAGCACAACAAAGCAATTGTCGGTGGTCCACTGACGTATTCGACGGTTGAATTTGGTCAATCCACATTAATTTCTTGGAAGAGCAGTCCTTGATCCGACGATCTACGATGGGCAAGCTGCACAGAACACAGCTCTCCGCACTGTATCGGACAGCTTGAGCCGTTGCAGTCCGCAATCCGGCGTGATGACTGGTGACTAGTCGTTGGCTTCGTGGCAGGTATCGTCATGTCCAGGCGGACTTCACAAAATATGGAAGCCACTGGCATACGTGCACGTCGTCATTGATATCACTGTTTTTGAATCCACTCTGATGTGGGAGTCGAGTGTAGCGATTCTCGGTGAACCACTTTCCTGCGAATTCTGATTGTTGCTGTCTTACCGTCAAATATTGCAGTCAGCTGCCGACATATTGAGTTCCCGACGGAATGAGCAATGTGGAGCTGCAATAAATACACCTTGCCGTTGAGACATATGGCAATCTCCACCCCACAGAACTGATAGAGGTGCCAACAAGGCAATGCCTGTAGCATATGGAACGATTGGATCACTGTACATACAGACAAATCCCAGTGAACCCTCGAGACGCAGGTACCGGCATGGCTCTAACTCAGTGCAATGAGCGCGGTTGCGAGCCCTTGTCACATATTTGGTCGGGGTTTCACGATTCTGCTCAGGATGCTAAAAAAACACCATATATTGAGACGTCCTGAGATAAGCCAAAACGTGGTTTCGAGAGACAATGCTGACACTTGTTGAATAGGTATGAACGGCTGATATCAGCTTGACTGACTTTTCCTGTCGTACATTTCAGAAGCCTTGTCGAGGGCATGTCTCTCCAACTAATCTGTACGGTCTCGACCGGTGGGTTTCGTGCCGACAGGCCATGTTCACACAGATCTTGCCGTCAAAGGTGCTTTCAATAACATCCTAGGGCTCTCCCAGTGAGTCGAGGTGTTTGAGACACTCCTTGACTTGCAGAAATCGAAGGTTTCAGCGTTTAGAAAGTGCCGCATGAATGGCATCGTTGGCTTGGCAAAGCCTTGCCGCTAACACTGGTGAGAGGAGTGAATGTTCATCGACCGTGACACGATGCCGCCAGAAATTTCCATTAGCTGTACCTGTGCCTGATCCTTCACTGCCTCATTTTCATCACTACCATGATCGCTCTTCTTTCAAAAAGAACTTGTTTTACACAAGTCTATTTCTCAGCGCATCTCGTGGCAGATCAGGCGTCGACTTGTGCCTCATGCCAAAGAAACGTCCCCCACGGCGTCCTACCGACATGAACAATACCCACGAAAGGTACTGTGTTCATCTGATAGTCAATTGTTGACCAAAATTCTGACATCTGCTCAGCATCCTGGGTTCCAAACCTTTCGAGTTTCTTGTGGGCCTTGAGCAGACACCATGCTACATCTACAGCACACATCTCGCTCGATTCTCCCAACCTCTGCAGACGTTGGCCACTGTAGATTCCAAGCTTGCTTCTGCACATCTCCCAGAAACTGCGGCAATCACGTTCCTGCGCTTCGTCGAATTTGCACACACTGGAGACTACTCAGAGTCGATACCGAGAGTGTGTCGGCAGAAGTTGGGTGTTGCTAACCCTGCCACATGTGAACTCATTGCCACAGCCCATACCGACCTCACACCAGATCTCGGTCAACTATTCAAAGGTGCCAGCTCGAAGTTTCGACCAGTCTTCTACCAGGTTTCTCCTCAGACGGAAGCTCCTCAGATTCAGAAGGAGAATCTAGAGTATTTCATGAGAACAGGAAACTACAGACACACTGAAACCTCCATGGGTGTTATTGAGCAGATACAACCACAGCACATGCATGCAGCAATGTGGACATATTTCCAAACGCTTGCTATTTCCGAATCAAACTGGAGGATCTGGCTGAACGATGCAGATGAGACACTGGATTTTACGCCTATCTTCCTCTCACATGCTAAGCTTTATGTCTTTGGAAAGCGGTATTCCATCAACGCGCCACAAGTGATCGCGCTACGAAAGCTTCGATGTCAACTATCGGCCTTCAAGCTTCACCCCTGCCAAATCAACGACATTGTGAAATTGCTTCGATATACATATGAGAACACCACCGATTCAGTCACGCATCCAAGCAACACCAAGGTCTCTCAAGGGATAGAACCGCTGAGAGATTTGGTCATAGCCTACGTGGTCTGCCACATCGCCGTTATCAGCTCGAACCGGGAATACGTGGCACTGCTAGAACAATCTGGCAAGCTTGGAAGGGACATCATATCAAAGGTCACGAATTTTTTGTAGAGTGTTGAGATGGGGTTGGTGAAGGATGAAGTGTTTAAACATGTCTTTCGTTGAATGATCCCATACTGATCAAGGCTATCATATTCAGCGTCTTCCGGCCGTCCGCATCCACATGTGAGGCTTGTAAGATGCCAATGGCATTTATAGACTCAAAAAACGCCTAAAATGAAGAAGAATCTCTCAAGAGCAGCGGTGCCGAACAGCTGTGATGGCATGAACGCGGCGAACATGTTCCATGCAGCCTTCCCCATCTTTCCCCATCTTTCTGGAGTTGATGGAGGTGCTTGGTGATATTGTCCCGCGTGCGGGGGAAGCTTTCCTCGGGTAGTGGGTTGTGGTTCGGATTAAGCGAATATTATTGTACACTGGCGGAGTAGTTCACAACCGGTGGTGACTGAGGAGCCTGAATTAGTTCACTCTTCGGACGGGGTAGTCATTATATATCTCTCAGAAGGTCTCCCCAGCGATCTTCTTCTGCTCTTTCGGAGCAGGTCATTTGAACCTGGCAAGAGAGCATTGATGACTGATACAACCATGTCTTTACGCGGTAAAGTGATCGCAATTACCGGCGCCGCTTCGGGCATCGGATTGCAACTGAGCAAGCTGTGTGCGTACAAGGGTGCAAAGTTGGCCCTTGCGGATATCCAGCAGGAGCCGCTAGATGCGCTGGTGTCAGAGATCAAGACCGGCGGCATCGAGGTGACAGGTACCATCGTCAATGTTGCCAACTGCCAGCAGGTTGACGACTGGATCAATGCGACTGTCAATCACTTCGGCACGTTGGACGGTGCTGCAAATATGGCAGGCGTGGAGTCCGGCCCGAAGAGGTTGGCCGGTCCCCTCGCCGAACTCGCAAACGAGGATTGGGATCATATCTTGTCTATCAATTTGACCGGCCTCATGTATTGTGTTCGAGCACAGATCAGAGTCATGCAGGCTGGAGCCTCAATTGTGAATGCTGCTAGTATTGCTGGCTTGATGGGTCGACCAGGAATCTCCGCTTATTCCGTCAGCAAACATGGAGTTGTTGGTTTGACAAAGACGGTTGCGAAAGAAGTTGGGCCAAAGGGCATCCGCGTGAACGCCATTGCTCCGTAAGTATCAGGAAACATTCCACAAGAGATTGATTACCTTGCTGACGAACCTCCCAACTCAACAGGGGCCCGACGGAGACACCAATGCTTCAGAGAATATTCGACACCTCGGACAAGAAGGAGGCCCAATTTACGAGCACCTATGCGAACATACCATTGAAGAGAATGGGGAAACCAGAAGAGATCGCTCAGCTGTGTACCTTTCTTCTCAGTGATGAATCGAGCTTCATGACGGGTGTGATATGTCCTTGCGATGGCGGATTGATGGCATGAAGTGTTCATTCCACCTCATAGAGGATAAGGTCATTGCCAGGCCATTGCCAGGTCATGACATACTCAACCCTTCCAGTCTTCAATATCCGTGCAAAGTACCGTCATTCGCCCGATTGGTTTGACGGTGCTCGGTGACCTGACTGTTTAGATGTAACATCGGCTAACTGCCTATCATGTCTCCCAGATCGTCAGGAGATAGATGATGCTTGAAAATGCCAATAATTTCCGAGAATCTTGACGGATAGTAGAGTATGACAATGTCGTCAGGTGGACGCCGATAGCAAAGCGCCCTGTCTCACTGCCTAGGTACTGAGCAAGGCGCGATAGCCTTACCTCCTTAGGTAGTGTGTACTTCGTATTATTTAGGGGCAGAACAACTGTAGCTAAAATTTCAAGTGGGACGATCAATAAGTTGCACGTGAAGAGGAGGTCTTGGCGGTTCATCTCAGTCTTCCGTTCAGTCCAAGTCGCGTCTCAAGATCCATCAGTCAGGGAGGCTCATAAGAAGTGACGTCTAATATAACACTACCGATGTGAAGGAAAGGATAACACGCACTACTACTACTAGAAGAACACAATGGTCTTACGAGAATTCTTCGACGCCAAGAAGGAGAAGCTCGACGCAGGCTTCGAGAGTCCCGATGCCTTCGAGAAACAACAGGATTGCTTATCCTGTCGAGTATTAGGTTCGTTCGGGTCCAAGCATCATCGGAACCTTGGTGGAAAGTGATGCATACTCACTTCTCCTAGGCTCAACGGCGTTCGTGTCTTTGGGTGGCTATACTTATTTCTCCGGCATGCAGCAGCTCCGAGCCCAGCGAACAGCCATCGAACTCAGCAAGTCGAAATACAAGTACGGTTCCCGGCAGTTGGGTATTATCACCCTGTCCGCCACCTTGGTCAGTCTGGGGTTCTACCGAATGCTCAATTGAACTGTGTTCAGTGCCTGAGGAAGGGACAGGCTTTTGCTGCTTATGTTCTGATTGCTACTTTTCACGCATGATACCCATCTCATTTGGCAAATACTCCCTACTCGAAACAACAAAATCCATCGGCATAAAACTGGGGGTTTCTGGCTATTTTCCAGAAAAGGTATATTAATTCACTGTATAAATAAAGGATGCTTGCTATGCGGTATCTCATGCTTCATATCCTTGTAGTGGCCGAGCCCTGGTTTCGTGATCTATCCCGCGTGCCCGTGTGCAATGCCCAACGCTCAAAAATGCTCCACAATGCTTCTCCCTTGCTTCACATGCCACACTCACGACATTCGCCCGCGTTTGCTGCTTCCAGGGCCATCTCGCGGACCAATATTTGATATGTCGAAAAAGTCGGGAAATTGTAGTTTGCGTTTCGTACCAGCCGTAAATGTGAATTCTCGTCCAGTGCTTTTTGAGCCATTTCGCTGATTGCTATGCCTGTGTGGTGGTCGAACGTTGCGATTGTTGACGACTTCTAGGCGGAGTGGTCCACCAAGGCTGCTGGAAGAAGTCTGGTTCTCGTCCACTGTGCTCGAGGCGTCGTCTGTCTGCATGTCTTCGGGTGTTGATGATGATTGACCAGTGAAGCGAAATAGTGGTGTAGGCGGTGCAAGGCTGCGAACTGCGGAGGGGTGTGTATCGTCGCCCGACGCAGTTCGCACAGATTCCAGTTTTGGAGGTTCAGATTGCGTTCGGGTTTGTTCAGGAGATTCGGCTCGCGAAGCTGATGGACTCCTTTGTCTGGTCTCAATTTCAACCCTCTCATCGTCACTATCGGCTTGTTGTTGGTGTGCTGAGCCATCATATCGCTCTGTAGCCCATTGTCTGACCCTCCATCCCTCCCCGTCCTGCAGGCCGAGATTCTCACGATCAAGAAAACTGAGTAGATCTTCGAGAGCCTCTTGATAACCTGCTTGTCGACTGTTACTTTGATCTGTGACAGCTGACTTGTAGAGGTTGGTGACGGAGAGAGCGGCGCTACGGAAGGCTTGTAGGAGCTGTTCCGGAGGTGGAGGTCTTGAGGATGATGAAGGGAGCGAAGTATTTAAAGATTTCATGGAATCCATGATTTAGTTATGCAGTCGTGGCTGCAGTACGATGAGTTGTGGAGGAGCAGTATTCTGAAAAGTCAGGTCGGCGTCTGTGCTCTTGTGATTATGAATGAGGGGTTTGTGTAGACTGCCGAGATCCCTGGTAAGTTGATGCCCACAATAGAAATCTGGAAGAGAACAGATCAAGTGAGAGGAAAGAAGTGATAAAGTCTCGGGATATTGATCAAAGCACCGTGACACTGACGCTGGTGCAGACAAAGAATGCGTCCACTTCAACCTCTAAGGTGGGTGCAGGTTGGGCTGATCTCGATATTTGCCTGGATCACGTGTGTGCCAAGCCTTGCCGATGGAGGGTGACTGCCCATTGGCGCGTCATTGGCCGACACCAATTTATGCGCGTGTAAATCTGCCACTGCAGAGCCCTTGACACTCAAGTTTGGTCTCCTCTTCGCTTTCCTCCATTCTTCTCCCACTTGTTGCACGTCGGACGCTTCGTTCTGTTCTCTGCACTCACCAATATACGCGTCGGGATTACTTGCGTGTGTCTCGGTCATCGCTTCTTCTTTTCAACGCGTCCACGGCCATCACGTTCATCCGCTCGCGTCTGGCGATTGATTGAACTATTCCCAAGAGGCCGTCCCGGCCACCACAAACACCACAATGGTTTCCGCCAGAGCCCAGCAGCCTGATTCCGAATCCTCCTCCGTGGCTGATACACCCATGCATGACTCAACCCCTCATATCAATCCTCGAAGGCCTTCCTTTGGGCATCTCAATCGCTATGTTGATGATACTCCCGATTATACCGATTCCGACACAAACCCAAACACTACAGCAAGTAGTATAGCAGGCGATACCCCTCAAGGGGACGGTCGGAAGAAGAGATCCGATGCCTTCAAGCTGAGAAAAAGCATTTTGGGCAAAAAGCACGGCCAGCTTGACGAGTCAAAGGAAGATGATACCATCCGGAGATTTAAATACCTCCTTGGCTTGACCGACTTGTTCCGCCATTTCATCGACACCAATCCCAACCCCAAAATCAGAGATGTCATGACCGAGATCGATCGCCAGAATGCCGAAGAAGCCGCAAACGCGAAGAAGGGTGTCTCCCGCAAAGGAGGCGCCGCTGCGGCTAGTAAGCGAAAGACGGAGCAGGAAGAAGATGCGGAGTTGTTGCGAGATGAAAAGCGCGGGAATGCTTCACAGACAATCTTCCGCGAATCCCCTTCCTTCGTCCAGAATGGAGAGATGCGAGATTATCAGGTTGCGGGTCTGAACTGGCTCATCTCCCTTCACGAAAACGGTATTTCTGGCATTCTAGCAGACGAGATGGGCCTTGGAAAGACCTTGCAGACAATCTCCTTCTTAGGTTATTTACGACATATCTGTGACATCACTGGGCCTCATCTCATCGCCGTCCCCAAGTCAACATTGGACAACTGGCACCGAGAATTCAAGAAATGGACTCCTGAAGTAAACGTTCTCGTTCTGCAGGGAGCGAAGGACGATCGACATGCTTTGATCAATGAACGACTAGTGGATGAAAAGTTTGACGTCTGCATCACCAGCTACGAAATGATCTTGCGAGAGAAATCCCACCTCAAGAAATTCGCTTGGGAATACATCATAGTCGACGAAGCTCATCGAATCAAAAATGAAGAGTCTTCACTGGCTCAAATCATCCGCATGTTCAATTCCAGGAACAGACTGCTAATCACTGGAACTCCATTGCAGAACAATCTACATGAGCTGTGGGCGCTGCTCAACTTCTTGCTACCGGATGTCTTTGGTGACTCTGAGGCATTTGACGCGTGGTTCTCGGGACAGAGTGACGACCAAGACACCGTAGTGCAACAGTTACACAGAGTACTGAGACCTTTCTTGCTCCGACGAGTAAAGGCAGATGTTGAAAAGAGCCTCTTGCCCAAGCAGGAACTCAACCTGTATGTTGGGATGGCAGATATGCAAATCAAGTGGTACAAGAAGATCTTGGAGCGAGATATCGACGCGGTCAATGGTGCAGGTGGAAAACGCGAATCCAAGACTCGCTTATTGAACATTGTAATGCAATTACGAAAATGTTGCAACCATCCATATCTGTTCGAAGGCGCGGAACCTGGTCCACCGTACACAACCGATGAACATCTCATCTACAATTCGGGCAAAATGATCATTCTCGACAAGATTTTGACTCGTATGAAGGAGGAAGGAAGTCGTGTCCTGATTTTCTCCCAGATGAGCAGAGTTTTGGATATTCTGGAAGATTATTGTGTGTTCAGAGGCCACCAATACTGCCGTATCGATGGTGGTACTGCACATGAAGACCGCATTGCTGCCATTGACGGCTACAACAAGCCAGGCTCAGAGAAATTTGTCTTTCTTCTTACTACTCGTGCTGGCGGCTTGGGAATCAACTTGACTAGTGCCAACATTGTGGTTCTGTATGACAGCGATTGGAATCCCCAGGCTGACTTGCAGGCCATGGATCGAGCACATCGCATTGGCCAAACCAAGCAGGTCAAGGTCTTTCGTTTTGTCACGGAAGAAGCGATTGAGGAGAAGGTTCTGGAGAGAGCAGCGCAGAAACTGAGATTGGATCAGCTGGTCATTCAACAGGGTCGTGCACAGCAACAAGTCAAGCAAGCTGCATCCAAGGACGAACTTTTGAGCATGATCCAGCATGGAGCAGAGAAGGTCTTTGAGAAAGGTGCGACAACTGAAGTCCTCGACGATATCGATGAGATTTTGCGTCGTGGTGAAGCTCGGACTGCTGAGCTGAATGCCAAGTACGAGAAGCTTGGAATTGATGACCTTCAGAAATTCTCCTCGGAAAATGCGTATGAATGGAACGGTGAGGACTTCACCAAGCATAAGAAAGACATTGGAGTCTCCTGGATTAACCCTGCGAAACGTGAGCGGAAGGAGCAATTCTACTCTATTGACAAGTACTACAAACAAGCGCTTTCAACCGGAGGTCGTCCCGCGGAAACAAAGCCAAAGGTACCACGGGCTCCCAAACAGGTCAATGTCCATGATTGGCAATTCTTCCCTCCTGGTCTTCAAGAACTACAGGAGAAGGAGACTGCTTACTACCACAAGGAAATAGGCTACAAGGTCCCTCTAGCTGAAGGAACGGATGAGGATTTGAGCGATCGTGAGGCTGACCAGCGACTCAGCCAAGATGAAATCGACAATGCGGAACCATTGACAGAAGAAGAAAAGCAGCAAAAGGCTGAAATGCAGGAGCACGGATTCGGAAACTGGAATCGTCGAGATTTCCAACAGTTTGTCAATGGATCAGCCAAATTTGGACGTACCAATTATGAAGGTATCTCGACAGAAGTCGACAGCAAAGAGCCCGATGAAATTGAGGAGTACGCAAAGGTCTTCTGGAAGAGAAACACTGAAATCGCTGAATTTGACAAGCACATCAAGACCATCGAGGCCGGTGAAGAGAAGTTGCGCAAAACTAATGTACAACGAAAAATGCTTCGCAAGAAGATGGAACTCTACCGTGTGCCGTTACAACAGCTGAAAGTCAACTACACAGTCTCGACAACAAACAAGAAAGTCTACACAGAAGAGGAAGATCGATTCCTCTTGGTGATGTTGGACAAACATGGTGTGGATGGAGAAGGCCTGTACGACAAGATTCGAGATGAAGTTCGAGACTCTCCGTTGTTCCGTTTCGACTGGTTCTTTCTGAGCCGAACCCCTGTGGAACTGGGCAGACGATGTACTACACTGCTTAATACCGTCACCAGAGAGTTCGAAGACCCAGACGAAAAGCTTACCAATGGCCATGCATCTGGTAAAGGCAGAGGCCGAGACCGTGATGATGAAGAGGACGAAGAGAATGACAGTGAAGTGGCACCTGTCAAGAAGAAGGTCAAGAATGGCATCGTGGTATGGCATCTAAGCGAACTCGTACATGGAACATTTGCTAACATCCAACAGAATAAGGCTGTCAAAGCTGTCAAGTCAGGACGTGGTAGCAAAAATACCTCGCCTGCCACCTCACGTGCTCAAAGTGTTTCCTCTACGACTGCTCCCAGTCGATCAAAGGGAAGGAAGAAGTAATATCCTGTGGCATGAAACCCAGAACTACTTTTATCATTATTGGCGGCGTGACGCGTTTTGTTTCAAGTATGGTGGTGTCTCCTGTTTACAAGGATAAAAGCATACGGCCCATTTGTGACGAGTACCGGACACGACATGTTTGTGTGAGAGGAGTGGTGGCTAATTATGGAACAAGCTCTTGCTCTGGGCGGAACCCTCGTGACCATTTCACTCGACGAGGCCTCGCATGCATGATAGAGGGCCTATTGGGTTTGGCGTTTTATTTTCAATTCGTTGTTACGAGTCCACGAAGGCAGGGCAGGGCAGAAATCTGTAGGACTACAAGGCCATCAGTACAATCATCGCGACTAGAACAGTCGCGGCTTACCAAATGCTTTAGTATCTACTTGAGTAGTTGCGCTCCATTGTGCAGCTGTAGCGATTAGTAGTAGTTCAGACTACCATCATGGATTCATGACTGGCACTTCCGAAACAAGACTTGGCACAGTGATGGAATTGATGCTCGTCATCTTCCGAAAAGAAACAGGCAGCAAGCAAAATGCATTAATCATTTCACACGTTTGGAGCGCATCGACGTGCCTTGTCATCGTCTCAACCAAGTTCATCAATTAATCGCCTACGCTCCAGAAGCAGTTGATTGGATGAGTGTTGTCCGTATTTCTATGGTGTGAGGCACTTTGCCCCGCCGTCGCCCGGATGCATAACGTTAAGCAACCGCAAATACGGGCGATACAGCACGGAGGGATGCCAGTACAGTGTTATATATCACATAGGCGCCCAATTTCTGATTTTACTTCAATCACATACCTTTCACACAGCAGTAAGTCTTTGGTACGTCCTAGGAGCATCCTCCTCAAGAAAGGCGCTTGACCATTGATTTGACCAATACCGCTACAAATGCTACATCGGAACCCAGCAACTGTGTACGAGTAACACTGTCGAACGGAAACCTGACCTCATCACCAGTCACTCAGAACTATATCAGCATTCGAACGCAAAATTAAGGCCATAGATTCACGGAGAAACAAATCCCAAATGTCGACCATCTTCCTCAAGACGATCTCAGTGCTCCGCATGGCAGCCGGGGTCTCCACGCTCATCGTGCCACACCGTGTCGGACCACTATTCGGGTTGACCATAGGTCCAGACGCGAGTGTTGTTGCGCGTCTCTTTGGATCAAGAGATTTCATCCTTGGAGCATACCTGTACAAGACCGTCAGGGAGTGGGATGGCAGTCGGGGTAACGATCCCTTTGGGCAAGGCGCCCGAGACTCCTTGCTATCTCAGAGTGCGACTTCTGTCCGAGAAAGCGACGGCGCGATCAGTGCCACAGGGAAGGCTGACGGCATTCCGAGGTTTGCGGGTTTGGGACAAGGGCTCAACAAGACTGTCTCCGTGTCTACGGTTCGATCTGATAACGTTGCGACTGCGCTGTGGCTTGGTGCTGCGTGCGATGCGATCGATGTCGTGAGCGGTGCTGTTTGTTTCCTCGAGGGCGGGATCTCCAACATCGCGGCCGGGGAGCTTGTCGGTGGTGCGGCTATCTTTGTCATGGCTGCATTATGGCAGTTGAACGTGCTTCAGAGAAAAAGATCAGCTGAGCAGGAGCTGTGATTGATGCGATTGTGGATGGGCTATCATATCGGCGCTTGTCCGGGATAAGGGGGAAGTCTTAATCGAGTTCCTGCTCAGTCACGATCACGGACAATTGACCGATCGAGCTGCTGAAAGTATTCAGGGTATGAGATGGCTCACGATGCTATTTTGAGACTGGTATCTTCTTCTGACTGAATGATGTTGGGCTTCCTTTCTCATTCTCAACCCCTGTTTTCGACGTGCATTGCTCTTCTATCTGCAGCGTGCAAGGTGCAATAACCAATAATGTATGCTCTTTGACAAACGACTCGAAGAGTCATCACTTCGGCATACATTAGTGTCGACTAGAATATGCGAGGACACCATTTGCCGCGTCTCCTACAGCCCCTTCTGGGCTACATTTCCTCCTCCGGCTTGACAGCTTGATCCACTAGGCGCATTGAATAAGCCAGGGAGAGAGTACGGACAGCATTAGACTGTATACCGCAGTACTGGTGCGAACGTTAGACCTGCGCTCGGGCAAGTCTGTTATCTTGTAAACACGATTGGTAGACAGTGACGACGGCTGAGGGGCTGTGAGTAGTTCAGGGGGTTAACTACTCCCTAACCACCTACCTCGTGAATTGGGCACTCACAAGGCTGAAGAGAGGACCCGGAGTCGTGCTCGCCTCCCCGCCATGACATGGGCTTCCCCAGCCTAATTTTACAATCACCTGCAACGTTATTGGGCCTGTCCAGCCTACCCCTCATGCCGGGCAAAACGCCGATGTAGCCGTACGTAGCCAGTGCGGGGGACTACCAAAGAGTTTACCAGAAGGGAGGTGGTGTGTGTGTGACGAAACTATGTATTAACTGGTAGCTTCCAGTCTTTTAGTAAGGGGGGTTATGCATCTCTGTTTCTCATCCATAGCAGCACTTTTAACCACGAGCCAATTCATAGCTTGGTTCAAATATTGACAACATTAAAGTCCAGAAAGGATCAGTGAAGGAGTATTGGTAATTTGTGCCAGACCTCATTCTCGTTTTTGGGCTTGTGAACATACAGCCTCCACAGTGATCTTGACAACCATGGATAAGGCCGGCGGTTTCCAAGAGGCTCGATACCTTGAATTCGTACGCTCCTCCTCGCCTACAGGCGTCGACAACAAGCCAAAGCTAAACCGTTATTCAACACACTTGACCCGCGAACATGACTTTCCAGGAGCACAAGCCATGCTCTTCGCGGCAGGTGTGCCAGATCGTCTTGCAATGCAGACTGCTCCGCATGTAGGCATTGCAAGTGTCTGGTGGGAAGGAAACCCTTGTAATATGCATCTGCTAGATCTAGCGAAGGAGGTGAAGAAGGCGGTCCAGTCCCGCGATATGCTCGCATGGCAGTACAACACAGTCGGTGTGAGTGATGCCATCACAATGGGCAATCAAGGCATGCGATTCAGCCTTCAGACGAGAGAGATCATAGCCGACTCGATCGAAACTGTCACTTGTGCTGAGGCTCATGACGCAAACATCACGATCCCTGGCTGTGACAAAAACATGCCGGGCTGCATAATGGGGATGGCGAGACACAATCGACCGAGTCTCATGATCTACGGAGGTACAATCGATAAAGGCTATAGCAAGACACTCCGAAGACCGATCAATGTGGCAACATGCTACGAAGCATTTGGTGCTTATACTTATAACACATTGCGCCAACCTGATGACGGTGGTGATACCTCCAAGACCAAAGACGAGATCATGGAGGACTTGGAGAGGAATGCGTGTCCTGGTGCCGGTGCCTGTGGAGGCATGTATACTGCGAACACGATGGCCACTGCAATTGAGTCGATGGGCTTGAGCTTACCTGGCTCAAGCTCAACACCGGCGACATCACCGGCAAAGATGAGAGAATGCGCGAAGGCTGCAGAAGCGATCAAAACATGCCTTGAACTCGACATCACTCCGAAGAAGCTCATTACCAAGCGTTCTTTCGAGAACGCTCTTGTCATCACCATGGCTTTGGGTGGAAGCACGAATGCAGTGCTGCATTTCCTCGCCATGGCTGTCACAGCTGGAGTTGAACTTACGCTGGATGATTTCCAGAGAGTCAGCGACAAGATACCATTCATTGCGGACCTTGCACCATCTGGAAAATATGCAATGGCTGATTTGTATGAAATCGGAGGAATTCCCAGTGTGCAGAAATTCTTGATCGCAGCTGGATTACTGGATGGCGATATCCCGACAGTGACTGGAAAGACTTTGGCGGAAAACGTTGCAAGTTGGCCCAGTCTGCCTGCTGACCAGGTCATCATCAAGAGTCTCGAATCTCCGATCAAGAAATCAGGTCACATTCAGATCCTCAAAGGTAACTTTGCGCCTGCAGGTGCCGTGGCAAAGATCACCGGAAAGGAAGGACTCAAGTTTGTGGGCAAGGCCAGAACCTTTGACAAGGAAGTCCAGCTCAACGAAGCATTGAATCGTGGCGAGATCCCAGCGGGAGAGAACTTGGTGCTTATCGTGCGGTATGAAGGGCCAAAGGGTGGGCCTGGTATGCCAGAGCAACTGAAAGCTAGTGCTGCCATCATGGGCGCGAAGCTTACCAATGTCGCATTGGTCACAGACGGACGGTACTCTGGGGCCAGCCATGGTTTCATTGTGGGACATGTTACTCCGGAAGCCGCGGTGGGTGGCCCCATCGCCTTGGTCGAGGACGGAGACGAGATCACTATCGACGCAGAGACAAACTCGATCAGCATGGCTGTGAGCGATGAGGAACTCGAGAAGAGAAGGCAGAAATGGACGCCCCCACGAATGGTTGTGACCAGGGGTGTATTGGCAAAATATGCTGCTCTCGTCAGTGATGCGAGTCATGGAGCTGTGACGGATTTGTTTTGAATTATTCAACGGTTCATATGATACCTTGGCTTCTCTTAAGTGGGCGGACTGTGGTTGGAAAATAGGACTCTGATTGCCCACCTTTAACCTGGATGATGGCTCGGAGAAATGGGAGTACGAGTAAGCACGGAAACCATCACAGTCAATTGATTAACCCTTGTAATCTAAATTGCCTATGAAGGACAATGATGCGAACAAATTTCAACTTCCCTTTTGAGTATCTCTCTATGTCGAGTCTCGTTTGGTAAAATGCCTTCAGAATCCTTGCCTTCGCGAATCTAGACATATCCTATTCAGAGGTAAGCACGCTGCACCAGCATGTGCACCACACCCAAGACAATAGAGCTGGAGAGAGTCTGATTTGCGAAATCGAAACCTTCGAATGTCGATAGGTCGAATGTCTGATTACTGCATGTCTTAGACATGGAAAACTACTCGGCATGGACTGTTTGAAGTATCACTTGTACTGGGAGTTCAACCTGGCGACGATGGAGTTAAGGTCTTTTCGCTCAGGACTCCTGTAAACCAAGATCAGAAGGAATTCTCCCTGGAGAACTCAAAACACATTCTCGTGACGAAAAGCTATGAATAGATAACGCTTCCGGTACACTGGATTGTTCTGGAAGTTCTTACTGGTGGTCTCTGGTACCACACGGCAAATGAACCAAGCCTTCCCTGTCCCCTGCTGGCTGCAAAATGCGATTGAGGAGACTGCTGACCATTAGCTCTGAAATATGAGCTAGCTATTTACTAAGTAATGCAGCAAGGTTGTTGATAGTATAAGAGTGGATGACATAGCCACAGAAGAGACCCAAACAGGCGTAGAGTTGCAGCACCCGCAGAAACATTAGTATCAAAAGTCTGAGGGGCCTGAACAGTTGACGAATGGTCCGCCTATCGATAAACGAGTTCGCCAGATATTGGCGAAGATAAGCGAGGTATCGAGAGGGATGATCTACCTGATTCTTACATGCCTCTTTGGGTGTCTCTTTGGAATTACAGGATGACACCCAGGAAAATAACTCTTGCCATGTTAGTATAACTTGTTAACTATTGCCTACCTGGGTATCTAACTAAGGTACTTACCCTAGGTTGTTAGCAGCAGACACATCATTAGGCAGTTGGTTAACTAAGCCCGAGCCCGAGCCGCCTTGGTCTTAGTTAGGTTCTCAGCCACTTGGCCCCCGAGAAAACTTGCCAGCAGAGATGGCCCCCACCACCCACACCCGCATCTCTTAAGTGCAAGAATTGGCGACTGGGCTTCAACAACGTCGAAGCGCCAGTTGGCACCAACAACTTTGAAACCTCAAGCCGCGACTACACCCTAAACTTCACGAAAGCCGGTTATGTATTCGTTATGTCCTGTCCCTAGCTCCCAAAGTGCTCGTTTTCATCCAGGAGAGCCTGGAATACCTTCTTTCTCTTGGAGGGCAATTCTCTATGGCCAGAAGGGGATTTCTTTGCTTACCCACCATTGAACATGCGAGGCCTCCTGCATGTTAACCATCAAATGAGCGCGGAGTCAGGATATGAGACCGTGCCGTCTTCTGTGCCGTCTGATAGCGGAGCTGGACTCTACTTCGCTCTCTGACCATTTCTGCGTTGTAGCATTTCGCCGAAGAGTCTTTCCATTGGGCTAGATTTCTGGGAAGCGCTTTTAACTCGTCTTCTATCCAAGCATCGGGACCCCTGTATAGCATGCTTCCTTTCTTGATTGAATCTCGAGAGACCACCCTGATGCTCACTGTCTTCTGTTGCCGGGGGCCAACATCCCGCCCATCGCCGCTCAGGCATCCTCACGAGTGTACCAGTACCTGGATGGTACCTCGTTCTCTCAATTGGTGAATCACTCGAAGATGTCTCACCAAGTATGCATCCAGAAGAGGCCAGGCTACCCTGGTCGCCCATATGGCCATGGAAAGTTGCTTCTTGCGAACTTGCGAACTCGAGAGAGGGGTTTCTGGGAGAAGCGTTCACGAAGGAGACTCGAGGTTCAGCAACAGCTATAAGAAGAGACCGGCAGTCCTTCGAGAAGGATTCCCAACCTCATCTCCTCCCTATCGATGAAGTCCATTCAAGAGTTTTCAGCATGAATATCTTGCCTTCACGCATCAACAGACTAATAGCAAGAATTCGAGTTTCTCCTGAAGCCACCATTCCAACATACGACGTTAAGGACCACACAGTGGTTACTCTGTTTGACGACCTACCCGAGGAGGAGAAGAAAGCAGCATTGGAGAAGCTTGATCAGCTTGCTTCAGCCCAGCCTGCAAATCCACCTCAAGTCATCTCGGTTCAACCATCTTCGCGCCGCCGTCGCTTTTTCAATTGGAGAATCTTCACTATGGTTTTCCTAGGTTTAGGCTTCGTTGCCTTCGCTGTCGTCGCATCGGTGGTACTAGCAGTCGATACCACCAAGGATCCAGAGTTGGTGGCAAAGCTGCGAATGGCCAGTACGAATCTTGATCGTATGGCTCTTTTGTAAGTTCCTATCGACCATAGACGACTGCACTCTGCCAATTGCTAACTCTGGCGAACCAGACCCAAGGATGAGGACTGGTTCTTTGACTTCACCAAGCAAGACAAGTACACGTTCTCACCGGGTGGTGTCATCAACGCCAATGCTGCCACTTTTCCGGCTACAGTTGGCCAGGGCATGACACTGGTAAGTCCTTCATACCTTCAGTCCGCGGTTAAAACCCCCCTAGTCTTACGCATGACACATAGGCAATGCTGAATCTTGGACCGTGCTCCATGCTACCACCACATCTTCATCCTCGTGCTGCAAATTATGTCGTTGCCATCTCTGGAACAACTCAAACATATATGATCAATGAGAATGGTGCGCGAACTGTACAAGCCACACTTCGTTCAGGTCAGATGACAATATTTCCAACCGGCTCTATTCACACCATGATGAATATCGGCTGTGAAAATGCACAACTCATCTCTGCATTGAACAGCGATGATACCGGGACCTTGAATGTTGCCAATGCATTTTTCAGCTTGCCTCAAAACATATCTGGGACCGTTCTTGGTGGAGATGTTAATGTTCAAAATGTCTTTGGTCAGATTCCTACGCCAGGGACTGGAGCAAATTTTGGGCCAGATCAATGTATTGCTGCTTGTGCCGCAAAAGGCAAGATGGTGAAACGCACCTTTTGAAGAAATTTGTGGGGTGAAATCCAGTGATTCTACTTGATGTTGATGAGTCCGTGTCACTAGGATTTCGTGGCCTGGTGGACGAACGCGAGACAGGTCTCGTGTAGTATTTTGAAATGTGAACTCAAGTTCGGACAGATCGCTCGTCATTGTATCGATCAATAATTATCAGATCATGCTCGTGTCACACAGTCTGGTATTCACGATCATTTGGTTGATTTGCGTGATATCACGACCAGCCAAGGCTGGATGCACCGCTGGCCCAATCGGGGGTCCGCGGTACACTCAGCATAAGGCTGAGGGAGCTTGTGGAAGCCTGAGCGGGAGGCCTAAAAGTTCCAGAAGATGCCAATCCCCCACCCACCAGTTGCCAAGCTGACTGTTCTCTTCTCTCGCTTTCGGAATCGGTCCGTGACAAAGCCAATGCACGAGAATAGTCGATCCTCAGACGTATGATACTAGCAAGCTCCCTTTTTCCTATTCTGTTACATTGGGTCTGAGGGTCTTAGGGCCTTGGGACAATGCAATAATTGGGTCAGCCTTATGGCACCCCGTTTAGCTCATCGCAAATCCCGCGCAGGATGCAGGCGGTGTAAGGAGCGAAAAGTCAAGTGCAACGAACAACATCCTTCCTGTAGCGCCTGTTTGCGTCATGGAGTTACGTGCGAGTACACAGACGCTCCTGTTCAAGCCAAAGCCTTGCCAGATCAGTCCGATCAGTCGATTTCTCGGGGAAGTACTCCAGTTACTGGCGAAACCACCACTGGCAATCTCGCGACTAGAGAAACACCCACTTCGACACAAGGGCAGACACCACTCAATGGACCAGATACTCCATACTCAGACATTGCTGGAAGCCTCGCTCTAACAGAATCGAGACGACATGCCCTCGAGCTATTCCTGCTGCACAGGTTTACGTTTACGGTCGCGACTACATTTCCATCCTTTCGATATGAATCCACAAAGCTATTGTACACGCACCAAGCTCCTAGCCTCGCTTGCGACAATCGTTTTCTGTTTGATACGATATTTGCAGTAACCGCGCTGCATATCTGCAAGACTGTTCCATCGCCTAAAATAGGTTACACCGAGCAGGATGAGCTACCTGAAACCTTTCGTGGCATGGACTTTGCTCAACTCCACCGGATCTATCTGAATCAAGCAATTCGAAAACAAAGAGAAGCCATTTCATCCCTGGGACCATCCAACTCCGACGCCATTGGTCTGACGTCTGTCTTGCTCAGTATCATGGCAACCTGCCTCTTACCCGAGGCTGAAGGCTCGGGAGAAATCTACAAGCCACCAATACAATGGCTACGTATGGCCTCAGCAGTCGCGATCGTGTTCCAGGCAGCTGCTCCGCATGTTCGGCCGGGCTCGATCATGATGACCTATTTTCAAAAGGATAGGAAACCGAGCTTCGCTGATAGTGAATACCTATTCAACCCATCACACACCAACCCATTCAAGAAATTGCTTGAGTTTCAGGCCTCGAGCAGCACACTTTTTGGGCATGTGGACCTCCGCGAGACCGACCCATTGAGAAAAGAAACCTGTCGCCTGACCCTAGCATTAGTGGGATCGATTCATACCGCTATTCGAGAAGGCGAACCATCTCACTATATTTGTCAGCGGGTTACCTCTTTTGCCCCCTTGTGCCCAACGAACTTTATTGATTTGCTAGCGGATAAGAAACCACTGGCAATGTTGATACTGGCGCATTACATGGCGATGATGAAGCATCTTGATGAGGACTTTTGGTGGTTTAAGGGCCGCCCTGAGAGAGACATCTACGGCATACAGAGTATACTGCCAGAAGAATGGCAATGGGGTCTTGCTTGGCCTCTGGCCGTGCTGACATCACCGCTCAAAGCCCACCTCGATCCGAAGCCGTTTCAAATTGTGTAGTTGAGTACAGAACATTGAAGCCATTGAAGGCATAGCAAAACGGGCCAGCATTGGCTCTTCCACCACACCCACCACATATATACTAAGTAACACTAGGCAAATGGGCCTTCGTGAGGGTTCTAAAACAGCAACTCACCGATATATTGGGGAGCCCAAGATGATTACCAGGCCTTAACTGACGGCACGCAAGGTTCTGAGGACAAGGCGTAATTGACACATTGCAAGCTGACACCTTGCCTTGACTGATGATGTCATGAAGATCTGACCTCGCCCCTGAAACGCTAATTTCGGCAAACCGATCTCTACCACAAGCACACATCATTCATCAAATGGTCTTGCTAGCTTCCTGCAGAACCTGGCATTGGTGCGTGTTATCACACACACACTTCAGAATCACTGAGCCAACCTGAAGCCGAACTACTTTATACGATGACCGATCACTTGCTGCAGCCTCGGCTCGTTACAGCCTTGTCGGCACTAGGCATTGGCCTCTCAACAGCATTCTCAATAGGATCTCTTACATTGACATATTTCGCCATCCCAGCACTTCTGTTACCCGCCGACGCACCGCTGATGCCACCATTAGAACTCGTCGCGGAACGGCGAGCACGACATTTCCGCACCGAGAAAGCACCTGAACAGCCCGCCGACAGTGGACTGGGCGATGAGGACGAAACCCTACTAGATCACGGAGCTGTCGAGAAGATCATCAGCGGCAAGAATCGATCGTCCTCGGAGGGGTATCTGCTGAGACAGTGGTTCCACCTGTTCGCCAAGGGGATGCACACTTTCCCTCCCTTGGCTGTTTCCGGCGCGCTTTGTTACGGCATCTGCATCGTGGTCCTGCCGGGCCGTATATTGCAAACCAAGAACGTGAGCTTGCTGTGGAAGAGAGGCTTGTTCGCCACGTCCGCTATCCTTTCCGCGGGAATCATGATTTTCACCTTGACGGTCATGAAGCCGGTGAATTCCGCACTCCATGATAGGGTGAAGAAGGTGGTGGAGTATGAAGGTCAGGGGAAGTCGGCCGGATCGCAGAGTGATATCGAGGATACCGAACGACTCATTAGGAAATGGGGCAGAGTGAATGCTTGGAGGTCGGTGCTGCCGGTGCTTGCGGCGGCTTTCGCTACCGCAGCACTTGCGGTGTGATCACTCTGTTAGCCATTGTCACGTCTACGTTCCAGAGCCTTGCGAAGTCATGTGATTGAGTTTTCCCATGTTTCTTCCTGCGGACGGTGAGCATGGGAGTGCGAGTATCTTTTTGTCGTACTAATCCCATAGCCCTAATTTGTTACACTCCCCAAAAACACCGTATAGTGGACATGCAAATGGCTGCGATAATATGCTCACCCACAATGAAGGATAACCTAATTTCCCAAATGCATTTTCCTCGCAGAAACTCCGAGTCATACATACTGCTATCCATCTACTCTACATAATTCGATTTGTCCAAGTCCAAGAGCCGAACGGCACGCTGCTCGGGTTGAAATAGCTCGCATTATATGTGGCGATGGCTGAAGTGTCTTGCGCTTGGGTGTTGAAAACCAATTTACTACCAGGAATGATACAGTTCGTCTGGGCCTGGCAGTACATGAAGCTCTCACCAACATTTGCCGGATTTCCCTGACCACCCACCGTTTGTCGCTTGCCACGATCGGCAGCGGCATCGCCGGCGACGAAGAAATAGGTCGTCCAGACGCCAGGAAGACCAGTATCGTAGGTCATCATGGCGTGCTGCACGGCGTTGTCCTGTTGGAAGTGCGAGAAGTACCATTCGATAGAGATTCCGTATTGGCCTGGAGCGATGACGTCCACTTGGTAGTAAATGCCCTGCTGGCCAGCCATGAGAATGAAGCCTTGTGTCCAGAATGGAGAAATGGTGTACGGGGGTAGATTTGAGGCTGGGAATGCGATGGGTGCAGCATCACTATTGCGCCCTCCCTGGGACCAGGTGGTCTGACTTGAGGAATTGAGCTCCAATTGTGTCGTTGTGAGCCAGAAATTGGCATTGACAAAGAGTTTGTTACTCGTCTGCCCAAAAATCTTCCATTGGATTCCCATTGACGAGAGATCGAGAGGTGTGGTGTGTGCATTCGCCGCCCAGCCATTGAAGTATGTGTTTGTTCCTCCTGGGAAGGAAGGCAGTGTGGCACCCAGCACATTCTGTCCAGTGGGGAAGGGTATAGGTTTCGAAAGGTATAGCTGGAGGCCTGGTCCATCGGCATATCCGGAATTGGCGAAAAGCCACCTCCCTGAGTGTGTGCCCAAGGTATTAATCATGCCCGTGGTTGTTTGTCTGCCGTTACTGACCTTACCGAGCAGGGTACATGCTCCAGTGCTTGCGACCCATGAAAAGGCTGCACAAACCTGCGATGCATTCGCAGCAACAGCAGCATCACATTGATTCAAACAGCTGTTGTAGGTTGGTTGATTGCTCGTAGCGAATGGAAGATTTCCAACGGTGTTGTAATCGGCCTTGATATAGTTAGTAAATACGTCCTACCGTGAGAGGATTACTTACTGCGCATTCAATGTCGTAGTATCGTCCCTGGGCAGGATTTACTAGTGCTTGTCCACCTAAGTTGATCATCAGCAAATTACACTCTCTGTGGTTGATGTTTCTCACCCTCGAATTTCGATATCAAGTTGTTCTCACATACGGGATCCTGTGGATATGCTGACGGGAATGCGTTTGATGTTGCCTGAGAAAGATCGACTGTTGTCGAAGTCAGCGGCCTGCTCGTAGTTACAGGAGGCACTGGATTTGTTGTCGTGACTGGTGCATTGCCACTCGTGGCAGGTCTACTGGTCGTGACAGATCTTGAGCTTGTGCCTGCTGTCACGGTCGAACTCTGTTGAGCACCACAAATGAAGCTGGGATCATTGTAGTCTGACATTTGCGGGTAGTTGGCGTTCAGAATTCGAGCACTGTTGAATGTAGCATTTCCACGGGTCGCACAAGTCAGTGAGGAATACCTGAAGCAGTTGTTGGCACCCCCTTGAGTGACATTGCCCTCTCGGAAAGTCACACCAGTACACAAACTCGTGCTATATGCATTTGCGTACTGGCACCAGCTGATACAATCCGCCAATGAAAAAGCTAAGAGAGATTGTAGGGATGAGCCAGTGAAGCTAGTCGCACACTCTATTTCAAAGTTGTTTGGAGTGCCCCAGCTGTTGTATGAATTGCAAAATGGTGAGTTGCCGGGACATAGAGGGGTAGAAATTGCAGTCGGCCCTGCAGGACAATTTAACGGTACGTAACTGGAAGTTGCAGTCGCCGAAGTTTGTGTTGGGATCGCAGTTTGGGAGGCAGACGAGATACTAATAGTTCCATAATTTGGGTCATTGATCGATGGATAGCCTGCATAAAGCAACCGGCCACTGTCAACGCCAGCCAGATAGCGGGTACCGGTGATGTCTGATAAGAGCAAGCAATTGTTGCCCGGTACTGATGTGCCATAATAGTTAATACCAACGCAGCTGAATGGAAGCGCAATGCTGTATAGACTGCACATCGCAATACAGGCGTTATGGGAGACAGTTCTGGTTGAGTTTCCAGTGAGGATATTGCCATCGAGCACAGTGTGGCACTCAACTTCATAACAGACGCCATCGGAGTTCACATTCACGGCTTGATGGTTATACATCGGGCATAACGCAGCAGCGGGTGTCGCACCAGAGCAGTATGGTGCTGCAGTAGTGGGAACCGCGCGGCTAGTCGTTGTTGTGATTACCGTGACGCCTAAGCTACTGAGCGTTGTTGTAATCGATATAGATGAAGTTGACAGTGTGCTCGGGACGCCTGCTGAGGTTGGGCTCAAGGTGCTAATGCTTGTGGTTCCAGTTGTGATAGGTAGATTAGTCGTGGTAGAGGCTCTGGGAGTTGAACTTGAGCTGGTCACTGTTGGTGGGCTAGGGACGCTCACAGTTGACGAGGAAACTGAGACGCCCAAGGACGGTGTCGCCATCGTCGAGAAGAGACCGGCGGATGAACTCGATTGTGGAGTGCCTATGAATGTACTTGGAGTCCCGAGTGTAGAACCGGCACTCGGACTTGTGTTTGGTGGCGGAGGCTGTTGGGTCACTGTAGTCGGAGGATTCACAACTTGCGTGGTTGGATGACTGGTCGTTAGAGTCCTGGAACTAGTCTGAACGCCGGTTGATTGAGCACCTGGACTGGTCGTGGGTTGTGGTGGAGTGGGTGTGGGTGAGGCATTTGATGAAGCCACAGGCGTATTGCTTGTTGTCAACGACGAGCCCAACGGTGTTGAAGTCAACTTGGGGGTTTCGCTTATTCCAAAGACAGTAGGACTGGTTGTTGTTGACTCAATAACAGGCAATGTGGTTGTCGAAAACCCGGGGTCGCTGGAGAAGATGATCTCCGGTCCGAGTGGTGAGTTGACAATAATTGCAGCTTGAGCGAAAGGATTACCACCCCGTGTGACAACTCCAATGTTAAATTTGAGATGGCAAGGGTTTGCCTCTGCAAGCTAGATAGATGTCAGGAGCGCCACAAGCAAGCAAGCTAAACGAGGAGACTTACAATGTCAAATTCAACGGCCACGCAAACTCCTTCTCCTGTTGGAACATATGAGTTGCAAGCTTCGATGCACTCGGCTATGTCAGCAGCTGGAACAAAATCGAGGTCAGACCCTGGAAGTTCGGTATCACAAAGAATGAGATAATCGTCATTCACAGTGCCATCAAATTCCGAACCATCAAAACAGTTTGGCGTACCGCTGGAGGTCGGGGCCGGAAAGTCAGATGTGGTTGCAGCTGACGTGGTTGAGGAAGATGGAACGTCGTTTGAGATAGTAGTACTTGCAATCTGGCCCCCAGAATTCGAGGTGGTGCCTACTACTGAGAGTGATGTTGTTGGACCACTGTGAATGGATGAAGTACTCCCATTTCCATGTTGTCGGGAAACAATTTCGTATGCTGAAATAGCATTTTGCCCGCCACAAGTGTTACTTGAGTTACCCATGCAAGGCATGTCGCAAGTGCCTGACGAGTCGCTTTGAAAAGCGTTTCCACAAACGCAAAGTGTTCCTAGAAGTATGGTCAATTAAGTGCTCGGTCGATTTCCCCTAGCCATGAACATGCTTACCAGCTTGAACTCCAAAGAACTTATACTCGAAACAAAAATCAGCGCACTGCTCAAGATAAGACACAAAAGTGTTTGGTCCCAATAGCGCTGGGCTACCTGGCGCTGATGACAAGCAGCCCACCGGTATTGCATAAGCAGAAACGCCGTAAACAGTGCTTAGAGGGTAGGTTGTTACTGGGGCCATCGAGCTTGTTGTTGATGTGGCATAGATGAGACTTGTAGTAGATTGAGTTGCTAGTATTGTCGTTGTAAATGTTGAGGTTGGCGGTATCACAACTTCATCCACGGGTATGGCACTGAGATATGTCCTTGTACATCCTGAGGGCAACGTTCCATCGAAAACGACAAACAAGTTGCCCAACAGGCAGAAAATCGCTTCACCACCCGCGAAAGTGCTATTTTCCCAAGCCAGGGTATCATTCGGGCGTATGGAGAATCGGGTCGAGATAGCCTTCAGATCTGGTGATACCCTAAAGAGCTGTGTGTCCTCATCTCCCCTAGTTGAGATATAGCCATCGTCGTTCATGAGCTGTCCTGATGGAGTAATGACAAAGAAGGTGGCCGCCCGAGGATCTTCGGTGATACTGCCATCGGCCGCAATGTATCGACGAGTTTGAATGACTCCTCCATCAGCCTGGCGCGGCAGGATTGAGTTTACGACAAACGATAGATAGAATGGTGCGATAGGGCTCGAACTGTGTGGTTTTAGCAACGTCTTTGATACATGGAAGTACGCACCTTGAGGTTGGAGCAGTACTTGTCGTGCTAGTACCTAATGCACCAGAGCTGGTATACGTCGCTGGACAGTAACTGACAACAATGGACACAGTTGTACCATAGCCAAACGCTGTCCCCAACAGTGTTGCGCTGAGGGAAAGGCTCCAAATTCTCTGCCACTTCATCTCGATCTTCGGTTGTGAACAAAAGTCTCCCCTTCATGCAGACTTCTGGCTTTGAACTGATTCAAACAAATTTTGGCGAAGTTAAGAAGTACATGCTCGCTCCTGATGGTCCGTGGGCGGCGGGAGACGCGACTGGAATGAAAAACACGAAGTCGGGGGGAATGCATGGCGGACTTTGCATATTCCACTTCGCAAGGGGTTGGGACGATCGCCTTGACGCGGAGAACAGTCTGATCATGGTCCGTCGCACGAACGTTGCAAGGTTGATATGATCAATACCAGCTAAATCTCGAGGCTTGTGGGCAGTTTCGTCTTGTCAAGTCGAAGACATCGAAGCCTGCCTCAATGGCAGAAAGGCTGGTAGTTCGTTCGTATATCCGGAGCGGCTGCCACCAGCAGGTTCATCCTGTCGATTCATGGTTTCGCCTCCACCTATCAAGGAAGATTACAAGACTGTTATAACGCGCTATTCTGAGATTTACTCTCCAAAACAGTCTCACCAGAGCTGGCGATGCTTGATTAAGATTGGCCCAATGCCTGGCCTGGGCCTCCAGGGCAAGAAAAAGCCTAACAGAGTCGTCTGCAAAGTCCTGGTTTTTGACTCCTTGTGCGTTCAAGAAACATTTGATAAAGGCCAAAACGTCTTCTGCAGGCGAAAAAGGCCTTGTTCCGCAAGATCTCCAGAGATCTTGTGACAAGTGTTCGGTAGAACCTCTGTTTTCTTCGCCACAGAGTCAGAGGGGCTACATACAAAATAGGCGTGCAAGGAGTTTCGCATGACTGAGTACGGTGTCTTCAACGCCGAACGGCACTTCTCTCCTCATATTAGATGCTGCCAAATGGTCTGTTGCAGATGGTGCCCCTGTTAAGGTCTAAGCACGAATCACGTGAAGTACGCATAAATTACAGCCTGTTCTGACATAGCTAGGTCGATTCGTCTTTAGTCCAGTCTAGGTGCGAAATACAGTACAGTAGACGTTAATTACGAATCGACCTAGCTATTGTGGAATATACCCAGTATCCCTGTTACGAAGCTACGTTAGGTTCCCTGGTCTTACTTGTGTATACGAAATATGCTTTATCCGCATCGACTCTGATGATGATGAGGAGGATAAGGAGGATGAGGAGAATAATAAGGAGGATAACGAGGTTATATTATTAGTAAAGTTGTAGACTTCATCTCTACAGTCCCTAGGTAATCCCTACAGCAATCCTACAAGTCGCCGAGTATTCCAGGAAGCTTATTGCGTACCAAATTACACTGAAATTCATTCCTCCTTAGCTCACGCAGTTTGGCAATCGACTCAGTCGATTACAGAATTTACATAATTCGTGGATCGACCTAGCTATTACCCAATAATAGGCCTAGCCATTCGCCTCGGTGTCCCCTTAGCCCAGATACTTGCTGGCAACGGTAAACAAATGCTAATCATTGTACCTATATCTCAAGCTCAATACCCAAGTCTAAACGCTCTCTCCAACGAGAGCTATCAGATGAGAAATATGATGTCTACAGGCGGGCGAACTTAAGCCCGTCAAAAGTCCGAGGACTTTATTGATTGAATATCAAGATACCTAAAATGGATTTAATGTCGGGCTGATATCTGAATACGGAAATACCGGGACTTTCTTCAGAACAAGGCTGCCCATCGCTTAAGAAGCATTTTGAGACCAAATACTCGTCACTGAAGGATAAATATCACAAGCAGAGGACAATAATTATCACCAGATCCTCTATGTCGGCTCTTCATTCACCATCAAAGCCACTACAAACGTGAACAGGAAGCCTGATCTTGATCTGCTTATTACCCCTACTTATGGCTAGTATCTCCAACCCGGCAGTGCCCAAGGGCTCGAGGGTGCTCGTCACAGGAGTGAATGGATTTCTGGGCTCACACATTGCAGACCAGTTTCTTCGAAATGGCTACAAAGTACGTGGCACGGTGCGCGACCCAAGCAAGGAGAGCTGGGCAATCGACACATTCACCAAGCTCTATGGTAAAGATAAATTCGAGCTCGTCGCCGTCCCGGAAATGGAACTCGAAGGCGCGTACGACGAGGTGGTGAAAGGTGAGTATCAAAATTCTGAGACGACAACGGGCGCCAGATGATCATCTCACATGCTAACAACCCGATGCGTGTGATAGGTGTCGACATATTTGCACACTCTGCTGCGTTTATGGCATTTGTCAACGAGGCAGACAAGGTGATTCCGATCACCGTCGCTGGAGCCGTTAATGCGCTGAAGGCTGCGTATGCTGAGCCGAGCGTCAAACGATTCGTCCTGACTTCTTCGTCGGCTGCTGCTGTAGGTGTGCTTGAGAGCGGCATCACGGTGACTGAGGAGTCCTTCAACACTAAAGCTGTCGAGAGAGCCTGGTCAGGACCACCTTATGAGCCAGCACGACCGTTGATCAATTACGAAGCAAGCAAGACCGAAGCCGAACAGGCAGTCTGGAAGTTTCATAACGAGAATCGTAGTAAACGGCCAGATCTCGTGGTCAACGCTGGTATGTTGCAATAAGTCCCCCTGACTGGGAGTCTCGTAACTTACAGTGTCTGTTACTAGTCCTCCCAAATCTCATTTTTGGGCGTGCCATCGACCCTATCGGTCAAGGCATTCGCAGCAGCGCGGGGTTTGTTGCTGCATTATGGAACGGAAATAAGACAGCCATTCACGATGCAATACCTAGCCGTAAGTAACGGCGTCTTTCAGAGTCGAGTAGTAACCCACTACTGATGTCCTTGCAGAATATTTCGTCGACGTCGAGGATACCGCCCTCTTGCACGTCGCTGCAGGATTGCTACCAAGCGTCAAAGATCAACGCATCTTCGCATTTGCTGATCGCTTCAACTGGGATGCGGTCCTCGACGTCATGCGGACATTGGAGCCGGGACGCAATCTGCCAGATAACTTTTCAGGAGGTAGAGATCCGAATGAGATCGAGCCTCGCGCCAAGGCTGAGAATCTCCTGAAAGTGCTGGGGCGTCCAGGCTGGACAAGTTTGAGAGACTCCGTTGCTGCGAACGTCCTGAATGCATCCACACGAACCGATAAATTGTAATTTAGCGCATAGACTTTGAGCGTGAATAGATATTTGTCAGAGAAAGCATTGCGATCATTACTTAGCATTTAATCATAAAGGGGTTGATACACGTACGAAGTAAATCGTGATAAGAGCCCCTATTGCCCCACGTGTCGACGCCCCGACAACCCATGAAGCCTTTCGCTTGACTTGCCCGAACGACGGGCGCCTAAGCGAGCTATTGACCCAAATATCAATCACGACCCCTTCCGATCAACCTCTACTAAACCTTGGTAGGAACAACAAACTCGGAATGGCGAGCCAACATCGAACTGGAAGCAAAATGTTTTCATGCAAGGCTGGCGGTGAGAGCCCGAATATCACCATATATCAAGCCCGTCAGGCGTATGTTCCATGACACCTTGGCTGGAGCAAGGGCTTCGGGAGCCTGCCGACATAAAGAGCGCATTTTTGCTATTCACAATTGGCTGTTTGAAAGAGACTTGATCTTTTAGGTCTCGAGAGTCAGTGGATTGTGTAGGTGAAATCCTGACCGCGAGTGCCTACAAAGAATGCGGGCCAATGCAGGAAAAGGCACCAGCAGCCAAGCTTTGAAGACTGGCATCCCATTCACTCATCCCAAGGGACTGAACTACTCATGCTTGAATGGGAAACGACTCAGTTGATTCCACCAGGGGACGCGAAAATGGCCTCGAGGAAAGTTCTCATTACCTTATAAAAAGCACAAGAACGCTTTCACACGTGTACAAGTCGGAGGGTTTTGTATGCCAACTAGTATGGATCGAAACTATCCGATCGGCCATGCTTTCGAACCCGCAGGCCAAGGGCGACCAAACTTTCCGATTTATCGACGTCTATAAAGTCGATATTTGTTCAGGGAGATAAGTATTGCGAGTTATGTTTCAGTGGAAGACAGGAGCTCCTTGCCACCTAGGTATCGCCCCTCAAGAAGAATGCACTTCACAATGGCCAAACTATACCCATGCATTCTCTTCCACGTATCCCTCCTGTCCACACTCACCAACGCCTGCACCCGCGTGAGCTACACCAGCGGACCAGAGGACGGACACCGAGTCATCATCGGACGCACACTAGACTGGAACCTCCCCCCGCTGTCATCGCTGTACGCATTCCCGGCGGGACTGCAGCGCAACGGCAGCGCCGGGGAGAACTCTCTCAAATGGACGAGCAAGTACGGGTCGGTTATCGCGACGATGAACGACGTGCTGACCTTCGACGGCATGAACACCGAGGGCCTGCATGGCGGCCTGCTGTACCTGACGGGTACCGACTTCGGAGACCACAACACCTCGCGGCCTGGCCTGTCCATCAGCTTCTGGGTGCAGTACTTCCTGGACAACTATGCCTCCGTGGCGGATGTGCGGGCAGACCTGTTCACTCCGTCCGGCGAGGACCGCTTCCAGGTCCGGACGCGCGAGATCATCCCCGGCATGGCGTCCGTGGTGCATCTGGTTTTGGGCGACGCGACCGGCGACAATCTCATCATGGAGTATCTCCAAGGCAAGCTCCACTTCTACCAGTCACCCGACTACCGGGTCGTCACGAATGAGCCGACCTATGACCAGCAACTGGCCATTCAGCAGTACTGGCAGAACAAGACCGATTTTACTCTGCCGGGGACAGCGGGCCCAGTCGATCGGTTCGCGAGAATGGCTGATAATCTGCGGCGCGCACCCGTTGCCACGACCATGGTAGAGGCCGTGCGAGTCGTCCAATGCCTTCTGCGCAGTATCAGCGTCACGCTGCGGCCGCAGACGGCGAATGTCGCCAACGCAGCAACGCTTTGGCGGGCCTTGGCGGACACGAAAGATAAGAGATATTTCTACGAAAGTGTGACGGATGGTGTATCTCTCTGGGTGAATGTTTCGACTGTGGAGCTGGGCAAAAATGGCACTACCAAAAGGCTGTCCTTGGCTCCAGGGGACTCGGGACTCTATGGCAGATACGGGGACGCAACAAATGACTTCACTAAAGCTGAGCCATATACTCCGATACTCGCAAATTCAGAAACTGGAGACGGTTTTGGCGGTGTAGGTCAGGTATCTATTCCAGGACTGACCAACACAACTGCAGGCAGCTAGTTACTACGTAGGTGGGCAGGTAGACTGTTGGAACTGATGATATTCGAGTTTCACCTCATGGATCGGGATGCTAAATCTACTGTGCAGTAGCACTCATTTTCGTCATGAACCTCAGGCACCGGGACACCCAGACCCCGTCTCAGACGTTCCTTTCCAAAACCAAACATCTACTCTCGCATGAAAACATGAATGCAAGATTGTAGAAAAACATGACCGGTTTTAAGCTAAGGGGTATCATGACATGCCGTCCGGTATTCTAAATTTTGCGCATCTTGTGCTCTGAAATAACTGATATCACAACCATCACATAACTCTCTGCAAAAAGGGAAAGTCAGTTTCAGTACTCATCTCGAGGCATAGGGTTTGGAGGTCTACTTACACATTCGCCTTTATCCTTGCCTTGGGGAACACCCATCTCGTCGAAGGTTTTAGGACCTTTGCCAGGGGGCTTGACTGGTGCTGCAGCTGCAGGCATTGCGTTTGGCTTTGACTGTGGTGCCTGACCAGATGGTGCATTTGATACAGGTTTCGAAGGCGCCAAATTAGCGGCTTGAACCTTCTGGGCTGGATACTGATTGGAAGGAATTCGATTATTAGGATTCTGGCTTGGTAGTCCACCGTAGCCAGACGGTGGCCCGCCTGTGCCCGGGCCTGGTCTGCTATTTGCCGGACTGGGTCTCCGTTGCTGTGCTGCATTTTGGTCTGGAGTTTGATTTGGTCGAGAACTCGAGCGGGGTGGATTGTTTGAATTGTTCATGCCACCTTGGCCCATGCCTGGACCGCCAAGCTGTGGTGGTCGTGGTTTTTTAACTGGCTCCAAGGGAGCAGTAAAGCCAATGTCTGCTCTTACTGGTGGACTGCTTTGTGGATTGAGATAAGGTGAATTTGTACCTGGGCGTGATGGAGGCTGGATCTTAGGCACGCCGCCTGGGATTTGGTGATGACCTTCTGATGGCATACGGCCACCTCGACCGTAGCCTTGAGCTGAACCCCTACCATTGTTATTTGGATACTGGCCCTGTTGAGGGCCACCGCCGTAATAGGCAGGTGATTGACCATATGGGTCTGTTCTGCCGCCTGCCATGGATTGGGCGGAGCCGGCGCGAAGGTTTGGATTGATACCAAAAGCAGATGTGGGTCGGATTTCTGGGTTTGGCATACCTTGGGGTCCAGTAGGGTACGGTGCGGCACTGCCCGGCCGTGCCGGTGGTTTTTGAGGGTTGAGGGAAAGTTTGGAAGGGTCGGGCATATCGAGCATTTGATCTTCTTCTGCCTCACTGAACGACGGCATTGGAGGCATAGGAGGTGCTCCACCGGGTCCTCCAATCATGGAAGCACGCTGTTGCCGGATTTTTGAGAGCGCGATACTTTCGTGGTCCTTTCTAGAAAGAGTCTTGGATCTGGAAATAGCATCCACTCTTCCCTCAGCGTCGGAGTTTCCACCCTGAGATGCTTTTCTATACCATTCTTTGGCTTCTCCAAAGTTGACAGGGACGTAGATACCAACCTCATAGTAGTACCCTAAAGCGAACTGTGCGGTCGCGAAACCAGAAAGAGCAGCACGCTGGGCGTATGTGAATGCCATTTCTTCGTTCTTCTCAAACAATCCTTCGTGACCACAGAGAAACCACTTACTGATCGCCAGTTCGGCCTCGGGCTCACCTTGACGAGCTGCCAGAGCATTGTAATGCAAAGAGAGTGCCGGATCAAAAGGACAACCGAACTCGCAGAGTTCATACGCAGAGCCCATTTTAAGCTGAGCCTTTGCAAAACCTAGGAATGCGGCTTTCTCAATATTGGCCTTGGCGCCCGGAATATCTCGAGGTAGATAACGCTCCGGGATGGTGACTTGAGGCATCTGGTGTGCTTGAAGCATGCCAAAGACGTAGGCACCTTGAGGGGCATTCTCGTCCGCAGTTTGAGCCGACATATAGATGAGATTGAGCCCACGTTCGTAGTCCTGGACTTGACCGTGCTGACCTAGAAGGGTCATCATACCCAGCCTATAACACGATGCGGAGTCCCCCTTCTCGACTCCTTGCTTGTAGAATTTGACGGCTTTGAGCGTGTCATTCGATGATTCGAACTGCATTCCGATGCGGTAGTCAGCGCGGCTGTAGCCTCGCTCGGAAGCTCGGTTGTAAGCGAGAAATGCCTCCTTCTTGTCTATCCTGTGTCCGAATTTACCGAATTCCAACCACATACCCCTCATGAACTCAGCCTTGGGATGGTGTTGATCTGCCAAGAATGAGACCACTTTGACAGCATCTTCTCGCAAAACGTGTTCGATACGGGGAGTTATTGATCTTGGGACTTGTGCCAATGCTACTCGCTGTTCATTTTGCTGACAGGTTTCGACATATGCCAGAGCGTCTTGCGCCCATAGAAGTTGGGTATCAGGGTCGTTGCAACTCAGGACTGCAGCCCTGGCAGCCTCTAGAGATGCCTCTTTTTGTTCGTCCGTGGGAGGAATGTTCGGAGGAGGGTTTCGAATGATAGGGAATGGAGAAAAGTTTGGTTGTTCAAGCATGGGTGGTGCGCCAGGTGAGGGATTCCGCTGCTGGTAAGATCCCGTCGGCATGCTTGGTCCACGGCTATGTTGGTGGTCATTGTATTGTTGCTGCTGCTGTGGCGGGGGCTGCTGCGGAGGCTGCTGAGGCCATTGGGTTTGCATGTTTGTGTATCCGGCTGAGTGAGGACTGTAGACGGAACCCGAGTATGGAGAGTCAGGACCAGAAGCAGCATGTTCCATCTGAGCTACATTTTGCTGGATATTAGTGGGAAGTTCATGGGCTCTATGTCGGGTCAGCAAAGTGGATTCTCCCCGGGGTCGGATGCGGCGTGGTGATGGACAGCATACCTATTGGGTGTAGGTTGAATCAATTCTGGCATGTAATAGGAGTCGTCGCCCCCAGGGACAAATGTGGCACCTATCCGATAACTCATGGTCGCGATGTGGTAAACAGGAGGGGGCAGGGGAGGGGTGTGTTTGATAGCACTCTCGTACTTGTGTGGTTTCAGGGTCAAGGGCAGGTCAAGAGAACAGCCAGTTGGAATTGGCAGTCCCTTTCGATCGCCCTCTATTGAACAGCTAGGGGATCGGAGAGGGACGAAGGAGCACGAGTGGCACTCAATGCTAAGATCCGTACCAAGAAGACGATAATATGTAGAAGGCTCAGCTTACGCGGATGAGGATGAAGTTGGAGTCTCTAAGCTGAGAAGTGGGGTTGAGAAATATGAGTGATCACCGGGGGACAATTTCCGAGTGCGAATGGTCATATCGCAAGCGTGGACGAGTTCATGCAATGGAAGACAGGAAATTTGGTACTCAACATGACATAGCTCGGATGGAGAGACACTTGAACAAGGGAGTCAGGTTTCAAATGCAGGATGGACGTGGTAGGGGTCATTATTGTCTGAGTGATGAGTGATGAAGACTGAGGAAGGATGTACGAGGTAGATGGAAGCTGGATACGCAGGCGCAGGCGTAGGCGCAGGACGAGGCGAGGCTGCAAGCCTGCAACGGGCAATGAGCGAACGCAGGGACGTGGATAAACTTGGCAGGCTTAGCCTGACATGTCGCCCCCAAGTTGGTCAGTTTACACCTCTGGGTAACCCCTACGTGCCTCTACCACGGTCCACGGGCAATGCAGACAGAGGCTCTTCGCGGGGGGTTTAGGCTTGAACCGTGTCTCGCTAAACCTTTTTGGAGGCCTGAGGCGCCTGAAAGGGCGACCTGAATGTGCTCAGCCTCCGGCTTGGCCCACTGCTGATGCTGAAAGCGTACGCCTACTCCTTAGCTCGTACTACTATCAGCTGCCCAGGTGGTTTCTTCCAGGCAAAGCCACTGATGCCACGCCCACAGTCGCTCCACCTGGCCCCCAATTTTGGAACCACCCCGGTCCCCAACCAGGGCCACCACGATCCGGTGCAAAGGTCAAATGTTTGTCCCTCGGGCATGACACCACATCTGATACATGCAAGATGTTCAATTGCGTTCCCCTCCTTCTGGTCTGTATCCGCCCCGCCACGTGTTCAGTGCGATTTATCTAACTTCAGGGAGAGTCTGTGCAGCTTGAAATATTACAAGCAGCATCTTGTTTGCTAGAGACTAAGGTGGGTTCACTTTTGCTGCTGCCTGAAAACAAACGAGCACAAGCGACCATTTTGGTCCCCATGGATTCGGTCCAGTCCAAGTCACGTTTTATCGCGTTATGATCTAGTGATTAGACAACCAGAGTTCGCATCAGTAGCCCAATCCGGTAGTCAGGTTACGAGCACACGTGGTCTATACGCGTGTCATCTGCTCGCAATCTCAAAATGTCTAGCAGCCTGCTCAACTATCAGGACAGAACTGATTGCCAAGCTTAACTAGAGTGGAGACGCATCCTCTCCCTGACCGACCGCGTTCAACGACGAGGCTTAGCATATCATCAATATTGAAAGACATCCGAGATTACCATGAATCCATCTCGACCAGATTTCTGTCATCCCTACCAGCCATATGACATCCAGTTGGATTTCATGACCAAACTCTATCGTTGCATAGAGGATAAGAACATCGGCATCTTTGAGTCACCCACCGGAACAGGAAAATCACTGAGTCTGATCTGTGGGGCATTGACATGGCTGCGGGACCACGAACGCCGGTCTTTGGATGTTGAAGACAACGATGCAGAGTCAACAGATTGGCTCGTACGGGCTGAAATCGCCGCTCGTCGACGCAGAAATGTTTTGGAAAGAGAAGAGGTTGAGCAGAAGCTTGCTGCCATACGTCGACGCGAAGACAAGCGAAACCTGAAAGAGGGTCTTGGCTCCACCAAACGAGTACGGCTGCTCCGCGAGCAGACAACCCAACAACAGCCGAATCAGGATGATTTAATGCTCGAGGATTATCAAAGTGATACAGAGGATGATCAACTGGCACCCAAAACATCACACTCTAGCTTTTCTTCCACGACACAAGCTCTTCTTGACAAATTGCGTGGGCCTATCAACTCAGACGTCGTTGAAGAGGAGAATGATCGATTGAAGCTCATCATCTGTTCACGAACCCATTCTCAGCTGGCTCAATTCGTGAGTGAGCTCAGGCGAGTCAAACCCCCGTCTATTTTCTCTTCTGCGTCAGGGGATCAGGTCTTGGGGAATGATATTGAAGAGTGTGTCAAGCACCTTCCACTTGGCTCTCGCAAGAATCTGTGTATCAACTCCAAGGTGAACCGTCTAACGTCGTCAACTGCCATGAATGACCAGTGTCTGGAATTGCAGAAAGCCGGAACCCCGAAGGATAAAAGATGCCCGCATCTCCCAACAAAGGATGACAAAGAGAGAACAAGTGCTTTTCGTGATGCAGCAATTGCTCACATTAGAGATATCGAGGATATTGGGGCCCTTGGACGCAAGATGGAACTCTGCCCCTATTATGCTTCTCGATCTGCCATACAGTTAGCGGAGGTGTTGACACTGCCATACCCCTTGCTATTGCAAAAGTCAGCCAGGGAGGCGTTGGGTGTGTCGGTCAAAAATAACATCATCATTATTGACGAAGCTCATAATTTGATGGACGCCATCGCAGATACTTATTCGATCTCATTGCGGTTGAATCATCTGGAGCAATCCATAAGGCAGATAACGGCTTATGTTGTTCGCTTCAAAAATCGACTCAAAGGAAAGAACCGTGTCTACGTGACCCAAGTATTGCGGTTGCTGAACTCTATTACCGATTGCTTGCGAGCAACAACAAATCTCTCATCGCAGCAGGACGTCACGGTTACCGCGTCACAGCTCATGTCAGGTAAGGGGGTCGACCAGATCAAACCCCATAAACTCTTGCAATATTTGCACGAAAGTAAGCTGGCACACAAGGTTGAGGGCTACACAGATGCTCAAGCAGTCGGAGACCCTACCCGAGACCAAGCCAAAGGAGTACTCATGCATTTCCAAAATTTCCTTGCAGTTCTTATGAACCCAGACGATGAAGGTCGTTTCTTTGTATGCCGTCAGGACGGTGAGACTATAGTACGCTATACCCTCCTCGATCCCCGAGAGCACTTCCGGGACATAGTCCAGGAAGCCAGGTCAGTCGTTCTTGCAGGTGGTACCATGTCTCCGATGTCTGATTATTCAAATTACCTCTTTTCATACCTCGGTGAAAGCCAACTCCAAACCTTCAGTTTTGGCCATGTCATCCCACAACATAACTTGTTTGCCACTGCCGTGACAAGAGGGCCTACGAACATCGACTTCGATTTCACTTACGACAAGCGCAGTTCAGAGTCAATGATTATGGAGCTTGGCCAACTAATCCTCAGTGCCTGTAAATCGACACCAGATGGAATTGTAGCCTTTTTCCCCAGCTATGACTATCTCGCCAAGGTGATCTCCATCTGGCAAAGGCCATCTACCTTGGAGCCACTGATGACCATATTGCAGAGGACAAAGGCAACATTTCAAGAGAGCAAAGGCGTTTCTGTTGATGAACTTCTTCGTGATTATGCGGCTGCTGTCGATTCTGGTAAAGGTGGTTTGATGCTCGCCGTGGTTGGTGGAAAGCTGTCAGAGGGCATCAATTTCTCAGACAAGCTAGGCCGAGCAGTTATTGCTGTCGGACTTCCTTTTCCAAATGCCAACGGGGCTGAATGGAAGGCAAAGATACAATACGTGGAAGAGCTACAGTACCAGCAATGCAAAGTGTCAAAGGGAATGAATGAAGCGGAGTGTAGGAGTGAAGCCAGGCGTGCAGGCAGAGACTTTTACGAAAATGCTTGCATGCGAGCCGTCAACCAGAGTATTGGGAGAGTCATTCGTCACAGGAATGACTTCGCGGCTGTTTTGATGGTCGATCGAAGATTTGGGACTGAACGCATCAGCCAGAAGTTGCCAGGCTGGATCAGGGGTAGTATGAACAAGAGCACTCAGAGCTGGAACGAAGTGGAGGTTGGCCTTCAGAAGTTTTTCAGCAATAGATGAAGTCAAATAACAACTGAGATGAAATAATGACCAAAGAACCGAGACCTCTACAGATAGCGCTCATTCATTGATCTTCCGGCTGACACTGAGAGTACTCCGGAGTACATCTCCATGTCACGCTAGCGCAAAATCAATGCTTGGAAGACTGGGCTCGGAAGAACAATGATACTTGCCAAGATTTTTTACACTAAGCCTATTCAGATCACCTTCCCACACAGACTGCGATGGTTTTTCCTAGACTTGCAACCAACTTCAGACATCTCATCACGACAACTTCAGTCTCAGCACCGCCAATATGCCTACGAGACTGACCAAGACGAGAAAACAGTGAGTATAGCCTCTGCATTCCTTTGCCAGACCCTCGATCCTCGACGACTTGCGCACCGACGGAAATCCAAATCTCTTCCTCGAAAGACATCAGATACACCACGAGCCGACTTTTCTACAGTAATAAAGACTGCAACCCTTTCTGGACGCCTCAGTATAAAGTCTATTTGTTCTTCGAGCGCCGAAATATGAGCCACGGACACCGCCATTTTATTTTTGAGAGCCGAAGCTAACTGATGGGATTTTAGCCGCGGCCATGTGTCTGCAGGTCACGGTCGTGTAGGAAAGCACAGAAAGCATCCAGGTGGTCGTGGTCTT